ATCATTAGAATTCTAGAAGCCGATTCTCAGGTAATCATGGATGTGAATGACGAGCAACTCACTGTCGCGGAGAGGAGTCGTATTCAAAAGGGCAAACGAAGAAGTGCGTCCCAGAATACCCTAATCGAGCTGTGCAGCAGTGAAGTCTCGTACGACTCAACGCTCTGGGCCAAGGTCTTCCCCAACATTATTCGGGTCAGCTTTGAGACATGTCCCTTCGCAGTGACTCTTGGTCGAGAGATTGTGTGCGCACGTCTTTTGCAGATGCACAAGACTATAACCTCACTTGCAGAGAGGACCAGACCTCAGTATGCTTCCCCAGTGGATGTTCATCAACATCGTCCCATGGGCCGGAGCAACATGACGGCAGAGATTCTTGTTGAACAATGGAAACTCTACCTGGTTATGGCTTGCACTACTGTCACTAGTGTGGGTGCCCAATCACAGAGCCAGCTAGCAAATGCTCAACATGCGCGCAAGGCTTCCAAGGGAGCCCAATCCCAAGACAAAATCAGCTCTGCCCGCAGTCTCTTCGCATTTGTCATTCCTCTTCTCTCTGCAGAGCGTGATTCCATTCGAAATGCAATTGTGATAGCGCTGGGATCTATCCACAAGAACCTCTATCGTACAATGCTGGAGTCATTGCAGTATGCAGTCACCACCTGCAATGAAGAGGCGAAGATTCGCATAGGGACCCACCATCGCACTCCTAGCAGCCCCTTTCGTAACAGAGACACGGAGCGCCTGCGCACGGAGGTTACCCATGTCTATAAGCTCACTTCTCATTTCCTGCGCGAGCCCGAGGTATACAATGATGACTGGGTCGTCAACAACCTGATCACCTACGCCAAGGATATCCGGATCTTCTTGAGCGATGCAGAAGTTCAAAATGACTGGGAATACCAACGTTTGCGATTCCACTTTTGTGGCTTGATGGAAGAGCTTTTCGAGGGAGTAAATCGCACCAAAGATCCCTCTCGCTGGATTCCATTTGAGTCTCGCAAATCCGCATTCTCTCTTATGGAGGACTGGTGTGGTTACTCTCCGAATCAAGCACAGATCACCCAGAGAGAAGATAACATGCGGAAATTCGCGATTGCTCAGCCATATGAAGGTGGTGAGATGCGACATGCTGCGGCAGCCATGGAAATTGAGAAGAAAAACCTTCGCGCGGCTGCATTGAGTGCCATGGCTTCTCTTTGTGCTGGTCCAATTAGTATCACGACTGAAAGTGGCTCGGTGCTTCAATTCGACGTTGGTCGAATGCTCTCCTGGGTTGATATCATCTTCAGTACCGTTAGCGATAAGTGGCACTCGATTGGCCGTCGCGCTTTGAAGAATCTGATCATTCATAACAAAGAGCACTCCTATCTGATGGAGCGTTCGATCGAGATGTGCTACGTCACTGAGCGACCCAAGGCTATCGAAAGTTATTTCGAGGTGGTGACCGAGGTTCTTCTGGAGCACCCCGATTACCCACTTGAGTTCCGCAGGGTCTTAGGCGCTGTCTTGGTGACTCTAGGCAACCAGAAGCGTGAAATTCGGATGAAGTCAGCGAAGCTTCTACGGAAATTGGAAGAGCGCCAACAGAAGAACTCCCGTCTTCAAGATTTCGATATCAGCATCTCTGATAAGACCACTGCAGTGTACAAGCTGGCTCAGTTTGATATTTCAAAACGACTGGCAAATCAGCACTCGGACTTGGCATTCACTCTGTTCTCCGAATTCGCTCTCCACTTCCGCAATCTACGCCCAGACAGCCAGCGCAACATGGTAGCTGCTATCCTGCCATGGGTCCAGACCATGGAGTTGCAGGTGGATCCCAATGGTGGCCCAACCTCCAAGTCGTACATGCTCCTCGCAAATCTCTTCGAAATCACAATCCGCTGTAGCACGATCCTTCCCAACCAGGTGCAGGCGCTGTGGCAGGCGCTGGCGACAGGACCTCATGGCGGAAACGTCCAACTTGTCCTCGACTTCATCATCAGCCTTTGTTTGGAGCGCAAAGAGCAAAATTTCGTGGAATACGCCAAGCAAGTTGTCGTATTTCTCGCTGGAACCCCTGCGGGATCAAAGGTCATCGAGTTCTTCCTCATGCAGGTCATGCCGAAGAATATGGTACAGGAGCGAAAAGAACTTACGCCTCCTCCCCCTGAATTGAAGACTCTTCCATACGTTGCCGACCTAGGTACCGTTCTACCGGTTGGGAACAAACAAGCCGGCCTGTCACTAGGACAAGTTGCGCTTATATTCCTCGTCGATTTGATGGTTGCTCCTGTCACACTGGCTTTGGATGACGTTATCAAGCTCCTCCACGTCGTCCTGATTCTTTGGGATCACTATACTGTGACTGTTCAGGAGCAGGCGAGGGAAATGCTGGTTCATCTTCTCCACGAACTCATTGCAGCTAAATTAGAAGATGACGCCCCGACTGGAAGTCGACAGGCGATTGAAGATTTTGTCGAGTCGATCCGCAAAAGTGATCCCGCGGTTGTGTGGGAATACGAAGAGAACAATGGCAAAGAAGACGAAGATGATGATCGCAAGGTGCCCCAATCTATGGGTGCAGTGACGCGCGACGTAATCAAGTTTTTCAGCTTTGGATATGAGGGCATCGGTGAAATTTGGGCTAAAGAAGCGTTGAATTGGGCGACCTCCTGCCCTGTGCGGCATCTGGCATGCCGGTCCTTCCAAATCTTCCGGTGTATCTCAACCTCGCTCGACTCGAGAATGTTGGCTGATATGCTTGCCCGACTCTCCAATACCATTGCGGATGAGGAGACAGACTATCAAACTTTCTCAATGGAGATCTTGACTACGCTGAAGATTATCATCAGTTCGCTGGCGCCTTCGGACCTTCTGCATTACCCTCAACTTTTCTGGACCACGTGTGCGTGTCTCAACACCATTCACGAAAGCGAATTCATGGAAAGTTTAGGTATGCTCGAGAAGCTTTTAGACCGATTGGACCTCGGTGATCCCATGGTGGTGGCGCAACTTCTTGAGGGCCAACCACCCAAGTGGGAAGGTGGATTCGATGGTCTTCAGGATCTGGTGTTCAAGGGTCTCAAGTCATCTGAGTCTTTTGAGCAGGCACTGGATGTACTCCACCGTCTGAGCGGATTGCCAAATAACGAACTAATTGGGGACGGGACACGACAACTGTTCACCATCCTGGCCAATCTACCTCTTTTCCTTCAATCTTTCGACCAGGGATTTATCGATCAGAAACCCATCACGCATGCCAGCCTGCTTGCTCGCGTTGCAGAGAACGAAGGATGCCCCCGGCTTGCGGCGTCGATCTTTGGCTTCGCGAACCAACAGTACAAGGCCGAAGGTGTCTTTTTGGACCATATTATCACTGAGATCAAGTCATACTACTTCCCGCAGCTGGATTTCCAGTGCTTGATCTTCTTGATGGGCCTTCTCACAAACACGACGGACTGGTTCCGAATCAAGACAATGAAGATCCTTTGCGTCTTAATCCCTGAAGTTGACATGCGCCGGAACGAGGTCACATGTCATGGACCAGATTTGATCTCCCCGCTGCTGCGACTTCTGCAGACAAATCTGTGCCCTCAGGCCCTTGAAGTGTTGGATAATATCATGACTGTCTCTGGCAGTCCGATGGAACGTCATCATCTGCGCATGAGTATGGCATCGGCTTCCTCATCTCGTGCCATACGCAAAGAATATGAGCGAATCCAAAGCCTCTATGGTATTCCTGAGCCTTCGGGTTGGTCTGTGCCTATGCCGGCGACTCAGTCAAGCACGACTCGAAACAATGTACACGCTGTCTTCTACACATGTGCTGAGGCCGATGACCCGACCGTCCAAGACACCATAACGCCGAATGTGGAGTTCCGTGCAGAGGAATATACCGATTCCTTCTTCCCCATGAGAGCCGACACAATGAAGTCCGTCGATACACAGAATGACGGCAATATGGGTGACATGGTGCAAAAGTTGGACAGCTTGGACGATTTCTTCGACGACGAGACAGATCAAAACATCCCCACGTTCAACGTGGCTCCGCCGATGATTCGAGGCTTTACTGGAAGCTACCTCGACACCAATGCCCATCTCTATGATCAACAAACGGCGCCCATCTTGCGAAAGTCACTCGCTCGAACGGGCTCTACGTCGTCATTTCACAACGGTCTAGCTGAAAATCGCACAGCCAACTTCCGCTTCGACGGACCTGATATACCATCTCCAGTGAGTGCGACAACACCTTACAGCGCAAATCAGACTCTGCGGCCAGCGTCCCATGTTCGATCGGTCACTTCGCCCGCCAACAACCTCTTTGTCCAAACGCAGACCATGGCGCAGCACGGCACACCACATATGGGCCTGAATGACTCGGCCTTCATGTCCGACGACGACATCGAGGAAACGCAGTCCGATATGGACGATCGACCCACTATGAGGCGCCTGCACCCTCTCATGACACCCATGGTCCGCAGCGCAACAGACAGCCCGCACACTCTCGAATCTATGATCCGCAGCGGCATGCGTCGGCTCACCGGCGGCGCAGCCAACAACCGAGAAAAAGAACGACAACGCGACCATCTCCGCGCCCAACATCGCGCCATGGTCCAAACAGCCAATTCTCCGCGCGTCCCCAAAGTACCAGAAGAGTACCTCGCAGGACCAACCAGCCACCCGGCGTCTCCGAGGTGAGCCGCAAGTATTTACATTTTTTTCCGTTTCTTGCTGTTTTCTACCAGCCTGGGCATTTTCGGGCGTTTGGATCAACCCTTTCATACCCCTTGCCTTTCATTCTGTCGTGAACTTGTCATGTCGCGTTGACCCGCGCATATTATATTTGATTGAAACTTGTATATTATCTACATCATGATTGTTCCAAGATGCCTAAGTAGATGGCGTTTCAAAAATCCATGAATCAGCTGATAAGGATTGATTGTTGATGTTCGTTTCCATGCTACCGTAACCGAGGTGTTCCCAATGCAATGCCTTTGTTAAAATGTTTTCTAAGTTCAAGACTGAAAGTTCATCGAATAGCCTCCAGTCTTGGGATCCTGGACGAAATTGAAGTTGTCTGTCGATAAACCGAATGGTTTCAAGATACCATTGCCCAGCTGGACGACTGTTAGTTATCAGGTGGTAGCAGAGAATTAAGGGTCCACCTACGCCCTTCAACTTCGACATCATCTCTCCCATCTCCTTTTCGCGGGCTTCTTTGATCCGATCCGGTAGTTCCAGAAGAGCCCGTTGTACGATCCGTCGATCACCTGCTGGGAGATTCTCCATAGCAGCAAGGGCTTGGTAATCCTCCGCAGCACCTTGTAAGCTGGCCCATCCACCGATTTCTGATTTGGCCTTAGCCCGTCGCATCAGAGCCTTGGCTCGAATCCGGAGAACGTTGGTTCGTTGCTCGTCCTGCTCCTTCAAATTTTGGAGTTCTCTCTCCTCTGCCTGATCATTATCCCCGAGAGCTCAATGACGGCATCGTTGGCTTGTGTATCGACTTCTTTCGAATCGCTCTGGTCCTTCTTCTCGGCACTTGGCGGAATGACCTTATTCAAGCGCTCAATTGCCATTGTGGCCGATTCACTTGCTGATTTCCAATCCTCTAGCTTCAAGTATGTGGCGGCAATGTTGCTTCGGATCACGGCGATATCGTAATCAAGATAGTTCGGACAAGAGGCGAGGGCTCGGTCGTAGCATGAAATGGCCTGATCATAGCATCCTGCGCTGAACAGCTGATTGGCTTCGGCTTTGATATCTTGAGCTTCTTTCAAAAGACTCTGTCACAATAGCAAATGTTAGCTCGGATTCGTGCACACGGTCATCGCGACAACTCACAGCTTCTTCGTCTGCGGGGAATCGCGCATCGTGGAATTCCTCCTCGTCGCTTTCCGCGCCATTCTCCAGTTGGGTCTCCTTTTCTTCGGGCTTTGAAGCACGATTAGAATCGTCCGTGCCAGCCATCTTGATGTGCAAAGATGTTTCGAGTACGTGAAATGTCTGGCGATCACGGGACGGACGATAAGCAGCCCCCGCGTTCAGGCTCTTATCTCCCAGGCGCCCTATTTCCCCTCATGTGTCACTGTACACAGACGACTCAACTGTCATGGCGCAGAATAAGGAGTAAGTGGATGTTCCTGATAATGAATTGGAGGCTCTCAATTGACAATGTGGTAGACTCCCCCGGATCCGGGCATGTCTCTTCGACATGGACGGCCTGCTGATTGACTCAGAGGACATTTACTCGAGGATCACGAACGAGGTCCTCCAGATGTATGGCAAACCTAACTTGCCCTGGTCGATCAAGGCCCTATTGCAGGGTCGGCCCCAACCCGAGGCATGTATTTTGTTGACGTCCTATCAAACACATCGAAGCTTCATGCTAACAAATCCAATTCAGGCTAGCAAAATCTTCCACGACTGGGCGAAACTGCCCATCACGCCCGAGGAGACCGCAGCAAAGCAGTCCTCGCTCCAAGCTGCATACTTCCCGAGTTGTGGACCTTTGCCAGGAGTCCCTGAACTGCTCTCCAACCTTGCAGCAACCCAGTCCACCGACCAGCCCTGTCACATTGCATTGGCAACATCCTCCAACAGCAGGAATTTCAAGCTGAAGACCGACCACCTGACTGATCTCTTCTCCGTATTTCCTCAAGTGCATCGCGTCTTAGGTGATGATCCTCGGATCGGAAAGGGCCGAGGCAAGCCACTTCCCGACATCTACCTTCTCGCGCTGGAGACCATCAACGCGGACCTGCGCAGTAAGGGTCAAACTGAGATCAAGCCCGAAGAGTGCCTCGTCTTTGAGGATGCTGTTCCTGGCGTCGAGGCTGGCCGCCGTGCCGGTATGCAGGTCGTCTGGTGCCCGCACCCGGGTCTCCTCGAGACATACAAGGGCCGCGAAGAAGAAGTTCTGGCCGGATTGACGGGGGCTCACAAGGAAGAAGACAAGAGCGAAGCAGAGAAAGAGGCAGACGAACTGCAATCTTGGCGTGTCAAGGGTGCTGGCAAGGTTGGCGAGCTGGGCGATGGATGGGCGCAGCTCTACCATTCGCTGGAGGATTTCCCATACGCAAAATATGGCATCCAGATCCCGTGAGATCTTGCATATACTGGTTTAGATGATATTGCATTAGCTTCTTGGGCATAACGAGCTTTTTTTGATCCAGTTGGGACGAAACCTTGGATTTTGGCTGATTGTTTTGGTTTTTCCTGCGTGATCATGAGGTGCTCATTATTAACCCGCATATCTTATTGAGTAGAAGCTTACTACATGTTTGTTAGACAGCCATTGATATGCCGAATGCTCAATGAATTCATGTTACGCGGATGCTTATTGCCTTCTTAATAAGTGATCACATATGGATCATCGCCATGTCTTTGCTCGATTGTCATTGTATAGCTGCCGGGTTGTATTACTGGTTACATTGGTATGCATATTCTGGGATGCACCCGAAGGTCCTTGTGGTTCAATGGTTGGGTCTGTAATTGAATGGCGCGTTACTATGTTTCATATATATGTTACTATGTTTCATATATATGTTACTATGTTTCATAAATATTGAATTTCCGACCACATGGGGATTGAACTCTAGACTTCTTCGGTGCCGCGGGTGCGGGAAATCTGCATCGTATATTCTTCTCTCGTCCTCCCCACAGCAGGATCAAAATATTCTAATGGAAAAGCGTCGAAAAACTCCCTACGGTCATTATAGTCGTCTCAGGTATATAGTCTCATTCCGAGTTCAAAAAGGGCATCGACCAGACTTTGAGGCTGTTGTCTGCCGGTCCACTATCTTCATCCCGCCGTTGACCCGAGCAAGTAGCCACAACATTCCCCGAAGAATGAAAGGCTGTACTAGTAACGGCATCTAGAGCGCGTTAGTCATGGATCAATCCCAAGCGGAGATCGACAAACATACCATCATGTACCTTTAATTCCCAATCCGGATCGTGGGCACCCACGGTGAACGCAGGGTTCTTCCACACCCTCATGATGCCATCCACTCCACCCGCCCAGACTTCATGAGATCCCTCAGCACCGGCATCAACAACATCGATGTTCATACGCTGGTTCGTCAACGCGTTCCGCCCACGCAAATACCCGAGCATCTGCCCTGTAACACGAATATCATAGACCAGAACGCCATCACACTTCCGCTCAGCGATGTATAAATACCTACCACAAGGGCTCCACGCGAGCTGAGTGATACCCTTGCCCCCAATATCCCGATTCGCTTCAGTCTTCGCAATATTGAAGGTCCCGAGCAACTCCCCCGAGCCGTTGGAGCTGTACAGCCCAACGTGTCGGGTAAAGGTCCCGGCAGCAAGAATGCCATCACCAGTAGGGTTAACGGCCATGGCGGATACAATGCCCTTCATACCGACACCACCGCCCACAATCTGCTTGCGCTTACTTGGGATAGTCGGCATCCACGACACAGGGCCTTCATTACCTGAACGAGAGACGTCAAACAGGCAGATCATGCTATCCGATCCTGTCAAGAAATGCGTCCCCCAAGCGTCGAGGGATACAGTATGGAGTGTGGAGTGATGAATGCCTCGGTCATCGGGTTCACCAATGAATAACTCGCGACTGATGTCGGGGCTAGAGCTGACGCTAATCTGATGGGATGGTCACGGACTGAAGAGAGGAACAGGCAGGTTGTCGGATCTTGGAGGTTGAAAAAAGGGTATATGGCTGATGCATATGTCGGCTCAGCCGAAGCAAGCGAGGAGTATGGCGACAAACGATGAGGCGTTTCTCCCTCTAATAGGTCTGGAGGTCTGGGGGTGATCAGCGAGGATGCTGAGAATAAGATGAAAAAAAAAACAACTTACAGGATGAAGGTTCGGATACAGTGATTTGCCGACTCGGCGAGGAGCGTGGTGCCATCCGGCGTCCTGTCAAGATGTTCGTGAGCTGGGCAGCATATTGATGGACCAACGAAGCTTACCATTTAACGCTTTTGAAATGATGAGCAGTAAGATTATCCTCCGGGTGGCTGGTGGTAGTGGCAGCGGAAGCGGCAGCTGGGGATGCTCGAGAATCACCATGAGAAAAAGATTGCGATGCCGGATTCTCGTCACTGGAAGGAGGATCACTCTCTCGGGCCATTGGAGATCGAGATCCGAGACCCTTGCATTTTGGTGAGACAGTATCAGATTCTCGCTCTTCCGACAAGCTCGGGACTGTTGTAGCCACACAGATCGGTGACCAGTCCATAGTCGTGATTGCAGAGAGATATGATAGACTTCGAGTAGAAGTGGGAAAGGACTGATACTGATTGTTGAACCTCGATTGCAGTTCAGTCAAAACCAGAAAGACGTTCAGTGAATTACTTCCCAGATACGGAATCAATCCATGTCGATGAATGGCTCTGCTTGATATTTGAGTAAGATGCTCAGGATTTGCCAAAGCTTGTCACCGGATTCAATAATATATGATGAAACCCCTCTCTGTATCCTATGATGGTTTGCTCCTAGGCCTTTCCTCAATATATTTGGATCTGCTCCCGTGTTCTTACCTCCAGATCCCAAATGTCCTTGGGTGACTTCGTGCTTGCGGTCTATCTGGAGGCCCTTCTAGATGTGCTTATAGAGGTAGCCAGATATACCAAGTATATTTGTGGCGGTTTATTAGAGCAGAAATTATTTGTTTGACGTCTTTTCGGGAATTGAATGAATTGAAGCTTCTGCCAGGACAGAGATATGGTTATAGAAAGTAATTAGGGCAAAGTCGTCAACCCAGCGTTGACGTCGGCGCCGGGAAAACTAGGCACCGAGCCAGCGCCGTAAATCTTATCGGACAACCGCGACTTCTTTGTTTGGGAATTCAAGGGCCTACGCATTCCGATCATTATGTTCGCCCCCAAGACCTCGGCCGCACCTGGCGGTCTCTCTATCAACACTGGCTCGGCCAATTCCTTATTGTGAGTGCCTCCTCGGCGAAGCCCCTGATGCCCAACCTCGAGCTCTTGAGAGCTTCTCCAAGCTCAGAGTTATATCTCCTTCTTTTTGGAAAAGGCGGTGATCGTCGCCACTATCGCACCATTACTGAGATCGCGATCGGGCGCGCCATGCCTGTCGTGGTGCGCAGGGCGGGTCCAGCGGCATCAGTTACGCCAACATTGAATGACTAGCTAACGTTGTCCTTCCCTCCGACAGTGGCGGCGCCAACACACAAACTTCATCTACACCTGCGACCACGGGGACTACGGGCAGTCTTTTCGGTAACAATAGTTCAACGCCGCAAAACAAGCCGGCAGGTAGCCTCTTTGGAGGAGGTCTGGGTGGTGGAAACACACAGCAGTCGCAAACCACCGGATCAAGCATGTTCTGCGGTCTGGGTGGTCAGCAGCAGCAAAGTGGGACGACTGGTGGTGGTCTTTTTGGAAGTTCGACTGCTGCAACAACACAACCTCAGTCAAGTGGCCTTTTTGGAACTGCTGGTGCCGGTGCTGGCACCAGCACCACGCAGAGTGGAACTACCGGCGGACTTTTCGGCGGTGGACTTGGAGCCAACCCTACGACACAGACTCAGCAAAAGCCTGCCTTTGGCGGTCTTGGCGGCTCGACCACGGGTGGCCTTTTGTGAGTGGATTGCGATGTTCCTTCTTTGCGATAGCCCTTTCTAACCGATTCATTCTATCACAGCGGCGGCGCACAAAACACACAGCAACAGCCCCAGCAGCAGCAACAAGCCCAAAAACCCACACTTTCCTTGTTCGGAAATCAAGGCCCTGCCACCGGGGCTCCACAACCGCTGCAGCAGAATACAGCGACACCAAATGTGGTGCCGGGAGTGAAGGTTGATGTCAGCAATTTGTTACCAACCACCAAGTTCGACAACTGTGCGGATGAAATTCGGAATCATATTGAGATCATTGACAACTACATTCTCAACCAGATGAAGGTATGCCACGAGGTTGCGGATATGCTTCCTACCATTGAGAAACAGGGCTCGACCATTCCCAACGACGTGGAGTTCGTGCAGGGCAAGCTGGAGACTATTCAACATGCCTTGGAGAACGATGCTGGCGACATTGACCAGCTGCGCGGGCTGGTCGGCCGTGACGCGGCTGAGGCACAGGTTGCGTTCCGGGCCATTGATACCCTTAAGCTGCCTCTACAGTATCAGTCCGCCAGCGGTGGCGGCTGGTGGTCGGTGCAAGATCAAAAAGTCGATCGACGGTCTCTGCGGTCTACTCGCAAGAACACCCTTGCCCTTCCCGACGACGTGGAGGGCGACCCTTCCACCGCCACGTCTGTCAACGGCGTACCTGTCAACTTGGTTGACTACTTCTCACAGCGAGCCGATGAGATGAGCACAGTACTCGAGCGATACAAGCGCAACCTCAAGGAAATCGAGGACCACCTGCATGGAGTCGAGCTTACACTGAACCGCCAGATCAGCGAGTTCGTCAGCTCTAAGTCTCGTGACGGTGCAGGTGCAGGGACCCCGAAGTCGGCTGTCAACGATTTGGCTGCGGTGCTGGGAGACGTCGAGGCTGGTATCATGGGAGTCGCAGCCCGATTGGGAGGTGTGCAGGAGCAGGTGCAAGAGACAATCCTCGGACCATTGTCTATCGGCGATCGGCTCGGAATGAACTAAAGCATGATATTATATGTACACTAATGCAATGGGCTGGTCTCCGATATGAAATGCGGTGAAGTCTGGCTGCTTTGTTCGCTGATCTCGTGACGCAGATCTGATAAGAAACTGAAGAAACTGTAGACACCGTAGACATACTAGACATACGGGAAACAGCCACGCCACATGTCGGCTCCAGTTCCCAGGACAAGGAAACGATAGCCCCAAACAAAACCCAGAAGATCTCGAATACAAAAAGTCCCCACGTGGATGTGCAATGAGTGACGAGGCTCTGTTGCAACATGATCCGCCACTCTTGCGTGATCGCCCACTTAGCGCGCAACTCCGACTGCTTAATTCCTACCTCCACTTGGCTTCGTCTCACGATCGCTGCGATTGCGTATGCATACCGCTAGTTTCCCCTGTTTTTTTTTTGAATGATCTACTGCAGGTAGCGGTGAGAACGTTATCGCATTCAGGAGAAGTTTCAAGTTCGTCATTGGGAGTCGATGGCAAATCTTGCCATCAACGTCACCAAGATGGCGTGATCACCCCTTAACCGATCTGAAAGCTGGGGAGTTTATTCCCTTGTTCGGCCCATTCTCCATTTCGTCACTGGGGAATCACGCTTACCCAGATCCATCGCTTCCTGTCCACTTGCAATCGCTTCATAATCACTACCGATGGCGCGATTCCCCGGGGCCCCGTTGCACTATTGCACCATTGTACCACTGGCAAAGCGAAATCACGCAAGATCTGCCATCTGGGCTTGACTCATGGTCCCACTTGGGAGCCATGCTTTGTTTGGATCCATGTCTACATAAGGAGTTCAGTCCTCTCGAAACCTTGTCAATACATTCATCTTCAACTCATACAATTTGCTGCCGGTGACTTGCACAATCACTTGCATATACACATTGAGCGTCGACATGGCACCCTCACTCGAAGAGCCTATCGCTCAGGTTGAACCTCCTATTTTGGGGAAACTACCCCGGCCAAGAAAGTAGTGGCTGGCGACAACAAGTTTGGCTATGTCCCCGGACGGACACCAGTCCAACAGCACGACGACTATCCTCATGAAGATCTGCTTCCCTCTTTCCCAGACATCCGTTGGGCCCCCATTGGAGAGGTCCCCTATACAGACCGTGGTCTTCGAGGAGACCCCAAGTTCCGCAATCTACTGGCCGACGCCACGGCTGTCTTCGACTACAACCCCAAGATTGGCACTGAGATTCATGGTGTCGACCTTGCAAAACTCACTGATGCTCAAAAAGATGACCTAGCTCGTCTGATTGCGTACCGTGGAGTCGTTTTCTTCCGTTCACAAAAGTCTTTTGATATCGAAGCTCAGCGGAAACTTGGACAGCACTTTGGCACACTTCATAAGGTATGTTACCTCGTTTAGGTTGATGAGAGCACGTACTAATTTTATGCAGCATGCAACTACCTCTGTTCCCAAGAAGCAGGGTCTCGAGGATGTCCACGTTGTTTATACCGGCGACAACTCCGGCGATAATCGTGCGTTGTTCAGCCCAAGCTTCTTGTGGCACTCAGATGTCACGTACGAAGTACAACCACCATCGTACACATCATTAAAGCTTTTAGCTGGCCCTCCCAGTGGTGGCGGTGGCGACACGCTATGGTCCTCACAATACGCTGCTTATGACGTCCTGTCGCCCTTCATGCAGACCTATCTCAAGGGCTTGACAGCATTGCACTCTGCGGATATGCAAGCCAATGACTCGCGCGCTCTCGGCCGGCCCGTCCGCCGCGAGCCCATCACCACTGTTCACCCCCTCATTCGAACCAACCCTGTCACCGGTTGGAATGCTTTGTTCTTCAATCCCGGCTTTGTGACTAAGATCATTGGGATTCCCAAGGGTGAGAGCGATGCCATCCTCCGGTATCTCACAGATGTAGTGGCCACTACACAGGAAATGCACGCTCGATTCTCGTGGAACAAGGACGATGTCGCTTTCTGGGACAACCGCACAACGACGCACTCTGCTTCATATGGATTCGCTCCTCACCGGCGACACGCCGTACGAGTCTGCTGCCACGCCGAGCGCCCTGTGCTTGAGGAATCGGGCAAGTCGCAAGAAGACGAGTTGAACGCATTGTATGGACTGCCACCGGTCAACAAGGACGGATCGCGGCAGTCGAATTACAATGATTAAGTTTGAGAGGAAAATTTGCATCGACCGAGCGCCTTCTTTAAAGTATATGGGCATGGTAATGAGCAGTCAGCGAGTCTGCAGGCGTTGGGTCATTTTTTGGCAAATATCAACGGAATAAATATCAATTACATTTACATTTACAAGACATACTGTATCCTTTCAACTAATACATCACTTCTGAGATCCCCTTTCTGATCTCTTCTCGTCTGACCTACAACTTCAATGACTACCGCATTTTTGTGATCTGCCACTGTATCTTTTCGAGAAAAGTCGTATTTCGTGTCCTGCGACTCGGTTAGAGAATCACTCATGGATGACTCCGAGGTCACCATGCCTGCTGAGCAGGTCCACTTTGCTTCTACCTCCTAGAAGAAAAAACCAGTGACCCCCCGTATTGATCAACTACGTCAGCTTCTCAAGTATCTCGGGCTACCAGTACCGTGGAATACTTTGGGCCGGCCCCCCTTCCAGACCAGGAGAATCTTGACTTTTACAACCGTCCACTGACACATTGCTTCGAGAAGTCAGTGCGTTACTCGTGTCTAGAGAGTACTAACAAAGATATGGATATTGAAGAATACAAGGTACGCATCTATACTCGCACCAACATGACGTACTAATCAATCAGGCAATCGCTCTTGACATGGAGAATAATCTCTCAAAGCCCAGCTCAAGCCAGGAAGCCAAGTCTTGGTCGTCAAGGCAGCTTGTCCCTTCGTCAAGCTTGGGCAATCTATCTTCTTTCATGTCGACACGAGGCATCACAGATTCTCCACTTCCAGTCTCCAAGAGCCCTTATTTCGTCCAGCCAGAGGGAATCAAGAAGCCGGAAAAAAGAAAGCCACCACAGTGTGCATCTACATCTACATCTACATCTACATCTACATCTACATCTACATCTACATCTCCTGAAACAATCCTCAACATCATACCTCCACCATTTCCGCTCACACGACCTCCCACTGAAAAGCTCACATGCTTCCTTTCAACAAAGCTCTTCAAGACCCATCTAACCCACATCCGACACCTCGAGAGTAGCCCAGGCCTCAATCTCGTCTACCGAGACTACGATCCAAGGTCACCTGAAGCCGACATCATCATCTCGCCAAGAACAGGAATCATCTTGACCTCCACCCATATATTGACACAGAAATACCTCCCGGGAGACAAAGGCTCTCGAGCCGACATCACATCCCCACTCATGGAGCGCATCTACGTGACCACACCCCGCTACGAGACGCTCTACATCTTCATCTGCGTGGCGTCCACCAAGGCAGACAAGCAGATGCAAGAGGCGCTCAACACTCTGTCATCGTTCTGTACTTCGCTCAACGAGGAGACGACCATCGTTCCTATGATTGTCTCAGAAGCTGACGGGCCCGTAGCAGACTGGATTGAGTACCTCGGTCACAATGAGCTTCCTTCCATGATGCCTGCAATACGGTCACTGCGATCGCAGGAGACGCGGTGTGAGGTTACACTTTGCGGGTATGGACTTAATCCTTTCGCCGCACGCATGGTTCTGGACGCGGGTGTGAAGTTGGACAGCTTCCTTGGAATGAGCACTGAGAAGCGCCGTCTTCAGTTCGAAGATCTACTCGGTCAGCGAATTCTACGACGAGTCGAGACAGCCATACAGAAGGACAAGAAACTAGGAGACCGTGGGAGACGATGAAGGTTCTACAGGTCAATTCTTACATTGAGTTGAATAGTAAAACATATCATATTGGAGAGCGGAGATTAATCGAATTACTCTTTATAGATACAGTAGAAAGACATGCAAGACCAAGCCAATTCAGCGCTTCAGAACTCAGTATGCAAAGGTATATTTGAATATTTTGGTTTTTTTTTTTTGTGTTTGAGAGGTCGTTGAAATGGTCAAGCTCGTGCGCTTTATTATAGTACACGCCGTTATGTCCCTCGTTTGAGAGTGGACAAGTATGAAACGGCCGGGTTTGATGGAAAAGAACGAGGCAATTGAGCTAACCGCTTACTCGTTAATCTTGGCCAGAATCTCGGAATCGCGGAAGAGGGTGTACTCCTCCTCGCCGACCTTGATGGGGCTGCCACCGAACTGTAGAAGACGTTAGATTATGTTCTTGTTCCGATTGCGTACAAAGTGTGCTAGGGGTATTTCCATAGCGATAGGGACACGGAAGAGCAGGTGCGACATACCATAGGGATGATAACCTTGTCACCGGAAGCGACGCCCATGGGGAGGCGCTTGCCGTCCTTGTCAAAGGCACCGGGGCCAACAGCGAGGACCTTAGCCTCGTTCTGCTCCTTGACACTGCTCTCAGGAAGGAAGATGCCGGAGGCAGTCTTGGCCTCGGGCTTGATGCGCTGGACCAGGACGCGGTCGAGGAGGGGAGCAAGGCTCTTAATGTTGCGGAGGACAGACTATTGAGACAAGGGTAAGTATCTAGCTTGGGCAAATAGAGTAGTCAAATGTTGATCGGATGCGATGGGAAAAAAAGAGTGGAGGCTATGGCGTAGGGGACACCAGCTCGGCGACGCGATGCGTAGCTTTGCATGGTTCATTGCGAAGGAGTTTTGTGCAGTAAATGTACAAGCCCAGAAGAGACGTACCATTGTGATGGAAGTTGGAGGTCTAAAAGGCCAAGAGTTGGAGATGAGAGTGGGATGGAGAAGGGAAGATGGAAGTGTCCGGGGGAAGATCTGGACTTTGACACCGAGAAATTTCCAGAATGCCAAGACCGTAGCTTCGCCGAGGGCCAAACCCGACTTTCGGCTTCTTTGCGACTATTCTCCTTCTCTATGCTTCTATCGACGATTCGAATGATTGTGAAGCTTGCAGCCCTATTCAATGGACTACATAATTTGATTCTGAAGTACTCTCATGCAGACTTGGGGATATTAACCTCCTCGAGCCTTTCCGTTCCCCCGGATTGGAGCTTTTAGCTAAATCTACAAAGCCTCAAATCGACAGAATTCAGATTTCATTCCATTTGCAATAAAACGCCATATCCTCCAATCCCATCGGCAATTCAGAATGATCTTTAAGAACCAAGCAGACAGAATTACCACCTCCTCCCGCGGCCCCGGCCTCCATAATTCCCGCGCTGTTCGTAGCCGCCTCCGTATCCCATCTGGCCCTGTCCCATCTGACCCTGACCACCTTGGAATCCTTGGCCCGGCCCTTGTCCTCCAAATCCAGGCTGTCCTTGCTGGCCACCACCTGGCTGTCCTCCCATCATAGACTGGGCATGCTGCATGAACGCCATCGGGTCCATGGAAGTCGGGTCCATGCCTTGAGCCATCATGCTAGCGAACATGCCCTGCATCATATCAGGGTTCATGTCCGGCATACCAGGCATCGGGGGCATAGCTGGTGGCACATTTCCTGGTGCTCCGGGTCCTGGAGCGCCGGGCATCGGAGGCATTCCCATACCCAGCACGCTTTGCATTCTTTCCATTTCCGCTTTCTGTTCAACAAGGTCCTTTCGTGTGTTTTGCTGCTTCAAGCAGTAGCTGACCCATGTAAACTCGTCGAAGCCGTAGTTGAAGAAGTCTGAAATGTCGGTGCCGGGGCGTCGCCAGGGCTTGTCGTCTGCGGGGAAGTCATTGTCCATGTCACTGAGCATGATAGGCTTGCCTGTTGTCGGATGGACGGGGTTTGCATCAACATCAATGGTGGAGGTGTGAATTGCTGGGTATGCAGAGCCTGGCTTTTGCGGAGCGGCAGGTCTCGCGGCAAGCGTTGCGCCAGTGGCAGGTGTGGGTGCATCGAGGCGAGGAGTGGCGGAGGGTGTAGCAGATTTGGGGCCTATCGAAGAGTCTGCTGAAGAAGGTCGTTGGGTTTCTTGTCGCAAGGTCGCAGGGCGTGGATGGGAGCTTCAATTGTCAGCTAAGCAGCACCAATGCGCAGGATCAACCATGACTTACATCTCGGGAGGCGCCCCGGCCGGAGCTTCTGTGATAATGTTGAAGTCATCCTGGTCTTTGTCAGGCCATGCTATATCGAAAAGAGGAGTGGAAGTCTCACGTCATCCTCCTCGACCTCGTACTCTTCCTCCTCCATGTCATCGCTCTCCTGCGGTTGAGCTTGAGCTGTATTCTGGGCATTATTGTTCGTGTGGGACGCCGGCACCGAGTCGGCAGGGTCGTAGAAGTCGTCTTCCTCTTCGTCCATGATTCTGGTCTTTTAATTCCGTAAAAGTTGCTGTAGCACAGAGTAGCAGGATCGATGTCCGCAAGTGAGCGCGCCGGCCGTTTGGACTGTTTGCACTCCCGTAGTGAATGTCAACGCCCAGATCTCGAGAATTGTTTCGTGGAAGACTATCTTGAAATTTGTAAAGGCAAAAAGCAGTGATCATTTGATTCCAATATGTGCGTATTGCTCCTGTAATCTGCTTCCAGGAGCAAGTGGTTGGCCATCTGCACTCACACCATCCTAGCATATGCTCGATGTATATCCTCCGTCCTGCTACTCTGTCAGACCAGTAATCGGCAAGTTCAATGGCTTCCAAGATAGGTTCAAAGCAAATATACTCTCAGCCAAAGCAATCTAAAGACGAATGTAAATAAATATTCAAATGAGTGCAATTAGTCCCAAATGTGCCAAATCCATAGCTCTCTATTTTGCAAACATTCGCCTCATATCGCAAGAGTCACGTGACTGTATTGTAAAGACGTCAGTGATTTCGATGTTCAACCTCCCTCTTAAGACCATCTTCCTGAAACACTCGCGTCAGTGTCGGCGATGGAATCCGAGAAAGAGAGCGAAACCTCCACACCGCGGTCCTTTACGGGCCAAAGCGTCTCCGCGAGGAGATGCTCAAGTCGCAAACTGTCGGTCTCGTGCATCTGTCCGACTTTCGCAAACGTCGCGCCGAGGTTTTGGAACAAAAGGAGCGCGAGGCGCATGACAAGTCGCTAGGACGACTAGCATCTGGTATTTCAAGAAGCGCAACTCCCTCCACCGGCGAAGTGACTGACGGGTAAGTCAAGGGGCACATTCCTTCTCCGAGCTTTTGAGCTGATCGCAGCGCAACAGATCTTCGACGCCACGAAGTGACGGTCCGCCTAAGAAGAAGAAAAAGAAGCCTCTTATCAAAAGCAAGCTTTCTTTTGGTGACGATAATGAAAACGAGGATACCGGGGAAGAGTCCGTGGCAACTCCGCGTGACTCGAGCACATCGCGATCAGGTTCAAAGACTCCCACTGAAGAGGGTGCTACATCTGCGGCGCGTCGCATGAAGGCGAACCCGAATGCGCCACCTCCTCCAAAGGCAATGACGAAGGCTGCGATGGAAGCCGAGGCACAGGCTCGCGACACACTCCGCAAGGAGTTTTTATCGATGCAGGAAGCGGTGAAGAATACCGAGATTGTGATTCCCTTTGTATTCTTTGACGGGACAAGCATACCGGCTGGATCGGTCAAGGTCAAGAAGGGCGATCATGTGTGGTTGTTCCTGGACCGGTGCCGCAAGGTCGGCGCTGAGTTGGGAGTGGGAGGTGCCAATGGAGCCTCAAAAGCCCGAAAAGATACTCGGCGTGAATGGGCCCGAGTCAGTGTCGATGACCTGATGCTGGTCAAGGGTGATGTGATTGTTCCACATGTAAGTCTCTCAAGATATGGACCATTGTTCAAGCTAACATGTTACCAGCACTATGAGTTCTACTATTTCATTGCTAATAGAGTGCCGAGTTTCTCAAAGACCGGCGGTCTACTCTTTGATTACTCGGATAAACCCTCAGAAACCAGTGATGACCCCTTAAATCACCCCGACGATCAATTAGAAGGCGCAGACAAAGATTCCAGTGAGACCAAAGTAGTGGATCGTCGCTGGTATGAAAAGAACAAGCATATCTACCCCGCAAGTCTTTGGAATGAGTACGAGCCAGGAAAGGACTTTGAAGAGAAGATGACTTCAACCCGGCGTGATGCGGCTGGAAATACATTTTTCTTTTAGTGTTGATATTGCCGGGACGTCGAAATGATTATATCCAGCTGCAGATAAATCTAGAGCAATGCCATATTGATATTGGTGGTTGAGGCTAACCTGCCTCAGGTGATCACCAACGCCTCGCATCTTCTTCCACCTACCTTCCTAATACTCACAAGTCATGGACTTCCATCTGCGGTGCAACTCCCTGAAATGCCGGGTACTATTGAAGGAGAGAGCCGTGGTGACAACCTGCTCGTAAGTCATGTCTCTTGTATATTGACCTTAAGCAACACTGATGGGTCAGACACATCTTCTGTCTTGGATGTGCAGACAGTCTCGGACTTTCACTCCCCACAGCAGGTGGTCGACGGTGCCCGGCATGCCAGACACTCCTAAGCAACCCTGATGATGCCGTGTCGACGATTTTGAACCCCACGGAGGACTACAAGACCAGCGTGTTGAGCGGGCTTGATCCAAACACAATCATGGAGTGTGCCGGCCGAGCATTGGGATTTTGGGCATACCAAAGCACACAGGAGATGTATGTACCTGACTACTTTCTTGTGACGCACGAATTATGGCTGAGACAATTGTACTCATCTCTATCCAGATTCTACCAAGAATTCTTGGGGAAGAGTCTCACAGAGAAATACAGCAACCTGAACACGCAAATGGATAAAGTCGTCCACAACGCTAACTCGGAGATGTCAGTTCTTCACAGCAAGATAGCGGGTCAGTACACCGGCGTCCCGAATTCGATTTCTGGCTGACATTTGGAGACAGATATGCAAGCTGCGCAAGAACAACTAGAGAAGAAGAATGAGGAGTTGGCTGATCTGATCCGAGACAAGTCCAAAAAGTTATCGCAGATGACAAATCTTTATAATATCCTCAAAGCGCGTGCGATGCGGACTGAGATGCAGACCGCAGCTTCGAACACGGTCTCCCAGACATTGAATGACCTCTCATCGCGAAACAGCACCATGCTTCCACCCATCCCAACCCACGGCCAGCCTGCGCCAATAAACGCAAAAGCGCGCAGTCGTCAAGGGCGTGCCCTGCAAACTCATCCGTACCCCACGGGCTCAGATGGGGTTGAGCGGCTGCATCGATATCAGCGAAGTGGCACTGGTTGTTCCAGGCGAGCAGGAGAACAGAATGACTCTATTCCTATGGTTCCTCCAGAAAGACCTGTCTGTATTGGAAAGAGGCGTAAGTGGTATTGAACTGCAATACTCGAGCGTGATGCTTATCCTTTCTCCAGCTCAAGGACCAACCTCGAACCCCCAGCATCGTACTCGCCTTCCGCCCCCACCCCGACCGCCCTCTTCACATGGCTTTCATCTGCCTCTTGAAGATGAGATAATTGCCCGCTTTGGAATGTAGAATGAGTTTGCTGGCAATCCTCAGCGCTTCGATGTGCTGTGTCTACCAAATCCCTGTGTGTGCCTTTTGAGCGGATGAAATGCTTGCCAAAATGCGATTTCGAATGAGCTATAATATTAAACAGAAAGCTTCCTTTGACTGTAATACACTCAAAATTAAATCAGTACCTCTGAAGCTCCAGACTACTCAGTGTAGCCCTCCATGTACTTATCTACCCCGCCTCGGCTCTTCTCCTAGTTTGGCAATTGTTTCCGCGTAAAGCTTACCATATCGTGGATTTTGTGCTTTTCAGAGCTTCATACGCCCCGCATCACTATTATAGAGTGACTCCCTCGGCTGTCCCGGTATTGGCTTGCATTGGCGAGGCCGACTGTGATCGTCATGCCCGAGGCTCCTAACCGCGAAAGGCTGCGCTCTAGACAGGCCTGCCTTAACTGCCGGTATGTCTCATCAATACCTGAGATACATAACATTGAGGTCATTGCCTCACATCATACAGAAGGAAAAAGAGTCGATGTCCCGGTGAAAAGCCAGCTTGTTCAAGCTGCGTCAGGCTTAAACAACCGTGTAATTATGCCGCTGGGGACTCACGTCCGTCTGTACGACAGTGATGTTGTGATATAGTGGCAGATTCCGTTGGTAACTTGATGATAGGACCGACTCGCATTTCTTGAAGAGAAAGTCGATCTGATCCTCAATGGTGGCAAAGGCAGAATTCCTGATCAACCAAATTCAGATGCGCCAAAAACATCCACAAACTCATTCGAGGCCTCTCCGAAACCCAACCCAAACAATGGGACTCATCAAGAGCCACGGATCTCTGACCGAATACCCAACAATCGATGCGCCATGGGAAAGGGTCAAACCCAAACCACAATAAAGCACCGCCGCCAAATGGGATTTCCAGGCCCCGAAATCCAGATCACTCCATCTACTATCTCTGCTGGAATTGAAATCTATTTCGACCTCTTTCACCGACAGCCAATCTGGTGTTTTAACCACGAGGAGTTTGAGCAAAATGAGGAGATCTCCACCGAACTTGCTTACAGTATCCTGGAACTGACAGCCCGGTTCATGCAAGACAGCGAGAAACAGCAGTATGGAGAACATGCCAAGTGGTCGATTATGCTCCGGGTAGCCAATGGCAGTGTTGAGCTTGAGACTATCGAGAGTCTTTGTCTCCTTTCCTATTCGGCTTTTATCGGTATGGGCTTTCTCTCTCGGTGCGTTGCAGGAGACTTGTCACTGACACCTCGAAGACGGAAATTTGCATCTTGGTCAATTCTATCTCGGTCTTGGCTTTCAGCTATGTCGATCTGCTCGCATAGACCGCGGATTCGCATCTCGGGATACCTCAGCCGACTCGGAGCGCAAGAAAAGACTAATCTGGAGCTTCCAGTCCTTGGATCAGTTTTTTAGTGAGCAAGAGGGCATCCTTGGTACGGCTCCTGAGGTTTGGCGCCAGTACTACATCTCGGACGGTAGTAATGCAGGCTTTCCTCGAGATCACGAGGCACCCGCCAATCCATCTGACATAGGCATTTGGAGTTTCGCAGTGCACTTCGGATGGGTGTGGAGCAGAGTCAGACAGTACGTTTTTGATTGTGCTCAAAACAAGCTCACAGAGCCGTGGCGACTCGACTCAATCTACGCCCAATGTGGACAGGATATGACAGAGATTGAGAATAAAGTGAGTTTGAATATGCCGATTTTTGGTACTGTCAGCTGAATTTGCTTATAGGTTCCGTGGTGCCATCGATACGATGTGGTCAAGTTCTTTGAGCGCAAGGCCGACGAGATTCAACTTAACAGAGATTACTGGATACCATGGATCAAGCTACAGTTTACATGGCATGCCATTCTAACTACGTTGAACCATCCATTCTTGTACATCGTGGCATCACAACACCATCCAAATCTTGCGATGCCGAATAATTTCTGGAGGAAATCATCTGAATTAGTCCTGCTACATGGCACATGGATTGTTCGCATGATTGACATGGTAACCGAGAAGGAAGTTCAATTAATTGATCCATTTTATGGACACGCAGCTGCGATCGCAGCTACAGTTCACCTTTACTTCTGCTGTGCGACTGATCTACGGCTCAAACAAAAGTCGAAGATGGATTTTGAGAAATGCAAAAGATTCCTGAAGAACTTTGCCTCGTTCTCCCCTGCCTGCGCAAACCTGGTATGTTCCCAGCAGAGCAAGGGTCAGAGACAAAGCTAATGATGCAAGGTTCGAATGCTGGAGAAATTGGCACGAATAGCATCGGGATCAGAAAGTATGGACTTCGAATGGGCACCATGTAGACTGCGTCTCAGCATTCCCTTAATGTGGGATATCTTGCAATTCAATGTCTCCACATCGAATTTATCTTCCGGACAAGTCTCTTTGTTACATTCGTCTCTTGCAACCACCGATCCCACGAAAGTGGACGAATATTCAACTCTTGAAATAAGTGTTGCGTTGTCCCCACCAGAGGTCACGATAGACCCTTCTGCAGGCCAAAATACATACCTCCCCCCTTTTCAGACCACCATCTCATCGAACCCAGCTTCCCCCAAGGGTACAATGACTAGGGATATTGTGGTGCCTTCAACGGATAGTCTGATGTTCAATGTTCCCTGGCTATGGACAGGAGACACCCAGTTCTCCGACATGGAATCCACAAGCAATTTCGATCCCGAGACAGCCATTGGCAATATCGAAGGATTTTCTACATGGTGGGATTTTGGAAACCTGTAGGCTCAAACATCATAAAAGTGGAGAACATGCAAACATGCCAGATGTCCAGCGATCACGGCTCGATGACCTATGTGGACGGAGTCAACAAGTAATCGCATACTCATACGACAATCAGTACATTGTATCTAGTGCATGTTTTCCCCTTGAGAGTTACTCTTTTCCTGCTCATGTGTTTATAGCTCACCATATAATATTCCGACTTTCAACATCTGCTCCTTTGCCTAGTCCGCCTTACTCAAGACCGCACCCAAATCACACTACTCTCTCCAGGCAAGAGACTTCTTCAGACGCATCGCCTGCTTAGCGAGATATCGGCACGGAACGTACCGGAAGACAGAATCGAAGATCACTCAAGATGAGCCCCCAGAGAACATTGCGGAAAGGCGAAGATCTTACCAGATCGGGCTTAATTCGGCGATCTGCTTGCCGACCGCAGTGCATATCGGGTGAAAAAAGGGATTACCAGTCTACTTCCCGATTTTAAAACTTTCCGTTCAGGGGTACCCAATACAAGCTCAGCTAGCATGTTTCTCAGCTCTGGTATGTAGATCTCTCATCGCCTGATCGGTTTACGATCAACGCACTTAGTCCTTAGCAGTGGATAATATGATGACGCACGGAAAAATTTCGAGGGACTGTGGTGATAAGGCTGATCGGCAGTTGTGATTGAGACTAACAGCGACTATACTTCAAAGTCTATACTGAAGACGGATCAAATGTTTGCTTCGGACCAGATAAATACATCTGGAACGTCCTCAACCAGCTCATTTTGACAGCTTCTGGTTAGTTGTAAGCACCGGTGCTGAATCAAACTGGCCTAGAATGAATGGTAGATGTTAACGTGCCCACTCACATAATTAATGTGTGCACTGCAATTGAAGCTATCGTAATCTGACTTTACTAGGTCAATAAGTCATTCTCCACCTAGAGGTAGATCGATATCCCTATAAGGCTCCGCCTCTTCCAGAGTCAATATTCTATAACTCGACCTCCTACCACTTCAACTCTTCTGAACCCGTCTTTCGATACCCAACCGTCTAAAATGAAGGCCTCCATTCTACTCATTGCCGCTTCTGCCGGCGCAGCTCTCGCTCAACCCGCTGCTCTCACTGAGCGCGGCAGTGTATGCCCTACTACGCTCTATAGCATCCCTTCCTGTTGCACTACCAGCGTTCTGGACGTTGCAACCCTTGACTGCCACACTCGTAAGACCGGACCATGCTTCTTCGATATCCGGCGATACCGAATTTTGTTCAAGAATGTAACCCTTGCTGACCATTTCGAAAACAACAGCTTCGAGTGCAATCGGCGTTGCAGACTTCAAGAGCAGTTGCGCTGGCGCAATGGCTAAATGCTGTACCGTGCCTGCCGCCACGCTTGACGTCCTTTGCACGGATGTGGTGGAGTAACTTGACAGGTCACGCATTGAAACATATTATCCAAAGGTCGGCAACGAACAGGGAGTAGAGAGCGACACGCGGAAGATGATGTGCAGGGTCTCATTGTGTGGTGGTTCAATACATCTTGAATGGGAGTGGACTTCCAAAGTTGACTTGATGCGGTCGGCACGATCTTGATGAGCGGGAATTTCTGGACCGTACGTTAGCTGCAGTCAGCGACAGTCATCAGCGACAGGTGGATGATTTGTTTCGCATGATGACATGTGAGAATCTACAAAACTAAAGGGGAAGTATGAAACAATGGGGGTGAATCACAGCGCCTCAGCTGTCACAGTCAGCCATAAGGAAAAACTCCACAGTCTGGGTGGATGACTTTTTAGATTATTGCTACGAACTCTGGAACCAAAGCTCAGATCCGCTGAACAAGTTTTCTTTTTTTTTTATCTCCGGCTAGATGTAAGCAATCGAGCTACGTCAGCTATGCTAAGTGTCGCAGACCTTGACTGCACCACTCGTAAGAATTGGACCCCCTTCTTCGATCCTCGGCAATCTCGATAATCAAATTTGAAAATATTATCTGAAAAGACAACAACCGGTGCCGGGGTCAAGAGAAGTTGCGGTGCTGAGGGCAAAATAGCCAAATGCTGTGGCGTGCTTTGCGTCGATGTTATCGCCTAGAGGCCCGCAACGCATAAGAAGTTGGGCCGGATCTTTGCAAGATGAAATGTAACGTCTCCCTGTGTATTTCCTAGCAAATGTGACAGGGTTGGATTTCTAGCACGGAGCTTTGTCCGATCGGTACAAGTCCGGATGGAGCAGGTCCCTGTGGACACTTCGAATGGTACGTTAGCTGCATTCAGCTTCGTCAGCCATTATCATCGGTAGTTGGTGACTGATTCGGTTTCAAATCATTTAACATTAGCTAAAATCAATATATTGAACAGTATGATGTTCCAATAGCGGCAAGAATGCTAATCATTTCAGTGTATGATCAAAAAGTGTAGGGCATTACTGCACCGATTGCAGCGGCCAATTTATTATTTGTTCTCACAATCAATCTGGACTCGAACCGAAGTAAAACGCTATGAAACAACCAAGATATGTAAAGAAAGTAAATGCGATAGGGATCAAAAGACAGCAGTCTCCGTTATTCGAGTAGTCATCCCCGTAGACGACTTCACATCCTCATACCCTAGCGACGCATGGTCATCCGTCTTAGTACCCTTCTTAACCATACGCTCCATCCGAGCCTTCGTCTCGTCAACCCGAGCAGGCCAGATTCGACAACCGACCTCTTGCTCACGCTCAAAGTGCTCCATCAACTTCTCGCGCACCACAGATTGGAAATAAAGAGGCCCCTTCTCCATATGTGGATGCAGGAGACCATTCACAAAGACACCAGTCTTCAGACTTCTTTGCGTTCCTTCGCAGAGGAATTTATCTTCCGACATGATTCGCTTGTACATCTCATTGATATGCTGGAAGTCTTTTTCATCGGAGTCCTTATTGCGGTAGACCTCGTACCGCATATCACAGTGAGTGGGTGATGTCGGGACGAAGCGCTGCATAAAGAAGAAGTGGGGGGGTAACAGTCATCGACGCATTAGGGAAGTAGTAAGTGCTGGCGATCTCAAGCCCGGCATCGATGGTTTCCTGTTTCGCGTTGGCGAAATGGATAATGCTGCCGTCCTTGGTGTCCACGTCGTACGTGCTGAGATCTGCGATCGCAGGTACGTCCGGATGCGCTGTCAAGCAGTGGTAGCACTCATTGTAGTTATCGGCTAGCAGTTTCCAGTTGTATTCCCCGTCCATTTCCCAGCTGTGGTCGTAGACATAGTTATCAAAATTGAAGTGTGAGAAGCGGGGCTGGAGGTCGATGTCTTTGAAATCGCGGTCCCAGGTGATTTCGGGTTGCTCGCCAGCGTCGAGGTTGATCCAGATAAAGTTATTCAGATCGGTGTGGACGTGAATGGTGTCGATGTCGCCATTGGCGTTGGTAAGGAGCGTCTCAGCGAGGTCGTCGTTGAAACGATCGGTCCATATGTCGTGGAACGCCTTGATCTTATTGTCATAGCCGCGCGCAAGAATGAACGAGTATCCGGCGATACCGTAACGAGACCAGTCACCAGGGCTGGGAATACGCAATGAATGTGTTGTGAGGAGCCATTTCTTCGAGAAAAGGGCTCGTCGCTCAAGTTGGTAGAGGTCTTCCGAAAGGTACCAGGAAGCCGGAAGCGCCCTGACAGGCCTCTTGGAAGGAGAGACAGGGCAGCTGTCTTCATCCTTGGCCTTGGAGAGTCCCAGGAAGTTCTTGAAAATCGATCCCATGTTTTTTTTGGAAACCCGAAGTGAATCTCACTAGAAAGGACACATGGTTTTCCAATCAAAGCTGTGGGATCGGACCGGTTGATATACTTCAGGCCTGGTCAGTTTTACCTCTTTGGGAAATGCTATTCAGTTATTACGGGCCGTATCAAACGCCGATCACAGGACCGGAGAGTAGCATCTTCTTTTCTTGCCACTAGCTTTATCGACCCAGAACCATTGGCGAATACCCCGGATTCCATTGCAATATAAGCCGAGACACGGTCAACGGCATTTGCTCCGGGTCTGGACGTCAATCCTTGCACTGATCCTGGTCGAAACGCATGAATGGTAGTCATAGTACCACCAGACTCTGGGTTTTAGTCCTTACCCATACGGCCTTCAAATGGCCCACAGAAACAGGACTAAGAAGCTAAAGTCTAGGATGGAGACCCGCTTGTAGGCTATATACATTACCCGTTGGTAGTATTCACATACTGCTAGAACGTTGTATCTATCCAAATAACTTACTCATCTTTCACTGACATCTTCCAGGCCCATGGGAATCGCCTTAATTGTTTGGTGTCTTATCGAGGTGAACCGGTTATCTCATTCCCTGCTCAAATGAGTTGACTCGAGCTTGATGCTCTTTCCGGCTATGTCTTCACAATGCGTATAAGATTCCAAAATTACCTGAACTTGGCCCTGTGTCATGATCATCGTGCAGAGGGACCTACAGATAGAGCCCTGGCTTCTGCCTCGGAATGCCGGTCACATGAGCGGTAATATAGGGCCGTGATTTATCTCCTTGAAAACCAATGAGAGTTGTGAGAAGCTTATCACTACGTGCAAAGTCGCTCTCTAGAGCATCGCTGTACTTAAAGCTTGGGAGTAACCCCCAGTAGGCTTATGATGCATATAATGTGGGACTGCCGCCGACATGACAGACGTACCAGGGTTTTCCCCACCGGGCCTCGGACTGATATATCATCAATGTGAACATAGACTCAGGGAAAGTTCATCAAATCGACTCATTCAATAATCAATGATTAGATCTCTGAGAAGGGAAGAACCCTACAGGTTCCTGGTCGACATCTATGAAGTTCAGGAGCTGACACAGTCTATCATCTAATAAAGTCAAATCCACCGGTATCAAACTGGAAAACTACAAAATTCCAAAACATATCCAAATTCAAGGGAAGTCCATAGGCTCCAACCTCATAAAACAGTACCAGCTGAGATCTACCCTCGATCTCTAAAGCATTCAATGCTCAATGATAAGACCAGCTCCATAATCAACCGCAAGAGGAAATGAGCTCAGAGTACCCGTTCGTCCGGCCCTAACCTCGGAGCAGCGGAAGCGGCTACGGTAACGCGCCACTGCACCCGCCAATATCTAATCCCGGCACGGTCCATACCTTAGTCGTTCCTGAAGATCTGGTTTAGATCTTATCTCACGGGAGCTAAGAGCTCCCCTGTCAATCTGGGGTGCAGAGATCCATCGGAGCTTGTGTGGAGTCTTTTTTTTTTTTGTAACGCGCTGTATTTTTGGTCATGTGATTTCGTACCGATCCCCCTCCACACGGGGACAGACGCTGGGGGTGAATCCGAACATGCGACAGTCCTAATGCGTGACTGACTTACATCGCAGGATAATACGCCACGTTCATTTACTGGGTACTATCGCTGCACTCAGCTAGAATTACTGGAATAAATCGTGTATCATCACTGATATTATCCGATGGGATCTCACATCTCTTATCCCCCGGTAGGTGAACATAAAGGAAATCTAATCATTGTACTAGACGTCGGCACCAAGCATCCGGTCTTTTCAGCCGGACAGGAAGAAACGCCATATCCACGACCATTTAAAGAACGGACCCGAGCATCGAGACTCGGGCCCAAATCATATCATGCCATGCATTATACCACAAACCCATGCAACGGACGGGGACGCTGCAGAAACAAAAAGCCAAAACCAAATCATTTCATTTATGCGCCAAATTCCTTGACATCGGTCTTCTTGCCCTGCAGGGCCAGAGGCACAATGCCGCTGACGTGCATCTCGGGGCCGTAGACGTGCATGTCCAGACCAAGCTCGACACCGGCGGACTTGATGTTCTTCAGACCCTCCTGGTAGTTGGGGCCGGCGCGGCGGACCCAGATCTGGACCTTGTGCTCAAGGAGGACAGGGGCGACATCGCGAATGGCGCGGATGACACCCTTGAAAGTGCTGGCAACGTTGGTGAAGTTGGCAATACCACCACCAATGAAGAGGATCTTGCCCTCGGGGTGGATGGGGGCGCGCAGCATCAGGTCAAGGACGGTGCGGGCGTAGTTGTAGGTTTGAGTCTCGGTGGGAGCACCGGAGTACTCACCGTAGTTGGCGAGCTCGCTGACGAAGCCAGCGGAGGCAATGGCGTCGGCGTAGACGACAGAGGCACCACCACCAGCAACGAGGGTCCAGACACGACCGTTGGCGTTGAGGACGGTCAGCTTGAGGGAAGCACCGGTCTTGGCGTCCATGTCGGAGATGAACTTCTCCTCCTTGCTCAGCTCACGGCCGAAGGGGGCGGGGAACTCCATGGGCGGGCCAGCGTCAATGTTGACCTTGCCGTCGGCGGAGGGCAGAGTGGGCAGGCCCAGAGCGGCGGGGCTACGGGCAATGGCCCACTTGGTACCGCACTCGAACTCAGCGGTCTGATCGATCTTGGCCGCGAGGTCAAGGAAGTGAACCTCGGCGGAGGTGGCATCGGCGTTGGGGATGACAACGAGAGGGTTGATCTCGAGATAGGTGAACTGGCAGTCAACGTAGACGGCGTACAGGCGGGAGATGAAGTCCACCAGGACGTTGTGAACACCCTTGGGCACCTTGGCCAGCAGGGTGGAGGCGATCTCCTCGTTGGAGGGGTAGTTCTTCAGGTTGACGGGGATGAGAAGCTTCTCAGCCTTGGCGTCAACATCACCGACATCAACACCACCCTCGTGAGTGAAGAGGATCCAGTCACCCTGTAATTGGTCGGTTAGAGACTCGCACTTGGAATTGAAAGGTCAAGCTTGACTTACCTCACGGACGGAGTGGATGTTAATGTAGTACTCAGTCTCCTGGGGGTGAGGCACGAAGGGCTCGACGAGGAATTGACGCAAGACACCAGTGACAGTCTCGACTTGGACGTCCTTGGCGGCACGAGCCTCAATCCACTCACGAGCCTCAGCCCAGGTCTTGTTCAGAGCGAGAAGACCGCTCTTACCGCGGCGCTTGATCAATTGATCGGGCTTCGCAACGAACTTGGAGCCGGGGACCAAGAGCCACGGGTAGGTGACCTCGGCCTGGTCAAGGACATCCTTAACGGCCTTGTCCTCGGGGAAGTGAAGAGAGGCGAGACGAGCGGGAGGGTTGTGTGTAGAGGAGGCAGGCAGGGGAGTGGGCTTGATGACGGGAGCCCGAGTAAGGTGGTAGTTGAGAATGGCCTTGCCGTCGGCCTCGAGAATAGACTTGGCTGACATGATGTGTAGATGTTGTGAAGGGAGGGAAGATGGGAAAGAGAAGAAAGGATGGAAGGAGGAGATAGAGGAATATGGGCAAAGCAGAATGGAGTGTACGGCGTACGGGAAAAAAGTTGTGCTGGAGATTACAGCGTACAATTGAGGGGTGCTCCACCGGTTGAGACGATGGAAAAAGTAACTGTGAAGGTGGGGTGGTCTCGTTGGGACCGTAACTGTCGTAAACTTAGGTAACAGGTACATCTTCTCCGCCCCTTGCTGAACCCAGGACTCAGATCCACGCGGTAGTCACCTGTACACGGGCCCGATACCGCTTACTTTTTTTTGTTGGGTCCGCCCCGGAATCCGATCTACACAGTAGCTCGGGAAACCTTGATTTTATTTCCTGCGGTGAATGACCGGGGACCGAAGAACCAATCGAATAAGTAAAAACCCATCGACAAGAAGATGACCTGTAGGATTACCGTAGAGTAGAGCTAGGAAGGCCAATTGAGTCCAATTGATGCATTCAGCATCCAGCTAGGGAGCTAAATACCACTCGGTGGTGGAATCGATGACAGCTATAAGCTGGCAGTGTAACGTACCTGTAACACCAGGGGATCCACGGGGTGGGGCGCCTGGTATCGGCGGTACCCGGTACTTCACAGACTTTGGGGAGCAACGAGCTCAACACTCGCTAGTGCGCAAAAAACGGGAGGAGCTGTACACCGTACCTGCGAGTACTCGCCCCGCGGCCCTTTTCTCTGGATTCCCTTAGATCTCTCCCTCCTCCTTCTTCTTCCCATCTACTTCATTGAGCGGCTTTTCACATTTGGTATGTTCCCTTGCCATAAGGTGCCTTGCCTAGTCACCCCTTCTGTCTCTTCCCAATTCTAACTGGAATAGATTCATCATGCCCTCTACTACTTCTCCCGGCAACGGCGTTCAGTCGGCCAACGACAACATCACCCGTTTCAACCCTCCCTCCCGTGCCCTTTCTCCCTCTAGCCACGCCCTCTTCCACAACAAGACACGATGCTTCGTATAGTAAGTCCGCGGAAAATCCAATGCACCCCGCCATGCACGCATCCATATTGACCAATTCCGCAGCGGTATGCAACCCCGAGCCGTGCAGGGCATGCTCGACTTTGACTTCATTTGCAAGCGTACCACTCCCTCCGTGGCCGGTATCATCTACACCTTCGGTGGCCAGTTCGTCAGCAAGATGTACTGGGGCACCAGCGAGACCCTCCTTCCCGTCTACCAGGATGTTGAGAAGGCCATGGCCAAGCACCCCGATGTTGACACTGTCGTCAACTTCGCCTCCTCCCGCTCTGTCTACAGCTCCACCATGGAGCTCATGAACTGCCCCCAGATCCGCTCCATTGCCATCATTGCGGAGGGTGTCCCCGAGCGCCGTGCCCGTGAGATCATGGTCACCGCCAAGGAGAAGGGTATCACCATCATCGGCCCCGCCACTGTCGGTGGTATCAAGCCCGGTGCGTTCAAGATCGGTAACACTGGTGGTATGATGGACAACATCGTCGCCTCCAAGCTTTACCGCAAGGGTTCCGTCGGCTACGTCTCCAAGTCCGGCGGTATGTCCAACGAGTTGAACAACATTATCTCCCAGAACACCGACGGTGTCTACGAGGGTGTTGCCATTGGTGGTGACCGTTACCCCGGTACTACCTTCATCGACCACCTGCTCCGTTACCAGGCTGAGCCCGAGTGCAAGATCCTCGTCCTCCTCGGTGAGGTCGGTGGTGTTGAGGAGTACCGTGTGATTGAGGCCATCAAGGAGGGCACCATCACCAAGCCCGTTGTTGCTTGGGCTATCGGTACCTGCGCCAGCATGTTCAAGACCGAGGTTCAGTTCGGTCACGCTGGTGCCTCTGCCAACTCCCAGATGGAGACTGCTGTCTACAAGAATAAGGCCATGCGCGAGGCTGGTATCCACGTCCCCGAGACCTTCGAGGACCTCCCCCAGCTTCTCAAGAAGGTCTACGACGCCGAGGTTGCCAAGGGCTCCATCAAGCCCGCCCCTGAGCCCATTGTCCCCAAGATCCCCATTGACTACGCTTGGGCCCAGGAGCTCGGTCTCATCCGTAAGCCCGCTGCCTTCATTTCCACCATTTCCGACGACCGTGGCCAGGAGCTGCTCTACGCCGGTATGCCCATCTCCGATGTCTTCAAAGAGGACATTGGCATTGGCGGTGTCATGTCTCTGTTGTGGTTCCGCCGCCGCCTGCCCCGCTACGCTAGCAAGTTCCTTGAGATGGTTCTCATGCTCACTGCTGACCACGGTCCCGCCGTGTCCGGTGCCATGAACACCATTATCACCACCCGTGCCGGCAAGGACCTCATCTCCTCCCTGGTCGCCGGTCTTTTGACCATTGGTTCGCGTTTCGGTGGTGCCCTGGACGGTGCCGCTGAGGAGTTTACCAAGGCCTTTGACAAGGGTCTCAGCCCTCGTGACTTCGTCGACATTATGCGCAAGGAGAACAAGCTCATCCCCGGTATTGGCCACAAGGTCAAGTCCCGCAACAACCCTGATCTCCGTGTCGAGCTCGTCAAGGAGTTCGTCAAGAAGAACTTCCCCAGCACCAAGCTGCTCGACTACGCCATTGCCGTCGAGACTGTCACCACTTCCAAGAAGGACAACCTCATCCTCAACGTCGACGGCTGTGTTGCTGTCTGTTTCGTTGACCTGCTCCGTAACTGCGGTGCCTTCTCCGCTGAGGAGGTCGAGGACTACATGCGCATGGGTGTCCTCAACGGTCTCTTCGTTCTGGGCCGCTCCATTGGTCTGATTGCCCACTACCTGGACCAGAAGCGCCTGCGCACCGGTCTGTACCGTCACCCCTGGGACGACATCACCTACCTTCTGCCCACCCTCCAGAAGGGCGGTGCCGAGGGCCGTGTCGAGGTCAACCTGTGATTTTCTTTCTTGGACAGCTGGTAGCATACAGTCCGCCCTCCGTGCGGGAGGGTGGTGGAGTTTGGAAGGTTGACCCCTTGGTTTCTGTTTGGCAGTTTTGTGTATCTCATGTACTGCGCCCCTTGTGGGCATGACCGGGTTTTGCCATGAACAAAAACGGTGCAACGCCCGACTACGGATCTGTTTAATTTGTTTAGATGACTAGAATTGGGACTAATGAACGTGCCCATTGCATGATATCAACATTTCTTTCGTGCGTAGTGAGTGTCCCCTCGTCTTGGTATTATCTAGCGAAGTAAAGAAGTAGAGAAGTAGAGCAAAGTGATGCATGCGTTGGGAGCGGGGAGCGAGTCTAGTCCCCCGATAGGCTCTTATCGCGTATCTCTAATCGCAAACTTCAACCTCTTTCTCACCTTTACAGTGGATTTACCTCCTCCAATTCCACCTCTGCAGCAGCACACACAATGGTCCGCCTTAAAAGCCGCTACCTTTTAGTCGAAATTCTCTACCCCGACCCATCAACATGGCCGACCACCAAATCTAAACGTTCAAACCCTCAACCCGCTCACCTATCAATCCACTCCCCAACTTCCGACGCGCTCACACCAGGACTTCTCGCAAAAATGATCCGTGAAGAAGTCGCCGAGATGTACGGAGACTGGGGGATTGGCAAATTAGGCGGTGCCTCTGCCACCGGCGTAAACAGTGTGTTTCCCCACCCTCAACTTCAATGTTGAAGTTCAAGCAAAAGCAAAGAACTCACGAAAACAGTCAAATACCTCTCTCCTGCAACATCAACAGCCATAATCCGCGTCCCGCGAGCTGCATTCCGTCTCGTGTGGTCCGCACTTACGTACATGACCCATGTCCCTGCTACGGGCGGTGATGCTGGGGTGAGACGGCCAAACGGGGGTCGTGAGCGGGCTTGTGTGTTCAGAGTATTGAGAGTTTCTGGGACAATGCGGAAGGCGGAGGAGGAGGCTATTTCGAGGGCGAGGAGGGAGATAGTCAGGGTAAGAGGTATTGAGGAGGAAGGGGTTCTTGGAGATTTGTTGGGCGGGCAGATGAAGGGGAGTATTATTCCTGGTCCTGTTCCCGTGATGGATGAGAGTGAGGACGAAGGATTGATGTTTGATGATGAGTGAAAGTTTGGATTTTGAGACTGGATGTGGACTGTACTATTAGGATCTGTGATTTAATATACCCGATTAGTTTTGCCGTTCCTGGGTTAGCGCCCCAACACGCTGTTTCCTAACCTCCTCCTTGGTATCGATCTGCTATAGAGCGAGTTTGCAAACCTACTGCACGAGACTCGCGGCAGAAGAGATGAGTGATATAGGAGTCCATTCAAATTTGAGGTCAAGGTGAATCAACATAGTAATGGGAGACCTATAGCATGTGTGTGGATATGTCCAGCTCCCCAACGCGAAGTGAAAGACAGAAAATTAACTCCATATCATAAGACACAGCTCAGGAGCCAAGCCAGGGAAGAAGAGCCCGGGTGATATGCATGAGATAATGATATATGGAAGCAAGCACCAAATTTATTGGGTAGTTTCCGTCCCTCGCTGTCTGCTAGGCACCGCCGAGCCTTGTGAATAGTGTATATTGGCTCAATATAGATGTCTACTTATCTTGTTAGGCTTTACGATACTTGCCTGCGTAACTACAACTTGCGGACTCAAATCATGACGGTACTTACCTTGGAACTAAGCTATCATCATATGTTGCTTACGTGCTTGATAGCTTCATATCGCCCTTGTAAGACTAAGGCAAATGGCCATGTCATTTTGCCTTCTTCAAATTCAACAAAATCAATGAATATATTGCTGCCGCACGATCACTCCCCGCAATAACACAAGAAGGATAGAAAACTAAGACGGTGTAGGATAAGCATAACCCTAAGTGCTATACAATACGAAGAGCTATTCGGAGATGAGACACGGGAGTTTTACAACCGACAGAACTTGTTTGCCAAATTGAAGGCGCGGCCACTCACAAAAAAGTGCATGAATACAGAGACACTTAAGCAAACATACAGATTTATTCGTCCAGTTATGTAAAATGAACGCTCTCAATAGCATTAGGAACAACAACATCATCATCATTAAAAGGGTCTGTCATAGTTTTGCGAGGCCCTCAGATTGAACATCTCGTTGTACATAACCAACCCATGCTGTTAGATTCTGAAACACATTTGACCCATTCCGCACTCCTCAGCACCACCGCAAACCACCCAATATCCGCACATGTGACATCTAGTACAAGGGGACGATAAGAGATCTAGCTCAGTAGTTTGTTTAGTTTTTGGGAGTTTCCATTGAAAAAAACGCTTAGAGATAAGGTTGAATCCGCACCATGGACAATTCATCTTGGCAAATAAGATAGTTTCCTGCGGCTTTATGGTTTGGATATGATTGCTAGGTTGTGATGTTGGGGAAATAGGAGGATTCGAGTGCCAATGATGCCAACTTAAAGAAGATAGATGCGGAGTAAGATCCATATAAGCCTCAAATTGGAGTATGATCCGATGATAGAAGCTACGTAGACTTTTATGACACCATGCACCTCTTGCAGGTCTATCACACGCCATTCTTATTCCTCTGCATACACTCACAAATAACTTCTGTGCAGACCCCAAGCGGCGCTTAGAGCCTCAATCATGACCTCGCCCTCCTGGCCGCTTCCTTCGACTTCTAGATGGCCTGCCCTTTAACGGTCTTTGGCGACCGGACGAGTCTGGCATAAGAGGGCCTGTCTGATATTAATACCTGGAATATCATGCTACTATGTAAAATCGATTGCTGTTCGTAAGGTAAACAAAGCCATAGGCCCCAAAAAGGGAGCGGGAACGCTTGTTTGATGGCGGTCAGTCTTGAAATATGAACAAGGGGCTTTCCGCTTTGAAACATCTTTTTCTTCTCACTTTCCCCTCAATCGTCAGTTGAAACTTGTCTCTTGCCATGAAATGACCTCCTACAAATTATTCACAATGGGTGAACCGCTTGAGACAAGTTGTGTCGCATGCGGGTGGACACTTGACAAAGAAAAGCGGTGCCATTATACAAGCCACCTCAAACTCTTCTACGGTGCATCTATTCGGGGTGTGAGGTCCATCGGATCAGATGTGATTCTAAAAGACCGGCCCTACGAGGGTCCAAAAGCAAAAGTTGTAGTCAAAACATTGAAGGATTTAGCGACCCATTCCGACATTCCCATCCCAAAGGTTTTACGTGACTGGGTCGATCAAGATGAGCGGTACTTCGTTATGAACGAACGTATCGGCGGCGAGACGCTCGAGGAGGCATTGACTTCTTTGTCAGACCCCAAAAAAATAGATATCGCGGACTAACTCGTAAAGGTGAGAAAGCAGCTTTGAACTGTTAAGTCAACCTCTATTTAGTGTGTCGATCAAAGTCCATGCTATCCAGGCTTATTAATTTTCGATACTGAGCCCCGTGGACCGTTTCACTCTGACCATGAGCTCTGGGATGCTCTGGCTCTTAAAGTTCGCCACCTCCCTGAACAAGTTTAGGAGAACTTAAAAAAGCGCCTACCGAAATGCGAACCCTATGTGCTTACCTATTGCGATCTCAATTTAGGAAACATAATGGTCTAAGACGGACGGTTGTCGGTATCCTTGACCGGGAATACGCTGCCTTCTCCCCTTTCTGGTATAAGCATGGTTCGGCCTCTTTTGGATTCACACACATAGACGTGGAATGAAAAAGGTTGCTCCAGGAGCGCTTAGACGCATATGATGAGGCGCACAAAGATGCTAAGGCTTTCTGGACGGATTTGTGTAATCTAAGACAGTACCCAAATCTAGACGAGAAAGGTCAGGAAACCTAGAGAGATTGTCCTCAACAATCTTGAACTAGTGAAATCACGCGCTGACAACAAATTTCTGTCTTTTTGGCTAGGTCCAGTAGTTTTGGCCTGGATAACTGCCAAGTCCGATTGCATCGATTACTCTAGGAAATACTGTCAGGGACTTTCCTCGTAGCGTGTATATGCAATCAGTATTCAGAATATTTCCCTCTGCATGTAGTTTGAATTGAATGGTAAGGTAAATGATTGCTTTGGCGGTAACGGTTTAGGCTTTGGATCAAAGAGCGAAGGTTGTATATCTGCGGTGGTGACCCGTGTAGAACCGCAGCGTGATAAAACACCACCAAACAGCAAGGATGGGAACTATGAGCCCTTCTGGGATAGCACCACGGAATTAGCTCTGCAGAGTAACTTATGGTGGCTCCACTTTGTCTTCTTACATGTACAGTGGCGTATCATTAGTATTTGCACCCCAGTACATTGCATCCTGACCGCCCTTAATACACCGCCTACCCATTATATCCACCCACAACCCCTATTATTGTCTGCCTATAATCCTCTTCCTATGATCCTCTAAACCATGCCTCGCGGTCCTGAGCTTGAACCATATATACGCGAGCGTATATGTGAGTTAAAACGATCAGCAAAATGGGGTGCAAAACGTATCCAGAAGAATGCGTTCCCTGATATTCCTCTTTCTACTATCCACTATACCCTCCGGCAAGATCTAAAGCGTTCAAAAGGTGTTTCCCTACCTCGCTCTGGCGTACCTCGTAAGCTTACTGCGGAGGACCGAGACCGTGTGTATAATGCTATTTAAAACCGCCCTGATATTACCCGCGAGGATCTGCTTGCTAAGGTTAATTATAAGGTTAAAGCGATGTCAATCTGGCGTTTAACGCATAATATAGGCCTCCGGAAGTGGCGAAAGATAAACCGATCTTACCTTATACCTATTTACGCTGCGAAACGTCTTACCTAGGCTTTAGCCTATCGCTATTTTATACTAAAGGACTGGAAAAGGGTTTTTTGGTCGGATAAAACGACTATTAAACGCGGACAAGGTGCTCGGAAGGAGTAGATATTTATTCCTCCTAAAAATTAGCTTCAAGAGCGCGAGTCTAGTATCTAAATAACTCTATCGAAAGGGAAACAGACAAAACAAATGTTCTGGGCTTATTTCTTAGGCGCTTCGCGAAAGACTGGCTTAATTCCTTTATTCGGAGATCTTACTGCGGATCGTAAGGGTATCACAAAAGAGGTTATTTATAATCTTTATCGTGGTATCCTACCTACCTTACTAGCGAACGAGGATACTATCTTTTAATATAATAATGCACCGACATATACTATATATATCGTCCAAACCCTTCTCCGTGAGTTAAATATTACTGTAATAGATTGGCCGCCTTATTCGCCAGATTTAAACCTAATTAAGAACCTATGGGGGCTATTAAAGGCTAATATATTAAAGCTACGGCCGTGGCTTCGCGAGATGCCTAATAATGATACTACTTAGGCAGAGCTGGTAGATACAGCGCAGGCTGCGTGGGAATAGCTTACGATTAGGCACTTTATCAATCTAGCTGAGACTATGCCTCATCGTGTAGAGGAAGTGATTCGGTATGAAGGGTGGCATACTAGTTATTAGAAATAGAACTCTATTCTACCGGCAGAATATATGTGGGTCGAAGTACTGGGGTGCAAATACTAATGATATGTGACTGTAGGCGGAAAGGCACGATAAGCCTCATCGCTTATCTGGACTCCATCACTACTAAACTAGGGTGGAAATGCGGCCGTTTCTCGCCAGAAACTGTTATTTGCGGCGTTATTTTCACAGGTCCTTATATTCTATATGACATTAGTTGATACCCAATCATCGTGAATAATATAGTACATTTGATTTGATTATTGATTTGTTTTGGTTTCATTCCTTTCGTCGAACGGTCACTCCGCTATCGGGTAACGGGCCCCAGTTCTCCATGTCTTCGTCCTCGTCCAAGGCGCCTTCGTTCATTGCGTTCCTACTCGCTTCTTCGTGCAGCTTGGCCACTTCTTCAAGCTCTTCCCTCTCGAGAGCATCGTATTCGTCTTTCCGATCTAGCCATCGCTCTTGTACATCTCGCACATCGGTTACGCCCATTCCTTCTCGGACGGCAACTTGCCAGATAGAATCGTTGGCACCTTCGGCGGGACCAAAGGCGTATCCGGATGCACGGTCAATGGCTCGGAGAAGATTCATCATACTCTTCTTGTCCTCCACGGCGAGCGTCTCGAAAGCAACGAGGCCGAATTCCTCAACGAGATCGATGATTGTTTGGTTCAATGCGCCGAACTTCGAATTTGTGAGCCGTGAGGACTCGGCTTCCAAGTGTGGGAGCAGATATGAAAGGTCCTGAACCTCGGTGTAAAAGTCCAGGTTGAATGGGAGATCGGCGTAGTTGGATAGGTTGTCGATTTTGGTCAAAACGTTTAAATGTGGAAGATCGAGCTGGAGCATGGCACGGAGAGAGAGTAGAAGTGCGGAAATGTACATTGAAGGGAGCGTGAGAGTGTATGAGTCGATAAGGTGGATAACTATTAGCTATTCGGTTGCCTCTGTTAGCTTTGTTCACTGAAGAGTATGGGAAGGATGCTGACGAACTCGATAGCCCAGTTTCTGGATGCGGAAGAAGATATTCCGTAGTGATACGTGGTGCGTGAACAATTCGACTTGACCTGGGCAGTCGAATAGAACATAATCCTCTACATTGCAACGAAGTCAGCCATGCGCTTAATCCCGGCTGGCGAGGTCAACAAACCTCCAAGCTCCTTCAGTCCCTCCTCCAACCAGGAGTAGTTCTCTTCAAGCTCCTCTAGAGCATAAAGTGTAGCTCCATTCGGTCCCAGCTTCTCCTCATCCATAATCTCCTCAAGCGTCACTAAATCGCGCACGTCCAGCGCACACGGGTACGAGGTCTTGTCATTGGCGGGGTCAAGATTGACGATGGAGCATTTGCGACCTATCGCCCCCAAGAACTGATGCATGCCATTGCAGTATGTAGACTTGCCCGCACCCGGAGGTCCAATAACGAGCTGTGCAAAAGGCATTTTGAAGTGGCGATGATGTAGCTCGTCCGTGGTGACCTTTTTTTCTTATCGAAGCCGCGGGGAATAATACGGCGGTAAACCTCGGCAGAAAATGCCCTCAAAGGAGCTCGCTGTCTGGATCTCCGATATGCATTCATCCACCTTTACCGCTACAATGTCGTCAAGTAAGTTGCTTTGCTCGGGCCAATGAGCTTGTTCTAATCTGTGATAGATCAATTCACGGTGGCTTCGCCGCCTACAGACGCTATCTCCGCTTTGAAGTTCTCCCCCGACCCCAACTCCACGCGCATCGTTGTTTCGTCATGGGACAAGAATGTTTATCTCTACGATCTGCGCGATGAGAACGGTACAGTCGGTGAAGGCAAGCTCTTGCAAAAGTTTGAACACCGTGCACCGGTTCTGGATGTGTGCTTCGGCGACAATGAGAATGTGATCTACACAGCTGGGCTGGATTGGGATGTCCGCAAGTAAGTGGTTGCACGATAACTCTGTTTGAGCTTGCGAGAGATGGTATATGCTAAAAATATCTAGGATTGACCTCAACACATCCGAGCAGACCGTCCTGAGCAGCCATGAAGCTGGTGTGCGCAATGTCGTTTTCAGCCCCGAGCACAACCTCATCATCTCTGGCTCATGGGATTCAACCCTCCACGTCCACAGACCGGATGCCGGTACCACCTCGGCTCCTGCGATTATTCCTCTCCCCTCAAAACCATTCTCTGTCTCCCTCACCGCGACCAAGCTAGTTGTGGCCATGGCATCTCGTGCCCTACACATTTACGATCTTAAGGCGCTCGCCCTTCTCACAGCGCAAGCCGACAGCGAAAGCAACGGCGGGACCAAGGTCGAGATTGAGCCGTGGCAAAGGCGTGAGAGCAGTCTGAAGTTCATGACACGGTGTGTTGCCTGCATGCCTGATGACGCCGGCTACGCCTCTTCCAGCATCGAGGGCCGTGTCGCAGTCGAGTGGTTTGACCCTTCGCCTGAGTCCCAGGCCCGCAAATACGCTTTCAAGTGTCATCGCCAGACAGCGGAGGATGGTGTTGACGTTGTCTACCCCGTCAATGCACTCGCTTTCCACCCGGTGCACGGGACTTTCGCATCTGGAGGTGGAGACGGCGTCGTCGCGCTGTGGGATGGAATTGCGAAGCGCCGAATTCGTCAGTACCAGAAGTATCCCTCCAGTGTTGCAGCTGTTGCTTTCAGCGGTAACGGTAAGTACTTGGCCATTGGAGTCAGTCCCGGCTTTGAGGATGGCCAGGACGACGTACCGGAGGGAGTTGTGAAGATCTTTGTGCGCGAATTGGGCGAGACGGAGGCCAAAGGAAAAGGCGCAAAATAAGCCCTCGGCGTGTACATGCTAGTCTCATTGATACCACTCACCGAATCTAATGATCCACCATCTTGAAATGCAAGCGTCCCATGTAGACCGCCCAAAATAGAAAAGCTCTCTCATTTCTAGTCCGAAAAGAAGCAGATCTGGTATCATCTAATGTTATTTACGTCGTCAAGTGCGTTCATTGCAAGGTCCGTTTAATCACTGGCCTTGCGCACCGCCACCGATCCATCGGGCATGCCGAAGTATGCCGCCACAGGCCGCTGCCCGCCAATACCTCCAGCAGCAGTAGCCTGGGGACCAGTGAAACCAGAGAAAATGCCGACATCCAGAACACCGGCAATCGACTTGATCTTCTCCGACAACTCGGTCACCTCCCAAACGCCGTCCTGGCCCGAGACCTTGCCAGCCCGAACATCCGACTTAGTGAGCATGGGCGGGAAAGGCGCATCAATGATGAAGAAGCCCTGATCCGTCTTCAACGGACCCTGCTTAACGTCCAAGTTCTGGCGCAGGACAGGGTTGACGGCGCCAAACTCCTTCAATTTGCGCAGAACACGGAAGGCAGCGATAGGAGCGACCTCGATGGGAATGTATTTCCAGTTGCTGAGGAGACGAGATTGGAGTTTGCGCGAGTCTGTGGGGGAGAATGAGTCAGAGGGATGTCTCTAGCTTTTTCTTCGATCAGGGAGAGTACGCACCCGCAACACAGATAAACTCCTTCGCTTGCATTGCGACAAGCTTCTCCTGGAAAAGACAGGCGCCGCCGCCCTTGATACAGTTCAAATCATCATCTACCTCGTCCGCACCATCGAACGCAACATCCAACACGGTTCCCTCAGCAAGAGAATCAAACTCCACGGCGGTCAGACCAGCGGTGACAATCAGCTGGCGAGAATGGTAACCCGTCGGCACGTAGCGGGTGGCGGAGGTATCGAGGCCAAGGGCCTTGATGGCCTCGACGACGTAGACGATGGTTGTGCCGCTGCCAATACCGACCCAGCGGGCATCCTTAGGGTAGTGATTTGCGACGGCAGCCTTCGCGGCAGCGCGCTTGGCGGCTTCAACGTCGGCCATGGTGGATAGGAATCGAGGCGTAAGGGAGAAATGTGGAGGGAAGAGGCGCGGAGAAAGAAGAAGGCGGGGCGAAGAGAAGCAGAAAAGTCGGACCATCCCCAAGTTCCTGCGCTTCCGGAGCGTTGACGAGTTGAAGGTCTGCACTATAGCGTCATTAATGTTCGGAGTGTGGGGTCATTATTTCCGCAAATTCCTAGGCTCAATGTTTTTCCATGTTTGTTCTTAACTTAATGTGTTTGCGAACGTGGGAACAATGTCAAGCAATTCGATGGCATTTGGCAACTATGCGCGGCTTTTCTTTCTATTCAATTAACCCCCTGGCGACCTTGATTTCACCCAGCATTTCCATCTTGCTTGCAGAGACCTTTCCCGCTGTCGGCGAGAATATTCAAACTATGGTCCACGCTGTGCGTTGGCCTTTATTTCTCCAAGGTTGACTGCAATGGCCTGCTTCATGGTGGGGGACGCGGGGGCCTCGAACTCGGAAAGTCTACGCACCGGACACATTTAGGAAAGACTACACGGAGTCTGTTCTCTCGTATTTCCCTTTTTTTTTTTTTGGGACAAATATCGACACACATACTATATGGAGAGCTATGTATGCAGCGCCCTCCATATCAATAAGAATGTCAGATCATTGCTCCGGAGATCCGGAAGTGCCCATTCGGATCTACTGTCTTGATCCATATAGACGCAATAACAACGCGATTGTATCTACCATTTAATGAAAGCAGTTCTTGGCAATCCTCCTAGAGTCATGTCAGTATTACACATTCTTTGCACAAGATTCGCCGAGCTTACAAACTCGTACCGGCATAACATGGAACAACTCATCGGCAACATCCGTATTACTCAGTCCCAATGTGAGTTGATTGTTGGTAGTACGGTGCAGAAGTAACCCCGCCCTGTTTTCAGCAAATACGAAGATATCGCCTTCGGAATGCTGATATGGCATGTAAAGTTCATGCGGTTTGCTGACGCTCACGCATGGAGCTCCTGCTACTGAGGGGACAGCTTACAAACTGCTGCGACTGAACGTTTTGTATAAGATATTTGTCGCGGTATGGATAGATAAACCAGTACTGATTCTGAAAGCCAGTGCTAGGGGTGAATGTAAGCCTTTGTCCGTCGGTCAAATAGAGTAGACTCTTTGGCGTGATGATCATGTAAGAGCCGTTCAGGTCCAATTGACTGTATGCTTGGCGGCAGAGACCCAACAAAAAGACAAAGACGTGTCTCATCTTGTGGAGAGGATGGCAATACTATGATTCCTGGTCAACTGCCATTTAAGAGATCAGTGGTCAAATCAGCCGTACGGCAAGAAAAGGGCTGAGGTGGGTCTCGATGCGTGTTGCGGTGACATGACGGCCAATATTCACCGAGATCCGAGTCATTGAACAGAGACCTGTATGACCGGATTGAATTGGGAACTCGGCTGTTTATATTTGATTCCGTGTTTAGAACCGGTTATCGCAAAGGTCAAATAGGTTATTTGCATAGATCATCATGAGGAAATGGAGGGGTATGCCCCGAGTAGTTGTGAACTCCGCGGATGCTTCGATGTCTCCGTCAGTAGAATCCTAGAAAACCTGTAGCATATGGTAGCTTGAGTCAGGAGGACCACCAAGGGAATTGAATTGAAGGACGTGTTACTGGCAAGTCTTTCTCAGAGTATGGAGCTTCACAGAAACAGGTATGATGTTATAACAGAGGAGTACCCCACATCAAACGATTAGTCAGTTCACCGCCCTCTGCACTGCGACTGTACTAAAACACTGAAATACAACAGTCTACGCCAGATTCAGTGACGAGGAATTGTGAAGTATTGATTCTTCTTTGCTGCTCTGCTTGCCTGCTGCCTCGTATTCATCCGTCACAACCGACCATGGCTGCATCATTCCACGGCGGGCCGACACCCAAAGAGCGCAAGTATGATCGCCAGCTGCGGCTCTGGGCAGCCAGCGGACAGCAAGCATTGGAAGACTCTCGTGTCCTGCTGGTCAACTCCGATGGTCCCTTAGGCGCCAACAGCACCGGCGTCTCTGGTGTCGTTGGCGTGGAGGCGCTTAAGAACCTCGTTCTGCCGGGAATCGGCGGTTTCACTATCGTAGACCCGGCGACTGTCACGGAGGCTGACCTGGGTGTGAATTTCTTCCTGGAAGAAGAGTCCCTCGGAAAGTCCCGTGCAGAGGAGACATGTCGCCTACTGAGAGAGTTGAATCCTGATGTGCAGGGATTCTTCAACTCTGAGGTACGTCAGCCTTAGCTTTACGAAACACTTGACCTGACAGTGATAATCCAGCCCATTGCCAATTTGCTTCAAGATCCCGACTTCTTGCCCCAGCACAAGCTGATTATCATTTCTGGTCCTACCAAGCGTTCTTCGCTAGACGCCCTCATTCAAAGCGCCCAAAACCATGGTATTCCCGTCTTGTACACCCACTCTGTCGGGTTCTTTGCGACATTCTCCCTTCAACTGCCTGCTGAATACCCCATCGTGGAGACCCACCCTGATCCAGAGTCTGCACAAGACTTACGGCTGCTGAATCCCTGGCCTGAACTCAGCGCTGCAGCTGCGGCTCTGGGTGACTTGGATAGCATGGACGACCACCAACACGGACATGTTCCGTATATCCTTATCCTTCTCCACTTCCTCGAACAGTGGAAGCAGTCGCACGGAGGCAACGTGCCTGGCAATTACAAGGAAAAGACCGAGTTCCGAGACTTCGTGCGATCCAAGGCACGCACGAGCAATGCCGAAGGTGGCGAAGAGAACTTCGATGAGGCAGTAGCAGCCGTTTTGAAAACAATCGCCCCGTTCAGCCTACGCAGCACTGTCCGCGAGATCTTCGAGCTAGATCAATGCCACAACCTGAACAGCGAGTCTGTGGATTTCTGGCTCATCGCTCACGCCATCCACTTCTTCTACACAACTCACGGAGTCCTCCCTCTCCCAGGCTCCCTACCTGATATGAAAGCCCAATCAGCAGATTACGTCTCGTTACAGAATCTCTACAAAGCCAAGGCCCGCCGTGATGTGGAGGAAGTGACCACCACAGTGCGCCAGCTAGAGACACAGCTTGAGCGACGATACCCTCCCATTCCCGACCGCGACATCGACGCATTCTGCAAGAATGCCGCACACATCAAGGTCGTTCACGGTCGACAAATCCCTCAAATCAGCAGTGACAGCGATTCCATCACCTTGAAAGCGATCCGAACCCAGCTCGGGTTCCCCGACTCCCTAGTCTCAGTATACATTGCAACCCAGATCCTCGATGGAGTGGTCGACGAGATCCAGGATACCTCTAATGACCACCGCTCCATCAACGACGATGCATTGTGGAAGAGCCACACGGAACGAATCCTAGCCTTGTTGACGCGCGATGATCCGACACCTTTGGACATCGATGCTCGGGAGAACATCAACAAGGCTATTCAGGAATTGCGCCGTGCAGAAGGTGGAGAGTTGCATAATATCGCCTCGCTCGCAGGTGGTTTGGTTTCACAGGAGTCGTTGAAGGTGATCACGAAGCAATATGGACCGCTGGATAATACCTGTGTGTTTGACGGCGCTCGCAGTCGGAGTGAGATGTACCGACTGTGAGGTGGGAGCGAAAATGCATTATCCATAGAGAGAACGATATAGTGCTTTACGAACTTATGAGTTAGTGTCCTTGGATGTTCTACTATATTGAGAACAGGACGACTTGCAATGAACGGAATGTGGTCTACAGCCGGTTTAAAGGAATGTTTTCCAAGTGGATCTCAATTTGTGGCTCTAGGCTGTCTGCCAAAAGCGTATTTGAAGTCAAGCAGAGGAGATCCTGAAAAGGGAACAAAAAAAGATATTGAGGGACATTTCAACTTTCAAAGAGATTGAAATATCCAGATTGTATTATCTCATAACTGTTCAAAGATGGGTAAGTGGTCGTGGTGTCACTCATCTTCGTGCGACACATGTCCCATTGTTGCAGGTAGGGCGCAGTAGCTCTTCGCCTGCGGTCTTCGCTCATTTTCACGAGTTCTTTGCTCATTTTCACACCACTAATAAGTGACACAATGACCAAGACTGTCTCACAAGTCGGCAACTTAATATTGAAGTCAAGAGGCACGGGGTGGCCCTTTGTGCGCCAGTCAATTGGCTTCGGAATCAAGAGTTTTAGACTGTTGTTTATAGACACGAGGCTCAAGCATCGGATCTTATGAGTCCAGAACCGATTCACCTTTTCTTCGGCCGGAAGTTTCCACTGCGTTTCGGACCGGTCGGAAGACCCTTGTTCTCGTAAAGCTTCTCCTTTCCGAATGCAGCGTCACTAACGCGCAGGAAACTCGTGACGCCCTGGTCGACGACTGCGAGAACAACATTGCGATATCCGTGTCGCAGCCGCATATACATCAACCGGTCCATCTTCTCGCCTCGAGGCGGGTCCAGAGGCGTGCTTTCCAGCAGCGCGCCGATCTGCGTTAATGTAGGGATTGAAGTCTGCTCTCGGGTGTTGACCACAGCAATGCGGAAGTCTGGAGTTGGCCAGGCGGATTTCTTGATCGGTGTTGAGGGCTTGTAAACATGGAAGACAATTCGGAAAGGAACATCTGTGTCGAGTGGGTCCCTTGTCTCTGCTTTTGCCGGGTCGTACCAAGGTATGGTTGCAAGCTTGCGGTACACGTCGACTGTGAAGGGTTAGAAAGAGAAGATTAAAACGAGAGCAAAATTACATACCGTAGTTTCGATGAATACCACATCCCACGATCGGACCAGCCGCCGTGGAACTCGTACCGAATGGATCATCCAGCCAGGCAAAACAGCGCTCAATAATACCAGCGAGGCCAGGTCCACGTTGTTGGGGCTTAGTATAAGCATTCTTATTGATCTCGCTCTTCGAATCCTCTGGGTTGGCATTATCGTCCCAACCAGACGCCCTGACAACAGCATATCCCAACCGCCTCAATCCAGTAAAGACGGTATAACGCTCGAGCGTCAGACCACTGCGGCCAAGCAGGCATGCATACGCCGCCTGTAAACTCATTGGGATTAGTGGCTCATTAATATCATCCGCATTGATGCCGGAAAGTTCCCTCGGCCATTTGATATCCAGACTGCCTCGTTCCATCAAGTACATCGCCTCTTCGGGGAGCAGCCACACGCGGTTCCACCGATCTGCCTGGCCGATTGTCTTGAAGTATTGCCCCTTTGGAACAGGAACACAGACGCAATACTCGTCGATACACCCAAGCCCTTTTCATCGACTTTTACCTGTGGCGGAGGCGTAGGTCCATCCGGCGCATAGATACCAATGACCTGGGTTTTGGGGTGGTGAATGCGCGGGTGGGCGAGCGCGTTGTGCATCGCCCCACGCGAGGCGGAGAGAACATCGGCTTGAAATTCGGTCGGGTTGGGCTCGAAGTCCTTTTCGCCGCGGCGGGGGAGACTAGCGGACGATGTGTCGGATAAGCTGGAGCACAAGTTAGTCAAGGTCGGAGAGCAATCGCAGTAGTGGACGCGTACAAGTTGAGGTGGTTCAACAGGCGAAAGTCCTGGGTCTCATCTGACAGGTCGGTCTCGATCTGAGGGGCCTCTGTCGTAGTGGCACGAATGGCCTCTTCATCTGCGTCGGCCATGATGTGCTTGGGTAGTCGCAGAATCAGAGCTTGCGGAGGAGAAAATCGGAGATCGGGGCTTATCGATAAGAGCACCCACTTTCGCTGCACTTTCTCCTAGCAACTCGTCTACTCATCTACTCCAACATCCTCATGATGTCAATGTCGATGATAGCAGACTACAACGAGACTTTGCGCAAGGTAAGTGCTGAGAGTGCAGAGATACAGTCGACTTAGACATAACCAGTGCTTAGGTGTCAAACAGCCTCCAAAACGCTTTAGAGACTTTCGGGCCGTCCTCGCACCAGTACCGGGCCATTCTCGGAATATTAAAAGAATGCCTACAGGATATTGAGGATGAGAAAGCGCGCACGCAAACACAGGTGGTTGACTCTGACATGTTAAGTGCCGCTATGGAATTCTTGAAGATTGGAAAATAGGAGGGTTCTGGCATGTTTTTGATACCCAACATTTATGCGAGCGTTACACAACTACTAAGAGTTCGCCTCTCAACCGAATGTAAGATGACAGAAAGGGAATTCGAAATGGTCTGAGCCAGATCCAAGTCAGGCGGCAAAGATATCGACAGCAATAAGACCTTCCATATCAACACCAAGAATGAGGGACCAGACGTCCTATTAGCAGACATAGTAGCCATCAACCATCCAGCCTGTATATTTCCTTTCTTCGTATCGAGTCAATCACGGCTTCACAAAGATCATATCTAATCAGGGCGGAGGCTCAAGTGCTAACGAGGCTCTTTTCCCCGGAGATCAAGTCATCTCCATAGGAAGATTATTTCCCAAGGTTTGAGCGATACACGGCTCGCGGCTGTTGGCGTCGCTGAATTTCTCGACGAATTCGGCTATACTTCTGATGAGCTGTGCGCAAAGTAGAAGAAGATTTTCGTATCGAAAGCAAGTGAAACATATCATAAAGATGTGCTTTGCTTCCAGCGCATTGCACATATCGAGTCGCATTGAGAAGAACCTGCGGCTGGTTTTGATGTGGAGATATTTTGTGACCCTGATGAGGTTTGATGAGAATGGAAAAGGATTGCGTCGACGGATTTGCGAACTGCGGATTCGCGGAAGTCGGCCTTGAAGGCCAAAATTGGTGGGATAAGTATGCTGCCAGCGGGTTGGGCTCGGCGCCCATCGTGGGTTTCAATCAGGTTCGGTAGGCATCATCCCGGATGAATCGAGGTCCATCAAGGAGACGGGGCACGTCATGTATTTTCGGTGGTTGAGGACTTGTGAACGTCGCTTTGGGCAGGGAAACTTGAGGCAGATTATGCTGAGATGCGTTTGTCGACGTATAGAGCAGGCAATAAAAGTTTGATCATGGATTTGAATTTCTGATTATTTTCATGACGGTAGAGCATCTGCGGTGCAGATCACAGCCTGCCAGAGAAATAGCGGAGGTTATTGCCATCTTCAATAGACAATCCACTGCCTCTCAAGAACGATATTCTCAACACCCCACCCCAAGAATGAACGAACAAGCGTTCATGCCATGCAACAAACTCCAAGCTCAATGCAATCGTAAGACATGATGTGGTATGCTTCCGGGTCGCGGGCCCCGGTCGCTTCAATCGACCCGGGAGATGAAGATCAATTAGATGTACTCTGTACGCGAGTACGTTCCCGAAATAGAACTGTCCGAGATACTTTGTATTCGCTTTCAATCAATGAGTGGCTTCTTCTGGTTGCCGACCAGAGCTACGCCGAGGTAACTGAGGGCCTTGGGATCGCTGGGCCGTATGATGGATGGGAGTGGTAGCATCGGGTTGTCTGGGTTCACGTGTGCCGCATCTCGTGCAGCTTGTTCGATGGCTTCCATCTCATCTTTGCAACCGGCGTGATCGAGTGGACATACCACGATCGGTTGCCGGATAGTGATGTCTCTGGCTGATGTTAAATGCGCCTGTCGCGTGTATTAGAAGTCGAGAACATGTCTGATAGTGAACGAAATCTTACTCGAACGGTGAGATAGTACTCAATTTTATAGAGACTTGCGGTAGTTGTGAATCCACTGACACCGTACATGGGAAATGCGGCACGATTTCGCGGTAAAACGCCTTCTGAATCTCGTAGATCCTTGGCAGGGAAGACCAGTCCCAGGTTGGTGAGGTAGCCGGATTGTGGCAGCTTGACACCCACGGTTTCCGTCTTTTTGACCAACGTCTTGACCTTGCGCTGGGGCTCGTCGCCTTCGTGGTTGTAGATGATCTCCTCGTCAATGCCGATCGTAATCTTGCTGATAGTCACTTTCCGAGCTTTGCCCATCCAATCCTGGTTTGGTGATAATTTGACATAGACGCTGACAGGGTCAAGGGGCCCATAAGACCATCGTGGGAGGGATATGGCCAGTGTCACCAGATGATCCGAAACCCGCTCCGCCGACTCTGGGCGATTGTACATGCCGAATGTAGATAATGTGTCATAGCGAGCAATTGGAACCGGAAAAGTATACTTTCGTTGTTCGGACTGCCCTTGTTGAACCATCACCACCATCTCATAGTATGTTTCGGCGGTACGGCTGGGTAGTTGTAGGCTCGCCGGGGGTACTCGTCTAGAGGCATCGCGTCCCCCACGACCGAATGGGATAAACAACACAAATGGCAAGTCCATAGCAATGACCTCTTCGTATTCCTTTCCAGCTGGGCACCGAAATAGCAACATCTCTTTGCCCACAATATCAGTGATCTCCTTGCGAGGCGGAGCAAGGCGCTTCTTTGTGACGGAGTCGGCCGATGGATGGATTGTTTCGCGACGCAGGAGAGAAATGGTCACGAGTGACACATTGACGGGCGCTGAAATACCGACACTCGGCCTGATCTCAACTTTACCCTCGACTCGGGGCTGGGAAAAGGTCAGTTCTTTGGGATGCGATTTGGGGAGCAGGGACCGCAGCTCAAGCGCGTTGCTAGCAGTAGGTCTCGAGGAGCGCTTACCATCGTAGCCGAGATACCTGGGTATCCGATCAGGAAATTGCCATTTGCCGGACCTGAAACGCGCACGAAGGCGGCCATCTCGATAGCGCAATACCCGCACCACCATGGACATGCGAAGGGGCCGCAGGGAAGTTGGGAATCTGCGACCTCGACGGGGACCCTGTCACACGGTTCATAACCCGGAGCTGAAGGGGGTTCCGGGAGGTGGAGGGTGGAAAGGGAGGTACAAATGTCGGGAGAAGCGAGCTGTAAGGTGTGGGGGGCGTTCAGGTTGTTAGTGTTAGCTAAGGGTGAACCAGCCCCATCTCCCGAGCCCACCTTGAGCCTCGATTGCATCACCGATTACTCCGTGATCAGCACACATGTTCATGGTCCGATTTGGAACTATTACACTGTACTCTTCCATGGATCTTGTTTCGTTGTACCGATGTAGCATGCATCGGCACTGCAATGTGCTCTTTGCGCCTTTGCCAAAATATTTCCCCTTCGAGTTTGGCATTTATCCCTCGCCGCCATCACCTCGCTAGGGCGGTGTGTCATTCCACCGAACGGCAGCTGGACGTACATTTTTAATGTGTTGTACTCACAGTTCCATAATCTAGTACTGATGTGGCAGAGGTTAGAATGCGGCGCTCACGCGATCGGTTTCCTTCCAATCTCCCTTCGCCTTTATTACACTGCTCCCTACATACTTAATTTGATGCGCCTATGGATGAATCAACCCTACGGTCCTGAATTTGGTCTACCCTTCTCCTATCTGATGAACAGTATTCCAATCCATGCCGGTGGAACGGGCAAGAGCCCGCCTCATACATGGGCAAGGAAGTATATGAGATCGACATGGATAGGATCTTCCATTTAGCTGGTCAGTGTGATATCACCATCTGTGGTGATTGATTCTGTTGCCAATCTCTGCTTTCAGCTCAGATACATCTATATTGAAAGATCTATATAGAACGAATTAGGCCATGTACACTTCCGGTATACAAAGAGATGACGTCATTCTCAGACATGACCTCAGCAGCGGCAATGCACTGTTAATGGTTGAACGTAGTATAATGAGGTTAGTATTCAAACAAGATATATAGCTCAAGAAAAGTAAACAGAAGTATATCGTCAATATCAAGGTGTTAGTACCATGGGCGGTCAAGGTTAGAGCCAGCGGGTGAAGCTGGTTGCACCAGGCAACACCAACCCAATGACATCGCCTGCTCCACCAACCCGCTTCCGCAAGACCACCGACAACCCAGCAGTCTCCAAAGCCGTCGCAAGTCTCTCATCATCATGCCTCCTCGTCGCCATGCTGCTGCCGCTGCGCAGTCAACTCTCTCATTTGGCAATCAATCGCGAGTGACCAAACCGTCGACTACACCCGCAACACTCCATAAGGGCAAGACCCTTGATTCGCCGCTGCCCACCGACAAGTCTGCGTCGGGCACCCCAGAACCCCAGCAGGTTCTCGCATCCGAACCATCAAAGCCGCATATTGCAGAAGTAGTGGTCCGACAGCAGGCCACAAAGGAACACGAGGAGCCGCTTTCGGCCGAAGACAAGCGGGCTCTGAAGCTCACCAAGCAAGATCTTCAGAAGTACTGGAATAAAGAGGAGCGGAGTCGGAAGGCCCCTCGAGGTAACTAGATACTGCGGATTCCTTTTCATCATACGGATGCTGACTTTATGCTGTAGTCCACCAACAGGACCTTTACTTGGAAGAGAAGATCTTGCGCCACTTTGATCTCTGCAGCCAGTATGGGGTACGTTCTAGGCCCCCTCGCCGTTGATCAACATGTGCTAACATATCTCCAGCCCTGTATTGGAATCGCACGGCTCAAGCGCTGGCGCCGTGCCAATATGCTGAAGCTCAACCCGCCCATTGAGGTTCTCGCCGTCCTGCTTAAGAAGCAGAATGCAAATGAGCGCGCACACGTGGATGAGCTGCTGTCTTAATACCGGGGAATAAGAGTACCAAGTTGTGTATTTGCATGGGTGGCGTTAGGAATTGTACTTTTAGCAATGGGAAAGGAATATGTTTTGTGAGACCGGTTGTCTCGTACCTGCTTACCCTCAGGTAAAATTTGTTTCGAAGAGAAATTAATGTAAAGCCGTCGAACAAAGTATTCGGAATCTGAGCGTATTTTGATACTTTCTACTCCCTCTGAAGCTTGTATACTTGGACTGCGCCCAAGCAAGGGAAGTTGTGCCCTGCCTTGTGGACTGTACAGTCGAATTCTTCAGGAAAAGGTATGGCGTTCTAAGCGTGTTCCATAGGGTGGATGGGTACAAATATACATGTCCCTATTGCCCAGACACTTGCTGCGCTCATCTGGGCCGATCATAGTAAAATCACTCCGCAACTTTCGCACTCCATACCCCGCTGGTGCGCTAAATCACGGTAAGTGGGCCGAGCTAATGCGTTGTGAGGTATTGAAGAATCGCATTGCATGAGAGCTCTGATCAAGTCCAATGACCTTGAGTGATATGTATATATTTCGGTGGATATTTTCTTGTCTCTTGACTAGTAAACTCTAGATTAGGCCGACCCAGCCAAACTAGATCGGACGAAGCGTTTCTCTGTACACATTCTTATGTCCGATTGACCGTAAAATGGTTGGACTGAAGGATGATATGGAGCTTTATCTTGATGGAGTTTACTATTCCTGATTCGTAGTAGCTTTCGAGCCGATCGTTGTACTAATTATGTGGGTTTAAATCTGCGCCATAATTTACCGAGGCAACACAAACTGGTTACGCTCGTCTGATGGTATGTTTTTTTTTTCTGACCGGCGTATCGGGATGCTTTCCCTCGATGTGTTTTATCAGGCTGCGTCAGCTCTAAAGAGCTTCAATCGATCAGATTGATCCATCCACCAATCAATGAAAATATCAATCCCTATCCAGTCTGTCGACTGGGAGTTTTGTGTACGGCCGACCAGACCAGACTGAGCTGGTTTGAGTATCCCGTTTGCATTGGCTACATTGATTTTATGCCCCACTGGGATCTGAATGAGGCCGACGTCGCTGATGATGCTCAATTGCGGGACATTCGGTTGAGCCAAATTAAGTGAGGTGTTAAGATTGTTTGACATTATGACAATGTTGTAGATTTACGCTGGTGATGTCAAGGGTCGATCTCTAGCTTTGAAACATATCCTGCTCTTTTGAAGTAGTTGACTGCAGTGGAACTTCTTCTAGGATATCATGGGCTTGCTGGATGCACCCTCAATTTCTTTGCCAAAAGTGGCCAACAACCGTGGCTGAAATTATGATGAATAAGAAACGATCGTGTCGCCCACTGACTACCTGCTTTTTTTCAGGGGTGTTCCACATTTCTTCAAGCCCAAGAAGCCAGTTGTCATAAGGGTAATTTGTCAGCGCTATGCAGCGATGGTGCACTAGGCACTGCGCTGCCAAAGTACGGCGCAGCCTTGCCCAGTCATCTTACGGCGCCAGTGAGCACAAATAAAAGCTACGACCTGATCCTACCTCTTCTGAGCGGTTTTATTTCTGCAATAAGAGGGGTTAGATCAGCGAAAAAGGGAAAACCAATTCCAGCCGTACCTGGCAGTGGGTAGACCCCACGACCCCGGATTCCGTAAAACCCCGCAATTTCGCAATGGATCAACATCCAATCGATCACCACTTCAATGAGATATTGACATGCCCTCAGCTTTGAACCTAAATAATAAGGCTTAACAGTATTAGCTCTAATTCATTCCATGTGAGAATAGAAGCCTATCATTTCCAGCAATGGCCCCCAAAGTTGGGCATTTCATCTCCACCGGACCTTGCAGATGCCCCAAGTGGAGTCCATTGACTTCGATATATATTACTCTGCCTGGACCCTAAGCCCAATGTGGCTTGGTTTCTCTTACATTCCCGCGACTGCGACCCCCGCCAAACCTGGAAAGGGTCTCAAAATGATCCGGTGGCGATTTCTTCGCATCGACCGGCGCCGAAATGTGTCCCGTACCTGCCATGTGATCGCTCCAGATCGAGCTTTCGTCCCTGCACAACGACAGCTCGCTTCCAGACTTGTTCCAGCTCTTCGGCTGGCACTGTACCTGTTTCCTCCCCCTGATCTTATGCGTTCTTCTGACTTGGGGTAACCTCCGCCACCATGTCTCACTTGGTCGGATCCAGTGGCTCTCGAGCCCTGCGCGAGCCCTGCCATGCTACTGAGAGTGTTTCTGTCGTCGAATGATACGCCGTCCAACGTAGATGGCATGGCCCAAACTCAGGAATCATACTTCAGCCCGCGATGATCGTGGCAGCCATGCAGGTACGCTTTAGATCGAGAGGATATCTCCCACGACAGGTGGGCGAGTTCCGGAGGCCTTGAGATGATCGAAAGTCAAAAGACTTACGAATGCTCATCATTCCGCACAGTCCCACCTCCGGATACCCAGCAATAGTTCAGCGCAGAAACCACTCGGTCTCTGAAGAACATCCACTAGACCCCCAAAGTGCCAAGAGCATCAACGGTCAGGGCTTGGACTGCTTGCTTTGATTATCTCTCAGACCATGTGTACTTTGGGTTTTCACATCAAGTATAATTCCTGCCGCGACAACGGAAATGGGGGTCGCTGATGGGCTTGACTAGGCATCGGATCACGTCCTTGTTTGGGCTAGTCGAATGCTACGCTACGTCCAGCCCTGGAAGTTCGGGTCCACATTGCTTCCCCGGATCTGCCTTCGGCCTGTGGCTTCCGCCATACAAAATTACGCCAATACAGTACGTGCGGGTGATACCGAAGGGTTCTCCAAAACTACGGCTGTGGCCGCTCTCGCTGCTCTCAATGATCACGCCATGGAATCTATGCTGCCTCGTTCACATGTATCTCACACCTGAGCACTGCATAACAATGGGGATGGAATCAGACTAACGCCTGTAAACCCATTTTAATTACAGAGTCTTTTGTACTTTACCGGTGGCGGCCTGCACCGTTGATATCTGCTGTACATGTGCAACTCGACAACTTCGGGTGCATCTCACCCACCGAGAAGCATCTCCACGGGGGGTCTAGCTTCCAATAGAAGCGAAGACCTGGCTACAAGTCTTTCTGTTGTGCACTTAGCTTCAAATAGATTCCACGCCATCTCATCATTGGTGACAGTGACATCCGCTTTGCCTCTCTGGTCTCACCTAGCCCCGACTTGGCGAGGCGACGTACGTACCCCATACCAATTACCACAACGAGACGCCAATGAACCTGTCTCTGATCAATCGGCTGCCCCATTTCAGGGTCTGGTGTCAGCCATTCGGCCTTGGCTCTGTAATGAGCTTCCGGGGACCCCAGTCCGCTAATCAAAGATCTGAGTCAACCGCGGCCGTGGGCGAATCTCAACGCCCGCCATGAGAAGAGACATGTGATGGAGATGGATGTCTGGTGTGACCCCTGACAGGGTTGGGCAGTGGGGATTCGATGGCTGGAGAGCGAAGCTTATAAAGGCTCATCTACGTCCTGTCCGACCTGAACCTTTTCTTCATTCGAACTACACGCCTCGCTCGCTACTGTCTCAACTGTCGTTTCCAGCCCACTCAAATCTATCAAGAATCTACTCAATCATCAAAATGAAGTTCTCTACCACCCTCGTTGCTCTCGTTGCTGCCGGTCTGGCCAACGCTCAGCTTCCTGATGTTCCCACTTGCTCGGTAGGTGTCTCTCCCGCTATCTAATGCGAATAAAATTAACATAGCCACCAGCTGAACTGCTTCGTCACTGCTCTGACCTCTGATGGCTGCTCGGCTCTGACAGACTTCGCCTGCCACTGCCAGAAGCCCGCCCTGGTCTCCAGCATCACTCCCTGCGTCCAGAAGGCCTGCGACGTTGCCGACCAGATCTGTAGGTCCCACCAACACGGACTGTGACCTATGGAGAGAAGCCCACTAACAATTGCTCCAGCCGTCTCCAACGCCGTCGTCGCCCAGTGCTCTTCCGCCGGCCACCCGATCGTGGTTCCCCCGATTGAGACCACCACCTCCGGCGCCAGCTCTTCCACCAGCAGCAGCGCTCCCTCCTCCACCAGCGCCAGCGCCACCGGAACCAGCAGCGGTAGCTCCAGCTCCAGCTCCAGCTCCAGCTCCAGCGCCAGCGAGTCCTCCTCCGCCTCTGCCTCCGCCAGTGGCTCCTCGTCCGGTTCTTCCGTGACTGCCACCAGCTCTGCTGCTGCTGGCTCGTCCACTGCTGGCTCCGGCTCCACTCCGGCTGGTACCTCGACCCCCATGGGCACCAAGACCGGCTCCGGCTCTGCTGCCACCACCTCGCCTGCCTTCAACGCCGCTGTCGGCATCAAGGGTAACATGGCCGGTGTTGCTGCTATTGCCGCTGCCGCTGCCTATGTTCTGTAAATATAGTTAATCTAATGTGGCACTGTCGGCATTGACATTCATGTCGGGGCTTGTGCTGGCCGTGGTACAGATGCGGGCTTGGCTCTCTATTGAGCATGGGTCGCACTGTGATCAGCCAGCCAAAGGCAGTTGCTTTGCGTCGATGTAACAATGGTACAACATTCACTCACGTTGGAGGGCTTATATAGTACAGATGTGTATAGTGGATGCTTAATATGAATATTGGTGATTTGAGTGAATGTCGGGCAATGTAAAAAAGGCCGTAGGCATGGGCGCCACTTTCAAAGACTCGAGGTGAAACCCTCATAGCCAATACAGTAAGGCCACAGAGCATTCGAAATATCGTTTTTCTACAGTCTCACGTTTACTGACCTGGGGACCCACGCATATGTAGCTAGTCTTGCTGAAATGACCCACGCTAACATGGTGAATGTTTTGACCCACCAGAAACGGGGATGACATCAACCCATAAACAAGCTTCCTGAGGATCCCTGCAACATCCAAGATTTCGTGACACAGACTCCTTCACTGGAATCATTGTAGCGAGATTGTCCAGCACGAGAGCTGCCCCCTTCTATCTACGCTATTGTTGAACCTGACTGCCCCGCACTTGTCCCCTTCCCCGCACACTCTTATCTCATGCGCTGCACCGGCATCATGTCTGCGACCAAGAACGCCAAGTTCAGTCATCTACCACGAGCGATATCTGGGCCTCTGAAATGTTCACTCGAAGTGAGTCAGCTGGGTTTATGATCCCTATCTTCGCGCGTGGACGGGAGACTGAATTGAAGAACTCAGGGCCCAGCTCTTCTCCACTCATCCCGCTTCAACAAAGGCTCGGCCTTTCCAAATGACGAGCGAGCGACTTTCAAGCTCCATGGACTACTCCCACCTAATATACAGACTCTTGATGAGCAGGTGGAGAGAGCTTACCAGCAGTACAGCAGCCGGGACAATGACTTGGCCAAGAACACTTTCATGGCTAGTATGAAGGCGCAGAGTGAGGTGCTGTACTACAAGGTATGTATGAATTTGTGGTTTTGTCTGGATGCGCGGAAGAAGCGGAAATAACAGATTACGTGTAGTTGTTGCAAACTCACCTTAAGGAGATGTTCCCGATCATCTATACTCCCACTGAGGGCGATGCTATCCAGAACTACTCTCGGCTGTTTCGAAAGCCCGAGGGATGCTTCTTGAATATCAGGGATCAGGATTCCATTGATGAATGTCTTTCTAATTTTGGAGGTGCGGAAGACGTGGATTACATTGTTGTGAGTGATGGAGAAGAGGTGAGACAGACTTGCAGATCCCCAAATCCAAAGACTGACACCATTCAGATCTTGGGCATTGGAGATCAAGGTGTCGGTGCTATTCTAATCTCAGTGGCCAAGTTGGTCATCACCACACTGTGTGCCGGCATTCATCCAGCACGCCAGTTGCCGGTGGTGCTTGATTGCGGAACAAATGTAATGAGGTCCCTGCTCCTACGATTGAGGTTTCACTAATAGGGCTGCGATAATAGAACAAAGAACTTCTCAACGATGACCTCTATCTAGGACTACGACAGCCACGTGTACGTGGTGCGGAATATGATGAGTTTGTGGACAACTTTGTCAAGAGTGCACGGAAACGTTTCCCCAAGGCCTACATCCACTTGTGAGTGCTATCAAACTTCATTTGAAAATAAATGGAACTCACACTTCCAGTGAGGATTTTGGTCTTCAAAACGCGAAACGTATCCTGGACAAATATCAATCGCAGATCCCCTGCTTCAATGACGATGTTCAAGGTACTGGCTGCGTTACCTTGGCGGCTATGATGGCAGCTTTGCATGTCGGCGACATCAAGCTGGACGAGGTTCGCGTTGTTGTCTTTGGGTCCGGGACAGCGGGCACTGGCATTGCAGACCAGATTGCCGATACCATTGCGACACAAACAGAAAAGTCCAAGGAAGAGGCATCAAAGCAGATATGGTATGTCCTGCCAGCCATATCTAAAGCTGAAAGCTAAAACTTGTCGGTCCAGGTGTATCGACAAGCCAGGTCTTCTCGTCAAGTCGCTCGGAGATACCTTGACTCCAGCCCAAGTTCCCTTCGCGAGAGAAGATAACGAATGGCCAGAGGGACGACAGGGTGATCTTCTCTCGGTAGTGAAACATGTCAAACCCCATGTTTTAATTGGGACATCTACAAAGCCCAAGGCATTCACAGAAGACATCATCCGCGAGATGGCCAAACATGTGAAACGTCCAATTGTGTTCCCTCTAAGCAACCCAACACGTCTCCACGAAGCTCAGCCCAAAGATCTCTTCGAATGGACAGATGGTCGAGCTCTCGTCGCCACTGGCAGCCCATTCGATCCCGTGGAGTATGGAGGCACCAAATACGTGATTGGTAAAACTCAATATCCCGCCGAGACTGATTTTGGAGAGTTCTACTAACGGGTCATACATCAGCTGAATGCAATAACTCGACTTGTTTCCCCGGTATCGGCCTCGGGGCAGTTCTCTCACGCACTCGTCTTGTATCAAAGAAGATGCTCGTTGCGGCCGTCGAGGCGCTCAAGGCTCGATCACCGGCTCTTGAAGATCCCAAGGGGGCCCTCTTGCCGGATGTAGAAGATGTGCGGGAAATAAGTGTTGATATCGCCGCTGGAGTGATAAAGTGTGCTGTCAAGGAAGGACTTGCGCAGGAGGAGGGTATTCCCGAAGATGATGAGCTGAAAGAATGGATCCGAGCTCAAATGTGGGAAGCTGCGTATCGTCCTTTGGAGAAGGCAGAATAGGCAATGCCCTTTGCCTGCTGGCTTAATCGCACCTGAGTGAAGAGGGCTCAGGCTTTTGATGTTGGCTGCAGAACATCATTATCATATATTACCTGGCTCTTGCTTGTTTTCCTACACAAGCGCAAGTAATAGTTTCATAGCGATACATTTGTCAATTCATCCATTGCTCTAGTAACTTCTCGAGAAGGGGCTGAACCCTTTAAAACAAATTGATGAACAGGGTTAATTAATACAGGGATCAAAATTATCTCTTATTATCTCGGTCACATGCTCGACAATGCCGACGTAGCAATGACAACCACCCAGCTAGAAGATCAAGATAGCTTGGAAGCGGTATGGTCCTAACAGGCAGTCTTGATTATGCAAAGTACTAAAAATGGCTAAATAAACTCTATACAAGAAGGAAGGATGCGTCTTTGGGACTCTGCCCAATTCACCATGAAACTGCCTGAACACGATCGAGTCGGAGTTGTAAATGCACTATGTTACGCGCTTTCAAAGACCAATCAAGTTGATCCAGGTCTTCGAATCGCTAATGCAAAAGGGAGTTCTGATATATGCGTCGTTCAAGGTACCCAAAGCCTCATGAACCCGCCGACCTCTTGTCGACAAGTCACACAACTGCCAAAGTTGTTCATGGCTAAGCTGACACGACAGTCTTCGCAGATGCAGAGACAGCGACAGGGCCAGGTGATAATAGACCGTGGACTTGTCTGGCAAACAACACAGGGTGGGCCATTCTCTCCTAGACCCATGGCGCCGGACTCCCAGGTGCTGGGGTCTGTGTTGGAAGCCTTCTCTAATTCTGCGCGGCGGGAAAGAATTAGCCTCTCTAGCATCTCGGCCTCTTCCTCGGCAGATGGTTTCCGATGCTCAGAGTGGGAATTTGTTGCGTTGTGGTGTAACCGGGATGATAGTAGCACTCGGGATCTTTCCCGTTCTACTTGCTGCTGGTACTGGCTGCGAGTCATGATTCGACCAGATCCTTGGCCTGTACTAAGATGTGCCGCAAGAATCCGCGCCTCTTCTCGGGTTTCGCGATCGCGAGGATCGAGTAAACGGGCGAAAGCATTCAAATCCATGAGAGCATCCTGTTGAGGGGTGCTCTCTCTCGAGAATTGAGGATATGGGTCCTCCTGTGTTGGAGTGCGAACGACCATCCGAAGCATAGTCCTCCCATTCGGGTTCCGAGGCATTGGTGGACATTGAGATCACACTCGTCGTGTCATCATCCTCTCCGGAAGGGTCAAAATCAGGCGTATGGTCCTGATCGCCCCAAGAGCCTCCCGCCCTCCACCACGCATAAAGTTTCTCATCCAGACGCCGCTCGTCTGGTTCCTCTTGGTTCAATTGACTGGAGCGTTCTCGTTTCCGCATTTCTAGCTCAACGTCGAAGTCGTGGTTATCGGGTAGTTCAAGCTCGCCTTCGTCAGTCAGAATCCAAAAGTCTAGAGATCCTGGAGATCCTCTCCCGCCCATAGCTTTGGTCTTCTTCTTCTTCTTCCCAGCCTGGCGTTTAAGCCACATAGGCCGATAGCCGATTCCCAAGCGGTCAAGGGCTCGATTAAAGCCATATGAAATCCATCGGACAATGAGCCAGAAGATCGAACGAAGGAAGGATATACCATGCCATAAACGCACGGATGCCCGCACAGCACCAACACCTCCGAGTTCGGCTTGAGGTCGCATCTGCCGGGATCCATTCTTCGGTTTTTCCAATTTCTTCTCGCGGTTATATCCACTTTCCCAGGCCGAAGGCTGATCCGGCAACTCAAAGCTAGCGAAGCCCACAGCCTCCAAAGGACTCCCTTCAACGTAATTCGGCCAATTCCCATGAGACGAATTTCTCCGGCGAGAAGCTTCAATCTCAGCAAGCCGATCCTTTTCGAGCCAAGTCATTTGCCTTGCAACGACGGCCTTGCCCTCATTCAAGAAGACAGCTTCACTTGCAGCGGTCAGTGCAACATACCCAACCCGGAGTAAGGTGGTGTAAAAATCTTCGTGTCGGTTGATGTGGATGTTACGGATCTGGTTGGAGCCTTGCATATTCTCGTGAGCCAACGCAAATCGTTCCCGAAGAGAAGCCGGCTGGCCTTCCTCAAAGGGCAAAGAAAATGCAGTAATGAGCAAAGCAATTCCATAGATAGCAAAACATGTCGCAATGCCGAAAAGGACCAGAAGATGAGGGACAAAGCCGACGATGCAGACTGTTGGAAATCGGAGCACTCCAGTTTCGAGGCTGACTGGAGGTCCACTTTCCATCCCCCACGACATGGCTGCCATAAAGCAGAAGCCCCAAAAAGCGGTGTTAAAGAGACGGTATCGACTCTGTTTCCCAAAGACGTCGAGGACGTGTGAAGATAGGCTGTTTAAGCATGAAATCAAGACGATGAGCAGGAGTTCTGGAGTGGCGTTCATTCTATCGAGGACTTGAGCTCTCGTGAGAAGTTGGAGTGGCGATGCGCTATCACTCGAGCCACTTTCGTTGAGAGGGCTTTGTTTAGGGAGACCAAAAAGCCCAAGTCCTATCGATTTACCAATCATGGACTCGGCCTCGGCAAAAGCCAGAGAGTGCTCGAAGATGGACATGCCAGTCTCAGTCATCACAGGCCGACCCTGAAGTGCGCACGAAAGAGTTTCGACAAAATGGCTCAGACAAAGAAGCAGGAAGACAGGCCATAGGAGAGAAAAAGAGCCGAATGGGATGTCAGTATTGGTAGCATCACGTCCCATACTAACGGCGCTGCAAGCCCGTTCATCGCTTTCCCATGGTAACAGCGTAGACGCGATCGAGTGGAGAGCACCTCCGCCACTCGCATAGTCGAAGATCAATGATTTCCCTGGCTTTCCGTATCGCATGGAAGAGTATTCGGGAGACGTCTGACACCGGATGCCACGCAGAAGGGAAAGTATCTGCGAGACAAAAAGAAGGATCGGAATGATGCGTAGAGCAAGCCGTCTTTCCCATCCTAATCTCAGATGTCTCCGGGTGGATGCATAAATGGTGATGCGGTTAAGGATAAGAGCCTCGACCAGGCACGCGAACGCCCAAACGCTGGTCAAATAGCCGAAGAATCCTCCGACCTTCCTCATGGTCTGCAGGAACTCAGTCGCATACCAGCTATCGCCGTATCCGACTGCCTCGCGAGCCATGTTAGCCGTTGCAGCCGCTGCCTCGCCTGCCATCCCTGTGTCGCTTGCGGTCGATGCAGGACCACTCCATAAATTCACAGTGACGTCTTCGATTCCAGCGAGCCTTGCCACGTGTCGAGGGACCGTACTAAAAGCGAAGGTCTCGGCACGCTGGAAGGCGCGAATGGGTAAAGTAAGAAGTTCGAGCGGCGAGGAGGGGATGATCGAGTTGCCGGAAGTCGCGGAGACCGTATTGTTGATAGTCTGAGCAAAGGAAGCGGATGTACTCGGCATGGCGGATGGGCCGACACCACCAGACATGTTGGGCGTTGAGTGTTGACTGTCCCTCTACCAGGAACCACTATCAAGGATCCGGGGAAAGGTGTAATGGGACGCCCCCACGCCGCGTGCGATATCTGACAGAACCGAGGCGAGGGATCAATGTGCTATATGAAGTCAGGTACTTGTGAGTATGTCGGTCACAGTGAGCATAGCTCCTGAGACTTTCATCTCGTCGATTGAGGGGGAGTGAAGGGCGATGATCATCGACCCTCAGCGGGCGCGCCCTCCGGATGAGTCAGCACAAACCGAGGTCTGGGGAAATGTGGTTTGGGAATTCATGCAAAAATCGAGATGAAAGTGTCTAGTGGGGTTGATCTGATGCTGCAAACAAGTGAATTTATGATTCATCAGGCCTAGTGAAGATCAAATTGTCAAGTCGAGGGACGCTGGGTGGGAGAAGAGAGTACGGCACGCCAATGTGCAGGTAAGGCCGCAAGAACTATACAAGATATTCAATTTTGAGATGAGCATTGCTTCTTCGCCATGGATTTTCTTGGAACGCGCACTTGATGATAATAGTCTCAGTCCGTATCAAGCAACATTTATATAGCTAGATATGCTGAGATCAAATGTACCTACATAAAGTCATAGGTCAATATATCATCTCCACCTATCTAGGTCATGTAATCCATTCAATCTACCATCGTATTATGGAGAGAACATATATCGCAAGAGACCCACTTCCAGTAGTCTATGGATACAAGATAGGAGAAGCACACACATGCGTGCCGTCCCTGATGCCTAAGCTCAGACCCATTTATATCATGAGTTCAAGCTTGGCTATTTGGATTGTGTTTTGATCTACCATCTGTTTTAGGTCATTCGCCCACGGCGTTAACAGGGCGAATGATTGATGCTTCGATGGCTTGGCTTGGATATTGTTCGTTGCTCAGAGAACGAGATTGAGTCAGAAGTTGACAACCATGCTTTCTATTTGACCAGCAGTAGATTCATAAGCAAAAACGCCGTGACTTCGCCTGCAAGTCCAGGTTGATAACGCCCCATTATCCTCGTCGCGCCGTGAGTCATTGTAGATGTATTGACAAAAGACTTTGAATTTTCAAATTCGGGTATCAGCACAATTGAAGAGAATGAGAAACCATCTACACTTACACCACATCAAGTATCCAAGTAATCAGCCGCCATCAGCAATTCCAGGCACAGCTCAGGCGGAACATCCATGTCAGGGACATTAATCTGGTCCTTGTGCTTCTCGTTGTAAAGGAAATATTCGCAAACTTTCTCGAGGACGATGCCACTGCGGAGGAATTTGGTGTTAGATGTCTGAGTGGAGGGGCGACGTCGAGGGATGCAGACAGCGTCGAGTAAGAACATACCTCAAGGTCTCTAGGTTACAGCGACCAGTAAGTGCTTCTGAGAACTTGCCTATGTGCCGCCATCAATCAGTGAAAAGCCTGAAAAAGATGGAGCAGATCCACGTACTCGCGGGGTCCAGCATGCGCCGAATGGTGCCGGAAACGCAAGCGGCACTGCGCGGGATAATGAACTCAAAGCCATCGCTTGAGACCAATGTCACGAACTCGGAGGTTGTGTTATCTACCATGTTGAAAGGTATGTAGTCGCGTAGTCGCGTCGATGGCGGATTCGAAGAGTCGCAGGCCGCTCGAGGCATCGAAGTCCGTGCGCACCGATAACGATAAGCGGCCCTGATGCTTGCCTTCTGAGCTTCATCTTGACCCTTCCATGAATTTACTATTTCTATGGTTCCTGGTACAAATTGATGCCTTAACAAGCAATGTATGTCTCTATATGCTTGAGGACTGGCCTGCGGGGGCCAGTAGTCTCTCATTTCGCGCGTCCGATGTATGGTGTCACATCTGGCTTCCGCGTCCCAGCAACCACTCGATTCTACTCTGAAATGGCCGATGAACCTACACTTCCTTCACATTCTAATCGCCTCTCCGGTCGCACTTGTATGATAACAGGCGGAACATCAGGTATCGGCTTCGCAATTGCAGAACGGTTTTTGCAAGAAGGAGCTACAACCGTCATTCTTGTCGGCAGATCTCAAGAGCGGCTCCAAGCCGCAGCTGGACGTCTTGATATCTCAAAAAATCATGGCGACAACGCTACAGGCACATCGGACAAAGTGCGTCTGCTTGTCGGCGACGTAGGAGAGACATTGCATCATGGAAGCATGAGCTGGAGAAAGAAATGGTTAGCTCCCCCATACATCGCCGGAGCAACGAGAACTAATATTCCGCAGGCCAATGTGGACATCCTCGTGAATGCAGCGGGTATAACTATCAACAACATCCTCCCAAGAGCCGAACTGCAGGATATCTCAGACATCTTGCGCACGAATCTTGAAGGCGCCATGCTCACCTCCCGGGCATTGGTGCGCGCGGCAATTCGGAACAGAGTACGCAACCGTAAAACGGCCGATGATGCAGAAATATCGCGGTCGAAGTGTATCATAAATATCTCTTCCCTGCTTGCACTCAAGGGTGGAACTGGGGCTGTTCCGTACGCTGCAACTAAGGCTGGGCTCTTGGGTCTGACGCGATCATTAGCTGTTGAGGCGTCTGTGTCGCTGAAGGGTGCCGTAATTCGGTCTAATGCCATCGTACCAGGATATATTGATACACCAATGATCGCGGGTAAGTAGAGATACACTCCTGCGGAATACTACCGCTGACATTCTCTAGACTTTACACCAGGCGAAGTTGATAGACTCAAGGCTATGATCCCTCTCCACCGATTCGGAAAGGCCACCGAGGTTGCGGATGCGGCTGTCTTCCTCGCAACAAATGAATACGCCAACAACTGCATACTCAATCTCGACGGCGGACTTGGTGCTGTATAAATAGTCATTCGAAGGACCATCATGTACTTATATCATCGACATTTCGATACGCTTCAGCCTCGGCTCATGAATCTTGGCATAAATGTAATCTCAAATCATGAATTCTTGTCTTGATTCGAAGACACTTTTTCCTTGCTATGATACAAATAGAAATGAAGAGTAAGACCGACTCAAACCGGATGAATCTCTATTTCTGGGAATAAAAGCACTTGTCGACCCATCTGTCATGTTTCGTTCTAGTCATCGATCAAAATAGCTCCATCATCGTCATCCAGGACGATCAGGTCGACGTCATCGCCGTTGGTCTTCAAGTCTCCGGCAGCCTTCTTAGCAACGTGGCCGTTGGTCATGGTCGTGTCTTCGTCCTCGCCCTCACGCTTGCGCTTGCCGATGATGGCGTCACCGTTAGGAACAAGAGCATCCTCAGGGGGTGGAATGAGAGCCAGCTTGGGCTTACGCGGGATGTCCGGGATGCTTTGTAAGGAAATGGGCTTGGAGTCCTCACTTGGTTCAGTTCTGCAAATATCAGTCAGTAAAGAGCTTAAAGGACCCGCTGGCATGTAGAACGGACCGTGCACTGATGACAAGCTGTAGATCTATACGAGGATCTTGGTCCTGGTCATCATCATCCACGATGATGAGGAATGCCCAGTTAGTGACCCCCAAATTCGAGAGCTCAGACGGCAAGTTGTCATCCAGATCAGGATCATAGATCAAACTACCACCTTTCATGACAGCAAACTCTTCACTGTAGCCAAGTTCCTCGCGGAGAAGGCTGACCAGGTCTTGAAGCGTAGCACGCTCTGGGTCAAATGTCGCCCGTCCCTGGACAGGGGAGCATACTGGGCAACCGGGCTTGGGGGGATCCAGTGAATCGGAGTTGATTGCTCGTGCGCCGGATCGCTCGAGGAAAATCTGCAGTCACATGTCAAAAAATTGATAGAGATTCCGGCGGAAGATTGATTAATTACCATTTTGGCGCCTGCGAGGTTGTCTTGGAGAACCTTGAAAGCCTGAAGAACGCACAAACTTGCTGTCATAGCGTTGGTGGTAGCGATGGCAGGGATGATATTGCCAGCCATTTCTACTAGAAGTCAGTCTCCTGTTCCCATTTAATCTGGGTTCTGAACGGACGCTTGGTATCAAATTTGGACTTCGGTTCCAAGTGGAAGATAGTAGCCCGCAGATTGGCTGTTGCGGTCACAAAATCCAACGTATCCGTATCATCTTTGTCAAATGTAATGATAGGTTTCTCATCTCCGGATGATGCATTTGCTTGCATTTCCTTCAGACGTTTGGTGAGTCGATCGGCACTTTCATCATTCAGCCAAGCCACACATTTTAAGTGAACAACTCTTCTCACCTGTCTTTAAACACAGCAAAATTTTCTGCTAATGTCCACGCTCTCTGATCGGTAATCGAAATTGCGGGATCCACAGATGCAGATTCTTCTTGGAGCTTGTCGTAACCCAGTATGTCTGGCCTTGGGCGCTCTTTCCACATCTCTTCCATTCCGCGCAGTCGCTCAATGTCATCTCTGAAAACCTTCTCGAATACCTTGCGGCAGAAACCATCGGAACCCATGGAATTCCGTATCTCCTTCAAAGCATCTGCTTCCCTTCGAAGTTCCTCGATCTCTTGAGCTATCCAACAGTCAGTGTCGCTAATTGCAGTCATAGTTCCAGGCCCAAAACTGACCGTTGTCTGCATCTTCAGTAGTGTCAAGTTCCTCCGGGCTGTCTTCACTTTGCCCAAATAGCTCCCTGTAACGGAGTTAGTCGTATATCACACCGAGCAATAGACCAGACATACGGGATGAGGTAGTTCTTAGCCCATACGATACAGTGGATAGGCTGTGACGGATTACTGCGGATCGTGCAGATAGGAAATGATTTGGGAGTCTCTTTGTCATTGCAATCGTAACATTCAGTTTTCCCCTGTGGTTGTCAGTTGGATCCGAGCTGCGATAGGTAATCTCGTAAGGCTACTTACCTTTTCAATCACCTGGACCTGCCCGTTGAAGCCGGTGGTGCCACTCTCGACAAGAGGCACACCTGCGGCGAGACACATGCGGTTCACATGTCGGCGCGCGGCCAGGTTATCAAGCGCATTGAATACAATATTGAATCCCGCGAACCAGTCGACACTGAACTGCGAGTCCATTATGTTCGCATGATAAGCTTCCAGCTTTGCGCCAGGCTGGAACCGATGCGCAACTTCCTTCGCGACCTGAGATAGCATATATAAAAGGTCAGAAAACTCTCAGGGTATTCATGGGGGTTGCGCGGGGTCCGCGACGGGCGGTTCGCAAGGGAGGATCGAGATGGTTGGATGCAGGGCATACGCACCAAGGCCTTTGGTTTCTTGATATGTTCGTGGCGGAAAAGAAATTGACGATTCAGGTTGCTCAGGTCGATTGTATCGAGATCAATGATGTGAATCTCACCAAAGCCTGTGAGCACGAGGTTTTTGAGCAGCTCACAGCCAATGCCACCGGCTCCAACGAGTAGGACGCGCGACTAGAAAGAGAGGAAGAACAAGGTCAGAATCGGACCGCGGTAACCAATTTGCACTCTAGATGAGCTTCCACAACCGTGCAAGTATTCTTACCTGCTTGATGCTGTTCGTGAGCTCCACTCCGAGCGAGCGCTTGATCGAGCTGGCGCGCATGATTGCGAGCGCAGAGATAGTGACGTTAGAAACGTGTATCAGGAGAGATGAGCCTATCGGCCCATGTAATAGTGGACACTAAGTAGAGACAGGGAAGCGAGGGTCGGAGAAGGGGACGCGAATGAGTCGCGATACGAATGAAGGTGTTCGTGTGAGATCCCGGAAGCAGAGACCGGAACGTCGATGACGGCACAGCGGAGCCTCAAGTATTTTAGCGGCTCACAACTACTCCCTCTATTTGTTTTCCTTCAATGTTGGGCATCTTGCATAATTGTGATCGCGTAAATATCCCATTAAATTGTTTGTGCAATTCCATGCGACCTGTTGCCGGCACCTTACAGTGCTATGCATTTTACGGCGTGTTTGCGCTGGCTATGAAGAACAGCGATGTGCTGATCTATGGCGGAGCGATGGTCTGGGCCTGTTCCTGACTTGCTTCTGCTTTTGACCCTATCTCGAATGTTTCACACATTGTCATCATGCCATTCTTGACCTTGGGGTACAGTTCCAGCTACAATTTGCGGGTATCTGACCATTGTGGGTGAGGCCGGCTTTATATGCACATCGGCAACATTCAAGTGCCACAGTAACCTAAGGTGAGACACAAGCCACGAATAGTTAGCAGCTTTTACATTGCTGGATACCTTGTCACCCCTAAATTTGGATTATCGACTCCCAAAACTCGGACACAGGGCGCTCCTTGCACCTGCTTACATAATATGTGTGTCTATCCAGAAATCATTGAATTTTCTCCGTGGCGACAAAGGACAACCTTCGACTTTGCATTGTGCATGATCAAAGACCAGGCAATCTCCGAGCAGGTCTTCTGATCTTATAGTTCTCAATACATAGCCTTGGTGTGGGCTAAAACATTGCTGTGTGGCCACTCCCTTAGCACTGCATCTGGTCCCTGTCGCACTGAGCCCCACGAATCAGGGGGATATACACTCGCCTTTACTCCACTTTTGCATAACAACACAGCCATTGAATATGCCGTCTCTGGAAATTGATTCCGAACGGAGAGGCTCAGATGAAGCAGACCCTGAGCTCGTCGAACTGCTTCGCCAGCACCTTGGTCTGGGTGGAAAGACGAACAAGTCTGCTCCTCCAGAGACAAAGGTGCTTGAGGCTGCACAGTACATTTTTGATAATGCAATTGATGTTGCATTGAGTCCGGCGCAGGTAAAGGAGGCTGCTGAGACGATTTGGCGGTTGATGCAGAAGAAGGCGTACTCCACGCAGACATGGTCTGAGCATGAGCTGCACCCACAGGAGAAGAATGAGAGTACCGTGGACTTCATTTTCACGATGGATCTTTTGAACTTCAGCTTTTGGTCCGATGAAAAAGATGAATCAAAGAGATTCTGTATTGAGTACCGTGGCAGGAAGTGGACTGGATACTGGAGTCTGGTAGCTGCTCTGCAAAGAGCTCTAGATGAAGGTATGTCACAAATGATAGGCGCCTGGGTCTTCTAAATTAACAGATTATCTCACAGGCATCCCAATCACCACCCCTGACTTTTGGGTGAACGAGGCTGAATGCACCGATGAGGTCCTTGGACATGTCTTTCGATCTGCAACAGACGAGGACATCCCCCTATTTGAAGAGCGGGCGCGGTGTTTGCGTGAAGCTGGGGAAGTCCTCTGTAACGTACGTCTGATGCTGTCTTTCTCTCTACATGCATCACTAATCCACCCTTAGGAATTCGGAGGTAGTTTTGTCAACTGTATCGACGACGCCAACTACTCCGCCGCAGGCCTAGTCAATCTCCTAGCCGAGAACTTTGCCTGCTTCCGCGACGAAACGAGCTTCAACGGCAAAAAGGTCCGAATTCTCAAGCGCGCCCAAATTCTCGTCGCAGACTTATGGGCCTGCTTCAATGGTGAAGACTTTGGAGAATTCCACGACATCGATAAAATCACCATGTTTGCAGACTACCGCATCCCCCAAATGCTGAACCAACTCGGCTGTCTCCGTTACTCGCCTCCCCTGGACTCTCACATCCGTGGCTTGAAGCCTCTTACGCCAGGTTCGAACTGGGAGATTGAGCTGCGCGGCACGAGTATTTGGTGTGTTGAGCTGATTAAGCGTGAGATCGAAAAGCGACACCCTGAGGCAAAGATTGCCGGCAAGAAGGGGGCCACGTACTCGGACTTTGGGGATATGGAGCACTACGAAGGCAAGAAAGGATCCGCAGGAGAAAACTCCCACAAAACATATGGGATCAACGCCATCTTGATCGACTTCTTCTTGTACGATACGATGAAGAACCTGGAGGCGGAGCAGAATGAGAGTGTTCCGCACCATCGGACTAGAAGCATTTGGTATTAATTAGATGCATTGGGTATACGGTGTCGGCGATGGCGTTCAACGGGAAAAAAACCATGAATGCATTATCCCATGCCTGTATTGGCTCTGGAAGCTTGCAGGCATTGGGTGGAAAGGCGCTTCATATTGGCTACAGCGTATAGACTCAACGGTCTAGCCAGTTTTGTGGATTTTTGGATAGATCTGTGCAAATATAGCACATTTGAAAAAAGCGCATTCTCTTGTTCCGAAATTACGATTTCATTTCCATTGTAGGGTATCAAATGATTCTAGCGCCTGTTACCGTGTCCTTCATCCCACGCTAGCATGTAATTGAATCATGCAGCTGTAGATCCAACGCGAGACATGATATCTGCTTTCCATTCAATAAAGTCCTCCTGCGTTCCTCGCTAAGCCAATCCACACGATCCTGCATCATAGTTCCCAGACCAGGTAATAAATCACTGTGGGAAGCTTCGGGCTTCAAAGAACGAGACTTGGAAATGCCAGTGTCGTCACGACGCTTGGGCAATTTAACGCCTCGGAAGGCGGCATCTTCTTCGTCAAGATTGCGGTAAGAAATGCCCTCCTCATCCTCGCCATGCATTTCTCCCGCAAGTGGGATGTTCTCAAACCACTCCTGGCCGTGGGCCCAGCCCTGTTCCATGATCAAGGCAATCCACTGATCGACATCATCACGATGCCGTCTATCGGTAGGAAGATTCAAGGAAGTCAGGGCAGTTTGGCGCATCTCAGTGAAAGTCTTCTTGTCCATCTTCTGTGCCTCGCCATCTGTCTCGCCGTTCCCCTCAGACGACGCGGAGTTTCGTCGTCGAGCAAGAACTATAAAGTAGACCGCGACTACCATGGCATAGACGAGATCTTTGAACTCGGCATCATTTCCAGTAATAGAAACGATCGGGTCCAAGAACTCCAGTGTCTCTTCGTCGAAGCCTTCTTCGTCTCTGTCCATACAGGATGTCAAGTACAGGATGGACGAAACACCAGAGAAGATATGAGGGGGCAAAGTCCGTGAGATTGGAGGTCTAGACCAGGTGCTTGTCCGCGGAGCCGGGGTAGAAAGAGTCTTACAGACTGTGCGAATAGCGGTCATTGCCCATGCAGGAGCATCGGGAATAATTGTCGATTTGGAGACATCTCTAGGATGGCTTTGGATAGGTTTCCGCGGGGAATTAGAGGGTGAGCCTAGTCTGGCTGCGACATTGACACTCCTCTTCAAAGGCGTTGATTTGGAGGGTGTGTTCTGGAGGCCTCGTGAAGGGTTGTTGCTAACTGTTTTTGTAGGAGTGGTCTTCGCCGAATTACTGCGAGTCGGTGTTCCAGATGCACTTGCTGAACGCTTGAGTGCTCCGGCTCCAGATCCGAGAGATCGTTCAAGGTAAGAGTAGAGCTTCTTGTATACGCGCGGAAGACATGGGGGATGGCCGAGGAGCGGGGGAAGCTTGAGAGCTCGACTTAATCTGTTGATTGAGCAAGTCAGTAACATTTCGTTCTCAGGTTTAGCGGATTAGCCTACCTCCTGCAGGCGATCTCCGCGCAGGCATATGGCCGGGCGGCTTCTTCTTCGGGCTTCAAACTGCTTGAGAAGCTACGCGATTGGGCCACAAGATTCAATGCTAAGCTTAGAAGGTCCTGCGGCAGATCGTTCGCATGCGTAGGAACCAAGAGTCCCAAAGCTTGTTCGACCTGTCGGTTGTTCATTGTCGATGGGGTGCTTGTGCACGTCTAGCTCGAAGATATGCGGATTGCGGTGCTGAGTCAAGAAGGGAAGATGTTATTGGCGGTTGGAGGTTGCGAATCGCTTCAAGTATCCATTGTTTGCTTCTTTCAAACGAGATAGTGTTGTCTTAACCCTTGAAACGAAGTTGCGACAGTAAACAGCCAAGAAACCACGGCCGCAGATCCTGACTAAGCGCGATATCGACCGCCGCATCGATCTCGCCAATGGCTTTCTCACGTGTGTATTAACCTCATATACGGAGCTATCTCTACATCCATGTCTGTCACTGTAAGTGTGTCACTTATTATAAGCCTCTATGATCTGTTATGGAGCCCAATTTTCGATACATTGCTAAACATTTTGCCTCTAGCTCCACACTACGCAAGGTGACCTCAAGGTCGAGCTGTTCTGCGAAGCAGTACCCAAGACTGCAGAGAACTTCCTCGCCCTATGCGCATGCGGTGCATACGATGACACACCATTCCACCGCCTTATCCCTGGCTTCATGATCCAAGGTGGCGACATCTCCCTTGGATCAGCCGCGAAGCCTTCGGCCTCGACAAAACCTCAGCTTCCTTTCGAGATCCCCAAGGGCGGCACCTCAATATACCACCCCTCCGCGCTCAACCTAGAAATACACCTTCCGGCCCTGAAGCACAATGCGCGCGGCATCCTCTCCATGGCTTCTCGTCCCGTCAAGGATAGGACAGCACCAGGCTCGCAGAATGCGACTGGCCCAGCTATCAACGGCAGCCAATTCTTCATTTCCTTTGCGCCAGCGCCACATCTTGACGGTGCCAGTACTGTTTTCGGAAAGGTGTTGAACTTAAGTGCCCAGGACGAAGGCGGAGACGTTCTTTCCAAGCTGGAGAAGGCAAAGGTGAAGGTTGACAAGAAGGGCAAAGTTTCTCAGCCTAAGGAGGGAGACGACTTTGAGGCGCTTCGCATCAATCGAGTTACCATTCATGCAAATCCATTTGCTAAGTGAAGAGCCTCCGGAATTGACGCGGCCTGAATGGGCCGGTCTCCGAGTATAAAATTCCAGAAGGCTCACTAGGCAAGCATGCCTTCATGTCTTCGCTCTAGCGTTTGATTTCAAGATACCCAATCACTCCGAACTGACCGTATGCCTGACGGCATGACAGTGGTCGCTTCCAAGGTCACAGCGACTTACTCGGGACCAAATGACATGCTCCGCCGGACGGGTTTCTCCTGCTATCACGGTATCTGGCCGAAAAGACACCACCGTCCATATCAATCTGAAGCAGAGATCGGAACGATCTAGCCCTTTTTCTAGTAACACAGTTTTCTAGACTACTGTTGGAAGAATTGTATGATCAGACAGACAACTTTTATGTTCGTTACTCCCTAAACATCCCAATCACCACCGGATATCTATAGAGAAAAATCAATGTATACAACAAAGACGCCGTCATGCAACATCGAAAAAAGGAAAACGTTCGCATCATGAATGGATATCAAATCGTCATAAGGAAAAGGTCAACCGAGAATATCATCTCATGACTGCTCCTCTGCCTCAGCCTTCTCAGCAGTGGCCTTCTCGGCCATCTCCTTCGCGTGATCTTCCTCATAGTTCTCAGTCTTCATATCCTTGAGACCAAGCTCCTCCTCCTCTTCCTCGGTGCGAGTATATTCTTCGGTGAAGATCTGCTCGTCCTTGGCAGGAGAGCACAGATCCTGAACGTAACTGCTAGCCATGGGGTCCTCGAGGGTAAGAGTGAACTTGATCTTGCCAGCGATGGCATCATTGAGCTTGTTGAAGAAGCTGTCCCACTTGTTCTTCTCTTCGGAGGCCATGCTGTCTCCGGCGCCGGAACCAACGGCGTCGAAGATATGGTCGTGCAATTGGTCGCGGACCTCGGTGAGCAAGCCCTCGACGGTAGTGAAACGTCCACCGAGACTGCCGCTCTGGACTGTCAGGTCGAGTTCCTCGCTAGAGAGACAGCAAGTGTCTGACTTGAGAATGTCTCGGCTCAAATCAACCTCGTTCTCAACGGACAATTTAATGCGCTTGCCCTTCTCGGGAACTTCGCCACCAGTCTTGATGTCGCTGTTGCGGTAGCCGCAGCCATCCATCTTGATCCACTTGCCTCCCTCGCCGGGAACTTCACCACCGCAAACAGTGCTGAAGAGCAAAACTTGCTTGAAGTGGGGAATATCGACAGACTTGCAGTTAACCACGCAAGGTCTGTAGCAAGCGGGGCACTCGGCCGGGAGAGTATAAACCTGGTTATTGACGATCTCGGATTCGAAGTCCTCGTCCTGGGTGGTAGTGACCTCGTTCTGGGCGGCGTTGGGGTCGTTCGAAATGCCCAATTCTTCATTTTGCTCGTGGGTGCGGAAGTATTCGCGGCGCTGGTACTTCTTGGCGTGATCCTGTCCGATCGAGGGGGCGATCCAGCTATTTCCGGTGTAATCGTCCAGGCTAATGGTGAAGGGGAACCCGTTACCCTCCAGTATATCCTTCAGCTTGTTGATGATCGGCTCGAGGGCATCGTGGAGTTCCGGGGCCTGCTCCTTACGGGCGGGCTGGTCACTAGCCAGACCTTCGTGGATCTTCTGGATCAGACCCTCGACATTTGTCAATTGCCCGTTGCCCGGGGGCGCCTCAATACCCAAAGTATCAATCTTGAAGGTGGAGACATCGCTCTTGACGACCTGTTTCTGCATGTCGTGCTCATTTTCAATGACGACGGTGTATGAGCAACCCTTCTCCTGGATCTGACCGGCGGATTTGATAGAGTTGTTCTTGAAATGACAGTGCTCGCATTCGAAGGACTCGAGGATAACATCGCGGAAGTAGGGAATGCGAATGAGTAGAAGACGGGTTTCGCCCTAAGCAACTATGATTAGCATGAATCATAGATTTGCGCGCGCGTCGCATGGGGGTTTCGCTTGGGGAAAAGACTCACATTCTCGTGGCAGTTCATACACATACTCTCAAGCTGCATGAGACCGGTGTCATCATCGCGCTCAACCAGATCACTGGGCTTCTGGAACATCTGCTCGTCGATCATCTCATCCATCTTTTCCTCGGCAGACATTCTGGCGATGTTTTTGAGGGTCAAAGAAGAAGGTAGCAAAACCAAAGAAACTAAAATATCCCCTCCGAAGCAAAGCGAACTGCGAACAGATGGAGTGTGGGTAAGTTATCTAAAAGACTTATCGCCCAAAAAAAAGTTCTCCAGCGCCCGCCAGAACATTCCTGTTCGTTCTGCGGGGCTTGGAGGGGTTTATGCAGCTGACTCAGCTATGTTTTTATCCACTTTTATACCTGTTCTATCATAATTCACCTTTCATTTCGACTTTCATTTCGACTTCATATCACGAAGCTAGGAACTAAGGATATACAGAAACAATGCAAGTCTACCATATATGAGCCAGTCGAGGTTTTCACGTTCTTACAAGTCGCCCCAACCGGTTCGGCACCATGTGTGTGGTCGCGAGCTACCTTATAACTGGTCCAATTGGTGGGAACAGTCAGTAGTGCAGTTTACAAAGAAATCTCAAAGATGAATGGGATTGATGCTGGAAGCCGGCAAACAATGTGTCAAGTTTTCTGCAGTAGTAGTTAGCCTCTCTTTCATGGGAAGGTTCGAGTTGGGGTACTTATAAAAAAAAAGGGGGCCGTTTCCAACCACCGAGGCAGAGGGAAACGGCTGTTCACCAGCCTCGCCCGTCTAGCGCATTCTGCTCCATGTCGAGACGACTCCCAAAATGCCAATTCCAAGGGATCACTCAGCTGTTCCTTGATAGCCAAAGACACAAGATACCTGCCTCGTTGCGCGAGGGCTCATCATTGGCCAACCCAGAAAGCAAGCTCCCAGTGCCAATACATAGCACAGAAAACAGCGTGGACAAGCCAAAGCTTTGATCCTCACTCGAGAGAGGTCCCATGGTGTTTCCTGTATGTTGCATACGTGTTGAAAGCTCGAAGACCTAACGACCAGGACTGGCCAGAGCCAAGGGAAAGCAAACGAGGCGACTGATAGATTTGAGACTGCGGCCAGAACAACTGCGACCGATTGAGGTTGAACAGACTGGGAGTAGAAAAAGGGGAGTTGAGGAATGACTGGGTACAGAGCGAAGCATGGTGAACGCAATTTGCAGTGTCCCCATCCACACACAGCCGAGAAGACATCCGGAAGCGGGTCATGTCTATCAATTTATCAAATCCGGCTTGCGAGACCGCCGTTTCCTAAGAACTGTCCAACCCGCCGAGCATTCGCACGGACATCCTGTCAGGAGCATGAAGCCGATCTCTTGTGCGTGGTACAGTACCCTCTGGGACGAGTTTTTGTTTCCGCTCCTGCTCCTTCCGAGGATATTCACAGGAGGGCGTATTTTGAAGCGCACAAAGAACATCCAGAAAAAATCGCTCCCTACTCTCCAAAGAGAGGAACAAAGATTGGCAGTCAATGTTGATGTAGCCGGCGTCCATCGATCGATTTGCAAGGAATTTACAAAGAGATGGTTGACGCGAGTAGTCTGGATCTTCCAAAGAAGCCGAATCGATGGCGGATGCCGTAATTCGAGGTGCCTAGCTGGCTTGAGGCAGAGAAACAGCACGAACCCAAGAGGTAAAAAGTAGGGGCCAGATGCCCAGGCATCTCCGTTGTAAGAACAAGTACGGGACGGAAGACAGTTATCGCGAACGGAAGCAAGGAAAGAAATGCGAACGAACAAGAACGAAAAACACCAATCTTGATAGGGGAGATCCATTGCTGGCCGGAACATGACAACAAACCAGAGACCTTGATGCCTTCTTTGCAGAGGGGCATTCAAGGGCCATGATGACAGAAGAAGCAAGAAGACCTCGCGACAGTACCATCTATGAAGCCTGCCTGGGCAGTTCCAAGGAGATGATATTGATTCCGGCGAGTGGATCTTTCTGGATCGCTGACATCACGGCGTGTGTGATGGTAATTGTTGTGTTCTAGGCGCCGGACCTCTAGACCAAGCAGATTGATGTCCCGGGTATTCGAACTCGATCGTCACACTAAAATCCTATCCGCTGCACTGTCATGTTGATCCTCCCAAAGACAACCCCTGATGCTGAGGTGCCCGACGAGCTCCACCCACTTTTTCTCTTCAAATTCGAACCGCTCACAGCATAGGTCAACCATCCGATTGTGACTAACATGCAAATTCCAGCATAAGAAAACCGACGCGTGATCCGTGAGGACTCATTGCATAGTTGACCGTCTTTTGTGCCGCGAGGCTCTGGAAAAGTCGAACAACTTTCGTACCCTCAGTCCATCATAGACCAATTCGACTAGTCATAGTATCCGGCATGCTTTTCCCGCGAAACTTTGTCACGAAGACAATCCGACTGGGCTGGGCTTAGGGTTAGATCGCGACGTCATCACGCCAAATGCAATCACATCAGATCGACAGAATCGAAGAGAAATGATTTGCAACTGACTGCAATTGAATGCAGAGATGGGTATCGGATCAAAAGAAGGAATAACTGTACATGGTGCCTCGTGAGGCAAGAGACTGGTGGCTCCACACTCAAACAAGACGAACGGTAGAACTTCGACGCGTGTTCAACAAACCTTCGGTTCAACGACGGTGCCGTGCGTCAAGCGAGATTGGAATAGACAGATTGAAAAGACGAAGCCATTACGAATCGTAATTCTCGGGAGTGTTGGAGGAAGGGAAACAAAACAACTGCGATTGGAGAAAGAAGAGGAGCGCGAAGGCGCGCGCAGTATGCACATCAAATGCCAGCGCGACTCACGTAGTCATGTGACTGACGCGCTTTCAGCGGGTTACATAATCACATTCTACAACGGACCGCCTGCTTCTTTCGTCTTCGCAAGAGGGATGATATCAAACTACTGGTCGTGGTTGAGGGAAATTCTTCACAGTAATTTAATGATCATGCGTATCTCTACACATTCATGATGGGAGATCTCAAACTTGTCCAGGAGGCATTCGATGCAGCCGGCGACTTTTTGAGCCCCGTGCTAAATCGAGGCATGCCACTTCCAGCTACGACTATTTTCATCTTCGGAGGCTAACTGTGTTGAAGAGGAAATCCAAAAGTCCCAGGGAAGGTCACTGCTCGAGATCTTGAACCGGACCTCGGAACTCTCGAGATCCGATGATGGCGACGCCAGGTCGACCGTCATCTATCGGGCCTTAGACATCTTGCATCGGATCCACACGGCTTTTGTTACACCAGTCGGAAGTCAGTCCGAGCCTCAGCCAGCCGCATCCTCACAAGGAACTGCAGATCTCGAGGATGCGAAGCGACGCCGTATCCTACATGCCCTGCTGGACTTGATCTCCTTAGAAGGGATCTACCCGTCGTTGTCCTCGGGAGTTGGCATTCCTCTACAGCAAAGAGTGATATCCGTACTACCGGCTGGTGTTATCGCAAAGCAGGCACATTCACTGGCAAGCAGTATTCCTCATGATAAAGACCTTCTTCAACATGTTATGACTATTCTTCTGAACATCCTTTTGGATTCCAGACCAAGCATCCAGCCAGTTATCCGAGGTCGCATTCTGAGTGATATAATTAGTGGCGCAGCGGATCTAGCGTTCAATCCAAATCTAGCCTCAACCTTGGACCAAACCAAGTTCCAGGATGGATTCGCCGAGGTCATCGACCAGTATGTTTCAACCCCGTTTGGAGGCCTTGCAGGTGCTGACATACTCAAGGACTGCAAGTGTGATGTTGCTGCCCACGCTATCCAACTTTTTGCAGTCGGATACTACACCTTGGTTCAAAGCGGCCATTTCAAGCCAGATATCTCGTGTGCCACTTCGCTCAGGTGGTGTCTTACAAACCATAATGTTTATCGCCTCGCAATTCGCGCCATCACTGGGACAAGAAGCCCAAACCGAGCTTTCTGCAGGCCCACATTTCACAGTGCAAGCTATTATGCAGATCTCGCGACTCCTTTCCTCCGTGCCACTGGGCGTTGAACCGGTGTCGTACTTCACTGCCATCGCTCCTCAGCTTCTCACACTACTCGATGGGCCGGATCCAGATCTCAAGAAGACTGTGTCTTATGCTATCGGTAATGGCATATTGGGGAAACGCGCATATGGTGTTCCTGGAACTATAGGCCACTCGATTTTCCTTGAGCCTCTCTTTGGAGCACTGACGGCCGAGCTCAACGACGTTTCAGAACGGTGGATGGTACAATCCTCGGATATGGAGGGTTCGTCTACACTAAACACACGAGAATCATCAACAAACGCTCTTGTGAACGGCAGCATGGTCAATTTGGCAATCAAGAGGCTTGAAAGCCTGGCCCTACAACATCCAAATCCAGGTCTCGTAAAGAGGATCGTGTATCCGATTCTTCTTCCATTGTGGGGCCTGGCATGCTATGCCAAAGAGCATGATCTAACAGATTTTCACGAAAGAATAATGGCCTTGCTGAAAACGTATTTTGGCATTTCGGTTGGCGTTCAGCCACTCAAGAAACTTGTCGATCATCTTCTCTGGGACGGTGGCTCAACATGGACCTACTTCACAGAGCCAAAAAGGCAAATAGCACTGACAAGACGAACGAAACTTGAACGTGATCGAACAAATATCATCAAGTTGATAGATTCGCTCCAATGTCGGACTGATCTCTTTGTTAGTCTGCTAGGCTCAGACCCTAGTAGTGAGGAACGAACCGGGGATATTTTCCTCTACGTGAGCGAGCGTTGGCTGGTTCAGCCTCAAATCTCCGACAATGGTGCCAAGACTCAGAAGCTTGGTGAATCAGACGATGTCCTTCAAAAGCTGATCAGCGCCAAGTTGGCAGAAAAATTGCTTGACAACTTCAAAGATACCTTGTCTCGCCGTCCGATGCGAGTCTTGGAACTCATCAAGCAAGTCATTGATGGAGAGCTGCGTCGACTGAATTCCAGGGCCAGGCAACGTGATCACTGGACTGAAAATGTGTCGCTCTCTTCCCTTTCCAATATCGTATCCGGCCAGAAGGAGCAAGAGGATACTTCTGACAAGGAGTCATCAGAGTCCTTATCAACCGCTTTCAGCTTGCTATCAACCGTACTGGCATCCCCTGAATTTTCCACTTCACAAGAGACCAAGCCGTTGCTCGAATCGGTCAAGAGTCATCTTGACCAGCTAATTCCACTTCTCTCGCCGGCTATGGCCAAGCCAGCAACAACCTCATCAATGCTGCTCGAGATCCAACTCACGTCGCCAGAGCATGATGGTTCGAAACCAACACCTTCTCATGTCGCCGACCTTGAGACACATCGCCAAGCGTTGGTGAATCTCAATTCGAACCTGCCACCCGTCCAGGCCGAAGGTTTCTCATTGCTGTCAAAGTTGATCATAAGTGGATCGCCTGTACTTGATATCCCATCAACGTTGACACTTCTTCTATCCGTCATTACTGATATGTCCGAGTCAACCGCAAACGAAGAGTTTATTTACCTGAACGCGATCAAGCTGATCGGCACATTGGCATCGAGGCATCCACGGACGGTGATGAAGACTCTGGTGGACAGCTATATCGACAAGAAAGAGCAAAGATCTCTAGACTCACGTCTGAGGCTTGGTGAGTCTCTGTTGCGCACCGTTCAAGACCTGGGTGATGCCTTGACAGGTGACACCGCCAAAATCCTCGGCGACGGTATGGTTGCCCTGGCAGGCCGCCGAGGACACCGACCCGAAACGCAGAAGGGTCGCAAGGAGCAACTCGAAAAAGAGCAGCGCCGAAAGGAGCGAGAGGAGCGCAAGCAAAAAGAAGCTGTTCTGCCAGCAGGATGGTCGATCCCGACTGATCAAATTCCACCAAAGCTTGAAGAGGAAAAGGGGCGATGACTCTGACACAGAGTCTCCTGAACAGGTAGTACACGCTGCAAACATCGTTGCAGCATGGGCAGCCGGTGCATCAACAGACGAAGAGCCCGACGACCTTCGCGTCCGTGCATCGGCCCTTTCTATCCTCGCCTCTGCAGTGCAAACCAACATCCTAGGTCTCGGCCCATCCGTTGTCTCATCGGCTGTGGATCTCGCCCTGGCCACTCTCACCCTGGAACCTGCCCCAGAGAGCGCCATCCTCCGTCGCGCAAGTGTAATCCTCCTCCTCGACATATTGAAAGCATTAGACGCCGCTCGCGAAACAAGACACGGCAAGGATGTTGGCTTCGGCTTCTCCCTTCACGATGACACGTACAGTTTCGGTTCACAAGACCAATCCGGCGGCCTAGTCACTGTCGGAAATATCCCTTCCATGCTGCGCACGCTGGGCTTCGTTGAAACGATCGAGACAGATTCGATTGTACGTGGACATCTTCGTGCACTGATCGAGAGCCTAGAAGCCTGGCTGGAGAAGTCGTTGATGTGGGGAATCGGTGCCCAGCGAGATGACGAGCCACATTTGGAGATTGGAGATCGGATCGCTGGGTTGACCGTGAACCCAATGACTGGGCGAGGCGACTCGACGAGGCCGAAGATCGAGGAGATAGAGTAAACACGCTCCACACATCCGTTTCCTTTTTCCAAGACATATGTTATCTTGGTCGAACCTCGAGGCTGGTTTCAACGTGGTTTAAGTCGGGTTGTAGGGGTTGGCCAGATTGGTTCAGCGTGACCTGCGTGAGTTTACAGAGACACGATATTGATTTCTAGATGATACAGTCAAAAAAAAATATTTTTTTGTTTTGATTTAATTAAATCTCGTCAATCCCACAATACACGTGCTCAGTAGGAGATTCTTGCTCTGTTCAATATATTCCGGGACATCTGTGATGTCGTTGAAAAAGGGAAGTCGTCGCATGCCGAGTCAATTTTGGGTGAGGGGCAACACTATCACACATGTTTCCCACGTACCCAAGGCGCGCGGTGATAGTTGCCTTTTTGCATTTCCACGGCTTTGATGACTTCGTTAGTCTCTCGTGGGAACCTCTCGGTCATCTTCGCATACAGAGCATAGTCATCTCGTAAGTAGGAAACCCCGCCTCAGAATCCTGTAGCCCTGATCATGTCAAGATGGACTGCAACAAATGGGCAGCTCAGATACAACTACAAAGTCCCGGGCTTTCAATTGAGATCCTCACAAGTGGATCAAGTGAGAAAACACGATATACTGTCAAGACGAGCAGCATGCGATAACCTGCCTCAGAAGCTGGATGAATTATGTGCTCGAGATATGCACAAAACTCTGCAGAAATGTCAAGGTCTTGCCCCTTGCTTTCTCGTAAGATTTGAAATCCTTTCTGTTTCAATCTTATCAATCCAATCTCCTCCTCCGTAAAAACATGCCATGTTCGCCTCGTTCTTCTGGGCATTTACTGTCGGTTCCCGGGCTTCAAAGAGATGAACTCTTTTTTTATCTCCAATTTCTAGAATATTGCCCAGACATAGATTCACTTCAGTCGACGATACCCAATATCGCGAATCTCAAAGAGAATATCGCAGTCGCGGAAATTCTGATCAGTACTAGTGCATGGCCTGGCTCGATTGACAATGTGGTACTTGGTATCTCCACGGCCGTCTTTACGATGGTTCAAACGGTAGCGAACATGGCACAGATTGAGAAAATTGCCGATCAATATGGGAAGGACGAAGAGAAACAACTGGCCGAAGAGATTATTATGGCACTGTTTCTTGTTGTACCGGTTCTGGGAGAGATCGATCTCATTTCTGAGAGTCTGGAAGGGTTGGCGAATATCATCAGAATGGTTGGTGATGCGAGTATGTTGACTAATAGTATCTACGACATCGCAACCCCTGATTCTGGCACAATTGTGATGAGCATTTTTGGCACATTGCTTCTAGGAGGTGTGCGTACTATTGAGGATTTCAACAAAATGGGTTCGCTGCGACGGAGTCTCACTGCGGATGATATTTCGAAAATTGGTTCAGAATGGGAGAAGTCTGACACTAAAATGAAAAATCTGATTAGTGTCTGTGTCTAATAATACGAGAGATATACAGAGGAAGCAGTGCAGCCATGGCGTTAGACAAATCATATCACGTTCACATGACGTATTGTCCATCATGATCAATAACCTCTAGAGTGCCCAGAGGCATGCAAAGAATAATAAAGTCATGCCGATATCTCAATAAGCCTATTCTGTAACACGTCGGCTAACTAACGGATGACGCATGCCAGCCGTAAATGATGGCTTTTCATGACTCGCGAATGGGAAAATGTTTTGCTACAGCTTAGCAAATTCCGCCCCAATTTCGTAGGAGCATCGCTAGAAATAGGAATGGAGTATCTTTCCTGTGGATCCTACAAGAGTCCAAGAAACACCTTGTCTGTCTGGAAACAGACAATGATCAGACTTTTTCTTGCATAACCCTCAAAGTTATTTACCGTTATTTACCATCCTATAACAATACAAAGCAAGCTTCAAACATATCCTTTCAAATAGCTTATCAAGCTGGAGAAATATCATACTTCGAAATTCTGTAATTAGTTTTTCTTGTAGAAACCCGAAGGTAAAGAGCTTATTATAAGTATGACTGATCATCAAGTAACAGATCTTGTCGTCTGAAGAGCTTGTGCTGTCTTAGTACATAAGCATTCTTAAGCTCCCGTTGACCTGAGATAACGTATCAGGATCCAAGAACTTCGAGCTTTCAAAATAAAAATTTTTCTTCTATCAGCCACCTATAGGCTTGGGAATACTGACTCAGTATTCGAGTAGTTAGCCGAAGCCGATTTCCCATACAGCTTGGAGGCCCAATGTACCAGATGACTCGTAGGACGGCAAATTTTGGCACTTGAGAAGACTATGGTGAGATATATTTGCTCTTGGATTCTTCTGACATGATACATCTCCTACATACATGGGGTCATTGAGTCAGGACAGACCAGATAAATTGTCGAGTCTAGAATAACGCAAAAGAGTGGTTCATGCCTGGATTAAGCACGAAGAAGGGCATGGAGGACGCATGAATATCGTGATATCGCATCGAACGCAGATAAGAAATAATCTGGAAAATCCAGGCGTAAGCGAAGGGGTAGCATTAAGCAATCTGTGAAGGGACATTAAATTGCGAAATAACGTAAAGATAGTCTTTTCAGAGACGACCCTCTTACTTGAAAAATACTACCCCCAAACAAACCAGAGTTTATCGATCCCAAGGAGTTAGAGGGATGCACTAATAGGCCCAATCTCTGCATGCAACCGAATAGAAAATAAAGGGGAAGTGGGAAGTGGGAAGACGGCGTGCCCGATTAGGTTGTCAAAATTACAGGGCGCAGCAATGAGTAGGTAGACGGGAAGGAGGCAAAAAGAGCTGAGTTCTGATGTCCAACAGCGCGAGACGCGGGTTTTGCAAAATATCGGAGTGACGGAAAGGGAGATTCCTTGACGGCACATTGAAGCACCAAATTAGAAAAAGCAAAACAAGCCAGAACAGGCAATTCACAGCTCCGCCGTTTGAAACAAAACAGAGCAAGTATACATCTCAGTGTGTTTCTCATCTTTTCTTCTGTCACAGCCCACCACTTGAATGTTTCGAAGTGAAAAAGTTCAAAAAGCAAGGTATTTGACACTGCCACGTCAATGTTAGGCTAAACGCCGAGCGTAGCCTTTCTCGGGATAGCCCGAGGGCTTATTATGCACGACGGCCGACAGGGCATCTAATTGATCACCATAATAAGTCCCATTTTAGCGCCGAGACGTCTGCAGACTACTTCAAGCATGGTAGCCCCAACTTTCGGACGCTCTTACAAGCACCGCCTTCCATCAGTCCCCGGACTTTGGAACCCCGCTGAGCCAAAGATACCCTCAGCTTTATAGGCCTGGTTTGGGCATGAAAATTCCAAGTCGCTGAAGATGTCTTCGAAAGGATCTTTCGCCAGCGGCAGCCAAGAGCTTTTCTCGGAAAAATCGCCCGTATCCGGGACTTTTTTACAAACAGAAGCGGTTCATGTGTTGGAACGAAAGCTTGGTAGCGACGCTGAACGGACACAGCGTTTATACCATATTGACCGCGTTATAGGAATTGGAGAATACCATAGTCGACTCTCAACATTGGAAAGTGAACTTCCTGTAAGACCCAGAAGATCTTCAAGACATCTCGGAGAGACTAAATTCACACAGACTCAAGCTGATTCTTCACAACGTATATTGTATGAGCATCATTCCCACTAAATCAACTTCTGTTTAACATATCAACACAAAGGTTTGCAACCACCGAATCTATCGATAGCTGGATATCCAGAGGAAACCATGGCTTTTTTCCGGATGGATTTAGCCTAGCCGTATCAAGAAACCTCAACGGTTCCTCTGGATGTGAATATCGTCGACATGTTAACGGAGAGGTTGTTGCCCACGGTCGCGTACCCACCCCTTTATCTGGTCTTATTAGCCTCTTAAAAACACATGTACTGATACTCAGCAGACTCATGGGTCCAGTTCAAAATCAAGCGTGTCTTCCGAGCCTCCCGATCTTTCCGAACATACGATCAGTGGATCCAGCTTGCGATGTTTGTGCGACAGGACTATAGCAGATCAAATCAACTAATCATTTTTGTCGACTGTCCGGAACATCTTCGTGAGAAATTCTCTGCCATGTCTGCTTCAATCGGGCAAATGCACTCTTTCGGGTGGTACGCAGTCTTTGTCCAGGAGATCGGCAAGCTGTTCGACCAGGCGATCTGGGAAATACGAGGTATAGTCTGGGATATTGAAGCGGTAATCTCGAGCAACCTTTTTCCTGGTTTACTGCTGCAGTTGCTAACCGTATAATCTCTTACAGTATCATAAGGAGATAGAAACTTTTCGACCAGAATTCCTCTTCCTTCATGATATCGCTCGGCACGTCAGCCACTCGAAGGAAATTCTCGACGTCGCTTTGGAAACTGTTGACAGTCTAATATACGAGAACGAAATGCTCGTTCAGACAAAACCCTCTCCTTACACCGCAAGGCCATGGGACTTTGAGGATATCAAACGCCAGTTGTATTTTGGGAGAAAGAGTATATCTGCGACAAAGCTTCGCTGTGTCTCGCTGAGTGAACGACTTCAGAATGAGATCAACTTGGTATGTCTAACCCAATGACATTCTCACAGAATCGTTGAGATCTTCGGACTGAGTCGTATTAGGCATTCAACATTGTCGCCCAAAGAAACAACGAAGTCTCACTCCAGCTCGCCAAACACTCACTCAGCGACAACACGATGATGAAGACGGTGGCAATCGTGAGCATGATCTATCTACCAGGGACATTCGTATCAGTGAGTTTTAATTATTCTGTCCATCGTTCTCAGCAACTAACCATTTTAGGGAATATTTGGCATGAGCTTCTTTGACTACAACTCAGAGAAGAAGAGGCTAGACGTCGGCACCGACTTCTGGCTATACTGGATAGTTACGATCGCTCTTACACTTGCTACAATGGGCATTTGGCTCTTATGCTTGAACCAAAATCCGATCAAGGATTTTGCTACGAGAAAAACTGAAAAAATGAGGTCCGCGGGAATGGCAAGAAGCTAGGATACTCGGCCAAGTGAGTTGCACATCGGATATACAATTATGGCATTGAGGCAATATGATCGAGTAGACGTCTGAATAGAGATTTGTTATGAGTGGCTTTGTTTCACACAGGACAAGAAACCTCTCCCAATTCATTGAGTCCTTGCTCTCGCGTACATGTTCATCAGCCGTGCATGAGATCCCTTTTGGCAGTCTTTGAGCTCGTCTGCATAGCCCTCGTTTAGGAAAAATTCTTCAAGGGTTTCGGTACGAATGCATGGGAGGACAAATAGAATGAAGAAGAAGAAATAAGTCTTAAGACATTTCGAGAGTAAGCTATCCTTGATATTTCCTCATTGACTCGATTTTGCAATAATGCTCATTGAAAGGTCTTGAACACTTGTTTCAACCTGCGGATTCAACAGCAGGCACAATGAGAATGACTTCATTCGGCTACCTGCTTATCCAGAAATCCCCTTCACAATGATTTGGATCAAGGCTGAACTAGATTGGTTTTGAATATCCATGTGTAGAAGTCTGGAATAAAGATTAGTGACCTCCACCACGGCCTCGGCCACCACGACCTCCACGTCCTCCGCCACGTCCACCACGCCCACGGCCAGGGCCACGATCACCACCGAAAGAACGATAGTTCACAGGACGAGGGCCGGCATCATGTCTGGCAATGGCCTCTTCCTCCGAAATCTTAAAGGGGTTGGGAATCTGGAGCAATTCCGTGAACTTCGTGGTTTGGATGTTGCTATACTCTAGCGGTTGATCTGAAGTGGTTATCGGGACCGAAGGATCGTATTTCGGGGCGCTTTGTTCGAAATTGCAAGGAACATCCATGAGACCCTTCTGCACAAGGTTCTCTTCAACCCATTGCTCCTGCTCCAGAATTCTGCGGAGGTACTCTTCCTCCCCGAGATTCGCAGGGACGGGAACTGTGGGTTCGCCAATGCGGATATCACCGGCAAAGACACGCGTGATTGCGAGCCATTCCTTATCGTACTGCAGATGGTAAGGTCTTTCATACTGTAAAGAGCCCTGATCCGAGATGGGATGGATCTCCACGAGCTGGAGATACGGATCGCGGTTATTGGGTTTATCAAGGGCCAAGAATCGAGTGAACCTATTCTGAATCGCCGGCGGGTGAGTCATTTTGACTTCTCGAGGTGAGGAAGCGATTGGACGAGAAAGACTAGCTGGGAGACTGTTCCGTAAGGTCTGATCCACTTCGGATCGAGACTCGGTGGTACCATCAGTAATCTCAGACAAACCCACAGGCTCCATGTTCAGATCAGCATGGGCCAACGTGGAGACACCCTGAGGAGTCTTCCGAGGTGCAGATGACATGCTCTCATTACTCGACTCCAGACTGATCTCCTCGTTGTTCTGAACCTTGGCATCTTGACGCAATTCAAGCGTTTTTTGGGGGACTGCTGTCTCAAGATCGTCATCGCTAGATCCCAGGTCAATCTCCTCTTCGTTCTGCACCTTAAGTCTCTCTGACAGCAAGGAAGTGTCCATGCGAATGGTATTATCATCACCGACGGCGTCACGATCATCATCACTAGACTCCAAATGGATTTCTTCTTCGTTCTCGACTTTAAGCTTTTTTGTCGGCGAGGGAGCATCCATGCGAACGGCAGGATCGACTCGGCGGTCACCGTTATGAAATGTCACACGCTTCCACTGGGTCTCGGGAGCTTTCATAGTTCGAGATCCGGCTTGTTGAAGTTCCTCGCGCAGTTTGAGCGTTGCATCAACCTCTGCCTTGCAAGCCATTGGCTGGAAATTGTTCCAACCAGCAAGGCGCTCTGCCTCGTTACCGATGGCTGAGGATTTGGCTTTCATTTCAGCATTGGGAGCAGTTGAGGTCGCATCGAGACCCAAATTGTCTGGGTGCAGAACCTTCGTGTTCAAGTTGCCATCCAGATCCGTAAAAGCAGAAGAGTGAGCCAAGGTAGATGGGACGTGTGTTGTAGACGAATCAGCGACGTCGACAACAGCCCACTCAACGGGCTCGCCAGGAGTAGGATCAGTCTTCTGTAAGGTCACGCCATCATGAGGCATGGTGGCGGCGAATTGAACATGCAAATGGGCTGACAGCCAGTACCGAGGCCTGAGACGTTCCACGACTTGAAGAGCAGCGTTGTTGCCTAATTTTCCTGTGATTGAATCCTCGCGGAGGAAGGGCTTTCTTCGGAAGAGGCTTTTGGAATCACCAAATTTCTCGATACCACGAATCCAGTCATGACTCAGACCAACATCCACTTGGGTACGGACCTGGAGCAGCTTGCGGATGTCAATCTCCCGGACATGGTAGATGCTACCACGATCATCGTTGTTGTATGGGAGGCGCTCGGAGTGAGGCTTACGATAATCGTAGCCTTTCCAAATACCAGACATTCCAGAGATTCGCACGGGACCTAGACGGATGACGTTGGCGGCTCCCAGGAAGTAGATGTTGGGGCATGCCCAGCCGCCGTAGTGGAGCTCGCGGAGGTAGTTGCTTGCCTCGTGATTTCCGCCCACAAAGATGGTAAGGTACGGAGCTGTGAGCTGGCCAGAGTAGTAATGAGCGAAGTCACCAAGTTTCTTGTACTTGTCAGGCATTTTGATGCATGTCGCATCATTGCAGTTGCGCAGAGTCTGTTCCATGTTAGATGGGAGCTTCTCTTAGAGTACAAGACAAACTTACCTGAGTATCACCGCCTAGGATGACAGCATCGACAGTGTCCCAGCCTCGCTTCTCACACTCAGCCTTGACATCAGCATATATTTGGTTGAGTGAGCCATGTACCTGAGGAAGTCAGTATCAAAATTCAAGTTCATCGCAGACTCCCATGGGGGGCACTGACACACCCGACGACCGCGAAGCGGGGTGGGTAAGGTTCAGCCATGACTGAAGGGAGAATGGAGGAGGTGAGGGCCACGATGTTGATGGTGACGGTGAGTTGACAATGAAATAAGAATCAGATCGGCCTCTGCAGAGGCGGAAATGACGGATAGTGCGCTCACTGCAGAACGGGCGTTAGCATGGTCAACTTGAAGAAAAGACCAAAGGAGAGTGAGAAACAGAAGAAAGGACGGAGCTGTTTCGCGGGGGACCGAGGTGAACAGCGGATGAGCGAGGTCAACGATGAGGTTTAAGTGGTGCCGTGATTCTCAGGCAAAGATTTGCACCACTTGAAATGTCCTCTCTCTTGATCTCGATTGGGCTTTTCTGCTCTTGTGCCACTATGCTTTGGTCGCCCATTTCGGCTCTATCATTCCTATTTATTCTCACTCGACAATGCCACCTATTGAGTCCCCCCAATTGCGTTTTCTTAGTGAAGCTGCACTGCTCTTAGGGTCGCGCAGCCCGTCCACGTCGGCGCATCTGTTAGATGCCCATACCCGTATCCTCCACAACGACCACAAATCTCTCAATGTGCGACAGCAGAAACATCACTGTGGAGCTTGCGGTAGCCTTAGGAAGTTACAATCTACTCTAGTTGATGTTAAACCCCGAAAAAAGTCTGCGCCAGGCTCCGGCGCAAAGGTGTACAAGTGTGCGCGCTGCCAGCAGCGCACTGTGATCCCGAGCAGGAAGACAGTACCAAAGCGTACGTATGTGACATCTGCGCCAGCTGATTCTTCGATCGCTGTATCCGCTCCATCTACAGCTACGAAGGCCTCTGCGCCGTCTCCTTCCCAGCGATCAACGCCCCAACCCAGCAAAGCGGATGACAACGCTGGTAGCAAGAAGCGAGCTAAAGCACGAAAGCAAGGTGGTCTTCAGGCATTACTTGCCTCTAAAAAGAGTGCGCAACCTTCACTTGACCTGCTCGACTTTTTGCAGTAAACGCCTTGCACGGAGTCGGACCCACATTGTTCCGTCGGAGCTGCCCCGCCAGCTTTACATCTGTTGACCTGGAGAAACGCGATCAACTCAACCATCTTCATCACAATGTCGGTTTACTCGCACGATGAGGATCACGATCCTCAAGCGGATGAGCTCCGCGAGACTGCGCTGGTCACCCTTGAAGCTTTGATCAGTTCCTGCAACCAGCAGATGCAGCCGTATCTGGCTAATACGACCAGTGCAGCTCTTCGATTCCTCAAATACGATCCGAATGTCGCTGAAATGGAGGACGATGAAGAGATGGGAGGTACCCAGGATGATGGCAGCGAGGATGATGCCACAGAGGAACCTGACTTGGACGACGACGAATTCGACGACTTCGAAGAGGAAGACGGATACAGTGACGTGGATGACATGAGCTGGAAGGTCCGCCGGTGTTCAGCCAAGCTGCTTTACTCGCTGATCTCTACCTACGGTCGCAGCCGTGTCCTAGACGACGCAGCTCTATACCAGCAGATTGCCCCCGCCCTGATCGCCCGCATTGGTCGTGAAAGAGAGGAGAGTGTCAAGCTGGAGGTGGTGTCTACCCTGACTGCCCTTGTCCGTAAGACTAGCGAAGGGACCGGCATTATCACCTCCAATGGATTCCTCGAAGCGGTTGGCGGATCGAAGAATTCTCGCAAAAGAAGACGCCAGGACAGCGATGCCAGTATGGTTGATTTTGAGCCCAGTGTCGGCACGTCTTCTGCGATCGACTCTCCCGCTGTCCCATCCTCTCCGAAGTCTGGCCCACAGGCTGAATTGGCCCGTTCCGTGCCCCTGATTGTGCAAAGCCTTGTCAAGGTCTGGAAGCAAGCCTCGATGCCTCTTCGACAAGCCGTTATCATTCTGCTGAAGAGCCTTTCTTTGGTACGCTACGGCGGCTTAGCAGACCACCTTCAGCAGATCGAAGACCTCATTGCGGACGCACTGAAGACATCATCACTTTCAGGAAGCTCAGCGGCTCACTCAGGTGCGGCTGTCAGTGCAGGAACTCTGCAGATTGAGACATTGGGTTTGATCTCTGCCATTGCGGAGACACATCTTTCTGATGCGCTTCTGCCGTTCCTGATTGCTCTCGTGCCTGGCGTTGTCGGTGCTGTGAATGAACGCAATTACAAGGTCAGTAGCGAGGCCCTGGGTGCCGTGGAGCAGATTGTCAAGGCCTTGACTCCACCTCGGGCATCGTCCAATGCCTCCGATATGGCCATGCAGCTGGAGAAGCTTTATGATGTGGTTCTTGCCCGCATTGCTGACACTAGCGCTGATCTGGAAGTCCGCCAGCGGGCCATTCATGTCTTCGGTGTCATCCTCGCCCGCACGTCGGGTGAACGAGGTACGGAGTACCTGTCCGCTGACCGTAGGTCTCGGGGACTTACGGTTCTGTCTGATCGTGGCAAAAACGAGACCACACGTCTAGCAGCTGTTCGTGCCATCGACGATGTTGTAGTCCTAGCCGACCGCAAGCAGGACGTGACGGATGAATGGGTTAACGATGTTACTCTAGAGCTTGGTTCCAACCTTCGCAAGGCTGACCGTGCTTTGCGAGGCTCATGTCTGGAAGCTCTTCGCAGCATTGCCATGAACTCCAACACGCGCTCGCACCTCAATGCTACCACAATGGCCACTCTAGAGAATGTTTTGTTGCCTCTTCTGGCTGCTCCCGATTTCCACCTGCTTACTCCTACCTTGATCATCTTTGCTAAATTGATCCCCGGAAACTCGAAGACTCTGGTCAACGATGCCCTGATCTCGTCTATCTGTACCATTGTGAAGCAACCGCTGGTCGGCACCGTCCTGAAGGCATTGCTTCTTTTAGTCAAGGTTATTGGCGAGGAGGGCACCGGTGCTCAATTGATGCAAAACTTGCTGCAGAATGTTGGCATTACTGGCGACTCGTCCGTCGTTGGTCGGGCCATTGGTACCCTCTTAGTGCATGGCGGACCCAACCTCGGCGTCAAGATGGACGACTTCTCCAATGAGTTGCAATCCGCCCAAGACGACAGTCGCAAATGCCTTGCCCTGGCAATTCTCGGCGAGATCGGACTCCGGATGGGTGCCGAATGCTCTCTCTCTCCCGATCTGTTCATTGCCCACTTCAACTCTCCTTCCGACCATGTCCGCTTGGCCGCTGCTACTGCCCTCGGAAATGCAGCAGCTGGAAGTGTCAAGGCTTACCTGCCTATTCTGCTGAACGGGTTGACCAAATCTAATCCTCAGGGCTACCTTCTCCTCCACTCAGTTCGCGAGCTGCTCCAGCATCCTGAGGTGGTGCGCCCGGACCTCGCGTCTTCTGCCTCCAAACTGTGGCAGTCTCTCCTCGTCGTGTCGGAGGAAGAGGACAACCGGGCCGTAGGTGCCGAATGTGTTGGCCGTCTTGCTCTGATTGATCCGGCGGCATACCTTCCTCTTTTCCAGGAGCATCTTTCCACCCAAGACGTCGTCATCCGCGGCGTAGTCATCTCAGCCTTCCGGTATACGCTTGCTGACTCCAGCGACGCCTACAACGACGTTCTTCGTCCCCTGATGCTGCCCCTTCTGACCAACATGCTCGCTGACAACGACCTGGGCAACCACCGACTTGCGTTGACCACACTGAACTCCGCCATTCACAATAAGATGAACCTACTCCTTCCCACCTCGACGAACTGCTCCCGGCCGTCTTTGGCGACACACAGATCAAGCCAGAGCTGATCCGCGAGGTGCAGATGGGCCCGTTCAAACACAAGGTGGATGACGGACTCGAACTGCGCAAGGTAAGCGACATCCACATGGACTATCTTGGGGGCTGTCACTAATTCAATGATTCCAGAGTGCCTACGAAACTCTCTATGCATCCCTCGACACGTCCTTCTCGCGTACGCACATCGCCGAGCTGTACAACCGAGTGCTAGCGGGTATCGACGATGAGCAGGATATCCGTGCCATCAGCAACCTCATGACTACCAAGCTGATCACCATCGCCCCGAGGATACGGAGCGCCGTCTCGACCTCCTTGCCGAACAGTACACGAAGGTCCTCTCCTTCAAGCCCAAGGATAACGCCGTGAAGCAAGAATTGGAGAAGGCCCAGGAAGCTTCGCTGGGCATCCTCAAGATTACCAAGGAACTCAGCAAGGCGTTCCCCACTGCGGAGGCATCCAATGATCTGCACCACTGGAGAACCTACATGGAATACGTGCGGAAGCAATTCTCCAAAGAGTTCCAGAGTCTGGATGACTTCTGAGTGGGACCTGACTTCCTATGTTGCTGCCTAGGACCCGGTGATCCGTCGATCCCCGATGCGGTGCCCACTTTGCTCCTCAAAAGCTTATGACCTGAATGAATCCAAATACATCGCCCGAACCTGTGAACGTAGTCCTTTTCAATATTCGGTTTAGATTATAGTCCTCACCTGTCTAGCTCAGCTTGACGCATCATTGCTGTCACACACTGGGATGCCGTCTTTGAGGAATGAGTCATGGGTAGACCCAGGCAGCGACAAGCTGACCTGCATAGAATAATATTGCATCCTATTTGGTATGGTGTGCTCATGCATCGGAGAGGCCATACTGTGTGCCCGACCGGGCAACCTAGCACGCCTTGAATACGAACGATACTTCATCCGTAGAAAAGTGGAGACTTGTCTCAAGGCAGGACCCTGAAAATCTGGTTTTTGTGTCCATACAGTCTCTGGATCTTCAAATTATCATATTGCCATATTCGATGGAGCTGCGATTGTGGTCACACTAGCGATAGTTGAAGGCAGTCCAGATGGTTAGAGCTGGAGGGAGGATTTAAAAGTCCGCTTAGGATGAATCACGGAAGTCAGTCCTAGGAACCAGGGCGCGGGAGGCCAACGATTGGCAGAACCAACCCGATGGGGGCCAGGGCAAATATAGACCAATTAGATCCCATAATGTAGAATTGAGGGCTTGTCATTCGATGGTCAGACCCTTTTGTGGAGCTCAATTCCGAGACTTTCTGCGGTTGGAACTGTTGAAACACGCGACATGGCGGTTCCAAGGGAAACTGGGTCTAACGTGTCGAGGTAATCACTAGGTAACAGGTGTTCCCCATTTAGAGTGGGCACCAGGATAATCTGACCTTCTAGGCTTTCTGGACTTCTTCATCTTCATTCCCCCCTATAGCTACAATTCCCTTGAGCCTCAAGAAGGCATGAGTGTGTTGGTGTGTCGCGTGCCTAGCCTCTCCGGAGCAATTTCTCCAGTATGAAGCTCGACATTCGGTCTAAGGACCTGCTCCGCATTCTACTCTCTCCCACTCTATGGTTTGACGTGTACTGGCCGGCCTCGCGCAAGTATTTCTTCAACCTTCTATTCATCGGTGTAATCAGCGCCAAACTACTCCACATTTACTCTCACCTGAATTCATTATCCATCGGCCAATTCCTTCTTTGGGGCCCTACTTTCTTCTTACAGGATGTCATTTGCATTCTCATTGCGCTCTTCCTGACTCAAAATTTTGGCCGGAGATGGATGCATGTGCTGGCTGCATTGACAGCTATTCCTGGGTAGGTGAATTATGGGGAGTGTTTGAACGAAGTTGACTGACGACCATTTATAGAAGTGTGGCAATCTCCGGCCTGGCCGCGGCTAATATCTCCTTCTACTTCCAAACCGGCGCCGAGATCCATTGGCGACAAGCACATTACTTCCATCGCGATCCCGCTGCGATCAAAACCCTCCTCACCGGGTTAACGGGGATGCTCATCGTCGAAATCGCCTTCAGCGCACTCGCCTGGCTGTCGACTCCGCGCTTGTACAACGCAATATGGATTCCTGTGCGCATCCTCAAATCGATCGCGACCCCCCTTCCCTGTTGGAAACGAAAGATGGCAGCAGGCCCCAGGAGTTATGAACAGGTAACTCATCAGGACTGGGATGAGGAGGATCTTGAGTCCGAGGCGATGCTGGGGTCAAACAAATCTCACACGTCAAGCGGGGCCCGACCTTCTCTTTTACTACGCATAGTGGTGGGATCAGTCGCGACCTTGGTTCTGGTGCTGCGCTGCGTTCGTCCGTCGGATACAGCATATTCTTTTCTCTCACAAACGGTGATCGTGACCCCTTTTGAGAAACCCCCAGTTCATCAACAGACATCGTCTGTCGATCTTCCGCCATTGGACGGTGACTACACTTGGCTTTATAATCATACAGCGTTGAATACGCCCTCCAAGTTGGATTGGCTACCAAAAAAGAAACTGGCAGGATTCCGAGACTGGTACGCAGCAACAAGCGACAACGGTGCTTTACATTACGATCCAAACAAGGATCCTCTCAAAATCAGCAACCTCGACCGAGAGATTCTCGGTCCTTTAAAGGGACGCCTTAAACAAAGGCGACGTTCACATCAAACATGTCTTTCTCCTCAAGCTGGAAAGCACCCGAAACGACGTCTTCCCTTTGCGCAAGGAGTCCCACCTGGCCAAACTCATTCGGGAATCCTTCTCAGGTACAATTCCGGATGAAGTCGAGGAAAGACTTGCGAATCTGACCAGGAATGCCGAGAGATTCACCAACACACCATCTGGATTCGACCGATACGACGTTGAACCGTACGGGGGTTTTCACATGACCAATGCCTACACCGGCGATACCTTCACCCTCAAGAGTATCCTGGCTAGCACGTGTGGTATCGCACCTTTGGTCGTCGATTTCAATCGCGAGTATCTTCACCACATGTACGAGCCTTGTATGCCGCAGCTGCTCAGTGCTTTGAACTCGCTATCCAACAATACGAAAGTGGCGAAGAAGTCGGATGACTACACCACTTGGCCCTGGCACTCGACTTTCATGCAGAGTATCGATGATAACTACGACAATCAGAATCTGCTCATTCCGGCGATGGGATTCCAGGACAAGGTAACAGACAAGACGATCACCAAGGATTGGGAGCAGAAATATGGCAAGGGGCCTGAGAAGTTTAACTTCTGGGGCTATCCTGAACATGAACTGCGACACTACTTCTCCAAAGCTCTCAAACACGCCGAAAAGCACCATGAGCGTCTGTTCATTACTCATTTGACAGGGCAAACCCATCACCCGTGGGATATGCCGCCAGGCCAAGACTACGAGGAGTTGATTCATTCTAATGTATTCAATCATAACAAAAATGTCAACCGATACCTCAACACTATCGGCGTCGCAGATAAATGGCTGGGGGAGTTGATAGAGGTACTCGAAGAGCAAGGTGTTGCCAATGAGACTTTGATTGTGATGGTGGGCGACCATGGCATCTCTCTCATTGAAGATGGCGGCGTCACGCCTTACGACAATCCGCACGTCGCCAACTTCCATGTGCCCATGGTTTTCTCTCACCCGCAGCTACCACCGATCAACATCGACGGGCGTGTTACCTCTCTTCAGATTCTCCCCACGATTCTCGATCTTCTAGTTGAGTCCGCTTCCTTGAACGAAAGGGCAACCCACGCGATCAAGGATCTCCTTCCTCTCTACGAAGGACAATCAATGATTCGAGAGCTCGTGCCCGAGAAGGATGGTACTCTTGACTGGCAATTCACCGTCATGAACACTGGCGCCACATGGCTAGCCCTTCGATCCGCGCCTAAGCCATACCGCATCGTGATCCCAATGGTCCCTGATGTGGAATGGCGCTTCTCGGATGTCGACCTCGATCCGCACGAGGAGAAGACCCTTCAGTCCTTCACCTTGCCTCCATTACTAGAGCAAGTGGCAATAGTTCATGGAGAAGAAGCCGTTCAATGGATCAAAGATGCAGCACACGTTGCTCAATGGTGGGTGGCCGAGAACTGGAGTCGCTATGAGTTTGTTCCCGAGACTTAGCGACGGAATGCCGGTGACGTGGCGAAGCCACCGTATTGAGTACTCTCTCCGAATGCTGTCGTCGGTACCAGACTATTTCAACGAATGGTTCAGGCAGATGTTGAAAAGAAAACATTTTACTAAGCGTTCTCCGACGCTGCCGATCCGACTCTACCGGTGCGACGTCCCTGGTCCGCCTGTCATATTGGCCACGCCGATCTCGGACCCGCTCGATGCTAGGCGTGTCCCAACACCGTTTCTCGAAAGGTTTGTATACCCTTTTCTGGTTTTATTTGAGTAAATGATTTTGGCCATTTTGGAACACGACGCGACGTACATAAGATCCAGCCGTCATTTTCTCCGACCCACCCACCCCCATCTCTTCCGACCTTCTCCCCACCTATGTCAAGGTATAACGCCTACGACATCTTGCATCACTCGGCGCCATCTACACTTGCATCTACTATAATGATACCTCGAACCTATGCATCGCATCTCATTTCCATTCGCCCAAGAATGAAGACTACTCCTTAAAACATAAGATCTCCATACTAGGAATAGAAATCCAAGCATCTTCATGGTTCCCCCACTCCTTCCAAGCATCCGAAACCCCCTGCAACTCCTCTTGACTCGCTATCCCATTCTCCAGCGCCGTAGTCGCAAAGGAAGAATAAAGCGCCCTCTCCACCCAACTCTCACTCCACCACTTTGTATCCCCTCTATCTGCATAACACCACATCGTAGCCGAACACTTCGGGCTAAGCCCCGCCCTCTTCGCCCACGTATGTAACACACGGCCCGCATTCGGCTCACCCCCATTCTTCCTCGCGATACGATCATACAACTCCTGCCAAGTCTTCAAAGCCGGTAATTCAGGATACCACACAAAAACACCATAATCAGCCTCCCTCGCTGCAACAATTCCTCCGGTCTTCGTGACGCGCTTCATCTCCTTGAGTATGCCCACGGGATCCCCCACATGCTGTAGAACCTGATGACAAAAGACGACGTCAAAGGTGCCATCTTCGTAGGATAGACCATTTGCGTCTCCCTCGACGAAATCGACATTCGTAAGACCTTTTTCCTTGGCGAGGGCGCGTGCCTGTGTAAGGATTGACCCGGCGCGTTCAAGGCCTGTGATGTGGCCTTGGGGAATCAGAGCTGCCACGTCGACGGTGATTGTTCCCGGGCCGCAGCCGATGTCTAGAATCCTCATGTTTGGTTTCAGGTGAGGTAGGAGAAAGCCGATTGAGTTAGATGCAGTGCGCCAGCTGTGGGAGCGGACGACTGAGGCGTGGTGGCCGTGGGTGTAGGTTGCTGTTTCTTTGGCCATTTCGGGAAGGGTCATGAATAATTAAGCAGTAGAGTTGTATACTTTATGAGTACGACTGATAGGAGATTGCTTTTTGCTTTTTTTCTTTGTGAGATTTGTTGTGCTATTGCTTGAACTTATGGACCTTCACTGGTGCTGCAGATGTGTAGTTCGTTGGCCGAGATCGGAGAGTGACTTGGTGGGGCTTGGCGGTAGATGCTTCATGCTCTTTGCTTATTGGTCTTTTCCAAGTGTCCGAACTGACTGGGGAGAAAGAGGGGAGCAATAAGTGGGATAGATCTTCTGATCCTCATTTCGAGTCAGTACTTTCAACAGCTGGGTAGATCTGGGGACTCCGTTGTCGGCCCAGCTGTGTGTGTCAGTACGGATACCGCGGTGGACCGGAGATACAATTATCCTTCATGTTTATTTCTTATGTAATCTAGAATCCCCTTATAAATTGGCAGAATGAGGGGTAATACAAGAACAGAGCTTTAGGCATCATTGATTGGTTGCATACATTTCATTCCGACAGTCATGAGCCCGGTTCGCATTTATCCTGGACTTTGTGGTCAGAGGTTCGAGCCACAAGAGGAGCATTAAAATATGAAATGGTTGGGTGCAAGTGAGCCATACGCTATCCTTACCCGCGAATACCCGTATAGTCAGTCTCGTTTAGTCCCTAGGGGCCCGGCAGAGAAGATCCGGACAGATTTTCCCTAGGCGAAAGACAGAAAAAGACTATTGCCCTCAGAAGAGCCGAATATACCACAGTTGAAAAAGTCCGAGGTTTTCCTGCATACAGCAGGATACCCCCTATGATAGGGCGCATCCTGAGGGGGTGTGTCGGCATGAAAACATGACGGATCTAGCACTAAAAGTGTCATTGGCATTTTTAGTCTAGTGGTCAAAGTTTTGACAGTGTGTTGAGGCCTGAGGCATGAACTGGGTGGATACATTATCCGCGAAATAAACGAACAGACTTTTAGGTGCATCTCAACCAAAGATCGTTCTCAGAAAAATATCGTACATTCAGATTTTTTTTTTTCTGGGGGGTAATTGGGGTCGGAAGAATGGCTAGTCCCTACGGTCTATGGGGTGCACACAGATATTCACTACGCACGATTGAGGAGAAAGTCGATATGATGTCACAGATATTGTTACTTAAGAGCATGACCAGCCAAAGACCTTTTGGCTTCTGGTCCTGGCAGCCATTTTCTAGATGCAAAGTTAGTTGTCCTGCCTCTTACTTGGCAGCCTCTCAAAGGATTTCAACGATATGCCAATACTTTGGTTGGGATAAGGGTCTAGACCAAAGGATTTTCCAGGGTCCCAAGTGGGTAGGAATGGGGCCAAAGATGGGTTGTCTGGGCCTCTGACGACGGACCCAGACCTCGGACAGGCAACCTTCTTTTCCGAAGAAGTAATGTTGCCGTGTGATTTTTGTGCTAGTGTAGAGTGGGAGGTGACCCACTAAGCACTTTCCTCATTTTTTGAACTTCTGAAATTCTAGTCCAAAGGCACATTTGACAATCCCTTAACCCCACCAGCATCTTGTAGATCACCGATAAAGCAGATCTATGGGGTAGCCCCACTGCGTCAGCACGGCATGCATCTATACAATCATGCTTAGTGACCCTGATTCTAGTTAGTTCGATGTGCCACGCGGACTCAAACTCTGGAATGGCTATACCACGAGAATCTCGCGTGGCGACCGACTTCAGGGCAACTGGGCTCGGATACGTCTCGCGTAGGGTGATTCTTCCGCTCACTAACAAGTTTCCAGATTTTTCGGGCTCCTTCGGTTCCTTGTATGAGACAGATTTGGTTCAGTTCCTAGGTGCCTGCAAGCCCTTTCAGGGACTCAAAGTTTGACGCCTGTTGTGTGGCGGGTGAGGGTGAAATCCTACGCGTCGAACCAGGAGAATGCAACCAGGAAACCAACCCTCTGATGTCAGTTTCTCCTAAACGGTCCTGTCCCTCCAGGTCCCGAGCGAACAAGAAGCTGTACCATTCATATGTTATGGAAGGATGGAAGATTTCAAAAGTTAAAGAGGCCTGGGAAGCCTTCCATATCCGGCGATGGCGAAAGACGTTCGAGACCGTCGGATGTGAAGCGGCTCCACAAACTTCTAGATCATTGGAGAACCCCAGATAGTCATCGAACGTTTTGTCCCAAATCAGAGTTCTCCGATGGAGAGAAGGTGGTGGACGAGGTACAGGGACCAAATCCGCCACAACTCCGGCCTTCATCAGAAAGGATAAATAGCTCAGCTCGACACCCTACGATGTCCTTCCTTCCCAACAATCATTACAGTCTTTTCGACTCTACTATCTTTTTGTCTTTCTCTTGTTACGATCTGATCACTCTCTTTCAGATCCACACTCTCTCTTGACAATCTCTTGTCCTGTCTTGATACACAAAGACCCTTCTTTTTTACTATCAAACTTTTTACTGTCTTTTGACAAAAAGTCAACACGACTACCACATTCAAGATGATCTTCTCCAACGTCTTCTTCACCGGCCTTCTTGCCGCTACTGCCGCTGCTCTGCCTCACCGTGCCCGTGACACCAGCTCCGGCTCCGGCAGCGTTCAGTTCGTCAACAACATGGGCTCTGATGTCTACATGTGGACCACTTCCGCCAACCCTGGCGAGATGAAGACCCTCAGCAATGGCGGTGGCACCTACAGCGAGGAGTGGCAGACCAACCCCGACGGTGGTGGCATCTCCATCAAGCTGTCGACTACCACGAGCGACACCGACAGTGTTCTCCAGTTCGAGTACACCGTCAACTCCGACACTCTCTACTGGGACTTGTCTTCCATTAACATGGATAGCTCTTCCGACTTCGTCACCAGCGGCTTCTCGGTCGTCCCCAGTGACTCCAGCTGCACCACTGCCACCTGTGCCCCCGGCAATGCCAACTGTGCCGATTCATACCAGCACCCTGACGATGTCAACACCCTTTCCTGCTCGACTAGCGCTACCTACGTCGTCACTCTAGGCTAAGCACTTTCGTTCTTTCCTATTCTTGCTTTCTCGTTATTATGTCCTGGGCGCTGGTGTTTGGATCATTTCATCTGTCAAGAATTGAAAAAGCATTGGTGATTGCACATACTTCATCCCGTGGTCGCATACTGGATATGCACGGATCATATGCCTGTTTGATTTTTTTTTTTACATAGACATCATCATTATAGACAACATCATAGACACGAACATAGATTGTTTGACTCTCTTTGAACATCTCATTTTGGACCACTTCTCTGACCATCTTTGTAAGATAATCTTCTACCATGGTCAAGTAAACTTAGAGTCGGCTGTGACGGGTAGTTCCTCGTTTCCGTGGTTGCCGAGTGGCAAGTGAAGGCTCCACCCGAGCCAAGCCTTACCAAGCCCATCCAGGTCTCGCTAAATTATGCCCTTCACTGAGGGCTCACGATTAGATTGGAGGATGTTACTTACCATGGAACCATTTCTTGAGCAATGTAGTCAGCAACATGTCTGACGGAAATGATGTCAAATGAATTGGAGTCACAGCGTCTTGTTTCAGCATGGGACATCTGGCCTTTCATCATACTCGAGGACGGGTACAGGGTCAAGTTTGTATTCTCGCTGCATGATGCATTGACTAACGGATACTAAACTAAATAGAGTCAGACATAATTTGAATAAAAAAATATAGACTTGACATTCCGGACCCTTTTTAAATATACTCGTTTATTCTGAAAGATGTGCCGTACCCGTACCCAGCGGACTTCTGTTTGGAAATATGTCTGGGCGGTAGGTTGTTGGTTCAAGGCCCCCGCCTCAGCGATAGCAGATTTGAGATTCTCAATTGCCTCGTTGCTGACTTGATGATGCATGAATCTTTCTCATTTTTTCAGCTGAATATTGCACTTCTGGCATTGCTGAAGCAGGATTCCCACATCGATATTGGACTTCTCGGCATCAATGAAGAAAAAGTTCGTGTTCGCCGGAATTTGCGGGACAACTCCCATTCCCTTTAGGTCCTCCTCGAGTCTCTTATATTTAGCATATGTTTTCCTTCATAGCCGGCCACGCTTCCTTCAGTGCAACCATGGCAGCAGCCGTCAACACACCAGCTTGTCGAATCCCCCCCCCACCCCTGTTGCGTACGGGTGTTGGAGCCGATAAGTTGTGGTTAAATGCGGGGGCAGCCCCCACTTGTGGATATGGCATGCGAATGTGTATGCGATTCATTTGATAGTTGTGAGTCATGAGTCCATGAGTACCATTTTCAGTGGAAGCCATAAATGCTTCATCGGGAGTGGGCTCCGTCTAGTCACTAGCTTCATTGAGTATATTGACTGCCTTTACAAAACACATCAATCAATTACAGCTGCTAAGCATTTCATGTGTCACCATATTGATGGTAGTTCCCCATTTGACATCCGCGCAAGCCTCTCCTGATTAAGCTCAAAGCATTCAGGCAAGCCAGTCTCACTCCAATGTCCACCAAGCACAAGCTTGGCAACACCAGGCGCACAAGTAAATATCCTCGCCATGCCATGCCCATTGAACCCAGCACAAATATACTGCCCCTGACCCAGATCACCAACAAACGGCACAGAGTCCGTAGTCATGGCAATAATACCCGTCCAAGCGTCCTGCAGACCCTCCCCATGTCGAGCTTGTGTAAGATGGAACTCTGGGAAGAAATTATCGAGACTGCGAAGCGCATCATCCACCATTTCATCATTGTAGTGGGAATCATCGGTGCTGAATCGGCCAGCTAATGTCTCAGCACTAAGGGTCGGATTAGATCGTGATACACCCAGAACAAGGGTTCCGTCTCCTTGACGCTGGATCAGCGAGTAAAAGTGGTGAAGACTATAGCGCAAAGAAAATGTGCTTTGCAGAGCATTTCTCGATGCAAAAGCTGGCGTCGGAACCAATGTGTGTGCTTGGGCACGGTTTGGTCGCAAATAAGGCTCCAAATACGGAAGAAGCTGGGCAGCGTGGGCATTCGTGCAGTGGATGATTTTCTCTGCCGTTACAACGCCCTTGGACGTCATAATATCCCACTTTTTCGCCGTTGCGTTTGATTTCTTTGGCTTGACAATTGGTGAATAATTTTGCTCCCTGTTCGATCACGGCTTGGAGCAGAAACTGTGCCAGTTTAGCGGGATGGCTGGAGCCAGCGGGCCATTCGTAAGCAGCTACTGCTCCTGAGATCCTCGTCTTATCTTGGGCTTCTTTGCCTTTGTAGACTTTAATGTGCGAAATATCACCTCCTGCAAGCTCATACGCGGTGAGACTCTCTGCTTCGTACTTTGCGAATTCCTCGGTCATGCAGACGTCGAATGTGGTTGTAAGATTGAAGTCGCACTGCACATTGTGTTTCTTGACAAATTCGTCGACCTTTTCTAGTACAAGACGCTCGTTGGCGATAACTTTGAGAGCCTGTTCCGGCCCGTGAACTTTCGCATAAGCATTGAACCCTCGAAAGGCGTCAGGTCGAACATGACCTGCATTCCGAGAACTCGCCCCACTGGCTGCCTCGCGCGCCTCAAGAATGATGAGGTCTTCTGCTTTCACACCCGCTTCCAGAAGCGAGAATGCCGTTAGTCCACCAGCGATTCCCGAACCGATAATGACATATTTGGACGTCACGGGTACGGGGTTGAACTGATGTTCAAAGAGATAGGGAAATCCCCGAGTCGTTCGTTGCCAATAGCTAAGACAAGGGGTTGCATTCGGCAGGCTTCTGCTTGAGCCGACATCGGGCGACATGTTCAGAAGAGAGAACTAAGAAGAGAAATGACGCCAATGTGCGAGATAAAACAGAAATGGTCGGGTGTTTAAATATGGATGAATTTGGAGTCAACGACTTGGAACGGGATTCATCCACAGTGACTCAGTGCGGGGAAAGACTGCTTATCTCGTACACCACTGCACAGGTTCTTATATCTCGAAAGCACATAACATTGCTATCATAAGTTTGTCGAAGACAAACACTGAATAGGCAATCTTTCAGCCGACCAGAAGCGCCTAGAGATACCAAAAATGATATTCGGCAGCCCCTAGCGCACGCGCCACACGCCCTGTGCCCAGAAACGGGGACTCAGCGCTCGGCATCCCTCGCTCTGACCTTCACCATATGTCATTCAAAGCCAAAGGAATAGCAGCTAGGGCGGGGTTCACCCCATTCTAGGATCAAATTTGCAGAGCCCGGAATCATTCTGAGGTTGCTATAACCTCCCAAGGACAGTGACTATTGGTCGGACAAGCTTATCGGCTTGATACCCCTCGATCGGCGCGGCGACTGATCACGGCGTTGGTTTTACAATGAGATAAATCATGAAAATGGCCTCAGAAGTATCGTGTGAAACCCCTTTACTTTCTCATCCGTCCACTATGGGGAACTACGACATGTTCCGCCGCACTGCGCCGGAGTCGGCGCCTACCTTTGAGAGATCCCCCGAGGAGAAAGCGCTCGTGCGACGACTTGACACTTTCTTCTTGACATTCGGTTGCCTGTCTCAGATCATCAAGTATCTGGATCAGCAAAACATTAATAATGCCTACGTCTCGGGGATGCAGGAGGATCTTCATCTTTACGGTGACGAGTTGAACCTGTGAGATCGCGAATCAATGCACGCACCTATTGATATCTGCTGACTCTCAGATGCTATCTAGATTCACGACTTATTTCAATGTCGCATACTGCATTATGCTGATCCCCTCACAGATCATCATGACCTACGTCCGTCCGAGCTATTGGCTTCCCGGTCTAGAATTGACCTGGGGTCTAATGACCGGGCTCATGGCCATGACCACCAGCGCAAAGCAAGTATACGTCTTGCGCGTGTTCCTCGGTCTATGCGAAAGCTCAGCATGGCCTGGATTCATGACTTTACTCAGTGAGTAGACCATCACATCCCATCATTATGACAAGCCAGGAACTAAACATCTGCTAGTGTACTGGTACACTCCAACCGAACTAGCCAAACGCATGGGCTTCTACCACTCTTGTCAAGGGATGGGCACGTTATTCTCCGGCTTCATGCAAGCCTCCATCTCGAGCACCATGGACGGCGCCGGTGGTCTTGCAGGATGGCGCTGGTTATTCGTAATCAACGCCATAATCACCGTCGTCTGGGGATTTGCAGGCTTCTTCATGATCCCCGACATCCCCAACAATCCCAACCCGCGCGCATTCTGGTTCAAGAAGAACCACGATGAACTGTCCTTGGAGCGTCTCGCTCGTAATGGTCGCGCTGAACCGAAGCGTATTACGTGGGCCAGTGCGAAGAGAACATTCTCTGGGTGGGTCGTCTACTTCATAGCCACACTTTACGCAGCTACTGTTCTAGGAACATATGGATATGTTTATTTCTCACTGTTCTTGAAATCGCTTAAGAATCCCGATGGAAGCAAGAGATGGAGTACGTCCGAGGTCAACGCGATTCCGATGGGGGGTCGGCGATAAACGTGGTATTCGTGTGGATCTGGGCTCTTTTGTCTGATTACTTACGAACGCGATGGACGCTCATTGTGCTCCAGGCTGTTATTGGGATCATTCCGTGCATTATCATGAGCATTTGGACTTCACATCCTGATACGGTGGCTCTGTCTGCTGCTTATGCGTCTTACTTCATCTCCTACATTTGTCTCGGGACAGCACCTCTGATCTTCGCGTGGCTTTCTGACCTGATTCCTCAGGATCCAGAGGCACGCTCGCTGGTTGTTGGTGTTTCGGTTGCTGGGTACTATGCTATCTCGGCCTGGTCGCAAGTCCTTGTGTGGCCTGCTACTCAGGCGCCGTATTACAAATATGGATGGCAGTCTGCGTCGGCTCTGTTGGTTCTCGTTATCATCATGACGTGTATCTTGAGGTATATTGATGTGAGGTATCTACTGCCGAAGCGGGAAGAATTTTTGGCGGCGATAGATGGTCAGGACGTTGGGGGAAAAGATACTGTTTTTACTGCATTGGAGGATGAGAATTCGGGTGGAAAGGCCGGGCCGTCTGGTTACGATCGCAAGACGATCCAGTCACATGCTGTGAATGAGGTATAAGCCTTAAGAGGTGGTGAAGATGAAGAAATGGGTCTTTTGAAAGCAAATGGTGAAATAAGCTAGAGTTCTATCTAGGGATTTCAGACACTAGATATCATTCAAAGTAGGGGACATCAAATAGGTTCATCGCGAGGCTCAACCAGGATCTCATTGACAGAGACATACTCTGGTTGGCAAAGAGCGTGAACAATTGAATTCGCAACATCAGACGGCTCGAGAATTCTGGCGCCAGAGGGCTCTCCGAACTTCTTCACAGCTTCTGTATCCGTGGACATGTTCAACAATGGAGTGGCTGTGTTACCAGGCTGGATGGCAGTTACGCGCAAGCCAGCACCGGCGGTCTCAAGTCGCAGTGCCTGGAGTGTAGCCTCCACAAAAAACTTACTGGCTGAGTAGACACCCAGGCCGGGGAAGACCTTGCGCCCAGCATCCGAGGAAATAGCCACGATGTGACCGCTGCCACGCTCAAGCATGCCGGGCACGGTGGTCCCGAGGGCATTCAAGAGACCCTTGCAGTTGACATCGACAGTGCGTTCCCACTCGTCGAAGTTGGTGTTCTTCATCATCTCAAAGTACATCACACCAGCGCATGAGACGAGAATGTCCACGGGGCCAAGCTCTTCGCTAGCTGCCTTGACAAGCTCTTCGGTCTGGGTCTTGCTAGTGACATCAGTGGATCGAATAACGCACTTGACACCGTGGACATCAACCTGGCGCTTGACAGATTCCAAAGCGTCTAGGCGGCGAGCACCCAAAGCAACAGCACATCCTGCCTTCGCCAGGGCAGAGGCGACAGCTGCGCCAATACCTGAGGATGCGCCAGTTACGACAGCGACCTTTCCGCTCAGAGGCCCTCGAACAGTGGGCTTGGAAGCAAGAGCTTGCTGACGAATGGGTGCTCGGGGAAGCCAACCTCGAGCGAACCAGTGGCGAGTGTATGTTTCTAGCAGCAGCGCATCCACCTTGGGTCGCTCGACTGCCGATCGGAAGGGTCTCGTCAAGGCGTTGTCGAGGACGACAATGCCACGTAGGAACTCCACAGTCGGCATGCCACTGCGAAGAATGTCGACAGTGAATGAACCATCTCCACCCTTGGCGAGGCCTCGCTTCTCGGACCAGAGAGCTACCCACTCGTCCCAGGGGAGAGGCTTGGTGGGATATCCAAGCGTGGTCAGGTTCTCGAAAACGGATCGAATGTTTACCGGATCGGGGTCTCCCAGGTGGAACATCGTTTGATTTGTCTGGGTTTGTGTGGCCAGGTGGATGATGCTCTTGCTCACAAAGTCGACAGGAGTCATCTCTGCTCTCCAGCCTTCGACCTCAGGAGCATAGCCGAGCCTGATAGACTCGACGATCAACGCAGTCAACAGATCCCACGCATTGGCTGAGCCAGTGAGACTATGGCCACTGATAGTGCCACAGCGATGGATCTTGACCGGCAATCCACGCTCACCAGCCTTGAGAACAAGCTGCTCGGCTACCCACTTGGTTTGACCGTAACCATCGGCAAGCTTGGTAGGGACATCCTCAATATCAATGATGGTGCTTTCAGGCCAGCCCTTCTCTCCAGAGGGAGGCAAGACACCGTTTGTGGAAACATATTGGACGGTCGCACCGTTCTTGGCTGCAAGCCGAAGGATCTCGCGAGTCCCTCCAACATTGGCAGCACGCAGCGCTGCGTAGGGGTAAACAAGGTTGACAGTAGCTCCGGCGTGGACGATGACTTGGACGCGACAAGCGAGTTCGTCGTATGCCTCAGGCGACAAACCGAAGTGGGGTCTCGACAGATTACCAGGAAGAACCTCGACGCGCTCCATGATTGAGTCTCGCCAGAGACCAAAGTCGAGAAGGTTACGGCGAATACGAGCCACACCTCCAGCCTGGTCGTCCATTTCGGGGTCCTTGAAACGAACCATACAGATGATTTTGGCCGAAGTGTTTTCCAGCAAATCACTGAGCAGGAAAGCACCCAGGAAACCAGTCACACCGGTCAAAAACACCGTATCAGCCGAGGCAATCGACTTGAGTGATGCATTCGCGGGAGGCTTGATCTCCTCGTCAAGGGTGGCATCGGCGAGCAAAACAGCGGGAAGATCTGCTTGCACGGCAGCAGTGTGGCCATCTCGGATCGCACGCACAGTCTCCAAATGACCAGCGAGGGTAACATTCGCTGCGAGTCGAGGAATAGCGACACGGAAGCCGAAGTGACGAGACAGCCGGCCTGCAAGGTCTGCCAACGACAAAGAGTGTCCGCCAAGATCGAAGAAGTTGTCCTCGGGCTTCAGGTTAGACTTGGTAATCTTCAAGACAGATGCCCAGATGGTCGCGATATCGTCGATACCAATCGGGTCCTTCTCCGCCACGCGATCACCCATGGGGCTTGGGGTGCGAGGGGGAGTAAGACTCTTGAGATCAACCTTGCCAGAGACCTCATGAGTGGGCAGTTCCTTCATAACAACCCACATGGATGGAATCATGTAGTGAGCGAGATGAGGCTCGAGAACGCGACGAGCGGACGGGCTGTGTCCAGACTCATTGACCTCAACCACTGGCCGAGTGTCAGATGCATCTTTCTCAGCGGCCACGACGTAGGCGCACAACTGACGATCAAGGCCATCACCATGAGCAGTGACGGCACAATGGCTGACGGCCAAGTGCTGGTAAATTTCAGTTTCCACCTTGGCTGGGACCACCGAATAGCCACGAATTTTGATCATGGCACCCACGCGGCCGGTGATCTCGAGATGGCCCGAGTCCAACTTGCGTGCCAAATCGCCGGTTCTGTACATGAGCGCACCGGGCCTGGAGTCAAATTTGTTAGGAACAAATGCCTTGGCAGTTGTTTCCGGGAGATTGAGGTATCCCGAGCCAGCAGGTCCCCTCCGACAAATAGCTCACCCGCAGTACCCGCTTCCACTTCCTCCGCATTCTCGTCAAGGATATACGTCTGAACAAGAGGCGGACCAACCGCACAGTAATTGGACTCCGTATCAATCAGATCGCGGATATCACCGCATGCAATTTCATGTGTTTCGCATGCACTGTAGCAGTTGAGGAAGCGGGTGTCGGGCAAAGTGCCGATACCGCGGCGAGCCAGATCGGCGGTCACCACTTCGCCATTGAGCCAAAGAGTTCGTAGATCTGGCAGACGAGTCGCAATTCGAGGGTAGCGTGCAAGTACGGTGGCCAGGAGGGTGGGGGTCATGAGGGTTTCGGTGATCTTCTTGGCTTCAAGCAAATCGACTAGCGCGGCGGGGTCGTAGCTAACTTCGTCGGGGACGCAAACCACTGTGGCACCTCTGAACAGGGGGCGCAGCATCTCCCAGATGAAGAAGACATTGCAAGCCACCCGATCTCCAGGCTGCAAATCTTGTACTGCAAATCTCAGGTTGTATGAAAGTACCGGGGCTCTCTGGGGGTTCGCGATTCCCTTGGGCTTACCGGTTGTACCCGAAGAGTAGGAGACAAATGCCAATCGGTCCAAATCGTCCTCCGCCGGCAACGGGGGCAACTCTGAGGGATCGTAGTTTTCTTCGGGGGTCGCCAGGTCCAGGGAAATGACAGGGCAATCGGACTGCACTTTGCCAGCCTCTGCTTGGTGGGTGATCACGACAGCGGGCTTCGCATCCTCAATGACATCAGCGAGGAGTTGCGGGGGATAGGCAAGCTCCAGGACCAAAAAGGCACCTCCCGCACGAAGAGCTGCCAGGCACGCAATCACGTAGTGCGCACTCCGAGGCAAGAGCACTCCAACCAAAGTGTCTCGGCCAACCCCGCGAAGCCGCAGCCGAATGGACAGAGCCTCGACTTCCTTGTCAAGCTCGGCATAGGTATATGTAGATTTCTCATCCTCCAAAGCCAGAGCATCGGGGGTCGCCAGGACCTGCTTCTTGAATAGCGATGGCAGGTCCAGCCTGGTATCGATGATGGTCATTTTCGAGAATCTCCGAACGAAAGTCGATCGTGCTCGGTTCTCGAATAGCTAGATAAGGTCTGGTGCACGGATTCGTACAGCCGCAAGGGTGTTAAGAGGTGAGTTCTGATGCAATAATAAAGGCGGATGACGCGATGGGAGAAATATGTAAACCGGAAAATGGCCACATGCCATATTTCTTGATTTTCTAGGCTAGTTTGTTGAGAGCGAATATGATGGCAAGCTCGTATGGGTACGGAACACCAGGCTAGACTCCTTCTCGTTTAGCAGGAGAATCTTTGGAACCTCAGAGAGGTCAAGGTCCTTATCGGGACCAATCAATCCCGCATCCGCTAAGATGCCATGCATCGATTCGAGGCCAGTCACATCAGATCCCCCTCCTGATCGCTGCTTATATAGTTCCTGAGTGGCGGGCGCTACTCTGCTTAAATCTTCGTGTGCATAGTTATGACCTTTCCCAGGAAACTACCCCTCCATAGAGTAATTGCTTCCCTAGAAGTGCTTCAGAGAAGCAGAGGGACAGCTCCATCTTTTTCTCCAGTTGTGGATCCGCCCCCACTATATGGGATTTTGCATGTGAAAGCCCCCTTCCCCAACACTTTCTAGTGTTGGTTCCTGGTGACTAATTTCATCATCTTTTAACCGTGTTCTTTGGATACCAATGGCTCTTTGCATAGCTAGGGTTTGAGATCTCGTGCTGCATGCTTATGTGGATGTTCCCTGGCTGTGCCCAGTGAAACTACCCCGCGATTGTTCTGGGCTTGTCTCCTTTGAGCAAATTGCTTCCGTTTTATTCTCTTTCCTTTCCATGTTTCTAGAAACTAACCTTAGCTCCGTCATTCCAACGTATTGATTAGAATAAAAGCAAAGTCTAGGTTGATACAAAGTTTGAGCTGCCCTGGCCGTGGCGAACACGTGATCCACGTGGCGCACGTTCATCGATCATTGACCATTCATTCTCTCATCACCCCGAAGCGACTAGCTAATGAGATCAATGGCTTAAGCTTGGATCTAAAATCAGAATAATATTGTATGACAATGGGGTATGGATGATTTCTTCGAAATCACTCGATCTGCAAGAACGTCACTTCTCCAAGTCTCCACTTGGTCCGGACTAGTCAGGCACTTTTTTTGGACTCAAAAGTCAACGCCATTTGAATAAATTATGAAATAAAAGTGCTCCATGGGCGTATACAATAAAAGAGAGTCTATCCGTGTTGGAGAGGATTAAAGCTGGGGAAGACATCGATAGATGCGGTCACCTGACAAGAGATGAATCGGCCAATCATATTACTGGCTTAATCCACTTCGACTCTTGGAGCCTAGCTCTGATAGCAAAGCTCGCTATGTCTGAGAGACCCGAGGCCGGTTGTGGATGAATATTTCCGGACCAAGTGTCTGCAACAAGCTGGAGAAAAGCATCGACGATATGAGCTGACATGGTGGCAGTAAATAGGGAGAAACACCTTTGGAAAACGCGAGGCGCATATGTTATCTTGAAACTCCAATTATTAAGCGAGACTGACAGCTGGTATATTTGAGGCTACAATCTTCGCACAAATCAAGCCCGATTCTTCGCGATTATACTATGTTGAATCTGTGCACGGCCCATGGATCTTGTGGCTAACTATAAACACTTTGCCGAGCCTCGCAAGCGTCTTCGGTAATATGAGACGCCCGAATCGGTGCAAGGATGAAGAACCCGACACCAATCACGGTGATCAAAGGAGCGACTTAAGCATCAGATTGAGCTCAACAAGGCATTCGGCACGCAGTAAGTCTCGGATATTTCGGACCACACCTCATTTTGATTCGGTCCATACCCTCAGACCACAGTGTTATGTGTAGCTGTGAGATCTTGCAGATGATGCCTCGCCGGATTCTCCAGAGCCTAGGGGTGGATCCAACGCACAATGCCCTCTTTGGGGTCGCTCCACCGCGGCACGGCCCAGGGTATCTACTAAGGGCAATAAACTATTGGCGCAGGCTGCGTCACTTGGTGTGTATTGGATCCGTGCCAGATGTCGATTCATCGAGATTATCATCAAGTGTTCAATAGCCTGCAGGTCAAGCATAGACACTCTCTTTACTCTAAGCCGTAATTGTCAAATTTTTCCGGGGGCTTCAATTAGATGTGCAATTCCTAGTGAGCGGAACATCAAGTCTTTTATCATATAGTGTTCCTAGAAGGCCGCCGTGTGCATCTTACTTCCCCTTTATCCGGCCCACAAAGAGGGGTGTTCACCCCGATTTTGCTTTTGGCCCCCACCTCAACTATGTTCCAAGCGAGCATGCACTGATTAAGCCGAGCGCCATTTCTGATGGAATAAGCATTTGATTGCTCGGAGACTTCTGTGATTGCGCGAGCCATGCGCATTTAACTGTGCTGATCGTGGCTCTAAGCACGAACTCATTTGTAGTGTCTATCAGGGCGTGGGGCCAATTTATGATAGTCTTGAGGCAAACTTTGGGCGAAACACCATTCATAAGGAGGTGGTTCAGCCAGTGCGATTGGTTTCTCTTCACGCAATTCCACGGATTTTCAAGACTTCGCCAATATGACTGCGACGTCTTCAATTCTAAATGAACTCGCCTCTGCGCACCGTGCTTTCGATAACGATGAGCCTGGCTCAAGGGAAGCACTCGTTGAGCACAGTCGGGCTCTGATTGCCTCGCTGGAGATTCCTAGCGAGTTCCTCCAGCGCACTTTCTGGGCAGAAGTAAGATACGCTAGCCCTCTATCACCAGATCATGATTATATTCGATTGGAATTTCTGGCTTGGGCCTTGGCAGTATTGGGACAAATACAAAAGCATCATAGCCAGCACAGTCTCCAATCATCCGCATGGCCGTCGATGTCGAGCTTTTCCAACATTTGCAAAAGGCTAGCGATGGCGGACTAGACGCTGAATCGTTGGCACAAAGAACTGGAATGGAAGTCCTTCTTCTGCAGCGTCTTGCCAGACATCTAGTGGCGATGAATGTCCTCGCATACCATGACAATACATTCCATGCGACACCGTTGAGCAACGGTCTTGCAGCTGAGAACTTCCGACATAGTGTTTCTTTCTGCCACGACGCGGCACGACCATCATTCAACGTTTTCCCTCAATTTTTCAAGGAAAATAAATACCAATCGCCCACACCTGGAGGAGCCGATGGTCCCTATCAAGCTGCGCACTCCACGAAGCTTCCGTTCTTTGAATGGCTCGTCGCGACACCACCCAACCTCCAGCATTTCAATTCATTCATGAGCGCCTATCGCGCCGGGAAGCCCAACTGGTACGACTTTTATCCAGTAGCTGAGCGTTTGATTGACGGATTCGAGAGCTCAGCTAGCGATGTCCTGCTTGTTGACGTTGGTGGTGGACGGGGTCACGACATGGCACTGTTCGGAAACGAATTTCAATCTCGACCAGGCAGGATCATTCTTCAGGACCGGGAACCGGTCATTACAGAAGTACTGGCTGGTAGCAAGAACCTACCCTTCGAGGCACAAGCCCATGACTTCTTTACGCCGCAGCCTATCAGGGGGGGCTCGAGCATACTCGCTTCACTCTATCTTGCACGACTGGAGTGATAAGGATGGAGTTAAAAAACTGGAGAATCTGACACCTGCGCTGAAGAAAGGATATTCGAAAGTCTTGTTCAATGAGATTGTCGTTCATGAAGAGAAGCCCACACTAGCTGCGACTAGTATGGATTTGATGATGCTCGCTCACTTTGGAGTTAGGGAGAGGACTGAGGCGGATTGGCGGGCTATTTTTGATAAGGCTGGCTTGAAGGTGGTCAAGATCTATAGCTACCCAGGTGTTGCGGGGAGCTTGATCGAGACTGAACTTGCATAATAGTGTCGCCCTCATCGCTCCTTCAACAAACTGTCTCAGAAGTACGACGTGTACATATTAGATTGTATACATAGACCAAGGCCTCGGATCTCACTCAGCCGTGCGGGGTGAGACGTCTGTGTCCTCATAGATAAAGACGAATATCAACCCCTACCTTGAATGGTACTCAGAAGATGTTCCCCATGTTAACCATTGAGGCACTTACGTACTCCGGGTCATTCAGTCAGATTAACGGCTCTAGACACATAGCAGAGTACCCGGAAGTTTCATGATGCCGGCTAGTTCCTGTCATACCTAGCGATAGGTCCCCTGCACAATGAAGGCCCGTTCACAAAGAGTCAGCCTGTTGTAAGTCACCCATGACTTCATCTTGTTTGAATGTTATGTGAGGGGCTATCGCCCGCCGGATCTTACTTTTTTATTGCTGCAACTCATTCTTACACTCCATCACAATCCAAACCCCCTAAATCTCTCAACATGCCGCAAAAGGTAGACTCGAAAAATAGGCCTTTCTTCATCCTCGAATCAAGAAATTAACAGTTCTAGACCAATCTGTCCTGCGTTCTTTTCGGCGCGGGCAAAGTTCGCTTCGAGCACCTGCCTATTCCCTCACTTGAAGACCCTCATGATATCTTGGTCCGTGTTGCATATATTGGCGTATGTGGCAGCGATGTGAGTTGCTGACATTCATGATATTGTCGAACCGAGACTGAGTTACTTGTGAGGTCCATTTTTGGCGACATGGTGGTATCAGCCGCAAAGTCTCGGAAGACATGCCCCTAGTCATGGGCCATGAGGCCTCTGGGGTCGTCGAAACCATCGGAGCAGCCGTTTCAAGTGTCAAGCCAGGTGATCGGGTTGCTATTGAGCCCGGGTTTCCATGTCGGCGATGCAAGCAGTGCAAGAAAGGCCGATACAATATCTGCCCTGATATGAGATTCGCCGCTGATCCCCCTCTTACGAACGGGACGTTATGCCGACTATTCAAAATCCCCGAAGACTACGTCTACAAAATACCTGACTCTATGAGCTTGCAGGAAGCTGTGCTCATTGAGCCTTTGAGCGTTGCCGTGCATGGTGTTCGACTTGCTGAGCTGAGACCCGGCCAAAGTGTCCTGGTTCTAGGATCTGGCACGGTCGGATTGATGGCTGCTGCGGCAGCGAAAGCATTCGGTGCTCGCGTTGTTTTCGTTTCGGATATCAATCAAGCCAAGCTCGACTTCGCGAAGTCGTTGGTGGATTGCGCTACATTCGTTCCGGATATCCATTCTACCCCGGACATAGCCGCAATGAAATTCCAGGAAGAAATGGGTATCATGGATGGCGTCGATGTAGTTCTGGAATGTACTGGGGTGGAATCGTCGGCGGCAACGGGACTTCATGCATGCGGCCCTGGCGCCATTTTCGTTCAGATTGGGATGGGTAAGCCGATACAAAACATTCCTATCCTGGCAATGAGTGAGAAAGAAGTTGTCTTAAAGACTTGTTTCCGGTATGCTCCGGGTGATTATGAAATTGCGCTGGAGCTGGTTGGCTCGGGTAAAATCTCGGTTAAGGAGTTGATCAGCAGTACGGTGCCATTTGAAGATGCTTCTGCGGCCTGGGAGAAGACAGCCAGAGGAGAGGGGATCAAGAACCTGATTCAAGGTGTCCAGGACTAGCTTTTGTCTATCATACACTGTTATGCATGCTCGTATCACTCGCGGTCGAAGACGTCGAGGGATTGTTGAGCTGTGCGGAATTTCTTAAGCATCACGTACTCATTCATGATGAGTCGTTGCTCATAAGCGACGGAACACTATCCCAGACTTTGATGATAGGGCCCCTTTCTCATTTAGATTGGGAAATGCTACGAAGAAATTTTGAAGAACAAAGGATATACTGAACCAACCTCGGAAGTGTTCGCGTCCATTGCCCTTTCTTCTCAGGCTGTGAGTCTTCTCGGGGCATAGTTTGATGTAACAACTCCAAGCATCGTGGCTTCGCCAAGGGTCATCCATTTGCGCGGTCGAAGACTTGCCATGTTTAGAAATAGCTTAAAAGCAGATTCCTGGATCCACAGATCATACTCTTTGCAGACTGGAAGTTCTCAGAAGGCTTGTCAAGGACTACTAATAGATTCGTGTTATCCGATTAAGGTGCTCTTATTCAATCCGAGATAAACGTGATGGGGTAAAACCACGTAGTGCTAATCATAAGTCATCATATCACAGTCTGAGGGCGTCAAGCAGTTGTGCGCCCATGTTCGTCTTGAATACCATGAGTCTCTGCCAAAGGCTCCGCCATATCGGCGTTGGTCACATCCTCATGGCTCTGTTCCACATCCTGCTTATCAGCTAGTCGGGCATGCCATCGCTTAAACATCTGGACGAAGAAATGAGCCACGGCAATCTGCTCCGTGGTGTACAGCAAGACCGGCACGGAGGTTTTTGCCTTGGTGAATAAATCTAGTGGCTCCCACATAGCGTATAGTAACGGGATTCCCAGGGCGGTACTTTTCGCGGGACCACAAAAGCAAACAGCAATTGCTTGTTCCGGGGCCATAGGCTTGAAGATACGCTCGGACCAACCACGAGAAGATAGAAATCGCGGAGGCCGTGCTGCAAAGAAGCACACCGCGGTCAGGAAGATATAGAGTCCAATGTTAAAAAGCACCACAAAGATGATGCTTTGACTGGACATGGACTGAAGAGCTCCCGTAGCGAAGCAGGACGAGAACGTGGTCCTATGCAAATGTTAGAATATCAATTGATGTTTTACGATCAAGAGACTCACCAGATCAGTAGTAACATGCAGACAGAGGCCCATTTGGGCATTTTGGTCTTCTGCAGCACCCACGCCGTGCGATCGGGCCAGGTCCATCGTATCAACTGTCCCACGAAGAGTGGCAGCAAACAACTCAACCCGAGTTGCTGGAACACATTCTTATACATGCTGCCCAAATTGCCGCCGCCATATCTCCATTGATCAAACTCGGGCGTTTTGGGAATCAAACTGACTGTCCAAGCCGCTGTGATAAAGGGCCCGAGGATATTGGCAATCAATACCTCCACCAATGCCGCCGCATCGTCGCCCCCGGCAGCCCTCGTCATCACCACATTGGAAGCAATGGTTGTCGGGATACACGCGGTGAAGATATAGCCCGCCAATACAGCTCGATCAATTTTCCCCCTCGCGTCACCGGCTAAGATCAGATATACGACGGCCAGAACAAGCGCCGGAATGAAAAGAAACGAGATTACTTGCACCACGATATGCAGTCGCCAGTTCAAGAGCTGATTAAAAAGCTTCTGGCGCGGAATGCTGAGGCCCGAGATGAGGAAAATGATGGCAATTACCCCGTACAAGATACTGTACTGGCTTCTGATGATTCCTCCATGCTTGGCTACTTGAGGAAAGTAATAGGCCAGAACGCAGACAACTCCGATGCCGATTAGTAACCACTGGTGCAGGATAAACCAGAACACTCGCTTGGACACCGCCAGCCACCGCGAGGTTCGCTGCTCTGTGGCCACTGCGACCGTGTATTCGTCCATGACTATTCAAAGACACGTAGACATTATTTTAGTGGTCCGGAGGAAGTCATTCAACAGTCGAAGTCGTGCACTCAAATACTTGGAGGTGTTTAGACACTTTGGGCAGGGGTAGGGCTAGCGCGGGGGGTTCTCCGACATGACTCTGGAGATCGTTGCGGCGAATTGTTCACCCTACAGTATACACTCAACAATCACCACACTCAATCCCGCCATCCCTGCAGCTCAACCGCCATGATCTGATAAGCCAAAGCTAAATGATCCGGCCCTGAGCGGAATTGTACGCCGAAATCGGGTACTTACAGTAGCCCAAGCCGATCTTCGGGACAGCCACTTCACATGCGCGCTATGCCCAGGCACATGCAGAATGATGCAATCTATCGTGAGCTTCTTCGTCGACTTCTTGAACGAGAAGATCGTGTTCGGTGTACGCTTACACAGCAACATCGATATCAATGTTGGTTTCTGTGAACCCCTATTCGGCACTCCAGACCTCATAACCCCGTAGACAAACCCCCTGCGGTAAACCATTCAGCCGCCACCCGGGGGATGTCCATCTCCATCTTTTCACAGCCCCCGGACTTTCGGCCACATGTCACGTCAACTGGTCGGGACGACAAGAAACAGTAGCTTAATTCCAAGTATCCCTGACTCAGATTGTCAAAGGGCCGTCAAGTGACCAGTGGCCTAGGCTTCGAGAACACACTGCACAAAAAAAAAAAGAACCTCGGCTGAGGGGAGCTTTGGGGAAGGTCCGAATTCTTCCGTAAGCCCAGCGCAGGCGTCACAGGGCGGCATGCGCTCGCGACTGAGTCTGCGGTTCCACAGACCGATCGGTACCGGGGTAATTTCATCTCCCTGCGGTTACGGTACGGAGTATTCCGTAGATAAAAGTCGATTGAAGAGAGTCCCCCTGAAAGTGTCTCGTGGGGAGTGAGGCGAAAAAGAGTATGGTCAATATCATCCAAGCATCTACAGCTCTCCGTCTTGAGGATCTACCTATGACGATGGGAAACAAGCATGTGAAGTCAGATCATTTTGAATTCATGGCGGTGCCGCAGTTCAGGGCCGTGGGGAGAGTCATCCGCCCTTGTTCCCGAAGGGCCTCGGGATTGATTTGCACACTCCTGGATCGGAAGTAGCTGAAATTATAAGATTGCCGGAACTCCCTCCTTTCAGCCTGGATTATTTCCTAGTGTTTGGTTTACCCTTTTTCTCGATTTTCTGCTGTGCGTCAACAGGGTTGCAAGTCTCGGCGGCCAAGAACTATAACACTTCCGCTCGTCCAGCTTCCTCCGCTTCCCCGTTAGAGCTGTCTTCCCCACAAAGTTTGGGAACCGCCACTCGGACCGATTTATCCTCGGGACTTCTGAGGTCATTAAAACCTACAACTGATCTTCCACTTCGACTTTCGATCCCTCTCTTGTCTTTGACGATCTTGTCGTGTTGCTCGTCCCCGGGATTGTATACTTCCGACTCACTCCGCATTTCGGTTCTTCCCATCGCGAACATCGGCTATTTTCGGTCAATCGAATTACGTTTTGGACGCGAAAACAATAGCATCTTTGTGATCCTATCATCGTTGGGTGAACAGGTTGCAAACTATATATCCCCCGACTGGAAGAAGAAAAAAAGCAATTCATCATGTCGGCCAAAAATGTACAGGGCCCTGGCAACAGGAGGGCATCGCCCGCAGTAAACTTGATTGGTAGATACCACCATACCCAATGCCTCCGGCTTCAATGCTAACTGTGAGACAGCCGGTGGCGGTGCTGGTATGATGGAAGCTCTCGTGTGTCACCCTCTGGACACAATTAAAGTCCGAATGCAGCTCTCGCGGAGAGCCCGAGCTCCTGGTGTAAGTCAACTCGCTGCAATGTCTCCAACACTATTGCTAACCATGTTGCTGGGAAACAGGCTAAGCCCCGTGGCTTTATCACCACTGGTGTCGAAATCGTGAAGAAGGAAACTGCCATGGGTCTGTACAAGGGTCTGGGTGCCGTGTTGGGAGGTATCATCCCCAAGATGGCCATTCGGTTCACATCATACGAATACTACAAGTCCCTGTTGGCGGATCCGACGACAGGCAGCGTCACCAGCAAGGCCACTTTCTTGTGTAAGTCCATCACGCGACTGCTGTTCCTCAATCCATTAGCTCATGTCTCGCGCAGCTGGTCTCGCCGCCGGTGTCACTGAAGCCGTGGCCATCGTCAACCCGATGGAAGTCGTTAAGATTCGTCTGCAGGCTCAACACCACAGTCTTGCTGACCCGCTCGACACACCTAAGTACCGCAGTGCTCCTCACGCCTTGTTCACCGTGATCAAGGAGGAGGGCTTCAGCACCCTGTACCGCGGTGTGTCTCTCACCGCACTCCGACAAGGAACGAACCAAGCCGCCAACTTCACCGCATACACCGAGCTGAAGGCCGCTCTTCAGCGCATGCAGCCCGAGTATGCTAACTCCCAGCTGCCGTCGTACCAGACTACCCTGATCGGTCTCATCTCCGGAGCTGTCGGTCCCTTCTCTAACGCCCCCATTGATACCATCAAGACCCGTCTCCAAAGGACCCGCGCCGAGCCCGGCCAGACTGCCATTCAACGTATCATGCTTATCGCCAAGGAGATGTTCAAGCAGGAGGGTGCGAGCGCTTTCTACAAGGGAATCACCCCTCGTGTGATGCGTGTGGCTCCTGGTCAGGCCGTGACATTCACCGTGTACGAATTCCTCAAGGGCAAGCTGGAGGCTTCCAACTGGGCATTCGTAGGTGGTAATTTCGAGGAGTAAAGGATCTGGTGATTCGTTGTGTTTTTGTTTGGAAAGCATTGTGATATCATACTACAGCATGGTGGGCGTTGCGTTTCCCTTGTCTGTTCGCAGTGTTTTGAAGTCTGCGAAGAATCGCTGGCCAAAGTAGGCCGGTCGCAACGGGTTCTGTACATATGTCTTTCTGGTTAATTGTATACTACCTGGTTGGATTCAAGAAGTCTTGTCAACGTGAGTTCAAGCGTTTCTGCCGTAGATTCCAGTGAATATGTATCGACATGAGCCTTTTGCTCCATCCAATATTCCCGATGTGTATCTTCTACAGCAGAGAAACAGATGGATAGCTGCTGAGGTGTGCGTCCTTGCAACTTGAAAGATGAGCCCCGCCGAACGTGGCAAGAGTCCCCTCACCGCTTCCCCTCTCTCCGTAAACAACCACTCGATCAGCCCAGGATCCCAACACAGCATCGGCATCATGCAGTCGGGAATCTCAGGTACGTCCGGTGGAGTACAGTGGGATGCAATTGCCCATCCACGCATTGAACTCCCAATCCTACACACAGTGCTTACACGATAACCAGTCTCTTCGGAGCTGCAAGATGCCTTCAACCGGTTCACCTCCGACCCCTCAAGCTTCTGTCTCCCGGTAACCATCACATCCGAGAAGCTGACGCCACTCACTCCTATTGGTTTCGCGGGTGCTTCTACCGGCCCAGATGCATTCTTCTCATCGCTGCCGCAAATCTCATCCATCTTGCAACCGAAGACCCCGATTTACCTTCTGCTCCGCCGTCCCACTTCCACCTCGACTTCCCTCATCGCTCTAACCTATATCCCGTCTAATGCGCCCGTGCGCCCCAAAATGCTCTTTGCATCGACTCGCACGTCGCTGACTCGTGAGCTTGGCACCGAGAAGTTCGGGTCTTCGGTATTCGCCACGGAAGAGGATGAAATTATCGGCCAAGATGCATGGAAGGAGCGTGATGGAATCGCTGCAGGTATTGGTCGGGAGGAGCTAATGGGCGAGAAGGAGCGCGAGTTGGAGGCTGTGCGGAGGGCTGAGGCCGAGGCTCGTAGTGGAACACCCCGAAGTGACATTGGTATTGGCGGCACATTTGGCCCGGGCTCCGGATCAGGCATGAGAGTCTCCATACCTGTTGATGATGGCGCAAAGGCGGCTTTGAAGGAGCTACAGGAAGGTGGCCTGGTGCAGCTGGTGAGGATCCAATTCCACCCCCAACGTCACCATTCTACGACGGATGAAAAGTGGTGCGGGCATAAGCTTGGATTCAATGCTAATCTACATCCGATACAGACTGTTGATATTTCCACGGAGAAAATCACGCTCGCCGACTCTCAGTCCGGTGTCGAGCCAGGCTCCGTTGCGGCTCATATATCCTCATCTTCGCCCCGGTATTCCTTCTACCACTATCCCGGCTCGAGTGTTGTGATTTTCGTGTATACCTGTCCGACTGGATCGTCGATTAAGGAGCGTATGCTGCACGCTAGCTCGCGGAGGAATGCCATTGCGGTGGCCGAAGAGGAAGGACTGAAGATCGAGAAGAAGGTATGTATGCTCGCGGTTTGTGGAAAATGTAGACGCTAATTCTCGAATGACAGATCGAGGCCTCTGGTCCAGATGAAATCACTGGTGACCGCCTGCAGGAAGAGGTCAAGCCGGCCCGGGACCAGGGTCCTGCGCGTGGATTTGCCCGTCCGCGCCGCCCTGGCCGGTAAATCACTCGAAGACAAGACATTCGATAAGTATATATAGGAAGCCTGAAATAGCATATCAAGACGTGCCCAATTTAAAGCGTAACACGTCTCTTGAGGGGGAAATGCTAGCCACCAGAGTGGACCTTTGCAAGACCGGCGGACCTGCACGAGACTTCCTGTCCGCCAGAGGCAAGAGAACACCAAGCCAGCTCCAGAGAGGCCGCAGAGCTTGATCATTGATTCCTGAAACTTTTCTTCTGGTAGAATAAGTCCGTCCTCGAACTTCCCAGATTGATAATCTTTGGACAACCGTCTCGGTCCTTCTCAAGGCGCGTACATTCGAAGCAGTAGAAGGCATCACTGATACCCTCGCCACCGCAGACGATACACTTATTCTGGTAATTACCGAAGGCGCACTCATCGCAGATTCGCACGAGGGTGGTAGGGCGCACGTAGGAGTCGCACACGGGGCATTTGCCGTCGCACTTGTCGCAAAGACGGCCGATTGAAATGCCGGGCTGCTTGCGGCACATGACGAGATCTGGGTGATGGCGAGACATATTGGGTGGTTGGGAGAGGGTAAAGTGTTGAAACAACTGTAGGTCTGGAGAAAGAAAGAGGTGAAGGTGAACGCGAGGAAAAGAAGCTAACAGAATGGTGGTCCGTGCACGTGCCCAGCAGCCCCCGAGCTTCGCGGTCGACTTCCAGTACTCGAAGAATAGACCATTTGTCAGTGGAACAGACCAGATCTCGGGCGACGCTTACTGATACTTTCGAGATTCTTTCGCCACGGTGTACTGAAGGTCGACGATCAATTACCGCCAAGTCCATTATGTCTGAAGGGTACGGGTGCTTTTCCGATTTGCCTCTTGAGTTGCGCTGACATCTGGCTTTTGATCATTTACAGGACCCTTGCCTCCGCAGTTGCCATTCCTGAGCAGGATACTCTACGGCAGTCTCCCGAACTGCCCGCAAAGAGGCGCCAGTCATCCGTTACCGAGCACGATCCCAAGCGCCGTCGTCTCAGCGCGCAAGATGATGGTTCTCCCCAGTCTCAGGCCCGACGACCATCATCGCCAGTGCAAGAAGGCGAGCAGCCAACGGAAAAGCGACATGCCCGGCGGGGACGAGAGGACGAGCGCAAGCGTGGCCAGCGACTGTTCGGCGGACTGCTGGGTACCCTCTCGCAGAGCTCAAATTCGGCGGCGCAAAAGCGGCGCGCAGACATTGAAAAGAGACAGCAGGACAAATTGAAATCTCAAGATAGCGAATATGATGGCTTGAAAAAGCTACACAAGGACCGACGTGATGCAATTCGAAGGAAAGAGAAGCCGTTTTATGAACGTGAGGCTGTAGGTGTACCAGTCACTTAGGTCATGCAGCAGGATCTGACATGTCTATCTACAGATCCAGACTCGCCATGCAAGTCTAGTGGCTATGGCGCATTTCCTGAAGACAAAGACAGAACCTGTTTTGGTATTTGAATTCTCAACCCAGTCGCGTGACTCACGAGCTAACGTTGATAACAGTACTACAAGCCATGGCAACTAAGACCTGGTGACGAAGCAGTGATCCAGGAACAGATAGCGGATGCCAAAGCAACCGTTGCCCGCGAAATTGCAGAGTTCGAAGCCCGATATCCACCTGAAGCCTTCGTGCGCGAGGATCTAGAGCCAGTGTCTACGGAAGAATCGAAGCAACAAAACACATCCAAGAAGCAGCCCGAGCCAAATCCAGAACAACCCTCAGCGACGGAACCTCCGGTGGAGTCAAGCCCCCTGAACACAACGGATACTGGGGCTGTACAGACTATATCCGCGGACGACTCGGAAGCTATGACCGAAGCGCCTACTAACGGGGCCGACGGCACTGCTCAAGAGCAGTCAGACGCCCATCACGACGACGGAGGGGAGGTGGTGGAGGATAATGAGGATACAGTGATCTATTAGCGTTTTTTTTTTTCGGTGAACAGTTTATGACTGGGGATTTTAAATTGTGGCGCATTTGGGCATTGGGGTTGAAGCTTCAAGATTCAACCGAGGCTGACCGAGGACCGCCCGTGAGGGGTTTCGGTCCACCAAAACATCCTGATGGGCTTTCAACTGCATATATCCATCTTCTATTTGACATATCTCATTCAAATTTCTGTATCAGACTTGAGTTGTTATAATATTGGCTAGGTTTTGGCGAATTTCACTTGATGCCCAGTGGGGTTCAAATGCTGAATATATATTAGCTTCACGCGGGGACGAGAGACCATCATTTCCTCTGGATTGAATACGTTCGCCTCAAAATTCTCTCTTTCCACGTGGATGCACATAATTGACGACATAAAATATTTCGCAACATCATGCCGGTCGACAAGATCCGCGTCTCAGGGGATCCCCGAATCAAGTACCAATCTGCAACAATCAATAGCCACAAGTATTGTGAGTAACTCAAGCAGCGGACAGTCACAGTCTAAGTCACAAAGAAACCTGGCCACAGTTAATGTTAACGATCCATGACCAGCTTACCTTCTCAGCCAGCCCGAATCAGGCAAATACCGAGCTACGATCTTCCTGGTGAATTGCACGTTTCCGACGCGCTGTGAGCATTGAGCTGATAGAACCTATTAGATCCATGGCTTCCCCGATATCTCAATGGGATGGCGCTATCAGATCCCCATGCTAGTCAGCATGGGACTGAGGGTTGTCGCTCCCGACTGCTTGGGATACGGCCGGACGGTGAGCTCATCAACCTCGGCATGTCTTTTCAAACCATCTAACGTCGCATTCACGACCAGGACGCCCCTGATGCGTTTGAAGCTTACTCACACAAGCGATGCGCCGATGATATCAAGGCTCTAGCAAATCATCTCGGCGAATCCAAGGTTATTCTAGGAGGACATGACTGGTAAGACATCCTCTCCCCTTTTGAAACATCCACGATGGCTGATCCGAGGCAATATAGGGGTGCCGCTCTAGCCTACCGCGTGGCACTTTGGCACTCAGACCTAATCAGCCACCTCTTCACAGTTTGTGTGCCCTACGCCCGGCCTATGGAAAAGTACATCTCTATCGAAGACCTGGTAGCCAATGCCGCACCGCACTTTGCGTACCAGATACAATTTGCTAGCGGCGACCTTGAGCAAGTACTTCGCTCCAAGAGCGAAATTCGCCAATTCTTGTCTGCCTTGTACGGCGGGAAGACGGAGAAGCGCGAGCCCGGCTTCGATGCCGAAAAGGGTGTCCTCTTGGATAAGTTGCCGCACCTGAAGCCATCGCGACTGTTGAGCGAGGAGGTAAGTCCTCCCTACCGTCTTCGATACACAGGCACTGTTGAGCAAATCAAAATAACAAGTCTCAGGAGCTGGATTACTATGCCACCGAATTTGCGCGCAATGGCATCCACGGCCCACGTATGATATCACTGCCCCACATTTCCGATATTTAGTCTATGCTAATTTTGAGATAGTCAATTGGTACCGTACGCGCAAGGTCAATTTTGAGGAAGAGCAGGCTATCCTCAATCGGCGTATCGAGATCCCCGTGTTGTTCATCCAAGCTCTCAAGGATGAGGCGCTCCCGCCTCACCTTGGGAAGTCGATGGCTAAGCACATTCCCAATTTGACTTTGACGCAGGTCAATACTGCGCATTGGGCGCTGTGGGAGAAGCCCGAGGATGTTAACGAAATTATAGCGACTTGGTTGAAAAATGTTGTTTTCACGCAGGGACGAGCTGGTAAACTTTAGTGCTGTGGATTCAATATGTACGGGCAGACAATGGCCACCTGGACAAACTGCACTAGATCAGGGATTAGTGTTGCTGTATTCTCTTGGATTGCAAGATGGAACGGGTCAAGTCTTTGCGGGTACCAATTACGTGGTATTACATCGTTCATTCCGTGTGTCAAGCGAGCTAAGAAATAAATACACAAAATCAAGTCGTCAATCATCTTGAGCTTAGTACTGGAACACCCGGGTTTGAATCTTCACACCAGTGGCATCCAGGCGATCAACATAGTCCTGGCCCAAAGTAGCAGAGGTGACGATACCACAGCGCGAGGTCTTCTTGACCTTCTCCTCTTCCTGCAGAATGACCATGGCGGCCTCAGAAACCAGCAGTCCAGTAAGCACATACAAGCTTCCTTCGTAGCTGATTGTTCCAAAAACCCGAGGAGGAGAAGGACCGCCCTGATCAGCAGTAGCGACGGCGTGGTACTCGAGGCGATCATTCTGGTATGCCTCGGCGGTCGGGCCTTGACCAGGCGCGAAGATGAACTTGCGCAGCACCATGCGCACGGGTGGGATCATGAGCATAGCCAAGGCGAACATGAAGGCAATGTGCACCATGGCGCCAATAAGGGTATTCCGGACGTAGAGGAACTGGTGGAAGTAGAAGCGCTTGCCATAGAACTCGGGCATCAGGGTGCTGCTGCGGTGCACGATGGTCATGTCGGCAAGTCCAGTGGGCGAAGTAGTCACAGCGCCGAGATCACTAATGGAGCGCACACCCAGAAGCTTCTGGAGAATGGTGTCGCTGGGGATATCCTTCGGTGGTGCAGAAGCGGCCAGGGAGAATGGGTTGGCAGATTTCAGAAGTTGGGAGAGCGGCAGAGAGTCAAACATTCCCAGAACTGTGGCGAGAGTACCACCGCTGGGGCCGGAGGACCTGTCAAAATGTATGAGACATGGTGGTCTGGATAGCAGAAGGGTTGAACATGAAATACTTACTTCATCTCCTTGATACAGCTCTCGATACTCCGAGTGCCGGAGGAGTACTCAGAACGAATGCGCTTGACCAGGGCCCAGGCCAGCATATCGGCGGGGGCACTTTCGACACCAACTGAGGGCATTATAATTGCGCCATTGCTCTTGGCGGTTTCATGGTACTTCTCAATGAGCTCCTTGATCCAGGGAGTCTCTCCGGTCCTACAGGGGTTTAGTCGAGGTATAATGTTGCGAATTCGAAAACAGCACTTACACATCAAGGTAGTGGGTACCATTGGCAGCACAAGCCTCCACCACAGGAGTGGAGTACAGGTGATAGGGGCCGACGCAATTGATGATGATCTTAGTCTTTTGCGCCAGCTCATTGAGCTCTGCCGAGTTGAGCTGCACCACCAGGATATCTAACCCAAGTCAGTGCGAGCTCAAGCGATCACAACATCGAAGATATGCAAGTCTATACCTGGCTGGACACGGTCCTGATTCAATTCCTTCAGCTCCTGGGCAATGGGCTCCATCTTCTTCTCAGAACGACCAGCGATAGCCCATTTCAGGTTGGTCGGATGGTTCTTAACAATGTGTTGAGCACAGAAGCGGCCCGTGTAGCCAGTGGGGCCCAAAAGGACCATGTCATATTGTGGGTTGGTCGGCATTTTGGCTCTTGTGGTTCACGGAAGAAGCTTTTGACTGTATAGGGAAGCTCGCGGGCTTCTGGGTGGGGAGATAAGGAGAGACGGAATGGGGAAACTGAAGCACTGTGACAGAGACTAGATTTTATAGCTGCAGCTGAGGTATCCTTGCTTGGTCGTACACAGCGGGGAGGTCCAGGCTTCAGGTCGTGTTAATCGCGATGGATATAATGGCACGTGATTTGACCTCATCGATTCAAGATTTAGCTTTCGTCCTACATTTTATTGATAACAATCTTCATGTACTTTTTTGAACTTATTTCTGCATTTTGAATATGTTCATTCAGCATGTTCCACCAGCCATCTACAAAAACACTCCGTAGCCGATGCCATGTTATTCTGTTCACGCCGTTCCACGTGACCGGATAGATGAATGTCGCCGACGGCTCATTTTCGAGCGAATTGTAGCGTGGGCGAATGATTGGAGTTGGTGTCGCGAGAGATCGGTACAAGGAGAGACGAAATTAGGCCGCGGCATCTTATATACTCTCAGAAAAACCATCATACGTCTGTGACATGATCGGCATAATCGAATAACGAGATGTACCTGGTAAGCACTCTATACATCATCAAGCAGCCGATGACGGTGAGAAACCGAGCCCAAAAAGCGGAGTCTGGTGGTACGTGCATTGTGACTAAGCACACGCAAGCCCTCACAAATTTGAACAGGTGGAAGGGATCATGTGACCGCACAAACTGCCAAGGCCCCGAGCCCTAAGCGAGCCTCCACCCACAACCACTCATCCGGAGCGTCTCTCGATCTCGCTTTCTATCTTCATCATCTACAGCCGCACTCAGACAAGATGACCAAGCGCACGAAGAGTATGTTTCAACAAAGCACTGTCCAAATGGATCAGTCCCCCCCCGTTCAATACCCATGAATCCCAATGCTAACGCTCTTCCACAGAGGTCGGTATCACCGGTAAATATGGTGTCAGGTATGCATCGCGCCCAATCCTCCAACACGCCCTCGAACGACCATGAGAAATCGAACGGGAAACGACACGAAAGAACCGAATATTGACCAAACCCCCAACAGATACGGTGCCTCCCTGCGTAAGCAGGTGAAGAAGATGGAAATCACCCAGCACGCCCGCTACATCTGCACCTTCTGCGGAAAGAACACCGTCAAGCGCAAGGCTGTTGGTATCTGGGAGTGCAAGGGCTGCAACAAGACCGTCGCCGGTGGTGCCTACACCGTCTCGTAAGTCGCCTACTGAACCCTCGAGGTCGACCTGGAAGGGATTCAATCCACGCCTACGACACTAGGCTTGGTCACAGATCGAGACAAATACTAATAACGACTGTGCTACAGGACCCCCGCCGCCGCTGCCACCCGCTCCACCATCCGTCGTCTCCGTGAGATCGCTGAGGTTTAAACGCGATCATGTGGTTTCCTATTTCTTCTACGGTCACGTCTGAATACCAAAAAATGAAAACTTTCGGAATCTGAAGATTTTGCATGAACCGATCTCCAACTCTCCCGTAATCCGCGAAGCTCGCAACGCTGGACAGGAACCCAGTATCGACAAGGCCCTCCGGTGTCGAATCTGGCCGGTCTCGTCTGTTCAGTCTGTTCGACCTTCCCAACCCAATTGCTTTTCCCCCGGGGCGTTGACCCGTGCGACTGGGCTTCGTCCTCGAAGAGGATTGAGGATTGAATGTCTCACCCCGGGTTGCACACTGGCAGAGAGTAGTAATTGTAGATGTCGGCCGCCTCCCAGACTCGCTGTTCAATGAACCATTACAGGAAACAACTCTGAACCCATATGGACTGTCTTCTCTTTTGGTCTTGGACGCTGTTCGTGGCTTATCAACGTCTGCGTTCAAGGACCTTGGAAGGATCGAGATCTAGGCACCGGATTTCCTTATCCCGGGCACAACGTACGCCTAGGTGATGGTGACGTGCACCACACTCGAACCTGACCGAGTTCCTCAGCCGCATGACCCTGGGATCAAATGGGCCCGGGACCTCCAAAGAATGTGGGCGCTAGCGACCCTGCAACCTGTAGAAATAGTCCCTATGGTGATCGGAACCATGTCGGGTCGCAGGCTGGCGCACCTTGCAGCAAGGGCACCACGATCTTCGATCTATCCCGGCTTCTTCTTTTTCATCCCAGTCACTAGCTATTAGGAGTTGAAACCCTATGCATAAGACCATGACCCGGGTCTCATCCGCAGCTGGCGGGTGATTCGCCTCCGTCACGTTGGCGCCCTGTTTTGCGTTAGACCGAGAACCCCGGCCCACCTTCAAAAGGCGCCCGTTCCTCGACTCCCCACATCTTCCCTTCATACATATTCCCCCTCGACTCTATGCCGCCGTCCACTCCTGGCTTATATCCTGTCCATGTCCGACACTTGTATTGTCTGTTTAGGAGACCTTGGCGAAAGCGCCGGTAATCCACTCGCCGCCGAGCCCGTGAACCCCGATAATGATGTATCGAAGGCCAGGCTCGACGAGGATAGCCAGATCGCCCAGTTGCTTCCTTGCGGACATGTACTGCACAATAACTGTTTAAAGCCATGGGTAGAACGGGCCAACAGTTGTCCAATATGTCGCCGCAACTTTAACATGGTCGAGTTGACGGACTCACTTGGTGGTATGTACTCCCCTAGTTTCAGTGGATTCTCTGGCTTTTCGCTAGAGAAGCTAGTTCTTTTGCTGACCATAATTTGATGATTCATATAGGCCCTGTAATCTCGTCATATGCCGTCCAAGACCGAACCCAGGTTGCTGACGTCGACCCGTCGATGGTCATTGAATATGCCGAAGATGAGCTCGCCGATTCTCAACCGTGTACGATATGTGGCGAAGCAGATAACGAGGATGTTCTCCTTCTATGCGATGGATGCGATGCCCCTTCTCATCTATACTGTGTCGGTTTGGATGAAATACCTGCCGGCTCATGGTATTGCTCGCAATGCGAATCTCAACGTGCGATCGGCCCTGTTGAGGTTTCTGCCCGATCTACAAGAGCCGAGCGACGAAGTCGCCGCACTCGCGCTCAGCAGCGTCGTGCGCAAACCTCAAACAACATCAACTCACTCCACTGGGCTCGGGTGTGGCAGTCGGTCTGGGATCATTTGAATATCGATTTGGATTTCCCATTCGACGACGATCGATCGGCGCAGCGTGTTATGCAGCAACGTCGTCGGGATGAGGCTAATCAGCGCGAGTTCCGGGCATGGCAGCGTCGATTTGAAGTCGCGGAACGACAAGGCGGTGGTAGTCGGTTCCGGGACACAGCCTCGCTGTTCGACATCGAACCTGCCCGCCCGTCGCGGCCTCGAGTACCTAGAGAACCAACGCCTGAGCCAGAGTCACTTGAGGAAATGCGAGCATGGAATGCCTTTGAAAGAGCTCGAGAGATAGAGAACAACCCAAATGCGGCTCGAAAGCGCAAAGAGCCTTCCTTGTCCCCATCACCTGAGCCGACCGAGCCAGAGCGCAAGCTCAAGCGCCCGCGCACTAGACGACCTCAAGAGCTGGCTGCCATGGCTCAGCAAAATGGAGAATCTTCCAGAACTGCCGGTTCGAGTGCACGCCTCACGAACGGGGATAATAGCATAGGCGAGCCAAGCTTTCTGTCCTCTCTATTGAAAGAGGTCGAAGACTCGTCAGTTACAGAGCGCGGAAATTCACATGGACCATCGGCTTCCACTTCTATAGCCCCTACCGACCATGCCACTCCGGGTCTATCTTCTCCATCCCTCTCCCCTGTTTCTTCCCGGCACTCATCTCCCGGAATCTCATCGACAACCCCACCACCTTTCTCTCGCAGCCGACCCATCTCCCCCTTCGACTCTCTTCTCCTGCCGAACCCTGCTCGCCTCCGTTCTCCCCGGAGGTTTCATTCACGGGCAGCCCGGCGTCTTCGCCTAGTAAAGCAAGCCCGCTGCCACCACGTGAAGCCGGTCGCCCACGCTCTCGCATCCCTCGACGAGCTATTCACCTAGGCCATTCTCGCTCTGCCGACGCCTCACCTACCCGTGCCGGACCTTCCCTGGCTGTCAAATCCGATATTCAAAAAATGGTCGGCGCAGCGCTCAAGCCGCACTACCGAGCCAAGACCATCTCCAAAGACCAATTCACCGAGATCAACCGCACTATTTCGCGCAAATTATACGAGCGCGTCGGATCAGCTGATTCTCTCGACCCCGAGCCCCGCACGGATATTGAAGCCGTCGCGAAACACGAGGTCCAAAATACCATCGGCGCGCTGCGCAAGAAAGACAAACAACCCATGCTGACATCTGACTCCGATGGCGATTTACAATGACTGCTATGACATGACCCAAGGCATTTTAATGGCGTTTCTTTCTATGGATCTATGGAATACATATGTCAGCTGGCGTTCGGGGACATCGGATGGTGTTACCTTCTTCTTCTTTAGCGGGACATTCTTGGAACTTCAAACCATTGACAATGCAGGCGATATAGGCGGTGTCTTCTTCTAATGTTCTAGACATATCACACTGCATATCACATACCGTATCTCTGATGACTTCATACTAGGGGTCTTGTCTCTGCAACCATTCTCATGATTCTTATTGTAATGTAGGCATGGGCACTCAAGCCTGATGGAAGCTTTTGCTAAGAGCCTAAGATATCCTTTCAGCGTAGTCTGGGCCTTTTCCTTGGGGTGTCTTCTTAGACATCTGCATAGGCCGATGGATTAGGACTCATCCGAGACATGTCAAACCAATAGACAGAACATCTATATTACTACTCTCAACTCCAGCCAACGTGCATTCACAAAGTCACTTCAGTCCAAGGCTCATGGGTATCTTAATTTGAATTTGCACAAGGCACTCCACGTAGTACGCCAGGTACTCCCAAAGGGCCATGATACCCCGCAAGACTGGTCTAGATGCGTGTGTCCATTTTAGGCGTAGTCCATCCACCTAATACTGTAATTCATGGCCGTAATTATGTGTCTTAAATCATGCTATTTAGCTTATGTTATCCCATATGGGGTAACGGCTAGCCTAACCGTCTTTCACACGGTAGACCCGGGTTCGACTCCCGGTATGGGAACACTCATACGATAACATCTTTTTTTTCCTCGTCCACCAGAACATTCAGACATGGTTCAAAGCTAGATACAGTATGACATCGAAGAAGGTCTTCTTGTTGAAGTGATAATCCTTCTCTTATATCAAAGAAACACAATGTTATCTGAATCGAATGGACATATCGAATAAACCTGACGATCGGATCCCTGGGTAGATTTTGTCCTATATCACCATCGGTCGCAGGTCAAGTATTAAGCAGGTTGATTCAGATCTCGTTTGGATGAGCGTGAAAGTCCTTTGGTCATGTCAGTCGGGCTACAAGTCCTGTTATGATGTAAGGCTAATTGTAAATGTACATATCTATCGACTTGTCCAAAAAGGACTGCGTAGGATTGATCGTCTTCGTTTAATCACTCATGGCCAATCAACTAGGCGTGGCTAATGCCAGTTCTCAGCGATACATCGGATGCGCCGTACTACGATATTTGTGCGTCTTCAAGGCTACATCGCGCCTGTACAGTCAATTTAGATCATGAGTTATCGTCATTATTATGGAAGAAATATCTGCAAAAATCACCCGTAATTTGTAATTGCGACAAAAGAAATATTTATGCAGCATACTTTGCTTTTTTGAGAAGACTTCAAAAAAAAAAAGAAAGAAAAAAGAAGGCAACATGTATGAGTTTTCCCATACCGGGAGTCGAACCCGGGTCTACCGTGTGAAAGACGGTTAGGCTAGCCGTTACCCCATATGGGATTTGTTGTCTTTAATTGGTCTGTTTGCAATATATGAAGCCTCGGATCAGTTTCATCATTAGGTCAATAACCGGGAACATACACATAGTGCGCGCGATCGTTAGATGTCTAATGATATTGTTCAACACAATCCAGTTGGTTATAGCTATTCCTGATACAGTTTCAATCCTACAGTCAACTGACTGCCAGGGTCTGTATGACTCGCCAATGTATCGAGGATAAGCATCTTTGAACCAGCCTGCCTCCTAAGTGTCATATCTTTGAACACCCCTATTTCTCATCATTAGCAGCCGAGTCACGCTCAAATGATCCTTTAGTTTTGTATTTTCGAAATAACCCTACTTCCCATGTTTCTCATTAGGCTAAATATCGTGAGATTCGATAAATTTTTCCTGAGGGGTAAAGAAGAATTGACAAGGCATTTGGGTTGCCAGGTGGGCACCCGTGTCCGACCCTCGAAAAGCTACTGTTGGGACATCAATAAAGATTCAAAACTTCTGCCATCCGCTGAATACTTGACTACCAATTGACACAAACCCTACCGATTTGGAATATCCTACAGAGCCGATGTTGATTGTGTGGTTGGTCGTTGACCTTTGCGGCTTCCATCAGCCGCGTTATATATATGCGCAGTCAAGCTGTAAACTGTCCGAGTTTTCACACGGATTATGTAAAGGAGAAAAAGATATTGCTAACTAGCCTTTACATTGCTTCAAAAAGGTCACAGATCGCACAGCATCTCCAAAAGGCTCGCAAGGTCCAATTATCTTCCAGGGTCGCTATGTTCTAGTAACAGCGTCGACCTCGTCAAATCTCCAATAACAATTCTCAAATGGACTAGAACACTACTGCACGTACGTGAGTAAGCTATTCAAACCTTTCTGCCTTCATGAGTATAGATCTGCTGAGACTATATTGAGAGGAAGCTGATTTGCGCACTAACCGGAGCTAGGTATTGCCATCAAACCGATGAAACTGCATTTTTCTCCCATCATCTAAATATCACGCACTCATAGTCGTCGCTATCTTTCGTCATTTTCTTACGGCCCATTTCTGGGGTTCCCAAAGCTGACCTATGCAGTCTGTCACTGTATCTTCCCAGTCAATGTTCAAGCCAAGCTCATTAGCCATCATGTCACAGCGGACCAATAGTTGCCAACATTAATTGAGATACTGAGTTAATTGCTTCCTGTTATCGGGATGGAATGGATCGTGCGCTACATTCAATTTCCTTAATAGTCGGCGACGATCTCCATGATGTCGAGGGCAAGCTCAACGGGAAGCCCTCTAGAGCCCAGTATTGATAGCACTTGTTCTGTATCTGGTAGAGCTGCCTCACACGCGTCCAGCTTCCGCATTGCAAGGAGATTGTCGTACGAAAGTTTCCCACATACAGTTTTGAAACTGCCGGATTCATCGTAGTGACCCCACAGAAGTTGCCATTCCCGCGGATTTGGTAAAGGATGAAGCTTGAGAAGGGTCTTTGATCCCAAAGAACTGGCGGTGTGGATATGCCACCACATGTGAAATGTCACCCGGCTCTGTAGATTTGATGACCATGCGCTGGTATAATCTGGTGTGTCGATAGTCCTTTGATAGTCCTGCTGCTCCGTTCTTACCGAGGCGTGGTCCCATAACTCCGGAAAACAGAAAATCGAGTTTAAACAGATGTATACCATTAGTGCTTTTTGTAAATCTGATCCCATCCAAGGTTAGAAGACTAGTCAAGTCAGAGCCAAGGCCGAAATCAGATATCTGAGTAAAAGCAAGTGAGCATCAGAGAAAGGACGGCAACTTACGAAACAGCCACACACGTCAATATTCCACCAGGCACCAATAGCCACGTATAGATAAGCGCATGCATGAAGAATCGGCTCCATATAGCCGTGGATGACCAATGTCTTGACTATTTCCATGTTGAAATAGCCTGCACTCTGCTGTGGAAGAAATCCGATGCATGGCGAATACTGGAATCCCCCGCAGAATGCAGATGCGATTCTTTGCTCATGCGGGAGAACCCCAGATGTACAGCAGAGAAGTTTTTGAGACCGGCACGACCTTCCATTTAAGCTGCAGAACATTGGTGGCATTGCTTCTTCGCAGGCTTCCCTCCATGGACAAATTGTGCAGTGTATCTTTGCGGCGGTATTGTCATCAATTATTATGTCAGTAGCACTCGGCGCTTTCTAGTGAGAGTACTTCTTGCGTTCACATTTTGAATGCTCTCTGACAGTTCCTGCAAAAACCCTTCGCAAAATAGATCAAGTTCTTGGCTTGGTCGGATTTGAAGCCGGGGTGGAGATCGTAAGCATCGTGCTGACCACTCGACACACGGGCCCACCGCAGATTGGACGCCAACATTGTCCAGGGAATGTTATGAGCCTGATGAGCCATGCAACCCTCTGACCAGGGAACAGGAAATATGAAAGATGGAGGGAAAAATCTGGAACAGGGAAAAGGGGAAAGATCTGTGTAGAGTGAAAGAGCTCTGAGTTGACTTTTCAGCTTAGCAAAAGCACAGCCACAGTCTTGGGAACTTTGACTCATTTTGAAATCTCGCAATGATTCCCAGATTCACGTGAGTGGTGATGGTATATAACTCTAGAGGGCATTCATTCTCTACTTTGATCATCTCGAGAGAGTTGGCCCAGTTTTCCGCCCCTCTCGATCTCCGTCAAGGTCTGTTTCCTTTGTCGACATCCGATGAGGATCCATTCAAATATAAGAAAGACGAGAGCTCCTCCCACGCCAGCTGCAACCCCAATAATCAGTCGGAAGTGGTCATGTACCCACGAATAGCCACTGTTCGACCCGCCATTGTCACTACTTCCTGGTCTCGTCGTGGATCGGTCCCATTGATCCCCTTCTCTCCACTGACAAGTCACCGAGTCACAGCATGTGGTATCCCTCTCGTTACAGGCGCCATTGCCACAATCACAAGCCTCGCCAGACTCAAGAACCCCATTCCCGGCAGCGGCCATTGCTGCCAGTATTATTTCCAGAACCAGCATCAACCAAACAGCGCGAGTCGATACATCCAGAACCCAGGCGGGAACAGACAGTACCTATTGTACATGGGGAGAATCGTGTCACACCCGGCCTTGAAGTTGGGTCCATGATGTATTGCCCACCAACATCACAAGTATCTGCCGACAAAGGGCAACACTGACCAGGTTGAGTTCCACATGTAGCCGCAGTACAGTCGTGTACGGCACCAAAGGTATGCGCGGATTCATGACTATCCAGTGATTAGAGTGGGGAGTTGCAAGATATCATCGAAAGGGTCTTAGCACATACGCGAAAACTTGCCATTCCAACTGCGTTCGAGCTACAACATTGGTCCCTGCTCCAGAGAAGCTTGTAACCAGATCCAGAGTTGCACAGAGCGCCAATCCAAGACACGCCCACTTCGCCTGAAGATGACGGGCACCCACTGAATAGTGTCCAATAAGCGTTGTTGTCGTTAATGGAACTTCAAGAGGAAAACCTTTGGAGACGCCAATTCAAGTCTCCCTCGGAACAGGCTGCATTCCACGCTGTTGTCCCTAAGACAGAGCTCGGGCATTCAGCATCGCTGATGGTCAGATTCTGAATGCCAATCGAGACGTTGAAACTGTTCTCGAATACCACTGACGCGGTATTGATCACGTTCAAGATGTGGTGATGGGCATCATCCGTCGAATTGAAGCTAGCGGTGTAAGCGCAATCAGTCGCTACCCCTATATAGGCGACCTGCCTGGTGCGCGGACACCCATCAGTACTCCCGATAGATTGTGTCAAGTCGTCCCCCCAGGCATTCCACTCCTGCCGCTTGCCTTGCATTACATTGTGCGATGGTGAAGCACATGTTGAGCGCAGCGATGGTGGATCGTCCAGTGAATTGCCTTGCTCGATTTGGTGTGCCACCATCCGTGTCGGCTCTTCATTGCTGCTCTCCAGGTGTATCTCATAGGTGACGGACCCAATAGTGAATACACCATCGAATAATGGGCTATCTCTCTGCTCAATCACAGCGATGCGTGCCCAACCGATATCCGCCCAGGTTTGATCCAACGAATCTTGTATCAGTACTGAACCTCTCGCCATGAGAGGATACGAGCTGGAAAATTGATTTGCTCCATATGACAGCCCATTTGAGTCCAAGTATTGAATCGAAGTATGCAACGGTGACAGATCGGTGTTTTCTTCCAGCATGAATCTCAAACGCTCGTTTGTCTGGCCAATGCCGATGGTGATATCGAAATTGGTGAATTGGAACTGTTTATTCAAGAAAACGGGAGCGCTTGGGTCCTGGATTTGGAAGGTATCCAGGTTGACTAAGATCATAGACTTCAATTTCTGAGAGCATCAAACAAGACAAGTTCATCTTACATTTGATCGCAGATGCTAGCGCAAGATACCCCGAGATGATAACCCATGTTGAAGATGAACAAAACCTTGACTTTCCAAAGTTCCTTCCCATGATAGGATATAGTCTCGCGGTTTGCTTTGAACAGAGCCCCGAATATTTCCTGGCTTAAGTATTAGAACATGGAAACACTCAAGCCAACTCCTACGATTGATTACTTTGAGTCCTCCAACGAAACCAATCACTCCAGCATAAGTTGATGACATTTGGATAGTGGGTCACGATGCCAAGGACTTGAGAGCCAGTAATCTGGCATCGTGACGCGTTCGAAATGGCGAAGCAAGGTGAAAGTAAAGACAAAAATCTAGGTCAACTAAGAACCCAGATGCGCAAGACATCATTACAACATCTTGAGACCTAGTGTACAGAACGCTGCTGCCTGCCTGATCAATTTCTGTCCAGATAAGATGAATCAAGAATCATCAAACTAATTATCGATAGCGTAGGCCGCGTTAAGCACTTGTTGTCCGATGTCGCTCATAAAATGAAGCCGATTGAATGCAACCCCTTCAATATACACTTCAATATTCATCTCTTCACACAAGGTGAATCGGACCCTGTCCAAGCGATAGAAATGCCTTAGCTTACAACAGTCTTGATCAGTATTGATCGACAACGGCAATCAAGGCGCCAATGCAACTTGCTGACGGCCATTCTGAACGTTCAAGATTACTGCCAAGACCGCCAAGGCATCGAAAGACTGAAAGAAATCGGTAATGTCAGCTCGTTCCGAACGTCGAGGCTTAACTCCGGTGCTGACCGATGTACGAGTCATCAAAGTGGCTGTGTAAAAGAAACATCCAATTGAATAGAGCGATGGAATTAAAGATGGAAGACAATGACATGAAACGGGGTGGCGGAAAATAGTTCCAGAAACAGCTCTAGAGAGGACAAAGAAAGAGGACCACCCTACCAGCAGCTGAGTAAAAGATCCCGAAATTTCTCTTCACGCAGCGCTGTGTAAACCTTGCTCACTTGCGAGCCAATACATTCTTTTCCTTCGGAATTCACTCTGTTGGTTGTTGGGTGAGCGTCAATGCCGGTGTGAGGAGGCACTTTCAGATCTTCCCGGACAAACTTATACAGTTTCTGAGACGTTGTGCAGAGGTATGACTTTGTCGTGGGACTAGCAAGGAACTCGATCCGAGCGGCTTCATAGCATTGCTGAAGGGCAGTCGAGACGCTACTCTTCCATTGCCGAGCGACACCTTCCTGCGGGATACCGGCGTCTGCCGGCAAATGATCGAGAAGAACACCCACTGAGGCGTTCGCAGTCATGACACTGCGATCGCAAAGGTCACTAGTGCTGTACCGACGCCAGTGGTGCATGAGATCCTCCCAGATTGTCATTTGGATCGTCTCAAGACGAGCAGGGGCGACAGAGAAAGTACTCGCCGTGGCTTCGTCGATCTTGCGGCGTACAGTTTTGACGAATTCGGCATGAAGCACGCGGAGATCCACAGCTTGGCACAGAACGTACAAGTAGGTTGCCGTCATAAGTGACAAAACTTCGACGGCATCGCCAGCATAACGACAGCCAATGAAGGCAAGTGAATTGATGGCCTGATTGTGCATTTCCGCTGACTGAACGTGATTGCTGATAGGATGGTTCAGATATCCGAGCTCCGAAGTGTACGAAGCCATGTTGATATCAATGCCCTTGAATGCAAAGGAAAGACTTGGGTCATCCATGCACAAATTTGGAGGGAGACCGTTACTCAAAGTAGGGTTCAATAGCTCAGAGCATTGGGAGAAAATCATTTTGCCGATCATTTGCATCACGCTCATGGTCTTCTCCATGGAGGAAGTGATCGCTGCGGCTTGGAAATTGCCACCATGATAGATATTGCCATCGTCCAGATTGATGAGAGGATTGTCCGTTGTCGAATTAAGTTCAACCCGAACCTGCTGGAGGGCCAAAGCCATGTTTTCAGTTTGGGGGCCAATCCATTGTGTGGAAGTTCGCAGAGCGTATCGATCCTGGGCGAGACCGTCGTGTCCAGGGCCAGCTGGGGTGGCCAGCTTGGAGTCCAGCAGGAAATTGTAGATATTTTCCGCAGCCTCAACTTGCCCGTCATGAGGACGAGTCGCTGCAATGAACGGATGATAATTACAGACCATGCCCATCATCGCTTCGGTACCCATGGCTGTCAGGAGCTGGGATAGAAGGACTAGCTGACTGGCATCATAAAGGACTAAGCTTGCCGCTCCACAGCTGAATGCCGTCCCATTCAGCAGCCCTAGACCTTCCTTTGGGCCAAATTCGAGGGGCTCCAGGTTAAGTTCGCGGAGCGCTTGATCAGCACCAATTATATCTCCATCAGACTTGTGAACTGAGATGTCTGGGTTTCCCTCGAGTGCTCCAGCAATATATGCAAGCGGAGTCAAATCACCTGAGGCAGAGATACTTCCCCTGAGAGGAACCACTGGGGTCATGGAGTTCCGGAGAAAGATGCAGATGTACTCAATCACTTCTGACCGAACGGCCGAGTGACCTCGCAGCAGAGAGTTGCATCGAACCAGCATCGCGGCCCTGACAATTGGCACAGGGATGCTGTGGCTTTTCAAGGAATGGTGACTGGAAAGTTGAGAGCTCTCGCGTCCTCGGTCACTGGGTAGTAAGACCGCTGCGTTGTGGTGTTGGATCAACGCCTTTTGCAGAGCAATGTAGTTGGTTGTTCGACTGTCTGCACTTCCACCAAAACCAGTGTTGACGCCATACACGATTTCGCCTCGTGTGAGTCTTTGATTCAGAAGATCTACGCTCTTCTTCAACAAGTGGTGCACCTCCGGGTTCTCAGTGATGGAAACATTATAGTCATGTCTTAGCAGCACGTCAGTTTGCACAATATCAAGAGACAAACCCAAGAAATGCGACGTACCGAGCAACAGCCACCGCCGAGCTTAGATTCAAAGATTGACCGTCCAAGATGACCCGGGTCTCTCCACCGAGAAGATTTCGGACCTCGCGACATGTTTGCAGTGTGGCATCGGTAAAAGACGCGCTTGACTTTCTATTGGAGGCTAACGCTTCGTTGCACACGGAATTCTCGAATACTTCACCCATTGCAGCAGAGATGTGTGTCGTGGCAGATTGTTGTCCGTTTTTGAAATTGTTTTTCGCAAGCAATACGAGCGTGGGGAAAGGCTTACGAGTGCCGACGGTTCACAGCGGTAAATTATACTTTCGCTACGTCGGGAGCAAAATTCACATCAAAGTTTTCCAGTATAGGCAAACAGTCCAAAGAGGCATTGAAGTGGACACAGTGATCTCTCTGTTCGGTTTTCTTTACAAGAAGACGTACGATGAGTGCATCAAGAGGTTAGGGACTGTCTCTACGTAACACTGGAACGCTGCTCTGATCGACTTCATCTACCTACGTAAGGGGTCCATTCCCGCCAATTCAAGCGACCGGTGCATTCTGCCCCTGCCGAAGCATCCCTAGATCTCCAGATCTACCATGCGATGGGCCTCAAGCTCTCGGAGGCTCACCTACCTGGAGCAATACTTCTGGATATCTGGGAGAAGGGACCACTAGCGGTGTGGAACATGCATGACCTCGGAAAAAAACAGACCCTTGCCAAGAGAATTACTGGGGCTCGATGGCGCCAGATCTCCCATACTTGGAGATCTGACCGTGGACAGTGCGTGGAGCTAGGAAAGGTGGAGTAGCACGTAGCGATCCCTGCGAGACAGAGTCGACCTGTGCAGCCTACTCGCATCGCCCGTCAAGTCTTGTGCATGCCAAACCCCCGGATTTCAGGGGACTGAATCGACCATAAGACACGTCGTCTAGTCAATGTTGACTGCTCATGACACGATTATCCCAGATGTAATCTTTAAAGTAGTTCTGTCGCTAGTTTATAAACCTTTTCATGGTATAGAGGGAGTTACTGATCCCATAATTGTCAATTTGCTAGTACGAGGGGTTCGCGATTGAAAATTGAATGCAGAATATCTCTGGGACAGGGTTCGAACTCAACCGGTAGGCGTGGCCTTATTGCCTCAAACGAGCATTTGGGATATCCTAAAAGTCAGTCAAGGAGGAAGAAGAAAATTTGGTGTTTGTGTTCTTGACCTTCTGCGTATACGAAAAAAGGTGGTACATCATTCGGTCGATGGTACAAGGCCTTGGAGATTATCGCCCCAGACAAAATTCTGAGGTTAGAGCAAGCTAAACCTGTCCAACATGTCACTAGAAATGATGCATTTTCTAATTGTGGAATGGTTTCAATGTATGGAACTCGGTGCAAAATCCGAACAATTGATGATCGAATACTTTCTGTATATCAGAATCCAACTATAACAATTTTTTACAAAACGACAGACTATAAACTCCAAAGTTCAAGGCTGCATGCGTCCGCTACCCTTTCTATTCAACGATGATCTCGCCATCCATGACAGCAGTCCCAGACTCATTAATTGGGCCATGGTATACCCTTCTGCCATAGACTCCATACCAGATCAAGCCGATGATGAACTCGCCGGAGAACACAACGATAGACCAGTTCATGTTTGATGGCACCACAGGAAGCTCCGTGGGGAAGAAAGAAAAGAAAACGGTGATAGTCAAGAAGCAAATTGAGGCGATATTGACGACGAGGCCGAACGGACCAAGTGTCCAGGGGCCATAAGGGATGGGATCTCGCTTGATCTTTTTGATAACGATCAACACAATCGCTATTTCGTATGATAAGAAGAGACCAGCTGTAGTTAATGAGACAATGGCGTTGAATGCAGCCGAAGATCCCACATTAATGACGCAAATGCATGCGGTGATGAAAGCGCAGAGGGCAACGGACCGAATCGGAAGGCCTGAGCGTGAATTTACCTACACCATGCCGCAAAATCAGTGATCGCCGCCCTTTCAGATTGAAGGTCAAGGTAGCACATACGTGGGAGAGGAAATCGGAGGATGGCAATCCTTTGTCGCGCGCAAATGCCCAGGTAAGACGTGAGGCCGAAGCCAAAAATCCAAAAGAAGCGCAAATAACGAGCGTAGTGGGAAGTGCAGCCATGACTGATGTGCCTGCATGGGATTTGGTGGCATTCCAAAAGACTTCAATGAAGTCGTAGCCAGTCGCACTGCCTAGTGCGTCTTCGATGTTTCCAATACAGAACAGAAATGCGAGAACTATGGCAAACCCGAGTGTACCATTCAACAGGATCGTACCAATCATGCACCAAGGCACGATGACAGACGCGTTTTTGACTTCTTCCGCTGAAAGGGAGTTAGTCAGAGATCTGTGGGGTTATGATAAATGCAAAATAATTACTTACCCATGTGACATGGACCATCGTAGCCTATGTACCTAGTTAGACAGTTCTAGCGAGGAAAATGAGAGTCACATACCAATGAAAGGAAGGTTCGTGCCCATGAGCCCAATGAGCCAAACCAAACCAGAGTTACTCCATCCAGAGCTATTGATAAATGTACCAAAGACAAATTCGGCGTCTTTGTGTGGGGCGAGGTAGACGAGAGGAATCAAGACGGCGAAGAATCCCACAATGTGAAGAATCAGAATCAAACCTTCCACTTTTGGGAGAAGCCTTGCTCCAATGGAATTGACCAATACGCAGAGGAGTAATGCAGCAAACATCAGTAGAGTCCCATGCCAGCGCTCAAATTCATAATCGGGGAAGTTCAGAACCAAAAGGCCCTGAGTCACGGTCGCCCCGAAGTATACACCGGCCGCAGTGTTGGCCCACCATCCGATCAAGTTCAGCCATCCTGTCACCCAGCTCAAAAAGATGGCCTGACTTCTGGGAGCGAGTATTGCGACCCAATGATATTGCCCGGCCGAAGTGGGAGCCCTGTTTCCTTATCAGCCTCCGGTTGAAAATGCGATGGATAGGTAAGTCTCGTACATTGAGGCCATCTCGGCCAGCGAAGCTGCGGTGACCAGAGCGCCGAACCAGCAGAAAATGTAGCCGTAGACAAGCGAAGCGGGGCCTCCGTCGATCATCGATGTCGGATTAGCACTAAAGAGACCCTCAGTCATGGAATCATGGAGGATTGAGCTTCGGGACTTACAAAAGCACTGCTTCCCAGGTGCACATCATCGTTGTTGTGAAGCCCAACATTGACAGGAAGCCAAAGTTCCTCTGCTCTCATCAGTTTGAACCTGGTCAGGTCCAGCTATAGGTGGTGAAAGCGTACCTCGAACTGCTGCTTCTTGCCCTGCTTGGCCATATCCTCATCATCTCGATTTTTGTATCCACTGGAGCCCAGCTCCCGAACTGCCATATCGCCAGACTTGATGCGCATTCTTACCAAAATTGAGTCGAGGAGGAAACAGTGGCAAAGAAGATTGAATGTTGTACAAGTTCTGAGAGAGAAAAAGAAAGTAAGACGTTCAATCTTCACAGGCCGCTCTCCTGGTCGCCGACTTGCAAAATGGTGAAATTACGAGCCCGTAAATTGACTGTCCACTTAATAGCTTAGATGAACTCTTTTGAAGAGACTAAATTACCGGCTTTCCCGACTGAAGCCGGAATTGCTTAATTGGCTCCGTGCGATGCAGGGTGCGAGGCGAATCATTGCCTCCTATTCACAACAATAGCATTCATCCACTAATTAGTTTTGTCTACAATGGATGCGAAATTCTTATCTTCCATGCTAAGGCCTCGTCTATGCATGATCCTGACAAGCGTGGGACTAATGCACTTGGCGTCATTAGGAACCCGGAGGGCCGTGCCCCGCGTCGTCTAACAAATCGATCGATCCCTTCTTGAGAACCGGACAGAAGAGCATTTTGGGTAATCGTGGCGAAGAGTCCGATAGCCACTTTTGGAGAACACTTGAAACACCCGCACGAATTCGTCAAAGGCTAGCCGGTCGCCACCATCAGGTTCGGAGCATCACACTGGCAGCGCAAAAGTAGCCACTTCGACTTCTTTCCTTCCCCCCTTTGCTCAATCAGAATGGCTTCTTATTCGCTGGAGCAACTGCACCGGTATTTCAACCGAATCGGGCTTCCTCAGGTCGACCGACAGTCTAGTGTGGCCCAGAAGGACGAGAAGGTTGCTTTGCAGTTTCTGGAATTACTGCAGCGTTATCAGCTGGCTGCTGTCCCGTTTGAGAATCTCATTTTGCATTATTCGGCCCACCGCACGATCTCTATAGACCATGAGCAGGTTTTCGACAAGATTGTCAACAATGCATCGCGCCGGGGCGGTTACTGCATGGAGAATAGCACCCTGTTTGGAACTGTCTTGCGAACCTTGGGCTACAATGTCACGCCGGTCGGAGGCCGGGTCAATGAAGCCGTACAGCCGATGGCAGCATCAAAGAGCTGGAAAGGCCCGACGTACAATGGATGGTATGCTAATTTCCTCCCTATTGTTGTGGCAGATTAAACCCCCGCAATGGGGATTTTCAATCCACGCACTGGCTGATTTACTCCATTCCAGGAACCACATGGTGAATATCGTAACTATCGGAGACCACCAATATCTCATCGACGTGGGGTTTGGCTCCAATGGGCCACACCGGCCCGTGCCACTGCTAGAGAACTTTGAGTTCCACAACACCGGAGATCAATGTGGTCGGCTCGTTTACGCCCCGATTGCACAACACACGAGCAAGGGCCAATTCGTATGGCAGTATGAGATCCGCAATGGGGCCAAGAACGCATGGACCCCTGCGTATTGCTTCACCGGAACTGAGTTCATACCGGAAGACTTCGAGATTATCAACTACTACATGAGCAGCAACCGAGCTAGTTGGTTTACCTTTCACGTGGTTTGTGTACGAATGATCCTCGATGAGAAGAACGAGGTTATTGGAGATTTAACTTTGTTCAACAACACCCTCAAGCGACGAACAGGGGCGACTTCTGAGGTGTTGGAATCCTTTACATCAGAAGAGGAGCGCGTGGCAGCCCTGGAGAAGTACTTCCAAATTTACTTCCCGCGGGTAGAGAGGGAGGGCATTCGCTACACCATTTCGGAGATCATCTAGACTTCGTTTGGTGGCTAGTGTCGAATGTTCAATCTAGTTTTATATCGTGATGCATATGCAGTGTTTAGCGGAGATCAATAGAAGCTTTTTTTCTTGTTTGATTCAGTCAATGACATTGATCCAGGCCCGAGATTATACGGAGATTGTGGATCTCCGGATATCCGATCACCCACCCCTACTCCGGATTAGTGGGACTTCACCCCCCTGGCGGCTGGCGCGGCCTGCAACCAGCCATCATGTGTCGAATGTCCAGGCCAAGACAAATCAGCCCCAACCCCATGCAATAAAAGCTTTCGCGAAGTCTTCACCCGGGAAGGACCCTTGTCCAATTTACGTATAGAATCAGACCACAGCCACATTTGAAGATTTAATGCGGTATTTTCGGACTGACCTTTTCCCCTTTAACCGCGGGCCGTGGGATATCCAGGATTGTCATTGGTCTTCGGAAATCCATCGATGTTCGGACCATCCAATCTTTCACGTTTCACTTTCTCGAATTGAATGAGTTGATAAAGTTGACCTGTTTCGTCTCCGGCATAACTCTTCAAATTGATGATGATCTAAGACGCACACACTTAGCCCTTCAATTCTCTTCATTTCCCAAGAGGGCAGCGCGAGAACGCCCCAACGGACGGAGGGTTGCAATGCTTCCTCGGAATTAATTGCGCATGACTCGCATTGCACGCTAGATACTGCCTGCCGCATCTTCTGGCCCGTCTCGGGGTAACCTCATTGACTTTTTCATAGGTTAATGTTATCGGTTTAGAGCGAACGCAAGTTGAAATTCTTGCCAAAAGGTAGTCTAGATCTAGAGAAAAAATATAGTGAACAAGGGTCCCTGTCAGCCCTCAGGAACTAAGCAGTCAACCCCCGACTCGCTTCCATTCACATGTGGAAGAAAGATTTCTCCTTTTCGAGAACCGGAAAATAGGGTGGTGGCCGCCAATCATTAAAACACTCAGCCACAAACGATTACTAGGAAATGAACGTTTCGAAGTTTCATGGCAGTGTCTATGAACCCCATGCAATGCATTCGTTAGGAAGCCTCAAGGTCTGACTGTTGATCCTTGCGCAATTCTAGGGCGACCTTCAGCATGGGGCTGTCTCTACACCTCGCTTTCCCTTCGAATGTTGTTCATACGTTTGACATACGAGCCATCTACTTGAAGCGCCAGCCACGTACCATGTAGACCAAATCACCATCGCGACTCTCTACCTCTTGGTGATGATGATAATGGCTGTGTATCGACTTGCATTTCGACTTTTCATGCTTCGCTCGTTACAATGGGATGATATGACTGTTTCGCTCTCACTGGTAATTTTCCGCTGGTCTCTACGACCAAATACATGAAACGATTGCTTCAATTCTCTGACAATAGTTCTTCAGCTCTTCGGCATTGCTCAATCCAGTACCATATTTGCAGGCACTAGACATGACCTTGGTAAGAACAAGTCGGCCTTGGGGGAGGTTGACACAAGCCGAGTAGAAAAGGTAAGCTCCAATTACCCGTGGAAAGTTAGAAGTACTGATAACAATCCCTTTTAGTACCTCTACGCATCCGAGCTTCTCTACATCCTCGGTCTGAGCCTCGCAAAGATATTCGTCCTACAATTCATCGACAAACTCAATGTGAGCAAGTTACACAAAAAGACATGCTTCTTCGCGACCATTGCTATCATCGCATGGGCAGTGGCTGCGTTCTTCACTCTTGCATTTCAATGTAGGATTCCGAGTCCATGGAACAGAAATAGCGGGCACTGTGTAAATATAGTGAGTTCTGGCCTCTCTCTTGATTCTCTCCACCAAGTATATACTGATACTTTTATTTTCAAGTTCGATTTCTGGGCCGCAATGTCTACAGTCGACATCATTACCGAGCTATTAATCTGCATCCTCCCAATCTATATCATCAAGCCTGTTCAGGTCTCTTTCCGAAAGAAAATGACCGTGGTCGTTGCATTTGCATTTCGCATGTTTTTCGAAAAGATCTGCCATTTGACTGCCCGACCGCTGGTTACCTCAAGACATAGACTGACCTTGGAGTGAATCTAGTGTGATTGTTGCGACTATCATTCGTCTCGCCTTCATGCGGAAATCCTCGGCTGCCGCAGAAATGACTACGAACGCCTTCCAAACCATCATCGCTACCCAATGCGTCCTTTGTGTTAGTCTTATGACAGCGTGCACACCATGTTTAAAGCCTTTCCTTGACGCATTTGAGACTGGGATGCTCAATGTTAGTTTGCATAAACGGATCGGCGGTGGAAGCTACAGTAACTCCTACGGTAATTCATATGCATTGGCTGGGATGAGCCGAGGCAAGCGAGAAACTGTGATCACATCTCAATATGTGGAAGATGAGATAGAAATGTTGGGGTTCTCGGCAGCTGCTTTTGCGATCACGTCCCCTGAGGATTTGCCGGTAGATAGAAGCCCTACCATGGTAATTCAGAGGACGGATCAATGGAGTGTGAGGCATGAGTATATCGACGCAAAGGCTTTGGAGGACACTGGATTAGAAACGAGTGCGAATCGAGTGGGGCAGGCAGTATAGCAAACCTAAGGTTGAGGGAGTATTAAAACTGCATGATTGGGTTTATGCCTGACTCATTATGATAGCCTAATGTAATGCCTATGCTTCAATTCCTTCAATATATTGGATCATATGATTCATTATCTTATGTTCTGATAAATATCAATCAAGAACTTTTTGAGTCGCCAATAAAGTATGGGAAGTAGATAAGCAGCGAAAATGAGTGAAGGTACACTCGAGCGCATATCTGTCCTCATATGACATTCGGCCAGAATTTATCTAGCCGCTGGCCACCCCTGATCAAGTGAATCACCCCTGCATGAGGAAAACCAGCGCCAAGCGGAGTCATTTCATTTGTCACGCCCAGGACAGTAACGATTGTCAAGCCATGAAACGTAGAAACCCGACGAACAACAAGGAATGCGATGAGAACAATACACACTTGTACATTCATGAACATTTTCGCTGTACCGATCCTCGACTCAACAGATATCCGTGGTACTGTGCCCAAGGTTGACCCAGCACAGTCCGCTCCGGCGCTAAGATTTGGGGGCTAAACATGGATCGTTGGCCAGAAACCACCCAAACGATCCACAGTGGGGAAGCTTTACCAAACTGGGTGTAGATAGCTCCAGCTTCAGCGCTCCGAGTCCCTTTCCCTGAATCTCGTTTGCTCCAGATGTCACATTTTCTCTAAACAACCTACAATGGCCAACTGCTACTCTCTTCATTTGGGTGCGATTAACATCAACTACTCCGATGCACCATGTGAAGACGTAACCCAAGCTGGCCACAATGTGACATGCTGCGTACGAGGCTCGACGTGTATGAGCAACGGCATCTGCAAGAACACCAATGGTGATGGGCACTACACGGCAGACTGCACAGATCCAACGCTCCAAGATCCTCATTGTCAGAACCATTGTGGTCAGTACTCATTCTGTGTTTCTGGTGACGGTCAAGATAGCAAGCTGACATCGCGTATTCTCGGTCGCGCAGGAGGACTCGCAGGCTCACAGATTACCTACAACTCAACTTCTGGCCTTTGGGCCTGTTGCTCATATGACGGCGGTGTCCCCAATTGTTCGGAACCGACCGATGAACTGTTCGCCGCTCCTGGTCCCTCCAATCTCAAAACCGTCCTGTATCTCCCCAAAACCGGGACTATTTCGTATTCTACGTCCGCCGCCACCGCGACATCTGTTTCGAACACGAGCACTTCTTCAGTCTCGTCCTCCTCGTCGTCGACTGTTAGTCCCGGGACCGCGGCTGGAATCGGAGCAGGTGTTGGTGTCGGTATATTTCTAATTGGTTTGGTGATCGCCTTTGTGATTTTCAAGCGCCGAAAGTCAACAGCAATGACGACGACGACCAACATCACTCCTGATACTTCTCTCTTCTATCAACAACATGTATTGCGCGAGTTGGACAATAAGCCGGTTGTGAGTGAGATGGATACAGGGCGCTCATTGCCTGAATTAGCCTCTCATTTTTGAGGGAGTCATGACCCTATATGAATAGCGCCGACTGGCTAGAAGATACCCTGTTCAATAATTAGAATGTGTTGATCATTAACACGTACAGAAGACTAATGCCCTAATATGATATCATTCTTTCTGTTGTTAGAGACACAGCAGGCTTTGCTCTTGTCGCGCCCCGCTTATTTCTTTGGTTGTATCAGAGTTGTATATCGTTGGCGCAGCTATATACATACATCGAACTTAAATTGCACGTGGACTCTCAAATTGAGACCACGAAGGCGATGTCAAACTTCGATGAGCAGGAAAGTGGCGATTGGTATCTCGGGATCGGGATCCATGGCTAGGGACTGGATCTTGGCCAGGGCAAAGTTTCAGCCGACACCTTTTGAGGTCAATTTCAATGGATCGGCTCCTGAGACATTCTTTGTGAGGCCCATTCGTAGTGAAGGCCGGAATTGGGACATCTTGGATCCTGATTGATGTGCTGCTGTGTGCATGACGGGGGTACCGGTGGAGATATGCTTATAGCCGAACCGAGGTGCCCGCATGAGGGGTATTGCTCACTCAGGAAGCCTCATCTTCTGATTACCAACACCTTCGTGAACGAAGCACTGTATATATCTTGCAATGGCTGACTATACTGAATACGCTGCACCCAGTGCCGACTGGGTTGCTTTGGAGCCGAGCCTGCCCAAGCTCCCTGAAGTTTCGGTCGAGGAACTCAAGCAGCTGCTCAACAAAAGTCGTGAGGACATTGCTACCCAGGCGATGAGCAGTGGTCAATAATACCTACTACACAGCATCATTCGTACATTTTACTAATGATGTTATTGATATAGGACTCCGTGAAAAGGTCCAGCTCAAAGATTATACCATACCCGCTCGTGATGGCTTCAACCTCGAGGCACGCACCTACCGACCTGCCGGCGTGGATCCCTCAGAGCGTCTCCCCTCTATATCCATATTCACGGCGGTGGCTTCTTATTTGGGACTCTCGCGTCCGAGGATGGCATCTGCTCTCGCATTGTTACCTCGCGGGCGGAGAAGGACGAGCCCATCGTCGTATTAAACGTGAACTATCGTCACACTCCCGAATACCGGTATCCAACCGCCTGGGACGATATCGAAGACGCCTTCGTCTGGGCTCACGAAAACATCGCTGAGATCGGCGGCCTGAGCGACCAAGTCGTCGTGGGTGGCATTTCAGCTGGCGGCCAATTGACTGCCTCACTAGCACTGGCCCAGCTTCGTGGTGAGAATAAGAAGTTGGCAGCTTGTCCCAGAATCAGGGGACAGGTCTTGATGATCCCTTGCCTCGTTCAAAGTGATTACTATGGCTCGAGACTAGACCTGCTGAAGAGTCCTGAGTTGTCTAGCTACAAGCAATGTGCTCAGGCGCCCATCCTGCCCGTTGATCGCATCAATATGTTTATGAGTCTTCTTGGCGTTGTTGGCGTTGGGGGTGCGGAGAAGGACCTCCGGATGAACCCTGGCAATGCGTCCGCGGAAGACGTCAAGGCACTTCCGCCTACGACCTTTGGCATTGCAGGTAATGACCCACTACGTGATGAAGGGCTTTTCTATGCAAAGCTTCTGAATGACAACGGGTGAGTCTCTTGATTACCCCAATCTAACTTTACCACTGACAAAATGCTGCTTAGTGTCCCTATCGATGTCCATGTCTTCCGTGGCGTACCGCATGGATTCAGAAGGTTTGGCGATAAGCTAGCGTCCTCGAGTAAATATTGGGATCAGGTCATGAGCGACGGTATTACCTGGGCGTTGTCGAACCCGCCAGCTGGGGCCTTTGAAATCATATCTGATTGAATGTGCACAGTGAGTTAATGTACATCACACTGCCGCTGAAGGGGAAGATTGTCCTTGCCATGGAGATAATTCCAATTCAGAGACATAGCATTATCTTATTTTTAATTGTCTCTCACGATGACCTGTAGAGACTGGTAATCAATGATTTCGGAGAGGTATTGTCATGAACACTTCCAGTAGGTCCCGCAATGGCTGCGACCACTTGCGGTTTTCGGTTGATCTCTCCAACCCTGATGTCAACGCTCATCATCAGTCTATATGAGACTTATGATCTGCATATCCACTGTCTTATACCACATAATTCCCGCCATTTACGTTCATGACCAAGCAGATCCAAGACTTGTGACTAAATCCACAGCAACAAGACACCCACATCATTGCCACCGGATGATGGATACTATTCTTTGAGACCGGCCAAACTGATCGTGCTTTAAATTTCCAAGCACCACACCCTCTTTTTGCAGGTTATCGCGCTCCATCTCTGGATCCGCACTTTAGGTCGCTCTACCCAGCTTGAATATCTCCTATGATTCGGTTTCACTGACTGCTTGAGGAATCGAGTGATTGTCTAGCCTGCGACAGCTACGAATTGTGCTATAGAGACGCTCTTGGTTTGAAAGCCCCCGGTTTGTATTTGAATGCCACGAACTAGCATTTCTAAGTGTGAACTGATACATGCAGTTGCGCAGGTTTGTGTCAGGAACGCCTCCCGAAGCTTATTCTGCGTTACGCCAGCCCTACCCATAAATGACCGCCTGAGGGCAACGCAACCCCAGCCGGCTCAGACTCGCTTTGGACCCAATGACCACTTGTTCCACGCGGGTAAAAGCGTCAAGAATGGAGTCGGACGGAGAAAACTCTAATATCTATAAGCTGCTGCCTGGCCCCGCCATAGGTGCATCTTGTCGACCCTGCCTAGTCCGTGGGAAGGGTCTGAAGCATCGAGAAAAAGATGTTCTTTTGTCTGTCACACCACCCACGAGGCCCACTGGGAAGTGTACTGAAACACGTGCAATGGTAGTGCCTGAAGATATGGCGCCAGCCATGTGGCTGCAATGCTCGAGTACTCATAGTCAAGACTGAGGCGCAGATGCGGCATTTAATGGCACCTCTCTATCAAACATAATTGTTTTTGACTCCCGACCCTTTTTTTTTTTCCGTCCGCTCCCAATTTCCTCAGTATTGCTCTTTCTTCCTCTCTCACTTACTCACTAATTGAATTCTTCCACGACACACAGTGTCTGGTCTTTTCACTCTGAATGGCTGATCCTTGCTCCATGAACTCTCTCGTTTCTACTGCCTCCTTGGTCTCAGGCACGTTGGCTGGGCTGCAATCATCTCGCAAGTCTGGAGATACAACTCGTCCACCCTAACTGACTTTGTGGGTCAATTGAGATTAAGGCCGTCAGCCTGAGCAATCACACGGTATCAGATCTATCATCCAGTTTGGATCGCTTAGTCGGTCACGATGAAGTGCTTCAGGCCGATCTTTCGGTGCGAGGTTGAGGGGGGCTGCAGACACGCAGCCCGTGACAATTGTGAAGGACGCAAAGGATGATGCCGTTATCGTGACAAGTACTGGGGATGGATCTGGCTACACGGTCAAGGCTAGTCCGAGATTGGTGGATCGCTGGCTCGATGTGACGGTCAGAATGGCCGGGTCCGCTCCGGTCTGTGTATCATCGCTGGCCTGTTGACGTGGGCCTTGATGGGCATTCGTTTCGGCAACTCGGATGTCTGGGTTGCTGCCATCTCCGATGTTCAGGCTATCTTGTGCTATGTGTTTGATTCGTTCCTCATGCGCCAGCTGCTCCGCGAGTACTCCGAGCAGCGCGAAGCCGTGGTCCAAATCCAGTCCCGATGCAACAGCCATCAGCGCATGATCGCTAGCATCAAGAGAAAGTTGGGACCAGAGGTGATTCATCGCGTCGCTGAGAAACGCAAGGATCAGGCTCTCCAACCCCTGGATCATGGACTGCGTGCCCAGGGTCTCTTTGCGCGATGTATTATCGTCTCGGCCAAGACGTTCGGACATATCATAAGTGCCGGTCTCTATTGGTTCTGCATCTTCATCTGGTTGGGCTTCGGCCCGCACTGCGGCTGGTCGGACCGGTGGCAACTCTACATAAACGACGCAACGTCAGCGCTGATGGTGCTGGTCTTTGCGTTTCTGGCCAGCCTGCGGGAATGCTATGCTGATTACACCAACGTCTGCCTGGATGCCATCTTCAGACTCGATTCGACTCTTGAGAAGGAGCTTCGCCGCCTCAGTCAAGATGACCTTCCCAATCAGACCGAAGTAATCTTGCCACCGAAGGAGAACTTCCTGCAGGTCACGATCTTCTACTATGCCGACATCATCGGCACCCTGATTGGCATCATCTTCCTCGTCTTAGTGATCATCACCTGGGCAGCTGTCGGGCCCATCTTCCACTTCAACAATAACTGGTGGCTGCTCATCGGCACGTATGCAGGGCTGGTTGGTCTGTTCGATAGTTTCGTCCTCCGCAATATCCAAGGTAAGGTGCACCAATACATCAACAGTCAAATTCGTATTGTGGAAAAGGCAGACGTGAGGCTTTTCGCTGGCCTGTCGATGGCTATCCCTTCATCTGGAAACGCCAAGCGCCCATCATTGAGCCAGCGTGTGTCCCGCTGGATGGATGCGGTCAGCTCCCATCTCTTCATGGTGATCGCAGGCTTCCTTCTCACCATTGGCTGTCTTGTCGCTTCAAGCGCCATGAAGTGGAGCCTCACCGGACAGTTAATTTCGAATGTGCCTCCCAGCATCATCGAGACATTCTTCATGCTCATTCTCATCACTGGTCAGAACGATGCGGAGGCAAACGCCCGAATCGATCTTACCAACATATACTACCGGCGCCAGCGGCTTCTGTCTTTCATGCAACATGCGAGCGAATTCTGTGAACAGCGGGAGCTCTCTGATGATGCTACTCCGCCTGCACAGTGAGATTTCTTCATTCGCAAGGACAGACTCGTTAATTTAAGCTGCTGTTTGATCTGGCATTCAACAAAGCCATGTCAAAATGGTCTGACACCGCAGTGTCGTTCAACCGACGCGTGAAAAGGACCGGCGATTGTATTTCTCTATTATTTTGTCTTTCTTGTTTGATCTATTAGTTTGTCTACATCTTTTGATTTGTTTGATTAATTTAAATGTCATGCCTGCCGCGGTAAAAAATCGTTGCTTTGCACTAAAGACCAATGTATACTTCCGAATTATATCCAAGACAGAGCAAAGATTTCGATTATAAAGATATACACCTAAACCGCAGTCCGGGAGGAATCAATTGAAGATTGGGCGTGTAATAACTATTGAGATCCGTGCCAGATCCCGGTAAACCGCTTCTGACTCCTCCCTCGCATCTCGATACAATCATCAATGATTGGGTCGGGTAGGGGCTGCCACTATTTATGGCGAGTTAAAGACTTCAATAAATGTTCATAATCCGACTGGAATGCCCCCTTTCAGATTTCTCCATGATCCAAGGTCCTGCCACGGCATCTGACCCACTTGAGCCTTTTAGCCTGGCGCTGTGAACCAACCGATTGTCTCCACATCTCTGGACCCTTACACACGAGGCGCGTGCAGACGGGAACGATGATAATGCCTACTTGGGGCTATCGGGCCAGATATGGTGTATTTTACTGCAGATGGGCCTCGATGTGTCATGGAGCAGGCCATAGCGATTCGGAATGAGGATAGGCACGTCGAAAGTATGTAGTCGCCTCTGCTCGTGATAGTTGCAAAATTGGCACGAATTGACAATTGATAGTCACATCCGTGACTTTGTTTGCTGGGCTAGTGAATGCAGAGGGCTGGCCAAGCTTTGCCCATTGATTGAGAAATAATTCATCGCTTCAATTGTTCATGCTTCCGATGCAGTATCGTGTCTCTATTAGTGTCAGAGCCCCCTTTAATTATTGACATTATACTAGCGCTACTTTCCGTGCCTATCATTTCTTGGTGTATGGGGAAATCATTGAAGTTGCGCCTAACAGCAGGGCTAAACACACGACTTTGACACTCGTCTCGAAGCTTTGATGAACGACTTTTTTAAATCGCTACATGGGACATCATAATGGGGACAAGAGCCAGGATTCCCATCCTGCAGAAATGTATCTGCCAAGATATCATTTTCAAGCATAGGACCTTCTTCACGCTTGGTCTCTGAGTATGAATGAGTGGCTCGGATCCAAAATCATCACACCCGTAATGCTTATGTGGACACTCCAATTCATGGTGGGGCTCCGATGAGAACAGAAGACCCCAGAATGGTTCAAAGGCGCGAATTGATATCCTCCATAATGACGTCGTCGTACATGTCTCGAACGTAAAGGGCAAAATCTTTGTGACCTATTCGTATCGCCGTGACTGCGATGTTCGCTTGGCAGAAGACAGGAAAGGTACCGGAAAAATGAAAAGATTTCGCGCTTTTTTGTTGCCTTTTTTCTGCGCTTTTGGAGAGCTTATTTGCGAGCTCGAAATCACCGGCGGTGAATGATTACTATTCACAAAAGATGTCCATGGAGAACTCCGTACGCGCTTTTGAAAGCAACCTTTGCTTTTGTTGCCTTCTGAAGAAAATAATCTACCACGGTCAAATCCGATCATCAAGAATACAAGACTTTATATCAGTAACAGAATATGAAAGTACGGATTGCTCGATGTATGTTTTAGATGTGGTGAAGGAGAGGGTTAGGCAATCAGCAATGCTGGATGCTAGAGACTGCTGAGATGGTACCATCAATCCTGAGTACTCGGCGACATGTTCAATTTTATTTTGGGACTGACAGGCATGTGAAAGTTACATGTCCCAGAGTTCAATACCTTGGGTAAGCGACATCTTAGGCAATGGAGCAAATAAGACTTCAATTATGACCATTGATGGCACAAACTGCCAGGCTTATAAAGAGATTGTGTGGACAAAGGTAAGAAATAGATCAGTCTCGGGCGGAAAGCCCCCAATCCAATGCAATTTGTCTATTTGAATTCGATGTGAGAGTGCCCATCATACACGCATACCCAGGGATCATAGATGGGCACATGCCAAATTTAATGCCGTAGCCATTGCCGAAAACCATATCAAGACTCCACAGGAAAGAAAACCAATACGGAAAAGAATCACCGCCATGCAGGTTCGTTACTTCTTGTCTCCATTCGGAGCACCTTCATCTTCCATGTCAACCATTTCCCTCAATATATCCTTGAGACCGCGCACGCCCTCGTCCACAACCGTGTCCGGAATGCGCACGTCGACCTCCTCGATATATTTCAACGGGTCGTATGGGGTGTTATCTGTATTATTGCCTGCATTACCCTTCTTGGTTCCATTGGCTTTTCCTTCTTTTGTGCCATTCGGTGTTGCTTCTCCGTTTTGTTCTCCGGAGTGTTTTGAGCCCAGCGCCGGGTGAGATCTACCTTCGGCCGATGCTATGACTGCCTCCATCACGTCGTCGAATGTCTCGCAGCGGCCGGCGCGGAGGAGTTCGGTGGCGAGGCTGGTGATCTTCTCGGTCCACCCTGCGCGGTGGAGCGAGCCCAAAAGTCTGTCTTGTAGCTCTTCTAATGCGGATGTGGCAGCAAGCTTCGTGAGAAGGTCGGACTCGAGGGCATCGGGGGTGGAAGAAGCGCCGGTGGGGGTGGAGGATGGCATGTTAGAGGGCTTCGGCGGGGTTCACGCCGCGAATGAGCCCTCGGGCTGGAGTACCTTGTCGCAGATTTTGAATTGAGGTTTGTCCTATGGTCTCGAAATGCGCCTCAGGGACTCGGATTGGATGTGGTGGTCACGGCGAGCTCGGCTTGGAGGGTTTGCGCCCCGTCGCATTCGCCGGTGCTTGTCGGCCTAAGCTTTTGCGACAACAGGCAACAAAATGAAAAGGGGAACCTGCCCCAAGTATGAATTGTGCTTGTCGAAGAATAGACTGATTATGATTATTGGCGCTGATGAGAGGCGGTTGCAGCTCGCGTAAAAGTGGATATGGAGAATGACGATGGTTCCGCGGTCCGGCCTGACAATGCGGCAGCGATCCCGGTTAGCGCTGCAGCGACTATGCAATGCGAGTTGACGGAAGGAAGGGATACAACGACTCAGTCTGTAGTCAAAGTGCATACTCACCAAAGTGGGGTCCTCGTAGTCAGGGAAATGAGCTCAGGTCGAGCGGGCGCAAAACGTCCTCGTTCCGGAGGTAAGGTAGTCGGGAGCCGGCGAGAAGGAGGGAATAGGGTCGGCCGGGAGAATAGACACCGGGTCAAAGAGATGTATCCATTGCACACCCGGAGAGATATCGGAATGTACAATTGTCACTGAGCAGTCAATTGCAGAAAACTGAAGGTTGAGAGCCACGGCTCATGGTATCCAGGCCAATCGGCGTGGAGGCGACAAGGAGTGTGCTGACATAACCACAGCCCTGACGAGGCGAGTCTCTTGATCCAGTATTTTCCTCGCTATTGATCATTTTTGGGGGTAAATAACTTAGCATAGAGTGGTTTATCAAGAGACAAATCTGGTGTATATTCATCGTCTTCGGACAGCTGAAGAGTTCTCTGCGGCCATGACCGTAAACATAATAGACTGCTTTAGTTCTACTTGAGCTTATATGAAATAAGCTGATGTCTTTCATCTTTGCCATATCTGTTCAATTTAAAGGCGGCTCCAAAAGAACTTACGACTGACTAGCCAGCATCTTTTACAATTTTCAGATTGCAGAACCCCTAAAATCCAGTTATGAAGATCCGGATAAAAATGAGCTGGTCACCGCTGTCTGGTGCTAACAATTATCATTTTGGACGTGTCGTTAACTAGGGCATTCTCCTCGCACCATTGGGACACGAAGTTATACACATGTGTAGAGAGAAACCCAAAGGACGTCGATGACAATAGGCTTTGCAACTAGTGACTAATATTAACTTTGGAACCTCGAATTCAAGAACAGATAATCTGTCACTCGACCCAGGAGTCTAGAAGCATTCTCCAGTTTCAATGCCCACGCGTCACAAAAGCGAGTGGGGCGCCTAAGGTGGCCAACACGTTCCCTTTCGCTGATCTTGGTGGGATCTAAGACAGCTGTGGTCCATTCTAGGAAGGTTTAGTCCCGGAAGACTAACTAATACATCTTCATTAGTAGCGATAACCTAATTTCCAAGTCAGATTAGCGAGAAACAGAAAAAAGAGGGAAAAAGATGCGGACGTGCCCGAGTCCAGACCGCGTCACGTGCACGCCATTGATGCGTCCCATTTGCGATGCCCATCGACCTCGACAATCCCTAGTCGATGTATTTCTGTCATCGTTGTCGCATGTTATCGTCTTCCACTCCGGACTTTGTCTCGCTGCTGCTTTGGCGTGCCTTTGCAGACCCCACGAAGCCCTAAACATCGGCCCGTGCCTGGGAAAGCTTCCCCGCTCTGCTTCCCGCGCCTACCCTCGTTTTCAACCTCCGGCGCCTATCGTCACAAGGGGCCCAAAGTTGCTCAAGACCTGCATCGCGCGATAGAACCGCGTGAACTGTCATTTCTGCAATCACTGCGATCTATGCTTCTTTGATAGGCTCGAGTCCTTCCTTCGCCCTCATCCGACCGCGCTTTCATGATCTACGCCCACGCTACGCATATTTACCAAGTTAGTTCTGTCTAACAGCTCTCCTCTGCCGACGGCGCTGGTGTCATTTGAGCGAATTACGTCTTTCGCGCACAAATCTCGCCCCTGAACAATACTCGGCGCGATGCTTCACACCTCTTATCACGCCGACTCCGATGCGGACGACGAGTACGAGCGCAGTGTAATCACTTCGCCGCACCTCCAAACGGAATTCGAGGCCTCTCCTATTGACTCCGACATTCCTTCTTCCGAACATACTCCGACCAAATTCGGCTACGGCAGCGACGGCCCACGCACACCGCGATCCATCATCTCGCAATGGACAGCAGATGAATGTATCGAATTTCTGACGTCGCTCGGTCTTCTCCAGTACTGTGGGACCTTCAGAGGTAATTTATATCACCACAGTGGCAAACCTCAATACTAACAACGCTTTCGCAGAGAATGGAATTGTGGGCGAAGCACTCATCGCTCTCAAACATGATGAACTGAAGGAAATGGGCATCAACAGTGTCGGGCATAGGCTGACGATCCTGAAAAGCGTCTATGAGATCAAGATTCGCCAGCAGGTTCCCCTAGATGTTGATCACTATATCCCTCTCTGTAGGTTTCCTCCGTCAACCTGGTCACTTAGGCTCCTGCTAATATTGAACACAGCTGCCGACCAAAGTATGAACGAAACTGCATCCCAAGACGACTTGGCCCGTTTAATTCAGTCAATTCAGCGTCGAGATGAAACAATTATCACCGTACAGGCGGAAATGCGGCGCCTTGCGGAGGACTACCGGCGGTTGAGGGAGGAGATATTGCCCGTTATCAAAATCGCCAAAGATCGATCCCAGCCGCTTCCTCCGCCCTCTTCCATGAGCCAGTCATCAGACACTTATCATGACGGCGCAACTCTTACATCACCTTCCCAGCTCACTCTCGTGGATAATCTCTCGTCATCGAAATTGAGTCGAGCTTTTTCCAAGCGCACGTATGGTGGAGGCGCGACATCCAAGACCAACTCACCCACACATATTCCTCCTTCCGTCTACGATGGGCGGAATTACGCCGATGGAGCCAGCCTCGATCCATCTGCCGCGGCCCTGGCTGCCTCTTCTCACCTCACTGCTTCGATGAACGGAGGAACGCAGCATTCACCTGGAGTCCCATCACCGACATCTCCAAATTCCCACACTGTTCAGCATCAGACACTCAATCCGCGATCCTATTCTCAGCCCAGCTCCAACTCCAGACATGATCACTCTGAAGAGATACAACGAAGTTTGTCTAGAGCAGATCGGCACACTCCCAGTCAGCAAACGCCTCGGACCGAAACACCGTCCTCTACATCTCGCGCAGAAAATCGCAACACCGGCGAGCCCTCCAGTGTGGAAATATTCAAATCGTTCCGCGTGTCTTGGGAGGACCCGTGCTACAAGGTCCTTCCTGCTGCTCTAAAGAAATACAACATCCACTCCGACCCGAAGAATTATGCGCTATACATTGTTTACGGCGACCAGGAGCGATGCCTAGCGTTAGATGAGAAACCTCTGTTACTCTTCAAACAACTCGAGAAGGAAGGACGGAAGCCGATGTTCATGTTGCGAAAGATCCATCCGGACAACCCTTCGTCGTATCCCCCCACCGGTTCAGCGCCTAACAGTGCTGGATTTGAAGGTGGACGCCAAGGGCAAATCAATTTACCAGGAGGTGTTCTGTGATTATTACGAGTCGAAGCATTTTGCGTCTGCCGCCCAAGATACCCAGTGACTTATGACATGCCTTTGTATCTTTCCGTTGCATCTGGGGTGCTGGTGTCTTGATATTCTATTCTTGATATGTCATCAATATTGGTAGTCCTAGCCCGCGGAGGGCTGGGGAATTTCGCAATTGCCGATATGGATTAGTCCGGCGTTCTTTTTCTTTCATTGGCAGTGTCTGCAAGGCCTGCTTCTTTATCTGTTAAACCCGCATCGTGCATAAGCCTTTTGTTATTTTTCTGGGATAATTTTAGACACTGAGCCTTGATACAAAACAGCGCTCAGTGATCACGTTGAAATTTCCATCATTATTCCAATTGGCGTCCTAAAAGTTGCTTCCATTTGTCTTTTGTCCCATGGTCTATAATGTGCTTATCGTCACGTGCCTTCGTGTCTCATCGCAACGCGCCGATAAGCTTTCCTTTTCCTCACTGCGCATCTACGACGATTTTCCAATGAGCTGGGACCGAGTGATTCAAGACTCCGATGAGGACGAGCCACTCATTGAGGAGCAGGCTTCCACGTTCAATGAGCCGCCCCGGGTTCATGAGTCCTCTATCCATGAACAATATCACCCGGTCGCGGACCAACAAACACCTTACCCAATTGAGCCCCATGATGCTAGCGCCGAACTACAACTGAACGTCAACTTTGATCAATTCCTGCAATCGCAAGAAAATAATCACGTGAATCTCAATTCGTCGCAACAGCGACGCGAAGAAAGGTGGATTCCATCGACTGGTGAAGGCGGGGGTGGATCGATTGGTGCGTGCGGTCAACAAGCTTGCTTATCTGTTGTTTGAGCTAACATACCTAGGCTCAGGTGCAATGATGACGGAGATCGGACTTGCGCAGCAACGCCTCTTTGACGACGAGGCTTTCAGTCTCGCCCAGCGTCTTCCATCCACGGCGACGCCATATTCGAGCGAGATATCCCAACCGGGTTCTTTCCCTACCATGCCAGTTTACCCGTACCAGCAGACGAACGAGGTCACCAAAATTGAATCGAACCCCGTCAAAAAAGTGGTCTACCCTTCATACGAGGCGACCCAGCTTATCCCATCGATTCAGGCCCACGGTTACGAGTATAGTACGCCCGCGGCATCGACCCCCGTGGATTCACCGATTGGGGAATATGGAGAGACCATGTCGTATCCTACGACCATCCACATCACTCACGAGTCTCGCGCGCATCCGTCGCAAAATGGTACCCAGAGATCCAAATCTATGCACTCGCAGCCGTACTCTCCACACGACACGGAGCCAATGTCATCTATCGTATCGCCGGGAGTAGGTCGTGTGAAGAGCGATAATGTCAGATCAGGCCTCATGTCACCAGGATACTCCGAAGCTGATGCCCACGACGAGCTTTCTTTGCCAGCTGTAACTGTCGAGGTAACCACGGTTAAGAAGCGTGGGCCTACGAAGAAACAGTCAATGCCAGAGAACGATGATGACGATGAACTCGCCATGGTGGAACCCAGGTCCACTAAGAGCAAGCCTGAAAAGAGGCAGCCAGGCCGGCCTCCCAAGGCTGCAAACATTGGAGAAACCACCGCAAACGAGAAAGAGGTCGCGGGAGCTGAAGCCCCAGGGGCTAATAGGGTTACAATCCTGAAGGTCAAAGCCCCCCTGCCACCTGTTGAGAAAGAGACCAAGAAGAAAGTCAGAAGAAGCAAGACCGCGGATTCGGTGATGCAGAAACCCCGTGCGGCGGATGACGATGTCATCTGGGTGGACCCAAGGCCTATCCAGGCGGATGCCAACAACCCAAGCATGAACACCACGATTCCAGAACCCATAGAGGGAACAGCGCCTCAAGCTGCAGAAAATCCAAGCAAGGAAGAACAACCGGCACCCAAGAAACGAGGGCGCAAGCGCAAGACACCGTCTGAACAGCCCATTGATGCCGAAGCATCCAAAGAGAACCAAGCACCAGAGCCACCAGCTCCAGCTCCTGAAGCTGCACCTGAGATCCTGGGCGACAAGCCAACAGTTCCACGCGCAGACCAAACACCCGTCCCAGACGCTCCTAATGAACCAACCAATCCCCTTCCCCAAACGCCTCAACCAGATACACAGACCCGGAAAGCACCAGGCGCACACAGCCCGATCTCATCGACGGGAAAGGTGCCTTACCGAGTGGGGCTGAGTAAAAGGGCGCGGATTGCGCCTTTGTTGAAGGTTGTTCGGAAGTGATAGATGGATCGAGTCATTTTTTTAATCCTGTGTTCTGGCTTCTTCTGCTGCGTTCATTATTCTTATACCCCTTTGTTGTTTTTACGAATTATGCTTTGATTTGATTTGAAGATCTGTTTAGGTGGGATTGATATTTTGTATACATCATTTTGCATTCTCATGCCTTGATGGGCCTTTGTCTCTGTGAGCAATTACGAAATTTACAATGAGCAGAAAAGAAAACTTCAGTTCAATGCAAAGAAATCCATTGGAGGACCTAAGTCACAGGAACTTGCTCGGTGATAACCAAGCTTCATCAAAGAATGAAGGCAATGAGGGTCAGGGCAAACAGCCACAGTGGGTGAATATAGATACAACATCATTCAATCCCACAAATCCATCATCGGGTGCATCCCAAAGGACAAACATTGGACCCAAGGGAATCACATGAACATGGCAGCAATCAGAGCCAGAAGGAGTGAAGTCAAAGCGGCGGTGCCAACAGCACGAAAATCAGACTCGCCTTCGGACTTGCCACTTTTGCCCGGAAATTTCGGGTCCCATGGGTCGCCGTTGGAGGGGGTCTCAACAGTACAATAGCCAGAGTCCTTACGACAACCAACGCCGCAGTGCAGGGTGGAATTCCCACAGAGGTGGTCGCTGCTGCAACACAGTCCAAAGCGGGAACTGAGACAGGTATAGTTTGAGCCACAGGTGCCATCGACAGAGACCTGTTGTGGCATACCCTTTTGGGGACCCTTCTTGGGAGGCTTCTTCTTGTTCTTGTGGCCGGGCCATCGATTGTCAATGCGATACCAATTGTCGCGCGGGTCTTGGAGACAGTCGCCGACTGTGACGGGGCGATATCCAAGTCGTTTCATTGTTCGTAGCATATGCTCCGTAAGATTGCGAACCGTTTGTTCGTGTGCATCGTGGGAAATGACCAGCCAAGACTTGCTCGCAGGGCTTCCCCCGGAAAGGGCCTTGTCGAAAGCATCTTTGGATAGCTGAATATGATCTGGACTGTCGTTCTTCCAGTCGTCTGTGTCTATGTCATAGAGAATGATGTGGTACCCCAGCTCGCCCATGGCCTCGCGGCATCCAGAGCCAGCGAGACATTTCGAGTACGGAGGCCGCATATAAGTCGGGAAGCTTCCCACAATATTCCGCAGGGCGGCTTCGTTCTTCTCCATCTGGTCGCGGCGCTGAGTGGGAGTGATCTTGCTGAGATCCTCATGCGACCAGGTATGACTGGCGATTTGATGACCACTCAGAAGCATGCGTTCGATGAGAGGAGCCCAAGGCAGGGTGGGATCATCAATCTGGCCTTTGCCGTTGTTGACACCGGTGATGAAGAAAGTAGCTGGAGCTTCGTACTTGTCGAGAAGATCAAGAAGTTCACCTGTATATCGCGTTGGGCCATCGTCGTATGTCAAAGCGACTGTTCCGGGAACAGTGCAGGAACGAATCTCCTGCGGACCGTACGGGACTTTACCAATGCTAGGGCGAAGTATGTCCTTTGTGGGCGGTCCCTTGGGTGTTCGGTCAGCATCGCATTGACCCCAGTCAATCAAGCAGTCAGGAGATCGGCAGTGCAAAGTGGAAGTGCCGCAATAACCTGGTACCCGTTTCTGATCAGTATGTTGTCCGTCAACTGGCACTGGGACTTACCTGAGGCAGAGCAACAGGTGCCCATAGGACATCGGCCCCATTTGGCACCACACTTATAGTCGGCATTCTGAGTGAGCCCGCGGGACTGAATGTTCTCGAGTCGACTTTCAATTTCGGCCGAAGGCTCTTCGCTGACCGACTTGGGCTGATCCAGGACGGTGCCGGTTGTGTCGGGTTTCATAGCATCGAAGAAGAAGCAATGGGCGGTGCCCATGAAGAGGGCGATAATACCAAGGAATCGATATAACCGCATCTCGAAGTATACCATCAGGTAAAATGGGCAATAAGAGGTAGGGGTAAGCTGGCTATGCAGACTAGCGAGAGAGGCGAGAAGGAGAAGTGGGAGACATGAGGGAATAAAGCAAGAAACAAGGAGACTGCCATCAGCGGCAAGTACGTGGGGCAACGGTTGGAGGGAGCGAGGAAGCAAAGTTGCATTGGCGAGACTAAAGCTAAATAGTGAGGAAGGCTCGCCCCTCGAAGTTAATCATGTTCCATAGTAGGCAGATTTGTTCCTCTTCTGAATCTTCCAGGACATGGGTCATGTTTGCATGGAAAGACAACATGGGTATCGTTTAATTCAAGTCAGACTGGCCCTCTTTTGTATCCTATCCAGCTTTCAGCTGATACATCCTGCCTAAGAAGCTAAGCTGCATGATTTGCGTTACCGGCGAGCCAAGCTATAACACTCGTAAACGCTGAGACACTTTGTCCAGGTTGCGCGGTGTTGCATGAAGGACACGCGATGACAGGCACTTGGAGCCAGCAGTGTCTTTCTTTCGCAGAACTTTGAAAGCAGGTAACCAGCTCAGTGTGCTGTAACACCCTCCTCTCCAACAGCAGAGAAGACGAATGGCACAAGACTATTCAGATGTGGACCAAACTTGACCGGGGCACTTCGGGCAATAGTACCGACCGCCGCAATCAGATGACGTCTGTGGACAGTGGATATCTCAGGCGATGCAAGAGTATCCGCGAGGCGCTTCACAAAAGCATTGAGCTGGGAATCAGAGTAGAAAAGAACCAGTCCAGAAATGCCCGCCAGCGCACGCTTAGTGACCACGGTTCCCGCGGTATCGTTATGAATAATGGCCATGACAGGCTCAGTCAGAGCAGCCAGCTCGTGCTCCTGGAGAAGCGGTCCGAAACATGTAACCACTTTGATGAGCACATCGATGGCATCACTACTGAAGCCCTTGGCCGGATCCTTCTCCAACATGCCCCGCACAACAGAGCCTCGGCGGCCAGAGCTTGACTGAGTCGGACCAACCAGCCTAGGAATCAGAACCTTGGATACGGCGTTATATGCGGTGACTGCGGACGGAGTCGCAGGCTGTCCGGCTTGAGGGCGGGGGAGGGTATCAACAATGGTGCGAAGGGCGGTATTAGGGACCGATGTGTCCAGCGTCTGGGAAGAGGTGAGGTTGGTTAATTTCTCGAGCAAGGGCATCAGTGCATTGAATGGCAGTCGAAGGGCCAAGGGGCCAAGACTGTTGTCTGCGTTAGTCGTGAACGGAAGGTGGAGGATGTTACGCACCACTTCAACGCTTGATTTTGAACGTCGCCATGCTGATCATCCAGTGCCTTGAGCAGTCCATCAGCCAATTTAGTGGCAGATCTTTCATCACCCGAGAGAAATGAAGAGTTTGGGCTGTTGAGAATATTGAATAGATCATTGAGAGACATGTATCGCAGGTCGGCATCGGGGTCGTCGAGCTTGCCCAGAAGGGTGAAGATGCTCTGCTGGGTAATGTGTCGGTCTCCCATGGCGGTGACAAGGCCTTAAGCGTGATGCAAGAGTCGCTGCGGATATGAAAGGAGCAATTCGCCAACGTTATCGTCAACGAGGCTGATAGCTGCGCCAAACGTGGGGTCTCGAGCCTCAGGCAGAAGCTCATTTGATGCCTAGCAGCCTTGTTGCCTGGGGCAGAGACAACGTGTGGGAAGAAGCAGAACTAAGTCATCTTATGCTTACAATTTTTCATGCTTACGACTTCTCATCTCGAACTATTGAGTCAATTAAGACCGAAAGTATTAGAAAGAAGTCATTCGGCGCCATGAGCCTCCCTGACGAGGTCAATCTAATCAGATGGAGCTCCGCCCTTCCCCACGAGCTATGAACTCTTCCATAGGAATACACACCTAGGGACATGATAAGCCAACAAAGGCTAATTCAAAAGCAAATCCCCATAAATAATTACTACTCTAGATCTTGTATTCTCTCAGAGGGGTTCTTACCAGAGACAAGAATGCAGGCTTGCTGCACCATTACATCACCGTGGCAGCCGCACAGACCATCGGGAGCGGCTGGGAAACATGTCTTACGATGGGCTCGGTGCTTTGTACCTCAAAGCGACATGGCTAGCTCCGGCCCCTGGGTCTCGTGCACACCTCACCTCCTCTCTACGCTCTTCTGATTCTATCCCCCTTCCCTCAATTCTCAATAATCACATTTCTATCTGTACCATCATGGTCTTTGCCCGCCGCTCTGCACTCCGCGCTGCTAATGCAGCTCGGGCCTTTCGCGCCCCGGTCTCAAGGCGTACCGGTCAGGTATTGGGTAAAAGGTTTAACTCTACCGGTGGAAAGGGCCACCATGAGTATGCGACTAGTGATACTCCATGGTACGTTGTGTCTCATTATGCTCTTCAGCCAATTGGGCCTCTGACGAATTGTTTCCCGTTATAGGCTCCTGGCGTCAGCTGGTGTGACCCTCCCCATGATTTACTACCTTTGGCCTTCTGGTTCCGATAAGCCTCATGGCCATGGGCATGACGATGTTCACGGCGAGCATGAGGACCAGGCTGGGGAGAAGGGAGAAGAGGCATCTTCTGACTCTGATGCTGGGGAGGAGAAAGATGTGAAGGAGGCCGAGGAGAAGCCTAGTGAGGAAGACAAGGAACAGAAGAAGGATGATGAAACGGAACAGAAGTCTACCGAGTCCAACGATTCCAAGGAGTCCAAGGGAGAACCCGAGGGATCTAAGACGGAATCTAAGGAATCCAAGGATGACTCCAAGGAAGAATCCAAGGAAGAATCCAAGACAAAGGAAGAACCCAAGACAAAGGAAGAACCCAAGACAAAGGAAGAACCCAAGGAAGAACCCAAGGAAGAACCCAAGGAAGAACCCAAGGAATCTAAGGACTCCAAGGATGACTCCAAGGAAGCAAAGACAGAATCCAAGGAATCCAAGGAAACCAAGGATGAGCCGAAGAACGACTCCAAGGAAGAACCTAAGGAAGCCAACAAGGAAGACACCGATGAGAGCAAGGATGAGGTTAGCCAATTGACTTCAAATTATAGGTCACAAAGCTAACGAATCCATAGTCTTCCTCCCACATGGACTCGGAAAAGACGAAATGAAAGTAAAGGTTGTACAGCTCGTCAGGCTCATGTGGTTTGGGGTTGACCCAATGATCTAATGAGGTTTTTTCTGGTCATAAATGGTATTCACTAGTTGGTTACATAGTAATTCTGTAGCAGTGAGAGTAGCCATCTTCTGCCACAGTCTACCAGACAAGATACCCCCTCCTCGATGCCTTTCAATAGCGCAATGACCAAGATGTTTTGCTATCGCTCTATCGTACTTGATCACTTACTAGTATTCGGAAATCGCGGTCATATTTTGTCAACATAGAGATGAGCCCTACACAAGAGACCACAATACGCCGGAAACACCATCCAGATACCATCAATTCCGACTCCAGGTGCAAGGATGAGGTCCATGCGAGTTCTCTTTTCTTCAGGGCTGGGAGACTACATTTGGAATACTCCTCAGGTGAGCACTGCGGTCTACGAGGGCACAGCGGCAAACAGAGACGGCCGTAGGATTGCGCTCGGCCTGGTTTCAATGGGCTTGAGACTATGACTGCTCAATGCTACGCTTCTGTCTTCAAGTTGGACACGACTCACTTCATCGCCAACCCACGTATCAACCTCCTGGAGGAAGACTCGAAAGCTGAAGCGATATGGTAAGCTCTCGCTCAAACACTACCGCACTGGTGAGGGCATGAAGCCGGGCTTTACTCCACTTGTCGCACCCTCTACTGGCTGGTCCTCGTCAGGTGTAACGAATTGAAGATCAAGCACTGAAAGCTCAATCTGACTTGGGGACAAGGTGACTGGAAGTTTCCAGCAACTACGATCGCAACCAGGAATATGATGTATGGATTCGCAAAAGCTTTGCCGCGGTCAGCATAAATGACCGGTGCCGTTGACAATGGGTAGCAATACAATCATAGAGAGGAGTGAATTGAAACCCTCTTCCTTTGTCCAGGTTCTGCCTTCGTGTCTCATTGTAACTGTTCTATCCAGCATCTCGAAGGTGGACACGGAAAGCCCACATGAAACAACGCACACGCGAGTTAGTTCATCGAATGGAGAGCTAACGTCAAGAAACCCTTTATTTTCTTTTTATGACGATTCATTTTATTGAACACCGGGATATTAAATATTCGACATTATCATGTGTCTCGAGGCAAAATAGAGTGTACATAGCATGGAAGAATAGAGCGAGAACGAGGGACAGCCACTGCGGCCAACGCCATCGCAGATGAAACTGGGTAACGAAGCCAGCGACTACATGAAAATGTTGATGCCGGGTCGCAGAGTAGGATGCTTCTGGATCACTCACTGAGGGGGCCAAGTACGGGTCTTAGAAACGTTACACTAGCAAGACCGGCCACGGCAATGGCCCGCGAAAGTAATGCCCCGAGTTTGGCGAGACCGCCACCAGCCTAGTGAGATTTTCAAATTGAGGATATGTTACACGGACTTGCTCAATGCCATGGTCGAAGACAAATGGTAGCCAAAGAAGCAGTCCTGAAGAATCCGCCGAGGAGGAGGCAGACAAAGATGGTAGCAACATTCTTCTCAGCGCAATAGGAAAACGCCGACACTTGTTGGAATGTTTTCGCTTAAGAATCTCAGAGGCCGGCCCGAACAGGGAAGTGGTTAAAATCGACACCTCTTTGGATATGTCAAAGTCGTGGTTGCGGTCCTTACTGACCGGATTCATGACGGATGAGTTGAAGGTCACAACACATACTAGTGCGGCCAGGTAGGCCGTGATGAGCGCCTTTCTGGGGGGGGGGGACTACAACCAGCAAAGGTCGGCGGTTGAGGTTAGAGCTGAGTATAGCAACCACTTACTGGGTCGGTGAGCCCACCCCAGTCCAGTGTAGATTGCCTCTCGGAAGTCTTCTTCTGAGTCGAAGATGTATTCATCCCTTTGTATGTTTTTTAAACTGCCGCAGGCCATGTGATAGGATGGGAGTGCGAGTTGCGGTGAAACAAGTCGTACACAGTATACCACCAACAATAGCTCTGATGGAAAAGATCGGAAAGCCAGAAAGAAGGATCATGACAAAATACCCCAGATTGAACGGGGAGGTAACATCTGTTCCTCAACGAGCCGTGCTTCGAATACTGCATATCTCTCAGAGATTGTTAGACCTATTGCGCAGGCTCACTGAGCAAAGGGTGGAAAGCTCTTCAAAGTCGCGCGGAAGTCAACTTAATACGAATGCTGTTATTTTCTTCTAGCTCAATAATGTGGTAACAAAAAAAGTATTGAGGTTTGGAAACACAGGTCTGATTCCACTTGTGCGCGGTCTCTCCGCGGACTTCCGAGAAGCTACTATACGAGACTAATTACGGCTCGAAGAGCTAAGAAAGCTAATCGAGGCCGTGGTTCTGATTCTAAGGGGTACGCGGGAATTGCCGACCCAGCTTCCTTCCAAGCGGCGGCCTAGCAGACCGGATGAACTATGAAAAGGGCTAGATCGCCTATCACAAAGTGGGCCAGCAATCGTGAAAGTGCTTGGCGAACTACAGGATGACTAAGGAATTATTCTGCCAGTATTATATGAATTATCCTTTTAAATTGGATGTTTTAAGACTGCGTCCCCTTCTTTCGCTTTAATTCAGCTCCTGAATCCAGTGTGGCATGTGATTTACTAGCCCTTCTAGTATATCTGTAGGCAGAGCCTCCAACCCTTCCTGTATGATAGGCGTAAGGTCATAGTAGCCTGAATATAATGCGTAGGATGCGGATTTAGAAGACACGTACTCCTTTAGCCAATACCATAGGCTTTGCTGGGGATTAAGTCAGGCGAAATAGGGGGATGATCTATTTCACTTAGTTGATAGAGGAAGAAGTTAAATTTGTCACCTATAGTGATGAATGTATGTGGATTGTAAGAAAAGGAAAAAGGCGGTGAAAATACCAAAATTTATTCCTTGGTCATCCTGTATGCACACAAAGGGCGGCCACTGAAGTTTTCCAGAGTGCTACCGGACTGTTGTGTGTTCAGGCACTGCCAAGTCTAGCAAATTGATGACTTGCATTATCCTATAAGCAAACTTCTCGATATAGTCCTGATGTGCAGTGAAGTAGTGAACTATTAGTCAAGAGTGTACAAGAACCTCCTTTATCTAGTTTAGCCTCCACTCAGTCGATGCTGGATCTGATCGAATCGAAAGACCGAGTTGCTCCGGTATGGGTGTGCTGAGGCTCTCACACTAGTCAAATATGGTGAATGGAGCTTGTGGGCACAGGCTTTGTGTGCGTCCTCGGATTGGACACCAATCGAAAACACACGACGATCTTACCCAGCGACAGTTTCAGGGTCAATAGGACTTGGAAGAGCTTAAGCGAGCTAAGCCTCCACTTTAGGAGAACGGATGGGGCTCTCTGAGATGATCTGAAATGAGTTTGTGGTGCTCGGGTATTCATAAAATCGACTATACCTGCGTTGTTTTGGCGCGGTCGATCTTTATCTCGAATTGTGATGTGTGGATCTCGCTGTCGTTTTGTAGACCGTCCAGCGACCCCGAGATCTCTACAATAGCGGAGCTTTCTCCATCGGAGGCGTCCTCAACAATTGTTCTGTCCGTCCCATTGGCCTGGGTGAAGGCCTACAGTATATGCTTCAATTCATACGGCTGGCGGATGGCGAGGGTATAAAATCCCCCCAACCCGCAGCAAAGACCCTCGTCAACAGCAAAAAAGTCCATCTTATATTTCAATCTTCATCGTCTTAGTCACCATGAAAGTTGCCGCTACCATTCTCCCTCTTCTCACCGCGGTGTCCGCCTCATGCCTTCACGGCACCTCGCTGTTGCCGCGTTCAGCTGACGGCACCGTCGACATTAACTACTACAACTATACCAACCTCGGCGGCCCCCTCAACTGGTACGGTCTCGATAAAGAGAAAAACAGTGCTTGCGCTACTGGCAAGCGTCAGTCGCCCATAAACATTGTCACCCAGAACATTGACTACGCTGCCGCCAATTCCGTTCACTTCAATATTCCTACTGCCAACGATATCAAGTTTGAGAACCTTGGCTCGGGCCTTGAGGTCGTTCTGACCAACGGTTCCCTGGTCACCAAGGCTGGCTCCTACGAGCTTGCTCAGTTCCACTTCCACACTCCTAGTGAGCACCGCATCAACGATGAGCACTATCCCATGGAGGCTCACTTTGTCTTCGAGAACTCTGGTATGTCCATCCGTATTGAAGTCTTGCCTAAAGACTTTTACTTTCTTTCATCTGCATAGCTTGTAATTTTCGAACTAAGACTTTTTTAGCTGGCGCCATCGCCGTTGTGGGCTTCGTCTTCGAGCTCTCTCAGTTCGGTTACTCTTACCCCCTATTCGACTCCGTCTTTGCTCACGTTGAGGACATTGCCACTCCTGGCACTTACACTAAGACTGGCAAGCTTGACTTCACTGCGCTCACTCGCCACCTGAACACCCACGGTATTTATCAGTACAATGGCTCTCTCACTACTCCTCCCTGCTCCGAGAGCGTGGCCTGGTACCTCAGCACCGAGCCTCTGCCCGTGAACGTTCAGAGCTACAATGCTGTCAAGCACATTCTCAAGTTCAATTCGAGATATACCCAGAACGCCCTTGGCCAGGACAACCTGCTCGAGGTTGCCGCGGCTGACTTGAACTAAGCTCAAGCTCTGTTGAAGTATGTTTCGCTGCGCAGATTGGCCGTGCCGGTTGAAACAAATTTGTGTCATAGTGTTCTGCCCGGCTTGTTAGGTTGGAGCGGGCATACACCGCTGTAATAGTATGCAAGCAATTATCTCAAAATAATAGTCATGGTTTAGCGAGCCATCGATGGCAAGATCTCGGCAGTCAAATGCCAATTAGTTATGTGGAGACACGACTCATTTCACCCAATCATTTTGCACAGAATAGGTTTCCTGTCTCAAAGACGAAAGTACATGCCGTAGCTTCCGTTTAGGGGGCAAGCGGATGGCATCGTAGGAGAAATCTCTTCATCGGAAGAAGCATCCACAAGCATCTCTAGTACGAGATCTATTGTGCAAAGCGGGGCTCTGATCCCGACGCTTGTTTGAGGAAATCTCACCTGCAGATCCCTGAACGGCCGAGTTCCCCGACACCAAAGTCGGACTTGTTCTACGGGCACTTGATTCTCTTGTGAGACTCATTAAGGGCGACATCGTACTAATGTTCCCAAATCATCGAATGTCGCTATCCTTGTGAACGTTTTGGGACCCTGATCCACTCTGAAGTTTGGAAGTGTTAGTGGCCCCGGAAGTTCACTATTCTCCAGCGCGCTGCAGATCTTACTTTGATACGGTGCGAAGTGCGCACGCTAGCTCCCGCGGCCCCTCGTTGTGTTCGCCACCTGATTTTTGGTGCCTTTCACATATTCCAGCGACCAGACCCAATTCGTCGATTGCGAGAGTTCACGTATTTCCCGGTCTTCCCGCCCACCCATTCTATCAATTCCTTATTCATGAAGCATTCAGATGACCACAACGCCTTTATGTTCAATTGAAACTCTATCAGACGTTTGCCAGCTCTATAGCTAGGCTTTCTGTGTATACTGTATACATATTGCCGTTTATTTTTCCTTCTTTTGCTACTGAAACTCCCTGGGTAGGTGCTACGGAGGATAAACTACTACCTAGGCTTCCGCACAACCCAATGTAACCCTGACCCAACCGTACCTGATTCGGAGTCGGTTAGGTTTTAGGTGGAATTCCTCGACCTGGAATTCCTCGAGCTAACACTAGGCGTTTTTTTCCCTCAACCAAATCGGGACCCCAAAGACCATCGGTTACCCGCGCTTAAAGTCACTCTGGCATTATGCCCGATCTTCTTAGAGTTGTGAAGTGACTTGTGCACGGCTGGACACATCTGATCGAAAATACAGGTCAGTTGAAATGCGAGTTAATTGATCATGCAAAAACAAATGTAGCGTTTGAATCATAGACCTAGTTCATCCCGATTCCATCTCAAAATAAAATGTTCCCAAATGACATTGCGGGTGAGATCACAATTGACCATCCATGATTATTCGGAACTTAAAGGAACATGACAGTATTTGCTAAGCCCATTACGTAGAGGAATTATACCCGGCCAAATATACGTCTTGTATTACAGTATTCTCAGCGGAGTTTTGTTAAGATTCGGCTGTGGCAATGCAGACTATGCTAAGCTTAATGACATCTTCGAATCATGACAAGTTTTTGTAATGAGAGTTCGTTTGGTAATACTCCCTTCTCTGGCTTATGATTATTGGCTTGACGACATCCTAGAAGCAATACTAGTATAGTAAATTTTCTTTGTAGCTAGACCCGCGATGAAGAACTTAAAGAGGACCCATTGCGTTTGAAGTGTTCCGAAGGAATTTCCTCTAGAGATTAGACAGAAAAAGATGCTAAAAAATTCTGTATAGTACTACGAACTCCTCAGGGCTCTGATTAGACTAGGGGTTATGATATCTTTGATATTCGAATAAAAGTCTATCCTCTATTATCTTGGCTAAATCTTGCAATTAATGTACACTCTGATCGAATAAAATTAAAATACTTCTAGTTGATAGACCTTAACCACCCCTTTCCTAAGCCCCCCTAACCTAGTCATCTCTGAGAAGCGCCTATATATATACAAGTCTATTGCAGCAAGACTATACTGATATCCGGGAAATTAAGTCTAATCTGCCCTGGGGTTAAGTTTTGGCTCTTTTGTTCACGTAGCCTTCGTTTCTCTTCCGCACTGAGTTTCGTTATTACTATTTATTAGTTAGACTACTTAGACGATACGAAGTAGGTCGTAGTTTTCTTGATGCTTTAATGAGAGGTTCGCGAAGGCTAATCGCTAAATCCTTGGTACAGCATATATTTTTATCGCTAAATTTTGGTGAATTAACGGATCATTTTCACGCTGACGCTCTGGAAAAACATATAATTCATTATATTTTATAGAAACCGGGCAGATTTCTTATGAGACTTTAGTTCATAGCCGATTGCAACGCTTGGGGCGAAGTCCTCTAACTGTTCCGCATTAATAAATGATATCAATTTGACTTTGAGCTTACCCGTAGCTAGTGGCTTAGTAATATCGCCATAAGGTTAAAAAACTTCTTCCGTAGGTATATCAGGAGCTACGAAAGACCCCCTGGATAGTCTTTTCTCTATATCCTGCTCATTCAAAGGATCCTTGACTTAGGGTTCTATTTTAAATTTTGTTGTGGGAAGACCGGTGACATGATATCAAGTGTGTGGTCTCAGGCATAACAAATACCTGAAGCGCATGATGCATCTTAAAGACGGAATTAGAGATAAGTTAAGCAACGACCCGGTTCAATTCCGGTTGTCACCACATTTTCCCACTCATGATGCAGCATTAGGCATGGTCCGTTCGGTCTCTACAGAACATCTGTACGGCCTCATTCCGACCAATCACTACGCCGACCAGGGAGAGTTATGTGTCTGTGTGTGTGTGTGTGTGTGTGTGTGTGTGTGTGGTCCAGTCTGCATTGTCAGACAGCCATCGAGCCGTTTCCTTTTCAATATCTGATTCTTTGGCTGAGCTGGCTATCCTATGCGAATAGGAGGTGGCTCGAGAGATTTAGATTACTGTCCTCCTTTGAACCTAGGGTTCTTAGCCGCGAGCTTAAAATTAAGCTTTCTGCTGCCTTCTATTAGACTGTTATAAATATCTAGATAGTGAAGCCGCTTTAGTTGCTTGTTAATAATTATACTAAGCGTTGTAGTAGGCAAAGAAAAGCTCTTTAGTAGTTGATACTCGTGTTCGTGACGCAGAGGGAGAACGATAGAAGCGGAGTTTCTTCGGGGGCTGCTTCTCTAACTTTGTGGAAGAGTTTTAGCTTCTGACTTGGACGAACGATTTCTTTTCCTCGAAAGCATTTAATTTAACTATTGTAGTGGGAGAACCGGTGAATAATAGCATATGTGTGGCCTCAGGCATGATTCAATGTCTGCAGTGCATAGTGCATCTTCAAGACAGAGTTGGAGATAGAGAAGTCATCTACCCAATTCATTCAGATTCATCCCATTTCCTCTATTCATGATACAGTGTTAAGGTTATTCCGTACTGCCACATCAGGGCATCAGTACGGCCTCATCCAGACCGTCCTCTACACCGGACAGGCATGTGTGTGTGTGTGTGTGTGTGTGTGTGTGTGTGTGTTGTCCAGTCTGCACCGCCAGACAGCCATCGAGCCGTTCCCACTTCACTATATAGCCTTAATTAGCTTATAGATATCATGCGGCTGATGTTAAAGGTGGCGCGCATTGACGAAAGCGTAGCCTCATCCATAGCTTAGCTTCGCACTTTGCCACTGGTCTTCAAGTATATGCTTCTCTTCAATGTATTGCCTAAACTTCTTGCTTTCAAGCCATCAATATAAGCGATCTGGCTCCTCGAGATCCTTATTCTACAAGCAAAAGGGACAGTAGCTAGGTCGGATTACTGTGTGGCGGTATACAATCACTTCGCAGTACTTGTAACCACTTCATACACTCCTAATAAGATTCTAAGTATGACTCTAAGATTCTAAGATCCAGGGCAATCTCACATCAGACACAGTTGTGGATATAAGCGCTTCTTGCAGACTTTTTTAGATTGAAAATGTTAGTATGTATTCTATCACTTTTTATCAGAGAAACTCACTATTCAATATCTACGAGGCAATCTATAGTAGGGTAGAAATTTAGATAGGGCTTGATAGAAGGAAAGCAACGTTAAAATCTCGTTCACAGTGGATTTTAAGGTCTTCTGCAAAAAGGAGCATTTCCTTAAATAAGTTCCTAACCAGATGAAATTTATTCTAAAATCCGCAGCTATGTGCAATTCTAACACCAAAAGGTTCTCACTTTGTATCCTAGGCGTTTTTCGCCTCAAGTAATCCGGGCATAAACCGGCCATGATCCGATTACCATATAGAAGATATCATTTGGAAGAGATTCCTCGTCGGTAGAGCTATGCCCTAGATCCTCGATATTCTGAATCGTTACCTCACTTGCTGTTAAAGTCTTCTTTATCCACTGTGCCACAGTCAGTTTTGGAACAAAGAAAATGAAGACTGTTTACTAGCTTGTATTAAATACTCCGGTCTTCTATTATGATCTTAAGCTGCGTTTTTTCTCCAAACCCACCAACCAGCCTTTCTGCACAATTAAGAACCGGTGTTAGCACTAGCCGTCGAATTTTTTTTTTCACACCTCGCGCAGAATGACTGTACTAGCTAGCGAGCTCTCCAATGAGTGTATGATCTGGAATCGCACAGCCTAGCCCCATTTTGTAGCTCTTGATCCTGTTCGGTTAGCGACCACTAGGTATGTATGCATGGAAGCTCACTTCATTTGGAGTTTAACAGCGTGGTAGTATATCTTCGTAGTCTTTGGTACCCTTCTATCTTTATCGCGGATAGAGTCCTCATCTGTATGAGCGCTAAAAACATAGCCACTCTTATCCGATTTGCATTTGATACGTTTCTTTAGCGAGGCTATCTTATTAAGTAAAGAAGAATTTTCTACCTATAAGTAAGATAAGAGAATACCCAGACTAGTGCTAAGATAGAATGAACGTACGAAGGAATTGAGAGAAGAATGAAGAATAAGACTATACCAATAACCGAAGGAAAGAATGAAGCTTCAATCTATATTCTACGGGTCTACGCAAAGGCAGCCGTAGGTAACATTGGCAAAGGGAGATTCCTCCTACTTCAGTGTAGAACAGATATACTCCGTGCCTTCTATTTGAGCATTATCTCGCCCTATCTCCTTTTTTGGGCGGGCCGGGATTGGGTTAAAATGGTAGTATAGAATATTTCAAGAAACTGAAGCTAATTAGGCTATCAAAAGTCCAAAAAAATTGCTTTATAGGGCCGGGCGCCCTTTCAGGTATAGACTAAGCGGAGGAAGTGCTTAAAAGATTTCCCGGATCTTTCTCTGTGTGATAAGTAAGCAATCAGTGAGCAGCTAATCCCTAACACTGGGCGTTTACTAAGCACTGACTGAGCGCCCAGTGGAACGTGACTAGGACTAAGCAGCTCAGTGAGTCTGAGCTCGGACTGGAATTTCCCAAGTGTGCCTGTCCCTGAGCGGCTCATTAAAGCGGTGGCGTCTGGAGTAGGTCAGCCCCCACCGGGGGAATGCGGTTCGTATGGTGGCCTAGGTATAAATAGACAGGGCGCTCGTACTAGTGACCGCCCCCTATTTTCATTTTAATTTAATACTTTCCCCAGTCTTGGACACGTTCATTTCCTTACCTACGCTCGCTACCATGAAGATCGCTCCGTTCCGGGCTTCTATCGCCCTACTAGTTCCACACGCTCTAGCAGTACTTGCTGAATCTACAGCGACATCTGCTACGTCCACTACCTCTACTGCCGCGGCACCAAGCTGTACGGCTTCCCTCATCACTAGTCTCTGCGACTACCCGGAACCTGGTTCAGACTTTGCTGTCGCCAGCGACGGCAAGGCCTTCTGCTGGGACTACTGTAACGCCAATCCTCCCTGCAACTTTGTTATCTTCCTTGCCGGCAACCCTTACACGGGCACCGGCACATGCTGGCTGTACCCGGGTGAAACCTTTGATGCGAGCAAAGGCAGTTCAGACTGCGGCAACCCCACCCTGTCCGTCTATAGCAAGCCCGTGTGTGCTGGCGGCAGCGCAACCACCACTACTGGCGCCTGCGCCGCCACCGCGACTCCCTCTGCTATTGCCTCTGTCTGCGGGTACCCGGCGCCCGAGGACTGCTTTGATGATTGTTATGCTAGTTCGGATGCATCGAACTGCTTGAGTCTGTGTGCCAAGGCCGATTCATGCAGCTATGCCGTCTTTAACCCGAGAAATCCCGACAACTCGCCGTATGCCTCGGGCACTTGCTGGGTCTATCCGAACGGCACATATAACGCTGACTCTGCCACCGCTTGTAGCGGCGCCCCTGAGCAGTATGTGTATAACAACGTTTGTCCTAAGCCATCAACTTCCTCGTCCGCTCTTTCATCTGCTACGGCAAGCTCTAGCGCCACTGGAACTGCAGGCACTACTCTGGGTTCAACTATTAGCGCTGCTATGGTCTCTAATGGTACTGCTGCCGCAGGCAATACTACGGGCTCAACTACTACCAGCAAGAATTCTGCGCCTGCCGGTCTCCCGCTCACTAATCCATTGGCTATCGGCGTGGCTTTATTAGTATGGCAGGCCCTTTGGTAAAATCTTTGCATATATTTGTTTGTGTATTTAGCTAAATAAGCTGTTGGGCACATGATATTGTATATCAATGGACTTCGTATGAGGTCACTTCGTGTGTTTCTCGCGCTTTTGCGGAGGGCAGGTTGGGTCCTTCATCCCACACCGCAAATAATGAACTTTTACATCGAGGGAATAGTTTCATTCTGATTAGCTTAAACTGTGAGCTCATCTTACTTCCTCGCTGGACTGAATCTTGCTCAAATATAGAACGAATCAATGGCATAGTGGGTGACCTAAACATACGGAGGACGCACAGAGACGCGAAAATTGAACAGGTGGGTTTGGTGGGAATTACATTAGTTCATAACTACATCCAGCAGTAAAGCTACACAAGAAGCATTCAAATGAAAATCATCCATATGTATTCGTATCGGCGCATCAACATGTGTCCCTGCCAGATCCAACAGATACCTTAAGTGGACCCGAGTCTCCACAGAACACAACATAAAGAACATAAAGTAGTGATAAACCAACAGTCGAATGAACCTTTACTGCAAAAGGCAAACTGTGCAACGAATAGAAAACCACCTTCCCCCCCCACCAATGCATGATGCATAATACACAGCATCAAATAGCATGCCAACATTCAGTACAACCATCAACCGTATGAGACATGACATGAAATATAGGGAAGAAGACACGCTCCGAACGGTCAAACACCAAGCCTGCAGATTCAGCTTCCCTTTATGCATAATTATAAACAGGCGAGCGCGCCATATATGGAACCTTTGTTGAGACAATCTTGAAAATTGGGGCCCTTTCGCTACTGAAAGTGAACCACTGACACAATACTTCGAGAGAGAGGGACAGGGGGCTTATGAGTCCTTTTTGCTGTATCTGCGAGGACCCGGAGGCTCAGCCGGTTCGCCGTTGACAAGAACTTGGGGGGCTTGGTTCTCAATGCCGGTGGCGATGGCCTTGGGATCTGTCTCGAGCTCTTCTTCATCTTCGTCATCGCTGCGCTCGTCTTTGGTGACGCTGTTGAAGATGTAGTTGGCGAGAATACGCAGAATTAGGAACAGCCAGAAGAGGTTGACGGCTTGCAGACTGGCTAGCAGAGCGAAAGTGATGTACTGACTGATCCAGCACTTATACTGCTGAGTCTCCCAGTTCAGCTCAAAGGGTCCAACGGTGCGGAACTCGGTCAGAACGGCCCAGAGAATCTTCAGATTCAGATAGTGGCGGAGGTAAATCCACATGCCAACGAATGTACCGAAGTAGGGCACGGTGATGTACGCATCGAGATAGTTGAGCGTTTTGGAGGTCTAGTCAACATTATTAGCTCCGCCTTCCCGTACCATGTCATTGCATATTCAACATACCGCCAGGAAAAAGTCCGACACATCGTGCGTGATGTACACTGCAAGACCCATGTAGGTAAAGTGGAATCGGTAGCTGAGCGCAATCAGCGCCAGGGTGATAATATGGTGTCCGACCAATTCCTTGAAATCCTTGCGCGGCTTCTCCAGCTGCAGCAGGAGCACAATAGCCTGCTGCGCCCAATAGCTGGCCTCGAGTAGATAGTAAGCCTTGAAAAGACCCTCGTGCTCGCGGTGAGGGAAGCCCTCGAACATGGCAGTGGTGTTGAAATACCAAATGTCCGAGCGCTTCATGACATATAGCCCAAACGGTCCGAAAATGCCAAAGTAGATGGCGGTATACACCTGCTCCATGAAGCGCGCAGTCTTGCCCTTTCCGCGGATACCGCAGTACACCGCGAACGGACGGATAATCTGCTGCATGATGAACTCGCGCGTGAAGGACAGCACCACTGTGTAGAAGGCCACGAAAGCGATATCCTTCTTACCCTTACCGTACATGATGGATCCGCCGGGAGACTTTGGTGGCTGCGGGTAGGATAAGAAGATGGCGCTATGCATTGGGTTCGAAGTTGTCGGGTTGACCGCGTACAGCGACAGCAGGAAGATCATGATGAGCAACGGGAGGAGCCAGGTGTAGCGGAGGCAGGTATCGGCGAAGCGGTGGAGGTGGGAGCGATTGCGACGCTTCTTGGAATTTGTCTTGGCCTTGTCTGCATATTGCTTGTCCAATTGCTGATGCGCCAAGTTAGAGGGATTCGAGTCGGGAGAACAAGAGCACGTACCTTATTCAGGTCGGGAGAGGAAGGCTCAATCGGGCTGACTTCATTCATGGTGGACATCGCGGGGGCGCTGGTGTCGCCCCGGATGTCCACGCCCAGATTCGACCTTCCGCGCGGGCGAACCATGGCGGGAGTCGAATACGAGAGTACGAGGTATGTTGAGGTCGATGGTGGAAGGCAAAGAGAACGGGGAGATAAGACGGGCAGAAAAGTTGTAGATCGCTCACGTGTTTTCGGAGGAACGTTGAGCGGGAATGGAAGAGAGGAACTGGAACTCACGGAAGATTGGGTTCCATCGGTGACGACCATCACCTTTTTTTTCTTTGCCCCGATCCCAGGGGCTAACTCTCGACCCACTCAGAGTCAGCCAGATTTCCGCGCTCTTCTCTTCGCTCTTGGCGTTCGTGATGCCTCGGTCGCCCTAGAAATGGAAGATCTGGGCCATTATTTGCAACAAAACGAATAGATCCGAAACAACGTCGGCTTGGCGATACTATGCCGTACTGAGCAAAATATAGTCCGAGTAATTGCCATGATCTCGTCGGGTCAGACAAGGGGGACCTGATGGGAGTGCCAAGTCCCACAGTGGGAACTCCGTACCTGATCACCATATCTTTGATGAGAGTTATCCGAACTGGTCCCGTGGCGTGACTTATACCGAATAGCGGATCTACTGCTCTCACTTGACAGCAAGTATTTCTTGCCAGAACTATTTGCTTATCCCCAAGTGCTAAATTGAGTCTTTTCAAGCCGCTAGGTGATATCTCGCTCTCAATGACGTCATTGTGTACAGATACCGAGGTAGCCCGGCACTTTGATGCATGTATCTAAGCTTCCCGAATTCTTAAGCATATTACCTTTACAGAAATCACGCGTTCCTCATTCAGGAGTCGTTGGAGCTCCCTACTACCTAAACAAGGATTAAAAGAAAGATAGTCATCAAGGATGAGATTCCAGAGGCGTGAAAGTGTGTATTGCTAACCGAGAGCACGAAAAAGTAGAATAACATGACCGTTCGACCCCTGTACAACGCCCATGTTATCACAAGGGCGAGCTTATAACGATCGCCTAGCTTATAGGTATAGTTCTTTATTCGTGAGAAGCACTTTAACGGATATACAATAGATCCTTCAGGATATATAATGCTTGCGGGATTCTACTAGAGCACTTCACAGCGTTGAGCGTCAATAGAATTTTACTCTGGGAATCTCGAGAGGTTAAGATTCGCAGATTATAGGGAATCTTAGGCTTTGTAATAGCTCAAGTCGAGTCAGTGTTAATGACAGTGACTATCTGGTAGCTAGAATAGAGTATAGTTCTAAGTTTAGTGAGCTAGATATCATGGCCGCTACGTTAAAGTTTTCACGTTATCTAAAATCACCATCAATGTTATCGGAAAGACTCTACCTATATATACATAGAGTAACGAGGCTAAGTGTCTATCCTGAGACCTAAGGAACCTATTACTAGAAGAGCTATTACGAGCAAGTCACGCCACTAGTATCTTGATAGTGACGACTAATCGAAATAAATACCTTTTAGAAGAACCCTAGCCACACCTTAAGGGTCGAGGGTACCTTTGGAAATAGCTAATAAGATTATCTATGATAGAGCTCAGATTCCCACCTACGTATCTTCAGCTATGCGATCGAAGAGCTACTTCAAGCTTTTCTGATCGCGATGAAACGGGACCCTTTACCTTTTGAGAGCTACACTTTACTTATAACGCTATCTAATATATTAGAAATGCTAATATTCCTTTCTCGCAGTAGCTCGATTTCTACCTACAATATGTCGTTTTACTCTCATCGTGATCCGGTGATTAGGAGATACCTGCAGCTGAGCCTAAAACCGAGTGTTTTTGATATGCAAACTGCGGCTCTCGCCCAGTGACTCCTAGAGACAGCCTCGTAACCAGCTCAGGTTATTTCTAAGCTCGCGATTTGCAGATCACAAATCGCGGATCTGCGCTATAACCGCGGACGTGTGCATTGCAGCCGTCAAGTCGCCGACAATAGACCCAACGCAAAACCTAATACTGATGGAAAAATAAAGCAAGAATGCCTGGCAATAAACTGATCTCAAATTCAGACGTCATGTACTGTATAGATCTATTGAAACATGCAATACGATCGACCGATTAGTTGTTCCAAAACCGCGAAGAGGGAATCATGCGGCGGCACAAACCTATCAATGGGCGAGTGTCTCTTGACTGACAAAGCTGAGAACGTTGAAAGCTCTTAAGTACAACGATGTATATCAGAGAAGATTTCAGCTGGCTCAGCGCCAGTGCGCCTTGCAGTATTGGCTTGGTGGTCTCTTAATATCTGCTCCACTCCACTATGACCTCCAGCTAAAGCGGCACTGAGCGCTATATCATAAAATCCGCCTTGCGCATTCACGTCGGCTCCATTATCCAACAAAATTTTAAACACTTTTTCATTTCCGATGTGAGATGCAGCTTGCAGTGCGTTGCCGTACTTTCCACTTTGGGCGTTCACGTCAGCACCATTGGCCGGTAGTATCTCTACCACTTTCTCAGACTCTTCGGATGATATACCAATCCACTCAAAGTCTGCGGAGAAGCCGTCTGTATACAAATCATTCACAAGCATCGCCGAGAATTTCTCAAATACTCGGTGTAGACTGGATTTCTCTTGCAGGGCTGTAGTCATGAACGAGACTCCACGCGCATTCCCATCGGCAAGCTCCTTGGTAGCAGTAACATCTATATGTAGTTCCGAGCAATATTGGTACACCGCCTGCACAAGCATCTCTCGCTGGGTCAACGATGCGGCATAAAGTGGATAACCGAGATGCCCACCTCGAGCATTGACATTCGCACCTTTCTGCAGGAGAAGCTTCACCGTTTTCTCATGGCAGAAAACCGATGCACTCAGCAGTGCAGTATCTATAGCAACTTGTAGATCGCCATTTGAAACCTTTTGAGCCATATTCAGGAGTTTTTCCGCCTTTTTTTTGTCGCCGCGCATGGATGCCATCTGAAGTTCCTTGCTTAGGGTTTCAAGGCTGACCCGTGCACCCCGTTCTAATAACAGCTGCGCCACTTCCTTGTGACCATTGGTTGATGCCGTCTGGAATGCATTGCCATATTTTCCACCCTGGGAATTGACATCCGCTTTGCGTTTAAGCAGAGCCCGCACTACTTCCTTATGGCCATTAAGGGAGGCCGCCTGGAGTGCAGTGTTATGTTGTCCACTTTGGATGATGACATCAGCTTCATGGCTCAGCAAAATATCCACCACTTCTTTATGGCCCTTTAAAGATGCTGCCTGGAGTGCAGTACCATATTTTCCACTCTAAATGTTGACATCAGCGTGATGCTTGAGCAAAACTTGCACCACTGCGGCGTCTCCTTTGAAAGATGCCACCCGGAGTGCGTTGCCATATCTTCCACCCTGGACGTTCACATCAGATCCTGATTGCAGGATCATGTCAGCAATGTCATTAAGCCCCAAAAGACTCGCGTAATATATAGGCGGTCCCCTATTGGTCATCACCTGCTCCATGTTTTGCCAATTGTTCCATGCGGGAATCCACATCATGGAGCTGGATCCAAGCATTGAAGCAGCCGCCTTTTCCATCATTAAAAAGGTCAAATGCAAGATCCTTGAGACTAGAGTCTTTATCCTGACATGCCGCGTAGTAGTGAAACCATTCCATAGCAGCGAAAAGAGCGAATGGGAATTTTTCGTTCTTTTCTTGGCCTGTTGTCCCATCTGAAAGGGCGGATTTGAGGTACACCAGACATATCTGTGCAAGTTCTCTGTTTGCAGAGCCACGTTCGATTGCAAACGCGGCAACGTCCTGTATTCGGATAGTGTCCGACTCAAGGTAGTGCTGAACCAAGGAGTGGGCAATATTGACAATTGGAGTGTTGACAACTAGAGCCTGGAGGCTTACGGTGATGTTTTTCTGTATTATCTCAATCAAATTGCCACAGATTTCATGAAGTCCATATTCGGTGAGAAGTTGTTTCCGAGGTCCAAACGTGATGGCTTTTGGAGATTGACCGCAAGTGCGTGGCAAATTTTTCCCACGGTCAGTGGATGGTTTGAACAGCAAAGCAAAGTCATGATACGCCGCACATTCTAGTGTTTCTCTCGCCAACACTACGCAAAAGCCACGCGTAGCTTTCATTCATATCAAGAGGCAAGTCCTGAAGGACCGCATTGCGATCGCACTTGAGATGAACCTCTTTTAGAGGTTGTTGCAATTGGGAGGCCACGTAAAGAAACCTGAGAAAAAATCAGCTTATCAAGAACCTACACTTTCTCATCTATGAACAACTTACACTCCTTGTGCACGTTCTGTTAATGCAGCCTGAATTTCGGCACGATCGTGTTTCCATCGATGGAGGTCTGGGTCAGTTGTCAATTGGTGATAAACATAGTTGTCAATGTCCTTGTCAACTCCGGGGGTTTTCATCGTCACATCCTGACCCGCTTGGGGGTAAGGAATCGACGTATGTCGGAGACATCATGGCTGGTCACCAAAATATGGAGAGCGGGTAGGCCCCATTGCCGCATTGTTGCTATTGCAGTCCAGATACTTGTTCGTCCGTGGCACTCAGGACACTCGTTCAATGCCAGCAGAATGTGGGTTTTGGGAAACCGCTGGACGATACGGTGAACTACTTTGTTTAGATCTGAAATATTCATAGTGAGGAGATGCCGGAGGTAAAGTGTGCCGTGTGTTGTACGCCAAAGTGGAGAAAGCAGTAGTAGCGATCAAAAATAAATTTGCATATCTACACTATCTTGTCAATAGTCACGGTCACCAGGCTGCACAATTTTATTGAATGAAATCCATGCATATGATTGAAGTATTATAGAACCATTCCGTTGAGCATGAAGCGATAAGTCATTAAAGCAACGTGGTACCGGCTGGCTCGAGAAGCAATTTTTTGAGGTTATCACAGGATTCCTTCCCTTCTCGCAACCCCACATTAGGATGCATCGGTTAAATCCTGATTAGCGCTTCAAACTTAGAATGAGTAAATAGATAACCAGGAGAATGGACTTTCACTAGCTCTAAAAATAGTTTGTTGAAATATTGACCAATGCTACGTAGAGGGAGCTTTCCCTATATCCATCATGTGCACCAAATTTGGAAGAGAATTGCCGACGCCGAGTGCGTGGGGCCAGCTCGACAATTATCTCAATAGTATAAGACTAACCGTTTTGCGAAGGACCATGAAAGAATGACTCCAATGCGCAAGTGGGTTGAGCCGCCTCAAGAGCACTAAAGGTCGATACCTTCCTCATTTGATTCTAACAGCTATGTTCGGATCTAATTGTAATGCTCCAAATTTCAAGAATTGATGAATTAAGAAGATAAAAATCTAATATATCATGATGTTTTCTCAACGAAAACTTTTTACATAACATCATCCAGTGAAACGACACAGTCGCCACATCCCAAACCCGACGCCCATTGAGGGGTTCACAGAATCGAAATACACAAATTTTAAGCCGTAGTCTCATTGTGGGTGACAACAGACTTATCGCCCAAAGCAAGCTTATCACCAAGAGCCTCAACATCACCAGCCTCAGCAGCCTCAGTCCGCTTGGTATCGTGCTTCGTCTTCCAAGCAGCGGTACCAATGTAAGGAATACCATGAGGGTCCTCGAAAATCAACTCAACCTCCTCGAGAGTCTTGCCAGCAGTCTCGGGGAAGAGGAAGAAGACATGGAACCACATGACAGTCAAGAACACGCCGAAGATAATGTAAGTCTGCCAGCGGATGTTGGCAAAAGCGACGGGCGTGAACAGACCCAGAGCGGTGTTGAATGCCCAGTTGGCGGAGGTAGCGAGGGCGACGGCCTTGCCGCGGACACGAAGCGGATACAACTCAGAGGGATAGACCCAGGACATGGGGCCCCAGGTCGGGGCGTAGGAAGCGACGAAGAGGTATGTGCAGGCGATCAGGCCCTTGGCAGGGGCGCCAGAGAGAATCATGGATTCTTCGGGGACGCCGTCAATACCTCCGGGGACAACAGTACCGTATGTGGCCATGATACCGGCGTTGGCGTACATCCAGACCATCATGAAGGCGGCGCCAACCAGAAGGGTCGGGCGACGGCCCCAGCGGTCAACCCAGATCAAGGCCGGGACGGTGCAGACCACGTTGATGATGTACTGGATGGAAGAAGCGAGTAGGGCACTGTTACCGGAGTAACCGGCCATGTTGAAGACGTAGTTAATGTAGTACATCATGACGTTCATACCAGTGAGCTGCGACCAGATCTGGCACCAGATACCAGTGAAGGTACGGTGAATCATCCTGGGTTTGAACAGTTCGAAGTAGGTAACATCAGCATGCTGGCGCTCGAACTCGCACATCTCTCCAATCTCCTGCATCTCGGCCTGCACGAAGGGGGAGTCAGGATCGCCATGTCCGTGGACCAGAGTGAGGACGGCGCGGGCTTCTTCCCAGCGGTCCTTGCGAGCAAGCCAGCGAGGCGACTCGGGCAGGAGCATCATTCCGAAGAAGAGCAGGACAGCGGGAACCATCTGCACACCCCAGGGAATACGGAAAACAGATGTGCTGTAAGTGGAGGAGGTCTGACCGCCGATATAGGAGCAGCCAAAGGAGATGTAGTACATGATCAGGATACCCCAGGTGATGGCCCATTGCTGGGAGCCGACGAGACGGCCACGCTTGGAGGGAGGAGAGATCTCGGAGATGTAGACGGGGACCTGGGCGGATTCCATACCGACACAGAGACCGTTAATAACACGGCCAGCGACTAGCATGCCCACGTTTTGAGAAGCGCAGATAATAGCGGAGCCGATACACCTGAGAGCATGGAGTGTGAATGTTAGTGATATGGTCAATTGGGTTACTTGGGAAATGATAGGTTTAAGATTCATATAATCAACATACCAGATAATACAACCAACCATGATAGAATACTTGCGGCCCAGACGATCAGAGACATAGCCCGAGATCAGAGCACCAAGCCAGGAACCAGCAGGCATAGCGGCAGTGACACCACCCTGGTTCAGCGAGCTCAATCCAGAACAGGTCTCATCATCGGTAAAGGGAGGTCCAATAGGACCCTCGTTAAAATAACACTTATAAGCAGTGGTGCCGAGAATAGCAGACATAGACGAGATATCGAAACCGAATAGACCGCCACCAATCACGGAGACGGCAGCGATCACGTAGATATTGCCCACGGCCATCTTGAATGGTCCTAGACAGTGATCCCAGGGGCAAGAGAAAAAGAGGAGAGCGAGCACTGAACAGAAGAAAAAAGAAGAAAAAAGGAAGCACGCCGGAACAGGGAGGACTTAAATAGATCAGCTTCTCCCGGCTGTAAAATTACAGGCCGAAGAATCTCACGGGGCCTCGAGTGTCCCCACCCTCTGCGTGGACAGGCTCATTTCGGGTAATCTCAATCTGGGGTGGATTTGGGGATGTAATGGATGGGGGTGAATAGTTGCAAACGAGTGCAACGTTTCGAGCATTGGGTAGTCGCCAAGACCCTATTCCGGACATGCGGGGTCTGATTGGTGGAAAAACTCCACTTTGGCCACTCTGATTGGTGCATCCGAGAGATCGCTGTCTGGATCCGGGGAATTGGGCCTCGTGGCTGACCTGAACTAGACTCGTTCGGGCGATGTTCTAGGATGGTCTCCTTCGGCGTCGGCGAGATCCCTGCTGTCGGCTTGGTGTGCTGTTGGGACCGCACTCGGGTTCTGACTCGGGATCCCAAGTATCCCTAAAATTTCGGAAACATACTGCGCATAGTTGTTGTTGAGAATTATAAGCTAATAAAGCTGGTCAACCTGGGGGGGCCCCAGGGCCCAGGGTCTAATTTCACCCCATCCTCAGAAGACTGGGTAAAAATCGAATTACTGACACACTATTCGTACCGTATGGCTCACACACCATAACCCTGTTTGGACGGAACTAAATTTCATAACAATTAACCGGAGCCCACTCGAAAGAACAAAAAACTCTACCTTGTCACAGATGTCCCAGTCCGGGGACCCCAAGTGCGGGCAATTGCCTAGAACAGGTATGAAATCGACGCCCTGAGCCGGCGTACACACGGCATGACTGGCCGGCGCACGCCGAAGTGGACTCGGGGACAGCGTACACTCGGGCCCCGTTCCTCTCAAATCCCGTGTGTCCCGGTTGTTGGCCGTGATTCAATTTCTGCGCGGCCCTCGATGCTTGCCCATTCTTGACCTATGTGGGCCAGTCTAGCTCCTAGTGTCCCACTTCTGGCGCTGCCGCCGACGTAGTGCGCTTTTCCAGGGGGGGGTTTCTTCTCTTCGCTGCGTCGGCTCCTTGCTTTCTCCAATCTATCCCCGCCTTCAATCTGCGGAGATTGGGGTGCCCGCATCCGAATTCGTACACCGGGAAGCATTTCCCCGGGCATTGCCTCCACCTCTTGACTTCACTATATGGGGATGAACCTTGGAAATCGATTTGAGTCTCGTTGAATGTCATCTCTTGAAAGTGACTGGCACGGACCTGGCCTGAAAAAGATTAGTTTCGGGCTGCTCCTGGCCGACGCTACTGGCCAGCTGCGGTGTGAGTGATGTAATCGGCGTTCTTCCCTAGAAACCTTAGGAAGCCTCCCGTACGGTTGAGGCTTGTTGGGGCTAGAGGCTTAAAGCTTGTACCCGCGTCGTCTGGTTTCATGGTTGATGCCACCCACTTTACAGGACTTTGACGTGGACATGCACGTTGTGTGGTAATATGGGCAGCGTGGACGGTTCCACCCGAGATGAAGTGGGTTTAAATTTGACTGTCTCGGAACTGCCAGATGGAAGGTAGCGCGATGTTGCTTTGCCTTTCCAATTCCGTCTTTCGAAATGATGTCGAGAAAGCGATCGAAATAGAGCTTGATTCAGGAAGAAATATCTCCAGTGCACTCTCGCCAAAATTCTTGTTTAGGCCAGGTTCAACTTTCAGCCGAGAAGATTACACTGAAGACGATATCCTTTTCGGACGAGGTGTTGTGCTCATCCCTTTGAACGGACCAGACCCAAAATGCTTCCCCACTTTTTCTCCCGAGAACAATCAGAACGATCACAGCACAAATGCTTTGACATCTGGGAAGTGGCCAGACGGCATTGTGATCATTGGATCGGTCTTTTCAGCGATTACAAAGGGGGACCAAGCTGCGAGACGACTTCGTCGGACGAGTTTCTATCGAAGTTTATAGAATATGGCTTTCTTCATCGGAGTATGAAGGCCGAGAAGACCTCTTTGGAAGAGTTTTTGTAGGCACTCACTGGGATGGGGCTGACCTGGAATGCTTCCCCGCCTTCTCTTCTTAGCAATCTTCAGCTGATTCGCCTGTGCCTGGTAAGCAAACGAATACTGCAAAAACGGCAACGCCTAGCGGCGTGCTTGAATCTTCGATGACTAGCGAGAATAATACTCAGAAAACAACAGACCGAGCTGATACAGAAACTACCGCATAGCCCCCCATGATGCAGGACCATTGAAACGCAAATCATCATGCGACAGTATCCGTTCTGAACTCAAACGGTCGGGGGGATTGACCAAAAGAGCTAGAATTTGACTACCTCATGCCAAGGCCCGGTTCGAACCACATGCGTTCAAAATCGTAATACCCGTAAGACTTAATACTGCAGTCACTCTGGAAATCTGAAGCCATCCACCACGAGCACCCCCGAGAGTACCAATAGGCGTTGTGTGGGTTGTTTCCACTTTCGGTGCCAACGCAGCACACCGCAGTCGTCTCCAACCACAAGGCATTCATTCCTCTGATTACTTCTCTTTCCTAGATGGCCTCCGAAATTATCTGCTCAGCATGTAGTTGGTCGCCCACACGTCAAGAGGGGTGTCGGTACAACAGTCATGTGAACGTTTTCTACGGTGTCAGCGATCGAGGAGTATGGTATTTGGGTTCAAACCTGATTCTGAAAGAACGGTCCATTTGAGCCGCCCAATTTCGAAGCTCTCAATATCCGCTTTTTGGCCGAAAGAACTTCAATACCTATACCCAAAATTGTTGAAGAGTGGCAGGAAGATAATCGGATATGTTTCCTGCTTAGGAAACGGATTTAAGGTTAACCCTTGAGTGAAATCTAGTCTCCTATGTCTGGAGCGGACAAAGAACGCGTCGCAAAACAGACTGCTGCGTATTTGATATAGCTTCGTGAACTTCATTCGAACCGAATAGAAAGCCTAGGCGGACAACCACTATACTCGGCTTTTCTATTTCCGACTAACTACGGTATTGAGCACGGGCCCTTTTTGTCTGACGATGAGCTGTGGGCTGAGATGTCGCTGGCCTTGTTCAAAGTGCTAGAAGATATCCGCCTCAAATTACGTTAACGAATGTTAAGTGCTACTCCCTATACCTTTACTCACTCCGACCTTACTAATGTCAATATTATGTTAGATAATGGCAGTTTGGCAGGTATTCTAGATTGGGAACCTTCGGGGTACTTTCCTGTCCGGTGGGAGTTTACTTATACTGGAATTGGTCTAGGATAAGAGGAAAAAGAATGGAAAGACCTACTACGCAAGTATTTGCCGGATTATACTAAGGCGGGTAATTTCCGGTTGGATTTCTTTGCATTGCGCAAATATCCGAATTTGGACGAAGGAGGACTAAGTTTTTTGAATAGTCGTGGACTGAGCTTGCCAGTTAAGGCACAAGAGTAGAATTGAGCTACTCTTCCACTGATCTTCCTCAATAAAGCAACGATTGACACTGTTCCCAACAAAATCTGATCTTTAGGACCAACTTCTGCGGCATAGGTCAAGAGTCAGCCGTCTATCATCACCTGAAGCTGAAGATCGACCAATCTGTGACAGACGTAGAAGAGGCTCCAGGGCATTGATAGCGTGATCCTGCGACATGAGATCAACCTGTGGAATCCTGCTGTCAAGACGGGCTGTACAGGTCTCCATGCAAGTGAGTATGTCTGTATTGATGTTAAGGCTTCTGCGACAAGCACTGGTATCACGACCCTGCCTCCCGTCCAGACTGTTATGGTGTCCAACTGCGACAATTCTTACAAGGCTGTCATAAATGATCAGTGTGGTCAAATCACAAGCGAACACAGCATTACGCTTTCTTCATTCTATTGCTGGAATTTTGCCGTCAAGACTGATTGCTCTGGGTTATAGGCTAGTGAATATGTTTTGTATCCGCGTGGCTGGAGCAGCAGCACCGACTAGACGCGCGTGGAGGGAGGTTTGTTAACTTAGCTCAACTTTCTCTGATCATTCCCTAATCCACCAAATAGTTAACAAGGAGATGATCTTAGGCAATTTATCGATTAATTTGTCACTGAGATCTTCCCCATTACATAAAACCTAAATCGCTAAGCTCTCGATGACTTAGGTTAGGTCGTGTAAATTTGGGCTTGAACAAGTCGCGTACTTCTCCTATGCCATATTGAGGATTAATTTAATCCCGCCCATGCATTGTATTTTCCTCTAAGTCATACAGGCGGCTCTGCACGAAGAGAGATATGAAATGGACGGATGAGGATGGTCCACTGCTTAGATCTGCAGAGAAAAAGAGGCCTCTGATATCGTGGGTAGGAGTATTTCTTTCTTCTTGGAACTTCCAAACGGTCATGGATGCACTGGGATGCGTTGCTTTACTCGTTAGGCAACGCTAGTCCAGAAGTAGATGTTCACCTACTTGATTTGTGACAAGATGTCTCTTCGGGAATACAATTCTAATTGTCTTACGCTCAATTCTATTTTCCTCTCTCTGTCACACTGATGCTGTCATATTTGGGTCATTCATATCGTAGACTTTTCATAGTCACAAAAAGCGCCACACCTCGCCTATAACTTTGATATTCATGATAGCTGAACCTATCCTCGGTCACATTCTGTCCCCTCGAATCCTTCACCTGCTGTAAAAGCATTTGGTGCTTACTGGAGCTACTAGTCGATCCTTGAGCAGTTTATTTAACATGGTCCGGTGGGTGATCATATCAGTGGAAGGTTCTGTAGAGCCTCGTGTAAGTACCGATAGTCTCTTGTCCGGGGTCTGTTGTGCAGAGTGTTTTTCTTTTTCCCGCCGGGTGACTTGGATATTTGGGCGAAAGTTATTGCACGTATCATTAATCAATTGCTTCCAAGAGAGTACTAAAGCACAACGATATTAAGCTTCACTGCCTCATTAACCCGAGTGGTTGGACGAAAATTTGCTCGAGAAGACTGGTAATTCAAGTGAAAAGGAGAGTGTGAGACGGAATAAGGCGTCCTCGGCCATTATATTTTCGATCACGAAGCTTTTTCGTAAGTAATGAGTCTTGTAAGGAGATCTGTCCATCCTCATTTTGTTTTGCTCAAATCTTCCTTTATGAACTGAGTGTTGTTCCACGAAAAATAGTTATTCACATGCTGGTTGAAATGTCCATGTTTGCGCGTGGCCTAGGGTCTGTATATGCCACATAGGGCTTACGCATGATGTAGAGACCCCTGGGATTGTCCAGGCGCCCGCTTTGATTTTCAGTAGAGTGGGTAGTACGAGGTACAGTTCGCAGAGGTTTTCCAGAGTTCCTTATTAAAATTAAGACATAATTCGAATCCAACTCAACCGCGTCAATGACATCAAAAATGCACTAGAATGACGCTATACCCAACGCCTCGAGTGAACTGATCCTGAAGCATCACTATGCGACTAACTCCCACTCAGCGACATAAGCCCACGCCATAACAACACCTCCCAACTGCGCCCTATACTCCTCCGCCGTAAGTCCGCGACATTCCTCCTCCTCTCGATCTCCAAATTTAGTGATAACAGCCAACAGCACCTTCTGGCCCGGTGCGCCCAGCTGGCGCGCATCAGGAACATCCACATACCAAAACTCGCCGCCACCACCGGGTCCAGAGCCAGGAACATGGTTAAAGAGTAGACGCTCATCTTTGCGGCCGTCCACGCCGTGGATACAAAGTATGAAAAGACCTGGCTTGTGACGACTGTGGCGTGCGAGTGTCCAGTGTTCGCATAGAAGACCGAATTGAAAGCGAACAGGGCTCGGTGTGTTGTAAACCGAGATTCGGCCGTCGGTGGGATAGAGAGTGCTCTTGCTAATGTCGTTCTTTCCGACACCGCAGTACATTCTGATCGGTGAACCGCCAGAAGGGCTATCCGGGTTCGTGCGCATGTATTCTTCCCAGCTAATCTGAGGGCGACCGTCGTCGCGGAAGAAGTGCTCTTTGTTTGATGGGAAGTGTTTCAAGCCGAAGACGTCGTTCGACATGGTGAAGTGCAGTGGATCGAAAACTTGCATGTAGGGTTTTCCGGCGCCTTGGATGTGGCCTCCGCCCCAGCAAGGGTCAATCAACTTCCAGCGTCCGCCGTCGATTTTGACTGCGTTCCAGGCGTGGGTAGAGCTGAAAGGGGGGATAGGGGAACTTGGCGCAAGTTCTTCGTGGCCGAAGCCCTTGCCGTGTCCCGATACTACGATGGATTCTAGACCGGCTTTCGTGGCAAGTGCCGCAAATAGGCCGGCGAAGCCTTCGCAGACTGCCAAGCCAGAGGCGAGAGTGCTGGCAGGGGTCGAGGGTTTGACGCGATTGTTGAAGAAGGCGTCAACATCGTAACGGATGTTATGATGCAGCCAGGTAAATATAGCCCGGGCCTTGTCAGTCAATGAGGGGAATGGAGCAGTCAGCTCATTTGCCAGCCATCCTAAATCCTGGGTTGGAAGCGAATGACGAGGATACTGTGCTGCGTGTTGGTCTGGAGCTGAGAAGTCCCGGCATACCAGGCAGTCTGTGTAGGATGACCCAGCAGGGAGGCTAGCTGGTATTGCCGAGCCGTCAAACCGCGGCTTTGTGGCTAGAAGCTTGGAGAGATCCGGACGAGTCCCAGTTGGGATTGGCGGAGGCGCTCCAACAGCTGGTGTACTATTTGGCCTCCCAGGGATCGCCGGCATCTTGTTCAAGTTGCCAAATCCGGCCGTCCGAGCGTCACGTAGATCTGTCTGAGATGACCTCGGGGGTGGTCTCCGCGGCGGCAAGCCAGGGATTTGTTCTTCTCCTGCTCCATTTGATTGTATGCTCTGCTCCGAGGGCCGGCGCGAGGGCGGCTGGGGCGCAGAATACGTATCGGTGGACGTCTTGGAACGAGATAGCATAGACGGCATGCTCGGACGGGACGAAGAGGTTGAAGAAGAGGAGTCCTTGCCCCGCAAGGAGTTTACGTTGGCACTTAATTTGTTCCTCAAGCCAAAGCCACTGATGCTCTTGCCCTCGGCGGGTCTAGATTCAGAACGCGAGGACGGTGATGGTGTCACGTCTGTGATCTCTTCCTTCGGGCGTCTCGGAGGCAGCACCGGTAGCGTGGTCTCTCTCCCACGCGGGCGCTTTGATACGGCCGTTGCCATTGGAATTGACAGATGTCGAGGTAGCGCGAACGCTTGTAGCCGCTGTCGAGTGTGATGCCTTGGAGGTGACTGACTCGGCGGAGGGCCTCCGCACAGGCTCCGTAGGTCTGCGAGGTGGAAGAGAAGGACGAGCTTCAGCACGCGCTGGTGTTGGAGGAGGCAAGCGATCTGATCGGCGCGTAGGCAAGGGCGGAGGGGGCTTCTTGGGTTTTACTTCCGGCTTTGGCGACACTGTCGGAGGCGGTCGCGGAGCCTGTCCTGGGCGTCGCTCGCCTGCGGGCTCATTCCCTATGGGTGCGCTGTCAAGGATAGAGCCGGTCACATTGTAGGAAGGAGGGTTGTTGGCGGATCTGCTGCGGTCGATGTTAGGGCGGAAGATTGGTGGTTCAGGGCCAGAAGGATTGGCCGCCTGGGCCAACTTCAGGGCGGCAATCCGCTCCTGGATAGAACCCAGCTGCGGCTCTTCAGTCATGTCGTCTTTTCTTCCGCGAACTTTGTCCAGTGACCCTGGTGGAGAGTAGGGCCCGAAACCAGAGGTGCTGTAAAGACAGTCACACCCAGCACTCGGTGGCTTGGCGGGGGCCGGGTGCAGAGCCCTGAAAGCCTGGGGGCCAAAAAGTAGTCGTCAGAGGAAGAAGCACCCTCGAACAAAATTCCGACGCAGTGTAGAACGAGCAGCTGAAACACCTGGAGTGATGTTAGAGGCAGCTCATTTTAAAGAGGGGTCTCGCCCCAGTGAAGAGCGTTCCGCATCGCGTGGACCATGGGTCAGATCTATATCTATGACTAGGAACAGGCACATGTGGACAGGGAATGTTCTTTGGAAACATATTTCATTTTTTAGTCTTCATACCACCGGACTCCCAAACGCCTCAAGACGGCTATATGGGCCCTGTCTAGAGAAAACACAGATGAACAAAAGAAAGGATGTAGCTGCTATGGGGAATCGCCCCTGGAAAGTCAAGCGACACAAAGGAAGGTTGTCAAACGCGGTTGCAGACTTCGTAGATATCTCAGGACCGAAGTTTGATGATAACAGAAAACCAAAAACGAGCCGGACACATGATAAACGTGAAATACATGATGGAGAGAAAGGAAGAAAAGAATACACAGAAAAGAGGGCCACGAGGGCCAGGAGTCAGGATCGATCATCAAGAGCATCACTTCATCCCAAGGTACGTATTCATCCCCGCGGTTCTTCTAGACATTCTTGTACAGCAACAGAGGCTCGCCGACATTTTCGATCTCCGGGATTGTGCATTTGAGGTCAAAAGCCTTGGCCAAGACGATCTTGAAAATCTGTGGAGTGTTAGAGGTAGGCTGGAAAGGACAGATGGAAAGACACTCACCTTCTGCACATTGATACTGTGACTTGTACTGCTGAAGATCAGACTGGCCTTCATCGCTTTTGCGAAGCGTTTGGCCTGGAGGGAGATCTCTTCTTGGTCTTCCCGAGGGAAGTTGACGAAGTGGTCATACTTGGTGCCGACTAAGAAAGGAATAGCAGTTTTGTTAAAACCACGACCCTGACGGTACCATTCCTTGATAGAATTCAGCGTGCTCTTGCGGGTGAGATCAAACATGAATAGAATGGCCACAGCATCGTTGCAGACTAGCGGCAGCATGTTGACGAACTCGCGCTGACCACCCAGATCCCAGATAGAGAAGGTAATTTCTGTGTTGCGAATGGAGATGGTCTTCTCCATGAAGTTGACACCTGAAAATCACGTCAGCAAAAATACATATTGATCAGAGCGGCTCACACAAACCTAGTGTCTGAATGTAATCCTCATCCCAGCTTCCCTCGACGTACTTCACCATGAGACTTGTCTTTCCAATTTGGGCATCTCCTACCATGCCAACCTTAATGACAACACTGTTCTTCGAGGACTGGGCCTGAGCCGCCTGTCGCTGGGTGACTTCTGACGGCTGCTGCTGCTGCTGCTGTTGCTGTTGTTGCTGCTGAGAGAGACCGTATCTCTCTGGGCCACTGGAGAAACTGGAGCCAGGGCGTGATGAAGGCTGCAAAGAGGGCTGCTGGCTAACGGAGGGGAATGAGGCAAGGGGAGCAGATTGATCGGTCTCATGAGGAGGATATTCAGGAGCAGCGTGGTGGAAATCAGTCGATCGAGAGTGGTAGTGCGCTTTGGAATCGCTGTTGTAGCCGTGGTCTATACGACTCGTAGCCCTTCCAGGGGCTGGTTCTTCGACGTTGACGCTGACTGGCGCCTGGTGCTCCATCGGCTGCCCCAATGATTGATCCATCGAATGCTCGAGGGGCTGTTCGGAGAAAACCTGAGGCTCCGGGACCTCTGACGCATGTTCCTCCACAGGGGGCTGCGGCTCCGCAACAGCAGAATCATCCATAACGGACTGCTGCAACGGATTTATGGTGGCGGTAGGGCTTGTGTCAAGGTGGTATCTTCGTAGGCGCGCCCTGCTCGAGAATGTCAGTCAGCGCCTGCGGGGAAAGGAGACCCTTGTGTGATATGTCACCAACCAATTACGAAGGCGATCAGATCACAGAAACGTCCAGACGAACTTTTGTGTACTGCAGTGATCTTCTGCACTTCCTCGTCAAGTAAATCGGACGAATCGGAGGTATGAGGATCAAGTTTGGTTTAGGAGTTGGTAAACCGTCCCTTGGCGTAAACAGCGGCCGGGTAGGGATTTCGGTGCACCGGGGACAATGATGGAAGGAGGTGAGATGAGTGCTGCGACAAAATCAAGCCACAAACGAAAGGCAAGCTGCAGGAACTGGAAAGAAAGCAGCAGTCGAATCTCCGAGAGGCTTCAGCTCTTGTCAACACTGCGCTGCGCGGGATGTGCGCTAGTCCCCGATAGGCTTAGTGTGTGTCTCCGTGCCCAAACTGAAAAAAGTTCTTATCGTCCCTCATTCTTTCTAGAACACCCCGCTTCACCACTCTTCACCATGTCTAAGAGAGCTGCGGACACCGAAGAGTACTCGGCTGCCCTCAAGGCAGGCGAGCGCCCCATGGCCGACGCCATCCCGGACGAGGCCGGTGAATTCGAGGACGAGTTCGAGGATGAATTCGAGAGCGAGGACGAAATTCTGGAGGCCGGTGTCGATGGTCGCCCAGATGCAGAGCGCGAGGAGGAAGAGAAAGGTACGAATTACGGCTTACGGATCAATTGGCGCGCGGCAGCAGTTCTAACAATGAATAGAGGCGATGGATGTCGACAAGCAGACCTTCATTCCTGGCCGAACGAAATTGGCACCCGGCGAGACGCTCTCCCCAGACCCGTCCACCTATGACATGCTCCATGCCCTCAACACACCATGGCCATGTCTTTCCTTCGACATAGTTCGCGATTCGCTCGGTGACAACCGCAAGACCTTCCCCGCTACAGTGTACGCTGTTGCCGGTACCCAGGCAGATGGCAGAAAGGCCAAGGACAACGAGCTTATGGTTCTCAAGATGAGCGGACTGAGCAAGATGGAGCGTGAAAATGAGGACTCAGAGTCCGATTCTGATGACGACGACGACATGGGCGAGCCCATTCTGGAACACAAGTCTATTCCACTGGGCTCGACAACGAACCGCATTCGCGCCCACCAAACACCTTCGCAGTCTGCGGACTATTCCAAGCCCCCACAGACACTGACTGCTACTATGCTTGAGAACTCCCAAATTCTTATTCACGACGTTACTGCGCACCTTCAGAGCTTCGACGTGCCCGGTACAGTTCTCCCTCCTCCGCAAACAAGCCTCTTTCTACTCTCCGCATGCACAAGTCCGAAGGTTACGCCCTCGATTGGTCTCCTCTACAGCCGCTCGGCAAGTTGCTGACCGGTGACAATGACGGTCTCATTTACGCGACCACCCGCACCGAGGGTGGAGGTTGGGTTACCGACAACCGTCCATTCACGGGGCACCAGTCTTCGGTCGAGGAGCTTCAGTGGTCCCCCAACGAGAAGAACGTGTTTGCCTCTGCCAGTAGCGACGGCAGTGTGAAGGTGTGGGATGTACGGTCCAAGTCTCGCAAGCCCGCTGTGGATGTGATGATCTCCAAAACCGACGTCAACGTCATGAGCTGGGCTAAGCAGACTTTCCACTTGTTGGCAACTGGTGCCGACGATGGACAATGGGCTGTATGGGACTTGCGACACTGGAAGCCTAACAATGCGGGTCAGATCAGCGCCTCGCCTGTTGCTTCCTTCGATTTCCACAAGGAGCCTATTACCAGTATCGAGTGGCACCCTACTGACGACAGCGTCGTCGCTGTCGGCTCCGCCGACAATACGGTCACTCTATGGGATTTGGCTGTCGAGTTGGATGACGAAGAGAGCCGACAGGCTGGTATGGCGGATATTCCGCCGCAGCTCTTGTTCGTTCATTATATGGAGTCTGTCAAGGAGGTGCACTGGCACAATCAGATGCCGGGTGCGCTGATGGCAACCGGTGGCAGTGGATTCAGGTACGTCAATCCCTGGAAAGTTTCAGCCGTCCTCTATGCAATGCTAACAAAATTAACTACAGTGTTTTCAAGACTATCAGTGTCTAATGAGCAGATCGAGCGCGCTCGACTCAAAAAAAGAATTTCATGTGTGATGTCATGCTCATATACCATTCGAGTACGAGGTTTACTCGTCTATATCGGAACCGGAGTTGAAGCCCGTCAACGACGGGCGATGAACAAAAAAACTTGCTTTACAACATATTCGGAGTAGATTAGACCTGCATTTATTTAATGGCAATGTTGATCTCTTGACCGTATTCTCATAAACTCAGATCGGAGTCTACTTATCTCCCGCGCTTCAGGCATTCCCCCCCCCCCCCATGGAATAGCGTGAACTGCTGTATACTCAAATCCACCCACCACAAACCCTGAAAAGGCGGAATGAAAAGCTACCCTCAATTCCGCCCCAAGCAATCAGGACCAGCCTCGGCCGAGATCAGCGATCGGTTATCAACAATCATGTCACCTTGGAGAGGGGGGGCAAATCTGCAAATGCACAACATTCACCGAAACTAGCGTGGGATGCTTTAGCTACAGTAAGGGGGATCCCAGAGTATCCCAGCACGAATGTACCACCGGCCTCCAGAACTCCGAGCACAGTACAGCACTGGTCCTCGTAATAAACGCGCGCAATACAGCAGGGATGCGTCTACGCCGTCACTGCGCGCTTTCTACGCTCCATCGCCAGATCGGATTGGCGCCAGGTTGAGGAGCAGGTCGGGTGCGACACTGCATGGGCTGGTCGATTCCGACATGAGAGTGGATTATTGGGGGCCAGTTAGATGATGTGTGTGGGCATAGGGGACGTGGTAGGATGATCGAGGCGATCAGGACGTGGCGCGATGGGTGCTGGGCGAGGAGCGTCTAGTGGGCAGTGCTTCTTGTGCTGTCCGTGCGAGTTCCCACAGAACTTTGGCCGAGGTATGACATGCATGGATTGGATGAGATTTCATGTTGTACCGAAAGTGGTGTTGTGGAGGTTTCCCAGATCTGAGGTGTGTTTCTCGGACGGGTATGTGGTGGCCAGTATGTAGGTACTATAGCCATACTTGAGGGTTCGCTTCTGCGCAATGTCAGGACTTGTATACCCCGGTCGTCGTAACGAGGCTATGTCCACGTCCATATTTGGGTTCAGGTCTAGGTCCTGGCGATCTTCGGGAAATGGCTACATCCGTTACGAGCTCCGCTAATGCACGCCGCGAATCAATCACATTGGATTGTGTCTCTGCCCGCGTAGTGTCCACGGCCGGACTTTCTCCGGTGTGTTCTATATCTTGGAATATGGAACATAGGCGGGAGAACTTGGAGCATGTAACTTGGCTGGAGTCGTGCTTGTACTGTATCGGGCGATGTCGCGATGGGATTTACGTTTTACTTCATCAGGTCACCGGTAAGGTGCGCGCATCAGATCCACTTGGGCTTGGAGTCGATTTGCCAGCGTGGTACCTCCAAACTTGAGTAAAATCAAAATGCATCTCTTGACCTTTGTTGCGTTAAATTTCGAGCCGGCCTTTGCTCGCAGATCCCTCGCCCAACTGCGACCCGACTTGCCACCAGAGGATCCTGCAGGTTCTTGAATGCCGGGATATCCGTCCTTTTATTTCTTTAATAGGCTATGCTCGATCATCCTTGCAGGGACTGAAAGCTCCCGAGCTCCGAGCTCGGTCCACTGGAATCGGAATTAAGAATGACCTTTCCAGCCCCCTATTGTCAGCAACGCCAATCTGCAGGCGACGTAGTATCCGCGGATCTAGCCTTTGCCGTTTACCCAGGGCCGATCGTGCAATGATGAGAGCTTATCAGGTTTCGGAGCCTTGCTGACGAGGAACCGCCGTGTCAAACAAATCGAAAATAGAAGCCAATAAGACGATGTAACCATCCGCGGTTGTAGTTTCCCATGTTTTGTCCGAAGGTTCCACTCTAAGTCCACTCTATGTCTAGACTCTGTTTCGTTGTGGCTGTGTGTTTCAAATTGATATTAGCCAGTCAATTTGTCGCTTCGGATAAGAATTACGGTCTCATTGCCGAGCGGCAGATCTAAATTCAGCATTCAAAGAAGCAGTGCGAGTACGGCGTAGTGGGTTGAGTCAAGATTGACTGGTAAAAGCAAAAATGGTCCGACAGGGACACCTCTTGCGATCTAATCGATGTCAACAAGGATGTACTATGTACCTCTCCTGATGTTTCCTCACAGGAGTGGAAGGCTCCGAGTTCATCTCCTCCACCTCATCCACTCTTCCGCAATCGGCGAACCTTTGCCCGCGGACTTGCATTATCGCAGGTGGACACCATGACGCATAGGGCCAGCGAATCCCAGAGCCTCAGGGACAGCAGTGTGTTGACAAATCTTGAGACGAATCCACGGAGCTAGCGGGACGAAGCCACGGAGATCAACGGCCAAGCACGGGTAGCACTGTACAGGGCGACCAAAGGATAAAGGTTACTTCTGTTCACCGCCTTTTCCTTTCAATTACATACCGCCCACGTATTCACTTTACGTGACGCATTCAATTATTCCCTTTTCAATAATTACCAGCGGTATTGAGGGAACGAAACAAGCTAGATACGTTGATTATTCATATAAAACTGGCAGAATCGAAGTGGAGAAGTAACCTTTATTCCTAGGTCACCCTGTAGCGCGAAATGGGGTTTCTCCATCAACGAGAATCAGCCCGGAGCCACTCCGTCTGACGCGCCGTCTCATTCGTCTCGGACGCGGGAGTCGGTTCAAATGGGGCAATACAGAGTACACTACACAGTACACACAACACGCGGGAAAACGGCCTGAAGTCCGATCAGTCCGTGGACTAATATCCGAGCCGTCGCGCCATCGGCAGACTTGATGCCATCGTGCACAAGTGGCAAGCACAGGCCACCTGGCGATCCCCTGTGGCACGCAGGACCGGGATACGTGCGTCGGAGAATTATAGTATTCGCTATCTACACCACTCAGGACTTTGAAGCCAAGGTTTCGTGGCTTGCGATTTGTCCCGGGATTCGACAGACTGTTGCACATCTCGGTCAGCGATCACCCGCAAAGCGCGGTTACACAATAACGACTCGATTAAATGACGCAGGTGAGGTATCTGGATTGACCAGGGGAGTCGGAGCGCTCTGGGCCTTGTGGCGCAATGGTCTGGTGAACGGAGCCTAGTGCCAGCTGGACGGGAATTGACTTCTGCCGTGGACCTGCATTCATTCCGATAATACCTATTCCAATATGCATCTTTTCGTATAAGTCCCGAAATCTCACCAGGGTCTGAGCTAGCCACCGATGCGCAAAAGTCAAAGCCTAATAGTCTTTACGACTCTAGAACGCCGGATAAAATAGAAAAAAGAAAAATGATGACAAGACAAAATAAAAAGACAATCTAGACGCACCCGAAGCATAAAATCGCTCAGATCAGGTGCCCCGGAAGGCGATGCCGGGTTGAGTGCTCAATGCGCCAGACGGAGCTTGGTGGCTTGGTTCCATTTGTCAGGTCCGGTCACCTGCTTCGCCGTCAGACTTTGCCCTAGTGGTCTAGTGCGCGTTGCTCGGGTCTGGGGTTTCTGCAAACGAGATGTCCGTGCGACATCCGGGGTCAAGTAAGGAGGCGACGGATTCCAGAAGGACCACGCAGGATTAGCGCTGCATAGTCCGTCGCAATATGCAATATGCAATTCTCATTGCATTAGCATGATAATTTGTATTTCGATGCTGCAGTTCAGGTCTGTTTGCGTCACAGAGACCTGTTTCCAGACCTCGGAAGCTCGCGGCAGAGTGCCCCTTGACTTGTGCCTCTAGCGCTTAGTGTTCAGGATGAATTGATGGACGCTCTAGGATCCGAGGATCGTCAAAACCCCAGTCAACCCCGGACTTCGATCCAGCCGCATCAATCACTAATCCCTGGCAACGGGGTGGGTTGCCCATTTCGTGCGACCAAACTCAAACTGGCGTGGCTGCAACGTGCGTCTCGAAGTCAAAGGAGAACCGGGGGACTTCTAGAAAGTTTCGCCAGAAGCAGCCTCCAGCCTCTGGGTGAAAATGGAGTTTGCCACCCCCAAAAAGAAAAGGGCATGTGCAATGGAGGAAAGCCGGGGATGGATCATCCACTCCTTCCAGGCCGTTTGGGCAATGTTTCATTGGCACCAAGACGAGAAAAGGGAAATCCCCCACACCATCCCATAATTGCTTCCCCCACAAAAATGGGCGCATGGCCCTCTAATATTTGGGCCTTGCGGATCCATCCGCCGTGACCCCAAGGTGGATCGTACCTGAGAATAACAAGTACCAAAGTAAACCAAGCCAGGAGGTATTGTAAATGACGAGAAGTAATAGCAAAGGTAAGAAACGAGACAAGAACAAGAATCCCGGCCGTGCAGTCACGAGATGGCATCTCGTATCATGGTGAGCGACCTAAGGTGAATGGTCCGTCTTCCTCCCCGGGTCTCCACCGTGACGATACCCAAGCGCCTCTGGGGTAATAGCGTAATTTCTAAGAGGAATGCTGTACGAGTAGAAGTCAGTCGTGGTCCGCAATCCGTACCTTTCGAGTTCTCAACACACCATGAGCATCTCCTCGAGAATCCTAGACCATCCACGGTACTTCCATCACGGGGGACAGGTGAAACCGGCCTCTATTCCTTATCGTCCCATGGTTTCAGAGTCCAGCTCGGAGCCTACATCCACCCACGCCACTAGACCCAAGCCAGTAAAGTGAGTGGCCAATGGGTCTGTCCGATAACGCCAGGAACTGGTGAACTGGTGGGCGTGGACCGACCGGCGCAGCACCGTGCGTGTAAGATTGCGTCTACGCCGCATTCAGTATCACCCTGGCTAATCGTCGCCTGGCCATTGGCGATGCAGGCCGCCCGCCCGTGCGGGTTCCACTTAGTGCCAGTACTGTACTTTATCCCGTAATGCGTCTGTCACCTCGTGCGTGGGGCGTGGAGGTACCCATGCCGAGACAGTTGGGGTATGTTGAGAGTACTGGCCGCCCCTGTGTAGAATGTGCTGGGGACTGCGTAGCTTCAAGTACACCGGTACACATTGGACGGCACCAGGTGATTACAGCGTGGTAACCGCCACTACTGCCACGACGACCTCTGGTACCCAGACCCAGGTACCTTCATTTGATTCAGAGGCAACTTCTCTAATACCTGTCTGATTCCGATTCCTATCTTAACCTTTCAACCTTCCCTTCCTGACCTCCTACCTTCCTCCGTACCCTCACCTCCAGCTTCTCTCTCTTCGGACCTGGTGTGGATAGCTCTCGGTGATCCTTATCAGCAATTGCCGCGCTATCTCGGTTATCTCCGGCTTATCCACTTCCATGCTCTGAACATTCGCAGTTCAGGGAAGCTTGACACTTAAGCCTTCATTCATAGCTGTGAGTGCTCTCGCTCGGTCTTGCCACAGAATCGAACATTCAGAATCGAGCATCGTGAATACCGATTCGTGGCCGTGTTGTGGTTGCGCGGTCCTCGTCGTTGGTTGCCTTGCTGATCCCCGGAAAGACGTTAATACCAGGCGTTGTTCCGTTCACCGGCCACAGGTCCTCACTTCCTGTTGATCGCTTTCTCATTGAATCGCTCGAAACAATCTCAAAACTTCACCATAGACTTACTGTACATTTGGTCTCCCTTCGGTGGGTCCTGTCCCGGCCAAGGTTTATGAATAACCTCGCTACCCTGGGTCACCTTGGTCCCCTCAACGCATCATCAGAGGGTCAAAGAAAATGGGCTGACTCATTGACATCAGTCGTTGATGCGACAGTACACAGTGTAAATCAACAATTTTGACGACTCGTCCTGAGAGTGACCCCGTTACAATCCAAAAGCTCCCCGCATCGCATACTTGCGAATCATCCCCGTCCATTCGGGATCAGTGTTTTGGTGCTTGGTCCGTTGGGTAGAAATCGCATTACTCTAGGATGCTGTTAGATCCTATGATTGATCTCGCCAGTATCAACGAAGTCCCCGGAAACATGCCTGGTAAGTACCACGGATCCAGGAATACTTATGCCCCCGTGAATTCTGAACCGTCAAAAGCTCCGAAAGAAACTAAGAAGGTCGAGGCCAATGGCCAGGCTGCGAATGGGAACATTCCTCCTCCCAAGACTGATAAGCCGAGGCCACACGTTTGCACTACTTGCGGTCGCTCCTTTGCGCGATTGGAGCACCTGAAACGCCATGAGCGCTCCCACACGAAGGAGAAGCCCTTTGAGTGTCCCGACTGCGCCCGTTGCTTTGCGCGTCGCGATCTCTTGCTCCGTCATCAGCAAAAGTTGCACATGACTTCTACCCCCTCATCTCGTCCCAGAAATGGTCGCCGAGAGAGCACGAGTGGTGCCCCTGGCGGCGCGAACCGGGTGCGCAAGAATTCTGTTGCTAACAATGCCTCCTCAATGCGCCCCAGAGCAAACACGATCAGTCATATCGGTGGGAATTCGTTGGGACTTCCTGACGGTGCTAACCCATCTTCCGCCCCGAATCACCCAGGCCATACATATCACCCCAGCCTGAGCTCTTCGGTCGGCTCAAGTATGGACTACAGGGGCTTCAGCTCAGGCCACCCTCCAGTAAATGGATTGGCTAAGCTGGAGACTTCGGGGCTCCCCTGGACATGTCCGGTAATCTGCGGACCGCCCCAGTTTACGGCAGCTTTGACATGGGCATCGATGGTATGTTGATGGGTCATGGTAGCACCATCAACCCAGCACAGTTACACTTTGCAGGTTCCCCCCAGGGCTTCGGTGACACCCCCGCTTCCCCGTTCGGCCACAACCCCCACGGCATGCATCCCGCTACCGATCCCATGATGGATGAAGAGATGAACTTCGACTGGATGAACGGATTCGATGCGGCGGTGGCTCTGGGAAACGGCAATGACTCGGTCATCGACGAGTCATCGCCCTCGGCGATGAGCACGGGCAGCCAGAGTGGGATCAGCGAGGCCATGCTGGATGGACCCAACCGAATCCCGATCTCCAATGGCTGGCACAACCCGTTCCCCACGCACGCCTCGGCCAACCAGTTCGCCATTGACTTTTCACCGACGACGCTGAACGACTTGGGGATCTCGCCAGAGACCGTGTCGCCCAAGTCACTGATGACCCAGAACCCCTTTGGCGAGAATTACGCCACCCCTCCATCCATGACGTCGGTTGGCCAGCCCATTGTTGGGGGACATTCACAGAGTATGTTATCATCATCTATGACAACACACGGAGAATCTCCTAATCCTCTCAACGTTCCGTTCCCGAATAGTGCCCTACGAAGTCAACATTCCGCAGTCTCAGAGGATACATTTACAGACTCCACACGACAGGCTTTATTAGCAAGCATGTCGCAACCCACTGGCTTCAATCATCGCAAGTATTCTCAGCCCGCCTCTAGCATGTTGAGCAGCCGCGAGTTGTTCGCCCGCTCGACTGGCTTCAACAGCTCCGGTCAACTACCCAGCACCTCAGACATGCAGCGCTACATTTCCGCCTATATCACCTACTTTCACCCCCATTTGCCTTTCCTTCACATTCCGACCCTCAACTTTCAAGCTCCTGAGTACACCAGCAACCTTCGCACGCCCAGTGGACATCTCAATCTCAGCTCAACCGGTGTCGCAGGAGGCGGAGGTTGCCTGATACTCTCGATGGCTGCCATTGGCGCCTTGTACGAATATGATGCAGCTGCTTCTAAAGACTTGTTTGAAGCCGCGAAAAAGATGATCCAATTGTACCTTGAAGAGAGACGGAAAGCCGACATGTCTGCTGCACTCAGTCGCTCCAGTTCTGCACGAGACAATTCCGTTCAAAATACACCGCTTTGGCTGGTCCAGGCAATGTTGTTAAATGTGATTTATGGTCATAGCTGCGGTGACAAGACGTCAGCGGATATCGCGAGTACCCACTGCGCCGCTTTGGTCAGTTTGGCCCGCGCGGCTGAATTGACCCACCATTTGGACACTAAGAACCTACCGCACGATCACCTCAACACCGGGTTCAATCTATCCGACGCAGCTGATACAGAGAACTGGATGTCTTCGTCGTTCAGCCATCCAAAAGAACGAAAAGATTGGCTGAATTGGAAAATTGTTGAAGAGCGAAAGCGCACCCTTTACGCTATATTTGTACTCTCAAGCTTCCTTGTATCTGCATACAACCACGCGCCTGCTTTGACAAATTCCGAAATCCGCCTTGATCTCCCTTGTGAGGAGGATGTTTGGGCTGCCGAGTCTCCTCAAGCATGGAAGAAGATGGGAGGCTCCACAGGTTCTGTCAAAAGCGTATCGTTTTCGGCGGCTTTGACTTCACTTCTGACCGCCAGCCAACGAGAGCAGCAAAATCAATCTTCGAATGCTTTCTTCGGCGGTGGAACCTCGGATGACCCAATCAGCGCGGACAATAGACCCAGTACATTTGGATGTCTCGTTCTTATCTACTCTTTGCATAACTACATCTGGGAAACCCGGCAACGACATATGGGTCGCCAATGGACCTCACAAGAAACTGAAGCAATGCAAGCACATATCGAGCCGGCTCTCCGAGCTTGGCAGGCTGCGTGGGCAAGTAACCCAGTCCACAGCCTGGAGCGACCCAATCCATTTGGCGCCGGGCCACTCTCAGCAGATAGCATTCCACTTCTGGACTTAGCCTATGTTCGGTTATTCGTCAACCTTGGTCGCTGCAAAGAGGCTTTCTGGCAGCGGGATTGGAATGGCATGGCAGACGAGCTCGCACGAGGTACAGAGATGTTCCAACATATTGATACCAATATGAACGACCTAGTGGACCCCTCACTCACCGGTCAGCTCGACGGCCGACGAGAATCCATCAATGACCTGGGCGTGGCCGACCTCTCCCTCTCCAAGACCCCAACACAAGAAGAACCTATGGAGTCCCTCTCGAATGTCTACAGATCAGGCCAATCGAAGCGGGAGAAACATCTTCGTAAAGCCGCCTTTTACGCCGCAGATTCAATAAACATGTCCGACCGCCTTGGTAACACATTCGCCGATTTCTCGTCCCGCGAGTTGCCCCTCCAATGCGCGATGTGCTCCTTCGACTGCTCCCAAGTCCTCGCAGAATGGATAACCACCGTCCAAGAGCGCGTCGGCCCCTACCTCGGCATACTAGGTCGTGACGACGTTGATCTCACTCAGGTCCCAGCCGTCATGCTTCTTGAGGACGAAGACTGCAAGCTTATCGACAAGATTAAAGAAATTCTTTCAAGCATTGAATCAAAAATGCAACGAACAGTGCAGATCAGCAATTCCATGTCTGCACTGAGCGTGATGAAACGCCTCCCTTCGGTCGTGGAGGGCGGATACGGGTGTAAAATACTGATAGCCACCGCCAGCCTCCTGAGACCGTGCTGCCGTGTGGCCTGTGACTAAACTGATGGCGCGTTCCCTGGAGGCCCAGGCTATGCGAATGAAAGAGCGAGCTGAGAATTCCGTTATGATGACTACTTAACGATCATGTGTTATTTTTGCGGTTTTGTCTTCCCATGCTTTGCGGCACTGTCATGAATCAATGTTCCGAGGTCCTCCTCTCTCTCTCTTTCCTCATTTTGTCCCCCGTTTTCCCTGTCACCCGTGCCTCGGAACCAAACTGAATGCTTCGATACCCTCGAATTATAATAGAGCGCCCCTTAAGATGTTATTTATGTTGTCTTCACTAGCACGATGTTTAGCGTTGATGTTTGTTGTATGAGCCTGATGACTATAGGCTTTGTTGATGTGGCTGCTGTATCGATTGACCAGGTCTCTTTGTCCTTTGCCCTTTTATATGTTCAATTATGCTTAAACCTCATGTGAAAACGATTTTACATTCGACTTCAGGCTAGTATTTTGTAGAGTGCAGGTCGTGTAGGAAAGCACGTCTTCCTGCTATCAACCCCACAACAAAAGCGCGCGTATTCGCAATTCTCCTTTTTCCTCTTCTCTTTCCTTGTAGACCAATGAATTAATCAATAATTTTTCACCTGACCGAGCGGTAAATGAATCTCGGCGTAATCACGACGTTGTGTATGCGGCTCGACGGATACCTAAGGTATGTCGTGGCTGGAAAAATCGACTCATTGCATCGCCGTAGCTGGAATGATAATACTGAGAATTTTGAGTTTGAGTTCTCTTAGATAAAACATACTGCATCCATTGAGTTTCCCTTACAATATAGCATCATATATCAAGCGGAAAATTTGCGGCAGGATAATCATGTCCGACAAGGCTGTTCCACTTCTTCGGCTGAAAAGATCCCACTGAGCTCCATAAGTACTTGCGCACTGATGCTAGTCCCTACAAGGATCGTGGATCCAGCAGATTTCCAAGCATCCACCTGGCAAATCTATATTAGAGTCCCTGCGCGTGACATGCGAGTCGGACTCGTCGATGCGCTCCTTGCAATGGGGTCAGATACGTGATGCATGTCTCGGCTCATCAAGGGTGTGAGCTTCTAAGTTTTTTATTGTCTTCAAATATTCCAGGTCTTTCAACGAGAGCCCGATGGGGCTCTTAGAGCAGTGCTCAATTATGAAGTGGTACCTTGGAACTACTTTGACTCTTTGCATTCTGTTAAAGGCGGGCTCAGACACAAGATAGTCGGAACCCGATGAGCCTGGGCTATTGCTCGCTCTCACCAAATCCGACGAAATTAGGATCTCGTCCGTTGGGATTCCTGAAACTCGGCAATGTATAGTGAGAGGCTTCTACAGGGTCAGCTCTTTTTTGGGGTAGCTAGCTCTGCCAACTCTGTCTGAGCCAACTTGCACTAAGGTGTCGTTTCGGCACTAAGCTCGGAAGGGAAGTCTGCTTTGACGTGGTTGAACTCCGAAGGTGACTCCCATGATGCCTATTTAGATATAGTCCTGCAAGCGCAAACATGGCGATTGCCCCTTCCCACGTCGAGAGGGTAAGATCTGAAGAGAATTCAGTAATACATGAACTTCCTTCCGCTGGGCTGTGTTCGATCTAGAAAAATGCATGATGCCTTGCTGCCCATTGCTCGCCAAAATCTGGGATTATCGAACAAGTTGCAATCTTTCAAACACGGATCAGGATCTCTAAGAGTAGCCTTTTTCTATGTTCACGACTCAGTCTACGATTCCTTCACAACCCCTTCATGTTCCATTCAATCAAATGGTGTTCAGATCGATCCAGTCGACGGCGGCCACCGGATCATTATTCACGTCAGGCCGACCATTTGAATGCGGCTCACAGTAGTCATAGTACCCCATAATACCAACTAGTTCGCCGGATTCGTTGACAACGGGACCCCCTTGATCCCCGTTGCAGGATCCCTGGTTCTTCTCGGGCGCAGCATCACAGTTCATGTTGGAAGTCACCGGGTTGTCATCAGACCATGCGGTCTCGCAATCATCAGCTGAGATGAAAGTTGTATCGAGCCGTTGCAATGCCCGAGGCTTTGCATCCAGGAGTTTGGCAGTGGATCCCCAGCCATACAGCTTGATGGGGGCCCCTGTCAGTGCAGCTTTCTCGGCAATTCCCGCAGGTTTGATATCCGTGACTGCGTTTATGAGATGAAGAACAGCAAAACAAAGTCTTGGGTATTAGTGTTATAGTTGGGATGCTTAATGACTTTGACGACTTGATTCAACTTGCCACCAGCAATGTGATCGAGACTGCCAATGCGAACCTTGAGCGAAGATGCGGAGGATCCATCGACACATCCAGCGGTGGTGAGAACGCTCTTGGAGCTGATTAAAGAGCCAGCGCAGATATAGGTGTCGCCAAAAAACCCACTCGAGATGATCGCGACTGTGAAGGGTGCATCACCTGCAGATGCATCGCTCCCTCCCACGATCGCACTCGCAGAATGGGCAACCATGAGAATGGAGCATAGCAGATTGCCAGGCGCCTTGATGAGCTTCATGATGGAGGGGTTCAATCAGCAAGATGCCAGCGAGTGAACGTCAGGATACTGAAAGGAGGAAATCCAGGGCTTTTAAAGACCGCCTCACGTGGGAAGTACACATTCAGGGTGTGGTGAAAGCAAAAAACGATAGCTAATGACCACTGAAGCAGGAAGGTCGGTCAAATCAATGTGGCGTTTTGACTATGGAGATCGACATGATCATGTTCTTCCCCTAGGCATCCACACTTGACCAAGAAGACGAGTTTGTTTAGCTAAAATAATTCGACCTGCCTGCAAAGCTCCATCGATGCAGATTCCAGCGCGCGATTGGGGGGGCTTATACGGAAGCGTACATCAGGATTGGCTTTTCATGACCCCTTGCTATGTAGGTGGGTCGATCTATCCATGCCGATCTCTACGACGATCGCGGTATGTCAGCCTCGGAAATCCTCGGTGTCTCAGTGACACCATTTGACCTTGGAGCTCACAAGTCAAGTGGCTGATTCGAAAGAATGAAGTTCGATGCTTTCTTGGTAATGACTCTAGCTTATTTTGCATCTAGTAGTGAAGTACGTACCACACGGTAAGATTCTTCTTTTCCGTAAATTACCGCATGGTGTTTTGGTATCCCCACGTAGACTGACCTATACATAAACCCCAACGAGAACCTGATTGTTCATGATGGAGACCTCGGGGTTCTTTGTACAAGCACCTTGCCTCAAAAAAGTCAGTCTCTGTACTACCAAGTGGGCCTGAAAATGTCTCTTTGGAATTTTTCCTTCAGAGTCCGTACTAAACGCCGTAGCTCAAGGGAGCTTAGGGACTCTTCTGCATCTTTGCCATGCTGAAATTGACGCTATTTCATTTTTAGTCACATTTACGTCTGTCGCCACGATGAGGAGCCTCACCATGATAGACTCAACTCATTAGCAGCTTCTCTCTCATCTATAGCACCCCTCTTGCCATCCTCAGATGATAAAACCGTAGGTTGCAAATTTTCCGTGCTTGTAAATATTAAAATGATCAATCACAGGCTCGGGCACCATGCTTTTGTCCAATTGATAGATTATTTCACGTGTTGCCGTCATGTTGATGTATGTTATTAGCCGATTTGAGCACGCGCCATGCAGCAATTTGGCTTCTCCTGCAAAGGACGCATTAGTTTTGTAGACAAGTGCATAGAGATTAGGGATGAACCTTGCATTTGTTCGGAGATCCGATGGTCCGCCACAAGTATCAAGGGAGACGTAGCAGGAGAATGAGTAATCGACCACCACCAGTCAGAGGGGAGTTCAAGGATCACGGCTTCCGCAACTATCATCTTACCCTGCCCTGCTGCAAAATAAAAACATTCTAACCCTCCACATTTCAAAAAAGGCCAAGTTGTGTCAGGACAGTGGATATCGCGGCTGATTTTCAAACCAATGCCATTCCTGCAGCTATGTGGCGTTCACAGTTTCAGTTCGTTGGCTTTTCATATACTAACCCGTGGCTACACGAGCAAACTTTGCAGCCTCTATCTAAGGTCCTCGAAGATGTGGATTCGACCTGGCTCATCTCGAAGAACATGTGAAAGCCGCTGAGTCAAAGCTTACAGCTCCGCAAAGACTTTCAGATTCGAGCACGCAGGCCCGGAAAGATAGATTGAAGTATATGGTGTTAATACCAGGAATTAATCCAATTCTCTTCGATTGGAGCGAATTAATATAACTTGTCCGTTGCCTGTACAATTTACATGAAGAGAGTAAGTCACTTGTATACTTCGGGTGGGTCTCACGTGAGAGCAGACACTCCGCGGTTGCTGGGGCAGTCTCCACGCGTTGAGTGCTTCATTTCGCGTTAGGCTCCAAGCCCCTCTTTGTTCGCCCAGACATGTCGACCACCCCTCCGGAATATCCTTCAACTGCTCCGTCGCGGTATATGATTGCCGCCCCGAATACACAAAGTCGCGACCTCAACACCTCATGCCGATGCCCTTCCCGCGGCCAATCTCTCCCATCACCTTCGAACCATGCTCTCTTGCGACCTCCAATATAAACCCGGACGACTTGTTGGGCTCTGACGATGAGCTGGACGATGTTGCTCTTGCTGCCAAACACCGAAGAATTGAGAAACTCGCCGCGTCATACCTTCAAGGACAGCCTTTGTTTCTTCTCTCCGCATCTCTCCGTGGACCGTTTGATGACGGCTGGAAGAACCCTTGGACCAAGAAACGGAAGATCGCATCCGATAGAAATTCCAGAGCGGTTGGGCTAGATGCTCGCGGGTGGGATAAAGAGCCCGTGGTACAGGAAACTGACCCAAGACGCCCAAAGTACAGAGAGGATCTAGCGGTAATTCTTCCTTCTGTTGATACATCTCAGGCTGAAAAATCCAATGTCGTCTCGGCTCAGCACCAAAAGAAGCCATCTTTTGTTATCGAATCGACTGGAAAAAGACCGTTCCAGAATGTAGCAGCTGATCAGCAGAATCGAGCCCCATTCTTAGCAAAAAAATTGAGAAACGCCCCTTTCACAAGTACAGCGGCGGAGGATGTTACAGTCGCCAAAACTGATATCAACCAGTGGCTGAGGAAAGATCGGAAGCCCACGAATTTTGGGCGACTTGAGCCACCCAGCTCCCCAACTTCGAAAATTGCTTCTAGACAAGAATATATCACGTCTCGCAGGAGTGTTCCTCGCTCAATTGAGCATAAGATTCCCAAATCTTCGGCTTTGCAGAAGCCAAATATGTCTGCTGGCTCCGAAACTCTGGATCGGGGCGCCACACCATATACTTCACCGGTGTCTGCTCAGAAGGCGGAGCCGACAACAAATGAACCTTCTGTGGTCGCCAATCGATCGCCCAGGAAGGCTCAAATATCTCCAAAGATACCTGAACATGTGGCTACATCTTTCAGCGTGGTCAACTCGTCGTCTCAACTACCGCGCTTTGAGTATCGCCGTTGGCACCAAGACTCTGGCCTGCAGGCGCATTCAAAGTCTCCAGACAAAGCAATCGAGGAAGCACCATATTCTGCCGAGACCATTGAGATGCAAGATGGTGATACTATAGTACCAGATGCTCCAGAGCCAGCCAAAAGACCTGCGAATGATCACAGTGCAAAGGAAACAAATCAGTCTATTAATCGATCAAAGGACCTGAGATTTGCCGAAGCTGAAAAGTCGGAATCTACAGCAACATATGCACAAGTCCCCACTGAGCATAACACTTGTGAAGACTTTCCATCTGCGCAAGAGGTACCTCCCCATCCCGGTGTGTCAGACCGGATGCCATCGTTGCACTCCACGGCGATGCCTAAGACACACCCCGAGCATATCGGAGACACCAGCTCTGATACGCAGCTCTCAACGCAAGCTGCATTGCTCCATGCTCAGAGATCATTCCAAGATGATCTGAAAAGCCCTGAGCAGAATCGAGGCAATACACCAGCTCACCCACGTCCACAGTCTCCTTCTGGTGATGACTCCGTACTTCTAGCACGAGAAACACCCTTGTATCGATCTCATGCCGCAGACAAGTCTCAACCACGAAGCTTTAGACAGACTTTCCGGGACAGAATGCAGGCTATGAGCACACAGTGTATGATCGATGCCGCTACGCCTTTCACGTTCAGCACCGAAAAGAAAGCCCCAGCTTCTCGTCCGCTCTTGCTGCAAGAATCACGTCCCCAGGGACAAATAATCCATAATGAACCTGGATCCCAAAAGGGCTCGCCGCCATCTGCTGAAAACGTGTTTGAGACCGCCCAGTCACGAACTGGAACCCCCAGTCCACATAATGCTGTACCCCGGCCCGAACAAGCGCCCGGGAACCCATCCACTACCCAAGGGACTCTTCTACCCTTCGACCTTAGCGGGGACACGCCCACAACGGTTCAGGATGGCCAAGGTGGTCTCCAAGGTGGTGATAGCTTTCCGCTGAGCCAGGCCATTGTCGATCTAGGGGGTTGGTTAGGCCAGAGCGTTGACTTTCTCAAGGAGATCTGACCGACCAGCCAGCACAGTAGAAGGGGCAAGTTACCTCAAAATACACCCTCATCGGCTTGGAGATCTTGATATTCTCACTTGACGACCTTCAATGCTTCATTTTTACGACAGCGCATCTTCAAGTTCTTACGATTGCTTTGGCACTTATGATTCCCCATTTCCCATCATTTATGGCGTGCTTTGAAACTCCGAATCTGGAGCAGTGGCGTCTACTTTAGACATACACAACTTTCATGCATATATTAGACCGTCCATGATCATAGACGTCTACGTAGGAGCAAACAGTATTCGAGAATTTCAATTCTCCGTCTTCTAGATCCGCAGGAACGAGGTGGCCCGAGCGTCAGCGGGGATGAAGCTCCCGGCCATCTCCAACTTAGTTCCGTCACCAGGTAAACCCATGGCCAGTCATGGCTCTGACATCAGTATGAAGGCCTATCTTCTTTAAATCTGCATTGCTAACAAGCACAGTGGAAAGCGTTCAATTTTATCGACGTCTCGCCGGTCAAGATACCAGAGGAGATCTCCGCGCTATTCGGTGTAAGGCCTCGATCCACCTCCCACATACGGACCACCGGCTCACATAATGTACAGAGCGATCTCTCCAGCCTCTGCACCGGCTCCTCGAACCTCTTCCTCGGTACCCACGATGGCTTCATCCATATCGTCACCCAGGGTTTCCGCATCACGCGCTCGTTTAAGGCCCACGACACCGGCTCCATCACGCACATGAAGCAGATCGACGGTACCTCCCTACTCGTAACGGTGTCCGAGGATCTATCGAATGAGCCAGTATTGAAGGTCTGGGCGCTGGATACGGAGAAGAAGGGCGGTGGGCCGCAATGTCTGTCAACCGTGTCGGTGCAGAATGCGCGCCGGCAATTTCCGGTGCGCGAGTCTAATAACGTGGTGATTTTGACTTCTTTCTAACATAGGATCAGATTTCAGCCTTTGCGGCCGTGAATGATCTCTCGCAGGTAGCGGTTGGATTTGCAAATGGGTCTGTGACGATTGTTCGTGGCGACCTGATTCACGACCGCGGCGCGCGCCAACGCATTGTGTTCGAATCAGAAGAGCCAATTACGGGCCTTGAAATACAGGAGGGATCTGTCACTGTGCTATATATCTCAACGACAAGCCGGATCCTCACGTTGGTTATCTCGGGGCGTGGACAGGGTCAGCCTGCGCGTGTGCTGGACGACACCGGATGTGGTCTGAACTGCATGACCCCGGATCATGAGACGGGGGATATACTCATTGCCAGAGAGGATGCGGTCTACACATATGGTCCTCGGGGCCGTGGGCCGAGCTATGCTTTTGAAAGCCCCAAGACGTCTATCAAGTCTTTTCGTGACTACGTGGCGTTAGTTTGCCCTCCAAAAGCGAGTTCCGTCAGACGTGATTCCTTGCGCAAGTATGGTGTCAGTCCTGGAGACGAGATATTTGGCACCACGACATTCACTCTGCTGGATACCGATCTCAAATTCATTGCTCATAGTGAGGCGCTTGTGGCGCCAGTGAAGCATATGTTCATAGAGTGGGGTGATCTGTATTTGCTTACGACCGAAGGGAAGGTATGTAGTTCGAGATCAGATGAGCAAACAAGTTATCTGACTTGTCGCAGATCTTCCGATATCGTGAAAAGAGCCTACAGCAAAGGCTTGAAATTCTCTATGAGCGCAATCTTTACATCTTGGCTATCAACCTTGCGCAAAGGATCGGCATTGATCCTCTGCAACAGAACGCCATCTATCGCAGATATGGTGATTTCCTATACCAGCGAGGTGATTACGACACAGCCATGCAGCAGTACCTTCGAGCAATTGACAATACGGAACCATCTCAAGTCATTCGCAAGGTTCGTTTAGTACACCATTTATGATGAGAGATTACTTCGCTGACTTTTAATGCAGTATCTGGATACGCAGCGGATCCACAACCTGATAGAGTATTTGGAGGAATTGCATGACCACGGGCGTGCTACAGTGGACCACACAACACTTCTCTTGAACTGCTACGCGAAGTTGAAAGACACTAGCAAGCTCGATTCATTCATTCAAGCTCCCGGTGAGCTCAAGTTTGATTTGGAGACAGCCATCGCGATGTGTCGCCAGGGAGGATACTTTGAGCAAGCGGCCTATCTTGCCACGAAACATGGAGAAAATGACATGGTGGTCGACATACTCATTGAGGATTCAAAGAAGTACGCTGAAGCTGTGGAGTATATCTGGCGATTGGAGCCCGAGGCGGTAAGCGATCATGGAGTACACCTAGAGGCTCAGATACTAATTCGACAAGGCATATCTCAATTTGATGAAGTACGCCCGAGTCCTCCTGACTCACTGTCCAGAGCGTACAACGGAACTATTCAAAGATTATTACACTGGACAATATCGGCCGCACACTGATGTTGAGCCTCCCGCCGAACCTCATACACAACCAACAAGCACCATCCAAAGTCTGGCGGGTCTCCTCCCGCTGCGCTACATGACCGGCGGAGGCAGCACGAAGGCCGAAACTCCGGCTACTGAGTCTACCGTAGTTGAAGAAAGCCCCGCTGACATTCCACCGGAATACGATGTTCCAAAGCCTCGAACTGCGTTTTCGGCGTTCGTCGATCACCCAAAAGAATTCATAAGCTTCCTGGAGACCCTTGTGCAACAGCCCGACTTGAAGAAAGATTCCAAGGTCGATCTCTTCACGACGCTTTTCGAGATGTATCTTGACACGGCCAAGGGAAAGAAAGACCCAGCAGAACAACAAGAATGGGAGAGCAAGGCGAAGAAGCTGATTGAAGGCAAAGACGTGAGTACCTGAAACCCGGATGTGACTTCACGCCGCTAAGATGGCTAGATTCCAATTTCAACTTCCAACGTCCTTCTCATCTCCGATCTCTCCAACTTCCGGGAAGGCTCGACGCTCGTGCGCGAGCAAGAAGGTCTACGTCTGGACATATTCCGTTCCTTTACATCCGCCAAGGACACTCAAGGTGCCATTCAAGCCCTGAAACGCTACGGACCCGACGAGCCTCAGCTCTACATCGATGCCCTAACATACTTTGCTTCAAGTCCGCAAATTCTCGAAGAAGCAGGTGACGAGCTGGACGTGGTTCTGCGCCGCATCGACCAAGACGGCCTTCTCTCGCCGCTGCAAGTGATCCAAGCTCTGAGCAACAACGCCGTGGTCACAATGGGCCGTGTCAAAAAGTATCTCAGCGATAATATTGACCGTGAACGCAAAGAGATCACCACTGTATGCTCCGTCTCCCGTTACCAGTTCTGTAACCAAATTCTAATTTTGTTCTTTTAGAACCGCCGCCTCATCGCAAGCTACAAATCCGAAACAGCCACCAAGAAACAAGAACTCGACAACCTTGCCACCCAACCCGTCGTTTTCCAATCTCGTCGCTGCCAATCCTGCGGCGGCACACTTGACCTGCCCACCGTTCACTTCCTCTGTCGTCACTCTTTCCACGAGCGCTGTCTCAACCCCTCCGAGGATGCTCAGTGTCCCGTTTGTGCGCCAACAAATTCCACCCTCCGTGCTATTCGTCAGCGCCAGGTTGATTCGGCTGATCAGCATGATCTGTTCAAGGGGAATTGTCGCGCTCGAGAGATCGTTTCGGTGTAGTTAGTGAGTTCTTCGGAAGAGGAGTTATGAGGTCGCAGGCGACGATGGATTAAAGGGCTATGGGTATTTATTCAATGATGTAGAAATACTTGTTTTCTGCTTTTGTTTGATACCTCAATTTCGATCTGGATGATACCGTACGTGCCTTTGCGGTTCTCGTCTTTTTCCAAATCTATAGATCTTTCCAGATAGCTAAACTGCAAACTAAGCCGAGTACGTTTGTAAACGTAAAAGAAGGGCCATGCAAATCAGATTGTATAATTGACGGAGTTCACGCTCTTAGGCAAGAATAGTCCAGAGAAAATTCACGATATTGAACAATGGGAAAACGCTCAATGCATTGATTATTTCCTAGAACAAATGTACTATGCACAGGAAGGAAAACGAAAATACACGAAATACACGATTGATAAGAGACAACTCATGTCCCGCAGTTGTGTGTACTGTGTCATTTCTGTGACACTTTTCATGCACTCGAACAGTGGCGCGCATGAGAAGCGGTGTATGGCATTGCTGCGCGATGGACGTGAATGTATGGAATTTAGGAAACCCGACCCTTTTCGCCGCCCAGGAGACGCGGGGCCGATGGCCCCGTATGTATCCTGTGCCTGAAGCTGAGCCAGCGCCCGAACCAGAGCCAGAGCCAGATGGGGATGATTGATCGCCGCTTTGGTTGGATTGTTCAGGTTTGAGGCTTTCGGCGAAAGATATCTTGCTAGGAACTTGACGGGGTTCGCCGTCATCGTCACTGTCCGAGAGAATTGCATCGTCGCTATCTGATGCGGAATCGTCGCTGTGGATTTGACCGAGGGCTGCGAGGCGGCGGCGACGTTCGGCGGGTGTTTCGCCCATTTCATCGTCTCTTTGGCGTGGGGGAGCAGCGAGGCCGGCGGCCTTGCGGAGACGAGAGGGAGGAACACGCTCAGTGCCGTCGTCATCCGAGTCACGGTGGGCACGGTCTCGGGTGCGAGGTGCAGGGCTGAGATTGCTGCGGCGCTCTTGTGCAGAGCTACCGCGGGTGAACTTGGCCAGCGAGGTGGCGACGTTGGGGCCAGGGCCACGGCCGTCGTCGGTCTCAGCGTCGCTGACTTCGCTTTCAGTCATCGACTCTGACTCAAGTTCTTCGGCTGCCTCCTCGGGAATGACACCGCTGGTGGCCGCGGCGGCTGCGGCAGAGAGGCGGCGCTCTTGCTTCTCCTCATGCTTGGCATCGTCGATAACAGCCTCCTTCACGGAATCAGGGGCATCGCTCTGCCGCACTGCGTCACGGCGGGCTTTGGAGTCGAGGCCTCTGAGCTGCTGGAAGAACTCTTGTTTGTTCATACGACGGCCCTTGTGGCCGATGCCTATAGAATCGACTTCCTGGTTCTGAGCCAGAGTAAATCGCAAGCCGTCATCCGTAGCCCAGTCCTCGGTATTGGACCTTGGTGCAGGCTTCTTTTGTTCAGCATGGGAGGTCTTGCCATCTTCTTCCTTGCCGAACCAGGTACCCATGCGAGAGATACCACGTTTGAGCTGGGGTCGGGATGGTCCGGCTTCCGTCTCGGGTTGAGCGGGCTTAGACTTAGTATGCTTGTCGCCCGGAATAGTGTACTTCTTCAGCACCTCACCGTCCTCGTCCTCAACGATGATAGTGTTACCAAACTGGTAAGCATGAGCAGAACGGTGCTTAGGCTTGGCATAGTCGGCCTTAGGCTTTTCTTCCTTTGGCTTCTCCGCGGGTTTTTCCTTGCCCTGGTCCTTTCCACCACGACCCATCCAGCTGCTCCACTTTGTGCGAGTTTTTTCGAGGGGATGGCCGGCTCTAGCATCGAGAGCCTGCATGATCTCCTCGCCTTCGTTCTTCTGGTGAGGCTGGCTGTGGGAACGCGCCAGTTTCCCGCTCTTGTCTTCTTCCAGACGCCTGCGCTGTTCCTCGATATGCCGCGCCTGTTCCTCTGGAGTCAAGTGGCTAGTGTCTTCGGTCTTGAGAACATTGCCTTCTTCGTCCTCGATGATCATGTGGTGACCCTCTTGGAAGACTTCCAATTCAGGCTCGCGGCCGGAGCGGTCGCGTTCAGCGTTGGGTGGCGACGCACCGCGCTCGACGGCATCGCGTTCCTCCGATTCCTTTTGCTCATCTTCAGCCTCGATTTCACTCTCAGTGCGCCTTGCAGGCATGATAGCAGACTGGCTGATTGGACCACCAGCACCGTCGTGCTTGCGGCGCTTTCTCCTGCGCACAGGCTTTTGACGCTCGTTTTCGACACCTTGGGATTCACTGTCTTCGTCACGCACACGGCGAAGGAAGTTACCCGGCATGCCAATTGGTGGCAGGGTACCGGGAGGGTACTCTGGCAGCTTCTCCTCGGACGAGCCCTCCAGCTCATCAGCCTTTCGGAAAGACATGGAACCCTTGGCAATAGACTGGACACGGGGGAGACGGTTCATCCAGGAAGGACCATCCTCGTTGGCTTGAGTGTAGGACAGGGTGACAGTTAAGGTATTGATGCGCTTGCCAAGGGTGAACACAGCGATAGAAGATCCATGCACCAATATGGACGAGATAACCATGAAGGTGGTAATAGGCCAGATCAGCTGAATAATGTAGTAGTTTTCATCACCAGGTGAGGGTAGACTGCCTTCCGGCGATGGCTGGGTGTTGTCATTTTCCAATTCTGCTCGCGCCAATATTGCAGCGAAAATGGCACCGACACCGATAGGGCCAAAGTGACCGGCGAAAAGAGCCTCGCGCCATGTTTTGACGTCCGGTATAATAGGTTTCAATAGCAGCATGATCGGAATGCGACGGAAGAAAATGACCAAAATCGCGATCACAACCAGTCGCCACGGTGTCAAGCCCAATTCGGGAGCGTTGAAGGTTTCCCAGGCACAATTGACCCGAAGTAAACGAAGTAGGCCAAGTTGAGCAAAAGATCGATAACGTTTGAGACGTGCGATTCCTCGGTCTTCTCTGTGAACCATCCGTCATTACTGAAGCCGACACCGCATGAGAATCCGATCAGCAGATCGTCCATTCCCAGAAGACTGCCCGAACCGGCACAGAAAACAGCCAAAACGAAGTAGAACACCAGGAAACTCTCACGATCGATGAGTCCCTTTCGTTCGGCGAGCTTGATGGCATGGCGAGCCAAGTAGCCAATCGTAAAGCCGAAGATCGCGCCGAAAATGCACTCGTATAGAATTGTGATACAAAACCAGTTCAGCGAAACCTCTCCGGCATCAGGTCGGTATCGGAGAATGTAAAAGGAAAGATAAATGAAAGGGAAAGCCATGCCATCGTTGCATCCAGACTCAGCCGACAACAGATCACGCAAATGCTTAGGCACACGCTTAGCGAACTTTCCCTTTCCGACGACAGAGGAAGCCAAGACAGGATCAGTGGCCGTCACACAGGCAGCACAGACCAGACTCTCCAACCAATTCAGCGGAGGCACCATCCACCAGATAAACAAGCTGGTTAACAGCCAGCCCCATGTCATCACAGGAATCAGCAATAAAGTCACAGACTTCCAGTGACGTTCCATATAAGCCTTGGGCAACTCGACGCCGACGGCGAAACATTGCACGACCAGTACAATGCGCGAGCATTCGAGCGTAATCTTATCCACATTGCCCCACTCATAGGGATTGAATAGATTCGCCGCGTGCGGACCAAAGATAATACCACAAATAGTAGCAACAGTAGCTTCACCAATGTAAAGCTTCTCCTTGACGAACAGCGAGCACAGCATGAACAAGCCTGTAAAGCCGCCAAGAATCATGTACGCCAGATGCGGCTTGTCGATGTCCAGATGATCCCACGCCATGGTGCAAAGACTGGCGCGTCAGATCCGAGGAATATTTTTGTCGCAACCCCGTTTCCTCAATCAATTACCAGATGGTATTCCGCCGCCACCGTCCGTGTAGCTCCTCATGCCTTGGAGGTGGTGAGAGTGGAGAATCGTCGAACAGATGGTCGAATTTCGAGCCCTGTAGGGCTGAGCGGGAGTTTCAGTCGTCCAGCACCGGGTTGACGCTCGGGGAGCCGGCAAAGTCGGTAACCTAGAAGCGAGGATAGATGCTTGGTTGTTCGAGCGCGATGAGGAAGCGGAGGAGATTGGGAGGGGAAAAGTCTTCTCACTGGCAGCCTCAACCAGTCCCGGGGGTGTTAAGAAGGGAAGGAGAGAGTGAGCAGGGCGCAGAGTCTTTGGGCGGGGGGGGTGCTCTTGGCCAAAGAGCGATTGCGCGCTCGAGGAGCTTTGCCCAGAACGAAGGTCTTCTTGTAACGGGCGGGATTCGTCAGCCGAGACTTTTTGCGCCCCACGTTGAAGGCGGACGAGTCTTGGCCGGCGGAGGAATAGATTTAGGGCCCGTAGAGATAGCAAGAATATGTATGAAGCAATCAGAACCAGATCTCGCGAACAACCCTGATCGAACTACGCAGAAGAAGAAAAAATCAAAAATCCGCGAAAGAATGGAAATAGAGGTGACGATGCCGATCCCGGTATTTTATACGTTTTCGGGCCAAGGAGGATGAGCTGCCCAGCCCTGTGAGCCGCCAAGACCAGCATCATCCTAGCCGCTTCAATTGGTGGTCAGTGGCCCTAATTCTCCATCATATCCACTACTCGGTGGATCTGCGCCAATCGTGGCTGGCGGACGTCATCGTCCCTGTATTTTTACGCATCTATGTTTTCTAGGCCACTTTTGGCCACTATGGGATGCCATTGCAATGTGGTCGCTTTCGAGAAGCCAATATGTAATTCATGATTCAAGTATAACACTCTTGGAACAAAGCCGATTGGGATATTGGGGAAAACACATAGCCCGGATTCCAACATGTGAAACATTTAATCGAAAAAATGCATTGGCAATTGCGGAGAAAAAATGGGGGCAATCGAGGGGGAATTGGGAAGAAACCCAGGGCAAATCAAGAGGGAATCAGAAAAAAGAAAGAAAAAAAAAGCAAACACACACATCACTGCAATCCGGGAATCGCGCACCCCGCGCTTGGTCAAGAAATCGTGACTGGTACAGGTTTTGGTGCGTCGACAAGTAAGCCGCCCCTATGTACGACCTGATCGGCCCAACTACCTTTACTCTCCCGTCGGCATCCCCTCTACTTCATCACTCAATTGTCGCCAATTGTCTGCCTGCAATTCGGCATATTTGACTCGCTCCTGGCTCCAGTCCTGGTGCAGACGGCTGATGTGGTACTGGCTCGACTGGAAGTGAATGAGCTCGTCGCGGATGCACTCCTTGATGAACACGCCTCGCGCATGTTGCTGCACGATTGACTCTTTATCCTGCACAGGGACTTAGTCTTGGAGAGCCTCCGATATCGGATTGGTCGTCTTACCTTGAATATAGAGTCCTCCACCTTTTCAATCTCGCCTGGCTTGCCAGATCCGGCTGGTCGGGCACGAAGTTCCTTCAGCTTGCGTTCGCTGGCTTCAATGCGGCGTTCGAGCTGCGGGATATTGTTTCGCGCGTATCGGTCCTTCCGATCGAACATCTCCCGTACACTGACCAGGACGTCTCGCTGGCGCTTCAGATCCTCGAGGACACCGTCCGACCAGGCTCGAGCCTCGTCTTCTAGCAAACTTTGGCTGGCCGAGAGGTGCCGGGCAGTCGCGGTGATTCCAGTGTTCAGTGCGGGGATATCATTGGTGTCGATCGAATATGTATCCTTGGTGACCTCGGTCAACGATTGCAGAGCCAGGGAGAATCGCAAATGATCAGCCGCTAGACCGTCATTGCGCTTGGCTAGTCGCTCGAGTAGAGTGCACAGGTTGATATAAATTTCTGCAGATCGTTGAACGCCGCTGCGGACAGTTTCAAAGGTCTCATCGAGAGTAGCGGGGAAAGAGTCCTCCAGATCAGGTGGGAGAGCACGGCCAACAAACTCGTCCTGCACGGAGATGGTGGCCTGCTTGCGCCACACAGACAGTTCCTGGTCGAAAGTCAGATGTCCGGCGTAATCAATCGGAGAGTCGAAACTTACAGTGGGAACAGTTAAGAACATAATCACCAGCTGTTCCTGGCCAAGTACGGGGTGTCGAACGAGAGAATTGGTAAACCTAATAAGTCCACGGCGCCGCTTTTCCAGAAAAGTAGTCGAATCCGCTGATAAATGAGTACCATTCACTTCAAACAGGTGAGCCAACAACTTGGAGTGCCTTCACCAGGACTGGACGTACCTGACACGCGCTTGGGCGGGAGGAGGGGCAACTGTCGGAAGGGGAATCGCTTCTGAAGACAGTCCAGGAGCCAGACGAAGTCGCTGTACCGCCGCACGACTGTGCTCCCTCGTCGTGGCGCCTTGACCTCGTAGTTTCGATGTTGGAACATGAACATGCCCTCCTTCTCCTGGAGGAGGGTGATAGAGACGGTTTCTTCAACCTGAAGATTCGTAGGCCGTGAGAGACCGAAAGACCGACGCCGGGGGCCGATCTCACTAGGATCGTCACCAGGAGGTCCGAAACCACCGAGGGCTGGGGGCTGTCCAACACCAAATGTATCATCTCTAGGCGGCCCACCAATGTTGCTCCCCCATCCAGAGCCGGAGCTGCTGGGCGGCGCTGCCTCGGTCCGACCATTTGTATGCTGCTGACGTTGTGGTTCTTCGCTCTGTCTGGCCTCTTCCATCACTCTAGCACCAGACCCTCCGGACCATGCATTTGTTGTAGAGCGCATACTTCCAAAGCCATTTACGACGCGTTCGAAGCCATCCCTGACGCGCTCTTCGGTGGTGATTGCTTCGTGGTTGTGATTGCGGTGCAATTCTGGGCTCGCCCATGGGTCTGATTCCAAGCCGCCGCCCAGGCCCAAAGATCCCCGTCGAGAGCGCCGCGATCGCGCTGAGTTTGGCTCTTGTAATGGTGACACTTGGGGCGGGGGTGTATTTGGTCGTCCCTCTGTGGGATCAGAGGGCGTGTTATTGGATGTTCGTAGCCGGTTGAGGAAGCTGCTATTAGGCTGAGGAAGCTCTGTGTGTAGATCATGTTAGGCCAGGGCCTCCAAAGCATTTTTAAAGGGTTCAAAGGAGGCCACTCACTCTTGCGACGGTCATCGACGGCATCAAACGACAGGTCTTCCCCCTCTTGCGCCAGCCCGATCAGCGCCAGCAAGACATTGAACTCGGCACGACCCAGCCCTCCAGAATCTTCTTGATCGCCAGTCACGACCAGATTGAGGATCTTGCCCTGATCCGACGCTGTCAGGCCACTGCTCGACAGAATCTCCCTAATCGAAGTCAGGCCGATTCCGGAACCGACCCTGTCCCCACTATTGAGTATCAGATCGTAGGCGTCGACATAGCTCTCGGGGACATCGGTAACGGGAAGCAGAGTGCGGACCAGATCGCGGCGAGCAGTTCGCTTGAACGTATTGTTCTGACTCCAGGGAGTGGAGGAGCTATCATCACCGTCGTCATCCGCGAAGAGGGAGGAGCCGCCGGCGGATTCGTCTGCGAAGAGCGAGGATTTAGACCTCTGGGCCGGTGCCGCAGAAGGTTCCTCTGGCGAGGTTCCAAACAGAGACATTGTGACTCCGCCGGTGGAATGTCTGGGGGTGAGGATTGGGGTGTGGAGGTGATGGCGATAATGACGAAGGTCTTGGTCGATCAAGCGGAGCTAAGCTCGGTCGGGATGGTCGCACAGTGGGTCGCCGACACTGAGACCATGTCGGGATGCCTCTATGCTAAATTCGAGCATGACATGTTCATTCTTAGATCCAAGCTGTGGAGTGAGGAACCTCATAGTTCTTATAAGCCTTTTCAGAATCATCAACCTCGGTATTTAGTCGGTCGTGGTCAGGGGGGCGCTACCTGTTCGGCAGACCAACTGGAATGGCTTTAACAATCAATACCTAATGTATCGGCGCTGAGCCTCAAAAGTCTCTCATATTACATCTCAAGAAAATTGCACGATGAGTGAGGTAGCACTATCCCAATTTTCTGAGCTGAGATAATCTCTTTTCCTTTATCCATAAGCAGAGCGGGCCTGAATGTTTATTCGACCGGTGTACGCGATTTTAGTATGCCATCAATTCACATGATCAACTTCCACTATCCAAGCACCGTTGAAAAATTATCCATCTAGTCAACCCAAGGCCATGTCTCTTATAGGCAATTGGTGTAGTGATGACAAGGATGGAGCAACATCCTATTATCGATAAGTGCCCGGACGCCATTTCTCTTCCCGTGGGACACGAGACTGAATTTGGCTAGAAATGCGTGCCGACGCCGTAAGTGCTCATTGTATTGCGCCAGGATCAGGTCTATTTCAGGACTCATATCCTGAAGTCTCCGCCTCAGAGCTTGGCGATGCGAATGTCACACCTCCTAGGCTATCGGAAATGCTCTTTCTTAGCAGGATCTAGCGAGCTGAATGACCTTGCTATTGGCTAGGCTATGATTTCCTAGGCTATCTTTGTAAAGCGATGTTGTATTTTTCACCTACCTAGCGGTGACAGGCTCTAGAGGGAAACCTGTAGGGGATTGCGTTTTGGCCGATAGAACATAATCGCGCAAGGGAAAAGAAACACCTATAAAAGAGAATTGATGGTCCCATATGTCTCAGCTATGCAGATCGCCCACCTTCATATTGACTTTTATCTCTATCAAAATGCTCTCTTCATTATGGGCCTACACTTCCATTGTTACTGCCGTCACCGCGGCGACCCGGTAGCCAATTTCCCTGGCGTATCTCAAAGTTTTCAATTTGATCGAAAAACATAGTTTTCAAATTTTGATTTTTCTCGTCGTAAGGGATTGCTCATGTCCCTCGGTTATGATAGGAAAGTCTTCACGACGGATGTTTCGAAATCGACCAGCGACGTTGAAGTCCGACTTACAAGACTCCGACATGATTGCAAAGTGCCTTAAAGATATCCGGGTCATCTAATCTCCATCGAACGTTCGCCGTTTACCAAGGGCGAATGACGCGGGGTTCGTCCTTGTCGTTTCTCGGAAGGCCATCCCGACATCTACAAACGATATGCAAGATGCATCTTCCCCGCAATTGTGGAACGTGGAAGTCAATTACATAATAAGCCGTGAAACAAATGTATGTTTGACTCGGGCTGGTCTTCCGGCAGTCGGACTATGCTATATGAAGCGGAGTTAGGTATTAAACATATTTAAATATCCGATGAGGGGAAGCCATGCGCTGTGTTTTTACGAGCTCTTCACCCCGAAAATCAGATATGCGGCCTTCAGTGATCAAGCGTGTAGCTGGCCTGAGCCGAGTCACGGCCTCACACAGCAATGGAATTGCCCGTCGCTACTTGACTATGCTGCAACCACCCAAGTTTGAGAATGAGAAAATGGTGAATTAATAAATAATCTCACCCAACTTTTGCTAATTCATTACATAGCTCAATTATGCGAAAGACTCTGCTGAAAGAGCCGAGCTCACCAGAACTATCCAAAAGCTTAAGAGTGAATTTCCATTCACCATTCCTATTCAGATCAATGGTTCAAAGGTAAGATACGGATGGAAATGACTCTTCCACATTTTCTAACCTCCGTACTCGCGCAGGTCGAGACAAAAAGATCGCGAGCCCAGCTGAATCCTTCAAAGCATAGCGAGATCATTGCGAACTATGCATCTGCCACGCCAGAACAAACCAACGCCGCAATTGACGCAGCCCTGAAGGCCAAGCCGGCATGGGAGGCGACACTTTTTGAAGATCGTGCAGCTGTTTTCCTGCGCGCTTCCGAGCTCATCACTGGCAAATATCGCTCAGAGATTGTTGCGGCGACAATGCTTGGACAAGGCAAGAATATCTGGCAAGCAGAGATCGATGCACCAGCTGAGACTGCCGATTTCTTCCGCCACTATGTTCAAGAGGCCTGGGCCCTATTTTCTCAGCAGCCACGAGTCCACCTTGACGGAAATTGGAATAAAATGGAATACCGACCTTTGGAGGGCTTCACCTATGCCATCGCACCCTTCAACTTCACCGCGCTTGGCGCTACCCTAGTTGGACCAGCTGCTTTGCTTGGCAATGTTGTCATCTGGAAACCTTCCGACTCGGCTCTGCATGCTAGTTGGTTGCTTCACAAGATTCTGCTTGAAGCTGGGCTCCCCAAGGATGTCATTCAATTCCTGCCCGGCGACGCTGAGGAAGTCACCAACACCATTCTTAAGAGGCCTGAATTCGGTGCGCTCACATTTATTGGATCGACCGCTACCTTCAAAGGTATTCAAAAGAAAATCGGTGATGGAATTGGCCAGGGCATCTACAATTCGTACCCCCGCGTGGTAGGAGAGACTGGTGGCAAGAACTGGGGTGTTGTGCACCCCTCGGCGGACGTGAGAAGTGCCGCTTTGAACACCATTCGAGCGGCTTTCGAATACCAGGGACAGAAATGCTCTGCCAACTCGCGCGTCTACGTAGCAGAGTCCGTCTGGCCTGAGTTCCAAAAAGTTCTTGTTCAGGAGACTGCTGCTCTCAAGGTAGGAAGTGTTGAAGACTATAGAAACTTCATCAATCCCGTGATCCACGAAAGGTCTTTCGATAGACTCAACAATTTCATCGAGAAGGCCAAGAATGACTCGGAGCTGGAGCTGGTTGTTGGTGGCAGGGCTTCCAAGCAGGAGGGTTTCTATGTGCACCCTACCGTGTACCGCACATCCAACCCCCGTCATGAGATCATGTCCGAAGAGCTATTCGGTCCTGTTCTCGGTGTCTACGTCTATCCCGATGAGAAGTGGGAGCCGACTCTCAAGCTGATTGATACTACATCTCGCTATGGCCTCACAGGCAGTATCTTCGCCAAGGATCCTTATGCCAGCCGACAGGCGCAAACCATCCTGAAGCATGCTGCTGGTATGCTTTACTTGAACACCAAGTGCACCGGCTCTACTGTGGCTCAGCAACCATTTGGTGGAAGTCGTGACTCGGGCACGAATGATAAAACCGGCACAATGGCCCATCTGCAGCGATTTGTTAGCACTCGCACCATTAAAGAGGAGTTCGTTCCTCTCGAGAAGGTTGAATACCCTTCCAACGAGGTTTAATGTAGATAGAGAACCTCTTTCTTATGGGATATCACATGCCAAGACATATTGATGTATAAGTTTGAGTTGAATTCTTGATTAAACCTGGGTGGAGATCTATTGTTCAAATTCCTTTCTAATATGTAACGTCAGCCTCTTACATGTATGACTGGTTATATGGTGAAATAGAAGTCTTATAGATAATGACAGTCTTCTCGTTACCACCGAAGCGTTGATATGACCTACGCCTCGGTTTCTGAGGCGACAACTGTTAACTGAGAGTTTCCCGGTGTGGTTGTCTTCTAGTCAGCCACATCTTCTACTCTTCAAATTGTAGCTGGAATTTGATATCTTCAACGTGATTCGATAGAAAACTTGACCCTCAAAATGGACAGTGGGATGTGTTGAAAGCAAACTGCCTTCTCCTGGGCATTACCTAGATCAAAGGAATGGATTGAACACTTTCAATGAGTTTGTCTATTTGACTAGACGCAACAGTACGAAACTAGTTGAGATCAAATCATATATGCAAGGCTAACACCTCACAGCCCAGGAATCTCACGAGCCGGCCCGGCTCAAGTAAATGAAGTGTCTCAGCCTGGCGGCTGCCCCGATTTCCCTTGATAACATGAGGCCCCTCTTTTGATAAGTTACTTTGGCTGGAGGAGCACCTCGTCCGACCCCCCCCCCCTCACCATCGGATGGTCGCTCCGACTGGAGTCGGCTGACACTTGCATAATACATTGGTGGATCAAGGTAAATTGACAAAGTATCCTAGATATAGAGACCGTCGCAACAATACCTGCAATTTGTCGTTTTCATCAAGTCAAAAGCCAACGCCTTTCTCTTGTTTCGAGAGTCACGGCTCGAAAAAACCTATTGTCAGCCCTCTTCCTTCTGAATTCTCATCACGATGCTTTCTCGATCTACATCTCTTCACGTCGGAGTCAAACCCCGCCTTCCACAAGTGCAAAGCACAATTTATCGGCGGCATCGCTCAACCAAGCAAAGGTTTCATGATGCAGCAGTTGCTACACCCACAATCCAGCCTCCGCCCGAAGTTCCGACCATGGCAAGACTTCCAACCAAATTGGTCTTGCGTTCTCTGCTTTTGACCTCTCTTATGTCTTCCAAGATATTTCTCAAGCCCGCACTTTCCGTTCTGAACCTTGTCACAAATTCCAAATCCGCGATCCTTGACCCCGATCAAAACCTATTCCTCAATAAAATCCTACGATGGACAGTGTATGACCACTTTTGTGCGGGCACGAACAGGGCAGAAGTATCAAAGACGGTTGCAGAAATAAAGAAAATTGGCTACCAAGGAGTCATTCTGGGTTATTCGAAAGAGATCGTCATTGACCCCAACGAAAAGTTGGCTCAGGATGAGACCAGTTCGGCAACTTATAGTGAAAAGTGTTATGAGATGGTGGAAGAATGGAAACATGGTACACTTGATACTCTCAGTATGATTGGATCAGGAGATTTCCTGGCTGTGAAGTAAGTTTTCATTTCCCATTCCCATTCCTCATTCCCTTCCGTTGCCCATCTCATGTCATTGTCAGGCTCACGGGTGCCGGTCCAATTGCCGTGGACGGTATGGCAGAGAAGAGGACCATGCCTGAGGTCATAATGAAAGCTATAGATGAAATTTGTATTGCTGCCCAAGCACAGGGATCACGCTTGTGGCTAGATGCTGAACAGCAAGTTCTCCAGCACGGCCTAGATGACTGGGCTATTGAGATAATGCGAAAGCATAACAGAACCAATCAACCACTTGTGTACAACACCATTCAGGGGTATTTGAAGGCTTCAAAGGCAAATCTCGATAATCACATAACCTTGGCGGCAAAGGAGGGATGGGCCCTTGGAATTAAACTGGTTCGGGGAGCATACATTGAACATGAAGCTCGATCTCTCATTCATGATACGAAGGAGGAGACAGACGAATCTTATGATCTGATCGCCGATACAATGCTCTGTCGCAGAATGCCCAAAGATGTCAAAAACTTGACATTTCCCATCGCGGCCCTTTTCCTCGCCACACATAATGCCGCGAGCGTTGCTAAAGCAATCTCCACACATCAGAGTCGTCTGCTTGCAAATAAGCCAACGGTGTTGCTGGAATGTGGACAGATCCAAGGAATGGCGGACGAGCTTAGTTGCGAATTAGTGCAGAACTATGAGAATGCTTTGAAGGAATCTTCCGCAGCGAACATGCCGGTCCCGAAGGCTTTCAAATGTATGGCATGGGGATCGGTCTCGGAGTGCATGCAATATCTGTATCGACGGGCTATTGAAAACAAAGGCGCCGTTGAGCGTACACAGCATATGGCGACTGCTCTGCGCCAGGAGCTGTGGCGGAGGATTGTTGGTTGACGATCAAAGACTTCTATGAGAGTAACAAAGACCCAGAATTCTCCAGGGAAAATGACGCTTATGTCAAACTTTGACCTGTGCTCGTCTTCTTTGTGCAATTGATATATTTATGTAAACGAGAGGCCTGAATTATTTCCGAGGCCTCCGGTAGAGTACACAACTTAGAGGAGGGATAACCCTATCTTCAGAGATAATGATCTGGGGGAAATTTGTAATTCTTTTTTCATTCTGAGCTTGAGATTTCATTTTTTTGAATGATTAAATTTCTATTATTTTGATCGGATCGAAAGCAGCTTGAAGACAAATTACCGATGACCTCGCGAGATTAGTTTCGAGGGAGAGTACCATGCTATAGGGGAGCCGGGGTCATAACGTACCATCCAAGATGTATCCTTGATCTGTTTACGATCTACACTTGATATCTTGTTCCGTAGTGGCAAGAGCTCTAGGTCCAATCAACCAATCAGGTATCGAAATTGACTACTATCCCCACATTCCTTATCTCATAACGTGGGGGCTTGACAAGGTTCGCGGATAAAAAAACGTCGGAAGGCCCTCCCGACACTCTCTTCTTGCATTATCCTATTCTACCCCGCCTCATCGTTGATATCGGAGAAGATTCACCGATTCTATACTGCTAAGTTGTTCATTTCATTCGGCTCGATCGTCCGGTATGCCTGCGACAGCAAACAAAGGGAAAGCTAAGAAATGTCTGAAGGCGTAAGTTGCCCAGCACGCTAATGATTGGAGTTGAATTCTAAAATCTTATGCAAGATGTGTACGATGTCGGAGTATGAAAGTGAAGTGCTCTGGATCGGACCCCTGCACAAGATGCGCCCGCAAGAAGCAACGTTGCCATTTTCCCTCCCGAGGATGTACGAGTCTCGGTCTCGGAGCGGTCAGTCATGGACGGTACTCCAAAGCTCTTCAGAACTAACCAATTCGACCAGCTATCTACGACAGCTTGAGGAACATTTAAATCAAAGCAACGGCTTCCCTCGCACAAGTGGTTCGAGGCATAGACCTCTGAGTGGACCCTCAGATGTTGGACGCGATATCAATTTGACAACCACAAATGCAACATCGTATCTTTTGCATGATCAACCTGAAGCCCATTTGGGAGATATCACCAACGGTTAGTCTATGAATAAGCCTTTGAATTTGGTCTTGAGAGAAACAAAAGGATTGATGAAGTTACCTCAAGGGATAGATACGTCTTTTAATCTCCCAGAAACTCCGCATCAGCAGCGAGAGCGTTCTGGCAGCGATCTCGACATCGAAGAAGAACGCAGGTCACGATTCTCAAGAAATCCTCTCGTGGATAGGGATCCTTCCTTTGCGCAGACACCGGACGGCCGCTTCTGTAAGTGAACCCTGACGAGATAAATTCGAACCTACTAATACAAATAATTTCAGGGTACATGGGCCCAACATCATCATGGTCTTTTTGTCGCCGTGTCCTTGCCTTGATAGGAAGAAGAATCCCCGAGTCTAATTGTCCCCAGACCCATGGCACTTAGATGGAATGGCATTTAAGCTCCAATGGAAGCCTATGCACTCTGACGAAGTTCCTGATGTGGCCAATTTACCACCATTGGATTATGCATTGTTTCTTTTCAATACTGTCAAGTTCTACTTTGGCTTTCTTTCATTCATGATTGATGAGGATGCTTACCTTCGAAACCTACATGAGTTCTACAAAGACCCTGCAGCGAAAGCGGCCACTTCGCGTTATTGGTACGCTCAGTATCTTCTCGTTCTGGCCTTCGGAAAGGCGTTTCTGACTCAAAAGAACGCCTCCGGGGCTCCCCCGGGTCACCAATATGCCTCAAGAGCAATGGCTCTTTTACCGGACTTGTCTGGTATGCACGAAGACCCATTGACCTGCATCCAGGCGCTGAGCCTGGGGGCAGTCTATCTTCAGTCTATTGACATGAGACGGGCTGCATTCCAGCACGTGAGTCTGCACGTCGGCGCAACATACCCATAGCATGCTAATCTTGACTCTAGATCGGACAAGCTTTGCGTGGTTGTATAATAGAAGGTATTCATAGACATGTTCCAGAAGAATTGGGCGGACCGGAGCTCTCCCGTCGCTGCAGAACCATATTTTGGGTGGTCTATATGTTAGACAGGGAATTCTCTGCGCTCATGGGCGCACCGAGCTCGATCAGAGATGAAGATATCACAGTCAGATTACCAGCAGAGGTCGAACATTCAGTTGAGCATATCAATTTGACGCTGCATGTCCGTCTATCGCGTTTAATGGCTGAAATCTTGGCAAGTGCGTTTTTGGCTGCTTCACAACTCGCCAATCACTAATCTTAATTCATAGATGTCTACGGAGTTGGCGACGAATTCAACGGGTCGCTCGTCCGAAACATGCAATCCATACTTCATAGCATGGCAGAGCTATCTCATGACCTGACAGCATTCTTGAATACACACTTCCACGGGCTGATCAGTCGAGCCTCCAAGATGGCGATTCGACTGATGCTGGCCCATCACCATGTGAGACTTTTTTATCTCAGTATTCCAGTCTAGGGAGCTAACAAAAAAAGTGTGTGGTTCTGACAACAAGACCACTGGTGATGTGCGCTCTCCATATGCACATTGAACGCACCGAGAGACGCGCATCCAAAACAATATCACTTTCTCCACCCGTCGCTTCGCTCTTACAATGTTGTGCCGATTCCGCCCAGACTATTCTCCAAACACTACAAACATTAGCCGATGACGATCTCATAGGTGCGTTCTTGGCTATCATTCATGATGAAAATGAGGCATCTAATCCTATTTTTCAGATGCGTTCCTACCTTTCCAGATTGAAGATGCATCATCATCTGCCTTCGTGCTCTACTTGCTTCGCGCAATTTCCCCTGAGCTCATCCATAGTAACAACTGGTGTGAAAATCTCAACAGTGTGCTGGATAAGCTAATTTCAAAGGGAAATCTGGCAGCGCCACTTCGAAAGCAGGAGCTAAAGCAGTTGGAACAAATCCTGGCACCTTTAACTCCTAATCTCTCAATCTCTTTGCCTCCAGTGAATTTTGATGAAGCCCCAGATGAGGGTGAGGAGGTCTATGATCTGGACCATGTTGGCGTCGGCGACGAATTTGAGTGGGACTTGCTGGGTTTAAACTCTTCTGTTAGCCTTCCGCCGAGAGAATTGCTTGATCTTGCGGATCAGCTAGACGTGGAAAGCATCATGCAATCCGTGAATTGTGTAGTCGAATCGAGCAATTGACTTGCTACGAATGATGAACCACACATGAGCGTGAAAAACGGATCACTATTCCGGTTCTACCTGTCTCGTGCTAGTAGTGAAACAATAAAAGTAATCGCATAACTTATAAGCGCTATTTTAGAAGCGCTATTCTAGGAGCATTGTTTTGGGGCTCTCCGAGTTATCTTTAACCAGCTCCAAGTGCCTTCGCGTCCATTTATGATGCGGTGACTGTATCTCAGTGCAATGTCCATCATCTGATTGAGACGAGTATTAGCCTCCCTGACACGAGTATTTCAACTTTGGATCGAAAGTAAGAGCATTTACCGGTCGGATATTGAAACGACCATTTACAAAGATCGGCCGATCTTAGATGCCGCATGTTCCTAGTACTGCAGAATGCGGTATGCTGATAATCGGAGTACCAAACAGAGATCTCCAAATACTACTCTTACTGATAATAAAACTGTCCCCCTTCAAGTCATCCAAAGTCACGTTGCATCCCCTAGTCCTTCATTTTCATCGCCTTACCTCGAGATCTAGCAAGATCCGAAACGATAGAGCATTAGCATGCAGGGTGATCTCGCGAGAATATTATGGAAACCTACCCTGGCAACTCATTCGGCACTGCCCTTCTTAATCTCCAAAATACTCATTGACTCGATGTTTGGAGCACAGGAGTCACAGCCCCTTGGATATCGCAGCTACAGCACTCAGACGAAGTCAAAAAAGTACACGATCGTGGTTTTGTGAGAAGGTCTCTTCTCATCCACCTTATCTCCACAATGTCGGTAGGCTGTTCCGGCGGTCGGGAAGCCCTCCCGACTTTTCTTGACATCAATTTTTAAGCAACCAGGCAGCACGTGTGTGAAAATTAGATCTACTGGTCAGCGTTCGATTATAAGAGCTAGGCGTTCAAGGCAATTGATTGAGTGAGACTTTGAACAGGCTTCTCAGTATGTGGCGATCAAGAACGTTCGGACGAGTGCTGGCTAAGCAGTAAGTGAAAATCTATTCCATGTGGAGGTTGGAAGCTAAGCATAAAAAGACCCTGCGATTCTTATCGCGTTTCTCTGATTCGAGATTCACGATCAGGGGCAGTCAGAACGAGCTCATCGACTGCAACTGCTCCTTCAGAAAGCATTACTGCCAAGGCCCAGCAAGACTACAAAATTGTGCAAGACGTCGGCAACTTCGATGAAGTGCAAGCCAAGCGCCCTGATTTCGACCACTCGACATCCATCGAGGTGACGAAATCTCCCTATCCTGAATGGAAATACGGGCAGGGAGTGCCAGACAAGGGCGCCAGTTTGGCCCAAAAACACCACGAAATCGATCCTTACGCGTCTGATCGGCCAATGATTAACAATTACCGTCTGCTTGTGTCCGGCATTGCACCTCGACCAGTAGGCTTCATCAGTACAGTGAATGCAAAAGGCGAGAAGAACCTCTCGCCTTTCAGCTATTTTCAAGTCATCGACCACGATCCCCCAATGTTCATTGTGGGATTCTCTTCGCGTCCTGGCCGAGTCAAAGATACCTACCGCAACCTGAAAGAAACAGGAGAATGCGTGATCAATACAGTTTCCGAAAACATGATCGAAGCTGTCAATGCCAGTTCCCTCGATGTGCCCTACGGTGTTTCAGAGTGGGATGTTTCGGGTCTCACAGAAGCCCCTTCCACAACAGTCAAGCCGTCGCGGGTCGCAGAGTCGGTGTTCAACATTGAAGGCAAAGTCATCGATATCAAAGAGTTTACCGATCATCAACGCCCTGGGATGAGCCTTGCTGCCAATGTCTTGATCAAAGCCACTCGCTTCTGGGTGAAAGAAGGTACTACGGACGCAGACTACAGCCATATCGACTTGGAAAAGCTGCGACCAGTTGGTCAATTGGGTGGGGTTGCATATGGCAGAATTACGTCCACTTTTGAGAGGCCGCGTGGTAAATGGTCCGAGGAAATTCCAAAGAGCGAGCTTCTGGCCAAGTTAGATGCTTCGAAGACAAATATCAAATAGAATCATCATAGTCACGAGGATAGCCGAATGAGTATGTCCAGAGATCTCTTGGCATCTCCAGAATATACTCTCGATGCATTTCAACGAGTCCCTCGGATAAAATCCACTGATAGGCTATGTCATAACAAGGCCGACATGTAAGATAAAGGATCTTGCATCCGCGTTCGCCCACGATCTCTGGATCTTCCTCGGGAGCCTCCTCCGAAGTGTTTCGCGCCAATGTATCGACTTTCGACTTCAGGTTTCCTTAAATGCAGCTGTATCTTTCCGGGGCTATTTTCAACTTTCCAAGCTCTCAATTCTATCAAACTTGGCTTTTGAAATGTTTCTTTCCAGATTTGCTCCCCGCATCAACTCCGTCTTCGTCCGCTATCCACGAGCGATTCCTTCAAGGACCATGGCAACAAGAGGCAAGGCAAAAGAATTCCTATGCATCATGCCAGATAATCCCAACGTCTTGAAATTGAGGAAACAGGTCAAGGGGCAAGTCTTCTGTACGATGATTTCCGCAGATACAACTTAGACTGACATTAAGTCATAGACAGCACTATGTAGGGATACAGCCATTGATCGCCCAAGGGAAACTTGTGGATGGAGGTCAGGAACAATGGCACTGGGATTATACAGGACTTCGGTCATCTAACGGGTTCCAGGTGCCATTTTCAAAGAACATCCTCAAGAAGGAAAGGAAGCACAATTCCAGGGCAGCGTGGTCGTATACACCGGCGAGAGCGCCGAAGAAGTTCGAGATATCATCATGGACGACATTTACGCAAGAAGTGGTGTGTGGGACATTGAAAGGATTGAGATCATGCCCGTACGTGGACTTCCCTGGTTATTTCATGCGTCAAAGCTTCTTGCTGATGTCAATCTACATGCAGTATGTACCTGCAGTTCGCCTGCCACTCCCTTGAGCACGCACGGCTCGAAGGAGAGGGGAGCTTGGAGACGCAAGGTGCAAGTACGACCGAGATAGGGAATTTTTTAGCAATAGGTTGGGTAAAGATGAAAAATGGATATTTCATCTAGATTGTAGAAGGCGATATATTGCATCACTATGACCCCCCTTCTTGAGATTGTTGTTCATCAGAATCATGACTGCGCGCTTCCTCGGAGAATTCCACGGCAGGCTGAACGTGGAAATGTCCCATCTGGAACAAGATATTCTGCCACTCGTATTTCCCCGTACCTAGGATCCAGAAATAATTCGTGTCGTCCGGGAACCACCTCTCTTTCCGCGTCGAAGCTTTGTCGCCTCCTTCGAGCGCAGCTCGGCTGGCACGAGTAGTTCGGCCACGCTTGTCGCCAGGACCATGCTCCCTGGTCAAAAGTGCGCGCAACTTGTCGCGATACTCTTTCAATCGACCATCAAAGACCATAATGGCGCGGACGTATGGGGCGATGTCCTCGGTGATTGGGGCAAGGCTGTTTTCAAAAGAAGGCGCCAATCGCCCTGTGGGGATCGGCATGGAGTAATTCGCACGCGTGAGAGGCTCAAACACTTTCTGAAAGTTGGGTAGAGTGTTTGGGAAATGCATCCGACGTGCGCCATCCTTGGTCCAGCCTTTGAAAATGCGAGCCACGCTAGAAGACTCGTGGTCTTCGGTTTTGGGTCGGAAGGTTCGTGAAATCAATGCATTGAACGTGAGACTAATGTTCTCACTTAAGGAGGAGTGTTCGGGTCGCAGGTCGGCCTGCAGGAGAGGATATGATTCGAGATAGTTGGAGCGATGACCTTCGGGAGGTGGAGGGGCAGACGTGTCGACAACATCCTGGAACTTGGTTAGTCCTAATGTCGAGTCGATGCAAGAGATGATACTTGCCTGTAGCATGCTCAAAGAACACTTCGAGCAGAGAAGGTCGAGTGAGCTTCGCATTTCCAGGTAGTCCGCTTCGCGACTCAGCAAATCAAGCTGCTCCGTCTTCGACCGCGATTGATAAAGATCATGAGGCAAAGTCTCCATGATACTGCCGCGGGCCGCGTCCTCTGTTTCTTGTATGCCGAGTCTCCACCAGTGCAAGGTATTCTGCAGAGTCTCCGTTTCACTCTCCAGAGGATCCTGCTCCAGCAAAATGTCGCGATTGAACCAGCCCATGTATGGCTCGTAAGTGTTCAGACTGAGAACTCGAACTCTATCACCATTCTGGTCTACATTCGCCTCCGGAGGCCATAAGGATAAAATCCAATCAAGACCTGCTTTTTCACTTCCAACGCCAATCTGGCACCAAAAATTCAGGTCCATCAAAGATCTTCGGATGTCCATGCCTGAGGCATCGTATAGCTTGCCGGCAGCCTCTCGTTTGAGAACGTGGCCTTCGTTCGCGGCGACAAGTAATAAATAGTCGATGGCTAGATCGCGTGGGGGCCTTTGAAATCGGAGAATGGCGTGTAAAGACATGTCCTGGGTTGGTACGAGGCTTTCGTTGTTGCATGTGATGACAATGGGTCGCTTCGACTGACTGACGAGGGTCAAAACGCCAGTCCAAAACTGTTTGTCCTCGTCGAAAAGCAGGTCGACCTCTTCGAGAAGAATCAAAGACTGTTTCTGTTCACGATTGCGCTTTGCCTCATTGTCGGTTGTTGGACTAGGTTGAGTACTCTTCTTGTCGGGTCTAGCACTCCTAGACGTCTGTCCTTTGAAAAATCCCATCAGCTTGTTTTGTTTTGCATCGTCTTCCGTTCCCAATGGTCGAGGCTTGGCAGAAGATTCGTCGCCATCGTTCAGAAGATGGACTAAATGATTCTGGGTCATGTCCCCGACCCTTTCCAGCATGTCTCGCGCACTTCGACGGCTGCCAGCATTGATCTCAAAAACTTCAAAGTCAAGCTCTTTGGCTGCCGCGTATACTGAAGCAGTTTTGCCAGAGCCGGATGGGCCGCTCAAAAGGATAGCATTTGAAACACGACCCTTCTCTCCTCCTTGTGATGAGGATATTGCCAGGTCTCCTGATCGGATCACAGTTCGTTGAGCAGAAATTGTGACATCTCCAGCAAGCTCATCGTCTGATCCTGAGATGTTGTCCATCTCAGATGCCTCTTCTTCGCTAGAGACGATGAATCCATCGAGTTTGTCGTTCTTCTTTCGCCGCTTTTTCTTTTTCTTGTCTCGGGTTAGGTTGGATTTGCCGTGATCTTTGGAAGGCTTTCCAGTGTCGACTGCCGAAATTTTAAGATGACGAAGCCAGTCACGGAGTACCTGGGCCTCGCGGCCGACTTGCAAAACATCCTCAGCCTTTTTGGGTGCGTATTTGTGAGCCCAGAGTTGCGATTCATACTTCCCACGGTCGAAAGCTGAGAAAGATGATAGCAATGCTGATCTCAAATTAGATATAACTGGGGCGACAGATTGGGCCTGATAACGCGAGTTTGGTGAGGACCAGGACATTTGATTGTCAATTGCAGTCTGCAGAACACGTCCACTGGCGATATGCCGTAAAGGCAAGCGTAGATTCGATGTGCCATGTCCTCCCATGTATGAATTTGCCATCTCCCGTGCACATGATGTGCTGGTCAAAAGAGCATTTTCGTCATCGCTAATAACGATCGCCGGAGATTTGGCTTTCTTTCGGTCATTTATGAAGGGGTTGACGGTGAAGGGTTTGGTAGCCTGTTCCGAGTCAAGAGAACGGATATGGACAAGGTCTTTGGGTGGCCACAAAGGTTCAATGAGCTCGGGAAAATTTGACTTATTTCGACTGTTTGTCGAGGGAAATGTTGGAAATGGCCTTGGTTCTCGCCTGGCCTCTGATATGGCAGGGGTGTTGGTCTTGCTTGAATCAGTGTTTGAGTCACCACCAGATGCCGTGTCATCCTGGGACTTTTGTGCCGCTTTCTTCACAAAGAAAGGGTGTGTTGGCTTCGCAGGTCCTTTCACCACGGGTTTTGGGGGTGCTGCAGGCCGTGGAGGGGCGGGTCTATATACCGTTTGGCCATTGAGAATTTGGTTGATCAAGCTCCCAATTTCCCTCTCTCCTTCGGTGCTGTATTTGAGGATGGTGAGTTTACTGCGGACCTTCGCACCTCTTCGTCGCTTGCTTCCCGTCGACTTTCGGTCTGTTATTGCCGTGGAGCTGGCAGGAGGGGAGCTCAGCAATCTACCATTGGTATTCAACTTCAATATCTTTCGTTTGCCGCCATTGGACGCGTCTTCGTCGTCTTGTTCATTGGAGCTCGGGTCTAGGACCTGACCGCTATCGTCCAAGGGTCGAGGCGACTGGTGTGAAGCGATGGCAGGGGCAGGCCGAGTATCAGCTATGGGTGGAGGAGCCGCAGTTTCTGAAGTCTCGATTCCCAGCCATCCTGAGAGTCCTGTTCTCAATATTGTTCCTTGGTCTGGCTTGGATTTCTCCATCCTGCGTCTTTTGCGTCGGCTCGCATTAGGGTCTTCGTCTTGGTTCAAGGGCGCCGAGATCTGAGACCTCGGGACTTCAGGTCCATTCGATTCTTGCAAATGCGGCAATTGCTCTTCGTTGGCGCGAGCAAATACATCGGTTGGCGTTGAGGCTGCGTTGCCATTGGGAAGGGAGTGATTGGTTTTTCCTGGAACTGCAAAATCTGGGTGTTCGATATGAGCTAATAGTAGTGTAAAATTAACCGCGAGGCTCATACCCTGTCTGAAGAAAGGGTGGACAACGTGCTGATCGCCCGGTCCCATGGCTACTGGTGGATGGGATGTGAGGGTGTCCATAAGTTTGAATCCCTCAGTAGCTCCAGGAGGAGGGGGCGGCAGGAGAAGGAGATCAATGCACGTTCATCAGAAGCCGCTTACGGTCGAGACTCGGGTCATCGACGAGGGCAGAAAAGAGAAGGCCAAATGGTCTTTATCGTGGTTATCTCTTTACACGTCCGACGCGAAAGGCGCGTCTTGAGTGATTATGTCAGCCTGATCACATCGCCGAGTAGAGATGCGCTGTTTCCTGAATGGGACTAGCACAGTGGTGGGGCCGGCCCGTCGTTATCCCGAAAAATTTTTAGATTTCCCCGTTGGGACGGCTTTGCAGCTTCACCGATCAGGCTTTGAAGGGACTGGAATCCTTATTTTGACAAGATCGTGATTCCGAGCGTCATGGATCTGCAGTCGCCATCGGTTCTGGCGCAATTGCCACGCCCTCTTCATGCGTCTACGGGCAAGACTCGCATTAGCGACGTCTTCAGTCTGGCCGACGCCAAAAAGCGCAAGCGCTATGAGGTCGCGGTTGCAGTGGATGGTGAAGCTGTCAACATCTACAATGTATGACACCCGATTCAATGATCAATTTTGTGCGGGCTGACATTTTTTCTTCCAGGTCCAAACACCCAAGCTTGTGACCTCATACGCAGTCCCTCCGCAGTCCACTTTCTCTTGCACACCATGCTCTATTCGCCGAAAGCTGCCCAAAAAGTCCTCCGTCAAGCGACAGACATATACCGCGGCAACACGCCCGGACCGCCAGATCAAGTGCTTCGTTGAAGAGATTGGCAGTGGCTCCACTGCGCCGGTGATCTCTTCCTCTGCCGCCACCATCACTGACTCAAGCAGCCCTACAAATTTTGTTGGCATTATCCCTTACACTGTCGAAGACGACAACGAGGTCGACCCCTTCGATATTCTTGCCGTCCACGAGGACGGTCGCGTGCGCCGACTTTCATCCGATCTGAAAAGTCAGCGTTGGAGCATTCAGCACAGCGAAATCTCCAAAATCTGCTCCACCACGCATGCCGTTCACTCGTGCTTCTTGGTCGATCTTGAGGATGCTAAGAAGGCTTTGTTCAGACGGCGACAGGACTTGGCCGCTCTGGCTCTCGGGGACTCAACGGCTTTGGGAACCGATGAACCCTCCATTTTGCTGATTGTGTCCCACCCAAAGGACGCTGACCAGATTGCTTTGAAAGAAGTTACTGTTCAGATGTTCTCGGTTCCTGCTAGCGCTAAATCAGGAGGCCACGAAGAGAGTCAACGTCTTAGACACCTTCAGACAATTCAGGTTCCAGCCCCATCCGGGCTAGACAAAGTTGACAGTGATGGCCTCCAATGGACCTTCCACTCGGGGTCAGCAGGCCTTCAGTTGTCGTTCTCGAAGGGATTTTTGAACGTCGATTTGTCACAATATTCGCCCTCTGTGACCTCTCTGTTCGTTCTCGACGAACGCTTCTCCTCTGTCATGCGTATTTCACCACAATGTGTCATTGGCGCGAGTGACTCATTGGTGGCAGTATATGATACCCAATATCAATCTGTACAGCGAAGCATCGCCGCGGGCGATGTGTTGTCCGGAGCCAGCGCCAACGCGGATGCCCCCCCTGGTCTTCATCAGCTACTTTGCAAAGCTTGGAATTGCTGTCGCAACCAAGGGAAATACACTTATCGCATTTGACTTGACCTCTCTTCAGAGCCACTCCGGATCTTCTCTGAAGCGATCGCGCGATGGTCTCCTCATCGATGCTATTGGCCGCGGTATCGGCTCGTCTGCTGCGCAGTGGAATATGGCATCTAAGAAGCACCGTTCCGAGAACATGACCTCTCTTCGACTCACCTCTCCTGAACAGGTGGAACAATGGAATCAGTTGACAAAGGATGTGGACGAGGCGGCTAAGACTCGGGATGCCGAGAAGTTTGACAAGGCGGTTCTCCGTTATTTCTGCCAATCTGATGCGCCTGAGACTCTTCCAACTCGGGGACAATATGTTAATCCGGAGTCTACTCTTTTCCTGCTATCGAAGATGTTTACAGTCGAGGATTTCAAAATTCAGGATGGAGTCTCCGCTTCATCTCCCTCTCAACTGCGCCTTGTGCTCTGGCCTTCCGTCACATGCGACTGGCTCATTAGTCTGGGTCATCTGTCTCCTGACAACGTCGAGATTGCTCTTCGCCGAGCCTCTAAGCCTCGCATTCTGCAGCCCTTGGTTACCGGTTCTTTTGTCCAATCTCTCATTGATGCCGATCCCTCGCTCAAGCAGGTCAATCAAGTCCTTGCAGGGCCCTCGGTCATCTCCTCCGATGAGCTGACCTACGCGCTTAAGTACTTCCTGAACCAGGCTCGCCTGCACTCTAGTGCTCTGGAAGAGACTGCTCGTGCCATAACCAGCGGTGAGATTGCTACACCCACGCAGGAGCTCACTCGCCACCTCGGAGTTGAAAGAGTCACTCTAAAGGATATCTTCGCTGGCCTGAACACTTCCATTCAAAAGGTCCACTCACAGCCCAAGTCCGCTATTGTTCAGTCTCTGCGCTCGAACCTGTCGCGGACAGAACTCATTTCTTTGATCCACCACCTCCGTCTTTCCCTTGCCACTGGTGGCTACACCTCACGTTGCACCGAAAACCCCCCCACTCCCATCACTCTCGACCAAATTACCCCTTCTCTCTCTCTCAATACCATTATCGACCTCATGACTGCCTCGGTGGATGCAGTTGGCCCTTCCGGCTGGATCTCCGCCCTGCCCGCCGTGGACCTTAACGATGATTCAGACTCGGCCATCGCCGCCGCCAGCCGTGAAATGGAGCTAATTGCCGACATGAAGTCCGAAATCTCCGCCGCCCTTGCTGGTGTGGAGGAGGCCACATACCTCAAGGGTATTCTCCGCGAGTACCTCCGCTTTGCCGACCAAGTGTCTACCCCAGCCGCTACCGCTGGAGACGCCATTTCCAAGATCGACGATGAGACCTCGGCTTCGTCCAATCTTGTTCGTTATGAGAAGCTTAATGGAGCTGACCTTGTCATCTTTGGTCGCCCTGGTGAAGGAGAGGACGGATATGATGGCGATGCCGGTGGCAAGATGCTGCCTTTGTCGCTGAAGCCTGCCACAGCCGATGTGTCGAAAACGAAGATCAACAAGGCCACTGGCGATATCAAGTCTCGTTCCAGTCGTGAGATCGGATACCTTCGTCGTAAGGCGGTTGGTAAATATTCCTTCGAGAGGCTCATTGTTTAAGGGAGTCGGTTTGCCATTTATGTGTCACATTGTAAAAATTATTTACGGAGCAAGAATATAGGAGTTCCATCTGGGGTGAATAAATCGTCCGAATTGTTACGCCAATGACCTATCATACTCTGTAGTGGACTTTTTAGAGAACTTGGCGTGGATACTTGACTCTTTCGGTGATTCTTCAGCTCTTCTCGGACCGTCTCCAAAGATTTTGACGGGTTTCATATTCCAGGTTGTGTTTTTCCACCACGCGACTACATCTTGCCAGCTTGAAGGGAAGCTGCATTCCCACTTCGTATTTGGAAGGCGAGAAAATGGTAGTAATGCGATGTCGTGGTCGTACGGATAAGGGATGTCTGATCTTGTATCCCTAATGCTCTGTCTTGGTGTGCCCATGTCGTTCCATTTCCCTTGAAGACGTATGCATACATAAGGTCCAGGCATCTGGGGGGATACTTCAATATAATTCAGTGCATCGCTGATTACTTTATTGATTACCACCGATTCATCATTTTTCCGATGATGATCCGAATTGAGAATAATGTATAATACTATGTCCAAGACTGCAATTTCGGAGTCGATGATGAGGAAGGTTTTGGGTATGTCGACGAACATGCTTGGTCCGAATATCAGGCTTTTGTTGTAGTGATTTGAACGATATGTTGACGACGAAATAGGTTCTTGCAGCTTGTGACGTCTAGACATAGATTTCGTGTTTTATATTCTCATAGGCCAGGGAGGAGACCTCATCGTAGAGATACCGGCTGCAGCAGAGGATGAACAAGATGTTTGTTCCAAAATACGTGGGACTCTGCTTTCTTCCATTGAAAAGAAATTCCCATAACAATAGTCGTATCTCTGTTGAAAGCATTGTGAATGTGCCAAGTTGGGCCAGGCATGTAGCCTCGGTGTCAAGATTGGAGTAGTCGACAAGCGGCATCATTATGTACGTTAAAGCGACATGATTTGAAGTAAGAGAACAGTTTTCAAATCATAGTAGACAGGAGTATAATACCTTGGTCTGACTGTAGTACCCAAGGATGAGGTCCCCCCCCTAATACAGCCCGGAGACATGGTTGAACGGCTCAGTGTGCGGCGGTTTGGTACCAAGTCCTCAATAACTGGTGCACTACTCCTTTTTAGGAAGTCTGTATAAATGAAACTTGAACTCAATTAACGCCATGTATTACAGCTACTTTTCAAATATTGTGCCCTGTGAATTTATTTTGACGGGTTCAATCTTGGAAACTTCCTATTCACAAATTAATTGTTTGGATGTTTTTCCCACAACCTAGGCAAATGCCGAAGTTCGCATCTTATAAGTCAGGATGTGCAACGTGCTCGTTAGTGGTGAGCTCTGTGAACTCCATTCATCAATCCATTTATGACTATGGATTAGGTCATGGTGACAGAAGGTGAATTCTGAAGAAGTCTTAATCCAAAGAGCCCCAATACACCACATCTTGACCCCGCTACGTCCACTGGGATGTATTTAAATCAAGAGGTCGAGCTAGCCCTTTGCGATCACATAGCAACCGAGGTGAGGGGGTGGAAAGTAACACCAAAATAAACCGAGCACAATGGCTTGCTAGGTCGGTATTTTCCAGGGCTACTAACACATGCAAGAATCCTAGTCATGTCCATTTGCTGTCTATACTGTCTAAAATCTCGGTCAAGGCTCTTCGGGTTGAGACGAGTGGGACCGCGACAACACATCGGGCAGTGAGACTGGAGCCAATCAGAATATAATAAAATGCATCCTAGACTAAGACTAATCGAACTTGTTGTGGATTAGAAGTGCAGTAAATAAAAGTAAACAAACTATATAGACACAGCAGATCGCAGCGACAAGTGAAAAGTTCAAATCTGACCGGTGGCGCCTAAGGAAAATAAACAAGGGAGCTCCAGTGGAGCAGTCAACTGCCCGGACCAACAACGCATCTCCGCACTTTCCACTGTTCTTCGATCTGATGGGTTTGTCTGTATGGACTGACACCTTGTTTCTTTTCCCACTCTATCCCCCGTCCATTGGAGGGTGAGCGAGACGCGCCCATCAAAACAAACTTAGACACGCGGGAAAATGAATGCCGAACCATGGCTCGATAGCCTATCCGACGACTGGCCATCGGTGCCTGTCTCTCCTACAACACCTGTGACGCCGGGCCCTTCCAAGTCCATCCCTCCCTCCTCTCCTCGAACGGGCGCCCAGGATACCCCTAGTCGCATTCCAGTGCCCGCCCGTCGGTCCGTGGCCCAACAGTCACCCGCCAGCGACAAAAAGGTGACTCGGCCATGTCACTTCTATAAAAGAGAGCCGCCAACCCCGAAGACGCCTCGAACTCGCAGGAAACTCTCGACAACCCAGTCGCTAACCCCTGCTAAGACCAGAACAAACACCCCGAAGGCCTCTCCGAAACCCTCTCCGCAGCGCAGTCCGAGGCCCCCCTCCGGCGCGGCTGGCAAGCAGCCGCAGGCCATGGAGACGCGCTCCCCTTTGCGATCGGTCTCGAATGTTTCAAGTCAGTTAGGGTATCAAAGCACGGTCCAGATCAAACCAAAGAAGACCCAGGATGAGGGCGCGGCAACACCCGAATGGCGGAAGCGACTGGTGCACGGAGAGATTGGCGTGGGAGAACAACGAGATTTGTTTGCGCCTATGGGCCTTGAAAGCGTGTTCAAACCGCCGACGCCTGGACTCACGAACCCGCAGCAAGACGCAATCCCGTTCACGAAGCAGGACGACCCGTTGTGGGATTTCACCGACGCGACTTCTCGACAGGATAGCGCAATGCGAGAAGACGCCGACGAGCCCCATGAACAAGAACCTCGTGTTGTTGATGGCAATAAATTGGGCACCGGCACGGAGTCACCAATGGGCACGATTAATCATGCGCCTTGGACGGACACAAGATCTGAAGGACAGGATCACGCCCAGGAGGATGTTTCACAATGGGGATACAACGAGCAGCGAACAGCCAGTGGGCTGGAAGACCTCCGCAATGAGGGCATTACGCCTATTACATTCACGCGACCAAACACACTGGAAGGCGGGGCTACATCAGCGGTCATCAAATCCGCCTTGAAGCAAGTCACCGACAAGCTCGAGAGCCTGTCAATGAACAATGACAGCCGACCAGACTCGGCAGCAAGCGATAGCTTTCTCTTCTACAATCACAGCGAAGCCCGCGCCGAAGGCTCACCGCAAGATGATAGTCTGCTTGATGTGACTAGTCACTCCTTGCCGCAGGACCTTTCAATGGGAACAGTGGATTTTAGCAGCCGCCGTGGCAACCACTCTTTCCGTCATCGATTCACTCCTTCGCCCTTTCCCTCCCATCGAATGTCCCCTGCGAACCTTGCCAATACAAAAATCCGCAGCTCTCCTCTCTTCAACCCTTCGCAGTCGAAAGGATCTCCCTCTTTGCCGCGACCTTCCTCCTCTCATGTTCGCCCTTCAACAGCGGGGGATGCGTCAAATGAATCCAAGATGCCATCATCAGGCAGCCCGCTTAAGCTGTTTGGCGAACACGACACCTTCACGAACAACCGTCTCTTGCGGCGGATGAGTCAGTTTGAAGAGTTCAGTGACGCCTCAGACGGCGAAGGGCCGCCTTCGCCATCAGAAGAAGCCCGGCAAAAAGGCGAGAGCCGCAGCTTTTTGAATCCCAGACACGAGCCAATGAGAGAAATTTCGTCAAAGCTCAACGAGCGACTTGCCTCTCGGAACATCCCACGACCTCGACTGAGCCGGTTTGGGGATGGAGAACTCGATCAATTCGACTTTTCTGATGCCAGTCCATATGAGAATAAGTTGGTCTACGATGAAGCCCAAGGATTCAGCTCTCGACCCTCCTCACGGAGGGTTCCATCTGGTAGACAGCAATATCTCCGCGGAGCGTCTCAACAGGGCTCTCTCCACTACACCAGGACTTCAAGTTCCAGTTTTACTCGAAAGCCATCAGCATGGACTCGCCAGAGCTACTTTGACCATCTCCGCGATACTTCAGTGTCACGTCTCAACAAGAAGGAAAATCGGACATCCCCCGAAGTGAAACGAGTTCCCAAAAAGGCAGCCGACCCAACTCCTAAACGCCGCCGAACAATATTGCGAGACAACACAGAAACAGAACATTCCTACCAGAATGGGGACTCTCCACCAAAATTTGGTGACAGCTTGTCTCTTTTGCAAAGGAGCTTGCTCCAGCACGGCGTGCACCTTGAAAATGGAGACTATCTCGCCCCTCCTGGCTTATCTCACTCTATGCAACGACCCAGGACACCTACTCCTAGTCAAATCAGGTCGACTCATGAACCCTCAATTGCCCCAGTCAGGGACTTTTCTGAGTCCAATTTCGATGAACTAGACTATTCAGATTCATTCTCTATCGAAGGAGAAATCCCAATTCTCAAAGTTACTGGCACTAGTGACACATCGCGAAAAGGGTCAATCACCACTCAGGATTATCTGAATGAGGCTACCAAGATCATGGATTTGATCCGGTCCAAAGGCCGATCAACTGTTGGCCTGACCAGTGTGCAGGAGAGTGACCTGGACAGCGAAGAGGGCGATTTCAGCTACGAGGACGAATCTACTCGGGAAGCCTTTTCTCGTCCTCCAAGTCGGGATGGGACAGACCTACGCAAGCAGCGGGAGCCCAAGGAGTTGAATCCACTCATCATCAGCCATCTGAAGAAGTATCAAGAAAGAGAAGACGGTAGTGACTCGGTTATGTCACTTAACGGCTACTCTTCCTACAAGGATGATGGCCGACTAGGTGGACTTGCCCCCGAACAAAGAAAGCGCAAGACTAGTGCTTCGATCGATGATACGGCTGAGAATATTGCTCAAGACCTGATGACAATCAACACTCAGATGTCTGGGTTCAGCGTTCGCTCTGTTCCAACTGGCTCGTCACAAAACTCGCAGGCGAAAGGCATGCTGTCTTCTGACCTTGTCTCCCATTTGATTCCCCAGCAAGTGAACGGTTTCACGTATGATCGATCAAAGAATCAGTGGATCAAGGACGGTACTGAAGAGCCAGTGCCCACTCCTCTTCGTGAAACTGAGCATGATCCATTCCAGGATATTCCGGACCTGAGCGTGGATGAGCTGCAAGAGATGCTGAGAGTCCATGGACTCGAATCTCCTGAGAAGAGTGTGCCCGTGGACCACAGTGCACCTATTCCCGGTGCAGGTGCAACCCCTAGGATGACTCTCCTGCGACCACACACAAGGAACGGTGAGCCCTCGATGGGTGCAAACTCTCTGCAGTCTAGAGCGACAAGATTCACATCAAGTGTGCCTCAGTCTGGGACCAGAGCCACATCTTGGAATACGACTGAAATTCAAGGACAAGTCAGCCAAGTGGCTCCTGCACCCGGCTCGCAGCCTCGCACCAAACAGGCTCGTGTTGCAACAATCACCTCTTCGACACCTCTTGAGTCGCACAGCGCATATAGAAATGGCTCCGATGCCTCAGAATCGATTCCGGAACAAGGAGAGGTGACTGACGCTGCTACTTCATCGGAAGATAGTCCAGCTCGTACGGATCAGCCGCATGCTCCAACTCGGTCGACCGCACGGCCGATTGACCGTGAAACCTCTCTAGCTGGCCAGCCATTTATCCGACGTCCTATCTCTCGAATCGAAGAAAGAAACGAGGAAGGCGCCGAAGATCTCGGTCTTGTTCGTGTGGGTGATCTAATAGCCGCCCAGCAAACCCCAGGTGTAAATGGCGCTGAGACCTCCTTGGTCCCCATTCAAAGTCCGGAGCAGACGAACTACAGTTTCCATCTGAGTCCTCTCGCCGACTTCTCTGTGAACCAGCCAGACCACCCACTGAACCTTGAAATGAGCTACGTGGCCCAACGGACAAACCCCAAGTCGCTGAGACAGGTTCATGGAACTTTTGCTCTCGCGACAGAGGATCTCATCAAGCACATTACTGATGTAGAGCCTTACGAGCCTTACTGGGACCATGTCCGCCGCTTGGTGCTTCGTCAAAAGGGACTGATTACCCTCCACAAGCTTAGCGACTTCTGTCCTCGACTTGAGGATCTCGATGTTTCAGATAATGACATTGGTCAGCTGAGTGGTGTTCCTTCAACCTTGCGAACTTTGAAGATCCCTCGAAACTGTCTCTCAAACCTCACGCCTTGGAGCCACTTGACCAATTTGCAATATCTGGACATTTCTGGCAACGACATTGAAACACTGGATGGATTCTCCAGTTTGATCCACCTTCGAGAATTGAAGGCAAACGATAACCACATCCGCAACATCGACGGCATCATGGATCTGAATGGGCTGTTGAGCTTGAAGCTGAGCAACAATTCCCTTACTAGCGTGGATTTCGAAGGAGCTGAACTGTAAGTTGCCCTGTCACGTAGTTACTGTGTGCAGTACTGATTTTCTAGGACTCGAGTTCGTGATCTTGACCTAAGTCATAACTGTCTGACTTCGGTTCAGAACATTGAGTGGCTTCCCTCTCTCTCTACCCTTGATCTCAGCGCCAACAAAATCACACGCTTTGAACCTTCATCATCGCTTATTAGCCTACGTGCCCTTCGGCTCTCTGGAAACCGACTGGATCGGTTTGATGTGAAGAACATGTCTTCTGTGAGCCTGCTATACGTTGACCAGAACTGCTTGTCGGCTATCGCTAGCCTGGAGCACTGCCACAATCTTGAAGTACTTTCTGTGCGAGAGCAGTCTTCGCCTTCGGAGAACGAGTCGAGCTTCGCTCTGGATCTCGATCTTGGTTGTGTGAAGGATGTGCGGAAACTGTTCCTTTCTTCAAACAAGCTTTCATCTGGATGTCTTTCACCGTCGGTACCTCTGCTTCAACTCCAATTATTTGATCTGGCTGCCTGCACCCTGCCTGCTCTTCCCGATGATTTTGCGTCAAACTTCCCCAACATCAAGGTGTTGAACATGAACTTTAACTCACTCATTGAGCTGGAGCCACTTGTGGGAATGAAGTGCCTCTCCAGATTATCGCTCGTTGGAAATCGACTGGCCAGAATGAGACGAATCTGTCAAATTCTCAGCCGACTGGGTCGGGATGGCCGCGGAAAACCTTGCTCTTTACGAAAGCTTGATATCCGCGGTAATCCATTGACCGTTGGCTTCTACCCCCCAGCTCTCACTGGCAATGGTAGCAACGCGGATCGCAAGAAGTTGAAGAACCAGGATAAGGTAGTGATCCACGAACAGGAATATCAACGAGACCTTTCGGATGCTCTTGCCGATCTTGATCAGAATGACCGAATGACTCATGCAGTCACTTGGGAGGACGGGTCAAAGGACGCGCGAGATATCAAGATCAACGACCCATTCACTCTCCCTCTTGCCGACCCCAGCGCAGATGCGAAGTACCTCATCCATTTGGATAAAGCAACTCGGTTACGCAGAAGCGTGCTGGAGCTTTTGCTATACGCTGGCACAAGCGGCTCACTCAGCACCTTGGATGGGTTGGAGCTTCGGCCATCCCTAGGCGAGGACAGTCCCGACATGGGCAGGGCGTGGTCGAAATTGGAGGAGCTGGGTATTCTCAAAAGAAAGGCGATTACAAACAAGGCTTAAAGATGGTTTTCATCATACTCAAGGGAGGAGCGGGTTTTATCAAAGCATTTCTGGTAAAGTCATGGAGTTTTCGGGGGTTTGACTTGACAATGGCTTGGCCGGGCCTGGTGTTGGGTGTCTACACAATCTGCATGTTTGCATTCCTGGAGTTTGATTTTTCACAGCCTTCATGGTCATGGTTTATAGCGACAGCGCTTCTAATTTCGATACGCAAACTTTCACCTGACGATCTCTATTCAATTTGTCTCCTTGAAGGTGCAGACAGGTTTCCGCGTAGACTCGCTGTCGAAGGCCCTGACCGAGCATGCCCTGACCCACATAGTTCTGTTGAATTCCCAGCAAGAATATTCCTCATAGTGTCATTACAGCGGATATCTTCATCCGGTCCCGATGAATCCCTTCCTCTTTCCTACTGCTTTGGCCAAATCTCCACCAAGACAATAGTCCCGAGGGAAGGAAACCGCGCACAGAGCCGCATGATCGACAGCCCAACAACCTAAATTGGCAAAGAGTTAACCAAGGCACCGGCGTCCTCCTGACAAGGATCATATTAGCAGAAGCGCAGAAAGCATACCTAGAAGGCCAACATTAAAGCAACCGGAAAGGGCTTTCGTCATCTTTCATTGGCAAGTCAGGCCTTCGACCCGATTGTGTGGTAAGATGGGTGCGGGCCGACGGACCCGAGGACCGGGGTTCGGCAGTAGTTCGGGCTTGATATGCACGTCCGCACCGGCTCGGGGCTTTGCTGCACCATGAGAGATGCTCATTGCTCGCGGATCGCGGGAAATGCATGGTCTTGCATAAGTGTGTTTCGGGTCCTTTGGGATACTCGTAGTCCTCTAGGTTCGACTTTCTCGGCAATGGATCATCGCCCGGGTCTACTGAATTGCATGAAAACATGTCCTGCTGAACTGCAGGGGCCTGGATCTGCGTCATTCACCGGTCTATTCCAGGAGCCTGGTCCTTGGATTCCCAGTCCATTGTCCTGGGAATCCTTCTTCGCTTGATTTGGGTCATCTTAATTGTTCGGAGGTATTGGGATCATGTAAGTGGATGCACGGATCCTTTACTGTGGTGGTAGATTGTGTTCCATGCTCCTGATATAACTTTGAGGACCGTGCAATGACTATTTTGCGGTTTATCCACGGGAATTATAGACCGCAGCCTAAAGTCTTCGCTCTCAAAGTCCACTTTCACCTCGTCCTTGATGAAATAATGCCAAGAGTGATATATGGCACCGTTTGGCTCCTTTCAAATGTCTTCTCTAGATGGTACTGTAATTGTTGGCCCGTAAACTACACCTGAAAGGTTAAGTTTTGGTCGCCTTTGAGGTCTATCTACAGCATCTCCTTGGTCCGGCTGGTATGTGTTATCTAATGATAACTATAATCAAAAGGATCATTTGCTCAGATACCCATTCGTGGACGAAAACAGACAGGGCTATGCATCATATGCTTGGCCAGCCGTATACCACTCTCTCATTGTAACCTTTAGGGTTTTAAAAAAATTTCCAGGCGTGATCTGTCGTCTTTCCTCGCATGAGCTCACAAAAAATCGCAGACTTTGACCAGGGGGTCCCTTGTCCTATCTTTCGTGCTTTAAGTTCGGTCAGTGGATATTACGTCGTCCATATAAAGGGGCCCAGTGTTTCATTGAAACGGCCTCTACGACTTGGTCTACGTGAGCTTTATTCTGTCGAAATGTCCTCCGAGCTTTACGAATCTTTCTTCATCTGTATAGCCATTCTTGTTGCACTTACTTGGACCTTTTTGCAACAACCATCAAACCATCTCCATCTTCACCCACTACGCGATCACTATGGGTCGGTAAGTTCTGGTGCTTGTAGCCAGTTGACGGTGGGTCTACTTGCTGACCTCCTTTCTGATAATAAGCGGCGGGTACAACTAGTGCTCCGAGTCCACGTCTCGCGCCCTACTAAAGGAATACGCAAACGTCATTACTTCTGACGAAAGTAAGTCATAACCTTCAAAAGAAGGAGTCTTCACTAATTTCTGCCGTGCTTTAGGGATAACGATGAACGGTTATTCTGATATTGACCCGGCTTTTCCCCTTGACACACGAAAAGGCTCAAAGACTACGCGCTTTAGCGCATTACCGAGCATGTAGTGGAAGGATTCACCTCGACACTGGCATGGGGGATGAAAGTATTGGGCTACTATCGGCAGCGGACATAATGGTGAAGTCGAGATAGACTGGCTAGGAAGAATCGTCTTCTGTGGACTATCATAGAATATGGCTATATTGATGAAGGTCGCAAGAGAAGACAAGCATTTTATGGGGAAAGTAGTCGTTAAAGAAAACCATCACGACCCGGCACATCATCCCATGTGCGATAAGCACGGAGACCTTATCCTTGAACGAGTGGCTGCTTTTTCTTCTTCACATGTGAGCACTTCAATTCCCAGCTTCGATACTTCAGCAACTATGTCCGATGGGTAATTCGAAGCCACTGGGCCAAAATATATATCAGCCACGCGGTCGCTCTTGTGTAGCTCTATCCAGTTGAACTTCTCTGTCTCCGAGATCTTTTCAATATAGTGACCTTGAAAAATGCGTCAGTCATTGTCACAAATGCATATTGCTACCGCTTTCATCAGGCAAAACAGCTGTGTCGCCAGCGGTGAAGTCGAAAGTGCAGAACTTGAAGTCATCGAAGACTATGCGAGCAACCAACTACTTCAACCGAGTGTATGATACATACTATCCGCTTCTCTCCCACTACAGCAAGGATATTAACCAAGACGGTCGCTTCTTGCGACTCACTCTGACAACCGCAAGTCGCATTGTTGCTCTCGACATCAGTGATCTCAACCAAGTCAAATGACTTGAAGACTCGGATGAGGACCAACCGATAGTCGGATCACACCATGTCAAAGTTACTCCGGATCAAGATTATGCGGTTGTGACTGGTCAGCTCTCTAGCAAGTATATAAGACCCGCTCTTTACTGACTCATCACAGATTACTTTGTGCAGACTGGCGATATCGGAACCATTAATACCCCAGCTGACTTCAAAGCACTGTACATCGAAATCAACAACGACAGAAGCTTAAGCTTCAACCGCTCCAGCGATTCCAGCGAAAGAATTTGCCAATCATGGCGGTGCTCAGCCTTACTCTAGTGTTACCTTTGATCTGTCGGACCCCGATCATCCATATTATAACTCAATTCACTTGTCGTGTGGTGATTGGGGATCGTGTACTATGGAAATGCCGGTTGACGCGGTTATGCGGAGCTTTATTCTATCAAATGACGCGCTTGTTAAGCTCCTGAGCCTAATTGTAAGGTTGCTGTACTTTACTGCACAAGTTCATGTCCTGTCAGAAAATTAAGCGTGAATAAAATAGGGGAAATCTTGCATAACGAACCGGATCTACCCGCATTCCTTGAGATGCACGGACCAAACCCTACGACAAAACTAGAGTAGTTCCAATTCTTAATAATGCTTGGGTCGTTATTGTACGACTTTCTATGTGATGAAAAACTATGTACCAAACATTCCTTGAGCATGAATGTAAAGAGAGACCGTCTTCATAAAGTCATATTCTAATGCAAATGATTCATAAACTCCATACGACCCGGAAAATGTTCTTGATAATGTCTTGATTCCATTGAAGTCATAGTCTATGCATAGTCTTGGGCTAAAAAAAAAAAATAGCAGGTCGTATCTATTTTCCGAAGACCTTGTAGCGGTCCTCGATGGGGGCGAAGGTCTTCTCACCGGCCTCGGAGGCGGGGACACCGAAGACCAGCTGGGCGTCCAGCTTCCAGGACGCCGGAAGGTCCCAGGTCTTGCGAACATCCTCATCGATCAGAGGGGTGTAGTGCTGGAGGTTAGCACCGAAGCCCTCGGACTCAAGAGCCATCCAGACTGTGAATTGTTAGGACCATTACAAGAAAGGAAACTTTTGTGGAACATGGTCTAAAACATACCGAGGTACTGAGACATGGCGTTGGACTCAAGCGCGAAGGGGTCGAACTTGTCGGCATAGATGGCGAACTTCTCCTTGATAGGACCCAGGGACTCGTAGTCAACGAAGAAGAGGACCTGGACAGGATTTAGTTGCGATTCACAGTCATTGGAAGAGCACAGCCAAAGTGACTTACAGTTCCGTACGCGGCCTTGAAGCTCTCGAGCTTGGGCTTGGTGCTGTTCTCGAACATCTCCTTGGGGACGTGGCCGGCAGCAACGAGGCCCTCCATGACCTTGAGGGTAATGTCCCAAACCTTCTTGTGCTCCTCCTTCAACAAGAGGACGACACGAGAAGTCTGAGTGTTGAAAGAGCTGGGGACGTGAAGGACCGAGTCCCGGACAATGCTGTCAATGGCATCGTCGGAGATGGGGCTCTCGGCCTTGAGGTTGTAGTAAGTGCGGCGGGACTTGACCAACTCCATAAGAGTGGTAGTCGCCGGGTTCTTGAACTCAACTGCGTGGCTGCCCATTGTGATAGATGCGTAGAGGTAGTAGATTAGAGGAATGAAGAGAATCAAAGTCCACAGAAGAGGCCGGTGTGCGGTTTTCATATCTACAGAGGGGGTAGTTATAGCGTCTTTTTATTTTTGGTCGACCGATGGGTCCACGGGTGTCAACACCAATTATCTGACTGCGAGCCACCTGGTGGGATTACAAACTCCACTATTTTTGCTCTTATAAAAGAATTCATAAGCATTGAAAATTTGTGTCGGCTGAGCGGAGTTTTGAGACTCCGATGATCTTTGTCAGCGGAGTTGACAGGGGGGATCTCAAGACTTGATTGGACACGAGTGGATGAGTGGGACTTTGAGTGGGACTAAATGTCGGGAATAGGGCGGAAAGCAGCCGTCACGAAGTGATGGATGTGGCACCATTCCTGTGGCCAAAGGGTCCCCCGGGACTACACGAGGTACGAGGTTCTGGATTTCCAAGCGATTCTATGACCCAAGTCAGGACCCATGCACATGTCAGCTCAGTAAGCCTTGCTATTTCCCCCCCCTAAACTCTCACCTGTGATAAGGGATCAATGCTTGGATCGTCAGGATCTCTCAACGGGTAACTAGATCTGCACTATCAAGCAGTACGCTAAAAGGCAGGATGATTCCGGAGTCAGGGCATTCAAGAAAGTCCAAGTCTGCGCACCCGGGCTTGGGCAAGATATGAATCTCATCTGTGAACGCGGAGATCGACGAAGGGCAAAAGCTACCAAGAAAAAAAAGCCCCCACTAATTCGGCTTGTGTAGCAGGACCAAGTCAACCAGAAATGATGATGGGTTCAGTTCATAGTAGAATACCTCGAAAGAATCAATCACAATTGTAGAAAATGTATATGCGACCTCAAGTCCCCGGAAAACAAGGAGGTTGATCCAAATGATAAGAAAGATATACACAACAAGTAATGCAATGTTGAAGGCAAAGACTCATGGTGAGCTGATATCTCAGATATAGCTGACCTTCACACCCATGCCGACAGTACCCTTCACCTTGTCCCACGCGGAGCCCGTGATCCTGCGGACTCGTTCGCGCACGTCCTGTCGGCTTATCGCCATCAGTATTCCAAGCACGAAAAGCAGGGTGCGTACTATTGATAGTGGGTTGCCCGACACGCTCTGGACGATATGCTTGAACAGGTTACGAAGCGAATTGGCCACGGCTTTTGACTTCGCCTGAGGCTGGGACTTGACCTGCTTCTTGGAGCTCTTGGAGCTAGACGGAAGAGCCGTCCGTGTTGTAGACTTGCTGGTGGCCGACTTATCGGAGGACTTGGAGCCTGAGCCCTTGCTTTTGGAAGCGCTGCGCGGGCTTCCTTTTTCGATCCCATAGTCCACCTCGCTGGTATTGCGCTTATGCCCATTGGCCCTTGGAGGTGTGACTGCGGCTGCCTCCTCGGCCCTTCGGCGCTCATCATTTCGTTGCCGCTCAAGCTCCATGTCTTTCTGGCGCTGCAACTCCGCGGCACGCATCTCTCCTCTTTCTTTCTCTTCCTTTAGACCTTCTAGGGTTTGTATGAACAAATCCTTACGCTCTTCGTCGAGGACTTCGCTCAGGTTGACAAACTCATGCGCGTATTCCCATTCTTCATTGCGGGGAAGAACGTGCAAGACAAACAGCTCGATAATCCGCACGCGGGCGGCTAAATCCTTGGGGGTGTCTGTTCCGCTCGTGGCGGAGATCCGCTGAGGTGGAGAGCCACTAGACGCATCTTGGAGACGATCTGTAAGGTCGAGGTTGGGTTGTCCGTATGATGATAGGTAGGTTTCAAGTCGTTGCTGGTTGAGAGCTTGAGAGGAGGAGTGATTCAGTAGTAATGTTGCTCTGTTTATGATGCATTAATTGTAGTTCACGAATTCAGAGGAAGAAAGCGATCACTAACAAATTGTAGACAACCTCGGCGTCCACGGAGCCTTCCCGGCCTTGGTATCCGACCTGCACAACGGTCTGCCAAATGCTGCCTTCGCGAACTTGTGTCGCGATTGTCTTCCACTCCTTCTGGCCGAATTGATTCTGCCCTTCCTCGGCCCCGAGGTCTACTATTGCGCTGAGAAGGGTAATGTAGAGATTCCACACCTTGATTCTCCACGTGCCGGGGGCGGTGGCGATCGGCGCGACAGGCGCGACCGCGGCCGAGTCACCGTTTGTGTACTGTTCTTCTTGTGATGACGGGACATTGATGATCGGCTGGAGGGATTCAAGCGATTCCGGTAGGCGTCGTGTGAGGTAGAGTTGGGAAGCTTTCTTGTACGTCTTGGAGCAGAGCCTCATGGGGCTGGTGGAGGACGGGGAGGAGAGCTTGGTATGTATGGACATTGCGTCAGGCGATGCTTTCCAGAAGCATGGAATGGCGCAATACTTGGATCAAGTTATTTCCTGGGCATGAATAAGAAAAGATTAGATCGATGGCGAAGGAAGAGAGGTGAGCTGGCGTCGGGTACTCTGCGATCGGCTGTCGTTTTCCCTCGGCTCGCCCAAGTCCGGGGTTGGTCACGGGATTACTTTCCCCGTGAACGTCCAGATGTTTACGTCGTTGATGCTCTGTTGCACGGTAATTAATGCCTTGTCAATAATCATCAGAATTTCCGGAATTTTAAACAGATGTTACAATTGGGTAAGGAAGATTACGGTCTGTCCAGACCTACGGTCTCAACTTAAGACATAGCACCGTTGTATATCGCCAAATCATCACACTGTTCTGAAAAAGAAGGTATTCAAATTGGATAAAAGACATAGACAGCATTCCCTTCTTTTAATCCTTATTATCTCCCTAATTGAAATTGATGCGATTCACGAGCAATCGGCCTTCTGCCCATATGTCCTTTGAGTTGCCCAGGCGGAGCTGAGTCTGCACATATCCTGGCTCTAATGCTCGAGCTTCAGCAGAAGAGACTGTCAAAAATGGTCAACATGGAGTGTGTTCGTTGACGCTCCCACTCTGTGGAAGCTTGGGAGCGGCGTATGCATGGCAACATCTATCGGGAAACTAGCGAGGGCAGGCTTCGGCTACGGTTTTTTGTTGAACTACAAGTACCTGGAGCTATCGAGGCATATATCGAGAGAATGACCGTCCAAGGCGCCTTCCGAGTTGTCAAGTCAGTCAGTCGCTCTACATGGAGGTTCTATACGCTTGGTGTTACTCCAAGGATCCTTCTCAATATGCCAAACTATGTGCTACATTCTACTATCGTCCCTTGGCTCTTACAAATTACTAGATAAAACTGCTTGCCGACTTAGGATTCTTCTACTACCACTTCATCGGCAAGTTGCCTGACACGGTAAAAGAGGTCTAGCTTCTCTTCCACTGGATCTTCCCACTACTCGTGCTGTACTAATGCGTGTTCTTCGCTACCAGAGGCCTGCAAGGATGGCAAATTTGGCTGTTCCAACCATCAGTATGTTGCAGAGATTTCTTCAATTTTGCTGGTAGCTATATTCAATTTGTACTGTCCTGGAGAAAATGTCCCGAAAGTACGTGAGGCACGAAAGTCTTCATGAGGTGGGCTATGACAGCATGCTCACGGCCTTCTTGTTTCTCAGGCTCCCGTTCAGTTTCGATTTCGCATGGAGGTGTTCATGCCTCGAGGCGCGACAGGCTCTTTGCAGTACATACAGCTCCAGAATCCTCAGATTCAGTCATATGGCGCGCGGGAGTTGTTCAGCAGCCTCGGTAATGCTCTTACCGGTTAAGCTCAAAGCAACCCGATCGACCTCCTGGATTGCGCAGGCGAAAGCGACGACGGCATCAAAGAATCCTCTTTTCCTCTGGATGCTTCACTACATTCCTCCACCGAAACCAAAGGGACAATCGCTAAGGTAACTCGCAATGGTGTGTTAATTCCTTCCCTGACCGATACTCTTTAGGGCGTCTACGGAAACAAGCTGGGCGACTTCGGCATGTACGAGAAGATTGTGGAAATCACTGAGGTCGAAGAAACCAGAAACATGATTTTGGAGGAAGCATGAAAGGACGAGATGAATTTGAGTGACTATTCAGATACCTAGAGATAGCATCAATGAAGTGCCGGAATGTTCGCCGCATCTATCTAACAGTACACCTTGGTCAATACGAAGGTACCGCTAGCGAATCAGCCGCGAGATCGCTCTAGACACCACTAAATGATCGACTGGTCGTGGGAATTACTAGACGCAGCTGACGATAAGGAAATGGGTGCCTGAAGAAGAGAAAATCTTTGAAGCGGAGATCGCGCTTTTATGTGGTCCGCTCCGCGCTAGCCCCCTTTAGGTGTAGTGCCAACGTGACTTTGCTGGGAACTTTTCTCGTTGTTGGTAAGGGCGTCGAAACAGCATCAACTGTCTCTATAACGATGTCGTCAGGTTCCAATGGCGCCCGGCGCGTAGCCTCCTTGTTACGTACGTACTATTGATGACGGATTGAAATTCCCACTAACTCCCCTGATCCAGGCCCGTCAAGGCTCGACTCCAATGTGTGCAGAAGCTGTCAAGAAACCATCGGCCGCCGCAACTATGCTTCTGCTGCGGCTGCGACGCAGTCAACGACGGCTGCCCCCGATACCACTTTCCCCGTCGTGAAGCCCGTCTACACCATCAACGCCGGTGTTGTCCTTTCGCGTCCGCCCCAGATCACCCGCGACCTCGAGCCATTCGAAAAAGCCTACCATTTCTACCAAAAGCGTCTGAACGAGCGTCTGGCGCTGCCTTTCACCAAATACTTTTATTTCAAGCGTGGGACTCCCGCCGACGTCGACTGGAAAAAGAAGATCGCCGAACGCCGGACCCCGGCACGCGATATCGGCAACTACAACGCGTACGCCAGCGACGCTTGGAATGATGAACTTCTCATGGGATCTAAGGAGTCCGACCCGGAGTACCAGGTGGAGAAGCTTGTTGAAGATGCTGAGTCCACAGCCAACGCCACCTCCCAAGATACCAGCAAGAAGGAAGAGATCCCGCGACCATTTCCGCGAGTGACGGAGGCCGACAAGAAGGGCGACCTCAAGAGTCTGAACCGGCTGCTCCCCCAAACTCTCTACCTTCTTGTTCAGTCCAAGGAGGGATATTGGAAGTTCCCCAGCTCTCCCGTAGCGGGCGAGGAGACCCTCCGTGAGGTGAGCATGCGCCCAATCCATACTCTGATCTAGGGACAGTCTTTCTAACTGATTTCTCTGCATAGGCCGCTGAGCGTACCCTCGCCGAATCCGCTGGAGTCAACATGAACACCTGGATGGTCGGCTACCACCCCGCCGGACACCACGTCTACAAAAACCGCAAGCCCCACATCGACCAGGCGACCGGCGCCGAGACTCACGGCGAGAAGACCTTCTTCATGAAGGCCCGCATCATGACCGGTCAAGCCGATTTGTCCTCCAACGTCCAAAACCTCAAGGACTTCAAGTGGTTGTCCAAAGACGAGATCGCGAAGCACGTACTCCCGCAATACTACAGCTACGTCAAGAACATGCTTGCCGATCGGTAAGCGATTGGATTGATGAAGTGTGTATACCGGAGTTAGGATCGAGTTGGTGTATGAACAAGGAGCAGCGAGCTCAAAAGCCAGGAACCAGGAACCAGGAACTGGCCATTTGTTGCCTGGTATGAAGCGTCATCGACGCACTGCATATACTTTTACCGCGCATGCCATGTATAACTAGATTTTTACTGTACTGTCAATCAAATTTATCCACTGAGATTGGGCTCAAATTCCATAGCCCTGCCCGGGACTCCAAACGCCATGCCGTAATATAGCACCAACAGAAAATACTATCACATCTATCCCCTCGACCTGGGCGAGAAAGGTCAATTTCACTTCAAATTGAACTTCTGGCCTTGTACAACAGGCTGGTCCTTGGCTGATTTGCCAGACATACTCTTGCCGCACATCGGGCAGGCTAAGTAAACCATTAGCAAAGATCTCACGAAGATGACGAATCTTTGAGAAGGAACATACCATTCTTCTGATAAGCACATCGCTGGCAGTACTTCTTCCCAGCCTCCGTCTTCGTCTTACACGTCTCACAAGACGAAGCATAAGCCGCATAAGGATTCTTCGCCTTCGCGCTGAGAAGTTTGTTCTACATTTCTAAGTTAGCCATGTCCCCCGAATCAAAAGACAGCAGACAACATAAACAAGCAAAGAGACATACCTTGCCAATACCCGTGTTACCCAGAGTGGATTTGCCCTTCGCCGCACCAGCCGCCGAGGAACCGCCTAGCGTGGTAGACGGAGAGCCGTAGTACATATCATTCTTGCGCTTGACGCCCGGCGTGGCGAGCTCAGTGGACTTGAGCTTTTTCTGGCACTTGGCGCACACCATGGTTTTGAGAGATGTTGTTCTGGGGTTAGATGTTCGGGTGATGTTATCGCTTCGCCCGCCACCGCCTGCTTTGCCAAGACATTTTGCGGAGTGTAGATGGAATGACTTGGAAATGACTAGATCATGATTTTCTTTCGGTGGTCAAAGGCTTCTAGCTTGTGAGGTCTATGTATTTTGACTCTTTTACGCTCTTGCACAAAGAAAGAATGCAAAATCGGGATATCGCAACCGGGTATCAATTCATTAGTACAACATCGTCCACTTCAAATCTGGGATATTACTTGAAAAGAATATACAGTCGCGTGATAGAATTTCAACACAGAGCACATGAAAGGTGAATCGCAAAGCTACTTCGCAAATAGCTTCATTGGCAATGGAAGTCGTAACTCTACCCCATCTCCGTCCACTCCTGCACTACCTCCTCGCTATGGCATCTGTTGCTGGGGTTGGTGCGCAGGCTGTTGATAAAACTGCTGACCCTGGGTCTGCTGCATATGCGGAGGATACTGCTGAGAGGACTGTGGGAAATGGGGATAAGTCGTATGTGCCGGGTACATCGGATAGCTTGCAGGCACAGCATATTGCGAAGGCACGGGCTTGTCATTTTCTCCGCCGACTTTGCTCCACTTCATGCAGCAGGTGAGAAGGCCCACGTAAATACCGACACAGCAGACGAACTGGAAGACAGTCTCGAGGGTTGGCAGATACAGCGGAGTATACCAGCGAGCCGGAAGCCAGTAATGCATGGCGAGGACCGCCCACATCATGTTTAGGGCGAACCAGAAGACGCTGCCAATTATGAGGGCGACAGCGGGCATCTGTATGCTGTTAATACGACGAAACTGGTCACGTTTGCAACTTTGATGTGGTGAACTCACTCTCGAGACAAAGCGATGGGTTCCAGCCTTGATCGTCGCAAAAATGGACCAGGCGAGGATTTCCAGTGAAAGTATCCAGAAAAAGATCGCTTGCGCACTTGCCACCTTATTGTAGATTGTTCCAAGATTATACAAGCTTGAGCCTTGCACGTACGCCACCCTGTATCCGACATACAAGGCCCACGAGGCAATAGCCAGCGCCACCGCGAAGGCCAGAGCGATCCCGTGGATGATGACAACGGCAGCGTATGGTCTTCCTGAGTCGGTCAGATGGTCGAGTAGCTTGTGTATGACGTTGTAGAAGACGAAGATGAGCATGCATTCGTTGAACGAGAGGAAGAAGTCATAGAGGAACAAGTCGATCAGATAGTACTGGGTGACTGTGACGCCAGCCAGGAAGAAAGACTCTTCAATGACAATCAAAACCATCGCACTGAAAATATTTCATTAGCGCTTGTCGCTATGTCATGAGCGGTTTACATACATGAGCCAGGTAATCAGAGAAGTGAGCATGCCCTTCATCGCACCGCCATGGTTGCGGATCGTACATGCCCAGATAGTTCCGCAGATTAGGGCAGCCAGTGTCAGAACGCTGAACGCAAACTGGGCATAAAAGAGGGGCTTTGGCTGATCAAGCCTGTCTAATGAGAGTCGGTACTCCCTGTTCCACGCGTCCGCGCCACTGTAGGAGTAGCTGTAGCGAGCGAACAGCCCGTGCGGCGGCATGTTGAAGTGGGTCGACCAGTGCAGGAAGACAGTATTCTCGAAAGTGTCTCAGATTTCAATTTTAAAGAATGGTTATTGTGACTGCACAGGGTGTAGTAGAAGCAGGAGGTTGCGCAAAAGAGAAATATTCCAGGCGTGGCGAGTCATCAGGGCTGGTTTTAACTCTCATTTCCCCGGGCATCATGCCCAGAGCCTCTTAGACCCTTGGAAGAAGGCTAGCCAGTATAGGCCACTTTCTAACGGTTACTATTGGGTGTGAGCCTCGTTTAGAGCAATGCGAGGCGCCCGAGAGCTTGGCGTGCAGTTCGTGGCTTTGGCCCCTTTTTTTTTTGTGTGTGTGTGTGTGTGTGTGTGTGTGTGTGTGTGTGTGTGTGTGTGTGTGTGTGTGTGTATGTGAGAGAGAAGGCGATTATTTTTAGGCCCCGCGTGATATTTCTGAGGATGAGTGATCTGGGAAAGGATACATTTTATTCTACAGTGACCGATGGAATCGTCAGCTGGGGTCAAAGATCGAGTTAAGTGGCGCCTGTGCCAACGCATCCACGATCGTAGAGATGGTGGAGACACTATAATTAGCCACGCAATTTATCTCACCTCGAGAACATCCAAAATTCTCTACGAGTAGTCGAGGCAGGATGAACGCTTTTTATCAGTAGAGACACGGCACCTCCGGCCACTACACCTGCAAATTGCCAGATTCAGCCGATTGCAGGGCTGTGGCTTAGCACCACCGCCACCTGCAGCTGAGAAGCATCGAGTCCTCCCCGAGCTGTCAGGCCACACCACGCCCCGATCAGGGAAGATCCTGGAGTCAAACTCAGCTTGGGTTGATTCCCGTGTCCCAGTCGTCAACAGATATCCGAAGTATAATTGCGCTCGCCACTCGCACGTCCATCGTACAGCTGGAGCTTGAGTCCGACAAAGCTCCATTTCAGCTTTGGTTCCTTGCCTCCAGTTCCCGGTTCCCACGTTGCCCTAGGATCCACGACGTGATGGGTCCCCCTCGGATGCATGATGACCCGCCACTTGCAAACTGGCCCGCGCCATCAGTTGAGATTTTGGCGATCCTCAAGTCCAGGGCGGACTCCAAGTGCTCCCAATCGCTTGGGAGCCCGATAGTACGGGTGTCCCCAGGTGGTTCGGGCTTGAGTCTTGCTAGACTCCTTTCGGGCTCTCCCCTGAGCTCCCAGGGAGGGGGGGTTGGAAAGATATTATGTATAAATAGTGACTAGCCACAAATTAATTTCTTCGTCTCGGGGGGGGTCTCCAATTTGTTGTGATTTTTCCCTATCTGTTGTGTTCCTTCGATGCCCGCATGCGGCTGCTCATCCGCATAGCGCGCGCAGTTGACTTCATATCTCAACATTTGCCCCCGCAAAGAATCCAATTACCTTTTCGATTTGTTCGCCTCATTCTTTCCATGCTCTAGGCGAACGCTGTGGACCCTCTTTGTGTCTCTGACTTTCCCGTCTGAATCATCCGCACAGACTCGGTGGGATTACTTTACAGGAACGCGCAGTCCACCTGGAGGCATTGACTCAGCCTTGGACAGTCAGCACGATCCGTGCCAATTCTCTATAAAAGCACAAGAAAGCCCCAGGAGCTGTGAGGCGCCCTTCACAAAACAACAAGAAACAAGCATCACATTCAATATGCCTCCAGACGGTTCCTCCTTTACAGCCTTGAACCTACCACCAGAGTTCAGTCTACCGCAATGCATGGAATACTTCACTCTAACTGCGGGGCCGAACACTGATCTATGGCGGAAGCCCCCAAATGGCGATACCTCGACCGCGCCGATCGTGTTCACTTCCCTACGACACCCGTTCGTCGTAGCCGAAGTCACCGTCAGCGCCGACTGGGAAATGGAATGGGACCAAGGCGGCCTGGTCATCTACGCCGGCGCAGCACCGCAGTCCTTCTCGGGAGCCCCGGCAAGCACCACGAGCCGCCGATCAGGCGCCCGGCCACCGTGCAAATGGGTCAAAGCCGGCATGGAGTTTTCATCCGGCACCGTCAATGCATCCTCCACGAGCGCGACAGCCGATGGCGCCGACTGGTGCGTGTCTCCTGTTCAATCGGCCGAAGGATCTCGTGTTCAGTCTCTGCGCATCAAACTCGAGCGTATCGGTCATGCACTCTGGGTTTGGTATCAAGTTCCTTCTGTTTCGCCGTTTGCGCGGAGTCCGGGGGCCGTGGGTTCGACGTGGACGAAGCTGCGGGAAGTCAATTGGTTCTTTTACGGCGTTGAGGATAAGTTTGTTCATGTGGGGATGTATGCGAGTCGGCCTATGAATTTAGGTCGCGGGCAGACTATGTTCGACGCGATGAATGGGCTGAGTCTGGATAGTTCGTTAGCGGCTGGATCCGCGGACGGGCTGGTTGTGGAGTTTGAAGATCTGGAAATCTTTTAACGTGCTGTTCCCCCTTTTTGGGGGCAAAGCCAGTCTCTTCGGTTCTTGTCTCTATCTGGAACTTGGTTCTTGTCTTTTCTATCTGGGTTTTCCTATTCCCATGTCATGATACCTATTTTCCCCCACTGCGTTTTGAGCCAGCGAGTCTTGTGGCATGATCGGAGTCGAATTTGCTGGTGTCTGGATACTTACTTGTTCCCTATGTGTTAACCTTAATGACCTTCATTCTGCTGATCTTGAATATTGGATTCAACTGTTTATTGAGTTCAATAGTTGCCGTGGATGTGTGGCTGATGTAGTGCACTGCAATTGAACGTTCCGGATTGCGGAAGCCGTAGCCCCTGGATAGTTGGCACTAAATAAGGCTGCAGCCTTGCCCGCAACGTTGAATGTTATTCGCTGTTTAAGAATAATTTGAGTCTTTCAAATAAGTATGATTCTCTCGTTCTGAGACCTTTCCATGCATACATTCAGCGCTATGTCTTTGAATCAATGTATGTCAGATAACGTGCTGGTCGCACAATATATACTTGTCCCATGCAAACCCTCTGATCTATTAGCTCAAGGACGCCTCGTATCGCATACACGAACCACACCTAAAATTTGACAGAGGGCAATAGCTAAAATGATTCCCAAGGTCGGGAGTATTTGGCCTTCGTGATTGTGAGATGTATGCACAAACGAGCAAACGGTCTCCAAGCTCTCCATTTGATCTCTAGACAGGTCAAAGGATGACCCAGGACCTCGTTCAAGCAGACTCATCAGCTCAAAGACCTCGACAGACATAGCAAACACTAATTTTGACCGAAAGAGACACCAGTGATCGTTGATGTAATGACACATGGTATGGTACCTTTGACTGTTTGCGTCAAGACATCCAACTCTTTCGCCAACCTCTGGGTAGCCGACACCGGCTATTACAGCCACAGTCACATCGGATAAGAATCCCAGAGCTGGAAAATTGATCACTTCATCTACCTGCAACACAGGAAGGCACTCTGCAAATATATAGGCATATGAGATCATATAACGACTTGGATCTCCTTGCTATTGCAGCTGAGTCAGCCGGCCCATGCGGGAACGCGCTACCCGAGGTCCCGGAGCTAGTGCAGGCTCTGCGCTTGGGGATGCCGGGGATATCGAGCTCAAGGGGCCGCTTCGTTAGCTGATATAATATCAATCAAGCTAGCTCAATCGACTCACTGAGATGAGTGGATTCATCTGGCCCAGCATTGACCGCCAATCGATGGTGGCTGTAAAGTTGTCGATGGGCAAAGACTACGCGTGGCAAACCCGGAGAGACGGGGGACTCATCAAAACTCGGAGCCAGGGCGACTCCCCAGATTCAGCAGGAGCTGTTGGTGATGATGGAGCTCAGAGCTCCAGTTCATGGAGTGCCTGAGACCAAGTCCAGAATCCAATAGCTGGGGGATGCCATCGCTACTGCAAGATGGCCCCCATCTACGAGAGAAATGCTCAAGAGGCAAAAAAGATGCAGGGGGAGCAATTAGGAATTTGGTGATACAGCCGGAGGACTCAACACACAGAGTTTTGGTTTGGCTCTTGGAAGTTGGGATAGGTAGGCCATATTGACTCTATATGTACAGAAAGGAAAAGTTGTAGATGACGCTGAAAAGTAGTACATGGTAATACATCACGACCAAATACCCTCCCCGGCGGACAAAAGAAAAAAAAAAGATCTTTTTTCTATTTGTTCCTTCAAAGCCCTTGGATCAAACGCTTAGACGTACTTGCACATCATGGCAACCATGAGATCGAAGAGACCCATGGCCTCGACGAAGGCGAAACCCAGAATGGCGTAGGAGAAGAGCTGGCCACGGAGAGCAGGGTTGCGGGAGACGGACATCAGGAGAGCGGCGAAGACGAGACCGATACCGATACCGGCACCACCGAGACCGATGGCGGCGGAACCCATACCCAGGTTCTTGGAGACCTCAACCATGGCGGTGGCGACCTCGGAGGAGTACTGGCGGCGGGCAGCGGACTGGAAGGCCTGGCGGGCGTTGGCCTGGAGAACGGTGGGAGCGGCGACGCGCTTGGGGGCACCGAAGGTGGCAGCGGGAGCCTTCTGGGTGAAGGTGCGCTTGGTGGCAGCGTTGAGCTGGAAGCGGGCGGCAGGGCGGGCGACCTTGGAGGTCTGGGCCATGGTGGAAGCCAGGCGCTGAGTGAAGACACGGGAGGCCATTGTGATGGTTTTTGGAGAGGAGTTTGGGAGGGTTGGTTATGGGGATGGATAGGGAACTTTTCAGGGAGAAAAAGCTGGGAAACTACGGAAGAAGGTCGTCCCAGGACATAAATACTCTACGGCACAATTTTCGCCCGTCCGCCTCCCGGTCGAGGCTAGTGCGCGCGTGAAAAAAGCCCTACTCTGTGCGGACGCCGGAGTATTTCACTCGCAAATCCCCTTTACATGGAATGCATACCTTGTATTTCACCAATCTTTCATTTCTTACCGGTATTGCAGGCTGGACTCGGGTTCGCTCGGGTCGACGCCTCTGTTCGTGGATCCACTTGGATACTCGTCTTTCAGAAAGCAAATAAATTACACCTAGCTGATTTTCCCCTGCATCAATGTTTCAATTCTGTGAGGTGATCAATAGGAGTGATCCGGATTTTTCCAGTTAGGGGGGGGAAAGGGAAGGGGAAGGGGGGAGTGGGAATGAGCAGAAAGCTCCGAGTAAGCCGTCCCCAATTTCTTTTCCACCCTTTTTCCTGCAATGGATCGTCATATTCCGATTGAGTGGAAGTGGGTCTCAGATCCACCGGATCCACATCCGGATCACCAATCATAATGGTATCGGCACTCCCAAACAGACGCTAGGTGTCCAGAATCCATCCCGGCGTCGTCCCAAACCGGGCCGACTCGGATTCCAGGTCCACCACATACGGCATCACTGGGCAACCATTGTTCCCCGGGAGCCACTTAGTCGGGGCAAAGGAGGGTCAAGTGGATATTACCACTCGCCCTTTCCTCGGGAACCAGCTTCACCGAGTGGTCTAATTGGGAACACGTAATTTAGACAGACCGAATCTTACCTTCTTCGGACTACATGCTTGCTCGGCTCGTCACTTTTCCCAGCCGTCATGCGCTGGCGCTGCCATGGGCCCAGAGGATGCCTTTATAGGTTTCCCGCAAAAGGAAGAAAAAAATAAAATAAAAAATTTGGGGAGAAATAACAATAAATGAATACGGATTCCAAGATTCCAGTCCACCTTCTCGGCCTCCACCCTGTGGATTCCCGGGTCCGCCAAAGCCGGATCACAATATATACCTATCCGGGAACCCCCGGCCAAGGAACCGCGGAAAAACTAAGACGCCTATAATAAAGGGCTCTTTTCGTAGATGCAGTTTGATGCCTTGAGGATGCATCGGAGCACCCCCCTATCCTCCCATGCGAAGGCTTATAGAACATCGCACAGGGATCCGGAGGCTCTGAGAGGCTCATTCCGGGAGAAATCGAACTGCTGCAGCCGGATCTTGGCGGACCCACATAAGCTCTATCGGGATTGCCGGTACCGTCAACGCCCTTGCAGTAATCCTACGTCCAACGACATTAAGTGAAAAGAAAATCATGGAGAAAAGAGAAAAATTACAGCTTCAAAATGAGTGGCAGCTTGCCAGGGACATCCGGTTGCTTTTATGATGATGGAAGTGGTGGATGTTTGCCCCAGTGGACGTGAGGATGATCCAGGGGCCGTGTATCGGGTGTTTTAGGGAACGTGTAAAGTTACAATACGGTATCCATCGATCCGACTCATCGAGGCATCATCGACCAGAGACCCGCTGTGTGAGGTCATGCTGGAAATACTTGGCGAAGGACAGCTGGCCACTTGCCTCGTATCTAGCCAATTGAGGGGATCATCTCTGTGATATATATGCGCGGAAACTACACCCATGCAGATGCAGGGGGGGCTGCGGGCAAACATCTGTTGAGTTGTTGCATAGCAACAGCTGTCTCTCAACGAGATGGACGGGCCTACGGATACCTATAGCCGGAAATCACCTATCCCAGGCTTTTGTCCAGGTGATGAATCCACTCGACGGGGGCAGTGGAACCCATCAATACAGGGGAGGCTGGTATCAGCTGTGTTTACAGGTACCGACACAGCTGAATTTCACGAGACGCGTCGCGGCAGAAACCAGTCGATTCAGGGTAATTTCCATCCGAAGCTTCGCTGGGGTTGTTTGTATTGTTGGTGTTGGTTCTGGGTTGAGCTGGTTCAAAAGGGTAACGGCTCTCGAAGGGACTAAGCTTCCACGAGAAAGCCAACGAGTTGGCATGCTGAGCACATAGCTACTGTAGATCCAGGTATCGTCGGGAAAGGGATGGGGCATACTTAGATGTACATGCTTGCAGCGGAAGTGTTGAAGCTGAAGATTAAAGCCAGATCTCCCATGGATGCTCGATGCTCGATGCTCGATGCTCAATGCTCGATTCTCGATTCTCGATTCTCGACTCAAGGAGATCCGGACCCATCGGCTGCCTGGGGCCAACATCTGTCGTGCCCTACGATGAAAGCCACAACGGGGGGGCTTTCTCCAGGTACAACACTAGTATCGGTGCCACACACATTCTCGATGAGCTTTCCCCAGCTTTCCTTGAGATCCACTCCCTTGCTACACCTGGCATAGCGTGCTTTGGTTAATTTTTTTTGACATTTGTGCGATCATTCTTATCTAATGAACAGAATCGGAGTACGGCCACATGTTGATTGACGGACCCACGCAGCCAAGCTTTTGTAGGTGTACGTGACAAATTTCAATTGTGTGGAAATAGATCTAGAGCTGGAGACATCCCTGGCCTGGCACGGTGAATAACTTATAGCAAGATCAACCGACGATGGACGACTCATGGAGGTAGTTGCCATAGAAAATCAAGGTCCAAATCAACACCATCCATGCGAACCCCAAAATCTCCCTCGTGAGGGCCAAAAGGCGCCATAGACGGATCAAAAGGTAATGATAGCCAATCGTTGAAATCAAAATTGGAGAAAGTGTCTGAGCTTACTTCGTTGTCCGTGCTTTGTTGATGAACAAGCTGCGCATGTAGCGGCGTTGTTTCGGGCAGCTGTATTGTATGATCACTCGAATGGGGTTTCTGGAGAGAGGCAGTCTGATGCGAGGAAACCAGACTTCTCCGGAGTTTTGAGGCCTGAATCTTGAGTAAGGTAGCGTACTGGGCCTTCAAATGGACATCGTCCTGGTTATCGTCCTGGAGAGCGCTAATAGCTCGATCGAGTATTTGCAAAGCCTCTTGCAGCTTGCTATTGCGAACTCCCAATGCCAAAGCTTTCATCAAGAATATAGAAGAGCTGATTGTGCGAAACAGGAGCCTCATGGGTGAGTAGTGTAAGGAACCCGCTGTTCCCAGCGCGGCCACTTTTTCCAATGTCTGACAGCATCCATCGATCACCTCTTCAATGAAGCCATACTCTCGGACGGTCATATTTGTCTGTCGTGCTTTCTCGATGAAGGGGTAATCAATTGTCGAGCCGCTATGCAAATTGGTTTGCTCCAGAACCTTTTGCACAATGTTCTGCATGCCAACCGAGTTAATCAGAATACGGAGGTGCTGATATTCTATGAAAAGAATTTCCATAAAAGGTGAATTTGCTATATTTGTAGTGAGATGGCGGCGATGCCAATCAGACAGTACCATTTGTTTTTCCTCCAGGAAGGAAACAAAGCGTCTCGGAGACCGGGTCCCTAAAGTCAGATTCATCAGAGGAGAGAGCTCAGCCAAAGTTCTACATGTCAATCTCGTGAGTTCAATCCAAGATTCCATGAAGCGAACCCATATCTGATCCTTCGGACCTAGTAATGGCGAGTCAGGAAGCGAGACCTCTGCCTCGGGCGAAATGGGCGATGTACATCCGATGCGAGTGGACAAGACATTGAATTAGACAAACAACAAGCTTGGAAGACGTTGGCGACGCACCTCAAGGTGCTCCAGATAGATTGCTGCGTCTAACCGAGCAAGGTCGTCTGGCTTCGGTGTCTGTTTGGTGGGGTCAAAGCCGCCTAGTTCGTGTGCAAGAGCCAAAGCGGAGCTGAGAACCATCCAAGACATTCGCTCAAACCGCTTTGTCGGTTCCACGACATCTTCTCTCCATCTATCAGATACAGGTGAGTCCTCAGTCGGCAAAGGTGGGTCTCGGGCATCAAGATGTGACATGAGGAAGTCAGAATCCCAACCATCGGCTTCCGGGGGGTATTGTAGTGCTCGCGGATGCCATTCGGAAAGCAATATCAATGCTTCAATGCTTCCAATATTCCGTGTCTTGGCTTTTGAGATCTTTTCCTGACCAAGGCTCAGGCGAAGAAGTAGATGTTGACAATGTTGCCACAGGCGCTGATGGATGAAGAAGGCTCGAGAGGAACTGCCGACCCCCGGTAGTGTATGATAGCGTGAGGAGATCATTAAGATTACACAACTGAGCATGGGTTCTTGAGTGACAAGGTAGAACTGATTCTCATGGGAAGCATAGAAGTCGGTCAGGATGGGAGAGAGCGGACTGAGATTTGCGAAAAAACTACCGGAGCAAGATGAGTCTGAGACATTATGGTTCATAGCAGAGCGATCACAAGGGGACGGTTGACTTACAGGTCAACAAGTTTCATGGCTTCCTTAGCTGTGAACCAGCCCATTTTCACGAAACGATGAGCATTCCAGATTTGGACAGTGTCCGTCTCATTGAGCGTCTGCGATATGTGCGTATGATGTAGTCCGCGTTCGGCCGGTGCATCTTGTGGTTCCTCGCGAAGTGCTGCTTCGAAGAGAGTATTCATAGCATCTTTGTTATTAGATACGACTCTCTGCAACATTGACGCAGGTAAACCCTCATCCTGGGTCTCGGATTGGGGAAGGGAAGCCGACTGTGAGCTGCTATTGCCAATCAGCACACGCTAATCAAGCGCAATGAATTTCTAATTCACCTCGGTATTCTGCTCTTCGATATCTGTGATCTTCGGAGAGGCTGTGAGTCTTCGCCATTCCTTGAAGGTCGAGACCACGGTTTCTTGGAGCTGAAGACGCAATTGAGTTGCTGTCTGCTGCATCGGACGCATTTGTCGCCCTCCCCCGGCAGGCACTTCACCTTTCGTCGAGCGCATGGAATGCACGCCTTGTACGCACGCTGAAAGTCATGATTGATCACAGCTCTACTGCGTGGCGGCCGTTTTTCCATGACGGCGCAACAGATGGAAGATGATATGCGGGGTGCGGCCTTTTCAAATATCCGCGGTGGGTCTGGTCCTCTCCGATGACATTACACAAGTCATATGCACAACGGCCATGCTTACCACTGTCCTATGGCTTCTCAAATCCGGGAAATACAGAAGCTTGAAGATTGTCGTTATGCATAAAGCTAGGATGGGTCAGGCATACGTAATGTTGTAGCGGTGATCACCGATCTCTAATGTCACCGGCTCAATTCAATATTCAAATTTGCTGTCATTCTACTGTAGCGAAATGAAACTGACATGAATAAGCTTGATCTGGCCCAACAGTATTCAATCTTGCAAGCCCGATCAAGTCAAGTCAAGTACCGGAAGTTGGGGTGATCGCCTCCCTCAGTCACATCGACTTTGTCGTTTTCATTGACTGGCCCGTAAAGACGATCCTTTCTTTTGTTCTCCAACGTTAAAGCAATGTGTAGTCCCATGGCCAAAATAGCAATGAGGCCAGTGAAAGCGCATCCAAGGGCGCACCCCGTAGTATACAATGGTGCATCGGCATCGGGAAAGACAGAGCTGCTGATTAGGCTAGAGCACTGTCCAAATGTGGCTAACAAAGCCAGACCAACGCCCTTCTTGCTGTCACCTCCTTGATTATTCAGTAGCCAGGTGATATTGATAGCGAGCGAAGGAAATATTCCACACGTCGCGAGCCAAACACCAGCATAGCGTGCGGCCGTCTTTGACTCATCTTGCACACAGGTCAAGATAAGGTAGCCGGCTGTACCCATTAAAGCAAAAAAGGTGACCACGTAGCCGCGATTTCCCCATCGATCAGACACTAGAGCAGCGGCAACGCAGCAAAGAAATGAAGCAAAATAAGGTGGTGCTGCCAGCCCTTGCGCATTCACTGAAGTATAGCCCATGGTCTCTAAGATCGTTGGTAGAAAGTTCGATAGACCTGACAAGGAATAGTTGCAGCAAAAATGAATGGCCATGTGGACGTAATTTTTGTAGTCGGTCAATCCTTGGAAGAATTGGCCCCATTGCATTTTCTCCTTTGCTGTTCTATCAACAATCTGGAGACGTTCGACGGCTTCGGTTTGCTCAGTCTCAGTGAGGAACTTGGCGGATCCTGGAGAGTCGGGAAGGAAGAGGAATACAACTACCGAGAAAAGAACCGTAGGAGCTCCCTCTGCGAGAAGTTAGCCCTGTAAACTCGAAGTGTAATGATCGATTCCGTTTACCAATGATAAACAGATACCGCCATGGCTCCAATGAGCCCTTGATCTGGGTGATGCCGAATGCGAGAGCTGATGCAAAGCAATTCGCGACCGGAGACATGCCCAGAAGCAGTGACAAGCGGAAACCTAGCTCTCGTCTTTGGTAAAACAGGGAAAGAAAGTAGGGTGCCCCACAGCCAAAGACAGCTTCAAAGATACCAAGTAAGCATCGACAAGCGACCAGCTGGGAAAAATTGTTCACTGCACCACTGCACATTGCGGCTGCACCCCAGCTTGAACAAGACTTTAGTATGAAAAGCCTCACAACATAACAATGGACAAACATACCAAATGCACAATGATGCGATGTACGCGTGCGCCGGGAGAATCTTCCACAAGACCACCGTCCATTCGAACACAATATAGCAGATGTAGAACGAGTACAGTACCCAGGACCACTGACGATTGGTCAGGTCAAGGTCTTTGCCCATTCCCGCGGCTTTCGCATTGCCAATATTCCCTGTCACGTATGTGAGATGGTATGCGTGAACGAGTGAGATGATCTGGTGGCTGCTTTAACTCACCTCTGTCAAGATAGGACAGGACGTATAGAGTACAAACAATGGGAAGCACTCGTCGATCGAACTGGGTCAATGTCAGATTGGCTTGATCCACGCGCGACAAGCGGAGCTCACCTTCTTTCGGATGAAAGATTGTCGGTCATCGGAAATCACGACTTGAGCATCGCTCTTCCCAGAGGCCGTAGTTTCAAAGTGCTGGCAACTGAGCAGCTGTTCTGGATCTTTCTCTCTCGACATGATGCTTTACTCAATCAGTGCATGTAGATATCAAAAAAAGAAGGCCTTCTTCCAGCAAATGCGAAAGGAAATCGCGGAAATAAATATACCTCGTATAAAAAACTGCCGCTCACCAACAAACTTAATGATTGCAGATGCATATTAGTTTTGGGAAATCCGGGGTACCCCACAGGCAAGGGGGCACCAATACCTGACGACACACTAGGTTCCCCGCCTCAATTAATTCCATGGCACAGACACGAATGTGAATGATGAGTTTTTAATTGGATCGGGTGATCAACTTCCTCTGCCTGCAAACCCTCGGTATGATCAAGTCGAGCGGGGGAATCAACCGCGGACGGATGGTGCCAAATACCCGCGTTGAATATCCGCTCCATGCATCGCGGCGGCAACTTGCAGAAGGACCCACTGCCGATATCGCCTTTATATTCACAATTTAAAAGGCTCTGCTTCTCTCATTCTGACTTCATTGTTTTCTGAGTAACAAGCAAAATCGATCAAGATGTCGGCAAGCACTGTCCCCTATCCTTTCCAATTCGAACCTCGCGAAAGCTCCGGCCCGCAGGATGGACGTACCACGACTGTGAACTTGACTCTGAGAAATGTTCGAGGCAAAATCCCATTTGAGCAGACATCACACTTGCGTACGATGATGCTCGAGGCTCGCAACGATCCTACCAAGATTCTCGCCCACGCATGCACTTATGACGGGCTCTCTTCGCGCCTAGTCGAAGAAGCAGGCTTTCCCATGGTCTTCTTGGCGGGATATGCCGTGTCCTCGGCATATGGACTGCCCGATGCAGGGTACATCTCGATGCCCGAGCTGTGCGACAAGATTCAGGAGGCATACCGGCAAGTGTCCATCCCCATCATGGCCGATGGAGATACTGGGTACGGAAGTCCTATGAATGTGAAGCGAACTGTGGAGAGCTTTGCAGCCGCAGGCGCAGCGGGCGTTATGATTGAAGATCAACAATGGCCTAAGCGTAAGTAAAAATCCTTTTCTCAACCTCTTGGAAACCTCACGTTGACCAAACCCAGGCTGTGGACACACCAAGGGAAAGAGCGTCGTCTCCCGTGAAGAGGCCTACGCTCGCATTCAGGCTGCAGTCGATGCCCGCAATGAAGGAAGAGACATTTTCATTCTTGCCCGCACGGATGCATTGATGCATGGCTGGGATGAAGCTATGACTCGCGCCAAAGAATTCAAGCGTATTGGAGTCGATGCGATCTTTGTCGAGGCTCTTCCCAATCGCGATGCCATGAAGCGGTGTGCGGAGGAAATTGATATTCCGATCTTTGCAAACATAATCGAGGGTGGAAAGACCGAGAATATCTCTGCCAAGGAGCTCGCAGAGTTGGGATACAGCGCGGTCGCGTATCCTTGGACCTTGGTGGCGGCTCACTTGAAAAGTGTTCGGGAGGCTTTGGATGGACTCAAGAAAAGCATGACAGTGGGCGCACCTCCCATGATATTGACATACGATGAGGTGTGCGAAGGTGTCGGGTTCAACAAATACTGGGTAAGTTTCATACTCACTTTGCCTTTCGAATATTGTCAGAACGTAGCTAATCAACTTTTACCCAGGACCGAGAGGAGAAGTACAAGTTCTAGAGCAGATATGATGAATTTACTCCTTACCGTATCGTATATCACCTTTGTCTCTATTGTCTCCTGTCCATTCACTTTCTATGTAAGTCCTGGTGGGTCTTGTTTAGGGAGTCTTCGGAAATTCGTTGGGTGACAGGGGACCGTAGACCCCCAAACGCGCTAATGCAGATTCGGTTACTCTATAAACAAGCTCAGCTAAGCCTTAATGTGACTAGGCAATCGCCACCTCGTTCTGACTGAGCTGGTGTCGTGATCTCAGTCGATAGCGCGAGCCTAAACCCAGCTCAGTAAGTGACCTCTGCCCCTCTACCCCTCTGCCCCTCATTCCCTCTTTTCTCCTTTTCTCTTCTCATCTCCCACCTTTCTCAATCTCGCACATTTATTATCTTCTTCTTCTCAAACCATCACAATGGGCTTCTTCAGTGGTGGGTGATTGAATCCCCAATTAGTTCCGCCATCAGCTTGTTTAAGGCTTCCTTTTCAGTCACTAATGCTTTGTTTACCACAACTAGACGACTCCGATCAGGCGAACTACGCAGACCAGTGGAACGCATCCAACCCCCAGGAGCATGATCCTTCCTTCGCCCACGAGCTGATTGCTGGTGCCGCCAGCTTCGAGGCCGCCAAGGCCTACGAGAACCACGTTGCTGAGAACGGTAAGCACGGATTCTTTGTAACCCCAGTTTGCATCGTGGAACAGGAGAAAAGATCAGCAGCTAACAAGGTAAATCTCCTTAATAGGTCAACCTCCTAACCACCAGATGGCCAAGGAGCTCCTTGCTGGCTTCGCTGGTGCCTTCATTGACCGTGAGGTGGAGACCAAGGGCCTGGATTTCATTGATCGTGAGAAGGCCAAGCGCCAGGCTGAGGAGCACTTCAACAACGTCGATCCCAGCCAGTATGGCTACTAGATACCTGGTCGGAACTCAAGGCTTGCCACGCGAGACATGAGTGGTCCATAGCAAATAACAATAAAACATGAAACTCTTGTCAAACTCGAAGCCCGGTTTAGGATCCGTAATCACATGTAAAATACCGATTCATTAGTCATTCAATTTCGCTTGCCTTTTCCAACAATAAAGACATAAAGGATGATGTTCCTCTGCTGAGTAAGGAAGGAAGTTAGGGTACTGGATTTTCGTTACAAGGCAAGAAAGCAAGCGCTATTATGCAATGATACTACCAGTCATTCTTGTAAGATTAACGATGTGTTCGAAGGACTTTCCCTGAATCTCACATCTTAGATCGTGACAATTGTGAAAGAAGTTCGACTTGATCCGGAGCATGACGGCATGCGATTCTCAAAACATGAGGTCCAATTTGTGTGGAAATCAGCATAAGAGCCGAATCTCACTCTACTGACGCAATAGAGTCTAAGTACAGATCTACCCGCACATTCGAACGCAGGATTACGGGAGTGGTGGCATGCCAACAAGTTGATCAGCTCCCTCAGTTGGACTGAGCCAACTGACGCGTCCGTCAACGTATATCTCCGCCTTGGGCTTGTGTTCATTGAGAACGTTGATGTCGTCTAGTATACCAGCCCCGAGGATGACTATGTCATGAGGAGTTCCGGTGGATGTCACTTTCCCTCCATATAGCGGCGTTCCTATGATCACTGTCAATCAAAGCCTTGCCAAAACTTCCTTGAAAAGCAGATACCACAATCTGAACAGAAATAATTCTTTATATAGTTTCCACTGTCCGCCGTTTTTGCGACTTCTTTAGGACTTCCAGTGATTTTCAGATCGGCATATTTCACGACAAAATTATAAGTGTAGAGGCCACCGGTCAGTTTACGACAATCTGAACAGTGGCAAAATCCCTATTGATAGAAAGTATGATGTTAAGTTGATGACAGCAATCCATCTCGCGTATGTACACTGACCGTCGTTAAAGGCTGGCCACTGTATTCAATCCGAATATTTCCGCAGAAACAGCCGCCAACAGCCATTTTGAAAGAGAAAGTCTCTGGTGCGATGATGGTACATAAGACAAGGGGGGCTTATGAACAGAGATTATGAGATGATTCACCTGAAATCGGTGCGGGCGAACTATTGCCCGCAGCGTAGTATCAGCACACGAGCCGCTTACAAAGAGATTAATGATTAATGTTGGCCCCCAACAATAGAATGTTGAGTATGAAGATTTGGTCGGGCTTCGAAGGCATAGGGGGCCATTGCTGCTTTTGACTTGGATCAAGTTCTTGCTAGCGTTGTATGACGGTTCGGCTGCTGCAACTCGCTACGCTATCATTTGAGCTTTGAATCGTCACTCAATTCGGGTCTAACTATAAACACAGCTTGAATATGCCGGAGTGAGATGTTGCCGTATTCCATGGTGTGCGTGAGGCTCTAGCCACTGCTGTTATCAAGCAATGCTGCAGGAGCACGGATACTAAGGCATTATGGAGGGGTAGTGAAGTAGGAATTTAGAAGAATGTCGTGGAGGATGATGTATGTATATTGGCTACGTCAGAAGAGTTGACTCTAGCGGTAAAGCTTGGAGAATTCAACAGAAAGCATCAATTGCTATTCTCTACTTAAATATGGATAAATGTGACGATTGGAAACCAAGGACGCCATGTTTGAAGTGACCATAATTCCGAGATCTATCGCTCCGGCTGGGCCCGAGGACGGCCTGTCTCCCTTGGTAGATGGCAATTTGGCGGCCAAGTCAATGATCTTCAAAACTTCATTGCCAAGCGAAAGTATAGAAGACTCAAGAGGAATAGAGAATAGTTGGCGTTTTTCTTAAAAACAAATCATTGAGAAGGGCAAAAGGTTCCAAAAAGCTACTTGTCAGCCCCACTTTTAGTTTGCGCCCTCTACATGACATCGAATAGTCCAGAAGGCCGACACCGACTTTGTAGTCATCCCATGAGATCTTTTAAAGACTTAAAACAAAGCGTAAAACCTGATTCTTTGAAATGATTCATTTTTATCTGCTGAAAACTATATCCATCCATCACATCCAACTCTTATTCATCACTTCTGCGCCCCCGAATCCCCATAATGGGAGACACGGAACTCACCAGCCGCTCCTTCACCATGCGGACCCATCGCCCGGGTGACATAGGCTTTATCACTCATCGCCACGGAGTACTCTACCATGAAGAATTTGGCTGGGATGAGCGCTTCGAGGCTCTCGTTGCCCGCATTGCCGCAGATTTCATTGACCAGCTCGACCCCGAATTGGAGCGTTGTTGGATCGCCGAACGAGAGGGGCAGTTTCTCGGATGCATCATGCTACTGAAAGATCGACCGCAAGAAAAAACGGCGAAACTTCGCCTGTTATTGGTGGAGCCGAGTGCTCGGGGCCTTGGTGTTGGTCGGGCCTTGGTACGACAGTGCACTCAATTTGCAAGGGAAGTGGGCTACGAGAAGATTGTGCTGTGGACTCAGAGTACACTAGTGACGGCTCGGCGAATATATAAGAATGAAGGGTATCAGCTTATAGAAACGGAAGAGCACAGTACCTTCGGAGTCAAATTGACGGGCGAGCTTTGGGAATTGAAGCTATAGACGACGGGAACAGGACAGTTGGAGCTGAAACCAACCCGGGAAACGAGCTTGCCTAGTGCGGGGCCAAAGCTACATATGAATCATGTTGAATAGAAAAGAAAACTCTTGAATAAGTAGTCTCAAGATCTCAGATATCTATAATGATTGTACGATTGAGAGTAAACCAAGTATCTGAGCCTGCATTGTTCTTGTCACGACTGGTAGATAAATGAATCTCATCTTTGGCATGCCAGAGCCGTGCAATGACTTCGATTTCCGGAACCTGGCAGCCCAGGAGTGACTCAAAAGTCGAAATGATATCTAAATTGCATTTCAACGACTGCTTGAGCTGGGGGCAAATCATAGGATGACCATGTGGCATACCAAAATAGACGTCTAGATTGACATCGATCCCGCTCGCTCTTAAAGCCTTCGCGTGGATCACTCCGTCATCGCGCAACGCATACATACCAGACACTTAAGTTGACATGCCTATCGCATATTCGTATCACACCGCTTGATGGATCCAGGACGAAGTGGAGTGACTCATGGAGCTTTGCGCGTCTGAAATTGACTATGCGGTACAGGGAAGAGATCATTGTCTCCTCGCATGGCTTCTGCAGCATCTACCCGATTAATAAATATGGCAAGCTTAAGTGGACGTTGAATGTTGTCAATTAACCCTAGATCGTCGCCGGGTCAAACATGAGGCGAGCTCGAGGAGCAACCTCTTTTTCCAGCATGATGTGAAACTCGTCGGGGTCACGAACAGCACAATCATGCTGCATATCCATGAAGAATATGATAGTCTTTTCTCAGAGGGTAACACAGACTACGGTCGGCCTCATACTGAAATTTGACTTTGTCGCAAAAGACCGCTTCGCTCGAGCGTCGCCTCTGGGACGCGCAGAACGTGGTCTGCGTCCGGTCCCGAGTCAGCTACCAACCCCGATCCAAAGTCAATGTCCCTGTGGGCCACGGCGCAATATCAACCAATGAAGAACGCAACGGCTTCGGCGCCGTCGCTATGTGAGCGTGATAGCGTGGTTTGAATTCGATAACCTAATGCAGCAGCGCTTCGATCAGCATAGACAGGCAAGCTAACCCGCACACCGAATTTTTATGCGTGCCAGGCGGGGTCCCGGTTCGGCAAGGGGTTGGTAAGAGGCATTTGCGAGTTGGAATGAAAAAATATAAGAGCGGACGAAAGTGAACCTTGGTGATGACGAGCAAGATCTCCGAAAAGTGGCTACGGGTGCGCGGAATAGATACTGTACGAGACCGAGATCCGCATGAGTGGAGCTGGAAGCTACCTACGTGATGGTGAGGCCGGAGCCGCTTCGACCGAGGTTATTCGGGTGCAAAGCTGTTAGCCCCTGCTAGCCTGCGCCTTAAGCAAGCTGTTCGTGAGGGGCCGTCCGTAGCTTCCGTTGGATTTAATGGCATCGTGCCAGCCATGTCATGGAATCACTTCGAAACCGAGGGCGCAGGTGTCAGGCTATACCGTGCCCCATCGCGGACCCATGGAACTTGTTAGGACGAGCCTTGGACATCCGAGGCCACCGAGTTTTTTATTGTTCTATTATTTCCCTTTTATAAAGCCCCGATTTCGGGAAAAGTAGAGCAAAGTCGAGTGTGCCGGGCGAACCGCCAGGCCGTGTTTGTACGAGCATCAGATCACGCTGCAATCAGTGCAATTGACAGGTGGAGAAACGTCCCTTCAGGTATTTGGCCCCTTATTGGGTCCCATCTATCAGAGGATCAAATGGATGGATCCTAGTGATGATTAGTCTTCTTAGTGCATCTCTAGTGCGTCTTTAGGACCGTCGCGCATTAGGCTCCACTTTTTTTTTTCCCCTTTCGCTGGGGAGCTTTCCACTTGGCTTGACTCGACCCTGTTGCGACCGCGCAGGCGAGTCATGCACACCGGGTCCGGCTGTCATACATAGCTCTTTGCTCTTAGTTCTCCGTACTGTGCAATACAAGAAAAAGCGGATCAGCCAAGGTACCTCAGACCCGGATAGCTTCACCGCATGTTGGACACCAGTGGGGACCCAGTGGCCCAAGACGACAACGACTGGCCATTGGGCTGCAACGGAAGTCCAATTATCCTGAATCGGTACTAGACAAATGAGCCAGAGGAGCAGACTTGGTCAGAATGGAGTAAAGCACGAGTTGGTCACTGTGACAACCTTGCCCCACGCTGTGAATCATATGCGCCTGTGTTGTACAGTCGAATTGGGCATCCGAGTTTTTTTTTTATCGTGCTCCCCGACCTGACCTCTTCTCTACACCTCTACTCACACCTCTAATAATACCATTTTGTTCTGCGAGCTTAATTTGTACAGTTGATCCAGCGTTAGTGCTGCTTTGCTGGTCAAGTTGCAAATCATTTGTCGCTTTTCTCTTCACCTTTTCACGACCTTTACGAATTGACAACCGCCGGCATGGCGACCGCGGCGATCCAACATGGTGCGCCTCGAGCTTTATATGTTTATCTTACAGCCTGCTAATGATGAGAATAGTCTCTGATGAGACTCTCCTCAAAGACCCTGTCTCCGTCGAGCCCATCACATCCTCAATCGTCGATAAGTCCGCCGCCAATGGCGACGCTGAGACTGAGGTTCCAATGACCGCAGCCCAAAAGAAGAAGGCTAAGAAGAACGCCAAGAAGAAGGAAAAGAAGGCCGCCGCCAAGGCCGACGAGAATGGCAACGACTCCGCGGACGTCTCATCCTCGCAAGAGGTCGAGCCCACTGAGTCGATTGCGGAGACCGCCAAGACAAAGGAATCCGAGCCTGTCGCTGAATCCGAGCCTGTCGCTGAGGCTGAGAAGCCCACCGAAGAGGCTGTCTCCGAGAAGCAACCCGAGCCCACCACTGAAGAATCTGCCGAGCCTACTAAAGAGACGCCTACATCCATCGAGGCCGAGTCAGAACCCATCACAGAAGCCCCCGTGGCCGATATTCCCAGCAAGAGCGAGGAGACTGAACCTGTTGTAGAGGCAATTGCCGAGCGCGTCGCGGAGGAGTCTCAAGTCCGCTGAAGCTACCAAGGAGTCTGTGGAAAAGACAACAGAGCCTGCTGCTGAGAACTCGCCTGAGGCTGTGACAGAGACGGTCGAGACCCCCGCCGAGCAGCTCGCCACAGAGTCTACAACTGAAGGATCCAAGCCTGAGGAAGTAACCCCGGAGATTACTGAGGCAGCTCTAGTCGAAGAGACTCCTGCCGACGAGTCCGTCAAGGAGACTGCCAAGGAACCTGCCGTGGAGACTGTCTCCGAGTCCAAGGAAGAAGTTCCCGCTGAAATCCCTGCTATTGAGGAGCCCAAAATTTCCAAGGAGACTGCCGAGGAACAGCCCGCCATCGGGGAGTCAACCGAAGCTCCTAGCACTGAGCAACTCGTTGAGGAAGCTCCTGTCCTGGAGACTGTCACCGAAGAGGCCTCCCCCAAGCCCACTGAGGAGACGACTATCGCTGCCCCGGCTGAAGACAAGTTCGAGACTGCCCAGAAGACCGAAGAGTCTATTCCTGTTGAGATCAATGAAGAAGTTGCGGAACCTAGCACCGAGACCACTACCGCCGAAGACGCCGTTGCTGAGCAGACTATCGAACAGCCTGCCGTTGCCGAACCAGAGCAGGAAACTACCACGATTGAGCCCGAAGCTATTCCTGAGGCAGCCGAGCCTACTCCCGCCCCCGAGATTGAGGACTCAAAGGTCGAGGAGACTCCCGCAGTTGTTTCCGAGCCCGTTGAGCCCCCTACTACCGGAGAGGCTGCTGTTGTTGAGCCTACTAAAGAGCAGTCTACCGAGGAGGCTAGTGAAGCGCCGAAGGCCGAGGAGTCCATCGAAGAATCCGCGCCTCAGAGTACCGAGGAATCCGCCGTGGCCGAATATGCATCCGAGAAGACCGTTGACCCCGCTGCTGAGACCACAGCCGTGGAAGCTCCTGCCGTTGAAGCTCCCGATGAAGAGCCTACCGAGAAGCCTGCCACTGAGTCTCACGTTGAGGCCATTGCGGAGACAGAGATCAAGGATTCTGCTGAGGAACCTGCACAGCAGATTGCGGCCGAGCAGACTGAGTCTATCCCCGCTGATAACTCTACCACCGAGGAGCCTACCAAGGAATCAGCTATTGAAGCGGCCAAGGAGACTGTGACTAAGCCCGTTGCTGAGCCTGTCGCTGAGCCTGTCGCTGAGCCTGTCGCTGAGCCTGTCGCTGAGCCTGTCGCTGAGCCTGTCGCTGAGCCTGTCGCTGAGCCTGTCGCTGAGCCTGTCGCTGAGCCTGTCGCTGAGCCTGTCGCTGAGCCTGTCGCTGAGCCTGTCGCTGAGCCTGTCGCTGAGCCTGTCGCTGAGCCTATCGCTGAGCCTACTATGGAGTCTATTGCTGAGCCTGTCGCTGAACCTGTCGCTGAGCCTATTGTGGAGTCTATTGAGGAGTCTATTGCTGAGCCCACCGAGCCCGTCACTGAGCCCGTTGTAGAGCCTACTGCAGAGCCTACCGCAGAGCCTGTCGCTGAGCCTGTCGCTGAGCCTGTCGCTGAGCCTATTGCTGAGCCTATTGCTGAGCCTGTTGCTGAGCCTGTTGCTGAGCCTGTTGCTGAGCCTGTTGTTGAGCCTATTGCTGAGCCTGTTGCTGAGCCCGTTGCTGATCCCGTTGCTGATCCCGTTGCTGAGCCCGTTGCTGAGCCCGTTGCTGAGCCCGTTGCTGAGCCCGTTGCTGAGCCCGTTGCTGAGCCCGTTGCTGAGCCCGTTGCTGAGCCGGTCGCCGAGCCGGTCGCCGAAGAAGCCTCTAAGGAGGACCGTCAGCGAAGCTCCCGTCGAGCCTATCCTTGAGTCTATCCCTAAGTCTATCACTGAGCCTGCTACAGAGACCGCTGCTGAGGAATCTACCAAGGAAGCAGTCCTTGAATCTCCCGTTGAGCCCATCACGGAGACTGCCGCCGAACCCGCTGTTGCAGAAGCCCTCACCCAGGAGCCTGAGGTCCCCAAGGCCGAGGAACAGAATGTTGGGGAGACTATCGCCGAGCCCGAGGCTTCTACCGCTGTTGAGGCTACTCCTAAACAGGAGACTAAGGCTGCCGAGGAGCCTGTTGCAGACGCCACCGCGGTTGAGGAGGCTAAGGATGAACCCGCCGCGATCGAAGAGCCCGCAGCTGAGCTCTCTGCAGCTGGACAGAAGGAGACTGTCGATACTCCTGCCGTTGAGGAATCCGTCACAGAGCAAGATGCTTCTGAAATTCCCGCTGGCGAGGAGAAGTCCGAGGTCCCCAGCGAGGCAGAAGCTTCCAAGGAGGAGGTCACTGAAGTGCCTGTTGTCGAAAAGCCTGCTCACGAGGAAATTGCTAAGACTGTCACTGAAGAGCCTGTCGAGATCTCTGCTGTCCAAGAAGAATCCAAGGAGGTTGCCGCCGAGGAGCCCACAGTGGCCGAGCCCGTTGTTGCCGCGGCTCCCGTTGCCGAAGAAGCCACCATTACTGAGGCTCCTGTCGCTGAGGCTCCTGTTGCTGAGATCGATGCCACTCATGAGGCTGTTATAGAGGAGCCCGTCAAGGAAGAGCCAATCGTCGAGGAGCCTGTTCAACAGGATCCCGTCGTTGAGGAAAGCGTTAAGGATGTTGTTGAGGAGACCCCCGCTCCTACTATCACTCATGACGCTGTTGTTGAGGAGACCTTTAAGGGAGAGCCCGTCCTCGAGAAGCCCGTTCTGGAGACTGTTGAGGAGCCAATTGTCGAGAATACAACCAAGGATGAGCCTGTGATTGATGAGCCAGTCGTCGAGGAGGATGTCAAGCAGGAGTCCATTCCGGCTGTTGAGGAACAAAGCTCTACTGAAGCTGTGGAGCCCGAAATTACCCCTGCTGCTGAGCCATCTGTGCCAGTGGAGGAGACGCATGTGCAACACCAGGAAGTCCCTACCCCGACAGAAGAAGAGCCAGTTGCTGAGGCCCCTGTGACTGCACAGGAGCCTGAAAAACAGGAAGAGCCTGTGCAGGCCGAGGAAGTTCCAGCCACTAAAGATGAGGAGAACATCGCCATCGCCGAGGAGACTCCTGCTCAGTCCGAGGCTCCTGTTGAGGAGTACTCCGCTTTCCGAGAGCTGACGCACGCCCCCAAGGAAGAGACTACGGAACCCGCCAAGGACAGCGATATCGCCGCCGAGGTGATTGGCGCTGGAGCTGCCGCTGCCGTGGCCGGGGTCGCCGCCGTCGGTGTCGCCTCTGCGCTGCACCAGGAGTCCAAACCTACTCCAGCCCCTGAAGCCGAGCAGAAGTCGATCATCGCCGAGACTAAGGACGAGCCTACGAAGGCCCAGACTGAGACTGAAGCCCCAGAAGAGTCGCAGCCCGATAACAGTAAGCTGCAACCCTACGCTGCCTCGACCAACAACGGGTCGGTCCCATCGTTCGAAGCTGATCTGGTTCTCACAGCTCTTGCTGTTGATCGTGAAGCTCTTCTCAGCAAGCTAAACCAACCCTCGACCGATCAGCTGGCCAGCATGACCAGTGAACAACCCCAGACTTCCGCTCCCGCCAAGCAGCCCCAGGTCGAAACCGAGGAGGAGCCCACTCAGAAGTCTATCGAGACTCCTGCCCAGCTCGCTCCGGAAACCGCCGCTGCCAACGACGCTAATGAGGAGGATGCTCGTCCCACGAGCCAGAACCGGTCAGTGACTGCTGTTTCTTTGAATAGCGCACCTGACAACTGGCTCAAGGCGTTCCTGCGCACTATGTTTGTGGGATTCTTTGGAACTATCTTTGCGCCCTTCCGCCGTCGTGGCAAGGACCGCAAGTAAGATTGTGACCGAGATTCCCCCATCCTTGATGCTCTGCATGAAGGGATCCCGAATTCAATGAGAAAGATACGCATTGAATCGCAATACTAACCTTGATTCACCAGGGCCTCGTTTTGGACAACTCTTGCTGTGATCCCCATTCTTGCGATACTCTGGCGCACGTTTTACCACTGATAGTCCCTTCACCTTGTATTTGCAGGAAGGATTTTGATTGAAAGCAAAGCAAAGTCAGAATGTTCTTTTGCGCTTGATTCCCCTGTATTGATTACGATTTTCCTTCTCTCTCGGATTTTGACTTGCTTTCTGTTTCGCTTTATGAATTTCATTTGTCGTCTAGCATATTGGCGAGCTTGGCCGGCCTTGAGATAGATCGAGAAGCGGTCTTGCATCTCCAATGTGTATGACATTTACGATTAGCCTAATGAACTGGATGAATTATTTTGACTAAGTGCCTGTATGCTACAGTGCTCTTGCAGACTGGGACATTCTATTGATGTACCTTTCAATGTTCACATGGGCATGCCATCTTTTCTTCGTTTGCTTCCCTTGACCTCTCTCTTTCTCTCTCTCTCTCTCTCTCTCGTCCCTCACTTCTCTGATTCACACTTCCTTATCATCTTTTCTCCTCTCTACAGTCGTTTCTTTTTCTGTTTCTGGGCCAGTCATCCATTCTCCTGTTTTATTTCATGTCACCTCAGGATGTTTGGACCATTTCCTCCATTTCCCACCGAACATCTGAGTCCTAGGTCCCCTAAAGGATCACCCAAAGAGTCACCCAAAAAGTCCTCTGAGGGTACCACTGTGCGGCATTCCTTGGATAGTGTAAGAGTCTCATCGACTGAAGCTCCTCCTCGTCTTGCTCGCCCTCCCATCCCACCTCCCGCTCCTGCGGCATTCGTTCTACCTGGTTCCGTGCTGGGGTCGGACTCGCCATCTGTTACCCCTGGGAACGCGTTTTCCTTTGTTGCTCGACGTAAATGGGAAGAAGACAGACATGCGCGCAAAAATTTTGGTGAGTAACGAAGCTGGTTCTGTTGCTCCAGTCCTGTCATTCAATGTTTCCGGCAAGTAACAAGTAAATATTACAGGTGACTCGCTTCCAAGCAGCCCAACTGAAGAGCTCTATCGTTCTGGCATCTGTCGTAAGACTTCATGTCTTGATTACGATAAGGACCTTGCCCTGCCCATGCCGAAACCACGGCACGTTGGTGTTGACGCCCCTCTCGAGGACGAGTCAGCTCGACCTGCACTCAAGAATCGCTCGGTGACGGATCCAATTTCCACCCACGATCCTTTTCAATCTGACTCATGCACCCCCGAAGATATGAAGAAAAAGTCTAAATTGGATCTCATAAAATCTAAGTTGAGCTTCAAGGATTTGCGGAAGGAAGTTTCCCTTGAGGATATCCGTGTTTCTCCCCCGATGCCCAAGGCTTTTGATCTCCCTACTCCGCCATTGAATGAGAACTCCAGAAGGGCCTTCCATTTTGCTGCTTCTCCAAATACCATCCCTCCCATGGCGCAGAGCAACTACAACTTCAAGGCGAAGTTGAAGCCCATCGACCAAGGTAATCTCTTCGGCTGCACCTCTCAATCCAGCACTGCACCAAGTAAAATCCCTCTTCCTCCTTCTGGAACATACACCAATGCGCATGGCATTGTGGTTCCGTCCAGAAACCAAAACCGGCGTGTTTCTAGTGCGAAGAGTCAAAGTTCTTCCACTACTCAGGATAGCACCCAGAGCAAGTCCAGCGCAGAGCACAACACGGGAGCCACTGGGACTGTAAAACGACGACCAAAGAAGCTTGTCCTCTCACGTACCTGCGTGGACATTTCTCAGAGTTCAAGCGTCTTCTGTAGAGTACCCAATCATCAATCGAACAAGATATCGCCCCCCATGCCTCGCCATCTTTCCGAGGTACCGGGCAAGACGAGATACCAGCCCCGAAACTGGGCTGAAAGAGACTGTGGTCCCTCAGTCCCACCCAAGGAGAATATTATTATTCCAATTGCTTACAAGGAGAACAAAGCTCCTGTGACCTGTTTGCCTGATTACATTCCATCCTTTCGAGAGCGCATGGAGAAGGTTGGCCTTCCGCTGGAGGAGATTGCGTATCCGAGCCGCAGCATTCCCATGCAAGTGGACGACCTCGTCGACATGGTTCACTCAATACAGAGACACACGAATCTCGGTATCAATAACCTCAACAACAAGCTGGACGAGCTCGCCAACTGGATCAGCGACCAGCTTCAGAAACAGGTCACTTCTATCTCCGACTTGGCGCGTGCTAAAGCCGACCTGAACAGCAAGCAGCTCGAAGTCTCCAAAGAAATTATGAAATTCCAGATGGAATGTCGCCTTGAGGTCGGCGTCATGGAGCGGCGACTCAATAATTTCGAAATGAAGGTTATGGATGAAGCGCAAGCCGAGATTCGTGCGTTGGTTCGCTCTTACGAGGATTTGAATTGCAAAACTGAAAACCTCATCAACGAATACTCGTCCCATACGATTCAAAAATTTATTGCTTGTCAGCACCGCAAGAATGAAGAAGTTCAGAAGGATATCACATACCTCAAGGCCCAGGATGAAAAATACAAGCTTGATGAGACTCAGAAAGAGCAGGTTGTCCGATGTGTCAAGGCTCCCATGGACGCCGCCAAGCTCCCTCCTTCCTCTTGCTCAGCTACTCCGAATCATAGCGAGCTATTAGAAGAGCTCCCCGCTATCTCAAATGAGCTGGAAGCTCCAAAGGGTCACATAGGAGCTCCTTCGTATCCCTCAATGAATGTGCAGCGCTTCAGTGAGTCGACTTTTCGCAGTACTCCACCTTTGATCACTGAACACGATCGTGACTGTGCTCTGTCTCTGGCACCTACCCCAGCGTCTGACCATACACCACTTCCTCTGCGGCCCCGAGTGTCCTCCGCGCAGGACCATAAGCCAGCCGGTACATTGCCTCGAAGCATATCCCTAACGAAGAAAGGATTTATGACTGGCCCAAAAGTCTCAGTCTCTAATGTTCCAGACCACAAAGAGAAGCAACTTGAGAACACCCCCTCCAATGCAGGAAAGAAACGATCTTTCTTTGGATTTCTCCACCGTCGTGATCACCACGAGAACATTATGGGCAGACACTCTCGATCATCCCTCCGTCGCACCGAGGGCGCCCTGCTTCTCGACGATGGCAGCTCGCGAACCTCAACTCCTACTCCACCCATTCCTGCAATTCCACGAAAAATTTCCGAACTTGCTGGTGCGGAGTCAGTGGATATCTGAAGTATTCGGAGGCGTTTCGTGTTGCACAATTCGCTATGTGCCATTCTTCGACTCTTTCTTCTCATCCAAAAAGCACATGGAAAGCGTGACGGAGATACTGAAAATACTCTCGGTAATCCTTTCCCTAATACAAAGGTCTCCTAGTTGCAATAAATGCGTTCATAAAATTTGGACTTGTTCCCTAATCACGTTTGTTAATCTTCACTACGGTCAAAACGGCCAACGTGAATCAACATTCTTACCTCGGGCATCTAGTCTACCGAGTCCGAAGACCAAGGAGTTCACTTCGTCCAAGACCAAGGGGTTCACTTCGTCACGTATCTGAGCGAGTTTCAGGGTACTGAACAATACTTGAGGTCGCAAGTTTTTCAGTAGACTAGTCAAAATTTGCTTCGATCGCGGCCAGATATGGACCAAATGCCCCTAAATCAGCGTATTTGGTTTATGTGGAAGAGAAGATGCGCTCTCATGTTATAGGCATGAATTGGGTAGGGGAATTAAAATGAAATGCAAATGAATACTGTTTATGGAAGAAGATGCCAAAGCAGTAAATGGTATCAACGCGTACATACAGGAGCCGTGTCACTTTCTCTATTAGAGACCTCTATACACAAAGACACGACTACTTCGAATCATTCATCAGCTTTTCGATATCAATGGCTGACTCTCGCACTTGCGGGCAATAATGCATGCGGAGAAGCTCGCCCTCCCATACGGAGCCTGCAAAGACATTCGTGCTCTCGATATCGTTCGCGTATGCGTTGAACACGCCATCACCTTTGCGTTCATCACTATGCCACAGAGACGAGATTCGGCGCTGGTTGTGCTTTGCGAGTTGGTTCATCAAAGTCAAGGTGGCCAACGCAGACTTCTCGGGCAGTTGGAGGGAAGTTGTCATCAGACGCTTGGCAAAACTGGCCAGGCGACTTGGTGGCGGCATACCATGTGCACGGGAGAGGAGGGAGGACTGTAGACAGCGGAGGAGCAAGACCATAGGGGTCTGGAAGTTGACCTTGTTCTTTGATCGCATGCGAGCCTGGGCATCTTCTCCGTGGGCATTGGGATCGGGAAGACGCAAAGAGGTTCCGGGGTTGTACTCGACATCGGGGTTGACGGCGAGCGAGTAGAGTGATCGGTAGAGGTGTTTGATGAAGAAGCTGAGGTCGAGGTGGAGGGTTGCGGCGGCCTTGCTAGTGTCTTGTCCTTCCAAGAGGGCGAAGGCGGTGATTGTGCAGAGCAGTGTCTCGCGGCGCGCATCGCGAGCTCTGCTCTCGGATGCAGGCGCACGCTCTTCGTTCTCATCATCTTCTTCTTCGTCTTCACCTTCTTGACCAAGTTCCTCGCGCTCGGCATGGCCGATAAGATCCTTCATTGCCTCCAACAGGTCACCGAAAAAGTCCTGGTTGATCAGACGAGCATACTTGGCCAGGCCCTCAAGCACAGGGCCCATCAAGTGTGGAATGCGCGCCTTCAGAATGCGGAAGTAAATACCAAAGACGAGCTTCAGTGTCTCGGCCTGGTTCTTGTCACGTTCCTCATGAGATACAATCGCATCCGCCTGTTTCATGTCAATCTCAACAAGCTTGCGCTCCTTCTGCAGCTTGCGCTCTTTCTTTGTGCGGAATTCGCGCTTCTGCTTCTGCTTCTTGCCATGGGGTTGCTCCTCTTCTTTCCGGTCCACGCGGTCTTGTGAGGCCTTCGAATTGAACTCGCCAAGTAGGCGAAGATGAAGGAAGGTATCCAAAACGGTCTCGTTAATATTGAAGTCTCTGGCTTTCATCATCTTCGCGAGCAGGCGCACAGCTTCTTGAGAAACGACGCCATCGTTGTCCTTTGCGAAAATATCCTCCAATGTCTCGCGGCACTTGATCTGGTCTGCATCAATCAATTTCTTGGCGAGGCGATTCACAACGATCTTGAGCAGGTCGTTGCGGAAGTTGAAATGTGGGACAGCTTGGAGCATGCTGCAGGCACAGTTGATGGCCATGCTCTTCAGGCCAGGATCGACCTGGACGAATTTGCCAGGCTTGGCAATAGTAGACAGCTTGTTGACGTAGTTTCTGTAGTTGGACACAAGGGACTGCTCGAAATCGCGCAACTTTCGCACATCCTTTGAAACCTTCGCGGTCTTGTCTTCCTCGCTAAGAGGGCGAATCCTGTAACCGGGAATTACATCCTTGAAGATCGCAGCTTGAGACGCCAGAGCGAGCTTCTTGACAGTGATCGGCGAGTCCTTCTTCTCCACCATTTCAGCCATTGTCTTGAACAGCGCAATGTTTTCTTCGGGGTCCTCGTTGATCAGCATAGCGATTCGGGCGAGGTCTTCCTTGGCCTGCATTATCTGAACCTTGATCGGAATTTTGGGCTTCTTCTCTTCAACAGCCTCCTCTTCCTCTTCGGATTCTTCGCCTTCACCGTCATCGTCGGTACCCAAGAAGCTGTCGGTTTCTTCACCTGCGTCTTCGGGTTCTTCGGTTTCTTCCATAGCTTCAACGAGTCCCTCGGAGGTCTTAATCGGCAATCGAGTCTGCTCGTTGGCTTTCTTGTTCCCTTTTCGCGGGCGGCGTTCGTAGTCCATTTCGACATCCCATTCGTTGTCGCGATTGAAGGAATTGTCCTTGTTGCGAGAGGCAGAGCCCTCCTCCTCGGCAGGAGGGCTCAAACGTCTCCTTTTCACGTTCGCACCACGCGCCATTTTGTTGTTTATCGGTGTTGTGGTGTCCGAACTTGAAGGGTCTGCGACGATTAGGCGGTCCAACTTTTTCCTTACCGCCTGTGCACCGAAACTTTTTTTCTGCCAGCGCTATCGCATTCCTTGTCACGTGTCGATAGGCATAAGTGGACGCTCTGTCATGTGATCTGTTATCGCCCGGGAAAAAAATGGCGTCTGTGTCGGCCAGCCTTGCTCAGTAACGAGTTTCACAGGCCAAGATGCGTCAACTTACCGAAGAAGAGACTAAAACATTGTTCTCAAAGCTCGCCCACTACACGGGGCGTTCTTTGAACAGCCTCGTTGCCCCCACTGATGGCGGACCCCAGATGGTCTTCCGTCTGCAAGGAAGCCGAGTAAGATCCTGCCATGATGCGCAATTGCCCAATGGAAGTCGCTCTTTGCTAACAAAACGCTCTCAGGTCTATTATATGCCCCTGTCCATTGCGAACTTGGCGACCTCGATTCCCCGCGACAACCTGTTGTCGGCTGGTACCCAGATTGGTAAATTCACAAAGACTGGAAAGTTCAGGCTCAACTTGACTTGCCTGGACGTGGTGGCTCCTCACGCCAGATACAAGGTATCTTCAGCTCGTACCTGCAGCAACTGAGCGTATGCTAACTTTTCACAGTTGTGGATCAAGGCCAATGGAGAGATGCCTTTCCTTTACGGAGGCAACGTCGTGAAGGCGCACGTGGGCCGTTGGTCCGAGACTGCCCCGAGCACAGTGGTGTCATTGTGTACAGTCAGGATGATACCCCTCTTGGATTCGGAGGTAAGATTTCGCTCGACAAAGTTCGGTCACCTTAACGTATGGAGATGTACTAACTGACAACTAGTCTCGGCGCGTTCAACCCAGGAGGCTAAGAAGCTGGACCCTACCGGCATTGTCCTCTTCAGACAAGCGGATGTTGGAGAATACCTCCGTGAGGTGAGTCGGTTCCAATTACGATGGGCTGTCCGGTTTCTATACAGAACAGAGCTAACATCAGATAGGAGGATACCCTTTTCACTACTTAAGGATGGGCCGCGAGGGCAAAAGAATCTTGCATGTTCGCATACTCGATCAAGGATGGGAGTTAATGGAGTCATTTCTATCACGTAAAAAGTCTTGCTTTGCAGTCAAATACCATCGATCTCAATATGAAACTTCTACCTCTTTAAATCTTTCCGGCCTCGCGCACATCATGTACAACCCCCCAAAAAAACAATTCAAGGGTCTTGCATTGAAGAGCTTTTGTCCCATCTCTCTTGGAAATTTTTTTGGGTCAAGGATCTTGCACACGAACCCATTTATTCTAGGTATCGTGAGTCCCCTAATCGAGGAATCACTTATGTTTGTTGCGATGTGAAGTTCTGCCTGAGGCATCAAGCTGAGTCACCACAATCAAGCCCGCGGGCGGTGATCGTCTGCATCGACGGGGAGGACATTCCTATCGCAATTGCTCAAAATCAGGCCTCATTGTAGGTATTGTGAAGTATACATCTAGTGCTCCAGGCTTTAGGCCACGCGCCATTAAATCGAGATCACTCATACCCCTACGTCTCCATCATCGACATCGCGGGGCACCAATATCAACCCCGCCATGCCGGCCTACACCGCGGCGCAAAAAGACGCCATCGACCAGTTTGTCGATTTGACGAATTCCCAGCGGACCATAGCTTCGAAGGTGAGTTTTTCTTGTATGCCCATGAGTAACGCATCAAAATCCGAACTCGGTTCGTTAGTGCGTGCGTGAGGATTGATGTTCGTTGACGGTTGGACTAACAGGTTGTTATAGTATCTGAAGCAAGTAGGATGGAACGTCGAAAGAGCAGTTGACAGGTGAGTTGAACAAGAAATTTGTCACACATTCTTTCATGTCTGCGATGCTTTATACTTTTTCTGTCTTTCTCCTATGCTTGTTTCCCGAAAGAGCACTTTCCACAAGCTTCACAGCCATGGGTATCAAACGTCGACTCGCTTCAGGTCTTGAATATGCCCTGGGCCATTCGAAAGAGAAAACTCCATCAAGCACTTTCAGCACTGCGAACCGTCGACTCAAAAGCAAGGGCGTCAAAACGTGCACAAAGCTGACAATCTCATCAAAATACAGTTTCTTCGGCAGTGATTCTTCTCGTGGCGCAGCTAAAGCCTCTCTCAGCACGATCTTTGATAAATACAGAGGTACTTTATTTCACGACCTACACCTACCTTGCAGATGCATTCTCACACTCTACAGATAACCCACAAGAGAACCCAGATGGCATTGGCATCGACGGTGCCATGAAATTCCTCAGCACCATCGAAGTCCAACTCGACGAAGTAGCCTGTCTCGCCGTCTTGGAGATGTGTCAATCCCCTTCAATGGGCGAATTCACGCGCGACGGGTTCATCGACGGTTGGAAGGATGCCCAGTAAGTCATCCATTCCTCGCAGCCTTCACAAAATCACGTATTTACCCCACATAGTTGCGACAATGAAGACCGAATGAAGGAATATATCAAATACCTCCGCAAGCAAATTCCCAACGACCCTAATCTGTTCCGCCGCGTATACCGCTTTACATTCCCTCTTTCCAGAATGCAAGGCCAGCGCAACCTTCAATATGAGATTGCCGCCGATCAGTGGAAGCTCTTCTTTACATCCGAACATGGCGGTATGCTGTGGAACACGGCCCGTACGCCATGGTTGGACTGGTGGCTCGAGTTCCTGGAGGAGCGTGGCAAGAAGCCAGTGAACAAGGATCTGTGGGAGCAGGTTGAGGTGTTCATGCGCAAGTCTCTCGACGATGAGGATTTTGGTTGGTGGAGTCCAGATGGGGCTTGGCCTGGGGCGTTGGATGACTTTGTGGACTACGTTAAGGAGAGAAGGGGGAAGGGGTCCGAGATGGATGTTGAGTAGCCTTTCCTTGCACTCTTATCTGATGGTGTCCACTACTTGTGGATACCATATGAGGCCAAGATCCACTTACGAGGGTCATGGAGGAACTTGTTCCTTGTCAAAGACTCGCGGTTTCTATGCAGACCTTTGTTTACTTTGCTCTAGATGGCAATGAAAGCATATGTGCGCCCCTCTCTAGAATCCAATATCAAAGTAGTATATCGGGGAAGGCCATTCGTCGTAAGATTGAAAAATAACATCAAGGGGTGAATAGATATTTGGTGGCGAGGGATGCATGATGTGTACAGGTTCAGAACACCGGGGAGAAAACAAAAGGGGGCATGAGGTACAAAAGAAAGGGTAAATAGCCACAAATGGTAGGTATATCGTGGTACACGCGTGTGTGTACTTGCTCGACTCATTTGCAGGGCGCGAGATTCACTCAAGGGTAGTCACGCTTCTCGTACTCGGGACCGCGACGCTGGTCGTAGCGCTTGCGGAGAGCTTCGAGGCGCTTCTTCTTGGTGTGGGTGTTGACGTAGGTGCCGATGAAGAAACCGATGATGTTGAAGAAGGGCACCCAGGTATGCTCGGGAAGGAACTTCTGGGCGAAGGCCAAGGCCAAGGGGGAGGTGACCCAGCTAACCTTCATGACGGGCATGAAGCCGGCCTTGACGGTGGCGCGAACCTGGTGGAACGTGCGCGCGCCGGCGATAACAGCCATGGAAGAGAGGTAGACGCCATTCTGGATCGGCGCGATCTACAGAAACGGGGCTCCGGTTAGCATTGTCGCGCGTCCTTGAGGATATCGCATGAAGGATACATACGATCAGGTTGCTGACGAGGATCTGGAGGATCTTAGCCTTCAGACTGGTGCGACCAGCGAAGATCTTCTGCAGAATGCCGATGAGGACGTGGCCCAGCGGGGCGGCAATGAACATGCCGTAGAGCGACATCTTGGGGATGCGCGAGCTGAAGTAGTGGCCGTGCTTGCCGACATCGTGCGCGAGCCACGAGGCGAGGAGCTCTTGCAGACCGGAGAGCACACCGGAGGTGAGCATCTTGGTGCGCAGCGGGTTCTGCTGCAGCTGCTTCAGGTAGGCCTGCGATCCACATTCTTCGGATTAGTGGGCGCGGTCGGAGATCGGGGATTTTGGGCACCACATACCTGAAGATAGCCGGTCTGACCCTTGCCACCAGTCAATCGGTCACCGATGCGATGCGCCAGACCCTCGTGCTTGCCGCCGGCAGCTTCGGCGACCGTGCGGACGGTTTCCTCCTGGAACTTGACGGACATGATGGATATGATGGGGGGGTTTAATCGGGATTAGAGATTCCGCAGGCGCCTATGAGGATGGGAAAGCGGTCAATGGAGAGACACGATAACCAGACGATGTATCGCGTGGGAAACAAGAGACAGGGGGTTGGGATGTTTGTTTATGACATGTCGGAGGGGGCTGGTCCCGGTAACCGAGGCCCGCAGGGCTAATTGGGCCAAGCTTGGGCCGACGTACCTGGTGTTTTGGGTGATACAGGGCTGGTCACGGAATTTCTGGAATGAAACCAGGTGAAAAACTGGGGTAGAATCCGTATATGAATGGGAAGCGGTCGGCCTTCGCATCGGCAGATGAGATGGGGCAGACCCCGGCCAGATCCATTGGGCGAGCTCGTCGGAGATCGGGGGGTTCCGTCGGCCATCGCGCAACTTCAGGACACTGATCCCACGGTTCTCTCAACGGGGGTGGACCTCGGAGGTTTGGACCCGTACTTTGAAGGTCGACAATTTAAGTTAATGAATCTAGGATGTCTCATCTTTTAAGTCTTGCAACAATTTAATCCCTGAACCCAATGTATTGGAATGAATTAAGGCTTTATCCTCAAAACCTTCGAAGCTGCTGCTCGGCAGTAGCAATATATACTTACCGTGATCCCCCAATTAGAAGAGCAAACTTTCAAAGGGCCTTTGCACTTTCTGAAACGTCTGTATCCCTGATTTATCTTCCTCAAACCCTTCCAGAAAGCGTTGAAGAAAATTACATAGATTTATTCCAACACAATTTGTATAAATCTGAAAAAATCTAAGCACACCTTACCTATCAGATTCCACATACGCGGGAAGACAAGCCACCGCGGCTTCTTTGGGAGTATTTACATTATCAAACTCATCAGACCTTATGAATGGACTTTGACTTGGCGGGAACCCGTCTCCCTGACGTCTTCTACGCTTCTTCTGATTTTTCTCGCATTAACAATCGCTCATATGCACGGAACCGCTTGCGCTCGAACCAAGCCAGACAAAAATACGTCCACCTGTCAAAAGCGCTTCGTGGAATCAGAATCTTCTGTTGGGGGTTGACAATCCGCCCGTGTAGAAACATGCTGCGTCAAGGCTGAAGCATGCTCTGCAGAGCACTTCTAGAGAGTGTAAAGATGGTTCACTATGCGTGAAAGCCGGCAATTGCCTCTCACCGGCACCTTAGGTGTTGATTATGACAATACCATTTAAAACTTCTTGACAGTGAAGCGGTCCCACAGCAGGTGCGTATATGAAACCTCTCTTCAAGCTGCTACGGAGCCGGGACACCGACGACTTTTGAGAATAAGCACTAGTGCAAAGTCCACGCAATATGGCACTCACAGGAACCTACTATAATTGAAACGAAGAATCCTGAGGTTACGGCGCCGTTAATGATATGCTGGGGGTTAAAATGTAGCTGGTCAGTCCGAAATGAGGTCGGAGTCAGCATTGTCGAACTTCATAATTGCAACTAAGAATAGCGTCAAGTAGGCTGTTAGTGGGTTCTACTACGTTGGATCTTCCACGCACAATAGCGTAGACCACTCATTTCACGTGGAACGTATCCAAAGCACTGTAATTCATGGACACGGCCTATTGAGAGCCCATTGTAATCTGTTTGTCGTCGTTCGACGGGTCCTTTACTTTTAAGTCCAATCAGGCGTGGACCTGCACGTTGATGCTATTTTTTACAACGCTTCATCCTTTCTATCTATCCACTTCCTCCTGCTTGCTCTTTTGCTTCTCAGAACCGCGGAAAAGTCTGTCAAGGGCCTGTTCAGGCGTGCCATTTGATCAGGGTCCGATTCAGTCATGATGTCTTCCAGGTGCTTGGATGATTTAGAATACCAAAAAATGGCCAAGCAGGCTGGCGTCAGCGACCTGACTTTGCCGGAAACGCATCAACTAACTCTCGACCATCAAATGCCTCAAGGTATGTCTTGGGCTGCAGCGAATACGACACATTTCTCAAATTTCAACATAGATGGAAGATTTCTGGAAAGCTGACATCTAAGGGTCCACAGATTCTGTGGCATGCTTGCTGGGACTTGAACGTGCTAGGCCGACCCCTGAAACTCTTGTGCAGCGATGTCCCTATGCTGTGGATGATGTTATCTGGAGAGAGGACCCAGATTTGGGTAAGTTTTCTTCCGCATCGAGTAGTCGACCTTGAAGTATCGAATCCTCATATTTAGCAGAGCATGGAAATCATCTAGATCGGATTCATCGGCCACTCCAAGTCCGTAGTGATGATGTCGCCGGCGCCAAAGGGTCAGCAATACCCTCGGCGTCGCATGTTCCTGTTCATAAGGTGATGCGTGATCCGAGCGTCACGAATCATATTGAAAGTACTAGCTCTACCCAGCTCAGTGAGGCTACAGAGCTCGACGAGGATGATCAGAAAACCTTGGGAGCGCGGGATAGTGAGTGGCCAGTAAGCGACATCATTCCGTCAGTCGAAAGTTGTTATGGGATGTGCGTACTGACTTTCGCAGGGATCAGAAGGGAAGTTTGTAATCGTTGATAAGGACAACAATTTGAACTCGGAGAGCTCATCCTATGACCTTGCATGCTCGAACGAAGGCAACACGTTGATGCGCGGAACGAGTTTCAGAAATGGAGGAGCTGGTAGCGTCCACGATAATACCCATCACAGGGGAATTCATCGAAACAGCGACAATGCCAATACTTACTCGTCCCGTTCGAACGACGCCCATGCTGGGAGATTTGGATACCCCACCAACGACGGATTGTGGCCACAGGTGTCTACCTCTCGTTACCAACCCTCTACGCCAGACTTCACGCGCTTGGCTTGTCTTCGACGCCATAGTTTGCCGCCAATCTCGAGCCCTTCCGCGTGGGAACAGGCCGAAGACGAAGATCTTACCATCGAAGAAGTTCCCCTCCGTGATTTGCTTCACCATCGCCATCTCGATAGATGGGCTTCTGATTCTGATATTTCTCACCTCGAGAATGCCACAAAGACACTAACAAAAATCAATCTCAAACGTGATCTTGAACTTCACAGCCTTAAAATCAAGAATCTCTCAAAGACATTGGCAGAAATACCTCCCAGGCGTGCTTTGATTCCTGAGATCGGTGAGTTCGAGGGTATCTCAAAAAACCCTGCAAATATTCCTCCCGGACGTTTGTCTGGCCCTGAATTCCATGAATTGAGAACCGGTCAACGTTTCCAATACTCCTCACCGACGCAAATCGACGAAATGCCTGACCCTCGCATTTTACCTGAGATGCATGAAACTCCCGAGTCAGTCCGTCATGCACGCTACCAAGCTCGTCCGGGCAAGTGTCATCACACTTCGGTTCTGAGATATTGGGTCAACGAGGACGCCCCAGAGCGGGTCTGCGATACTTGCGGTGGCACTGCTCGATTCTTGTGGTCTTGCACTGCAGACACGCCTGACTGGACTGATGCATCCCCTCGGTCTGCAGGCCCAGCCTCTGCTGTACCTGCTGCCAGCGAACATGTTCCCGCTTTATCTTCTTCTTTTGACGTTGCTGCCAACAAGCCTGCTTCGCCCGCTCCCCCTACCAACGATCCTACTCTCACTGGCTTTAGTTCCACCAGATCTGCTTATTCTGGCCTTGCTGCTCCTCCAGGCCTTGCCGGGAACGAATCTGCTTCAACTGGCCCTGCTGCCACTAGCTCCACCACTACTACCCTAGGCCTTGATATCACCATACTCGCAGAGTGGATGCAGAAGGCGATCACCAAAGGAGCGTACACCCCGGCACAAGTGCAGAAGCTCGTGAAACAGAAGTTGCAGGTGGTTGAATGCGCAGCAAGAGACCGCGCAGTCCAAGCAGAACGCGCCACAAAGACTGCCTACGCAGCACGACCGCCGACCACGGAGGAAGAGAGAACAGTGCGTGAATGGCTCGCGCGACAACCCGGCCGTGAAAGTCAGCCTGACGGTAATATTCAGGAAAATCCATGGAACGCAGGTCCTTGTCGAGCTTTCTTCTGCCCTCGATGCCACTGGGAACTCACCGAACGCTCCATCGGTCACATTGACCAAGTTGCCAATGAGTCATACGTCGTACCCCCCAACATCCCCGAGTATCTGAACCGACCGATTTCCGACGCCGCTGTTCTAAGAGAGATGCGTCCGATGCACTGGATGCGCGGGCGTGACTTTGGCCTCTGGTGGCAGGAGAATAGGTACTCATCTGGCCGAGATATGGTTCCAGTACTTCGTCACGCCCTGAGCGGAGAGTGGACTGAGGAGCAGTTCAAGTTCACCAGCTGGTGGGTCTACTGGCAGCGCCGGTCAGAACGCGAGATCGGCGCGTGCGTAAAATGGCTCGAGGCAAGAAACCTTGAACAAATCTCGTCTTTCAGTCAGTCTATCGCCGACTCTCGTTTCATTGTTCCCCGGTCGAGCGAGCGACAATGTTCTCACATGAGCATGGGCCTTGACCCAGTGCTTTCTATCAGTCGGCACCCGATCTGGGAGGAATTTGAGACACAGGAAGGACTTGTGGTCTATCCAGGCTGGGAATATTCCCTTGAGCATCGTTGGCAGGCCTTGAGCCGGCTGGAACACCAGGAGCTCACGCGGCTTGTCACGGAGCAGCGAGACGCGCTGATCACCCAGGGTGCCAGCTCCGCGCCCAGCCAGATCGCCTACTCTCCCCCCAAACTGACTCAAAAGACCACAGTCATTCGGCGGACAGAAAAAAAATCCGGACAACCTGTATGATACCTCTGACGAGGTGTAGACAAGGGTTGAGGAGAGTTTCCCGGCGATAGCGTGATAGAGGAGCTTGCTGTGCACCGGAAAAAGAGCAACGAAGACATGCCATGTACGACAGGGATCTCGAGACACTCAATAATACCGTGTGGAATCAACGACAAAATTGAGTAGATCTTATGTCCGAGGGTGTCCAAAACACGAGAATGGCGTACGAAGTATGAAGTCCGAGGCTGGGAACGTGTACGTGATACCCGCAGTGGAGCCGGCCGATTAGGGAAGTCCCAACCCAGTTCCGAGCCTCGGTCCCTTCCGTTCCTTTTGCGCGAATTCCGTGATTAGAGCCGCGCTACTTTATTTTGTTTCCGATGATGAGAAGCTGGTCTTTCTCATCAACTCTTTAAGCACAGCATGGCAGACCCTGAGCTCCCTCCCTCCGAAGCCTCGGCCGCGGAACACGAGCAGCGTGTGGGGAAAGGTGCGATAGGCGCGGGGAAGACAGCAACACGGCGACAGCTGCTTGCAGCCTTGACAGCGACTGACAAAACGATACGGCGATTAGATCTGTAAGCAATCTGTGTTCTTTCCCCTCTATGTGCAATTGAATGTTGAAAAATGGGACTCCAACTTGCCTATTTCCCGTCTTTCATCTAAAGCATCCGCTAACCGACTCCGCGGGCTTTTGTCTTCAGCCGCCGGGGAAGAGCGAGTATTAGCGACAGTGGGCTATGTCGCCTCGATATTGCATCACTTGTGCGCATCCGCGCCCTGGATCGCATTGCAAACTCGACTTTCCCTTCTTACGCGTCTGAAGGGCCGGGCTGCATCGCAGCATGTGAAACCCACACCGACGGGAACAAAATCGAAATTCGCCGCCCTTTCCTCCCTCGCTTCGGAGACACGATATAACTTGCGCCTTTTTGGCCTGATCCCTCTTTGGGTTTGGGGATCCGAGACTCTAAGATCACCACCTGCCGACCCCATCATCCGCACGCTGACCATCTTACAAGTCATCTCCAATGTAATCTACCAATTCCTGGAGAATGTGTCATACCTTGCGTCGAAGGGTATCATCTCGAGAAAGTTCATTGACAAGCATGGAGGAACTGCGATTTGGGAGATGTGGAGCACACGCGGCTGGTTCGGGCATATCTTCTTCGAATTCTTCGTCTTATGGCGCCAGCACGTTCTGCGCAAGAGACGTGTCGCAGCGCAACGCGCTGCAGATGGCACCACCGAGAGCAAAGAAACTAAGGCCGAGGACGCTGAAGCTATGCGCTTGGAGATCCGCTCATGGCGCAAGTCTCTCGTCAACAATACTCTCTGGGCTCCTTTGTGCCTTCACTGGTGCTTCGAAAAGGGCATTGGTGTCCCTGACCACCTTGTCGGGATTATCAGTCTCGGTGCTGGCATTTGGGGTCTATGCGACTCCTGGGCGGCCACGGCCAAAGCTTGATCTTTCCCTCTTTTCTCTTCCCCTGTTACTTTACTATTTGTCCGAATATACCAATCTGTACATTTCAATATACTGTATATTGCCCGAGGTTTCAATGCGAAAGTAGAATGAACATCGTGAGGTCATTCAAGCTGGACCTTCGAAACCTGAGCAATTCGTGCATGTACTGCTGTTCCTTCTCCGAGCCAACAAGAGAATCCTAAGCATTGACGCAGGGGCCGAACATCCTGCACACAGTCAAGTTTACCCTTTCTTCACCGAATCAAATTGCTAAAATATCATATTGCAGTACCTCTTTCTCCTTTATGACACCCAGCTCGACGTGAAAATAAGTGACAAAGTATACACCAAGCATGTCGCTGGCACAATGAAATGACTTGCGACCATTACCGACGCCATCACGGCCGGATGCCAGGACGAATGCTGTTTTCGTGTCCCGCTTCCGCGAAAAAAAAAAGTTCTTTTGAGCAAAAAAATCTTTTTCCCGAGACGCCGTGCTGGAAGTGGCTCGATGATGAGGAGAAGATGGCGGTTGTGACGGGTATTTTCACGCGATAGGGTATTCCACGGTAAATGGGACACATATACGTAATGGTTCACGGGGAGTACATCAACTGACTGGTGGGATTGAGCTCTCAATGAATCTCTATGGACAGATGATGTTTTGTTGCTCTGAGCTCTGATGGATTTGGTGAGCCTCCTGGGGGCTGTTGGACTTGCCGCTTTGGGGTTCTCTGGTTTGGCTCCCGTTGAGCTGATTCAACCATCATTTTCGGGAAATCCAGTTTCCTTACCCTTCAGGCACAAAGAGATGAAATATGGATCGTAATCGATGGAGATGGTTCTGGCGAGAGATCTGAAGAAATTTTTTTCCTCGCGTTTGAGCAGGCTTGAAGATAACTTCACCTCTCAGGGATTCTGATGATGAAGATTATATCAAGAAACCGATCGGCGGCACAATGCCTTGATTGAGGGTGTCTTTTAGTTCCAGATGAAGCTGTGAGCATATGTGAATTGACTACGGTAGAATTGGGAAACGGGTTACAGTAGTGTTCACAATGCGTTGTACCCCAATCTCGCTCTCTCTCTCCGCTTTTCCTGTCCCCGGGCCCCACCCACAGCGCGTTCATACGTATAAGAGTAACAGCCTTTGCTTTTTCGCTTTACTTTCGAATAAATGGCTACAAATAGCGTTATGCACTTGTGGAAGCCTTGCCATGTTAATGTCTTCAAATTACAATCGCCATTTGCCGAGTGAGATACCTCCTTTTTGAAGCATGATCGGTTTGATCATTGTGTGTACCAATGATATATCCACTAAGGAATGGTGCGAGTTTCATACTATCTGTGTCTTCAATGAGAATGGTCTATGGCCTGTGGCCCGTTCGAATCTCAAGCAAATCTCGGGCTGTTCCTGCTGTTCTAGTGGAGGTGTGAAGATATTGCTATGAGGACCCGCCGGCCTATGTCCACCCACTAGTAGATGGCGACTTCAGTCACTGACCAGGTCGTAGCAATGACACGTAGGCAGATCTCTTCCCTGCCTCCAATGCTGTCAAGTAGCTTTCCTTGCTATAGTGCTATAGCAACATCGCCGAGGAGAAGAAGAAATCTCACTTTGAGCCGTGAAAGTTGGTGGCGGAGACGGCATTTTACATAGCTAGTTCGGTTTGAAGATATTGAATCCGAGGTCTTTGAAACGGCACCCAAGAGAAATTGACTTGGAATTGTGAGCAATGAGAGGAAGGAATAGGCAGTTACGGGCAAGGGATACGACGAAAAGTTGTGTCGATTGATTCAAGTGGAGTGTATCTAGGATGGTGTGATATGTCCCTTCTAGCCATGTCAAACTGTTAGTGTGATTTTACAGATTCAGTGTACCTTATTATCATCAAGTAGTAAAGCCAAGATAAAATATGGTGGTTAAGACTGATGTGCTTTTCAATGAGATATAAGAACGGTTGTTATTGTTATCGTATTGGAAACCGCTTATAACGCTTCATTCTCACGAGTGAGTTCTCTCGGTCCCTAATTTGAAGGCACGCTCAACTTTATTCGGTGAAGGTGTGCACAGAAATAATTCGGGAACCGGTGATGAGAATCGCCGGCTGGGGCTAGGACAGAAGGGCTACTGCAGTGTAGATTAAAGAGGCTACAGAGACTGACAAATTGACATCAGCGTTATACCCGACAGAATCAAGTATGGACCTGTGGTTGGCTACGATAGATGTGCACGGTCCAACTTCACAGAGACGTGCTGTAGGCTGAAGCTAGTCAATTCTGCATTTATAAGCAGTCTTTATGAGATACTTTAGTCTCCTTGCTCTCAGCGGGCTTTGAGAGCCTGTTTCATTTTGCATCTCAAGAGACCTTGGAACCTGAAAACTCATTTTCTCAGTTTCATAATGTCAGCCGGTCCTGAGCTTGATAATAGCGCTGTGTTGGAGTGGCTAGAAGCGGTAAGCCTGTTCAGAAACAATAGACTGCCAGCTCATAGCGATATTTAGTTCCACAGGGCGAGTGCTTCCCTCGACGCCGACCGATGGCTTGACGAATTCATGACCGAAGATGTGGAGATGCAATACGCAAATAACGCCGTCATCAAGGGCAGCGAGGTGCGGCAGATGTTCAAAAATGTCTCGGCCAACTAGATATGATGACTCATGAGATCCGCTACTTTGACTATGTCGCCCCTCGTATCTATCAAGCTGCGACCATCCGATATCTTGTCAAAGGCGACAATCCAGTCACCGACGAAATTACTATACCCGGTTTCGCGGTGTTCTCTGTCCGGAAAGATGATGACGGGCGTGTGAAGTGCTATCGGGCAGAGACCTTCCTGGAGCCATCGGCAGTATTCCAACGAATTGCTGAGAAATCAAGCCAGCCATAGACTTTGTGGTAGTCAACGTGGATGTCGAAGTGGTAGACCAATTGGCTAGTACTAGAGAGGTGTCTAATATGCCATTGGGAGGGGGCTTGATTTTTGATTCCCAAGGGCTACACACAAGGTCTTCTAAGTTTAACCGAGACAGACCCGACGAATTATCAGACTTGTTGGACCAAATGGGCAAAGAGATTCAGAATTATGTGCAAATTGTTGTTATAAAAGGAGTACAACTTAAATCATTCTTATTAGAAACGTGGACGTAGCTGTCAGACTAGGAAGAAGGTCCAACCTCAGAATGATTACAACATACCACATTGATTTTGGCTGATTCATTCCTCCTTTCACAACCAATTTCAGGCTGACCATCTCAGCCGCGGCCACTCTGATCCGTTGTCTATAGCCAGATCAAGGATCGAAACATCGATCCCCGACCGATCAGGCAACAAGGCACCAATCGACGCACTTCCATCAGATTCGCCGTGATCGATGACATAATCTCAGCTTAAGTCAGCGGCCGGGCAGATCGTCACTCAGCGGGTACCTGGTAGCTCCAACACCACCTCTCATCTCCCCATCGCCGCCAGGTCTGTCTCTTGATCTGCTGGATTTCTGCATCTCCATCGTCACTTGTTTCATTTTCGCTTTCCGTTCACGTTATAGAGCTCTCTTCGCTCGGTTGTGAACACTTTGAACCTTTCCCTTCCCCAAGCTCGGTTCTCGTCAACGTCACACATCTCAGATCCTTCACGATGTCTTCCGAGCCCGATCACACTCACGATAAGAAGAGGGTTAACCTCCGGTGAGTTTTCCATAACACATTATTCTATCACCATCAATCTGCTAAACAGTGACATCAGGGATGCCTCGGGCGCTGAGCACAAGGATGTAAGGCGGACTCAGCACAGTTTGGCCACAGTGCGATTGCTGACATCTCACAGGAGCTCGACACCGCGACTGCCATCCTCAAGAAGAAGAAGAAGCCCAACTCTTTGATGTAAGCAAACATTGAGCCACTGTGGATGGTACTTGGGACGAAGCTGACATCTCATCAACAGCGTCACTGATGCCGTCAACGATGATAACTCGGTGATTGCTTTGTCCAATAACACCATGGAGACCCTTCAGCTCTTCCGGGGCGATACTGTACGCCATCTCCACTTTCCGACCCGTCTTTGGATACCCGCTGATTCTCAATGTCCCCAATAGGTCCTCGTGAAGGGAAAGAAGAGAAAGGATACCGTGCTTATTGTTTTGGCGGACGATGATTTGGATGACGGCAGTGTCCGTATCAACCGTGTTGTGCGCCACAACCTCCGAGTGAAGCACGGCGACATCGTCACCGTCCACCCCTGTCCCGATATTAAATATGTGCGACTCCTCTTACTACCCTAGCTTTTGACTATCTGCTAATGTGTCATCTTCAATCTAGGCCAAGCGCATTGCTGTTCTTCCCATTGCCGATACCATTGAGGGCCTGACCGGCTCCATCTTTGACGTCTTCCTCGCCCCCTACTTCCGCGAGGCATACCGACCAGTCCGACAGGGTGACCTGTTCACAGTAAGAGGTGGTATGAGACAGGTGGAGTTCAAGGTGGTGGAGGTTGACGCTCCGGAGTTTGGTATTGTCGCACAGGACACAGTGATTCACTGCGAGGGTGAGCCCATCCAGCGAGAGGACGAGGAAGGTAACCTCAATGAAGTCGGTTACGATGACATTGGTGGTTGCCGGAAACAGATGGCTCAGATCCGCGAGTTGGTTGAGCTACCTCTCCGCCACCCTCAACTCTTCAAGTCCATCGGTATCAAGCCGCCCCGTGGTATCCTTATGTACGGTCCTCCGGGTACTGGTAAGACTCTGATGGCTCGTGCTGTCGCCAACGAAACCGGTGCCTTCTTCTTCCTCATCAACGGTCCCGAGATCATGTCCAAAATGGCTGGTGAGTCTGAGTCGAATCTGCGCAAGGCTTTCGAGGAGGCCGAGAAGAACTCTCCCGCTATCATTTTCATTGATGAGATCGACTCCATCGCTCCCAAGCGTGAGAAGACCAACGGTGAAGTCGAGCGCCGTGTCGTATCCCAGCTTCTGACCCTGATGGACGGCATGAAGGCCCGCTCCAACGTTGTCGTCATGGCTGCCACCAACCGTCCCAACTCCATCGACCCTGCTCTCCGCCGCTTTGGTCGTTTCGATCGTGAGGTTGATATCGGTATCCCCGACCCCACTGGCCGTCTGGAGATTATGCAGATCCACACCAAGAACATGAAGCTTGGTGAGGATGTCGACCTCGAGACTATTGCTGCAGAGACGCACGGTTACGTCGGTTCCGATCTGGCTTCCCTGTGCTCTGAAGCCGCCATGCAGCAGATTCGTGAGAAGATGGATCTGATCGATCTTGATGAGGATACCATTGATGCTGAGGTTCTTGACTCTTTGGGTGTCACCATGGAGAACTTCCGCTATGCCCTCGGTGTCTCCAACCCCTCTGCTCTCCGCGAGGTTGCAGTTGTTGAGGTTCCCAACGTCCGCTGGGACGACATTGGTGGTTTGGAGGAGGTCAAGCGCGAGCTCATCGAGAGTGTCCAGTATCCTGTCGACCATCCCGAGATGTTCCAGAAGTTCGGTCTCTCGCCTTCTCGCGGTGTTCTGTTCTATGGTCCTCCTGGTACTGGTAAGACTATGTTGGCCAAGGCTGTCGCCAATGAGTGTGCTGCCAACTTCATCTCTGTCAAGGGTCCTGAGCTTCTGAGCATGTGGTTCGGAGAGTCTGAGAGTAACATTCGTGACATCTTCGACAAGGCCCGTGCTGCCGCCCCTTGTGTCGTCTTCCTTGACGAGCTGGACTCCATTGCCAAGTCCCGCGGTGGTTCCGTCGGCGATGCGGGTGGTGCTTCCGACCGTGTTGTCAACCAGCTTCTCACGGAGATGGACGGTATGACCTCCAAGAAGAATGTCTTCGTTATCGGTGCTACCAACCGTCCCGAGCAGCTGGATGCCGCTCTTGTCCGTCCCGGTCGTCTCGACACTCTAGTCTACGTTCCCCTGCCTGACCAGGCTTCCCGTGAGGGTATTCTCAAGGCTCAGCTCCGCAAGACCCCTGTCGCCGGCGATGTCGACATCCCCTTCATTGCCAGCAAGACCCACGGCTTCTCCGGTGCTGATCTGGGCTTCGTGACCCAACGTGCCGTCAAGCTTGCCATCAAGGAGGCCATCTCCCTCGACATTGAGCGCGTCAAGGCTCGCGAGGCTGCCGGCGAGGATGTCACCATGGACGACGAGGAGGACGTGGAGGACCCCGTCCCCGAGCTCACTCGTGCCCACTTCGAGGAGGCCATGAAGTCTGCTCGCCGCTCCGTCAGTGACGTTGAGATCCGCCGCTATGAGGCCTTCGCTCAGAGCTTGAAGAACACCGGAGGCGGTAGTTTCTTCCGATTCCCTTCTGCTGGGGAGGTGCAGAACAACGACACATTCGGCGAAGCCGGCAACGACGATAGCCTCTACGATTAAATGGGTACTTATTATTGCTTTTTATGATTTGATTTTTGGGGCCGCTTAGTCTCGGCCGGGGTTCCTGCGCTGAGATCTTTAGAAAGATCGTTTTCGAAGTCGGAATTTGTTTTGAGACTGGGCTGTGTACCTTTCTTTCGATTCGTGCTTTCCTTGCCTCATACAATGTGCCATAATAGCCAATACAAGTAAAGCGATCTCTATGTGAAATCTCGTCGTTCGTAATCTTACCAATCTTGCGTTCTCCCGGGCGTAAACCCGCATAAAGACGTATCTGTTCAAGCAATTCTGCCTCCTGACTTTCGGTACGACAATTCAATATCACGTGTGTCATGTTCCATCGACGCGACGACTCCGTCAGAGGTATTGTAATCAGAAAAAAACAAGAAACAGAGAAATTAGAATGGGAATATTATATTGATTCATTAGTCTTTTAATGCACGTAAGCTTTTAGGTCATAACACACATGCAGAGCCCGAAGCAACAGCGAAACAAAAACAAAATAAACTCCAGCCATGAGGGGGGGGGGAAGGCGCATCAGTCTTCTACGAATAGTCCCAGTATCAAGCCATCAGACTCCAGACTAGAACTTCGGAGAGAACCGACTCATAGCACGAATTCTTGCACCGTAAATGAAGAACAACACGGGAATAGGAATCATAGCAATTGTAATGAAACCCAAAACACTCGAAGCCCACGCAACACCCAGGTTATGGTACATCTGCGTCGCGAACAGCGGGAACGCCCCGCCCAGCGTGGATCGAATAAGTGTGTTCGCCGCGATAGCCGAGTTCGCGAACATCATGTACACATCGATGATGTAGTTGAGACCCTGCATGAAAATAACCAGGATGCCCATTCCAATCGGCACACCGGCGATGACCTGTGGAACCCACGAGATGTTCTTGTCGGATGTCCAGCCGAACCAGAAGAGGCCGATAGGTAGAAGAACGGAGGCGATCATCATGGGGACGAGACGCTCCTCTGGAACGACGCGGCCATGCTTTTTGAGTTTGCGAGCGAAACGGGTCTTGGTGGTGTAGATGATGAGGGCGACACCCATGAGGACACCGATCATGATGCCAATAAAGGGGAGAGCAGCGACGCCTTCGTGGGTCCAACCGCGAACTTCGCCGAAGGAGACCGGGTAGGCTTCGAAGAACAGGTAGAGGATGCCGTAGATGAGGGCGAGATAGAGGGTTATGCAGATGAGAATAGGCTCGGAGATGAGCATCTGGAACGGACGCAGGAGGTATTTGTAGACGATGTCGGAAAAGGTAGGCTTGTGCTCGTCCAAGAAAGAGTGTAGGGCCCAGTTCTTGGTCTCGAGACGCAGACGGGCAGCGCGGTCTTGAAGTAGCTTGGGACCGTAGGTCTCAGGGACGACAATGAGGGCAACCAGACCAAAGAAGGAGGATGCGATGAGAGTGATCCAGGCGGTCCAGCGCCAGCCTAGATAGCTATCGGTGATGAAGCCACCGATGATCGGACCGAGGACGGGACCAAGGAAAGTGGCTGCGCTGAACATGGCGATGGCCACAGCGCGGTCAACGGGGTTCCAGATATCGGCCATGGCGCCACCCACGCACGCTAGAGGGGAGCATCCAAAGACACCGATCAGGAACCGGCAGATCATGATTGTCTCAATATTCTGGGCAACGGCTACGGGGATTTGGAAGATGGCGAAGATGGCGTATCCTGAGAAGAGAGGTAGACGACGGCCGTATAGTTCGGATAAGGGAGCCCAGAACAGAGGGCCGAGGGCGAATCCGAAGACAGTCAAACTAGTTCCTAGAATCATGACTTCGTCGGAGACATTGAATTCCTTTGCGGTGACCACAGTTGCGGTGGAGAAGACACTGCTTGCGAATGTAATCCACATTGTCATCAACGACATGGTGACGGTGATAATCCATTTGCGTGTGTTCGAAAAGTTCTGAGGGTTCTCCGGGTCCTCGGGGCCATCCCATTCAACGAGATTGGGATCCTTCTCGGTAGGCTTCTCCGGGACAGGTTGGTTTTGGGTACTCTCGACATCGGTATCTTCTTGAGGCAGTTGGTTCTCCTCGTCCTTGACGGCCGGGAAGGTTTCAGGTTGATGCTCCATACTTAGGGGGGGAAGTGGTGACAGTTGAGTCAAATTGGTGGGTACTCATGCCTGATATCAAGTTGTACCGTGACTGGGAATGGCGAAGACACTTGCAGCGCGCTCGCACTTGAGTGGTTCGAAGATTTGACAGCCGTGATCCAGATCTAAAGAGGCTACAGGTGGGCATCAGGGGGGCATTTAAGCGACATGGAGAAATCTATGCTGGGTCTTCCAGAAGGAAATGGACCGGAGCTAACAAAAAGAAGAGCAAGCTCGGAGCCAGCCTTACCTCGTGGACGGATCCATTTGACTCCTCTTGTCTCCACTATCTGCTGAATCCATCGATGGCGCTGTGGTAAGGCCGTGGCTTAAAGTCCGAAAGGCCGCGAGATGCTGATTCACATCTTGAAACAGGTCCAAAGCCCGGATATCGGCACACGTCAAGGCCAGATCGGGGGGGGGGTAAACATGGCCATGTCGTTGACATTAGTCACCCAGCTTGAGCTCATGGTCATGTCACAGGCCGGGGTAGTACCTGATGGCGTCAGTCACTACGAGAAAGGAAAGCGGGCAGATAAAAAACCAAAGGAAATAGGAAAAGAGATGCTCGGGTTCGGTCTTCGCGTGGGCCGAACGACCGAGTGGAGCTCCCTAGATTCGCGGGACCCTCATGCCCCGATTATTCAACTTCTTTGGGCCTTATTTCTTACGTGGGGAAACCTATTTCTATGGTCTGGTAGCCTGGTAGCGTGGCAGCCCTAATGAGCCAAGCCTCTGGGCCATTCCATGCCTCTTAACTCCGTCTCGGTCGGCATTTTCCTTAACCGGCCCCGATGGGAGCTCAGCTGAAAGCTTCCAGAAACCCTCGGCTACTTCCGCCGCTTTGTGAGGCACAGCGCAGAACTCTATACAGACGATTGCCCGATCAAGGAGTGCGTTTACTTCGTCTCAAGATCCTTCCAATAGTTTAAGGTCTCTTGGTTCTTCTTGTTTTCTTTCCGGAGATCATGTCAAGGGCTTATCACGATTTCTTCTTTCTCTCTTACTATTCAACCACTGCTATAGACGCAGGAAAATAACCGACGGTCACCTACACAGGAGGATCGTAATGATCTTGGTTCGGCCGTATAAGGTTCAGGGTGCATCCATTGAAAAGGGTTGCTCATGGTGGGGATTTGGCTTACAAGCATAGATGCCGTGCTCTGTGTTGATAGTAGGTAGGCTAGGGGCAGAATCATCAGGGTGATAGACGTTTGTATTCAAATCTGCAGAATTCAGCAGTCTGAATCGATTGATCTCTGACCCAAATATCTAAGCTCCATCATAGTTGATCATAGTTAAACTGGGAGAAATACCGTGCCCACGTTTTGTAGGGCAGACGCGATCCCGTGCGACGCGTCTGGGCGGTCAACCTTCGCTCCACCCTTTTCGTACCGCGTCCCTCTCTCCCCCATCCCTCATGTGAGATTCTTTACATCATGCCGTCGCGCACTCGACCTCCTGCCGACGCAGATGAGGACTCTGGGCTTCGTGGCCTGTCCTTCAACCAGCCGTTATCATGGCGCGTGGGGCGCTCCGCCATCCCCATCGCCGAGCTACTCGAACGCCTCCAAACTCTCGCCCAGGAATTGCGCAAGCTCGAACAGGAAGAAATTGACAAGGAAACTCTGCGCAAGGTCTCGCAGGAACTAGCCAGTGCGCATTTGCTTGCCCACAAGGATAAGGGTGTGCGGGCATGGGCCACTTGCTGCATCGTTGATGTCTTGCGACTCTGCGCGCCGGACGCGCCCTTTACACGGAACCAGCTCAAGGTGCGCATTGGCAAATGGGGAGCTGGGATTCGACTTTTCCGCTATTGACGAATTTACGCTGATCACGGACTACAAAAAACAGGATATCTTCACATGTGTTATCACGTCCATTATCCCCGCACTGGCCGATCCTTCCAATGCCTACAATGCTCAGCACATCTATGTCTTGGGCTCTCTCGCCGAGGTCAAGAGTGTGGTTCTCATGACAGATCTCGATCACCCCGACTCGCTCATCGTTCCCCTTTTCACCAGCTGCTTTGACATCATCTCGGGTTCCTCCAAAGCCTCTACTGGCGAGGAAGTCGCGAAGGGCGTCGAATTTGATATGACTCGCCTTTTGGTTACTGTTATCGACGAAACACCCGTATTGGCCCCGGAGGTGGTGGATACCATTGTGGCACAGTTCTTGCGGGTCGATCCTCGGGTACTGGACAATCCCAAGAAAGGCAAGCGCGCGGACGCCCCAATCGATGCTAAACAGGACACCCTGTTGCTAAAGGATTATCCGCCTGCCTATAATATGGCCAAGGCCATCTGCCAGGCCTGCCCCGAACGGATGACCAGCCATATCAGCCAGTACTTCAACAATGTCATTATCGATGCCTCAGCCCAGTCCGGTCCGGCGAATGGCAAGCACGGCGCCCGGAAGTCAGGCCTGGACGACTCTGACGAGGAGGGGGAAGATGTCAAGGAGTTGAGCAAAGCGCATCGTCTCATTCGAGAACTTTGGCGCGCCTGTCCCGAAGTCCTGCAGAATGTCATTCCTCAAATTGAAGCTGAGCTGTCCGCAGAGTCTGTCGCACTCCGGTTACTCGCTACTCAAACTATTGGAGATCTTGCTGCAGGTATCGGTGTCGCCGGACCCCCTCCCACACCTCCCATGGACCCAGTAGCATACCCGCCAGTGACCATCGAAGAATACCCGCAGACGATTCCTCAGCCCAATGTTCTTCTCACACCCGTCTCACCCAAGCCTTTCTCTCAAGTTCACGTTTCAGCCTATGATGCATTCTTGAGCCGCAGACTGGACAAGACCCCTTCGGTACGTGCTGCGTGGGTCACAGTCGTGGGAAGGATCCTCCTGACTTCTGCGGGAGGCTCTGGCCTGAGCGAGAACGAGGAGCAGGGCCTTGTTCAAAGCCTCGCAGCTATGCTTCAAGATGCCGACGACAAGGTTCGTGTTGCTGCAGTGGATGCTGTGGGACAATTTGGCTATTCCCACATTATTCACAAAGTGGGTTTGAATGGTGGCTGCTCATCACCCGGCTCAGTGCTTGCAGCTCTCTCGGAGCGACCGAAGGATCGCAGACAGCAAGTACGCGAGCATTCGACCAAAGTCCTAGCGCGAATCTGGGCGGTGGCGGCTGGTGATATCGAGCATAATACTGAGCCTGTCACATCTTTACTGAAAGACATTCCATCAAGAATCTTCGATGCTTTCTACACAAACGATCAAGAAATCCATCTCCTCATCGATCGGGTGATCCATGAGTCGCTTCTCCCGCTCAACTACCCTCCCATCAAGTCAAAGCTGTCTCGGAGTGCCTCGAATCAGTCTCAAAAACAGAAAGATAGCCAGCCTTCCGAAGAAGAAACTGATGTTGACAAGATTCGTGTGCGTCGCATTCTCACGTTGCTCCGAGGCTTGGATGAAAAGGCCCGAAAAGTATTCTTTGTCATGCTGGCTCGTCAGTTGCAGCTGAGATCAGCAGTGACAATGTACTTGGATGCCTGCGAAAAGTACAATGTAAGCATCTTGAGCTTCTCGCTGGAACTTGTGGTAGTGTACTAACATGTCCACAGGGTGGCGTGATTGATAAAGACGAAGCTAATATCAAGCAAAAATTATCGGTCATCATTGACTCGTTGTCCAAGCTGTTCCCCGACCCCTCTCGTTCATCTGCCGACCTCTGGAAATTCGCCAAGGTCCACGACCGCCGCAGTTATCAATTGATCCGCTTCGCCATGGCCGCCGCCAGCGATTATCGTACTGTGGTCAAGGCCATCAGAGAGCTCCAGCGACGTGCACAGAGTGCCAACAATGCCCCACTGCTCGAAACCTTGACGCCGTTGCTTTACAGATCAGGGTCAATCATTTATAACCGGAGTCACATTCCTGCCATCATGAGTCTCTCACGAACCGATGAGAATGGCTTAGCTAATGCTGCCCACGAGATGCTGAAGGAGATCTCTAATCAGAACCCTGAAGTCCTTGAGGCGCAGGTGCAAGAAATGTGCAAGGACCTCGAGGCGCAAGCCCCCAAGGCGAACTCCACTGGCGATGACAGCAATGAAGACATTCTCAAAGCTTGCGCTGGCTTTGCTAAGAAGCTTCCGGAAAAGCTTCCCAAGGACCGCAAGTTTTTCCAAGCGCTGACAAGCTATGCTCTTAACAGCACTTCGCCACGGTCCGCAAAGCATGCCGTCTCAATTCTCATGGCCACAGCTGATAAAAAGGAGATGTACGCGAAGGATCTGGTCCAAAAATGTGTCAAGAAGTGGGCGTATGGCTCCGATCACTTTCTTACTCGCCTTGCTACGTTGTCGCAACTGAACCTGCTCGCTCCGAGGGAAGCTGACGAAGAAAGCGATGCTATCATTTCCATTGCCATCAACAAGATTCTTCTCACCAACCGTTCCCCTGAGACTGATTCCGGCTATCTTTGGTCTGACACAACTGACGAGGAAACGCAAGCCAAGGAGTGGGCCCTTAAGATCATTGTCAACCGTCTCCGAGCAAAGGACGGAGCGGATGGTGAAGACGACTTCCGTGCGCATGCTAAGCCTGTTTATGATACCTTGAACAAGCTTGTGGTCGGAGAGGGCGAATTGTCCAAGAAGAACGATACCCCGGCGACACAGAAGTCCCGACTGCGGCTTCTTGCGGCCAAGTCTCTGGTCAAGTTATGTGCTTCCAGCGTTCTTTGTGACTCACTGTTAGCCCCAGCGGACTTCAATGTAGTTGCCCTGGTCGCTCAGGACCCTCTTCTGGAGGTGCGTGGTGGATTCGTCAACCATCTCAAGAAGAAATTGGTTCAAAAGTCACACCTTGGTCACCGCTGGTACGTTGTTCCTTGCCTGCTTGGTTTCGAGCCGAGCCGAGGCTTCAAGGAGAGCACACTCACCTGGTTGCGATCCCGTGCCGCGTATTTCTCTCAAAGGGCCAAGGAAAGTGGAAAGCGCACAGAGCAGAACATGGTGATGGAGATGATCTTCTCCCGTCTTTTGTCTCTGCTTGCTTACCATCCTGACTACCCATCAGACGACCTGGATGAGTCTACGAAACTCGGGGATCTCAGCGACTTCTCCCAATATATTCTCTTCTACCTATCCGCCGTGGCGAATGAACAGAACATGTCCTTGATCTTCCACATCGCCCAACGTGTCAAGCAATTCCGGGATGGCATTAACAAATCCGACGAGATTTCTACCCGTCTCTATACCCTTTCCGATCTGGCCCAGGCGGTCATTCGGCGATTCGCCGACATCTACTCCCAACAACACAAATTTGGCGGCGCCGCCGGCGGGACCAACATTTTGCAGACCTACCCTGGAAAAATGGGCGTTCCCAGTTCTCTGTTTGCCAGCATGCCCAGCCACCGCGAGGCCCAAAGTGTTGCTGATAAGAACTTCCTTCCCGACGAGATGGACGATTTGTTGGATCGTGTTGTTCGTGCTTCAATGAAATCCAAGGGCTCCTCCGGTGGGAACACTTCTGCCAAGAAGCGCAAGCAAGAGTCCCTAGGGCCCAACGGCCACTCGGCATCGACCAAGAAGGCACGGAAAGAGAAGTCTACCCGTCCGGTCCGCAGGTCCACTTCATCAGTGGGTGTGAGCAAGGCCCCGAGACGCAAGCGGAAGGATGGGGATGACTGGTCATCCGATGGTGGTGCGGGAAATGATATTCCCACATCTGCTCGCCGACGCAGTAGCCGAGGTACTGTAAAGCACGATGTCAGCTACGCAGACAAGGACAGCGACGAAGAGGACGAAGAAATGCAGAAGTGGGATGCAGCCAAGGCCAAAGACGTCGATGATGCCGAAGAGGAAGAGGAAGATGACGAAGTGGAAGCTGAAGGTCAGGATGAGCAGCAAAAAGACAATGCCGAAGCCGATGATACTAGCGAAAAAGAAAACTCGCCACCACCTCCACCCCCCTAGCCGAGGTAGCAAAGCCTCCAAGGCAAAGGAAACGGCCAAGAAACCAGTGACAGCCACGTTGCCCACGCGCCGGTCATCTCGGCGAGGCTGATTTGCAAGTCTTATGAGTGGAATATTACCCGCTTTCTCATCTTCTTGTTCTATGCTCTCATCACAAACCATCGTCGCATAAAGACGCACATTCTTATTCATAACCTATCGCGCGTGTTGCCTGCAGTTGATAACGTCTGAGATGTATACCCAGCCTGCTTTCTGATATTTTCAGCCTGTCCGCGTGTATTGATCGTTTCCTTCATGATTGCATCTGTCAGTACAATATCATCATCCGATGCACGTATACCTTTATCCTATGGTTGTAGTGTCAAAATTGGATGGAGGCCCTCCAACTTGATGATACTAGTGCAAACAAGAACCCAGTTTCCCATCACATAACTACAAGGCAGTTTTCCCAAAAATAAAGAACCATCTAGCAAGCACCCTATTTTACTACCTAGCTGAGTTGATCGAATCTCAATTCTCCCCTTTAGGATTGACGATCACTCATTGTGCTTCGAGGCTACTACTATCTGACTTCCCCCTCCACCTCGTGCGTTTCAGATTGATTCTAATGGCCGAATACCGCAAGAATCGTGAATGAGATGGTGAATCCCCACAGTGCGAAGCCCAATATCATCTGATTGAGATTGGGCCAGTGAGTGGCGCTTACGGCATAAGTGATGGTGCTGTCAATATATTCCCACAATCTCAGAATGCCAGTCGTGCGATATCGCCGTCTCCCTGTGCCCCTTTGATCTCGGCCATCAATCAGGAGATATAGGTCTGCAGTAACTCGTAGAAGAACCCAGACGACGTCCGGTTTCACAAGACAGTCTTCGCACCCGTCATTCAGAATTCCATATTCTGGTCTGTAAGGTTTCTACCCCTGATCTCGTCCGTATCGACCATCCTTCCTTCCTGCATGGGATGGGATGGAAATGGTGAGTTCTACACTGATGAGCGCGATTTCGTGTTGCAAAACTGTCCATACTGGTTCGGTAGTGCAGAACACGAGCGAGTGAACAGATTCAGGGGGATGGTGATATTTTACGTAGAGACAAGGATCCACTAACTCGAGCTATAAAACCGCTGTTCTACTCAGATACGTACGCTGCACGATGGCAGACCGTTCAGTAAGCCTCTATCCACTATGATTTTATTTCTAACTTTCCTGGGTTTCTTACGTAGGTGTAGCAAATCAATCTTGTCTCTGGAAATAAGCAAAAGCCTCCTCCATTTGCTGATGAAGCAAGTGGACATGTCTCGGCATGGGCAGATCAAGATGATCTCCATTCACCGACAGTGCCAAAACCTCTCCAGCAGTATACTTCTCCCACCCATTCGGTCCGAGGTCCGCCTCCGTCCTGTCCGGCGTCTCAAGCTGGGATACTTGTGCTGGAAAACTCACAATCGAGGCTGATGTGTAAAACCGAGACAGTCTCGGGACGTACACTACCACATCTCCAAAATTGTATCTATGCAAGATCGCTCTATATTGGACAATGTCAAAATCCCGCTCGATTGAGAGGCGGATATCACATTAGGTTTCCGCAATTGACAAGAGAGGCTTTAGTTCATTCAAAAGAAATGTGCAGATAAGCCGCATGTACAAATAGCGAGCACTCAGTCTCCAATACAATAGACTCGGGCAAGCAAGGCGGATCAACGTCAATAAACTCCTCTTTTTGGAGGAAGCGCACACATATGCACCTATATATACCGGATTTTGTCCGCCGGCTTTCCTTTCTGGGCTACCGCCTCTTTGATGCAGGTGATCAGGCTCATGCTCATTAAGTAAAATCAGCACGACTCATGTTCAGTGATCTGAAGAGTGCATTTATGTCACTGATCAGTGACTGATCATAGCAACTGAGTGATTGCTCCTTGATCACTTACTGATCACTTAGCCACTACTTACTTATCAGCACTGATTGTCCAATGAGCGAGCCGCATTCCTCTTCTTCAAGCCTATGTTCGACTATACCTAAGCAGGGTATACTGCTCAGGGTTATCTATTGTTCGAAAATAGGCCAACACAAGTATGAGTGAATCTATCCTCGTATTCAGTATAATGCTCTAAAGTGGTACTACAATATCTAAATTGGCCCTCAGCCCCTAAAAGTCAGGAGGTACTATTACTCTGTGGCGGTCAATAGCACTTATTCTAGGGTGTGGGATAGGCACTTGATCCCTAAAGGGCATGCCGTTTCTACTTTCCGCCAGTAACCAATTTACTCTTCTCCGCAATCTTCCCCGCAAACATCTTCATTGGCTCCGCTGCCAAAATATCCAACAGTGCCATATTTGCCTGGAGCTCTCTAGTGATCCAATTGCGGACCTCCAGTGCCACCAGCGAATCCACTCCGTAGCGGTACATCGATCATTCTCTTATTCAACTTTTCTTCCAATTATCTGGACATTTTTCTGGACACCGTCATAGTCCCCACTGAAACTTCGCCCTTAATCAGTCGGCTTCATGGCTTTATCATTCTCCTCTGGATGCTGCCATTTCTATTTCCCTGTCATCAAATTGTGTTCAGGACGGTCAGCGATGATACGGATGGTCGTGTGGCGAAGTGGACCTGAATTTGACCTCTGCGGCCCGATCTGATAGCGTCGAATTCGTGATCCGGGCCTCGGAAAAGACCCACTTGCTAGCGCGCTGTATCCGGTCCAATGAAAATGGGAAGGTGACATACTCCTCATTTTATGCACTCGATCGTTATAAAAACCGATTTTTCTTTCTGTCGAGATTTTTGATTTGTCTTTATTAGCGCTTGCTCTCGACAACTCTATGTTCTATCGATCTCTACAAAGGTTACCTACGACATCCAAGTCGGCGATCTCTTGGAGACCCTTTCTGTCGCGGCCCATCTATCCATACAGGATGTACTCCGCTGTCCCTCAACAATTGGCTTCACATAGCCGCCAAATGGATGCATCAAATCGGACTTTGGCATTGCCTCTCAGCGAAGATGATTCTGATATCCGCCAAAAGTACCGACCATTCATCCTGAGCGACAATGCGACTGAGGATTGGGTCAACAACTTGGAGCTCACCACGGCTCTAGACTTGGCCGAGCAAAACTTGCGCGATACAAAGACGAGGCTGAAAGTTCTGGTCCTATATGGCAGTCTTCGGAGAAGGTCATATTCGCGGCTTGTGGCACTCGAAGCCTCCCGTATCCTTTTTCGACTTGGCTGTGACGTACGCGTCTTTAACCCGGAAGGTCTTCCGGTCAAAAACGATCATGATACAGACCATCCTAAAGTCCAGGAACTCCGCGAGCTTAGCTATTGGAGTGATGGTCATCTTTGGGTGTCGCCCGAACAACATGGCAATCTTGTGAGTGGTCTATCTTCTATCACAACTCTTTCTGACAATGGGCGCAATAACTAATGATTCGGGCTCCCGCACTTTTAGACGGCGGTGTTCAAAAACCAAATTGATTGGATTCCTTTGACGACAGGAAGTGTTCGTCCCACTCAGGGTCGAACGCTAGCGATTGCCCAAGTGTGCGGTGGTTCTCAGTCTTTCAACGCTGTAAACTCTCTGCGCATCCTAGGCCGGTGGATGCGTATGTTCACGATTCCGAATCAGTCCTCGATCCCTAGGGCATATACACAATTCCCGGATGAGGTCAACCAGAAGATCAACGTCTTATGCCTAGTGGCAACCGAGATCGTCTGGTGGATTGCATGGAGGAGTTTGTCAAGTATACCATCTTGATGCGGCCTCATATTGCGCTGTTTGGTGATCGCTTTAGCGAACGAGAAGAAAAGAAGATGAAGGAAGCTAAGATGAATGCTGCTATATAAAGCTAGTTACATTCACCACTGCATACTGTTCTGTAGAACGGAATACTATGGAAAGTTTTGTGCATGGGACAGGAAATATATTCTTCGAAAAGACTTGAAAAGAAGAGAAGCTAGAAAAGTAAAGTGTACAACGAAAGGATCTCAATAAATCACACAAAAAAATCTTCATAGAACAAAAGGTAGTAAACAAGAATTCCGCCAGCGGTCTTTGGGTATAAGAACCATCATGCCACCACCAACCGTAGTCTAGAGATGGAATCCCAAACCAGGAAACAAACAAACAAGGAAACGAACAAAGACAAGACTAGGCGTCAACCATCAACTGCTCCCCTTCGTCCAGCAGTGTGGTAACGCGCGACAGATCAGAGATCATCTTGCGGCCATGGCCAACCAGAAGCAGCTTCTCTGCATTGGCTGGAAGTCCCAGATAGGTGGGTGGTTCACGCTCAGGCAGGTTGTTGACCCAATTGACAAAGTCGCGAATATTGGTCGTGCTGGGCAGGGTGAGGAGATCGTCCTTCTCTACGCCGGAGACGAGCTTGTACTCGTCCTCAAAGGCTGCGGGCGTGAGGAACTGGCTGACCAGGTTCTCGAGTTGCTGGAAATCGCCGGCGTCATCGATCTTGCCGCCATACATCTCGGTGATTAGCGTGCGGATCATCTCCCATGGAAGCTTTTGAGGAGCAACGTTGGAGCGGCCTTGAGCAACGGTGTCGACCCAGTAGTCGATGATGAACGCAGAGCACTCATAGTCGCTGTCATTGAATTCCCAGAAACCCTTCCATCCAAGGCTGGGCGCGTAACGGAGTCGTTCCTGGACTACAGCGTGAAGGAAGCAAAGAAGGAGATAAACACGAGCCTTTTCGATGGGGGCCTTGCTGGCGCGGGTGTTCAATGATGACAAAGAGTCCTTCATGTTGGCGCGAACACCGGCAGGTTGCTCGAACATCAGAACGCGAGATGCGCGGATCAGGTTGACCGGGATCTTGGGGCTGGATTCCATAGACAGGAAGAGGCGGAACTCTTTGTGAGGCTTGAGCGAATCCAATCTCTTTTCCAGACTCTGAAGCCACGAAGGCGCCAGGTGAACGTTCTTGACTAGCACCCAGTTACCAGCAGCGGCAGCGTTGCTGATAGCCTTGTCGGCACTCTCGAGACCCTCGTTCGAACCCATGGCAATATTAGCACAGGTGGCATGAGTACGTTCAACCAATGCGTCAACCTTATAACTAGCATCAAAGCCCGGGCTGGAGCTAAGAGCAATGGGCCTCGTTGCAGTGACCTGTTCAACGACGTCCTTAAGATCGCTGCTGCCCTCAAAGAGCTCACGTCCAAACACAGCCTCGATGAAGCGCTCGGCCATGGGAACAAATCGGTCCATCCGGCAGAGCTTGACAAGGAGCAATGACCGAAGCAATTGATCGAGGTGAGTGGTGTTCTCGCCCCAGACGATCGGAACGGCATTTTCTGCAAGTTCCTCGTCGAAGAATCGATCCCAATGATCCTGGGGAATGCCGGGTACGTAATCCTTGAAGATTGACATGTTGAGCAACTTGTTCATCACTTGGTCACGAGAATCTGTTGTCGTGGAAAGATCACTGTCCTCGACAGATTCGTCCAGAATACGGTCCAAGATAGCTCTGTCCATAGGGAACGGAGTGGCCTGAGCAAGAAGAATAGCGAGAGTAACGCGATCCTTCTGAACAAGACCTAGTGAAGTCCGCTGGAAAGTGGTAATGAATAAGTCACGAATGATGATCTGCACGCGCGCAGAGTGATCTTTCTCCTGAGCAAGTCGCTTGTTCTGGTACAAGACCGAGTTGAAAATGTCAACAAAGTACTGCAGTGAGAACTGGTAGAAGTGGTTGATGTGGTGAAGTTGCTCCAGAACAGCAAATACAGCACTGCAGGCACGAGCGATAGTGCTGTACTGGTGAGTGATATTCTCCACCTCTGTCATGACACCCTCGGTCTCCGACATCTTTTTGGAAATCTCAGCAGCCTCCTTCTTGAGAGTCTCCAGCGTGTCGATGACATTATCATCGTCGAGAATGTTACCACGAGACTCGTTCAGTGCTTGTAACAGACGCTTCTCCAGTTGCCGAAGGTGGACTTTGAACTCTCCTTGCATCTTGACGAGGTTGTTACGGCGTTCGTCAACATCGGGTCGCTCGAACTTTAGCACATCGTTCAGCGACTGCGTCTGCAAACTGCTCTGAGTGACTGTAAAGTTCACAAAGGTGGTTCGACTGCAAACGTCCGGTGGGAACGAAGCAGAAGGATCTCTAGTAGACAGGAAGAGTTTGAAGGATGGTGAGAAATCGATCTCTTGCTTGCCAAGTTGAATCAAGACTCGGCCACCGGTCTTCTGGTATTCCTTGTTGAGAACGTGGTTGAGAATTGGGTCCAAGTGTTCGGCATCCTGGATAAGGATGGGATTTCCGAAACGCAAGGCGCTCTCAAGCTGCTTGACAAAGGAATCGTCCAGGAAGCTCGTCACGGTAAGCTTGCGGTCCTTGCTTTCCTTTTGCAAGAACTCGGTGACACGACCAGACGGGTCGACAATCAGAGGATATCTATTGAAACGCTTCAAGACAATGGCGTTCTCTGTACAGAGATCGTCGACAGGCAGGGAATTTCCTTGCCAAGTGAGACGCTCGTCAGCATTAGAAAGGTACTCCGTGATCGGATTGTGGGGCTTGAAGTTGATCCCGGACTGAGCCAGCTGGTGAACCCAATCCTCGATCATGGCCTTACGGAATTGCTGATCGTAGAGACCAGCATAGGCAAGGAAAGCGGCGGCAATGATCACATCACCAACAAGGGTGCCGATTTGTGTCTCGAACGACTTGCTGCCATCCTCCCAACGTTCACGCTCGGATGCCAAACTGTCAAGCAAACGGACACTGCGGTCAACCTTGAACTGGACACGGGACATTTCTGTCTTGATTGCTTGCGTTTCACTGATGAGAGCAGCATATTCAGCCTTGTAAGTAGCAATACTGCTTTCTAAGCCATGGATGGTATTCTCAATAGCCTGCGCCTCAGCCTTGGTTTGCAGAGCCTGCTCTTCGAGCTGGTCAACCTCTTCGCGCAAGGGTCCAACACGGTCCAAGATCGCGGAATAATTCACTTGAGCCTCAACCCATTGGACCAGGGGACCACATGCCTTACTGGCACGGTTAACTCGCTCGTAGGTAAAGTCCTCCTTGGACAAAAACTCGTTCTGCATCTTGGTTCGGTGGTTGCGAGTCATTTGGCGCTCGTTGTCATAATTCACAATGCTAGCGATGAAGTCATCACGACGAATAAGACCTTGGATGGTCTTCCAGCTATCGACCTTGTGGCCGAGAAGCGTGCAGACGGCTTCCAGGGCGAGGCGGACACTAGCCGGCGGGTTACCCATGGATCGGACTTCTGTAAGATGCTGACGCTTGATGTTGCTGACACTCTTTTGTGCCTCCGCAACAGCGGGCTCGGCCCTTGCCAAATCGTTCAAGACAACCTCCCTCCGCTCTGCCACCTCCTTCTCCTGTTTTTCCAAAGCAGCCTGCACTTCTAGCGAAACCTGCTTCCTCTGCTCTGCCTCTTGCTGATCAGCGACCATGCGTTGTAGTTTCTCGTTGGCCTCGGTATCCTTCTTCTCCAATTGGGTCTTCTTCTGGGCGAGACTGCCGCGGAGGTCGCTGACTTTCTCGACAGTATCGCGAAGCTTCTCTAGGCCAACGTTCAAATGGCGCTGTTGCTCCTCCAGGTCCTCGCGCTTCTCGTTGAATAGCTTGACATACTGAGCAACAAAGTCGAGAAAATGACGAGGCGTGAGGAAAGTGCTCCGGCCCTGTTGTTTCTGCAGACGCTGGTTGAAGCGGTGCAGCGAGTGGTGGATGTAAACCATCGAATTGACAACAGTGTCTCTGTGAGAAGCTGGAAGTGACAGTTCGCGGTAAGCTACCGGAATGCTGTCGGGAGAAACGAAGTTGGGCTTATCGAGATCAACCGACTGGGTGAGCTCAGAACCGACCTGGAATAGGGCTTGGTCAGACCAATCTCCCATCCAGTTTAAGACACAACGGTTGAACAAGGCGGGACTAGTCGCGGCCTTAGAAGACAGTCCGTCCTCGGGTGGGTTCATGGTAAACACAACGTGCAGGTTCTTGACAATCTGCTGTGTGAACCACTTGTAGAGTTCCTCTTGGGAGTCGAGGAGCAGACCCTGGCGCTGAGCACCCTCTTTGCAAGCTGTCATCAAGGAAGAGAACTCATCACCCTCAAAGAGACCGGGGACCTCGGCGTTGGCAAGCAGGGTGTTCATGCGCTCCAAGAAACCGGAGTCGAGGACGTTTGCCTCGTCCATGATGAAACAAATCTTCTCGCCCTTACAGCCTGCGCGACGAAGAACACTTCGGAGATCATCATCGAAATCCTCCGACGAGTACTTGCCGTGAACCTTGATTTGGAAGACCTTCAGACCATTCATCCAAGCAACGAAGCGAGACAGAGTAGTTTTACCACTGCCACTAACACCGATAAGAATGAGGTGACCCTGGGGCTGGCGGAAGACTCGATCAATGCGTAGAGCATGCTCCAGAACATCATTGAACAGGACTAGAGGCACATCAACTTCTTCTTCACAGAATGTCCGCAGACGTGCCTTGACAAAGTCACGAAGTCGCTCTTGATCCACGGGCACGTAATTCTTGGACAGCCAGTTCGAGAACAGGATGGGACCTTTCAATGCCTCTTGATCATCGATCGTGGGGAAATGCTCCAGAGCAATACGGCGAACAGCATCAGCAGTCCAGGCGCGCTCGTCTTCACCGACCAATCTGTCCTGGAAGAGACGCAGAGCCTCGTGGGCCCAAATACGCACAAGGCCTTCAATTGACAGGCTTTCAAGTGGCTTGATTGCCTCATAGACGCCCCGAACCCAGCGAGTAAGCTCACGAGGAGAGTACACATAATGGGGCTGGATCTGCGGTGTGAATCTGGTCTGGGATTCAAGATAGAATTGGACCATGGCTTTGGTGAGGGCCTCAGAATATCCGCGTAGCAATGGCAAGATCTTGAGGACTGCAGAATTGAATGTGCCGTAGATCTGATTGAGAGAGATCTCACCAGGGTAATCAACCATGATGAGAGGAGCGTGGCGCAGGAAACGCTCTCCCATTGGGGTACGACCTGCGTCTGTAGGCGGATTACAGGCACCAACGAATTGGATACGATCAAGGCTGACCCACGTCTTGTCAGATGTGCGCCAGAATCCATTCTGCTCGACAAGTTGGCGCAAGAAGGAGATGGCACGCTGGGTGCCATAACGATCAGGGGCGGGCAAGTTGATCTCGTCGCAGAAGATGACGAGCCAGCGTCCAATTTGGTTGGGAGACATCACCACGCCATTGAGGGTCTTCTTGTACTCGCAGTACTGCTCGAAGGTTTTGATCAAGAGGTCAGGGGTGGTTGCACTGGAAAAGTTGAGACCGACAACCTCCATGTTCGGCAACTTTCTCAGAGCGGCAAATAAGGTCATAGTCTTTCCCGAACCGGGGGGGACCGCAAAGTAGCAAAGGCTTGTGCTCTGCGAGCCATGAGTACAACACATCTTCGTGACGAATGGTATCCACAGTCGGGATAATGACATCCGTTTGGGTGATCGAGTGTGTGTTGATGTCGATCGATGGCACCTGTGACTGCCAACTAGTCCACTCAGCTCTAGGAAGAGTCACATCAAAGTCGATGAGAGACGAATCGCCATCTGGTGGCAGGTCCATGGTGGACATTCCAGAGAGATACTGCCCGAAGGCCTTACGGTCCGCAAGAGGACAATCACCAGTGAAGGACCAGACCATAGTAAGCAAGAGCTTCTTGGAGATGTACGACTCCATTTGCTCGGGGTCAAGAGGGAAGTCAACATGCTGGATATTGTACTCCAGGACGTTGCGGCACGCTTTATTCAGCAAACTAAACATAGTATTGAGTGCGCGAATGTCGGTGAAGTCCATGATGTGGTTGTACTTCTTGGCTTCGTCAAGAGCCTTAAGAACCAGATCATCACTTTCCAAGTGCTGCTTAAGAATGGTGGAAAGCTGATCCTGCGCAACCTGGGTTCTGACCGCAGCGGATCCCGCAGGAGCACTATCATCGTCCAAGTCCTCGAATGTCTTGGTCTTGAGACTTTCAACATAATTGTTGATCATCATGGATGGAGTAACAGTATCGGCATTGAACCACACCATACCACATCGAGAGACAGTAGCGAGGGTCGCGTACTTCAATGTCTCGACTTCAAACATGATGCGGACATTCGATGGCAGGTTGAGACGTTCACCGTTGGGCAGAGTAAGAAGTTTGTTGTCATCAAGAACACTGTTCAAATTCTCAACCCACTCGGGATCGACGTCACCGTCAAATACAATCCAGTGGCGCTTGCTATCTTCTCCACGAAGGTTGTCGACAATCTTTCTCAGGATACCAGTGAAGAGACCGTCAGTCCACTCACGCGTAGTGCTGTCCAGGTTACCATAGAGAGCCTCTTTAGACATAACCTTGGAGTCGATAATGTGGGAGACACCCTCAATACCTTCAATGCGTTGCATGGCCTGCAGAAGTATCTTCCAAGCAGCTGACTTACCGGCTCCAGATTTTCCAACCATCATGACACCGTGGTGAATACTCTGGATCTGGTACAGCTGAAGAGCCTTGGAAATCCACATGTCGCTGTCTACGAAGTGTTGTTCCTTAGCAATATCCCGAATGGCCTGAGTAAGCTTCTCGTAATTGGCAGGCACATAGTCGACCCCAGGGAAGTCTTCGACTTGAATGTTCAGCATCCGCTCAACATCTTCTTGCACAAGCTTGGGCGCAATAGTCTCTCGCAAACTCTGAACAATAATCTGAGGCTCAACCACCTCGTCAGGGCCAATCTCACCGTCAGCATTGGCAATACGAGCACGCTTGAGACCTCCAGAGCTGACAAGGACACTCTTCAATGCACGAAGGCCGAAGTCGTAGTGGGCTTGTTTAGACAGCTGAGAAGCACAGTGGTCAAAGAACGGCACGGTCTGCTTGGACAAAGGCTTGGCTTGCTTGAAACCCTGAGAAAACAGCATGACTTCCGCAATAAGTTCCTTGTCGGGCTTGGACATTGCAACGCTGCGGAACAGCTTCTTCAGGTTGTCGGGCAAGTTGGAACGACCCGCATAGCCGGGGTTCATGGTGATGAAGATACCAGTGTTGCCGTTGACAGCCAGCTTACGGCCAACTAGCTCAATCTGTGTCTTGCTATCTTCCTCGCCCTTGCGCAGGCCAATCTGAATATTCTGAATCTGCTGGGAAACTGCAGACAAGATTCTCTCCTCCAGACGATTGAATTCATCGAAACAACCCCAAGCACCGACTTGACAGATACCAAGGAAAATTCGGCCCATGGCCTGGAAATCGAAAGTGTCGTCACAGCAAAAGACAAGCGTGAAGCGACCAAGCTGAAGACCCAGGGCTTTGACAGATTCGGTTTTACCAGTACCAGCTGGACCGTAGGGAGAGCCACCAAGTCTCTGGCACAGAGCCTGAGTAAGTGTAAGGAAACAACGGTCCGTAAGAGGAGTGCGGACCAAACGCTCAGGAACACCGAGATACTCGAATCCATAGTTGAGCTTAGCATTCGCCATGTGGACATACAGACGTTGAAGGAAGTCACCCTCCGGCTGGTAAACGTAGCGCATCTGTAGCAACCACAGATGGTGTGTTGGGGTGGTTGCGTTGAATTGAATCAACTTGGAAATGGTGTCACGCTGGTGAACGAATTCTGTAATCATGTGCTCACACTTTTTGCGAGTGATGGCATCAAGTTCTCCAAGCACAGTGGCAGCGAGCAATTCCAGAATTCTGACCTCTGCGTCATACAAAGCTTGGAGGTTTGCGCCGCCGTCTTCCAGAGACTTCTGGACAGCGTTAGTCCAGACGACCTGGCTGGCAAGGACAACGATTTGGGCAGGGTAGTTGGCAAGAAAATCGTTAAAGGCAGTACGATCGACGTCAGGGCCGCTGTACAAAGTGTCGAACTGCTCGACAGCCTCTCCGAGAAGCTCAGCCAAAGTCAATTTCATGTTGGTCTCCAACGCAGTGAGCCAGTCATTGATGCGTGGAGTTTTAAGGAGGTTGACTTCCTTTTTCAAGCGGACTTCTTCGCCTTCCTTTGAGGTTAATCCGACGATGTTGTTTTCGTCGTCCATTAGGAGGCCATTCAAACCAGCAAACATCTTCTTGAAATGCTTGGCAACACGGAAGATGTCGTTGCTGTTGCCAATAATTTCAAGCAAGTCCTCGTCTCCAACAAAGTAGAAGCGAGGGAATGACACACGCTCACGCTCGAGATATTCACCAAGTGCCTTCTGAATCTTGTTCAGCAGCTCGGCCAAGCGCTCCAGAGACTTCTGGACACCGTTGATGGCAAGAATATCGAGAACGAACGGAGATTTGTACACCTTTTTCATAACAGCAAAGAACTCCGAGTTGATATTTTGGAATCGGCTCGACTCCAGCGGAAGCAGATGCTTGATGTCAGCATTGCCGGTGAAGACACCTTCCAAGTAGACCCATTGTCTCTGGACATCAATCCAAACATCAAAGAGAACATGGACGCGATTCAACTTGTCTTCCCAGGAGGCAGCCTCCTCTTCAAATTCCTTGTAGTAAGGTGAGTGTCTCATGGCCTGGAGCGAGTTCAGGTTCTCACTACATTTCGCAAACAGGTCGTCGAAGCCACGGATAAGACGGCACTTGTTTTGGTAATTTACCAGGTCTAGAGAGTAGTTTTGCCAGGTCTCACGAACGGACTTCAGGAATTCCTCCAAGGCCATTTCACCCTGGGCCTGAGCGATAATATCACGGATCACAGTCTCGCTTGTTGCCAGCTGCAAGTCCCAGACATCGCCCAGAGTCAGCGACACAAGTGAAAACCGCTTTCCAGGCTTCAAAGACTTGTAAATCTTGTGCCAGTGGCGTTCCTTCACAGCTTCGGACTTCATGTCCGACAGGAGAGTGTTCACCTTGAGAAGTTGGCGAAGAACATTCTGAATATGCTCGAAAGCAGCGTACTGCCTCATTCGGCTAGGCATTTCTTTGGTCATCTTGATCAGACCATCAATAGCCTGGCGCAGCTTGCGGGGCTGCACGCTAGTCCACAAACCATCACGGAGGTCATTCAAACTCTTCCAAATGGTTGATAGAGCAGCCCAGACAGACATAAAGTCTTGAACCTCCTCGAGAATAGCTGGAAGAGATGACTCAGAGCTGGCAGGGAGGTCAAGTGCTTCCTTGGCCTTGGAGACCATTTCGAATTCAGACTGAAGGGATTCAAGGCGCGACTGGAAGGAGCTCAAAGTACGAGATGCTTCGTCGGGAGGGATAGTGCCAGAGACGGGCTTCTCATCGTTCCACTGAGCAATTACCTCAGCAATCTTGTCATTGATGACTCGGTCTTCAGCGCTGATCTTTGCGCGGAGGCCCTCGGTCTGATCATGAACGATCTTACTCTTGCGGGTTAGTAGCTCGTTCAATGCGGCCCATTCTCCATCGACGTTTTCAACGTGAAGCCAGTCACTAGGGAACTGATAGCGCTGACGTGCGAGGGTGGTCTGACCTTGGCGGAAAAGGTCGACCTCTGGCTCCCAGACACGAGTTTTGCGCTTACACTGCTGAACAATGGTGATGAAAGACACAGCATGTGCGGTAGAGGAAGCCTCCAAGGTCTGGCCCTCCAAATCACGACGAGCAGTAGCAATCTCGGAGTGGACTTCTCTCATACGACCACCAAGCTTGGCACCGAACTTCTGGAGAATCTCGTGCTGCCACTGGTCATACTTGGCGTTGACCTTCGTCTGCACCTGCTCATAGTCAATTCGGATGTTACCAAAAGATCGGCCGACTTCCGAGGTGTCGAAGGTGGCACGGCTCTTTCGAATCTCCTGTAGCAGTTGAAGCCACTGGGAAAGATCGTCTCCCAGGATATCATAGACCTGCTCAGATTGCAAATCCCAAAGCGACTGGAATTGCAACCATTTGTCGACGTACTCGGATACATCACCTAGTCTCGACTCGATCACGCCATAGACCTGGTTGAGCTCATCGGTACAGCCTTGGGGGAGCTCTGAGAAACAGGCTTCAGATTGACGCACAGTTTGCACATTGATGGAAATCTGGTAACGAGAGGCCTTGATCTTTTCGAGGTTGCAGATAACTCCCAGCCAGGTGTCAAAGTGAGAGAACCAGCTAGCTCGAGCGAACTGCAGCGGTGGGTCAAGGTGAAGAACCTGGTTCTTCATGGAAATTTCGTGGAAGAGTTCAGGAATGAGATGTTGTAGGCAGGGGACTCGACTTCCCCGGCGCTGGTTTGAGCGTGGAAAGACGTTGTTGCCTCAGTACGAGATTCTTGGAAGGTGCTGATCCACTCACGAATCGCGCGATGAAGACGCTCACGAAGGATTACCTCGATCTTTCCATTAAGCTCTGAAACCCAGTGTTCCAAGTTGACATAGTTCTCAAGATTGAGTTTATCAACAGAAGATTGAATGGTGTCCAAGCGCTGCTTGAAAGCAGCGGAGTCGTATGCGCAAGTCTTGAGCTCATGGGTCGATTTTTGAATGCTTTCGTTGATGGTGGACAGTGTGGTCGTCTTGTCCTGAAGGACCGATGCCGATCCCGCGAACTCGCGAACAAATTGAACATGTTTGCTCTCGGTACGGTTAGGCACGGTGCTGTCAATGGTACCATTTGGGAGTGACTGTTTAACATGCAACTCATAAGAATGAACAAACGACTCCCAGCGCAGAGGTATACCCTTGCCCACCATGGCCTGCGAGTCGTTGATGTATCCATTGAGAAGAATAGCGACGTCAGACATAGAGGCAATGATACGGAGGGTTTGTAGCAGGGTCCGCACGCTCTCCATCAAGCTGATGGCGTAGGGGTAGACGCGCTTAGCTTCCTTGGAGATGTTGCTGACAGCATGAGGAACCTGGAAATTCAGCCAAATAAGGTTGCGGACCTCTTTGAACAAAGCAATAATTTGGGCATCGAAGTTGACAGTAAGCTCCAGGATATTTCCAGCGGCGCGATTACGCACGATATTGAAGAGTCGTCCAGAAATTGTGATGTGTCTTCTTTGAACATCGTAGAGCCAGGATTCAAAGACAGGTCGAGTGTCGAGCTTCTTGCGGAACATGTTGCTCTCAGATTGGAGTTTTTGGCCTTCAGTGTGTAAGTGCCAGTCCTCTCCCAGAACATTTTCAACCTTGCGCATGTAGCTATCAAGTTGACGCTCGATTTGACGAGCCCAAATGATAGCGCCGGAGACGGGTGGAAGATCACGAAGCTGCGCCATCGCATGAGCCTCGGAGTGGCCATACTGCTGCTTGAAGCGCTCGTGTAGACCAGAGATATCACGCTTTACATTGTCGATGAGCTGAGTCTGATACTCTCCAATAGCACCACGGATCTTAGGTCGGACCAGAAGAGCATTGAACTTGGAGAAAACACGGAACATCTCGTTGGCATTCTTAGCAGTCGCAAGACGATCACGCAGACGAGCAATGATAGAATTCTCCACGCGAGAAGTACGCTCACTGTAGCCAATCTCGGCTTGTTCCCAAGTACGAGATCCTTCAGGGGAAACGTCCAAAACATCAACATTCTTGAGGGCAGCGTAGGCATGCGTCACTTCCTCGACGGCATCAACATCACCAATCTCCTCAACAATAACAGTCTCGTCAGAGTCAACGCCAGCGCCGGTCTCTGCGGAAGACTTGCTAGGTCCGAGGACGTTAATAATGGTCCTCTGAAGCTGCTCGTGATTGACACGGAAGGTGTCGATGTACTTGAGACGTTCGCGGGTCAATTCATGTCTTCCATTAATTTTGATCGGGATGAATTTTTCATTGCGGCGTCTAGTCGAGTCACGAGCAACATTGGTAAATTCCTTCAGATTCTCATCCCACGCACGCCAGATGGCCTGGGTGGTTTTCATCAACGACCGAAATTCACGGTAATCCAGGTGCAAGATATCACGGCCGGGAATGAGATCGTGGACTTTCCGGTCGAGGTCACCTGAAATGGCCTCGACGAGTGAAAGGGCTCGCTTGATAGGGTAGGGGCAGATTTTCAGCTTCTTGTTCAGATGGCTGAATATTAAGCCAAGCGACTCCTGCACCTTGCTCAGAGAGGTGGCAGATAGAAGCTCATCCAGAGGGAAGTCACGCATCAGCTGATTGTACTTCTGAACCAGCTCGGAGGCATCTCTCAGTCCCGTGTCAGCCTGGAAACTAAGGGTCGGTTGGTAACGCTTCGCATGGCGGAGAATGTCCATGGTTAATCTGACACCATCGCTTGCCAGCTGAGCCTCGATGCTCTCCAAAGCCGACTCCATAGACAGCCAGAAGTTAATCTCGGGAGATGCTGACTCGCTGTCCGGATCCCGAGACATTTTGGTGATCGTCTGAATCGAGCGAATCCAACCATTCACAGTATTCTGGATGCTGTTCGTGAAGGCACTGTTGTCCAGAATTGTCGTGGGAATCAGCTCGACCGAGGGTTTGACACCTTTGGCCTCAGCTTCTTTCAACGCGGCTTGGACTACATCATGCATTGGAAGGTTCAAAGCTGGGATCTCCACATTTTGCTGCAAATGCATAAGACCTAGCTCTAACTCGGCGAATTTTTTCTTCGTTCCGGGAATACCGGTCTTTGTCTCAGTATCGGCTCTAGGCTTCACGCCAGCAATGGTTTCTTGGTTGCGGGCGTAGGCTTCGAAATAGGGACTCAGACCATGGTGGAGCAGCAGATGTAAAACCTGGTAAGGCGACATAGTAGTCCCTTGTTGACCCTGAGTATTATTGAGAGATGCGACACCGGGCAGATTCATGACCTGAATCTGCGAAGCGATCGGTAGAGCCGGGTCGATAGGAGCAGGACGTTTGATGAAAGCCACCGACGAGACGGTGGTTGAGGACGATGAAATCTCCGAGGAGATAGTATAGAGATATTGTACCGAGTCTTGCCTTTGAATCAATATATATGCCCGCGGCATTAAAGGCGGGGATCAACTTACCTTGACCCTCGGTTTCGCCATTGGTCTCCGCGGCGCCCGCGATATCTTTCTGTACATAGATCGCGACCTGCGGCTCGGAGGCGAACCGCGTACATCTATGCAAGGTCTCATTGTACCTGGCCTCCGAGAGCAAGCTCCCGGTGGCCTCCAACTCGGATTTGAGAGCGCCCAGTGTCACCTGGAGCACCTCCGTCAGGTACTGAATCACAGCGCCGGAATCCACCAAAGCTGCCAGATCCGGCGTCGAGACGCCGTTTGGCACCCCTGTGGAGGCGACCTCCATTGTTGTCTCGGATCTAAAGCGACAAGCCCGGGCAGATCATGGAAGGGAGAAAGCTGAAGCGCGATCGGGGCGGAAGAAATAAATGTTGACACGGGTCGCGTCGTGGCGGTGCACAGTGTACAATGGTGGAGACGGCTGATAGATCGCGTCTTTGGAGTTGTGAGAGAAAAACTTAGGGAATCTAGATTAAACAATAGAGAAGAAAAGTCGACAGGAGCAGGTGTCGATATCCAGTACGCGGAGTCTGTTGGAACAGCTCACTTTACTTCAGGGGATGCGCCTTTCTCAATTCGGCTTAGCGCAGTCGCCCAACCATGTGACAAACGCGGGTTCCTGATCCAGCGCCATTCATTGCTTGTCATTGCTTTGCATCATCTCTCCTTTACTAGTTCACACCGCAGTCCCAATCTCCAGCTCCTCGAGATCCTTCTTATCCACGGACCCGCAACCGCAGCCGTACTTGAGCTGGAAATCGGATTTAAGCATTCCTTGAACAGCTACCAATGCCTGCTCGCTCGCCCTCACCTTCGCATACCGACCAGACGTCTCAACCGCATTCGCGATGGAGTGGCCATGCACCATTACGGTAGCCAGGATTTTTGGCTTCTCGCCATCTATCTCGGGGATCTCGCCAGTCTTGAGACAGTAGTTGGTGCACCCGAAGACATTCGTCAATTGGGCGTGCAGGAAGGTCTAACGCCGTGAGTATATGTATAGATAGGTATGTATCTCAGGTGACAGGCCAGGCTCACTTACCGTTGGGTGCTTGTTGGCAAACGTGTCATACAGAGACATGTCCTCGAAGAAAGGCCGCATATGAGCTGTGAAAAAGGTCTCGACCACGGTGAAATCGAACTCCGAGTCTACGAAAATGGCACCGGTATATGCTTCGATCATATCTGCAAGGCACTATAGTACAAATAATTCAGTTTGATGAGCACTTATGCAACAAATTTGCTTAGACTTACCTTTGGAGAGTCTCTTGTGTCAAGCCAGTAGTCCATCGCCCCGTCGGCTTCGGCCTCTGCAATCTGGATATCTTCTGCATAGTGCGTGATCAGGCCTTGCAGGGGCCCACCAACGTATTGAAGATGCTGGTGTAGGCTTAGTCTCACTGCCAAAGCGCCGAGGAATTTGTTCGACACCATAGCCATCTGTGATTATGTTAGCGATTGTGGCCGAGATGCGTCTGAATTAATGCATGGAATTACTTTGTGCTCAGTGAGCCACTGAGGATCTTTATCGGGATATCGATGGTACAGAAACTCAATACACACCATATCGAGAAGCGCGTCACCCAGAAATTCGAGTCGTTGGTAACAGGGCACCTTAGAATAAAATAACGGAAAAGAAGGATGTGTGAAAGCAGACCGCAACAGACGAGGAAACTTGAACCTATACCCAAGCTTCTGAAAGACCTGTTTCGCAAGGTCTCGCTCAGCTGCATCGGCTACTTGTAACTGCCAGGTTGGTTTCGTGTAAGACGAAAGGTAGTCTGCCCAACGAGTTGCGGTGTGGTTCTCATTATTAACGAGAAGGGTGATTGCTTGAACAGCCAAGTCAAATCGATGATCTTTACCACAGGACAGCAAGGATGCTGCAATCAATGCCTCGCAAACATCGGCAATTGACTTTTCGCTGAGGTTGTGAGAGCTCTCCGCTTCAATGTGCGGAATATAGTTCCGCCCATGTAATAGCGTTAGACCTGGCGGATACCACGTATTTCGTGAAAAGCCACGACTGCGGATATACTCATGGATGCGGAGCTTGATCGCAGTATTGAACAAGTTCTTGTTGCAGATGAGACACATTCGATAGACGTGATAGTCGTACTCGTCATTGTCTGGCTTTTGGGCGAAGAGCGAGATTGTTGTTCCTAGCTTCAGGAAACAATCGCCCAGGAACTCAAGGCGCTCATAATTCTTTCCCATGCCTCGCTGTACCTTAATAATTCCAGATTGCCCTTCGGTATTGTTTGAGTCCTTCGTGAAGGATTCCAAGGCAAGGTCAGTCTTGAGATCCAGGTTGAGGGATTTACAGCCCTCTATTACGATCATGTAGGACTCTAATCTGCTGATGATAGCAGGGAATGCGAGACATGAAGTCACTATCGTCAATGGGATCTTGTTGAGTGTTAGTCTATTTTACGCAACACGAATCATGTTGCAGATGAACTTACCGATGATATGGCCAGTGTCTGTGGGCAAACAACGCATGTTTTGACCTCAGATTTCTCTGAGTCGGTCGCTTTATCCAGGAAATTCCTCCGCAGCCAGAGACATTCTACCTGTAGCACAGGTTGGCTCCAGTCAAAATGCTCGAAGAACTTGGAACGTGATTTCCTCGGAAGACTCAGAGAGTAGTTGGCAATGTTTTCCATCCAGCGTCGACGTGGTGTCCAGTCTGGTGGGGAATCTGATGCATGTAGATTGGTCTCAACGGCAATGGGAAAGTATCTTTTTCTTCCATCCCACGGGTCATACATGAAACGACCCAAAAGAAAGTTCACGTCCATATCTGGAGACCATTTCCAGTCCGAATGATCCTGCGCGAAAGCTACTGTCTCCCAGTCTATCACGCTCTTGGGTGCGGTATTTCGATTAAGGCCACCAGCACATGCTCGGACTGGCGCAAGCCAACAGGGCAATTTCTCGGGCACCGGGTCGAAGCTCTTGTGGAATACACCCTGGAAGACCGCCAGTGTGAAGCTGGAAAGTTGTTTGAGTTCTTGGGAAGTTACCACAAATTTGTCAATACCCTCCGTTTGAATGATAGTGTTCACATCATTCTCCAAAAACACTGAGAAAGTCGGAAATGAAGGGAGTCGTTTCCGAGACAATAGCAACAAACTTTGATGCTCCCTGTTCAAAGGCTTCGTTGGCGTGAAATTGATGAGCAAGCCATAAAGCATGTCTGGAGTAATACTTTCATGATTCCAGATTGAAGGCTTGCAAATCATGATATATTTACCTACCTTCTTCGTGACAGAGAGCTTTGCATTGCGCATCGCTGGCAGCCTCTTGTGATACCTGGACCTGAAATTATCATCAAGTAATCCATTGTTGCGGAGCAGGAGACAGGTATCAAAAGCAGCTGATCGTTTAGCCAGGCCTTTTGTCGATGCTTGATTTCCAATTAGCCCTCTGATGGGTGACTTCTCTGGGAGAATAATTTCGCAGATAAATGAGTGGTCCTGTGAGAACAAGGCGTAGCTGACCACAGCTGGAAGGTCATTTTCGCATTGCAACGAGGTGGCATAGTGTTCCAGAATATTGATGGCATGTGCGTAAGTCAGCTTTGCGCCGCTTGAAGGAACAGTGTAGATTCTCTGTTTCTCTTCCCTTAATGTTATGTCCACATCATGATCGTTTTCGCTGACAATTCGATCTGCGGGCAGAGATCTGCAGAAGGCTTGCATGAGGCGCTCAGCTTCGTGAACTTCCTGAAGTCTACCTTTGTGTTCTTCATTGCCCATTTCGACCATGGTTGCATAGATAGAGTTGGCATTTCTTGCACGGCCACGACTTTGGATATATTGAATCAGTGTATTGTAAAGATCGAACCTCACGACAAGATTGCAATCCGGAATGTCGAGGCCCTCTTCCGCAACCGATGTCGCAAAAAGGCAATTTACCTCACCTTGTCGAAACTTCGCCAAAACATGAAGTTGGTGACTGAAGTTTGCCGATCCAATGAGACCGTCGCGAATTCCAACCAACACTCCGGGGCGAAGATTGGGAATGTCCAGTTTTTCACAAAGCCGGACCAAGGTTTTCGCCGTGTTTCGGCGCTGAGTGAAAACGATGCATTTCCGTTCTTTGGACGTTGCAAACAATTTAAATAATTGTTGAATGAAGAGCTCGACTTTTGGGCTGAGCTGATCCCGCCCTGATGGGTGTTTGAATTGGTGACAACGGACAATATGACAGGCCTCTTTCATCAGCATGATGTCCTTTTGGATTTCCTCCGGGCTCTGCTTCGAAGAACTCGATGCAGAGTCTGCGTCTAGGTCTTTTGACATAACGCCCTCGAGCTTTGGAAGCACATCCTCTGCCACGGCATACTCCCAAACCTGGTCCGCACACCATGTTCCCAGCTCCGAGGTGGCGTTCAATGAAAATTGCAGGATTGGTTTGAGGGCTTTGACGTTCCCGAATCCCCTCTCTATCTGCCGATAGAGCTCCGTGGGGAAGGGTAGGTCAAGCTTGTTGTAGGTCCATGTCTCTTCTTCTGGCTTTCTCACGACTTGTCGTAGCAGGGTCAAATTAGACGTCGTTGCAATTTCGCTATCAAGAAGTTTTTCAAGCCTCCTAATTACTGTCAGCATGAGGTATTGTACTATCGGAGGTTTGATTACGTGGCTGCAGCTGCGATGTTGACTTTGGCATCGATCGGGGAGGCAGTCATCCCAAGGATCCTCGGACGCTTAGATTTCTCTATTGGGAGGTAAGAGTCTCGGATGATACTAGCACATATTTAGCAAAACAAGCAGTGAGCCCCAGAGTGTGCGATTATTCTGACCGAGCATAGACATGGTCCTTTTTCGTGTGGTGAGCTTCGTCAAAGATCAATAGGTTGATGTCGACCATCTTCACAAACCCATTGAGCAGAGCGTGGTTGAGAATTTCTGCTGTACACACAATTACCATGTGTCTTGCCAGGTGGTCTCCCCAAACCTGAGAGTCCCAGAAGTCGGGGCCCATGGCACCGAAAATATGTGCTACATCCTGATCGAGGTTGTTTCGAAGGACTGCTGACTGCTGGAAGACAAGGGTCACACTGTCGACCTGGTTCTTATTAGCAATATTCCTCTTTGTCTCTTCACATTATATACTAAGAAGAATGCCACTCGAGGTGGATTTCCATTATCTCGGTCGATAAGTTCTTGGTTGAGGACATGTTTGAGCAGAAGAACCGCGATCAGTGTCTTTCCGGAGCCTGGGTAAATATATCAGGTTTCATTGACTCTTCAAAACACAAATTAATAGTGATTTCTTACCTGTGTCGAGTACAGCAATGATATTCTTCTTCTTTGCGCGTTCAAATAGCTCAATCTGATATTCACGAGGATCCAAGTTTCGTCCGCTGTGATCATGCTTCGCAAGTAGGGGGGGCAATAGGAAGCTCGTTCTTGGGTGTTCTTGAGGTATTATCCTTTTCTATCCTGCCAGAAGCTTGGATAGCGTGATTTGAGAGTCTATATTCGCATTAGTGCAGTTTCATGTGCCAGGTGCTCACTAGCATCTTGGCTCACAAGGCTTCAAACTGAGCGTTCTGGAGGCGCCGTCTGGGAGCATTTTCATAACGGGTCATTTTTTGAATCTCTTCAGTTTTGGGGCTTTGTGGAGAGCCGTCCGTTGGTCCAGGCTTCACTACATCGGCCAGCAGGTCTTCTTCTCCGGTCCGTGGGTAGCTTGCAAAAGATTCATTGGTGGAGTATGGACCCATTTCAGTAGATTCTTGGATCTCAAAGTGATCCAAAAGCATAGGAACGCTCTTTGTACGGTCTGATAGTATCGGCATCTTGATCTGCGAATGTTGTTGGAAAGAAGAGTGAAGTGAGGTGATGGATGATCAGTACGGTAATACCTCTCAGGCGATATGTATGTATGCGGAGATGGGCACCATAATAATCATTGACTTGTGCAAATAGCACTTATTCAGGTCGACGAATGTGATGCCTGACACATGATAAAGATGAGAGCAAGAAGTTGATACCATGAAAGATTCAAGTTTGTCGAATCCATCACTTTTGTGGAAATTCACTTCGCATGGGAACTATACGTGATAAGATGAAGCTCCTTATCGGTTATCGGCTTATCGGCTCGCCAAAACTCAGGCGACTGCGGGGACCTGTTCAGTGTTCACCTAACCGCACGGACAAATAATGGAGGAGTCTCAGAGTCTCAGATCACTCTTTCAATCCGCTCGTGATGACAAGACTGAGTTGGAAACGAGAGGGGATACCAATACCGAAGCCTACCGTGATGCCGTGAATGCGACAATCGCGAAATTTCACGAATGTCAGCGCCAGATCAGCATCTTGTCACTTTTCAGCTCAAATGAATCCCTAGATGACGTCTCAACGGGTAACATTACGTACGCCTAGCAACCTACGACTGCTGATACTGTGGGGCTAACAATCGATTCTAGGTATATGACCCTGGAATATCACCTCGCTGAGCTGGTCCAGCGTGGCCCCACCTCCGATCGTGAAGCAGTTCTTCGTCGAGCCCTAGAACAATATGAGACTTTCATTACGCGTCTGGATGAGTACGAGTTGCTCACCGGAGGAAATAAGAAGCTTCTTGAGCAATACATGGCCAATCCATCCACATTTACCCTCGCCCCGATGAGTGACGCCGCCGCTCGTCGCGATGTCAAAGTGAAACGCTTCAGGGAAGAGAAGGAGCTGAAACAAAAATTAGAGGTAGGTCACTACTGGGTCTGACATCTTTTGTATGCTTGCTTACTCTCAATGGAGTATCTCGCACGGAACGAGGCCCGACTCCAGAGCGACGACGATGACACGCGAAGATTATATTTAGCAGAACTTCGACTCTACACCCATCAGACCTTCCAATCACTAGACCTTTTGATGCAGGAGCTATCGATGCTTGCTCTCATGAAAAATGCGCCACCACCTCCCGACCCGCAGCCGGAAGATGTTAGACAACGGGTGGGAGGCCTGGGAGGAGCCAACTATTCAGACCGCTTGGACCCATCAATCTCACAGCTGCTCGGCAGGGACGAGGTGGTCCTATCCTGAATAGCAAAGGCAAGCCGATGCAGCCCTTCACTCTTCTCGACCGCCGTACACAGCTCCAGCAAGGAGTGTTCCGCTCAGGTCACAACCTGCCGACAATGACAATTGACGAGTATCTTGAAGAAGAGCACAGGAGAGGAAATGTACTTCAGGGCGGAGAGCAATCTGGCATCATACCGGAAGTTGACGAGGATGATTTTGACAAGGCGGATGAGGAAACGATGAGAGCTCGCGCCTGGGATGAATATACCGAAGCCAACCCAAAGGGATCTGGCAACACCCTTAATCGGGGCTGAAAATTATGAAGTGTTGACGCGAGTCTTCATCAAAAGCGATAGATGGAGTCTGAAGGCTCTTAATTAGGTTCAATATCCAATGCATAAATACAAAGTCCTCGGGTCCAGGATTCAAAATAAATTCGTTGATGTTGGTCATTTCACAGGTATCTGTAGAGTATGTGCAAATGGTCTATCCGACAATTACTTTTGCTCAAGAAGAGAGACTCTCCTTGGCTACCTTGTTACACTGAATCTCGTCCAGAATTTCACCACCGCCATCAGCCACCAGAGCCTTGGCCACGGTAATACCGAAAGCCTCGGCGCTTTCAACGGAGTCGACATCACCATCGACCTCCGCCTGAGCGCACTTTTGGCCGTTGACACTTACTACAACAGATCGCATACGCAACTTGTTGGCCTCGGCACCCTTGACCCACTCAGTCTCAACACCCAGAGGGGCACTGCAGCCGCCCTCCAGAGTGCGGAGCAGACTTCGCTCGGCCAAAACGGCATAGGTGGTTTTCCAGTCGCCAATCTTATTCAACATCTCGTGCAGAAGAGTATCATCCTTGCGGATCTCAATTCCCAGAGCACCCTGTCCAACTGCGTAAAGCATCCCGCTGTTCTTCGAGTCGAGGTACTGAGTGATACGATCCGCCAGATCCAAACGCAGCAGACCAGCAGCAGCGAGAATAGCGCACGTGTATGGACTGTCTTCCGCGTCCAGCTTCGACAAACGAGTTCCAATGTTGCCACGGATATCCTGCACCTTGAGGTGAGGGTATTTACGGGCCAATTGCGCAGTGCGGCGAATGGAGGACGTTCCGACCACGGAGCCTGCGGGCAGCTCCGCCAGGCTCTTGTACGGCAGCCCTTGCTTCACCACGAGGACATCCCGGCTGTCTTCACGAGACATAGTCGGGCCCAAGGTACATGTCGAGGGGAGAAGGGTGGGAACATCTATACCAAACTATTAACGATTTGCTCTCTTTTTTTCTCTCCAACGAGGGGCAAGTCTAAGCGGGGCAGACTGACCTTTAAGAGAATGAACGATGAGATCAACTTGACCCTCGATCATCAATTCCTCCAATTCCTCGGTCCAGAGGTTCTTGCTAGTGAAATCCTTCAAGGCAATGGTGGTGTTGAGATCGCCTGCGGTCTCCTTGGAGAAGATCTTAAATTCATATTGAGGGTGTGATCTCTTGAGGGCGGCCTGCACCAAGTCCGTTTGAAGTAAGGCGAGCTTGGATGCACGGGTACCGATGGTAAAGGTCGTTCTGGGGGCGGGGGTAGCCATGATTGTCTGGGGCAATGCCAATCACGAAAACGAAGCCGAGGAAAAAGAGGCGAGAGGCGATTGCGTGGGGAGCCGATCACGGGACGCGGAACCCACTGTACCGTGAACAAGATGCAAGAGCAACATCGAGATGTAAGCAAATACTACAAGAGATGATCAGAGACGATCAAAGATCCCTAAACACGACGCCTAAGCATTTGCATCAAATGGAGTGACAAAAAGGAAGCCCGGATCTGCAAATCTGACGTAGACCTCGGCTTCGGGACGTGGAGATTACACGACATGCGACCAACCTCTTATCGCCTCTCCCCCGGACTCGCCTCCCCGGTTATTTGCACGGAGGATTCTGGAACTTCTCCTCTCTCCACCTGTAACACCCGATTTACCACATTACCCTATTCTTGTCCCTTGTCAATCCTCCCCCCCTTTCCAGTTTTGAACGGTTCTCTCACTGTTCCTCCGGACTCTCCCACCCTCACACTAGCCCCAGGATGGGTTCAAACAGCGGTAGAGTCACCAAGCTCCCTCTAGTTCCCCTGGCCAAGGGCTCCGTCCTGCTGCCAGGCGTGACCCTGCGCATTCCCGTCTCCAACCGTCCCGACCTAACCAACCTACTGTCCTCCCTGGTCGACCGGCCCAAGCGCGATGGCAACTCGATCACATTCGGATGTATTCCCCCTCAGCTCCCCGTTCCTGAGCCGAGACGGTCAACAACTTCTCGAGGGCGAAAATTCCGATGACGAGAGAAAGGAGGACTATGACTCGATCGATGCGGGCCAGGCGCGCAAGGATGACCTGTTCCGCCACGGCGCCGTGGGCAAGGTGATTGGCGTTCAACGCCGCGCCTATGCCGAACCTTTCCTGCTGGTTCAAGGCTCTCAACGCTTTACTGTGAAGAAGGTCCTAAAGGACCGACCGTATTTTGAGGCAGAGGTCCTCATCCATGAGGAGAATAGTAGGTGCAACCAACGCAACCAACGCGACTAACGCAATCCCGAATCCCAATCTTGTGACTAACCCCTTCTCCGCCAGACTCATCCGTTCAGGGCGACTCGGAGGCTGCTGATCTCTTCCATCAATTGAGGCAGTTGTCCCGTGAGCTCCTGACTCTATTGCGCCTATCGTCGTTGCTGTCGGCGGCCTCAACTCGCCTGTCGCCATTGGTGGCAAGGAAATTTGAACTCTACATATCAAAGACAGACTTAGCCCAGGCTGGAAAGCTTGCAGATTTCATGGCAGATGTCTCTGATGCAAGCTTCGAAGAGAAATTGCGGATACTGGCCTCTTTCGATGTGAAGGAGCGACTGGAGCGTGTCGTGGAAATTCTTTCCCGCCAAGCCCAGCACATCAAGAGCAGCGTGAAGGTGACATCGATCTCCACGACATCATTCCCGCCCAACTCCAATCTCGATGTTAGCAACATTGACCCGCGAGAGCGTGAGCTGCTTGCCAGGCGTGCGATGCAAGGTCTGTCAGGCCTGTCGCCCCCTGGGCCCGGCGGACGTGGCGGCGATGAAGAGAAGGAGCCGAATGAGATTGATGAGCTACAGCAGAAACTCAACGACGCGGAGTTGAGCCTCGAGGCTCAGAAGATTGCGGACAAGGAAATGAAGCGCCTGCGCAAGATGAACCCTGCGAATGCCGAATACGGCGTTTGCCGCACTTATCTGGAGAACCTTGCAGAGATTCCGTGGTCCAAGGTTACCGCTGATCAACTTGGCCCGGATACCTTGAAGCGTGCCCGGCAGCAACTGGACGAGGACCACTACGGTCTGGAGCGCATTAAGAAGAGGCTGTTGGAGTACTTGGCCGTGTTGCGCCTGAAGCAGTCAACCAACAATGATGTTCAACGCCAGATTACTGGCTTGTCTCAAGAATTGGACGCTTCATCTGCTGGAGACCTTGAAAAGGACATTCCTTTGCTCTCCGAAACCGATCGAGTTGCCCTGGAGACCCGACTCGAGATCTTGAAGTCTAAGCGCATGACTGACAAGTCCCCGATTCTGCTCCTGGTCGGTCCTCCCGGCACTGGAAAGACCAGTCTGGCCCGATCAGTGGCGGCTTCCCTTGGACGCAAGTTCCACCGCATCTCTCTGGGTGGCGTCCGTGACGAGGCCGAGATCCGCGGCCACCGCCGCACCTACGTTGCCGCCATGCCCGGGCTCGTCGTCAATGGGCTGAAGAAAGTTGGTGTCGCGAACCCGGTTTTCTTGCTTGACGAGATCGACAAGGTTGGTGGCTCCAACTTCCAGGGGGATCCTTCTGCGGCCATGTTGGAAGTGTTGGACCCTGAGCAGAACAACTCGTTTATCGATCACTACATCAACATTCCGATTGATTTGAGCAAGGTACTCTTTATTGCCACTGCCAACTCTCTCGATACGATCCCGGCCCCCTTGCTTGACCGTATGGAGACCATTCAGCTATCCGGATACACCACCGTTGAGAAGAGACATATTGCCAAGCGCCACCTTATCCCCAAGCAGATTCGTTCCAACGGATTAAGCGAAGGACAGGTCCTTATGTCTGATGAGGTCATTGACAAGACCATTACTTCTTACACTCGTGAATCTGGTGTCCGTAATCTGGAGCGTGAGATTGGCTCGATCTGCCGTCACAAGGCAGTCCAGTTCGCCGATGCCGGTGACGCAAATCGGCTGGATGAGTATAACCCTGTTGTTACTGTGGATGATCTGGAAGATATTTTGGGCATCGAGCGCTTCGAGGAAGAAATTGCCGAGAAGCACGGCCGGCCTGGCGTGGTCACGGGTCTCGTTGCCTACTCGTCTGGTGGTCAGGGAAGCATTCTCTTCATCGAGGTGGCCGATATGCCCGGCAACGGACGAGTTCAGCTCACCGGCAAGCTTGGTGACGTTCTGAAGGAGTCTGTTGAGGTGGCCCTCACCTGGGTCAAGGCCCACTCTTTCGAGTTGGGACTTACTCACGACCCCAATGAAGATGTCATGAAGAACCGCAGCCTGCACGTTCACTGCCCATCTGGCGCCATCCCCAAGGACGGCCCGTCCGCTGGTCTAGCCCACACTGTCGCCCTCATCTCCCTTTTCTCGAATAAACCCGTTCCCCCTCAGATCGCCATGACTGGTGAGGTTTCCCTCCGTGGTCGCGTGATGCCTGTTGGCGGAATCAAGGAGAAGCTCATCGGTGCCTTGCGCGCCGGTGTTAAGACTGTCCTTCTGCCTTACCCCAATCGCAAGGATGTCAAGGATGTCCCTCAGGAGGTTCACGATGGTTTAGAAATCATCTACGTGCAGTAAGTCACACACCACACTCGAAGCTTACAACACCATTCATATGTTAACGTTTACAGGCATATCTGGGAGGCACTCGGCAAGATCTGGCCGGATGCTCACTGGCCCGGCCAGCACCATATGAATTTCGTCGAGAGCCGCTTGTAGATATTCTCGGCTTTCGCTGTTGCTGTTCACTTTGCGTTGTTTCAAGCCCTCTCGACTCTAATCGTTCTGCATAGCGACATTTCACCCTTCCACCGTTGATTCTAATTCAGCTGTCTTTGATGCACTCATGCGCTTAGGTTTTCCCTTGTCTGTAGATCAATATAACTCTCGGTACCTGCTCAACCAAGGTTTCCAATTATGAGCACATACAATAATATGAAACCAAAGTCTTGAAAACAAGGCCCAAAGGCAAAAGATCTATAAATCCGACCTGAAGATATAATACAAACGGCCCAATCACAAAATTCGAACCTCAAATGGGGGAGAAAAATACACATAACACCGATTTTTGCCAGAAAATCCAGCACAGAAAGATGCAAATAAAGGCCCTACCCTTATGGCTTCTGCTGCCACTTAGGAGGAGGAACACTCTTACCCACATTAGCCATCTCCTTATGCGCGAAATCCAACCCAAGCGCCTTCCAAGTCGGCCTCCAGGCCTCCTTATTCTTCTTCAACTCCTCCGCCTGCTTCTTGAAAGCCTCACGCAACTTCTCATCCGGCTTCTCGGCAGCATGAGGTTTCTGGACGTTTTCGCGGCGCTGCTCGGTTTGCACTCTTTCTTGAGCGTCCCAGGAATCTTTCTCCCATCTGTTATTTGCATCAGTGACAATTTCTACCAAGGGCCGGGATTGAGTTGGTGAAACGGACTTGCTGAGATCAGTAGGCTCCTCGGGCCAAACGAACGGGTCTTTCAACTCGACCGTCATGCGCTTTTCGGACTTGGGTCGTCGCCACGCGCCCAGTTGTCTTCCGTCCTTGGTGATACGGGTAATAGGCTGAAGCTGGACGTAGCTGCGGACGCTGACGACACCGACACCATATGCACGCTCGAGGTAGTCGCGCATGTCGAGTTTGTTGAAGTTGAGGGGGACGCGGAACTGGGCATAGCGGTTTGAGAGGTTGGGGGTTCGGACGAGGGAAATGACAAATTCGGGGCTAGAAAAGGGATGTGTTAGCAGATTGCGAGGAAATTGCTTCTGGCGCAGTGGTCGGAAGACTTCGACGGGGTTGAAAGTTGAAAGTTGAAAGTTCGGGGTGAAGGTTGGGAGACCAGAGGATGGAGGGTGACGGACAGATAGACTTGTTTGCGCTCAGAAAGAGGGGCGAACGATCCTAGCCCCTTCGTGGGGAGGCCAATTGTTTTGCGAACCATTGTGGTGTGTGGTAGTTGATGGTCGGAGTGTTCGGCGTTTAATGTTGGTGATCTTTTGCGGGTGGAAATTGCGCGGATGGCCGCGTCGCCTGCCGTACTCTGCTCGATGACCCTTCATGGCTTGTTCTCACATTGCGCCGTCTTTTTTTTTTGCATGAATTGTGCAATTCAAATGACAGTAATATCGCATCACCAAGGCTGGTTTCAGCCTGAAAGCTTCCTATTCATATTCTACAGCGCCACCTGTATCAAGGCCTCGGTCTCATACTAAACTCGGGCATACCGTGATCATCGTTACAAGCAAAGACATTAATCATTGACCAGGCAGTCCCCACGGAAGATCCTCCAGATCACCCAGATGATACCATCCACAAAGATCCTCAATCGAGCCAAGTGAGGGTAACATATCAGTTCCATTACTGGAGTCCCCGTCCGATCCAAGACCTCTCTGCTCTTGACCGCCGAAAAGATGCGGCACTCCACTTGAGCTAGGAGTGTTGCCCTTCTTTGCAATATTCGACCTAATTCCCAACACATGATGCGCAATAGTCTGGATCTCACGAACATTTCTCGCGGTCCGCGGCCAGATCTCACCGAGTGCCTTCAGACACCCGATAGTCATGCGGATCTGGTCTCTTGCCGTTGCTAGATCCCTTTCCTTGAATAAGAAATTGCAGGCTGACAGGAGCGCCAATGTGCCTTCGCTGACCATACACGTTGTGAAGGGCGTATGGTGGAATCGCCGAACTGGGAGTGCTAAGAGGCGGATCTGGGCTTCTACGGCGCGAAGGACTCGCACTGTGTGTACGTTGACGAGGTCCGATGTGGGTGTGACGAGAGGCGGTTCCCGTGCGCAACTTGAGACTTCTTCCACTGCGTTGAATTTGAGGTCTGAGAATGGTCGGTGTAATCCAATGGTGGCTCTATGAGATGGATTAACTCCCCTTCTCTCTTTTGTCTCATCGGCGACTTACACATGGACTAGCAGGTGCGCTTGGAACATCAATTCATCGATATCTCCTGTCTTTGTCATTAGTTGCCTGCGATTCTCTGGTAGCAGAAGCCTCCAACCATCAAGGCTGGAGTCTGCAGCCTGGATTATGTGTAACGAGTCGTCTTTATTCACAATCTTCGGCGCAGACGCTATTGCCGACGCTGCACAACGAACTGCGCCAATGAGGTAGGCGAAGGATGAAAAGGTGATTTCAGGAGTGAATTCGCGGCAGTCAAAATCTTCTAGGCTTCTGGGCGCGGGAATGTTCTGTTCACGATTCAGCTATGCACAGGTGCGTTGAAACTGTTAAATGGATAGGTCATAGGCAGCACTCACTCCTGACTCGAATGCGGACTCCTCACAGGGCAATTCCACAGTAGTCTCAATGTCCACAACTTCAAAGTTCATAGTTCCGAGAGTCCCAGCATAGTACGCATCAACGAGATAGAGCATCCACCATGTGCGCCTCCAACTTTCCGTCAACACAGGGTCTTCGCCGCCGTGTTTCGCTGCGAAACCATGAAGATACATCTGCAAATCAACAGCAAGACGGATTGACTTGTCCTTCTGGCTCTTGGCCTCGTCCTTGTAGTCGAACCAGAACAACGCTATTGAATATAAGAGTCGGCATTGAATCAGGATCGGATCAGTCGGAGATGCCCGTGGAAAGCACGCCTCGGCATGGTCTTGGAGTGAAGTTGGCCAGTCTCGCGCGTGAAAGATATGTCCAACCAAGCGCATGACAGCAACGAGGGGGGTAAAGTCAAGTTGTCTGCTCGGATTCTGACAAAGTCTGTAGAAATGCCTTTGCGGCGGGAGGAACGGATGCAACTTGTGAAAATTTTGATAATATGCATCGATCAAAACGTCTTTCTCTATATTGCCAACGTCCGCATTTGGTACTGTAAGCGATGCCCTTCCAGTGATATCAGCAGTGCCGATCTCATGGAGTAGATCGTAGCTACTCGGGAACTCTGTCTCAAGGAATGGTGTACATTCCGGGCCGTGTTGAAAAGCCGCGTGTTCTTGCAGGCTGGGCTCATGAGATACACGAGGTGTTTCGGTAGCGGCGAGTTTCTTGCGCCGCTCAGCCAAAGCCGCCCGGTCGAGTCCGCCTCTGCGCGATTGAGCATAATTACACTGTTTGCCGAACTCCGCGCAGCGGGTACAGCACGGTCGCTTGCCGTCGCATTTTAGGTGGCGTGAGCGACAGGGTAAACAAGCGAGAGATGAGCGTGTAGCCCGGGCATTTCGCGAAGTCGAGTTCATTGAATCATTGAAGAGAGTATAGAATAGAGTTGAAGGTGAAGAAGTGCGGATACTTGGGTATTTGGGGACTCACTCCCAATGCGGGAATCCGTTGCAAACCACGCCGAGATTCTGCAAGTATAAAGACTTTTGATTTCCAAGTTCGAGAGATAGTATCATCAAAAATATGATTTTAAATTGAAGATCATCTGAGAATCCGATTGAGCACATCATATTTTCATATTTTCATATTCTCGCCTTCAACCAAGCACCACTTCGTTTTACTCGCGGATCCACTCCGATCTATAGAGCCTCAACGATGTCCAGCAAAATCATCATCATTGGCACTGGATTTGCCGGTGTCTGGAGCGCTCTCTCAGCCAAGCGTCTAATCGACCTGACCCGCGAAGATGTCGACATTGAGGTTATCGTCATCTCTCCTGAGCCGTCTATGGTCATTCGTCCTCGACTCTACGAAACCAACGCTTCTGATATGGTCCATTCTCTCGCACCAATGTTCGAAAGTGCAGGTATCAAATTCATCCAAGGTACTGTGAGTACCATCGTTACCGAGACACGCACCGTGTCCGTCCAATCAGCCTCCGGCCCAGATTCAAGCATTGGCTACGACCGCCTCATCATAGCGGCAGGCAGCTCTGTCGTACGACCTCGGGGTATAGCCGGGATCGAGCAACATGCTTTCGATATAGATTCTTTAAAGTCAGCCATCAAGCTTGAAGAGCATATCCAGAACCTTCCTTCCCTTCCAGCAACATCTGCTCGCGACACTGTCGTTGTGTGCGGCGCTGGCTTTACGGGTATCGAGCTCGCAACCGAGCTGTCCGCGCGTCTTGCTCGAATGCCCAATCATCGAATTGTGCTGGTCGATTCTGCCGAGCAGGTCGGACCTGAACTTGGACCGGGGCCTCGTCCTGTCATCACGCATGCCTTGAAGGATCTCGGAATAGAAGTCAAGCTCGGATCTGCGGTTGCGGCGGTTGACGCGAACAGTGTGACACTCGCATCAGGTGAAAGTATTGAGAGCAAGACTGTAATCTGGACTGCTGGCGTGAGGGCTACGCCTCTCACACATCAGATTGCCGGGTCAAAGGATGGTCTCTGTCGCTTGAAGGTGGATCAGCATCTTCGCGTTCCTTTCGCCGGGAGGTATTTGCCACTGGTGATGCTGCCGCTGCTCTTGCCGATACCATGGGTCACTACGCATTGATGTCCTGTCAGCATGCTCTTCAGCTTGGACGCGTCTCGGGTCATAACGCTGCGGCCGAACTTCTTGGCGAGCCCTTGATAGAGTATGCTCAAGCGGCATACAACTGCTGCTTGGATCTCGGATCCTATGGCGCGATCATCTCGGGAGGCTGGGAGAGGCATACCAAGCTGACGGGGGATTTGGCAAAGCGCGTCAAACGCTTTATCAACCAGAAGTTGATTTACCCTCCTCATGATGCCCGGGAGGCACTGGCAGCGGCCAACCCGATTGGGCCAGACTCGGATCAACTATTCGAGCAGATGCTGCAGGTGGTAGGATAGACTCAAGATCAGAGAGTCAGTATCTTGAAATAACATTCTAATAAGCTAAATATGAAGCGAAAATGAGAACAAGCGTAGGTCCATGAACTGAGCCCGTAAGCGGGAACAAAGAATGGGGAAAGCTTCCATGGTTTGTTCTGGGAGACATGAGCCCAGCCACCGGGGGCAGACTTGTGGCCAGCATGCCTCCATCAAACTATCCGTTATATCATTCAAATCCACATGCTCCCTTTGACTAAAAACATCGCAAAATCTTGTGCTTTTGGTTTGTTGTTCTCCCGTCGATAGCCGGTCTATCGTCTCTCATTTAGGCAACTCGGGATTCCCATGGTGGTGGATAACCCAACTACCCACACATTGGATATTCTTGCTCTTCGACGATGCGATCCCATGCCCTCATAATTGCCTTAAACGCACTCATTGGGAAGTATTTGAACAATGGACTCTACAAAGACTGTCCACAATCTGCAATGGTTTAAAAAGAGCCGGTTGGCAGCTTGAAAAGGAAGGCTCATGTGGCAGTAGGGTATTTCACGGTCTGTATCCATCAACATGAACACCATAGCATCCTAGCAATCTTTCATGGTCTACTTTGGATCATCAATCTTTTGTCCTTAGGTTCAGAGCAGGTCTGGCTATTCTGAAGACTGCCTGCATAAGCTGCCGAGGCTGCAGGTGGACGCTACAGCAGCAATGCTGTCGCCACAGGATCAGCAATTTGCATGGCCCGAGAAAGGACACGGTCTACGATCTCGACCATCTCGGTCCGCTCCGAAATGTCAGATCGACAAAGCGTCGCGCATCCTTGATTTCTGACCTCGGCCACGCCACCTATGCAAACATGTGCGACCCATCGGCAGTCAGCCGCCACTGACTCAACAGTGCTACTGTGGCGTTTGAATCTATTTGATCTGAAAAACTATTCTGGCATCGCGCGATCGGAGCCAAACATGGTCCGTGCGGCGCCGCTGACGACGATCGGAAGATCCCGAGATTCCGCAGCTGCACTTTTTGTCCCGTGGCGATCCTCAGAGGGTTTCGTGGGGTTTGAGGAGGTGAACCATGGCCTGTTTCATAGATAAAATCAGTATGCGTAGAGATGTTAGAAGGGCATTCATGACGTGGTGGACAAAGTACGACTGTATAGTTCAGCCTCATCGGCCCTTTCCATAGCTGGGGGGTTTAAACAAGATCCAAGACCCCGGATCAAAAGACACTTAGCCCCGGAAGTCTTTCCCACGTCCCGCAATACGGTTCATGGGGCTACGATGACGCAGTAGATCTCCTAAAAGCAAGGAACCCAGCTAAACATCGTGAAAGCCTCCGGGCTCAAGTCGAGGATAAATACCTCGTGGTAGCCCTCCACACTACCTCTCTTTTCTTCATCACATCCACACTCTCAATAACTCAACCATCGCTTCTTCAAAAAACTCCCAATCTTACCAATCCTACCTTCACAATGGAGACCGTCAAGGTTCGTGGCCACCTGCAAGACCCTGCCCTCCCATACCCAATACTAAGAGACATCTAGAACGCTGCCAACTACGTCGCTGAGACTATTCAGGGCGCCGGTGCCACCGCTTCCAAGGAGGCCAACAAGGAGGTCGCCAAGGACTCCAATGCCAACCTGAGCACCCGCGCCAACGCCGCCGTCGATGCCCTCGGTGACAAGAAGGACGAGCAGGTCCACAACACCAAGGCTGATGTCCACAAGGGTAAGCAAAGTATCGAGGACGTTTGGATTGAGAGCAAATCTAACGCAACTTATAGAGGCTGCTAAGCACTAAGTGTTCAACACCTGTGAACAGCTGTGGAAGAACGGCTATTACCCCGTTTGACACTACGGCTCCCGCATGCATCACCTCGCTTCCTCTGGATGTTTGATGATACCATGGTTTATAATTTAGCATATATCTGCATAATAAATATATTATTCTGATAACACCGTGTTTCTTCTTTTTTTTCTTTCTTTCTTTTTGTTCCTGATGGGACCGAGTCATGATCGTGTTCTTCAGTTTGTCATTGACGTATTTACCTCGGGTGTATGCTCTGATGGCCAACATAATCAGACTCAGTGGATGTCATAGTAGTCCATTGACGCTGAGGTCAGCTTCCGTTGATATGGAAGCGCCGGGCAAGCCTCAAAGACTCACTTCTAGTAGTGAATGAAGAGAAAAGGTATGTGGTGGCTGCGTATCGTGGACATGCTTTGGTGAGGCCATTTACAGTCTAGATTCATCACTCGTGGTCATTAGAGTACAATCATGCAGGATGCAAGGTTTCAAGGACTCCCAGGTCATCTACTTTTCGGATGATCCCGAGATCTCCAGTGCTTCTAATCGCTGGGCACTCTCGTCTGCCGCGCTAGACTGCTCTGGTTCATCTTCATTCATTTCCTCTTCCTCGGAATTTTCTTCCTCCTCGGAGTCATCCTCCTCTTCCTCGTCTCCTTCACCTTCACCCTCGCCCGCATTGGCGCCAACTTCCTCCATATACTTCTCAAGCTCGCGTGCCATCTTCCTTGAGAAACCAGAAGCCTCGACCTCGACATCAAGTCGTTTGCCAGGGTTCTTCAAGAAATTCTTCCGCGCATCCTTGAAAAATGGACCTGGCGCGTCACTAACAAAATGATACTTTCGCTGGAAAAACCGCTTGATACAGTTCACATCACGATCAAAGTACATCTCCGCATTCGCATGATCAATAGAGACCATCTGCGGGAAATCAATGACAATCGGAGTCAACTTGATCTGATCATCATGCGCATCTTCAATATCCGGAACATTGCCATCCGCATCCGGAATCACTTCTTCTTTGATAAGCAAATTGAATTCGTTAAAGTCACCATGAATCAAACCAAAGCGCGCCAACTCCAAAATCATATCCATCAACTCAGAGTATAGTTTCGCGGGCTTGGCAACTTTGGCGATCTGACGCAGCGGGAACGCATCAATCAGACTCATGACAATGGTGTGCCGGTTCTGTGCAATGGGTTCGGGAACAGGGAATCCGTTTTCGCGGAGGGCCTTCATGAAGGCGAATTCTTTCATCGCGGCCAGGCGCGACATGTACATCCAGGATCCGGTGTGGCGGTGTCGGAGGTAGTCACGATTTGTCTTGACGGTTCGGAAGGAGATACGGCCGAGACGGTGGATCTTCAGAATGCGTTGTGCTCCACTGCTGTGCGCGACCACGATAATATCTGATTCCTTGCCGACGCCGATCTGGTTGCCGACGGAGTAGACGACTTTTTGCTTTTGGTGTCCGTTGAGAGCGAGGTAATCGAGACCACCGTAGGTGAGGCGGTATCCGTCATCTGCAATGCGAGATATATGAGTTAGTGTTTTAATGACGAGATACGAGGATGGAACGCGTACACTTTGCGTTCTTCACTTTTGCGATCAGGTTAATCTTGGCTAGATTCGAGATGGCGCGATGCACGCCGCTGCCACCTCGGAGACCCGAAAGCTGCACGATGAGTGGGGTCGGAACAACTTCGTGATTTCGGCTTCCGGTTTCAACCTAGTAGAGGTGATCAGTGTTAGTTATCTGAAGATCATCGCGAGAGACCGCTCTAAACACGGCGGGGTGGAGGGGCTGATAAGTACCCCGCAAGAACTTTGAAATCCTCACTTGTGAGGTAACGAATTGCCTTCGCGTCGAGCTTCATATTTGCAAGATCTCAGAGTCCTTGGCCTGAGAATAGGCAGATCTTTGGCGTAAAAAGTGTAGGGCTGTCGCTGGAAAGAGTAACGCGGAGAGAAAAAAGTGATAAGCTCATAGCCCTAAGCCCTATTTCCTCTTTGGGCGAGTACCTTGTTGAACATCGCTATCAATCTACACGACGATGCCAAACACGAAGCCGGGAAATGACTTGGTTATGCTCGAGGAATAAAGTCAGAATTTAATCGTCGATATTTCACACATCTAGTAGAGCACATAGCTCTAGTCCCCATGACCGCGATGTAGTCTCCACAAGATCCCCAGTCGACACAGCCTAAGCCGTCTGATATACCAAATCCAGAAGATGAAAAAAGTTCATGCTATTCCTCGGTCGTTCTGAATACATTAGATTCGACAATAACCTGACCGCTATGTGAGGCTCGTCGTAAGGATAGGTTGTCTGCTTTCTCTTCTGCCTTATTCGGGATTTTCCCAGTCAGGGTTCTAAACGGTTCGTTAGCAAGCATACTTGGGATGACGTGTCAGATCGGGGTGGCTTACCTTGCGCAGAATGACCAAGCCCTCGAGTGTGCTGCTAAGGGGGATATACTGCTCGTCTTCCAACTCAGCCCTCTCACCATGTGACAGAAGCACCGGTGTGCTCTGGGTCTGCCATCCAGTGATAGTCTTTGGCCGACCAGCCTGGCCGACGACGTCCACGGCCTGACCCACGCGCACGTTGACGGTAAGCGGGTTCAGGTCCTCATCAAGAGTCACGAGGAAACGTGGGAACATGGCGGTAATAAGGAAGTAAAGCAGGTAGTGGCTATCGGCCAAGATGAAGTCCTTGGCATCAATTAAGGATACAAGGACTGTGAGCAGACCAGCCGCCGAGACTCGGGAAAGGACCTGGCGGTCAGTGTGGAAGGGGTTGAGCGTCATTGTGCCCTTGCCCATGTGAAGAAGACCTTGAGCGATGCGCACCATGAACAGGGAGTTCTGGTCACGGTGGTAGTAGCTAGCCAGTTGACGCAAAAGCTGTGCCAGACGAGCGTTGTTGGTACCCGCACCGCAGAGACCCATGGCAAAGATGGCGTTAATGGCAACATCGTTGTCATTGTCGTGACTGTATCGAGACAGGGTGTCGTAAACCTTCATCTGGGGGTTGCTGGGGCTGATCAATCCCATAGCAAGGGGCACAGCCCGGCGAATGTTGGGAGAGCCGTAGTGCATGAGATGGCCGAATTGACGGAGAATCATGTCCTGGCCGACATCCTCGCCCATGGCAATGAGGGACAAACCCAGGACAGCGTAAGACTGAACAAGCTCATCACCCTTGTTCTCCTCCTTCTCCTCAATAATGTCATTGCAGATGTGAAGAAGTTCTTGCAACTTGAGCACAGTTCCGGTACCGGCCCAGGCACACACTGAGGCAAGGACGGAGGTGGGCTTGGCCATAGGGTGGTCAACAGCCTTCAGGATGTCGAGGATAACGTCAACCTCCTCCTGCCGACCGAAGTAAAGTAGTGCAAGACCCAGAGCCATGAATCGTGTCCACTTGTCCTTGAGCTGCTTCTGGCGCTCCTCATCCATCAAAGTCGTGGCAATGGCCTCACTAACCTGGTGGTTTGATGAGCCAACGAAGATGAGACCAAGTGAGACCGCTGCCATAGCAGAGAGCTGCATATCCAAAGAAGAATCCTCTACAATAGGAAGAAGAATTTCAAGGAGGTCCTCCTTGTTAGAACCAGCATATGCCAGACCGAGGCCCATGATAGAGGCAACTCGCATGGGCACGTTCTTGGCCTCTAAGTTGTCGGGATCACTCAAGAGTGCAAGAGCCGGGTCCGAGTCAAGACGGACTCCAGAGTTCAGAATACCAATGGCAAGCAAAGCACCGGCCTTGACCTGGTCCTCCGATGCGTAGGTGAACTTGTCGATCTTATCCAAGCCATCCTCAACATCCCGGTGAAGAAGCATACCCAGCGACGCTGTTGTGGAGAGCATGCCGTCATCCTTGGTCTTCCACACCCACGGGCCTTTCTCACCCTCAACCAGCATCATTTTGTCGTTACCAAAGCCGGCATTGGCAAAGGAGTTGACAAAGGCGCTGGCCAAATTGTGTCGTGCTGAATCAAGGTTGGTGAGACCGGCTCCGCGGCTACTCTCCAGGTGTGTTTTGTAGATATCCTCGGGCATCTTAGGGTCCAGAATGTTGAGCTCCTTTCCAAGAGACTTGAAGTGCTTGGGAATGGAGGTGTTATTAAGGCAGTCATTCAACGCCTCACCTTCCTCGTCCTCGGCCGGCAAGTCGAGCCAAATCTGCTGTCGAGCAACGAGGAAAGCCATTTGCTTCTTAAGGGACTTGTCGTCGGTGGCGTCGATATCACTCTTAATGAGATCGATGTCATTCAACCGAATGGCGAGTACGATGGCCTGGGTCAATTTGTTGTAACGGACGTAGATCTCGTGGGCGGTGCGGAGGAATTGCTGGTCTTCGGGGTAAGTGAGCAAGTTGACCATGCTGACCATGTACAAGCAAACTCGGGAGTAAGTGTTTTCATCCACAAAGCGCGGGATCTCCTCGATGATCTCCATCTCGCTGAGGAGATCGACTGCATCAGCGTCGGCGTTGTGGCTGAGGAAATGAGGCACCAGCGACAAAGCGAGATCCACCAGGTCTTTGGTCTCCTTCTCGGCATTCAACCGATTCTGGTATTCTTGTCCAATCTCCAGCGCCAGGTGTCGAATGTATTCGTGGCCCCAGGAGGCAAGATCTTCCGACTTAGCCAATAGGCGGTATTTCAGAGTCTCCAGCTTGGTCTCATCTCCGTAGGTCATACCGAGCACGGACAGCATATCAGCCAGCGAGTCCTAAATAGAGGTATGATCAGAAGTTGCTAATTGGAATGGCTAAATATCAGACCAACCTGAACGGGGCCGGCTGTCCACTTCTCGTAAAGTGCTGCCAGGTCATCGTAATGCGGACGGAGGAATTTCAACGGCTTTGGGACAGCTGTCATGGAAGATGTGGAGGTCTTAATGAAGTTCTTGATCGCGTCCAGGGCAGGACCGTAGAGTGAGGTGTCGGGCTCCTACGAGCAGACATTAGCATCAACGTCATCGTCCGCTTGAGGTGAATTTGGGGGCCGCCATACCTTTAACCGCTCCACGAGCATCTCGAGCTCATCTTTCAATTGCTGGTCTTCTTCACTGAGCTCATCTGGAAAAAGGTCAGCAATTTGATTTTAAGCCGTGAAGCATGCCGCAGAAGCTACACGCTTCGCTCTGAGAATGTTGCAAAGTGTTGTCGCGACTTACCGTCCCGGGGCTCCTCGTCCTTCTTCTTGCCATCCTCGGTGGTCTTCTCATCATTTTGGGGCTTCTTGCCGTTCAACTCGCGAACGTCTTCAACCTTGCCCTTGCCCTTGTCGGCACTTGTTGGCCGTTCGCCCTCGTTCGCCATTTCTGACGGGTATCTGGCGACCGGTTCGTTGTGTGTTCGAGGTTGCGTGACAGGGGTTTTGAGAATCGATAGATGAAACTTGCAGCGTCACAAAGGAAATGAGAGATAGACACCTGCAGACGACGGGTGATGCAGTTGATTGTAAGCTGGAGTTGGAAGCGCAGAGAGCTCGGGCTGGTGCAGCTCCCGTATTATGTCAGCGCCAAGCTCTCGTCATTGTTTTGCCTCGACACCTCGGAAATCATGAACGTCGATCCACTAGATACAGAAGGTCCTATCTACAAACTTCGTTGTATAGATGCTCAGTAGATATAATAGTCTGTTTGATAGGTTTCCCATGCTTAACTCCAATACAAAAATGACAGGTGTGCAAGATTAAAATCTGCAGCGGGTCATGCTAGACGTTAATTGAGCCAATGCTCAACCAAGACAGAATAGATCTAAGCCGGGACCCTCGGTTACTTTGCTGTCATCAGTACAGTGTCCATACTTTATACGGAAACTGTCGGCATAGTCCCTGGTTTGCCTCAGATTTGTCTCCGGTGTCATTTCCTCTCCGTTATAAGAGAGCAAGGACAACTCTTCAATGTCTGGAAGACCCGATTCAAAGAGCTCAACGAGAGGCATAATAGTCGTTGCTCCAGTCAACGGCCTCTCCTGAGATAAATCATCCACAAGGGGCTCCAAGGGCTCATCATGACTATTGATATCAGGAATTGGTCTCTTGCCGGTATTGAGGCTGACTTCATGGGCGAATTCTTCCGGGGGGTGGTACAGATCATGATGAATGGTAACAAATGATGCCGCCGAGCGGCCCGGGAATGATGGGTACAGCATGTAGTATCCCTTGGCCCGCATTAATTCCAGCAGGTAATCCATAAAGGCCGGGTATCTCCTGGACATGGTCTTGTCTTGTGAAACAATATTAATTTGCGTCTCTGAAATACCCAGACGACTGGATAAGAAAGAGTGAAATTCAGTCCATTTGTCACCGAAAAACAACGCTGCGTTGCTGTTCGGCGCTTGCCACAAGAAAGATGGGATTGAGCTCAGTTGAGGTTTCTTGGTATCATCCACTGATAGCATCGAAGGCGGATTGAATGGTCCTCCATCGATTGTGGGTTTTGTAGAGGGTAGTTCCAGAGAGATTCCCATGAGATCCACCGAGGTGTACTTAGCCCTGGCCGACTGTTTGTACTGCAGAATGTTGTACATGAGGTAGTGATAGAATGAAGGAGCTACTTCCGCCTGAGGGGATAGCAACAGCAAGTGGTTCAAGTGGGGGTTCATTGGGTAGAAGCCTTCCACCGTGCGAATAGAAGATTCTGCTGGATCCATGTAGCGTGGGTCAATACGTCGCCGGAGAGTGATGCGTCCCGCAAGCTGGGACAATCCTTCCAACTTCTGTAAGATTCCCCGTAAATTAGGGTCAAGAGATGGTGGAAGCTCAATAGTCAAGCTAGGCATTGATCCCAGGTAATCTGCAGCGTCTAAGGACCGGATGAGTCTGATCAAGGATCCTGACGATTTGGAAGCGTGAACCACCATGTCAATACGAATCTCGTTCCAGACTGGTATCAAATGTATCAGTATCAACAATTTTCAATCAAGCGGCTGCTTCTCTAAGGGAAGTTACCTTTCAAAGCAGTGCTATCGATGAAAGACATCCACATGATATCTCTAGAAGCTGAGGGGAGCGCGATATGGGGAATAGCAGCTTTTTGCTTATGGACTTGCACTCCATCCCAGAAGAATGTGTCTTCCCAGCTTCTTCTCTGCGTGATAATAACTTCTGGAGCCACATATGCCTGGATCAAACCCAACCCTCCAGCCACAGCTCGTTCCATGCGAGCATCAGAAGAATCTGCCAAACGATCCGGTCGACTGTCTGTTAGAGAGATCAGCACTACCATAACATACAATTCAAAAGGCTTTTGAACGAACCATGCCAAGTCATTGGGCACTCGGTATCTACAATGCCGTTCACTATTTTGATTCCTTCGATAGAAACTTTATCCTTCCCACCAAGTACAAAATGTACATGGTTCAGCTTCTGTCGTGCCATCTGACAGGCCAAAGGTAGCATGTCCGAGACACTATGAAGGCTCGATGCTGCAAACAGCACGGCATGGCTAGCCGTGTGCTCCGACTGCTTGCTGTGGGGAAGAGACCGAGCCAACTCGTAGAATTTGATCGCCCCGTCAAAGGTTTCTTCCTCGTCATTTATGTGCAGCACTCGGTACGGTGGGCTATCGGTTTTAGATACGACTGGTGACTGAACAGGAAGTTGCGGAGAAGGGTGTCTCAATTGTGCGATTGCCGGGTTGTATCGTTCGGCGGCCGGGGCGATGTCCGTGGGCATGTGTTTGAAGAATTGATAGAGGGCTACCAGAGCGATGACAATGATCAAGATACGCCGAGGGCGTGGGTACACGCGACTTTGTGCAGGACGAAAGCGAGTTTGATCGAAGTGGAGATCGTCGTCCTTCTTGCCCAGCTCCTCGTCGGCGCGTAAGGGCATCTTTGCGGGCGCCATGCTATAACGCGGATGGCGTTGAAGCCAGAGGATCTGCAAAGAGCATTGAGCCCAAAGGTTTATCAGAGTTCAGCAACGCCTAGGGTGGGAGAGGTGCGTAGGGGTCGAGAGGACGTAGAACCATTCCTCATCGAGTGAGAGATCGACGGCTTATCATCTTATCGCCAACCTGAGCTCCGCGTTTCTTATCCACTTCACGCCGCGCGCACGCGACGAAGAACAATGAGCACCATGGCTGACAACATGGATCTGGATCATTCTGATCAGCGTGGAACTAAGCGCGCCGCGGAGGAGGCAGAGGTCTCTGAACTGTCCAGGCCTAAGAGAATCAAGGTACGAGCAACCCCGGGCATCCAGTGGCGCACTATGCAACAATCCATGCTAACGAGCCTCCGCAGGCCCTTGATCCCGATGTCGTCAACAAGATCGCCGCCGGAGAGATCATTGTTGCTCCAATGCACGCTTTAAAGGAACTAATCGAAAACGCTGTCGACGCAGGTTCTACCTCGATCGAGGTTCTGATCAAGGATGGAGGATTGAAGCTGCTACAAATTACGGATAACGGGCATGGAATCGATGTGAGTCCATATCTCTTTCTAGTGAATATAGATAACCTGACTGGCCACCCCAAGCGCGATGACCTTCCCATTCTTTGTGAACGATTCACCACGTCTAAACTTAAGGAGTTCGAGGATCTCTCTTCCATCGGCACATATGGATTTCGTGGCGAGGCCTTGGCCAGTATCAGTCATATCGCTCATTTGACGGTGACAACTAAGACGGCTGGGTCTAGCTGTGCCTGGCGGGCACATTACGGTGATGGCAAATTGGTTCCAGCAAAGCCAGGACAAAGTGCCGCCCCCAAGGCGACAGCTGGTCGAGGGGAACACAGATAACGGTAACTACCGCAGCATTTCTGATGATTTTTCAGGTCTTTAATGGATGCAATAGGTCGAAGATTTGTTCTACAATGTTCCTACTCGCCGCCGCGCGTTCCGCTCTGCAAGCGAAGAGTACGCTAAAATCCTCGACGTTGTTGGTCGATATGCAGTACACTGTTCCGGCGTCGCCTTCTCATGTCGCAAGCATGGAGACTCAGGAGTGAGTATCTCAACTCCTTCTGCTGCCAGCATTGTCGACCGCATTCGCCAAATCCACGGTAGTGCCGTGGCAAACGAAGTGGTCGAATTTGAAGCTTCAGACAACAAGCTTGGCTTCCGTGCCTCGGGCTTAGTTACCAACGCAAACTATCATGTCAAGAAAACCGTTGTCCTCCTCTTCATTAATCACCGTGCCGTGGAATCAACCGCCATCAAACGTGCCGTGGAACAGACATACTCCGCGTTCTTGCCCAAAGGTGGTCACCCTTTCGCGTACATTGATCTGGAAATCGAGCCTCATCGCGTTGACGTTAATGTTCATCCGACTAAGCGCGAAGTTAATTTCTTGAACGAAGATGAGATCATCGAGATGGTCTGCAATGAAATCAGATCTAAACTTGCCGAAGTGGACTCCAGTCGAACATTCCTCACGCAGAGTCTTTTGCCTGGTGTTCAGACTATTGATACCATCCAGCTCGATCAGGGCTCTGTCAAAGAAGGTGGACCGGATGGAAAGACAGCAAGCACACCAAAAACACCGGCCTCGACCAAAAGACCATACGAAAACAGCCTCGTTCGGACAGACTCCAAAGTCCGCAAAATCACCTCTATGCTTGCACCATCTCCTGCACAACCCGACACGCCTACCACCCCGGGCAATCAGCCATCATCTATACTGGATGACAGTCTTCAATACGAAACCACAGACCGCCAACCCCTCCGTATCGCCCTCACATCCGTCAAGAACCTCCGTAGCGCAGTGCGCGCTACCATGCACAACACATTAACGGAGATGTTCGCATCACTCACCTATGTCGGCCTTGTGGATGAACGACGACGCCTAGCAGCCATCCAATCCGGAGTGAAACTCTACCTAGTCGACTACGGTCTCGCCTGCAACGAGTTCTTCTACCAAATCGGGCTAACAGACTTTGGAAACTTCGGTGTTATCAGGCTGGACCCTCCGCCAAAGCTAGTGGATATACTGAAGATTGCCGCCGAGGCAGAGCAGCAAGAACACCGCAGCAATGACCCAGACGCAGAAACCATCTTCGCCAACGCCGCAGAAATGGTAGCCCAGACCCTCATCGAGCGGCGTGAAATGCTGGACGAATACTTTTCATTTAAAGTCAGCCCAGAAGGCGACCTTCTCACAATCCCCCTCCTGTTAAAGGGGTACGTCCCTTCATTAGCAAAACTTCCTCGCTTTCTACTCAGACTCGGTCCCTACGTGGACTGGTCCGGTGAAGAAGAATGCTTCAGCAGCTTTCTCCGTGAACTAGCCGCTTTCTACACCCCAGAACAGCTCCCAGTCTCGCCATCCAAAGAGGCATCCAACCCAGAAGAAGCAAATACCCGAGAAGACCCAATGATCACTACCCGGCGCGCGCAAATGACCCGAATGCTGGAACACGCGGTATTCCCTGCACTCCGCAGCCGGCTAGTGGCAACGTCGCGAATGCTCAAGGGCGTGGTGGAAGTTGCCGACCTTAAAGGTCTCTACAGGGTCTTTGAACGATGCTAAGACTTAAGTTTAGAATTGAGAGAAACATTCTTATTGACACATCAATACGTATCATGAATCAAGTGAACCCCCCACATGACTGGAGGCCGCAGAAGATCTGGCACTGATCGGTTTTGAAAACCGCGCCTTCTTCGTCGCGAGTAAGTCGAACGTGTATATCAATAGGGAAGAAGGCAGGTAGGCAAACAACAATAAGTCCGGACTATGTAATTTTAGAGTCAAGACGTAAGAAAAAGGAAGGCACGGAAGGATCACCACTCATAGAAGCAACGGTATTCTTGATGCGACCGAAGCGAAAAGATGGAAACAACAAATGTAGAAAATGAGAATGATAAAGAGTATAAGAATGATGATGAATAATGTAGTAAGAGTCACCGTAAGGACAATGTCCAAGAGGAACAGAAAGGGGGAGGCTAAAAGATGAATAAGAAAGGCACTAGAACACGACATTGTGAGGATGGTGAAAGCATTGCATCTTTGTTGATATTCCATATCAAATCCAGCAACGCCAAGCGCCATGATCCAGCGACAAAATATTCCTCGTAGCAGTCGTGTGTCAAATCGTTCAACATAAATGCGTGCTCCCACTTCAGTGTGCGAATACGGCAACGTAATAGAAAGAGATTAAGAAATATGTAGTGAGGTCGGGCGTATGGTGGCAATTACAGGTTGTCACAAGTTGAGCTTGGTTGCTGTCCTAGGATCGAGAGTAAGGTTTGTTGAGGAGGGCGATCTCGCGGGCGACAGTTGGCCATTCAAGTTCGCGTTTCAGGCAGCCTCGTTTTTTCATTTGATCTTCTTCCCATTGGAGGAGTTCATAGCTGAAGAGTGTTAGTGACTGGGGAGTGTTGGGGGCGGGTGGAGATCTTTACACAAAGCGGAGATGGGGCTGGATAATCACGTTGAGACGTCTAGCTCGCACAAAGCAACTAGGTAGGGATTAGTTGGGGGATCGAATGTAGGACTGTAGAAAGGTAGACATACTATGCGCGAGGGAAGGAGAGACCTTTGATTTTCATCACCTCGGCGATGCAGATGCTGGCGGATCGGGAAACTCCAACGCGGCAGTGAACCAGGGTAGCTTTGCCTTCTTCTTTGTCATGTTCTAAATCTTCGTCAGTGATATGTTCAAGGCCAAAACTAGACACAATTTCAATGCATCTCACTCACCGAGGAATTCCAGACACCTGTCGATCTCGTGCCAGAGCGGATCAATACCGTTATCTTGAACATTGTCGATGTACATGAGGTTCTCTTTGCCCCATTTGGCACGGGTTTCGTCGGTCCACGACACAGGCTCTCCGATGCTCAAAACGCGTCGGATTCCAAGTTCCCGCAACAAATCCGGGTTGTTGGCGTGATTGAGGTTACCCAGGTAAAGGTACGGGAGAATACGACTGGGCAAAGATCCATCCATCTTCAAGAACCAGTTTGGATCCCAAATCTCGGAGGTGTCAATGTTGTGATTTGTCGGACTTTCTTGCAAAAGACGGGACTGAATATGGCTTAGAAACGCAACGTCCGTCGGGTAGGCGAAGAAGTTCCGGCCTTTTTCACGATGCAGACGAAGCCAAGCTTCGTGCACAGGAACAGCTTCGGCGAACATGAAATAAGCAACTGCCAGCACGGAGGTCTCGGTATAGCCGTCTGCGCAATGGATGTAGATTCGACGAGGCTTCTTCCCGGGATGGGTCATGGCGATGTCGCCATCACGGTCAGCCACCTCATGCGGATCTGGATGAGTGAGGTAATACATCCATCGGACGGTGGCGACCAAGTCTTCGACTTCGCGGGTGTTGCCTGATGGGAGGACAATGGAGCCCGATGAAGGGAAATCAATTCGCTGCGGTCCTTTTTCCAGCTTCGCATCGACAGTGGCCAAGTAACGGGGCCCGGGAATACTGGCGAGATCGCTTGCCTCGATCATCAGATCATAGGGATATGTTTCGGGCTCTTCGCAAGCGTCAGGTCGCAACATGTAATCAGGAGTTGGTCCGAGCCAAACATTCTTTGAGATCTCCGATGCGCGAGACATGCTGCACATCTCCAGGCGTTCTTGTTGAGAAAAGTCCAAGACCCGCCCGGTAAGTACGCCATCCGCGTTGATAGCAACCAGTTGCGGGCGCTTCTTTTCAATGTGGTGGAAGGAGCTCGTGACTACAAAGGTGTTGTAGGGTGGGCGTTCATGCATGGGATCGTTCTTCATGCGCCAGGCCTGCTGGGCCATCGCGAAGTCCTCTGCTAGGGCAAGAAGCTCCGACTTGCTGGCGTGGTCATCGGCATAGACCACAATATCTGACAGATGCGCGAGCTTGGCAGTCTGGATTTGGAAGTTTCGAACAGAGAAACCGTCCGGAGGGTCGGCCATCAAGAACCGCGACGTGGGTGAGATGACTTCGTTGGGAGCGACGGCCCCTTTGAGGCGCGCCTTACTCAAATCTCCACCCAGTTTGACCACGGTGATACCGCGCCAGCATTTCGGTGGCCGGCGCAGTGATTTCCTACGGCCTGAGAAGAAGCCCAACTGTAGATGATTATCCGGGTGAAGACCATGCAGCCAGGGGAACATCTGCGATGGATCGGGCAATGGCTGCGCTGCCAGGTGATCGAGCGCTGAAGACAGGGTTTCGGCATCGATAGCATAGATATTAGGTGCCGGCGGAGAGGAAATGCGCACAAAACCATCTGCCGGGTAGAGAAGAGAAGATGTCTGATCATTGGAGGTGCATTGTGCAGGCGTCTCCCGTGAATCGGCAGGCGAGGGGCCTGTTGGGCACACGGGCAGATGTCTGGTTGGAATCGGGCTCGGTCGTCGATTGACGGAGATGGCGGATGGGATGGGTGATGGGGGAGGGGTCGAATGGCGCAGCGCCTGCTGAACAACAACGGTTGCCATGATGGAGAGTTGACGATCGCCAGTGGTTCACAGTGAGGTTCAGTGAGGTTCAGTGAGGTTCAGTGAGATTCAGTGAGATTCAATATCACACACTATTCGGCAGGCGGCGCAACCAGCAGATCACATTTCTTGGAGCAGAAAGAAGGAAGAAGAGGAAGAAGAGGAATCACTTAATCAGACATGGAGACAGGAGCATGCGAGGGGGGGGGAAAGTGAGATGTACAAGTATAACACGGTACAATCATACGACGGAGATAAGGCTAGTAAGGGGCCAGGAATGAGTCGGGAGTGTGTTTGAATACTCCAGAGAGCTACTGTTTTGGTCTCATCATCGTCATTCCCGATGGCTTCACGACTCCGCCGCTCCACTTAGTTATCACGATTAGTACTTGAACCGGCTGGGACCCTAGTGACTAAAGAGCAAAGGCGTACCCCGCCTGGAACATCCTCGTCCATTTCCACGGAACGCGCTTCTACGGCACCAGCAATCTATGCCCAACCCCAATCACGGTCCCCCGGGGCGGTTTCCGATGACGCTGAGATTCCTCGATTGTTTCCCGAGCTCCCTCGGTCTGGATTCCTGTCCAACGGGCATCGTCTGTGCGGCCCCTGCACCACCAGGATGACTCTCCCCGCACCCTCGATACCCACTCGGAGACGCTCACCCTCCAGTGGCAATTTACCCAGGCCCGTCCGTCCATGAGAAGGGAGGGTCAGGAAACTCAATTTGCTCCAGGCGCAAGATTGATCTTGGAACCCAAAGTGGGTTTCACTATCTAGAGTACAGGAGTCCAGAGTCGTACGTTTGTCGCAGGGCCGACCCCGGATCGTCCGTCTGATCCACCTTCAAGTGGGGGATGCAGGAGAGGCCCAAACCTTTTGAGACTGGGGATTGCCAAAAACCGGAGAGGATGAACAAGATACAAATCATCAGTCTCACCAACGCTAGTACAGACGCAGAAACCGATATCGATGCCTAAGAGACAGGTATCTCACTAACGACTATCAAACCGGTGTCCGAGTCCAACTCATATGTGTGTCCAATGTACCACAGGGAGGGTGAAAGGGGAGGGGAGGGGGAAATTCCCCCCTCGCGTAATGTTTGCCATCTCAACCACACAACTCTCATCGACGGGCCAGTCATGGGTCGGCGATTCCAGGCCTAGGCTAGTAATCGCAGGATGCGGGAGATGTCAGGCGAGTCGGCGTCGTACCCTCGGGCTACTTTATGTTGATCTTGTCGCAATTGCCGGCCGTGTTGGGCTAGCCCCTGCGAAGGTTTGGGCGAAGTATCAAGGTGGGATGCTGACAACATTGAACTCTTGTGGCGAGGCTGCCAAGAACTTGGCCCGGTGACGGGTACGCCTGGTAATTCGCTATCTGGATTATGTATTGGGGTTGATTGGGAAGATATGTGAGAGTGGAACTAGATAGCTCCCGGTTATGATATGCACTGCGCGGCCTCGGGCAGGAACAGGAGCCGTGCGTCGATCGGACTAGCACATTGGCTAAACTTCTACATCATGATGAGAAGGGGTCTTCCTTTTTGCCTAGATAACTCCAACTCTGCTGATACGAGGTTAGGCATATGTATGATGAAACCACATCGGAAGCAGTCCCAAGATCCGGGATTAACTTGAATAACAAAACTCTAGAGATACATTGGAACATGAAATCTGGAGCTACCCCAACTGGAAGCATTGATCGTCGGAAACAATAGCGGCTGCTGTTGTCATCAAACTCATCAAATTCGACTGGTGGAACAACCTGTGAAGGCCGTCTGCCTAGACCCGTGGAGGACTCGCATAATGCGGGTAGTGACTGTCTGTTACGATCTTAGCCGGTGGTATTCGCGAGGTACTACTCTTCAAATCCGGTGTAGAATACGATACCTGAGCTTTTCACAAACCGGTTTATGGCCGAGTCATTGCTGAAGTATCACGGCTTGCGCAGGCGACGTGGCCGGTAAACAGTGGCCCGGACCCGGCGAATGCATTATCTGGTTCAAAAAAAGGAATTCATAGAATGCTGTATGGATCGTCAGCTGTGTCCAAGTACTTCAACAACGGTGTCGAGATCAGCAACGCTTCTGTTTTCGTTATCAGTCGGCGCGGGATCACTCTTCGGTGACAATGCGTTCGACATGGAGCTGGTACTCAAATCCATCTAAAATTTTACATGAAGCTGCGAAGCGGGGTTTCACTATGTTTTGAAGGTCTGCCATTTCAACTTGGAAAGAGTCCCCATTGAGATAGGGGGCCTCAAGGCGAAACATCCCTGAGGACATGATCACTGCCCATTATTCTCGATGCTGTTGTGTCAAAGATCTTCAGCCATTGTTTAATCCTCTTGCACCAGGCGATCGTCATCGGTATCTCCTCGTGAAGGGCGGGTGAGAAACGCACGCCAAGAAATACATTGACAATGAAGGGGAATGAGCCACCGTCGCAGGGTCAAATGCTTTTCACCAAGACGTCAGACTCGTTCAGATCTCATGTTTGGGTACCGCACTAGACCGAGCGAGGATCGCAGATCCTCATGGAATCTTGTTGTGGGGTTTATTCTACCTCTCAAGCCGTAAGCTCCTGTGTGTTGCTAATAGCATGGCCATGCTACATGAGCCTTCATAGTCCACTTAGACGGGTACGGCGTCTCAGCCATGGAGCCACCTCTGCTCATCAAAAAATTCGCTGAAACGGTCCGTACAATCCTGTCCCAGTGTAATTGTCCACAGGCTTGCTTGTGACACGACTCCTGACTCGCAGCACAGATGCCACAAATGTATCTCATTCCTGAACCATGGTAGACTCTTCACCGTGGAAAAAGCCCTTGGAGACATTATCCGCGATTGATAATGGGCGATCAGCGTTGGGACTACACAGCAAACGAACCACGGCTCGGGGTAGATCATCCTGGAGGATTCGCTCAGGCTGGAGCCGATACCACCATTTGTCAGCGATACTGTAAGCCAGAGGCTGTAGGTCACAAGCTCAGATCATATCCGCAAGGTCTGCAAGATCAGATCGTGACCAGACGAGCAAGCTCTGAAGGGGGTAGGTGTTGGTGGGAGAGAAGTTGTTATCGATAAGCGTCTTCGTAGGCGGTGGGTAATCAAGGTGTGGCCCAAGCGCGGCGACTCTCGCTTGCGAACGACCAAGTCCGCGCCAGGGATATCCGGATATCGAATCTTCGCTTCTCCACCTCCGTCGTATTTGCAGAACGACCTATTACCCACAAGAAATGATATGCGCTGATCGGTGACGGGCGACTACTCCCTTTCTCCCCTCCCCCGCCAGCTCCCCTCAGCGGGGTCACCATCCGCCGCGCTTGTATCCACCTTTTGGCGATCCGACTCCCTGCGCTTCGAGTCTACCGGCGAAATGGCGATGAATTTCGTAACCTTTAACCAGGACTACAGCTACCTGGCTGTTGGTGAGCTTCTTGCCTACGCAGTCTAGCCTCTATCGCGGTTTTTACTGACATCAGCCAGCCACGTCCAAGGGATTTCGCATATTCACCACTGAACCTTTCGCCAAGAGCTACGAGACTAAAGAAGGGAATATAGCAGTGATTGAAATGCTGTTCTCAACTTCGTTAGTTGCACTCATTCTATCGCCCCGCCGGCTGCAAATCACAAACACCAAGGTTCGTCAGAGCTTATCAGGGCGCCCGCCATGCAAAAGTGATATGAAACTGATAAGACGACTTCATATTAGCGTCAATGCACGATATGTGAATTGACGTTTCCGACGACAGTTTTGGCTGTGAAACTGAATCGCAAACGTCTCGTCATTGTCTTAGAAGATCAGATCTACCTCTATGACATCCAAACCATGAAGCTCTTGTCCACCATCGATACGTCACCGAATCCACATGGTATGCCGTAACGCTGGATCTTTATGTCTCCATGGTCACTAACATAGAATCAGCCATTTGTGCCTTGACACCGTCGTCAGACAACTGCTATATGGCATATCCTCTACCCCAGAAAGCCCCGACATCAATAAAACCTCCAGCTCATGCCCCACCAGGAACAACGCATGTCTCGCCGACTACTGGAGATGTTCTCATATTTGACGCACACAAGCTCGAAGCAATCAACGTTATCGAGGCTCACAGGTCTCCGTTGGCCTGTATCACCTTGAACAGCGAAGGGACACTGCTAGCAACGGCCTCGGACAAAGGCACGATCGTCCGCGTTTTCTCAGTCCCCGACGGTCATAAGCTCTACCAGTTCCGACGTGGGTCCATGCCTTCGCGCATCTTTAGCATGTCCTTCAACACCACATCAACACTTCTTTGTGTCTCCTCTTCCACTGAAACCATTCATCTCTTTAAATTGAGCCAGCAAGGTCCACCCTCCGAAGGCTCTCCTCCATCGCATTCTTCAATCAGCCGCGAGTCATCTCTCGGAACCAGCCAATTTGGAAGCTCGCATGAGTCCGACGAAGGGGTTGGGGAGACCAGTGCGAACCTGGCCGCCCGAAAGCACAATGGCACTTTGATAGGGATGCTTCGCCGAACATCGCAAAATGTCGGTGGAGCTGTGGCCTCAAGAATGGGGGGATATCTCCCCAAGGGTGTAAGTGAAATGTGGGAACCAGCACGAGACTTTGCCTGGATCAAGATTCCACGATCCAACCAAGCGCAAGGTGGGAGTGGCGGTCCTGGACCTCTTCGGAGTGTTGTTGCTATGAGCAATAGCTCTCCCCAAGTAATGGTCGTTACTAGCGATGGTAACTTTTACGTCTTCAACATCGACCTGTCCAAGGGTGGGGAAGGAACCCTTACGAAGCAATATTCGTAAGTCTCGACGCACAATTTCGTTTGATCTGGTTTCACTAATTGATTTTCAGGGTGATAGATTCGACTGACCGGCTAGGAAACCCACCGATGGATTTCTGATCAACATCTCCCTTGTCTTCGTGATGACAACGGCTCTCTGCATATTCCAATAACGACTTCTTGACTCAGTCCATTGGCCTTCTCTCTATACATCACCTCAAAGTCAAGAATTTAGTCGCGTTCTCCCTTCCATTTCCCTCCCCTAGGAAGGAAGACACAGGAGCGTTGGTCCGTGGTAGTTTCTTTCCATGAGGTCGCTCATGACATTTTTTGCACATTGCTCTCGGCCTCTTTCGGCCTCATTTCCCTCGTTCCGAGCTTTAGCGATTCAATTCTCCGTGTTTGGCGTCAGCACCCATGCTCTGCGTTCGTTATCTTTGGTTTCTGGTGGATTTGTTTTCTGTACATGTGACGGCTGATTGCGAGCCTCAATTTTCCTGTGATAGTAGTTCATCACTGGATTGCAATCAATTGATATGACCCTTTCCATCTTCTAATTCCTCCTAATCCATAGCGACACGTAACCCAAGATAGGTGTGAGTAATTCCCCTGTGTAATGGGCAATTGCACCGTGCGAAGCACACGGACCCTATACTGGTCTTAGCTGTCGATGTTACCTTTCCTGAGTCAAGTCATTAGGTTATAAAATGGAGATGGTCGAATAAGTTTGGCGGATCGAACCAAATATTGTCTATCTCTATCTCTAAACTATGTACGCATATAAATTTGTCTATGTCCATATCTATTTCTTTGTCCATGTTTCTGCTGACAATCACTTCGGGCTTATGTATGCAAGGCGGCAAGCGGCGGCTTTCTCGGTGGCCACCTCCGGCCTGATCTTGCCCTTCACGGTAGGCTCGACGTCCCCTCGGCCCAAAGTGGGTCGACAAAGTACACCAAACCGTGCCCGATAGCAGCGGCAAGTGGTCCAACCTACGTAAGGTTAAACAAGCTCTTCATGCGTGACAGGCAAACTTACCCAGTGGATCCAGTGATAGGAAGGAAATTCCGACGCCACATAAGCACCGAAACATCTAGCTGGATTAAGACCTGCATGAACCGAGTCAGCTAAACGCGCCCTCTGTGTATCCACTTCTGCCTAGAACTGACTTGCTCCAATATAGCCTTCACGAGTGAAGGCTGTGCCCCAACTGACGATTCCCAGAACGATCCCCACAAACCACGGAGCTGTGGCATGGCCAAAGATTTTAGCCTGTCGTGGGTCAAGAGCAACGCCAAACGCCAGGAAAATGAGGATGAGGCAAGCTATGAATTCAATCACGAGGCCTTCTTTGGGTTTCACCATTGACGTATCGATATGACATCCTCCTACCGTGATTTCTCGACTCCCGTAGGCACTGTGTAGCATGAAACCAGCTAAAGCCCCACCAAAAGTTTGCCCAGCCAAGTACAAGACCATGCGTGGGAAGGAAATAATGCGCGCAAAGAATGTGGCAAGTGTAATAGTCGGGCTAATATGGCCTCCACTCGATGGAGAAAAGGTATAGATCAGGAGCGGAGTCAAAAGGAGATTGGTGATGCCTCCAAAGAGTGGAGAGAAGAAGGTGACAGTAGCGTAAACGCCGGCCTGGGTTTTCGGGGAAGTCGTCGCAGCAAGTGGATGCGTCGTGACCCAGCACGAGATGAAAACATTCATCATACTAGCTATACATAACCAATTAGATTAGCCTCCCATATCGTGGTTCAAGGTTGGGTCGGGATGAAGGAATTTCCAAGTCCGGAATATCCTCAAAAACAAAATAAAAAAAGAACTCACCAACACATTCCAGCATCGCAAACTTGTATAGATCGGCACTCAGAAATCCACGGAAATCAAAAACCTCGGCCAACGTCATGCACGGTGCAGCGTCAGGCACCTTCTCCAGGACTTTCACATTCCGAGGGTCATGCCGATCGACAACAAAGTCCTGGTTTCCGCCGAGCCGCCCAGCAAAGGGGGCTATGGCCGGCTCCATATACGGGCGATCGTCCTTGGTATCGAGTTCATGCTGCGGAAGATAAGCCACCATATTGACTTTCAAGGCGCGACTAGGCAATCGGCGTAAGACAATCCTCGGGGGTCTGCCGTTCACCGAAGCAACGCAAGGGAAAGCGCGCTTTGTGGGTCCTGCTACAGACACGCATTTCCGAGACCGCCTTCCACATCAGGCCCAAAGCTCGATCGTAAGGACGCATCAATTGGAGAGAGATCTGTAATTTTCTGCGAATCATTGTCTTCGAGAGGCTACTTTGTAATTTTTCCGTGCATAAATGTTTTCAATTTCAGTCTACGTAGTTACTTAGAAGATTAATAATGGAAAGGAGTAGTGACGGCAGTACGACTGAACGGGAAGGCGGTGCAGGTTCGGCACGGCATGTGTTTTCGGATCAATCCCGGCTCCTATTGGGTCAGTCTGCACATAGACTTTCTCTATCTGGTCAAGTTTGCTTTTTTTTGGAGATCAGCGTTCGCCGACTTGGCCGACCGGCGAAACTCATGAATAGACTGATCCCACAGCTTTATTTGGGCATATGGCGAACGGTTTTCTTAGAGGATAAAATTACTCCATGAATACCATATTATCGAGACTGAGTGTGCCGCAATTGTAATGGAAAGCAATAGCGTCTTGAGCCCCTATTGTGATACTGCAGATAAGCCCCTTTCTAGAGTAATCATCTATGCCAATTCTCAAGTTTGCACAGTCTAAGTTTTTTGTTGACCACACTTTAATAAAGACAATCGTTCTCTTTCCATGATAAATATTGATCACGTTGGCTCCATCTATCGTGATAGCCTTACGTACAAAAAATGGAGTTGGAGATCGCCGCGGAACATTAGTCAAGGAAATAGCTCACGCCTGTAAGGACCTCTCCGAGCGTGGCATATCCTTCTCGCATAGTCCAACTATATGAGAAACGTTCAAACAATAGCCTATTTGCATGACATTCAATTGTAAATAATTGGCATTGAATCTGGAAGATTGTAATGCTGCGGCTCGGCCTGAAAAAACGTATCCATCGTGCCTACAACCGTGTGCCTGAATTTACCTATGGCACCCATTTGGTTTGACAGAACAACAGAACACCATATCTCCAAATATTGCTATAACGCTGTATATGCTCAGGCACCGGGTTTGTTAAATCTCCTCATGTCCCACAATGCCACAAAAAAAATAGAATAAACATACAGTGCACCGATACTCAGGAATCTGAAATGCAATCCCTCTGATATATCAATGGCATGTGTATGAAGAGGGACGGACATTGACTCGGGGGCATTCAATTGTTGATGTCTTACAGAGCTGCTCGAGTAATGTTATACAATTTGTTCAAAGTACGTGGCCATGATATATCTATCCACTCAAGACTTATCTTCAAAGTCATCAAAAAGGAAGCTTTGAGAAAGTATTCAGGAACAAAGGAGGTATAGGGAGACCCTTGTAGAGATGTCCAGAAAATTATGTTCCTCGCTTGATTGTATTTTGGGGCATTGACCAGGCGAAACTGCGTGGCACCAAGCTTGCACCTGGAATGCCCGAACATTGGATCATTGAAGGAACGAGATTCTAGACCCAGTCCTCAGCAACTGCCATGTGGGGCGTGTCATGGCGTACCGTACATTCTGGGGGCTTAGAACGCCATTTGAGACATTCAGTACATCGCCTGAAGCACCCGCGATTGAATCGGCAGAAAATGAATCGAATGCACACAGAAAGAAGGTAGCTCCATTTGTACTTCCATGGGACCAACGGAGATGTTTCTCGCTGACTGCGGTATCTGCAAGTTTCTAGCGAGTGAAAAAAGTTAAATCGCAAGGACATGAGTACAATGTTCAATTCACATCAAACGTCCATTCATTGTCCCAATGAGGTTGGTTCATGATGATTCGTATCATTAGGTAGGTCGAAGGTAACACATGTGGCCAAGAGCCACAAGACCTCTCCAAAAGTCCAATATGTCAGTACTTATATACATAAAAAAAGACATGATCCCACAAAAGCTTTAGAAGTTGCGGCGGAATTTTTGAGGAATGTTGACTTCCACGATTTGCATCGTCTCGAGCTTCTCGAGCCTCATTTCAGCAGCCTCCATCTCGTCATGCCTCCTGAAGTGCTCGATATCCTGAGGGTGAGTCAAGTCCTCCTCCTTTGCGTCGTCGCCGTGGAATTTCTCAAAGTGGTGAATCTCGTATTCATACTCCATGTCGCCATGGTGTCCTGGTCCATATCCAAGGTCGGGCAGGCGCACGCCATCGGCGATCGCCTTCATCCAGGCTTCACGGGTAATGAAGCCCGTGTGGGAAGGGTCAAAGAGATCAAAGACAGTGCGGACAGCGGCCTGTTTGCTGGATTCGCTTACGCCGTTGTTGGATTCATCGTCGAGACCGTACGTCTTGCGGACTTCGTCGACAGACCATGACCCGGAGGAATCGTAATCGTGCAACAAGAAGAATGAGCCCGCGTCAAAGGATTCGATGTGATGTTCCTCTAAACCAATGATTAGCGACCTTGCGAATGCTTTGAGGTTCTTCGAGTCGTACCCATCATGTGTCTCGTGGCCCAATCGTTAGACGGCGGTTGGTCGCTCGAATGAGATCCATGAGCATTTGCGAGGCCACTGCCAATTGCGAGCACCCCAGCGACAAAGCAGATTAAGCGACCGGCCATTGTAGAATGTAGTTGACGAGGAACTGGGAAATGTATCCTTGACCCCAGAACAGGAGATGCAAGCGGACAAGCTTGTTTGCTCTGTTTGCACGGGCGATTTGCGTTGCCGGAATTTCTCGCATTGCACGATTCATTGTTTTCTCAACCCCATTGCAGCATCGGACTCCGCGGGGGGTCTCATTGACCCTTTACCTTATTCTGCGCTACTATTGTGTAACAGATATGCTCCCATAATGCAGAATTTATGGTCCCGCGCTGCACGGTCACAGTCGTCCTGCCGCTGTGTCTCGTGTCTGAGTACGACGGCTAGCGGAGTCACTTCGCGGTCGGCAGGCGCTGCCAGCAAGAAAAAACTGCGGATTGGAAACTCTGTGACCGCGCTTTACACAAGCATCTTCGCCGCCGCCGCCCTTGCCGATGCCAGAGCCAAGAGTCAACGTCGACATGACTGGGAGGAAAAGATCGCGGCTGTGAAGGCCGAGGTGAACGAGTTGGTGGACGAGGAACAGCGACTTCTGAAATCATTGGAGTCACGGAGAAGAAATACCCGGGGAATCAACCGATTGCTACAGGTCAGAGGGCTCGGTACGGTCATGAACCTTTCTCCCGCGCCTGGACGAGTCACGCCAAACCAGCCAACAAGGTCCTTCCATACTGAGCGCAGTCTGCTCAGCGGTGCCAACGCACAATCGCTCGAGTCTACACTAGCAGAAGAGGCCGCTAGTTTTGAAACTGCTGCCGAAGCGGAAATTGATGACATTGGCATGGATGACGAAGCGCTACCGGGCTGGGCCCATGACGATCCCTTGCGCGTCAAAGCTATTCAGAAGCTTGCAGTGAGACAATTTGCAATTCGCCTTCTTCTACGGCCGATCATCGCCCATCGTTATTCTGGAGTATCGATGAATTACGCTGCCGATTTTGATCTGCCCCAAATTAACACCCCGAAACTTTTGGAGGAACTCAACACCGTCCGGCATCGAATAAGGGCCCTCAAGTCTAATAGATATGCGCACTATGACGATGTGATTGGTGACTATGCTTCGATACCGCAGGAAGCTAGACGAAAAGACGCCGAGCGTCTTGACGCAGAGTTGAATCGGGACATCGAGCTATACACAAAAGAGCAGATGTCTCTGCAAGAACTTCTCATGCGAGTATCCAGCAATCTTCTCGCTTCGGCTGAGCCGGACCGGACCGCTGCCTTCCGATACATCCTCATTGCTTTCTCGCAAGCTAAGCAGAACGACGTAAATGACCTTCTCCTCCGCGCCCTCCTTCCAAATGGCTTCAATATGAGCACGTCACTCATCATCACCATTATCACATTCTTTCGCAAGTCCAAAAATCTCAAAGACTTTGATCTCTTCCTTCGAATGCTCAGTGGCAACGGCGTCTACTCTTTGAACCTCGGTTCTCTTGGTCGTTACCGAGTTCGGAAGGTGAATGGCTTAGAAATCGTCGTCCCACCGCTTGACAGTAACAATCCAATGATCTATTGCGAGCTGATCGCGGCTGCATTACGTTTCGACCAACCCGATCGAGCTGACGCATGGCTTCAAGCAGCGCGAAGGATAGGCTTTTTCGATAACTTCACAACACTGTTCTACTACATCCGATTCTACAGCATCCGGCAAGATTGGGAGAAAGGTATCAACGCATTAAGGAGAGCAACCACCTTTCTGGTTGCCTCAACTGACCATCAGAGCCATATGGTTGAGCGCCTGCTCATGCTAATGGTCCACCTCTGTGACTCCTGCGGCAAGAAGGAGGTTTCAGAAGTCTTAATCACAGCGGCCATGCGCAGTGGATTTGACCCGGCCATTCCGACTTTGCAGGGTGATGTCCTGCCAATTGTAGATCGCGACTTCGCAAGATGGACAGAGGCCGCTCAATCATCACCCAGAGAGAACGCCAATCGGCCTCTATGGAAGAAGTGCTTTGACTTTGTCAACGACTTCGGCGAAGAATTGAACGAATTCGAAGCAGAGAACCACGCATTAGCGTTAGATCGGGCCAGCTGGCTTGCTCTTCATGCGCAGGATGCATTCTCCACAACTCTTGCCAGCAACACGTTACACGATAATATCGGAAAAGATGCGAAGTCAACTACAATATCCTCGGCAGCCACGTTGCGGACCATCAACAGCCCACGGAAAGCTCAAAATGACGAGATGGCCACCCTGAGGAACGAAATTGACCAGCTTCGGGGCCTGGTATTTGAACTTCGCAAACATCATATTGAATCTTCAATCAAAGAAGATGTTCACGAAGTCGAGCAAGAAGCCCCTTCACAACCCGCCGCAACCTCATCTACCCCCGCCCCTGAAACCTCTCACACCCCTAAAAACGTCGAGTTCGAAAGGATATCCGAATTGATCGACAGTGGTCGCACGCTGCCTCAATCGAAAGGTAGCTCGCGGCCATTCACAAGGCGATTCCCAAAGGACACGCCGACTTCCAATAACTTAGCGCAAGCGGATCGACCCAAGGGGATTTCGCACAATTGCCAGTGCGATGGCCAAGAAAACCGCTCGACAGAAATGAGCCAAGTGCTTAGCGCGGGAAGTTCACTGTTTATTTATCCTTGTACATTACAATATACCTACACTCTCACGGAGAGGTTCAATACCAATAGACGAGATGTATTTATTATTGAGAGAATCTAAAAACACATTCTATTGTACTTTGTAAAGCTCTAGCAAGCTTAGAGGGAATCTAACGGCGTTGATTTATAAAAGCAAATCTAGCGGCGCTTCTCGGCGCGCATCTTCTCCTTGCGAGCAAGTCGTTCCGACGCGCGCATGAGGGCCGAGCGGATATCTCCCTTTGGGAAGGACTCAATATCGTAGTATGTGGGAGCAATGTCCTGGTTTCAGTTAGCGGGTGCATGATTGAAATAGAAAGATAGAGGAAACATACCAAGAGCCACTCGGGCTTGACTGCTGTCACGGTACGGATATAATTCTTCGTGGTAAGGACGAATTCGTTGTAAAGGACCCATTCCGCGTCGTGAGCCAGCACTGTGGACGGGTGCAGGAGGACACTCTGGTTGTCCTTGATGGTGGTGTAGACGCTCTTGCCTGGGCGTCCTTCTTGGCAACTTGCATGAAGAAGCCGGCGCAGAGAGCGCGACGAATGTTCTCGTAGTACTTCTTGTCGTCGAAGGGAGTGGAGATCATCTCGATTTCCTCGCGCTCCATGATGCGGAGAAGTTGCTTGCGGACGTTGTCGGCTGACTGGAGCGATCGCAGGTTAAGGAAGTGGTCGTGACACCACTGCTTGGGGTTGGCCTGCGCCTCAGGGCTCTTGAAGGCGTGGTAGACGTTCAGCAGGGTCAACTGATCACCGTCCTGGTGAGAGAAAAGGTTCTTCATCTCGTCGGCGCGCTTACGCTGAGAAGCCGGGCGGACAAACAATTGCGGTACGGAAAGCAAGGCTGTGATGGAGAGAATTTCGTTGGAGCAGTAGAATTCCGGCGAGCTGATAAGCATGACAGCGAGAGCTGGGTCGAGAGGGAAGTCAGAAGCTAGGCGGCCGAGCTGAGTTAAATTACCATCGTCGTCTAGACAGGCCAAATAGTTCAGCTCCTCGAGGGCTCGCATGAGAGTCTCTGGCGCAGGAGGATCCATCAGATCAAAGTGGACAAGATCGTCAATGCCCAGCTTCTTCAGCTCTAACACCGTGGATGACAAGTTGGAACGGAGAATCTCAGGGTAGGTTGACTCAATCAACTCCTTCTTGAAAGCGTCCTCAGTGTAAAGACGGAAGCACTTTCCAGGGCGGGTACGACCGGCACGACCAGCTCTCTGTTGCGCAGAGGCCTTGGAGATAGGCGAGACCAAAAGGGACTCGACACGGATGCGCGGGTTGTAGATCTTCTGCTTGGAGAATCCTGGGTCCACGACGTAGACGATACCATCAATGGTCAGGGATGTTTCGGCGATATTGGTGGAGATAATGACCTTGCGTCCAGGTCGACCGCCGGGGCGACGAGGAGGTGGCGCAGGCTCGAAGATGCGCTGTTGCATGTGGGGAGGAAGAGAACCGTACAGCGGGTAAACCTTGAGTGGACCTGCATCGGCCTCTCGTACCATCTCTTCTGCCTCCATATAAATTTTGCGCGAAGCATCTTCAATCTCTTCTTCACCAGTCAAGAACACCAAAATATCTCCTTCATCCTCCGTAGCATGAATCTGTAGGACGGTTCGAATCGCAGCCTCGACATAATCCTGCTCGGGCTCGGGTGTATAGAAAACTTCAACGGGGTGCGTACGACCGGGAACAGCAAGGAGTGGCGCATCCATGAAGTAACGCTGGAACTTTTGGGCATCCAGAGTGGCGGACATGATAATGATCTTCAGGTCTGGGCGACGTACGACAACCTCCTTCAGAAGACCCATCAGAACATCAGTGGCCATAGTTCTCTCGTGCGCCTCGTCAAGAATGATGGTGCTGTAGCGAGTGAGGTTGTGGTCACTCATGGCCTCTCGCAAAAGCATACCATCAGTCATGTACTTCAGGATGGTCTTGGGGCTTGTCATATCCTCGAAACGAATGCTGTAACCAACTTCTTCTCCAAGCTTGACGTCCATTTCCTCTGCGACACGCTGAGCGACGGACATGGCAGCCACACGACGGGGCTGGGTACAAGCGATCATCTTGCGCTGAGTCTGGGGGAGGTCATCGAACAAGACGAATTGGGGAATCTGTGTTGTCTTTCCAGAACCGGTCTCACCAACGAATACCAGAATCTGAGACTGTTGGTAGAGTTGCAGGAACTCATCACTGCGCGAACAACATCGTTAGTCTAAAGCGCGCTAGGAGCTATCTGGTAGAAGCTTACCGCTGCTGATGCACGGGGAGATCGCGTCGACCGTGCAGGATAGAGACATATTTGCTGGAAAAGGGCCGACCGTTGAAGGGGTTGATCTCGCCATCTTCAACCTTCTTGGCCATTGCCGCCGTTGTCTGGTGGCGCTTGAACTTGGCCAGGGACGAGTTGTTCACGTCGCCATTGCTGTTCTCGTACATGTGGGCGAGGTAAGGGTTGTCCTTGGGGTCACCGGCGTCCATCTTTTGGCGCTTAGCTCGCGTACCGTCAGTTGGGTCTCTTCGGTCAGCCATAGTGATGTATGGGAGTTGCAAGTTGCAAAGAGCAAAAACTCGGGCGGCCGATAAAAAAACTCAGATAGGAAAGTCAACCGCCGATCGCCCCTCTGCGTATGAGGGGCTCACCGCCTGGTGTATTCTGCCGCACCCCACAAAGGGATCGAGGGACACGAGTGATTCACGCAGGGGCTGAAACTTTGGGCTTCTCTATTGTCATCCGAGGGTTGCTTTGCAGTATCTGCGCCCTTGCAGTGACCTCCTTCTGTGGTGTGGTTGAAAGACTGTAACCTGTCACTCTCCGGACTTTCCCCCCCCACCATTCCACGAGGCCAGTGTCAATATGGACAGCTACAGTGCTTCTGAAGACCCGGGACCGACCTTCTGCATTGGTCATCATGAGGCCAATCGTTCCGTGACGGTTACTCCTCAGATGATCCGCAGGGTCCATGAAACCAACGTGAGTTTTCGCCTTCGAACTAGCAGTTTACTTCTTCCTTTTCAAGCTAACCAAGAAGGTCTAGTATGATATGTTGACTGTCTCAATCACAACACCGCATTTCCATTCGCGGGTCTTGGGACTGCTCTCTTCGTATCTGTCCAACTTACAGCCGCCCAGTTATGATCCCATTGGAACTATGGGCACGTCGCAAAATACGCGACCTTTGGTAGTGCCGCCGCTCTCAAAGCTAGACTCAACTCTCACCCCAAATGATGCGACCAGCCAGATTGTCGGTGTGGTCAGCAGCTGGATTGATATGTGCTCACCTGACCCCCTGATTGCAGACTTGTCCCGCCAGGTCTTTATGCTGGAGGTGGCCTACGCTGCTTTCTGTGGCATTGGATATCTTCTAGTACCCAGCCCTAAGCTGCATCACGGCGGTATACACTCAGAAGGCGTGGTGTACTATGCGAGAGCCATCCAAGATGCACTGAATCTGGGCCCTTATATCCAATTCCACACTTGGTTGCGCATGGTCGATACTCCCGAGCTCGAGGTTGATAGCATGGGTGATCTGGCTCCATTTGCTCGAGAGGAGTATCTTGTACCAGATGACGGTGTATTGTCGAAAGAAGATTTATTCGGTACTTGGGATGCATGGGATTTGATCCGTAAGACTTGCAAATATCACTCCAGACTGGTCGTTGGTACGTATGGAATATTCTACAATCGATGAAACAGTCGCTAAAGTTGACTACAGCCCTTGCCCTGCCCAAACAGCTCCCGCCTCTGCCTGTGCAGTCCCGCTGGCACTCTGAGCCGGTTCACTTACTTTCGATTGAGGGTACCGCTTTTTTGAAGAACCAGAAAGGGTACCCCGTTCTGTCTAAGGTTCACCAGGCTTTTATCGCAAAGCTAATGCGCCTTCGGACCCCTCCATGGATACTTTTGTGCAATGTTGGTCCAATCCCAGGACTTGGCAATGCGGACGAGGAAAACACTGCCAGCTTAGACTACCCAAGTCTGGGCGCGGGGGCCAAAACACACCACGACCCGACTCCTCATCTTTCCTATATCAGGAATCTCCAGCAGCGCCAACCCGCATGTACTCCCATCGAACGATTTGGAACGGGTTATCAGGACTATTTGCAGGCGCCCTTGCAACCGCTGACCGTCAACCTGGAGAGCATTACATACGAGGTCTTTGAAAAAGATCCAATCAAGTATGAGTGGTATGAGCGTGCGATTGAAAAGGCCCTGAGAGATTGGGCAGAGCAGAAGAAACCTACCTCACACCCGGAGGGCAAGGTGATCCTCGCAGTTGTGGGTGCTGGCCGAGGCCCATTGGTTACTCGAGCGATCAAGGCCAGTATTAAAGCGGGCGTCGAAATAGATCTATGGGCTGTTGAGAAAAATCAAAACGCATTTGTCTTGTTGCAGCGTCACAACGATACCATTTGGGACAACAAGGTCACGCTAGTTCAGTCAGACATGCGCAGTTGGAAAGGCCCCCGCGTGCGCCGACAGGCAACCCAGAGAAGCCAGGAACGCGTCGGCGAGACTCTCGGTATTGAAGACACCTTGATTTACACACCGAAGAAGGGTGAGAATGACCCAGGCCCGGCGTCCGATTTTGTCAACCCCGAAGCCTCTACTTTCACGCACACCTACGTGGACATCATTGTGTCCGAATTGCTTGGCTCTTTTGCCGACAACGAACTCTCCCCAGAGTGCTTGGATGGTGTCAACGATCTTATCAACCCAGTTCATGGTATCTCCATTCCTGCCTCATACACAGCACATTTCACCCCGGTCTCCGCCCCCAAGCTGCACGCCGATGTCATGAACCAGACGGTCTCAAACCCAGCGGCTCCGGAAACACCATATGTCGTCATGCTACACGCGATCGACTTCCTCTCTACCGCCGGCTCTCCCACTCTCGCTGAGGCTGGAAACCAAAACACGGCAAACCGGGCCTCAGGCTCTGCGGCGCCTATTGCCGCCACTGAATTCCCAAGCCCCTTTGTGCAAACTGCATGGTCTTTCTCTCACCCGAACAAGAACATTCCTATCCAGTCCACGTCACAATCCACCATCTCCAATTCGCACAACGTGCGTCAAACTCGCTTATCCTTCCCCGCTCAGAACCGTGGTGTCTGTCACGGATTGGCTGGATACTTTGAGACCGTTCTATATGGAGATATTGAGTTGTCGACCAATCCAGTGACTATGGACGCCAAGAGTGCTAGCATGATCAGCTGGTTCCCTATTTACTTCCCTTTGAAGGTGAGTTCTTCTTGAAGCCGACGACATGGTCACAAGTTCGTTACAAAGACTGACTCTTAATAACAGACACCTCTCAACGTTCCTGACAACGGCGAGATTGTCGTTACCATGTACCGTCAGACTGACGATCGGAAGGTTTGGTACGAGTGGATGGTGGAAGTCTTTGCTCTGGAACGCACTTTCCTTGCACCCAGCCTCACAACCCCGGCTATGAGTGGTGCACGCTCAATCTCACCTAGTATCGCAAGTCTGAAGGGCAAGGATAAGAGCCAACGTGGAGGTCCTCGGCCGGACTACCGTCGCGTGCGGGTGGGCTTGAGTGACATGCATTCGAGTATTAAGGAGGGATGCCTGATGTAGGGGCTTGTTTCAGATCTATGAATTGAATCTCAAAAAATTGGGTTGATGCCCAGGTGATGATCATGATTAAGTGCAATAGTATATGTTGCCTAAGTGTGTGCAAGTTTCACAATATTCATTATTCATCTTCTCACTTTCAAGGACCTCTGGGATGAATGCAACTTGACAAATCTTGAAGATAACACGGGCGGGAAGGTACCGGTAGTCCTCAGTCGTTTCTGATAGAAAACGAGACTGGCCCAATCCAACCAGCTTCTTTAATCGCCATCGAATCCGGTCTCATAATTTAACAAAAGCTAGTCTCTTCGATATCTGCGTCTCAATTTCAAGCCACGCAGATACCCTGGTACATCGATTTGCACGTGGAGGCTCGGTATCCGCGCGAAGAAGCCGAGAATTTGACTTTGACTAAAGCGAGAAACGCACCTTCAAATGGTACTTCGACACCGCATCGTCATCAATCTTGCATTCCGAAAGTGGGTCAATCAAGAAGACTTGGAAGTTACAGCGACCTGATCGGCGGAAAGTGACCGTAGATGCTTCCTCACAGAGACTGTATTCATCTACATCGATTCATGTCACCCAGCCTGCATATCTCAGCGAACCGGTTCGTGGACTCGTGTATTGAGTGGAATGGTTCATGCACGGGGGCGGGTGGCGTTGGAATGCCGCGCTTTGGTTGCACGCGACATCTTCCACTGGTCCCTTGTCACATACAGTACTGTGACTCTCAGTCCACTATGCAGCTGAGTGACGGCCGCGGGGTGTCCAATTCACCCGCATGATCAGTGTTTGATCGGCAGTGTCTTAACATCCTCCGCCGGTCGAATCCCCCGAAACAGTCAGATGCTCGTGGAGCCCCATCGTCATCCACCGGTTCGCCAATGCCAAGCCAAGCCATTGGGCCCCAATGGGTCAAAAATTGGGAGACTTGGTGGGAACTGCACATGGGATTTGTAAAGCCGTGTAGATACCGAGGGTCTTGTCCCTGGATTACGGGGGTTGGATCAAGCTGGTGCCATCAGATCTATGCTATGGCTCTTCGGCATTACCGAAGCCGGTGCAGAGATATTGGAGATTCGGCAAAGCGGGATTTGGATCCGATCTGCATGGATCTGTCACCAAACAGAAGGGTTACCGATGCGCCGAGGTACTCCCCTCAATGAGTTACTCGGCTTGTCGATCATCTCAGCATCGATCGAAATCACACCTGAATGTGGTGATCCACGGCTTGATGAGTATTCAGTTTCGGTAGGTCATATGCAGGAGCCTCAGAATTTCTTTTCCGCGTAGGTCAATAAGACATAAAGAGCTCCCTAGGCCTCAAGTTAGAACCTGTGTATCAAGTCTTCATATACAGCCACAATGCGCTTCTCCATCTTGGCTACCTTGTTTGCGGCCATTGTGCCGGGTCTTGCACTCCCAAGCCCGCTGAAGGCTAGAGGTAGGATCTTTTCTCAAATCATGTCATCTATTTGCTGATTCTCTTCTAGATGTCCCATCCGATGAATTATCTCAATTCAAGTTATGGGTTCAGTATGCTGCTGCCTCTTACTGTGAAGCCAATTATGCTGGTCAGGTTGGTGCCAAATTGGGCTGCTGGGCCGGTAACTGCCCCCAGGTTGAGGCAGCTGACACCAAAATTGTCTATGATTTCTCCAGGTAGGCTATCTAACCCACCGAGGAACAAGAAGGGCTCTAACACGTACAGTACCACTGCTACCGATACTGCGGGCTATATTGCGGTAGACAACACCAACAAGGCCGTGATTCTAGCTTTCCGCGGCTCTTACTCAGTCCGTAATTGGATCGCTGACGTCGAGTTTCCCTACACCGATCCCGGTCTCTGCGACGGCTGCGAAGCTGAATTCGGCTTCTGGAGCTCTTGGGCCGTAGTCCGCGACGACATCATGAAGAGTCTCAACGAAGTCATATCCGCGAACTCAGACTACAAGCTTATTGTTGTGGGCCACAGTCTTGGCGCTGGCGTTGCGACTCTCGCTGCCGCCGATATCCGGGGCCGTGGTCACCCTTCGGCAAAGCTATACGCCTATGCCTCGCCTCGTGTGGCTAATCCGGCACTGGCCAAGTTCATCACTGACCAGAATAACAACTACCGATTCACCCACACCAATGACCCTGTCCCTAAGCTGCCTCTTATTGCTATGGGTTACGTACACGTCAGCCAGGAGTACTATATTACGTCTGGTAACAACGTTACTGTTACCACTGGCGATATTCAGGTTCTCGACGGTGAGATTAACTTGCAAGGTAACACGCAGACAGGTATCCCGACCATTGAAGCCTTTTCCGCTCACCACTGGTACTTTGAGCGTGCTGATGGATGCATTGGACTTGGGATTCCCTGGAAGAGATCCCACTAGAGATCCTTGAGCGCTTTAGAGAGAGTATGAAACTTTATATATGAGTTCAAATAGTTATAGAGATGCAAAAAATAGTGTAAAAAACAAGGAATTGCTTTTAACCCATCTATCTGTGCATATTCGTATTTGTATGATCGCATGATACATATTCGCTAATGTCAATAGGGAAGAATAACCGGACACTAGAAGAAATAGTTAGTACTCGTACAGGCCATACTGGTTCGGTATACACAGCGTTGGTTAAATCGCGGGTCATGAATTTCTCTCGGCTTTCGTGCTTGTCAAAAGACATAAGGCGTGACTGAATGAACAGCAACTCAAGATAGTTTTTCCCAGTCCACTCTGGCCCACCTCGGGATGTTGGCAAAAAAAAGCCAACTCCATTCTCGAGGAAGATGAATACTGATTTCGGTCATATTATCTCGATTGAGTCATTGCAAGTTGAGACTAAAGCAAACAATTTCCGAGGTGGACCCCAGGCAGTGCTCGGCCATCACCAACAAATTTTTGTTGCTCCCCGGGGAGCCAAACTTCCCAGACATGGAAAGAAATGCCCTCAAAAGTGCGCAAATCTCCATTCATCGTCAATGCGATTGTTGCCAATCATTTATTCCAGGACAAGTGGGCGGGCTTTGCCCGGGGTTTGGCTTATCACCCACGGATATCCGAAATGGTCCAGGGCACCAACGCTCTCTGATTTCAGAGAAAACAAAGGTCCCACAGTGGCATGATGTGAAAGTAGAGAGGTCCCGAACAGAGATCCTTCAGGGCTGCTATGTGGTGTCCTACTACCATCTACAGACCCCGGTGCGAGTCGGGATCTGGGCAACCGCCTGAGACCATTTCATATGGGTCACAGCGACCAGAAGTTAGATCAATGCAGATATTGCCGTGTTTCCAATGGAATGACTCCTCCTAATCTGTTGAAGGGCTCGGGATATGAGAAGCTCCCGATGCATAACCCGGCAGCGGGATGTTCATCGCAAGTGACATCGAGTGAACTGCCCATGGCGTGATATACAGCAAATGCCGAAGATAAGGTGAAACATCTCTTCTCATCCGTCATCTTGATTCGATCAACGACCGGGGTCTTCATCAATGTGGACTGATCAACCTGAGAAGCATTCACCGATCCGAACACCCGATCTGGGCGTGACGAATGCTCTGTGTTCGGACGGATGATGCTCCGGTCATATACTCAGGGCGAACGCTATAAAAGGGACCTTGGTATCTATTCGAGGAGGTCATTAACACAACAATCATTCTTTACATTGCATCCATTCACCCGAACATAAGACCCAACCTTCAAAATGGCACCCGTTCTGAAAAAGTACAAGGCCGCAGCTGTTAACGCTGAACCAGGCTGGTTTGATCTGGAGGAGTCAACGCGACGGACCATCCATTGGATTGACGAAGCTGGCAAGGCTGGATGCAAGTTTATTGCTTTCCCGGAACTGTGTAAGTCTGTCGATTTCATATTGTGCCTTCTAGCTAATGCCTTTTAGGGATCCCCGGCTATCCTTACTGGGCTTGGAAGACGAACTACCAGGAAAGCCTGCCGCTTCTGAAGAAATATCGCGAGAACAGTCTCCCCTCAGACTCTGATGAGATGCGCCGTATTCGCGAAGCTGCTCGTGCGAACAAAATCTTCGTATCTCTCGGATACTCCGAGGTGGACTTGGCCAGTCTCTATACCACTCAGGTCATGATCAACCCCGCTGGAGAGATCATCAATCACCGCCGCAAGATTCGCGCCACCCACGTCGAGCGTCTTGTCTTCGGGGATGGCACCGGTGACACCACTGAGTCAGTCATGGACACCGAAATCGGTCGCATCGGCCACTTGAACTGCTGGGAGAACATGAACCCGTTCCTCAAAGCATACGCTGCCTCTCTGGGTGAGCAGGTCCACGTTGCTGCCTGGCCTTTGTACCCTGGAAAGGAAACACTGAAGTACCCCGATCCTTACACTAACATCGCAGAGGCGAACGCGGACGTAAGTCTCCAATCGTCTCATTTATGGTGCCATCTTTGGCCTGATGACTGACAAGACGGCTCAGCTTGTTACCCCTGCCTATGCCATCGAGACAGGATCTTTTACTCTTGCTCCCTGGCAGACCATCACGACCGAGGGCATTAAGCTGAACACCCCACCGGGAAAGGAATTGGAGGACCCGAACATCTACAATGGTAACGGCCGCATCTTTGGACCGGATGGCCAGAATCTTGTTCCTCACCCCGCCAAGGACTTCCAGGGTCTGCTCTTTGTCGACGTAAGTTGTCCAAAGTTGAAACAAATCCGAGTTTCACATTGACGAATTATTCGCAGATTGATCTTGATGAGATTCACCTGACCAAATCTCTGGCGGACTTTGTAAGCCTTTTTTCTGATGCCTGGGATTTCTCATTAGCCGCTTGTACTGATTTTTTTCAAAACAGGGTGGCCACTACATGCGCCCCGACCTCATCCGTCTTCTTGTCGACACCAATCGTAAGGACCTGGTTGTTCGAGAGGACCGAGTTAATGGAGGTGTCGTTTACACTCGAACGGCTGATCGCGTTGGCCTTTCCACCCCACTGGAGCCTGCTACTGCTGAGTTCAATGATAAATTGAACTGAAAATGAACATCGGGTAGGGAAATTCATAGTGTCTGCGATAACTGGACAGCAACCGGTCACCCGTTTGGTATTGTCTGTCCTTGGAGCCCCGAAAGTCCGATTTTGTGTTTAGATCTATCTATAACAGCAGTCAGCTGCTTTTAACAAGAGCCTTGCGACTGTAGCTTACCAGTCAACTCCTCTCATGTTTGTGTTTTGTATTAGTTCGCATAAATTTACGATTTTCACTAGCTCTTCCTAGACTGCGTCTGTAAACGTAGCTCTAGATTATAGAGCTCCTCGCTTGATAGTTAAACCTCAGATGTTTAGTTCGCTTGTTCTCATCGCGTGGTCTTATCTTGTACAAGGATATATTTGAATATGATCACAATGGGCGCATTGCATCATGTCAGTACAGCCAACGACCGTTGAACAAGAGATATACGACGCATCATAGCAGGGCAAAGCCAATTCACTGGGACATATTTGTCTACAACTTGAAGGTAAGAAGTGGACTTTTGACTTTGAGCGGAAAAGGTCATTTGGCACAATCACTGGCTGCAAAGAAAAGAAGGTCAGGCCCATCTGGGGTACATATCTGACCTTCATTCTCGCCGTTCGATACTCGTATACTTGATTAGCTCTGTTCAAAGCTCTCGGCGTATCATTTATCAGACGTGTATAAAGATGGACATGCGGCATGTTTGCTGGTCAGTGCGTTCGAAAATTGACTGGCGACATTAAATGTGTTTCCCCAGCAAGCAAGGGTGGAAGGATAGTTTACTTAGCAAACCTGATTGGAGAACATAAGCGGCTCACATTTTCGACCTTGCTTTGGCATAGATAGCATGATCCCATTGGGCGGGCATTTTGAAAAATGCTGGAGGCATATTTGCTCCGCGTTAATTACCGCCAATAATTCAGGAATGAAACCACGCGTGAAAACGTTTCAAATGCAGAAGTAGCATGAGATGAATTACGGCCTGCTTCAAAGAATGATGGCCTCTCTCCAAATATCAATGTTGTGATTTGTGTTGGATTTCGATTTCTGTCACTGTCAATTCCTTGGTGTGGCTGGATTGCATTGAACATGCCTACAAACATTGCGATGTCACAATCCCAAGCCATAGTCTTTGTAAATTTCAGAAAAGGCTCGGAGAAATATTGCAAGGGATACATTCTGTGCAAACCATAGGAAATGGTATAACTCCGCAGTATAAATAATGCCAAGGTTGCCAGCAGAAAGCTTTCTCAATATACTAAGTATCCGCCAAATCTGCGAAGGCTTTGTCAGTCTCATTAGAAAGGTCCCGAGGCTCATCTCTTCACGAAGATGTTCTATAAACAAGCTCTTCGCTCTGCGCTGCTACTCAGTGCAACCTTGACCACTGCTCAAGCATGGCAGAAAGGCGGCGTTGATGTTGAGGTAAGTATTTCGCAGCTTCACAAACCCTAACTAATTGCAAGAATGAAACTAATCGGTTCTCTTATTTACCTTCAGGAACCTCCCTACCCGGCACGGTGTTTCCCAGACCCCTGCCTCAACATCACCTTCACCAACGCTTCATATGTCTGTGGCGACTCACGCCTTGGTCCGGTCGAACTCCCCAAGGACTTCCCGCTCTCTACAGAGACGGCTACCTATGCCCGATTCGGTAATCTGTGTCCGTATGAATTCCTTGAAAAGTGGACATATCACAGCGGTCCCTTCGAAGGCAAATACCATTATCCTGATTCCAACGGATCCGTCATCGACAGCGAGGGGAACCCAATTGTGGGTGACTACGTCCTCCCCGTCGGACGTAAGGTTGATCGCTTCGGATCCGAAGGTGGCAACTTCCTCGGTCCGTTGGGTGCGCCTTACATCGAGCGGGCTTTGCCCCCCTCGAGTCTGGACACATACGACAAGAGTTTCCCTTACGAATACTATGTTTATGAGGTGATCAAGGAATTTACGGTCTATCTGTCGCCTATCACACCGTGGTTTGAACAGCCTGGAATGGGAACCCAATTCTATACTGCGGACAACATTTCAGTGCTTCTGGAGAACCAGAATCTCCGACGTCTGGATAGATCGGAGTATGATCAAAGGGCAGACTTTGCAGACAACTACACTCCCGGGCCAGATAATAGCTAAAGTAAGTGTGGTGTTGTCTCATTGATGGGTATTTCAGGTGGAGGTTTTTCGAGTTTCGCTGCTAGCTGAGCTAGAAGTAATAATCTGTACTGGATTTTGAAAGGGGAGGAATAAGGCAGCAGAGTAATATGATATAGTATTGAAGTGACCCAAAGGCGGACCCATGTCCGTCCATTGTAGCTTGCATCAAGAAGCCCAAAAGTTAGATGAAATACCTCAGATATAATGCAAGGCCCATGCAAACTGGTCGTGGTGGCACCAGTCAGGGTCGTATTGGCGCAGAAGTGGAAGGGACAGGGGACATGACAAGACGGACTTCGACGCAGGAAGAAAAATCAGGTGTCTTGTTGCTTCACCAATTGGAGTTTGCTAACTAGGAGCAAAAAAAAGGAAATGGGTTAAATTTTTCAGAAACTTTGAATTAGCTTGCATGGAATGGTGCTAATGGCCAGAGAATGCACATGTGAACAAGTCTGGTGGAATGTATTCGAATCACAGCATAAGACACAGTCATTTGGGAACACCGAAAGTTTTGTCTTGAAACGAGAAACTGAAAACAAATTCTCTGATTGCTCTAGTGCATTTCGTCGCATTACCGCGATGGTGCCTCTTGCATTGTTGATCAGACCAATTTCACAACACGCAAGAGGGACCGTTGAATGATACAGCAAGCGACGAAGGTATCCTTCCCCACAGTCATCGTCCTGTGGTTATACAATGCAGGAATCCACGTTATACGTGGCTTGGAGGCCACTAGGACATGCCCGAGCGGCTTAGGACTTACGTCGGACCTACATACGGCACCGAGTGACGCCTCCTTCCTGAGGTTAGGGCTGCTAGCTTCCCAAAAAGGCGTACTCTCACTGTGCCTAGTAAGACAGAGAGTAGGCTATGATCCTCTTCTCGCGATCTCCTTGGCTACAAGAATTGATTCGTCTTCCCTGAGTGCGTTCGTCAGGGCGTCGTGGCAAGTGGGTCCCCCAGTGAACACTGTATCCGTTAGCGCCGAATCATCACGTCCATTGATTTCAATTGTGTTCACTGAGTCATTATCTCAAAGACGTAGATCTTCATCAATCTATTACTATTGTTTTACTATGCACCAACTCCCATTCTGGTGCTTAGGGCTGGAAAGTACATTGGGGAAAAAGATTTAGCCCAATTGCGTGGCTCACGGCTCGATCCGTCGTAGTTGAGAACCACGTAAGACGCTGCCGTCATCGACCAACCCAAGCTTTCTCGGTGGAACCGCCATCTATCGTTTAGAAATACATTGACCATCGGTCTGTTTCTCTCCTGGCTCATATCCACTCTGATGTCGATGCAGCCCAATGACGGGACCTTCTGGAGCAAGGCACCTGATTTATCGCCGCTGGGTGGAGATTGTTTTCAAGATCGGAACGCACTGGTCAATTCGGCTTGTCCTAGCTGACTTGATCAATTAAAAATAGATGGAGTTGTCACTAAATGGCTTGTTTCCTCGTTTCCTATACTATCGAAGCCCGTCCCTCTGTCGGGATCTGCTATTTTATTCCATTCTTCCCTCATTAGTTGTCGGATTCCACTCGTTCACGTTCGAAATGGTTGCCTCGTACATGAAGTGGGCTGCCATGCTGCTGGCAACTGCCCAGCTTGGTGCTGCTCAGACCTATACTGACTGCGACCCGCTCAACAGTAAGCACAATCCTTAAATCCGGTCTTCAGCCAGAATTCTCACAGACTACCTATCTAAGAGACATGCCCTGCTGACGCCGGTCTGGCAAAGTGGTCGTACAACGTCGACTTCACCAGTGGTTCATCTGCCTTTGACAAGTGGACCACAACCGCCGGAACCGTCAACAGCACTGACCTTGGCGCTCTATTCCAAATTGCCGCGGAGGGAGATGCTCCCACCATCGAGAGTGATTTCTACATCTTCTTCGGCCATGTTGACGTGAAGCTCCGTGCTGCCAACGGCACTGGTATCGTTTCCACCTGGATGATGGAGTCTGATGATCTTGATGAGATCGACTGGGTAAGACGAGCAAGTTATTTCAACAGATGCAAATTTCTCACCATGCTACAGGAGCAAATTAGCACCTACACTGGTGAGATCCAGACTGACTACTTTGGCAAAGACAACACCACCGACTGGGACCGTGCCACCACCGTAAACGTCACCGACCCCGAGACGACCTTCCACACTTACTCCATAGACTGGACTGAGGAACGCATCAACTGGCTCCTTGACGGTACCATCGTGCGCACCCTCAACTACGCCGATGCTCTGAACGGCAAGAACTACCCCCAGACTCCCATGCGCATTCGCATCGGCATCTGGGCCGGTGGCGACCCCGACAACAGTGAGGGTACTATCGAGTGGGCTGGTGGCGAGACAGACTACGATGACGGTCCCTTCAACATGTACGTTGAGTCCGTCAAGGTCATCAACTACAACCCTGCCAAGTACTACAAGTACACCGACAAGACCGGCGACTACACCAGCATCAAGGCCTACAACGGTACCAGCTCCAACTCCACCTCTGCCAAGTCATCCACCTCTTCCTCCAGCTCGTCCTCCTCTAGTAGCTCTTCCAGCTCTTCCGGCACAGCCTCTTCTGCTGCGTCTGCTTCCGCTTCAGCTTACGCCTACTCTGGTGCCTCGGTCTCTATGGTCTCGTCTATGTTCACGGCTTCCATCGTCGCTATTATTGCTGGTGTCTTCCAGCTGTGATGGGTCCTTTATCCACCAACCACAGATCTTGTATAGTCTCGGGGTGATTTTCATGTGTAGATGTACCAACCATATTACGTTCCTTTCGCATCGGCGTTGTTCAATTTGAATGCACATAATATAGAACTGTCAAGGAATGTCATACTACTGACTTGGCCGTTCAAAACCTGATAGCCATATGACTGTATGAATATGAGAAAAGGCATCGTCCCTGTCCACAAACTGGCAAACACCTACTCACACACAAGTTCGTGCACGATTCAGATTATTATGTTCAAATAATGAGTGTTGTGATTGCAGTCTAGCGAGCCTTCAGGTCAATCTTAATCCCAAGGAAAGTCGCTGGCGACCTTGGGCGACGAGTCGCTCAGTGGCCCAAATTGGCAAAGTGCAAGATCGAGCGCATACCAAAACCTGAGGGGATTTTCGGAAACCACCATACTCGACAATTTTTGTGAGGTAGTGCACCGGAGGTGGGGGTCATAAAAATAGATTTAGCTTCCGGAATGAAGCTCTCCCCTTTCAGAGAACGTCGATAGGAGCCTTTGCCTAGTACATGAATCTGGCATCTGAGCTGTGTACCGCAGACAAGATGAGCGCAGACTATGGATTCAGCGCTGGGAAGACAGACCACCATGGTGAAACGGAGAAAAGACGTTAATATAAGCAAAGCCGGAAAGGGTGTCCCTGAGATAGATGAGGGCAAATCTCGCGACTGAGGATTGCAAGGAACCGGTTGCGAAGGCTGGACTCGAGATGGCTGCCTTCAATGCTGCTGAACTGTTTGCAACTGGAATGTCTACAAGAAGACGAACCTGGCACAGAACTTCAACTATTGGAGTAGATATTGTGAACTATACTGATCGTGAAAATTAGCTACCGCGAGACTGAGAACTCTGTGGAAAGTGCTCGGTCTTGTCGGCGATCTGTACGGAATCATTATTAGTGAGGAGTCCTTGCTTGAAGTTCCAGTCCAAGGACTCTCTTACTCGCATCATCTAGGCTTTTTTTTTTTTTGATAAGCTACCTCCTCGGCTGTCGTGAGCAAAAACATCCGAGCAGTTCCATTTTAAAAGCTTCTGGCACTACGCTTTGTTCTGGGCTTCGTAAAAGTGTCTGTTTTCCGCGGGTTGATTGAAGCATATCAAGGAAAATCGTCAAGAAACATGTACCCTCATTTCTGAAACTGGTGCACTTCCCTACATTCATCCTGGTACACAGAGAGCATTTTCAGCTCGAGTTTCAATCCTATATGTCGCTACTCAGATATCAAAAGCTTGTAGTGGCTTTTCTTGGCACTGCCATCATGTCCAGCATGGATGGAAAAGGGGGCCCTCAAGGTGGAGATGGTCATGTACGCAACGTCGAGTCATGAAAGCTTTCTGTTGAAATTGAATCTATTTACACAAGTTTAATTACAATGCCCAAACCCGGGTCCTCGGTACTGGCAATCAAATGTTGCTACTTTTGGTTTCTACGGAATTTTATTCAAGTGGCGACGGTGTTGCAATTTCCATTGTGATGTAGATACGGAAGTTGGAGCATGCTACGACGGCAAATATTGGCACCGGGCAGGATACTTCTTATGAAGGCTCAGAACGCTTCCATGTGACTATGGATTGGAATTGTCATCCGACCCGTCGGTACGTGATTTGAAAGAGCCAATACTGAAGGAGCGGCTGGGGAACTTTCAGACCATTTTTTTTCCTAAAAGGAAGCTCTATATTCATGTATCCATAAAGTCTATAGACGCGAGATCTGTTTCAGTTTCGGCCCCCTCCAAGGATACATGATTCGTCAACGGAAAACGGTAACGAGACCCTGGATCCATTCAAATCTGCGCTAGCCCGATCCTCCAGGTCCCCGCAGCGAAAAGGTAATATGCAGATCTGCATTCGGGCCCCAAAGAAGCAACTCAACGCCCGGGCGCAAAAGCACTTGAGTACATCGATGTACCAGTCAGTTGAATTTTGGAACCTATCAACCATAAGATCGTCCTTTCAAGCCGCCCAAATGAAGGACTAGTTGCGAATCCCTTGGAGTCGAGAGAATTGGGCAGCCCAGAATTATGATCAGATCGATTGAGGGCCAAACATGGCGTGCTCCTGTAAAACACGTAACATCAAACCGCGCTAGTGGGAACTTGTCCACCTTTGGGTGTAACCTTGCGCAATTTGTTTCTGGTCATTGTCTGATTCGTCTAGGAATAAATTCTATTTCATCCAAGGCACCGCGGGCTAGTAGTCTAGATGAGGATAGTAATTGTTGTTGCCCGAGATTTGGAATTAGAAATATTCGGGCTATTGGAGGAATAGTAAATCATGCCGCGGTCGAATTCAAGGCGTACCTGGCCGAAGAAACATCAGAATACCCATGTTGACGTGGCTTAACATCAAGTTTGTCGAACATTATCTCTTCGTGTTTTTTAAATCTATTTGGTTCTGAAATGTTGTCAAATTGTGCTTCTGTTCCAGCCAAGGGCATTCAATTGCCAAGAATGTTAATTGTCGCTTAAAATATGAAAGACTTTCTTGGCGCCTTAGAAAAAATTTCGCAGCTGACTCGTTCCTGGAAGGATGAACAGGGATCACCCGGCCCGGTCAACGCCGACCGCGAAACCGTGAGTTATGATAGGAATCGGTTTCGGCCCCTCTTAGCTTTTCGTCCACTAATGGTGGAGTTATATTCTTGACCCACGTTTGATTCAGATCACCGAGATTGGCGAATCATTGGATGAGCCTGGATCAAGATGCGGCCGAATCACTGTGGAGTCGATCAACAATGGTGGTATTGAGTGGACCTGGTCAGGTCACGGTCTTGTGAAGGTACTGTTGTCTGGAGCCACTGTGGGAGCCTTTGCATGAGGCTTGTCGGGTTCTAGATTGTTTCTAGCAACTTTGGCTTCCTGTGATTCTATCAAAGCGCGCACAATGAAGCCGGAATTGAAGGCTACATGGACCCCTGCCATCAATGTGTTGACCTTTTTTATGCTGGTCACCAGCATATTGAGTGTCTTCACGCGGCTGGGCACCAAATATTTCATGGTGAGAAAATGGGGTCTTGATGACTTTATGAGTATCGGTGCAATGTTCGCCTGTGTCGGACAGTCCATTGCTGTGTCGATGGCGACAAAGTCCGGTCTCGGACAGCATCTGCTTTCTTTGTCGGATGGGCAGCGAGTGAGTATGATGAAAGTAAGTGCTCCTCCCAGACCTCCAACAGGGAATGTCTCCACGTTGCTAACTATATGGCTTCATAGGCCCAATACGCCGCAAATATTCTGTTCATCGCCAGCATGGCCTGCTCCAAACTTGCCCTCATAATGTTCATTCGCAGCTTGACACCCGCCACGTTAGACCGACGCTTCGCACTCGGATTGGGAGTCTTCGTTTTACTATGGACGATGGCGGGGGCCTTCACCGCAGCATTCCAGTGCTCGTTACCGGACACTTGGGATTATCTGCATGGGAAATGCTTTCACTTGGTGTGTCGCTGTTGCTTCGATACCGTATTTGCATCATGACTCATAGATACTAGGTCGCTTGGTGGAACTACCTCGGGATTACCAACATCCTGTCAGAGGTTGGCATAGTCGCACAGGCATTGTTGGTCATTCTGCGGATCCAAGCGGACTTCCACAAGAAAGCTGTCCTGGCCTGTGTGTTTCTTCTGCGAGTCATGTAAGCTTTTGTCTGTTCTATCGCAAGTGAGATCCTGCTAACTTGAAGGCAGCGTCGTGGTCGCGATCATATGTCAATTGGCCTATGCTCACGAGAATGAACACACGATTGATCCGTCATGGGATACATGGACCGTCGCCATCTCGACCCAGATGGCTCAGAGCTTGAGCATTGTCACTGCTTGTTCGCCCCAGTTCAAACCTTTCCTCGATAGCCTCCGATCGTCTGGGATGAGTCTTGGAGACTCGAGCTATGAGAGCAAGCAGCGAACGTACGGTGCGACCTCGTACTACAAATTATCTCGCGCTGGACGTGCCGGAGACACGCGAAGCGACACCCACGAATTGGTTTCAATCCATGGGGACGGCGTTAACCATACCACTGTCACTTCAATGGTAGACTGCGACTCGGAGAGCCAATCGAGTCAGGCGCAGATTATTCGTGAGGTTCGGACATGGACAGTCACAGCGCAACGAGAGTAGATATGGCTTTGTTCGATATTAAAACGGGACTTTCCAATTTAGGGTATGGTTGGAACAGAACGATGTAGCCCAGCGAAACTATTAATGGAATGAATAATATAAAGTGACTTGCGAAGCCATGATAGCTCCTGGAACTCGAACCTCAAAAACACCGTAAAATCAAATTCATGATACCGCCTTGGCGTTAGAAATCGGAAACGTAATGTACAAGGCTACAAGGAATAACGTGGAGCTATGTAACATCACAGGGATATCGAAGTCTAGTGCCGGGGACAAGTGGGCCCCTAACCAAAACTAGCGAGGTAAACGGGCTTCGCTGCTCAGTGTGTTCTAGATCGTCAAGAAATGTAAAGAGGGCCAATAACCGGGCGTACTCGACCATTGGCGCGTTGTGAGAACACCGGGATTCCGAGCCACCGACATTGCAAAACCAAGAAGCTAGTCGAATCCACCGTATTCCTTGCATGGTCCGTTAACGAAAATGCCGCGGCAAAAAGAGAATTTCCCCTTGGGATACATTTACCTAAGTGGATAGACGAGACTAAGCGCTCCAGGTCATGTCTTGTAACATTACTCTAGTACGGACTTTGCATTAGTCTCTGCGACAACCTGGGAATCTTCTTTTCTTTTCAACCACTACTTCTTTTGTTTGGGCGTGTGAGCAGGAGGGACTTTTGTCTTTTGCTCATCAGTTGCCCACCATGCTTTCTCATCAAGTGAAGCAAACAAGCACGGCCGGCATGCGGGAGATCGCCAGTCCGACGAAGGAAGAGCTCGACGATGCGAATTTGGCGCGCATGGGAAAGCGCCCGGTGTTGAAGGTGTAGATCTTCACACTCCAACACGATTGAGGTCAACTGCTGACTATAGCCAGCGAAACTTCGGATTGATGTCCATGCTTGGCTTCAGTTGTACCATTCTTATCACGTGGGAAGGAATTGTCGTGTGAGTTTGGACTCATCACAATGGAATTGCTTTTTTGCGGCTTGCATTCGCTGACTCGAGCTGCTTGAATAGGCTGTTCTTGCAGGCTTATCAAAAGTAAGCTTTCACTAGACCTTATCCGCAGTTCCTCGAGATGTGCTGACCAGAGTTGTGCAGTGGTGGTCCCGCCGGTGCTGTGTATGGGTATCTTTTCGTCTGGGCCGGAGTCGCATGCACCTTCGTAGTGCTTTCAGAATTGGCATCAATGTATGGGCTCAGCGCATGACGCTTTGTGATTCTCACTAAAATGGGTTCAGGGCACCGACCTCGGGCGGACAGTATCACTGGTGCTCGATGCTTGCACCACGCTCCGCGATGAAGCTACTGAGTTACATTACAGGTGCGCTGTCATTTGAAAATGCTGTGTACTTTCGTACTGACATCAATTCAGGCTGGCTCACGGTAATCGGATGGCAAGCCACATACGCCACATCATGCTATCTATGCGGAACCCTCATCCAGGGTCTCATCGTCTTAACCAATAGCTCTTACCAACCCAAGAACTGGCACGGTACTCTGATTTTCTGGGCCGTGGCAGTTTTCTCTGTATCAATTAATTCCATCGGAGGAACACTGCTACCTCGGTTCGAAGGCTTCATTCTCATCCTTCACATTCTCGGATTTTTCGCCATCCTTATCCCACTCACTTATATGGGTGATCATGGAACTGCAAAGGAGGTGTTTACCGAGTTCCTGAACCTAGGCGAATTCCCTTCTCAGGGTCTCTCGTTCTTCGTTGGGATGGTCGGGTGTATCTTTGCATTTGCCGGTGGTGATGCGGCGGTTCACGTAAGAGTGCACATCTCCAAGTAAGTATGGCAACGCACTGACCAAACTGAACAGATGTCCGAAGAGATCGTAAATGCCTCGACAGCAGTGCCAACTTCAATCATGCTCTCTGTACTAATCAACGGCTCCTTGGGCTTCGGAATGCTACTCGCCATGCTATTCTGCTTGGGTGATATCGATAAGGCCCTGGCCTCAACCACGGGCTATCCATTCATGGACATTTTTCTACAAGCTACAGACTCCGTGGCCGGAACTGCTGTAATGGCTTCGATCATTACCACCATGGGTATCACTACCTCGGTCGGCATGCTAGCTTCTACTTCTCGACAATTTTGGTCATTTGCACGAGACCGTGGGATTCCAGGCTGGCGTCTTTGGAGCCAGGTATGTATCATCATGTCTATCATTTTTTGTAGTCGCCGTAACATGCTCACCTAATTGCTTTTTTTTAGGTTCACGGCACTACTGCGGTTCCCATCTACTCCGTGCTATTGACAACCTGTGTTGTTTGTCTACTAGCACTTATTAACGTTGGATCCTCTGTTGCTTTCAACGACCTGGTTGCGATGTCTATCTCCGGCTTATACCTGTCGTATATGGTTGTGGCTGGTCTGCTACTCTACCGCCGCTGCACGGGCGGCATCAGTAACGCCCGCAACAGCGATCACGGACTCGTCAATGTTCCGGGATCCGTGTGCGCCTGGGGTCCGTTCCACCTTCCAGGCATCGCAGGTATTGCTGTCAATACTTTCGCGTTGATTTATATGACCATTGCCGTGTTTTTCAGTTTCTGGCCTCCGTCATGGGCTGTCACCGTGCAGTCTATGAATTTCAGTGTGGTTGGTACTTTTGGAGTGATCATTCTCAGTCTGGTTTATTATGCTGTGCGAGCTCGGCATGTCTATGATGGCCCGGTCGTGGAGATTGATTGAGTAGGTTTGTTAAGAGTTGATTGGGGCGAGACGAGATAGAAAGCCCAAGAGTGACGTTATCTGAGCTCAAAATTCCAGTATAATTGTAATCGATCCTTGAATATGAGGAAAAAAGTCGTCTTCCTGTGTGTTTGCTCATTATTCATCCTTGTTAGCAACATAAGACGAGATTGTTTTGCGCACAGTCGAAGCACGGTGGTGACGTTCTTGTCGTTCAATGTCCAATAATCAGGTAAAGGGTCAACGGGACCGTAAAAATAAATAAAAAAAATTCTTTCGGGAGAACAACCTAGACTCTACACTTTTGAAACAGGGAGTTACCGGTCAGATTTCCACTGGAATCGGTTAACGGGCGAACCCTGTGGGACTCGTAGCGGCCGATTTGCACCACCCAAGCGTTGCATACTTCGCCAATGTTAAGTTTCATAATATTTCACTGGCCACAGTAGTAAGCCATACATAAATACGGACCGAATCAATTATTGGGGCGACATCCGGAGCTACAAGCATGAAATGGTATAGTCCAATTTGAAGCCCGGCGGCAGAGCATGATATACCTGAAAGTGCTTGAATCAGAATTCCACATTGACTAGTCTGAATAATGTTGGCACGCGGAGAGGTTCTTACTTGTCGTAGGGACGAGTGATACCCGTAGCTTCTAGATGATCAAAAAACATGCCAGATGGAGGGTATGACGCGACGCGATTTCAGCAACTCTGGTTCTTAACAAGTAGAATGCACACTTTGAAATCATGATGCGCTGAAATAAAGAGATGCTAGTAATATTCCAAGTCAGACGCTCTGATCATTGAGGCTGGGGTGGGGCCGTGAAGGACAGTCTATTTGCAGCAACAATTGTCGACATGGAGTCTGGCGCAGAATTCCATGAAGAGTAGACTTTTTAATCTTGGAAAGATAACGGGTTGACCAAGGGCAGATTTGTATCAAGACTGGCCCCGGAAAAAGAGTTCATCTCAGTCTGAGGTTGACGCGGAGCCAGGAAGGCTCCAGGCCGAAGAACACTTCCAAGATACTGATCGAGAGCTATGTCTGAACCTACTCCTACCTCAATCTGCAAGAGAGGTGTTTGGCCCATGTTCAGTGGATAGTTGTATCCTGAGTTGCGCATCACAACATTCTGTCCGTGATGCTGGCAACTATAGCAAGGAGAAAGGGCGTAAGTCATAAATTGTGCAGGAATAGATGGCGTTACCATGTCGACCGACGGTGGAGGAGAGAGGTATTCGGATAAAATTGGAGAACTGGAGTTTTGTTGTTCCTGCTGCGCGAGCGTGACAAGAGACGAAGCAGGGTCGGTTGTTTTCATTGAAGGAGGTCGTTTCGACGGGTAGTCAGGGTCACTACTCGTATATTTAGCTCCGTATTCGGGTTTTATAGTCTGAATGAATGCTCACTGTCGGGCCATGTGCTGAGATAAGTAATCGGAACGGTGGAATGCTTTGTTACAGCCTTCATGTGAGCACGCATGAGGTTTCTTAGACCTGTGGCTCAACTCGTGCCTTCTTCGGTGCTCAGCTCTCGTAAAGACTTTCCCGCAACCAGAGAATTCGCATGCGTGTACACGTTTTCCCTTCTTAGCCTTGCTCACGCGGTGTTCTTTCTGGGAAGGAGCCGGGGACGGAGGAAGAGACCCATGGCTGGGGCTGGTGGACTTCCCGCACAGGTGTGTCGGGGTAGGCGATGATATTGAATGGGCGTACTGTGGCTCGGTGAAGAGGGGAATCGAGTCCATGAAAGGCGTCGGTAACTGGGACATGTTTTAGGCCGTTGATATCGAGTATTCGCCGAGTGCGATTATGTCATTCGAGAAGGAATGTCATGCGAAACGCAAATAAGCTATGCTTTTCATGTTCTGCAGCGGCTTTAAGTCGTTTGACGCATGTGTGAGTCTAGAGAAGCGCAAGTGCACGGATACAAGACGTTGGTGGGCAAGGCTGAAGAAAAAGAGGTGGGTTGATTTCGGTGGGGTAACCGGCCTCTATAAGTCTTGCGGCGAATCTCGACCGTATTGATCAAGATCGGCTGAGTAAAGTAATCCTAATTTGAATAGTGGATTCCAAAATGACAAAAAAAGACGAATCGAGGGACGACAGCGTTAAATTGGGGATCTTTGGTGATCGACCGCCCCCGTTGGATCCACTTCGGGCTTGCCTATTACATAGATTTTTCTTCGTCTTCAAATGATTAAGCGAGAAAGCCCGCCAAGTCCGCCTTTTGCATTGTCCTGGATCGTCCATCAATGCCAGAGATTGAAGGTCCCTTGGTTGATTGGGGCTGAGTCTGGCATGAGGTTGGGCGCCGCAGCCGTGCTAGGCTTGAACACTATACGAGACTTTTTCACGATTTGATGAGTCAAGACCCAGACTGGCTGTTCAAAGTGAGAGACTGGCAGATTTTACACATAGCCATCGCGCAGAGGCCCAAGCCTCGACGAATTGATGCTCATCAAACCAACCAGAGTATGAGTCAGGGGAAGGAAAGTTTAGGGGACAAAAGACAGCACAAAGATGGGGCAAACTAGGAGATGAATGGGACTAATTGGACCATATATCTGGCGTTTGTGGCATCTTTGCGGAATCCACGCTCCCAGCTGTCGCTATTGGGCTCCCTGTGATCTGCGGCTCGAACTTGTTGCATCGGTCACTGACCCGCTCAGTTCATGATCACTGGCTCCAGAGTAGCCTGGGCTCAAGCTTAGCGCGACACTAGCATCACCGAGTTCCACGGGGACGTTCGCACCCATTGCCTAATTTGACCTAAACCCAAGATCCCTGCCGAGCCTCAGGGAATTATTTAGGCTTCCCCTTTTCTAGCCCCTACAGAACAACTGGCTACCTTAACCAGAACAAAGACTAGCATGTCATTTGCTACATGACACGATCCGACGCCTGCTGATCTTCTCTGCTTTTGTCATTTTAGCCACTCTTATGCTTCGATATCATTGGGCACTTCGTTTAAAAGTGGATGCAGCCACTGATTGCCTTTCAAAAACGGAGAATGCTGCGGTCCCTTCTGATTCAGTCTGTCAGACCGGTAATAGCAACGTGGATGAGAGTGAGAATCCATCCATAGTCGCCTGAGTCACATTTGGCAGAAAAGTACGAGTATAATGTTTCCGATTGTGCCGCTGTTTACGATATAGTAGAAGGGTAGCAATAAGCCATCTTCATCGACGAATTCAACATTTTTGCGCTTCTTGACTAGCTCGCTAAACAGTCGAGAACCAGAAACACTTGTAGACGATGCTTACGCTTTAGAAAAATTGACTGTCCAGAAACTCGTCCAGTAAATTCACAGCGAGCTTCTCGAAGATCGAAAGGAAAGCTCAAGTTACGTCAACTGTTCATTCATATGACTCATAGTTTTTGTTTGTCCTGGATACCTCTTTATCCTCCGACATACGAAATGGGGCAAGATGGTCGAGCACGTAAAAGCTCGTACCATCCTGCCGCGGCATCAGTCTTTGATCCTCGTGTCTGAACCACTCACGGAACCATTCTAAAGGCCGATCCCCCAGCGTGCATGAGTGCTGGTGGCTCTTGCTCAGGACCCACACACGGATTGCTCCATCGACGTCATTCTTGAACAGAACAAGCTCTATAGCTACATGGCCATGCACATGGGATGTCGTGAGTTTTGAGCTTGAGCTTCCTGCATATAAAGCTTTGCACGGGGATGGGGCCTTGCTACCAGTTACCGCTTAAGTTTGAGTCATCATTCATACTTCTGTTTCCAGAAAAGATTTTGATGATCAAACGGCACAATGACACAAAAGAACGCTCCATTGAATGTCTACTGTGCGGAAACAACCGCATCAACCACCCACGTAGCAAAGAAGAGGACTCATTCTCCCAGTCTCATCCCAGACCATGAACAAGAAAATCCCGAATATTTTCAAAATCTTTCTTGATCAGCGTATCCCATGGGCTTTTCCGCGTCCCAATATCCTTCAAGACCATAGTTGTGCGACTAGGCATATCGTCATGGACCTCTTTCAACAAAATGGCAATGATGATGTGCGCAGGAACGGTCACCCACAGACTCCGGTACATCATATCAAGCGAATCGATGAACATCTTGGCACTAAGGCAATCTGAGCGTTTGAAACGGAGCACTTCCATGAGTGCTTCATTATCCCACTTGATTCCGAAATCAATGACAGCTTTTTGTAGATCTTCCATGAACTCATCAGCGAATTCCATACGCGGGTTGCGTTTCAGAATGTGTTTCAGCATGTACGGCACTATGTTTTCATGTAGCCAATCTCGGACCAGGCGAGACTGGGTCTGCCACTTGAGAGAGGTAGCGTCGTTCCATTTGGGTCGGAGCATATTCGAGTCTACCAGATTGTGGAGTGAGTATCGCACAAGAAGTTCTCGCACTGCCATATCCCAGTCTTCGAGATCGGATGGTCCACGGAGGGGGATCACCATCCTGGGGAGCTTGAAGGTTCCAATTTCCGGGAGGTCAACTCCCTGGTGGGGGTTGGCTCTGTTTGAGTCGACAACTTTTTCTCGAGCTGGATGGAGGCGCAGTGTGTGGGGGAGACAGAAGGGTCAGACAAGATCCAGAAGTCGCGTGTTTCATCGAGCGCGTCGTTCGCTCCTTTCTTGTCGCTGGGCGACTGAAGATTAATCTGGTCGGACATTCTGATGGGTTAAATCGAGGCCCAGGGTGACAACCTTTTCGTGTGTCGCTGCTGGTTAGGGTATTGATGGTGAGGTGGCTCGCGTGAGGGAAGTCGAGCATTGAGTTGCGCAGAGCTGGGGTTGAATTCTAATAGAAGAAGTGGGTATCAAACGCACGACTCCGCCTCTGTTTGTAGCGCTACCCGAAGAGAAGTGACGCTGCTGGTGTCGAGGCATCGTTCGTGAACAATGTCAACGAAGCAGAGTGTAGACACTGTGGTGCACATGTTGCGATACATCATCTCATAACAAAAATAAAAGCAATCTCAAACTATTGTTGAGATAATGAGAATTGAATTCATTTGTGACTCTAAGGTGATCAGCCCAACGTTCGCAATGATGTGATTGACCACCATCAAGATGTCATCCTCACTAGCACTAGCATGGCTCTAAGGAAAAGCTCTTATCTGCTATCTGACCGTCATCAGATTCTCACATCGTGAGCCCAGGCACGTAACATGTCATCCTGGGCCGTATGATGCAAGTGCCAAGCACCATCTCAAGGAGGTGTTGTGATGCCTTGTGCAGGTGGGAAAAGAAACACATATAGCCGACTGTGGAAATTATAAAGGGTGAGTCCCATGTCCTTTAGAGATTTCTTGCAGGCAAAGCCCCAGAAGGAATCAAAGCTAGCCAATATGAGCATTATATTTTCCGGATCGTTTTCCAAGAAAATCGCCCGTGAGTCAGTGACATCCATCAAAGCCTCAGACTCACCGGAACACGTCGCACCTTTGGGGAACCCAAGCGAGGAACGTCGTTTCTGGTTTCAACGCGCGAAAAGCTATGATCCTCAGGCAATTGCCACCCAGCCATCAGTCTACGATAACCCTGATATCGCAAAGCAGTACCAGCCGAGAGCTGATTGGGAGAATCTTCATCGATTCGATCCCTCTGCGAGATGGACATGGGCAGAGGAATATAGCCTTGTGCGAAAGATCGATCTTCGCATCATGTTCTTCGCTTGCGTCATGTTCATGGCTCTGGAGTTGGATCGTGGGTAATCTTTCACAGGCTTTGACGGACGACTTCTTGTCGGACTTGGGCATGAACACAAACGGTAATTTCGTCCAATTGCTCTGTTAAGCTTTTCTGATCAATGTACAAATCACAGACTATAACCTTGGAAACACCGTATTCAAACTGTCCTTCCTTTGCGCCGAGCTGCCCTCTCAACTTGTCAGTAAGTGGGCCGGCCCAGATCGGTGCATACCTACGCAGATGGTTTTATGGTCGGCGGGGGCCATGGGACAGTACGGACTCCAGGGCAAGACCTCTTTCTTAGTGTGTCGGGCTTTGCTCGGAATCTTGCAGGGCGGGTTCATACCAGACGTATGTATTCCGCCTAACTAGCATTGAACTTCCAACTCACAAATGGCTAGGTGATCCTCTATTTGTCTTATTTCTATAAATCTCATGAATTGTCTATTCGCCTGAGCTTCTTCTGGACAGCGATGAATGTTGCCGATATTATTGCCAGCTTCCTGGCCTTTGGTCTGCTGTATCTCCGTGGGGTTGAAGGCCAGGCGGGTTGGCGTTGGCTATTCCTTATCGAGGTAAATGCACTCTGTCTACCAAGATGGATCTTTCATAACTGAAAAACAATGTAGGGTATTATTACTTTCCTTTTCGGTCTGGCCGCATACGTTTTGATGCCCCCGGGGCCATGCCAAACGGCCAATTGGTCTCGCGGTAAGGCAGGCTGGTTCACCCCACGCGAGGAAACAATCATCGTGAATCGAGTCATTCGGGATGATCCCAGCAAAGGGACCATGCACAATCGCGAGCCCATCACACCGAAGCTACTTTGGAAGAGTCTTTGTGATTTCGATCTTTGGCCTCTTTACATCATTGGTCTTACATCCGAGACGCCCATGACAACACCAAAGCAATATCTCACATTGACCCTGAAAGGCATGGGATTTGGCACTTTTGTCACTAATTTGTTGACGATTCCAAGCACGGTCATCTCATGCATCACGATGCTCATTCTCACCTACGTTGCAGAGGTTGTTGGCGAACTGAGTTTAGTCGCAATGTTCGGACAGATTTGGGCCCTTCCTTTCGTGGTATACTTGTATGTTGTAGATATCGGCACTGCAAACAGATGGTCTGTCTGGGCTGTTGTGACATTACTGCTCGGTTTTCCAAATGGTAAGTAAATATTACCGATTTCGATTTTCAGGGCACATGCTGATGACCATAAAGCACATGCATTACAAGTTGGCTGGAACTCTCGCAACTCGAACACAGTCCGATCTCGGACAGTCTTGGCTGCCATGTAGTACATGTCTGTGCAGGCTTCGTCTATAATTGCCTCGAACATCTACCGAGCCGGTTCGTATTCGGAATGACTGCATGCGTTTGACTTTCTACTGATTACTTTTAGACGATGCTCCACTCTATAAGCGAGGCAATCGCGTGCTTGTTGGCTTGGTGGTTGCAAATATATTCATCTACCTCGGTGCCAAGGCTTACTATGTATGGCGCAATTCGAGTCGAGATAAGTGGAATGCCATGACGGATGAACAAAAAGCCTATTACTTGGCGAACACGAAGGATGAGGGTAGTGGACGTTTGGATTTCCGCTTTGCACATTGATTTCTGAAAATCTGGAATAATCGATGGTGGATCGAGGACGCGTGCCGTTTCTTCGATTGTTCATGCTCAATCTTACTGTTGGTGCGCTTGAACATTATTCTTACATCTAGAATTAGCTGGAACTTACTTGGCGTGCTTTCAATGACAACACATCTTGACCTTTGTGGGTATGAATATAAATCGTCCTTGTGAATAGGCGCGTTAGAAATTGCATTTACAGATGGACCACTGAAAGCGGCTTTCTTCGTAATCATAGCACCATGTTGCGCAACTTCCCCATCAGATCGCCCCATAACCCCGCAAGTATCAAGATCCGAAACTGACCATAAGTGTGGGATCTGACATGATTCATGATCTGAATTGCGAATGCGGACTGTGCATTACTTCCGACTTGGAATTCGTGCTTTGTTGACAGGCGTGCGACATGCAAGTGTACCTCCTGGCGCATGGTTGTAAATGCATTTTCGATGTCGCAATCGGATAACCGGCACTAAATCCGTGACAGATCAGTATATATACTGGCATGATACGGAATAAAAATTTGTACACAGATTTTGGCCAAGTTCACAGCAAGCATCCGTTCCTATCCATCGAAGACATGGCTCCTTCTTTGACCGCGACAACCCCGGCCGTCCCCGTCATGGAAGATAAGATTTCACTGAAAGGCCCTGAACGAACTCCTCTCAAGTCAAGCGGTATTCTAGATGCATTTGAGTCCTTTGACGTGACCCCGATAATTGGACGCGAGTTTCCCAATGCCAGCCTGAAGGACTTCCTGCGGGCTCCCAACTCGGATGATTTGCTTCGCGAGCTCGCTCTAACCAGTGAGTACTGCTTGGTTTTGTGTCCTGGCAGTGGTATATTCTCGCTAACATCCGAGTGAAGTTTCGCAACGCGGCGTCGTATTCTTCCGCAAGCAAGACGGACTTGACGACAACTTGCAGAAGGAGCTCGTGCAGCGACTGGGTGAGCTTTCAGGCAAACCAAAGACTTCTGGACTTCACATCCACCCGATTGCCAACTCTGGTCGGGAGCACAGCGTCACAGATGATGAAATTAGCGTGATCAGCTCCCAGCAACGGCAAAAGCTGTACACCGACCGAAATGGCCGCAGACAAAGCTCTCGTAACGAGTGGCACAGCGATATCACCTTTGAACCCATTCCAAGCGACTACACTCTTCTCCGACTGACAGAACTTCCCAGAACTGGAGGTGGTAAGTGATTAGTATCCAGTTGCAACCTCGCTGCTTCTCGCTTACAATCTGGCTAGATACGCTGTGGGCTTCCGGGTACGAGGTCTACGACCGCCTCTCTGAGCCATACCAGAAATTCCTCGAGGGCTTGACAGCCACCTACGCCCAGCCCCGCTTCAACGATGTTGCCAAGAAGAACGGCTTCGAGGTACACCCTGGTCCGCGCGGAGCTCCCGAGAATGTTGGCGAGGAACTGCGCGCAGAACATCCTGTGATCCGAACCAATCCCGTCACTGGATGGAAGAGTGTTTTCGCTGTTGGTACTCATGTTCAGAAGATCAATGGTGTTACGGATGAGGAGAGTGCCCATCTTCTCAAGTGGTTCGTGAGTCTCATCGTGGAGAACCATGATTTACAAGTGCGCCTCCGTTGGCAGAACCCGAATGACCTCGGTGAGTTTCGGAATTAGCTTTATACATATAGATGCTTTTCTAATATTCTTATAGCCATTTGGGATAATAGATCAGTCTACCATGCTGCTACTTGGGACTATGAGGAGATCGGCCCGCGAACAGGACATCGTGCGGTTGGGCTTGGAGAGAGGCCATACCTGGACCCGAACAGCACCAGCCGTCGCGAGGCATTGGCCAGGAATCAATAGAAAATCGCAATTCGTCTCTTTTATTCCATAGCTGCTGAACTGAAACAAATTCGAGGTTTCTTTACAATGGATACATTATAGCGGACACGCTTCGTTTTGAAATTGAAAGCTTGATGTATTGTCAAGCTTTTCGCTGCCTACATCTGTGCATTCCTTCGCGCGCCCGGTATCAATATCGATTTAAAGCAGAAGAGATCCAGCATTGGTGCTGACACAACTACCTGTAGCATTCGTGTCTTTCATGAGATAAACATAGGCCTCCGCGACTTCCTCAATTGTGCCCACTTTGTGCAAAGCAGTGGCGTTCTTCATTTCCTCAGACACTCCAGCAGATCCCCAGAGAGGGGTATCAACCGCACCAGGGCTAACAAGGTTCACCCTGGTTGGTTTCAGGTCTAGTGCGAGGTTACGCACCATCCCATGCAGGCCCATCAGATACCCAGCAATCAATGACCAGTTCGGGTATGGCTTTTGAGAGCCCGCGCCCGTGGTCAGAGTAATTGATGATCCATAGCCCGGATTGAGGAAACGAGGAGCTAGCTTGGCAAGCAGAAGAGGGACGGCGAATCGAATGTGGCCTGCCCGGTGAATCGCCTCCAGATCGATGGTATCCAAAGGTCGAACAGGCAGACGGTCGCCGGCGGTAAATACAATATGGTCAAGCGGTCCAATAGTGCTCAGTAGTAGCTCGAGGTTTTTTTCAACGTCTGAATCGGCAAGGTCGCAGACATGTCCAGAAATTTGCGCTTCCGGGAACTTGGCTTGCAAGGTTTTGATACTTTCTTGGACTCGGGAAGCATTGGAAGACGCGATGTGCACCTTGGCATGCTCAGAGAGGGCCTTTTCTGCAACTCCATAGCCAATTCCGGAGGAGCCGCCAATGACAAGAATCGTGGAATCTTTGATTGAAGGCATGACTGGTTGGAGATATTTGGTCAGGTCAGGCAGACTAAAGGAGAGAGTTGTCCTCGCTTATGATTCAGGACGTCGGAGAGAACGACTGGAAAGGATCAATGAAGTTACCTCTTCGATCGTTTGTGAGTGATCAGCGATCCGGACTCTGAAGAGGTGCAAGTTATCTTGGGGCACGTATCTTGTTTCTGGTGTTTGGTGGGGCTCCGGATCCACTCAGCGGACTTACGATCGCAAAGTCCGAAGATGACCATTAGTCATGCCAGGAAAAGATCCAGAAATACCTGTAAAACCGATACCTTTCAGTGGTGCGTTTCGCCCTTGGATGTATGTCTCCACCTTCGCATCACTTGGAAAAGAAAGGGGAAGGCGAGGAGCATGTGTCATCGATATTTGACATGTATCTAGGAAGGATATATAAGTCAATGCGATTCCCCGCCCTCTCCCCGTCAAAAATGTACAAAACACCACAAAAATCTTTACTTTCGCGAGTTTTGTCTATTCCTTCATCACTTAGCAAGTGAGATACCACAACATGGCAAATAATGAGGCAGCCTGAATCACTGGGCCTTTTAGCGTATCCTTTCACGATCAAGTCAGCGCCGAAGCCCAAGCTGTTGCTATTGTGACTTAGACCTTTCACTGACTTTATGTTTTGTACGACTGTTTGATTGACAGCTTTTCCAGAATCCGTTGACTGGAAGATCCATTAATACTCCCTTGGTCTCCCCTCAAAACTACGATGCAAACTCGGAAGATGCTAGCTTTGAAGCGTTCTCGGCAATTCTGGATGAACTGAACATGACGACTCCCTACTCTTATCATTCAGGACCCTCACAGCGGTATTGGTGAGTGAAACTGGAGCAAATACGTCCCACGGGCTCTGGAAAACGGAACTTTCAGGGCCAAACCGGAGCCATTCGTCGTTGGCAATGGACTTCAAGATATCCGGCATGGTCTCGATATACAATAGAAGGGGTGTGTCCGTGAAGAAGGTGGTCATCACTTTTTGAGCTCGAAATGTGGGCTCGACCGTCTAAACTAGCTAAGGACAATCGTAGTTCGACCGATACAACGAGGTGTATGCCTCCGAGGGTTCATATTAACAATCTTCTACTCTCGTGAAATCAAAACCCAAGGAATTGCGAGATCCGTGGTTCAGTCAGACAATTGGTCGAGCGATTTAAGCTCAGTGGAGCCTGTCATGAAGTTCTCCACATTACGTCACTGGAAGTATCTTGGGTGTACGTCGAATGTTCATGGTCCTCATTCTTTGCTAACAATGCCAATTCTGATCCCGAGGGGTGTTAATTGGAAGGCAAATGTGGGCAATTGTTTACCTAGTATCAGGCTCGAAGTTTCAATATCGTGGAATTCGCAACTTCCTCGACTGGACTCCAGGAATGAATCAATTGATGGTCAGCCATATTTCAGGGTGAGTCTCGCGAATCAAGTCCGGCAGCGCCATCACTGTTTCTAAGTATTCGGGACACAGTGGAAAGAAAGATAGAATGGTCCCGCCGTGTGAATCCATAAGGACTCATTCTTCGACTTACCATCCCTCTATTCATCTTATATTTGATCCTAATACCTCTAGAAAGTCCTTCCTATCTTCTTTTTGAACCCCTTATTATACTCAAAACAAAATGGCGCTAACTGTGGGTATTGCAGGAGTGACTAGAAAATTTGCTCAGTGCATCATCGAAACACTGCAACCTCCCCCTGAAGTCACCATTCGAGGATACTGCCGGAGTCCCGAAAAGCTATCCCAAAAATATCATCGAGTCTGATCAGGATAGAGATAATCACAGGCCAATTCGATGACTACGACAGTATCAGGAACTTCGTGCGAGGCTCCGATTCTGGTGTCCGACATTGCTAAAGCTCGAGCGTCACGGAGTTAGCAGATAGAACAGCTAAAGAGTTGGGCGCGAGGAAATAAAGAGAAAGAAAAGAAGAGGAAGAATGGGACAGAGTTTTGGGGGGTGATGGGCAGCAGGGCGCTCCTGCTTCACCTCACTTCGCGAGGCAACTCAACAGGGCAGGCACGACCATCGCCGTTTTGCACCGAAACCGTACGGTATGGTTGTATCCCAGTCTAGCTCTAGCTAAGAGGTAATTCCAAAAGACAGTTATGTTTCCCTTTAAATGACAATACAATGGGAATGCTTGACCTCGTCTTCTTTCCCTTGAAGATACCACCACCCCGGACCCCATCGTGTCATGACAGTTCGATAACGCCGGTCTCTCAAAAGAGACACGTTCCGAAGAAACATGTTCTCCTCTGACAAAGCTTGGGACGAACTAGATCCTGGCTCATTCGATTGCATCTCGAATCGCATGCGCGGATCCACCATCTCACTGGCTTTCAATGTCCTCTGACATGTCCATTCCTGCTGGGCTCTCCAGCGGTCATCCTCAGGGTCCAAACCCGGCCCTAAGTCCTTCCAGATGGTCAAAAGCAGGCAAATATCCGTTTGTTCGATTTCTCGTAGTTCCAGCTTCCAGGATGTGTTGCATCGGTCACATTTTCCTTGACGCAAAAGCCTGCTAATATCTTCCTGGTCTTGTCGGCAGTACGTTTCGATAAGCGACATTAAGATGTGGGAGATATTGCTATCGCAGGATCTGATATGCGCGCAGACTCGGACAAGTTCATCCTCCCGACAAAGCTGTAGCACATTTTGTCGCCTAGCTACCGCGAGATTCTGTATGCGCAGGCACAGACCCGGAGGTTTGTCGCAGGCACGCGCCTCAACTCACATCAGGCTCGTCCGATGTGAGGCCAAGACTCTTTTTCAGACATCCGTGCATTAAAGAGCTTTCGTGGATAAAGGGGCATACATGACACATCGGTATGCGTTAGCGACTCTGCAGAAATACCAAAGGACGGACCGAAGTAGAATCTCCTCATGGCAAGATGGAGATGTACGAAATGAAATTTATGAGGCGAGTAAGCGGGGTACTGGCAGATTTGAGCTGGCATAAGTAGAGTAGAGCATCTGTCCTCAATAGAGTCGAAACAACTCCGGAGCTTGAAATTTGGACTTGGCAAGTCGACATGTCGCCAAAGATGAAGTCTCAAGCAGGCGTAGCAGAAGTAATACTGTGGCAAATGGCGAGCAAGTCTGGTTAAGAGATCGATCCGCAGGTTTTCGCCCGGCCCTCCTATACGGACGCCAGGAAAAGGTTTACCTAAAAGTTCATCGAAGCCGGGAGTGAAAGCCATAAAATGGTGGCTTCATAAAGCCAGGCAAGAAGCATCAACGGGCGATAGATAGCTGAATATCAGGAACACAAGCTCCGGTGGCAGTGTATCCAGTGTCCTTTGCAGCATATTTGATTCATTGAGCAACCAATGCTGACACTGGGCACGTTGTCTCGACAATAGAAATTCCAGGTTGCTTCGACTTCAGCGCCGCATACTCATCTAACTCTCTCGGGGCAAGGGGTTCCGTCGCGATTCGTCATAGACGAGATGTTTATAGAGCAGACCAGATCGCTTACGTAACGATCAATGATCAGATCAAACCGCTCAGTACTCAGTGAGCAAAAAGCGGCAAGGCCTGAGCACTCAAACGGATAGGGAAAGCTAAAAAGTGGCAGAGGAATTCCGGTACGTAGGGGACAATCTTGACAACGAAAGATGTCCCCACGTATTCTCGATGTTTCGATCCTTCGTACATGACCGTCGAAAATTCTTGCTACGACTACAAGACCCACGGCATGTAGCTAAACTATCAAGTCAAGTGACGGTTCTAAACTGTAGCTAGGCTGTGCACACCAACATTCATCTCGAATCTGTACTTGGCCATGTCCTATACCCGGGCATCTTCTGAGCTATTACTTGTGACAAGATATTCGAGATTCATAAAAGAAAAACCAGTAATATTTGCTGTTGAAGCAGGCCACTAAAGCCTTTATGCAACTATGAACTTGAAATGCATGTATTTATGTGAGCCGGAAAGAAATGTAAATGTACCAAACTGTGAGATGGTCGTTCAGAGAACGGTCGCAGGATTCACGTCATGATCAGCCACATTGTGCTTCGCCTGATCCAAGATCGGAATGCGAATGGCGCCCTTGTCACCCACGGGGGCTGGGTTGGGTGAAGGACCCGGGGTGCGCTCGCTCTTGTTCTGGCGCTGAATAAGGCCATTGGTGATTCCAAGGACGGAGTCAACAATGACAGCGTCAATGCCTTCGGCGACTTGGTACTGTTGATTTCCCAAATCCGTGGTAAGCCTATGTATCAGGGATGGAATGGATGGGTGGACTTACATCGACATTGACACCCTCGTTGTTGAGGGAACCGTAGGATACACAGACAAGGCCAGATTCCTTGACAATGCGCACAAGACGCGGGCACAAGACCAGGGGCTCGGCCTGTGTCACGATGCCTAAGAGGTTCCATCGCGAAGCGAATCGAATGGCTTCCTGTAGACTGCTTGCGCGGATATCGCCGACTGGGGAAGCGCCCGAGTCGGAAAGGAAAAGGACCGGGATGGACGGCTGCTTGAAGGAGAGCAGCAGACAAACGTCAGGGTTGAAGCTGGAGAAAAGCATGTCTCGACCGGCGCCCATATCGTAGACCTTGGTGAGGATGGTATCAACGAAGGAGTTCAATTCGACGGCGTAGGTGTCCATCTCTTCCTCCTCACTCTCGTGGAGCATGGGGTACTCTGGCGATCTTGGTTAGATCGTCGAAAGGTAGCCGTTCTTTACGAAGCGGTTGTAACTCACTCAGTTCTATATTGAAGCCGACCGGCTGGGGAACCTTCTTGAACAATTCCTCTAGGGTAGCGAAAGGGGCTTGGATGTGTTCGCCGCGGGTGTTGCCTTTGAACCCCTTCTTCTTGAAATCGCGTGTATGCTTGATCTTTTCGGTCAGCTCGGCTGGGTCATACTCAGAGCCACCGACAGACATCGAGCGTTGCCGGAGACCCAGGTTTGTGTCACGATTGACATGACCACTGTCTGGCAAGACATTCCGATGCCGACTCTTGCCGAGCTCCAAGAATTGATCGAGCGTCAAGGTGTGCACCGGGGCGTCGATGCCGGTCTCACTAACCAAGAAGTCATGGTAGATGACGGGGACATGATCCTTGGTGAGCTGTACATCAAACTCGACGTAGGAAGCGCCCAGGTTCGCAGCTGCGATGAACGACTGAATGGTGTTCTCGCCCAATTGAAGAGACTTACGACTGGCCATGTTCTTGCCTAGACCACGGTGGCCGATGACCATTGTCGAGCTCATGGAGCGCCAATAGGTCTGGTTCCCTGTGATGGACATTTTCGGGTGCTTAAAAGGTGTGATGACCAAGAAGTTAAAAGTCACGGACCCAATCACATCCAACGTATTAGCAGCGACGATAGGAACGGTAGAATCGCCCTTGAGGTTGATCCGCTGAGAGCCAATTGTCGGCTTAATGCTGGAAAGAAGCGCGACACCACGGCCAACAATCTTCTCTTTCGATCCGGCGTAGGTGGGTACAAGATCGAAAAGAAGACGGACCTTGCTAGCATCGGTCGTGTGAAAGACAATCGGCTCGGTCGAGATGTTATCCTGAACGGGCAGGTCAATCACCTCGGGCTCTCCGTGAGCACCACTGGCGGTGACGACCAGAGACAGAGCTGTGTCCAGCTGTGTCGCGTGTGCGTCTTCCATGGGAATACGGTCGAGATTGACAGTCTCCAAAGGCTTGCGCATATCCATTGTTCCTAGGCTCACCAGAATCATGGTTTCGTCGGTGAGATACCGGTGTCCAAAAGTCTTAATAGGCTCAGTGTTGCGTAAACCAGAATTCGCAGCAGAGGTAGGAGCAGGCGCATTCGACCGACGGTCAGTCAAAGAAGATTGGGAAGGGGGTGAAGACGATGCGGAGGAAGTGTTGGTTGGGACTGAGAAGGGCTCAGGCTCGGTGGCCGGAATCGCAGGGCTCACTTCAGCAAGACACCGCGCGATATCTAGATGACCTCGAAGAGCTGCATGTTCCTTGGCCGTCCAGCCGGACGAGTCAAAGCGTTCCACATCTGCACCAGCGGCAACCAGCTGTTGGGCCACGTTCAGGTGACCATCAACACACGCAATAAACAAAGGTGTCCACGAATACATGTTCTCTGGAAGATCCGTATTCGCCTTTTGGACATCAGAGCCCTCGAGAATGATCCGGGCACACTCGTCGTGGCCAAAGCGAGCGGCAACATGGAGCGCAGTTTCGCCTTGTTCATCCTGGTAGTTAATATCAACACCAGCATCTACCAAAAGCTGGACAATGTCCACGAAATTGGCCTTTGTAGCTAATGCAAGAACGGCGCTGGATTTGGGAGCCTGTTTGCGGACCTGATCTTCTTTTCTGTGGGATCCTTTCCAGTTCTCGGCATCGAGCAAATACCGGGTAGTCTTCGGATGACCACCCACCACGCTCAGGTGAAGGGGTGCCCAGCCATCCTCGTCTTGCCAGATAGGGCCGTCGATCCCCTCGCTAACATCGAACATCTCCCATTCTCGGAGGTGTTCAATAATTACTTCACACACCACTTTGAAGCCATATTGGGCTGCATAGTGGAGTGGGGTCCGTCCAGAGATATCTTTCGCCATCAGGGCTTCACGCTGATTCGGGCGCAGCGCACCAAGCAAATGGCTCAAAAGAGCAACAGCCGAATCTTCACGACCCATCTGTTGGGGCATATGCGCCTCCTTGACAACAGATCGCGGTGGCTGCAGGGTAGGTGGGGCTGCGGGTGTGATGTAACGGGAGGTTTCCAAGGGGAAGTCCAGCACCAACGATGCCGTAGGCTCAGAGTCACTAGTAGACTGCTCCCGGCCAATTGAGATGACCAGACGATGAAGACAGTTGCGACGATTGATATCATCATCCTCTTCCAAAGTATCAACGCGAGGAAGGAGAGATGACAAGCAAGCCCGAGCTCGGTGCAGAATGGCTCGCTGAATAAGGGTCTTCAGAACCTTGACAAAGACACCTTCACCGGCGTCATCTGCGGCAGACTTCAAGGTCTCGAGTAGTTCGAGCAAAACATGGACGTCGTCCTTTTTCAAAGCTTCGTCCACGGCCATCACGACATCAGTGGGTAGATTCAAGAATGGACGGGCTGCGCCACGCTTCAATGACAGGGATGAATGGGTTGAGCTAGAATCGTCAAATTTCTCTTGCTCCTTCGACTGATCCGTGATCACGGCCATCCAGGTATTGATACGCTCCTGGGCCTTGAAAACGCGAGCATTGGATGCAAAGGGAGCAGGATCAACCTTGGTCTCCAGGTAACGCTTCTGGGCCTGGGCCCCGACCTTCTTGTCAAGTTTCTTCGTGATCTTGACAAAACCACGACGGTTGACCTCGCCGTACCATTGTAAGCGGCGCAGATGGTAGCGCAGATCGAGGAGGGCTTCGCGCAGGTCGTGTCTATCCTCAGGCTCCAGTCGATGGTGACCTTCCATCGAATACCCATAGCGCTCCTCTAGCAGCTTCAAACGGCGGGTGTACTCGGCATATTTCTTGTTGTAGAAGTAGTCGACGTCCTCGACATTTCGGTCGAGCGAATAGAAGAAACCTAAACGCACCCCAACAAGCCTCCTAGTCAAAAAGGTGCTCCGAGTGATGCAGGAGAGCTCGAGGCGACAAAAGGAACAGACTTACCGGCCAGATCCGGTTCTTGACCATCCTTGACTTGCTCAGCGGCGGACTTGATAAGCTTCTTCAAAGCCTTGTACTTGATGTACGAAGCGCTCCACTCCGGCACGGTGAACTGGGGCAAATTGCGACCGAATTTCATTTTGAGAAGGTGAGACAGAGTGTTGTTTCACCACTTGCGCGAAGTCCTCTTTTCTTCCACCACGTTTTCCAACGCTTCGCCCAAATCCTCCACACTGTACACGGGATCGGAGACGGGTCGAGTCGGCAACCTGAGAGTCACAGGAAGTGATCAGGTGAGCGGCCGTACGCAAGGTAGGAGAGTGTTCACAAGCGCCATGAGGGAGGGGGATAAGGGTGTAGCTTCAAATTCCGACTATACCTGGTGGCTTAAGGAGAGGCCAAGCGGTGAGAAATGGAAAAACTCTGTTCGGCGGTGGAGCTCGTAAAACAAGAGATTCGAGCGGTCCGATGTCGTCAAGGGAAGATAGGAGCAGGGTGGTAAGCAACTGATGAGGGCTTGGTGAAGTTCGTGCCTGCACTGGAAACGGTGATTTGTCGATCCCCGAAAGTCCCCCGCGCGGTACATCCAAAGGTCCGCAGCCAGTGAGAACGTTGGATTGCGGCGGCATGGCGCCTTGATCCGAGTGTCATGTGATGTGTTGTGCATGCACATTTTTCATTCCTTTTTCCGTGTGCTCGGGCTACTGTACACGGGGATCGTCGGGGATCCGCTCCAATAGTGGGCCCGGTGGAGGCCCCGTGACTTAGGGCCAAGTGCCTGTGCTCTCTTAGCTTGTCGCTAGTTGAGGCACGTTGCGCTTGGGGATAAGCTACCGTCATCGGTGAGAGAGAGATACATGCAAGCATCCTCAAAAAAGCTTATAAAGGAGTCGGGTGACTATATGGGGTCGCTATACTTAGTTCCACCAGTTCCACCCTGCGTCTCTTGTCAGCTGGAACGGAGACTGTCTGAAATTGCCTAGATAGGATGGAGCCCGGTCTTTGAGCAACCATCAATGTTACTTTGGGATCAATGTGAGAAATTTTGTCATATTCTATAGCGTTCGCAAACCCCTCATACTGAGCCAAAATTTCAGAGCGCCGTCCCAGAGGGACATAGAGAACTCCCCATTTCGTGTCCCCGAAAAGCAAGAAAAGAACGCTAAACAGAATGAGCTCATGATCATGAGAGCCCAAAAAACCCATAAGATAAACTCCAGCAAAGTATACATGCAAAGTGACCACTCTCTAGAGGGCCATCGTAGGAACACGCCCCGAATCGATTACTGGACCAGAGGCTTCAAAGCCTCTACGCCCGCCTGCAAGATCGCTTGGTTTGACGTCTTCTTGATGCAAGCAGTCAAAATCTCAATCCCCCCGGCAGCACGAACCGCATCCTTGGCACGAGCTCCAATATCACCAGATGCCGCGCAGGTGAGGTTACGTACACACACCACGCCTCGATGGACCAGAGCGTCGTCGTCCTCTTGGCAAAGCCCCAGCAGAAGATCCACTCCGCGTGGGCGTTCCAAGACGGCGGCGATGGCGGCATCGTATTCAGTCAACATGGCGACGGCGCCGCCAGCGGCTCGTCGGGTGGGAAAATCGTCGGCATCGGTGAGGGCCAGCAGAATGTGGAGGCGTTGAGACGCGCGCTTGGAGCCGTCGGCAAATTTGACAATGCCGGACTCGCAGGTCATCAGATTGCACACCAGTTCGCACGCAGCCCGCTGCACACGAGGGTTACTGGACAAAAGGAGATCTTCCACGGCGGGCCAGCCTTCCCGGACCGTGAGTTCGGCCGGTGTATCATCGTGTGGGTAAGAGGCAAGGTTCGTCAGAGCAAGCAGACTTTCGAACACGGGAAGCAAATCCCGAGGCTGGTCTACCGAGATAGGGGCCGACTCGGGCGTAGTCAGAAGAGAAAGCAACGGCCGCACAGCAGACGTGACCTGAGGGAAGCCAGAGGATGGGAATACATGGGCAGGGTCGACAGAAATAAGGATACGAGCCAGTGCGTGGGACGCGGTCTGTGTCGTCTCCGTAGCAAGGCTAGGGTTGCCATGTTTGGGAACGGCCAGGCCGAGCAACAGCTTGACTGCCCCTGTTGAGCCAAAGTGCCCCGCGATTTCGTTCGCCGTGCCAGGGCGAGGAGAATCTTGGCTGTGAGATCGTGGACGGAGGGCATCGCAACTCGACCACATTCCACCAGTAGGGCCATGGCGCCTGCGTCAATGACGGCCCTGCAGCGGTCAAGCACCACCTCATCTTCTTCCAGTGGGTCCGGAGCAGCAGCGGCCTTGGCCTTGCCAACCGATGCATCCGCATAGTCCTTTAGCTGAGACATCTTCTTCTGCTCTTCCGAGAGGTTGGGAAGGAATCTGGTGAGGTTTAAAATAACCATCAGGCCACCATAAAGCACGGAAGAGTCGCTGATATTCTTCTTGAGCACCGTAACCAATTCACGGAGGAAGGAAGGGTCCTTAACGAGATCGTCCTTGACAACGGGCTTGACCGAGGAATAAGCCAGACCCTCGATGGCGTGGGAAACATTTTCAGCCTTGGATTCAGACATCAGTCCCTTGAAACGTTGAACCAGCTCAGAGACACCGGTGTCTGCATCCTCGACCTTGCCGTTCTCGGCTGTGTTAAGCTCAGAAGCTCGAATTTTCGCCAAGACCACCGCTGCCAACTCAGAACCCTCGTCGCTCCCGTTCGTCAAGGTGTGCGACAGCCACTCGGAAAAGTTTTTGGTAACTGCTTCGCGGCAGGGACGACTGATACAGGCTGCATTAAGCAGCTCCGCAATCGTAACCTCCACACGCTTGCGCTTCGCATCCGGTGCGGCCAAAGGAGTCAATGCCTTCATGAACTCGTCTGAGAGGAATACATTGGCAGCAGCCGGAGGTGCCACAGGGAAAACGGCCGCCACAGCGGAAAAGGCGAGGATGAGATCGTCTAGGCGACCCTTGGCGACCTTGGCCCCAATCAAGGCAGAGAATTGCTTTGTACCATTCTCCTTGGCTACCTCTAGGTATTTGGCGGTTGCTAATGTGGCTTGACTCCTCACCTCTAGGGGCAGTCGGTTGTCCAAGGACGACAGAATCACTTCAAATCCCTCGTGGTCAATCAAATGCTGAAGGCTATCGGCGTCAACTGCCAACAGTCTTGTGATTCCCTTCAGAGAACGGCCGTCTAGGTCATGGCCTGACTCCATCAACTTCGCCAAGAAGAGCTGAAACAGTTCACTCTCGCAGTGCAACCGTGTGTCCTCCGATGGCCAGACACTAGGATCCAAGACCACGGTGTCCAGGCAAACTGCCGCTCCGTCGCCACGGTCGTAGATTTCGTCGAAGAAGGCGGTCACGGAAACTTGAAGCTGGTTCGAAAAGTACTGTCGAACACTGGCGCTCTGGCGAACCAATCCAGAGATAATCTCATCCTGTAGCTCAGACAGAGCCAGCGCACTTTCACCCAGCAACAGCTTCAACGCTTCTAGAGCCACATTCTCCGGCGGCTTCAGACCGTCTGTGCGGAGATAAGCCACAGCGCCCTTCCCGGCGGACTCATCCTTACGACTCGCGTAGCGTCGACAAAGATCTAGTAGCTGGTGGCCGTCATTCTCTTCTTGTTGGATCTTAAGAAAGGCGGCTTTCACGTCGATGTTATCGGGCGCGATCGAAAGAGCTTCTCGGAGGTTGCGTGATGCGGCCTATAGAGATCAAGGTTAGTGAGTCTCTCGGAACTCCCTCCGGATCGCGTTCCAGGGGGAAATTATCGCGCATTACCCACCTCGCGATGACCGGCGTCGACCAACTCGACCGCCTCGCGGGCCAGTTGAACAGCGCGCTCTTCGCCTGCTGCGTGGACCATTGCAGTGATGCTGAGAATCAGCACCAACGACGAAGAACAGTCCGTTTATTTGAATGTGCGGGATGTTGAGAAGAGAAAGTTCTCACTTCACACGGATCGGGACTTTTTTTTTTAGGAGGGGAAGGCGGAGAGGCGGAGGTGCGGAGCGGTTGAGAAAGAGAGAAAGATACGTGGGCGACACTGGGTTTATCAGATGGGAGTGAGCCACGTATGGATAAAAAAGCAATGCGCTTCTCGGTCTCCATCTTATGCTTGGGAATCTCCATACGGTAATTACACACATTAGCCCCTTGACTCTTTGGGTAAAGGTCAAAGTAACGAACCTGAATGGAACAAAATACCCTTCGGTCAACAGCATTATCAATCCCGCTGATAAGACCAACCACATCCACCCAGTTGGCCACGCCGTCACATTGCTCGAACCTACTCGTCATCCATTCCAGGTTATAAAGACTCCGGAATAAGCTGGCCTTGCTTGTATCGTTAGATAGCGGTAACCTGTACGTCACAACAGGATGAGCTCAACGCGGTAGATGCGAAGACCGGGCATGTGGGACAGCTCCGTCCAAGGCTCTTATTCGAGGAATCCGCCGCGTAGCGCCATCCTTAAATCCATTCTCCCGCATACGAAGTACAGATTGTCCTAGCTTCCAGCTTATAGTCTTTGCCGATGCATTCTAAGGGCTGCAGAGGTTAAAGAGGCTCCGGAGGTTCTGGAGAGATCAGACGAGTCAATGTCAGGGGTGTGTAATGGTGGATTCGAAAAAACCGCCAAGCTGATTACCCTGGTGAAGATCACCAAATATAGCTCGGCCGTAACACGGGCATTACCTGCCCAGCCCAGTAGTCCAATAGTCCAACTATCCACGTTGCCAAGAAAGAGACACCAGTCGATCTCACAATAGGAGGTTCTCGACTCAAGTCCTGTATTCAAAGTGAGATAGGTATCCCCATGTGGGTTTCATGTGTCGTAAAATAAAAAGGCAACATAGATTCAAAGCCTCGTTATCATCCCGTGACTGGCCTTATCGCGGAGCTCCTGCGATTCTCCGTCTTGCTCTGCGCTTTTTCTTGCCATCTCCGTCAAGGACGCGTCCGGGCATCAATCAGACGATTCTGCCGTTGCATCGCAGCCTTAGCTCTTATTGAAAAAACATTAGTCAGGGCCACTTCGTCATGAGCTTCCGTCCTTGACAAGTCTCGGCATCATGAATACCGTCGATGCTTCCGAGCACTACGAGCTAGGCACCACCGGTTGGTTACTTACATATTGCAAACAAGGCCCGCAAGAGATTTGCTTACCACCATATCTCACAGATCTCGCCCCTTCCCTGCTGACAATCGTCATTGACACGAACCCGCACGCCTGGGCAGCTCTCGAAGATTCCCTCCCACTATCGAAAGCGGTCGCCAACATCCTCGTCTTCATTAATGCCCATTTAGCCTGCAACTACGCCAACGAAGTGGCTGTCGTCGCATCCCACAGCCAAAAAGCAGCATGGTTATACCCAGTCCCAAACTCAACCTTAGACCGTGATGGAGACGTCACAATGAACGGCGCCAACAGCGCCCCCGCACAAATGAATAAATACCGCCCGTTTCGCGTGGTCGAAGAACAAGTAACCCGACGCTTGAAAGACCTTATGGACTCAACGAGCAGCGACGATCTCAAAGGCAATACATCAACAATGCTAGCTGGCGCATTGACACTCGTACTCAGCCACATCAACAGACGCACGATAGCCTGGGCGGAAGAGCACGGCGGCGCAAGTCTAGAAGATGCAGCTGAATCAGGCGCGGGAAGTGGTGCGAATCGATACTCTGCGTCGAACGACGACGAACGGCTCCAAAGCCGTATTCTGATCGTCTCCGTTAGCGGGTCCAGTGACTCTGCACACCAGTACATCCCCGTCATGAATAGTATCTTCGCCTGCCAGCGCCTGCAAATCCCCATTGATGTATGTAAACTAAGCGGCGATGCGGTTTTCTTACAACAGGCTTGCGACGCCACGAAGGGCGTATACATGGCTCTTTCCGAACCGCGCGGGCTACTACAGTATTTAATGATGGCATTTTTGCCAGATCAGCGCTCCCGTCGACATCTTGTTCTTCCTACGAGGGAGGACGTGGATTTCCGAGCGGCCTGTTTTTGTCATCGAAGAGTGGTTAATATCGGCTTTGTCTGCTCTATCTGCCTGAGCATCTTCTGTGAAGCTCCCCCAGGTGGTGCCTGTCTCACTTGTGGGACGGAGCTGGATGTGGGCGAGTATGATGTTAAGCCTGCTCTCATGAAAAGGAAGAAGAAAAAGAAGAAACTGATTAATGGGGCCTCGGCAGCGGGGACGCCTATGTCTACACCGACGCCAGGTCCATGATTGTTTCATTTCAACGAATTGAGAAAAAAAGGATGGACATTTTGTACACTTAGAGCTTATTTTTCTCTCGCTGGATTTGAGACAGCTACTATGAAGATATCTATCAAATCAATATCTAGGATCATTGCTGGAATTTTGGGACTTCTAGGGACTCATGGGAGTGCTTTTGACCACTGACAAGCATGCCTTGCCGGCAGAAGAAGGCGAGAAAAGCCAGAAGAGAATGATCAAACTTGTCCGGAAGTAAAAAAGCAATGCTCGTTATGCTGAAAGAGAACGCCGACGATGGGTGCTCCGGGCTCAACGCAAGTGGAAATGTCAAGGTGGATAGTCCGAATGCATCGCAGAGATGACAACAAACATCATGCGAACGGGAGTATCAGCGGGTGTTGATACGATGTAGCGAGCATCTCGAAGAAAATTTTCACGAGAGCAGGCTCTTATCAGTTCTGGGATTTCTGATGGTGGGACCTAGTCCTTGTGGACAATTAGCGACTACCGTAGTTCAAGCCAAATGAAATGTCTATACGCACTTTCTAGGACGAATCATTAGCCCACCCTGAGCGATAGATCCGTTCTTCCTACCCCGGGACATCACAGTTTGGGGTTCGAGATCTCCGGCAGCCATCGACGCAACAGCCTGGCCAAGATTAGTAAATAGCCTCACAGGCAACCAACAACTTACTCACAAACGATTCAGTATTGTGGGCGAAGAAGAGACCGATGCCTTCGTTTGTTTTCTTAACAGCTAGGATTCCGATGGAGCCACCGACCTCACTATTCTGAACTGCAGGGTGACCTGGAGATGGTTAGTTCAGATCAAATTAAATGTCAAACGAAGGCGCGCTTACCAGTGAACTCATTCGAAATCATTGAGTGAAGTGCCTCTTCTTCACTGACTGGCTCGAATGTACCGTTTGGACCCATCTTCTGGCCATAGTAAATTCGAGTCGCACAGGTACTGGCTGCAAGCGTGGATGCAATGTGTTCGCCAGTCCCAGACGTCACAACAGCTGTAGTGGTTTGTTCTGGGTCGGCTGGGTCAACGGGAATGACATGAGTTCCGATGCCAATCAATGCTGCAGGACCTACTCGGCCTCGATGCTTCATCCCAATGCCACCAGATGAGGATCCGGCAGCGATATTGCCCCACTGATCAATCGCAATCGCCCCGACAGTATCTGTGATACGATCCTCGCCAGTTTCACCGTCGGTGGGATTTTTCGGATATCTTGCCCAATCAGACTCAGGAAATGTGGAATATTCACCGGCTGACTGTGATTTGACACGAGGAAGCACTCCATCCATTGTCGATCCGCTTACTAGTAAGTCATTATCATGTTCTGGATTGAGCTGACTGGCGGAAGCAGTTCTGGCATCGAGTCTACCAAAGACAGGAGGAGTGCCACGGGCAACACCAGCCGGTATGGGAGAGCCATGGTCAGTGGAAGGACGCACCCACGTAGGTGCAGAGTCTTCCAGAGAATGTGCACGTTCTGCCTCAAATTCTTCAATCTCGCGAGTCCAGATGGTCCAGCGTTCTCTGGCAGCATTTGTGATCAAAGCATGAGGTGGAATGGTGGGAATATTATGAGCCCATGCGAACTCGGTAGCACCGTCACCCACGATGAAGTTGGGTGGAACACGCGACATGCCAGGGGATCTGTACGCCTCGTCGTAGATCTTGCGAGCCAGCATGATCGGGTTTTTAACGTCTGTATCACAATAAGAGACCGATCGAGGGCATGCAGCAATCAAATTGTACTTACTGGGAACAGCTCCAGCGGCACCACTACGGCCAAGATGATCCATGATGGACGCATCACATTCGACAACACCCTTCGCAGTCAGATTGCTACCATACCCTGCATTGGTGATGGGATTGTCTTCGAGCATTGAGAGCGCCATCTCCACTGCCTCGACCGCAGTCGCCCCTGTCTGCAGGACAATCATCCCAGCCCTGGTCGATCTAAATCAAGTTATCAGCTGTAATCTGTCAAGTAGAAAGGAGAGTCACATACTCTGAGCAGGCCTTCAGGTGCTTCGCTTCATTCTCTCGGCTGTGATATCCAGCACCGGCATGGACAAACACAGCACATGGAACTTTGGACCGTTTGCCTCGTTCCATGTTGGTAGATTGCTCGGCAACTGGGCCAGAGGGACGTGGAGAATCGTTGTGTGGCGCCATGGGCTGCTGTCAAGTGAAGGCGGCGAGCAGAGGCTGGAAGCCCGCAAGCGAGTTACCTTTGAGAGTACAAGAGCATGCAAACCAGGTCTGCAGGGCGCGTAAAAAGTTCAAGAGAGCGTGAACAGAGTACGTATGCGCGTTATTCTGCGTAGACACAACTATGGGATATTGGCGACAGCAGCAGTTCCGACGCCTTGTTCAGAGAATGCAGAATACCGATGGTCAAAGTTGGTTAACAACAGGGGTATGAATAGAAAGGAAGAATAAAGTCAGTGACCACCTTGGGGGACTGTACACCTGTGCGTCAAGGTCAAGAGAGACAAGATAAAATGGTAAGAGATGTGTAGAGCTGAGAGTCACGCGTGTGGGTTTCCCGACCACCAAAGATAGAGGCTCCTTCCATTTTATATCAGCTTGGCTGCTTTTCCATCCCCATGGTAAAGTGATTATGAAAGGACTGTTCTTTCCTTTAAATTTTTAGTTTGATCAAATTCGACTATGGGAAGGGCACATGATGTTGATGTGACCCCCTCTTAGGTAAGCACGCTCCCCGCCTTGTCTGCCTGAGCTCCGCCACGACTTCATCACCCCCCCTTCGAAGGCGGACCTGGTATACCTCTCTGTGTTCGCATTGGTCCTGATATTCCCTGCCCATCATGGCGTCTCAAACACCAGCCGTTGTCATGGACAAGTAAGTTGCGCAGCTGCAGTGGAATTGGCTCATTACTAACCAGTCTTCTCACAGCGGTACTGGTTACTCTAAGCTTGGTAGGTGACGCATGCGAAGCAATTCGATTCAATTGCTATGATCGATCAGCACGTGGAAACTAACGATAGTTCTTGCCGACTACAGGATTCGCCGGTAACGATTCGCCGTCTTTCGTCTTCCCCACTGCAATTGCAACCAAGGCTGGTGCCGGGAGCGCTGGAAGCTCCGCGGGTTCTCGGCCTGCTGTCGCCAACAAGCCCTCGTTCCTCTCTGGTAGTGCTGGAGCCAGCTCACATCTATCTGGAAAGCGTGGCACCGAGGACCTGGACTTCTTCATCGGTGATGAGGCTTTGGCCGCCGGCAATGGCCCCGGATACGGTGTGAACTACCCCATTCGACACGGTCAGATCGAGAACTGGGATCATATGGAGCGCTTCTGGTCGAACTCAATTTTCAAGTATCTCCGCGTCGAGCCCGAAGACCACTACTTCCTCCTCACCGAACCTGTAAGCCAGCGCCCGACCCCCCAAATATGCACCTCCCCCGCAGGCGGTCATAGTGGCCTAGAATGCTAACCCAGGCATCAATATAGCCGCTGAACCCGCCTGAGAATCGCGAAAACACCGCAGAGATTATGTTTGAATCTTTCAACTGCGCCGGTCTCTACATTGCCGTCCAAGCTGTGCTTGCCCTCGCCGCCTCGTGGACCTCCTCCAAGGTCACCGATCGGTCCCTGACCGGAACTGTAATTGATTCTGGTGATGGTGTGACGCACGTTATTCCCGTGGCCGAGGGCTACGTTATCGGTTCCTCCATCAAGAGCATTCCTATTGCTGGTCGTGACATCACATATTTCGTGCAGAGCTTGCTGCGTGACCGCGGTGAGCCTGACAGCAGCTTGAAGACCGCCGAAAAGGTGAAGGAGGAATACTGCTACGTCAGCCCGGATATCGTCAAGGAATTCGCTCGTTATGACCGCGAACCCGATCGCCTCTTGAAGCACACCGTGACGTCCCCGAACGGCCGCAGCATTCAGATCGATGTTGGCTACGAGCGCTTCCTCGCCCCGGAGATCTTCTTCAATCCCGAGATTTATTCCTCCGACTTCCTGACCCCGCTCCCCAACGTTGTTGACGGTGTTATCCAGTCTTCGCCCATTGACGTTCGAAGGGGTCTCTATAAGAACATTGTCCTGTCCGGTGGTTCCACCCTGTACAAGGACTTCGGCCGCCGTCTACAGCGTGACATTCGTCATCTCGTGGATGCTCGCATTCGCGCATCCGAGGCCCGCAGCGGTGGTGCGCGCAGTGGTGGTTTGGACGTCGCGGTTGTTACACACAAGCGCCAGCGACACGGACCTTGGTTCGGAGGCAGCCTGCTGGGTCAGACGCCCGAATTCCGAAGCTACTGCCACACCAAGGCCGAGTACGACGAGATCGGTCCTAGCATTGTGCGGAGATTCGCACTGCTCGGTGGTCCCGGAAGCTCGTAGAGTGGGTTGTCATTTATCCTTATTATCTCATGTCCTTTTGTCAGCTGGTGTAGCTGGACCTTTGTTCATAGTCCATAGCTTTTTCTCATGTCTTTCTGCCCTCTCCTCGTGACACTTTTCCTCTTTTTGTTCTCCAAAGCGGGCGGCATGGCGCTGGGTCCAAGGATGCTACAACTGGTTCCGGATGTCCCGAGTAGATAGAGAGGGGATTGGTTGAGACTCTTTGATTTGTTTCAGAAGCGTATGAAAATGCAAAATTCCTCTTTCTGTTCACGCTTTTAGTCTCCCTTGCCAAACCGAACGCCACAACCAAGATGCAGGTATTAGACGTGTCATGTCTCCAGTTCCGGGTACTATATAAACACACATTACCACCCTGGTGTACAATTTCAGGCAAAGTTCTCCTTGGGAGGGAACTCGGCACGATTAAGAATGGCAACACCTTCGACATGTCCAGTCTGGGGGAAAAAGTCGAATCCTCGAATGCTCTCGATTTCGTAGCGGACATTCTTTGTCTCGTCACCCTGGACCATCAGAGCCACATCACGGGCCTGGGTGTGCACATTGCAGCTGACGTAGACCACGCGCCGAGGTTTGTAGTCAAGCATCTGCTTAATGAAGTCCTCGGAACATCCCTTGCGCGGCGGGTCAATGACGAGTAGAGTCTGGTCAGGCGGATAAGGAACGTCCTTGAACAGGACGGCAGCATCAGCAGCAGCGAAGCCGGTGTTGGGCAAATTATTAGCCTTGGCGTTTTCGCGCCCGCAGATGATAGAGTCACCGGCGATATCGACACCGAGGCTGGATTTGAAGAGTGGGGACAGAGTAATGGTGAAAAGCCCGGAGCCAGAGTAGGCATCAAGAAGGTACTTGATTGGCTTGGAGTCTTGATCGTTGCCAGGAGGCATGGCCTGTGAGCGAATGAACTCGGTAAAACCAGAAAGAATCGAGTTGTTGTTCTGGAAGAAACCACCGGCCTTGTTGCTGAAGACGTAGTCGTCAATAAATTCGACAGATGTAGCGTTGTTGTCGGTGATACAGCGTTTCTCTTCGATGTAGTTTTCGCGCTCAACGCGAATTACGTCCCCGGTATCCGCACCGGGAGTCGGTACTAAGCCGTTATTGATCTTGGTCTCGGAGTCTTCTGGGGCTGTCTTGGAGATGCGGCTGGTCGATTCCCGCATCAACAGAGTAGCGCCCTTCTTATAGGACCGGATGTTTGCAGCAACACGCTTCCTCTCACTCTTGAGACCAAGACGCACAACGTCGGTTCCAAGAGGGCAGTCCTCAATGTCAAGATCTGTCCGCCGGTTCTTGTATGTGAATCCAATGGGAGGTACTTCAATCTCAACCTCGCCGGACTCTTCTTGAGCTTTTTGCTTCTTCCTGCGACCAACGCCATTCGCAAAGTGAGGTGTGAGTTTTGTGCGGTATCCATATTGCATGGGAGAGGGGAACGTTTCTCCAATGTTGGGAACCAATTCGGGAATCAGTCCAGAGAAGTTGGCATAAGCCTTCTCGACGATGCGCCGCTTATGCGCCAGCTGGTCCTCATACGACATCATCTGCAATTGACACCCCGAGCATTGACTGAAGTATTTGCATCCAATCAAAGAGTCATTTCTTTGAGGCCCCGGCTCAATCACACTCAGGAAATCGGTGACACTGTATGACAGCGCGGGGTGGTGGCGGATAACCTTCACCCGAACCTTGTCCCCAGGGACTGTGAAGGGCACCACAAACACATGGTCCGCCTTCTCCGACAGCGCAAGTCCATCACCGGTGGAGGAAAGCTCGGATACTGTCACGTCGATTTCGGTGAAGGTCTCTGGGAGAATGGGCTTCGCGGGGTTCTGGTCGCCATTCTGGTCTTCTTCCGGGCGGTTGCGTTTGAGCAGCTGATCGATATCGGCCTGAAGAACTTCATCAAAACCACTAGCCTTATCCTTGCGCTCGACCTTGGCCTTCTTGAACTTCTTGCCGCCAAAGTGCTTCTTCGGAGTGTTCTGCATTATTGCGACGGGGAGTGGCGCATTGGCTATGGGCGAGGTCGAAAGATTAAGGAACTGTCCTCTGACAATCGAACGAGACAGAACCGAGCAAGCGAAAGGAAACCGTCGAGTAGACGAGCGCAGGGCCAACATGAACGAAGATCCAAAAAGTACGAAATTCTGAAAATTAATTATAAAGGCGATCTGCGACACCACTGATTGGCCGGGGGCTCACCGCTCGCGAGCAAGAAATTCCTCCCGAGTTCAACACCGCCAAACTTCGTTGTTGTCCGTGTCGAGGCTCCGCTGTGTTTCCATTCCTTTCTTGTTTCAAAGCTCGTGGCTAGCGAATTGCTAGCTGTCGAGTACTATCACCCTTCATCATGACTCTTGCCCGGCCGGCAAGATGTCTGTTCTGCAGCTTCTCCCGTGCTGCCACTCCGATCACGCGAGTTCCCCGTCGCCAATTCCACCCGACACCGGCATCATTGTCGAAGCGGACTCCGAAGTTCCGTAACATCAAGGCCGCTCCGTACACCGAGGAAGAGCAGGCCAAACTGGCCAAGGTGTACTCGTCCGAGCAATTGGAGGCCATCAAAGCCGGCGAGGCCGCCATCGACCCAGAGGACTTCGCCGAGCAATTCCACGAGCGTGCCGACCCGTTGGCATTCAAGTACCTAGACGACTTCTCCGTGATCGAGCCCAGCGTCGACCGCAATGTTCGCGCCCCCAAGTCGAACTCGGACTACAACATGAAACTCAAGAGCGAGAGCGAGTTCATGGAGGACTTTGGCCGTTTCTTCGCCGAGGGTCCCGAGAACCCGACAGGTGCTGACTTTGTCCGGTTCGCGGAATCACTTCGCGTCACCAATGGAAAGGAAGAGGCCGAGCTGGATCCTCACAGCGTGCTGGTTCCTGACCTTTTCGGCCCCAACGAGACTATCGACGAGCCCCGTGTGGAAGAACGCAAGACCGCAGAAGAGCGTGGTGAGAAGGAGCGTTCGTTGGCGGCAGAGGAGATGACTGATGCTCTCAAGAGCCTTCTCCTCGCCACGGGCTACACAGAGCGCCAGGTCAGGGATCTGCGCACCAAGACCCTGGTGTCCCACAGCGTCGTGAACCAGACTCGTCTGGGTAAGGTCCGCCGTGCTTACCGCCTTTCCATCGCTGGCAATGGCAACGGTCTTTTGGGCATCGGTGAGGGCAAGTCTGACGAAGCCTCCGATGCGAAGATTCAGTCACAGTACCGTGCTATCCGCAACATGCAGCCCATCCCCCGCTACGAGAACCGCACGATCTTCGGTGATGTTGAGGGCAAGGTCGGAGCCGTGGAGTTGCAATTGATGCACCGTCCCCCAGGTATGCTATATGACTCTACAGTCGCACGATCACCACTAATCTTCTTCTAGGCTTCGGTCTCCGTGTCCAGTACCTTATCTACGAAATGTGTCGTGCCGCTGGTATCCACGATCTCGCTGCGCGGGTCGGACGCTCCCGGAACAAGATGAACACCGTGAAGGCCGCCTACGAGGCGCTCATGAGCCAGAAGGATCCTGAGGAAGTTGCCCGGGCTCGCGGTAGGAAGATGGTCGATGTGCGCAATGTGTACTATGCAGGCAAGGTCTAAGCTCACTTGAGTTGTCGAGTCGTGCATATTCCCTCGGCGTGTATATAATGTCTCTTTTCTCCTTTCTTTTGCATGTACTTGTATTTTTACCTGTTCATCATATATTCCAAGAGGATCAATCAACAATAGCATTGTTTTTTTTAAAAAAATTTTGAACATATGCAAACCTTCAGGGCTGGGAATAAACCGACGGAACAAGGAAATTTGTAGATGTGGTACAAACACTTGGTTTCTATATTCTTCTGAATTCTTTCAAGCCTCTCAGGCAGTTTCTCGATAGTCCCAAAGTCTTTTGAGACATGGGTATCTCGATGCATCCTTCTTTCGGGGTATCGTTAACATGCCTTGGGGTAGCCCCGACAGATATATCCACATCTGAACGTTAATTATCTCCAAGTTACGGCAGTATGTATGCGGATATAAGTTCCCCCCATGATCCCTCAAAACACTGCCTATTCCGAATGCCACGCCAATTAACTAAAACGCGCCTAGGGTATACGCAGATAAATAAAACACCCCAATCCCACAACCAAAGAAAAGATCACTGGAATGTCACATCTCCATCCCCCTCATAAACCCCACCATGCTGAAACTCCGTATCCTGAAACCCATAATTCTCAGTCTGCTGCTGCTGTTCCTGGTCTTCATTCCAAATCTGTTGCTGCAAAACAATACTGTAAACACTGGCTTTGAGCAGTGTACACACGGTCGCAGTCTTGCGCTCTAGGAGCCTCATTCCATCGAGAGTCATGGAAGCTGGGGAGCCTGCGAGATCGGCGACCTTTTCAGAGAGCTAAGCAAATTTGAAGATTAGTTGAGAGCTCGGGTACATCCATTGCGGGGAACTGCGCGTCAGGGAAACGTACCTGGTTCACGTTTCGGAGGAGTCGCGAGTATTCGTCAAGGACTTCTTGTTCGAGATCAGAAACGAGGGGATTGTCGTTTCCTAGAAGAGGGTTGTTGGAGCAGTTGTGGGCCTGGGGGTTCTCCGCGTCGGATATGTTTTGTTCTTGCGGAATGGGAGGGGTTGTGCATGCGGGGTCGTCTTCGGCGAAAGAGTAGTCTTGAGCATCTGGGTCTTCGGGGGCGGCAAAGGCGGACATGGTGGATGGTTGAGGTGGTGTTGTTCATTCAAAGAGGAGCACGTGAAGCGGAAGGTGTTTTGGTTGTTAGCCCGATTTCTAAGGTTGAGTTGGGCGGGACTGTTCCACGTAAATGCCCCGGAAGCATACAACTCATCTTGGCACTAAGTGATGATACGGATCGATTCTACAATGACTTGGAGGATGATTCTGCGACAAGGATTTTTTTCTTGTGACTTTCAATCGTCGCAGAGACACGCACTTAGCCCAGCAAAAAAACAGGCCGCTTTCGCATCAGGTACAAATCACATTGCAAGGCCAAGATAGAACCGACTTTCGTTAAAGGATAGAACCGCGCCATGAGACTATAAGATTCAAAGGCAAAAATGAAGAAAGCCAACACGAAACCGAAAATATCACAAGTATTCAAAAACACATATCCATAACGCCGCCCGCTGCACACTAGAAAGAGTGAGCCGATGAATACCGCAGCATTCAGCAAAAGCTGAGATCCACACAGGGAGATCCAGAAGAGGATGGAATCATGAGAGAAGGGGTGATAAATATGGAGAGAAGCACGCGATTTCAAACCTTCGGCGATCTTGAGAATGCAAGATGCAAAGCGGGAGATGGCCAGAAAAACAAGAATCCATAAAGCAGTAAGCTCATGTGAATCAACGCGGAAAGCCTTGAGTCACCCCTTCCAATCGGACAGATTGCGGGGGAATGCAAGAAAACAATAAATTTGAATGCAGTCGTCAATGCATCATGGTCGTTAACGAGCCGATGCCCAGGCGGCCGTTCCCCATGTGGCAGGAGAAAATGAAGAACAGCAACATACATTATGGACTATGCTCGCAAGCACTATTAGTGGTCTCCCTCGTGGTGAAGAGTGACACTGTTGAACTCCTCGAAAGGATCGTTCAACTCGCCGTTGGGGGTTGCCAGGCCAGAGTCCATGGGGACTCCCTTCATTTTAGCGGGATTGGTACCACCGATATCGACACTGCCACTTTCCTTGACGTTGCGGAAGTTCACTGTGTCTGTACCGACGCGACCCTGATTTGGAATCATGGGTGGTGTCATGTGACGGATGAGTGCCCATTGTGTCGTGCGGAAGAAGGGGTGGGTCTTGACATCCGAGGCACCGGCACGGGCACCGAGACGCTTCGTCTCGTCCTTGATCAAGAGTTTCCGGATCAAGGACTTGCACAAATTTGATGTCGGTTGCACACCCGTGTGCTCAGGGAACTGCGCATCATCGCGCAGGATACTGGCAAACGTTGCATTACGATTCTTGCCCTTGAATGGAGTGGTTCCATACAACATCTCGTAGATCAAGATACCCAGAGTCCACCAGTCGACTGCACTGGTATGTCCGCAGCCCTTGATGACCTCGGGAGCGATATACTCCTCGGTTCCAACGAAAGAATTTGTGCGGAAGTCAGCAATGCAGGATTTGGTGTCAATGGTAGGAAGAGCAGCACTGGCATTGCCACCAACCCGCCCAGGGATCATAGTAGGAGCACCACCGGGCCCGGACTGCTTTGACAAATCGAAGTCTGACAGCATGATATGACCAGATTGATGCAAAAGAATATCTGGGGAGGTTTTAGTCAATGTTCTCAGGCCAATGTTCAGGAATCAGGATTGAGATGACTAAACATACTTTCAGGCTTAAGATCACGGTAAATGAAACCCATCAGATGGAGGTACTCGAGTGCGGCAGTCACCTCAGCAGCATAAAACCTGGCAGCGTCCTCCGAAATGCATTTGCCAGGTCGAGTTTGAAGAGTTCGGAAGAACTCTCCTCCGCTGCAGTACTCCATACAGAGGTACAAATAATCCTCAGACTGGAACGAATGGTACAGGGTGACAATGAACGGATGGTTCGATGTTGCCAGGATTTCCTGCTCAGCCAGAGCACGCTTGATCTTGTTGCGCTTGATCATTTCTTTCTTGCTCAAAACTAGAAAAAGGTTAATATTGGCAAACTAGTCGCGAGACTCTCAATATGTAGCATACCTTTCATGGCATAAAGACGGCTGGATTTCTTTTCGCGGACCAAGTATACCTTTCCGACATCACCTTTGCCAATCAACTTAATTTTATCGAAACTAGCCGGTCCCACCTCCACGTTGCGAATCTTGATCGAATTCGAGCTGTAAGTGCGGCGGAAACTACTCTCCTCGTTGGCCAGCTTGTGGGCCAGACCGATAGAGGGCACGGACAGGGAGAGTTCTTTTTCGTTGGCCGAGATTGAACCAGGAAATTCCGCAAGAGCCTCTTTGCTGATCTCAATAGGCTGAGGACGATTTTCTCCGCTTGCAAAGAGACCTTGGGCATTGGGAGCAGACGCCACGCGACGCAACTTGCGAGCCAGCTCTTCTTTGTTGGCGGTGGTAGCCTGCTCTACTGCCGACACTCCGGTAACCTGTAGCTCTGGCGTATCAGGCGGGGACGAGGCACAGACCCATCGTTCCGATGTCGCAATGCAGGTTGACCCTGGTGGGCAAAGTATGGATTGGCGGTCGCTGTAGGAGAAACTCCGTCGTCGAGAGGGTTGCCCTCACTGGCCACGGTTGTTGATCGGTTTCGACCGATGGTAGGCAGGAATCGAGATTGCCGGAACGTCTTTTCGTTTTTGGCGGGCGAAGCGTTATCTCTCTCGCGTTCATTGCTAGACGGGCTGCCGCTCGGCGCTGAAGAGTTGCTGCTGGAACTGTTGATCCGGAAAAAGTTCTTAATCTTTGTCGGAAGATGACCGGACTCGTTGGAGTGTTTGCGAGAGGGCAGCGTAAGGCCAGGGAAATTCCCGCGCTTTTCGTTAGACATGGCCGAGGGACTGGATGCGAAAAGCTGTGTCATGACGGACGACTTGCGAAGACTGGAACTAACTATCTCCTGGGGCGGTGGAGATCGGCCTCAAAAGGCAAGATGCACGAAGTGAAGGAACGGGCGATGTGAGGGGGGATGTTCAGAGCCGGGCAAGATGGAGATACGCCGGGGCCAACCTGGCCAACTATAATTGCAACGAGGGCTATCCACCCGAATAAACGGAAATTCAGTATCGCGCAACGAGGCTCATAAAAGCCGCATCTTAGAGCGAACAAAAATGAATGAGCAAGGACAGATTGGAGGGAGGCAAAGAGAAGGAGTCGAAAGTGGAGACGAACGCAGCCCCCGGGAGGGAAATCTGACTAATTCATCGCATTCCCACCGGCCTTGGCTCCTCAATACGCCTTCTTCAGCCTATTGTATTTTTGTCTACTATGATTGATCAACTCTTCCAACGATAGAGTGAAAGTGAATTGGCTATGGAGTATTTGAAAATCAGTCATACGAGTGAAGTGCTCTCTTTGTTTATTTGGACTGGAAAACAAAATCTTCGAAGCGTTTGAGTAGCGACAGGTTGCAATCTGCCACACGTGATTTCGACTGCATCTCGGAAATACGGACTTCATTTATCCGTATTTTACTGAGTTCAAGATAAAGACCTGCTCCTGTTCCTGAATGATTTGAGAATGTGATCAAGGCCTTTCGAGTCTACTTTCTGCTCTTGTCCAATGTATTCTTCAAGATCACCCAGGAAGACAACGTATGATCCTTGATTCAGCGGTATCTCCTAATCATTACAAATAGGGCTACGCGGTGAATCCCCAGATGACGTGATTGAACTTGAGAATCCAAAAGAACTCATTCACTCAATCCGCCTCAAGAGTTGAGAGCCCATAGATCATCTAGCAGAGCTAGGTGAAGTCGTTGAGGCAGTAACTTCGGAGTTGATATAAGGCAATTCCCTATCACTTGTGATGACGTCAAACTCAGTAACGCCGATGCGGCTCCTGAAGAACATCCATTTGTTGGTGTCTGTGGGTAAGATTTCGTGTGAATTCTACCAGGGTAGAATAAAAGAAGGGAAGAAGACTGATATCAAGAGAGCTTTTGACGCTGTTTTTTCTGCCTGGAAAGCCCTGGCGCTTGCCTGTATGTCAACGAATAAAGATACTTAAGGCACCGAAACGCACCAGAAGAGGCCGAGTCTTCATCAAATACTATATCTATTAAACGCTCTCCCGAGCCTTGACAGGCTGGAGTCCACTGTAAATTCTCCACTCTTCTTCCATTTCATCCCATGCAACCGACATAGGAACGCGATCTTTCGTCATAGTCGCAGAATCAGGTTGGCCAAATTCCTTCTTTTGCTGGCCCATCTCCCAACTACCCAATCGCTCATGTCCGGGGCCAAAATCAGCACCTGCGACACCGTCTGACTCTTCAACACCTGCAGCCTTGGAGCCGCCCCAGATAGGGTTGCGGAACGTGACGTCCGTGTCACTAGCGAGTTTTCCGTTGCCCTTGAAGCCGCCAATGCTAGGTTTGTGAGCTATCTTGCATTTACGACAACCGCAGATCAAGAACCCGACAATGGTCAGCAGACCAACGGCGACTAGTGTGACCACGGCACCGATAACACCGGCCACCGCAGGCTGCATCTGCTTCTTCGGCGCAGGCTTGTCGTTATTGAGCACACCATTACAGAAGATTGACTGTGCATCACACTTAGTACACCACTCCTCGGTCGAAGATACTGCAAAGGTCTCGAGCTCTGATTTGAACTCGGTCCACGGGACGTACTCGATGCTCGGTCCGTAGCCGAAGAAGGAGAACGATTGGAACTCAGTCGAGGCATCTGTTCCATTGTGCAGATAGAAACGCACGTACAGGTTGTCGGTTCCCGGCCATGTCGGATACACCTCATCAGATGCGAAGCTGTAGAGCTCAAAAATCAGAGAAGCACCTTGGGTGGGGCGTGAATAAAAGTTGGATTGCTGCTGAGATGCCATGCCCATCAAAGAAGCCAGGGCAACAGCAGGTGCATCATTTCCAAAGAGGAGTGTCATCTGCTGGTGAGCACCGAAGTGCTCAATATTCTTATCAAACGCGCTCAACAAACTGGACGCTAACGTTTGACCAGCGATTGCGTTTACTTGGCCAATCGTGGAAAGGCTGCTAGTGGCGGTAGAGTCCTGACCATTCGTTGCGTAGGTGTACTGATCTGCGAGCCAGCGAGCTCGGCTCAGATCGCTATCACTGACAGTGTCCATGAACGAGCTGTTGTGGATAGCTTCGTAGTCCATATACTCAGAGACCTCGGGGGAGTTTCGGTATGTAGCAGTCGTTGCATCAAATGCCGGACCAAGAGCGTCATCCAGAAGACCAACATAGAAATCCACAGACTCCTTTGTGATTCTCATAGCATCACTGCTATCTTTATACTCGGCTTCGGCCGTCTGGTGCATGTCGCACTGAGCAGATCCATCCACCATGATGGAACTAGGATCCGCCTCGCCAAGTGTAATGATATGAGCATACTGATATCCATCCAATGGTGCCATGTCAATTGTTGCATTATCAGTCGATTCAGAGCTGGTAATATCCGATTCGCCGAGAGGAGGGTACAAACCCTGCATAAAGGCCTGGGCGGAGGCCGAAACGTATTGATCGGCCATCGAAAGTACACTAACATCTTCCGCATTGAGGGAATCCGGCGGCAAGTACACGATGGCAGTTTCACTGCTATTACCATCGGTAGTCGGCACATAGCGATCCCGGAAGGATGATCCAGCAGCTTGGAGCTGGTTGGCACCAAATTCCGTCAAAAGTTTGGATCCAGGCGAAACTGTGAGAACAGTGGGAATACTTTCGCCGTGTACGGTATATGCGAAGACTCCCCATACTTTCGCGCCATAGTCTTGCGCTGTAACAAGCATAGACGCCTGAAGGCATAGAGCAGAAGCGAGCAATTGTCGATGGGCAAACATGATGGCGACGATTGGTGTCGACCTATAAAGCGCGAATGAAGGTTATCCTATCACTTCAACGGCCAATAGTAGAAGTAGGAAAGCACATTCAGGCGGGGGTTCGCTCGCGGACCTGGGAAAGCCACGGGTAATAAAGCTAGCAAACTGTAGTCCACCTCAATCCCAGGGTAGGATGTATGGGCCAGACCCCTGGAGCATAGCCTATAGATTCAGGGAAACCAGGGAAAGAACCAAGGATATCATCTGCATTCGGAAGTGAGTCTTACCTTTCGACAAGATGATTTTCGACGGATGGACCATAGGTTTGAAAGGGTTTCGGAATCCTCGGCACACGAGCGCCTTGCATCTTGAGAAATCATGGACCCATATATCGAGACTATGTTGTACCCAGTCAAGTCATGCCTTTTATATGGAGAGTTTAAGTGAGATAAAAACGTCCGCAATGGTATAATTGGCTATATTGTCCATCAAAGAGCTGTTCTTCTGCTAAATGTTGACATCCTCTTTCTGGCATTCTGGCAGAAGAAGTAATGAATCATTTTCAAGTGCTCTGGTATTGCTATGATGTGTGGTTGGAGGGTTACACGCAAAGTATGGAGGGACCGAGGAGCCTCGGGTCGATGACGCGCACAAGTAACACCGCATTTTAGGAGCTTGATCTCCAGGAGCGGGAAGAAGTGGGGATGTCGGAGGACCCTCTCAAGGAAACAACTAAAGACTAGCTCTTTTAAGTGGCCAGGGCTTGTTTTCGTGATCGAAAATTCCTTTGTGGGGAGCTAGGGCTGAGCTCGCAGATCCGGGGGGACGTTCATGTTGCCTTTCTGCCTCAGGTGTCAACATCAGGATCAGCGTCAGCGCCACAGTAAGACGGTTGCTCAATGACCGTCAAAGAGGTAGATGGGAATACGAGGGTATTCAGACAGATGAGAATTGAGCAGAAACATCAATTACCCCCATAAAATGCTAACAATTCCCGTCTCTCGCACATATTTCCCACCTTGTGGGCGGTGGAGGGAGTCTTCACGCAATCACCAATCACGAGGCCCCAGTGGCAGAAAAACCTTGCACCGCCCGAGCGGCAAATCTCAACCCTCGTCGAAGCCCTACAAATGCGCCCTACCCCTAAGCCCTCATTTCTGCTCTTGGAAGTTGACTGCCCAACCCTACCTTTTGTTGCGCCCCAATGGTCGAAACACGAGGCAATCAACCGTCTTTTGACGGTTCGAATGAGCTTCCTTCATTCGATACCGTTGATGACTTTGGTGAGTTTCAATGTTTCCCCGTCCATGCCGTCGCAAGCTACGACCACCCGCAATTGCCATAAACCTTATCTTGAACATCGCAATCCGGTATCCTTGTGACTGACGCCTTATCTGATCGACTACTAGATCAAAAACCCTCTCATCCTTTAGATGATGCGGAACATGGATCGCCACCCGCGGCGAAGAAGCGCCGCACGGATTCTGGGCCGGATGAAGACCTTTCGATCCAGCATTTCATGTCGGAGGAGCACGGCGCAGGTCATAAGATTGAACAAGAGTTAGCCAACGCCCTTGGTGAAAGTGTCGTCGACACTGTCGAGTCGAACGATCAGTCTCAAGGTGGTCATAACCAGCCTGAGAGATCACCGCATGATGGAGGCTCCAACGTCAACGCCGATGTCACTTCCATCATCTCCGACATCATGGACCACACAGACCGTCAGGAAAATACCGTATTGATGGGCCCGCAGGAGATTCCTGCAACCAATGAATTCCCCGGAGCACGAGGCTATGCGTTCCTGAAGGCCAACTCACATTTGAAGATCCAGAGCTTGCCCATCTTGGATAACCTGGTAAGTTCCAAATACGCCGTGCGAAGAGACGAGTTCTGATCTTTATTAGTCTACCCAAATACTGTCATTCTTGTCCAAGAACAGCTATCAAGATCTCACTGCTATGGTGTCCGAGCCGGACTCCGAGAACGGTCAGGCCTATGCAACCATGCGATCTTTGTTCGACCACACCAAGCGTGTCTACAGCGTAAAAAACTCTTTCCTTCAACCCACCGATATTGAAATCACGGAGAGCTCCCAGCTTGATGTCATTCGCAAGGCCAACTTGGCCTCATTTGTGTCGAGCATCTTTGGCTCGCAAGAGATTGGTTTTGCGGAGCTCAACGATCACTTTCTGGATGTTTTTGTGCCCGAGGGCAATCGCTTGCTTAAGGCGCAAAGTGGTCTGTACCTGGATCTCAAGACACAAGCGTTCATCGCAGCGATGAACAACAAGTCCCGCACCCGGACACAGCTCCTGTATGAACTGTTCCCCGAAGATATGGAGCAGCGATTGTTGGCGAGACGCCCAGGTTCCCGACAGTTGGCCCCAAGTGAGACCGATTTTGTCAGCCGACTCAATTCTCGCCGTGACATTTTGTTACGCAAGATTAATGATGAGGAGGCCTTAAAGGCATTGCCTGACAATTACCACTGGGAAGACTTCCTTTGGGAGCTCAGCTCTTACATTTCAAAGAATTTCGATGCTATCAACACTCAACAGGTTTGTCTCTTACTATGTTACTTCGACAGAACGGTTTCTAATGAGCACTAGGGGAAGAAGCCGGTCAAAGGAAGACAGCCTTCAAGCTCCAACGGTGATGTTCAAGAGTCCCCTACTACTACCCACCAGGGTCAGTTCGCGGTCACTCAACCGGTCGAGGTTCCTGTTGATCGCAACATGCACGGAGATCTTGTGGCCCGCGCTGCTCGTGCTGCACAGATTGCCCTCCAGGGCCATGGTCTTCGTCGTTCTCAGCAGCAATCCCAACAGCAACACCAGCACCAGCAGCAACCACCGTCTCAAGCGAGTCAATCCCCTTCTCAGCCTCCACCTCCGCAGCCGCAGCAACCGCAGCAGCAACAGCATCAACCGCAACAACAACAACATCAACACCAACAACAACAACACCAGCACACCTCCCAGCCAGAGAACCAATATCTTCAGGGCTATACCCCTGCTCAACAGCCAGAACAGCCGGCTCCTCAGCAATATCACCACAGCCCCACGCCACCCAGTGGATATCAACAGCAACACGGCTTGAGTTTCCAGCAGAGCCCGCTGCAGGTCAATTTCCAGCAGTTCCAGCCCAATGCTGCTCAGGCTATGCAGGCGCGAGCCAATGGCATGTCCGCTAGTCATGTCTACATGCCAGGGATCCCTCACTACTCTCAGTCGCAGCCTACCCAGGTGCTCTACGAGCGAGCTCGCCAGGCTGCCTCGGCAAAATCTTCCCCGACGAGCCGCAAGTCTGGCCTACCCAGCCAGCGCCGCCCTTGGACAACTGAAGAAGAGAATGCGCTGATGGCTGGACTGGACCGTGTCAAGGGTCCTCATTGGAGTCAGATTCTAGCCATGTTTGGGCCCGGCGGGACCATCAGTGAAGCCTTGAAGGACCGCAATCAGGTTCAGCTCAAGGACAAGGCGCGGAACTTGAAGCTTTTCTTCTTGAAGAGTGGAATCGAGGTTCCCTACTACCTCAAGTTCGTTACGGGAGAGCTGAAGACCCGCGCCCCCGCCCAGGCTGCCAAGCGTGAGGCCCGGGAGCGTCAGAAGAAGCAAGGTGAAGAAGACAAGGCTCACGTGGAAGGTATCAAGGGGATGATGGCGCTGGCGGGAGCCCATCAGTCGCCCGTCGGTGGCCATGAGATGTCGGCCTCACCAAGCCACAGCCTACCCCCGGACGCCAATAGCCAGGCCGTCTTTGACCAGACTGCAGAGCAAAATCTGATGCAAACCCTTAGCCAGGAAGTCCACGGCAGCCAGTACAACCCTCAGCAGCATGCTTCGCAGACGCCGGATCATCATATCGATCCACACATGCAGCTGGGCCAGTAGATAATTGAGATGATTGTCTCGCATTTTGAATTCGGAGTCAAGGAAGGAATGTACAATGAAGTCTCTAACAGAGATTTGCTTTACGATGCTCATGGGGCTTTCCCATTTACTGTATGAGTACATAGCGATAGCACGTGTGAAATAACGATACGATTTTCAGATCATCAGGGTCCCCGTAGATGCCGATAGTGTGTGAGTTTGATACTTGGATAGCCAGATAGATTGATAGTTTGATAGATTGATAGTGTAAATCAGTAGATGAAGATGGAGATGTAGTTCAACTCCGCCGCAAATGTGGGCCGTGCACGGCTCCTCCGCCCGCGTGTGACTGGCGCGACAAAGTCGACGTTCCAACAACTTCAACTGCATTGATTGGACCCTTCATCCCCGGTCCCTGCAGCCCAATCTCAAAGCGTCTACGTAACGAGGGTTTGAAGATGGCCGACCCTTCCCAACCCAACGGGTCTGAGCAGCCCTCCACACCAGCTGAGACTGCCGACTCTGCTATCAAACCCGAACCTGACCTCGACCCTTCCATCGAGCAGGATATCGACATGAACGCCGACGGAACAGCGCAGAGCGCCAATGCCGAGGATGCCGTGGATCCCATCGCCCCCGCGCCGACACCCTCCAAGAAGGAGACCAGTCTCCGCGAGTTCTTGAGTAAAATGGATGATTATGCGCCGATCGTACGTTCTTCACTCTACTCTTTCCTTCGATCTATCGTCCCGTTCTTTTAATTTCATCCGAGTCCTACATGTACCCGGAGCGAGACGATCGATGAAAGCAAACGAGAGCACACCTCAGAAGCACAAGCTGACATCTCTCCCAGATCCCCGACGCAGTCACGGCTCACTACCTCACCCTCGCGGGCCTACCACCACCGGGAACAGGCCCCAACCAGACTCCACCCCACCTCGCCCGCCTCCTCGCGCTCGCAACGCAAAAGTTCGTCTCCGACATCGCCGCAGACTCCTATCAATTCGCCCGCATCCGCGCCTCGAACAGCTCCTCCGCTAACAACCCGATGGGCAGCTTAACCGTCGCCTCTGGCCTCGGCGGCCCAGGAGGCCCCGCGGCTCCAGTGGCCGGCGACGGAGGAAAAGGCAACAAAGCCAACACACACCTCGGAATCCAGCGCGCCGGATTTGGTGGTGGTGGTTCAGGCGGTACAGGCCAAGGTCGAACCGTCTTGACGATGGAGGATCTGGGCATGGCTGTGTCGGAATATGGCGTGACTGTCAAGCGGGGCGAGTTCTACCGGTAACTTGTACCTTTGGAGTTTGGAGGTGATTGATACACTCGAATGCGCGCGTGTGCTATCCTCTCCCTTTTATGTTTCGTGGCTATGATGGGTTTCGGCGCTGGGCGTACACAACATTTGAGAAAAGGGGTCGCGGATGAAAATATCCTGCCCACGGCCCTGGGCATTTTGGTTGGGAATCCACGGATCTAGAAAATGGAGTTTTTGTCACTTTCGTCATTACACTGCTATGGGGTAAATAGTTGAGACTGGGATGCTTATTTAAATGAGCTGTAAAACCAGTCATGAATGATATTGAGTAATTTCCATGCTAAACTCCATCCCACAAGTAATGTCACAAGGGAAGTGTTGGATATATCTGTACACGGCCAATGGCCAAAAAGATTGCTTCGTTGAAGCGAGGGTTTGAAGGCGAGAGAACAAGCCGAGGCAGAATGAGGACCACGGAACCGAAAAAGTTGAGCAAGTCATTTACTTGTTCTTGGACTGCTTGTATGTGAAGCGCTTGCGGGTTCTGAGGCAGCAAATTAGCATCATCTTGAGCACGACCACCGTTACACCTGGAAGGCTTGTGAAGACATACGCAACGTATTCGCCGAGTTTGCGACCAACCATCTCCTCGGTAATCTGGACCTCCACGTAAGTCTTGCCGTTGTGGACAGCGAAGCGCAGGCCGACGAAGTTAGGCAGGATGGTAGCTGCGCGCTTCTGTGTGCGGATCGGGGGGGGTGTTTGGCGGCGGGGGAAGGGTGCGCGGGAGAGGAAGACTGTTCGGCAGGAAGATGTTAGAACTTCAATCAAGTCTCTGGCTCCGTGTCTCTATTCGAATCTGCAAGGACAGGAGGGCGTATGGAATGGCGCATGGCGGGTTTTCACGTACGGGACGATGTTCGGGCCTGGATGAACGTGTTAGCAGCGATATTCTTCTTAATTGATGGCATGTGGGCTTGTGGGGATGGCCGCCAGATCTTACCTTTCCAGACCGATCGGCCCAGTAGGGCTCGTGTGGGAAACATTGTGGCGTGCAATTGATCAAGCCTTGAATCTGGAGAAGTTGAAAAGAGGGCCTCCGGCTTGAATTCTTAGTCATCGATGAACTTCCCAATTGGGAACGCGACGGTAGATCGGATCGGAGTCGTTCAACTTGTCTAGAATGAGTTAAGATTAAGTTAAAGCATTTCAAAGTGCATAGGGGCTCTTACATACCCTCGTGATGTTCTTATCCCTGTTCTCCCTTTTTTGTGTACTCGTTGGGTCTTGTTAGCCGCTATTTCCGGACAAGTGCTTGGCTCCATAACCTCAGGCTAGCTATACAACAGCTAGAATCTGAATATCTATTCAACATACCGTTCTTTGGCAAGAGAGAATTGCCTCAAAGTTCTCGCCCTAGATTTATAAGCATGAGATGAACTCTCGGCCCGGACACCATGCATTTGAACAAAGTCGTCACACTGTGCGAGGAATGGAAAATTAATCAATGAATGAACACTGTTTGAGGGGCTGCATCTATCCATGGATCGAATGACCTGCTGACCAGCATACCTATAAGCTATAGGCCTTATTGCCGAATAAATCTTGGCCGGGAGTGGCCGATGCAATGTAAGATTACAGAATACTGGCCTGAGCTTGCACTGACTCGTTTACCTGCCAATAAGATGAAGATGATAGTGGCTAATGATGGCTAATACATTATGAGTCAATATGCGTATGAAAAAAAAAAAAGGCCAATCGCCAATGTTGAGCCCCGTTGCCGGCAACGGAATCATGGTGTAAAAGGTGCTCATTCGGCCAGCTCGTTGAAAATTTTGACCAAGTTGCGAATTCCCATCAGGACATTCTCGTCGGGTCCTTCCCCTGGTGTCCATTTCGCATGGGCGAAGTCGATGATGCGTAGGTCGTGTACTTTCGGGGTTTCCTCTTCATCTTCGTCATCGTCTACCTCCAATGGAACTTGCGCCATTTGAGGGTCGAAGCTGATGTTTATAGCTTTTTGGGGTAGTCCGTCTGGAAGTCTTACATCGAGAAGCTCGAGGGGCTCTTCCGTGAACTTGAAATCCACTTCCCCGTCTTCTTCATCCCCGTCTTCTGAATCCTTTTGCTCGGGGATCTTCTTTTCCTCTTCCAGGGCAATATTCATTGCCTCTGGATCGCCTTCGTAAATCACCAAGACACTGGCGGAGTACATACGACTCTCCTCTGACTCAAGTACACGTTGTACGTTTTGTAGCTCTTCGGTTAGTCGGCGTGCGACCATTTTCGAGCGATCCACAGAGCCCGCTTTGGCTCCAGCGAGGAAAGTCTCGAATCCTTCCTTAACGTTGTCTGCACTGAATGATCGGCCATACCACTTGTCGTAGCGTCGATATCCATCTTTCTCGATGACTTCTCCTCTGGCACCCTCCGCCCCTTCGTACTTGGTCGCGTACGGATCCGTCCTGGCGCCCTCATCGGTCTCGCCATTTGAACCAGACCACACTTTCATTCCAGCAATCCGGTAGCCTAGGCTGCCGCTGGTCGTTTCTTTGGACACAGTATCCAACTTGTTGCGCTTGGCAGGGGGCGCATCATCAGCCCAGAGCCGGGCTCCGAGCTTTACGTCTAGCACATTTGGACGACGAAATCCCGCGGCAACATTCTCCAATACGATAGAAAGTTCTGTCTCTAGCTTCTTGCCTTCAGATGGCACCCATGGCTGATCTCTCCCGGAAGAAGCTCCTATGCTCGGGGCGAGTGTTTGTTGTGACGAAACCGAGGATGTGTTTGAAGCCGTCGGGGCATCGCCAGTGGGTGGTAGAAAGACAGCGCCAGGACCTTGGGCAGCAGCAATCGCCAGCGGTTGTTGCTGATCAGCAGACGAGAGCGAGCCAATGAAGAGAGGGATAAACTCCTGAAACTCGGGATGGAGAGCGCTAGCTTCGTAGAAATCGATCTCCTGCTGGACGCAAGGTTTGGCGATCAGGGCTCCGGAAAGGGTACAGCGGACACCATCGCTGTAGCAAGACGCACTGTTAGCTAAATGCGGAGAACACGCAAAGTTGCGCATAAGGCTCTGAGCCCCACGCAGGACACCGTCGGCGTCGGCTGCAGGTGATCGAGTGGGGGCTTGGAGCTGGGGAAGGACAGACTTACTGGCCTGCGGCGACGTGGTCAAATGGCACCAAGTCATCGCTGCCCAGTTGCGGCGTTTTTAAACTCTCTGATCTTGAGGGCGGCATGTTGAATGTGCGAGAGTCTCGTGCGACAAGGAACGTTCACAGCATGCCGAATGACTCAACAAGCAAGTTTTGAACATAGAAGATCTCGGTAGCTGCTTGTCGTGTGAAATGATTTGAGAACGCAAAGAAAACCAAACTGGAAAACAAAAAGGAGAGAGCTGTCAGGGAAACGACATCATGATCGGCGTGCGGGACTTGAAACGCATGGGCCCAGTCAGCTTTATCCGCGATTGTATAACTGCCGCGGAGTCTTGGTAGCGATGATTATTAACCGTGTCAAATTTCTACCATCGAGGGTCAATGCAGCCATTGCTTTCGTCAATGTACAAGATCCACATAATACAATAGGCCAACAAGACAATCAATGAATGTGATGCGATCTGCAGCCCGACCAAAAACATGTTGAGTGGGCGGCCCAATTTTTATTATTCTAGACACACGAAAAGAACACCGTTAAAAGTATAAGGGAAGGAGCCCGGCAATGTCTCGAAGATCACGTAACGAAATAATGAGAAAGAAATGACTAGCTATTAGGATGAATTATCCCCAGTTCCAGCTCAGTAATCGTGGGGTTTAAACTAAGGCTCTCCCCATACAAGAGCTACTTTCACACCCACGATGGACATTGAGGAGAGGTAGAAAATCGCCTCATTGGCGCTAGAGGGTATTTTGGTGACAGATTTGTTAACAAAAAAAGCTTCGTTATTAAGAGAAGGGTGTTGTGAATTCACCGTATATTGATTTTCATGAATTACAGCATCTTAAGACCAATCTTCAACAACGGTGCGAAATATTACCTTGCGAAAAAAAACTCTGCCTTCCTGGCTATCAGCTCTAGCATCAAGCATCCGTCACTTCTCTGTTTTACCCTCGTCACTCTTCCACGCCCCATCGCTCTTCGTCGCGCTTCTCCTTTCCTCATTGCCACCGCCCCGTCTTGAAGCCTTCAACTTCAACAACGGCAACCATCTCAGGAGGTCTTCCCATACGCTACGACAGGTCCTTATCTGTGACTAAAGAGATGGCTCAACCTCCGCTGGTGGAAGTACAAGATGCAACAAATGAGCAAATCCAAGATGCCATAAACCTGGCCAGAATGAACCCAGAGCTGAACTTCCCCGATGCCCTGGCTGCTACCGTGGCCAAGAAGAGAGCCAGAAGAAGAAGACCAAAGAGCAAGCGGGGAAATGTATTTATGGCTTTCAAATTATCATCTCCCGAAGCTGACATATATTTCTGTTGCAGGACAAGCCTACTGGATTTGAAGAATACTTCGCCGACGGTCCCCTCACCCCGAGTGAGCACGCTGAGATGCTCGAGGTCTTTAATCCGTATGTGAAACAGAGCACCGAAGATATAATACAAGCTAATAAACTTTTCAGAGATCTACCATTTACCGAGTAAGAACAAAATGGATTCAGAGATTCCGTCAAACTAACATGTGTGCAGCCGAATAGAAGAGGCTCTAAGACGGTTCCAATTCAGACGTCGTATCGAGCCAGCCAGACTGAACATGTTCTCGAAATACCTTAAGTATGGCGGAGTCGATATCGAAAGCATTATCGCAAGTGAGGCAAATTATCAGGAAATGGAGAGCATGACCGCAGACCAAATCATGCAGGCTCGTGCTATGGCTGAGATTCGGAAAGTGCGCGCGACGCTGGATGTGGATTTCGATTTAGTTCTTCGAGGCTTCATGCAAGCAGTTCCGTTCCTCGATACGCGACCCAAACTAATGCGGTATAGGAGCTCGTACTTCATCAGTTGCTTTAAGCTGGAGACGGAAAAGGTGATCAAGATGGCAACTGAAACCATCAAAAACTTCTACACCTACCTGCTCCAGCGCGACGTATGTCTCGAATACACTGACAATCTACTTCAAGCCCGCAAGACATGCGACCTGGCAGCAAAGGAGCTTTGGATGAATGTTCAGCTGGTGCGTGAAGCTCCCGGGCAATTCAATGAGGCCTGCTCCATGCTGTTCGGTGGAGCTTTTTCCCAATCCAATACACCTTCACTGGGAAGTGAGCTAGAAAAATGTCACAAGGCAAAGATGGAACGTGCCCGCGATGTCGTCAGATGTGCCATTGCAGGGGTTGGCAATTTTGAACAAGCAAGCAGTTTCAAAGAGCTCGGGAACAAACATAGGCTTGCAGCCGAGAAAGTCCTCGACATTGATGGCTTTGAGATACTGGCAGTCATACAGCCGGATTCTAGAGTCCTGGAGTTCTATGAGAAATACGCATCTCAGCACGATGCCTTGGGCCGAGTCAAAGCCGTCTCCTTCCGTGACCCAGCCAAGCCTGATCTCGACATGAGCCCGGAGGAGCGTTGGGATTGGAACCATGGTAAGGTTCCTACGTACGAGTTCGAGTTCTTTGTTGACAAGGCTCTACTCCCACTGATGTATGCGGGGTTGAAAGTAAACACGGGGGGTTTGGAAGCTCAACTGCGGAGTCTATTACTTCGACGAAATTTTGTCGACCTATCCTAATTTTTACACGGTTATTGCCAATGGTATGATGATGAAGTGGAAGTGGCCAAGGGATTTGGGTGGTGATGACGAGAAGACGAGCAAAGAGCCTGGAAATGCGGTTCACTGGACTTTTGATGCTGAGACTTCCAAGGAGACTGGTCAGAAGAATGGCAAATTGGGTGGAGATGGAGCTTAGATCACAGGTTATCTTTTTCAGACTCGCACTTATTGCTTAAGGCTCCGAGGAGAGCGAGCAAGAGGGATGAACCTTGGGAAATCAATGGTATCTACTGCATAGCATTTTCCCCCTTTGGAGTTCAAACAGTCTGTATCAATTTCGTACTTTGCCAGAGGTAAATGCTAGGCTTCGTTGATAACATAAATTTCTTAAGTACAGTCGTAGCATGTAACTAGTTCTTCAACCCAGGACACTACCTTTTCGATACTCAATATCTAATCAAGGCTTCAGGAGGGGCTTTCCGGTAGTCTTACGGCCCTCAAGGTCCTGTGGACTGTGTGAGCAATAAAATAATCTGACCAGGAATTTCGATTCCACTGACCTTGTGAACCTGAGCGACATCCTCAAGCGGATATACTTTGTGAATTTTCACCTTGAGCGCACCAGATTGAAGCATGCTGAAAAGCTTGTTGGTGTAGAACTCGAATTCCTCACGAGTTTCAATGTAGCCGAAGAGGGTAGGGCGAGCAATCTTGACACACTTGGGCGAGAGTTTGCTATTCCAAACGAGTCAGCTTCGTCATAAAACTCGACAGAACTTTGAAGTGCGTACGGGAGAGCAATAGGAGGCACAGGGCCACTGGCATTGCCGAACCAGACAATAGTACCCTTGCGCTTCACAGCCTCTAAGCTGCCTTCCCACGTATCCTTGCCGACCGAGTCGTAAACCACATCGACACCACGGCCGCCAGTAGCTTCCTTTACCAACTTAACCCAGTCCTTACCCTCCTCACTGCGGTAGTCAATGACCACATCAGCTCCGAGGCTCTTCACAAGCGCACACTTCTCCGGGCCACCAGCAGTACCGATGACCTTAGCGCCGATGTTCTTTAGGATCTGAGTCATGAGGAATCCGGCACCGCCTGCAGCAGCATGTACAAGTACCCAGTCGCCCTTCTGCACAGCATAAGTTTCCGTCGCAAAGGCAAGAGTAGTCAACCCGCTCAGGAACGAAGCCATGATGTCCTCATCGCTCACGCCCTCAGGGATCTTGACAGTCTTGGCAGCTGGTGCAGCAGTATATTCCGCATATCCACTGGTGGCCAACCACGCAACACGGTCACCAATCTCGAAACCCGAGGTATTGGGGCCCAGTGCGACGACTGTGCCAGCGCCCTCACGACCTAGGATCTCGGGCTTAGGCGAAGCATATAGTCCCGTGCGGAAATATGTGTCGATATAGTTCACTCCGGAGATATTGTTGCGAATGAGCAGCTGGCCCTCCTGGGGCGTTGGAACCGGATAGGAGGTCTTATATTGTAGAACCTCGGGGCCACCGGTCTGCTCGACCACGACGGCCTTCATGGTGGTGGGGACGGACATATTGCGAATTGGTGAGAATGAGAAAGGGCGCGTGATAGGAACGGTAGAAGTGATCAATTGGCCACGCAGAGCTACGAGACGGAAAGTGCTGCGACGTGCGAAAGACATTATAGAAATAGTGGGGGAAGCTCCGGGGAGTTAGGTACACAACTTGAGCTTCAATTTGTCATCGCCATCCCCGCATCCTCCGAGCGCGGAATTTCGTCGCTTTCTTTTGATTTGCTCCATAGATTAATTGCAATTGCTTTTCTTTTTTCCTTTCAAAGTGCTTCAATAGCCGACTCAGATTACTTCAGAATCCTAAATGCTTCCACCTTCCTACACGGGTACAAAGCCCAATGCACTCGGATGCTCCAAGTGGAGTTGAACTGACGCACTTCCGATGGGTCTTCGAGACCCGTCGGATGATCTCCGATGCGTTGTACTTCCGAGTCACCAATTCCTAGTTTACACTTCACAATACACTCACACACGGCGCTTTTCCCCTACATAGCTGCTTCCAAAACGAGCTCTGGGTTTCATGGATGCTGGCTTTAAGACTCATCATCAGCCACTTCAACGGTTCCCCCGTACTCCCAAACAAGCGACTTGGACCACCGTGGCTTGTACTTTATCAACGTTTGGACTGAGGCCCCTCCGTGCGTTTCAACAAGTCACGTCCAACAATGGCAGCCACAAGAGGGGCGGAGCCGCCCTCCCGCTGAACCCCGGACGATTTCTGGGCATCATGCACGGTATCCTTTGTTGCTCATGCAGTGCCCCCCAGGGCCTGCTTGGGGCTGACCTTAAGATCATGTTAGACCCCTTGGGCGACACGCCTATTGATCTTAGGGGTTTCTACTCGGTGTCTGATCACTGAGCGGGTGTTGCTCACTCCCCTCGAGCAGGCAGCATCGTTTGAACATTCTTTTGTAAACTACACTCTAGCGCCGATCCGATCGGGCGATTGCAAATACAACCAGTGAAGCACCACAGGAGCATCATGCAACCGTCTTTGTGCCCAATAACAAAGATAGCCTTCGCGTGGCGAGGTTCTCGACTGGCACCCCTTGATGTGCTTCCCCCTCTGTTTCAATGACGATCCGGATGCTCTTCAGCCTGATGCTATTCTGGTTGATAGGTCGGTTTTGGCCCAATGGCCGTGGCGGCCCTATCAGGGATGGGATGGTGCCCGATCTCAAGGACCATATAACACCCCGTACCCGGGTAACGCGCACACACCACCCATCTTTGTTGACACTGAAAATTTTTCGACTGTTTTTAAATTGATCGCCGCGCGATCTTCTCAACTGCACTTCTAATTTATACTATGAGTCAATCGGCCCGCAAAGCTTCTCATCGAGCCTTCATTGCAGCCGGATAGCTCTTCGATTCACTACCTACTCAACCCGTGCATGATCAAACCTGAAACAATGCCATCTTTTCTGAGCAGCCGTTCTCGAAGCAGCGTGCTGGTGGCGTACCCTCCACCACCTTGCGTGGAGGAAGAACCCACCTCGCTTGCTCGAGAACTACACGGCCTCACCAAGCTGGTTGAAAAACCAGGCTTCGAGGGAACTCGCGTGAGAGGTACAGTCGACCAGTACCCAATTATTGTGGATACGGGCTCCCCTGGTTCTTCTTTTTCATCGCCTCCACCCGATGCCTCCAATGTGCCCGGGCTGGGGAATGTGTCTTCAGACGACAGCAGCGGACCGGTCACACCACCTCCCATGGTCCAGGAACCAGCAATCCGCACAAGCTCCAGACCACAGTCGCGGGAACGCTCAAGGAATACGTCATCGTCTGCTTCTTCTGCCTCGAGCCGGTCTCGAGGCCATTCATCTCATATGCATCATCAGTCAAGCCGTGACGCGATTCCTCGACGCCACAGCCGTCCACCACCGCACTCGCGGGATAGCATATCCAAGAATGAGGTCCCGGCGCCATTGGCTGTGTCTTGCTCGAGCAACTCTCGAGGTCGACCACTGCCCGCAACTCCACGGCATTCTGATCCTGGAGTGAATGTCTCGCGCCAATCTCAGCCCCCGGCACATTCACGAGACAGTCGTGCCACCAAACATGAGGCTCCTGTTCATTCCATCCCCTATGGATCACGAGAAGTGCGTCCTGAAAGGCCTCGTTCTCGGTCTCGTGGACCGGTCAACGAACGGGCCCATTCAAGCCAGTCCGCGCCACCTATCAGCCAGTCCAAGACTGTGCGAGCTGAAAGCACTGGAGACCAAAGATCCTCGGCGCATGAAAACTCACGACGTGAATCGCCGCCGGGTTATATGTCTGATTCAAATGCGGTACGTAACAGAGCATCTTCTCACCACCCTCCGCCTGCACCACGAGTGCCGGAGAAGATACCTATCGAGAAGCAGACTAGCCCGACGCTCGCTGAGCGAATCGAGGAAAAGCTTCGCCAGCGTCAAGAGCGACGCGACACGGGAATGTCATCGGATACAGAGACTCGCTCGAAAGCTCCAACTGTAATCATTAAGCCGGGCGAATCAATCTTGAAGACCTCGATTCCTGCTTCGGCGCCCATTTCGCCCTCTCGTGATCCTCACGCCTCGGCCCCAGCTTCACGACCCAGAGCCGCGACTGTAAGCTCGGCTCCGCCGCCTACTCTGTCTCGCTCGAAATCCAAGACTGGAGAGCGCCCAAAATCTATTCTGGTCAATGGAACTCAATCTGGATTCAGCCAACCTCCGCGTACTCCGGGATCGGTCAAGTTCCAAGACATACCAACGGAGAAGCCGACAACGTCCCAGGTTCTAGCCCAAGTCCCAGTCCCAGCTCCAAGCCGGCAAATTAGTCCACCACGGCGTCCTTCAAACCCCACGGGTCTATGCATCACCCCATGCCCCCGTTCAGCTCCGACGGCAGGCCAAACAGACTGGTACACCCTCAAGGGCCTCACCCATCTAGACATCTGCCCATCCTGCATGGGCCAGATCGCCCACTCTCGTTTCCGCGACTTCTTCATCCCCAGCCTTGCGAAACCCCCAACCCAGAAAACTCGCTGTGCCTTCGCAAACCCATGGACCCGTCTTTCCTGGACCCAGATGATCAAAAAGAAACACGACAGCCTCGAAATGCTCTACCAAATGACGCGTCCGCCTCCGGGAAGCCGCGCCTGCCCAGGCCGAGTCGTCACCAACCAAACCTGGTACCGTATCATCGACCCAGAGACGAACGTCTACCTACCCCGGTTCCACATCTGCGGCACCTGTGCCCGCAATGTTCGCGTTCTGATGCCTGCACTCCGCGATACTTTCCAACATTGTCCAGAACCCCAAGAACGCGCCTGCGACTTCGTCACTACTAGCCCGCGCTTCGTGCAGTTCATCGATCTCCTCGACGATGCCTCCTCGTGCGCCGAGGAAGATCCATCACGCCGACCCGATGTCCGCGAGTTCTTGAGCTATGCTCGCCGGAAGATTGTTCTCCGTGACTGTCGTCGCGATAGACCCACACTCGGCGCATGGCACTATATCCCGTCTCTACCGGAACTAAGCGTCTGCGAAGACTGCTACGATGAGGTTGTCTGGCCCCTTGCCAAACGCAACCGTCCTATCGCACGGATGTTCTGTACGTCTATGAGGCTATTACCCGGTGATGGACCACGGAGCTGTCGCGAGGCGAGCTGTCAGCTGTATTCTGCGCGCATGAGGGCACGCTTCAGGGATGCGGTTGCCAAAGATGATTTTGCAGAGCTGCAGTCTGTGGCCCTGAGACGGTATGAGGCAGAGAGGAGATTTAAGGATCGGAGAGAGGAGTTGCTTATTGCGGAGGGGAAAGGGTATGATTGTGATGAGGAGATGAGGAAGGCTGTTGGGGAGTGGCGGAGGTGGGAGTGATCGAGGGGAGTTGGATGGTAAAAGGAACGTGTATGGATAGTTATCACGGTGGTCTTTTTTTTTCTTTTTTTTTCTTTTGAATTTCATGTATAGGTTCGATAAAAGTTGGGCATTGGATTGGCGCGCCTGGGGGCAACGTTAGCATTCGCATTAGTATAGTATTAGCATTATGTACGATTACAACTTGAACTTATTCCTTATCTCTTGCTTTGCTTTTTCTGTCATCTATTCTGCTGGACATTCTGGTGTCTTGCAAGAACCTTTCCCGCTTCCGAGGTCGTGTACCCGGAATGAACTAGTCCACAATAGCTCCTGTGTGTAGCCTACTTAGCCTACTTTTACCATAGCATTAATTCATCACTCTTACGCATATCTCCATCTTCGATCATTCTCTCTGACAGCTACAAACAACCCTTTACTTAAAACGGCGAACCCGGGCCTTGGAGACCCAAAGATATCGATCGCCCCCATAGACGTCATTACTGGATTGGCACACACCTCGTACGGAGTATACACCCATCCGCCAATCTTGGTTCTCACGGAGCTAGAATCTAAATTTCGAGATGAACGATAGTTCCCAGTAGACGTGTTCGGGATGAAGTTTTCCCTTTGTCATTCTTCTCCGGCCGTAAGTCATGTCGCCTACTACTGCTTAGATTCGTTTCTGAGGATGTATCGGACAGTCAGTATTTTTCAAGCTGCAAACCTGCCCAGGTGCTCTCGTAGTGCAATGTCGACTCTGTTGCCTAAATTCGATCATAATGACACTAAAGTACAATCATAATAGCCAGAGAGGTCGACTTATCTCCCCAGAGAAATTGGTCTGATGGCTTCTCGAACCCGCGGGCATCTGGTCTAGACCGTTGTCTCCCACGCGATCCGAATGGATGGTGGGTTCCCCGCAATATGCAGAAAATACGTTTCCCCAACGCCGTGGTTCGCTTGACCCACACATGAACCAGAAGGTAAAATTTGAGTTTACCCGTGTTTGATCGTATTAGGATTCTTATAGTTGATTTGCTTCTCTTTATGTCGCCTATTCTTGGCTGGCTTATTCTGGGAAGGAGTTATGAATATCACCAATTGAAGTATGATCTGCTCACCGGTCAAAGCAGTCTTCGTGGCAGCCGCCGTGATGTGCAGCCAAGAGACTAATGTAGACTAAATGGCTGAGAAGGGTTAGTCTTAGCATGTCCGCGGGTTCTTGACTTCGATATTTTAAGGGTACGGGTATATTCACCAAGTATCAAGATTCTCGCGGTCTGTTTCTTAGGGTTGCCAGCATTCTGCTGTAGTCAGGTATTATTTTGCGCGAGAAAGTTCATGATCAACCCACTAGTCTAGGGGTGATAATGATTTGGATCAGGGGATCAATGATTCACAGACAGGAGTAACAGAGAAATCAGACTGTCAGTATCTCTGTTGAGGGTACACCCGGACTCTAGTTCTTCAGGCTTTTTCCTGGACGCCATCATAGCGAATCTTCCGAGCCAGGCTTAGTATTGATCTACTTAGAAACTTGCTAAGCTCTGAGAGTCCCTGAACTCCTGGGCTCATTCTCCAAAAGATAGACCTATCTCTTGGGCTGCTCGAGCTACACTCTCAAGTCAATGATCATGTGTCTTCCAATACAACCAAAAGGAACCAACTTCCGGGTCCAAATGTCATCGAAACTCAGTCCCCGGCAGCTTCTTTCGGCCAATAACACACTCGTAAAGACGGTGCCTTATGAATCCCGATCTCTCGATCGCTCCATTTAAATAGCAAACCACTTGTGAACATGTTTGATCGGACTGTTGCCAATTTCCAGCTGTGGTCGTGTGAGACGGGGTGGTGGCTTCCACCTCTCGGGTGAGGCACGGTTTTTGGAGAGGACTTTCGAGCCATGTCGTCTTGTTTGATGTCGGAATGGAGAAGAAGGGAGTTCAATCAATTTCCTATACTCAGTTTGAATGTGGAGGTGATTGTGTATGTGGGAGTCAGTTTTGGAGCAATATTTGAAGATACATCGGTGGAGGTTGCCATGATTTCTTTCGCAATTCGGTCACTTGGATCAGTAGGAGACCTCAAGACTGTAATCTGCCCAAGAGAAAATCGAAAATGAGCCAAAAAAAATATAAAAATATATATAAAAAAAAAAAGAAACGTTGAGAGGTCCTGAGGATCTGTCTGGGTAACGCTAGGAGCCAAAACTGATTCGACTAATGTCTACAGAGGGGCTCTCTTGTCCGGGAGTAAAAGGCCCATAATTGGAAGACGTGAGGTCCAGATGGTCTTCCCAGATGATCCGGTGGAAAGTTTGCAAAGGAAGTCCAGAACACACATATTTACTTGACTTATGAAGAACAAGATTGACTTCAAGGTACTTTCATGCTCTAAAGAAAGCGGCTTATATACACCGTCAGTTTGCAGACCCTCAACCTGGGCCATTGAACTTCAAACGCCATCGCAAACCAAAAGACAATTACAATGCATATGTGGAAAGCGAAATTTGAACGACTTTCATCCAACAAGTCCAACAACTTCACCGGGCAAACGCTTGAGACCAGATGATTGCGCGCGGTGGGACGCGTCCACCAACTGGGGCGAGCACACGGATCTTACCCTTGTCAGCGTCGACGTCAGCGACATAGAGGAAGCCCATGATGCTAGCGTCGCGGACTTCGGAGGGTGATGCTGTGGTGGGAGCATTGGTAATTGCAAGAAGGGTATTGGCGAGGGTGGAGGGAGCGGGCGGCAGGATCCTCTTTAACGGGACGTTGCTCTGTGGTGTGTGGTTCGCGTCGCCCATGCCGGGGTGGTATGTGCCGTTGTCGAGTTCTTGGGGCGTGTAGTCTTCTGAGCCCCCACCTGGAAGGAAAGAGTCGAGTTGAGAAGGGTCGTACTCGTCTTCGTCTTCGTCGTCTGCCGATGTATCGGTGTAGCTGTAGACCGGGAGAGCGGCGAAATCGAGTTGCTGAGCATGAGGGGAGAGAGTAACGGCGGAAGATGAGGAGAGGGAAAGCGCTGATGTGCCGGTGGTAGCAATTGGGTTGCCGAAGAAGTAAGAACGGATTTGCGATTCGCGCGTTGCTTTGTGGAAAGCGGCGTCGCGGTCAACACAGCCGCCCGACTTGGACAGCTTCACGACGGAGACGCGTTCGTCGAAGACGGCCGCCGTGGCGCTAGAACTAGGCTTGTCGTCGTACTGCTTGACCATGGCGCTGTAGAGGCGCTCAGAACCAATGACCAGTATCGTCGTGATGGCGAATTCGGTCACGATGTGATTGATCAGCTCGAGACTTCCTGGTTTGCCGCTGCTCAGGATGCCTGGCGTATCGACGATGATCCCTGCCTCGCGTGCGTCTTCATCCTCAGCCATACGGCCTGTTACTGAAAGTGCCAGGCGAGACACAATGGGCCTGTAAATTACGCCTTCAGCGTCGAGCGGATTGGGCATCGGATAACTATAAACCAGCGGAAGTTTCACTGGCACAGGGCTCGGCCCAGACATGGGACTGCTGCCCCAACCTTCCTCAATGTCCAGCATCGTCCGGAAAGCAGTTGCAGTCAAGGTTCCAGGGACACTGAGCATGCCCTCGGTCGGGTCCAGGTTGACCACCAGCGGCTGGCGACCGACCTTAACAGCGTAGGCTGTCAAGATCTTGGCCAGGCTGGTTTTGCCGGCGTTCTCAGGACCCAGCAACAAAACACGAGGGCCATCCTTGCCTACCGACTGGGCCTCTTCTCGCAAAGTCTCTAGTGCGAAGTGAACGTTGGAGTATTCTACCATGGGGGGTCTCTTCGGCGATGTATTCACTCTGGCAGCCGCCGGCGCCGTGTCCGGCCGTCGTCGTAAGACCATCAGTCGACAAAGCAACCGTCTCTCCGGCGCTGACTTCCAACTCACAGCCATGCCATGTGTAGATTGCGCCTTTCGTCCCGTGGAAGGTGTATGTCTGCAATTGTGCGAGCTCCGTTCCGAAGAGCTCTGCTGTGCCACTAAGAAGCTGCGATTTTTACGTCAGCGCTGTCCTTTCAGGATGATGTCTAAAGCTTCAAAAAGCAAGTTCTGCGGTGGAACACTATGTGAGATGATATACCTTCACTTTAACGAGGTGCCCAAATGCGACTTCGAATCTCCACTCTGAGCCAGGGTTCAAGGAAATTTGCGATGGCGGCGCTACGGCGAGCTGCCTCTCCTCCGAGGGTTGTGTCAATTCTAACCCTGGGAGCGACATTGCATCACTCCTTTCAATTTTCCAGAGAAGAACAGGGAGAAATTGGGGGAGGGAACCGGTCGAAGATGGATAATGCGCTGAGCTGGATAGCTCCGGGCTGTTTAACATGTTTGCACTCCCGCCCGCAGTTGCAATCAACAGCCAGTCAATTGAAGGGTGCGCACACGTTAAATGCGTGCTTAGGCTCGTCAAAAGACTCTGCTTTCGTAGTTCATAGTATGCTCAATCGATAATTCCGAGTATGTCTACAATTGAAGAGATAATGGGCTTTGAAATGTTTAGTCATCGCTAGGCTAAGGCGTTCTTCACTACAACGCAGGGCAGTCAGAAGACAAAACAGCGAAATCGAGTGTTTGGTATCCAGGAGAAGAGGGGAATAAATCAATGGAAGGGTTAATTTGGAGCGTGTCTCTTTTGTCATTCGGCAATAAGAACGGACATTGACATGTCTTTCTCAAGTGGCAGGGAAAATATTAAAGGAAAATGGTGTCAAAAGGAAGTACAGTGCACACTCGAGGAGGGCCAGGAAGAATATATTTATCATCACGACAACGGAGACAGAAACCAGGGATGAGCGGGTATGGGGATTGCTCTGTCTGTGGCCGACAAGTGCAAATGAATGGAAGACTGTTCGATTCAATCAGCCGTTCAGCAAGTCCAATGGCGGAGCGGTGTTTAGGGAATTCGAGGAACGAGAGCTGCCTGGGTATGATTTTCCGGGCAAGGCTGAAGCCTGGTCTAGAAGAAGTAGGGGATAGAGGCACTAGGCTGAGTTAGCAAGCAAAAACAAAAATTGGACCACAACCACTTACGCAAGAGCAAAGGCGGCGGAAACGCCGAAAAGAGCGCGGTTGCGGACACGCTCGCGCTTAAGCTTGTCCTCCAACACCTTGGCCTTCTTTACCCGCTGGGCAGACTCGGCCACGGTCTCCTCATCATCGTCTTCTTCGGGCTTGCGCTTCTTCGTCACCTTGCCAGATGGGGATCCCTCACTATGGCCGCTGACGGATGCCACCATCGCCTTGGCCTCGGCGAGCATATCCTTGGCGGAAGGCGAGGGCATTTCTGCCAGGCTAACGGGCATATCGTCCGATAAGGTCGTCAGGATAGACTTGCCCGTTGGTGTGGCTTCAGTAGTCTCATTAACCTCGACCTCGGTTTCCGTCTCCTTCGCAGCAGCCTTCTTCTTCTTCTCGGTCTTCTTCTCTTCCTTCTTTGCTTCCTTTTCGTCCTTCTTGGTCTCCTTCTCCATGTCTTCTTCCTTCTCCTCCTCGGCCTCAGCAGCCTTCCTAGATTTACGGCCCTTCTTCTTCGGTGACTCCGTGGTCTTCACTTCAATTTCCTCCATTTCGAACACAGGTAGCTCATCTGACTCCATGGCGGCTGTCAGTGACAACGCCTCTTGGAGACTGTTGTTGGCAGCCGCTGTTGAAGGAGTACTGGGAGCATCCTTCGCAGAACCGGCCTTGCGGGACTTGCGAGGCGAAGTGGTCTTCTTGCTAGGCGACACTGAGCGACGGCTTCGGCGCTGGGCCAAGGCTCGATCATCCTCGGGAAGGTCGAACTTGGGTGGCGGGGTGATCTGCTTCTTCGAGGTCGACGGGCTCTGCACGATTTCTGTGGGGTCCAACAAGGCGCGTACCCAGTCGTACATCTTGTATTCTTGGGCAAGTTCGAGAGCTGGAGATAATCATTAAATGATATACATGTAAAACAGCGAGGCTGATAGACCTACCAAAAGTTGGGGAAATCCAGACGTTGCCAGCGACTTCTTCCTGGCTCGTGTACTCTCGAGACTTCAGATATTCTCTTTCAGTCTTCTCCTCATCGGTCTTGGCCCAGGGAAACGCGATTTTAAACATGCCAGTTGCGCTGACGAAGCCGTCCTTACTCCTCCGCTGTTTTGCAAGTTAATAGCTGTTTTTCACATTTCCTTTTTTTTTTAAAAAAAAAAAGAAAGACTTGCCATTAAGAAGTAGGTCTCTGGATGCTGAGCCGGGGAGTGCGAGGGGAAGATCTCAGAGCCCTTCAAGTCCTTGGGCAAGGGAGCCCGGAGGTGAGCATACTCGAAGACACCCAGGTTCTCGGGTTTGGTTGCATTCGATGAGCCGATCAGGCCGGGCTTAACGGAAAGATTGGTCTTGCCGAGACGGCGGCGCGCAAGAAGCTCCTCGTCTATAATGGTGAAAGGCAATGAGTTAGCGAGGGCGCAAATAAAAAGGAAGTTGATAGGTCCGATTTAGGGCGGGACACCGGTTGCATGCGCGGTCGCGCGACCACGCGCTTCGAGGGGAGACTTACAGGCCGGAGAGGCGTCGCTGAGGATCAGCGGGTTGGTCTTCTTGGGGAGAGTTCGTGACATGGCGGGCGAGTTGCGAAGCGACAGAATGAGCACTCGGTTAGATGCAAAGGAGAAGTTGCGCCAACCGCGGCCACGTAGCAGGCGCGTCGCAGATAGACGAACGAGGATCGAAACCGGTTATCAGCACCGACTTTGGAATAAAACGCGAGGTGGGGCGAAAGAACGCGCCGAAAATCCGACAGTCAGGACAAAGAAGTAGTTCACCAAACGACGATAAAAAGAGAAGATAATCAGGGGAGACGCTCGTCGCGACGGCATGGGGATTCGCTCTATACGGGCCTTGCCTCTTTCCGGAATGGTCCGGTTTCGAGTCCGTACTAGACACGATATAACGGGTTTTGATTCGACAATGTCAGAATTACCCTGTTATGGGGATACACTCCGTTGGGGCGTTGGCCCCGTGACATGCTCATTCCTGAGGCATTCAAGTCTGTTTACTTCTTTACACTAGACTTTACCTCAGTGACCCTATTTTAGTTACTCTGGGTATTATTTTAGCTGCGGAGTTTGCTTTCTCACGACTCTGATCCCCTGTATGGTGGAGACATGTCTTATGCACTCCAATGACAAGCCTTACGGGTTTCCAAAACTGGCAGCCTCCGGGCCCTAGATCATCCCTGCTACGTGTACTGGGGTGCGGCCACGAGCACCATCCCAGGTCAACATAGGTAGATGAGCTTCACTACCTCCCCATCGCCATCGTTCATAGCAGCTACGGTCAATTTAAAGATTAACTCGCATCTTCCCGAAATAGATATGCACTGCGTATGTATGCGTCAACGGCTGTTTACCTTTCGAAGATCCGAATAGCCTCGCCCCTCTTCCTCCACCGCCTTTCTGTAACCCCACCACGATTCAGGAGACAAGTGATATCTTTCACTTTCCCTTTCTTAACTTCCTTTCTTCACTTTTGTTCACTTGTTCACTTGTGAGATCTACCCTATTTCCCCAATTGACCGCTCACTCTTATCACCAAGACTCATTACCCCACCAACTCAACAATAACAATGGCTGATCACGACGACGATCTCGCTGTCTCCAAGACCGAGGGTTTCAAGGTTGGAGAGAAGAAGACTCTCCAGGAGTACCAGGAACTCGGTGAGCTTTCTCTCCATCGTGGCTCAATTACAGCACACAGACCCCTATACTGACTCTGCCCCTCCCCCGCAGACAAGGACGATGAGGCCATGAACCGCTGGAAGGCTTCGCTGGGTCTCAACCCTGGTAACCCCATTGGCAAGCCCGGTGATCCCAACTGTGTCATCAAGTCCCTCGCCCTGGTCACCCCGGGCCGTGAGAATGTCGTGATCGACCTCTCTGACCCTAAGTCTCTCGCGACTCTGAAGGATAAGCCCTTCACCATCAAAGAGGGTGCCAAGTTCCACATCAAGGCCGTCTTTCAGGTCAACAATGAGGTTCTGAGCGGTCTCAAGTACGTCCAGGTCGTCAAACGCAAAGGTATCCGTGTCAGCAAGGACCAGGAGATGCTGGGCAGCTTCGCCCCCAGCACGACCGACAAGCCCACTTATGAGAAGGATTGTAAGTATCCAGTGTTCTCTACACAAATTGATCCGATTGCCTAACTCTGTTGCTCCAGTCGCCGAAGAGGAGGCTCCTTCCGGCATGATCGCCCGCGGTCACTACAACGCAGTGTCTGTCTTCGTCGATGACGATAACCACACTCACCTCCAGTTCGACTGGTCCTTCGACATCGCCAAAGACTGGTAATCGGTTCAGAGATTTTGGACTGATACTGCGTTGAATTCTTGAGTGGCTTAATTGTTTCCAAGCGTGACGAATTTCCTTTGACTCCAAAAGCCTGGTAGAGATGGACCCAGCTCGGGCCAATTTACTTTGCATGGATTGAAGCCCCCCAATTCGTGGGCTTTTTTTTTGTCTTTTCCTACATCCCTTTCCCTATGCAGTTGTTTCATGTTCCATTTAAATGCAAACTAGCCAGCCTTCCAAAATCAAGTCTGTAAATGTGCAGTCATATTTTCTTTGCCCTTTCCTAAACTCCTATCCTGTACGGTGTCTGGCATGATAAAACAAGTTTGCAAAAAAAAAAAATCCCGGGGTATCACAAGAAATAATCAATCACTGGCTGCGAGTCCCGACTTTGCTGTGCCTGCTGCTCACTGCGGTGCACATCATTCTCAGGGGCCGCGTCAAAGATATTGAAGAAGCGCTCCATTTTATCGCCCACCTCCAGCACACTGGCGAGGTTACCACAGCGGTAACAGTAATTGGGCGCACTCCAAACAGTGCTGAGCCGGTCATCAAAGAGGACCTGATAGCCTTCATTGCAGAGCTGATGGGCCCGTAGAATATGGGACATATTATTCACCTCGAGGAACTTCCGAACCACTTGCGCACCAAATGTATATCCAGCACCTCGAGGAGAGAGGGAGAATTCATCTCGATCTGGGTCGGGATCGGACCAAACCAGGTCAGCCATGGGTCCTTCATGTGGAATTTCGCGGAACCGGTCAATGATCTTGATCTGGTCGATAGAGTGGATGGAAGGAGAGAGACCTCCATGCACACAGAAGATCTCATCATTTATGACAACACTGAGTGTCAAGTAATCGAACATATCTGTGAAGTAGTGCCAAACATTGGCATTGCCGTATTTGCGCGCACACTCGGTATAGAAGCCGTAGGACTGGGTAACTCCGCGAGACTCGTGGTTGCCGCGAATAAGGTGCACTCGGTGCGGGTAACGCAATTTGAGACAAACGAGCAGTGAGATAGTTTCAACACTAAATAGCCCACGGTCGACATAATCACCTATGTCTCCAGAGTTAGCAACGCCTCGCGCACAAGTAGGAGAACAATATCCTAGCTGTCCCTCACGGACAAGCAGATGGGCACTTACCGAGGAAAAGATAGTTGGTATTGGGACAAAAGCCACCAATGCGGAAAATCTCCAGTAAATCGAAGAATTGGCCGTGAATATCCCCAACCACGGTTACTGGCGCTTTGATATGAACGACATTGCTCTCTTTCATGAGCAGCTCTTTAGTCTTAGCGCAGATGGCTTCAATCACCGGCTCGGCAAGAAGCTCCTTGCGATAGAGTCTCTCGATACACTCATCCAGGTCGATACTGGCTGTTGCGACGTCAGCATTGCTTACCGAAGCTCGGATGGGCCGGGGCTGGAGTAACGGCTGGCCGCAGCGCATAACATACTGGGAAGGCCAGGCATGGCGACGAAATTTGGTGAAACCCGCCCAATGTATGCAATCCGTAATTCTCAGAGGGTGTATGCGAACGAAGACGACCGGGAATCGTAGCAGATGCGAGAAAACGGCCGGCGGTGCTCTGCGAGGCTAGAGAGGGGAGCCAGCTAAGAGACGACAAGGACGATAGCGATCAACAAGATATGGAAGTGAAAATTGGTGCGCAGCGGACATCATAATCACAAGGACATTTTCACTCCGATAACTTGAGATTATCGTCTCAAGCAGTGAGATCTAAAACCTGCCAGGAACCTCCCCGAGCTGGACTCTTGCCAGGGTGGGTTCTGCCTGTTTACACCGGTCAGTGCACGTGACTAGATTCCTGATTGGGAAATGTAACCTGCGCGAGTTTAGGATCTCAAATTACAGATATTTGGTCTGTAGGTGGAAAAACTGTGATGAAGATTGATCTATTATAACACTTATCAAAGTCTCGCATCGCCCTGCATACTCGAGAATATGGAAATTCTATTCCAAACGAAAAATATATATATGGTCATCACTGCCAACGTATGTGCCCTCACATTGTAACATAGCACCGTCCAATTCTTTCTTTGTTGCTCCCAAGATGATCTTTATTCTTATGGTCGACTTCTTGCAGATGACTGAGCGGCACCTATTCCAAAGTAGCATGAGGTTAAACCAAAATCTCCATTGTTTTCAGTATCAAATCTATGGATGCTTCCAAACAATCCGCGATTCACATCTCAAGGTTTCGGAACAGCCTAAGCAAGCAATTGCCGAGCCTCTCCATGGACATTGCTCTCAGAATCAGATTCAGATTCAGCTTCCCCGTCATCATCCTCATCGTCCTCCTCGTAATCCTCGTCATCCTCGTCATCGTCCTCACCAGATTCTTCCTCTTCTGAGTCAGTCTCGTACTCATCGGAGTCAGATTCACCCTCCGATTCAGTTTCAGACTCCGTCTCCTCTTCCTCATCAAGCCATTGATCAAGAGATTTCTGATTAGCTGACCCTGCATTCGGTGCACCGTTATGCCTACGTGGCGGGACAGAAGTCTGATGCTCGCGAAGCGCTCGGTCTAAGCGCTCGCCGGCGGTCATTGAAGTCTGGAGGGAAGTAGATTCAGGCTTGACGTCCTCGGTGCGCAGATTTGGGCTTGGCTCTTGGCCCAGCTCGACCCAATCGGGTATATCGGCGTAGCCGCGAAGGCCGTGGTAGCCTGCTTCGGGGCCAACGACAAGAGTTGACGTTCCGATGAGGAGGTCTTTCCGAGTTTCGGAGGGGCTCGGGGCGTGAGGGACTGGCTTTGGTGCTAGTAGTAGCAGGTTGGCGAGTTGAGTGGATGCAGGACTAGCAAGTAGAGCTTTGTATAGCCGGGCGCGGTCGCGAAGATCGTATGAACTATCGTAACGCGCGAGAAGAAGGATGTAACGCCAAAGCAGGGTGATTCGGTCTTCTTTTTCTTCCTCCCCTTTTGACTGGAATCCATCGTCCTCAGGGCGTCGGTCTTCTGTAGTTTGGCTGGCTTCTATTTGCTCATCAGTCCGGTCCTCGGTCCATTCGTTGCGAATTTCCTTTGCAAGGGCGGCAGCGCGTTCAGGTGATGTTGGGGGTTCATCTTTCGGCTGTTCCGGTGACTTTTGTAGTAGATGATGAAGGTAGACCTTAGCACCAAGCAGGACGATTTGTTGCTTAACAACCTCAGTTTCATCGGCAAAGCTCTGGATAAGGATGCGAAGAACGTCAGGTGCAATATTATTTCCTGGGTCCACGCCCGCAAACTCCCCCCACTAACCAGATGATGGTAGCCCTTGCGTCCGGGTTCGTTGTCGTGCCAAGGTGGGTAACTAGTTGTATGACGGTTTGCTTATGCGAAGACGGATCCTGCTGGATCAAATGGCGGATGACCGTCAGTGACTCAGATACAAGATTGCCGTCCAGACTGGAAATTTGACCCAGCAGAATTCGTAAGCACATATCGGCAGTACTGGCGTCCGCCTGTGCGCAGCGCCCAATGGCACGCACGCTTTCTCGGACCAATTCAGGATCGGGCCCCTTGGAGAAATGCTCCAGCTCGCTGATGATCACACCTTTCCAGTGTTTTCCGCAATAAGGGAAGACAATTGTCAACACCTCCAGCTTCAAACGCCAGATATGCGGTGGGTCGTTGGCATGGACCAGGAAGCGAGCGACGTATTTTGTGAATGGTTTCGGGTCCTTCAAAGCTACAACAACAATGTTGTATAGAGCAATGAGCTGCATATCTTGAGGGCTTCGGAGCAAAGCCACCAGAGGGCCTACTGCCGAAGCGAGGTACCCTGGTGGTGCCAAATAAAGGAAGCAACGAACGACACTGACAATGACGGCCGAATTGCGGTTCTGCAATAACAATTTACATGCTAGGAGCAACAGTTCCAGATCCGGATCCAGCACAAAAATTTCGTGTTCTTCACCGTTATCCTGAGAATCCGGATCCTGCTTTTCGTCATCGTAGAATGGCTTTGAAGCCGCCTGTTTGACCTTTTGGGTTCGACGAGGAAGCATTGGCGAGCATAAACCGTGAGAAGTCGTAGCGTCGAAAGCTGACTCCATTCATCCATATCCACTAGCTTTTTGACCAAGCTGCGGTAGTGCTTGTGAATAAGGCCAATTTCATCAGGGCAAACCTCCAAGAATGCAGCAACAGCCGGACCAACAACGAAGTATTGCGAGTCACCGAGAAGAGTCGAGATATACCCAGTCAATTGCGGCAACGTGTTCGGGTCCAGACGATAACATTTCGGAATAGCCAGAGCCGCCGCTTTCCGCACATGGGGGCTCATATCACCGCATCCACGCTTGATGGCTAGTGACACGATTTGGCTGATAACTGGCACGCGAATACCAGACATGGTACGCAACGCCATTGTCCGCACTTGTGGGTTCGAATCTGTGAGGGACTTTTGGATCGCATTGATGGATAGCAAGGCCAGATCTGGTTCGGCCTCCGCATGATGAACAAGGTAAATGTAGACTAGTTTCTTGACTTCGAGGTTGGCGCTGGCCGCATTCTTGACAACGGCCGAGAAGAAAGTCATGGATGGCTCGGAGCGGTACATCAACTGTAATCATCACGTAAAGACTGGGTTAGCTACTGTGTACCTGGGTCTTGTCTTGTATTGGAGTACCATCATACCGAGATCACCCGCCGCATTCCGTCAAGAACCTCTCGCTCATGACGACTGTCCAGCAGCTTCTTGATACTAGCGACACTGTAAGACCGCGAAGAATAGTCCGCAATAGAGCTTCGGGTGCTCGCAGCGGACTGGGCGGCCTCCAGGGTGAGCTCTCGAGCTATGCGCACAGTGACCACAGATCAGCTCCAAGTCTCCGATGGGCGCGTGAGCACGAGGCATTGTGACATACCTGTTTCCAGCATCGAGGATATCCGAGATATTGTCTCCATTGTGATTCCAGCCTCCGCGAAGCCCAGTCCAGATAGCGCGAGAATTGACTGGGAGTGATGAAGATAGGTGGGGGAGGCAAGGCGGAGGAGCATGACCTCCGCGGCGTAAAAGGGACTCCGCTGATCTCTACCACAACCACTCTCCAAGGCTAGTTTGACAACAAAACGCCATGATTTCGAACCAGACACACATGTTCCAGGAGATGTGACCGATTTTGGATCGAAGACCCTACGACTCTACGACCCAAACCATTAGAAACATCACATCATGGGCCAAACGCGAACCGTCGCTTCCTGCAGTCTAGTAACGGATCTTTTACAAGAGTTGCTTAATATCAACTCAAGATCCCAACTCATCATCTGTGGCACCAAAGCAGAATTTTTGGTGCAATTAGCAGCCGCCGTTCGCTCACAACGCGCCGATTCGAGTACTACGTCTCGTCATGACCTACTCACCCCAACAATCGGATTGCTTGCCAACTCAAGCCGAATCCAACTGACCTTCTGCTCAACTCTGGAGAGTCTCCGAGCCTATCTTGCAGCTTTCGGAGCGACCGTTAAAGACCAGTCAGAGAGAGAAACTCGACTGGTCATCCTGGACATGGTGGCTCTACATAAGGACTACCGCGGAATTCTCCGCGCAAGGACTCTCGAGAACTTTTGCAGCAGCTGTAGAAACAGCCTCCCGTACAGAGCTGGACCTGATGCTCTGCGAATGTATCAATTCCGTAACTCCCTCGAGTGACGACTGGGGCGGAAAACTATGGGATAGACCAGTTCCCTTACTAAACGGCTCTGTTCGAATACGCGGCGAAGACGGCAATTGGGGCGGACGAGGCGTATCTGTCAGACAGATTGCCCAACGCTGGTTCGACTTTAATGAAAACATGCATCTGTGAAAAGAAACGAGGTATATTGAAAGTGGGAGAAAGCCGGCCAAACACTTGCCATATGATGAAACTCCCCCAAATGAATCTGTACCCGGGTATCCTTGACTTAACCTCTGAACTCCTGATCCGTAACAGCCACAGAAAATCAAATCCCTATAAGGACTTGTCCACCTCCGAGATGTAGAGTTTGATGTGGGCTTCCAGCTTGAGATACTGGTCGTGAGCAGATTGTATCTCACTCTCGATGTTCTCTTTGAGATCGACCATCTATGCAAAAGTTAGCAAAAAGATATGAGAGCCGTGATTGACAGAATCTACCTTCTTCTCGGTCTGCTCAATGCGGATCCGCCGGCGCTCCATGTCGCGCTGTTTCTCGGCTCGTTCCTCACGAAGCTGCTTCTGTACGTTGCGAAGCTCTTCCATTCGGGCCTGAGCAACCTCGGCTTTCTCCTGTGCGCTTTTGCGAAGACCCTCGATTCTCTCATTCCAACGGGCCAATTGCCGCTGCAAGAGTTTCTCGGTCTGTTCCACTTCCCTGACGCTGTTGCCTCTATCCGAAATAGCCTCCTTGTTACGAGCTGCACGAGATTCCTCCTCCTCTTCCTTTTGAAGTTCGGATGAAATGTCATCAAGTAGCTTCACGCATGCTTGCACGTCGTTGGAAACAACGGTGAACGTGTCTGAGGAGGTCTGCAAAGCCCGTGCGCGCTTCTCCATAGCATCAATTTGAGCCTTTTCGCGCATCAGGCTCTCCGCTAATTCCGTCAAGGACGTTTGCAGAGTGGCAGGGGACTCAAGGACGTAGGGCCGCAGCTTTTCGGCCTCTTGCCGGCTCCGAACTGTCCTCTCCATCTTCTCCTCTAATTGCTGCTGTCGCCGTTGTCTATCGCTCTTTACTCGGTCGAGTGTCTCTGCAACCCGTGACTGCTCTCGGCCCAATTCGATGAGGCGGGCTTTAAGCGCGTCGTTTCTAGCGACTTTCTCACGCACTTGGACCTCATTGGCTTGTTGGTTCTGTCGCATCTCCGCTAGGCGTTGTTCCATCTCTTGATTCTCGGCAAGTAGTTCATCAATGCGCGACTTGGTCTTCTCAGTCTTGTTGAAGTGTTCGTCGATGATAGGCGTTTGCGACTCTCGGAAGCGCACAAAGTTGATGAGGTAGGAGAAGATTTTAACTAGTCGGTCGTGGGTCGGTTTTGTCAGGTCTGTGAAGGTAAAGTCATTCACGCCGCACTGTAGTCCAGAAATAGGATATCAGTCTCGGTGTTTCCCAATTCAGTCTGTTGTGATGGTGACGATGTACCTCTGTCAACAATCTCCGCAGGCTTATGAAAAAACCCATGAGGTTACGTGTGTCATTCGGAACGATGTCGGGGTAGTCGCCACAGGTATCTTCAGCAGCTGCGTGCATAGCTGGCTCGACTGTCTCCCTTGTTGTGTTCATGAGAAGCTCAGCGAACCATTCGAAGACCATCTGGATTTGCTGGGCATTTGGTTTCGCCAGGTCGGCCGCGGTGAACGGAATACCGATATCGTTGATACATCCTGCAATTTCCCTGTCGGGCTATGACACTGTAAGCAGATGTTTCACCGGTATGAAGATAAAGCTTGTTTATGAGGCCGAGGCAGGACTGACCAGGCGCATCAGTGCGTCATTATCGTCTTCCTTCTTGCGACCCCGATTTTGTTGCTGCTGGGAGCCAGCCATACTCATACGATGGTTGTACGCCATCGCGTCACGTAGAAAGGATGGTCACAATCAGGTAAGGGACCAGTTAATCGAGAAGTCGGTAGTGTGAGGAGTCGAAGAGGCCAGTGATGTTGTGACTTGCGACGATTGTTTACTTTGGAGAGGAGCCCGCATGACACCCGCATCGGGTTAGCGCAACGCTGGAGGGGCAGAATGCAAACACAGCAAACGCCATCAAAGAAATCGTGACTCTTTCAATTCCTCGAACTCTTCGACCAGAGCTCTTGACCAGATAATCATGGCTACAGAGACGGGAAGCTCGGCTGCGGCCGGTACGAAGCCTTTTGAGTGAGTTCTCCATCCATAGTATCCCCGGAGTGCCATGCTCATGCTCTCTGCAGCATCGTCGCATCATACAATGAGCTCCTGCGCTCCGATCCCGATCTCACAATGCCCATCGCGGCCATTGAAGCCCTCGTATTGCTTCTTACAAAGGAGCCTTCCTCGACTATCTCTGAAACTCTTGACCTCCTCGAAAAGTCTACCGCCATCTTGAAAAAAGCCAACCCCAACCCCATCGGTCTCTCCGCCGGAACCGATCTCTTTCAACGATATTTGATCACTACATTACAACGACCTGGTCAACTAGGCCCTGCCGGTGATTTCAAGGCTATTCGGACACATCTCTTGTCAAATGGCCGACTATTCATTCGCCGTGCCAAGGAGAGTCGAGAGAAGATCGCGGCCTTTGGCCGAGGGTTCATTCGCGACGGCTGCACGGTGCTTACCAATGGTGGATCCAGAGCTGTCGCGTCTCTGTTGCAGAAGGCTACAGCCGATGAGGTTCCCCGTCAGCGGTGCGCTTCCGGGTGATCTATGTCTTGTCTTCCTTCAAAAATGCCGATGATCCTTCGGGGGAGCCGGAGGGCATGGAGACGGTGCGGGCCCTGAGAGCTAAGGGCGTCCCCGTTTCAACGATACCGGAATCGGCAGTCGCATACGCTCTTGGAAAAACAGATATGGTAATTGTTGGAGCTGAAGGTGTCGTTGAGAATGGTGGTATTGTGTCCCGCATGGGTACTTACCAGATTGGCCTTCTGGCCAAAGCCATCGGTAAGCCCTTCTACGTGGTGGCGGAGAGTCATAAATTCGTACGACTGTATCCCTTGGGCCAGTACGACCTGCCAATTAACCAGCACGTTATCGACTTCAAATCCGATGATGATATTACTGAGCAGAAGGAGGAGCCGGCCACACCCACGAGTGGAGACCGACAAATCGAGTTGCCGCTCTGCGACTCGGTGGACTTTACACCGCCGCACCTCATTTCAGCACTGATCACTGATAGCGGTGTCTTGACACCCAGTGCTGTCAGCGAGGAGTTGATCAAGATCTGGTTCTAAAGAGCCCCTACCAAGCTTATGCGCTCGAAATCCAGTCGCAGGCTTTATGAGTTGATGACATGACGGGGAATGACCTTTTAAGGAATTAGCTCTTCGCTCCATAGCCTTGTTCCCACAAGAAGGGCCCCAGGGCTAATGCAGGGCGAATGCGCGAGATCTGCCCTGGGTAAAGGAAACCAGAGGACGTCTTGAGAGTTTGTACTCACATGCCTGTGGGATTCCATGCCTTTACTTTCCACTGTGACCTTGTCAAAGCGGTGATGATCCGGTGCATCATTGATAGATCGCAGTACAAAATCATGAATCTTAATCATTCTACTCTGAAATAGAACAAGATTTTTTAACGAAGTAACGCTTTTGTTCAGTCCTAAATTCCGTCATAGTCATAGTCATCAATCATCAATCATCGAACGATTCCGGCGTCGAAAGATAGATATTTCTCCAACATCATTTTTCAGTACAGCGAATGAGGTTGTTCGAGGGACAGTGGTGCCGGGTCAAGAATGATCTTGAGTATCATTGATGAAATTCTCGAGTCATAATTCATAGGCAAGCAAAGCCGTCAACCCCACACGCTCTCCGATTTCGCAGAGCCTTCAAAGTCATGAAGCATCGGCCAAAAGGTAAATGGCGGTCAACGGCTTTGTCGAAGACAATATTGTCTCACTAGCTGGCGATCTCGCAATCGGGTAACTGCGAGACACGACGTTACAATAGTCTCAACCCCTTAACCGATTTGAAATGAGATCAAGCCACTCCGTCTGCATTGAGGCAAAGGCATACAGCAGTAAATACCCGAAGGCCACAAATATCCACAGCGGAGCCATGCTAGCAGTCGCGAGACGTAGGAAAGTCGGTGTGAAAGAGGGAAATAGCGAGTGGGTTAGACCACGCGCGACTAAAAAAATTGACGGAGAGAGTCGCAAATTTCCTTGCTAGGATTCGCTGTTCTCCAAATATTTATGAGGGGGAACAATATCAGCTTGTCTGCTCAGGAACGTAGGATGGAAGAACAGGACGTCACTCTCGAGCGAGGAATATGTATTTGAGCATTTAGAACCCAACCAGACTGATAAGTCAGGACACAATTCCATCATCTCCGAAATTGCCCATCCAATACGAGTCGATCGTGTGTTTGAATTCCGGCCATTGAGAGGCCATTCCGAACGATGCAACGGCAATGATGCGGGGTTCTCGAAGAGCACGATTCTCGATCTGTGGTGACCGCCCCAGATCGGGAAACATACTCAAGGTCGCTCTTTGGCTAGAGGTCGAAATGAGGCTTTCCTTGTGATCTGAAATCAAGTGGCGTTGATCACACGTCTATTGTTCTTTTCCACTGCGAAATGACTGAGGGGAGGACTGAAGGGCGGAAGTATGTCTTCGGTGATCAGGGTTTCAACTGTCGAATGTGTCAGACAAGGGTAGACGGGTGTGGGAGCATACAAGATTATACGCCTAGCGCTTATCTTTGGCTGTGTCCGAAAGGCTTATTTGTGGACTTGGTCGATTTCTGGATACTTAGGGGCTGGCTTCTGGGACTCGGCCACCGGTGATCAGACAAAAGATATCAGATCATTCCAATGAGATCTTAGAATGCGAAAACATCAGCTTGAACACAAGAAGAAACGAGAAGGTCTTCCTCCTGACGGTTTTCCTAACTAGAATGTAGTCTTTTTCATAAAGGCGCTCAGGCCCAAGCTCGCTCCAATTTTGAGCAGATCACGAGTTCAGCTTAGTGAGTAAAATTGTGAGAGAAGCATACACTTTGATTGCGAGAATCTTGATGAATGCAAGGCGTTAGTAAAACAGATTAGAGGAACCGGAGCCACTCTGGACCATATTGCGGTACAGGGAGACACGTACAACATGGTGTCTCTGTCGGCAGATATGACATTGGAGAAGATAGCAATGGTCTGGCTCTTGACTTCCCAACAGAGAGGTAGACAATAGTCTATAAAAGCAGCTGGCTGGAAACGCTTACTCGGCGGGAAAGCTGACAGACTTGTGCGTGCCTTTTAGCCTGGACATCTTGAGTATCTGGCAGCTTGACAAGAACAACGAAGTAACACCTTCCGAACTTCTATTAGAGGATTGCAATTATTCTTTCCATAGGTTAAAGCTATCTTCTGAAAGTAATGTAAAATCCCATAAGTCTACAGGTGACTCGCAAGCCCGTAAGTTACGATCGCGCTGGAAAGTCCTGATATTCTGTACCAAGACACAAAAGTGAAGCCAGAATTTGTAGGTCGTCTCAAAGGTTCCAAGGTTATTGCATCGAGATATTGCGCCTCGTGTGTCCTCGACCAAGAGTTGGGCACCCAAAGCGCGTTCATCGTGTCGCGTGATTTACTCGGAGACGACACTAACGAACGCCTCCCTCCACCATCAGGCAAAGCCAAGGAATCAGAGTAGAATCGATTAAATCTAGCACTTGCAATACCCTTGACCTAGATTTAGCCTCTTGCAACAACTGTGTAACGAACATTAAGACACGTGCCAGGTTATTGACCCAGAAAGATAATCATGACCATCATAGCTCATGGACTGGAAAGCCCGGTTTCAGTCGCATAAACCGCGAACCTAGCGTCTGGCAAATGACTAAGACAAGCCTGGGATCGTATCTCCACGTAGAGTCTACAAGACCCCTTTTTATCAGATCAAGACTGGACCAGAGGATGTCAACCGCCCCACCAGCTCAACCCCGCTCTCTGGTTCCTGATCCAACATTCTCATGGGGATCTGGAGCTACCATTCACCCTCATCATACCTTCAATACATCGGGCCCATAAGATCACGTTCTTCGGACGGCCATTAAATCTTGAGCCTAGAATTCTACCTCGAATCCGTGCCCCTCGAAACCGACTATCTAGCGCAATCCAGCGCAGCCTCCCGACAAGCACAAACCATCCCACACCGACTCGCAATGAATGCCCAATTATTGACATCTCAATCCCATCTGCCTTCCGAATCCGATGAGCTCCACCCAAACGAAGAGCCCAGTCCCGAGGTCCAAGTCTGCCGATCGTGGTCACTAAAGAGACTCCTCGGACGCGGAAACCGGCGGTATCGTGTCTTGGAGCGAGAGCCGAATCGGCTGCGGAAACGTGTCAGTGCCTGATATTGCGTGGACTACTAGCGGAGAATCGGCAGACGACATGTGTGAGTGTTGGCGGATTTACGTGTCTCTTCGGCCTGAGAGTACTTCGGAACTTAGGTACCTAGGGTAGGAAGCTGGTGGTGTAGGTCGTTGAGGACTGCTGGACTATTGGGCTTGCATGAAGGGCATATTCAATTAGGATTAAAGTCTTGGCTTCTGGGCACATGATTTTGATTGGCATTTTGGTTGGCGTTTACATTAACACTAGAGGCTCGGGAATCAGGGAGGAGGGGGGGATACACGAGGGACTGGAGGTGGCACTTGGTATTGTTCCTTTAGATTCGATTTACTTTACTTTGACACATACAGGAACGAAGGGGATCTTTGATTGCTTATTGCCGAGTCGGCTTTCGGCCGTTTGCATGGGGAACCCCTCAAGCCCCAATAGCTCGGACCAATTAGTCTGACTAAACGCGATAAGCAGAGTGCATGAATGTTAGAGGCTCAATCAGAAGCTGCGGCGTGTTTGCTTTCTATTTTCAGGTGGGTCAACCGTGGGTTTGGGTCCCAGTGTAGGGTCATTAGGTACTAGATTGGCCCGCCTTCGCGCTATTGATCCCAAAGGGGTAAAGGCTGGGCCGGGTACTTCGGTTCAGAATGCGCTGCATGTCCTGATGCCCAATATTGTCTCTTAGACTCGGGGAACTGCCTTCTGATGTCCAGGTGATTTTGGTGAGTTCGATGGACACAATATCGGGTTACAGGAGTGGGTGTGGTTGATCGAATTGGCAATTGTCTCAGTTGGAAGCGGGGGACTCGGCTAGACTGAGATAGACTGAGGTAATCTGAGACCGTCTAGGTCTTCTAGGTCCTCTTGGTCTCTGGCGCCGGGGTTCTGGAGTCCGACTGTGCCGAGTGCAGGGCTTAGACGCTGGCAAGTGTCCAATATCCAGTGTCCCGTCTCCGCTGACCTCGGGAGGGATTGCCCTGTGACGAATGGCCTGCTGATGCTGATATGTCATATAAGGGTTCTGGGAGGAAACTGGAATTGAGACTGAGACTGAGACTTGGCGATGGGATGTATCAAGCAGAAAGCAAAAAGAGAGCTGAGCTGAGCCGATCTAAACGTGATCGTACTACCCCAAGACAAGAGGCAGAGGACAGCTTTAGCGTTGTACTGAGACCCCTGCAATGACAGAGCACGGTCCAATCCGAAGAGAGTGTGGCAGGGGAATCTTTCTCGAACAGAGCCACGCAATTTCCCTGGTACCACTAACACCGGATAGGAGATGGACCTGATTGAGTACCAGTCTCCAGTGCCCCTCCTAAGCGCACATCCCAGAACCCCAAAAAAACAAAGCTCACGTTCACTAGCACGTAGTTCTGACCGAATCGGCAATAACCTAGATGATCACCCCCACCAGTCAGTACTGTACAGTAGCCAAGTCCCTGCAGGCTGGCCGAGTGTGCAAATCTGCAGAGATGGGTCAAAAGTTAAGAGGCGTGTTGTGATGGGCCATGGGACAGGAGGGCCCCAACCACGAGTTGCGTAAGATCGACTCCATCCCCGCGTGTCAACCCAGTCAAAGGCATCTTTCTCAATGAGCCCGCTTTCGGGGTCCACCGGGCGCCCAACGGCGGCCTTGGCTCGGAAGTAATGGCACGCGCGCTGTCCACGAGATCGAGTCTCCCGTTATATCCGCGAGGGGAGAAAGGAAGGGGGTGAGAGAGACCTTGATTGAGGAAATCAGAGACCTGGCTGAATGCATAGACTCGTCATGATCACTAGTGCTTTGGTCCTCGAGTTTAGCACAGATCGCTTGCACAGTGACGGTGTAGAAGTGGATGTGATCCCCCCACAAAGCCAAATGACGAAATGGGACTCGCCGATCCCCTGAGGACGTACAGTAGGACATAGGGCGTGGGACTTCGGATCGTATCTTCTACCCGTGGCCTGAGTGTCATGCATAGGGGCAGCAGGTACCAGGTACAGTGTGACCTGGGTCCCGGGATGCTCTGGAAGGCGAATTTATGTAAAGGCATCCCAAGAATGCCGGATGATCTTGAGGGACAACCAAATATGGTGCCTGGCCTTGCCTGGTGTTCTGGGCCCTCTTGGGGGGGGGGGCTCCTTTGGGGCCTTTTCTGGTCTCTGGTCCATTTTCCGCTCATTTTTTTGTATTTTTATTTTTTATTTTTTTTTAACCCATTTTTCCATTTTCCATTTTCTCATTGTTGAGGTTCCATTTCTGACTCCCCATCTTCCAAACCATTCACCGTTCATGGTCTTTCTCTCTCTTCCTGGTCTTTACGCTCTGCCACTTTGATCCACGTTCGCTGTTTATTTACCTTCGAAAACCTAAAAGGGACTAAACCCACATATGACGCCAGTGGCCGACTCTTTGCCCGACCCGCCTCACTTCACTCCATGAGTCTCATCTTCTCTGACTGAACCCGCTTCAGTGCCCTCCTGCCGTCATGGCGCTGTGGCCGTTTGGCCGGAAGAGTAAGCGGCACACCATTCAAGTCAGTCCCGACGAAGCCGCCGCCCTTCAGACCTCCCTCGAGCAGGACACCCCCGAAAGCTTGGGCCGCAAGCTTTCTCGCCGTGCCTCCAAACGGCTCAACACTCGGACGCGTACCGTTGATGGTTCGGACAGTCTAAATGACTCGGCGCGCGCCCGACCCATCTCGCTACACCACCGAATGTCAGAACAACACGATCGCCCCAATCCAGACCTGATCCCCCAGCGACGCCTGTCCTACGCCGAATCTATGCTCAAAAAACAAGCCTCCAATGGGCCTAAAAAGCTCCAAAAAAGCAAGCGCCGCACAGAGGAGATCCTACGTGAGCGGCATATTCGCATGCTGTCGTCCACTCCGATCGACATTCCGCACCGAAATCTCGCACCCGACGGCGACTATGTGCTAGAACATCGCAAGAAGAGGGCCAATGGTCGCCGTGCCGACCGCTATATGTCGGACATTAGCCTATCGATTCGTGATTCTGCTGCCTCCTCCATATCCGACAACTCGGACCCGTTCACATACAAAGTCAACGCCTTCGCCGCGCTTACTCCCCGTCCCGTTGTTCGCTATGTCGAGGCGCCTCGTCTCGCGACGGCCCGAAGCCAGGAGCCTGCCAATAAAGAAACCGTTCGACGCGACAAAGATCGAATGCAGGCTTTGACTATGTCCGAAGAGAACCTGTACGACTCAAGACGCCGCGTGAATGAACTCGCCGATTCATTAGATGCCGGAGGCCTCCGCGAATTATTAGACCGGGATCGCCGACGACGAGATAAGCAACAAATTGATGATCAAGAGAAGCTAAGGCGCAAATTGCAAAAACGAGCCGATGAACAAGCGGCAGAAGAAAGGCGACAGGCGATCGAAGCAACCACACCGGAAGCTACAGAACCGCAGGCCGAACCCAAAGTCGAGATGTCGCTAGCTATGGAAGATGTTTCGGGGCAGCGGGAAGAGCAAATTCAGATCCAAATTGATGAGCCCACTCCTGTACCTGCTGAAGAACCCGAGACCTGGCTACGAGAAGAGTCAAAGGGTAGCGATGCTGCCAGGCGTGAGTCCTTGGACAGCGCCAACGCTGTCGCAAATATCGGTGACACCTCTACCCGCGAGATCCCCAAGCTTTCCACGCGCCCCAGCTTTGCGCCGTCGCATGAGATGGGCATGTCGCGAACGACCCTCTCCCCGTCCCATTCATCTATCCGCCAAGGAATCAGCACTCCCAGTCAATCCCAGACCTTTGGCATGGGTTCGGCCTCTGATCTCTCTGAACATCGGTCACCAGATAATAGTGCCCGCCGTGGAAATACGATCACCTCATTATTTCGACGGGGTTCCTCTCGCCTCAAGCGACGCTATCGCGAGCGGTTCCCCGAATCCACTCCTGACATCGCGCACTCCTCGCAGCCTTCGAACGAATCCTTCTACAGAGTTCACACTCAATCATCACCTCCCGCGCCCTCAGCCTTCCCGCCGAGAACTTTCATGTCTCCCGGCGCTGTCATGCGTTCTCAGTCCAAATTCACGGAGCACTTTGACTTTGGCGACGAGCCTCTGTCACCACCAGACTCACGGTTGCAATCTCCCGATATACCCGAGCAGGTTCCCGAATCCTCGTTGGAGAAGGAGGAGAGCACCTTCCTTCATGGAACCACGCCCAGTGCTGGTGTGGATATTATCAACCCACGTCGACGCCGCCACCAATCTTGGAACGACAGCATCGACGCCGAGTCTGACAATGTACCTCTCTCCCAGTCGCTGGCTTCGATTGACTCCGAGGGATCATGGATGTCTGGTAGCTTCTTCCGTCGGATGTCTCAAAAGCCTGGTAGCCCGGGCAGTCCAGTTCGAGCGAACATGACCTCCTTTGAAGCCGCCATGGACGGCACCGCCGATACACATGACGATTCGCGGGACTCTGTTGACTCCCGTGGAGCGAGTAGCCATGTGATGGGTGAACCGGAGCTGGATGACGAGCTGGGTGCTACCGACGCAGGCAAATCTTCCGAGATGTGGCACCGCAATGAATTCGGTCGACGGCCCATGATCGTCAATCCAACCGTCCGTCCCAAGTCCACCCAAGGCATGCTAAAGAGCATTCCTTCGCTTTCTCCCATCTCGGCAGAGGAGGATTACATTTCTGATGAAGAGACTGATCTTCCTCCCGCCCCTCAGCGAGTGGCCAGTCAGCACGGTGTAACTAGCCATGTCGAACTGCAGCAAGGTTAAATTTTCAAAGATCAACTCCTCAGGCCATGGGCCTAACTGGTCTTGAAATTGATCTGTCACTCCTTTTAGCCATTTCTTATGTTTTTTTTTCCCTTTGTTCGCGCCAGGCCTGGGGGGGTCTCGATGCTGCTATCTACACTGTACGATGTGATGTCGGGCCCAATCGGTCCGACGGTGCTCCATGTTCCCATCCCCTAAAGAATCCTTCTTGTTTCCCATTACCCCATATCCCCTCTGAGCTGAGCTTGCAATTTCAAGCTGTTCCCATTCGATTTGTTGATACCCCCAACTCGCCCCCTGTTCTGACTTTCCCAGCATCTCCCAGCCTCATGTTTCAATAGCCGGGCTGATTGGCCTTTCCCCATATCTGTTAACCACGATGCACATAATCCAGTAGATGTTCTCACTGGCTGTCTTCATTTTTGTACTGTCCCCTGATGGGTTCTTGGGTTGTCTTTCAACATAAGCGGTTTTTTGCGATTGCTGCACGATGCTCTGTCTGTGCTTCTCTTTTTCTAGTTCTTCTAGTTCTTCAAGTGCTCACTTGCACCATGTCAGATATTACTCCATAGACGCTTCCTCCAGTGTTTTTTGTATTTCATCGAGGCCAGGTTGGAGACTATCAAGAGATTGGTGCCGCTCATCCGATCACCGGTATTTGGTGTTTGGCATGACCAAGCACTCCTGGAGACAGTGAAAGGGCCTTTGAGAATTTTCAGAACATCCTCGAATGTACTTTGAGATCAGCACACTTGTATCATATATCACTCGAGCTTGTATAGAACCATTTGACTCAATACCTTCCAACTCTTCACTTGGCAATTATGTAGTTGTAATCCAGAAGCGTCCAATTCGTAAGCAGCCGAGCACGTCATCTCCACTCACAAATACTGCCCCCATCTACCGCCCTATCTCCTTTTCCGTCGGGACGTCAAAACACGCGCAATTGGACAGTTCGAGCCTAGCAAAGACCATTTGTCACAACAAATCCTACCATGCAAGCCGTAAGTCGCCCCATTCCATTATCACGCCCAATTCCTTAGGCAGACTGCGTGGAAAGGGGGGCCAGCCCATTATTCAGCTGTTCTTACCTAAGCCCCCGGTGGCCGGAACGTCATCGCCCTATAAAAAACCACCCGCCCCTCAGTGCTTGCCCCTCCTTCAAAACTGAAAAAGCTCCTAGTTCAAATCTCCCATTTTCCGTCTCGCACGCAACTCCTTGACAAGAGCTACCCCGCTGCTCGTTCGCACTCCTCTCTCTTCGCGAATTCCGTTCATCGCTCCTCGCGCTTTCTCATCTACTCCCGTCCCAAGCTTTTCAAGCTCGACTTTCAAAATGGCTGGTGGTAACGTCATCGAGATTACTTCGTACGTTCTTACTCCCCCTCCCAATGATCCATTTCCATTCCTAGGTTCACATGCTAACACGACTATTCCTCCAGCAAGGAAGAGTGGGAGTCCAAGGTCATCAACTCCTCCGAGCCCGTCCTCGTCGACTTCTTCGCCGAGTGGTGCGGTCCCTGCAAGGCCATCTCCCCGAAGATCGAGGAGTTCTCCGAGGAGCACTCCGGCGTCAAGTTCTACAAGGTTGATGTTGACAAGCTCGGCGAGGTCGCTGCCGATAACGGCATTTCCGCTATGCCCACCTTCCTTTTCTTCAAGGATGGCAAGCAGATCGAGATGGTCCGTGGTGCCAACCCTCCCGCCATCAAGGCTGCTATCCAGAAGTTGCTTTAAATGACTATTCGGCGGTTTTGTGAAATAGTCTCGTTTAATTTTTTTTATTTTTGAGATCAGACACATAATGATTCCGGGCCACTGGCCCCGTCTTTGATCCCAAACATGCAATTCTCCATTGGTCTTTGTTTCTGGTCGTACTTTGCGATCGACGTAGTGACATGCTCTTGTTCACATATCCTTCTCGCATATGCATGTGTAAGCCACCTGGGCAATGGTCATGCGCATCATCTTCCTATTTTGAGGGTAGTGCTGTTTATTTAAGGGCTCTGCGGAGAGCTGCCAAGCTGTGCACTATGATCTTGATATCTTGAAATCGAGTAAACTATTTTTGCGATTTCATAACCGTGATTGACAAACGATCTGGATATATGACTCGATCTTGTCGGCTCGATCCATAAACTCCAGATGCCTCTTTCGCTGTTGTAGTGTTGTTATATCCCACATAAAAATGAACTGCGGGTCTCGGCATTCACAAAAAAGCGGGCTTCAAAACCAACATAAATAACTCGAAATGCGATTCTTTATGTATCGAACGACTCAACTCTTACTTCGGTACCTGGGACAGCCTCGATCTATCTTTGCAACAAGGGAAAAGAGTAGTCAAAATAGCAAAGTCTGCATGGTCATCACGCTAATGAAGAGAAGAGTGACGGTGTATGTGATTAAGAAACTTGAGCTGCCGCATATCAATCTCTGAACTGATGACCTGAGTGGCTTTCAACCTTCAAGATCAGCGTCGCCCTTAGCGTACCGAAAGGAAAAGTCGTGAACTCGAGCAGAATCTTCAGCCAGGCGTCCAATATTGCTGTCGGCACTGGGTGTACCAACTGGAGAAGAGTTCGTGTCACTGAGGCCAAGGTTCGAGAGTTTGTCAAAACCCATTTTCTTCACTGGTTGGAAGCGATGAGTCTTCTGAGAGTGATTTCAGAGACGATCGGGGTGATAAGACAAGCTACAGTCTATGAGTCGAGTAAGTGATAACATGATAAAGTGGTAGGACTGTAGAGCCCAGACAGGCCGAACCCTCATGTTTCTACAGGAGGACAGTGGGTTACCTCTTAAATGAGAAACTAATATGGCTGCCTCTTGAATATCGCGAGTATTGTTGCTCCGCCATGAATGATAGTACTCTTGGTCTTGGATACCACGATGGGGAGGGAGTTTTCTTTGTTGGTTTACGCACAGATTTAATGCTCGTTGGGTTACTGCAAGGATCACAAGATAGTATAGAGCGAGATATTTCTTGTAAACTCCGCTGTAACAGCCATTGATGTGTCGTTTTTTTCCTCAACAAAGAACATCCAGCGTGTACCCGATTCAGTTGTTGCCATAGCTGGACATGATGAAGTATGGATGGATTCTTGACAGGGCTCGTCAAGGATGGCGAGGCCGACGGTGCAATGCATTTTCTCGGCCTGATACTTTGTCGAAATTTCTTTGGCGGCTTTGAGTGGCAAAGTCGTCAATTTGATCAGCCTGAGCCGGATTCTGCGTTGCTCAACAACGGGCTCCAGTCGCAAGAGTTGTTTCCGGATGAAGAATCTGATCTTGCGTAATTGACCTTGCAATTGTATACAGCTACCGAGCTAATGAGATGGAAGATAGTGCCTCGTCTCAGATTCTCCTTCCCTGACAGAAATCTTCATCGGAAATGAAACTCACATTGTCTTTTAATCGAAAGCGGATGCAAGATGTGTTCTGTGTCCCTTGGTGAGAAATTGGTCAACGCATATAGTTACTTAGATCAGTCTAGATTAATTACGGCATGTGGGCTCCTTGACATTTCAAATAGAGCATACTGTAATAGAAGGCACACCAATCCCGCGAGAAAAAGCTGTCAGGTATAAGCGCAAGATGCAAACACCCTAGAACGAGCGGAGCTAAGCTTCGGCGTTGAGAGATCCTTTAGGGGTCTTTTCGTTATTCGCTTAATCTCACAAGTTTTGTACCCACTTAGTTCGCGCATGATCGATGAAAAGAAGATGAAGATGAAGCTAATCTCGGTAGTAGGATGAGGCGGCCTGATTGGTTGCGTGGAGCCTTTCAGCTATGTCAGCTACTGTGGAGCACACTGCGCCAAGGCGTGGAAAGATTGTTGTATTTTCCCTGCCTCTCTTGTAGCAGGAAGCAACTGGGGAGGACGAATTTCTACATTGTGTCATTGCCGAAAAAGATTATAACAGTCACCTGATTCGCAATAGAGATCCCCGAAATGGACTCTCAGGATAAAAGTTCGTAACTGGGACGATTTCGACGGTAGTCAAAGACGCTACGCTGTGGCGGACCATGAAATGGGTCCGACTTCTTGATGAAACAAGCCATGCTAAGCGATAGGCCAGGTGGAGAATAGGGAGTCCTTTACGCGGGTCTAATTGAAGATTGAAGAGGACAGACAGAGGAGAGAATTGAGGGTTCCTCATGTTAGGGTCCGCCAGGAGCAAAGCAGGGACGGGGAATACAAGGAAGAAGCTCAGACCCGAGTTTGTGGCTGTGCATCATGCAAGTGATTGCTTCCCCTCATAGTGTGACCAGTCAGCTGTTGTGGCCGCACTAACAGATTACCGTCGGATCAAGCTAATGCTAGGACTCTTAAGGACCGGAATTTTCATGCGCTATTCAACGTTCGTTTGGAACGAGGCCAAGAATAATGTGTTGTTTTAAGAGACAAAGATTTAGGCAATTAATGGTAGTCCCAGAGGTGAAGCGATGGCATAGATTTCTTTCCCAGGCGTCGGGGCACTTGGCTTTGTACCTTCAAAGGCTACGCCATGCGCGGACCACTCGCCTCAAGCAGGAACTCCATGGCAGGGTCTGCAACCCATCCAGATCATAACTATTGATTAATTCAATGGTCCTCAATAGCCGAGGCACCGTTGGACGCGTGACACACTGTTAATCTAATTGTGGGCGACATTCCAGATCCTCATAGATGACTCGGGAAGGTTCCAAGGTTTGCCTGACAGCCACGGGAGGGCGAGGCCGGAGAATTCTACCATTGACCGTGGAACCAACCCACATGTCACAGCCATGTGAACCTCTCCAGGTTGAAAGGTTCGGTGTGCCTTCCAGGGCTGGACTCGTCACTCGCCCCCGGATATTATGTGTCGAGCTTGGTAGGACCAGAAACCCTTCTGCAAGTGCCTCCATTCTGGATTCTCCTCGATGGGGACATTGTAAACGGCGGCCAACGTCGTCCGGGCAGCCGGTGGCGGTATGAGAGTGGATCTGGCAGGTGCCGGAATTCAACAAAGTGAATCGGATCAGACTGAATGTCCCAGTGAGATGGATCAGATCGGTACTTTGTTGACAAAACGCTCGAGCTATCGGTCGCATCAGCCATGGGCGAGCCAAAACACGCCCACCGTGAACCAGTGCACAGGATGGCGCTAGTGCGATAGATCGGGACTACGGGTCTGTATTCCCTTCAGGACCCGAATCACACACCCTATGAGCCCGTTGCGGGATAGCGCGAACAATTTCACATACCTGTCCTGAACCAGAACCGCGGTTCATGTGCGGCTCTAGGGGCCTGGCAATTTATCTCGAATCCATCTTCAGCAAGTCCCCGTCGTGTCTCCGTCTCACATGGCTCTCACGCAGTGATAGACGCCCATCAGCGCTAAGATAGTTTGTCGGCATTGTGACTGATCGTCCGGGATAAAGTGCAGCTCCGAATGCGAACTCTGTGATTGCCTTCAGGCACGCAGGAGAGAGCTCCGATTTTGCCCAGTTACGTGGGGCTTTTAATCTATTCAAACTTCATTTGTCAGTGACGAAAAGCCGCAGCTGAAGCCCGAGCTGGTGGTGTAGGGCCCCAAGTAACGCCACGGAGGGGCCGAACGCACCACCGTCCACAAAACATGCACACACACACATTTAGACTGCAGCAGATCTACCAGCCCGTTCACTGGGGGTCATACCTCGTATAGCATACTCATACGCCTTGTTCATTGCCAAAAATACCGAAGAATCTTCTCATTGCATTATCACCGCGTAGCGAAAATCCACGATGTTTTCAATTTGGACAACATTTTACTGTCAGGAACTAAGCCCGAACAGGGCGACAGCACCGGGGGACCAAGGCTAGGTCGCTTGTGATGCGCTCCGATCGATCCCCGGGCCCCATCGTTCTTTACCCACCTGCGATCCGATCTAGATCTAGCCTGGCCTATGTCCTGCTTCGTGTGCGCAAATACCACTCTCGTTTCAAAAGTTCCGTCTGACAGGGGTCCAAAGCACCCATCCCGGATTTCGGATAGTCCACATCTGATCAATCCAAAACAGGTTTGTTCTCCAGTGCTCTTAGTGCGAAATCATCAGCCCGAATCCACTCTTCCGGTTGGACTGTAATGCCATGCGACGGTGGGACGGGCCAGATACAGGACCAAGCGCGCCTGCGAGTGGGCCTCCTCGTTGTTCTGGGAATCGCAATCTGGGTCTCTATCGCTCACATTCGGGGCGTGCGATTCGTCCGACGCCATGCATGCCTTAGTTAACTGCGCTGGCCACGGGCAATATGCGAGTCCAGATGGTGCCCGCTGATCTGGGGTTATAAGATATCACGGTCGTCGCTCCGGGAGATGATCTTTCCCTGATCCACACAATCTGTATAATCACTCAACCATACCTGTGGTTATTCCCACTTCATCTATGCCGGTCTGATAACATCACTGCAGTCGATTTCTCGGCTTCGTCAGCCTTACACAACATCTACGCCGCTAGCCGATGCGAGGATCGCTGTGCGTCACCATACAGCATCTAGCAACATGACCAGTGCAGGCGCTCAAGATGAAACACCCGCCCATATCTCATACCTGGCCGGGTACATCTTCCTCTCGTATGTGATCAGCTCCATGGGATGTGCAACTACCCTTGAGCTTCTGCATCGCAGAACATCCAGATCTGGTTTCTACAATTGGTACAATTTCTTTTCTTTCCCACTCCGACTTTCCACTAACATGAACTAATCAAAAGGTATCTGCTCCTCACTTCCTCCATCACCATGGGCGGTATCGGGATTTGGTGCATGCATTTCATCGGCAATCGTGCGATTGTCCTCGGCGATGGAGCACAGAACATCCAAATTTTCTATAATGTTGCTTTTACCGGAACCTCCTTTGTACTCCCCGTCGTCGTTCTTCTTGCCGCCTTCTACTCCGTCGGGGTTGAAGAGAAAGCGAGTTACGTTCGTATCCTGCTCGGAGGTTTTCTCACAGGAAGCTCTGTCTGTGGCATGCACTATGTCGGCCAACTCGGTATTTCAAACTATAGATGCGCCTATAATGTCGCCAACGTTGTCGGATCCGCAGCTATCGCTATTTTCTCGAGTATCGCTGCGCTTGGAATTTTCTTCCGATGGAGAGCGTCATGGACTGATAGTTGGTGGAGACGTGGTATCTGTGCCTGTTTACTTGCTGCTGCTGTCTCGGGCATGCACTGGACTGCAGCCGTCGGTACGAGCTACAGAGAACGCGAAACGTCCATCCAGCAGGGATCTCAATTGTCGCGAAGCCAGACTGTCATTGTCTGTGCTGTACTAGTGAGTTTACCTTCGTTTGATTGGGTTGTATTGACAGCTAACCACTCGTCAAGGCCTGCGTCTCGTGTCTGATTCTGTCCGCCTGTGCCATTGTGGCCGGTGGGAACCGACGACGATCGACTACTCGCGCGCACCAGCTTGTGCTCGCGTGTGCTTACTTTGATCCTGCTGGACGTGTTATGGTCACCCCGCAAGCGCTTCTGCCGCTTCGGAAGGTCGTCGATCACTACATTGGACGGGTGCGCTATGCCAAAAGCATAACTCAATCTATCAAGCTAACCGTTAATGCAGACCTTTAAAGATGACGATCTGACCCGCACTCACCCGACCTTCCTCTGGGCCTTCAGAGCAAGCCGAAACTGGCCCGTTGTGAAAGATCTTATTCCCTTCATGCGAAACCGTCTGGACTCCGAACAGCGCGCTATTCGAAGACACGTCATTACTCGCGGGGTTGTTATGGACAAGGATACCGAGCTGCAGACCGATTTCGATACCCTGTTCAAGCAGCTCTTCTGTGTGACAGCTCAGGAGATTTCCGACGACCTTCGCCAGCCCCTACAAGATCTGGGAACCTTATACGACGACGTCCTCTCAACAGCGATTCCTCTCTCACGACTTTCTCGAGCTATGGGTCGTTCATCGCTGCGTACAGGCAAGGGTCAGCTTATGTTTAGTGTTAAACAGCTACAGAAGCATGAAGCAACTCGCTTTGCCTCGATTGGATTCCGTTTTGCGACCATCGAGCATATCACATCGACCCTCTCCCGCCGTATCCATGTCCCAGAGCCGACTCTCATTGAGCGCCTGCGGGATATGCGCGACTACGCATCCTCCAACCGTACTTTCGGGGAGGGTGTTCACCTTATCTCGTTCGTGATGCGTCCCACCGTCGCCGACCATTTCGAAATTCTCACCACCAAGGGCACCGGTAACCCGTTACCATCTGCTACCTTGCCCTTGAAACGACTGCAGGTGCAACATCTCGATCTCATTTCTCACATGGAAGGCTGGTCAATGAACTTCTGCTTGAAGTATCTCGCATCCTCAGCTGCCAAACAATCCGATTCCGCAATTGACGAGTTTCGTCAATACCTCATGGACGGAATCGCCTCTCTCTCCAAAACACTCCCAGAGGATATGCGTGCAGCGGCGCGCTTTTCTGCTCGACCTCTCGTAACACCCTGCCGTACTGCAGGCCGATTCTCAGAAGAAGACTTGAAGCCCCAACAATGCACCCTCCTCTCATTCTGTGTCGTCGGCACCCTTGACACACAGGTCCCCAATTCCGACTTCACATTCACTCCCTTCCGTCTTTTCCGCGTTCAGCAGCAAGTCAACGACAGCATTGCCGACCGAGATGGATTCACCCGCGAGCTCAGTCAGGAGCTATTCATTACTGACGTTCGCTCCGGCTCAGTAGCGTCAGAAGCAGATATTCTGGCCACGACAAAGAACGCGTTCCTTCGCATGTGGCCGTCTCGAAAGGCATCTACTTCTGGAACAATGAACTCTCAGGAATCATTATTTGAGACCCCCACAGCCCTTGGTGATATCACAGTGCAGAAAGAGGTTCGTGTTGACGTTAGTCGGCTCAATGAAAACGCAGCTCACAACCCCGTTGGCACACACGATGCTATCATCGCGGCGGGTGACGATGTCACCACCCCGACCACATACGTGGATGAACTGTACAGTCTTTGCTATGAGCCAGGCATCCGTCTCCGTCCGGACTCGACATTACAACACATGCAGCGCAAATCCGAATTGTGATCTTTTCATACGCACCGCTGGGAGGATATCTGGTCGGGAGTCTTATTGGAAAACAAGATATCTGATTCTACGATCGATTGCAAATACGCAAAGCTTGTATATCATAAATTCTCTTTACAAATGACGAATGAGAAAAAAAAAAATTTGAACTCATCCATTAATTACTACACTTCCCCTTGGACTATGAAGTCATCAATCAGGGACGATTCGCAACCACAATCTCATGACACATTTCAAGATAGGAAAAAAAAGTTCGCTCATACCTAATGCACACTAGACTCCAGAAAACCACATGCAAGGAATTCCCTTACAGAGAAAAGAGATTGCGAGAAAGCTCACGTCGCATTAGGATCTTGCCGCTCCAAGAACGAAGGATCCATATCAATGCGCCTCTCAAACTTCGTCCACCAATCTCGGAAGCTCTTAAGCGGCACGACGTCTTGCCCTTTCGTCGGATCCGACTCAGCAAAACTAGCCAGGAAATTAAACGCGCTGCCGATAATGCGCTGCGCAAGAACCTTCGTCGACAGCTGTTTCTGTTGCGCCTGTTCCGGAGACAACCTGATCATGGCGGTGGACTGAGATTGAGATTCGCGCGAAGCCTCAGCTTCCAGCGCGGACAGCTGCGGAGCGATGATCTCAGCAGCCTCGATTGAAATGCCCAATGTTACGACACCATTGGGTGGGCCCGCTTGTCCGGCTGTGCCCTCGTCGAGCATCTCGTCTTCCTCTTCGGCTTCTGAGCGACGCGCCCCGTCGTTGGAGGGAGTCTTGATTGTGAAGATGCCAGAGGGCTTTTCGTTGGCCAACGCGCCGATGAAGCGGAACTCTGAAGGGTTTCCGGTATTTGGGTCCGGTGTCTGGACGTAGATTGCGGCGCCTGTGCCTGGTGGTAGGACTGTTCCCGGCAGGAAGAAGACTACTAGTTCGCTGAAGGATGGGTTGAGCGGGATGTTGAATGCGAACTTGGTTGCTTGACCATTCGGTTGGCTGTCAAGTGGGACGATATCTGTTAGGCACGGACGGCCCGGAATGACGACGGAAAACATGATTGAGAGTCGAGTTGCGTACAAGTAGTGTAGGCAATTGAGGAAATGAACTTTCGTTGTTCGAGCTTCTAACAGATTCCAGGATTCGGTGACATAAGAGCGGGGAGCTGGCCCTTATCGGGCCGATAAGGGCTTGGCGTTGATCTTGAGTTGACTGCGCTGCGAACCTTGACTTGTACAGGTCTTGAAGAATCTTTAAGCACTATGGGAAAGACCAATCTGGAGCTTGTTCGCGAATGCGATAAGTACTGAAGCTCCTATCTAGTCTTGCAATTCGTTTTCTGACGCCCGCAGCTTCCCCTACTATGAGGACGACCGTGCCGCCTACACGGAAAACCTCAAAAACTATCACGCTTTCCGAGTATTTGGCTGCGATGCGACGCTAGGATATGTTCTGAATTCGGTCATCGAGAAATTCCCGTGGACCGAACACTGGGCTATTGACTCCGCCGCGAAGACATTGACTCTAGTGACACCCGCCGACGCAGACCCCGCTCTTCGCAGCAAATTGGTCGCAGAGAGCATCGCAGAGGCCGCCAAGCAAGGTACCTTCGAAGTGCTGAAAGGATGGCGTAATGAGAACTACCCTGTGTACGGACCGGGTGGCGAATATCTTCTTGAGATGGAGCGCTGCGCATCATGTCTCTTTGGCGTCGTCACCTACGGCGCCCATATGACCGCCTACGTTGAGGACGAAACAGGACTTAAATTATGGATCCCCCGCCGCGCAAAGACTAAGCAGACATATCCCAGCATGCCAGACAACACCGTGGCGGGCGGCATGTGCACCGGAGAAAGACCATTCGAATGCATCGTTCGCGAAGCAATGGAAGAAGCCTCCCTCCCAGAAGCCGAAGTCCGCCATTTGATCCGCGCCACAGGCTGCGTGACATACCACCATGTGCGTGATGTGCGCGCCGGTGGCGAGACTGGCCTCTTGCAGCCTGAGGTCGAATACGTCTACGAATTGAAGCTTGATCCGTCGGTGGTTCCCACGCCATGCGACAATGAGGTCGAAGAGTTCAAGCTGTTGTCAATCGATGAAGTCAAGGAAGCGCTCGCACGGGGTGAGTTTAAGCCTAACTGTGCTGTCGTTATCATTGACTTTTTTATTCGCAATGGTCTTCTTACGGCGGAGAACGAGCCAGATTTCTTGGATATCCAGGCGCGCCTGCATCGTCGGTTGGAATTCCCAACGGCGTCGCACGCCCAGAGGTAGATATTTGCATTTTGTATATACAACATGAACTGATATAGATCAACTCACGCTACTTGAGCTTCATTCATTACGCTGCTATTTCCCCATCTCGTATAACTAGCCGCAGACATATGGTGAATGCAGAATTATGGCCTGAACGCGTCAGGTGATCCCGAAATATTGCCTTCCACTGTTCAGAAATAAATTACGGAGACTGTTCCTTACGAGAACGAAGATCGATTTTTAATAGACGATCATCTATTGGTATTCCCAAATCAGAATGCAAAAAAAAAAAACGCCAGCGCTGCACAACCCGACAAAGAAGATATGAACATCTGCCCAGATCAAGTACACCCCGTAACTTTTTGCCCTTGAATATTTACTTCGAGGCAAATTCCGACCATTAGCGGTACAAGTCAGACACCAATTCAACAAGATTGATCTATTTCTTCAGAAGCAAGTAGACGTGGTCGATCCGCAGAGGAGCGAGCTTCTTGTAGGGACCCTCAAGATAGAGAAGCAGACCTCCGAAAGAAATGAAGACAGCCCTGTAAGAACAATGCATGTCAGTTAAAGATCCACGAATAGAATCTGCGCGAAGAGAACCATTGCATAACTCACATGGTATCCTTGGTAGCACCTTCTTCGAATCGGTAAACCTTGCCATGGCAAACGTAGTCGTAGTCGTTCGCGAGAGTCTGATCGCCGTTGGCAACCTCTCGCCAGCTGTTTCGGGTATCCTCCTTGCCGTCAAGAGACAGGGTCGAGGCCAAAGCCAGAGAGAGCGACTCGCCCACCGCGCACGGGTAGAGCTCCGAGTTCACATCGAGAGTGAATGTGATAGAGGCATCGTTGGAGGTACAGGTCAAGCGCGACACACGGTCGTACTTCTGGGCGTTGATCGCGGTGATCGTGAAAGTGTCTTCGAACAGAAGCGGGTCCGACATTATGAGATTGTGTCTTGTGGTAACGCGATTAACGGGTATGCAAAGAATTTGAAAGCTTGGCGCCTGGAATCGTTGTGTTGAAATCCCAAAGGTCTCGGACGTGAAAGCGGTTGGCGGGCGAAAAGTTGCGGAAGGTAGGATCTGAAGGTGGAGTCGGAGTTCTGAAGCTTTTCTTTTTTTCTGCCGGTGTTGGTTCCCCGCCGATAACGATTTGCACTCGACTGCAACGCATCGACTATTACATCTCTCGATTTTCAGTTTACTGACTGTTTCACAAACGATGTCCTTTCGCAAGCGTAACATCGGCTTGTCAGCAGGTATCGACCGTACAGCTGTTCCCAATGCCCCACCACAGCCAGCTCCAGAGTCCAATCCAGGAATTCGCCCCTCCCCCGATGATGGACGCCCAACTACTTCTACTGGAACGCCTTCGCTAGACAATCTAATGGCTGGCCATGCAGGCCTTCCCATGGGCAAATCCTTATTAATTGAGGAGAATGGAACGACGGATTTTGCAGGTGCATTGCTGCGATACTATGCGGCGGAGGGAGTCGTCCAGGAACAAAAGGTTCATGTTGTTGGAGTACCCGAGCAATGGGGTCGCAGTCTTCCTGGGTTGATCGGCACAGCGGACTCGCTGAACGACAAGACGTCAGACAAGCGCAAGGATGAGAAGATGAAGATCGCATGGCGATACGAGCGACTAGGCGAGTTCGGCGCGGGCATTGCGGGATCGCGAGATGGTAAGCTTCTCGCGCATGTGTCGTACATATATATTGAGCTAACAAATGAAAGCTCCTGCCCCTGCAGCGGCTGGAGATCAAGGTGGGAAGCCGCAGTCCGCCTTCTGTCACGCCTTCGATCTCACTAAACGTCTTGCCCATCCGTCTATTACTAATATGAAATTTACTCCGGTGATGGCCTCAAGGGAATCGCCATTTACTGCCATCTTGAAACGACTGCGAACCGCCATCGCCTCGGACAGTCCGAGTACCATTCACCGAATCGTCATTCCCTCATTGCTCAATCCCACCATGTACCCACCAAACGCCTGCCAGCCCGAATATGTGCTGCAATTCCTCCATGGTTTGAAAGCTTTGTTGAGCGCATTCGCAACCCGAGTTACCGCTATGATAACCCTCCCGTTATCACTGTTCCCTCGCTCAACCGGCCTGGTCCGCTGGATGGAGCTACTCAGCGACGGTGTCATTGAACTCTGTCCTTTCCCGCACTCCTCTGATGCCCTGGCAGCCTCTGGAGGTGCGACATCATCAGAAGAGCCGCCGCAAGGTATGCTCAAGACTCATCGTCTTCCAGTATTGCACGAACGTGGCGGCGGCAGTGATCAGAACGTGGGATTGGACTGGGCGTTTATCTTGAGTCGTCGGCGTTTCGAGATCAAGCCTTTCAGCTTGCCACCGGATGAGGGTGACAAAGAGGCACAGGAGGCATCCACTTCCGGGACAATGCCTAAGAAATCCGATCTGGAGTTCTAAGAGGTGCGCAACAGCCTGAAATTTAATACTCGTCCTCTTCATCGAAGGGGCGGTGAGTTCCCGGCTCGGCCAGCATATCATCCATTTCGATCTGCTCCGACATGGCGGGTCCTGAATTGGCCATAGTTCTGAGGTAGCTCTGGCCATATGCCATGCCCGGTCGCGCTGAAAAGCCTCCTAGGCGGAAGCCATTCCCTAAACAAGATGAAGCCGCGAGCCATGCTGTTTGTGTCAGCACATTTGTCGTCCTCGGGATCGGGAGGGGTGAAGTATATAGAATCTCACCTGCGAAAAGCAGCAAAGGGGCGAAGAAGACCAAAAATAGCAAGAGAAGGAAGTTCATCGCGAAATATGCCGTCTCATGATGAAGCTGAAGTTCAACGGCAGAAGCAGAGCCGCGGGGAGCCAAGACCGCCTCCCAAACAGGACAAGCGCGGGCGGAGCTTCACAAAACTCGGGTTTTCGCTTTTTTCTTTCTTCCACTTCTTCGAGTCTCTGGCTTTGCTGGTCAAATCCCAGACTCGTCTCGCTAATGGTAAGTCTTTGCAACTTTTATATGATCTTCCCCTCCTTGCATGATTATCCATCTACAAATCTGTCAATCCCCTGAAAGCTCGTTATAATCTCAAAAAAATTGAGCGCCGGTGACTGAGAAACGTATTGAAAATGATATGCCTCGAAACCTTCATTCCTTTCAACTTGCAACTAGTGTTGATGAGCAACTGCTAACATCGCATTTGTTTCAGATTCTATGAAAACGCCCTAAAGATGGATTCCCAACCTACACTCCCCATTCCGATCTCATACATATCTGGTAGATATTTGCTGTTCTCAATCGATGCCGTGACCTATCTCCGACGCGAGCACAACATCTGCGGTGTGTTGATCGGGACCCTTCCTCAAATCCCGCAGCAAAATGTGTTCTTGGGTCTGCCGCTCGAGCTGATGCCCGAGGAGGCGCGGGTGTTGGTAGACAGGGATGTAGCTTGCATTGTAGACGAAGCCAAGGCCCACGATGGCATGAAGTCGCTCATAGAAGAGGACCGCCGACAGTATCTACGCGAACTAGAATCCCAGGGTCTCCACGCCTCGCGCATCCTGGCGGACCGCAAGGACCAGCAACGAGAGCAGGCGCTGAAGAAGCTAGGCGAGAAGGCCAAACTCAAGGCTGCGAAAGCCGCAGAAAATACCTCTGCTTCCTCGGCGCCAAAGGATGAGCCATCGCCTGTGCTGGATATCTTCGACAATGGCAGTAATACGGCCTCTCGGTCTGCAGACATAACACCCGAATCTAAACTGGCGATGGCCATCACACCTGCGACATCCTATCCACCTCTGCCTCAGCCCACCTCGTCCAGCCGAATTCTCTCAAAGCCTGAAGTGCCCTTGTCGTACCCACTCTTCGCTCACCTCCACTCGCGAGGCTACTTCCTCTCGCCTGGACTGCGCTTCGGATGTCAGTACGTGGCCTACCCCGGTGATCCTCTTCGCTTTCATTCGCATTTCCTCGTCGTGTCGGCGGAATGGGACCAGAACATCGATCTGATGGACATCATCAACGGTGGTCGTCTCGGCACTGGTGTGAAGAAGGGCTTTCTTCTCGGTGGGCCAGAGAAGACTCGCGAAGAAGTCGACTCCGAGGCTGAGCGAGTCAAAAGCGTTCGTGCCTTCAGTATTGAATGGGCTGGCATGTGATTTGTTTTCGCCTCGAGCTTTTGAATGACATCGAACATGCCGCTTGACGGTCTCGTGGCCTGCAAAGCAGCCAGAACCCACTGAACGAGTGCATCGAACGGGACAATAGCATTTTCTACAACTCTTGGGACTTCGCGACACTGCTCGCGATGTTGAGTCCCTCAAACCCAGTCCAGCACCTACCCCATGACGACCAAACTTTCGGTTTGCACCGTGGACGGATGCACGCCTTGAGAGTTGGCCTTGATATTCGAGGTATTTCTCGAAACATGAGCCATCTACTTACATGGGTTTATGCTTCTATTTGAAATACTCAACTAAGCTATGTTGCGTAACATTGGCTATCAAGTTACTCTTCACACATGGCTCTGGTGACCTACCCACGCTTGCAATCGTGGCTCGACTTTTATCAGATACCCTACATGACAAAGCAATTTATACCAACACCTTGAGCAATCCTGGCTAGTACCAATTGTAACTATCCCTTGAGCGTTATTTTGTTCAAGTCGGGCTAGATAGTCTACCGTTGGTGTGGAGTAGTGACTCGAAAGGATAGGTTAAAAGGGTATCATATTCGGAGCATGTAACTTCTATGAAATAGCCATTCGAAGCTCCTTCGCATAAACAAGATTCACAAATAATCAACATTCCTCCACTTGAACTTCTTGTTTGCCCGATCAACAGGCCGATTCTCAAACTGGCTCCCATGTAATTCAAACTCCAATGGCTTCGGCTTTTCACCATTCCCTTGCTCCTCTCCATCTTTCAATTTCGCAGATTTCGGAAAATCTACCGTAAAGCGGAAAATGCTATGCTCTTTCGGTATCGCTATCATAAATCATCAGCATTCAAAATCATTCCTCCTCTCGCAGAGACTAGACTCACTCTTCACCTGATCCTTCTCCGTAACAATCACAAAGGTGAACTTCGTATCTCTTACAACGTATCCCTTCAACCCGACCCTCCCCGCAGACCGACTTCTCACAACCTCGATCTCTGCACCATGATAATCCGCACTGACGAGCTTAGCACCATGCGACGCGGGTGTCACGAGTCCGCTTCTCCCATCAGCTTTTAGATCAAGGATTTCCTGCATATAGGTCGTCCACAGGTCATGTAGACCTTTGAAGATGGCGTATTTACATTCTTCTTTAGGGAGGTCGTAGAGGCCTGTCGTGCGCTTCTCGCGTGCGGATAGAGGGCGCGGGCGTTGGTGTCGCAGAAAATATTCTTTCTTACGGAGGCGGTGGAGACGTCTTCTCGAGCGGTTGTCAGAGGCGGACGGAGAGGTTGGGCGCAGGAAGAGGGGTTTTTGTTTAATGCGCTCGGTGAATTGTTGGGATGCTGTGTCGGGGGAATGGGCGCGCGCGAGGAGGGTTTGAGCGATGTGGGTGGTTGGCGCGGAAGAAGAAGATGTCATTATGTAGGTAATTGAATTTTTGGCCAGGATGTAAGAGGTGTCTGGTATTTCAGGGCCCTCGAGGTGGGTTGTGTCGGTGTTCGAGTTCAAGTTCGAGTTGGAGTTGAAGTAGGGAAAAATTGTTTGATGTCACCCCCCGATAAGAGTTATCATCGCGGGACTGTAACCTACACCTTTCACTGTTGATCCTGACCTCATCTAGGTTGAAGTGCAATTCTATATCTTATTTCTATATCTCTGATTTAAAGTCTTGCCAGAGGACTGTTGGATTGAACAATTCCTACGCTTGACGGACTGATCTCAGAAATAGACTTACAGCCTGCCAACTGCATACACCTCTGGAACTCCTCGTAAAGGATCTTGAGCATAAGCTCGACGCCTTCCTGTCCATTGTACTAATGGAAGCAGTCAGTCTATTTCTGGATTCATACCAGAGCTATTGAGCTATCTTGTAGGTATGAGACTCACCGCTAGTCCCCAAAGCATAGGACGACCCACCCAGCAACACTCCGCTCCCAAAGCCAAGGCCTTGAAGATGTCACTGCCGGATCTGATACCTCCGTCAATATGAATCTTGATTCTTCCACGTGCAGCCTTCGCACAAGCAGGAAGAAAATCGATCGTCGCCGGTGTTTCATCCGACTGCCGTCCACCGTGGTTACTAATGATCACACCCTCGCAACCATATTCGATTGCCGCTTCAACGTCCTCGGGTGTCAAGACGCCCTTGATCCAAATCTCCATACGGGTGAAACTGCGCAACCAAGGAATTTCTCTACTCCAAGAATGAGAATTCGAGTTGAAAGATGCGAACCCGTCATCATGAGTTTGCGACTGGATCTGCTCGGACGTCTTTTCGATCATCGGATATGTTAGCCCGGCTGGTAGTTTTAAGGCCATCGTTACGCCATTCATTATATCGCACGCCGAGAACAGGACTATCTGCAGTGAGAAAGATGGCTTTGCATCCTGAAGCCTCTGCGCGACGAATAATTCGAGCTTCTTTCTCGCGATCTGTCATTGAATGTAGTTGCATGACATGATGAATTGACCCGATCTCTTGGCCTGCAGTAGTAATCTGCTCGACTGAATGGTTGGCATAGGTCGAGACACCCATATTGATACCACCCTTGGCGCATGCTCTACTTGTTGCCAACTCTGCGTCTGAATGAGCCATGCCTTGTAGCCCTGCTGGAGATACGCAGAGCGGGAACGCGATGTCCCGGCCGAAAACGCTAGTCTTTGTGCTGACTTGAGACACATCTTTGAGCACTCGAGGTAGAAGGCGGTACTTCTGATATGCTGATGAGTTTTCCCGCACTGTTACTTGGTTCGTTGCGCCGGAGTTGAAGAAGTCTGGTTATCAGTACCCCTCATTAATTGGGGAAGAGAATGTTTAGACTGCAATTTGGACATACCTCGGATCGCCACCGGGAGCTTCTTGGAAGCGGCAGCTTCAAGATCTGAAATGGATAAAATCTTTTCTACTGTCATACTGGGATAGCTTTCACACTACAGATTGTCGAGGCAGAGGAGTCGCGGGATGGGCTAAAATCTGGAGTGGGCCGGCCCAGTATCCTGCGAAGTTGCACTCCACATTTGGGGTCATACTTGGAGGCTAGGTAGAGAAGTCACGGAGAGACATGATGTTCTTGGTCTGATCGACTAACACTGTTCTTTCCCAGGTTTCTAGAGTTTGGGCACTCGGTCAGGTTCCGCATGCCTTGGAATAGTCTAGGATCATAGCGAGGCCTCTCTCGCCAAGAATGACCTGATAGGAATGGTGACTGCCGAGAAATCGATATGGATATTGTATTGAAAGTCTCACAAATTTTTCTGTTAGAACGTGATGTTACATATTCAACCTGGACCACTGCTTAGATGAATGTCGCCCGATTCACAAAGTTAAATCCAGATTCGTCTTGATCCTCGGCTTGTACTGCTTCCCCGCATGGGCAAATTGTCACAAGTCCATTATGATTTAAATAACAGTAACCAGGTGCTTCGGCTACCCGGATCCAACAAATTACTTGAGCATCCTACTTTTCAAAGAGAATTCCCATTCTAGTATCATATTTGGCCCGATCTCAACCATGCAATCCGAGGCGAGTTACGCAGAAATCCAAAACAACTTTCCTGGACTCCCGCCTTTCCCAGATGATGTCCCCACCGCGCCTCTATTGCGGCTCTCCCTAAAAAAGCTATTAGCGGGAGACTCGACGGAGTGTGAGCGAGTTTTTCAAACTTGTGTTGAGATCGGATTCTTCTATCTCGATCTTCAAGACTCAGAGCAAGGAGTCTCTTTGCTGAGTGATGCTGATAAGCTATTCATTGTTGGGGAGAAGCTTTTCGACATTAGCCTTGAGGAAAAGAAGCGCTATGATTTCAGTGCTCAAAATTCATATTTTGGATACAAAGGGCGGGGAGTTTCCATTGTCGATAAGGACGGCAACTTGGATCGAAATGAGTTTTATAATGTAAGTGCATACATTCTGCCTGGTCGTTGGAAATAGGAGACTAACCAGTTCTGCGAAGACTTCCAAGGACGATATCTTGGGAATCGGCGATCCTCTCCCGGCACCTGACGTCTTGAATCAAAGCCGAGGACAGCAGGCATCGTTCATGCGGGGCTCCCATGGGATCGTGTCTCTTATTTTGAACATCCTCAATGACAAACTCGGCTTGGCAGAGGGTACACTTTCCAGCATTCATCGATTGCAAGCTGTTGGTGGCGACCAAGTACGGTTCATCAAAGCACCACCTCAACCGATCGACGACCGTCGCACCGCTCTAGGACAACATACTGACTTCGGAAGTGTCACTGTGCTTTTTAACAGACTTGGTGGGCTTCAAGTTCTTCCTCCGGGCGCTGATGCAGATTGGGTGTATGTGCGGCCGCTGCCAGGACACGCGATTATTAATCTTGGGGATGCCATGGTGAAATTTACAAATGGCCTGTTGCGTTCCAACATCCACCGTGTCACTGCACCGCCAGGGATTCAAGGTGACTCAACGCGATATAGTCTGGTGTACTTTGCTCGACCGGAAGACAGTGTTATGCTGCGACGATTAGATGGCTCGGATATCATTCCTCCAATCAAACAGGGTCAGATTGAAGAGGAAATCAATAGCAGGGATTGGATTATTCGTCGAGCTCTTGGCCGTCGAGTGGATCTTGGTAAAGAGATTGATTATGAGAAATCTGCTGGCACAGAGCAGATGAGTCGACGAATCGTGGTCTAGTCAACGGGGGATGGCAGAAAATGAGACGCGCGACCTTGAATCTCCGTATAATCAAATCATGCGTGCCTGCATAAACGAAATTCCGTAATATTGAATTCAATCAAGATAGCTACTGAGGATCAATTGAGTCCAACTTTTCCAGGCCCGACATCAGAATGTCAATGGTCTGTCTTGCTGTCTTCGCTGATTTAAACTCCTCAACCCCTTCCCCAGTACCGTCAGGTCCGAATCGGCATCCGAAATCCCCGACAAAGTTATCGTAGGTTGTCTCAGGCTTTGTACGGCACAGCCAGCACATGATGTCCTTGAATCCATCCGAGTTAAAGCCAGCGCGAGGGAAGACTTTCATGACAGCAAAGTATTCCTCGTATGTGATAAGCGTTTCCCCATCAGGCCCGGGAAGCGCTGGGCCTGCAAAATCCGCCGTGATGCCCAAATTAGTGAGAGCAACATCAGGCGCCGCATGTCGAGCAATAGAGGGCGTTGTATGTAGAGCGATCGAATCCCACACACGTTGAATAGTATCATCGCTCCATGATTCGGTACCGGCATGAGACAGCTCGTTATGAATAAAGTCCCGCGCAATATTGGCACCATCAACCTCGAACCGCTTGTCCGCCGATATCAGTTCTGGTGTCTTGGCCCAGCCCATGTCGTGAAGAATACAGCTAACAAAGACTGCCACGAGATTCAGTCGCGGGTTATCGTGGAACTCGGGAAGCTTTTTGGCGATGATCATTGCCCAGTATGCGGAGCGCATCGCATGGTTATAGACTGCTTCTGTGCAATGCTGTTTCGCGTATGCAAAGGCCTTCGCTGCAAGAAGAGATGGAGGGGGGGTGAATACCTATCTCTGGTAAAGTGGGGAGATCTGCGACCGTGGCCATGTTGGAAGGGTGTAGAAATGAAAGTTCGGATTGTGCTTGACTGAGATTCATGAGGCGCGAGGTGAAGATGGGGTTAAGCTGACACACCAAGGACAAGTGCGGTCAACAAGTTCGCAAGCCATGCGGAGAGCCTTCTGGGATGCTCGGTACGATGACTTAGCATCGGCGGGAACAAGCCATTTCTAGAATACGTCCAGTGTGATGACTCTGTGCCAGCTAGTGCTGAGGGGCTGATGTACCACGGCTGAGAGTCATTTCTCCGACCCACATTTTTCATTGTGTCATGCCTGACAGGTCCACGATTCAAGGACTTGTTTAAGCTCAATACTATTAAATGGCGTGTACTTAGATCCCTACAGCTTTCATAGCACGAGGACTTATGCCTTAAGGCTACAGGTCATGGCAGATTCATTGGGCAATAGTGGGAACTGAGACTCGGACCCAGCGTATGCTCGCTGAATCCCTACACAGTAGTGGGTAATCGGCTAGCAGCGCAGGGTAGTTCGTGCGATATGAGAGGCTCTCTTATCATGAAACGATGCGTTTTGTGATTATCCAATTATATTTCAGACTAAATTCTTCGCCCACGTAAAATTGGGGGAGAGATGAATGGTGAAGATCAAGATGACTAGACTGGTTTCTGGATTGATGCAGAACAAAGTCAAATCAGCCGCGATATTATCGTGCGACATTCTGTCTGAGTTCCTGCAGCGTCTTGATTTGGCTTCCATCCTCACGGAAATTGTTCTCGTTCAGCCACAATCCCATTGCCCTAGCCATAGTCCCCTGCCACTCCTCCTGCAACATCGAAAACCAAGCTGTATCCCGGCTCCGTCCTTTCACGATCATATGTTGTCTGAAGATTCCCTCGAATGTAAAACCCAGTCGCAGAGCTGATCGCCGCGAGGGTGCATTGAGTGAGTCGCACTTCCATTCCAGTCGGCGATATCCCAGATCATCAAATGCATGTCGCGCCAAAAGATAAATCGCTTCCGTTGCTCCAATGGTGCGTTGAAGGGCAGATGAGAACATCACATTGCCGATCTCAATGCACAATTGCTCGGGGCAATGCGCATGAGGGACAGGTATCCAATGGCCTTGCCGAAGGTGGGCATAGCACTGCGCCTGTCGACGATCGCGAAGTAGAAGGGATCCGGGGAAGCCGACTTGGAAGCGATGGCTTTCTCGAATGAATCTAGCTGGGGGTATGGTCCATCGCCCATGTAGTCCCATAGACACGTGCGAGCAGGATCACCACCACCCACGAGATTGAAGAGGTCTTTGGCGTGGTTTGATTCCAGCTTCTCTAGGAGAATGGTTCGGCCAGGGAGCTGGGTCTGGCCCGATGGTAAAGATGCCTTTGTCAACGAGACAATTGGACCGCGCGGTCGTGCCGCTGCCATTTTGTAAAAAATAAATTAACACTGAAGGCAGGAAGTGAATGACAGTGATCATGTCACCTTTTAGGCTGTAAAGTAAGGACATGCCACTTACTACATGCGGGTTAGCTTTGCCCATTTTAGTCTAGCGCCTCCAAACGTCGTTCTGTAACGTCTTGCCTCGGTTGCCCTGACATGAAACATGGCTTAGTATTCAATTTTATTAGTATTGCAATGGGGCAGCAGCTAAACAGAGAGCCATCTTAAATTATCGATGTTCTCAGGTCCAGACTGGCAGGGCAGTTATTGCTGCTTGAGAATCTGTCAGTTCACTGAGACAGGCATGAGCCATATAATGAAGCACTCAGAATGAAATACACAGCAATATTCACAAACGGATTCAATTGACTAAATGTGGGTTTTGTACGAAGGGATGAGTCTTTGTGCGTTGAGCCCGGATCTTATTCACTATTATGGGTACGAGGCAAAGATTTGACAGCATAAGTTGTCAACAAGAAGTGAACAAGACCACAAGCGGAGAAATTCCATTCGAACCAACAGAGCATGATAAAACAAAAGAGAAAAAGGAGGAAGGACCAGCAGATCATCAACCGATGATCAACTTAGAAGGATCTGGAGCGTCTCCATTATTGTTCGACATTGTGACTCAGTCGGACTGACTCGTAGCCTTGAATCATACATTCACAAGTCGCCTAGAGACGGACGAGATTACCAAATAATCTCAAACAGACCGCGAAGCAGACCGGCAGGGACCATGATGTTGTCCGAATCGCTGGCTCCATTCAATGCCGCGTTACTGAGAACCTTTCTCAGGTTGCGAGGAGCAAAGTCTCCGTTCGCATTCGGAGGGGCAAGGGTGCTCTGAGTTGCGAAGCTCTGGGTGGAGATACCCTGAGCGGAGAAAATGCTACCGTAGATTCCCTTGATGCTAGACCATGCGGCGGTGGTCCAGTTGACAATGGATTGCCCGAACTCCTTGATCTTCTCCCAGGCCCTGGTGATGAACTCGCCGATACGGCCAACAAAGCCCTTGAGCGCATCCATGGCCTTGCCAGCGAATGCACCAATGGTAGCCAGACCAGCCGTGTAAGTGGTTGCTGCACCAGCTCGCAGGGTCGGAGGGAGCTTGTCAATCTCCGTGATGCCGAGGGTAAGGAGATCGTCCCATCGCTTGTCGCTGGCCTTCTTCTGCTGCTCAATAGAGTTGCGCAGCACAGTCTGCCAGCTACCCTCAGTCTTGGCGTTAGGGCCATTCGCATTCTCTTCCAGGCTGCGCTTGACTGCTTCGACGTCGTTCTGGGCTGCTTGAAGACCATCAGTCGTCTGCTGGCTGAGCTTCTGGTAGACGTCCGAGTTGTTGTACATGGTGTTGATGTCCATCGCCATCAGTTCTTGGCGAAGAGAAGAAGTCTCCGCTTGGACGCTCATGAGCGTCTTCTCGGAGAAGACGGAGAGGAAACCAACGTTACCCTCGGAAGATGCCAACTTGAGCACAGAAACATCGCTGCTCAGGGCTTTCTTCCAGCTGGCGTCCAGGGTTTCGACGGGGGCAGACATGATGAATGTAGAAGGTGGAGATGAAAAGTGATTGGGATGTGCAGAGGATCGTCTTGCGAAAGATATCAAGAAGGTGAATACTCAGAAGGACTGAATATAAAGCGGATGATTTCAAGATTGCTGATTGCTGATGGAGTATTCATTGTTGGGGGAGAGAACAGGCACTTTATATACATTTTTTCAGGTATATTCTGCTGTGAGCTACTCCAGCCTCAGGTCGCCTTTGCAATCCACTAGACCGACCGTCGCACATTCCTTGTTGACGCCCAGGCTCATTTCAGCCAGCCTTCGGCCTTTCCGAAGAGGGCAATAGAGGATTGGAAACAAGTTGCAGCTGAAAATGACTCCCCGCTGTATCTAAGGGCACCTCTAGCGAGTATCTTTAGACCAACCAGATGATTGATAGAACAGGAACTAGGAACCATAGTTACCAGTGGGACCTTCCCTCTAAGACAGAAGATTCTCGTGAGTGCTTTCGTCTTCTCTAGCACATCACTAGACAAGTGACAGCCAGTCACAGCTGAAAAGGTCGTCTCTGTCTCGGAGGCATTTTTAGCGAGTATCTTCAGAATTACGTTGCAGGTGACGAACTCAATGAGACCATAGACTCGCGATGCCAAGTCTACTTGAGCGCTGAGCTCTAGGTAGAATTTAGCGAGGGCCGCCGGCCTCTCCGTTGACTCCACAGAACAGTGGGGAAAGGGCTCTAAAAGCCATCGCCAATCGGCAAAGATACACCTATACAGAAGTGCGCTACGTGTGAACAGTACGTGATGGTGCACTCATCGAAGGGGACAGTGTGTATTTTCTTGATTTCAGCGATTGATGTGATATAATGTGATTCCATGTGATACATTGTGATGGTGTGAAGTTGAAGAGAAGTGGGGTAATTCGTACCCATGGTTTCAAAGCCGGTGGACATACCCGGGCCGGCCCTTGCAGTGGTTCCTGCGTTGCCCCCGTGTTTGGTCACGCCGCGACGCCATGGCGGCCGTGCATGAACACCTGTGCGTCTCTATTCAACTTTGCCTGTCACTACATGCTTTGTTCTTGTCGATGGCGACTACGGTGATCCCGTATACTTGATTTACGTCCGGCTCTTTTGCCACTACGTTCTGCGATGAAATGTCACTCATGATCATCATCCCGTTTGGGAATTTCACCAAACCTGAATCTTTTCAAACCCTCTTTCCCGCAGCATGGTATAATGACAACACAATTCGAGCCCGGAATGCCTATACTTACTCGCATTTCCTGGCCAGATGTGAGCTAAATGTTTGTTCTAGCGAGGAACTTGTAGCAGGTAGGATGCCCACCCTGCGCATCTAAGCAGTTAGCCGACAGACTTCAAGAAGGCGCAGCTGAAGACATGGGGTCTCTGCTTTGCACATCATATCCACATGGTTTGACTTCACAGGATCTGCCAGAGCACGGGGCACGTATCCAGAGTTCTTTACGAAAGGGAAAAAGAACCCGGATTAGTTACGAACGAGTGATTGCCGTTCCTGGATAGCATTTCGGGCAAAAATAGGCGACTGGATATAGTGGGGCCGTGATATAGACCTGCGGCTGTGGATTCGAGCAACGAACGTCAAATGACTCCAATCGAAGCAGTTAGGATTTGGAATAATGTCCAAGCACACCGATTCCAGCCTATGGATCTCGGCCATGGTGGCAGCCCGCTGAAGGAGAGTGACTAGACCATGATACTCCGCTGGACACAGTGACATAAAGACGTGGAGTAATACCGGCCGGTGGTCCAGAATTCGAGTCCGCATAATTGCTTTGTGACATCGCCGCCTGCTTCTTCACTCTCAACGATTCATCATGTCTTACCTCAACGGAAATAAATTCTCTCTGTCTGAAGATTCCGAGTTCTCGTCGCTGAGCACCTTTGATGTGAAGCCCAGTATCAATGACTCGAACTACATTCTGATCAAGTTGACCGGTGCCCTGGACCGGGAGAAGAAACGACGTCTCTCTGAATTGCACATCCAAGTGCAGCAGTTCCTTGGCGACAACACTTTCAAGTGCCGTTACGAACCTACCGATATCGATCGCATCAGGGAACAAACATTCATTGAGAATGTTGAGGTTCTCTCCCCTCTCCTGAAGCTGCCTCCGAGTCTGAAGACTCAAAGCCACTTTGAGCACCACGACGAGCCAAAGTCAGTGGACCTCGTTTTGCATCAAGCTGCCGATCAATCCGCCGAGGACTTGATGCAAGAAATTAGTCATATCACCGGCATCGCTCCGGAGAATATGTCCGTCCGAGCAGACAACTCTGTCATTCGAGCGCAAATCTCCCCGAAGGATTTGTTGCAGATTGCCAAGATTGATAGCGTTGGGGCTATTGAAGAGGTTCACAGCCTGACGCTGCTGAACAACGTCGCTCGGGATGTCATCCATGCTGATATTGGGGATTCCGTGGCCGGCAGTCTCACACCTTACAAAGGAAAAGACCAGGTTGTCACAGTCGCTGATACCGGCTTTGATACTGGAGACAAGTCTGACCCGCACCCTGCGTTCGCGAACAGAGTGCGCAATCTCATCCCAGTTGGACGGGAGAACTCAACAAGTGACCCAAATGGCCACGGCACTCATGTCTGTGGGTCAGTCCTGGGAAACGGCAAGTCAGACATCATGGGGGGGCTCAATTCAAGGCGCTGCACCCGAGGCAACATTGGTTGTTCAGGCGCTCCTCGCGGAGAACGGTTCGCTTTTTGGTTCCTCGGGCAAGACACTAGGGGACCTCCTGCTGGACGCCTATGAGAACCATGAATCTCGCATTCACACCAATTCATGGGGCCCTCAGTGGAACTGGAGAGGCCAGCTTCCCTACAACAATGCTTCAGAAGAGATTGACAAATTTGTTTGGGATCATCAGGACCTTGTCGTGTGTTTCGCTGCCGGGAACAGTGGCAAGCAAGCGACCCCCAAAGGCCACATTGGCGCACAGCCAGCTGCAAAGAACTGCATCACCGTAGGCTCGTGCGAAAATCCACGATCTTCCAAAGATTACAGCTGTGAGGTCTATGATGCCAATGGGTTGGTCAAAGGGAACCCTGACAACATCTCTGGATTCAGCAGCCGGGGGCCCACCATGGAGGGTCGCATCAAACCCGACGTTGTAGCACCTGGAGGGATGATTCTGTCCACTGCTTCTCGAGCCATGCGGCCAGAGAACTCATTCGGAAAGAGCGATGACAAGTTTTGGCGATTCTCATCCGGCACAAGCATGTCCACTCCCTTGGTTGCCGGATGCGTGGCCGTGCTGCGCCAGATGCTTATTGCAAATGGGCTCCCAAATCCCAGTGCTGCTCTCCTTAAGGCCCTGTTGATTAACGGTGCAGTTGACACTGGAAAGAAACGGGAGCTTCAAGGCTTTGGTCGGGTTGATCTGGCTAGATCGATGATCATCAAGGGAAAGACCCCCAACCGCGATTTCCTTGAAGCTGAAGTAGCCGATGAGGATTTGAAGGACCAATTCACAATGTCCTTCAACATGAGTCGTTATATGGATGATGCCTCACCGTCCTCAACCTTGAAGGTGACTATGGTTTACACGGATGTCGCAGGAGCGTTGCTGCAGAACAACCTTAACCTGTCAGTAACTGTTGAAATCCCAGGCCAGGACCGGCGTGTCAGATATGGCAACATGGGCGAGCAGGAGAATATCCATCCAGCTCCTTCTGACGGGGTCAACACTGTCGAACAAATTGTCTGGAAGGATCTGAAAAGAGAGGCGACCGTGACCTTCACTGTTTTAGTGGGAGGAACCATGATGGCCGATGTTCAGCCCTTTGCACTAGTTTGGAGCGTCGAGAGCGACACGGCAGCAAAGTAGTAGAGGATATACCTGCGAGGTGTGCGTTTATTCAACTGCAGCAAGTTTTGTGTCGATGTCTGTTTCTTCATTTCTGTTTAGTTTGCCTGGATTCAACACTCCCTTGTATTGTCCTGAGTCATATAACCCGGCTCAGACTGCATCTTTGTTTACCGTTTGTCGTGCAATTCATGTCATGTAGTTCAATGTTGATTTTCCACTATTTTAATTTTACCAATCAATTTTCTGTATTTCTCTTCACAATCTAGCTTACTGAGAATTTGCTTTGAACGATCGGTTACAGGGGAGTGTTTACTTTACATTTTGGCATAGTGTTCGTAGGCATTCGGCCTTTCGTTTGCAAGAAATCCAATGTGAAATTGTGACGTGACATATCAAAGCCGTGTGAGAACAAACTAGACAACGCCAAGCTGCTTAACTTTCTGTCAGTGAAAGTATCACACCCACACAATGGAGTCAGCCCCGTTGGGAGGCTTCGGCAACCCCGGACAAGCAAAGTATTTTTCCAGCTGAGAATACGACTATCTGATCACGGCGGAGCTGCCAAGGAAACGCTAGCAAACTATGATGAGAATCACAGCGCTACCTTAAAAAATTGAGAAATTTAGGCGAGTGGGCCCCATCCAGAACCACATTCGTCACAATCACACTAAAGCAGGCTTCAGGGGCATAGTTACCGCCACCAAGCTGCGTCTTGGGGGACTCACAAGACCAGTAACATATTCGGTTTAGTCAAAAACAAATACGACCCACTGCGAATACGTACTGCCACCAGAGCCGGATATCACCGACCTTAGTGACACTACCTGGCCTCCTGTCAACATAATATAACCGAGCCATGTATTGTGATATACTGATTAATGAAGCGATAGGTATGTAGTCAAATACGAATGCCGCTAAGACTCGAGAGTAGACCCACCGGCAATCATTGACAGTTCTGTCAGCTGAGCCACCTTTTGACATACAAATAGCACCCACGAACTCCGTTGTCAGAGATCTCAACTCAAATTCAAGAAAACAGCGCAATTGCAAAGATCAACATGTCTGTTCCACCTTCGTTGCAAGGGTTGAAAGAACTGCCTTCACGGGCAGTCGATGACAACTCAACCTTCCCAGAGGGCCGATATGTGGTCAACGCACCGAAACCGGAGGATGAAGAAGAGCCATTTATCTCTGCAGAGGGGCCGGCGATAGACACAAAAACCTGGTTCAAGTCACCGGTAAGCCTTTTTGCCATATCGCAATGTCTGCCTCTGGAAGACCCAGTTCTAAATACCCCACTGTTTTAGCCCTTCAGTCAAGCTGCTATTCTGGCTCTCCAGAGCGTACAGCTTTTTGCAGACACTCATGACCAGGGCTGGGTGGATGATCGTGCTCTTGGAAACTGGACATGGCTGGAGGTGGCCATTTATGAGAATGAGTCGTCCGACACCCCCAAGAAAAGAGAAGGCGTTGAGTTGGTTTGGATGAGTCACAAGAATGATATGGAATCTAAAGAGTACAACTGGGTAAGTCGTTCATCGGATCTACATGCTGTGTGGGATCTCATGATGGCTTTTAGTTATCTGGTGAGGTTTTCGCCAGCAAGCATGATCTTTTGGCTCTCCTCGAGGTAAGTTATTGGACCGACTTCCGGTGAAATCGGGTACTTAACTGTCTGTATTAGGTTGGCAATGTTATTGCAGTGCGAGGCTGCGCCCGCTTCACTGGCTGGGAGTTGTACGGAAGGGCTGCCTGTCTTGTACTGGACATGGGACGTCCCACCCCCGTCGAGCAGCCTCCTAGTTACGCACAGGTGATAGAGGATACCATCGCATTGCAACAGATCTTAAACTGCGTCAACTCTAGTAACAATGCGTACGGGCCTACAATCACAGCTGCCTGGGACAGAGCGGATACGTTTTCTGGCAAAGAAAAGCGACCTCTCCGTGTTCTTTCTTTGGGTAAGGCTTTCCAGATAACATCCACCTATTACTTTCAGAGCCTGACTGTTTTCTTTTAGATGGAGGAGGTGTGAGAGGGTATTCGTCGCTGATGTTACTGAAAGAAGTCATGGACAAGGGTGCTCCGAATAAGAAGCCTTGTGAGGTATTTGATCTTATTGGAGGAACTAGCACAGGCGGGTTCGTACAGCTGAGAGACAAGACCCTGTTCCATCTACGACGTGGTGCTAACTGAATTAGGTTGATTGCTATCATGCTGGGCCGCCTGAAGATGACCGTTCAGGAATGCCTGGACGAGTATAGCGCGTTGATGAAGGAGGTGTTTGGATCCGGATGGATACACGACCATGTCACGAAGCCAGCCCGATATGCTGCGACAGGGGCGTTTTACTCCGCTGAGACGTTGGAGAAGGTGATCAAAGCCCTGCTTCGGAAGAGGCTTCCAGCTGGGGAAGACGCAGATAACGCACTGTTACTGGACGACAAGGAGAATCCCTGCAAAATGTGAGATTGCCTGTCTATTGAAGTGATATTACTGTGGAAGCTTACCTGTTGAATCCAGCTTCCTAATGGCGGTGCGTGAGGAAGCCGGTAATAACCGAGGACCTGTCTTCCTTCGCTCCTATACCAACGACCTTGAGGTGCCTGATGCGGACCTGGCCGGTATCAAGTTGTGGGAGGCTGCTCGTGCTACCTCCGCTGCCCCTGCGTACTTCAAGCCTCTCAAGGTTGGCCGCGTGAAACTGGTTGACGGTGGCTTGTTGGCGAATAATCCCCTTGGATGGTAAGAATGTGGCGTACTTGAAAACTTGTACGACCATGACGGCTAAATTTTCTATATAGGCTATGGACTGAAGTCCTCGGTGTATATGGCCCAACTCGCGAGACGGACTGCTTCCTGAGCATTGGTACAGGGATGGCTTCCAACGTGGCCGTCGCCCAGCCGGGATTCAACTTCAAAGGCGCAATGATGAGCTTCGTCTCAGTTGCAACTAATACCGAGAGCACTCATCTTCTTTTCCGCTATCTCGTGGACGCATTTGCTCCTTGCCCCCAGGTCAAGAAGTATTGGAGATTAAATGTGGCCAAGGAGAAAAAGGGTTCCGATCCAAAGGACTACGAAGATCCCGGTGAGTTGGACGCTGTGGCTGGGATTAAGAAGTTGGAGGACTGGACCAAGGAATGGATAGCTGCGCAGCAGGATGTCATCAGGACCTGTAGCGAGGCTATTGGAAGGACCTTGATGAAAAAGAGCGCATAATGGTTGTTTGACTCGGAACCAGTTCGAGCTGCGGTTGCAAGTGCTTCTTTCCTTTTTCAATGTTACTTTCTTTGTTACTTATCGACATATGTGCACAATCCTTGTTTCTCTCCAAACCGATCATTTCATCTTCGTTTGCTGAGCTGTTTGATTTCTGTCGTGAATGCAGTATAATCGGAATAATATGGGACTTGAGGACCTCGAAACAACTCGAGCTGCTGCATTCACCCTTTAAGAACGCTTGCAATTTTCTGAGTGGCCTTGGCCAATTCCTCCTTTGCGCATCGGTTCTTTAATAACTTCAATACAGCAAGGAGCACCTTCAACTGCTCCAGGTGAGACTCACAATCTAATTAGCACGATGTAGGAAAGCAAGGGAAGATGCGAGTGTAAAAGACCCTTGGAACTGAGATCTTCTCCTTTGTGTGTGTTCGCATTGAATTGGGATACTGCCCCACTTCACCGCATGCTTGCCTCAGCCTCCATGATATCTAGATCCATAGCTTCATCTCTAGAATCAATCATCTATCATATCTCTCATCATTCATCATCCATCTTCACAGTGTGATTGAGGAGAGTGTCACGATTGACAAAATCTGGGTCGTGGCGGAACGGGACGGTCGATAGAGGGTTGGCGGGGTTTCCGCGCGAGAAACTCCTGTAGAATCCCAACAGGACACGAGGTCTAGAACAATAGACTTACGCAAAAAAGCAAACTGCCAGCACCATTTGCTAGGGAATCCAAGCCCATCCATGTTTTGTCGACCACCTCGTCCACTATTCATACACTTCTCTACAATCTAAGCTCGTTGCTGATTACCAAGAACACTTGTAGTACACATATTCTGTCTATGGCTGTAGTGCTGACACCTGTACCTCATAAAGTCAGCCAGATGCAAGGTATCTCTTTTGTCAGAAATTCCCACCTTATTTCGACAGAAAATCTTGCAAGAACCCTAGTTCTTACAGCAAATATATATTCCACTAGCTCCAGAACAAGTAAGAGGTGCTACCATGGGTACAGTAATGAGGTATTCTTCAATTGTAGTTGGGCTCCTACTAGCTGCCCTCTGCCTCTATTTCTGTCTCTTCCGACGCCAAATCTGGGCTGCGCTATTCCCTGCCACCTGTTCCTGGTCTTCTTCAGTAGGCTCTGTGGAGTTTTACCCTCCGCATTGGATTGGCTCATCAATATAGCGGTATCTTCCCCAGCAGCATGCTTCAGAGCACGCATCATCTCATCCTGAAGTCTAATAGTGGATATTAGCGTAATTTTCCATCATGCGTTCAAGGCAAAACACAGAATTGTCGTGAAGTCGAAAGTCAGCGGGTACCTAGAGATTGTCAGAATCAAGCTGTTGATCTTGTTACAGACCCCAAAGCCTTGTGCCTCCCCCCGGAATTGTTGCCGTTCAAAGCGGGGTACTCGGGTGCTAAAGTAGGCCAACCGAGGTTTCGCAGTGTGGCTCTCTCGATGATCTGAATTACTAATTGGTATGGTGCGGCTAGTGACTCGATGAGGTGCTTTTACATTGTTCACCGACTCCAATGCTTTGGTAATACGTAGCTATGCGATAGGTTGTTGTCTCGGAAGTCAAGTGCCGATACCTCAAATACTCCTTCGCCTTGACTTACTTTTACTGTACAAAATTGAACTTGGGTCCAAGCTGATTTCTGCGGGGAAGTTTTAGCATTGTTGCAGACATCATGTCAGTGCAACTGGAATCAGAATCGAATGCTGCGAAGCTACCATTGAATGATGCGGAGTCCAATTTCCAACTTGAAGAGTCTTCTGCGCCATCCTCTCCGTTAAAAGCCGAGGAAACTCTCCGCGGGTCCTTGCAAGTGGTGGGAGTATTCTTAATTATCTTCAATGTTTGGTAATATTTCTCCATAAGACAATTAGTACTTTTGAGCATCGCTAACACGATGGTAGGGGCCTTACCTTTGCGTACGGATCCTTCGAGAGCTTCTATGCTCTGACTTACATCCCTAACTTCTCAGCGTCTGCAATAGCATGGATCGGCACAATACAGAGCTGGCTACTCATCGTCTCCGGTCTCATCTCGGGTCCTCTCTTTGACCGCGGCTATTTCTCGATCATGATTGGCGCTGGTGCCTTTCTGTCCGTATTTGGCTTCATGATGTTGAGCCTTTCTCATGACTATTATGCTATATTTCTTAGCCAAGGTGTATGCATGGGACTTGGTTTTGGTCTATTGTATATCCCTAGCATCGCGCTTATCAGTCGATCATTCGTTCGCAAGCGAGCTGTTGCTTTGGGTTTCGCGACAAGTGGCGCCCCTGCAGGAGGTATCATCTATACAGTCATGTTCGATCGGCTAATTTCGAATCTGAGTTTTGCATGGACAGTCCGCGTCATGGCATTTGTGATGTTGTCACTTTTCGTCATTGCTGCCGTTCTGTTGGTGACCCTAGGAAAGGGTGTATCGACGATCACGAACGACCAACGAAAGAAACTGATTGATATCCGTGCTCTGAGAGATCTTCCGTTCTGGAGTTTTACTGTTGCTAATTTCCTCCTTTATCTCGGTTACATAACACCCTTCTATTATATTCCAACTTATGCACAAACTAAGCTTGGAACTTCGCCGAGCATGGCCTCTTACGTGCTCATCATATCACAAGCATGTTCAATTATCGGTCGTGTTGGGACCACCATCTGTGCCCACTACTTTGGTTCAATGGTGTCCTGGATATTCTGTGGCATACTCTCCGGAATTTTATGCTTTGCTTGGATCAGTGCAGATACTTTGGTGCGATTTATTCTTTTTGCAGCCTTTTATGGTCAGTCCGAACTGATGCCTTGGGTACTATCAAAACTTAACAGTTTCCTTTTCGATAGGGGGTATCTCTGGTGCCTTGATTCCTCTCCCGCCTAGTGTATTCTATCACGTCTGTCCAGACTCACAAATCCTTGGCACCTGGCTTGGAATGGCTCAGAGTATCAGCAGCTTCGCATCGCTTTTGGGGCCACCTATCGCAGGAGCGCTCGCTTCGGTTGGCTCTCATGGTAGTGCCGATCTCAATTATCTCAACATACAGTTGTTCGGAGGAATTACGATGAGCATCGGTGCCTTTGAGCTGTTAATCTTGTGGTACTTGCTATGGAAAATCAGGGGTAAAAAGGGCTTCTTTTGAAATTTGTACGGCACGAGGGTACCGTGCCACGTGATTTTACCAACAACAGTAGGCCATAGGAGCGATTCATGTCATGGTCAGGCTATTTAACAAGACAAGCAGATGGTTCAAATTTAAAATTCATTCTGCTCTACATGAGAGATCTAGAAATCTTAGAGAAAGTAATGACTGTATCTTGTTCCGACTAAAGCATTCCAGTGGGTCCAAACTTGTCTTGGATAGAGCGTCCTGATTCCTCATCAGTATTGGGTGTTGACGTACCCACTAACTTAAAGGGGGATACTAACTTGTTGATCAGTATAGACCATTCGTACCATAGCAGGTAAGCTCGCCATTGGTGTTCCCAATGAACCATTCTATGCATGGTAAGTACGCAATAGTTAAAATATAAAAAATGTGTAGAAACGTACGCATATCGATAGAAGTATTAACCCAATCCCCCGACTCATTTTCGCATTGGGCGCTTAAGAGAGTACCTGAGACGGACAAATTTCTGCAGCTTCCTGACATCCCACCACTATATAGCATACCCGTTAGTAACATACACCACGACAACAAGAAAGGCAACGTACTCATATCGAACCACAAGGTTGCCATTATCATTCGCAAAGCAGGTGCTGAGATTGACGCACACATTGACCGAGTAAACAGTACTTTCCTTTTCGCAGTCGCCGCAAAGGGTCGCATATTCGCTTCCGAAACCTGATTGGAAAACCTGTATGCTGTTGCAAGTCTGCTGGTATGCTGCGTCCGCGGCTACCTCAAAGGAGAGATAGCTCAGGACCAGGAGACTCAATGTAGATCGCATCACAATAACCCAAATCACAAAGATTTCCTGGAGCTGAGAAAGGCTGATTAATGGCTGATGGTGATAATAAATATCTCATAAAAAGGTATTGATCCCATGTTATAGACTGCAGTTCACCATCATGTAATCTCTCGGGCCACCCCGCGCCCCCAGACTACCCCAGCATCCAGGCCACCCGCGCACCCAGGTTACCTATGCATTCACGCCACCCGCTTAGCGGGGCCTCACCCTGTTCCATGGAGTGAATCAATTGTCTGCCTCTTCGGGCAAGCCTATGCGTTGATAACAGGAGTAGGGTCTTTATTCTCGGGAATTTCATCCCCCATTGATCAAATTTCAGTATAACATGTGCATTAGCTCTGACGGACATTTACATGTGGCTGAATCACAGAGTCTGCGAACCCTCCATTGCACCACGTGCTATCTGCAAGCTGATCTGAGTCGATTTAGACATGGGTGACAATACACCGATTCCAGAATTCTGCTAATATCCCGATCCCCTCATCAAAGCACTGTCCCCTATCTAAACAGTCTTGCAAACGTGCCTCATACTGAATATTCTGAGCCAGACCAATATATTGAATGAATGAAAGAATACTACACGATGTTTACGGGGCGTGTCAAGCAGCTCGCAGTGTTTTCAACGTGGTCATTTCCCTCCTTGATAACGAATTTGGGCTTGATCTGACAGACTTTGCAGCAGAGATGCTCATGAAACACTACTGAGAAGAACAGCGATTAAAATATAATAGCTCATTGGATCCCTAAAGCCTTAGCTAGCCCTATACCGGTGGCCTCGTTAATCTGAGATATGCAAAGCCATGGCCTTCCCTATTTGCAACTAGCCATCATCCACACACCTACCTTACTAAGTCTCTTAGGGCAGTAATCAAGCAGATATTGTAGTGGGAGAACCTGTGACTAATGACATACATGTGGCCTCAGGCATATGTGATGCCTGAGACACAAAACATTTTGCACCCTCATCAGGGAGTTGGACATAGATTAAGCAAGTACCCAATTCATTCCGGTTCTCACCATATTCTACGTCTCAAGATACTCGATTAAAGGCCATCTACATTGCAATATTGCGGCAAATGCCATATCCTGCCTACCGTAGGTGGGAGTGTGTGTATATGTGTGGGTGCGCGCCTTCATGTTGGTGTTTGCCCGTCTGCACTGCCAGCCATCGAGCCGTCCCCATTTCGACATGTATTAAGAGCAGCCACATTAATTATGATACTATTGCATTGCATGGCTGCATAGGGGTCCAAAGGCCAATTGAACGTACTTTTACTTTCTAGCAGTCATTAGCCCAGGGCCTCTGTCTTGGCATCAAACCCCCATTTGAATCCTTTCTCCACTTGGACCAAGTGCGACTGAGTCAGACCCCTGAAAATTGCGCTATTCTCAAACAAGCTTTGTGCCAAACTTTTGAATCATGCGTGTACCGTACTTTCGACATGTCTTCAGTCCCAACGCCAGAGTCACAAAGATCAGCACATCTTCAGAACCGCCATACCGCTCTCGGCAGAGGTGTCAAAGCACATGTAGCCTCCTGGCCTGTCAAACCTTAACGGAATGAGAGCGGCCAACTCCTGCGAACCAGCGAGTGCAGCTCACCCTTGACGACTTCTGAATCCCGACAGTCTGGTCGTGACAGGCTGTACCTGTGGAGCCCAAACAGACTAGTCTCCATCCCTGACGTCCGCGGCATCTGGACCTTTGAAAGATGATCTACATACAACGGTGGCATTGACCCGGTGGTATAACCCAGATAATCTCCTAGTGGATACCGAGATCGTGGACTGACGTGCCAAGGGCCGAGTGTGGAAGGAGACGTGACAGGGGCGAGTTTCTTTGTTTTGGAGAAGCGTCGGGAAACATTACCCTTGTGGATTTAATCGAATCGATCGTACAAAGAAGTGTCTCGAGATGCATGGTGAGCCATGCAGGAGTAGTATTGACGCCGGTAGTCCGATGGGATGATGAAACTAAGTATCCGGCCACAGATATAGATGAGCACCAGCGTAGCAAGAGATACTGTCCCGATAATGTCATCGAATAAAGTTGAGTGATCTCTGTTCTCCATCTTGTCTATACTCGGAGATTCCTCAAGAAGACTTCATCCCTCTCTCTCTCTCTCGATCCGGCTAGTCGACCGTTACAGTGGCATTTGAATTGTCTCCTTCCATGGGCCAGGATTTGCAACCAGACCAATCGGATGCCACCATAATTCCCAACAGACCGGGTCCCTCCTCGGCCTCCTTACTGCAGATGTGACCCTTGTCCGACAGCTCTGTTTGGTAAAGTAGAGTCCGATCCATCGACAGGGCCAATTCGAGAATGAGGAAATAGTAAACATACTCGGAGATAGGTCTCGCATCCAATCTTCGGGTTGTCCCTGTGCTAGACTCCCGCTTTGACAGCTGGTCTATCCTTACTTCGGAACCAGATGACTCTAGTATTATACCAAGGTCTTTGAGTGGCCAAATCAACCAATATATAAATGCAGTAGGGTAGTAATGGGAGGGATCTAGTGCGAAAAGAACAAGGCACTTGTGTTTGGGTGCATGACAGGATCTAGCAAGGATACTGAGGGGAAATGTGGCCATTGTGTAACGCCTGTCGATACGTTCATGTAGATTCCAAATACGATGATACCATGTTATGAAAGAATACCACCGGAATCCCAAACCCCAAATTTTATGCACAAAATAACTCATCACTGATCTACGACAAGTTTGAAAGCACGTCAGAATGGAAAAAATTCTAAAAAAAAAAAATTCTAAAAAAAAAAAAAGAACAAAAAGAGACAAGAAAGTACTGTAAAAGATAGCTCGGCCCACATAGAGGAGCATCGCAAGCCAAACTCCAAAAAAAACCCCAAAGCCCGCCAAACCGAGTCCCACGCAAAAGTTCAGCACCCCCCACATCTAATCCCAAGAAGGAAACAGTCTCGACGAGGCCAAAGCGGGTATGGCGTATTTCCGGGACTCTATTCTGACCAATCGTAGCCACAAATGTTGCCCCCCACTACGTATGGAATGAGCGATGGAAAGGTGGCAAATACTTTTAGTGAGTGTCAATTTGAATCCACCTTCAAAACGGGTCGGTCCGCTCACAACTCTGAGAAGCGGAACCAGAACTAGAATCGGTAAATGGAAACTGGAAATGGAATGCGAAAAGGGTGGACATCCGATGATGAGAAAATAGAAATCTGGAGATGATTGTGGTATGATACTTGGATTTGAGTTATTCTCGCGTATTTACCAGAAAGAGGTACAAGATTGCAAAAAACCTACTAGGATGCACAATTTTCAAAAGATGCGTCCTCTGTTCTGTTCTCTGCACGCCAGAAAAAGACAAAAAAGCCCGCGACAACGCACCAGTCCACGGTGATGTGGGGGAAGACTGAAAGAGGTCGGAAGTAAATTAAGCAGGCGTTCATGCTTGTCCCGATGCGGGATTCGCCGTTGCAAGTGTTCTTCCCGATAAGGTATTGGCCGTTGCGAGTGGAGAGAATGTCTGCCACGCTGGCCGCAATAGATTAGTTTTCTGATTTCACTTATTGGAGCATATTCTAGAAAGCTTGGACCGGCAATCCAGACCATACCACGGAGAATTCGATTTGTGATCTCGGCCGTAGTGGGGGAATTTCGGGCGATGGTACCTGGACTCTAGACTTGTCGAAATACACGCCGCTCGGCAATGACGTTGGTCCTCAAGGTCCTACACGGAATATAAGGGAATTACACTCGGGAATGGAGGATTTGATCTACCGGTGCCTCGCTAAATTGTGTATCTCTTCTAGACTGTGTATCTCTAAACTCTTTAAACTTGCGAGGAAGACTTGGAGAGTTGGGGTTGCGATGTGTGTGACCATTGCTGGTCAATGTACGAGTTTCATTCTTTGCGGCAATCAATGCAATGCTATGTCTGTCTGATATGAGATAGAAAACCCAGGTTCATGTGACGGTTGGTTGCGAGGCTGTCTTCGCGTTTGCTTTGACAAGACGCATCGCTCATGCCTGGACAGTCCAGGCTGCTATTCTATCCTCGACGCGCCGTAGGACTTCAGGGTCCGGGTCCCGTTTGACTTTCTTTGGTCTGTAGATATCGTCAGCAGTTGCAATCGAATCTCAAAGTACGGGCTGGAGTGCACTCACGGAATTCGTACGGTTTCCGTACACTTTGCCTGACCACACTTTCCACAAGTCTTCGCCCCCTCATTATATCCCGTGTCGCAGACATGACAAATGTAGTGGACTCGATGACGCGCTTTCCTATAAGTACGATCGGGCTTCTGCTTTAGCGGTTCTGGTGGGTCGACATCGCCCGGATAGCCATGAGGGTGTTTGTCTAGCCTTGCTGGATCGCGAGGACACTTTTTGCAGCGAACATGCTTGCAATTCTCGCATTCCTTGGATCCACCGGCAAAAGTCGTCCCACAAGAATGGCAGTTTCTTCGCACACGCTGCCTCACAGTCTTGCGGATCAGATCCTGTCCGCCAGAGCGCGAGTGTACCTTGAGCGGTGCATGAGGATCGCCCGTCCACTTGAAGTGCTGGTTGGGCGGTGGGCCATGCTGGAGGGCGCGGATCTCGGCGATCTTGGGCAGCTTCGGGGTACGTGGCTGCGCTGCATCCTTGTCTTGCTCGTATGGTGGGAACCTTGGGCACTTCTTGCAGCGTGGGTGCTGGCAATTGACACAAACCTTGTCTGGGCCAAAGGTGGTGTCGCAGCGGTGACAGGTACGGCGCACGCGCATGCGAATCGGCTTGGTAACTCGAGCGAGTTGCAGATCGGTAGGCGACTTCCACTCGCCGGGTTCCAGAGTGAGACCATATTTAGAGAACAGAGACCGGGCCTTTGCCTGCTGAGCGATACTATAGTCGGCTAGCATAGCGGGTTGTTCGACCACCAGTTTCGGGGCCGGGTCTACAACTGGGGTTCTGAAAGATTGATCAGTGTTAGCGACGGGTCGATTATCAGCCGATAATAGGTATAGATTGTCAAGCGTACGCTGCAGTGCTGGATTGTCCAACGTCGAGAACGGTAGTCATAGATTGACGCTTTGAGCCAGACCGTGGGCGCAGAACGGTCTTCATACGTTTCAAATATTTGGACAAGCCTTCTGGTTTGTCCCGGCCGGGCGGCCTAGGGTGTCTTGCTGAGACATGTTGAAGATCGGTGGGTTTCAGACGAGTTCAAGGTGGCGCAAGAATGCGATGGCGAATGCTCGGGCGCAGATCAAAATTGGACGTCGCGCAATTACTTCATTCCCTTTATATCGAAGTCGACCGTCGAGAGACCCAATAGATATTCGTGCCAGTCCCGAACCAGTGAATTGGGAGACCCGGCCGAGAGGGTCTTATTACCGGGGAATGGGGCGTTGTGATGTGTCGAAGTAAGCAAAGCGAGCAGGAAATATCCGAAGTCGATATAGTTGGTAACCGAAGTCGAAATCCAGGTCGAAGCTAAGCTGGGTGAGAGCCCGATACTTGAATGATCGAGGATCCTAATAATAAAACGAGGAGGGGGGGGGGGGGAAACAATACGGTACAATGCAAGTAGAGAGGGACTCAGAGAGAGAGACGAGTAACCCAAGACCGGGCACATGGGGGGCAATCCCGACAGTCTGGGTCGGTATGGTAAGATTCATGTACTGCATCACCGTACGCTGATTTCCTCCGTGTCTGCACCCGGTATTGAGGTATGGATACCTCCGCGACCGTCCTCATGGTAGCTCTCAGGTACTGACAGGGACTATCCCTGGTATCCTCCTGTACAGAACTCGTAGTGGGTCCAAAGCGGGAGCTGCTTGGACCACATTGCTTTGGAGACTGTGGGCTCCGAGTTCTGGGCTTTTGCCCCGGACCTCGTCCGACTCCCGGGGCTATGGACAGATTCGCGCCATTCCGTCACTCCTGGCCCAATCCCATCTCTTCTGAGCGTCTGCACTTGGTCTTGTCCCGATCAGCGTGGCGGAGTGGGCCATCGGCTGAACCACAAACTCAAGCGGATGTACCCGCCCCTTTGCTCGGATGCGTTTCCAGAATGAGTTAACCTACGGATCAGGGCAGTCAGGAGATTGCCGTTGTGTCGGGGATGCGCTGGCCGATCCATCATGTCCCAAAAGTCATGGTCAAAGGATTCATGATTCATGATTCATGTGCAAGAGTGAAGATCAAACCATGTTTAGTAAGGGGCATTACCCCCCGCCCTGACAATAGCATCAAGGTCTTACCGGGCTGATCGGCTCCATGTTGACTTTTTGCCTCGACTCTTCACCCGGACATGGCCATCACTTTGACTTTCACTAAAGCAAAGGGCATAAAGCGCCGAGCTCGCTGAGGAGAACCAGAGCATCGGGATTCTCGCATGCAACCTCCTGAGACTTTTTGGGGATCAGACTTTGCAATCCGAGTATTTGTCAGTTGCCTTCCGGCCCAGTACCCGGGATGCAATTCCAATTTCCGCTCGTCACTATCTACAGACCCGACGATGCGTACCCGAATAGCGCTAGAGCCTGAACCCCCTGCAACGATTCTGCACACCGGGAGAGAATAGTGTGGAGCCTATGCATCGAGGCTGCTTTGGTTTTTTTTTTTCATCTTGTCAAATGCAAAACACCGCCCCGTACAGTAGTACATGGGAGTTCATGGACGATCTCTGGGGCCGAGCGGTGTACTGTACTCGATGAAACCCAGGCGCTATTGGACGGAATCATCGATCGGACAGTTCAAACTTTGGGCTACAGGCGACGGCGCTCTCGTCGGACGCAACTACTGCAGACTAACAACGCCGCCGTGGGATGATCATTCGATGACATTCAGAACATCCCTCGTTGCCCAACGGTTCCACCTCTATTTTTGCCGTGCATCCTGGTCGCATCCTAGGAGTGCCACCTATGCTTCGTTTCTCCCAGTTCTTTGCCAAAGGGGGGGAGAGCCACAGCTCACCGGCGGAGAAGCGACAAGGTTTTTTTTTCTCCTTTTAAAAAACTTGACCGTCCAGTCACGGCGCGTAGGGTTCGCGACACACCGCTGTAAGCTGAACCATCCCCTCGGTAAATGAGCTGTGCATCCTCGTTTCAAGGTGGTCAGTGCCGACGCCAGTCCACCGGGAAAGGCGGACACGAATGCGATCGCCTGGAGTGGGTCACGGACTCCTGATCCCAGGACAAACGCCCGGCACGAGGTCCACCCGGTGGAGACCATGCTCCGTACGGGTATCGGAATGAACGGGGTGAACTGGCTCTGACATTCGTGTTGCTTTGGAACACCCCAATTTACGCTATTGGCACCGAGTAGCGTCTTGCAGCTTCGAACAATCGGGCCTTTTTCTCGGCCATCGTTACCCCCGTTCAATTGGCAACGGTTCTGCAGGCATAAAATAGTCGGCTGCAAAAGTACATTATAATTTTTCACACTATTGGCGCCGTTGAAAAGTCAATCAGCAGTAGATTCGCACTATAAATTTCGCGATTCGGTGATTGGAGAAGCTGGTTTTTCCATCGAGATAGAACTCGTCTTCTGTGACTTGGCCTCCATCTCAGGGAGAAGTCCCAAACTTCCGGATCCAGCAACAGGCCGGCAGTGCATCCACCTGTTTCGATTACCGCCTACCCCTCACTGTCAAAGCCCTAAGCTCGCAAGAAACCTCCAAAATGGGGGGAGGGGCATGGCGTTGAGTCTCAACGCCACTGAGGCATGGGCTTTTGGTACATGCCACTTGGCCACATCGCCCGATCTTGGGAGCCGACTTCACTCTTGACTTTCGTCTTTGGACAGTCAGAAGCGCCAACTAAATGAGTGTCACCGAGCCAGATCAATCCTTGGACAGCTGTGCATGTTTCTATGCTGCCGTTGAGCTTGTCGATTAATGCCCGGCAACGATCCCGCGCCGCCCAAGCATTCGACGCTGTATGAACATGAATGTGCAGGTCTTCATGAGATCACGGTGTTCTCCGTATCTTGTCTGTTGGCACTCCTAGCCGGGAGTTAGCTCAGGTACCAACCACGTTGGACTACTTGCCGAATCAGTGTTCGACGAAGAAGGCTTGGGGGCGCATGTCCTCGTAGCTGACGATTAGGACTCGGTCCTTTCAAGACCAGCCAATGAATGGCTCACACTAACACTCATTGTTCGAGTCATGCGGCGTACTACAACTTGCATTCGATAGTATCGACACTGGAGAATAGATCCGGGAGGGGAAAGAGAGCAGCTGTAGATCATTAGGCTTGCGGATTGTCGCCAGCTGGAATGCCGTTCGGATAGGAAAGGCCGCTATTCGCTCTGTGCTGGAAATCATCTAGAGACTAAAAGATCGGCGGCGGGTTCAGCTGAGAATTTCAAGCTGGCTGGTTGGCTGTCGGTCATGGAAGATCGACGATCTACGGGTTCCCGGCTGTGCGGTCGGACAGGTCCGCACGATTTTCTTGACATCCAGAGATGATCTGTACTAACAAGCAAGTCTGGTCGATAAAGATTCAAGCACAGACATCAATCGATTCACAGCTCAATTCGGCAAGACTCAAAAATCAGGCTGTCAGATCCCTCGCTAGTCCTATTGTAGCTCGAGACAGCAGACGGCACCGTTGCAAATCATGTCAATCCTTGTGATAGATCGCGCATTGCGAAGAAAATCCGGTTCCTATTGACATGACATGAATCGCGACGCCTTGCGGGGATCCAAAATATGGTATGGTACAAGCTCACACTTGTACTTGCGCTTGCAGCGCAAATCTACAACCTGTCAAATGCCCGCACTATACGACACTCCCCTGGAGATCGAAAATATACCGAATGATCTGATCCGTGGGGAAAATACGCGCTCGGGCCGCGCTTAGATGGGATCTAGTCGGACCCAGCGAGCTTCTCGGCAATAGAGGTGATATCCTCGTCTTCGTGGACTTCGATGACTCGATTCACTTCAGCCGAGTTGCGCATCAGCTCCACTGCGCTGGCGTACATCATCCGTTGCGACGGGTTGCAGTTCACGGGAAGCCAGTAAAGCAGGACGTAAGGAACAGAGAGACGGCCGTCTTTCTACATGTGCAGAACGCTACGTTAGGAGCCTTCGCGGAGTTGATATCGAGGCCCACTCACCGTGGTCAGAGGGTGGCTGAGAAGAATGTATCGGGGGGGAGGATTCGGGGAGCTCATCGGCGAGATCCTCCATCTTGGTGTAGACTTCGCCATCTTCAGGACGGATCTCTTGTGTCTCTTTATCGATGATATCTGCATGGGTTTTATCGAGTTTATCAGCGTGTATGTCCTCGGTCAAGATGTGACTGCCTTGATAGCATTTTGTGGAAAGTGGGAGGTTGGTATAAGGGGCACGTACAGATGATAGCCTGGGCTTCCTTGGCCCTAGACGTGGTAAGACGGAACTTGCGCAGTTTCTCTCTTGTCTCCGGGGGAGAAAGTGTATAACCGTGATTCGGACTAGCAGCTTGTCAGCCCGCGATCCTTTTAAGAGGGGGTTGTCGCATGTTTCCTTTTTGACGTCACCTAGGCAGTATTGAAAGACTCACCATTTTGATTAATATGTGAATGGAAGAATCTGTGATTTTTCCACAACGATTATCTCTGAAAAACGATGCTCTGAACCGACAACGTGGTAGCAGATGAAGAAAAGGACGAGCACACGAGAAATGTGGGAAAGCTCGCGATCGCCAACGAAATGCAGGCGGAGATCTCTCTTCCCCACTTACAGCTCCCCCTTCAACCCTCATCCCCGAAGAACCAGCGCAGACGCTCTAATACCACTTCATGCTTAACCGACTCAACTTATTATCTCGCCACTTCGCCCATCCTTTTGGTTTCCGTCCTACCACCCCAACGCTCTCACCCCTCCGTCCCGGTCCGCTCGCAATGACATCAGCCCATCCAAACTTCACCAAACCCATCCACACGGCAGCCTGCCTGATCATTGGCGATGAGGTCCTCGGCGGAAAGGTCCGTACCAAAACTCAAGGAGGTACCTACAGCAATTGACAAAACCCCAGACAATCGACACCAATTCGCCCTTCCTAGCCAAGTTCTGCTTCGGCCTCGGCATCCAGCTGAAGCGCGTGGAAGTCATCCCCGACGATGAAGAGGATATCATGGAAGCTGTGCGCCGCATGAGCGCCCGCTACGACTTCGTCGTCACCAGCGGAGGCATTGGTCCAACGTCCGTACACCCCCTCAAACCTCCCCCATCTACATTATCCCTACATCCACGCAATACACGGGTCCTGACCTAACCCCCAGCCACGATGATATAACCTACCGATCGGTCGCGAAAGCCTTCAACCTCAAACTCCAACTGCACGAAGCAGCCTTTGCCCGCATGAAGAGACTCTCGAAACCTCATCCCATGCAACCCAATTTCGACTGGGAAACCCCATCCCCCGGCTTAACTGCCAAGCTCCGCATGGTTGAACTCCCTTACGATCCCACCGTCCCGGCCGCAGACCAAGCCCTTTTCGTCGCGGAAGATATGTGGGTTCCCATCGCCGTGGTGAACGGAAACGTGCACATTCTCCCCGGCGTCCCGCGTCTCTTTGAAAGACTCCTCATGAACCTGCAGCCCAGCATCAAGCCCAGACTGGCTCATTTGGATGGCAAGGCGACCGAGCGGGTGATGATCAGTACACCGTTGCCGGAGAGTGCAGTTGCACCTTATTTGACGGAGCTGGCGGCCAAGGTCGAGCCGAAGGGTGTCAAGGTCGGGAGTTATCCGAGATGGGGGAGGAAGAGGAATACTGTCACCTTGGTTGGGGCGGACAAGGATTATCTTGAGTCCCTTGTGCAAGAGGTCGAGGAGAATGTACAGGGAAAGAGGGTATCCAAGGAGGATGAGCTGGATCCGAAAGATGAGGGGGAGACTGTTTATAGTCAGTAGATGATATGTATGATGTCAAAGCGTGATCAGGGGGCTTTGATGTATCAATAGAGCATCCGCCTTTTGAGGAGGGTTGTTTAGACCATTGATGAGTTTATCTGATATTTGAAGCATGCTGTCAGAGGTTCGTCATCTAGGTAGTCAAGGTTGGAATCGATCAGTGGCCAGAACACCTCCGATGCTGTCTCAAGATTGCTGACACCAGAAACAGGATCTACTCTGAGATAGTGAACGTGTTTGTAAACTCTTGATGACAACGTCTTCCCGCGCCAACCCTCGGGATATGCGAAGTACTTATGCTTGCATGCCGATTCTCCATCGCATCACACATTTGGGCACCTGGGCATGAATAGCTCTGCAGAAAGTCCACTTCCAGCCTATTGAGCAATTGACCATGCACATGCGGGTGAGAGGTACCAATTGGGCAGAAGAATTGAAACTAGATTAGTGAGAAGATGCATCCCAAAACCTGTTCACCTTCACTGTGACTTTACCTTTGGAAGATACGATCTAGATCCAAATGACACCATGATAGAGAGCAAAGAAATCCAATGAGGAACATATATTGACAGCCGAGTCGTCTCGCCCGAGACAGACACCTGATGATAGACAAAACAAGTAACCAGGACAAATCTTTCGCGAACCAATAATAAAAACAAAAAAAAAAAATAGACGCAAAGGAACAAAAGGGGAATCAAAATGTTTCATGAGACGAGGGTTGGGCGTCAGGCAATCATTGTTTTGCGTTGCAGTAGCAGAGCAAGCCTCCATGGGAGACCTGGCAACCCCACGAAATCCGCAAAACACAAAACCACTTTCAGTTCTTTTTCCTCTTGTTGTATCCTTTTCCCTTTCCTCCCAGCCTGGGGGCGATTATAACCGTATTTCAGCACTCTCACTTTTCCATATATCCCACCGAGGTATTACCCGCTCGTATGAACTCGTTCTCGTTCTCGCGCTCTGAGCGCTCCGACAGCCGTCTCAAATGTGTAAGTTGAGACCGGGGGGGGGCGCCTTTTTACATGATGACGCACTTGCTGCAGCAACCGGCGCTCTCATCGGGCTCAGCCACGTCCATCTTTCCCTCTGGTGCGCGGGCTCCGTAGGCACCGGAGCCGGAGGGATAGGATGACATCTCCTTGTTGTAACGGCGGATCTCGCGGACGAGGTCGTAGAAGGCGTCTTCGACGTGAATGCGGGACTTGGCGGAAGTCTCGATGAACTTGCAACCGAACTGACGGGCCAGAGCCTCACCCTCTGTAGAGACGTGTTAGATCGGGCATTGCAGTTTAGATGAAACGTGATGTGGAGATAATGGGGAACTGGGAGAAAGGAATGTACCTTGCTGCGAGACTACGCGATCCTTTTCCAAATCACACTTGTTGCCGACGACAATGATGGGGAAATAATCCTTGTCCTTGACGCGAAGGATCTGCTGTTGGAAGGTCATAATTTCTTCGAAGGATTGGCGCGATGTTATGGAGTAGATGAGCAGGAAGCCCTCGCCGGTCCGCATGTACTGTTCCCGCATCGCCGAGTACTCCTCCTGACCTGCTGTGTCCAGGACATCCAGAAGAGCGACCTCATCGTCAATGACACACTGCTTGCGGTAGGAATCTGCGAAAACAAACAGGTCGTGAGCAATTCAGTTCGCGTCGATCGGGGGCCTGGTGATGACCGTGGGCAGGTGTATTCGGCTCACCTTCAATTGTCGGATCGTATTCATCCACGAAATGGCTCTGGATCAACTGGATTGTCAAACACGACTTTCCGACACCACCACCACCGACAACCACCAGCTTGTATTCTCGTAGGAACTGCGACGAAAAAGGACATGGTCAGCCATTGAGGACCTTTCTCGAGATTGGTTCGGTTGGGAAAGGAGGCGCGAGGGCGAGGTCGAGGTTGATGTGAAGGTCGATTGCGAGACAGGGAGATCTGTGGAGATCGATAGGAGGTGTTTGGGGATGGAGCTCACCTTTGAAGCCATGGTGATTCTAGGAATCCTTTCCGAAACAGAAAGGGGAGAGGAACAGAAGATCAAGAGACGATCAGGCAAGTGGGAAAAAAAAAAAGGGTCCAAAAGAGAAATGCAAAATACGGGTCGAGTAAGGAAGTGATTAGGGGGGGAAGAAGAGAGGTTCGGAGTGTCGACGGGAAGAAAATGGAGAACCGCTGTTGTGAGCTTCTTTGGCTTGTGGAGCCCCTACAACCCAGGTTTGTTCTGGCACCTATACGATCAACTAATTATATAAACAGAAATGATTATGTTTGATTACGAGATGAAGGCTTACCGGTTAAAGCCGTAAAGGAAATGACTTAAAGCAGGGGAAAGGGGGGGGGAGGAAAGAGGAAATTCAGGAGATCGAAGAAGTGGGGAGGCGATGATTGGGTGAGAAAAAGGGGAGATTCTGGACTTTGATGGTATGTAGTCTCTACGACTCTCGGAATTCTTCTCCTAACTTCCTCAGCCTATATATATAGGCTTTGGAACCCCATCTACCTAGGTAGGGTTGCCGCCATTAAATCCTCCTCCTCAACATAGCCTCATAACTTGGTTGCTGGTGCACAAGGATAGCCGTGCTCTGGAATTGAACTAAAATAATATCGAGCTTTGGTACGCTACTATCGAAGTCCTCCATTGATTGGCCATCCCACCAGCCCCCTACGAACGACGTGCTGACCCTATCCGGAACTTCAATAGGACAGACAGCACATCTTCCGGCACATAATCCCCCCCGTTCTCGGACCCAAACATGGAAAATAGAAAAATAAAAATCTCCATCTTCCTGATCAACTGCAGAGCCCACATCGAGTCACTTCCAGACCCGAGTGGATCGTAGGTGGGGATGGGTCCAGGGCGCTTCAGAAAATCGGGTTAGTTCGCACAACTTAGCGTGGTGCTGATGGGTGATGGTCAACCTGTGAGGGCCGTAGCTTGTCGGGCACCAAAAAAGTCGAGTATCAATCTTGGCTTTCCTTTACACCTGAATGGCTTGCAGGAGATGGCCGCCTTGCATGTCGATTGCATCATCCCGACAGAACCCCGGTCTCTCTGTATCAACTCTCTGCGGCTTCATCTCCCCGGAATTTCCGTGCCCATGGAGGATTCCGTCAAACCTTCATGTCCGTAGCCAGGGTTTGGGAAGCCCGGTCCTCGCCCAACGAACCACCCCGTGGTTGACATCTGTAGATCCTGGTATTGGACCCTGGAGCAATAGGAAGATTCATGTGTTGTAGGGTAGTGCCCCGCTCATCCACCCACAGTCAAAAGCCTCGCGTTCAGTGTCACATTGGAGTCTCCATTAATCCCACTCTGGAGGCAACGATCGCCTAGCTCTTATTCAGACCCCTCCTTTATGCCCGCACTTGGGATTCGGAGATCGCATGTGCTCTAGAAGTCTCAAGGATCCAAGGTTCCTGACGCGAGCGCGACGCCCCTCTCATTCTAGGCGGGGGGGACTGTGCGACCGGCAATCCGAGGCAATCCGTGACACCCATGGGACGTCAGAATTCAATTCATTGTCGCCTTCTGGAAGCCTGGAGCTGCAGATTCTCGTTAGTGAAATGCCCACACTCAGCAGTTTGGATTGAAATTGTAGAGTGTCGCTGCAGTTGAGGTCCCGGAGCTTTGCAGCTGTCTTGAAATGATGGATCAAACTCCCCGATTCGTGTACTGGACGCACGGTCGGTGATGGATCAAGGGCTTGCTGCAGGTGTCGCAATCCGGCAGTTGGGCGATTCGGATGGGACCAACTGCATAGGGCTGCTCGTCATTATAGATCAGTATAGAGATGCACGGATGTTCTGGCGCCCGGGTCAATCTGAAAGGTGTCAAAGAGTCACGGTCAGTTCTATCGTGGATTGAGGTTGAGGGCGGAAATCATGATCTAAAACAGGCCGTCTGCATCTACGCAATCTGTCATGCAGTATCATCTCACTATCTCAGTAATGCCGAGTACGCAGATCTGAAACCAAGGATAGATCATATCATCAATAAGGACAACCCACTGAAGCCGAATCACTTCCGCTGGACCCTTCGTCTCCATTGGACAAAGGAGACAAAGGTCTCGTCAGATCAGTTCGACCTAGCAAAACGGCCGTCCATGCACTCAACCCTTTTAATGCTGAGGATATCTCCGAATCAAGTGCTATCAAATTGTCGATGTGCTCGTCTAAGATCATCTCCATATTCATATTGTTGACAACTTGACAAAGCCAAGGTGCTACAAGGGTTACTACACATGACTGATCTCTCACGCAGCTTATGGACACAAGGACCCGCAGGTGTGGCCTGATCTTCTCGAGATTCTATCTTTGACTCTCATATTTGTGATACCATGTACGACGGACTCTATCTATGTACCTGCCACGCTTCCAATTATCGCACACATTTACCTACGACTTGCGGTGCATAATGCCGGCGGCAGCCTATTCAATGGTAAGGTAAATTCTTTCACAAGTAATTTGAGACAACGAAAGGTTACATACCTGGTGGTTGGGGAAGATCAGCGTATCCGCAATGACGACGTTCTCCCGTCGCCCGGCTGCGAAGACAACAAACTCGGCAATATCCTCACCCGTCAAAGGCTCAACACCCCTAAGAAAATGATTAGATTGGGCTCAAAAAGGGACATGGATCTGATCAACTCCACTTACTTGTACACGGCATCAGCCTTGGACTTGTCGCCGTAGAATCGGACAACAGAGAACTCCTGCACACATGTTAGCTTATGTGTTGTAATGTACAAAGGGAACGTATACGTACAGTCTCAACCTGACCGGGGTCAATCTCAATAATACGAATGCGGGTAGCAATGAGCTCCTTGCGAATCGACTCAGTGAAGGAGCGGACAGCCGCCTTGGTAGCGCAATAAATACCACCGCCGGGATAAGGATCACGCCCGGCGATGCTACCAATGTTGATAATATCACCGCGGCCGCCTTCCGGGCGCTTTTTGAAGATAGGCAGAACGGCTTGAGTCATGTGGATAAGGCCAGTTACGTTTGTGTTGAACATGATGTTCATATCTTCGGTGGCGATGTCACCAGCATGAGCAACACCCTTTACAAGACCGCTGTGTAGCCATTATTAGCATTCATTTATCTCTTTGTCCGGTGTCCGTCTTCTTTGATGTGATTGATGACTCACGCATTGTTCACAAGGACGTCAATCTCCTTGAACTCCTCCGGCAGAGAGGGAACAAAGTTTTTGATCTCCTCCGGTTTGCTCACATCCAATTTGACCGGTAGCACCTTGACACCATCGCCAACTTCAGCCTTGATCTCAGCAGCAAGCTGGTTCAAGGCGTCGATACGGCGCGCGGTCACAATAAGCTTCAGGTTCTTAGGCGAGGTACGCGCGAACTCAAGAGCAGTGGCCTTTCCAATACCGGAAGAAGCACCGGTCACAACAATAGTCTTGCCCTCGAGGCGCTTTGCCATTGCGGAGGCCATAGTGCGACGGATATTGGTGGACTGAACAGCTAGAGAGAAAGGGCTGGGCTTTGTAGAGAGCAAAGCGTTCGATTGGGATGCGGAGAGTCGGTGGAGGAGCTGAATTGATTTACCACAGGCTCTGATATGGTTCATTAAGGGTGCTCGTATCTCTCGGTCGAATTGCAAAGAAAATCACAAAACGGCCTCATGGCGTGCGGGGATCGCGTTGGCGTCATGTCGGGTTATGTAATCGGCTTTTAATTGCGGCGCGGGATCGGCCTTCGCGCCGAGTTTCAATTTTCATTGTTCTGGATATTCGGCGATGCACCGGCGAGGTCTGTATCCGATTCATTGCTCGGCCGAGAATCTTTAAAATTGTGTCGGAATGAGAGTATCGATTGATCGTAGAAGACGGGAAGAACAATCAACGGTACTTTGATTCGGCATTGGATGAACATTTCGTTTTCTATGCGCATCTGAACTATAAGCAAGTTTTGGCCCTCTTTTGTGCGAAAAGTCGAGGGTTCATTTGCAACACTTTACCTTGCGATATGCAGCAATTCATTGTTTTAACTCGCTTTTATCACACAAACACTCCCAAAGACTTCTCTCTCCCAACATGTTCCAACGCAAGATGTATTCAGTCTCGAGATTTAGAGAAATTCAGGAGTTTATTTGCCATTCCCCTCGAGCTTCCCACTTGAGAGAGAAACCCCTATTGTCCTTAAAATTTTGATGTAACTCATCGAGAGCTAACAATAGGTATGTTTGGCACGTTGAGATATAATATAAAAAAGATATCAGTTCAACAGCAAGTATACCTCAACTTCTCTTGACACGCTTGTCCACTCTATCATCTACTACCCAACATCACAACTTGCAGTAAAGAGGTCTCAAATAACCACCTGCGAGGCGAAGACTTTCACTGGGCTGCAGATGCGAATCAGACCTACGACATGCATCCAAATACATTGACCCTGATTTTGTGAATCTAACTCATACTGACAGGGACTTCTTGAGCCTCCGTGGCTCACAGCTCGGCTACGCAGCAAAAGGACACGCTGACATCTCTTCATTCGCAGATGATGGCTCGGCAGAAATCGAGAATATCTTTATCTTGACCAAGACACTGGTAACTTTTCTCATTTTTTGATGTCTAACCTGGCAGCCGCGAACGGATCGACTCTCGAGCTTATCCCGACTGCACCAGAATGGGTTGAGACTCGTCGAGAGATCTTTACAGCTCGTTGCAACTCCCGGCCACCACAAAGAGGCCACCATCCTAAGTGCCCATCTCCACTAAGCCAAGTATGGCTTGCTTCAGTGGTGAAGCCATAGGTGATGCGAGTACTCTTCCCGAGGACTCCCATTATCAGGTAACGCCAATTTTTGGAGAAACAAGCTCGGGTCCCCAGTCTTTCAAGCTGAACCCTATCTACTGACGCACAGCATTCGGACCCAAGTAAAGATCCAAATTGTTATCGCTCCTTTCCATACCCAGCTCCAACTCAGCTCCTCGTCCCAGGTAGACAATTCGAAATGTTCTAAGCAAGTTATCCACTCAGTGATTGAATCTCACTTTCCATGCTCAAAACTGTGGCTCTTGGTTTCTGCATTTATCGATCGCTTTTTAGACCAACTAATTCATCCTTTTCGTTCCAATGCCCCATTTTATGTGGTCATTCCAGGTATAAATCCGATCAGTAGAGAACTATGCATTGTCGTCTGGATTTTCCATTTCAATGTCAATTTCGTTTCTTGCCGGTCAGGGTCAGTATAGGAACTCAACATCATACATGATGCATATCGGAGACAAGCTAGGCCGCTTCGATAAATCGCCACTTATTCTACCCCGCGTGTGCGCGGGGTGTAAATTCCGCTGCCCCGCTTGCGAACCCCTGGTCAACGCAGCTGCATCGCCCTTGTAACTTCACCGTGATATCCATAAATATATGAATTAAAAATGACTAACTGTATTCAATACTCTTTCAGCCAGATACTATTCCTGACGGGTGTTGATCCGAACCCCATGTTATAGCGATATCCCGAGGGACAATGAATGTGGGGTCAAGCGCCACCTCGGGGAGGAGATTCATTCAAAAGAGGGATGTTGATCATTAAAATATCCCCATTCAAGCTTGTGCCCAGTTTATCTCGGTCAGTCTTACCGGCAAAATGACACACCTCCTCCTTGAGCCTTCTCTTCTCGACAGTTTGGCTGGGAAAGTGGCCGTATTGACGGGCGGAGCCACTGGTATCGGCCACTCAACCGTTCAGCAACTGTGCAGTGAGTTCATGCCAGTCAACATGAACCGGCTATGTCCTAATTATGATCAGAGTATGGTGCAAAGGTAATATTCGGCGACATCCTCGAGGAGCCGTCGCGACAACTGGAATCCGAACTCAGTCCAAATGTCCACTTCGTCAAATGCGACGCCTCGAGCTACTCGGATCAGCTCGGACTATTCAAATCCGCTCACGACAAGTTTGGCAGAGTGGATATTGTAATCGCGAATGCCGGGATCTCGATCACAAAGGACATATTCGACCCCGCTGAGGATATTACGCAGGAGCCTTCCATGAAGGAAATCGATATCAACACCAAAGGTGCTATTTTCAGTGCACGCATCGGTATGCATTACTTGCGACAAGCCGGGGGCGGAGATCTGGTGCTTGTGAGCAGCATTGCCGGGTTCAAGGAATGCGGGGGGGCTGGTCACCTACACGGCCAGCAAGCATGGCGTGATTGGGGTGATGCGGGGCCTTCATTTGACCGCGACCCCGCAGAATATCAGGGTGAATGTCATTTGTCCCTGGATGACAAGTAAGTTCCTCATTGTCTATTGTCTGTCCAATTTTAATGATTGCTTAGGAACACGGATGGTTCTCGGGATTGAAAAGGGTTGGTATGAGCGGGGCTTACCGGTCAATGAGCCCGAAGATGTCGGTAGAGCCATTTTAATCTGTGCTACTGCTAACCGGGGCACGGATGGACTGACTCATCAGGGCGCTCGTCTTCCATTCGCCGGTAAGATTGTGTATGTATCGGGTGGGGAGAGTTACGAAATCGAAGATGGCATCCAGAAGTTAGAACCAAATTGGTTGGGAAAGGAAAATAGCCAAATCCTTGAAAAGGGACAAGAATATCTTGCGTCGGACAGCACAAGCTGGGATGAGTCAAAGCTATCTTGATAATGGGTTCTATCACGAAGCATCTTTAGTACATTTTGCATGAATTCATTCTCATGAAACCAAATGAACAGAGACAGCCTCACTATACTTGACTTTTTGTCCACATAGATTCACTTCCAATCGATGAGGTAGGCGATACCTCAGTGTGGAATTTGTTTCCGTCGAATTTTGTGCCGGTCTGGTAGAACATGTTCTCTGAGATCGGGCATTACTTGAGCAGATATCATAGTCTGCGGAACACTTTGAGCAGTGGAGATACTGCACACTCGCAAGTTTGTAGATGGTCGAACACCCTGTCAAGGCCACTCAGCGAAGTTTAGATGAACCTCTGCTTGTCTTTCACTGCTGAGAAAATAAATTTAAAGAAAAGAAGGGGAAGAGATGAAGAGAAGAGAAAGAAGAGAGAGATATCAAATTGCCAAAATGAATTACTTGGACCTTAGAGGTAGAGACCTATTGCTGAGTTCTAAGATAAGTCAATTCGACTCCAAGCAAAGCCTGACCTACGTATGCGGAGCTTTTCACGAAAGGCCCAGTGCACGTAAAGTCTACACAAGACATATGTCTGTGAATAACAAGACCCTTTCTATTGTAAATACTCCGCCTGTAGATGTATCGTCCAAAATTTGCCAGCTTAACTCCCAAGTAACGTCATCGAGACCTGATACTGTTTCTTTCAAATTCGGCTTCCTCTGGGCGCGGCTTTTTCCCAGGGCCAAGTCACAGTTGGCTTGCCAAATCACTGTGAATGGGAAGATGTTTCGAGAGGCAGGTATATTTGAACGCCGCTGACATCAGCGTTCAACTATTACAAGGTTCCTTACTTGGCGGCGTCGAAAGAGCGAGGCAGTGCTAGGCAAGTTTATGCAATCGAGCGCGACGGGGGATTTTCTAATGACTGAATGAGACTGCTATTCAATATCATGCAAGATACACTATTTCAGCTAATTCTATTCCCCAACAGGTAAATCCCTATGAAGATGAGGACCATTTTCTGATCTGGGCATAGTGTGCTTGCTGATCCCGGTGTGGGGCTAAGTGTCCAGCAAGACCCTTAACAGCGCCAGGAACAAGTTGGGACTAGCAGCGTGCCCTGACAATGATATACAAATATGCCTTCCCTCCTGAGATAGAGCCCATAAATGGCCCTTGAAGCCCCTTAAGCCGAGTATTGTTCTAAGCATCCCAATCATCCCATCTCTCTAAGTTATACCACCTCGTAACTTCCAATCACAATGGGCTCCATTGCTTTCATCACTTATGTGGCTACAGCTTTAATGAGCGGGTTTACCGCGGCACAGCCAACCCGTGCGATCGATTCGGATTTTGCCGACCCCTGTGTCATTCGGGTTGACGGTGGCTACTACGCTTTTGCTACTGCTGGCAACGGAGTGAATGTCCAAGTTGCATCATCCGCAGACTTCTTAACATGGGATCTTCTTTCCGATACAGATGCCATGCCTGGTCCATTTCCCTCCTGGGTAGCTAGCTCCCAAGCAATCTGGGCCCCCGATGTTAACCAAAGAGTAAGGACGCCAAGAATGTTTCACAATGTAAAGACTAATCGGTTTCAGGATGACGGAACTTTCGTCATGTATTTCTCTGCCGCTTCAAGTCAGGATAGTAGCAAGCATTGTGTCGGGGCTGCTACCTCCTCGAGCATTACCGGTCCTTATACCCCGGAGAATGATCCATTCGCTTGCCCTCTCGACCAGGGAGGCGCAATTGATGCTGATGGGTACAAAGATGGAGACACCTACTACGTCGTCTATAAAATTGATGGAAATAGCCTCAATGGCGATGGCACTACTCATGCCACGCCCATTATGCTCCAGGCTCTTGAATCCGATGCCGTGACTCCAATCGGTGATGCCACGCAACTCCTTGACCGCGACGACAATGACGGTCCCTTGATCGAGGCTCCTAGCCTTGCAAATATTGGGGGCACATATTACCTTAGCTTCTCTTCCAATATGTACAACACGCTCAACTACGATGTGAGTTACGCCACCGCGGCTGCAATCACCGGACCCTATACAAAGGCTCAGGCCCCAGGCGCTCCTCTTCTCGTCTCGGGTGATGCAAGTGATGCTGGCGATCTGGGTGGACCTGGTGGCGCTGACTTCAATGCCGATGGTTCGAAGATTGTGTTCCATGCCTTTGAGAACGGTCAGAACCTGGACAAGGGGCGTGCGATGTATGTCGCCGACATTGGCGCTTCGAACAACGTACTTAGCGTGCTCTGATTATATACCAGCAGGCTTGATAGCTGTAATCACAATTTTTTCATCTAAAATAGAATGATGTTCCCAGTCACTGTAGACTCAAGCAAGGAAAAATAAAAAGAATGAACAGTTTTGACGCCTTGAATATCAGGCATATGGAGGAAACATCCACCGATCGCATTTTAAACTCCGAATCCAACCAGACAAAAGAATCGAAAGACCATTTCCACGATGGCATCAACACGAGATGCACTGGAATTTCCAGAGTCGGATAGATCATTCTTAAGAACCTCAGCTCCCGCCAAAAGATGGCTCAACCCCACGTCCAAATATGCCATTCACGACTCTCACATTCGCAACATCCTTGATTCATCGCTTGCTCTATCACCAGGCGCACGTACAGTCCTCTCGGGACCTCAGTCCAAAGCCATGACGCACTACCTGCGCTCCCGCCATGATGGCATCCTCATCGGGGTTGGAACCGCCGTGGCGGACGATCCTGGCCTTAATTGCCGCATCGCGGGGGTGGGAGGGTACGGCGGTGGGGGTCTAGAGGGTCAGCCGCGGCCGATTGTAATTGATCCCTCTGCTCGGTGGGATTTCTCGAATGATAGTAAGCTATTTCAGCTTTGTACTCAAGGGCGTGGTCGGGCGCCTTGGGTCGTGACTACACTCCCAGAGCCACCGGCAGAAAAGAAGGCTTTGCTGGAGAAATATGGGGGGATGTTCATCATATTGGACAAGATCGATTGGAGTGATTTGCTTGCTACGCTTCATTTAAATGGTCTTCGGAGCGTTATGATTGAGGGGGGTGCACAGGTTATCAACTCTCTGCTTGAGCCATCGAACATGTCCCTGATCGATCGAGTCATTATCACGATTGCCCCTACATGGTTGGGCCAGGGCGGAGTGGTTGTTTCCCCTGCTCGACGCTTCGATGGTGAAGGCAAAGCGATCTCTGCGGCGAGATTGACCAATGTCAAATGGTATCCATTCGGGGAAGATGTGGTTCTTTGTGGTCAGATTCGAGAATAAGAAGGATCAGCCACCACAGCAATCACTTGACGGCAGTTTCTCGGCCATGATTTCTTAGTGAGTGAAGCCAATGTTTCAGATTAGTGGATTTCTGAAGCCTTACAATTGAACACCGTGTAGATAATGTCTGGAGATGGATACCTGTGAATAGCTCGGCCAGAGTGTCAGGTGGTCTTGAACGTGTCTCAATTAGAAACTCGTGGTTACATGCCTAGATACCTTTCAAGAGTAACGGAATAGCTGGAATGATCTTCAGATAATGGTCAAGGTGTTTTCTGATAAGTATATCGGGAATATCATCTCTCTAAGCCCCACGGTCTGAATCAAGCCGCAGCACTATATATAATTGCACGAAAACCAGGCTAAGTGCTCATTCGAGCATTCAAATGGTCCTGTGAATAGTACTCAGGGAACAATAATGAAAGCCTGAATAGTGATTGAACCAAAGACTATCTTCTCTGTCTTATGGAAGTAAGGCCGGGTATAATCTGCACACCCGTCTCGACACATTAGAAGTGCTAGGGGGGCTTAGGAGAAAAATCCGAATTTCTTTTCCGGTCTTCAGGAAGACTATATAATCAAAAGTGGCTCATTCTTCCATCAACCACCCAAGTGGCCGAGCAGTAACTCAGTCATCTCATCTTCCTTGGTCTAGTGGTCATGATTTCCGCTTGTCATTAACACCGATAAGCGCGGGAGACTGGGGTTCGATTCCCCGAGGGAGAGTTTCTTTTTTTGTTTTTGCATTTTTAATCTAGATATACCACGACCAGGATCTCCATTTTTTTTTTTGGCCTATCAGATTTATATTGTTGTAAAGCATTGATCTGCCTCTGATTCTTTGAGTGCTCCTTTCTTGCATAAGGTTGGGGAAATTGCCTTTTAGAATTACCACTTAACAGGGAATGTGGGTCTTGCGGCGAAAAAGATCTGGATTATATAACACAATCCCGCTCCAGTCTTCAACAAGGCCGGCTGGCCCAATGGCAAGGCGCTTGACTACGAATCAAGAGATTGCAGGTTCGACCCCTGCGTCGGTCAAATTTTTGGTGTTTTTGGATTCAATCTACGGTCCTTTTTTTCCCCATTGGCCTGTCTATGTATAAGTTTTTTCTTCGTGGTGCTCAGAGGGGTTTTATCAATATGAGGTTAGGCCTTGCATTCAATCTTCTCTTACTTTGATTCGGCCAATTGTCAATCTTCCTTTTAAGTGTATTGCGGGTCAGGGCAGCTGATAGAGGAGCTAGAGTCAGATGCATGATGACATTGATTTAAAAATTGATCATCTAGTATTCATTGACATGCACGTCCTTGTACGTCTTCAAGATCTGAGGCAAGATCTTCCCAAATGGCACAAGAAAATATTTACTTCATATCCTCACTTTGAAACTAAACGCTTTCGACAGACGGCGACTACCTTTTCCCACACAACCTGGTGACATCACTATATTGAAACACGAGGATAAAAAGGCGGCACAGGCCGAAAGCAAAGAAAATTCCCATGATGAGATGGTCACCTCAAGAACAAGGAAGCAGGGTAAGCTGCACGGGGGCCATGGCCTCATTTTTTGCTGGACTAGTCAACAGTCACTCGATTATTCTGGTATGACGAGTACCGATTTGTTTGTTCTCAGCAGGCATTCTGCATACAGGCCCATTGCAACGTGACCAAACGCTCATTAGCAGTATCTATCAGCCTTCTTATTTGGAAGAAATAGTACAAGTCATAGAAATACCAGACAAGATGCCGGAGAAAGAATAGGAAAGCAAGGGGGCTATAGCAAATCATCACTTCATCAAAAGACTGACAGCCCAGGGAACGCTCAGACCACGTAAATCTCCATAGTGCTGTCCGACACCCAAGAACACAATAGGAATGCCCGTGGCGTGGACCATGCTAACCAGTGTGCCAACCATGTCGCCCACTGTATCGCACTTGCTAATAATAAAGCCGTCCAAGTTCCGACCAGCTCCGAACGCCTGGTTGAAGTTACGTGCCTGCATGACACTGTCTGTTCCTACCAAAGCCTCACCAACCATAAAGATCTTATCGGGATTAGCGAACTTGGCGAACTTTTCGAGGGAAGACATGAGGCGCTGGTCATTGTGACGACGACCGGCAGTGTCGATCAAGACCACGTCGAATTTGTTGGCAGCGGCGTATTCAACTGCATCCTTGGCCACGTTGGCAGCGTCTTTGCCATAGCCCTTTTCGTAGAGCTCAATATCGCCAGCACCATCACGGTTACTGAGCTCCTTCAGGTTGCGTGCGTGGACACGAAGTTGCTCCACGGCGCCAGAACGGAAGGTATCACAAGCCGCAATGAGGACCTTGTACTTGTTCTGTAGGAGAAAGAAGCAGATCTTGCTCAAATTGGTAGACTTGCCGACACCGTTGACACCCACGATGGACATAACGTAGGGACGAGGGGCGTGCTGCTTGGTCGTCGGAGCAGTCACAGCGTTGATTTCACGCAATAGATCCAAGGAGGAGGTGGGGGTCAAAATCTTTCGTAGAGATGCCTCCATGGCAATGTGCAGAGCAGCGTCGACACTCTGGAAATTGGCGGTCTTCTTTCCGACCAGCTCACGCTCAACACCCTCGCAAAGACGGACAGCAGCCTCGCGGGCGACATTCTTTTTCAACAGATGCTCCTCCATCGCCTTGAGGGGCTTCTGGAGGTCGGCCTCAGTCAACGTCTTGCCGCCGACAATGTTGCGGAAGAAGCCACCAACGGCATTGAAACCAGAGCCGACAATACCCGAAGAAGAATTACCCTTGCTCTTCTCAGCATCGGCGTTATCCAGGATACTGTGCACTTCATCGCCAAGCTCTTTCAGAACAAACTGGCCCTTGCCAGTTCGGCGACCCCAGTCATCCTGGGAGATGGCTTCAACAGCAGGAGCGGCGATTTCAGTCTCACCTGCAGGAGCAGAGTAGTCCAAGATCTCACCGTCATCTTCATCTGCATACCCATCTGCGTCCCATTTACGGCCCTTCTTCGCAGAGCCTTTGGGAGTCTTGCCTTTACGCGGAGTTTCATCGCCAGAGGAAGCATTGGCACTTGCATTTTGGAGTTTCTTCGCACGGCGAGAGAGTCGACCTCCAGGGCCAGCCTTTCCAGTGAGGATATGACCGGCAGGGGTCGAAGATCTAGAGAAATCAGGAGTTGCTGGTGGTGTGCCCTCGTCAGAGGTCGCCCCGGTCAGCGCAGCTTGAGGCTGCGCTCTCATGAGGCCAGGAACGGGGGGTGGCGGCGGGCCGCCATTGTCCGACGAGACAAACGGGTCTTTCTTTTCGGTCTCCGCAGGATATGTCTCTGCAACGCTGCCGGTATTGTCCTCCAGCTCGCGCACCTGCTGCTCGAAGTACGGGTCGAATTTGTACGCAGTAATTCTCGCGCGGTTCCCCTTAAGCTGCTCCTTGTAGAGGTCAATAAAGATCGTCGAAATGTTCTCCAGGAGTCTGTCGATCCATCCGAGGTGAAGTAGTGATTGGTAGACAGCCTGTAGAAGAACTATTTAGCTTTGCGACACAGTGACGGGAAAGACGAGAGATGCGACGGGCGGCGAACGTACCACAAAGATCAGATTGAACTCCTTCACCCTCTTCCACTTCAACGTATATTTCTCCTTCTTGAAGACTGGGGAGCCGCCATTTGAGCCGCCTTGAGGCACGACCTTCTCCTCGATAAAAACGTCGTTGATCAGGCTGTTGATGACATGAGACCCCACCGGTGCGTAAGACTTAGACCACAGCACCACACCGGAGGTGGTGAGGATTTCGAAAGCTTCCAGCATGTAGATTTATGTACTGGGATGTTATAGAAGCTTTGAATAGGGGTTTTGCGGGCGAAAAGGGGGACAGAAGAAGGATGGAAAGTTGTGGTGGCGGGTCGGCCAAAAAGCGATGTTCGAGCTCGGAGGCAGAGCGGATCTTCAGCCACGTATAAACACTTCCACTCTACACCTCTCTCAACCCCCGACTACATCTACTCCTACAGTTCAGCTCTTTAGTGATCCCTCTCCCTGTCACTCATCTGTCGTTTAAGGAACATTATGTATCGCGGCTCCTTCGCACCACCTCCCGCGCAGTCGCCGCCTCTTCACCACCCTGTCCCGCAACATGTGTCGACCGTCCCCATGATGCGCTCGCCTCCCCTCCTTCCCAACAGACACCGAATGCCGGATATGGCGGCGGAGGGAATCCATACCAGCCATCGCCCGCCCAGGGAGGGGCCGCGGGTGCTGCTGGCAACTATGGCCCCGGATTCCCCGGGTTCATGACCGATCCTACGGCACAGATGGGTTTCCAGGTTGGAAAGAGTGCGATGGCAGCTGGACAGGAATATATGGAACAGAACGTATGAAGACTCGCATACTGTGCTTTTTCAACGCGTCTCTAACTGGAAAATACAGTTCAATCGCTATGTGTCCATACCCGCCCTGAAGCACTACTTCAACGTCTCGAACTCCTACGTCCTGAACAAAGTCGGTCTCGTCCTCTTTCCATGGCGTCACAAACCCTGGTCGCGCCAACAAGCCAGAATGGCGACCAATGCCACTGGACCGGACGGCCAAATTGTGCAGCAGCAATACTCCTCCATGTTCCTTCCCCCTCGAGACGATCTCAACTCGCCCGATATGTATATCCCCGTCATGGCCGTGGTCACATACATTCTCCTATCGGTATTGCTGGCTGGGTTCCGTGGAGACTTCCACCCAGAGCTCCTAGGCTCGGTCACCACCACATCTATCGCGGTGATCATATTTGAGATCTTGTGCTTGAAGATGGCCATGTACATTCTCAGCATCAACAATGACTCGCAGCTATTGGACCTAGTGGCTTACTCCGGATACAAGTTTGTGGGAATCATTGCTACCTTGGTTACATCCGAGATCCTTACCCCAGGGCGGGGAACTGGAGGCTGGGTTGGCTGGTCGGTCTTTATTTACACCTACCTGGCTAACGCTTTCTTCCTGGTGAGGAATCAGTTCTTTGCTTGGGTTGATATTTCACTAACATCTTTCACTTAGCTCCGATCCCTGAAGTATGTCTTGCTCCCCGACTCGGCCGACTCATCCATGCGCGCAGGTGCCATGCACACTGTGGCTCGCGGCCAGCGCAACCGCCGCACTCAGTTCCTCTTTGTCTACTCGTACATTATCCAATTTGTGTTTATGTGGGTGCTCAGTCGCGAGGGTCCGTCCGCATTGGCTGCAAACGTAAGCTCATGATGGAGTCATAAAATTGAACAACGAGATGCATGATGGAATAGATCGAGTTGATGGAAGAAATGGCATGTGTGGTTGGGAGCGCGACCCATCGCATTGCTCAAGGTCTTGGATCCAAGAGCCAGACCTTAACAGTCACGATATAGCACGACTTATTGTAATCAGAATATCACATTTTCAATCGCCCTTTCCAGACGTTTTGGTCAGAATTGGAAGATAATTGATACCCAGACTGAATATGTATTGAATTGAAAGTACCATGATTATGCACGAAGTTCTCATCAGCATGACTAGGTGGCTCATGGCGAATCTAAAGACCATGAACAAGCTCGGCTGGCCGTAAAGATCCCGATGCAAAAGACGATCAAAATCGATACCGCAGCTGAGCTAAACTCAATTGCCAGCCACACACTCACTACGTAATGTGTTCGTAGCTGAGCGACCTTGACAAAACCTATCTATTCAATCGGCGTGGCAGAATTTACAGAAGAAATCAAAGAAATGAGTATTATTTTGCATTAATATTGATGTAGCTAGGTGTCAGGAGACAAGTCCGTGAGAATATGAAAACCCCTGTTCAATGTTAGAAAATGATTCCAACAAGAGCATCATGAAACAATGTGCGATGTGTGATGGTTCTCAGAGATCTTGGTAGAAGAGAAATTTCAGCTGCCCGAAGGCATCAATTACTATCTAGGCGTGATAAAGTTTTGTAATCATCGGACCGGGAGGAGGATGCAGTGGGCAAAAGCATGGTAAGATAGAAAAAGATAAAAGAACGTACCATTTGAGGCGTGAGACCGGACAAGCAAAACTTGTTCCGGCCTAGAGGTATCTTGCGCTGCGACAAGGCCTAAAAAATCTTCGGGCAGTCAGCAAAAGGTTCGAGCTGGTGCAATCATAACAAGTGGTGGGTTGCGTCTCATTTTCAGAATATGTAAGAAATTGAATATCATCCAGCAGCGCTGTATCGAGACCCCGGCGAGGGCCTCACAGACACTGGGTCAATCGCAAATTACGGCATCATGTGAGAGGAGAAGAGGGTGACAGGGAGTTGCACGTACCATGAGGCAGCTCACAATGGAGTAGACTCAAGAAGCTGGTAAGTTAGTGAAGAGCAACATTAAGCTCATGGCAAAGACTGTGGCAAAACCAGTGATGACAGTGAAGCTAAGAACGAAAAAAAAAAAGTGAAGAAAAGCAGGAGATCGGAAGAAAGAGAGTCCGAGTCCGCGAAGGTATGACATAAGCCAACCCTAGACCCGCAGCTGAGTGGCCCGCTAAGCGAGAACTGTGTGGGCACATCCCGAAATTCGACAGCGCAGACTTGGACAATCCGACTCTTTCGACAACAACCCTCCCGACTTATCTCCCACCCCCGGTTGTCGACCGTGAGTGCATTCGCTCCTGAACCGCTGCATCTGAACAAGCGCTGAGATCTATTGTCTACAGAATTTCGCCATGGCCGATATCGATGTCAAGCTCGCTTCGTGGAAGCTGGTCGAGGTTGGCCGCCTCGTCCTGATCCGCCGCGGCCCCTTCGCTGGCAAGCTCGCCGCCATTGTTGAGATTGTCGACCACCGCCGTGTACGTTGAAAACCGCACTCCTCGATCTGCCCGGAAGATCAAGAAGCTCCGTACTCGGAAATCGAGAAATTTGGAGAACATGTGTATTGACTCGCGATTGCCTGCAGGTCCTGGTCGACGGTCCCTCTGGTGAGGAGCAGAAGACCGTGCCCCGTCACGTTCTTCCCTCGCCCACGCTACCCTCACTCCCTTCACCATTCCCGCTCTTCCCCGTGCTGCCGGTACCGGCCCCGTCAAGAAGCTCTGGGCCAAGAACGAGATCGATGGCAAGTGGGCCAAGTCCACCTTCGCCCAGAAGACTGAGAAGGCCGACCGCCGCAAGAACCTGAGCGACTTCGAGCGCTTCAAGGTCCTGCGTCTTCGCAAGCAGGTACGTGATGGATGCGGATTGGGGGTATCGAGTGCGCCGTGTGCGCCACTCGCTCCGACTGATCCCCCTTGGAAATTCTATAAGGCAACATTCTGACAATAATCTAGGCCCGCTACGAGGTTCAGAAGTCTTTCGCCAAGGTCCGCGCTACCGCTGCTAAGTCATAAATGATTACGAGGGTTCGGTGCATCGGATGAAGGAGGTGTCCTGGGACGGGTTTCCAAAGCTGGCATTTCCCCCAGCAAAAGCGCTGTATGCATTATTGATACTACAGCAAAAATGATTCAAAATCCTTGATATCCCGGCAAGGGCTTGTATCATCGTTTCTCTTATGCGTCTTAGGCCGAGTCTGTCTATTTTATAGAACTGGGAAGTTCCGTTTCCTTGACTAAGGAAAAGCGAATTGAGTAGACAATGATCAAAGCCTTGAATTTCCAACAATATCTCTGAAAAATCAATGTAAATGAATTACTGTAGATGAGACTGTCACCGTCATGGGCAGTACTCCAAATGTTAGATGGCCTTAGGTATAGGGCAATGTGGGAGTCCGGGGTGGGCGCAACCGCTCGCTAACGATTTTCGGGATTGGCCAGCGCACAGCTGTTGAACCTTTGACTCTACGACCATCAAAATCCCCCTGCTACCACCACAGCTCGATATCTGAATTCCAGGTGCGTTCCATTGCTCGAATACCCATCTTCTGCCATTTCTACCCTCCAGAATCGCTGTTTCCCGAGGTTTGTGCGATTCGTGGGCGGTAAGGTGGTTCTCCCACTATACGCCCGCCCTCCCACCTCCCACCCACCAAGCTTCCGAACCTGCGCAACCTTCACCACGCGATCACTAATCCTGAACTTCCGAATCCTTTAGATTCGCCCACATATTCACAATGGCCGATCCCCGTGTTGAAGAGCTTCCCGATGAGGAGGTCCCCCAGAACGTTGAGGAGGTCAGCGACTCCGAGTCCGAGGCCGGTGATGCCAGCATTCCCGCCGGCGCCGCCGTCACCATCCACTCTCGCAACGAGAAGAAGGCTCGCAAGGCCATTGCCAAGCTCGGCCTGAAGCATGTCCCCGGCATCACCCGTGTCACCCTCCGCCGCCCCAAGAACGTACGTCAAGCTCCGACTGTGGAATGAGATCATAGACCAGCGCATTGCAAAATCGATGTACTGGTGGAGATTCCGTCTCAATTCCATGCTTCGCCTCGTCAAAATCTCGAGCCAAGCTGATCTCGATGTATAGATCCTCTTCGTCGTCAACCAGCCCGATGTCTACAAGTCCCCCAACAGCAACACCTGGATGTATGTGCTGACCCACTAACCGGATATCAACTTTCATTGCCTTGCTGACTGTGTAATCTAGCATCTTCGGTGAGGCCAAGATTGAGGACCTGAACGCCCAGGCCCAGGCTTCCGCCGCCCAGCAGCTCGCTGCCGCTGAGGCTGCCGGTGACCACGCTGGCCACGACCACGCCGGTCACGACCACTCCGACCTTGGCGAGGCTGTTGAGCCCAAGAAGGATGAGGAGGAGGACGATGGTGAGGAGGTTGACGAGAGTGGCCTTGAGGCCAAGGACATTGACCTGGTCGTTGCCCAGGCCAACGTTTCCCGCAAGAAGGCCGTCAAGGCACTGCGGGAGAACGATAACGATATCGTCAACTCCATCATGGCTCTCAGCATATAATAAGCTAGCCGAGACACGGTTCTCTGAGCGACTTGGGTTTTGCAAATGATGGCGATCCGTCATGGCGCCCACGAGTGTATACAATTCAAATCAAAAAGAATTGCCCAACTCAATTTCTCCGTAAATCTAAATTAATGCTCCAAAAGGAACTTTGTAGTACCTGGTAAATATTGAATTGGGCTGATGTTATAGTGAGCCGGTGCTCGGATCCCGGATGGTCACGTGTTTCCCGCATCCAAACCTTTCCGAGTCAAACTCGCCTGTCCGGCACCTCCCTGCACATCGACCTCCCCCCTCTTTCTCTCCACCTCCACAACCCATCTTTCCTCCCGACACAATGGCAGCTGTAGGTGTTCCCGTACCGATCGTCCCACGCAACAAAAGCTCCCGGAAGCAATGACCAGACCCGCTAACGCAGCCTCCCCAACAGCGCAGCGCCGCTCTCAAGATCGACTGGGCCAAGGTTTCGACCTCGCTCGGCCTCCGCGGCCAGACCGCCGCTTCTCTTCAGTCTTTCAAGAAGCGCAACGATGACGCCCGCCGCAAGGTCCAGGTCTTGTCCGAGCAGCCCCAGACCGTTGACTTCTCCCACTACCGCGGTATCCTGAAGAACCAGGCCATCGTCGACGAGATCGAGAACCACTTCAAGACCTTCAAGCCCGCTTCCTACGACGTTTCCCGCCAGCTCAAGGCCATTGACGCCTTCGAGGCCCAGGCTGTCCAGAACGCCGAGGCCACCAAGGGCAAGGTTGAGGCTGAGCTCGCCAACTTGCAGAAGACCCTGGAGAACATCGAGACTGCCCGTCCCTTCGAGGATCTCACTGTCGTACGTATTGAATGCTGGACGAAACCCTTTGGACCAAATACTGATTCCATTCTGCGTCTAGGACGAGGTTGCCTCTGCCCAGCCCGAGATCGACGAGAAGACCGCTTCCCTCGTTTCCAAGGGCAAGTGGATGCCCCCGGGCTACAAGGTATGCATACAACTATCCCCCGGTATTCTATCGCGTACTTATGCAGTTCGCAGGAGCGTTTCGGCGATCTTTCCGCCGTCTAAACTTTGGGCCCGGTTCAAATTCCTTTTGTTATCCCCCAACGCATCACACTGCAAGATGTATTTGTTCGATGTCAAGCGTATGGCGCTTTCGCCAGGATCGTCTCCGACGCCTTCCTTCATGGTGTGGTGGGGCGGTTGGGATGTGTATAGAAACAATTCAATTTGGTTTCTGCGTTCGCATTGATCGTATTTCTACCTCAGTCAATCAGTGCACTCGCCTCTTGTGGACTGCAACAATTGAAAGCAATAGCGCCCGATGTATTTGTCCGGCCAGGTACAACACGTAGACTGCACAAAGCTCCAGGAGGGCTTTGGTGTGGCTTGCTGCAAGCTCTGAGAATAACAAGGAAATACTCGGGAATTGTAGCCGGACCAAATAATTGTGCATAATCCTAGTGGTCGAGCACGATTTGGCTATCCGGATGCACTTGAAGGGGTGAACCCACTGAATGAGCGTAGGTAGGACCGAATGTTGCGAAGAATTACCCTAATAAAGATCATGCCCAATTGCTATATCCTCTTGGTTGAGCGGAACCACGGAGCGCGGTATATATACTGGGAGCGGCAATCCGCCCACCTCGGTGGACAGATCTCACAAGGTCGGTCGGAAATCAAATCCATAACATGTCCAAGCCTCAAAAAAAAGCAAAGCATGCTTCGAATCTCCCCTACCAACTTTTACATTCACCGCTCAATTGCAGAGCGCTGGACATCCCGGGTCCCACGCGATGACCGGGATCCCCATGTCAGCAAACTCGGCGTCGCAGAATATGGAGTTATCTTGAGCTTGAAGGTCACGCAGTGTAAAAATTCGAGAAATGATGAAGGACGATTTCATTCCGGCCGATATAGTATGGGGATCCAGTCCCTGGAGCGGCTGCGGCTTAGGTTTAGCGTTTCTATCAAAGGTTCGTGCCATTTGCCGCTTGACCCACCCTGGGCATCGATCTAGCTAATATAGAAATTAAAACTATCATTACGATTTTATTGGAAATGGATGTGTCGAATCTGAACAAGCCCAAATGCTATCTTGATTTGCACTCGATGCCCTTCCTTATTCAGCGTAAGGAAGTGTCGCATCCACCCATTAGATACTTGGAGCAGTTCGACGAAAATGATATTTGAAGTTTCGGGCCATTTCAGATGGATATGAAGTTATCGGTGAGACTGAGGACGGGAGCTCGGGATGGTACATTTCAACTTTCCTCGTCCTACTTTGGCGCCCTTGCTGAGCTGTATATCACGCAGCTTTGTGGGGCGTGGTCACGATAGGCTTAAATGAGGTCTGTAATGAGAAATTTAAGCTAGTTACTTGGTGAGAAAAGATTTGGAATCTATGGAGGCTCTTGTGCAGCAAGAAATGGCAGATATGGAGGAAAAGGAATTGTGCAGGGAACCTCACGATCAGTAGTTTCAGAGTTTTTAATTTCCAATAAGGTGCAAATAAGCCATCAAAGACAATCTCATCTTCGACTTTGCAATTGATGCGTAGAAATTGCTCGGCATTCAAGTGCATCTGAAATCGATCGAGCCTCCGTGGCCTTCTATAGTTCAGGGCTTGACAAAACAAAGAAAATGCGAACCAAGACCCAGATGATCCTAAAGAATATAAGATCGATCGATCACAGAACCCTTTTTTTTTTTTTGGTTTCTTTCTGGTTGCATTTGAATGTTCGCATCCACCGCTCAATCTGGTATCGATCCATACAAAGACCAGGGTCTCCCAGTCAGCGACACATAGCTGTGGCTCGAGATCTACAAGCCACGACGGCAGATTGGCAAAGACGTGACCTGTAGATCTTCAAATGACTCAGCGCAGATGATGTCGCCACAGACCTCGTCTCAATGCGACCAGGGCGTGTTACAGTCTTTGCCAAGACATAATCTGCTTCGAGATACCCACTTCTCACCTCCAGATGCAGCTCCAATTTCCAGCCCAGCTGCAACTCACCATGACCATTGATTGAGATCTATTCCAGGGTCCCCCAATGCCTTTGAAATGACCGAGCTCCGCCCTACAAAAGCCGTCCACCTCGCTGGCCTCACATCTCCCACATAACACCCCGTGTCTGCGGCGGTCACCACGAGTAACCTCGCTCAAGACACCCCGAGACCGCGTCAAATTCGCCGCATATGGGAGACTCCCACCCGCTGGCCGGCGATCCGTGCTCGCGCCTCGAGAGCCTCCCCGTCGAAATCCTCCAGTTGATCTTCCTGTACAGCCTGGAAATCAACCTTCCCCGAGCCTCCCCATACCTCAGCCGCGCCCTCTCCAACCCACTGCTGTACACATGGTTGATCCGCCTCGTGTTCAGCAGCACTAACCCCGGCTCCCGACAAGGATTCTTCACCCCAGACTTCCTGCCCCCGCCCCTGAGACTTCTGGTCTCTACCCTGGCAACAGCGCCAACATCTGCAAACCACCATCCTCGCCTGCAGATGGTGTACTCTACCACTCCTCCGCCGATGTCAACGCGAATACGTGGATCACGCGATCAAACGCAAATGCTCCGACTTGACCTTCACCCCGGAGGACCGAGCCTGCCTCGACAACCTAGACCCATATTTCTCCAATCTAAGTCAATGTGACCAGGCCCTCGACGGCCGTCGCGGAAAAGGGGACCTCATCATCCCTGCCACCCTCCCGACCTCTCTACCCGGCAAAGTCGCAATCTGGTTCCATTTCGGCGCCGTCCAGATCCGCGAACAAAACGACATCTACTTCGAAGCAGACCTTTTCCGTCTGCCGAGCTCTGTGGTGATCGGACCAGGTCGCATCCCCGATAAAATCTTCCGCGCCCCGTGGTCAGAATCCCAATTCGAGTTTCTGCAACTGCTCGCGGGGGATTTCTTCTGAGATGATGAGTTCTCGCCCGATCGCTCGGCGAATATAACGACGCGATTGATTCGTCGACGGACTATTGAGCCGTTCAAGAGGTTGCTGGGGATGTATTTCCGTGCTGCGAATTGTAGGGTGCCAGTGCGTTGGCCATTACAAGAGAAGCACTATGCACAAGTGAGGCGGTATGGGAGTGGAGCTGGTGATGAATTTGCAAATTTCATTCTCGATCGCCGATGGGATGAAATTCCTTTTGGCGAGAAGGACCAGTTGGTACGGTATGCTGAGGGATGCAGTGGATATAAGGGTTGAATTGCTGAGTACGAAAAAGGATATGGTGGACCTGGCCTTATTTTTTGATTTTTTTGAAGATACAACTGAGCATACTGGAGCATAGCATACTAGAGCATAGCGTGATTATGAATTTAGAAAAAGGTTCGGATTCCATTGCGCCTGGGTATGTAGCAAAGTGTGGGGATGACATGGTCCATGTCATGAGGTGAATCACCCCGCAGAAATAAGAAATACAAATAAGCGAAACCAAGTCGCAAAGCATAACAATCACAAATCATGATTCATAAGCCAGCATGCAGAATGTTTTCGTATCGCTAGACCGCAGACCTAGTGCCTCGACGACGACGATTCCCGCAGTAACCGCATGTCAGGCAGGAGATGAGCACGTCCATGACGGTGACGACACCGCTGATGATAGCGTGCAGAACGGAACCGATGGCGTTCACGATGCCCATCAGGCACGAGCCGATGGCGTGGAAGACGCTTTGGATCTGGGAAATGGTGAGTAATGGTTCACAGTGTCAAGGACGAGCGAGGTGGACATACGCAAGAGACGACGGCACCCATGTTGACTTTGAGTAGTGTGTTTTAAGGTTTAGGCTTTGGAGAAACGGAGCCGTAGCTTGAAGAGGCTGATGTGTGGGTAGAGGTGTCACTGAAAGGGCGCATGTTGAAAGAAGGTGGAAAAGGGTCGTTGGGGAGGGTATTTATGGGATGGCAAGAACAGCCACAACGTTCCTGCGCGCAATGGAAACAAGGCCGACCCAGCTAGGATCGTCGATATTATCACGTAGCTGCGTCTCAAAACGGGTGGAATCTGAGACGATCCTAATTGTGTCACGGCCGGATCCCCTCTGCTTTGTGCTAAATTAGGTGGAATGTTCCAAGTAGGGCTGAGACAGCTCTGACGTATTTGGGTCGATAAGGGCGCAAATGTGGCGGCTTGCCAGGTTTATTCAACAGGTTTGGAAGAATGAAGAAGAGAAAAGGTTCAGATACGATGTCGGGTGCTACATGTGGCTTGACCCCTCCGTCATTGTTCGACCGTGGCCAGGGTTCGAATTCCTTGATTTTCTTGATTTTCTTGATTTTTTTTTTGGCGCGTCAGGTTCAGGGCCCCCATGTGCTCCTAGCGAGTGTCTATTAGTGGTTCACTGCTGCTTATCTCCCCTGTGCCTTAAAATCTGTTCGAGGTTCATCTCCATCTCTGCCGCGCACGCTAGGGTTGACAGCTTGGCCCTGCTCCAGCCATGGAGCTGGACCCTGTCGGGACCTAGATGGTGATGACATCACCACGTCCCGTCTTTCAAAGAGGTATCACATGACCGGATGTGGGGGTAAAAACGGCGGCAGATCATGTGATCCGAACCAGCCCTGCACCGGTTCCATTTCCACCAATCAAAATGGTATCTCACTGATATCATACAGCGTACTGTAGGGGAACCAGCTACATGATATCAGAGTATTTCCATAGGGTCGTTTGTTGATGGAGCTGAGCGATTACTGAAAGGCGGGGTGACTCCTTTGGTGATTGATCACATAATGGCGCGTCAGGGCAATCAAACTCCAGTGACGCGCACAGGCAGTTTACCGCCTAGGATCTCCAAATCTGCACGATCGACGTCCAGACCCAAACGGCCCCCCGGACGCCCTTTCAAGCTACCTCGGAGTGCAAGTGCAAGCATCTCATCATCCCGGTCTAGTCGCTCGGGCCGACCCTCGGCATCCCCGAGCGTCGCCCCAACTCCACCTCGCAGGGTGCTGTCCATGCTCGAGGCCCTGCCCAGGGAGCTCATTGAGCAGATCTTTCTCCATTCATTAAACCTCAACCTCCCACGGGCTTCACCCGCCCTCGCTGCCGCGCTCTCTAGAGAACACATCTACAAGCTTCTGATCATCCTCGCCTGTTGGGATGACCCGCCAGACAGCAGCTCCTCATACAAAGGCATCGGGACCCTCCTAGCGCCGCTGGATTACATTCCATTGGGCATCACTCAACGCGCCAAGCTGCAGGAGGATGTCTTCCGCTGTCGATTTTGCACCCTGGATCGCGTCCGAGACCAGATTCCCACCATGATGCTCTTGACCATCCGCCGCCAGTGGATCAACAACGATATCGTTATGGAGCCAGACCAGCAGGAAGCTTTGGAACAGTTCATGGAGCGCAAAGACAACAAAGTTGCCACCTTCCAAGGAAAAGGACCGCCAGTCCAAATAGTGCCCCAGATCAGGGCCAATCCCGAATTGCTGCGTCGAGCCCAACAGCCCGGTCCGCACGAGTACGAGCTATGCGTCAACCCGATGACCCTCATCGAATACCGCTCAAAAACATTAGGCACAACCGTCACTTGGCCCGCCCTCAATCTTAAAGTCTTCCCACCCAATCTCCTGCGCGGCGGACCCAACGGCTTCAGCGATGCCGACGTCGAATTCCTCGAAATGCTACGCATCACCTCGGGCAACACCCTTCCGCCCTCCAGCGAGCTGGGACCTTGTACATATACCACCGTGGACCGGGGCGCCCTACACACTGGCGTGAACAAAGCAATCTTAACGCAGAATTTCGCGGCTCTCGAAACATTACTCAAAATCGACGAGCTCTTCTGTCGCTTCCACGGCCATAGAACAGAAGAATCCGTCTTCTACACCATCCCATCCGAGCACTACCTCACCGTGATCCGTCTACGCTGCGATCCCCTACAGAGCGTCCGACTGTTTCAGACTCTCCTCCGTGCCTCGGCGGAGTCGATGCCGATCAAATCGACGGAACTGACTCAATGGATGTTTAATCTCGTTTCGATGGCTGAGCAAGATCCCGTGCGATATGGCCGAATCAGCAAATTCGTCCACTGGTTAATGGATTTCTATCTTGAGATCGAGAACCATATTGAAAGGGCGGGGGAATATCCTGTCCACGCATTGTTCTATCAGGGATTGTTGGATCCACAGGATGGGATGGGAAGGAAGTATATTGATGCAGTATATGGCCCCGGTGCGGAACCGCCCAAGCGATATATCGATGAGACTTCGTTCGACGCGAAGCATTGGTGGTTGAAGCAGGCTGGCCCGCAAGTGCCTCCTCGTTTTGTGAGAAGTCCTCCGCGGACCGGGCCTTGAGCTGACGCTCCCGCCTGAGATTGGAGGATGTTTACGATACCCATGTCTTAATTAGAACAATCAAACGGACTGCCATGTCCGAGCTAGAATTAGATTGTATAGAAATCCCATGTCATATATTACAGAATTGAAAGAAATGCTCTTCAATGGAAGAAAAACACTCACATCACATATTCCCCAACAACCGGAAAAGACCAGCAATCCACCCTCCGATCGTGATCTGATACCCCGTCTCAACCACCCCTTTACACATCTCCCAAGCCTTCACACCATCTCTCTCACCTCCCTTATGGATAGGATAATCCACTCGGGGTGGAATCGCAGTCCCAACCAACGTCGGGAACCGATCCACACAAACCGCCTTCAAATTACACAATCCTCTCAATCCCTCATCGCCCGCAAACCTCCCATAGCCCGATCCTTTGACACCACCAAACGGCAGCTGCACCGCGTAGTAAGCGCCGAAATCATTGACGGAGACCATACCCGCTTCAATACCAGATACGCATGCCTGCACGTCGGAGGTATTGTGGCCGAAGACACTAGCGCCGAGGGCGTAGATGGTCGAGTTTGCGATTGAGATTGCGTCGGGGACGGAGTCAGCGCGGAGGACGAGGAAGACCGGAGCGAAAAGTTCCTCTTGGGCGATTCGCATGTCGCGAGTGACGTCCACGAGGAGGGTAGGCGCGAAGTAGTGGCCGTGAGTGTGGACAGGGTGTTGGAAGCGTGTACCACCAGCGAGGAGACGAGCGCCTTGCTTGACTGCTTCGGCGATGAGGGATTCCAGTTTCTCAAAGGAGGCGGGAGAGATCATGGCGCCCATGTCTGGGGTCAGGGTGTCTAGGAGGATGGAGCCGAGACGAAGGGATTTAATGCGCGGTTCGACGAGCGAGATGAGTTTGTCGTAGGAGCCTGGGAGGGCGATGATGCGTTCGACGCCGATGCAGTTCTGGCCTGCGGATTGGAAGACACCGCGCATCAGGATGGAGGCAATGGTTGGTAGGTTGCGGAGGGTGCGGGGATCGTCTACGATCACGGAGGGGTCCTTGCCGCCTAGTTCGACGCAGACGGGGATCAGGGCTTTGGCGGCGGATGCGCAGACGTGGTGGGCGACTGGGCGGGAGCCGATGAATGTGATGTGAGCGATGTCGGGGTGGGAGGTTAGCGTGTCTGCGACGGAGGGGAGGCAGACGACTGTTTGAACAAGATCGCGCGAGTAGCCGCAGCTAGACAGGGCACCACGGACGATATCTAGGAAGAACGATGTGCACCAGGCTGTTTGTTCCGAGGGCTTGACGACGACTGCGTTTCCGGTGAACAGGGCGCTGATGACGGGGCCGATGAAGTTGTGGAATGGGTAGTTCCAGGAAACGCAGGCAGCTACTACGCCCAGAGGCTCGTAGGTGACCATGTTCTTCTTGTACATCATGAGGAAGTTGGTAGGGCGGCGCGAGGGGAGCAGGGCGTTCTCGCCATGGTCGATTGTCCACTTGAGCTTCTCGGCCGTCACCAGGATTTCGCCGAAAGAGGCGTCCACTTTTGTCTTTCCGGAGTCGAGGCAGCAGGCGGTCACGATGTCGTCTTGATGGTCGAGGACGTATTTCAGCAGAGTGCGCAGGATCTGTCTGCGCTCGGCAAAAGTAGTCTTCGCGAACTCGCGCTGCGCGGCCTTGGCTGCGCGCACAGCAGTGTTGACATCCTCGACCGTGGCAGGTTTGATTCCGTTGCCCAAGACACGTCCATCAGCCGGGCAGTAGCTCATGATTAGCTTGTCGTTCCATTTCTGTAACGAATCCGGCCTTTAGCAAACATTCAATCGCATTGACGGATCCCAGGCTGCCAAAGACAACCCGAACGCGCAGACTCACCCCACGAGCCTGATCCTCTAGGATGCGCTTTTCCTGCCCTTGTACATCATCCCATTTCTTCCCGCCTGCACTCTTACGCACTTCCTGCGGCAGAGGGACATTGAACGTGACGGCAGCCTCCCTCCGGCGAAGGATATATAGGTACCCCACGTAGACGGCGAGTAGGGAGGCGAGCGTGACTCCAGCCCATTGAGCGTGTTCGGAGGACACGAAGGCACAATGGGGCTCCACGACGACGCGAACGCCTGGAGGAAGGCGTGCGAGGAAAGAATCCATGTGGGCGGAATTGGCGAAGTTGGCGCAGCCCCTGGAGCTCGGAGGTGATCTTTTTTCCCGATAGACGATAACACGGACCTCCTAAACAGTAAGTGGGGATCTTCCTTTGAGCGTGGGATGATCATGATCCATGTTTTGAATTGAATTTTTTTTTTTTTAATCTAACCATAACATATAGAATAGTTTGAAATAATCGAGGCTGGCGATATAAGGGTATAAAACATGAGCAGCTCAATTCTCAGTGAACGCCACTCCATCTTTTAGTCAGTGGATACGGTTGAGACGCGTGAAGGAAGTAGTTGTTGCAGATCTCATGCTTGATCGCTTGATGAGGTCCATAACGCTTCGTCGTTTACATTGAGGCGGTTTCTTCATAGGTATGTTCTTGGCCCTTCTGAACTTCTCTTGAGGAAGACCTTGCCTTCCTGTCTTGGACTTGGCTGTATCAGTAGCCTTCTCTTAGATTGAGTCTTTCGAGTAGTCGGTTTCATGGCTTGAATTTGTTTCGTAGCCCGAGCGCTACGGGAGATGATTTTGGTCAGAAGTTGGCATGGAGGGAGACAAAGAGTCCGTGAGAGATGATGGGAGCAGGATTTTTGACGATCGAAGACTCTACTGTAGTTGGCAAAGCAGGAGTTGACTATTCATCACCATCCGAGGGCGATGATTCCTTCAGGATCTTAGACTGTGCCGATGCATTGCGAGTAAGGTTCTTTCTCGGCGAGTTTCTTGGGAGATGGAAACAGAAGCCTCGCGGTCGGTCCTTGCAGCACCTGGCGAGACTGCAGACCTCTTTCTCTTGTTACCAACCTTCGAAAGGACAGCTGACTCTTTGTGGGAATCAGTGCTGCCCTTGCGGGACCCGGTGCGCTTCACCAGATGCTCGATCTCACAGCCTTTATGCCAGTTGGCACTGTTCACTCCAGTACCAGCTCGGCATTGGGGGCAAGTCTTTCCATGGGTGATCAAGAGCTTGTGGAGGGGATATTTCAGATGATTTGGGATACAAACTTCCAAGTGGCTGAACGCGGTGACCTCGTTAGCATTTGGAGGTATCCAACCAAGCCACTTAGTGAGGCGGAATATGTGGGTATCAACTGCAAAGCACGGCCGCTGGAGACAGAAGAGACATACACATGCCGCTGTCTTTGGTCCAATACCATGATACTTGACGAGTTCAGTGATGGCTTCCGGCGTGGAGAGTTTGTGGATGTGGTCCAAAGAAAGGAAATGTTGGTCCGCACAGGCATGTCGATATTTCTGTTCCTCTTCTTTCTCATCAGGCAACATATTTGGCTCTTTCACGTCTGCCGTCATTTGCTTGGTATCCAAGTCTTTCATCCGTTCCTGGTTCTCTTGGTAGACCTGATCGAGAAGTTTTTTCAAAGTCTTGCTCTTGATTCTGCCCATTCCACCTCTTTCGATGGCTTTGTATATGTCATCTAAAGAAGCTTGTCGAACCGCGTCCCAATTCACACTGCCTTTGCCGATGCCTTCAGAAAGAATCCCGAATCGATCCACAAGTCCCTTAAAAGAAAGTCTTGAATTATTGCCTGTCGTATTTGCACTGAGAATCGTGCGGATAAGCGCATCAAGGACGGAAGGTACTTCACCACAACCAGTGACAGTGAGTGAAGGCTCCGGAACAGTTTTGGGCTTAGTCACTTGACCATGAGCTGCACTCAACAGGCGATTGACCTCCTCACACTGCGCGACAGTTGGTTGCTTGAAAGTGGGGAAGGGCGTCTTGCCAGCTACCAAGCCATACGATGTACGCGGCTTCTTGATTGGAGTACCTGCGCCTTCTTTTGCGTCCTCGGATTCCTGCTTCACAGGGGCAGAAGGCGCGTCAGCGTCAACTGGTTGATGATCGGCTAGTGTATTGTCGGACATTGTGGCAGCGAGCTCTTGATTTTCCTTATTGGTACCGTCAGATGGTCCCACAGGAATCTTGGTTGTTGGAAGTGTGCCTGGAATTTTGCCGAGATTATGGGGAAGCTCATCAGAAGCCTCGGATTTCATGCTCTCTTGTGCGACCTCATTAATAGCATCTCTCACAGCAGCGTTCCGGGTTGTTTCCTTTGCCTTGGGAGGCTTATTGGCTGTGGTAGCTTTCTTCACTTTGCCAGACCTTGCAGCAGGTTTGGCACGAGCTCTGGGGGTAAGGTGTGAATTCCGGACATCAGTCGAAGACTCGGGGTTAGCAATCGCCTCAATGCTGTCGCTTGAAGTTATAATCGGGCCTTCCAGTGATTGTTTCTCCGAAGACCTGGCGGCGTCATTGGATGTAGCCAACTTGATGGATCCAGGATTTGGGAATCTCGCCGTTGGCACGCGAGCCGATCGACGCGGCTCAAAGTCTGCGGGTGTGGTCACAGACGTCAAGTCATCAGAGGGCATCGCAGATCCCTCGAGGCCTGCTGGATATTCGAAATCTCCCATTGATTCAATTTTGGGGAAGAGCCAGGACGAGAGGAAGAGGTGAGACGAACGACTAAAAATATGAAGAGAAGAGGTAGGACCTGAATTATGAATAGATGGTTTGGGGTAGATGGTGGATCAAGAATTAAAGGCGCGCATGACGTCAAGCTTGGACGACTGCAGAATCGCGATCTCGATGCCCCTGAGAATTCCCGATTGGGGTTGGGCCGCAGGTCTGGAATGTATGGACTGCGGGGGATCGATGCGAGAGCGAATCTGTGGTGCATGATGTAAGACGGATCGTGTATGCTGAATGGTCAATCTGGAAGTATACTGTTGGCACGTGACGTCGTTCTCGACAGGCAGATTGTTGCAGCGTATTGCAGCGATCGGAGTATGTAGAGGAGGCTTCAAGACGCAGAAGAATAATGACAAGAGGAATATTGAAATAGGAGAAGGTGACTCGCAGGAGATGGATGACATCGGGAATAGACTGTAAGTAGATAAAGTCATGTTTAGAGACGAACGTGCTGTAAGAGAACGATCGGAACGAAATAAGAGAAAACGCAGGCAGCAAGACAAACTTCAATATCATGGAGAATAAGAAGAAAGCAGTCGTGGAAGATGTCCAGAAATTCGAAGAGAAAGAGGATTCTAAGCCCCTATTGATCGATCATTTCTAGAATTTCTGGAAATGTCACGGCCTCTCGCAATTCACATGGAGACCCTCACGCGGCATGCTGTAGTCTTACCTCAGAATCAGTTTGAGCCGGACCGACAGACCCCCTAATGGAGATGTCAGAAGGTGATCAGGAGGGAACATAGGAAGGCAATAAGGGGATGCGTCGCAATCTAGTTCGGTCGTGAATAGTTCAAAAAAGATAATTTTGGTTCGAATGGTATCTGCCCTCAACCTTGGGAAATGGTAAAGGATAATATAATATAATATCAAGATTTCTGATATGCCGTTTTCACATCTTCAACATAAAATCATTCCACCTCCGTTGTCTATAATTCCACGAAACGAACTCCAAGACTCCATATGCAAGTCAACCCAAAGGCTCTAAAAAGGAAAATGGCATGGCTCATCATTCATGGTGGTCAGCAATGTTGTGGATGCTGATGTCCATGCGGTCATCGACCTTGGGGTGATCCTCCTTCTCGGATGTGTACTCAGTCTTCCGCACAGTGTGGGAAGCAGGGATGATCTGGCCGTTTGTGTCCATCGCGACACCGTTAGCGGCAATCTCGAAGTCGGTCATGCTGGCGACGCCATTGGCAACAGCTTCCTTGGCCTTGTCCAAAGCCTTGATCTTACGGCCTTCGCCGCGGACCTGTTCCAGGTGGTCGAAGTAGCCTTGGCTGACGGGGGTGACGTAGCTACCGCAGAAGACACCGACCTCAAAGTTGACGGGCTCGGTCAGGCCGTTCTCCCGTGCGATCTCAGCGCAGGATCCCTTGAGGTCGTCCAGGGTCTGGAAAACAACGCTCTCGGCGCCAATGTGCTTGGCAATCGCGCTGGCGTCACGGTTATGAGCGACCAGCTCTTTGGGAGAGGCAAGGTCGATACCATAGATGTGGGCGTGGGTGATCTCGGGAGCACAGCTGGCCAGGTACACCTTCTTGGCGCCGGCTTCCCGCGCCATGCTGACAATCTCACGACTGGTGGTGCCACGCACGATCGAGTCATCGACAAGCAAGACATTGCGGTCCTTGAATTCGGCCTTCATGGCGTTCAACTTGCGGCGGACACCCTTTTGGCGGGTCTTCTGCTCAGGCATAATAAAGGTTCGGAACACATAACGGTTCTTGACGAAGCCGTGGCAGTAAGGCTTGTTTAAGTACTGAGCAACGTGAGTGGCAGAGGTGGTGGAGGTCTCAGGAATGGGAATAACCACGTCAATGTCCTTGACGACATCGGGGCCAAGGACCTCAAGGATACGGGCACCGAGACGATCACCCATGCGCTGACGACTGCGATACACACTAATGCCATCGATGACGGAGTCAGGGCGGGCAAAGTAGACAAACTCAAATATATCTGGAGCGTAGTCCTTCTTGGGTGCCACCTGCTGGAAGACCGGCTCGCAACCCTTCTGGATAATGACAGCCTCACCGGGCTGGATGTCACGGTGGTTGGAGAAACCAAGCTGATCCAGGGCAACCGACTCAGATGCCATCATGTAGTCCATTCCAAGACCATCCAAAGAGGGACGGGAGCCAAGAACCAGCGGGCGGATACCGTAGGAGTCACGGAAACCCAACACACCGAAGCCTAAGCCAAAAAAACTGTCAGTCTTCATGATTCGGATGCAACGGAAGAGGTCAAAAACTCACCAGCCAGCAGGGCAGTGCATGCCCAGCCACCCTCACAACGCTTGTACATACGGCTCAAGCTGGCAAAAAGATCCTCTTTGTTCACCCGGGCCTTCTTTGTCTCGCTCAGCTCATCGGCAAAGATGTTCAGCATGAGCTCACTGTCACTATCAGTGTTGATGTGCCGATGCGCCTCGAGGTCCAGGTATTTCTTCAGCTCCGGCGCATTGATGAGGTTACCGTTGTGAGCAAAGGTGATACCGTAGGGGCTGTTCACGTAGAACGGCTGAGCCTCAGCATTGGCACTACTGCCAGCAGTCGGGTATCTCAAGTGAGCGATACCCATTGAGCCGGGCAGGTTGGCGATCTTAGCACCGTCCTGGAAGACCTTGGCGGCCATGCCGTTGGCCTTGAGCTGGTAGATTCGGCCCCGGACGCACAGGTCGCGATACCGGCTGCATCCTGACCACGATCTATGTCACACAGCATACTTAGTGTTTATCCTTGCAGAGCTGTCGGGCACCACTCACGTTGCAGGAGGTACAGGGCTTCGTGGAGGTCCACCGCGGCGGCGGCGGAAGGGTTCGCCAGGATCAGAGCGATGATTCCACACATCTTGATGGCGGGTTAGGGGGTATCTAGATCGAGCAAGACATATTAGCACAATGTCCTTTTGCCATTCAATCATCAATCGCGGGGTGAAGATGTCTCAATCAGCAAGGGATGTTTCTCCGCAATGCAGTTAGGAAGTCTAACATCTATAAAAAAAAACCGAGTTCATCATAGAGACGGGGGAAAGGAACGGAAGACATAAAGACACGAGACACCACTCACAGAAACCAGGAAGTTAGGGAGCAATGCTCATCCAGGACCCCAAAAACACGGAGGGAAGAGGAAGAAAATCTCCATAGTGGCCTTTCCCTCCTCCGTGGTTCCGTCTCCACTGAGATTTTTTTTCGCGCCGACTCCGGCTGACTTAGCGATTAGTCAGCATGCCCTATTGCCCCGCGCACGGCTCTCATCATCATGGATAGCTTCACGTTCTCACATTCTCATGATGCTGTTTGAATGTCCGTTTCGGATATACATAAGGATGTTTATAGCCTCTTGCTTGATGCACTGCTTTGAGGCATCGACTAGTTCTCCTTTGTTTGCTCAGATGATAACACCGGACAATAATGTGATTACTGAGGTTCTGACCATAGGAGGAATCGCCCACCTTCAACAAGTAGGAATAGCTTTTTTTTGTAGACTCCGCAAAGCGCATAATTCAAATCTGTCAGTTCATCTTTTACCGACTTCTTCCGCCTGCTTCCTCGCGGTCGTCGTTCCTGAGCCATCTCTACACACTTAACCAACCCACCACACCCAGAACATACACCTCCCTGCAATAATAATTGCTGGCTTCTTTGCTACGATCACTTTCAAAAATTCCTCATATTCAGCGCACTATGGGCATCGAGACCATCGATCTGGAGGCAGACTTTGAGATAGAGACGACACAGGCCAGACACCGTCCGTATCAATCATTTGCTCACTTACCTCTTCTTCAAAACTTGTTGTCTCATATACAGAAGGATAAATTGGACATTCAGAATACCAACAAGAGAGGAATACTCACAAAATCACTCACGAAAAAGTTGACCTCAGTTTCGTCTCTCTCAGACATGCCCCAAAATCAGAGCTTTTCGATCACTGAGGGTCGTTTGTCACCCGAAATTCAAACGTTTCCCCATTATCCGAAAGCCCAATCTTTCCCTAGCTCCTCAAAAATCTGGTCTCGTAACTGTCCTCCAGAAATGGATCGACCACTTCGCATGGAAAGCATGGCCGACGAGGACTGTCCCTCGGATGAGATAAAAACCATGCGCCAAGGACACCTGAAACAAAACCCTCAATCTCAATCTTCGCTCGCTATCCGTCATTTGGGACTTGAAGAGGACTTCGGATGGCCATCGGGCGAAGAAACGCCCGAGAAAAATTATCATCACTCTCATAAAGAGCCGTCTCGATTCTCGAAGGATGATTCTTCGGAAGTGACCTCCTCGCCTTCTCGATATGACGATTCTTCCTCGACCCCATTTACTCCGGTGAGCTCACAAAGAACCCAAAATTCAAATAGCTTCTCTCATGGGTACCAAGGATTTGAAGGATCACATTGCTGCGTTGAATGCTCCCAAAGCTTGTCTTCCCGGGGGCCAATTGACATGACCAACGATGAGCTGGATTATACGGAGCCTGAATTTGTCGACTTGACAGAACCGCTGGAAAGCGTGGGCGAGACTTTTGACATACGCCCTGCTGATTGCATGACCGACGACGAATTCCAAGCATGGCTTTCTTGTTCACCAAGAGCTCTACCGACTCAAGATACACAAGAGGCGATTGCCGATGGTATCGTGTATCGACCTTCTATGTCATTGAAGCTCCTTGACGACTCCTTCTTTCGAATCGAGACTATTAGCCGCCGAAATGGAGACTATATTCTCTATGGCCGACATCTCCTGTCTATGATAGATCGCCGTGCAGATAACTACTTGCCCAAGGTCGAAGGGGAACTGGTCTGGATGACAAGTCTGGCTAGAGCAGTCTCTCTCAATGAAGTTGCGGGTCATCAGAGTATACGATTCACCAATGAACGTACTGATTGGCAGGACCATGAAGATCTGGTTTGTCGACTTAAACTCACCGTCCGACTGCGCGACGAGCCGCCTGTTCGTGATCGGGATGCATTGAATGCGGATGATCGCATGGTCGAATACATCTCCTTTGAAGAGAGCGATGCAGGTGAAGGGTGGGCGTCGACGGACTTGCGCGACTGCTGGCGCGGTCCTGGAGAGACTGTCCCCTTCGGTGCAGCAAATGTGCCGTACGACTTGCGATCGCGGATAGAGGGGCCTGAAGCCGTTGATCTGGAGGACGTGTCTCCACCTTGCTTTGATCTCACAGGCTTGCGTGACAGGACGTACACGTTCGGTGATGCCTACTCCGGAGCCGGTGGTGCTTCGTGCGGAGCCAGACAGGCCGGGCTGGTAAATACCTGGGCCTCGGATTTCAACAGTCATGCAGTTGATACATACCGCCATAACTTTGATGAAACGGATATTTATCACGCTGAGTTCTTCCAGCTGATGACCATTCCGGAGTCTGAATTGCGAGTCGACATCGCCCATTGTTCCCCACCATGTCAACCGTTCTCACCCGCTCACACCACCAATAACCAGACGAATGATGAAAGGAACTCGGCTTGTGTGTTCACGGGTAGCGATTTGATCAGACGAGTACGCCCACGCATTTTGACCATGGAAGAAACGAATGGTTTACACGAGAGGTTCAAGCCGGAGTTCAACCGGATCATTCTGAACTTCATCCAAGACGGATACTCCGTTCGCTGGTCGGTGCTTGAGTGCTCCTATTACGGAGTTCCGCAGTTCCGCAAACGCCTGTTGATCATCGCTGCTGGGTAAGTGAATCTGGCTTTGCTGCTTTTACCTCTTTCTCGACTGACTTGCTTATAGCCCTGGCGAGACTCTCCCCGAGTTTCCCCAACCCACCCACTCCCTTCCGGGAGGTGGGTTGAAGTCAATTGAGACCATCCATAGTACCATCAATGACATCCCCCAACATGCTCCAAACCATGATGTGGAGGAAGGCCTCCGACGTTGGGCATTGCTCGGATGGCGTCAGCCGTACAATGGACACCAGCCCGCAAGAACCTTGACTTGCAGTGGCGGCGACTCTAACTACCACCCCAGTGGCAAACGGGCGTTCACCTGTCGCGAATTGGCGTCTCTGCAGACTTTCCCCGTCAATTTTCAGTTTTCCAAGTCAAATGTTCGCCAACAAATTGGAAATGCGGTACCTCCCAAATTTGCCGAAGCCGTATTTCGGGAGATCCGTCGATCACTGCGTGAAACCGACGAGAAGGAGTTGCAGCAAAGGGAAGCGCGTCGGGCATGTGACGGGATGGGCCGAGCTTTGAGGGGGTCACGTTAACAGAGACTTGGTTCTTTTCTTCGCATCTTTGTATCTTTGTATCTTTGCAGCTTTCACGTTCCTGGTCCTGATAACCTGAAACTCTGTTTAAGCTCCGATAATCGCTGTTCTCTCTTTTCTCGAGCATGTTTGGCACCTTCCAGGAGCTCTCCTCCGATCCTCGGGGCCCTTGCGACCGAGCTTCAGTTTCGGTAGCAGTTCCCAGATTTACTTTAGACCTTGATCACGGCCAATAATTACAGGAACATGAATAGACTCGGATCCGAACCTCTCTGTGTAGCTCCGCAGAAGGTGCCTTTCACACCGATAACCGACACTAACCGCAACACCTCGGCAAGGATGAAGTCAGTTTGACACCCTTTCCCCAACTAAACCCCCAACCACTCCACATTCTTGTCGATCGTCCTTTTCGTTTCTTCTTCTTTTCTCCCTCTTAAATCCTTAAAGCTCACTTGGATTCCCTCGATCCTGCTCAATTCTTTCTTGACACCAACATGTCCCTTCCCGCAGTCAGACGGCTGACCCACTCGTCTCCCCGCACTTTGGCCCGCATCTCCAGACTGTCTACTTTCTCCTCCCGCATCCCCTCCGTTTCGAGAGTTCCCCGAATTCCCCAATTTTCCACTATGGCTGCTCGTCAATCGGCTGCTCCCCCAGTTTCGGGCGACAAGACCTATGATCCCGAGATTCGGACATGGCCAGCTATATCCACGAGTACAAGGTGGACTCCGACTTGGCTGTATGTTGACTTGAACGCTTTTGCTAAGACCGCCTATTGACAATTTCAATCGATACAGTATGACACTGCTCGTTTGGTCTTCCTGGACACTCTTGGCTGCGGCTTGGAGGCTTTGAAATTCAAGGAGTGCGCCAAGCTGCTCGGCCCCGTTGTAGACGGCACTGTTGTTCCCAACGGTACCCGTGTGCCCGGCACTCCCTACCAGCTGGACCCCGTAAACGGTGCTTTCAACATCGGTTCCATGATCCGCTGGCTCGACTACAATGACTGCTGGCTTGCCGCTGAGTGGGGCCACCCTTCCGACAACCTCGGTGGTATCCTTGCAGTCGCCGACTGGATCTCCCGTACCAACCGTGCCGGCGGAAACATTGGGAACGGCAAGATCCTGAAGATCCGAGACATTCTTGAGGCCATGATCAAGGCTCACGAAATCCAGGGTGTTCTGGCCCTTGAGAACTCCTTCAACAAGGTTGGCCTGGACCACGTCGTTCTGGTCAAGGTTGCGACTACTGCCGTCGTCTCCAAGATGATGGGTCTCACTGAGAAGCAGACTGCCGATGCTATTACCCAGGCTTGGGTCGATGGCCAGAGTCTTCGTACTTACCGTCACTCGCCCAACACCATGTCCCGCAAGTCATGGGCCGCCGGTGATGCTTGCCAGCGCGCCGTCAACTTGGTTCTGAAGGTCCAGAAGGGTGAGGGTGGCATGCACTCCGTCCTCTCTGCACCCGTCTGGGGCTTCTATGATGTTTTGTTCAAGGGCAACAAGTTCAAGTTCCAACGCCCCTACGGCAGCTATGTCATGGAGAACGTTCTCTTCAAGGTTTCCTACCCTGGTAAGATTCCCTACTCAACTCAAACCTATACAACAAGAGAAAAGAAACTAACCCAGGCCAGCCGAATTCCACTCTCAGACCGCCATCGAGGCTGCAGAGGTCATTAACAAGAAGCTCGCCGAGATGGGCAAGACCGCCGCAGACATCAAGGAAATTACCAACCGTACCCACGAAGCCTGCATCCGCATCATCGACAAACAATTCAAGGCCATGGACAACTTTGCTGACCGCGACCACTGCGTCCAGTACATGGTCGCCACCATGCTAGCATTCAACCGCCTCACCGCAACCGACTACGCTGATGGCGGTGAAGCGGCCACCTCTCCCTTGTCGAGGACCTCCGCAAGCGCATCAAGTGTGTCGAAGACCCCCAGTTCACCGCCGACTACCACGACCCGTCAAAGCGCACCATTCCCAACGCTCTGACCGTCACCCTCAACGATGGCACCGTTCTCGAAGAGGTTGTCATTGAGGCGCCTCTCGGTCACCGTCTCCGACGTGAGGAAGCCAAGCCTGAAATCCTCGCTAAGTACAAGCGTCACTTGCAGGCGCACTTTGATCAGGCTCGCATTGATGAGTTGCTTCAGGTGGGCTGGGACCGCGAGGCTCTTGAGAACTACGATGTTGACAAGTATGTCGACCTCTATGTCAAGGACAAGATGGTTGCTTCGGCTTAGATGTGTGTTTGATGGACATATTGATTTATACTGCAAAATATTATATAGACGATTCTACTGACCTCAAGTATCTCGTACCATGTAAGAGAGACGAATAAGTCTGTGTAAATGGGCCAAAGACGTACCGCCCTGCTTTCGCCGTTCACAAGATTCATTTCGTAGACTCGGCATTGACCACCGCACCCGCAAGGGAAGAGTCTCAACATTCGATCGCAGTTGAGAAATAGCGATAGGAACATTCTAATTGTGATAATTTGTTTACATGACTAGGAAATGAAGAGCGGAAGTAGGCCAAGGTGCGAGTGGCTCCGCTAGGAACACTAGGAGAACAAGTGACAGCAATCCCTTAGTAGGTCCTCATATTCCAAGGACTTTAAATGTTATGACTCCTCTATGTCAATTGTCTGGCGTAAATGTAGTCGTTCATTGATCCAACCACTATTCAAGTTCTTAATAACTCTCATCGATCCAATCCCCATAATCACTCCCCAAGACCGTCTTCTTCGTAACACCTGCCGAGATAGAAGTCTCATACGCCCTTCCGGAAGTATTCGATCCATCACCAGAGTTATTGTATTCGTAATACAACGGCGTTGCCCCATCCGCCATTGTAGTCCACCCCTTTGCATTAACCAGACTGCCCAAGTCCGAGTTCTGGAAAATCACGCGCGCAAGCACGCGCCATGGACGTCCAAGGTATACCTGTCCATCAAGGGAGATTCCAGAAGCAGCTTTGATATTACTATGGTCAATGGCGTACCATGCCGTGTCTGTGCTCTCTTCGCGCGAGCTTGCGGTTATGGCACCGGCACCATTCGAGACGATGTCGCATTCGCCGAACCAAGCTGAGGCGTCACCGAAAATGTAGTCGACGGCTCCTGGATACGAAGCTTGTAAATATAACATTTTTGAAGATTAAAGATGTGTGCAGGCTTACCCTCAATCATGCAGTTGGAGTAATACTGTGTTCCAGCTTTAGCGTAAAGGGTATCTTGATAACCCGAGAACTGACAGCCGTAGAAACCAAGCCGATCAGCATTTCCGACGAGACTTTGATTGTTAGCTTTGACAAGTTTCAGTCATTTGATTCTATCACTTACGCCACGGCCTGTGCCCCTTTACCATAGCCGTTGACAACATTGATATTATACATCTTGAATCCATCGGAGACAACATTGACAGTCGCACTCAAATCCAAAGATCCAGCATCGGGCGAGGAAAGAGTGTTCGTGATAGTCACCGTGTTGTCTTTATAAGTTCCGGTATCCGACGTCTCGCCGTAAATTGTCAAAGTCCCGGCAAAGTTGATGGTGAGTTGCTCCTTGTAAGTGGCACTAGCAACGTAGATGCAAGCTGAGGTAGTTGACGAAGTAAGTGCATGAATTGCATCACTGATAGTCGAAAATTTTCCACCTGAACCAACAGTGAGACATCCCGCGGGGGCGCTGGTTCTACTTGTCCGACGGCGTAGTTCCGCCGGGGCGCCAAGCACCGCGGTGACGAGGCAAAGGACTGATAGGAAGGATTTGGAAACCATTGCGTGTAGACTGAAATTATCCAGATAGACGCAATACTCAATGATGGAGATTTAAAAGTGATTGTCAGGTATTATATGCATCTTGTACAATGCCAATGGCGCCAAGACATGTCTCGGCCCTTTTCCGGAATATCTCGTTTCATGAGTAGCACTAAAGCCTCGAATCAGGGACGGTCAGGGGATGGGCGACATTCTCCACAATCTTGAAATTTCCATGAATAGCACACTTTATCAGAAGCAAGTCTGTTGCTAGAAGCTGTCATCTGCCTAGGCGATGAACGGCATACTAGGCTGAACTCCAAACGTAATCGTGAATATCTAGACCGAGGTCCCGAGCGCCTAATGAGAAAAAGCCAGGTCGTTCAAATCTTCCTTTGACCCCGTCACGAACTTCTATTCCCTGGCAAGTGCCTCGTTTCCCGCATAGAGTGTCTGGAGTCTCCGGGATTTTTGGTCCCTACCCAACACTAGCTCCGGGCCTATGCCTGCGAACAGGAGAGTGACTGGTTTCAAAATAGTGGGGCACTTCGACCCTACCGGACCTACATCAGTATAGTAGCATGGAAAAAGATTGAGTTTAGAATTTCTCGGTCAAGAAAGTTCCTCAAATCATCGAATAGCGTGGGTTTGGTGTTTCATGTTATTCGACCGCTCAGCCTCCGCGGTCATTTCAGAAAGGATCGGCATAACTATAGATCAAACCAAATGTTTCTCACCATTTAATGTTATAAACCCTTGATCATCAAGACTGTGAAATGACAAGCAAACATTCGATTCTCATTCCATTTCACAATGTCCAAACTTGTCCATGGCCTAACCCTCCTCACAACACTTCCCTTGCCCTATCCCTATCCCTACCCAACGCAAGTAACACGCTAAACGCCCGCGCCTCAACATGTACCCCCAAAGCCGGAGGATCCTCATCAATCGATGATGTTCCAGCCATTACCTCGGCAATCGCCTCCTGCGGGAAAGGAGGCACGATTGTCATTCCCGCCGGCACAACGTACTACCTCAACAGTGTACTCGATTTCGCCGGATGTACTGGCTGTGATTTCCAAATCGAGGGCTTGTTAAAGTTCGCATCGGATACGGACTACTGGGAAGGCCGAACGGCAATGATTAACGTCAATGACATTAATGGGATCAAAATCCGCTCGGTGTCGGGAGATGGTGTTATTGATGGGAATGGACAAGATGCGTGCGTCAAATCGAATTGCTTACCACGTCAAAGATATTGAAGGCTGGAAAATGGCTGATTTATCATTATTTCACAGGTACGACCTCTTCGCTACAAACAGCAGCTACAAACGCCCGACTCTCCTGTATATAACCGGCGGCTCAGACATCGAGGTTTCAAATCTGCGACAAAAGAATCCTCCCAACGTGTTCAACTCAGTCAAAGGCGGAAGCCACACCGTGATTTTCTCAGACCTAACCATGGACGCGACATCGAAAAGCACCAACGCAGCGAAAAACACCGACGGGTTCGATATCGGCGAGAGTACAGATGTAACACTCACTAATGTCTCCATCACCAATGATGACGACTGTGTCGCGTTCAAACCCGGCGCGGACGGGGTGACTGTGACCGATATCACTTGCATTGGCAGCCATGGACTTTCTGTCGGATCCCTGGGAAAGAGTTCAGATGATACGGTGAAGAATGTATACGTCTCCGGCGCAACAATGATCAATTCCACGAAAGCGGTTGGCATCAAGACGTATCCCTCTGGTGGAAGTCATGGGTTATCAACTGTGACTAATGTGACATGGACCAATGTCCACGTTGAAGGTTGTGATTACGCGATCCAGATACAGAGCTGCTATGGAGAAGATGAGGATTATTGCGAGAAATATCCGGGGATGCGGTGTTGACGGATATTGTCTTTGATGGGTTTAGTGGGACAACGAGTGGGAAATATGACGATGTTACCGCGAATCTGAATTGTGGAGAGAATGGGACTTGCGGCGTTACTATTCGTGAATATACGGTTGTGGCACCAGACGGGAAGAATGAGGTTCTTTGTGCCAATACTTTGAAGGATCTTGGGGTGTCTTGTACTTCTGGAGCCTCGGGGTGAATTTGCGTGAATGGACCTAGGAAACAATTCAAGTTTTAAAGTATAGAGCGAAATATCTCCAACTGAAGACCCAATCTCAGAACACGTCCAAGCTGTGCAATCGATATCTTGCCGCTGCGCTTTTCCCTTTCAATCACCGATTCCACCGCCGTGATCGTGGGGAGTCAGATCGGCACCACTGATGAGAAGAGCATCAAGCCAATCGGTTTACTCATGGTAACTGTCTCATGGAGGAGACTTCGATATGTCAAGTCTTTTCTAGAATTCATTTCTAAGCATGCCTAGACAGACAGTGATCAAATGCTAAAATAATTTCTGCAAATAACGAGTTTATGTAACAAATCGCAAAGGAGATCAGAACAATTGACGTGCAGCGTGGGAACAAGCGCAACGATATATTTCAATACATAAATCAAGTATGATCTAGGCTCGTTGTGAAATGCCGGGGGCTATTATGCTTATGCCCATCGCCAGCCTGATTCCTGCGATCCTTGAAGATTCATGACAGAATGAAGGAAGCTGTTTTTACCGCGAGGTGCAAAAGGGTCACGTTGCTGTTTCCTCCTTTCTTCCTTGAGGAGGCGCTCGGCAGCGAGGCCATCTATGCCCTCGCCTGTGTCGGTGATCTTGAGAGCCCATTTGACGTCATCTTCGTTGAAACCTAGCTCATGTACCATCCTATACATGGCACGATCGACTGGATCTTGGACTTGAGGTCTGAGGGGAGGGGGAGCTAAGGGTGGGTGGTTGGAAGAGGTGCGCGGAAATAAATAAAAGGATGGCTTAGAGGTATTTGGTGGTGGATGGATGTAGCTCGGAGTAGGAGGTGTAGCGCTTGACGTTGAGGTAGACGAGCGATTGAGAATAAGAGGAGGGGCGGGAGGAACCGGAGGAATATCTTCCTGTGCTGAACCTGATGGGTGGCGTAGACTTCCATCAAGGTTGCGGACAATGACGCTGTATTCGGACATGGGACGTTCGTTGGAGAATGAACAGACCAGCTCCTTATTCGATTGAACGTTTCTTAGACGAAGGGCGCGGAGCTCGTTCTTGAATGCGAGGTTTCGCTGCTCTCGTGCACGCTCTATCTCAGCATTTGTCAAGTCTAGCTCGCGAGAATTAAGGTCATGAGGGCTGTTGGATTGTGTGCTGAGAGCTCGCTCCTGCTCTTCGTAGGCGCGAGAGATTGCCTCCTTGAGAAACGATGACCGACTGACTTCGCTTTCCGTCATTTCCCATTTGGTCAGACCGAGCGACTTGGCTGTTTCCAAAGTTTCGGCCGCGCCTTTGGCGGGACACTGAGAGCTGAGAGTCAAGACAGCCGAAAGGCCCAGTGTGAGAATGTAAGATGTCCATTCCTCTGTCAATATGCATTAGCAAAAGCTTTCCCGAGCGGTGCCTGATCATCACTAACCAATTGCACTTTCTTCCTGCACAATATCACCCCCTGCAATACACATACAATCCAAAATGCCAACAGCTCTCGCATCGGCGACCTTTGCGTGCAGATCCTGCAACAGCACGCCCAAACAAGTCCAAATTTCGATCATATAATACAGCTGGTTTTGCGACAGGCCACCGCAGTTTCCACGAGCAAAGCCCTCGGGTGGTTCAAATAAATTGTTGTTCATCCTGAAAGGTTCTGTCATGGTTGAAGTCGCGCCAGTATATTTTCTAGCCTTTGCGCCACCCTTCAGCCAGTCCACTTGTCCCTCTAGGTCGTTTTCGCGACCCTTTCCGCTACCGAAGATACGGCAGAAGGTCCAGATACGCCAAAATGCGTCGTCAACTTCTTCAAGACGAATTGGATCAGCGCCGGACAGGCCGTGTATGGTGTCGCGGCGGAGGAATGAAGAGCATCGAACAAGGATCATAGATTTTAGCCGGGCCAGAGTATAAATGTCGGTCGCATAACGATTCAAGTACGAGGTAGGTGTGTATTCCGGAACGTGCGAATCAGGATTCAGAAGGGGTGTCCACTCGTTTTCCCATGGTGGACTCATCTCACGCAGTTCCCACGCTGGTGGCGACATTCCGAATAGAGCGCTTTTGATCAGAGAAAGCTCTCGGCGCTTGAAGATAGAATAGAAACGCCTGTTGACAAGGACGAAATCAAAAAGATCGTCAAGGGAATCAATTTGCTTCATAATTGCTATGACGAGACTTTTCGGTAGGTCCACCGGAAAGTCAACCTTGATCGGAACATGCTTATTTGAACTTGCGGCTCGGGCCTGGGCCGCGCTGACAGGGAAGGCGGACTCGCGTCCAGTTCGTAGATCCGATCGGGTGGAATGTGTATGCTGCTGGCCTGGGCTGTCGAAACAAAAGCTCCGGGGTTCCACATCCTGCTGCCGACAAGAATCTTCTCTTCCACTGGCGACGCACGTAGTAGAGGGTGCAGTGCGGCATCAGCTGCAGTGTTGGCCGAGTATAAGCCTGCGGGGCGGGTGGCGTACTGTTCCTGATCGCTAGTCTGATTGTCGATAAGGCTACATGTTTTCAAGTCCTGGGTCTGAAGGCGGGGAAGTTGTAAGAGGAGTTCACCTCGCTTGTTGGAAGTCAAGCTCGAATTGGAAGCTTGGTGAGGCGAATGGCACTCACGACTGTACGTTGGTTTCGACAGATTTTCTGACCCCGAGCTGTGAGCATCGAGGCGATGATCTTCTTCCTGGTTCCGCAGGTGTGCATTGGAAGTTTTACGACTGAACGACGGTATCGACAATGTGAAGGTTTTTTTGACCTTCGATTTTCCCTTTTTCTCATCGCTGGATTTCGGCGTGGCTTGAAGCCGCCGTCCTTTGTGCTCCTCGATTGCTTTGGAGGCCTTTGTGCTTCTCTTTGTCGAGGAAACACTCGATTCGGCCGTCTTGGAGGCCTTTCCTTTGGGCGAAGTCTCACTAATGGACTGCAGATTACTCGGTCTATGCTCTTTTCTCGTGCTTTCGTTCTTGGGCAATTTGTTTGACAACCTTTTTTGGCTCTTGGATGGTCGCAGAAAGATCGATGGTCCTCCTGGATGCGACTTTGAATGAGGCGCTAGAGGTGGAGGCCGAGGAGCTGGGCGTTTGGCTACCAGGTCACCATTGTGTCGGCTGACTTGGAGAGGTCCATCCAGAATGAGGACGGTTCGTTGCTGACTCGCAAAGCCCTTAGTAAAATCGGCCAGTGCATATTCCAGCTCTTCTGTGGCCTGCGACATCGTCTGCCCGCGGCGCATGTTTTGACCCTGCGATTGCCGATACCGTCCTGATATGGTCCCATGGCGCGGCTGTTGCTTGCGATGATTTCCACATTCAAAACAAAACTCTTCATGTTGTTGCCGTCGAATGTTCACCGAGTGATTTGGGCTCGATCGATGTGTTGAATGCAAGGCATGCGAACACGACGTGGACGAAATATGGAACGAGGGGCTGGGGCGGCGGATCCCTAGCGGACTGGGCTCTCGGATCGGCTCCAGTGGTAAAGCTTTGTTCTTCAATTCTTCGATCGACATCTTCGGGGCCAGGCGACCTGTTCGTGGGGGAGGGATGCTGGTTGCGCTTCTTGGCTCCCCTTGGGCGACTGGTAACGCAACGGATGGGGCCTGCGAGTACATTGATGATGCATCTTCAAAGACACCCGCTGAAACAGGGTTAAACATGGAATATGTATCTGCTGGCTTATACGCGATTCGTTCGCTGAGACAGTCAATGTTGATACTGGTAAGAGACGTGCGGTGACTGTAATTAGAGGACGCGCAGTCAGACAGACTGCCTTGTCCAGAATCACGGCTCTTGCCACTCTCTGGGCTTCTTTGATTCGTTTTCTCCGCTTCTTCGCCGAATTTGCTCTCCTGTGGGCTTTGATAGAAAGTCTTGAGTCGATCTTCACGTTCATTCTCGAATATCGAGGCATAGTCCAGCGACTTCATATTTTGTTTCATCACATCGGGGGTTGTTGGGGACACAGCATGCCAGCTAGATGATAGTTCGGGGAAGAAACGGGCCAGTACAGAGGTAGATCGGGCAGGAGGGTGACCATCTGAGATTGGGGAGATGTCGGGGTCGGAGTCGGACTGATGACTACCGAGCAGATAGAAGGTGCGTGATGCGGCATGGTCTGAAGTTGATCCGCTCTCCGAATTTCCCTCCCGGTTCTGGAGGGTGGAGAGTTCGCTATGCGCTTCAGAGAGGGGGTTGGCCAGCTTGGCAGGATCAGAGATAAACATGGTCCGAAGATGTTCAGGACTGACGGAGCGAGATCCTGACATCTTCACTTCCATCCTCATCTTCACCGGAACCGTCTCTGATTCTGTATCCTCTTGAAGGGGTACAGTTATTTGCACTGCTTGTAATTCAGAGCTCTGTTTATGGTTGCTCTTCACAAAGCTGTCTTCTAAGCGAAGAGGGTCGCGTTGGCTGTTTCTTGTTGGCACTGGTTGAACCACAACGAGCCCGATGGATCGAAAAGCTGAAAGCTGCGACCATTGTAAACTTATGGGTTGCTTGCGGAGCCTTTGAAGACTAAGCCTTGCGCATTGTCAAGCTATGGCGTTTTCTATTGACTGATTAATTATCTTTGTCTTTCGAGATCACCCGACTATTCCCCGGCAACGTGTCTTTCAAAGGGCTTACATGTAATAAGAGTCCGAGTACGAGTCATGGAAGTTCAATTGTCGAAAGAAAAAAAGTCCTGGACTGTATGAGAATAGGAACAAAGACAATTCGGGCTCCTTAAATAGCGAGTCAAGTATACACAAGGGTTAAAGATAGCCTGAATGTCAGAAGGTCAGCGAACCAGCTCTACTTTAGGGCCGAGGAACGCGGTCTATATCTCCTATACCTCGTAGATCGTGAATTATCCCCAAAGGCCCCTGAAATAAGTAGTTGATCTCTGTGGTGGGTCTTGTCACAATGTGCTTGCGCTAACAAGTGATCGCCGGGGCCAAAACAGTTTATGGAGGAGCTGCAATCTTGACAGGAAGGACCTTTCTATTTCAACCTATTGACATTTGTACCTTGAATTCGCGCTAGAAGAGGCGGAAGAAGTCAATTTTATTTTTGAGTTATTCTCGAGTTGACAGATCTCTATCGCGGTTCGAGGAAGAGATCGACGATCAACACGAAGGGCACAACTGCCGAGGAACATGAGAGAGTACGGCTGAAGGCTGACTGCAAAGCCACGAGACTCCATGCAGATTTAGGCCATGCTCTTTATAGCTTTGTGCTACGTCCGAAGCACCAAAGTGGAATACCCTGCTAATCATCCCGCTAGCGCTGATGTGTGATTTCTCAGGCACGACGGATGATCTTTTTCACGCTCACTATCTAGTGGATATGGAGCCACTGACTCGAAACAATCATGCAGATTCATAGATATTGTCATCCTTACACACCATGAAGGATGTCCAGTTGTGGCCATTGCATGAATGGCCCCTTAAGATGCTATAATTCGCCACTAAACGTGCAGCATTGCCTGCTGGTTTCATCGGGGAGAGGACGAGAAGGGCCAATGGATCTAATTGGAACGAAAATGGTACGGGCGGGTCTGACACCCCTTTGCCGCCAAACATACGTTCTTTGGGTCAGGGTATGACCTACCCTGGGGCGTATATCCCCCCTATTCTGAGCCAGAAGCGTGCCATCACGTATAAATCTAACGCAGTGGCTCGATACGCTTATTGATTGCAGTAGGTAATGGTCTGTAAACCGAGTACCGTTCACTAGTTCCGTCCCCGCATGCGAAATGAAAAGAATGGCCGGTCGCCCGAACGCCTCCAAGGCATATGTAACCTATTTGGGCGGCCGAGCGCACGGTTTGCCACTTCTACCTTACCTAAGTAATTTATGGTATAGATTATTGCCTACCTCAGTCAACCGGGCTCCGATGGTGTATGGCACTATGTACTTGGTCGGCCCGAAGCGTGCGGGCGGCCCACTCTTAGGTTGATTGCCGATCATCCGTCAATCGCCGGAGGATTTATCTTTGACTTCTCAAATATACAGAAGATGGGCTTCCCTATGTTCTAAGCTAACTGAGGATAAATCAAGCGGTTCAACGATCAAAGCGTCGGCCAAAGCAGTCCGCAGAATATAATTTGCACGAGGGCTATACGCATTGTCTTCTATGCTGACCACCTTTCGAGCTTCGTTAACCCGCCGACCCGCAAGCTATAGGGCGAGATTTTGGGGCCGCAAGGGATCTCAACAACTTATCTTACATCTATCCTGCATTCGAGAGCTTTCAAAACGCCACATCAAGATCATTCTACTTGGGGCCAAAGGGCAAGGAGCGAACTCCTGGCTCTTCTGGTGTTGGTAGGAAAGTTCACCATCACTTCACAGTTGCAGGCAACAGAAAACATGGTTATGCTAACCCCCCTAAGTGGCCCTCATAACGCAGAATCTCAGCCAGTACCCGAAAGTGATGATCGGACAAGATATTCCATCTAACATTGGCCCATGATAGACAAGCCATTGGATCTATGAGAATGTTCAGCAATCTCAAGACTTGTTTGTGATAGTAGACATGCATCTCGGCGAACTAGGTGCCCATGCCAAGCCAAGTTTACATGAGCACACAGATAAAATTGTACTGGCTCGAGCACACCCACCATCATGTGACATGCATGTGTCCAAACAGCCTCGCTGGATCGTCGTGCATGACCCGCGATCAACCAGTCTGAATCTCATGATACTCATCTATCAGAAAAACATGAAGCCCCTCACTTGTAGTCCACATAGCCGAAAAGGATCCAGAAGTGATCTGTTCTATTTTCTAATCTGTAAAGTCACTAGAAAAGTATATGCTCTCACCAGGACATCCGACAACTATTCGTCCACGCAGCTTCAACCACCTCCTCCAGAGTCAATCCCTTTATCCCTGCCACCACCAACTCAACTCTCTCGACAGTGCAGCTCTCATTTCTAGTTTTCACCATTTGCCCCGCGATGAATTTGTTATGTTTCCGGCTCGGCAGCAGAGGCCTCGCAGTCTCTAAGAAGCGTTCAATTTTAGGATCATTAGACAAGACTTCACACCACGAAGCATCTGTTTCAATCTGCAGCTTTTCCAACGGGATGCTTTTCACCATCTCAATTTGCTCCTCTGTCCGAAACGAAACGCCATGAACACTAATGTCAAGATCTAGCTCCACCAACCGAAGCATGTCGTCCTTGGTGCCCGAAAATGAATGTACCAGGCCACCCACGAAGTAATCTAGGCAGATAGGGCTTGATGATTGAGATGAAGTCATCGGTGGATTCACGAACGTGCAGAAACAGAGGCAACTGCAGCTGTGTAGCCAACCCCAATTGATCGCGGAATGCACGTTGTTGCGTGTCTTTGTCCGCGCGATCCAGATAAATATAGTCGAGGCCAATTTTGCCAAAGGCTGCAAGTGGAGAAGACTTATTTGCCAGCAGCATCTCTGCGAACTTTTGAATGGATGCAAGGTAGCTATTCTGGCTGCCTTCAGATCCCTCATGCTCGTAGATCTCACCCGCATGGTACGGATGCACGCCCAGCGTCATCTTGCACATGTCTGGAAATTGCCTGACTAATTGAAGATTTTGTTCTGCGTCACTCAATGACATGGTTGTGAGCAATATCTTGTCACTTTGAGAACCGCCGCGTAGTCAGGTTCATGGTATGCCTTGCCACGGTAAATGCTACGAAATTGATCCGCGGTGAAAGTCACCACAACCTGTCGATCTTGAATCAATATTGATCAAGGGACGAAAGACGAATATTGGATCTGAACCTACATCAAAAAAAGGCATCTTGATGTTCGTGAAATACGAAATCGCACGTTCCAAAACTACGATTCACACAGAGACGAGGGGAAATCTTGAGATGTGGGTCCCAGCCCAGGTTTAGTCACTCATGATGTTCCAAGTCCTCGACAGCCGACACTCTGCGATGAGTTTGCATACTTTGCAGTTCCGTCTTCAACATGTGCAATATCTTGATAGTGGGTTAGCTGAATGATCTTCGAGTGGGAGGCCAAGACGGCATAGGTCTTGGCCTCTTCATTACTCAGTGTATGGCTTGGGCACTTTTATTTGTAGTCATCTAGAATAATACAAGCAAAGTCAGCGTCTCACAAAGACATAATACAGTGTGTTCAAACAGCAATCCATCAAACTCAAGCTATGCTCAATGTGAAGAGTGAAAAGAGAAAAACGCCAAACCAAGGGATGCTCAGCTAAGAATAGGATTGCCAATTCGACAAGGGCATTGAAGATTAATAATATCAAATGTAAAGAGGCTCGAAGGAATCAGAGAATTGTCGTCACGTCATGTCGCGGATTTCAAATGCATTCAAGCACCGTTGGGTTCGTCTTCGTCTGATTTATAGTTGTCATCGTCGCTATCTTCGCCCCAGCCCTCGGCCTCGAGAGAGCGACCCCGGATGCCGAAACTCAGAATGAATCCGATGAAGGAGACAGCACCGAAGACGCCGAATGCAAGGGCTTCTCCCTTCGGCTGGATCTTTGCAGTCAAGGAGAAGAGACCACCAGAAAGGAACGGGCCCATCGAGCGGCCAGCTGCACTGAGAGTCTGTGCTAGACCGTTCAGGGCACCGAGAACAGCGTGATTCCGGGCTGAATTGGTAACCAATAGCAAAGCACTCGTCAGGCCACCAACGGAGGCGATGGTCTTGACCAGGAGGACGAAGCACAGCTCGACGGCCATGAGAGCAGACTTGCTGGTCAAGCCCTTGCTGTCCTCGCTCTTGTATCCAACGAAAGGCATCAAGAGGAAAGAAATCACAAAACCGAATAGTCCTGCGCGGTAAGACCATCTGTTGCCCATCTTGTCGCGCAAACGGTTGAAGATGCAAATTTGGAAAATGATCGTGACAATTCCAGCGAATCCTTGAGCCAGACCGATCTCAGAGGGTGTGAGGTGGCGTCCCATGGGGGGGCTTGGCTTGGGCAAAGATTGGGAAGAGCGAATTGAAGGAAACATTGCAGAAAGCAAAGATCAAGTAGGTAATAAGTAGGAGCAGGGTGTCTCTTGTACATATTTCGTCCCATCTTAGCTCTTCGGCATGCTGATGTGACTGGCTTGATACCTCCGAAGCAGAGTCCAAATCACTGTCATGTTCTTGGCTGTCGCCAGTGTTGCGGCGAACGGGGCCGCTAGGCACCCGAAGATAGGTGGGGTGTCTGGATAGGCCTGTGAATTGCCAGATCCATGAGAAGAGACTGCGGAATTTCTTGCCAAACTTGGGAAGGATGTCCGCATCTTCCAGACTTTCTTCCATGAATAGTGAAGTCAAGACAAAGTCAACCAGAAGAATGAATGCAGCCAAAAGGTTGGGCGCCAGGTACGGGTATGTGCTTTCCTTGCCCGTGAAGGGGTTGCGCTCGAAGACTAGAAGACCACCCAGGAGTGGACCTGTGATGCCTCCAATGCCATAGAGGACAGGAAGCCAAGTGAAAGCCTGGGACTGATTGCTCCGGTCGGTGATTTCGCCCAGACAGGTCGACACAAGACCCTGGTTACCATTGACAACACCCATCAAAGCTTGTACGGCAATGGCTTGCCACAAAGTTTTACAGAACCCGAATGCAACAAAACAGAGTGCGGTCAACAGTGTGCCGAGAAGTATGACTGGCTTACGGCCAATCCGGTCGGAAAGCCATCCCCAAAAATAATTTGTCGCGAATTGTGCCAGCGCAAATGCCGAAGCAATGCTTCCCACGTAGACACCCACTTGGCTCGGCTCCACCTCGGGGAAACTCGATGCCATATCCGGCAAATACGGGCTGATCGAGTTGAGCGCCGTTTGCTCGGCCAAGGCAATCATGGCCAACACTGCCATCTGCTTTCTCGGCAATGGGGACTGTGCGTGGTTCTCGAGGTCATTGTGATAATCGTGCGATGCCTCGCCAGAGGACTCCGACTGGCCGGAATTGGGACGACCACGCGATTTGGGTGGAGGAGTGTCGAAGGTCTGGTAGTGCTGCGTTGATGAGCGACGGCCAATCAAAGTACGGTCTGTGACTGTCATTTTGGCAACACGAAAGGACCGAGGAATGGTGCGACGCCTTCAAATCCAACCATGCGATTGGGGGAGGTTGGTGACAGTCCGAGCGCGCCCGCGGTGCTGGGGTCGTGCGCGAGCTTGCAGCACCCAGAGACTGTCCGAAAGCTGCGACAGAATGTATAACACGGAATGATCGAAGGATAGAAAAAGCGAGCGCAGGATATGAAATAGATCAGGTTGCAGAAACAAGAAACTGAACCAAGGGCAAAGCTGGATACTACGCGGGTCCGATGATGTAAGCGGTATGTGTTGCTGAGTCATCGCGCTCTAGACGCAGTGATCGTCCTCAATCGAGCAAGTCTCGGGCCCGGTTACGGAAGATCATTCATTTTGCATCTGGACTAAGACAGGGTACCCGGATCGAGTGATTAATGAAGGGTTCTCTGACAAGGAAGAAAGTGTGTCTCCTCAATTGGAGTAAAAGTCTCGGGGCGACTCTATATCACGCCAGTCTACCCTCATGATCATGATATCGAATGAATTCTTGATCTCCCATTTTTATTTGTGCCCCCAGAGGACTTACGAAACTGCACATTACCTTCTGGTGCAAAGAAAAACGCATTCTGTAGAGTTCATACTGGAAGATGATCGAAAACAATAGATTTTCGACGGATATATAAAGCTTGTTTAATGCGTCAACCGTTGAGGGGACGAAACTCTCGTACATGAGATAAAGTGAAGTTCTGGTGCATAGATTGATGTGAGCTGTAAAAATTTCATGGCTGCAATTCGATACGGAAGTAAAAGCAATCAAGCAATGTTGCGAAGTGATGTTGGTGTATCTCTATTTGATAGCTTCATGAGAGGTCCACTTTCCATCACCCAAATAATGATATCTATTAGTGAAAAGACAATCAACAATAAAATAGTAAATGCGTCTCATCTTTTAAGGGGCCTTTGTTCCACCTTAAACCATCGACTGTGCAACCTTCATATCGCCAGTCGCTTGGGTCTCCGAGCGACTCATAGTAGTGTGTCGACTGAAATCCCTCAAGCGACGATGCTCATCTCTCGGCACATCGCCCGCCTTCTTCGCTCTCCTCTCCTGGTGCCTGAAATAGCAGCGCTTACACCATTTCCAAGCCTCAATGCCACTGAAGAAAAGGGCCGTCTCAACAAAGACAATACCCCACTCCCATGAAATGCTCGAATGCTTAAATACCTGGTGGTTGATAACAGGAATATAAAGAATCGGGAACGCAAGGACAAACCCTGCCATAATGCCCCAGAACAGAAACTGGTTGCCCCAGATATCATGCATCCACTGCGTGAAATAGCGCTTGGAGTCAGGTTGCATGCGGAAAAAGCTTTTGCGGAGGTCCATCATTTCCCAGGCGAGGAAGAGTGCAAACCAGGTCATGCAGGTGAATGTTGTGGCGCGCGCACGGAAGACGGTGTCACAGCCGTAAGGCTTCGAGGCGTCGTTGTATTGAGTGTTGCAGCCTTGCGCGAGGTTTCCGTCACCCCAGCCGTATAGTACTAGTGTGAAGGCAGATAGGCAGAGTGCTGCCATCCAGACACCGTAGACGAGCATGTCGACGATAATTTCCCAGGTGAATATTCCTTGTTTCTGTGAAGCTATTAATATGTGGCGTAGCTGTTAATGGAAGGTGTATACATACGCTTTGCGGAGGTCGGTCCATAACATCTGGAGAGGCCCTTTCCATCCCCAGGCCCATGTCAGGAAGACCAGAAGTGACCATGATGATCCAGATGATCTCAACCGGTGCGATAGGAAATACAGATTGATTGGTATCGTCCTTGAACACAAGTCCAATAAGCAAAATCAATGCAAGAGCCACGTTCTCAGCCAAAAGATGTAGAACAAATTTCTGAATATTGTCGAAAATTCTTCTCCCTTCTTCGATGCCATTTATGATAGAGGCAAAGTTGTCATCGGTCAAAACCAACTCTGAAGCATCCTTGGCGACATCAGAGCCATTTTGACCCATGGCAATGCCAACATCAGCACGTTTCAGGGACGGTGAGTCGTTCACGCCGTCGCCAGTCATGGCAACATATTTTCCCCGTCGGTGCAAAGCATCAATCATGCGGACTTTGGTGTTAGGCGCGCATCGGGCGATAACGAGAGGCAGAGTCGGCAGATTGTCGATTTCCTCTTCAGATAGCTTGTCGAATTCGCCAGCAGTCATAACCATCGCATCGGCAACTTCTTTGGATAGGGTGTTCATGTTGCCGGGGATAATTCCCACCTGGGCTGCAATGGCACGAGCAGTGCCGGGGTGGTCACCGGTCACCATGTGCACGGAAATCCCAGCTTTGTAGCATTGGGCAATCGCGCCGGCAGTTTCGGGGCGAGGAGGGTCATATAGTCCGATAAGGCCGTAGAATTCAAGGTCTTTCTCGATCTCCTCGCGAGGAAGGGGCTCGTCGCTTCCCTGCTTCGGCTTATGCTTTCGACCGGCGAGGGCAAGCACACGGAGCCCCTCCTTTGCTAGCGCTTCCATGTTCTGCAAAATCTCATCGCGTATTTCATCATTCAGGGTAACTGACTCGGAACCTTCTAGCCAGGTGATAGTCGTGGAGGCCTCTAGGACACGCTCAACGGCACCCTTGCTGAAGATCATTTGAGATTCCACGTCTGCGTCAGACTTGGCGAATATTACAGACATCTTTTTCACGCTGGAGTCAAATGGATACTCGGCTTTTTGTTGCCAGACTGGGCTGTCACCTTTTGTCCAGCGATCAAGTCCCCAATCGAACCGCGATGCGAAAACCTGGATGGCAACGTCGGTTGGCTCGCCGCGAGCCTGCCATTCATCATTCGCTGATTTATGAAGGTGAGCAAGATTAGCCATCGCGGCTACATTGAGGAAAGACTTGAGGAGCTCATTATTCAGCAGATCATGGGGTGAAGAGGTCTCGGGCTTCAAATCTGCGCCGAGGTTGACAGGCCGTTCAGGAATAAGGCTCAGGTCTCCCTCTGTTGGATTCAACGGCTCATTCGAGGATCCAACCGAATAGGTTCCAACGGAAGGAATCCATGCGCGCTTTGCGACCATGCGACCCTGGGTAAGTGTACCAGTCTTGTCGGAGCAGATGTTCGTCACTGCACCAAGGGCTTCGAGAGAGTCGAGTTTGCGAACAATAACATGTCGCTGCACCATCTGCTTAGTTCCGACAGCCATTGTGATCGTTAAAACAACGACCAGACAAGCTGGGATCATGGCCAGTCCCGTAGCAACCGCGTAGATAATAACTTCGGCATCACCACGGAAATCGTTGGCTGCGGCAACAACAACTGCAAAAATGACGGCAATACCAAAGAGAAGCAGAGCCAATTTAGACAGCTTGCGCTGTAGAGGTGTTCCGACATTGATACCCAGGAAGCGACCGATCGCGTCCGTAGTGGTCAAAGTCCAGGCCTGAATGTACCAGATCTTCTTGGTTTCGCCTTCTGGGCCTCGCTTCACCTGCCGGCGTTTGGAATCACCGCCGCGAAGAGCTGCGGCGATGGCACCGATCTCGGTTCCCATCCCCGTAGCCACTACAACGCCTCTTGCACGTCCACGTGTGACGGTAGATGAGCTGTAGGCGATATTCAATCGGTCTCCGGGACCGGTGTCGGTATCGAATGTGGCATCAGCCTCCTTGGTGACTGGGAGTGATTCGCCGGTCAAAAGAGCTTCATCGGTGTCGAAATTGAAGGCTTCTACCAATCTTATATCTGCGGGTACGGTGTCTCCGACCTTAAGCTCAACCATGTCACCCGGAACAATCTCGTTGGCAGGCACAGTCACGGTTTTACTATCGCGGGTTACAACACCCGTCGGGGAGCTTAGAGACCGCAATGAGTCCATGGTTTTTTCGGCAGCAAAGTCCTGGTAAACCCCAACTACAATGTTGAGAACAATGACTGCTGCAACAAAGCCACCTTCGATCCAAGACGCTATACCAAAACTCACTGCCATGGCGATGATAAGGACCTGCGATTTTAGTATTAGCGTCTTCTTCATCTTGCCTGAATTATCTTTGATTGATAACTTACAAGCATCATGGCATTCGCGATTTGCCGAATGACGATTTTTGCAAAGGAGACTCCAGTGTCCCCCTGCAGAATGTTCTCGCCATACTTTTCAATTCGCAATCTGGCTTCTCCAGATGTGAGGCCGTCGTCTGGGTTGGTGCTTAATAGCCGAATGGCCTCGTCGATTGAAAGACTATGTGCAGGCTGTGAAAGGCATGAGGTGACATCAACGGAAGACTTGGAGGCTTTGGATTGGGCTTTCTCGAGGTCTGGAGCCATCGCGAATCCAGGGAAGTAGCGTAACGTCGCAAGTAGTGTATAGAAAGCCGTGTGAAAATGAGAGTAGCGAGTGTACTTGAATGAGACCTTACGGAGGTGTCATATAAAAAGTATCGTCAAGGGAGTGAGAGTCCATGCACTGGAGTAAAGAAAGTATATCCAGTGACAAGGCTTGATCGGATAAGCGGACTCCGATCTTCGTTTTGATTCTTAAGTACACGTTCTAATGTTCTATCTTTCCTCTTTCCCCACAGGGCATTCGTCCTCTATAAATAATGTCCGTCTGAGGCTGATGGCAAGACAGGTCTGGATGTCGAACGGATCCATCGTTTATCTGTTCCGAATCTCGGATATCATGCCAGCATTGGGTCTAAAGTTTCCCGCCGCCTTCCAATCACCTTGGTGTACCAAACGTCGGTATCGAGCGGACGAACTTGGCAAAAGCCTCCGTTTTCGTTGCCGAGGCGGGATGACGCACACGACTGGTCTCGGCGTTGGCTCGGCTACGAGCCGCCACCGAGCGCCGATTGGCCGAGAGGGCGCGGAGTGCCAAGAGCGGAATCTTGGCGGGACTGGGCATCCTCCGCTCGACCTCTCCAACCCTCGGCAGCGATGTGTCTCCTTCTTGGCTAGCCTTGGATTCACCTTGGCATCCGTGTCTCTACGAGACCTAGGAGTTTTCGGAGTGATTAAATCTTCCCCCTTCTCCCGTCCCGATCCCCCCCTCCTGAGTTCCAAAATTTGCTTTACGGTGGCAACCGTGGTTACCCGTGGACAGTTCTCCCCGCAAAGGTCGATGACTTTGATCTGATTTCATAAAGATAAGTACTTGACCGGCGTAGTCCGACTTATCCGATCGATGTTGCGCCTTCGCTCTGCCCAACGCACGAACTGAAATCAATTGTTACTGGGCGATATACTTTGCTTGTCACCTCCTCACACTCTTCCTCGTTCTCTCGACGTGCATTCAGAGCTGGGTCCTATGTTCTCCCACCTATGAGCGAACAAGCTTTGCCTCAGGGTGAGGTGATCGGGATCGTGATTGGAGCTATCGCGTTGTTCTCCATAATCAGCATTGTTCCGATGTAAGTTCTCGGCCGCGGACGCGGCTTGGCTTTATCCCGCGTCATGCAGTCGAAGCGTCTTGACGTTTAGTTTGCTAATGCCTCTATCTTTCAGAATTATCATGTGGAGCCATCGTCGAAATGCAGCGCGTCGTACTGCCTCTGAGACTCTCAATGCGACTGGATCCATGCAGGAGCCCTCAGTGGCGAGGTGGCTAGCAGAGCAAAATGTTGAAAGCGACCCAGAGCAATACGCCCAAGACACTTGGTAGGTCTCTTTTCTTCCAAACCCCGACACTTTTTCTTGGCTCATGGGGCTCGATGATGTGATGCGGGGAATGCCTAGGCTGGGCCATGGGTCTCCTTGCCCTATCCGGAGACCCACTGGTTTGCCATGTGCCGGCATTTTCCCAATTTCATCGATAATCTAGCACCCAGTCCTCCTTCCTTGGGCCGAATTCGGAGTATCAGCCATTATTCGATCATTCTTGCGAGTTTCTGACCTCACCGACACTTTGCTAACCAGTCCCAGTCCCATCTGCCTATCCTCCTTATCATCAAAACCGTATCTCACAAACCCCGAACCCACCCATCTGGCTGGACAGCGGGGTCCCTCTCACGCTCGTTCAGATAGGTCGGTTTCATATGGCGCACCAGGCTCCAAGCATGACAGTGAAATCATTGTTCTGAGTCGATGTCATCATGCATTTCACTTGGCTTGTCTCACTTCTTGGTTCGAGTATAGGCGATATCGATGTCCCATCTGCCAAGAATCGTACACGCCGCCCAAAGCAGCCAAGAGATGATACTGTGCCGAGCTATACCAACCTGATTCTTAATGTGAACTATGAGCAATGACCAACTCCACTTGACTCTTCACTGAGCGATGCACCACCTTGGGAACGTCACGGACCTGTTTCAAGGCGATGTTATAGATCGTTCAATGTAGGCTGCCATGAGCTTTGTAGATTGAACTTTGGTGAGTAGGAAAGGTGAGTCACAAGTGAAAGAACAAGAAGGCCTGTGCCATACAGGAAAGACATTGGGACAATTTGTGGCATTTCCATTTGCTAAGGTACACGACCAAGTCGCAATACTTATTGCGCAGGTTTCCTCGTCACAGTACCTAGATGTCAGCACCCAAGCCATCCCGGCCCCTGTTTGAGCGACCTCATCATGGTACCATGTGATGGTCTTCAGGAATAAATCTTTCTGAAATGGCAACTAGTTGGGTATTGCCCCAGGCGAAATTCAAGATACCGAAGCGGCGCCGTATCCGATCGACATCGCCACCGTAGCTCTAAGTCTTTGAATTTTTTGGCTCCGGCCTACCTTTGCCTGTGAACCCTGATGCTAGAGGATTTGGCTTTATCCTGCAGAATATAATCCTCATCTGGGTGGATACAGACATTGGCAAATGTCTCGATGCACTCAACCAAGCTTACTGGGGATCGATCTTTCATCACTATTGTTTCGGTGTCCAACGCTAAACCCCTGAAAGACTTCGGTGCAGAATGGGTCATCGCGCATCAGCTCCCGAAGATCAATAAGTACAAGCCGTCGTTGGCGATGATCTGCTTTATGTGCACGGTATTCTCAAGCACGGTGATTTGATTCGGGGGAGTATTTACCCATAACGGACTAGTCAGTATCAGGAGACTGTGCTCATGGAAGCGAGGCAGTGTCTATGAATGAGCGGATGTAGGGTTCAATAAATTTCATTCTTGGATTTGACGAGCTTCGTCGTTTCGAAAAAAGACCTATGAGGTCTTTGATGTATAAGTTTCTGGATGGCCTGACGAAAAGAAAGGTGAAGAAAGCGCTGGATAAGTGTATCCCCTGTGTGGCGAAAGGTCTCCAATCCGCGTCATTTGGACGCTGTTAAAAGCCGTGTGAAGACATGATTTCCTAGAATACAGTTCCGAAAGTAATCCACGAGGTCTCATCGTCTACCTTTGAAGTGGGAATCTTGTGGGATCTACGTGAATGACTGCATAAGAAGGATCTGTAGAAGATGGACTGTGTCAAGACTTAGAAATTAAGCCAGGTGAATGGAACGGTGAGGCTGGATGCACTGGAAAGCGCGGCCTCCAAATTGGGGAACTGATTGACACTTGACCCACGGGACCTGAACTTTGTGACTCATGTATCACATGACTTTACGCGCACGGACCATGCGAGTCCCATATATATTTTTTCGTCCTTCCCTGTCCTTCATCCTTTTTTCTTTCTTCTTTAGCTCTCTTTGCCAATTGGCTTAGATCAAGTGTAGTATCTGTTCTTTTCAGTTTAATCTCTGAAAGATGTCCACGTGACATCACATTGATTATTCTCATTTTTGGATCTCGTGACTTGGCCTCTGTGCTTGCGCATGCCTTGTCACACAGTGTCATCGGGCCTACACTACCCTCGATCGACGCGAACCTACTCTTTCATCAACCATGTCGGCTTGCCCGATTGTTTGGAGAAGAAGTTTTATCGCGGTATATTGCCAACGTGGTCTGCTGTGACCGGCTGCGTTGCTGTTTGTCCTTTGGTCTTGACCGAAAGGGTTGACTTTGGATGATGAAGACCTTGCCCTTGAGGTCGAAAATGCCCTTTGGGCTTATGAAGACAGACGCCATGGACAATCGTAATTGTCCTTTCCCAGTTTAAATAGGCATTTCAGCTGGTGGAAATGAATGCTCTGTGGCATCCTGCTCCCGTGTAGAACAGCGTTCATACCCATCAAGTCCATTCTCTCATTGTCTATTTGATTCATCCCTTTACGTTCCTGTAGAGCGACGCCCTCAACAGAGGTCTCGTCATCGAATTGTGCATTCACATCACCGCACACTTGGAGCGGGCCGTTCAAAGCGTCAGGGAGTAACGTACCCGAACAAGATGCCGCGCATTATTCGCGAAATCAAGCAAGAAACAGGCAATCATAGTGGCAAGTGATTTTGCTTTCATGGTGGCTTCCCCAGTCAAGCCCGGGGCTCTTGGAAACAATACGAGTGGTATGTTGGATATATAGGCAAAGATTCTGAGCACTGGACACTACGAAAGATATATAAGGGAGGATCCAGGAATGATAAGAAAATGGAGGGCTGGGTAGTCTGAGAAATCAGGGTTTGAAGACCTGCAGCAAACAGCCGGATTGCTTCTGCCGTCAATGGTATGCCTCCCATATGTACGAATTGGAGGATTTTTTTGCCATCGTCATCAATGTATCGTCTCCGATGGGTGTGGATCTGGCCTTCGCCCAGATGATCAAGCCACAGAGCGCGTTCTCGTGCACCGCAAAACCGGTGAGAATTCTGCCCATTGATGCTACCTTTAATTGGCCACACAACTCAATATTCTGACTCATACCTGCAGACACTGGGGGATCCATTCTTTGCAAAACAGACAAATGGAGCAAAAAAGGAGTAAATAAGATCTAAAAGATAAAAAGGTACTAGCACGACCAGGTTTCGATCCTGGGATCTCCGGGTTATGAGCCCGGCGCGATTCCTCTTCGCTATCGTGCTGATGGGTGTCATTATGTCAGCGGATACTGGCATATCAATTCCTCGCAAAACAGACAAAAGGAATTAAAAAAAGGAGTGAAAAAAGATATTAGCACGACCAGGTTTCGATCCTGGGATCTCCGGGTTATGAGCCCGGCGCGATTCCTCTTCGCTATCGTGCTGATTGGTTACGATTGATTTTTGACTACTTGGATTGTGTTCGTTGTGAACTTCACAGGCGAGTTAAAAAGTGTGAGTCGCACTAGAAATGGGGGGTAATGATTAAATTCCACTCCCGGGCTAAGTAACTGCTTTCCAAATGCTTTGAACAGTCCAAAGAAATGCTTTTGGAGTATCAAGTGGGCTGTAATTTAGCTGACTTGGACGCAAATGCCGGATATATTTTGACAATGAAAGATTTGTCATTCCTTTGCCTCGACATTATGGAGCCCAGAGAATACAGGGAAGTAAACCAAGTGAGAGAAGCAGAAAGTAGTGCGTCGTGTTTTTCAAAGCTGATAGTGCTGAGTTTCCGAGAAGATTGTACAATGAAATTAAAAAAAGAAAATGTAGAGAATCACCGACGGGTCACTTTTCCGTTGTTTACTACCAACTCGACATCACTATTGGAGTCACCATGCTCCGACGCATCTCCATAGTTCACGGTGTAGCTGACAGACTTGTTGATCTTGCTGTCCTGACGTGCATATCCGGCTGTATTGAAGTACTTCGGCCCAGAGGCGTATGTTTGTCGAGAAGAGCCACCCATCAGTCCGGGGAACCAGCGTCCAGCAAGAGCCCTGGAAGCAGGTAGGCAAGCACACAGGACTGAAATCTGGCATTCGATGACGGACCAATAGATGAGCGGATAGAGACCCTTTGTTTGGTTATAACCCCAGCGATTGTTCCAGAAGACGACGACACGGATGATGGCAATGATGGTAAGCCTTGAAGGCACGGTCAGTATGTGGTAGTCCAAAGGAAATGGCATGAAACGCGGTGAGGGAATACGTACACTGAACCAACAACAAACATCAACGCCACGGTGAGCTTCTTCCGCAGAGGCATCTGCAGCTTGCTCACTTCGTAGACAGGCATCATGATCAACACCTGAAGAGTTTGTTAGATTAAAGAAACCAGACCTTGTGAAATGTACATACAGAGTCAACAAAGATGTTGACGAGGCAGTTGACGAGGATTGAGTCGATAAAGTTAATGCACTTCCCACTTTCCTCTCCCGTCCAACCGTCCCAGGTCAAATGGGTAGGAATGCAACGGAATGAATCGACACAGGCCCAGGTAATTCCAATGGCGGAGTTAACGGCGATCAGAGCGTACGCAAGGTAGCGGAAATTGGGTGTCTGGAAAATGCGTAATAAGAACAAAATCACGCTGATCTTGGCCAGCGAAATTTGGATCTTATACATCACAGCGAGACCTTGGAACATCTGCTACCGTTAATATGAGGACCTGTGTTTGAGTGACAGAAAGGTTGTACCATGTAAATGAGGGTTATGTCATTTTGTGGTGTGATATCCCAAATATTGCGACCAAATCCAAAACGGACCACTGTCTTCTTAGTTTTATGTGAGAGAACATGATTTGGGAAAAACTCACTTTGCATACCGAGGAAATAGATCGCAGTGCCAAGGACCTGACGCCTGTTAATACCGTGGCACGGAAACCAAGATAGTTGAGCTTACATATGCAACAATAATGGAATAGTCATCCCATCCCCATCCACCTCCAAGCCCACTGCTCTTGGCGAAGATTCTGGCAGCGAAGAAAACCGTGGCAAGTATAAAAGGTATCAACGTAGAGGGGTTGACCACCTGAGGCTTCTGGAGCGGAGTAATGTCACATTCGCTTTGGTATAGCCGTTTTGTCGCTGAAACCGTTAGTCCAAAGCATGGTAGTGCCGATCAAACAGACTTGAAACTCACTAAAAAAGTCTCTCACCGTGCAGTTGCTCTCGACCGCGTCGAGGAATGTAGTAACGCGCGAGTCGCTTGCGCAGAAGCAAGTTGTGTTCGTGCTAAGCGAGCAACTTGAAAATAAATTCTCATCGCAGGTAATCTGGCGAAAGTCAGTCGTGTCCGGAGAGCCGTCTTGAAAATGCCGTACGTACAGCGCAGGGTGGGAAATCGGTTAGATCTGTGGCATGCGACCCCACCACCAGCAGGGCCAGTACACTGAGCAAGCAAAGGTAAAGCCTCATAATGGCGCTCAATGCTTTAGAAAGGGCCGCCGGAGATCTTTAAAATGAAGAGCATCTCGCGAGGGGAACGGCTGGTTTTCATCCTGAGTCAACATAAATGTCTAGGTGGATACCGTGGAGTTTGCTTTTGCGGCAAAAGGCCGAAAGCACTGGAAAATCAGGTTTAAGGTTATCTATTTCGCACGATGGCGTTTCTCTGAACAATGAGTACCAGTACATTGGAATGCTTTTCGGGTCAACTGAGACTAGCCCTAATCTCCCGAGGTGATTCTTTCCGGTCTGATCTTCTAGATCGGGAAAATCATCCGTGGTCTGTCTAGATCGTTCCAGCGGGGCGCTTTTTGTATCCACTATGAGCACAAATCGCAAATTACAGCGTCTGTGTCTCGTATCATTTGCTTCGGATGTTCCGCCTGATAGAATCAGTGGTAAGACCCGAGGCGTTGATTATTGAACCCAAGCGTTTCCTTGTTTATAGTCAGTCAACCAATTCACACCTATACCCCCAGGCATCACCTCTGTTCTTTTTAGGTCTGAAGACCGATTACGCTCCCACCTGCCTCTTTGGGATACCCCGATCGCGTGGTCAATTAGTCGTATGCAGGGACTCCCCTTTTATGTTCAGCTGGCAAGTGCTCCACCCCATTTTTGAGCATGAGGCTCTTCAGATGAAGTCCCGCCGCGCTTCTCACAAAAGAAAGGGCATGGCCGTTCAGATCTGTATTTTCTTCATCCGAGTATCACAGTACTCTTCACGTATAGAAAAGAATTGGCATGGTAAATGATCCATAATGAATCTGTGGCTTTTCTTCTATTGAGGACTTGTCAGATCTCGGTTGCGAAGACGATCGGATCTCTTGCCACCGATCTGGGTCTGAAAAATTCTGTTGAGCGTGCGGCTGTGTTGCCAAGGTCGGCAGGGGCCCCTAAAGCCTCCAGAACCTTGGAAGAATGACCGTACTTGTGGATAAAGACATAGCTTTGTCAGAACCGCTTACATACAAACAAAGACAAGCGAAGAGCAAGTGACTTCTAAGCGCACCCCGAGATCCGCTATATCGGCTTGGAAAGTAAAAGTTTATGGGCGCCACTTAACTGTGATCTTGCCTTTCATTTGCTGCCTTTGGGCAACATACAGGTGATCATACTCATTGCATTCTTTCCAATACAGTCAACTCTCAAGAAAAGCATGTGTTCGGCGACGATTTTGAATGATCGTTAGGACCAAGGCACCCGGTCGCATGGAGAACATTTTCAACATCTCGTTTAGTGTCTTATTGCTTGAAACTAAATCGAGGAGGCGATAAAGTACATCATTCGATAATAATAGGCCTTTCTAATTTCTACAATTGGGTTGGTCGATCTACCGAGGCGCCATTGGCGCCCGTGCGCTTACAAACGGAGAAGGTAATTCCAAACGAACCGAACACGCTTCATTGACGGTCTTGTACCAGAATGATATTTGCTAGGCGGAGATAAAAACTTGCTCGAAGCGATCAATTGTCTCAGATCGCTGAGCTATGTGGGGCGATCTTCAGAACACGGCCTTTGCGATCAGGCGATGCCGAGTGAATTTAAAGATAGGGTAAGCGATTTTAGGCGGGTGGAAACAATGGCACCATCAAAGCAGACACAGAGTATAAGTCCATTGTGCGTTCTACTGTTACGTGTGCCCAAATGTCGCATCACTGAGCAAGATGGTGAGAGGATATTGGGTAAAGCAGGGATCGACTACTCTTGCAATCACGAATCGACCTTCACCATCGTCTGAAGAAGTAAGTTTGGTCTTTGCTTTAAGACCAAGAAGACATTTCCAAATCATTTAGACGAGGGTGTCAACAGAGCCCGAGTCTAATTGGTCGGTTGCAACTCGGCTCAAGAGACCCTCCAGTCATGTCAAACTCATTTTTGAGGAAAGTTAATCGGGCTGGAACTTGGAATGTCGTTCTGAAATTTGTCTGAGTTACTTTTTTCTTACTATTGACGTCGAAAAGTAGGTCCGTAGCCGAGTCGAGACCGCTTCCACGATCGAAAAATCCAATAAATAGGCTCACCGGAGCTCTCAAACGTCAGCAATTAGCCTTCATGCAGATTAGCAACGTCGATCGTTCTCCAATGAGGCGAAATTGGCATTTTTTTCGGGTATGTAGCTCATCAGGTCATCAGGTCACCAGGTGACCTGATGACCTGATGAGGTCAATTTGGTTATGCCCAGTAATTACCAGTAATTACTGGTAGTTTACACCGTAAATTGAAAATTTTGAAACTCCCACTTTTGTCATGTGATCACGAAAAGCTCATCAGGTCGAAATTGGACCCACTTTTTTGACCTGATGAGCTTTTCGTAGTCACTACCAGTAGTGACTAGATAAATGGATATTTTCATATTTTATCAAAAATGTGAATGACCTGATGACCTGATGACCTATTACTGAGTATGACTGGTAGTGAGAGGAAGGAATAGATTACTTCTAATTCAGAGACTCAATAATGACTAGTATAATAATAATCAAGCAGAAGCTAGTATATCACTAGTAATCATGTCTAGAGATTCATTAACGTCTATTTTGTTACTGGTTGCTTCCGAGAGGTTCTAGAAGGTAGCAAAAACATATTCAGTATTAATTTAAACTTTCTCTGACCAGTCACTACTAGAACAAAATCCGGGGTAATCACGTGACGCAGTATGCTTCACCCTCACCTCCATGATATTGTTCACTTCTTTATTTTAGTCTTACTATTTTTCTTCTTCCTTTAACTCCCCTCCATCCACTCCCGGTACGTATCCATCCCCCACCATATCCTTTTTGATCCTCCATGACCCTACAATGTCTCCCCAGGCCTCTTATGACCTCAATATCGACTACGAGAAGCATCCAGCAACTCAAAAGTGAAAGATCTGAGAGCTTTGGAGAGATACCTGGGCCCATTGGAGGGGGAAAAGTCCCCAGACATACCCCTATTACCCTTCCTTCCTTCCTACTTCCTACTAGCTATGCCCGGATGCCTTTCTATCTTCAGCGGTGCTCACCAGTTCTTCGGCATCAAGTAACTGGTTATGACCTATTCTCCTATGTCTCCCTTTACCGCCATACTGCTGAGGATTCATGACGAGAATGACTGAATGAAGACCAGTCATGACTTGAAGAGATGCATCCCTAACAATCTTGATTTTTAGCTACCAGTTACACCAAGCTTTTTTTTTTCTTACTGACAAAAATGGTGAGCACTCGCCGCGCTGGTGAGGGTGGTGCCAAGAAGGCTCCTGATAAGCCTGGGCTCCCAAAGAAGGGAAATGTCGCTACTGGGCTCCCAAAGAAGGGACGTGTCGCTACTGGTCGTGTCGAAAAGCAGCCCGTCGCGCCTCCTAAGAAGCCAAGAGTCACTACCGGTAAGGACCACGCCCCTGCCAATACTCCTTCTAGCGATGAGGACAGTACTGGTTCCGAGACTGGTAGTGACTTGGAGCAACTTGGTTCTGGCCAGTCTTTCGCAAAGAACCCTGTTGCTACTAGTAACATTCGACGGTCCGATCTTCCTCTCCTGGCTGCTCCTGGTCCTAACCAGGTAGCACGTGTTACCGCTGCCGTCGATCAGAACCCGGAAAGGTGTGTGAGTCTGCGTCAGGATTTCGAGTAAGTACTAGTTATCAAATCCTGCGACTTTTCCTGACAGGTTATTACTAGTGTGAAGTGGATTTGCCGTTGCGCCGAGGAGGACCACAAGGACACCCGCTACACCGAATTTCCTCGATCTGGACCAGTTGTAAGTGGTTGTTGTATGTTGTTACTTGTCCTTACCAATATTAATGTGGCCTTAGGCTATTCCCCCGTGCGCAGTTGTCTGCCCCTACTGCGCCTACTGTCCGTAAGTATTTCAAGTCATAATTTGAAACGTTGCAGAGCTAATTATTACTACTGGTAGCGGCCTGAAAGCCACAGTTGGCACAGCTACTGGTAGAGGTGGCAGCATCCGAAAGCACATTGAGAAACAGCATGTGGTAAGTACTGGGTGATACAGGCCATTACTAGTTACTAATTGATACTCTAGAATGAGGACACTTTCCTCGGCCTTTATGTGGTCTCTTTGAAGGATAGTAAGGGTTGGTTGTGAGTACAAATAATAACTGGTAACTCGAAGGAACTACTGCTAATATCTAATAGCAACTGGAAGCCTCCTGGCCGGACCGGCTCTATGACTGCTGTGTAAGTTAGTAGTCTTTCAGGGACCGACCTGTTATGACTTGTACTGACAATCTATTTCTAGTACCCCTGCTCCCGTGCCTGCGACTACTCCTACGCCTACAACTACTGATCCCGGACCTGCGCCTATCCCTGTGGATGATAATGATGATCCTGATATGGAGCTTTTCCCTGATGTCCCTAGTTAGGGCGTGGATTTTCTAGTTACACTTTGATATTACGGGATAGTAATTTTCTCTCCTATGAGAGCTTAAGATAGCCAGATTCTATGATACCCCTTAATGATTTCTTCACTACAAGTAAATCTATGTCATAACTTGTCGCTACTAGAAATAGAATTTCCTCCCTCTCCCCTCTATAAGCTTACCTAATTATTCAAATACCTATTATTCTATAGCCTCTCATCTTCACTCTTTACTTACCCTTTATCCCTCCCCCGAATACCCCTGATTACCCCCTAAGATCTATCTTTGACAATCTATTTACTTCCGGTATCTCCTGACTACACCACTTCTATTATGGCGACGCCTATGGATGACTGGGGAAGTAATACTCATCTTCCGCAGCGACTACGAGATGAGCTTGCTACCTTTCCTGAACTGAGTGATAATCAAGTATCACCAGAAACACCAAGTCCTTCCCTGCAGCCTGATAACTCTACTAATTTATCTCATGTCTTTACTGAATATCCTGCGGGGTATAAGATCTCTCAAAAGCCTCTCACTGGAGGATTTGACCGTGTCCGATTTATCGCATACACCCAGGCAGTCCCGGAATACCCAATAACCCACCCTGAGGGTGTTGCCTATATCGTTGATATCCGGCACCTACCAGAAGATGATGTGAAGATCGCATATGCTGATGTACAATATGGGAATGGTACTAGGAACAACCAGAGATGGCAGAAAGAGAAAAATTGCCCCTTACTCAATGATAGCCTTTGCACATTTATCAGAAGGCAGTGCTCCGGAGTCAAAGTCTGCAAACAGCTCGCATCCCATATTCGTTATGACTACGAGCATACAGATGTGACTGAGAGTCTCTGGGACCGTCTTTACGATGACCGCGAGCGAGTTCTAGCCGCAAGAGCTCGCGTTGCCGCCTCTGATCGTCTACGGATATCAACCTACAACATATTTCTTGAACAGAAAAGTCGCTACCAGGAGATATGTGGCACGCAATGCGAGGGTGGACAAATGGTGCTACGCCAATTTCAAGATGTAAGTTGTTCTTTCCTGTTATTTCTGGTAACCACTAGTAATCTTTCAGGGATCTGGATGGTTTATTGGTTGTAGCCAGTTCTTTCTTCAAAGGAGCAGGAGACACCTATTTTTCAAGCTACCAACCCTTGAAGGACTGGACATTGATTACTTAAGGGACCTTATTCTTAACAATGCCGAACCTCCACTTATCACTAACCAGGACTGCGAGACACTTCTTGCTCCTAGTAGCCGCCTGACAGCTTGTGGTAAGTAAATTTCCTCACCAATAAATATCGGTAGTAACTCTGTATTTCTAGGTGCACATGGACCTGACATGATCGAAGTCCAGGGCTGTGAGGTTAAAACTATGGTAATCAAACCAAAGAACCTTACAGCACTACCGCTTATTGTCTACGCATCTTGGGGCACACATTCACATCCACCACCACCAATGACAAAGACCCCACATCATATTGTGTCTAGTGTGCAAGATCTTATCAGAAAGGTCGACCAGCGACAGATTACTCATGGTAGGTAGTGGTACCAGATAGTCACTTCTAGTTATAACGAGTCACTTCTAGGGCGATTTATTCGCAGCGATGTTGTCAGAGATTTCCTCGCACGCTACCAGTTACCAAATTTCGCAGCCCTACACCCTTCACTTGGATGTCGCGATATGGTACGAGTACTGATCAGAAAGCACCGGATTCTAGTAAATCCTCTTGGTCAGGGTTGGGCTAGTAATTACTACGTGTGACAAGCTATGATATTTCCTTACTGATAGCTTCTAGGTACCTACCTTGAATATCTTCAGGAATCATCATCTCCTTGTGAGATGTATATCCAGGAGATGTACACCAACGGCAACAACATACGGATTATCTGCTTTACCCTAGCGCAGGCCCAGTATTGGGCTAAAATCCATTTCTTCCAGATGGATATGACCTTTAAACGGGTTGCAGGGAATATCAATGAGGTTGTTTTTGTCACTAAGGACGACACTCTTGGACAAGGTAAGTGGGCTACTTGTTACTACTGGTTATAACAAGACGCTACCTGTAACAACTAATATTTTCTTCAGTGATCGTGCTCGCACGTGTCTTTGTCAATTGCGATTCTACTGAGATGTATTTTGAACTGTTTAAAGCACTCTTTCAGAAGATCGCAGAGGTAGCTCGGTCTCCGGTCCAATGGCATCATATCCATCGGAATGGGATCCAGGCGGTCATTGTGGATATGTGTGCTAAGCAAGCAAGTGGTAAGTACCTGTAGTGACTGGTTACTCCATGTAATAACCGGTTACATCAATAGGCTTCGGGCACTATCTTACAACAATCGATCCAACCCGGACATGGCAACAACACGTGCAGTCTATCTTCTTGTACTGCCAGGTGCACTTCCAACGAAATCTGAATCGGTTCCGCAGAGCTCCTGATTACCACCTGATGAAATCAATCCTTACTGTTCCCTCCCAAGAGGGCTGTATGAGGATCCTAAACGGTCTTAAAGGCTCCTTAACACCTGGTGTTACTAGTTGGGCTACACATAAGATCCGTCCATGGATTCTTTCAGGTCTAAACCCCGCCTTCTCACTGATGCCTACCAGTCACTTCAAGAAGTTTCCAAAACATACCAATCTTACTGAAGGACTGCATGCCACAACTAATCGGAGTGGCATTCAAATTCAACTTCGCCCAGCAATTCAGGAGTAAGTTATTTTATCTTTAGTATTTCTCAGTGACTAACAGTAGCTTCTAGGTCTCACCAATCAGATCTTCGGTCTTTTGAGGATCTCCATCGCTATTCTCGCTTTGGTGTGCGTCCAACTCATGCAGTTACAACACCAACTTCTCGCTCTGCGACTCGTCCGCGACAAGGTATGACTAGCTACTATCATACATTTCTGATATTAACTGATAGTGACTAGTCACGCCACCAGAGAATCTTGAGGTTAATACTCAAACCCTACTGCAGACACCAGTTCCAGTAAGACCTACGACTGCTACTTCACGGAAGAGAAAGGCAAATCAGTTATCACTCGAAGGTATTTTATCCTTTAGGGAGCCTCCAGATATATCTATTACTTACCGGTAATAACTAGGATATCATCTTCTGAATGACACAGACAGTCCTCCGAGCAGAGCTAGTATTACTAGTAACGATCACTCTCTACCATATGAGATCGATTTGGGGACTCACCAGTCAAGTCCACAGACTTGGTCTAGCTCACCGCCTCTTCCTTCGCCTTTACAATCACGCCAGGCTAGCTCAACACTAGTGCCTAGTGACTACCAGTCAAGATCAGTTTCACAGGCTTCTACTAGCGATACAGTGACCCTTCAAGCTCATTCCCAGGGTAGCTTACCATTGGCACCTAGTGATCACCAGTCACTAGCTACCCCAGAGGACGATGATCTAGACACCTTTATGGGTATGATCGATGAGAGGTTAAGCCAGACAAGAAGTGAGCTAGGTCATGTTGCAAAGGAATTTTTCCGATCTCGCAGAAGATGAAGCCAATTCTACTTAGCGGAACTAGTTCTCTGTAGAAAGAACCTAGCAATACAAGGAGCTTTAAGTAACTACTTTCACTTTATTATATATTTCCACCAGTTATACCTACTTCCCTTCTCAATATATTTAAGATTCTTACCCCCTTACTAGCCCTATATTTATCCTTTAGGTAATTATTAGTAGTCTGATACACTAGTCGCCACCAGGAGTTACCAGTGACTACCCATTATCCTTATAAGTGATAAGAAGAATCTAGAATGAAACTTTTACCAATTATGTTACAACTAGATTTAGAAACATTGATGTTGAGATATATATTATTCAGAATAGGGTACACACGATAAAAGATAGATTTCAAAATTTCAATCTAAACTAGTAGCTTTAAGATAGTACCGAGATTTCCAGGCTATGTCTGCTTCCATCCTCTCACTACCAGTCATGCCCAGTAATAGGTCATCAGGTCATCAGGTCACTCACATTTTTGATAAATTATGAAAATATCCATTTATCTAGTCACTACTGGTAGTGACTCAAAAAGCTCATCAGGTCAAAAAAGTGGGTCCAATTTCGACCTGATGAGCTTTTCGTGATCACATGACAAAAGTGGGAGTTTCAAAATTTTCAATTTACGGTGTAAACTACCAGTAATTACTGGTAATTACTGGGCATAACCAAATTGACCTCATCAGGTCATCAGGTCAGGGGTCGACCTGATGACCTGATGAGCTACACGCCTCATTTTTTCTGGGAAGGTCTCAGCTATCCATTCCTAGCAATGGTGCGATCTAGAGCTGCACCGAAAATTTAGAATCTGACTTGTGCATGAGACATTGTCAAGCACAAGTTTCGCATTAACCTCGCACCACGACGGTATAGCGGGAAGCTTTGTTAACTAAAATTGCTGTTTAGCCTTACCGCCTTGTTCTCTTGGCTTTCTAGCTATATTGCAGTTGCTTCGTCGGTTCGTCTTTCATAGCTTCCATCTATCGCTTTTTTGTCCCCTCTCCTTCCCTTCTTACCCTCCTTTCAGGTGACACTATGTAATATGAAGTTCTACTGTTCCATAGCCCTCACTCCTGATTAACTTCTACTTACATTTTCGGATTCTTGGGATTAGTTTTGGCGAACATGCCACATTAACATGATATTCCACAAGAAATCAATCTTTAGTTGTTTCTAGCGGCCGCTATTTAGGACCTGAATCAAAGCGCCGAAAGTTGCTTCACTAGTGAGCACGGCTGCACGAATTATTACTTCCAATCCAGACTATAACCGGAAATTGGGCATAGTCTGAAGGTGTTCAAGGATACTGGTCTCAGTGAGTGGTAACTCTTTTGCGACCGTGCAGTATTGATCCAAGCCCCTCGGCGGCTGTGTCTAAGCTGTGTGCTGCATTCTGGTCGACATGAGGGCAAACAGCGGTTGTGCACGAATCAAGATGACTCACAACAACTCGTGGACTCGTGGACTCGTGGACTCGTGGACTCGTGGACTCGTGGACTCGTGGTTTTAGTTCTCATAGGCTAGGTGATCCTCAAAGACTTGCTTCGACTCATAGGTCGTAGCAACCGCCGATTGCCCTTCTCGCGTCGTATTTTGCTCTCTTTAGATAGAGGAGAGGGGCCACACGTCTCAATAACAATGAAGCTAGACTGACCATTTATCAGCCGTGACTGTTGTATACAGGTATTTGTCCACCTGATCTGTTTCACGGGGAGAAACTGAAGGCTAGGCGGGTTAACATCATCTGGAAATAGACATTATGGACTGGCCGAATGCACAATGTGAGCTAGTCTCCCCGGTCATTCTCTCGGAGGATGTTCACTTATTGTGAAGAGAAGAAATGAGGTGGAGTGAGACTGGAGTTGGGCGAAAGGACAAGATCGGTGGGGCGGATGCGGCTGACGGAGTTGTCCCGTAGAGATATGGTCCACATTTGATAATTAGCATTTTAGATGCATAGCTTCACGACGCGAGTGACAGAAGATGGAGAGGCTTGTTCAGCGATAAATTTGAGACTTTTCCGGAAGGCGGAATCTGAAGTCTCTCCAAAAAGGTCAAATCGAACCGAAGTGAAAGATGCAATGTGGTCTCAAGTCACCGCGATTCGATAGTTCACCAAGACGTGTTTGTAAAACAATTCCTATGAAACGACTTGAAACCGTGACACGCTATTCTCGAAATGCTCTGTCTTCGTACGCTATGACCGCATCTCTAATAATAGAAGGCTTTGTTTGAGGACTAGCTCCAACCCCTTCGAGCCCAAATTGCCGACGGCTGGATCTGAAGATTCCATTGGACCCCAAGACCATGAAACTGGTGCCTAGGGAAAAGCTTAGGTCCATGTCATCGATCTGGTCTCACATCACGAGACCCTGCGGCTCCGTGGTAAGGTCTATGTGTTCTTTAGCCTTCAGACTACCCAAAAGAGATGCTGTCATATAAGTACTTGCCGTTCTCTGGTGGGTTTCGGACATAATTGAAATTCCAAATCCCTTGCCAACATCGTTATTTTCTTAAGAACAATGCCTAGCACCACTGACGAGAAAAAGAGTTCTGGGTAGAGCTACCCCATTTCACCGCCTAGTCAATATGTACCAACAGGCTAACTTGTGCTTCCAGCACCGAAATCGGTCATTCTTCAGCACCACCAAAGACCCGATGCGCTGAATACTATGCGATCAGTCAACCAAGGGGCCGTGCGATCGCGAATGACCATTCATGTCTACCACTTATCTCTTTCCAGCCGAAGCTGTCTTTTCAAATCAACCAATCTACCTGCTGGAATAAAAGCTCCGTCTTCCCAATCTTCAATATATGGCGTCCTGGATATTTTGGTACTTCCCTTACACAACTGGGGCCTGACCCTGTCAAGCTCAAAATCAAGAACGACTTCATCGTGACAGAATACGAAGAGGACATGGAGGCTTTGAAGACTAGCGATACAGATACGATATCCTTCAGCACAAATGCCTTAGTGGCCGGTATCGACGTCGACCCACCTCCCTGGCTTGGTTGTAGTGTGTGTAACTGCCACCGAGGATATGTGTTCTTGCCAAATGGCGAGCGATGGAGATGGATTGAAATTGACAGCGAGCACTATCAATTTGAGCGCGAAGATGATAGCCAAAATCAAAATGTCTCATCGAGAACTTTGATATGGCAGTTCCAGAGCACTGGAAATCTTTCGAAAGATCTCCAAAAAGACTTGCCATTTGCTGTGAATCGCGATACTCGAATTTGCCGGGTCAGCGAATTTGGCTCATTCGTCGAACCGCTTGAGGCTGGAAGTCCTGTCGCCGTGATGAATCGGGACGGGATTATTTTCTTTGATGGGGTGGGGTCGAAGATGGCTGACATCCAGACTGAGGATAACCGAGCTTTGATTCTTATGTCCGGGTTTGCGATTGCGCAGTATGAAGGCTGGCTAGGAAAGTGATGAGCATTCGTTGAATGGAGTTCCCAAGTGGGTGATACATTTCATAGAGTTGATCGCCAAGCTTTGTCAAATTTGTGATCGTTATCAGCCATGAAGATCAGTCGAACACGAGATTTGACTAGTCAGTCACTTGGCGGGGCATGCCATACTATCGATAAGATGCCCCAGACGACCTTGACACGCGCTTTCACTTGAGGCTATTTATCTTTGGGAGTTGAATATGTAGAACTGCATCTTTTTCGTCCAACCTATAAGCATCATGGGATTGTGTGTTGGGGGTATATAAGTTGCACAGATCAGGAATAATTCTGGAAACAAAATATGCCTTCAAATGATCAGTACAATTGATTGGAACAAATCTCCAGAATCCCTTGCCATAATGACTGCGTTCCATCCATCATGAACTGCAACGTCTGCTTACCGAGCCCCCCCTCCCCTTCTTGTTTGTCTAATGATATGCATGGAGACTATAATTAAGTGACCCCGTCAGAGGTAATTACCAATCCAGACCGCCCGAAGAAGATCCATTAGAGCCTGGACCTGAGCATTCAATCTCCTTGCATACTGGTATCCCGTTAATTTACATCATTGCAGAAGATTTGAAGGAGGACTTACATTGCTCAGCTTGCTGGAAAAGCATGCTTCCCTTTGGCTTATGCATAGCGGGAAGGATCTGTCCACCTTTCATTCTCTCAATCTTCGAATGTTCCTGGATCGTTCGTAGAATCCGTCCAGTAGACTGCGAGCTTTCGACCGGTCCATCGCTCATGGTCCGATACTCAGCTTGAATACATTGAACGAGATTCTCCATTACGTCTTCAATGACATTGGCCAAGTCATTTCCCTTAGTATTGACCTCAGATGATGAGCTAAAGAGGTCATAGCGGACTTGAGTAGTTGTCTCAGATGACGGGAGGAAGGTCACTGAAAGCCAAAGATCCGAACTCTCGAATGAGTAGAAGAATGAATTTGGGAAGAAGGAGGAGTCTGCTTGCTTGTTCTTTTGTGTGATCATTCTGATGAGTGTTGTTGCCAAAGAAGGTAGCATTGCCTCAGAGACGCGCTGTTCTAATTGATGGAGAATGGCATTGAATTGACGTCCGCTTGCTAATCACGAGTTAGGATCATTTTCAGAATTCTCTCTGTACTCAACAAACCTGCAAGTTTCCAGTTAAAATGTCCGGACAGTGTCTGCCCAATGATAAATTTAGAAGTTACTCCGGCTCTAGCAGTGCGACTGAATTCCTCCAATGCTAGATGAGCAGGCTTATCAAAAGGGTCCGGATCTGTAGCAGTAAGATTCACAAACACATGACCACTTTCAGTAGTATGCGTGTGAATCTCAAACAGGCTGTTCTCAGACTTATCAAATCCAGGAATGTCATCAAACTGCGGGGCTTTCACCAATCGTCCCGTGGTATCATAGCTCCAGCCATGATAACGGCAACCGAGAACCGTGGAATTACCAGTCTCTTTCCGGGTTATGGTATACGCACGGTGCCGACAAACATTATGAAACTGAGAATGAATGTCAGCCTTGTCTTAACTGCCATGGATTAGAATCTAGCTTACCGCGCGAATCTTGCTGTCCTTGCCGCGAATCAAAAACACCGGGAATCCAGCGATGTCAAAGGATTGATAGGCGCCTGCCTTGGAGAACTGACTAATGTGTACAAGGTACAACCAGGACTGCAATCCAGTTAGATGACAAAACGACAAAGATCGGCGATTCTAAAAAAGAAAAAGGGTTTCTTGCTTTGCTGAAGAGAGCTCGTCGCTCAAGTTCGAATACTTCTCGTTTGGACCACCACCCCTCAGGAATCTCTGGCTCTTTAGAAACCGTAATATCCGAAGCCTTTTCGTCTCTGGTAGACGGATAACTGATCCTGATCTTATCGGTCTGCTTCCGTGGCCAGGCCTGAACCGCGAGGAACGCAAAAGTCACTACAGCCACAAAGACCGAGGCCGGTGACGAGAGGAAATAAGCATTGATAAATTCCATCTCGAGGTGACAATCGAAATGCCAATAATAATCAAATTATTTACCCTCTTCTCGCAGGCCACTTCCATAGTTATACTACGCCTATGGAGGCCCAAGTTGCGTCAGAAGACCCCACATTATTTACTTCAGGAAGCATATCGCATTGACCCAAAGATACACGCCCCTCTTTGCACGTTATTTCCCGATCGAGTTAGAATTTCCAGGGTGCGGGACTACCATGTGCTACCCACCTCCAGTCACGCCTTGGATATCGGGCCACGATGACTGGCCGCTGAGCTTATCATGCCACATCCTTGTTCCTTATTCTGTACTGATGATACTGATTTACTCCACATTGATGATTGAGGGTAACTTTCATCCGATTTCTGATCCAGATCCGAGACGCGATCCGAGAAACGATTTGAGATACAGTAACAGCAACGATGCAATGGAATATGTAGCTCCTCAGGTCATCAGGTCAGGGTCGACCTGATGATCGGAGGAGCCGCACGCCTATGCAATGCGACCATGACTAAATTGGTATTACGCTTCAATCGGAACCATCTCTGGCGCAGCTCGTTCTTGCGATTCTTTCTGGGCGTCCTCCTTGGCTGCACAATCCACTCTGTGTTGTTCGCAGACCATGTCAAATACTCGTTGCTGGTAATCTGGGAATATTTAGTTTTCTGTTTGAGAGGGTTGGGAGTATAAACTCACAAGAGACACCTGTTTCCTTCTCGGGATTCAAGATGCCCTCGTGGTAGACACCCTGTGAGAGATTAAACTGGGCTTTCTCACAGAGCTCGAAGTCCTCGTGCGCGACCTGTGCCGTTGAAAATGAGTATTGCGGTCAGATCCATAATTGAGATTAAAAGATTACGTTCCATAAAGAGCTTACCTGCCGCACAAACTTGTAGTACTCGTCAAATTTCTCGCCCGACTCCAAGTGGTAGTAGTCAAACTCCATGCGAGTCACGTTGGGATCAGATGTCGGACACACTCGAAAAGAAGACTAGATCACTGTTATTCAAGCGTAAGAAATCGGGGTCGCGAGTACCTTACCATTCCGCCTCCGTACACATTGATCGTAGAATTCGGGAAGGTGTAAAGAAAGAGTCCGTCATCCGGCTTCTTGGGATCGGCGATGTGCTGACTGAAATTATGGGAGTTCTTCACGGTATAGAAAGTAGGCGGATAATATATGGAAAATGATGGATGAGTGTACTGACAGTGCAGACACTCTTGGTACCCATCGACCCTAAAATGAAAGTCAGAGGGCTTAATAAAAGAACTTCTCCGATAATCATACATGGTCTTCCAGTTGAAACGGCCTTCATATTTGATACTGTGCCTGTAAGGCAATTTGGTGAAGTCCACTTTTGCAAGTAGCTCCTCAATATCAGGGAAAAACTCGTGGAAGCTGGGAGCTTCATCGGAAATGGTTGAGAACAGTAGACCAGTTGGGGTAAGATGGCTACGCAGTTCCTTGCTCTGTCATTCATTTACATCAGAGTAAGTCACAGAAGATCCATTGCCATCGCGTACCGTCTCTGAGTGGAACACCTTCAGCTCTTCGGCTGTTGGATTCAAAGTATCACCGGAAGTACGAACAACATATATGGGTTGCTGCGCATGTTCATACTCATAATGCTCGCCCACAGTCTGGAACTTGGTGACCGGACCAAGCAGATACCAAGACTTACAATCCCTTCAATGTTAGTCTTTCCGATCTTATACATTGTGCTTTCTGCATACCTTATTGAAAATCGCCCTTCGCTCCATCTGATAGAGCGACTCGTTGGTGTACCATGAGGCAGGTAGGGTACGTCTGAGTTCAGTCATGATCGCCGTCAAATGTAGTCCGAGTATAGTAAATTGTGGATTTGAAATATCGCTTTCCCAGCGCGATGAACGTAGAAACTTATAGGCGCAGTTCTCACTGTATGGCTCGTGAGGAAGGGCTGATTACCTTTTCTATTGGTACAGGGGCCGAAGCTTGTCATCCGAAGGAGTGCGGTTTATCGTTTCCTGAAGTAGTTATCATATCCCGCGGGGCACAATGTGCACCCGCTGGTTGCGTAAGTCCACCCCAATGATCCAGACTCAATGCCTCTTCTTCAAGGGAAACTTGTTTCTCACCGAAATGTTCTTACGGCTGGGCCTGGTAGATCATAGCGCGTGTGTTCCAGGGCAAATGATACCTTGCGGATCCTAGTTCCAAGCATGACTTCGGCACGACTTAGAGGAATCTGAGAAACGTCACGTTCTCATCGATTCGGAGATTAACCCATAAATTCCGTGCCAGGGCATATTCTCGATAGTTATTGCTTCATTGTGGCTATCTATGGCTGTAAATGATCAAGTCTTTGGACATGGCGTCGGGAAGGAGCAGCTGATCACTGCAGATGATTTCTCACAGGAAACACCGAAACAAGAAATGCATATACAATGCAGACAGCTTCACCGCTCGTGCTAATGTGTAGAGTATGCTTAAAGTGTGAAGCTATTCATTCAGAGTGGGATTTGCTGTTGCCTGGAGCTGCGGCCCTGGGACGTGGCAGGAGTGCCATGAAAGAAAAATTTGAACAACTGTCCTGCTAACAGAAATAAACCACCAAGGGAATTTGAAACGAAGCAGAGTCATCCCAAAGACGAGAAGAAGAACCACAAATAAGCCAACGAAGGACGAAGACAGAGCTGAGCAGGCGGGGATCCTTATCTTATCGGGGATCATTACGTCTTCATCTCCAACGCCTTTCTTCACCTTCACATCACATCATGGCGGGTCCAGTTCAGTACACGCCGCCACCCTCACCTCCATCGCCGACAGCATCCTTCTATGATATGAGCGATGACGACGAGGATGAGTACAACACCATCGCCCACGCCAGCACCGGCAAAGGCGTGAAGCTGCTCTACTCCAAAAGCAAGGTATGCGTGCCACCTGAATTTCAGTGACTGACAAGCTGACATGTCGATCTAGGTGTATGTTCACCCTTCGCCATCTGCTAAAGACAATATTCCTGGCTTCATCGCCCTCCTCCAGCAAAAGCCTGCCCCACCAAACCCCACCACAGCCGCGTCCTCAGAATGCAACGATTCAGCCTCATACCTTCTCGCATGGGTCCCGGAGTCTTCTTTAGGGGACGCATATAGCACATACGTCCAGGTAGATCTTGCTGACGGTGATTCCCCACCCCGTCAGCGATACCTCGTGCCCCCTCTTCCAACGACAACTACCCACAGAGATCCGATCGGGCTGTACTCCTTCGCTGTTCCAGTATCCGAGATCTACTCTCTCCTCGTGCGACCGCCGAGTCTGGGGTGGTGGTTTGGTAGTGTTGTCATCAATACACGCTCGGGTGACAGCTTCCCTGCACTGTTCTTCCACGACAGCGAGTGCGAGTCGACAATACTTCAAAAGAAAAAGCGAGTCAAGGATACATTCGACCCCTTTGATAGCGAGGGAGGTCTATTCTGGGGAGGCGACGAAGTTCTTCGGTGGTTGCGGAGATACGTGGAAGTTGAGCGCTCGTCCGTCGACCGGAATGTGTATTTGATCAACCCTTCTGCGGAAGATCAGCTATCATTTGGACGGGCGACCATGCCTGCTGATGGGTCAGTGTCCAAGGCACAGCCCGAAGTTCCATCCGCCGGCCCTAGTGGAGTCCCACAGCGAGATGCGACCATGGATCCCTTCATGAAGACTCTCAAGGAGACACGTTGGAAAGTACTGGAATCCCTGAGCAAGATTACAACCTTTACACGGCGAACAGCCAATGACATTGCTTCCAATCCGGGCATTCCCCAGCAAGTGCGACGGTTGATTCAGAATCCAGAGATTCAGACATTACAGGATGAATTCGATAGTGCCCGGCTTTACCTTGCTAGGTGGGCTATGAGCATTGCTGAGCAGAGCGAGAGAGAGCGGCAACAGCGCATCTGGACTGCTCAGGATGTATTGGAGTCTGAGAATAGCTCTGTTGGGGACTTCGAGATCCTTGAGCTCGAAACTGGAAACCTGGCCCTACAAGAGCGACGCAAGATTCTTACTCTTCCAGAGTGGAAAGGTTTCTTTGACCCCACCTCCGGAAGATTGCATGTCACAGCCGAAGAAGTGAAAGAGCGCATCTTCCATGGTGGCCTTGACCCGAACGATGGGGCCCGGAAAGAAGCTTGGCTCTTCCTTCTTGGCGTGTATCCATGGGACAGCAGCCATGAAGAACGCCAAGCGATTATGAATTCCAAACGCGACGAGTACATCCGATTGAAGTCTGGATGGTGGGAGCGCATGGTCGAGGGTAACTCGACTACGGATGAATATGATCATTGGAAAGAACAGCGCAATCGCATAGGTCAGGACTATTGTACCTATTTGGACGCCCTTCTAGCCGCTAACATCCCCCCAGAGAAGGACGTTCACCGTACCGATCGCACCATTCCTCTTTTCGCTGGAGAGGATATTCCTCATCCTGATCCCGACTCACCATTCGCCGATGTGGGCACCAACGTGCATCTAGAGCAGATGAAAGACATGCTCCTTACCTACAACGAGTACAATCCGGATCTCGGCTATGTGCAGGGAATGAGCGATCTCTTAGCTCCGCTTTATGCTGTGATGCAGGATGACGCTGTCGCCTTTTGGGCATTCGTGGGCTTTATGGACCGCATGGTCAGTGGATACTTCCCCTAACAAATACTCGGTGTCTAACAAGGCCCAGGAACGGAACTTCCTCAGGGACCAGTCTGGAATGCGTTCTCAATTGCTGGCGCTTGACCAACTTGTGCAGCTGATGGATCCTCAACTGTACCTCCATCTGCAGTCTGCGGACAGCACGAATTTCTTTTTCTTCTTCCGCATGCTGCTGGTCTGGTACAAGCGAGAGTTTGACTGGAGTGATACATTACGTCTATGGGAGACCCTCTGGACAGACTATTTCTCCAGCAGCTTCCATCTCTTCATTGCCCTGGCCATTCTTGAGAAGCATCGGGAGGTGATCATGGATCACCTCAAGCACTTTGATGAAGTGTTGAAATACAGTTAGTTGACACCTCACTCGAAGTCTTCCTCATGCTGACCCGCTCCAGTCAACGAGCTCTCTAATACCATGGATCTCGTGCCCCTTCTGACTCGCGCTGAGTCACTGTTCCACCGCTTCGAGCGTGCCGTCCAAGCAATCGACAAAAAGGACAATTTCCCCGCCGCTCCAACTGCTCACCAGCGCCGACCAGGAACCAGCAGTCCAGACTCCAATCTTGCGGGCAAAGGGAAATCACCACAGCGTCTAACAGTGGGGTCGAGCAGCAGCGTAGCCCCTTCAACATTACAACAGGCAATAGAAAAGGACAAACCAAAGGTCATATCCCCCGAGCTACGCGAATTGCTCCGTAAGGATATCCCTTGGAAAGGACAACGGGCATCTTAGCTTCACGTCATTGGCCCCGAGGATTTATCACCAGGAGAAGAATATGTCGGTTTTGCTACCATGGCACTCGTTGATTCATGACTTTATGATTTACTTATGTATAAGATTCACTCATTTACCCTGCTCTTTGTGGGTCCAGCCAGGGCGGGATTGATATGGGTCAGGCTAAGAAATTTACTTGCATCGCAATTTCATCTTAAAGCACCCGGTATGGCATTTTCTATTAGGCCAGGTAACCTGTGGGTTCCGGAGCCAGTTTGCTTGTCGTCGCCGTTGAGAACATCCGATTTCAGAATGGCAATACCCGTCTTTCTCAAAGCACCTTGTCCTTTGCACTGTGCGGAGAGAATAGTCACTTGAGTCACACATGTCCTGATATTTGTTTTTGTCTGCTGGACCACATGATTCGAGCGAGATATCTGGATGGCAGCCTTGTGAGTAACTTTCCGCCTGTTTTGTTCGTCTAGATTGATGTTGGGGCGACAGTCAATGTGAAGGATGTAGAAGATGTAGCGTGCGGCACGAGGATCCTGCAGGCGAAAATTTTCGTTCTGGTCTATATTGGCGTGGAATGAACGATTGATTCGGAGCACTTGGACTCTTGGCCATAAACATGTACGCAATGGTCAGCTTTGATATCACTCACTCGGAAGATGAATTTATCAGATACCTTGAAGGGGTTCCTAGGTCACTCGAGTCTGGGTCCTGTATTATGCACGTCAGGCTTTGATGAGAAACCTGGTTATTCTGAGATATGGGCAGATGGCCCTTTACTGAGGTCAGCCAGGTTATGCCGTGTTTCCGCTGGAGCGTCGAGGAAGGTGAAATCGTGAAATGGTGGTTGTCCAGTCGTCCCTCTATTTCGGGCTTAGCTGGTTCCCGATTAAGGTCGGTAGTGTGACAAAATAGTCCTACTCCAAACTTGGAAGGGCATTTCGTTAACTATACCTTCTTCACTCTTTCTTAACTCCTCAACTTACATCCCCAGTCAACTTCTCACCTCTCGCTTTGGACCTATTCTCAGGACTGATTGCAGTTTCTGGACCATCCCAAATCTTGCCCTGAGACTCTGTCAAAAACTCATCGAAGCTCTGATTATGACTATCACGAAAGACGATATTTCAAAGTCAGCTAAGCCCATCCTTAATAGGGCTTGCGAGAAACCAATTCTTGTAAAATCGGGCCACACACCTCAAAGCCTTCCCGTCGAGCTCATCCTTTCAATATCCGACTACCTATCTGAAAATGATATACTTTGCTTCTCACTTTGCACTCGCTACCTTTTCGCAAGCTTGAGACGCCAAAGAGAACGTATTTGTGAATCCAGAGAGTGTCTCCAATATCCCAGAGGAAGTATGCAACGCCAACACAAATGTATGCAACAACGAAGAGAGCATAGACACTATCGTCTAAGACCAGACGTCCTACTACCCAGCGACTACCGCGATAATTTCTTATTCCTTCGCCGACTTGAGAGAGATTTACCAACTCAATATGCTTGCGGGACTTGTTTTGTGCTTCATAAACATGACGGGTCAGAGTTTGTCCTCCGATTGAGAACACAAAGGGCGTGGGATCGTCATAATTACTTGGCTGCCCATTCCCAGCTGGTATATTCGTGTGGTAAATCACTGCGGGTGATGACTTCCACACAAATAAGGATCAACCGGCAGGTTGTTGTAAGAAGTATGTGGAGGTTGCCGAGGGACATGCAATTTCCGCCGGTTTAAATGGGCTTGTATTAAACCTTTCTTCTTGTCAAGTGAAGCCAGTTGTCTTCGCTAACTATCCTCGGCTCTTGGAATCTCTCAGGCTTCACCAAATTCTACTTTGATAACGAGATTGTGCTTACGAAGCCAGTGGTGTTGTTCGCTAGTGTACAATGAATACGATCATGTTTCCTTGAATCATTTAATGTATAGTGGGATAACAATAAAAATGCACTTCATAGCCACATGTATCAGCCTGTGTTTTATACTGGCCTCTTATCTCATTCAGAGGCAAAGGGGATAAACCATGGCTTCTTCATGACTCATTTGTCGGCTGTGCGAGGGCCGGCTGATAGCTGACTGATTCATACAAGTGGCATATCAAGTCATAAGATCAACAGATAGGTATCATATTGTGGAAAATACAGCGATGAATCTGGTGACATATTAGTGAGAGTCTCACGAATGGAATCCAGAGATAGCGAATCAAGCACTTCACTGACTAAGCAACGCATCCCAACTCGAACACCGCTTTCACCGCCCATCGACGGTAGTAACAATTAACATAGCTCAGATGGCTTAGTCGGAGGGAGAGAAGTAAGAAACCTGGAGCACCTACCTAGGACTCCGCCGCGTTATGTGAGAGCTACTATTGAGAGCCATGGTTTTCATGGGGCACACCCTATTAGATTGACGGGCTAAAGGACCTCGGGTTTACGGGCAGGCAGAATATTATGTAGTGAGTGATGGTCAGTCTGGGGTGCTGCAACTTTTGCTTAGTTACTGCATTCATTGTATGGAAATGACTCGCTGTTCAAGATCCGAAAAGCAGCCTCACTTCACCTGATAGACGGAGATGAGCATCGGAAACATCCCAAAATAAATGGCACTGTGCCCCACTGGCTAACCACGGAAGTAGCTAAATAGACTGCGGTACCGAGTTCCATGGTCCACCATCTGCAGCTGTCAGCAATTAGCGCGAATCCATAACCTCATACCCAAAGGATGCAGTTTATGATGGGACTTTGCAGCAGCACTTCCCCAGTAGCTTTACAAATTTCGCATGCCACGCATGGTGAAAACGAAAAGCAAAATTTTTTCTCATAGGACAAAACAGTCATTATTGACCGATGCTCGAATAACAAGCGCATCGAGGATTCTCCAGGTTTCTTAGGTGTCAGTAGTAAGGTGATTGCGTAAATTCTCCTGCGGTACGGGTTATGTTATTTAGCTCGAGTCCATGAAAGACTTGAAAGACATCCACTTGAACACCTCATTCTTTGCAATTGCTCTCAAACTGAATTTTATTTAACGTTTGAAAAATTTCAATCCCTCGAGAAGGGGGCATTGGCCACTTGTAACTTTCAATCTTGAGTGGCGTCCTCGATTGTAGGTAATTAAGTTCTGACTGCACATGTACACCCGTGCTTTAAAGGCAATTGCTTGTTTGGGGAGATATGGCTCTTCCAGGAATGAAATTTCCTCATCTGTCGGCTCAACATTGATGCTTCGACGGCCTGATCAATCCGATCGATGGAGTCCAAGCCTAGAATTGGTGCGGCGCCTTTCTGAGCGAGCACCCATGCTGTAGCCACATGAGCCATGCTGATCCCCTTCTTTTCGGCAACTTGACCGACACGGGAGACGATTTCCTCCGCAGACTTGTCCTCTTGGCTTCTGAAGAGAGCCTTGAGGAAGACATCCTGCTGCTCACGTTTGTCCGAGTGATCCGTCCACGAATGAGCCAACACGCCGGCTGCGAGGGGCGACCACGGAAGGAGGCCTACGCCAGTAGCACGGCAGTAGGGGAACATTTCGCGCTCTTCCTCTCTGTACAACAGGTTATAGAACCCTTGCATAGAGATAAACTTATGCCAGCCATTCTTCTCGACGATATTCTGGAGCATCTGGAATTCCCATGCAGCCATCTGTCTCCCAGTTAGGATCCGTCAACAAATCCTAGATAACATTTCGTGATAAGAAAAGAACTTACAGAACTGGCGCCGATATAGCGAACTTTTCCACTTTCAATCACATCGTTCAATGCTCGCATGATTTCTTCCATAGGAGTCTCCCGGTCAAGACGGTGGATTTGCAAGACGTCGATATAGGTGCCTAGTCATTCCACACTTCGCTTGACTGCATCGAGAATGTGTTTTCGTGAAAGTCCGACTCTATTCACTCTGACGCCGTCGTTGATGCCAAACTCGGCGGCGTTCAAAGGACCTCGCGATTCATCCACTTCGTGAAAGCATTTGGACATGATCACGACCTTGGATCTTGGGATATCGTACTCTTTCAATGCCGATCCGAGGATCTCCTCGGATTTTCCATTGGAATAAGTGTCGGCAACATCCCATGTGTTGATACCCCGGTCATAAGCGTGCTTGATCAGAGGAAGTGCATCGGTTTCTTTAGTGATCCACGGCTGCCAGTTGAGATCACCGTATGTCATACAACCAAGCACAATTTTGTGAGACCTTAACGCCCGAGTTCCCAAGTCTGAGAGGGTTTTCTTGTTAGGTCGAACAACGTGCGCAGAAGGAAGTTGGACTTACCTGATGTACTCCATGACGCTTTGTATGCTAAAAGGCAGAGAATGGGCAGTTTTCAAGTGATCTGTGATGAGGGTAAAGCTTCGATGTAGTGACGCGTCTGTCGATCTTTATACAATGTCGAGCGTCCATTTTGCCACTAGTTACAAAGGAATGTCTGGCAGCGCTAATTGATGACAGGCAAAATTACCTCAGTTGTGCCCATATGATCATGATCCGGCAAGATCGGATTAGCTCTATCTAATCGAACCGTTTCCGGTATTAACTCACGGCCTATCAGTTTCACGCGCACCTGTGATCGACTCGGGAGACTGCAGGCGGGATTTCTCTGGTTCTAGACACCTCTTAGTCCCTTCGCTCAAGTGCAAAGTAGGCTTATTGCTGACGGCCGCATATGATGGACCGTGAATTATTACTATGCAAGAGAAATTCGAGAAGTCGCCCCGTTTGGGAATAAGGTTACACTCACGCTAATTGCTGACAGTTGCGTAAAGTGGACCATGGGTCGCTTGAACGCAATTAATGGAAAAGCGCCATCTACTTCAATACCGGGTAGTCTGATCGTCTATGATATTCCTCGTTGCCCCCTGTGGTTTATATCCGGCTCCTGTACCCGTAGGTTGAGATCTTGGTGCGACTGATCACCAAAGTGCCCCACTCGGTACTCCGGGAACTCGTTTTAGAGGTGGGCCATGGATGCGTCATCTACAATGGCACCGCAGTAGTCCCCGACCCTTATGTCTCGCCTTGTGTTCGGCTTCAGCCAACCATATAAAATATTCATATAGGCTGCCAATAGACTAAGGGGTTCGCCATATTGTCCATCCTTGGGTCGCATAGGCATGGATAGTGAAACTTGCATTGAACATATTTACTAGCTTCATAAATGCTATAAGCTTGATTCTTGCGCAAAGTCAAGGGGCCTGCGTCGAATATATTGGCTCAGAGCTGAGTTGTGCGGGAGCCCGATCTATATGCAAAAAGGTTTACAGCTGCGTTAGGGCAACGCCAGCCTTGTTACATTTCCGAACTCTTGAAGGTTTTAATGGACATGTGCTACCCTCCAGTAGCTTTGCTTGGTCATTGAGGTTGTGCTTCAATCATTACGCTCTCTTTTAGTTGCTGATCAGTATCAGTTGGAACGCATTCCAATATGTACATCTCGTTGCTTACCTTACTCCGCGCCAATGACTAGAATGAGCACGGTCGGCCGCAGAGACCAAATCGTAGACGAAGCCATTCAAGGCAAGAACCTGTGTAACTTAGGCTCGGAAAGCCAAGATTCTTATTTATTGACCAAACTAAACTAAGCGTTTCTCGAAGTAATTCTTCAAATATAGATGGATCCCTAGGGAGGAAAAGTACCCCCGGACCTTTGGCCCCACCGCCCTACTCTGGAACAGGAACATCGAACTTCCCCAGACTCCGAGACTATCGTGATCTCAAACCACGATAATCATCTAGGCATTCCACTCCAGAATGCTCTCCTTTCTCGCCAAAAGAGTCCCTCGAACGACCACTGCTCACCTGAATCCAATAAAATTTGACTCCGGTCTCTCATCAATCGAGTTCAAGCCTCCAACCGACCGCTACCTAGTAATAAATCGCTGGCCACCAGCCTCAAGCGCTAGAACCCAAAACATCGCTCTCAAGCCACCGCTACATTGGCATCGGTTCCAGTCCGAAACATTCCATGTCCTAGAAGGATCAGCGGAATTTACGTGTGATGGAGCGAAAAGTATCAAATCTGCTGGCGAGTCGATGACGATCCCTCCACGCGCGATCCATACGTTCTGTAATGCGAGTTTGACGAAACGATTGGTTGTGGAGTTTGTGCTAGAGCCGAGGGCGGTAGGAGATGAGGCTTTCTTCCGTGAGTCATTTCTTCCTCCAGCCCGGTTTGATGCATGTTTACATTCGTAATGGGATTATAGGGAATGTGCAGTCCTATCGTGATGATTGTCGGAAGGCTGGGGTGGACCGGAGTTTCCCGCAAGTACTTCTGTTTAATTATTTCGGTGGTGTAGTACTTGCTTTGCCTGGGCCCTTAGTCGTCGCTAGACCATTAGGCGTGCTCTTGAATTTCTTCGGCGGTTTGATTCTGGGAAAGTATGTTTTGGGGTACAAAGAGTCGTACCCGGAGTATTACAAGCCACGATCTACTTGAGAGAAAAGCAAATGTCCGAAAGTGAACCAATCTCGAGGGGAGTATCGAGCAAGGCCTGAGAGTATGTATTGAATGCAAAATTGAAAATCAAAGGATATCGGGATATCGGGATATCAGTGCGCCAAAACCAAGATAAACAATTCAAGTGACACAGATCCAGTCTCAGGTTCGCCGCGCTGATGCAAATGAAGAGAAATAAATAGCAAGAAATTTGAGACAATGACGCAAAGCTGATCAAAATGCATCGAGTTCGATGTGGAACAAGTGTTCATCCGGGCTCGGGCATTGAAGAATCGAAAAAAAAATCCATGTAAGAACCGAGAAATAGAAGGTCTATCGTTTATCGGCGACCGTTGAGTCCTTTCAGGACGATACGTCGGCTTGTACCGGCTGAGCCGATGTCACCGAAACTGCGGATTTTTGGGAGAGAATGCACATGGTCATGCGCATCTTGCGCTTCAGGTACACCATTTTCTGGTGCCATGTTCAGTGAAAAGGGTGGGGGATTGACGGAGCTAGAGCGCCGGGTTTGCTGAAGAACATCTTCAACCCAAGCTTCGCCCTCGGGGCTCATCGAAATTTGTCGCGAGCGAGGCTTGGGGCCTGCTAGACCCAGAGGCGTGGCCTGTGAGTCGGAGTGGCCAGAGGTAGTGTTTGCTGGGGAGTGTGCGTGGAGATCTCCGACCGAGTAGCCAGATGACATAGAAAGCCGTCGGTTGCCCACGGCTGCTGTGGGTGGCGAGGTAAAAGAGCTCAAAGCCCCCGTTGTCACCGAGCGAGGAGCCATTGTCGATAAATCAGATGCATTGGAACTTCGTCGGGCTTTACGGACGGTAAGTGAAGAGGGCGGGCGGGCGCTAAGAGCAGAAGGAGGCCGCGAGGGGGTAGCTCGACCGGACTTAATATGGGTGGGCGCCCCGGGCTGGAGCGTATTGCTGGGAGAATAGCCTGGTGACGTGCGAGGTGCGAAGCCTTGAACCTCTACTCGAGGTGTCTCTGCAACCTTGCGGCGGCCGTGGTGGATGACATACTCGCGGAGGTATTCTCCAAGATCAGCCCAGCCACCGCCGACACGGACCATGACTCGCTTGCCCTCTTCACCTACAGTGCGAACAAATAGCCTGGTAGGTGCTGACTGTCCTCCATGATGGAGATGATACAGCTTGACGCAGCTATCCTCGGTCTTGTGAGCGTAGGAAGAGCGCCTCCTGGAAGCGGACATAAGGGTAAGACCCGGAGCAGGTGTCATACTGCGAGATGATGGTCCATGTGGAGACTCTGACAGACACCGCTCTCGCATCTTTCGGTCCATGGAAGAGGACGAGGAAGATGTATCTGCCTCGTTGTTGGGATCCACAAGGTGGATACGACCAGGAATAGTGTTTAGGATGGAGTTGATCTTTTCGTCAAGACGATCCCTCGGTTTTCCAGAGAGCCTATTTGGCGATGAGGCACGAGAGCCAATATCCGTCATCTCCGAATCGTCTTCCTCGACGTATGACAGTTCGTGCTTTCTCACACCGAGGCTCTCCAGACTGGGATGAGCAGTCAAACGCTTGAGTAGTCGAGCAGATTTTGGCTGCTCTTGATGCTGTACGGCTCTTTGGGCGGTATTCTGGCCATACGGTTTCAAATCGGGGGTGATAGTCCTTGCCTTTTGTGTACTAGCCTTTAAATCAGACGCTGATCGACCCCGGCTGAGAGCGGGACGACGACCGGAGGAACGAAGAGGCACTTGGGTTCTTGGCGTAGACGGCCCGTTGGGAGGAAATTTGGCAGAAACTGGGTCCTTAGCGGTCGACTCAAGCTGGACCATGTCTGGCGCCTCTCCAGTCACCAACTCGAAAGCGAGTTCCTCGTTGATGAAGCGCTCCAGAGGAAGGCTGACGGAACGGTTTGGCTGAAATGAGGAGTGAGAAGAGCTTTTTCGATTCTCCAGGTGAAGGAGGCGATCCTTCCGCAATAAACGAGCACCATGTGACTTAGTGGTCTGGGATGTCGGGAAATCAGGGCGAGAAGGGGTCAAGTGGTCTCCCGACGACCCAGTTTGAGGCTCAGGGGCATCGGTGCTGGAGGTCAAAGAGGAGTTGTCGGAGAGCAGAGAGCCCACAGACCCGGTAGAGGGTCGACGAGGACGCGGTATTTGAGATTTCTTGTCGAGATGGAGTTTTCCTGGCCGGATCTTTCCAAGCTTGATGGGGCTTTGTAGCGGCTTCCGGGCAGAGCTTGGTTGCTGTGACGTACTCTTCCCTGTTGGTTGAGACTTGACATTGACAGGCTCTCTATCGGAGGTGGCAGGCTTTAAATTTTCCGACTGAATGAACTGATGCTGCGCAAAAAGCCCAGGGTTCTTGCAAGCCTCAACAGGCAGCGTCCTTGGTTCCGACGCAATCATCTCCTTCGGAGCATGGAATGACACTTGATATTCGGGCTTCTCGCTGACCAGCTTGGCCATCGAGTCAGTTGAGCAAGCTGAAGAATTCTTGGCGTGTGATGGATCTGGTGAATAGAGTACATCGAGGGCATTCATATCCCCTTCAAGCTCTTCATCGCGGCTATCGGAGGCTCCATCATAGCTGGTAGGATGATATTTTGTCTTGGGGCTAGATTTGGGGAACTCAATTGGGTTGACGTTCACCTCAATAGTACCGGAGGAAGTAGGCCTTTGAACGAAGGGGTCTTCATCAACATCGTGCTCTTTTAAAGCGACGGCTTTGGACACCCCTCGAGCTGGGGATGATGAAGCCGGTGGTTCCACGAGTTCAGGAGGGATGTTTTCTTTGTCCTTGATGTCTGGTGTTCCTGGCAGTGGTATCCGAGATGGCGATAGCTGTGGAGTTCCCATTGAAGGGATAATGGAAGTTCTGGCGAAGAAGCTGGCCTGTGTTGGTGTTTCCAGATCTTCGGCAATAACGACATTAGATCGACTTGCAGATCCTTGTTCGGCGTCATTCACGCCTGATTTCTCGAAGGCTCTAGGAACATTTGAAATGATTTGCAGTCTAGACAGGGTAGGTAGAGTTTGGTCCCCCATCGAACTTGGTGTAGAATCCTTGACGTTTGGTTGACGCTGCTCGGCATTTGAGACCGCAGGTGCCCCCACTTCAGGCTGAGGTTCTTCTTCAATAGTCTCCGTGTAGGCAGGCTGTTGAATGCATGAAGTTTCTGTCACAGTCCCAGCTTGAGCTAAGTCCAGCATCGACTCTTGCGAGGTCTGCTCCAGCTGAGCCTTACTTGCCTCGCAAGCCGCAGCCGCAGCAGCAGCTTTGGCTTCTTCTTTCGCACGTAACCAATCCGCACGAAGCTGATATTTCTCCGCTTCGACTACCCACTCCGCAAAATCCGACTCAACTTTCTCCAAATCGTCAATCCAACTCTCAGGCAAAGAATCCTGGCGGCCTTCCAACACATCCAAGACACGGTCCATCCGCCTGCCTACAGAAACAACCGCAGACTCGAGTTTGACATGTTCTTCGCGTAGACAAGACCTGGAAAAAAGATGGTCGCTGGGTTTGGGGGAACTGGAGATGCGCAATGCGTCAAAAGAGGAGTCGAGAGCTGATCGAATGATTTTGAGTTCTCGTAGAAGGCCCGGGACCTGGCGCAGAACAAGAAGTCGAACGTCCCAGGTGCTGAGGAGAGCGCTCAACCTTGACAAAAACGGAAGTGCACGGAGAATTGTAGCGGTGACGACGGCTGTGAAGTCGCTTAGCTGTACATAGCTGAGCGGCGGTGGCACAGACACAGTGCTAGTGGAGGAGGAAGGGCGAGACCGGGATGGAATGTGGGCATTGAGAACGTGTTCCTTCAATTCCTCCACATTTAAATTGTCCATTCCATCGCGTATCTCCTCAATCCTTTTTTCATATTTCTCGACCACATCCGCTGGCAGACTCCCATAGTACTCGACCTCACCGCTACCAGGGGGCAGCAGTAAGCTCGGGACGGAAGCTGCACCCGCGACGTACGGTTGTGTCGGCGGGACGAATCCCTTTCCATCTTTCGCTTCGTTGTGTGTCGGCCATGTCCACGACTGGACCTCCTTATACCAAATTTTCAAGTCCTGGGCAGCTATGGCAGCACGAATGCCCAATGCCCGTTCGGCGGGTGAGACCTGGGAGATACTCTGTGATAGGCTGTCAAGGGAGAACGATTCACTCGAGGGGATGGCTTCGGTTGAGGTAAGGGCTTGCAATGTTGACTCGGGAGAGAGGTTGCTGAGCAGAGGGTCGATTTTGGAGTATGATGAACCCGGGTTTCGTTCAGGGGAAGTCGAGCGGGAGTTATCGCGGGAGTGCACGGGAGAGAGGCGAATCGAGGGACGAAAAGGGCTTTTTCGACTGGTAGCCATGCCGACTGATAGTCGTGGTCCAAGTCAAGCTTCACGGAGACACAGAGAGAGCTTGGGATGGTTCGCAGTGGCACATGAATTGCGGAGGTCGGAACGGGGCTGCAGGCGGACGGTAGCACTGTCGAGCCTGCATGCTGAGACGCCTTCCAACCGATTTCTCAGTTTTCAGGAGCCAATGCTGTGACCAAGGGATCTGGCTCTCCTAAATGAAGCTCAACGCGTGAAAACACGAGGTGGGCGGCAAGTGAGACAGGTGAGAATTCGAGGATGGGGAGGTTGGACGAGTCGTTCGATAACGAGGAAGTTGAAGAAAAATAAAAGAAGAAAAAAAAACCCTCCAAGCTCCTAGCTCCGTGGCGATTAACCGGGGAATAAAAATAAATGCTGATCGAGGTTCATTACAGGTGGAGTCAAAAGGGGGCACGGTTAAAGTGGACCATTTGCTTCCGCCGATCCGCGACGCTATTTGTTTTTGGAGGTCTGGGAGATGTCGACAATTATTACCATTTTGCCCTTGATTAGTTTTTTTTTGAATAGTCTTCAAATATATACCAATACAGGGATAGCTAGTTTGGGACTCATTCTTGCGAGCTGTCGTTTGGGTAAAGCGGGCCTATTCACTACATCCGAAACACGCACGGTGTACCCGTAGGTAATGGCTCTACCGCGAGGACTTGACAGCGTCAGTGCACGGAATAGCAGCCTTCTCGTCTCGGAGGTTAGTCTCGAGCTCGAAAGAGGCTCCCACAACATGGTGGTCAAGCTCCAGGATTGTCATACTACCGTCACAATGGCGTCCTCGGGGCAAATCTACACATTTCAAGGCATCTGCAAAACGTTCCACATCGCAAGATCCACCGAATCCTGTCAATTAGCACCTCATAGTCAGCATTCTCCAAAGAATCATGTCGAGTTTCCCAAACCGCCCCGAAATGCTGGAAGGGGTTGCAGATCATATCGCCTGCGACCTGAAGGAATATGAGGACTGGTTTACGCTCGAACCACCCAAGCTGAAGGAGATCACCCATCATTTCATTAAGGAGCTCGAAAAGGGGCTTACGGTAGAGGGTGGTAATATCGTACGTCGGAGTCCAAGGACCCCCAAGGAAGATGTTAGTAACGCAAAATGGCCAAGCCGATGAACATCACTTGGGTTATGGGCTATCCCACCGGTAACGAAAAGGGAAGATTTCTGACAATAGATATGGGCGGCACTAATCTCCGCGTCTGCGCTGTCCACTTGTCATCAACGAAGAGAGACTCTGATGTATTTCAAAAGAAGTACCAACTACCAGAAGAAATCAAAACAGGCACGGCCGATGAGCTGTGGAGTTGGGTTGCGGATCGTGTGCAGGACTTTCTCAATGATCACGACAGCGGTGGCCAGAAGAACCAAAAGTTACCCTTGGCCTTCACATTCTCCTTCCCAGTGGACCAGAGGTCCATTTCAACTGGGGTCCTCCAGCAATGGACGAAGAGCTTCAGTGTGTCCGGTGCGGAGGGCGAGGATGTAGTGGCACAATTGAAAGCTGCGGTTGATAGAAAGGTATATGTTCTGAATGATAGAGGAAAGCTCCACAACTCATTCATCCAGAAAGTTCCAGTCGAGATCGTCGCCCTGATCAACGACACGACCGGCACACTCATCGCCTCGCACTACGGTGATCCGCAAGTCAAAGTCGGCTGCGTTTTCAGTACCGGATGCAACGCAGCATACATGGAAGAATGTCGACTGATCCCCAAGTTGAAGCATCTGAACCTTCCCAAAGACGCGCAGGTAATCATCAACACCGAATACGGTGCATTCGACAACGATTCCGTTGTATTACCCTTGACTCCATGGGACCACCAACTCGATCGCGAGTCCTTACGACCCGGAACCCAGCGCTATGAGAAAATGGTCGCAGGTCTTTACGTCGGAGAAATGCTACGACTGATCATGGTCAACTTGCACGAGGAAAATAGGCTCTTCAAAGGCCAAGACATCACGCGTCTGCGATGCGAAAACGCACTTGATGCTACATTTCTATCCATCGCCGAGCTGGATCTTTCAGAGGATCTGGAAGACATGAGAGATGAGTTCGAGAGTAGTCTAAGTTTGAGCCCCCTGCTGATAGAGCTTAAAGTTTGTCGGTACCTCATCGGTCTGATCGCGACACGCGCAGCGCGTCTGTACGCGTGCGGGATCGCGGCAATTTGCAAGAAGAAGGGCATCAAGAAATGTCATGTCGGCGTGGATGGCTCGGTCTTCAACAAGTATAGCGGGTTTAAGCAGCGAGCTGCGCAGGGGCTGCGGGACATCTTCGACTGGCCATCTCGCGAGCTGGACCTAATTGTGTTGAATCCCTCGGAGGATGGGTCAAGTGTGGGAGCTGCTCTAGCGGCAGCTCTGGTTCTTGATAGAGATATGAAGGGGCACCTAAGCAAGAAAAAGGACGATTGATGGCAGAACGTGAAAGATATATAAAAAGTGTAGATGAAGAGTTGAGGCTCGGACGTGTCGGCGATAGACTAGAGCGATAAGAAATTGATAACCGGATTCTCCACCATCAACACCCATCTCTTCTCCAACATCCCACCCGTAGTCAAAATGCGCTTTCGCACTCATTTAAAGAATACGAGAACCTTCTCCAGTGAGTGAAGTCTCCGCACATTTTCAGTAGATTCTAACAAATCCAGAATTGACCGCTTCCCTCTCGTTCCCTGGGCAAGGTATGCTGGATGCGCCTAGAGTACGATGTGGTCCGCTTCACCATCATCCCAGATCAAGGCACACAAGTCTGGGCTCAAATTCCAGTTGTAAGTGTGAAAAGTCTCATTCTGACCCTTAAGACGACAAAGAAAAAAGAACGGACTGACACGAACCAAAGAGCACAATTTTCGACGAAGAATCATACCAATTAGAATCCAACTCTGACGCAATTAACATCGAAATCAACGTCGCCGTCCTGAACCGGGCCTTGCGCTCCACATTTGGCGCATCATCATCTCAACTCCGCCTAACTAAGAAAGACAAAATGCCTCTTCTGGCACTCACCGTTCTCACCACGGAATGGACTGAGGGTAACATGGCCCTCGCCACAGACGAGGAGCAGCCCGGTCAAAGTGATGTCGTTGGTGACCGGCGCGCACGTGAACGTGAGACTTGGATCACGCAGGAGATTCCCATCAAGATCCTGCACGAGTCAGCCGTGGAAGGTCTACATGAACCGCACTGTCCAGACCCGGACGTGCATATTATCCTGCCTGGATTGGCGCAGTTGAAGAGTATCTCAGATCGATTTACGAAACTTGCATCTACGGAAAAGGGTCGACAGGCTGGAGAGGTCGCCAATAATGCGCCGAGTGCGTCGGCTGTGGCTGGGGCCGGGGCTACAGCGTTATCGACCAACTCGGCGCCGAAGCTGGAGTTGTCGGCGAATATGCATGGGAAACTGAGGCTAGCGATTGCGACGGATGATTTGCGGATTGCGAGTGTGTGGTCGGGTTTAGTGAATCCGCCGCTTGATCCGGCTCACATTAATCAAGAGCAATATTCGCAGTTACCGAGTGAGAGAATGCGGGGAGTTGGGGATGATGATGAGTCTGGGTGGGCTAAAGTGCGGATTGATGGAAAGGATTGGAGTCGGGTCTTGAGTGTAGGGAGGCTCAGTCCCAAGGTTGTTGCGTGTGGGTTTTAGATTCGGGACCTCCGTTCAAGAGTGTGCTGCTTTACTGACAAGTCATTGATATTAGGTTTCATTAACGAGATGGCTCTTGTTCTCTACGTCTATCTCCCGGGCAGCTGGAATGGCGAAGAGTCATGCCTCACCGTAAGTTGATATGGACCCACGATGGCCGGATTTATTCACGCTAACCATATGCAGTACTACATTAATTCCTTCACAGCTTGATACCCCTTGCAGCTCTATCTTGCAATATTCTACGGCTAATATCCGGACCAAGGAATCAACAATGCAAATCGGTCCGAACAATTATTCTTCTCATCCTTTTGACTTCTTCACAAATATTGCTCGGGATTTTTTCCCCAAGGACTCATCAATAAACCGAATGGACAAGTCATATTCCAACATCGACCCATTACCATTATCTTATAAGACGAATGTACGTTGAGAATATGATCAGTCATGTAATGGAAGACAGACCCGCGGTCATGATTATCAGAAATCATTATTAAGACAAGCGCACGACCAGAGCCAATGCGGAAAGAAAGAGAACATCAGATACAGCGTGCAACGCGAAACTCAGAAAGCCACAGTGTATGCCTGCAAGGCAGATGGGGGATGATATACATGATGCAAGGAGAATCGTCTCCCTCGCTTCGCAGACGAAACGAGTCGCAACAAAGAACAGCAAGAAGCTAGCTATGTGCAAGGCTTCACGATGATGAGCTCAGTGCGAAAACGCCGGAAATGGGGTGTCTTGCGAAAGGCCGGACACATGCAAAATGCTGGGGAGGGGATCTATTATAGGGGGTGAGGATTCATAGTGTGAGAAACAAGCAGCATATCAGACATGAAACAAAAGAAATTCGTCTCAACTAGTCAAAGTGACCTTGTTGGGACTCCAATACTGGCTTGTAGAACAGCAATGCTGTTTATTTTGCCATAACATCAATGTAACGGCCCTTCTTCTTGCCGCGGACATTGTTACCCTTCCGTGCCATGGGGGCGCCGAGAAGGTCGTCAATAGACTGTGCGTGGCTCAATGAAGATGTAGGCCGGGGCGGACCAGGGGCGGACGACGCACCAGGCGGCACGGGAACCGTCGCGCCAGTGGAGACAGATCGGGGCAAATTGCCCAGAATTGGCGGCGGGACACCAAGATTGGAAAACGCGGGGCTTGATGATAAAGACGGTGGCATGTCACTGGAGGAGGATTGAGGACGGCTGCCCGAAGCGGACATCGGGGGTCCAGGAGGAGGAGGAGGAGGCATGCTACCAGAGCTGGTGCGACTGGGAGGAGCTGAGCCACGAGGGGGAGGAGGCGTCGCACGAACAGCTTTGGCACTGCCAGGGTCCTTTTTGTTGACCCATTTCTTCAATTCCTTATCGTAATAGAATGAATTCTCCTCGCCAAGCTTGGCCCTGATAGGGCCACCGCCAGTGTGCTCTGCTTCCTTCTTGGCACCTCCGAACCAACCACCGAACCATCCCTTCTTCTGCTGCTGGGCGTCTTTCTTGGCTGAACAGCGTGTTAGCATAAGATCTTTGACTATAAGAGGTTCAAGTGACCTACCATCTTCCTCAGCGGCCTTTCGGAACGCCTCATCAGCCTTGCGGTCGTTCTCTGCCTTCTTAAGGGCAGCGGATCGTGCAGCCAAATCGTCATCGTCATCGTCCATGAATGATTTCTTCTTGGGCGGCGCTTCCTCTTTCGTGTATTGCTCTGGCTCTTCCGTGGGTGGGAAATCCGGGGTATACGATGGTGGGTCATAAGCATTGCCAGTCGTAGCCGGAGGCGTGTAGGAACTCTCAAACTGCGCCTTAGCAGGGCTGTCCGATTGCGGCATATCGGGCGGCCCCTGGTAATAGGGCGACTGGTCTGTCTGCGACACATCCTGTCCGGAGGGCTGGTAGAAGAGGCCGTTCACTGGAGGCTGCATCGACGTGAGTGCGTCAGCCGGCGACTGACCGTGGAGAGACGCATCCTCTTCAACCGGTGCAAGAGGGATATAAGACGCCTGAGGCGGAGTGGGTTGGTACCCAGTACTACCAGGCGAGCCATAGATGGGGCCGCCCTGGAACGATTGGAAGTCAACTGGGGGGGATGGGTAATCTGTCGAGCTTCGACGCAGTCCGACCGGCATCCCGCCATACGAAGCAGATCTCTGGGAATCGAGTGATGATCGGCCACGGAATTGTTCTGGCGACGCGTTGGGAGCATATTGGGTTGAAGGCAAGTAACGCGAAGCACCACCGGGAGGAACCGACTGCGCCCCATGTCCGGGATAAGAGCCGTACAGTTCAGACACGGAAGGAGAGCGGCTAACAGTCGGTGTTCCTGCCACGTTGGCGAAGGGGCCGAATTCTGCAGTTTCCCCCGACTTTGGTGCACCGGCGGATGCAGGGTCAGCGTCGTCGCCGGCGACAAAGCTGTTGAATCGAGCCCACATAGATCCAGACACCTTCTCCATGCTCGGCTTGGAGATCCACGAAGAACCGCCATCAGTGGTTGTTTGACGAAGACGCGCAGAAAGTTCATCGGCTTCAGTGAATAGAAGCTGGTGGTGGTAGGGGGAAGGGCGAGTGGTTGCTTTTAGAGATGCCCCCACGGCATCGCAGTAGTTCTGCGCCTCAGATATGCGGCCCCGATCGGCCAGCTGACGGGCGTGCAGGAGCTTGAAGGCCAACAAGTAAGGCAGATTCGCCACGGGGGAGTTGCCCAAGATAGAAGTGGCATATTCATAAACCTCAGTCAGGAGGAAAGCGTCTTCGCTGAGCAGACCGGAGTGGAACTGTTGGTGGTCAACGCCAAGGAGGACGATGTTGGCCTGGGGATCATCAGCACCACCGAAGACAGCAGCCCGGGAGAAGATAAAGCAGATATGTGCAGCCTCGGTGCGCCCATATGATGCCAAAAGGCGACCAAGAGCCAGCAATGCGTGCTGATCCTCAGAGGAACGGTTGCTCAACACCAAGCCAAGTGTATCTTTCCAACAGTTCAACCCGTCAAGTGCATTTTTCGTCGTTCCCTGACCATCGGCCTTGCTAATCAACCGATGACCGGCCCTCGCAGACGGAGGAACGAGTTCGTCAATGCTCTCCTCGATATTGCCGGCGAAAATCTCGTAAAGTGCTGCCAGTGACTCGGTGTTGCCCCCCGAGGACCTAACCTCACGTCTGACAAACTCTTGGACGACCTGCTTCCAGATAGACTTATCCATTGTGGATGCAACAATCATCGCATGTCCCCAAAGACGACGGTCGACTGCTGCCCAAACTGCCTCTTCTCTATTTCCTTGCAGTAAACTGTTTCGTAATTTTTCAACCGATTCAGAGTCAACGGCATCAGGACGAGAGGGACATTGAAGGGAACGCCAGATGTAGGAAAGCCACTCGCATGAAAACCATCACTTGTAGCTTCCGAAAGATGCGGGAAAATAGCCTGGCGGAGAGAGTTTTCAATCGCAGGTGAACCTTCCAATGTGCCATCGTTCTCAACCAGAATCTTCATGACCTTCCAAAGTAGTATCCTTTCTTCGTGGCGCCTTTGTGATTCCGGGTGAGAGAGATCAAAGTCGGGAGTAGGTTCATTCTCCAATGCGACGATCTTGCCTGACAGCCAGGACACAAGATCCTTCTTTTTAGACTTAGCCCTGAGAGGCCCAGGGTGCTGAACGATGGTTTCCGCTGCAGGTAGCCATTGGTTGAGTGGGGCGGTCTTGATTTCGCCCGGACTTGGCATCAGCATAGGAGCTGTCTGACCGGCAGAATAACGAGGAATATGCTTGGGGAAGCATGACAGCACAGCTCCCCCAAAGCCAAACTTGAAGATGGGAGCACCTTTCCACCGCTCAAGGACATCATGTTCTTGGCCATCAGTAGGGGTGACGAAGCCGAGACCACGCTGAGAAAGTGCCCGAGCACGACTTTGCACGGAAGGTTGGGACGGCGCATATGGGTTCGGGGTTTTGGTGGGTGAGCTCGAACCATGGACTGAAGCCGGACGCGGAATGGTGGAAATCGGAGGGACAGACGCCCGGGGGCTTATCATGTGCTGGCCTGGAGACTGGGTCTGGGATCGAAGGGGAGGCATCTGCGGATCGGCAGCTTGGGGAGGTCCTGGAGCAGGCATTTGCGGGGCTGGTGGAGCATAAGCCATACTCGGTGTTACACGCTTCGCGAACTCATTGATATAATCCTGAGGGGCATAACGATTCCCGGCAGGTGGAGGAGTCTGTCGCTGAGCAGCAGGTGGGCCGACTGGTTGCCCCATAGCATCGTGTGGGCCAGTTGCATCTTGAGGGGCAAAAGAAGATCCCTGGTCGATGCTCGCTCGTTGAAATCGAGGTGGAGAAAGATCGACAGATGGTTGCAACGAGGGTAGTTGATGTTGCCGAGAATCTTCAGGTTGATAAGAGACCTTTTCGTGGTATGCAAGAGGGCTCGATGTCCGAGGCTGGAATGGCAAGTTTTGGCCAGGGACGGACAAAGGCTGCGAGGCATAGCGATTACGGGGAGAGAGGCCTGCCGGGGGTGGCGCAGGCGAGTATCGCGGTGACTGAGAGGGCTTTGCGGGAGCTTGCGCATCCGGCGGCTGCGGAGAATACCTAGATGCAGCGGGAGGCCCAGCGGGTACACTCGTCGCCAACATAGATCCGTATGGTTCCAGCCGCTCAGGCGGCTGTAGGGGAGACTGTACCGGAATTCCATTGCTTGGTAAAGGCGGAGCTGCCACAGAAGCCAACCCAGGCCCTGGAGCGGGAGCAGGACCAGAAACAGCCGCGTATGGATTTTGGGGCGGAGGCATATGGGAAGAGGTGGGCCCTGCCGCACTTGGATTAGGAGTGTATCGTCCGGAGCCAGCGGGTCGAGACTTGGGCGCTGGTAAAGGGAGTTCCTCGTAAAAGTTCTTCGGGGCGGACTGCGCAGCTGGTGCAGTCGCGGCGGCGGCTTGAACAGTATTTGCCGGAGGAGCCACAGTTGATGAAGCGGGCGGTGGCATCAGAGCTACCGGTTGGGGAGCCGGCTTCGAGGTTGCTAGAGGTCGCCGAGGTCGGGATAGATCATCTGGCAGATCATAAGGAGATTTATACCCCTGCTTTGAGGCCTCAGCAAAGCTCTCCCCCCTGCTAGCCACAGGATTTTGCGGCTGCTGAGAGAAATAAGGCGGAATGGCTGGATTGGCCGATTGAGCAACTCCTGGCATGTAGACCCCAGCCATCAAATCCGCGGTAGATGGTTGATGTGGTGTGTATACGCTAGGCGCTGCCCTAGCCGGACCATAGCTCTGTGGGGTCTCAAATGGGCTGTTCAAGCCACCCAAAGGAGCATTAGGCGCGGATTGCATGGGGTTCTGGACAATAGGCTGCGCTGGAGTAGATTCATCTCCAAGCAGTATATCATCATCATCAAGCGCAGCCTCCCATTGTGCCGCGAGATCCTCCTCCCCGACGTCACTAAGTTCTGCCTCCCATCGAGCGGCCAGTTCCTCTTCTGTAGGTTCTGGAGCTTCTTGTTGAGCTTGGAAGGACTGAGAAGCTTGTGGCTCCTCAATTGCTTGTGGGGTCTTTGAGCTAGAAGCCGCGGACTTCAAAACTTCCTCAAGCTGAGCAGCTGCAGAGATATCGCTTGACGGGGAGTCAACATCGAAGCCCATCGATTCCACGACTTGGGAGGTACTCTTGCGAGTAATGTGACGAATTGGGAGTTCCTTGCTTGCATGGGAGTTTTGAATGGAAGTGAAGAAATCGGCTCCATCATCTCCATCGCCGAAGGGATTCTCGACAGTCTTCCTCTGAGGTATAGCCAGAGGGGGAGAAGTTGGGTATGTATCATCCAACAACGGAACGCCTTCCTCAAATCGCGACTCTGACTCTGGTGATGCGAAGATAGGCTTGGTTTGAGTTTTGAGTTGGTTAAAGAATTCATCTCCATCCGAATCCACATCGGCGGCTGGCTCATTGTCCCACAGATCGTTTCCGTCAGTCTTGCCCTCCACGGGCGGAGTATTGAACTCGGTTTGCTCTGTGAAATCTTTTTGAACGACATGTTTAACTCGAGACTCCTGGTCATCAACCCTAACGCTCAAATCTGCCCGCGCGGCTTTGAGCGGGCCGACCTTATCGGGCAAAATCTGGAACACAGGAGTCCCCAAGCGGGTCTCCTGTGGTGGAATATGTGCTACATGCTCTTCAGGAGCGGCCTGCGTGGGTTCAACAAAAGGCTCCAAGGGAATCGATTGTTCGCGAGCCTCGATGCCCGCCGGTTCTTGAAAGACGCTTTCCTGAAGATTTACGAGGTCCGCGGATTCACGTTGAGGGTTCTGCTTCTCAGCAGTGTCGGGCTGTGGCGGGGTGGGCTCGACGGCCCGGGGATCGTGACCTGCCGCTTCCTGTTCAGCTTCCTCAATGACAGGGTCGTTTAGATCATTCTGAAGCGTCATATCCACGGAAGGGGCCTTGAGCTCGGTTACTTCGGAATGTGTCGGGGTTGAATCGATGGCCCAAGGATCTTGCGCGGCCGTTGGCTGCAGATGCTCTCCGATTGCATTTTCTGTGGTAATATTCTGGCCAGCGGACTCGAATGCAACGGTTGGTTCCACTCTGACTTCAAGCTGTTTTGAGGTTGTCTCTGACTCCAAAGGGCCATTTGTCACAATCGGCTGAACAGCATCGTCGATAGCAGATCCTTCGAAATTCTCCTTTTGCTCAGGGTCAATGGGCAAAGACTCTGACTCCACCTCTGACGCTTGCTCCTTATGCGCAGGAGCAGATTCGATGCCTAACTGCTCGTGGGTTTCAGACTGCGCCGTTTCTTCAATGTCCGATTTTACAAGGTTGAGTTCGGACTCGATCGGCAAGTTCTGTGGCTTGGAAGATGAAGTGTCCTCAGCAGGCATGGGAGGGGCTGGGATATTTTCCGCTACTGGAGGCGCCTCTACCTCAGGTAGAACAAATTGCTGTGCGATCAACTCCTTAGAATCGTCCGGTTCCTCGCCTCGCAGGGGAGCATTCTCCTGCTGCTTGTGGATCTGAGGTTGGGGTGAAACCTCTGCTGATATAGCTGGGCCAGAAGGCTCATGAGCGGTCTCGGTGTATGTCACGGATGCTTCCACGGGTCTTGCGAGAGGCTGAGCTGGTTGCGTATGTGCTGACTCGGTACCATTGATCAGCTCCCCATCTGGAGTCTCCGGCTTTTCAACGTATAAAGGCATTTCCACTGAAGCTGGTCTTGTCGTGGTTTCCGGCTTCTGTGAATCATGTATGGCAGCGTCCAAAGAGGTCGGCACGTTGTCGCGGAGCGCGTTTGTCGTTGTCGGTGCATCCTGGGGAGAAAAGGCAACTGCATCTTGATGCAGTTCCCATGCAGGAAAATTCTCCTCGCTGACAGGTGACTTCATAGTTGTTGCAAGGGTTTCTTTGGTATCGTCGGCGGTCGTCAGGAGATCCAACAAGTCGCCTCCCGTGAAAGTCACCGTGGCGGTGGTAGATGAATCATCTGGTTGAGACGGTATGTTCCATGCATCAATATCATCGGCTGTGGGTTCTTGGGCCATGGCGAACGTGTGGCCCTCGGGTATCGAGGCGACTCGGAGTTTCGGAGGTCAACCTGACACGTCTCCAGTGACCATGAACAACAATCTTAATAAACAAATCTCACGACCGGGATAAATTCAGCAATCCATTAAAAAGAGTAGTGAACAAGGGAAACAACACGAGTTAGAGAAAATAATCAATCATGAGCAGCATCCAGTCACCAGAGGCAAAAAAAGAAGTGGTTTACCTTGAATCGCGAATAGGTTGACTTGGCCTGATTCGTGATGACATCAAGGACAAACATTCTTCCGGTTGGATCATTGTTAGTCATCGGTGCATGCTGAGATAATAATGTAGCTTGTGCACGGGGTACGTCAGGTGATTACGCATCACAGGCGGTAGGCAGTCACTACTCGTCCTGATAACAGTTGGACCTTTAGACTTGCGCTTGAAGATACCAGCTGCAAAACCGATCTCTGCTTCGGCTAAATCTACACAATCTCACTTCCTACGCAATTTTCATAATCGTTTTCCCGATGCTTGCCCTGATCGTCAATTTCACTTGATGTTATCTGACATGATCCTTTACTTGCTGATACGGCTGGAAAGCACCGTGTTGCCTCGCAGCTCATGATCAGGCAATTGTGGAAAGCTGAAAACATCATCTACCATGCCTGACTCACCCGAATACACACATCCTCCACACCAGGCTGAAGAACCCGACTTTTCTGACTCCGACGACGACTTGGACCTCGAGGAGCTTGATCCTAGCAACAACCCGTCGCAAAAATCCCGGATCTCCCGAGACTACACAGGCCGGTCACGAAACTATGGACCAGGTATCGCGCTCAGAAATCTACGCGTTGGGGTGGGAAGTCGTTGGAAACGAAGTGCATCTGGGCGTACAGAACGAGAAGAAGACACGGACGCATTACTCCAGGGCGGAGGTGAAGATGAGTTACGGCGGTCACACGCCAGCTCCCATAATTTGACTGACGACGACGCACCCCTTCTCGACCGTCGCGGCTCGACACGCTTATTCAACGACGATGAGCCTTCCAACAATGGTGGCCGGTTCCGCTTGCCCAGTCTTAAAGGTCCGAGCTTTCTACACAGTATCACCAATCGTCTGCGCTCAAAACCCGATGATCCATCGAAAAAACCTCCCCGAGAGGTCTTTGTCGGACAATACCAAGCAACCAGATATCCAGCCAATGTGGTTTCGAACGCAAAATATACCCCTTGGAGCTTCCTCCCACGCACCTTGTACAACGAGTTCTCGTTCTTCTTCAACATATACTTTCTCCTCGTTGCCCTTTCACAAATCATTCCCATTTTACGCATTGGATATATGTCTTCATACATTGCGCCGCTGGCTTTCGTTGTCTCAATTTCCTTGGGCAAAGAGGCTCTCGACGATATTGTGCGTCGGCGACGAGATGCTGAAGCCAACGCTGAACCATTTACTGTGGTGTCTTTAGAGGGATCCAACGTGTTAGAGATGAACAAGAAGTCCCGTGATTTGAAAGTTGGAGACGTACTTAAGGTTCGGAAGAATCAGCGTTTGCCCGCCGATGTGGTAATACTTCAGAGTCTTTCCAATGATTCGGGCTCGAGCCGACAGAACTCAATTGAAGAGGAAGCCCCTGCGCAGGTGACAGATCTCCTCGAGACAGGCCAGGGGCCGTCGGAACTTGCCGCCGGCTTCGACACGAGTCCCGAGCCGGCGAATGTTGCTGTATCATCCGCTAGTGATACCTTCATTCGGACCGATCAACTGGATGGTGAGACTGACTGGAAACTTCGGCTTCCCTCTGCATTATCACAAGCTCTTTCTCTGGCCGATTTTGCACGACTTAAGATCACTGCAAGCCCTCCAGACAAACGGGTAAATGAATTTATGGGCACAATCGAGCTAGCTCCTCCCGCAGGCTTCTATGATGATCATGTTGATAAGAACACTCCCCAGGCACAAAAGCTTGCGTCCCAGGGAAGTGACAGCGAAATTAATTCAGCGCCACTGACCATCGATAACACCGCCTGGGCCAATACTGTTCTTGCGTCCAGCACCATCACATACGCCGCTATCATCTACACTGGCTCACAAACTCGAGCCGCCCTTTCGACTTCTCCGTCTCGATCCAAAGTGGGCTTGTTGGAGTATGAGATCAACAATCTTACTAAAATCCTGTGCATTCTGTGCATTCTGATGTCAGTTGTGCTTGTGGCTTTGGAAGGTTTCGAACCGACGAACAATAAGAAGTGGTACGTCGCGATGATGATTTATCTCATTCTGTTCTCCACAATCATTCCGATGAGTCTTCGAGTCAATCTCGACATGGCCAAGTCTGTCTACGGCCGATTCATCCAACGGGACAAAGACATTCCAGGGACTGTGGTTCGAACGAGTACTATTCCCGAAGATCTGGGCAGAATTGAATATCTTCTTTCCGACAAAACAGGGACTTTGACTCAAAATGAGATGGAACTCAAGAAGATTCATGTTGGCACAGTTTCATATGCGAACGAAGCAATGGATGAAGTCGCATCGTTCATTCGCCAAGGCTTTGCTGCCAACGCCTTGACGACTCCATCGACTGTATTTGGAACCCAGGCAGGTCAAGGTGCAGCCCCGCGAACCCGGCGAGAGATTGGTTCTCGTGTCCGAGACATCATCCTGGCCCTTGGTCTATGCCATAATGTTACGCCGACTACCGAGGAGGAGGACGGACAAAAAGTCACAGCCTACCAAGCATCCTCTCCCGATGAGATTGCTATCGTTCGATACACTGAAGAAGTTGGGTTGAAGCTCTCGTATCGTGATCGTCAGAATGTGGTGCTTGAATCCACAGACTCCAAACAGGTTGTTGTTCGTGTTCGCATCCTCGATATTTTTCCAGTCACTTCCGACAGCAAGCGAATGGGTATCATTGTCCAGTTCCAGCAGGATGAGAGTGCTCTTGGCCTTGACAGTAAGCAAGAGCCTGAGATATGGTTCTATCAAAAGGGTGCCGATACTGTCATGTCATCTATTGTCGCGGCAAATGATTGGCTTGATGAAGAGACTGCAAACATGGCGCGTGAAGGTCTGCGTACTTTGGTGGTTGGTCGCAAGCGACTCTCTCTCTCTCAGTACCAGGACTTTTCCTCCATGTATAAAAAGGCCTCCATGTCATTCCAGGGACGAGATGATGGCATGGCCAAGGTTTTGAGCGAATATCTTGAACGGGACCTGGAACTTCTTGGAGTGACTGGTGTGGAAGATCGCTTGCAACGTGATGTCAAATCTTCACTGGAGCTGATGCGCAACGCAGGCATCAAAATCTGGATGTTGACAGGCGACAAAGTTGAAACAGCCCGATGTGTCGCCATTTCGGCCAAGCTGGTTGCCCGAGGCCAATATATCCATACTGTTCAAAAATGTACAGACAAACAGACTGCGCAGGAAGCATTGGACTTTTTGCGCAATAAGACCGACTGTTGCCTGCTGATCGACGGCGAATCATTGAACTTGATGCTCAGTCAATTCCGGACTGCCTTCATCTCCGTTGCAGTGCTCCTCCCAGCTGTCATTGCGTGCCGATGCTCTCCGACCCAGAAGGCAGAGATTGCCGAATTGATCCGTCAGTACACGAAGAAGCGTGTCTGTTGCATTGGTGATGGTGGTAACGATGTGTCCATGATTCAGGCCGCCGACGTTGGCATTGGTATTGTGGGCAAAGAAGGCAAACAGGCCTCGCTGGCCGCCGACTTCAGTATCACCCAGTTTCACCATCTTACCAAGCTTCTGGTTTGGCACGGACGCAACTCTTACAAGCGGTCTGCCAAATTGGCACAGTTCATCATGCATCGCGGTCTCATTATCAGTATCTGTCAGACCATGTACAGCATTGCTAGCCATTTCGAGCCCAAGGGCCTCTTCATCAATTGGCTCATGGTCGGATATGCCACTGTGTATACCAACGCACCGGTCTTCTCTCTAGTGTTTGATAAAGACGTGGATGAGCGCCTTGCCAATATGTACCCGGAATTGTACAAGGAACTCAAAACAGGAAAGAGTCTGAGCTACCGCTCTTTCTTCACCTGGGTGCTCATCTCTGTCTATCAAGGAGCTGTCATCCAAGGCCTATCACAGATCCTCTTGAACTCGATTACTGGCTACCGTCTGATCAGCGTGTCCTTCACGGCCCTCGTGCTCAACGAGCTGGGAATGGTCGCAATCGCAATCACCACCTGGCACCCGATCATGATCTTCTGCCTCATCGGCACACTTCTCCTCTACGCCAGTAGTGTCCCTTTCCTCGGCGATTACTTCAATCTCCGATATGTCATTACTGTCGACTGGCTCTGGCGTGTCGCCGCCGTATTGGCCGTTTCTCTGCTCCCGGTCTGGGCTGGCAAGATGATTAAGCAGTCGTGGAAACCTCCGAGCTACCGCAAGGTGCGCGGTTGATCTACACTGTAAAATTTTGTTTTATCTTGACAGTGATTCTCATCCTTGGTTTTCTTTCTTTTCTTTTCTGGGTCATAGCCAGCTGGCTGGTGTACTCGTGTATATAACCCCTAGCATCTTGTCATTGCAAAGCGCATCAGGCGTTGAAAACTTGGAATCATTATCGTGTCTCTTGTTCTGGCGTAGTATCGTCCATATAAGTTGGGTCTGCCAAAATGCTGCCATTCGCATCTAATTATCTGATACCTGGACACCGTAGGAATCGTAGATATGGACCGGGATCTCTGGATTACAGGTGTAAGACCTCACCTGTCTAGTTTTGCTATGACGTGTTCGTGGCAAGAAGTCTGAGTAAATCGTCGACACAGTAGACTTCAGGTCAAGAGAGACGGTTGAGGTTTCGAATTCCAGGCGAACAAGAAACATTCAAAGAGAATATATCCACGGCTTGCTATCGCCGCACGCACCACTTGGAGCGTATTATATATATCTTCCCGATGAAAACCATGGAAGGTGGGGTCACGAACTTCCTTTCGATTGAACATATAGTCAGGAATGAGCAACGCTTTGATGACCACGAGCTATATGCTTACACATTGAATGGTGTCTCAAGCGGGGGAATGTGGATTCAATATTCGTGCAAGAACCTTGGACCTGCTTGCAGCCGACCCCACCTGGGCACCGCGTCCTCGAATCCCTTGACGATTGAACAAAAACGCGATACTCAAGGCTCAATCACGCCCAAACAGATTTGAAGATTTTCATTGACTGGACATGGCATGATGCCCGAACACGAACAGGATATTTTCTTTACTAGCCTCGGCCTGGCCGTGCTCGATGACATTCGAGTCCCTCGCCAGGAGCTGCTGACCAACATACTGGGTGGTTCAGGTACATATGGTGAGTGAAAGCTACCCTATTTCTCCAAGACTATGAATAGTTCTGTTTTAGATTGATGGCCACTGAAACTGCTTTGAAGCCACGCTTGGTGCGCGATTATTTCTTCCCGGGTTACTCAGTCCCACCCTAGGCTGGATGATTCGTGTTGGAGATGACTTTCCGATTTCCGTTGAAGAAGGACTGCGGAGCTGGAATTCAACATTGATTATTCGAAAAGAACCAGGTAACCCCTCAACGAGGGGTTTACTCGAGTATCAGGATACTACTTTTGGGCGTAAGAGTCCCTTCACACTTCTGCCATTTTCTATTATCATCCCCCTTGGATTGTCAATTCGTCAGTCTGTGCATACCTTTCCAGAGTCTAACCAGTTCTCTAGCAAAAGACTTCAAGTACACGACCCCAGTCCTCGGAGTTCAAGATAGCAGTCTAGAAGGAACACCACTTTTGAAGTCAAAGGCATACCACTATTTAGCCTCGCCCCAAGACATAAAAACACGGATATCAAATCTCTTCACTATGAGATACAGAGAAGCGATTTCCGAGCGTCCGTTGATAATATGGGAGCCGTCTCCTCTGTTCTGCGGCCCGAACAACCTCCAGGAATGCTTAGAAGCCGCATCGATGGTTGACGTGTTCTCTCCAAATCACATAGAGCTGGCCAAATTATTCTCAGTCCCACTTTATGCTGAATCGATCCAGGAAAGCATCGAGAATCTTGCAGCGCGGGTTGTGCAGCACGGAGTCGGTGCAGACCGCCAAGGTACTGTGATCGTTCGGGCTGGTGAGCATGGGTGTCTTGTCGGTGCGTGGGGCCATTCTCCCAAATGGTTCCCTCCGTACTATAAATTTGACTCGAGGGATGTGAATAGCTCCAAGGTCATTGATCCAACTGGAGCCGGAAACACTTTCTTGGGGGCATACGCTGTTGGGTATGTCAAGACGGGGAACGTCTTGGATGCAGCTTGTTACGGCTCGGTTGGGGCATCGTTCGCCATAGAGCAAGTGGGTACACCGGAGATTACAAAAGAACGTGACGGAGAAGTATGGAATGGGGTCAATGTTTACTCAAGATTATCTGAATACATGGCGAGGATCATGTTGAAAGAGGTCCGCAGTGTCGGCTCATGAGACTCAACGGGGAAACAATCCGGACACTTCTTACTACCTGGTTATCTGTGAAATTCCAAGTATTATTTGCTGAACACTTTGTGACCTAAATAGATTATGGGTCCGCGGCGGAAGAGAAACGTGGAGCGGCTAGATCGGGTGGTACAAGGTTTTGGGAAAGAAATAAGGAAATTTTGAACTAGCCTTTGGCTAGTGAAGCGTAAATCGGGGGGACTATGTCGTTTGAGCAAATCATTGATGTTGAGAAAGAAACAGAGGGAGATCAGGGTAGGAAGGCCGAGAGAAAGAGCTCCGAGACGCCGCAGGCTGAGGAATCTTGGACAGCTATGGGTCTGTGCTGGAGGACACGGAAGAGAATCAAAGAAGAAATTTCACGGAAGAGCATCCGATTGTCCAAGATACTACACAAGATGCGCACGAGGAGTCCCCAAAGAGAGTTGATATAGCAGCAGGTTCTCGTCATTTTTTAATCAACTGCATCTATGGCTCACTGTCCTTGTGAACTCTTCTATGCCAATTTGAAATCCATTATTCGAGACCACGAATGAATTACACTTTACCTTAAAAATAGCAATTTACGGAGAAATAATTGGAGTTGCAATGTTATACATTAGATTGATTGGCAAGGGGGGTATAATTGCAGCGAGTCACATAATCACGTCACCACATAACGTGCTCATTAGGCATCAAAAGGATAAGAAAACAAATAGCAATCATCTCTCCTAACAGTCTTCAACTGTCTTAACGAGTATAAGGCTCGGGCGAAAACACCTTCTTGAAACGGAAGTGCGACAGATCACGAATCACCTCGGCAGTCTGCTTCATGTTCTTCTTCACAATGACAGAAGTCGGCTGCGCGAACAGCTCGTCAATCTCCTCCAGAGACATATTCTTAGTCTCGGGCATGAAGATGATCTGGTAGAACCATCCCAACACGGCAATACCACCGTAGAAACCGAGCGTCAGTCCGGTGCTCGTCATGGTATCCCTCATGCGAGTGAAGTTATAGGTCACGATGAAGGAGCACAGGAACAGGTTTGCGTCGGCTGTAGTCATTCCGTAGTGACGAAGATAGGTAGGGAAAACTTCGGAGGGAATGACCCAGGTCAAGCAAGCGTAGGAGCCGAAGAAGCCCATGTACATGATGATACCGGTGAGGTAGAGGCCTTCGGCGGCGGCGGGATACTTGGTGTAATCGATGGTGTAACCCGCGCCGACGAGCACGAGGCCAATGAAGAAACCAGGAAGCATAGTGTTAGCCCAGTATCGGCGACCGAACCGCTCCATGTACAGGACGGCGGGGATACAGCCGAGGAGAAGAGAGCCACCGCCAACAAGGGACATGAAGACGGAAGTGCGCTGGTCGAAGCCGATGGCGCCCATGAGAGTGGACATGTAGTACATGATAGCGTTGACACCGGTGAACTGACCGAGGAAGATCATGATGTTTGCATAGACGATGGCGCGGCGGGCGCGGGGCACGGTGAAGAAGTCCATCCAGGCGTACTTCTTGGTGAGAGCTTGCTCTTCCCTTTCGGCGGTGACGGCCTGGCGCATGCCGAGGAATTCATCCTTGGATTCAAAGTCGTTGAAGCCGCGGATCTTCTTCCAGACGGAGTAGGCGGCAACTTCTCTGCCCTTGTGCATGAGGTAACGGGGGGGATTCGGGCAGGAAGAGCATTCCTACGAGGAGAATGGTGGAGAAGACGAGGGATGAGCCCAGGATGTAGCGCCAGTTTCCTGCAACGTCGAGGAAGATGGCCGCGACAGCGTAGCCGAGAACTTCACCGAGAGCGATGTTCAATTGATAAAGTGAGACGAGGTTACCGCGAAGTTTGCGGGAACTGGGATTGGGTGTTAGATTGATGTTTGATGATTGATCGTATGCCATAGCAAGGAAGAACTTACCACACTCGGCGACGTAGACAGGTACGGTACCACCCTCCAGACCGACACCCATACCGAGAATGAAACGACCAGCGAAGATCATACCGAAGTTGATGGCACCAGCCTCCAGGCCGGCACCGATGGTGTACAGGATACAAGAAACGATGATGGACATACGACGACCGAGATACCCGTTCGACGGAGAAAGTATCAGAGCACCAGCAACGGCACCAAGAGGCATACCAGAATCCACCAGACTGGCCTGTCCGCTGTTGAGGTGCAGAGCATCGGGGAGATAGAGGTTGGCACCGGAAATCAGCGACTGGTCGAGACCAGAGAGCATACCACCCATTGAGGCAAAAGCCACCAGAACCCATGTGAAATAAGCGGGGTTCGTGAACACGACTTCAATCTCGGTGCGAGGCTTCCTCAGCGACGGCAGTTGCTCTTCAAGCTCAGCAATCTCTGCGTCCATAGCAGCCTCTGTCCGGTTGGACAGCTTCTGATCAGCAACCTCATCGAACTCCTCCGCGATACCCTCCTTGTGCTGGGTGCTCTGGGGAGCCTCGACATCCTTGAAGTCCTTTTCATCGGCCATGATAAGATGGAAACCCTTCCTAGGGTCAGGATGTATTGAGACTAGAAAATGATAGCACTAGAGGATCGCAAAGACTGAATCCCGGTGGGGACTTTGCGAAAAGGGAGAAAAGTAGAAGTCAAAACTGTCTGGGGAATGTAGGACAGAAAGGAGGGGGAAAGGGACTATTTGAGGTCGATCTCTGACCACTACTACGATGACGCCCGGCAATACGCTTTACCTTTTGATGCAAAGAGAGGAAAAAAAAAAGAAAAAAAGAAAATTGGCAGTGGGGAAAATGCGGAAAACACCCAAGTCTAACTGTCTCAAGCTAGAGACCCGCCCCGTGTTTCTCCCAATTTTTTTCTAAATTCTGGAGTACATACATCGACCAAGAAGGTTGTGGAGAAGGGTCGAAGAACGGGACCCGTTCCGGCAGTCGGGCCAACCACGGCGAAACAGAACGCCCTCCCCCGCGGGCACACCAAATGAGGAGAAGAGGCCTCACCGGTGGCCAAATCCCTACTAGCTGCCGGAAGAAGTATGTGCATAGGACAGGGATTCCAGAATGGAGAGGAGACCGGGGGAATTCGAGGGGAATTCGAGGGGAATGGGGCATGTATCGGGCGTCTGGTCGAACCGCCGTCCACACAAAAGCTTAACCCGCTCAAGTTTCCAAGGTTTCCACGACTTGCGCCCGAGTTTTCGCCTGCCCCCCCCGGAAGGCTTAAGCTTAAAGGCCGTGGGCTTCGATTCCCGCCAGGAATCCTTCCAGAAGAGCAGTCGGCTTCCCGGCTCAGGCCGCATCCTGCAAGACTCGGCGTGTCGGTGTGAGTAGAGTAGACATTCATCACACTGCGGCAGAGTACAAAGCCGAGCCCATGAGCCGAACACGAGACGGGATCACGAGGTCTTGGGCTTCGGCGAGAGTCCGCGGTCGTGGGGGTGTCGAGCCATGCATATTACGCGCGAGAACGGGGAATTTGGGGTTCCCCATGGAGGAGAGGCGTCGGTCGGAGAGTCTTCGGCGAAATATCAGTGGGTCCCGGAATGGTGCCAGGCGTGATGACTCTCTGTCCGAGCGTACGTGGAAACATGTTTCCGTGTGGAGGAGAAGAGAAGGACCTCCAAAAAAAGTGGTGAGATCATGCCCAGCAAGAGGTCCTTCAAGTAGTGTGGAAATTCAGGCAGTCGGGGGGTGGTCCAGGCACGATGTTCTCGGGTGAGATTCCCGGAGCCCGATGTTGGCACAGTATGCCGAGTGATCAGCTCCCGATTTTCGCCCGCAAAAAGAATGACACGGGATCTTTGCTGCAAGCCGAGGGCGTCATTCGCCAAAGCCGGTTGGCGTGGCCAAAGTTAGGGTCGAACTTTAGTCTCCCGAAATCGATACGGGATATGGTCCCATCCCACGTCGGTGGCCCAATCGTGGGTACGGGTTACGCAACGCCATTGGTGATGAGGAGGGTGTTGGTCCACTTCTCTGGCATGTTCTGGCGGGTTTCGGGCAGGTTAGTGTCGGGTCGAAGTATACAAACAGGGAAAGAGAAACCCCAGATCGAGGCTCGCCCACCTGGGCATTGGCATCGCTGGACAGTCTACGTGGACTTTGATGGCTTGGTTCCCGGGCATAGACATAGTCATTGCTGAAGGTCATTGGTTATGTACGCTTTCCAAGGCACGGTGAGATTGAATTGTCAAAAAAGAAAAGGAAAAAAAAATAAAAAAAAAAAACTCCCGTCGCCACACTGACGACAATGCGAAATGCAATGTGTTCCTTCTATGTTTTGCCTTGCTCATCACTGTCTTCCCGACGATCCCACAGGCTTCCTCACACTCGGATCGACATGAGGGCTCGAAGACCGGCTCCCTTGAAGCCGTGCCCGTAGTCGCTCTTGTGCCGACCCGGCCCGGTCTTGCGATGCGCGCGGGGACCCGCCAGACTGGTTCGATCCAAGTCGCTGGCTAGGGAGTGGTCGTGCGCCTTGCGGGTTGTACACCACCGGATAAAGCCGGAGGTTGCGAGTGAGCATGCTGGAGCGGAGGGAAAGGCGGCGACATGGCGCCCCCCGGCGCGCTGTTCATGGGGATAAGCGGGGGAGCATTACCACCACGGCCACGGCGGAGACTGGCTGTCTGTGCGCCTGCTGGTTGGGATGCTCCGGAGTCACCCCAAAGGTCACCGAGACCTCCGCCCCGGCTGTAGGATGCGGTGGCGAGGCCTTGGCCTTGGGGCAGCTGTGAGGTGGCCACGACACGATTTGATGTGGCTTGGGGCGCCTTCGGGTCCGGGGGCAACCAGGAAGGAAAGGGGTGCCCTTTCTCGGTGTAGTAAGCGCGGAGAGCATTGGAGATGTGCGAGCAGTCTTCATTTTCCGGATCATCTTTTTCGTCGCCGAGAGTAATGGCGCGGCGAAGGCTGGTGAGCCGCGAGCCCAAGGCACTGGAGATCGAGGCGGACGATCCAGTGAAAGACGAAAAGTACGAGCTCATCTTGAGTCACTGGGTGCGTTGATAGGGGGTAATGCCTAACGCGGCGAGCTGTAAAGGACTGCTTCGAGGTGGTGTGGGGTAGGGGGTGATGCGGAATTGCTATCCTGCAGTAACCCAATGCAGGTATTTGTAGATCGTAGAACGGCGCTGAACGAGCTGGGACTCGGCGGCGATATTGTAATTAGAGGTGATTAAAAGGCGCTTCCCACAAAAGAGCCGGCTCTTGTGGATGTTTGAGAGAGTGGCGGTGGTCACAAGAGTGAAACAGAAGGCGGAGACCGCAAGCACGTGACCATATACTTGGGGATTCAGAAGATTGAACCATTGAGCTCGAACAGGTGCATTCGAACATGCAAGATATTCAACTACGAAGTCATGAACAGATGAAATTTTTTTTTTTTTGAAAAAAAAAAAACAATTGAAACATTGAATGGTATCCGGGACCCGTTTTGACCGATGCATATGGCAGTCGATGTAACAAAAGGAAATGATGCGCGATTACACAGAAAATATAGGACCGACCCAACGCCATGCCCACGTGCAAGATCAGATATAAAGTTTTTCGCAGGACCCCACGAGTCTATGCCATGACAAAGTCCCGACCAGCGTCCTCCTGCTCGTACTCGATCTCGGTGCGAGGACCCCTTGCCCTTTGCGGGGCCCTTCTTGCGAGGCTTGGGGGGGCGCAGCAAGCTTCCGCTTAGTACCAGGTTTGGGCTTTTCATCTTCGCTAGCCTCATCATCCGAGCCGCTGTCGCTCTCATCGTCACTCTCCTCATCGTAGTCGCTGGAGTCGGCAGAGTCGCCACCAAGCCAGTCCTCAATGTCCTCCAGATCCTCCTCCTCATCAAGGTCAGAAACATACTCAACCTCACCAACACCCTCCTCCTCCTCATCGAGAATCTCTTCTCCATCATCCAGATCCTCATCGCGCTCACCCTCACCAGCACGCTCCAGGCCACGCATGACCTTCTTCCAGATCCCCTCCTCAACGTTAAGCGGCCGATCACCATAAGCACCACTGCGCAGACGCTCAATAAGCTCACGTTCAATAGCGCGCTCAACCTTCGCCGCGGACTCGGCCTTCCGCTCACGAGTCGCTTCACGACGACGAATCTTAGGCGCCAGCTTAGGAACAATGGTCTCGCCCAGCCGATCCTCCTCCTTGGCGATGTTCTTCATGCGAATGTTCACCTGTGTCAACCGCGTCATGCGCTGCTTGCACTTGTGAATTAGGAATTTCGGCCAGTAGATCAACTTCTCGTCCAGCATTTCAAGTGCCTTGGCATAATTCGACGGCAAGCGAACCCGCTCCCACCACTTGCTCGGCATATGGGCACGTTCGATGGTCTTCATGTACAGGTACATTGCGCCCGTCTCAGGGTCTGAGCGCACAGTCGCATACCGAGAGTTGGCGAGCGGGCAGGACTGTCGGTTGCAGAGACCGCTGACGTTGTATTCATTGCGACAGAAATTTTGGCCCTTGGTGGTTCTTTTCCAGAAGAAGAATTTTCGTCAGCGTTTTGAGGTTCTCAAAAGTTGCAGATTCCGGCTCGGCTTCGAAAGATTTCGATAACGACTAGAGACAAATGGGCGCTCGATTATGAAATTGTGGGACTCACTTGAGTTTGTAGGAGCAGAACTGCTGGTTAATAACTTGCCAGACAATTTCGTCCGACATGATGGGCAACTTTGGAAGGTGATGTTCGGTGCTGGAGAACCGTTGCCCAGGTGTTGATCGATGAAAAAAAAAGTGGTTGTCACGTGAGTTGCTTATCGATAGGCACGCCGCCAGTGGCCCGTCCCCCCATGGAATCTATACGTTCCACCCGTGATTACGATGCCGACTTTTGATGTATTGACTGCAAAGGGTATATTATATTCAATTCATTTCTCTTGTTGACCTAGGATAGCCTTCCCTCAAGACCAGCTTTCCGTCTGCATCTGAGGCCCTTCCCACTCGGTCCCATTCATCATGTGACTATGTCCCAGGTCGGAGTCCTCACCAATCTCTTCAGCCCATCCCCATCCCATAGACTCTAATTCTCGGACGAAGAAGTCTCGCTCTTCTTCCATTATAGATGGACCATCAGGTCCGCCCATCACGTCTTTGTATTGGCGTAGGTGCCACCAATGCGTCAATCCGCGAAGGGCTTGCTCCAGGGGAAGGGCCTCTTCCACTTCAGCATCGACATCTGAACCCGCGAGCCAATCATCGCGCAGCTCCGGTCGGCAATATAGGTAAATAGCGGTAATTACGCGCATGTTGCTTTGGCGCCACTTCCGCCCGCAGTAGGGCACCTGCGACTTGAAAAGTTTCAGGGTGTAGAAGCGAAGGTGAGGATCGGGGATTTTGAGACCCTTACGGAGAATCGTGCTCGACTTGTATTGGACAAGAAGAAGGCAGCGGTGTGCTTTGTTGCGGGTGATTTTCTGCATGATATGGAGGTAGTTTATGGCGGAGAAAAAGTTTCGGAATGAGAAGACAGTGATTGGCTCCTTGGGTAGAGGTGCGGTGGGATAGCCAAGTTCGTCAACCTCAGGACGTGTTGGACATTCGAATCCGCCATTTACCGATTCTTCAGATGCGAATCGTACAGAGGTATTGCCGCGTGTCATATTGGGGCGTTGTCGCGAGATTGGAGGAGGAACAGCCTCGTCTTCACTCTCCGTGTCCCCATTCGCTGGGTCCTCAAATCCAGAGTGATGATCTGAATTCTCGGCGCAGAAGTAGAAAAATCTGTCTATGGTTAAAGACTAGTGCGTAGCAGGAGAATCAATGTCAGAATACTCACGATAAGTCTTCACGGTCATTTTTTTGTGCCACTGCCTGGTCGACATCTTGATGAGCAAACATCTTGAGGATGAGGGGCAGATAGTTCGAGTCGAGCAAAAGCTGCGTCATATACTCGAATTTCAAGATGTCTTCGGCATGTAAGCAAGATGAACATTATATGACTAAACATTGGTCAAGACTCACGGGAACGTTTGAACCACTTCAACATCAGCAACAGAGTTCCAGAGACAGCCTTCCCGGTAATCTCACGCAACCGGATATTATCAAGTTCATCAATAGATGTATCGGGATAGAAGTCGGTTGAGCCATTCACACCGTGGCCATTACTATATTGGCATGAGAAATAGGGGTCGTTTTGGAAAGATCCAGGGGTACCGTACCTCATGCTTTGGGAAACCGGAGGCATTAGCTTGATTGACCACAGCACTGACGTTGGTCAGGATGATCTTCAAAAAGACGATCGTGATAGATTGCAGGTGAGACAGAGTATGAGCCTGCATGTAAAGTCATTATTAAGGCAGCATCCAGTGAGTCGGGGGGGATACTAACGTAGAAGCTTTCAACAGCATCCAGTCTTCTCTGGACATCTGGGTCATCCGTTTCCTTTCGTGTTGGCTTAGGCGGAGGTGACGGAGTAGTGTTGGACAAGTCCAGTCGGTCCATTTCGAGGGACACATCATCGGGTACCATTGAACCAGGCATGCGATAGGGATGTTCTATATTCCAGCCTCTGTCGTATTTCATGAAATTCTCGCGTTCGCCCCAGAGTTGTTGCATCGCGCGAGTCATCTTGACATGGGTTGAGAAGAGCTGACCAGCCTCGATAATTGATGCAGGCACATCACTGCCCTCCCACCGCTTTCCGACTAGTACATCCTGGCGTTCAGTAGTACCTTTGCCGCCAATCTGATTGCTAGAATCGTCTAGAGGTGGATACATGAGAGGGAAGTTTTGGTTGGTCTGGTAGTTTTGCTTCTTTCCAGCTTTACCTCCAGGTCCGATAGGAGAAGGAGGAGGTGATGGAGCTGGTGTCGCAATGTGAACGGCTTGCTGGAGAATAGAGCCGTTTGGACCAGCGATAGGGGGTCCGACTCCGGAGAAGAGGCCGCTAGACGAATTGGACCTCGCAGGATGTTGCGGAAGAGGGGGCAGAATCGAGTTATTCTCTAGTTCGAGTGGCACAATAGGGACAGGAGGGTTGTAGGCAGGGTATTTTGAGGTAATCTCCTGTCGAAATAGGTGATAATCTAGAGGAGACGCAGTCAAGAATGGCGTGCGACGGGTTGCAGAATCTTCTTGAGGGGGGGAGGCTCGGCTCGAGGGCTTCCTTGGCCCTCTTCAGTTCCTCACTGCCGCCAAATACAAGAAGGAGTGACTTCCAGAGCAGAAGAATGATTCTGGTGAGTGGAATGTTGGCAGACTCGTCCCATCTCAACCGCGCAATTATTTCGACGATAGTGACCAACAGGCAAGGATTTGCTTCGGCCAGCGCATCACGAATCAAATTGCACTGAGGATCTTGAGCCTCTTTTTTTCGACCAACCTCAATGGAAAAATAGAGCACAGTGAGGACCAAGTTGGCTTCACGCTCCGGGGCTGCGATGTCACCCGGGTTCAGTTTTTCGAATTCATTTCCATCTGAGTCAGGGCCAAGCGAAGAACGAGTTTTATCGAATAATTGGGACAGCTTCTCGACTATGATAGGTATTCCAGAGCATTGCTGGAGCAGAAAGACGTTTTGTTCAATCCATGCGATCTGCAGCGACTTAGACCAAGGGGTTTCTGTCGTTGTCCTCGCGTCTGAACTCGTGAAATGACCATCTGTAGCACGTCCTGCGGTAAGACCCCACACGCCCGTAATTGTATAGCAGATAGTCTCCAATGCCTCCAGGCGGGTGGAGGCGTCAGCATGCTGTACCTGCTCCAAAGACTCGGTGATAAAAGTCCGACGTAATTCATCTGACGAGTCAATCCAGGAGACATCATTTGAATCGAAGCCATTCTCTTCAGCGAATGCAGCCCATCGGCGATCAAAGGTCGCCTTCATTCCCATCAACATCACACGATCGAATTCATTATATTGGAACCACTCTTCGATCTCTTCTGTAAATGGCTGCGCATCTGCGTACTCGAAAGCATATGCCGGCTGCTCGACCTTCGGCATCTCTTGTACCAATCTTCTGAGCTGCGACAAGCTGAGCGAATCGGGGGGTCGATCTGCATTTTGCTGGACGGGGGCAGGAGGAGGGGGTTGTAGCGGTGGTGGAGGTGCTGATACGTCTCGACGAAGTTCAGGTCGTTTGGTCACATTCTCAGGCTGATTTTCAATGGCAGACTCCTGCATGGGTGCTGCGGAGGAGGTCTGCTCTTGTCGAAGACTCTCCGCAACCTCCTCATCAATTGCTCGTCAGGAACAGGAGAAATATCGGTTCCAGTCTGGTCAACTTCATCGGCCTTGACAATGTGCTGCTCTGGAATTGTAAAATCGGCAGCTGCAGGTGGAGGTTCCATCCCGTTGGCCTTTCGCAAGGTCTTGGTTCGTACAAAAACAAGGGAGTGTGGAGCGGAAGAGGGGTTGTCGCCGGTGGCTCAAAATGGTGGCATTAGGAGGTGGTGAGGTGAGACAAATGAGAGTGGGCAGGTTCATACACCAAGCTTGGCCTCTGGCGAAAGATTTTATGTCCCTGCCAGCAACATTGCCGATTTTTGTCGAGTCAACGCAGCGTTGCGGAGTTGCGGTGATATCGTGATGATTGTCACGTGACTATAGCGTCGTGTCAGCATGAAAAACACCCCAGATGCTCGATGGTCATTCTATACATTTAACTTGCTTGCATGTCTCTCCAATATAAATTGTCAATAGGAGGATCATGTAATACCAGAGTTCTAAAATGTGATAACATGGCCTTGTGTGGGGATACGAACGATCACGTTATCCAACTTTTTCTGCTTCACGGCACCGCCTACATTGTGCTCCTACTAAGCAATACACGTTTTCCTGTAATCCAGAATTTCAATGAATTGTCAAAAATGACGTTATCTAGATAATTAAATATGATATAGCTTATGTAAAGGGTATCTCTAGCTTGTATGTACTTTTAAAATAGTTACGAATACTGTGATTGGTAAATGGGATATACAATTAGAGCAAGGCACCTATTGAAATGGAGATGGCTCAATGGCTGTATGGCCACATAGACTGGGCAGCACCTACTATGAGGACACGCACGAACACCCACAGGTTCCGCAGGAGGTGGGTGATGGTGTCTCTATATGACGCTCTGCGCGCTGCATCTAAAGCTGCAACATGTATCACAGGATGTAGTGGAAACTGCAATGAATTGGATAGATGTCTGTTCTAGCTCGCTCTCATTTAAAGACTATTGCATATCCCAAGGAAATCATGGCACAGGCCGCAACGATATCTCTTATGTCATGCGTCTCACCACTTCAAAGCATATACATTCCTTTGAGGATCGGTGCACCACTTCTTAATTTATTCGAAACCTATGAGCCTTGCTTTTATATATATTTAGACTTTTATGAAGAGAGTTTACCCTATTATGTATACATTGTTCTTACCCGGGATAAAAGGGCTATTGCAATCCTAGATCACACGTTTTTTTTGCATAATCTATTTGTAGGCCATGCGGGTTCGGGTTGGGTGGAGTCCGGGTTAGCGCGGATTTTGGTGAAGCCTAGCCAGGGCCGTTAGGGTCAACCGCGGGTAGTTCCGAAATCTAAGTACGATAGCTATCACTTCAAGGTAAATTAAATGAAAGAATGTGCCTGAGATTGTCAGTCTCTATGTAGTTCAAGACAAGCTTACATTGGACTGTCCGGATACCCGTTGGTTCCACTCCGCAGGGCATGCAGGGTCTCACTTATGTAGGTATACATTGGCATCACCCCATGGATGCGACTGCAATCACACATGCTTGTCGGCTACACGCTCATCGCTAACTTGTTTGCCCTGTCGCTCCTGTCATGCGAAATGCGTTGGGAAGCGGCCATGTTGTGCTCGCTGTTCGGAAGTCGGCAACCAGTGCAATTATGCACGATCGCGGGGCGGGAGAATAGATTAGGCTGCGTTGACGGTACGTCGCGAATGAATGGCTCCGACAGTCTATAATGAACCCATGGATCACACAAGTCTTCAACAAACTACAACCGTTCGTCATGAGGAGTGTAGGGACGCAGCCAATCCCGGTGGATGTTTCGACCCGAGTCTGACGTGCTCGATATTGATAAAGGGACAACAGCATGGGCTTCGTCCCGCGAGCAAAGAACACACTTCGCCGGGGAAGATGGAAATGACCCATGTATCGACTCATACTCCAAAATCTTCGTATCTGTGATCCATTCCTCGGAACCACCTGACCGAACGATATCAAGATCCAAGCAGACAGCACGGCCTTGTACTCCTAATCGTCGCTTTGCGCTTCATGGAGAATAATTACAACGTGCGACAATGGTCTATTCCACTCAGACACAATGTCGAAGTGTCTCTTTCACTGTTGTTGTCGTATGATTCGATCCAGGTCCAACGCCGGATTCTGTGCTCTGTAGCCTTGTTCTGATATGACTACAAGGCCGAGGCCAAATCATAGACGGATCGGGCAGCTAAACTCGCCATTGATCTGCAGATTTTTCAGGCCAAATTTGCAGCGTCCTTCCAACCTAACGCCATCGAGGATGATTCGAGTTGTGCTTGGGCACTGCCCCTGGACACACCCACGCCTGATCTGGAAAATATCCATACTGTCCGAGGTTTACAGGCGGTGGAGGCCCAAACCAGGCTTCTGGCCTTACCAGTCCGCCGATATCACCGCATATCCGTCACGACGTACGGGATAAGTCTAGATTCGACCCTGGCGGTCTACTGACGAACGACAGCGATCTGAGTGCTTCCGTCGGAGCCATTGAAGTACTGTATGGCTGGTATAACCTTGAAATCCTGGACGGTCCTCCGGTGGGGATGAGCAATGGATCATGATCATGTCAATGACTATGGCTGAATGTCTTATACAAGTATGGTCCGGTTTCGTATTAGTTTGGCACTAATAGATCAAGATGACTATGTCAAACAGCAATGATGACTTTTCCACGCGCATAGAACCTCCCATTCGCAAGATCGTACGCCTCTCGTGCTCTTGCAAGGGGGTATACGTCCGCCACGAAAGGGCGGATGGCCCCGGCATGCGCCAGTTCAGCAATATAACGCAACGCATCCGGACTGCCTTTGACGATGAAGAACAGAGCATGCACCCCGACCTTCCGCAGCCCACGCTTCTCATGCTCCTCAACAAAGTTGAAGCTCGCTGAATCCACCGAGATCAGCACACCCGTCTCCGCAACATAAGCCCAACAGTTTGCTAACACCTCCCCGCCAACCACATCAATAATGACATCGAATTGTCCCATATGCCTGTCCAGCATACTATACTCCACGATCTCGTCGGCCCCCAGGCTCCTGAGAAACTCTCCATTGCGCGCATTAGAACTGCTAGCGGCGACGACATGTACCCCGGATGCTGCCGCAAGCTGCACGAGATACACGCCCACCGCACCTGCAGCGCCGGTAATCAGCACGCGGTGGTCTTTCCTCGTCGAGGGCCGGGAAAGAAACTCCTCCACCGTGGGGCGGGGGATCCGCGCGTGCTCGAATAGGGCCTCATAGGCAGTTTGTGCGCTGAGGGGTAATGCTGCGGCCTGTGCAAACGTCAATGTGTCCATTTTCCGGGCTACTTCACCCTCTTTGACGATGGTGTATTCGGCCCACGTGGCCGCGCGATCTGCGTTTGCCATGCCGAAGACCTCGTCGCCGGGCTTGAACTTGCTCACTGACGAGAAGACTTCCGTCACAATGCCGGCGACGTCGTTGCCTGGGATAGCGTACTCGTGCGCGTAGGTTTCGGGCCAGCTGAGCATATCACGAACGACGGTCGTGGCTTTGACGCGGATAAGAAGCTCCCCGGGTTCGGAGGGCACTGGAATGGAGATATCATGGTCCAGCTGAAGGGCGGTAGATGGCGCTGGATTGGATGGTGAATAGGGTGTGGTTTCGGGCGGAGCGGGATGGAGGCGAATGGCTTGCATTGTGCGTGGTGGAAGAGAGAATGTGGTGAAAGTTTGAACTGGAATGACTCGATCTTGGGTTAAATATTCTTTGAGGTTGTGATTCTTTGGCAGATTTATGGAGGCTATGAATAGGCTATATGCAGCGGGTATAATCCTGCCGTCTTCATGGATGTGGAAGGCTATACGGGTGGTTCTACAGGTTTGCAGGATTTAATTGAGGATATTCCAGGCGAGAATGTATAAGACTAAGTGACAGAATTGAACCATAATTAAAGATTCAATAAGGTCATCTGTACATTGACGTTAACCACAGTCTGCTTTATCCTCGCATCTTCTGCGCCATGACATCCTTGTCTTCCGCGTCGTATTGCACCAGCACCGATGGGCCTTCTCGCTCCAGCGTCTCAGAGTCAATCACAAAACTGACGAAGAAGGCTGCTGGCTCGGTCTGGCTGGCGTTGGCGCCAATACGATGGTGACAGCCTGGAGCCTCGTACCAGGAACCCCTTTCTCAACCAATCTCATCGGGTCGTTGTTCATTTTGTTCAAGAGAGAGCCATGGATAACATAGGCAGAGACAGACGCACCTCCATGGCGATGAGGAGGGGTGGCACCACTAGGAGGATATTCAACGAGCATGCCGACGATGGTCTTTCCAGGACAATTGACCTGTTCGTACTAATAAGAGATGGTTGTGTCTGCCATAGGGCATCTAGTAAAGCCATATGGTGAGTTGTCTGGTTCCGTTGGATGGGTGGTCTTTGGAGGACATACTCAGTGTTGTAGACTGGCTCTTGCATTGTGACAGGATGAAGCTGACTCTTTATGGTGGAATAGGAGTAAAAGCTAGCTCAAACATGTAGGGTGCTTACATATGTTTAGCGTCTTCGGCTTTCAACTATTCAACGCTCAAGGGGTATGATTGTCTGGCGAGTAAGGGTGCTGTGCATAGGCTAACCGGCTATCCGATATCATTCGGGTATTCCAAGGCTCGGCAGATGCAGGTGTTTGAGAACTTCTTTGAACGACTTTCAGTCATTAAGGAATGTGGCCTGATCCTCAATCTATTATTGTCATGTATAGTACTTCCCTTCATCATTCTGAGAGAACCAAAATAGGTACTGAGACGGGATGGCTCAATGGCAAGATCAGTCTGCAGAATCGGCAACACTAACTAGGCGGATATGTATAACCCCCTCTAGGCTCCGTAAAAGGCGGGTACAGCTTGCTCTGAATAAGGCATTACGTACTATCCTTGGTGCTATGAGCTATGATACAAACCGAGGAATATGGTGAAACATGGCAGAACGCCTTGTCTTTTGTGACCATTTCGGATTCCAGCTAACCGGAGAATCTATCCAGTCTTGTGAGAAGAATGATACTATAACTATCCTCGCTCCTACATTCAAGTAATAGCTTACAGTCCCTCGATGTTGGTGCTTTCAATGTGTATAGACACTGACTTATTGAGGGAGTAAGGCTGTAACGGTGACTGGTTAAATGGGGTCTACATAGTTTGAATATCTAAATTCCATCACGCAAATGTACCAAGAGACCTTTTGCTTTATTCAATCAAATATGGGTTAAGATGACCCAGCTTCTGGCTCATTCATTCGAACACCATTGCAGATGAACTGCCTGTACATAGTGAGGATACGACACGAGTCAATGCATCATCAATAACATCAACAACATCACAACTCAGCGAATATAGCAGCCCAGAAACAGCCCAAGGGTACAAACGATTCGTTATTATATCAATCATCGTAGTCCTTCTTCTTTGCACTACAAACAAGCCTTAGCAAACTCAGAAAAAGTGCTGAAACGACTATGACCTTCGCGTCCGGAAAACAGCGCCAATCCTTTGCACTCAAGCTGCTACAGCGAGAAATTATGCTCGGCATGGTACCTCTCGACGAAATGACAAGAATCACTGATATTGAAACTTCGAGTCAGGTTTGGGAAATGAAGCATAAACAGTATAGATAAAGCGAGGACGCTGATCAGAAGCGGCAGAGACGGAAGTGGAAAAAGGGTTTAGTAGAGATCACAGTATGGAAAAGTTCAAATCATCTCGAAAATTCTTATTTTGGTTGATTCACATAGCTTACTGTAGTCTTTAATACAACTACCCATTTGTCTTCAAAATAGTTGCTGAAATTGTGATTTTGACCGGCGCTAAACCCGATGGGGCGGGCGCCGCGATCACTTCCAAGCGTAGAACGACTAAGTTTTGGACCATTTTATGCCATTGTTCCTCTTCCCATAAATCTCCCAAGCCTCGGAGTGAACCAAGACAAAATGCCTCTCCATATCATTGCCGACGACAACCCCAGAAAACCTGCTTGGGGAGAACTTCCATTGGAGGTCTATTTCCTCTCTGAATGGGAAAAGTCTCACCCAGACCCCTCACAATCCAACGAGTCCCCGACAGACCGTCGCAAACGGCTTTTACGCCAATTCCTCACATTAGGATATGAAAGAAGATTGGTAAATACCTCCTATATTCCTCAATCTTAGAATCATCACCCTTAAGTGAACAAAATTCAATATATTAGCCTTACCTGTCCCAGCCACGAAATCCACCACCCGTTCCCACTGAAGCCCAGATAGAGGAAATTCTTCGGCCTATACGGCCTGAGGCACTACGCACCTACGCTTATAATACCGGTGCTGACTCGGGCCTCTGGCTTCGTCTCTGCTACACTGATGAAGAGGCGCATAAGGCTCTATGGTCTGACAATGAAGACACAGAATGGGTTACTCATGGGGGGGGTAGTGCTCGACGATGAAAGTATCTTCGGTGGTCTGGATTTGGCAGCCGCTCTGGAAATATTTCCTGAGCGTGTCACGAATGAGGGTGTGTCTCTTAAGGTCAGAGACCAGGCACTCAGGGACATAGTAGCTGCTGAACAAGAAGGCTCAGATTCTGGTGAAGATGACTACTCTGATGAGGTCAAGGAGTATTTAGCGCGGCAAAGGGCGAAACTAGAAGAGAACTCTCTTTCGAGGTATAGTCTATATCAGGCTGATTGTGTTGTTACTCATATCTATGTGGAGGATGAGGTGGCGATCAACGGTGGAGGCTTATTGCATGTGTTCTTAGATGATTGTGGGAATGTGGTGAGGCAGTGGCGGGTGCATAATGATGGATCAGAAGATCATTTTGATGGCGCTTGGTTCGAGCGTACTTGGAAAGGTGACTTTGAATGTGATAAAGGAGAAATTGGCCCTGCCTATCATGAGGGCGGAAGCCGAGGGCCGCCGTACACTATTTGACTTCCTGGAGCTGTTAGGTAGTAAAGATAGATAGAAGGCACAATTCACTCCCATCTATTTCGGGTGTTCGCTACAAAATCTTTCCGGCTCAATAAAGAACACATGGTTGACAGAAATTGAAAAGGTATATCAGATGAACAACTCTACATGTATTCAAGCCAAGCCAGTATGTCTAGGCCATGAATAGCAAACATTTCATTTGAATCTGCGTCTTACTCAAGTTTTGTATTTCCGATGTCTGACATACTCTTCCAGCCCACAGCGTCCGGCAGAGGCCACCAGACATGCTCATCCAGATGCAGCTCTGGACCTGGAAAGAAGACATATGATTGAATTTGATTCAAAATGAAGGTTCCCGGGGCTACACTTTCAATCTTCACCCATTATTCGCTCCCCACCAGTTCATTCTGGTCACGCTTGCTGAACGTCGCAGGACGTGCTTGGTCACTGAAGCTACTGCCGACGTAGTTGACCTCGCACATAGTGCATCTTGGGCTCTTGTCAGAGCCTTGAAAGAAGAATGAGTCAGCTTCTTTCAAGTCTCCTTTCAATAAGAATGCAGAGCTGTGATGTCACCAACTTCATCACTCAATCCCTTGCGCGTATCGAAATAATAACCGTTACCATTTCTACACCAGTAGACATCTGGCCGATTGAGTAGAATCACCGCATAGGATAAATGCGAAGCGTCTGTATCTGATAGCAGATAGGTCGCCTTATCCTCCATGCTACAAGCATCCTAGGTCGTCTACTTCCAGTTGTTGAACCCTTGAGGCTTGAGACAATATAGGCCTCGCTTGAATCGATCATGCCAGCCAATGTTGAACTCGGGTGTTAGGTCTCGTACAAGTTTGTAGGCTGGTTGAGTCGACCATCTAGAAGTTTGGAAGCGGAGACGAATATTGATATAGCAACTTAGAAACACGTCATTCCATGGCTTTCGCTCAGGTAGCAGCTCAGGGCGGCAAGGTGACCAACTCACCCTGTGCTCCAGGAGCCGATTACTTCCCGGAGCGGAAATTGAGATATATGTAATATGAGTCACCTAGACTACTAGCCCTGAAGAGGAATTGAGCCTCTATATCTTAGAGAGACCGAATATAGAGGAATTCAGGGATTCACTAGCCAAGTAACGACTCTGAGGCCATGAAGGGGGTTGTTAGCATCGATCCAGCCCTGATGCTGGAGGAATCGTTGTAGTGTATATTTAATATGTTTGCATGTTCATCCTTTATACAACTTGTCTATAGAGGGATTGTATAATAGCAGAGTTCTAGATGCCACTGAATTGGTAGCAATGTTTTGTTCCAAACACGTCGCTAACTACGAGACAATGAATGTTAAGTCACATCATGAAGAGACCGAAAATGGCGACGAAAAACTGACAACAAGGCCAGAATATAGATGTCTGTTCTACATTCTGTACATTTGGTAGCTATTTTCACTCCGCCTTACGCGCTTCACCAAGGCGCTGTTTCAGCCTCTGGCCTTCCCATCGTTGCCAGCCGGCCTCGGCCAGATCTTCACTGACGACCAAATCACGGACGCGCAGCAAACGTGATGCCCTAAGTTCTACGGCCCAATCGATCCAGCCCAAATTCCGTAGCAGGCTGGTTAATATGAACCAACCGCAGGCGAACACGAAACCGGCCCCACAGCCTGCCAGCACCTGTTTAGGAGTGTGGTAATTCAAGTAAATTCGACTCGCAGCGACACTGACAGCAGCAGCCCAGAGACCCACTGTAACGGCCACGCGAAGCAAGAAGCCACAGTAGGGATAGGGCCCAGCGTAGGCCGGGGTGTGTCGAAACGCCAGGAAAAGGGTAAGGTAAATCGAGAAGAAGGTCATAAATTGGGCGTGCGAGGATGGCATGCCGTAGCCTTTGCCAAACATTTCTGCGGATAGAGTAGGGTCAGAAACCATGTGCATGCCGGGATCGCGTTTGACGTGGTCGAGACTCACCTCGCGGTCGCTCTTCCTTGATGAGCCGCTTGAGCACAAAATTCAACGCCTCACAGGCTAGTTGGCCTCCAAACATCAAGACGACCTCCACCTCCCTCGAGGCCCACACTAAGGTTGCATAAGAGACACATAGTGCTTGTGGCAGCAAGGCCAGCCACGCCGACACCAGTGACAGGGGATCCTCGGGATTCTGGGCAGCGAGTCAGTTCGGGTTGAACCTTTGAAATCAAGAAGAAGAGAAAAAGGACAGGACTCACATAATGAACGTGTGTCAGAGACAGCGACGCTAACGGAGTGTCGCCCATGGTGAGAGAAAGCTGTTTGAAGCTTGGACGGTACTCAAGCAGTAAACACCGATGAGAGAAGAGAAGGCGGAACGATAAGAGATAGGAGAAAGTTGTGGCGGGGGAAAAGCGAAACTCGATGACACGAAAAATTCATCAGGCACCAAAAGTGTCTCCCACTTTCTTTTCAACCTTTCCCCCCTTTTCCTCTTTCTCTAGTCCTTGTGCGCTTATGACCCTTTAATCACTACCGTTTCACTTTGCCCCAAACCATGACGCAGTCCCCGTCTTCATATACTCCCCTCTTGTTACATCATTTGATAGACCCCTCTCCAACGCCTGTTCGGTTCACCTGGCCACGAATAGTCCACGCACCAGTATCGTGATCCCTGGCTCCCGGCCTGCACATATTCGTGCCTGACTCGATATAATCACCCCTATAAACTGTGCGCGACCCTTTTGCGATGGCCGTGGCTGCATGCTAAGACGTGCGGAGATCGATATATCGCGAATAGGGAAGCAGGCAAACGTGCCTGTCTTCGCAAACGCTATACCTCAAAATGGCAGACCCGGAGCCCGAAGACGACCGGTCCGTCGAATTGTCATCCATCGCCGCCATCTATCCGGAGATTCGACTTGAGCCCGACACTCCATTCAAAGCCGCGCTAGACCTCCCCGTTGCTCTTCCGTCGCCTACACGTATCGATTTCCAGCAATCCGTTGAGGTTGGGCTACATGCTGCAGTTGCGTTGACACCTCCCACCTCTGTGGATGAATTTAAGGCCGATCTCGGTCCACCTGCCGTCAAAGATGTTCATATAGTATCACATCTGCCCCCTCTCAGTCTAGAGATTGAATTGCCAGATGGCTACCCCTCCGAGAATCCGCCCGTTGTGAAACTGAGCACCACTCCGCCATGGCTGCCAGCTCCTGTTCTCACACAACTCTCAGATGATTGTCGACGACTGTGGGAGGAATGCGGGAAGGACATGGTTGTGTACACATACATCGACCATCTTCAACAACTCGCCGAATCTGCTTTCGGGATTCAGGACACTTCGGACGGAGAGCTATGTCTGTCCCGAGATCTGAAGGTCGCTTTGCTGGACTTCAATAGCAAGGCAGAGCGGGAAAAGTTTGAACACGAGACTTTCGAGTGCGGTGTATGCCTGGAGCCTAAGAAAGGCACCAACTGCTACCGTCTGCTAAGATGTTCCCATGTCTTTTGTGTCCCTTGTCTACAGGACTTCTACAACACTTGCATTTCTGAGGGTGAAGTCACAAGTGTCAAATGTCTTGCCCCGGACTGCGAAAATGATCAAAGCCCAAAGCGCGCCCCTGGTGCTGACGCTGATACACCGCGCCGCAAGAAACGTGATCGGACCCTGGGACCCAGTGAGCTTCTGCAAATTCCCCTGGAGCCAGAAACTGTACAAAGATATGTCTTTCTCAAGCGCAAGAAGAAGATCGAGTCCGACAAGACCACAGTTTACTGTCCACGAGAATGGTGCCAAGGGGCAGCTCGGTCAAAACGACATCCAAAACCTACGGATCCAATGGGAATGGCTGACGACGCTGATACCTCTGATGAGGAAGAGGTCGTCGCATTTGATCCTCTTGGTGAGGAGGGCCAACTGCCACCTATGGCTGAACGGGTAGCCATCTGCGAAGATTGCAACTACGCTTTTTGCTCCGTCTGCAAGAAGGGCTGGCATGGCGAGCTGGTTTACTGCTCCCCGCGGCGCCAAGCCGAGCAGACAGCAGAAGAGAAAGCAACCGAGGCATATCTGCAACAATATACGTCTCCTTGCCCGACTTGCAATGTCCGCTGCCAGAAGCGGATGGGCTGCAACCACATGCGCTGCACCAAATGCGAGACCCACTTTTGCTACCTATGCTCCGCTTGGCTTTCCGCAGACAATCCATACCAACACTTCAACAACGGTAGCAGTAAGTGCTACAACCGTCTCTGGGATATGGAAGGCGGCGACGGCCTCGAGCCTGAAGGCGCAGAAGCCTTACACAGGATCCCGGAAGCCTTACTGGTCTTCGACGACGAGGAAATTCCAGACGCAGAGAGTGACGGTGATAGCGACGACAATATCGACGGTCATATCGAGTGGGGTCCCCACTTCAGCGACGACGAAGAAGATCATCCGTTTAACCGCCCTCCTCCACCCGCGCCGATTCCACCCGCATCCCGGCGCAGCACGAGGCGGTGCTGCGAATAACCCCGGTCGGGACGCGGCCGCTCGCGCAGCAGCAGCAGAACGCCAGGCCCAAGCACGCGCCATGGCGGAAGTTCGCAACCGAAACCGTCCGATTCGGCGACCTGAACCCGGTCAAGAAGAGGTAGTCGATGCAGCGCGAGACCGGCATGCCGCACTGCAGCGGTTCTTGTATATGGCCCAAAATGACATGGAAGATGAATGGGACAGCGATGAGCTGGATGAGGACTTCTAGTCCTGGTTTGCACAAAAGGCCGGTTGGTCTTTTTGCTCTTTGATGTTTACGAGAAATGATCCCCAGTGAGGTTGAAGTTTGCTTCACATGAGAGCCTCATTTTACTTTTGGCTATATGATATCTGTTTTGAGTTCTAGCTTTGTCTCTGCATTTCTTGAGCGATTCTTGCTTTCCCACAAATTTTAGAATTATGCAACACTGCACTTGATTTTGAAGTAATTTCTTTCTCATCCTGTGTCGTGGCCTTGAGAATGACCCGCAAAGACATCGTTGAAAGGGCTTGTCGAAAAGGCTCCTGGATCGCTGGAAAGTCCAATCCAACCTTCAGGTCGTGATGCCCACGTAATCCATACTCGATAAGGCATAGAACGCTGGCCCTCTAAGAAATTGTGGTAACCACTAGTGATTGGGGAGTATAAATTGTTGAAGGTCGTTTGTCTGGAGGTGCCGGAAAAAGAAAAGGTGGGAAGGCTGATTGATTGGACCTCGAATACCTCTGACAGCTTGAAGAGAGCTAATGCTTGTAGACTTGTGGTGGCTTATTCGAACTTATATAGTGCCAGGAAATGAGTAAATGCTAATTTCCAATCTCAACGCTAATTTGTATCAAACACAAGAGATTCGGTATCACCAAAAAGAAATGCCGCCTTGATGCAAAACGCCGCCGATGAAAATCGTCGCAAGACCCCATGACTCCAAATAGCACGCTAGCATGTCTACATGTATGTGACTTTTCAGGCCAAGGTGATTTACCCATCGGCAGAACCCTTGATTTCCCAGTCATGCCAGAACTCATAGCTCATGACCGTGTGATCATGAAACATCAAGAGCAGACGGTAATGGCGAGACGGGTGCGAGCCGTGCCAAGTTTCGTGGGGGCGGTAGGCACGGTATGCCTCGGCGTGGATCTCAGGAAGCGTCCTACGTTCTTTCACATTTTCGTCTTGGATAGGAGAGGAGTTGCCTCGTGTGTCTGGCCCTTCAGATTCATTCGAATCTGCATAGCTTGCGGATTGCGATGTTGGGTCGAACTGTGCATATGTGGCGGATACAGAGTAGGGGACATCGTTATGAGCGGGGCTAGAAGATCTCGACAGAGAGGCAGAGGATAAGTCGTCGTTTTCCTCGGGGGTTAGAATGCGGTAGTGAAATTTGAGCCAGTCATCGGGGTCGACGCCTTGGGGAATACAAGGGACATCCTGCGGAATCTCTGAACCCGCCATGGGACCGACAGCAATGCCGAGAAGAGGGCTCTCGGGGCGTTCGTTGTTCTGCTCTTGGGTGGAGAATGGGACGATCCAGTCAAGTCGGAATGCAAAGCCGATCTCCTTTGCCCAGGTGAGGGTTATAATGGCTACGCGACCTTTCTGAGAAGCAGCCACAACAATTCCAAGCTCAGGAATGTACTTGACCATGTTGAAACGATCACAATGGCGACTAATGTCCCAGCTCTGGAATTTCTGCAGGAGAGGTGCTTTGCATATTAGATGATATTCGGAGCGCATCGGGTAGGGGAGCAAGGGAGATGGTGGTCTCAGAGAAATGAATGACAGGGTAGAAACCGGGAGAGGGAGCTGGTTCCTTGGATGTTAGCCTGCTTTCTCCCCTAATATGACTCAAATCTGTCCGAAGGACATTCAAGGTATAGCTTACGGTGGACAGGCGTCAGGGGAAAGTCGTCAAAACTATCCGTCAAATCTTCCCGGGTTGGCTTGTAGATTAACCGTGGCTCAACGCGGGAATGTGGGTTGTCTTCTTCGAAAAGGCTGGTCAAAAGGGGCTTCGTTCGAGGCCTCGACCCGATCTTTGGAGGTAAGGATGACGGAGATACCGCAAACTCTGTATCAACTGATACAGCAGGCGCGAGGCAGCCTCCAAATTCATCCACTTGGTCATGGTTGAAGACAGATGGCGCGTGTCCCAAGCCTGCCGGTGAGACAATGTGGTCCTCATCTATGCGACATTCAGAAGAGAATATATCATCCGGGATACAGTGGTTGTCGAGAGGTTCGCTTTGGTATCGGTCTTCCGCCTCATTGATAAGTTGGGACGCATCCTTGACCTCTTGAATAGCCTTTGAGACATCTAATAATGTCCGTAACCCATCAAGCTCGAATCTTGCCCTAGTTCCACATGCTTCTTCTCTTGAGTCGTAGCGCTTAAATGTGCGTGGATCAAGAGGTAGCACTGTCCAGCCTCTTTGTGGTGGATTGTTCGAGGAGTGACCAGGGAAGTACACTCGACAAGGCCATAGGTCGTCCCACACACGCCATACGATAACCCTGTTACTGATGTCTGTGCTGACCATCCAGATACCGTTGGCATCAAGATCAAAATTAGCAAATGAGACACATGGAATATTGTCGAAATGACCTCGATAAGTCAACCGTAGATTACGGGACCGGTGATTGTAGGGCATGAGCCTCTGAAGCTCTCGTAACTGCTTTCTGTTGTTGATGGAGACCCAGGTCTGATCTGATGTCAGGGTGCAACCTTGCATGTCATGTTCATCCAGAGTCTGATTTACGAGTGCAAATGCATACACTGTAATCTGGCCGGTGTTCGAGCTGACAGCAATCAAGCGAGCAAACTTATGAGTTGCTAGACCCCATGCACTCATGCCTACTTCCTCTGTGAAGAAAGGGCTCACCTGAGTACCGTCAAAGGGTATTTTGAACCCTTCTTCCTTGCAACGGGCCAGGCAGAAGTAGATTGCCTCCACATGGTAGCCACATACATTGCCGGAGTCTGTGACTAAAAGGAGGACTTCATCACGTCCTAGATCATCGACAAGTATTGCATTGATGGTATGTGGGTTGTGACGATCAATATAGCCCTCTGCTCGAGGCATCTTCATCACAGGTTCGATAATCATTTGCGGTTGAGAGCCCAGCATTTGGAATGGCCCAGATGGCACCCATACATGGATTCTTCTTCCAGATGCCACGAAGAGTAGGTTGCGCCTTTGGGACAGTGCAGTCTGAACACTGGTTAGCTGAAAGGAACATTCAATTTAAGCCTCAAGACTTCGCACCAGATTGCACCTCCACGTTGCGACATCAGGAGGCCTGGTGTCTTCAGAACTGCAGAAGTAATCAGTATCACCCAAATTGTTCTCCTGTCTCATGTATCTTATACCTAGGGAACTGTTAAAGTTAGTTCAAGAAGCTCACGTGAGGTATGATAATGCGCGAACTCACTCTTTCTTTAGGCGTTTCAACATTGAGAACTTGGATCTGAGGCCGAGAAGAGACATAGTCATTAGCCGAAGCACTCTGGCTCCAAACATCGGCCCCGTCACTGTCTGACGCCATTCTCAGGCAAGGGTAGCTTGTTACTGGTGGAAGTAGAAAGTGATGTCAGGTTATGGGTGATCAGGGGAGTAAGAGGAAAGCGGGCGTGTATTTATGATTCTCATTTCCGGTGAACGCGGGGTAGTAGAGAACATAAATGTAAATGTCAATGAGCAGGACATCATCAGACCGACACAAAGAGTCATCATCCGTGACAGCGGGGGACGTCTAAGCCATGATGAAATGCTCCTCACCGCCTTCGGCGCCGCTATCTCTTCGGCTTCTTACCTCTCGGCCTTGATACTAGATCAACATCATGGATCTTGTTGCTGGTGTACGCAAAGAAGGCAGCCGGTAAGTCTTTTCCCTTTACTGTTCCGCTTATAGGGCTAATATGACGTTCCCAATCAGTGGCGGCCGGACCGAGTTCAAATGGTCCGATGTCAAGGACTCGTCACATCGCGAGAACTATTTGGGCCATTCACTGATGGCCCCGGTCGGACGATGGCAGCAGGAAAAGATCTTTCGTGGTACGCCAAGGGCGATGAAGGCGATGAAGAAGCGCAAGCTCGCAAACAACGCGAAGAGCTCCAGCGAGTGAAGGATGCCGAAGAAGAAGCCATGGCAATCGCCTCGGCCTACCTCTTCCTGTGAAGGCCGAGACGAATGCCAACCTGATTCCATTAGGGAGCAAGAACACCGAGGAAGCCGGTGGCGATATGACCAATGCCAAGGATCCGGAGAGGGATGGGCGCTCTAGTCGACGGCACAGACATGAACGTAGTCGCAGTCCTCGCCGACAGAGAGAACACAGGAGTCATCGAGATCAGGATCGGGAAAGGGACCGCCATCACCGCAGACACCGCCACGGCTCACGAGACCGAGATGAATTACGAAGGCCACCTATTTCGCGTGAGCTTGGTGAAGGGCGCAGGGGACGTGATGAGCTGAATCAAAGCAATGAGCGGAGACACAGCGATGCGCGGAAGCACGAAGGCGAGCGCAGGTGCCAGGAGCGGACCCGTCACGACGAGCGCAGACACGGGGAGGATAGTCGTGAAGACCGCCCTCGTAGATCTTCACACGAGCGCCGGCGAGACTCTGAACGTCGTAGATACCGAGAGGGCGATGAGCTCGGACGATCCGAATCAAGACAGCGTGAACATCGGCGAGATCCGGAGCGTCGTGCGGATCGAGATAAGAACTACCGTCGGCACTGACTTACCACTTTACTTGCTGCGAACGCCAGCAAACTTCTGAACCACGATGACCACTGGTCCTGATTGATGACTTCCATACGATCCTATAAACAAAGAATTCGCGAATAATCTGCACGCAAGCACAAGGAACACCATGGCGCAACTTTATTCGAGGGTCTAATTTACAGTCTAGTCAACTGGACTTACAGCTCGTCATGACCGGTGCTAGCACCCTCAGCAAGATCGGGCATCGACATCATGTTCACCACCATACTGGTCCAGCCGGTAAAGTGCTGCGTGCGCTGTCCCTTGCCAGTATCAGGATTGTACTGCTCCCAAGCGAAACCAGTCTCTTTCCATTCTCTGTAGACATTTTCGACCAAATTCTTACGGAGCTTGGAGTACATTTCGCGAGCTTGCTCCTGGTGAGAACCGGGAACGATGGCAATGTCCTAGAGAAAGGAAAGGTTAGCTTGAGAAATCAAATGAACCTGGTCAAGACTTACATAAAGATTCGTCAGCACCAGGTAGTTAATGTTTATCCAGACGGGGCTTCGCCAGTAGTTCTCATCGGTACCGTAGAATTCGTCCTTTTTACTCAAACTGCGGATACCGTAGTTGGACCACAGCTCCTCCGGATCGTTGATCAAGTCCAGAACAGGCTTGAGATGGGGGCTGTCGGGTCCAAGCAGGCCGGTCAGGAAGGGGAAGAGGGAGATGTAGCCCTTGTGGCAAACATGCACGCTTTCCTCAAATTCATCAATGGTAGCGTCACAGAAAGTCTGTTCTTTTTCGCTCCAGTGAAGATCGTCAATGTTGCGAGTAATGGCAGTCTCGTAGTATGCGAATTCCTCCATGTCCTCTTCCTCGCCCAAGTACTCCGCAATACGACGCATGGTGCGGCTCATCATACCCATCCAACTAATGAGATCGACATGCAGCTCACCGGGATGCGGAGGCTGGGCTCTGGGGTAGTCATCAATACCGGAAGTCAGGATGTGCTGGACGGAGCGTCCACGCCAGCGGTAGCCTTCCTTGGTAGAGAAAGCTTCGCGGTCGTAGGACTTGATGTCGCCACGCTGGGTGTTGCGGTACCAGAAGTAGTGTCTCTTCATGAGCGGGTAGAATGAACGGAGATAGGCCTCGGAAACTTCAGGGCTACGCAGAGTAGCAGAGCGAAGATTTTCGGCGACATCGTGGCTGTCAAGGGATTCGAATTGAGTACTCCTGTTGCTCTTAGCCTTGTCCATAAAGGCTTCCAATGCCATGAACAAGGTAGGCGGATTGGCGTAGTGCGGATACTGGACCGTGAACTCGGGGGGGAACCTTGCTGCGAGCTTCCATTCCAAGGATTTGCTCGCGAGCAATCCAGCCATCTTCGTCCATCAGGTGGAACCAGCTCTTGATAATCTCAAGACTGGAGCAGTTAGTATACAGGAGCACTATACAAACAAAAGGCTTTGGGGAACATACGCAAGGTCAGAGTCGTACTCCATGACGGGCATCAGATGGAATCCCTCATCCCAGAGGAAGCCTCTAGGGAAGAATGGGCGTGAAGGAACACATGTGAACAGATCTTTGGGAGAACCAATGACGGGTTTCGCGGCAGCGCGAGCCTCGGCCGTCTCTTCCCAGAAACCTTCGTTTTCCTCCTCATATGCCGGATGGGCGGACCGGTCAATAACATCGTCACCATGGAAGAAACCGATGCCACCAATGAGGTTAGACAGCATGGCCTTCGAGAATTTCGAGTACTTGGCTGAATCAAAGGGAGCCTGGGGTGCCAAAACCTGGTTGAAACGCTCAGAGAACGACAATGTGGAGGCTTCCAGCTGCTTCGTCAACTTCTCCGAGGTCATCGGCTCAGGCGACGAGGAAGAGGAGAAAAGGACATCGAATTCAAAAGCACCCGTAAAGACCTTCTGAACAAGGTGAACATTGCCACTGCCGGGTGCATGCTTAACCGTGAACAGCTGTGCGGGGGGCGGCGGGTTTTCGGTGCCGAGTTCATTGATAACATCCTCAACCTCGGTCTTCATCTGGGAGAATAGAATGCCCTTTGCCTGCCAGAGGTGCTCCTGGGGCATCATACCACTAGACACGATTCCGTGGCCCAGAGGCTTGTCTTCTTGACTGCGGTGGTCGTGCGTGTAGTACTCGTTGCTGTCCGGCCCGTCGGTGACATCGATAGAGAAATCTCCCAGCTCAGAAGTGTAGCCTGTGAATCTAACGTTTCCGTCGAGGGTGCGTCTTCGGACACAGTGTTAGGATCAACAGCCAATTGACCCAGCCCCTCGAGAGTTGTGTAGAAAACCATCGAGGTCGGCTGGTTAGGGCTACCATCTTTACGAGGGGTACCCTTCACACGGAATCCCCAGCTACCGCCATGCTGGCCGCCAGACACCTTGACGAAATCAATCGTAAGGTCAAGTGTGTTTCCTGCATCGTGGATGGTCTGTCTTCCACCCTTCCGAATATCGTATTCGTCCCAGCCATATCCAGCCATGCCTTCATTTTGTTCGCAGGTGTGCCTAAAGTCTTATCCGTGTATCAGCAACCATCGTACTTCAAGGAGCCAAATGAAATTGGAGCATACTCTGCTGCGCGGTCGCATAATCATCGACCTTGGCCCACATCAACCCAGCAGCTAAGCTGTTGGCGATCCGAGGGCGAACACCGAAGTAGAGATTTGGCTTGTAGGGACCCCATAGCAGCGATTCGTTGTTAGCGCGCGCGGCCTCTTTGACCAAGATGGATACATCGTTGGGATCTTGGCTTGCAAAGATCCCAACCGCATACAGTAGCGATGCGACTAGAACGGAAATGCTGAGATGATGCATCATGCTGGCATCACTCAATTGTGGGCATCGGAAAGGTGTTCAGTTCCAGGGCGGAGCTTGCTGTTCACTCCGCAATTACGTGGCCCGAGCTCCTGGCTCGAGATTCCGCTGAGTCGCTTTAACTAGGAAAAAAAACAAACTATACAATTCCAGTCATCTGAAATGTGGTCGCTAAGCTCCGACTACTTTCTTGCCTTGTATATTTGATCTAAATTTACAGCTGGTTACGAGGATCAAGTGATCCGATCTTCGCACTCTTGGCTTGTCCTTCAAATACGAACTCGCTTATGACCTTGCCAGTTCCCGGCCCGTTTTGAATACCCCAGCAGGTGTGGCCAGAGGCGAGATAGAGCCCCTTGTCGTGAGTCAGGCCGATTAAAGGGCCTCCGGGTCCAGTGCAGTTGGGAAGGTAACAAGCTTGGCGGGTGGTAACTTCGCCATCACGAAGTTCATCCGACACGCTGCCCACCTGGTCAATGATATCCTGGATGTGCTCAGGGTCCACCTCAACTTCAGCAGATGTCTTGGGCAGCGGAACTTCTTTATCACCTTCACCGCATGCATATACAGTGTCATCAGGCCGAGCATAGATCTCCGGCGCAGCTACAGTTGGCCGAGACTTTTTCGCAGGTTGAAGTTGGCCGGGATTTCGATGTTCGTGAAGAGAGCATATGCGCTGACTGGCCTAGTTGGTTTGATAACGACACTGTGTGCTCGCATACCTGAAATTGGAGCTTCGGGAAGGACAGCCTGCGTCCAAGGACCAGCAGCAACGATTACATCGGTAGCCGGAATTGTGCGCGATTCTCCAGACTCTTTGTCGGTATACGTCACTGACTCGACGACACCGTCAGGACGAGAAATATTTGTGACATGTCCGAGAATGATCTCGGCGCCCTTTTCCTGAGCCAGCTTCGCCATCGACAAGGTGAAAAGATAAGGATGAACTTGCGCAGTTTCTCCCGGTCCGCTCATGCTCTCATAGGCTCGCATAAGGTCAGGTTGAATCCAGTCCAGATCCTGTGGGATCTTGGCAGACTTGAGCTTCGAGATTGCAGCTGTGCTGCGCTTTTGCAGCGATTCTCCACCCTCTTTCTTCTCGGTCTTTTCGGTCATGGCACGGCCTTTGACGACGACCTGACCACAATTCGTCTCTCTGTATCCCCAGCGGTTCTTTCCATCGTGTTCCTCGGCAAGTTCCGCGTGTAGTGCAAAGCTCAGATCGACGATGTTGCTCGGATAAGCCCATTGCGCGAGAAGTCCGCCCGCCTTGCCAGATGCCCCGCCTGCAATGTCAGAGGCTTCGAGGAGTGTGATCTTATGACGCGATGGGTCAAAAGAAGGGTGTCTGGTAAGATAGTATGCAGAGCAGCATCCAATGATGCCACCACCTAAAGGTTTTAGTCAGTACGCTGATAGAGTGGGCGCGGGGTATGAAAGTCGCAACGGTCTACGCGTACCAACAATGACAATCTCGCGACGATCTCCGGCGACCGACATTGTCCTGAAAGACGCGATTTTTGTAGCAAGTGATCTGAACAAAGCCACGTTGAGGAGTGTCGAGAAGACTAACTGGGGGAACCGGTGTTGGTCCAAAGCAGGCTACGTCACTGCTGTCGGGGTATGCCTGGTCATGTGCTATGCTTTACATCAACTGCAACATTTCTGTAGTTTTCTCACTGTGATTTAAGTAATTCCAAATAGCATATCTGATTTGCTCAAACTTCCGATGAACAAGTGGCAATAAAATAACAAAGCCTTGGTCAAAATTTTAGATCTTCAAAAACCGGGGATAACATGCTCCACGAATGCTAGTTGTGCTGGGAATAAAAGCAAATGAAAAAAAGAGATTTCCCCTAGTGAACAGAAATGGGTAGCTGGGTAAGCCAAGAAAAGCAGAAAAAACTTGATCATCAAGACCGCGACGGACTGAGTGGTCTGTTGAAACCACCTGTTCGGTTCATGTACTGGCGATACTCGCTCTTCTTTTCCTTCCGCACGCCGTAGATGTCATTCCCGGGAACCTTGGTGTTCTTCGTGGTCCGGAATCGACTGAATCCCATGCTCCTCCGCATCATCTCGTCCATTTCGCCTTCGTCCGCATCTTCTTTGAAGTCCACGTCCATCTCATGGTTCAGATGACCAGGCCCCGATGAGCCATTGGGACCTCGCCCGTCACCTCGAGCTCGAGGTTCTCTGCGCTCGGGACGGCGATCAATTTTGAATCCTCCTCGCGGTGGTGGTGATCGTGATCGGGCAGTCTTGGTACCGTTTCGCACGGGAGACCGCGACCGTGAGCGGTCGCGAAATTTGTCGCCTTGAGATGGGTATCCTATAGATGCAGCACGGGTCAGAGATGCTCTCGTTAAGAATACGAATGGCCTTTGGGTTGATCTTACCGCGCCTGTCATTACCACGGTCTCTGCTGGTGCTCCTTTTCCGAACCCTATGCCCACGGCCATCTCGATCCCTTCCCTGATCACGACGATCTCGAGACCAGCTCCTTTCACGGTTTGTGTCTTTCCGGTCGCGAGAACGCGAGCGATATCGACGGTCATCGCGGGGGGCGTCGCGTCGGTCGTCTCTGGGAGGTGGGCGTCTGCGGTCAAGATCTGATTCTGGCTCCGCAGAGCGGTGATTTGAGTCTATCATATCCCACATTGCAGTGCTGTCAATGCGCCGAGCGCGCTTGGCTGGAGGTTCCGCCATGATGGTTGCAGAAGGCGAAAGCCCGTTTCGCGCGGGTGGTAGGGTGTGCTGAGGCGAGGGAAAGTGGTAGTCCGTTCACTTGTTCCTTCAACGATTGATATCAGTTGAATGATAGAGAAATTCACAAGCACATTGTCAACAGAGAATGAGGTGAGGAGTATTAAGTTGTCGCAACTGAGAACCGGCCAGCGCTGCTGGAAGAGAAGTTTATTCCGGTGATCGGGGAACGCCATTTGCGCAGTTTGATATCGCTCGATGCCTCTAGATGCAGCTATATGTACAGAATTTTCCCTGCTAGATGGGGATTCCTGATCCTAGCAGCTGTCGCTTTTATGGAACCGCTTAGGCTCAGGCTCAGTGAGTGTATCTTATTACGTACTTAGGCCGAGTGATCATGCTCAGTCCTACGACGTGACCGATGACTGACTCTCAGTGGGTGCGCAATGATTACTTATAGTCGCTGATTGTCTAATTATTGAGCACCTTTGATTTACTAAGCTAAGCTCAGAACATGCAACTTCATAATTGGCCAAAGTTTCGTTCGCGAAAATCTCACGCAATTGATACTTTTGTAGTCAACCTTGGTATGTGCTCGATCACTGCGTTGGCATGGGTTGAAAACTGTTGTCATGTGAAGCTGGTGCAGATTAGGAATCAGACCGCATCGTCGGAATTAGCTCCGAGGTGTCTGTACAGACACTCAAGCTAATTTCCAAATCAATTTGAATCTTCTCGTTGTATACATAGCCTGACCAGTTGCCCGTAGGATAGAACGGATCAATTCATTCCTCATGGAACACAGAAGAAACAAGAGATTCGGTCACTTGATGACATTCTTTGATATTTGCTTCAAGACAGAGTTGGTGCAGTTGAACCAATAAAGCTGTCGCTAGAGGTGTCGAGGGAGATGCCGAGGGAGGAGCTGAGGTCCGATGCAGCGGCCTGCAGTCTGCATAGCTGAAAGTTGGTAATTATGGACAAACAAGCGATAATTTCTGACTGGAAATGGCGTTCTTAAATTTGTAATGCTGAATTCAAAGTTGCAAAATTGGTCCAGCAGAAATCATAAAAGGTAGAAATCAGGAAGGGGGTGTGTTTGTATCAACACCATCAAGATATTCCTTGCTCTTCATCTTGTATACGGCGCCAACCAGTTAAGCAGAGTGCGATACCATAATAGCAAGTTCTCGGGGCTCCGGATCTGAAAGTCTCCATCTGGAAATACGAGCAGAGCGATCTCGACTGAATGCAGGTTTAGAGTGTTTAATGTTGCCAGGGTGTCGGGGACAGAACGCTGACGATTCCATTTGCCATGAATGAGTAATTGTGGCATCTGCCAGTCGCCGGCGTGCTGTGCAGGGTCCCGTTCTCGCCATGCTCGGCAAAAAGCGCAAGATGGCAGCGTTTGTCCCAACCCTTGTCTCCAGCTATCTTGCGGACCACCGTGGATAAAATAGAATAAGGGGTATCTCTGCTTCGGGTTTAACTACGATATCTTCACCACCAAACTTGCATCTGGCGCGGTTCATCACTCGGAAACCATTTTTGGTCAACTTGTCAGCAAGTTGGTATAAGAGCTCGGAATCCATTCGAGCCTCCCTTTATGGTCAAGGACAGTGCGTGTTCATTTGAAAATACAAGTAGTCCAAGACCTCCCTGTCCTGAATATCCAAAGTCTGGCTTGAATGTATCGTCAATTATACTCGGCATACAGCACAGTAGTTGCCTCGATAATACATTCTCTAACTGATCGATGAGAAGATCACTCAGTCACGCCTTCCAGTGGGCCGGATCTTACCTCTCTCCCCTACCTATCCACTTAAACCTATCAGGGTGTGCTGCCAAGCCAGAACAAGTTGCTACGAGGTCTCAAGAGGTGAAAATTGACGGCCTTTTTTGATTTTGCCTTGCTGGAGAGGCTTTTACAAAACCGTAGTGGAGTAGCTGCCACAAGCATGTATGCCTGACGCGAGGGTGGACAAATGGAGAGGAGAGATGGAGGAAATAAATGGAGGAACAGATGGAGCGATGGAGGGAGACCCCACACTTGAGTGGTCCTTGACATGATGCAGCCCCATTTCCGGTTTACAGTTAGAAAGCTAAGGGGGAATTGGCTTCAGATTAGGAAATCCTTGAACAACAATGGGCTTTCACAACAGATGTTGCTGCAATATCCGACGGGGTTCTTTCCGAACCAGTCTGGACTCGTGGGTGTCGATGCACCTGCAATGCAAGCAATCCTGATCACCTTCATGGAATTCACATCCACAGCGTCTTTGGATAGGGATGACACGAGTGCCGTGAGTCTTTACTGCTTCTGTACAAGATTACAGAAGTAATAAGAGCTTGGATCCTTTCCTTAAACGCACTCAGCTTTAAAGCCATACCCTGTTATATAAAATATTGTCTTTGGTCCATTACCGGGACCGTATGCTGTAGTATGTGATAGAAAGATTAATGTTCATAATTTTGGGCATAAGTATGTCTCCAATATAGCAGCTACGTGTATACTTTTGAAATCTTACAGGCACATGCGCACTCAACATAATTTCCTTTAAATTGGGACAGTCTCGGTTCGCCTGACCCATCGGGGCAGCAGTAAAGAGTACCAAGTAAAGAATGGTGGCGGGACAGGACGCCACCAAGCATAGCCACGAGTAATTGTTTCAGAAGCTCCGACCGAGAAAATACTTAAATACCTACCCACAACGAACACAGTCGGGCTAATCGCTTTCGCGTTGAAATCATGCAGGAACAGTCTTTTTACGAGAATACCATTCCCATCGCCATATCCCAACTTCGAGGCGATAAACAAATTCCTACCCTGCGCCAGTACTTTGACGGTGGCCAATGTCGCGTATTCAAGGTGACCTTCGTGAATGGCGAGAGCTGGGCTGTACGAGTCCCTCTTTTCGTCCGCCATGTTTCGCAGGACACTGTTATACAGCTCCTTGATTCCGAAGTTTGTCTTCTTGAGGAGCTTGGATTGAAGGGGTTCTCGTGGGCTCCAAGGCTCCGGGGCTGCAGTCTCACATTTGATAATGCCATCAGATACCCCTTCATCGCATTAACATGGACTCCAGGCAACCAGCTTTCATGGTCCGATGAACATCCTACGCAACCTCTTCGGAAAGAAATCCTAGATCAAGTTGCGACGATGCACACATCACTAATTGAATGTACCAAGCAGGCTAGTATGTTCAATGCCTATGTTCAATACCTTATCTGTTCAAACTGAGCCTTGCTTATCATCTCAGGGGGATCTTCGCTAAAGCATTTCACCCGGATAATTCAAAACAAGACCCGTCGTGTCCGCGAGGGTCTCCTTCCAGAGATCACGGAACAGGACTGCTCTGACCAAATGGAATTTCTCTCTGATGCTGTTTTACTTGAACTTGATGAAGCGCCTTTCGCTATTGCCCATGGCGATATGTCGCCACAAAACATACTCATAGATGAGCAGAACAATGTCACAGGGTAAGTGAGATTGTCCACAGGTTACAGCCAAGGTGCTTACTGCCGAAGCATTATTGATTGGGGGTTCTCATCAAGGGTGCCTTTTCAACAGGCGGCCTGTTTCCCCCGGTTTCTCTGCTTACAAAACCTTGACGTATCGCCAAGTCCTACTCTCCAGCAAGACCGGGAAGATGTACATCGCCTCCGTCCGATGCCAGAAATTACCAGCAGCGGCATCAATGGTTCAAGTGCTGTCATCGCAAAATGCTGACTTCCAACATTGCTTTCTGGAATCGATCATAAGCAAAGGAATGCATCGACGACTGGCACGCAAAGGATGGAGGCTTTTACCTTTCGAACAAAGCAGTAATGGAGAAGATGTCGAGCACAATAAGCATGAAAGCAGACCTCAAAGTTTCGGCTAAGCTCATATCTTCATATACTGCATGGCCGGCATGATGGCGATACTAGCCTTTTACATCCAAGAACGGGGTACATGAGTTACATTTTCAGTCGAAATTTGAGGGAGCAGTACTTGGGCTAGCATTTCTTTTGTCAACATCATTGATTTGAATGTCTAATCTTGAATTACATGTCACTGGGATGGAACTATGAAAAGAACTATCGTAGATTTAAGCTGCAACCGTACCAGACTACTTGCATGTTATATTCGTATGAACCTATCCAAACCTTTATCCTAGATAGAGGGTTCTCCGGTAAAGCCCAAGGCATACCTCAAAGACAATTTTGTATTGCGATTTTGTCACTAACTAGCGATAAAAATGAAAAGCCGATGGAAAGATCGCGGAGCAATGCACCCTCACGGGCCGAGCCGTCGAGCCTCAACTGTAAATCGGACCGCGAAATTTTTGCAGCAGTGCCCCTCGACCCCACTTCATCTGTCTTGCAGCCATACGCACCCCAGATCCTAGCGCCATGGCTCCTCTCAATTTGTCCCATCGGCGAACGCATAATTTGCTCTTGATTTCCAAGTTGTTGAGTTTGCGGGACACAGTGTCTCCACTTACGCTCCTTCAGGACTCGCTGGAGCAGCCCGCCACACCCCTCATCAAAGAGTACATCCGACGCGCAAAGGCAAGTTCAGGACTCCATCCCAGATAAATTGGCTTTGACTGTGGCGTTAGATGGCATTGAGATCACACTGATCACGCTAACTGGTCGCGTAGCTCTCCAAAGTCCATGTCACTCTGATTGCATTTGAGACACTAGCGCAACCCGATGGAGTTGATGCTTTCGTATCTGCCCGCCGCAAGAGCCCCGAAGGAATTGTCAAAGAAGCAGGCGCGGCCTATCAGCCCCCAACATCAGCCGCTCCGTCAAAACGTGAGTCTCGTTGGCTTCTAGTGCAACAGTGCTGCAGCTCATGAATCCTCTAGGACGCCTCATCATTATCGATGCCATCAATCCTTTACTGAGCTCGAGGAATCTCGACACTGGATTCCATTTACCGACCTTCCTTGGCTCTTTCATCGCGCCGGCTAGCCCCACAGGCAAGGCTGACACATCGCTGGTGGTAACATATCACCAAGATGTCCCGGGCCTTCCTCAGCAGAGCCCCTACTCGCCATCGCCATTATCCATGCTCACGTACCTGGCGACTAGCATCATTACTCTTCATTCCTTTTCTCACATTATGGCGCAAAAAGCTGCTCGCGACCGCAGTCTCGTTGCGCCCGTCTTCGGCCTCGAAGAAGAACAAGAGGGCGTTCTTCTAGGTCGGCTCGATAAGTTGCGCGGCACTAATGCCGCTGAGGGTATTGTTCTTGAACTGGAACACAGACGTAAAAGTGGACGCGGTGTTTTGGAGTGGTACCTTCTGCCGCCTGCCTCACGTTATTCGTCACAACAAGTGAAAGAGATCGTCACTCTACTTGATGATAATGTTCTTTATAACCCGCCCATGGAGCTGGACACGAATGCTGGCGATGAGGAGCCCCAGTCAACATTCGAGCTGCGTCTCACTGAGAGACAGAGACGCGAGAGGGAAGGTGTTGTTTTGCCATACTTCGATGCGCAGCAAGGCAACGGCCCTGGCGAAGGTGGCCGAATCCTCTACGACATGGGCGAGGAAGACGATTTCGACGAAGAGGAAGATGAGATTTAGACATGTCTAAAACAATCGGAGATGGTAATGTGAATGTTGAATCAAATTCATCATTTTCCGTTCTTGATTCAGATATATCGATTCTAGCGCGTACTTCCACAGGTCTTTTTTGGGGGGCGGGTACTAGGTTCTGGCCAAGCTATGGCCGCCTACTAAGACCCGCTTGCTTTCTACCCGGTCCGACTATACGGTGATAAGTGTCTTGTCTGCAATCTGCACACATTTTCTGCATTCTAGCTTGGTGGGTTGTATCCTGCAACCACCAGGAATTATTAATATGCATACGTTCGTACAAGGGGTCTTTGTGCCCAGTCATTGGTAGCAGATGGATCAGAAAAATCGCCACCAAAGAAGAAGAAGCACTAAGAAACCAACGCCAGCGAAAGGCCCGTACTGCGACAACGTCAGTATTTCCATCTCCAGGGTATGGAGCATGACATCTCACCTGTTTTACCAACAATTCCCAGTTGATGCGCACTGCTGCCCGGCGGTATTTCTTGCTGTCCTCGCGCAGGCGACCTGAAAGTTCGCCCATGCGCTCCAGGCTGTCTCCACGGTACAAGAGGTCCTCGATATTCTTGGTCATGACCTTTGTGACATCACGCAGCTCATCGTTTAGCTTGTCCAGGTTGCCCGAGGCACGGCTATCTTGGTACAACTTCTTCGTGCGCTGAATAAAGGTATCGAACTCGACAAAGGCATAAGGGCGAAGAGTGGGAGAGAGGTATTGTGATGCGGAGTAGGTGGTCGTAAATTCAGAAGCCAGATCAGCAAGATAAGTGAATGCAAGCTTGCGGGGGTAGGAGCGGTCGCAGATGCAGAGGAAACAGATATCGTCTTTGATTGTGTAGCTATTATTGTGTTAGTAGTGCCACATTATTGCCTCGTTTTTTTTTCTTACTCACTGGAGATTGTATTGACCGGATTCAATGCTCGCCTGCGGTGCAGCATTGCGATTCAGTCGGCGGAAGATCATCTTCGCTTGACTCTTGATCTCAGCCAGCTCGGACTCAGCCTGAAAGTGTTCGTCAGCTTCCAATTTGTCCATCGGTCTCACTTCTTTCTCTTACCTGTTCATCGTCGACTGAAGCGGCCAGCATGAGGCCTGGTTGCTCCTGAGTTAGCATCGACGTGACTTTATCTCATCCGCAAAGCTTCCTTACCATCGAGCCTAGCAATCTGAGTCGATTTGACCATCCCGACGACTTCTGACGGGTGTAAAATCACAGAATTGCTCTTGTTTTGTCCTGAAGACCGCGCGCAATCGGCCAGAATGGCCCGCAAGAAAGCGGTCACATATGGCAAAAAGCGCCGCCGCGGGTGTGTTGCGCCGATCAGTGTTGGTTCATGCTTTGTTTCTTTCTAATGATGCTTCAGACGACCTTCTACTCGCTCTACCAATGTAGCAGAGAATTTCCGACATATGGGCCCTGAAATGTCGCCCCCAACATCTGGTAAAAAGGCTTCCCCGGCCAAACGCCCCCCAAGGAAACCCGTAGCTCGCGGCAAGTGGAGTGAGGAGAAGCTGTTGACGAGCGACAAGTCTGTTCTCATTCATGAAGACCTTGTGGTAAATTTCGATGGTCCGGACCCCCAGTACGCAAAACACAGCTAACGAAGCAATCTTCTACTTCCTAGAAGCTCTTAGCGAAACCTGAAGCATGGAACTTGCTTGAAGAAGCTGAGAAGCGTGAGATTCTAGCTCTCCTCCCCGCAGACATCCACCCGGACTGGGATCTGTCAAAGACAGATCCCGAATATCGAATTCCACCACTGCCACAGGAATTTATTCGATACTCAACTAATTGGCGGGAGGGCATCCGTGTTTTCCAACTCGATCTGGAAAACGGCCGGTACGATCCCCAATGGTTACGCCAAGCCGAAAATGCTAGGCGCAAGCGCGAGAATGGCGATTTCGACAAATTCAAAGAAAGGGAGTTTGAGGAGTTCTGGGGACAGAAGCAAAGAATGGACATGGCGGCCGCAGCTGGCGAGCATGGTCGTATACAATTGCGTGAGCTCGTTGCGGCCGGTGTCATTAAGCTTGGTGATGTATGGCGATTCAACTTCGTCTTCGGCAGGGAGAAAATCGACTGGTTATCGACAAGGAAGCTCGGGTATGGATCATCTAGGTTGAAGACCCCTGATATTACAGATTGCTAAATGGTGCAGGTCCACGAAATTAACGGTACCCTGTTGTCATTCGTGGTCGCGAAGGGCCCACGTACTATCCTAACAAGTGCCTTTGGTGAATCAATGGACACCGCAGCACAAGAGACTACCGAAACAAAACCGAGCACGGAGGCAAAGCAAGATGATGTCCAAACCGACCCTTCAGAAACCGCCACTGCCCTTCAAAATGCCGAACCTGCTCTGCAGACCAGGACCTCAAACTTGAATGAAGATAACGCCCAAATTACCGCAACGCGCGCCGAGCAAACCAGTGAAAGCCGCTCAAAAGACCTCAATCACATTCTGAATGAGAAGCCTGCAATTGCTGTCATACCAACTGAAACTGAGATGAAAGCAAGGGACGAGACGAGTCCGCAAAAACCGATGACTTCTCCCACGAATCTCCCAGGGATAGAAAAGTTAGCTTGCAGGTCTTGATTGTAAGCCCAAGGAAGAATACGAGCTCAGCCGAGAAAACAGCCAAGCGAACAGTGCCTACTCCTGCACCAGAGCCTGTTGCGAAGCGCAAGCGTGGTCGGCCACGCAAGAATTTGATACAGCCTAAGCCGGAGCCTGAAAAAGAAGCTGAAGCTGAACCTCCAACCGAAAGTTCAAGCCAGCCAGGGCCTGCAAACCAGCAAACGGAGTCTGAACAAGCCAAACCTGACCTCGTTATATCTTCGCCCAAGGAACTACTTACCCCAACAAAACCCACTAAATCCTCCGCGCACACACCCTGCCAAGGAGTCTCGAGAACCAACAGACTCCCCAATTAACATGAAAACCACTCAAGACAATCCCCCCGATTCCCTTTTATCCGAGGCACCAGGAGACCTATCACCGCCTACATCCGAGCAGGAGCCTCAGTCATCTGCCAAGCCCAGACATATTTTTCCAATCACACCGTACAAAACAAATGAGGTTGTTGTCTCTGGCATCAAGGCCCCTGCAAATCTGGTCACCTGCCTTCTCCAAATCGATGGCCGACCTAAAGAAGGCGCGCGCACGGCAAATGCATGGAAAGAGATCCGTTGCTATCGAAATAACCAGGATATGGGTAGTCTTTTCGAGGTACGACAGACCTGGTACTTCAAACAAAAAAGGAACGAGAAGGTCCAACAGCCCGACTCGGACGCAGACACCGATTGGGTGGGCTAGAATTACTTTCCGCCTAAGATGTGATTCTGATAGCGTACCGTCCATCTCGAATATCCAGCAGCTAGTGTTCATCTTTCCCGGGGAGCACCCGCATCCATACCGGGGTCTAAGACAACTAAAAGGATAGTGTGGTTCCATCACTTGACCGTTGAGACGAAGCAAACAATTCGAAGATGAGATGAAACACAGCCCCACGGACAAATTCAAGCATTAAAGCTCTTACATACTCCTCTGTGCAGATGTGAAACCTCGTGACTTTGTACCTAGATCTCAGAATAGCCTATCATTCATTCCCATAGGCGGCATGGCATCTAAGTCCGCAGCAACATCAACAGCGAAACTAGCCTGAATAAAATCCTCTAATTCCTCACTGACAGTTTTCAATTTCTCTTTGACGCTTGCAACACCCTCTTGTCCAACGATATGCCGAGAAGGAGGGTTCTCATGTCCTCCAATTGAAGTAATCGCGTATACTGTTTCCGTGACCAGGACCTCGAGATGTGCAGAGCTCAGGGGCGGGTGCATGGAGACAATCTCCGGGACTGAGAAAGGGCCGTTTTCAATTGAGCTGACGCGGGAATTCTCGTTTTGGTCTTTTGGGTGATTTGCGGAGTTCACTCCTTCTGACGCGGCGTCCGGGAGTCGCGGTACAAGGTGGTTTAGTATACCACGGAACAGAGGTGCGTGGTTATTGGCAGGCGAGTAGGCAGGGAATATGGGCGGGACGCTGGTGACCAGGTTTGTGAGGATTCCAATTTCGATGCTGCATTGGATGATCGTGAGTTTTATATTGAATGGGGCGATTTCGTAAGCCAGACTCTGGTTGGAGGCATTAGAGATTATGCTGAATTCATTAATTTGAGTGTTGCTCACGTCACAAAAGCCCTCGAGGGCCCAGCCGGCTGCGCAGTACATTCCCAGTCCGGGCGTGCCGATGTGTGCCGCTGGGACATGTTAGATGTTGCATGATGCGATGGACAAATTTTATAGGCTTACTGATTCCAGATATTATCATTATATGACCGGTGCTTTCTCTGCGCATCTGAGGTAGGGCGGCTTTTATGATATTGAGAGGTCCGAAGTAGTTGACCTCGAATTGGTCGCGGACGAGATTGAGGGTCTGTTGTGAAGCAGATAGCTCTTCGACGGTCCCGACCAGAGCTGAAGAGAATTGTCAACACGCTGACGGAAGTATATCGAAGCTCTTGGGTTGGCTTACTTTGACTTGTACAGCATAGGAGGATATCAACTCGGCCAAATGCCGCGACTGCATCAGCAACCACTGCCTGACATTCGCCCATCATCCTGTATTGCGGAAATCTATTTTAGCTTCTGCACCTGAAATTGCCTCCAAGTTGTTCAATTGAATGGCATTGTACAACTCAATAGGCATAAGAAGGGATGCCCGCACCTGATATCCAAGGGAACGGTCTTTGTCCTTTGCTTCCATCCCTCGTCGCGGTGCTCCTCGATCTCAGCCAGGAAAGCTTCAAACCCATTCCGACGGCGCTCGTCGCGTTCCAAAACCGAGTGCGCTAGCCCAAGCAGTACAAAGTCACCGTGCGCTAGGGCCTGCCGAGCGACCGAGATCCCGATGGGCGAATCCCCCCGCGGTGATGAGCCATACTCTAGGCTTAGTGTGCGAGGGAAAATGCGAGCGGAAATCGGGGGACGGGTAGTTGTCCATGGAGTCGGAGTCAGCGCTAGAGGGTAAATGCGATACCCATCGCGCGCTTAAAAGGGTATCAGCGACAGCTCGCAAACGCGCTGAAGAATAGATCAATTGCGATTGCTATTGCGGAGCCGGAGGGGAAATTGCCAAGGCGGTTCCCCCCAAAGCAACGTTAGTCCAAGCGGCTTGGGCCAAAAGATAACACCTTTGGCTGCTGTGGCCTCTTTTCTTCTTCTTCCACTCGCCACCTCATTTTCACCATGCCTGAACCAAGGCAGCGCAGACAGGATGCCGAGCCTAGCGTTAGTATCTTGTCGGTGGAAGGGACTATCTGTCATGCCGGGCTAATGATCTCTAGTCTGGCTCCGGCTTCAAGGGCGCCCTCCAGGGACTCGGACTTTTCCTGCTCATGCAGTTTGCGATGAACCAATGGTTCAACAAGAAGGAGTCTAGTACTCCCGGTGCCGCAGTGGGTGGCATGCCCTCCTTCGCGGATCGCCCAGACCCGAGCGAAGTGGCCGATTACAGCGTCCTCCCGAACTCATCGCTCCTATCTGGCCGTCCGATACCTCTGTTGATATCAGCATCTATGTGACTCCCTCGATTGTTGTTCCCTCGTTCAAGTCGCCGGAAAGTGTTCTTGTGCTGCAGGAGAAAAACTTCACCATTGGCAATTACAGTGACACCCGTGAGATCGAGACAACCATCAAAGTCCCGAAGCAGGTTCAGAACAACGGAACCCTCTACGCTCACTTCTTCCTCGCTCGTACTGGACATCCGCTCGACCCGGCCGCTAAGGACTATGATACAGCTGATGCCGTGCACTTCCTGCGCCCTCTGAACCAGTATCTCCCCCACAAGAAAGCTAAGAAGCTCAAAAATCTCCTGGCTGCCTCTGAGGGAGAGGAGGAAGAGGAAGAGGATAATACCCCGGACGTGTGGACTGCTTCTCACTACCATCCTAACTTCACTCTTTCCATGATCCCCGACTCCGGCACTCAGCGATTCAGCCAGATGCACCCGGCCGTTCGTCAGCACGTCCAGCTGGAACGCACCGGCGCTCGCGACATCTCTGGGAAGAATGGCTGGTACTACCCCATTGCCTTCCTCAATACATTCTGGCAGCTCAAGACCCACATGATCGTGCTCAATTCTACTGTTGAGACCGTGCCCCTTCGCATCACTCTCAACAACATGGCAAACTGGAAATTCAATATCCTTACTAGCATTGACGGGGGATCCAAGGCAAGCTCTCGCCAGGCTGCATATGGTGGTTCCGCCCCTGGTGGTGGCGATGGCAACGAGTGGGAAATGGTCAAGGAGATTCTGTTAGATACTAATATTTACCTACTTGGCACCACTGGTATTGTCACCATTCTGCACATGATCTTCGAGACCCTGGCGTTCAAAAGTGATATAGTAAGTGGTCGTTTCCATATAATCTTATGTTGACTAGCATGCTAATCCCACCTCTAGTCCCACTGGCGCAAGAAGAAGGATGTCGTTGGTACCTCGGTTCGAACAATCCTGGCCAACGTCTTCATGCAGCTAGTCATCTTCCTCTACCTCATGGACAACAGCGACAACACCTCTTGGATGATTCTTGCCAGTCAGGGTTTCGGTATCCTCTTGGAATTCTGGAAAATTACCAAGGCTGTTGATGTCCGCCTGCGTCCTCCCCCGGCCGGCTCTTGGTTCTGGTTCCTGCCCTACGTCATTGTGTTCGAGGATAAGCACAAACTCTCTGAGACCGAGCGGCAGACGAAGGAATACGATGAGATTGCGTTCCGCTACCTGTACATCGTGGCGGTGCCTCTGCTCCTCGCCTACGCCGGATACAGCTTGATGTACAACACTCACAAGTCGTGGTACTCGTACATCATCCAGACTCTTGTCGGCAGCGTTTACGCCTACGGGTTCCTCATGATGGTTCCCAGCTTGTATATTAACTATCGCCTGAAGGTCAGTCACACCAGGGTCAATTCCAGAAGCAATACGCTAATAGTTATTAGTCCGTCGCCCACATGCCTGGAAAGGCTATGGGATACAAGTTCCTGAATACCTTCATCGACGATCTTTTCGCTTTCACCGTCAAGATGCCCTGGCTTCACCGCCTGGCTACGCTCCGTGACGATGTCATCTTCTTTATCTGGCTGTACCAGAGCTATAAGTACAAGGTTGACTACAAGCGTGTCAACGAATTTGGCCAGGGAGGTGACAGTGACGAAGAGAAGGAGGAAGAGGTGGTAGAGGAGAAGAAAGCCATAGAAGGTGAGAAGCAGGAGACTACTGCTCAGACTTCTAGCAAGGATAACTCCGGCAAAGCCTCGACTCGCAAGAGGAAGTAGTGTCTAGGTAGTGTCACACTGTAGCATTGATCTGCCCGTGATTCATTGAGCTCGCTTTGAGCTTTTTTGTGTCTTAGAAATAGCGCGACTTCCCGATACTCGTCTCGTTTCATCGCGTTGATGTTGGAAGACGTTATTTAATTCAAATTTGAGGAATTCCTGAAAATTTTCTTTTTGTTTCGGAGCCCGTTATCTCTACTTCGTCTAGGTTCAGACCACTGAGAAAGAGCTGCTTTTTGAATACTCCCAATGTTGCCGCCCGCTGTTGTTGACTGCCGCGTTAGGATTTAAGCCAATCCTCCGCGGTTCGCGCCCACGTTCTGCCCTCTAGATTCTCCCGCGATTCTGTCTCTACGCCAGGTCAGAAACGTACCCCCGCGAAGTTTGTCAAATCACTTAGAACATTTTTCTGGTCTTGCGCCCAGTACCTGGCTATAAACGGCGATTGGCGTTTCGCGACTGCGCGTCGTCGCGCCGAGATAAAGCACTTCGCTCCCCACCATTGAAAGACCACCACATCGGAACATTTCATGTTCAGATGGATATTACCAAGAGTGTGTCCTTTCACACTTGTTCCCTAATAAATTTTTCGCCACGCAAATGCTGACGCTTCACAGAACAAACTCGGCCAAGTGGCTTGCTTGATGCTCTCGAGCATTTGGAAGCAGGTATGTAAATGCTCTTCTTTTTCGAGAATACAGATCACACACGCTGATCAAATCGTAGTTGCACATGTACCGCTCAAGCAAAGGTATACCGATGCAGGCGAACTGGCCAACTCCATTGCTTCAGACGCGTATGAGAGCGGCATTCCGCAAACCGCGCTGGGCCGCCTGCTGAAAGTTCTGACCACGAAAAACAACCTAGACCAGGGAACCGTGACAGCGCTCGTCAAGAACCTCTATCCACAGGAACGAGTCGCCTCCAAATATATCACCCAAATTGTCTGCTGTCTGGGACCTAGCAAGTCCAAGCCCAGTCCAGCAACGCAAGCTCTACTCGTACGCTGGCTGATCCTCGCATACGACCTCCTCGATGACAAGTCCCATCTTGGAAAGCTGTACGCAGTTCTCTTCAATCATCTTGATATGATCAGTTTGCGCAAACCGCTGTGCCACCTGCTCACGCTGATTACGAGGCGCAAACATGTTAAGCCCTTCCGGATCCAGGCTCTTATGGAACTAATACGGAATTCCGGCGGGGATGAGAAAGAGCTCTTTAGCTTGCTTCGGGTCTTCAAGAATTATTATCCTGAAATCATTGTCGGAGATCTTGGCAGTTCGAGGAGAAGCGCTCTGTTCTTTAAGCATCCCGATCCTGAATGGTCGAGTCATGCAAAATTGCTGCAGGACCAAAGGATGGACTCGACAGAGCAGTCTAGCTACCAAGTCACTCATCGGGGTACGGTGAAGAGGAGTAAAGTTGAGGTAGTCATCCCTGTCTTGCAAACCTCACGCGTATCGAGCAAGCATACATCATTGGAGGAGATTCGGGATGTCAGCCATTTCGTGGAGAAGATCGAGAAAATTGAACTTCCGAACCAGATCATCTCCACGCTTGGAGATGCTATGGCTCAAAAGTATCTTCATTTGACCCAATCTGAAGCTGCGAGTCACCGCCTGGATGAATGGCTGCGCAGCTTTCTAGAGGACAAATTGGAGCAGATTCGGGAAGGTGATGATGACGAGCCGGAGATATTGTCATATGTTCTGAGTTTCGTGGAAGGCTATGCAGCTTATACCAAGGTAAGGCTTCCCACATCGGATCCTTTGATTTGGATAATAATTAATCACAGCAACTTTTACCCTCGGTTCGGTCATTCCTGCGCTCTTATATCGACACATGGAATGGCTACGATAATCGCAAGCAAATACTTCGATTGCTGCGGTATCTCCCTATTGAATCTTTCGAATCCCTGCGCGCGGATACCTTCTCCCCGTTGGAGTCAGCCATGATGAATGGTTCCTCCAGTTCCCAAAAAGCTCTCCTTGAACTGCTTGAGTTTTACTCCTCATTGATCAACGAGTGGGGTAACAAACTGCGAGACCAACCATCCGCATCCGAGGAATCGACTCCTTTGAGCAAGGTGATTAAACATGCGGAGCTCCTTGTTTCTTCAATTCAAGAATTCACAGCCGTCACCGAGGAGAACAAAGACGAGCCTAGGCCAATGATTCTCTCTTTCCTTGAATTCTACAGATCTCTCGCAAATCTCTTCTCGCACGCATCCCGAAATGCCAGAATCCGATTGACGGTGCCTCTCGCACCAACCGTCTACACAATCGCCTTCACCCCAAGCGTCGCCATCATATCCATCCTCAATGCCATTCTAGCAAGCTACAAGTCATCCTTCGAAGCCTCCCTCACATCAGAAGTCATACGACCACCCAACCCACCGGAACCGCTTTATGAAACCGCGTTAGTCAGTCAATTCAACGGCTATGTGATGGACATGTGCAACCTCGTGTGGCGGAACCGGGCCCTGAACGTCGAGGACCCGAATGCACTCGGTTGTCTCATCCCGCAAGCGAGCGTTGCGGCCTTCACAGAATACATTCGTAATGTGAATGAGGCGAACAGACACTATGATCGGGAAAGCGCTTTCAATTCCAACCTGCTCTCGGCATTCTCCATCAGCCATCATGCAGCATTCTGTAATTTGTCTGCCGCGTGTTTTGCGGATCTGGAGGCGGACCAAAGAATTCCCCAACATGCGCCGAAATTGAGGAAGCCGGTGACTCAAAAAGCTCTGCAGGCGCTCGAAAAGGATGGAGGTGCTATAATTACGTGGCAAGAGTACCGCGTTCATATGCTAGATTGGCTAGAGGCGCTTGGCAGTAGGGGGACAAGTTACTTGATGAGGAGTACTATGAAGGCTTTACGGAAGGAGTGAGGGGAGGAACCCGTGGACATGTACAATTATAGCATGAGAGGTAGAGGATAATATTGATTGTGAATTGGTTGTTTTACATACGAACTGTTGCCAACGCCGTTGAAATGCAAAAGGGTTGTAACCTGTACAAATATCGTACATGAGCCTGCTCTGCGTATGTTGACGTAGGCTTGGTCTCAAATCGTGTGAGAGCCTGATGACCTTTTAGAACTTCTGGATCGAGTTCATATAGATATCCTGAACAGTGTGATCCTCCCGTAAAGTACTCACCAGGTCCTCAAGATCCTTGAGCTGCTCCGAGTCCTGTACATCGACCAAGGTATCAGGGTTCGGATCCCAGAAGATCTCTAGTTCTTCCAATGTCAGACCCGAAAGTTTAGAGAACGCCTCGCCGACACTTTTGGTCTCAGATGGGTCGGTGAACAAGACCAAGCGCTCCTTCTCGTCCGTGATGATGTCGATGGCACCGGCCTCGATGGCTTGATCCAAATAGTCATCGGCATTGACTCCCTCCTTCTTTTCCATGGTGACCCGTCCTTTTTTCTCAAAGAGAAAGGTCGTGGGTGTTACTGTGCCGCCGCCGTTCTTGATCATGTACCGAATGTCTTGCAGCACGCGCGCTTTCTGGTCAGTCTGACACTCCACCACAGCGGCCACAGATCCGGGGAACATCGCTTCTATTGTCACATTCTCCAATGCTTGTCCTGTGACACTGAGCCCCTGGCCTCGGAGAATGGCGGCTTCGATAACGGTTTTAGGTATGGAGGCTCGTTTCGCATTTGATAGCGCGAGAGTCAGGCGTGGATTGTACTTCGGATCGGCGCCCCATACTAGAGGAAAGATGATCATTAGTAGACTCCTTGATTGAGTGCTGGGCCGGTAAGTACATTGTGTAGCGCTGCTGATTTCCTTGCTCACCATCGCGCGCTCTTTGCTCTTTCCCTTGTCCTTCTTGGCTTTGTCGTGCTTGATTGTCGACCATTTGTTGTGACCAGAGAAAGTGATGGCTGTTGTAATGAAAGTGCGACAGGAAATGCAGGCGGAAGCCCCACGGGGCTGCCGTAACAGCCTGTTTAACTGAAGTGCCATATTCCGGTCGAGTGCAAAGTTGCGCTCCTCCGCACTGTATACATTCCACACGGGCCGACAGTTTCTCCGTCTCCGCGGACGAACACGATAAGGAGAGATGATGCTGTCAACACCTCCCTCCCTATACACTCCTTTCATCCTGATGGGGATACCTGTTGTCCTCACAACATTCATTCAATGTCTTCCTCCGCATCGGCCCCGGTGTCATCGACCCCCGAAAATGCGACCCCAGAGCTGGATGTCCCCAAGCTCCATGCACTCCCCTCAGAACAACAGGACCTCTATCTGCTCACCTTTACCTCCGATCTAGTGCAATTTATTTCCAGTCTCGACGCACAGCAGGTATCAGCGCAACAAAAGTCTCTTAAGAAGGAATTGTTCAAGATCCTGACTCTTACCTCCCCCACCATCACGCGAGTCCTGCGCAACAACCTGGGACGATGTTTCGGCGCTATTTTGACGAACGGGGATCGCGGGATCCTCTTCGAGACGATTACCGATCTTCTTGGAATAATGAATGCTAGTAAGAGCGAGGCGGATATCAAGACAAAGTTCGCAGCGGCGCATTGTCTCAGGCGAGGTGTTTGCGACAGCCGGCGAGAGTGCATTCATGCAATCCAACGTTGCAGTGTCTAGCACAATTAAGCTTCTAAAGTCAACCAGCAGTCATACGGGCTTCCGCGGAGCTATATTCGCCATACTGCGGAAGATCATCGTGGGCATTGGCGTGCCGGTTGACGAGGCTACTGCTCGGGATATTTGGAAACAGGCGCGTAATGCGGCGACTAGCGACAAGTCTAGTTTCGTGCAGGTTCACTCTTGTCGCTGTATTGAGCAGTTGATCAACATGACACCTTTCTTCGATAATACAAATGACTTTGACAACCTGAAGACTGTTATGTGGAAGGTCATTGACAGCCCCACTGCCCCGGTTAGGCATGCAGCAGCAGCTTGTCTTGGACGGGCTCTGGTCAAGCTGCACGCGTCAGATACTCCGATTATGGCGGCCCCGAAGCCCAAGTCCAAGAAAACCAAGAGGATGTCTAAGAAGCCATCTGCTCGGCCCGGAGAAGAGGATGAGGACGAGATGTCCGAGTCTTCTGCTGCGAACGTCCCAGGAGCTGCTAAGAAGACCGAATCGCGATTGTTCTTCCTCCTTCCAGACCTACTGCGCCAATTGTCCTTGCAATACCTGAAGAGCACAACTTCCAACCGCTCGCGTGCCGGAATCTGCGTCTGTTACAAATATGTCCTGCGCAATTTGGGTGACAAAATCATCGATGAACGCTATGGGCAGATTGCGACCAATCTGCTCGTTGAACTGATGAACCACCCGACCGTAACTTACAATCGGTTCCGCCTTTTGATGACTCGGAAGTTTGTAAAATCTATCCTCGAAGATACAATTGGCCGTGAATTGCTCCACGAGAACAGCCAGCTGAACGCCGCGAAATGGATCATCAATGAAATCCTCAAAGACTACCCGCAGGTCATCCAAGAGCGCCGCGAGCCAACCAAATATACCCTAACGTGTGCAGTCAGCGCTCTGTCCTCTTTGATTTCGTCTCTCGGATCTGCTTTCGGTGTCCACGCAGACAGCTGCAGAGACGCTCTACTTCAGGTGCTTCCTCATCCGAGCTATACTGTCCAAGTCCACGCCGCGCACTGCCTGCGGAGCTTCGTACTTGCCTGCCCTCATCAGCTTCTGTCTGGTGTGACAATCTGCATGAACAGCCTCAACCGTGAAATCAGCCAGCTTGCTACGCCACGCCAGTCATCTCGCCGGTGTGTCGGCTATGCCAATGGCCTTTCTGCGATGCTCAGCACGTCTCGTTTGCAACCGCTTTACGGTGCCGTCGACGTATTCGCCCGCATCTTCGCCCAAGCAACCGACCTTCTGAAGAACAGCAGCACTTCCGAGCTACGTGTTGCTAGCACCCAAATCCAAGTCGCATGGATCCTGATTGGCGGGTTGATGCCTCTCGGACCTAGTTTTGTCAAGATCCATCTTTCTCAATTGATGCTGCTATGGAAGAATTCCCTGCCAAAACATCTGAGCAAAGAGAACTCTGCGGCGCCTGGTACTCTCGAAACAAGCTTTCTCACCCACGTTAGGGAGTGTGCTCTCGGCGCTTTGTTGGTGTTCATGGAATTTAACAGCAAGCTCATCACAGCAGATGGTGCCAAGAGAATCGCCGCTATGCTGCAGAATACCGTTGAATTTCTGGACGATCTGCCACGACCCAAGTCAATGGAGGACATCTCTCAACGCCTTCATCCTTCCTTGCAACTCCATGATTTCACCACCATGGTCCGCCGCCGGGTCTTACAGTGCTTTGCGAAGCTCGTGCATGTTCATCATCCCAGTCATGGAGACATCATCTCCCAGTCTAGCCTACTTAGTCTTGCTATCTCTTCTTTTGCCGACCCTGATGCGCAGTATCGCCCGCTGGAGAGCTCGATTGCTGGTTCAGCTGGACAGTTCGACGGCCTCTGGGAGCTTTGTGATAACTATGGTTTTGGCGTCACTGGACTTGCCAAGGAGTATATTAGCGCTGCACATTCTGGTTCGTCCGGGAATGATGGTCCTGCTTGGTCTGCACTCGATAATGCAGACAAGGATGTTGATGATGCTGTGAGTCTCGAAGTTCACACATTCATGGCTTGAAGCTAACCATTCTAGTTGACATTTCCTGTTTGTGAGGCCAGCGAGCACGATGCTGTTCTTTTGTACAGTTTGCGGGCTGATCACAATCTCGCTGTCGATCCCCCTAACACCGGAGTTGTGAACTCTGCAATTGACCTTTTTGCTGTTGCTATTGCCCTTCACTCGTCCAAAATCCAGGAGAGCAGTGTGGAACAGATCGCCTCATTTCTTGCTTCCCCGAGTCTTCACAGGAACCCAGGAAGAAAGGCAGCCTTGGTTGTGAACATTTCTGTGGCACTTTTGCATGCTCTCAAAGTCGCAGTCAAGGAGACCGACTTTGTTGCCGGAAAATTGAGCATCTCCACTGACAAGACTCTGCAGGAACTTGTTCAGGTAAGACATACCCAGAGACCGTATCATATTGAGACAATCCTGACTTGTGGTACAGAAATTCGTGATTGACACTGACCCTGTCGTCCGCACTATTGGCGTTGAGTCTTTGGGACGTCTTTGTGACAGCGCTGGAAATGCTTGCACCAACGCACAGGTCAACTGGCTGGTCGATACCATTGTTGAAAACCGAGAGCCCAATGCTCGCGCCGGCTGCGCCGCTGCTTTGGGTTGTATTCACTCGCAAATAGGTGGTATGGCAGCTGGTCTTCATTTAAAGACAATCGTTGGTGTACTCATGTCTCTTTGTAATGATCCTCATCCTGTCGTTCACTTCTGGGCTCTTGTCGGACTGGAGAGAGTGGCGAACTCTGCCGGATTGACATTCTCCCCATTTGCCTCCAGCTCGCTTGGAATGCTGGCGCAGCTCTACAACGCCGACACGCACAATGCGGAAGCAGCAGCTTTGGCTACCTCAAACATCGAAATGAGCTTTTTGACACCCGTTGTCATCAGTCGTTGCGTGGATTCCCTCATCAACGTCCTTGGGCCGGATTTGCAGGATATTGCTAAGACTCGCAACCTTATCCTGACTCTTCTCCGCCAGTTCCAGTTGGAGGAGAATCCTGCGTTGGTGACAGAAAGCTCCAAATGCTTGGATCATTTCTCCCTCTACGCCTCAAACTTTGTGGACTTCTCGGGATACGTGAAAAGACTTCAGACGGAGCTTCGCGCGAGCAACTCTTTAATGCGGGACGTGGCGGTCCGCGGTCTCAGCAATTTGATGAAGAGAGATGCCGCGTTAGTGGTGCGAACGGCCAGTGAGACACTTGAAGACGACGTCTGGCTTGCGTATGATGATGCCCCAGACAACAAGCCACTCAGAAAAATGATTCAAGAATGGCTGCAGCAGACTGCCCTCACAGAGACTGAACTTTGGATCCAACGCTGTCAGAGAATTATGACAAAGACTCGCAACAAGGTGGAGCTTCCACCATCCACAGCAGTTCAAGCTACTGCAGCAGATATTCCCGATGACGAAGTTGCAGGATTCGCATCCGCCGTCGCTGGAGAAGGTCAAGGCGATGCCGCAGGCGATGGTGTCGCTGGCCAGGAAATGCTAAAGTGGCAGACGCGTAACTTTGCCATGAGCTGCCTTTCCGAACTGCTGGCAACAGTCCAGGAAGCTATCTTGCCAGACACGAGCATTCCGGCAGAGCTTGCTCTTCAGTCTAAGGTTGGAGAGATTGTCAGAATGGCTTTCTCCGCCTCAACTGCAAATGTCATTGAGCTGCGTGTTTGGGGTCTTAGGATCATTGATCAAGTCTTGACTATGTTCGGCAAAACCCCAGATCCCGATTTCGCGGAAGCTTCTCTGCTGGAGCAGTACCAGGCTCAAATCGGATCTGCTCTCACTCCTGCATTCGCAGCTGACTCCTCAGCAGAGCTGGCTTCTGAAGCAATCAACGTGTCCGCGACGTTCATTGCCACAGGCATTGTGACAAATGTGGATCGCATGGGCAGAATTCTCAAGCTGCTGGTTCTGGGTCTTGAAAACTTCGCGAAGAACCCTGCCACCACTGGGATTGGGGATCTGAAAGGTTTGAATTCCAATGCTCGAGTGATGGTCAAACTGGCGCTTTTCTCTGCATGGGCTAGACTGCAGATTGCTAGCATCGAGCAGGAATATCTCAATAAGGTGGTTCAACCTTATCTTGCCAAGCTGACACCGCTCTGGCTTTCCTCTTTGCAAGAGTACGCCCGTCTGCGCTTTGAGCCGGACATCTCGGGTGCTCTAGGCACGAGCACACAGAGCAAGGATCTGGACGAGGTTTATGCTGCTTTGAATCGCGAGACGCTCTTGAAATTCTACCAAGACACCTGGCTCAGCCTTGTTGATGCTATTGCCGGCTTGGTTGAGAAGGATATTGACTTTGTCTTCGATGCTTTGGATGGCAAGCTCCAATTAGTTGGAGAAACAGACGAGGCTGAAAAGGAGGCGGAGGAAGAAGAGTCCGGCAAAGAGGTCGCAAAGAGCGAAACAACAGGAAAGGGCGACGACATTAATTACCGCGAGGAACCCGTCGCCTTCTTTTTCGTCTTGTTTGGACTTGCTTTTGAATCCCTTGTTGACCAAGCTACTACAACCTCCCAGCGCCTAGAGATTCTGCAGGCTCTCAAGCGTATTTTGAGACCCATCATCTCTGGAAACGCCATTTATCAGGATGCAATCTTCTCGGAGACCATGGACACTTTCGATCGCCTTGTTCTGACCGAGAGCACTCCTATCCAGACTGTCATCGTCGAGATTGCCCAGAACTTGTCACTGGACCACCCAGCTGCTAAGAGCGACCAGGAGCGAGGTGATCATCTGTCGGATGACATCGAGCAACTCTTCGAGTTGACTCGAAGCATCATACTTGTCCTTGCTGGGATGCTTCCTAACCTGCGTGAATCGACTCCTCTCGCGCGATTCAACGTCTCGTCTGATGATTCTTTGACGCTTATTCGGCTGGCTCTCCGCTCTCTGGTTGATGTTGCATCGGTGTTCCCATCGATTATTCGAAATGATCTCCACGCTTGTATCCTGCACATCTTTACCACAATTCTTGCTACCGGAATCTGCCAGAATGAAGTGGTGCCCCAGGCTCTGCCGATCTTCCGACAGTTTGTCTACGGCATCACTCACACCCCTGAAGTTCCAGACGATATCGACGTGGTTGCCTCCCAGCTGCGTGGCTGTCTCACTCGGTTCTTGACTATCCTGACCATTGCTCAGCGACGAGAGGCAGACTCCTCTATGGCATGTGCCAAAAACACCCTCCTGGCTATAACCTTCCTTTTGACAGCAGGGGGACATGTCCTCCCTCCTCAGGACCCAGTCATCAACCGCGTTCTAGATGAACTCCTTGATTGTCTTCATGACGTTGGCCTTGCCACGGTCGCTGCAGGCTGCCTTCGGTCGATTCTACTCAAGCCAAGCCCTCGCTATATGACCGACGACGTGATTTCTCGGTACCTCATTCCGCGACTCATCGCCTTCCTCGTCGGATGCCCAATTGACGGTGGCGACATCCCCAGCGACCCCGAGAACTCGCGCACCCTTATCGCTCGGACCCTCGTGTCATGCGTTAGCAATGCCATCTTCTCTCCCGCTGAGATGCCCACTGCCGCGTCGCTCGTCATGTCTGCCCTCCTGGCACGCGCCAAGAGCGAAGGACATGCAGTCCACCAAGAGTCAGCTGGTAATCTTCTTGAACTTGCCAAAGCTGATCAACTTATCTTCCGAGCCTTGGTTGCGAACATGAACGCGGACCAAAAGTCGCTTCTGGAAGAGGTTCTTCGCAGCGCGGGTGGAGGTACGAGTGCCGCCAAGGCAGGCGAAACCGCCGACAATCCACCACAGGCTGCGCCTAGTATTGCCCTGCGCATGGATTTCTAAACGCCGCGCTTGTTTCGCTTTAGTTTGGCTACAGAAAACAACAGTGCCATCAACTAGGCTGATGAATGTGACACGACTTGATGCACAGTGAGACAGTTAATGTATAGGCCGCCTACAGGCAACGATAATGAGCTCTTTTCCTTCATTTCCCATCATCACCAATCATGGGTAGAACCTAGAACATACATGATAAGCGAAGTGCCTGGTGTAGACATCTGCTTTTGCTTTAGGAAGCTCGGGGCGCGCTTATCTCATCCGAATCAGGTGACGCCATTTACCCTTCACTAGAAACCCGATTCAAAATTCCACGTTTCACAATTGCATCCATGATTCAATTCTAATATCTCTGTTCGTTTTGATAACCCTCTTCTGTGGGTCTTATTTCGCCCACGATGCCACCGGATCGAGGCCGCGCCTCTCGAGCATGCGCCTCCTGCAGAAAGCAAAAGACTCGCTGCTATGAGCCTGGAACACCGGGCAAAGCCTGTCTTCGATGTGAACGCCTTCACCAGAGATGCTCGCTGGTACAAACTGAGGATGTGGCTCCTGAAGAGGATCCGGTGCCTTCTGCTTCGGGTACGGATGCTCGGTATGATTAATTTACGTGCCACCCCTTCAAGTGAGCATCAACATACTGACATCTTGAATAGCTTGGAGCGTCTTGAAAGAACTGTGGCAAATCTCCTTGACAGATTGGGAGAGGCGCCGAACAGAGCCGAACATGACTCAAGCAGACTTGAGAGCGCACTGACGACCCCGGATCCCGGCGAGCAAAGGTTACATGAGAGAGAATCTTCCGCGGCTCCGATCATGGTTATCCGCGATTTAGCTACGGACTATGGTCCAAGGCCAGCTCCAGATATGAGAACTTTGGAGAAAGTCCTGGATGATCTCATTGCGCCTGATTTGGCATTGAGCCTCGTCACAATGTAGGTCATTATTTATTCTTGCATCTAGCAGCTCGACTAACCTTGGAGTGAGATTTCTTAAGTATTACGGTCGTTGGATTACATTCGACCCAGAAAGCGACCCTACTGTTCTCTTGTCCAAGGTACGAGGATCACCTTTATTATTCTGCGCATCCTGCTTGATCGCAGTTCGGCATACTTCAACGGAGCTAGCGGCAAGTCTTGCTCCGAAGCTGTATGAATGTGCTCAACCCTTGGTCTCGAGTGCACTCATAGCAGCGCCACAGCCTATCGAATTCTTCCAAGCGACTCTTATTCTTTGTATGTGGTCAACAACCGTAGGACAGGTGCCTTTGAGTATTGACAGCTGGCTGCTGAGTGGCTTTGCTTTGCAGCATTGTCAATCAAGTCCCTTGTTCAATGTGATTTCATCCCAATCTCAGCAACCTATGAAAATGGATGGGACAATACTGCATCGATACTGCTTGTGGAATCACTTGTGTTTAGCGCATCTGCACTATTGTGTTGGGACTAGTCGCAGGTCCATGTTGCAGGCCTGGCAGATTGAGCGCTGTCGGGTTATTCTGACTTCCGATCATGCGATCAACTTTGAGATTCGCATGGTGGTGGAGATTTATCTCTATTGGAATGTTTACGAACATCTGATTGAGGATTCTGTTGACCTTTTCAAGTCAGTAGCGGCTTTGCAAACGTGGGAAGGAAAAATGGGAGTTCGTTCTCGGTAAAACCCGCCCTCCGCTGAGCCCTTTGTGCTTCTCATTGACGCATAAATCACAGAGCAACCAAGATCCCAGTTTCTATTGATGGGATTCCATTTCTCGAACTTGCTCTTTTATGAGCATGCCTTGAAGTCAAGGACTGCTCGAGCCCGCGAGTCTGTCGTGTCAGAAATGATTCGCCATTCTACTGCTATTGTCCATCTCGCCATGGATACTGTGGATGAGCGCACACGCCACTTAAGTGACCATGTTTACCACATGATTACTTTTGCAGCGATCATTATCTGCCGCTTACTCAATAGCTACGAGGAAGAGCTCAGTGTTAATTTTAACATTGGTGGTCTCGATGGTTTGATTCAAGACCTTGTCCAGTGGCTTCATTCTATTGGCCTGCCTTGCCATGCCGCACACACACTAGGGAATATCATCGCAAAGGTCCACCAAATGCTACGTCCTCGTGTAGAACAGATCCCGTTAATTGCGCCTATCTATGTCATGCCGGAGGAAAGCTTTTCTAACTATTACTTCCCCGAATTCCTGGGACTGGGAGCATCTGCTGATGGACATTGGGACTTGCTCTCGGATCAGAGCTTCTTCCCGCAAAGTTCTGCCACTTCATGATCTGAACAACAGTGAATTATGACGACATACAACAGCTTCAAAGCCGAACCTCTCGGAAACGTTCTTTTGCATTTTCATCGGCCTCCATATCGCTTTTCAATCCAACGGAAGGGCGGAAACACAATGCCAGAAAATGCAAATGTCAGCTCATGACCGATGTTTCCACCGTGATTATTCGATAAGCGAGGCAACTGACCCTGCGTACCATGTCACCTTCATTTCAAGGGCGGCTCCATTGAACCCGAAGGCAAAAGCTCCAATTGCTGCCCACCTGAACGGTAGTCCGGTAGGGCTATTCCAAGCATCCCAATCATATGTTTTCCATCCATGGCGGAAGATGAAGTGCTCTTCCATCACGACTGTAATGTGAATGACTGTCCAGTATCCAATGACGCTCAACAGTGTCGACAGTGTGCTATCGAAATACATAGCTGCGAAACAACCCACAATGATAGACACTATGAAGCCGAACGTGACAAGAATGATCCTGGGGATACGCATCACCTATGGGCCAAGATTGATTGTTTGGAATGTTATTCTGTGCCCATGGTCATCAGATATTGCGCAATTGAATTGTGAAAGACATTTGCGACTTACCACAATCGCACTCAACGCTGCAAGGACCATGAGAAACTTGCCGAATCCACCTGCCGGCTCAAGCGACATCTGCAGTAAACCTCCAATGGAACAGGATGCGTGAGCATCCTTCCACCTGGTGCTAGTCACGACACCGCTGTACCTCGCAGCTCCGAGTATCTGGACCAGGACAGTGGGAACGAAAATCCCAATATAGGTCGCACTGAAAATCTTCCCTTGTGGAGTGTTGGCTGGCATGCGCACATTATAATCAGCCGCGCAGTTCACCCAAGAAACAGAAAAAGAAAAGATGCTCGCCATGTACGTGAGGACCGCAGCCGCCTTGTTCGCACCCTCAAGGTGCTTGCTACGCGCACCGGTGAACGAAGACGCGCCTGTACCAGCAGCCACGCACCATACAATCAGAGGCGGTATCCAGATATAGGTGACCAAACGGTGGATCCAGCTGATTCCTAGAGCACAAATTATCCATACGGAGGTGCATATTACAATGACCCCGGCCCAAGTTGGGAACCTCCCGTTGGACAAAGCGTTGAGCACCAAGGCTCCTGAGATGGAGTTGATTGCGTTCCACCCTGTGGTTGCAACCATTGAGAAGATGACGACAAGCATGTTGCCCCAGTATCCAAACGAGTATCGTTTACCAAGATGAGATTGTTAGCTTGGGGTATAATGATAATGAAATTGGGAAGACTTGAAACGATCACGCACGAGAAGGTCGTCATTCGTAGACCCGTCAATCCTACTATGGCTGTCCACGCAGAAAGTAGATCACTCAATAGATTGACGATCAGGATGATGATGAAACAATCCCAGAACCCAAGACCTAGAGAGCCCCCCCCCAAGGAACCGATATTGAGAGTGGCAACGGCCATGTTGGCACTGAACCTGTTCCCAACCAGTTAGTCCGGTGCCATATTTGGGTGAGTTTCAACATGAAAAATCCCAACAGGTGGTCAAAATCATCTCTCAAGGCATGTCCAAAGAGATTTTCAATGGGCGAGACCTTTCGAAATGAGAGATAAGAGATGCCTTCCAGATGCCCGGGAAAAATTCAAGAAAGACAATAATCCCTAGCTTTAGTTGACATGCACCGGTATAAGAAAGACTGCATCTTACCAGAAAGTAGCAGCATTCCAAAACTTGGTCGTATCTTGCTGTCGCTGGTCGTCGGTAACACGTTCAATACCACCCTCCTCAATATCAAATTTCCCATGGAACCATGGTCTATCCTTTTGACAGGATGCTGTACTTTGAGGCTTATCACAGTGCTGACGGCTCATATTGACGAGAAAATAATAAAAAAAATTCTGGTTGCTAGAAATGTAGTAAAACACTTGCACATCAATCACAGTCCACCGACGAGAATCAACCCCCTTTCTATACTTGCCCATGTCCTCATTACCTTAGCAAAGCTGTCTTCTAATTGCCCATAAAAACTTACTGATAAGCATATTTGGGGCTTATCTGACGCCATCACGACCATCACCTTGGCCCGCTTATCTCGCCACGGCATACCGCGGCATGCCGGTCCAGGGAGCCCTAAGTTAATACTGGGACATCACGCTCTCCCTCTCTTTTCCAATTGAAATTTCTCCGTCTCTGCTACTCGTAGGTGACTTTCCAGTGCCAATTTCTTTCATTTGTCCATACTAATATGTTGAAATGGAACAGTAAGCCTTCCGCCGGCGCGGCTTAGGCCTCCAAGGCATCGACGAACAACTAGTCTCACCAGGCTACGTGCTCTACTCTCCGTTGACATCAAATACCGCACACCTCGTGTCAACATCTGGCAAAGAAGTCCACCGCTGGACCCTACCGTACCGCGTGGGACGTTATGCACGCATTCTTCCCGAAAGCTCCCTGGCCTACAATGGTGTACATCCCGATGCTCCAAGATTGTTTCCCATGTGGGCCAAATACCGTGGTGGGATGATGATACAGCTTGATTCAAACGGCAAGATCCTTCGCCAATACTCTGATCCCTATGCGCACCATGACCAGAATCATCTCGACGACGGAACTATCCTCTACACGACTCTTGAGCCTCTCACCCCGGCCGAGGCAGCACGCGTGCAAGGTGGAATCCCCGGCAGCGAGGCACCGGGCGGAATCATCCACGCCGACTGCATCAAACTTGTCCGGCCCTGGTCGGCGTCCACAATTTCGCCATCGGCCGATTTCGAAGGCGAGGGAAAGGGTGGCGCAAAGCTACTCTGGTCGTGGCGGGCCATTGAACATCTTGATTCCGAGGCATTTGCTGCACACGCTCATCATCCTCGTGAGCACTGGCCACTTATCAAAGTGTGTCATTTGATAGCAATGGAAACATTGTCGCTTCGTCGCGCAATGCTTCGTCGGTTTTTATTATTAGTCGGGAGACAGGCGAGGTGCTTTGGCATCTCGCTGCTCCTACGGTCTCTCAGCAGCATTGTTCGCACCAGATCACGCCATCAGGCGATATTCTCATCCTGAGACAATGGAGTGTTCAGACCCGGAACCTCAGTTCCTTTCTCACGGGCTATCATCGTTTCAAAGGAGAAGGAGGTCAAGTGGGAATACGAGGACACGTCGACTGGAGGGTTGGGCTTCTTCACGCCTTTCATGGGATCGGCTCAGAAGCTTGGCAATAGGAATGTTTTGATTTGTGAGGCTGCCACGGGACGGATTTTCGAAGTTACCGAGGGTGGAATTCTGGTGTGGGAGTTCGTTGTGCCGCAATTGCAGGACTATAAGATGGTCATGGCGGCTGAGGAGCGGGAGGAGATGGAGAGAAATGGATTTTCGAACCAGAGTAATGCCGTTTTTAGGGCTTATAAATACACTCCGAAGGAGCTTGAGTGGCTGAAGGGTGGATTCTTCTATTCAAATGGACAGTGTATCGATTTTTCTATTTTGACATGGACTGTGTTGTCTAGTGTAATCTGATTGTGGGGGTATAAGGGTCTATTGGTAGTTGTACAACCCTTCTCGATTTTGAGACAGGGCTCATGGACGCAAACAAAAATGTCAAAGAATAGCAGTTATGAACAGGCACGAAAAGACAGAACAAGGGTGGCACGAGAGTGATCAGCCGAGGGATTCACCGAGGTGGGCTTCAGGTGGCAACTCTGTCTGGGTTCCGATGTCGTGGGTGACTTGAATCTCCTTGGTCACTTCTTTGTCGACTGGCTTCTCGACCATCTCGACCTTGGGAGAGTCGGGAACCTTGCGGGTAGAAGAGTACTTGAGGAAGAGGATAATCATGACTAAAAAGAGGGTCAGTCAACGGATTGAGGCTGGAATATAGAAGAGAATACTCACGAGCACAAGTGGCAAGGGTCAAAGCAGCACGTCTGGTCAAGATCCATCGCAGGCTCTCAATCTCGCTCTTACCGTCACTGTTGAGTGACACTGTGATCTTGTAGTTCAATTCCTGAACTGAAGTGTCGATCGTTCTCTGCTGTTCTCGCGTGGACATCTTGTGATCATTGAACATGCCCTTGATTTCATCCTTCATTCCAGCGAGCTCCTGATTGAGACGTTGAGACAGAATGTCTGCTTCATGCTCCAACTGCGTCCGTGAAGCACGTTGTCTCTGCACTTCAGAGTTACGTGCACTTTGCAATGACTGCTGGAGCTCTGAACAAGCAGCCTTAAACAAGTATGACTCATTTTCGACGTCCGACTTGGAAGTCAGGCTTCGCTTGGCGTAGTCGAGATTACCCTGCAAAATAGTTCGTACAGCTTTCATGATCGTGATTGCCTGCTCGTTGGTGTAACCGCCCTTTGAAAGATCGAGAACCAGCGAATATGTATCGAAGTGGTGCACATAAGGGGCAGGAGACAGATGGGGCGCTTTGCTTTCCGACTCAAAGGGCCCCGTTGGGGCCAAATAATTCGAAGGAGATGGCATGTGGAAGACTTCTTCAAAGGCACTTTGGTTCATGTATGGAGGCATTTGTGACATCTCCTCCCCGACATCCTTGGCCGATGACATTGAAGATGCAGAGGCCTCTGCATCATCGGTCTCCTCTTCTGGCACTTCCGGCTCCAATGTGGCATGACTACTTTTTCGTCGATTCGGCAGCGGCTTGTTCTGAACTTGAGGCAGCAGCATCATCAGCAACAGGGTCTTGCTGATCATCCGGCTGTGACTCTTTCGCTTGCGCTTGCGGCTCGGCCTGCTCTGGCGGGGAATCCGAAGCCCCCAGTTCGGGCTGGTCTGTCACATCTGGGTTGACAGGTGTATATTCCCCATCCTGCTTTAACGGAGCTTCTCCGGGTCGCCGTGGAGGAGGGATATTTGGATCCACGGCCGGTCCATAGCGGCGATGATAGGACTGCTGGTGGCGGCGGCAGCTGGTATGAAATCTATGGCGCGAGGCAAAGGGTCGGCAAGAGCGATTAGTGGTCGGCTGACATGAACGAATGGCACGCATCCAGTTTGGATATAAGAAAGGTAGCCTGGGAGTGGCCATGGTGGGATTTGAAGAAGTCACAATCATTTCCCGTCGGGGAACTCTGAGTGACGATGTCCCCCGCGGAAATCACCTTATGTAAGCACACTGCTTCGGCTTAGTCACGTGCATTTTTATTGCCCTGATGTAGAAGCTACTCTTATGTACTCGCCTCATTCTCTGATTGTTCTTACTTTTTTTCTAATATTTTTAGTAATATCGAGTCCTTTAGTGATGCTCTTTGTGCCAAGATTGAAATATCGACCACTGATTCAATTCAGCATGATCCATACGCTTTAGCCCTGGTGCTTTTAGTTACAATTTTTCTGTCTTTTGCTGAACAGAGACATGCACGCTAAAACCAAAATGTTGGCATTTTGGTACCTGCAGCATAATTTCCTCGATCAAATGCTAAGTAATGTATTATATCAATAGTTCCCGAATTGAAAGGCCTCTGGTTAGACTGTTCTTGGCACTGGAGCACTGCAACATATATAGAGGAGATTCGCGGTAGCAACTTAAGGATCAGTTCAATATCTCCATTTTTCTGATCGAAGACAGTGTCCATTGTATCCAAGATTCACTTGTATATCCAAAAGAGAAATCAGCTACCACAGAAATGCCGGGCCCATCGTTTGCCACGACTAAGCTCTTGAAAGAAAGCTATGCAAACGATGGGTCGGTGTAGGATATTAACGAGCGAGCAAACGAAAATGCTCTTTCAAAACAAGAAGAACGAGACAAGATCCTTATGGAAGAATTCAAGAAGACTGAGCTTGAGTCACGTTGATCTCAGTTTTGGTTGTTCTGGCAGCCACGAAGCCAGCCTCTGCTCTTACTTTCTCTCGTCACTTCATCACATCCCACTTCTCATACCACCGATTCATTCAACCCCCATCACACACATCAATTTCTATCGCACAGTATCTCCTTGTGTACCTTTGACACGCCTAGGAAAGTACATTCCGACTCCCTCCCAGCCCTGAGAAATCGCTTACCAGCGATGGTTTCTTCCGCAATGGAGGCACCAAAACCTCCTCTGTGTACGTTGTTGCTACAGAGCTCCGAGCCGAGTCTACATGATTACAATCATCTACTATCCGGTATTAGCAAGTACTACACTCGTCTGCATGTGAGCATGCGAGATGAAGCCCTCCGAGACCAGATCATGCTCAACCCTGAGCGAACGATCACACGTCTTCAGAGAGCCTTCAGCATACTGAAAGACCAGAAAATGTCAGCACCCGCCGCAGAGGGAATATTCAAAAGCGTCGTCGGAACCCTCGTCAACTCGCCAGATCACCTTCTTACTCCCGAGCTAGCCTTCCAGCTAGTCGGATCCTCCCTTTCGATCGTTACTCGCTACCCCGGGGCCTACTTGCAGCTCGTTGCAGACCTCTTTCTCACACAGGAAGGAATGTTTGAGCGCTTGGTTGCTGACGAGAAGCGTTGCTCCGCCATAAAATCATTGTTGCTTTCGAAGAAGACATACCTGGACTTCCAAACCCTTTGCGCTATCACGGAAAGACTCATTCTCATGTGTGACAGCTGCTCCGGCCATGGTGTCAGCGAAATTTCCGAAAGCTGGTACAGAGCCAGGACTTTGATGTCCACCCTGAAGAGCCTGATTCAGTCTCACCGGGAAGAGAACCACAAGACCAGCGAGAAAGAGAATTTGCCTCCCTTGGAGAACATGCGGGCTCTTAACCCCGATGACAAGAAAACCAGCCAGACCCTCATGGTGAAAAGTCAGGAGAGCTCATTCAAGATACCTCAGTCTGTCCTTGACATCCTGAAATCACTCAATGGGCCCCAGATAAGCTCCATCGGCCATCTTCTTCATGCCCTTGAATTCATTCAGAATGAGAAAATACCTGAACTCTTACACAAAGCGCTAGATAGTTTCCCATGCAGACTCTGCTTAGAGAGGGTGACGGGAACTACGTCCACGTTCGCGGGCTTTTTGGACCATCGCGATTGTCAGGCCTTGACTAACAGCCACTCGATTGACATATTTGGAAAGAAAGTCGGACTGTGGAAAGTTTTACTGTCCGACGCTGCGATGAAGAATGCGAAAAAGTTGGCTCGCGCAGGCGACTTTTCTCGCGTTGAGCAAAAACTCAGGGAGTTGGCAAGCGGTGCATGGAAAGGAAAGGACCTCTCCCGTCTAACTGGCTCCAAGAAGCAAAGGCAGGAAATGATTATCCCAATTCTGCAAGCTCACGTCTCTCGCACCATGTCAATTCTCTGGCACCTTGATGTGGGATTTGAACATCAATCCCCGGGCGTTCAGCAGCAGATTGTTAAAGTTTGGCAGATCACAAGCTCGGATGACGAGGTTGACGCTGCCATCAATCAAATCATCAGCTTGCAGAGCTATATCGCTCCAGAGATCGCCCGACTCTGCCTAACGCGCCCTGGACAGCACCCAAATGGCGTTTTTTTCCCGAACAAGCTGGGGCCTACCCAGGGTGTCTACGCAAAGATGAAACCGATGGGCGCAGCCAGGATTGATCATGCATTGATCGAGATGTCAAGTAAGGAAACAATCAACCCTCGTAGCACTCCCTCAATCAGGTCATGAAATTGATATCATCTAGACAAGTTCTTCAATGTGACTGAACCTTTCCTCAAGTCCATCGTCAGCAACACAGATTTGGAAGAGTTTCCATTTGACCTATCACCAGAAGAAATGGAGATTATTGGACATTTTAACACGTCTAGCCTGATTCTTGGAAGAAGCGGTACGGGTAAAACCACATGCCTTCTGTTCAAGATACTCGCCAAGCACAGAGCGAGACAGAAAATGCCCGATGGAAAAGCCGCTCGACAGGTAAGTATCGAGCCAGGTCAATCTCAGGTCTTCTCATACTAATGAAAAAGCTCCTCCTGACCCGTTCACCATATCTGGCCGCAAAGCTTCAGACCTATGCCAGAAGCTTGATCAATACGCAGTTCGAAAAAGAGGCACACGGAACACCCTCTTACAATGAGAAGATGGAGTCTTTCTTTGCTTTGAAAGACGAAGATTTCCCTTTTGTTTGCACGTATGATGCCTTTTTGAATCTCCTTGAGCAGACGTTCAGGTTCGTTCGTCACCTCCATTCAAGATCCATCAAGCAAGGCTATGTGACTGTTTCAATTCTCGTTAACGTTCTCCAGGCGAGCAAACCGCCAAGATTTTCTCGAAAGCACTCGACCCAGGACAAAGAGTACAAATGCAGAGCTGCAAGCACTCGACAAGCCCAAGGTGGTAGATTTCAATGTTTTCAAGACGGAGTATTGGAGCTGCCTCTCCGGGATGGTTCCATCTGGATGTTCCCCGGAGCTTCTTTTTGCGGGAATAATGGGAGTCATCAAGGGTTCGGCAATCTCCGCGAGCACCTTGATGCCCCTCAATCGTGCCGAGTATCTCTCCAATTCCTCCAAGGCCTCCCCCGCATTTGCTTCAGAGGTAGAACGCGAAGTTGTCTACCGGACTTTTGAACGATATGAACGGCAGAAGAAACAGCGACACCAAATTGATGAGCTGGACCGTGTCATAGATTTGTTGAAGTTGCTGAAAGGGGATTCCTCTTTGGAATCTCTCATTCGTCATTGCTTTGAAGAAGTCTATGTAGACGGTATCATCATCAGCTCCCATTCCGAAAGTTGCATGCCGCTAACCTTCTGCTCAGAGATCCAAGACTTACGTTGTCTCGACATCGTTTTACTTCTAAGCTGCTTGAGTGATGCTCGTGGCATTCATCTGGGTAAGTCACTCGGTCAGTGAATCTTGAATGTTCTTTAATACTTTCAAGCTGGGGACACGGCACAGTGTATTTCGAAGGACTCTGCCTTCCGGTTTCCCGAAATCAAAGCGCTCTTCTATGACTATTATGAGGTAATTTCCAAAGAGCTGAATCAACCTTCCATCGCCAAGCCTGTGCAGTTCATGCTGGCCAAGAACTACCGGTCTCATCAAGGTATTCTTAGCTTCGCATCTTGGGTTATGACAATGCTGTGGAATGGCTTCCCTGAGACCATCGACAAGCTAGATCCTGAGATCGGTCAGACCGGAGGCCCCAAACCAATCATTTTTGCCGGATTTGACTCTTCGATTCTGTCAGCCAAGATGATCGGTCTCGTCAAATTGAACGACCAGATAGCTAACTTCGGTGCCGAACAAGTGATTCTTGTCCGGGACGATGCATCCAAATCTAGACTGCAGGCACAGATTGGTGATATCTCACTTGTTCTTACCATCCTCGAGAGCAAAGGCATGGAGTTCGACGATGTCCTTGTCTATGACTTTTTTGGAAGCAGTGGACTTGGTAGCAGCTATCGATGCTTGTATTTGCTTGCTCACAAGCAACATACAAAGTTTGACGCGCGAAAACACGCGGTGAGTCTTTGTTGGTACGAAGATCATAGAACTTCACTAAATCTTGAACAGGCCCTGTGCTCTGAGCTGAAGGTACACGAATATCTAAATCTCACATTTTGTCTGGGACCCAACTGACGAATCTATTGAAGCATCTTTACGTTGCAGTAACAAGAGCGCGCAAGCACTTGTGGTTCATGGAAACCATTGAGGCCAGCATCGATCCAGTTCTTCAAGCGCTCTCGGTTCATGGACAGACTGATCTCGCTGAGCTCGTGAGGAAGAAAGATCGAGATGTTGCCGTAAAGGTCCAAGTCCTCCGAGCAGGTGGCTCGGTGGACCCAGAGAGATGGCTAAAGCGAGCAGCACATCTGCTACACCAAAAGAACTTTGCCGATGCCTTGTTTTGTTACAGAAAAGCAAATGACTCTCGCGGTATGACACATTCCCAAGCCTGGCTATATGAACAAGAGGCGCGATCACTTCGAGCACTCGATGATCTTGAAGGCTCTACTTCCAAATATGAGCAAGCAATTGCGTGTTTTCTGGAACTTAATTTGTTCTCCGACGCTGCAGACTGCTACCAGGCTCTTGAAAGATACGACAAAGCTGCAGGTACTGGATTCGTGTATCATACTTGCCAATGACTGCCGACTAATCCATTCACAGAAATCTGGAAAAGCCAAGGCCAATTACCTAAAGCCGCAGCGTTTTACGAAAAAGGTGGCCACTTGCGTCAAGCTTCCGATTGTTTCCATTTGCATGGAGATTATGAACAGGCAATAGAGGTCTTGCGCCGAGGTAAAGAATTCGGTGAGCTGATCCAATACATCAAGCGACATGGACATAGGCTTCCACTCCATACTTTGACCCGCTATTCTCGGCTCTGCAACATCCTGCTCAGACAAGGCCGCATTTCGACTGACTTGAGAGCGACAACAATCGATCTTTTGGGATCCGATGTAGAAAAACTGTCATTCTTCAAGGAATTTGAGATGTTTGATCAGATGCGATCGCTCTACAAAGAGCGCCACAGGTGGTTTGAATACTACGAGCTTTCGGTCGCCGTTGGAGATCTGCCTGAAGCTATGAACACCCTTCTGACCCAGAAACTGTTGCCAGTGATCGACAAGAAAGTTGCCGAGATGATTTTGCACTACTCAATGGCTGAGACCCTTCTCAATCACCGCCACTTGATTGACAGCCGACCCGAGCTGGAAAAGGATTTGTTACAGTCATCCCGATCGACACCCTTAGAAAAGACTGCTCTGCAATGGCTCAGTATTTTCAACTTAATTGATGATTATGAGGGAAAGAGCGCTCAGGCTTCATTCAAGTCGCTGGGGGCAAGCCCAATCCTAGTAGACTTCTTCAGTCTTTTCTCGATTGTCTACCAGTCCGAGATCAAGCTTCTCGAAAGGGACAAACTCATGAACCTACCCATGGACATCCTCACCCATGTCATTCGACTCATTCAGAATATGGAATTTGGAGAGCTCAAGGATTCGGAAGGTCTAATGCTCGTCTGCGGTCTATGGAGCTCGCCAAAAAATTCAAACCAGATGACTGTACTTCCTTGGTCCCCTCTGCGGACCGACGGTTTGCAAATGCTAGAGGACATGTCCCTAGAAGCTTTGCTGACTCAAGCAAGACAGTGGATTCGAGAGAGATTCTTCAGTACTGTGGAAGCCTTCCAAAGCGTTGCTTTTAATCTCTTCAAAGATCTTTTTCCCCGGCGCTGCAAGCACTTTCTTTACAGGGGTAAGTTGAGATGAATGCAACTCAAAGCTGCTTCGGGACTGCCTCCCCCACTCCTACTAGTCATACAAATTAGCAAGGAAGGCTCGAGCTAATTCGTTTCAGGGACTTGCCTCAAAGCTCGCGCAGGAGAATGTCATTTTTTTCATGAAAAACCAAGCCACGACGACTGTTTTTTGAAGCTGACTTGCCTTCTCAACGTCAGTGAAGTCTTGAGCAGACTCAGCATCTTGTATTATCACCGACTCATGCCGGAATCTTTCTGCGTACAATACCTTGGCATGCGGAGACGCTGGTTGCACCTACTCCTCAATGAGCTGATTTTCATCAGTTCTTTCGAGCATTCAGCCGAAGCAATTTCAAAAATAGGCAATTTGCTACATAGCCCGATGTTCTTTGCCACCACATCGAGCATTGAGAATCTCCTCTTCTATCGAATGCAGGAAGAGTGGCATGAGATCTATACCTTCAGTGGAATCTTTGAGCAGCTTCAGATGGCCCATGTTCTCGGTGAGTAATTTCTTGTCAATTGCTTTTTCACCCGGACAATCCAAATTCTAATTTTAACATAGGCCCTCGGGTTGCTCTCAGCTACGCCCGCGCCTTAGCAAAGAAAAAGAGCTACATTCTAGGCCGTCGCCGAAGAGAATCAAATCCGTTGAACAACACATTCAGCGCTGTGCAGGCAGTAGATCAGATTCGATGGGCTATTTCAGAGGCCAACATCACAGACTTCGTGAGTCCTCCTGCTTGCATGTAGATTTATGCTAATTTGAACATTGCAGTACTCTCGAGTCAGGGAGTTTCTCATCTGTGTGGAGCGAGCTGAAGCTACTGAGCTCAGGACCTTCCACAGCGTAATGGCAATTTTCGAACTTGTGGCGACATACATAGTGCGTCAATTTCATGTCTGGGGTCGGGAACGGCTTACTTACATTTTACAGCTGTGTATTGTCAATTACAACAACGCCATAATGGTGCCATCGTCATGGGCCATACAATATCTCCCAGTGATTTTCAAGGCCCCACTGGCATGGAACCATTTTTACCAGGATTCGGATCGCAACATGCAGCTCGGACTCCTCAAGGCACTCATCGGATCATTCTGCAAAATCACTGAAAGTCTGGAGCATGCCATATCTCGGCACAATTTCACAATCGAAGCGCTAAGTCACAGATCCTCCCCCGTGGTCCACAGGAAGCGCATTTTCGACTATCTTACAACAATCATTCTGAATCTGCATGCTTACACGCCTCTGCCTCGAGGGTTTGCAGATATGTGGGAGAAAGCACAACAGGTACGTGTTATAATCAATGGAGAGTCTCTTTTTAGACTTTGTTTCGCGAGTGAAATGAGTTTGTTCCTATATCAGTTCAAATTCACCGTTCCGCGTCATCTATTTTGATACCCTGCAATTTGCTAATTACACAATCGAAAAGGTGATCATAAATTCTGCACCGCCTTCATTTGTTTGTTCAACAGCCATTTCGAAATTTCGGGACGAAGTCACACGGCAGTATGCTGGCTACAATGACAAAGATAAATTGCAAGTGATCTGTCTCGACGATAACAACAAATGTCCAGCCTTTTTGCGCAGCTTTGTTACAACAGCAAGTCCGCAGGTGAAGCTCAGCACACTTCTCGAAAGCTCGTCGGGCGAGGATAAGCGTGCACAGACAACTCTTGCGAAAGACGCCGCCGACGCTGACGAATACACCCGTCACGAGCTGGAAGTAATCATTAGCCTCCAAAGTCGATGGCGACGCGTTATGAAGATCCTCGCAGACGCCCGCTGCCTGAAAAGATCCAACAAAGGGCAAATCTTCCTCCAACTTTTTGCCCTTTGCCAGCAAAGATTCAATACTCTCCCTGGCTCAGCCCGCGTATCTGCGAAGGAAAAGATTCGCATTCGCAAGTTAATTTTCACTAACGGCGTGGACATTATAAGTGAACTCAACAGCCTGTATACGAGTCTCCGTCGATTGAAGGAGAAGTGGAAAAGCTGTCTCGAGAACCCTCACGTCACCGCGGAAGAAATTGAGGAACTGGATACCGTGCACGGACATATCCGTCCCTTGGAGGTCAAGCTTGAACAAATTGCCCAGTTATGGTCGTTGAAGGGTCTGAGTGTCAGTATCATCATGGTCACTGCGAAGTCCCATGGTGAGAAGGCTCGCGAAGCTCAACGCACTATCTGGGCTGTCAAGCAAGAGATTGAGGTTGTGCGGAGCCAACTTGAGGAAGTTGCCAAGTACTAGGCCTGTGAGGAGTGAGTTCTCGGGGAATTTGACACTGACGAAAACAAGGTAAGAAACGAAACCCTACTGCGGTGTGCTTATGTATGGTGGTATGACCGTATGATGTACGACGATTGCGAGAATCGCGTTCTGTATGATCAGTGTTTTGAATTATGTAAGAATCAATGTTTATCATGGAACATGTAAAGTGACGACCTTAGGGCCCTTCCAAGAAGATGCGTACATTCTTGAGAGTCAATTGCTTAATTGAGCACAAAGACTTGCTCATCCTATCCCATTTGGAAAGCTGTCCTTGAATTTGGAAAATCATGCTCTAGTTTCATATCTCGCTCACTCCTAAACATGCCAAACCCACCAATGAACAGAAGATAGGGTGCACCTGTAATCATCTACCGGGGCTGAAGTCTTGATTGAGTGGACCACCAAGAAAGTTTCGCGAACATTAGGCCTGAGCAAAGTTTCGCTAGTTGGTTTTGAAATGCGCAAGTTGGACGTTGCGAGTCCTCGAGCAATGCAAGAACATTTAAATAGTTTCTGGACAATGCCGTTTTCCTATTCCCGTTGCTGTCATATCAATCTATAAGTTCTATCTGCGATTCAGTCCGCTGTATCGTTGCCATCAAAGGAGTCAACACATAATCAGCTAAGATGGTAAAATAGAAGGTATAGGAAAGAGGGTGCCCCTGACATGTAGGAATTCCAAGATGACCATTCAAGGTTTTTGTCCGATGCCTTTTTGAGGCAATGGTATTTACATCTATAGCCTAAGACCGGCCACTTTTCAAAGTATAAGAAAAAGGAAAAAGGGAAAAGGGAAAAGGAAATGTCCACGGCTAGAATGCGAGTCAAAATTGGGTTCACTCTATGCTATGCAAATAATGCTACACTGATCCATGCGCACATCGACCGCTAAGCCACCAATCCAAAAAGCATCTCTGTACGCTTCCAATATTCCTGAGCCAGTTTCCGCACAGCCTTGACTGCTTCCGCGCTTGGCTCTGCGCTCTTCTGTACTCGTTCAGCGACGCCAGCCAGCTGGGTCGCGTCGCCTAGCATGTTGGCTAGATACATCGCATCAAAAAAGAGTTGGACTTTCCAGTCGCGGAGAATTTCAGTGTGGGATGGTGCATTGGGGAGTTCTGGAGTCTCGGCAGTCTCGGTCTCCGTGGATGTTTCTGCGTCTTTCTCTTCGCCGCCGTTTTGAACTTCCTTATCGCCATTAGACTTGGACTCCTTGGTCTTGGGTTTCCAGGCTTCGAGTTCATCGAGGACAGAGCCAAGTGAAATCTCCAGATGCTTCTGCAGCAACTGCTTCAATACCTTTACGGTTGACGGGTCCCAGAGATCCGACCCCTTTTCATCCATCGTGGCTGTCAGACGACGCAGGTATTTGAATGCACCTGGTGAAGGTTGCACCGGGACAGGCGGTTCACCTTCCCAGAGCGACCTGCCAGGAACAATCTTGACCTTGCCGGTCTCGGGGTGACATTTCGATGACGGAACGAATGATAATGAGCCATTTTGAGCAACAATCTCGGTGGCGAGTAGCTTCTGCAGTTCGGGTACAACTTCGCTGGAGAATGTAAAGTGCTTGGCAAGAAAGTCTGTTGGGATGTCCATCCGCACGAGGCGGATAACTCTGAGAAGAAATACGGCCTTTTCGCTTGCGTGAGAGGGGCCAAAGCTTTGGAAGACCTCGCCAATTGATGAGTTGAGACTTTCAAGAGCCTGTTGCACAGCGGAGTGGAGAGCATCTGACAGGAACTTGGGGTCATCCTCGTTGAGTTGTGGGTTGACATCAATGTCTTCGTCCTCAACCTCGCTGCCAACGAGGACGTCGGTCCATTTCAGGCGACGTAGGGAGTCAATAGACTCTTTGACCTCCTGAATAGATGCAAGCCATGATTTGTATTTCTGAAGGATGGTAGAAACATCTTCGTCACGACCAAAGAGTCGATCTGCAACAGTCTGTTTGAAAAGAACAGCACCGTTCGAGAAATCTGCATTGATGATATCTGGTCCCCAGAGGGAGCCGATGGTCTTATGCTCAGTGGTTTCCCAGGCTTTAATAGTTGCTGCTATTTGGGCCGCGACTTCTTCGATTGTTTGCACTTGTGCAGTCAGAACCCGTTTGAGGTGGTCATGGAAAATTTTACGCAAACGCTCGAGGACGTCAACAGAGCTGTGTGTGATGGTTGAGCCCCAGGATGATAGCCATAGCTCCACAGTATCGGCACGGAGAGATAGAAGTTCGTTGAAGTTGTTACTATGGGCAAGGCTCTTTTGGCAGCTCTCGACAAACTTGTCAAAGGCCTGCAGGGACCACTGCTTAATGGACTCAACACCCTCAAATCGGCTCATTTCACTCAGCTTAATCCAAGGCGTGAAATTCTTGACATCGGGAGCAGCCCAGCGACCAAGAACCTCAATATCCAAGCCGTCCAAGCCGCGAATCTCTGGGTCAGAGAGGAGAGGTCTTGTCTTTAGCTTGGATAAAACATCAGAAAATTGGCGTGACCTCAGCACCTTCGAAGTCTGTAGTGTGCGAACGAATAGTTGAAGACTCTTTGGAATGTTTTCGCGTGATAAGGCCAGCTGGTTGACCATGACATCCAGGCGCACCTGGTGGAAATGGTGAATGGCGTCGTCTGAAGACGAACTTGTAGCGAGGCAGTATGCTGCCAATGACTCGACGATGTAATCCTCTGCGACGTTTGTGGATGTGAGACGTCTGTCAACCCGTTTCAACAAGGCTCGGCGGAGAGAAGCCAATTGATTGCGGAGGTCATCGAGGAAGGGTGGCGTGCTCCCGTGTTTTGTAAGAGTACTGTGCAGTAGCCGAGAAACGACCATAATCTTTGCTACGAGTAGCAGCGACGCCCGTTTGCGCAGCAATCTTGCGATCGATGTAGTACACCTGTGGAGAAGCGCAAGTTGCGCGCCAAATGCGTGCTTTTCGCCATCTATCCCAATGTTAGCAATGATCAGATAACAACGCTGTTGGAATTCATACCCTTCTTAGCAGCATCACTCTTCACCAACCGCGCGTGCTGGTGCTTCTTCTCCACAAGTCGCGGGTTGCATCGTCGTCCAACATCCGTCAAAATAGCCTCCACCTCCTGTATCTCCCGGTTCATGGAAACAATGGTTTCGGCAGTTCCAACAAGTTCTCGATATCGGGTCCTAAAGGCACAAACATCGTCAGCAACTCTTCAACGTCATGCGGCGCGAGGTGTTTACCCCACGAGAGCTCGGAGCTTCTCCTTATTGCTCGCAATGTCCCGACGCAATTCCTGCTCTACGCGACGAACCGTCGGGATCGGGTATTGAAATGCATCGTGCCATGACTTCAGACTCTGGGGATCTGGGGCCTCAGGGGCCATGTTAAATGGGCGATACTGGGTAGAAGCTCGAGGCTGCGTTGAGACCAAATCAGCAACCGGTGCCTGAGGCGGTAGGCTGATTCAGCTATCGTTATCGGCAGGTGACTCAAGAAAATCGTCCCCCGCGATTCCCCTCCATCATTCAGCTCCTAGTCTTGTATCAGACTCTTCAAGATGCCGATGATGGACCCAGAAGCCTCTCCGGTGGAATCCTTGACCAACGATCTGCCGGACCGGCTCCCTTTCCCGCCCGTCACCTACTCTCACATCTTGCACTGCTCATACCATGACTGGCACCCCCGGTATGTCATACATACTTGACGAAATATCTTTCAAAAATGTTCTAATATTGGTTACCAGCTATCGCACACTTGCCCCAAAATCCCGAGTCATCCCCGTTTCATCTTCGTTTGTCAACTACCTCCGCGCCGACGGCATAGTCCTTCCACCCGAAGCGGTACGTCCAAGTGACGACGACGATTACGACACGTTCTCCGACGATGGCGAAGAAGAAGAGGACCCTTCGAAAGAGTGGCCAGAGATTCACTCTCAGGTCAAAGAAACAATCACCGAATTCGGCAAAGTGACTCCGAAACTGAACTGGAGCGCCCCGAAAGACGCAACATTCATGTCTGCCACAAACGACACAAAATGCCAAACACCCAACGACATTTACCTCCTCCTGAAAAGCAGCGACTTCATCACCCACGACCTAGATCACCCCTTTGACGATTGTGTTCCTGACTCCGCGGAAGATACAAATGGCCACTCCGAAGTCGAGAGCGTCCTTCCTGAAGTCCCCTACCACCTAGTCCTCCGCAAATACGCCAACTTCAACCCTTCACTTGAGTTCAGATGTTTCGTGCGCAACCGCAAGCTTCTGTGCATGTGTCAGCGCGACCAGAACCATTTCGATTTTTTATTCGAGATGCGCGACATGCTGCGTTCGCGCATCCAGTCGTTCTTCGACGAGAAGTTGCGAGATTCCTTCCCGGATCCTAATTTCACGTTTGATGTTTATATTCCTCAGCCGCATCAGCGGGTTTGGTTGATTGATATCAATCCCTGGGCGCAGCGGACAGATCCGCTGCTGTTCAGCTGGCTCGAGATTCTGCGTATGAAGGATCCGGTTGGGTTTGAGAACGAAGGCGATGGTTTGAACGAAGGGTTTGTGCGGATCTCATTGCGAGATGGAAGCATTATGACCGCTGGTTCTGAGGCTGATGGCAACGGCGGTGAGGAATCAGGATCCTCAGAAGATGAGGCCGAAGAGGCCGTGGAAGAGGGTGATGATGATATGGCTCCATTCTTGCCTGAGTTCCGTCTTATCAAGAAGAATGATCCCGAAGCCTATTCTTTCAATACCCCGCAGTACTCGGCTCACAAGGTACCGAGGGAACTCGTCGATGCCTCGCTGGCTGGACCTGCAGGAATGAGTGAATTTATGGGCAAGTGGCAGGATATATTGGCGCAACAGGTACGCGAGGATCAGCAAGCCAGCAGTGACTCTGAATAGAGCTCATGAGCAGTGAGTCGTTACTTGGTTTGGTGTTACGAGATCTGTATAAAGAATATAAAAGTGCATCTTCGAAGAACCGACCATCTCAATTTACTTGTACAAGAGAAGTCTTGAATTCAAAATTCCATGGTTATGTCCTCGTTTGGACGTTAGTGTAGATTCACAGGAACAATCAAGAGTCTGAAGCTCCACTATGTACAGAAAAGCCCAAGCACAAATCTATCTTGCCATTCGAGCAGGGAAGCTCACGGTTATCAGCTCACAGCTTATGCTTCTTCTCACCAGAAGCCAGCTTCCGAAACTCTTCCTGCGGAATTCCCATCAGGAAGCGCTCAAGGCCTGCAAAAGCCTCAATTCCATTTTGACGGTCCAGGATTTCCCTCTCGGGCCTCCGAACAAGCTCCTTAATACCGAGCAAGCTCGTCTGGTTAAGATGCGTCCCAAGACGCTCGTCAACCTCCAGCAACACATTCTTCAGGAATCCTGCTGAATCGTTCTTATCCCCCGAAGCCGCGGTGATCACCTTGTTCACGAATCCAGTTGACACGAGTTCGTCACAGGTAATCCGCTTGCTCATGAGAAGCGCCTCATTGGCCTTGGCAATTCCAAGACGCTCGACGAATGCGCGGCTGGCACCACCCTCGGCGACAAGGCCGAGAGATGAGAATGGAGTCAGCAGGAATGCATGGGGTGCGGCGTAGATGAAGTCTGCGTGCGCGATTAGGGCAGCAGAAAGGCCTACGGCTGGGCCGTTTAGGGCGACGACTAGGATCTTGCTATGGTTGTAGAAAGTGCGGGTTACGTCGACGTTGTTGGCGACAAAGCTGCGAACTAGGTCACGGCGGACGCTAGAATTGAGGTCTCCACTAGGACGAGAACTGGTGACATCTGCGCCGCTGTTGACAAGGTTAATAATCATGAATTAAATTTGAAAGATGGGATTCTCTTGAACGTACGCAGAGAAGAATCGACCTGTTCCGGTAAGAACGGTGATGAAGATATCATCGCGGCGCTCAATCTCACGCAACCGCTCGCCAAGGAGGTAGTAAAGTTCCTGGTTAAGGGCATTCAACTTGGCAGGTCGGTTAAGAGTAACGATCGCAACACGATCTTGGAAAGTGAGGGTGACAAGGTCTTCGTTTGACATTTTAGTTATTGGTTAAGGAAAATTTTGGAATCAATTGGCAGGATGAACCGTCTAACACCGAAGGCCGGTCAGGCCGAACATATACTCTCACCTCAAGCGGCCCGTTGTTGCGGGGAGCCGAGGCCCGCGGCAGATCAGGTGACCGAGTTCCATTTGCACTGTTTGACTGAATGAATAAGCAACCCCCGTGACTGGGTATCAGACAATTCGATCATTCCAGTTGCATGGTCGGTTATTCTGTACACGGGCAGTTCTCGAGCTTGAAAGTGCAGCTCAATTGAATCTTGAAATCCGTTGTTATCCGATAGGGTAACAATATCTACCGTCATGTCCAACATTCTCCGCAGACTCCAGGGCGGAAACCTGGAAGTCTTCAAGGTACGCCAAACAAAATCGCCTCCCCACCCCGCCCTTCCCGAAAGGCTTTGCCTATGAAAATATCGGTTGCGAGGGTCGTATATAGGACCGTCGGATCCGCTGCTAACCGAGCTGACAGTTTGGCGTGTACATCCTCTTCCCCATCGGCTGGATGTACTACTTCGGCACGAATCTTGACGATCGCTTCAAAGTGAAGGGCTTCTGGCCCACCGAAGAACAATCACACAAGATCCCTCTTGATAAGGAGGAAATCGATCAGGAGTTGGCGCGCATGCGCATGGTTGACACTATGCGACGGGAGCGTCAGGCCGCCGCTCAGGCTCAGATCCAGGCTCAGCAGGCCCAGACCACGAGCACCGAGCAATGAGCAATGAGGAACGTTTGCACTCTTTCCTATTATGCGGAGCGGAATAAAAGCGTGAGGATAGGGGGGTTGCTATAAGGGGGGGCGTGGCGCGACGAATGAATCAGGCTTCTAACAATGGCTTGATTTTCTTCTGCTGGCCCTTCTCAGAGCATGACATTTCCTTTGATGTCGGGTTACACGTGTGAGGAGTCAACTGTACAACACTCTACTCTGTGCATATTTGGAGTTTTAAGGATGGGATTTTATGGATTGAATATTATCATTCTTGTCTATCATTACCGGGCCTGCGCATTATACATAAACCGTCGATTAAAAATTATATGCAAAAGGGCATGCGCCATCTCTATCAGTCGCAGTGATGGGCGTAGAAAAATATCAAAAATGACGATGAATCCCTGCGAACAGAGACACCGAACGAATTGAAAACTGCAAGCCACTGACGGGAAATATGAAAAGCCACGCCACAAACAGAATCAAACAGGGGGGTAGCACTTGACATTCTGTATGAACACACAGGACAAGCTGCCCAACACTCGCTCTTAAATCAGATTGATTAACGCCCGGAGAGGCCAGCATGTACATGGAAGGGGCCGAGTGTCCAATGCAAAGGATAAGAAGACGGCTCCACCCCAACCCCGGCACCTCTCTTCCCAACACCTCAAATCCCGAATTATTCACATAGCGGCTTAAAGCTCGGCGAGTCGCTGCGTTGTTTTCGCGGCTGTGTTTTTGGCTGTCTCGTAGACTACCTCCAGTGATTGTGTGGCGCTTTCGCCGAACACGGAGCTCATGGAGGATAGACGAGAGGAGATGAAGGGGCGCTCGCCGACGGCGTAGTAGTACATGTGTGCGTAGATGGAGCGGAGGTGGTCTGGGAGGTAAATGTAGATTCCAGTCGCGATCATGGTGATGAGGGTGAGGAGCAGGGAGTCTACGAGATTAGCGTTAGTAAAATTGATCTGTAGGCCTCGAGAATTCTGCAGGCTGGTCTCTCAGGAGGAACATACTGAAGATGAATTTTTCCGTTGGGGTGAGCATGTAGATAGCGAAAGTCACCTCATACTGGTAGATCTTCAACCGCACCCAGCGGACGAGACTGGTCAGAATCCAGAGGAAGAGTGCCATTGCTGTTCGTGTCGTGGGTGTGATCGGGGAATATGAAATTCTTCGAGAATGTTGTGGTCGGCGTTCGGTCGTTTGGAATTCCGGGGTGGATTTGACTCCTTTGTCCGCAGACGCTGTCCCGGCGGCTTGGCAACGCTGGTGCCTCGTGAAATGAGTGCGCGGAGCAGCGGACTCTGGGCGATCTGAAAGGGAGATGAAGGCGAAGGAGGCTTTTGTCCAGTCCCTTACACAGTCATACTAATTGGGGATGGATTTGAGGTGGGTCGCAGGTCGAGGGTGGCTACTGGGGACTCGATGTAACTTCAAAAGGATGAAGACCAAGAACAGAGGGCCTTCGAGGCGAAGAAATGCCAATAAGTAACAATAAGTAACAGTGAGTAAGTATAAGTAACAGGAGAGAATACAGTGAGAATAATGTCCAAGGAGCGGAGGGGTTCAGAAGAAACCAGCGAGAAAAAGGGACGCGTCTCGGCCCCTGTCGCCACAAACTGCACAATTTCCGCGGCCCGTTTCAGGCTCTTCATTAATCTTATTCAGCACGGACTAGTTATGCAACTATGAATTGAATCGTGATCATTGGTCTTTGCTACCTCGCGAGTCAAATCGGTGTACAAAATGGACGGAATTGATGATTTGATCTGCCTCGGGCCCATACGCGCCCATACTCCGATGAGTGTCCTTCCTTTTTCGATCTTCATTTGTGTCGGTAGATCCAGTGTTCGCGGACAAAATGCCTCAACCCGCCAATAGTGGATAGCAAGTCGATATTAATCAGTGCTCACTACGGCATATTTACGAGTACATCCTGGCCCTTGATTGCATTATCCATTAAGTGGCATATTGGACAGTCTGAATGAGATGGGAATTGTGGACATATGAAGGTGGACAAGACGGAATTAACCTTTGAACATCCGTGGTGATAAGAGTCGGGACCAAGGTTGGGAGTGGAGTGCCAACCCTTGACTAGGCACCCAAGTTCAGTACGCTAAACATTGCTAAAATTTCCGATTCCGCTTATGTACGCTCCGGGCTATTCTCCATCAAGACCTTTAACCACAATTGTTCACACGATTCTTCATGCGCTTAGTAATAAGAACCATCTAGCATAGACAAGACAAGCGCCACAGGTCTTCCTATTTTCCTATCTCTACTATCTATGATGGCCTTTTGCATGTTGATGTCGTTTCATCCATGGGCTGATTGAAAATGCTCGACATTCGAGGTGGGCAAAATAATGAAGGAGCGTCATCTTGGAAACCAACCTTTTTACAAATATCGGCTATGTCTCAATCTACCGCCCCGGTAAATATGCTCATAGCCTTTGTTCCAGACTATATATCCTCATTTTCTTGTCAAGGTTAATTTTTTTAAATATTCGTTGAATACTGTGATCAGACCTCGGGAGGCTTCGGCATGGATATAAACGGCAAGAGAAGGTAGAGAGCCTATAGGCAACATGTGCACGCTATACCGGTTTCCCATCCTATAATACCGCGAGATAGAACTTGGAGCCAGTTTCCTTCCTATAGCAGTGCTTCGGAAATGTCTAGCCGATGTGGTGGCAGAGAGTAGCGATGTGTTTGAAAGGCCGCTTATGTAATAATCAATGCAGCAGCAAAAAGCCCATGAGAGGTGAGCACTGAAACGGGAATGACATGCCAGGAATTAGTGAGGAAATGAGAAGTAGAACTTGAAATACACTACAAAGGTCGCATATTCCATAGTCGCCTCTCTCTAATTTGCAAGAGTGTCATGCTTTGCAATGACCATGTTATATGAAACTTCATCGCCAATTGGATGCCAAGTATTGTTATCTTATCGAAGCCCTTCACAAAGCATCGGCATCTCCAATTCCGTCGCACCAGCACAATGCTACGTCTGCGCCCCTGGCTAGGGCCTCTAAAGCCATCAATACCGCTATCGACAATAATCCCATCACGCACATTTACTCAAACCCCTGTCCTCCCAGAAAAGCCGCTTCCCGCGCGGCTCAAGCTCAACGATGCCGACCTGACAGTATCCTACCTCAAGGGCACCGGCCCCGGCGGGCAGAAGATTGTGAGTTCGCTCGCAGGTTTCAATGGATATCATTGATTTGAGCTGCTAACACTGACAGAATAAAACCAACTCCGCGGTCCAGATTACCCATGGACCCTCTGGCATTGTCATCAAGTGTCAGGCGACACGCTCGCGCTCGCAGAATGAAAAGATAGCGCGCTCGCTATTAGCGGATCGGGTCGAGGCGCGTGAGAAGGGGGATAAGAGTCGTGTTGCGCTGAAGGCGGAGGCAGCGAAGAAGAAGAAGGCTAGTAAGGTTAAAAAGGCGAAAAGGAAGTATCGGGCTCTGGAGAAGGGCGAAGAAGGTGTGGTTGTGGCTGAGGTTGAGGCTGAGGCTGAGGATCTGGAGGATGGACTTGAAGATGGGATTGAGGATGAATTGCAAGGTCAAGGTGGCAAGGCAGAAACGAGGAGGGCTGGTGAAACGTCCAAGGGCTCGTCTGAGGCTTAACTACTGGGCACCATCTCGAAGATGCTGCGCACCATCTGTACAATACATGATGCATTGGTTTGGCGTTTGAATTCATTAAGATTCTTGTTCCTTACTCCGTGGCCCAGAGCGGGTCTTCATTGTCCATACAGGATCAAATGGTGACTTCCATGTTGTTTCCGCGCGTAGCGCTTCTAATTTGATAGCTTTAGACATCGCACCAAGCAAAGATTATGTATAATTTTATAGAATTGAATTGGGAAGTAATGAACCTCCTTGCCTAGTTCTTCCATTGGAATGATTCATTGGACAGCTGCCAATACCGGACTAGATCGTTGAGGCCAGACACCATCAAGTCCCTATCTAAGAAATTCCTCCGTTGTATGCATGCCGATGCCGCCCTCGCGCAGATCATGTCTCGAAGGAGAGACGACTGCGCAGTGAAACTGTCTTTCAAACATTTTTGTTTTTTCATCGATTGGACCAGCCAAGTCCATGGGAGACCGAACTCAGGAAATGTAGCTTCCAAGCAAAGCCCTGTCATTGTCGTCCAGACGCGTTTGCGCAAATTGCGAGATACGGCCGTTGTAGCGCTTGTCCGCCTCCTTGAGATAAGCACCCACCCAGGCCTTGTAATCGTTGCCGGTTTCGGGCCACGGGTCCTTGACCACAGGGCGGATGGTGTTCAGAGGGGTGAAGCCGACGCCAAATGACATCTCCTCGACGTCCACATCGACATCGTCCTTGAGAGCGACCGCGGGGGGCAGCTCGAGAAGTCTAAGCAGTCTGTTGCACGTAATGCCCCAACCTTTGGCGTACTTGTTTGCGAAGGCCTCAGAGTTAGCAAGGGTCTTCGTAAAAGAAATAACGGCGGTCTTGCGGTCCAGAGGACGCGCGAGCTTCTGGGTTTCCTCGATGATGACACCGAGATAAATCTGAGTGAAAAGCCTGCGAAGAAATTAGCATGTAGGGGACTGTGAAGGAATTGACGCAACTCACTTCTCTTGAATCTTCTCCGTCGCCTGCATGACGAAGTCGGGGTTGTATCCCTTATCGTCATGGGCAGTCACGCAGTGATAGAACCGGACAAAGCGGAGGGACAGGTTCTCGGTCTTAGAGCCCTGCAGACGCTGCATGATAATCTGCATAATCATAACGAAGTAAGGCTCCAATGCGGCGCTAATCAAGACGGTTATTAGATGATCATGATATATTTGGGCTGAGAGCTCACGGAGGGAAGTTCGACACAACCGTTTCCAAAAGGTCAAAGGCGTAGCCCTCATTAGCCTTAGTCGAGACCAACTTTTGGAAAATGCCCAGAATAGGCTCAAGCTGGTTGTGCTCGAGGATGTACTGGGAGCCTCTTGAGATGATGGAGGACAGCAGACGAACAAGGGCAGGGGTGTTTCCACGCGACTCCCACATGACGGGCATCAGAATGGGTGCGATGAGTTCCTGATAGTATCCAGGGAGAGTTGCGGAGGAGTTGGCCTCCAGAAGAGCCGCGAACAGCTGGAAAACATAGGGCATGAATTCTGGGAAAACATTAGCTGGATTGAAAATAAAATCGTGGGATGTGACCGACCTTGCACATCACCTTGCAAAATGCCGGCAAATGGTGTGTACAGAGCTTGCTCAAGCTTGTCAGGGTTGGCAGGAGCGGCATAGCTACGACAAATTAGCACCGAGCGAGATGTATGCCAAGGCTCAAACTCAAGACGGAAGGCTCACCGGATGAAAGCGCCCATGGCTTCGAAATGGAAGTAGTAGAACCGAGGATTGCTGGGATTGCTGGCGATGATCTGAGTGATAGTGATCAGACGCTCCAGAACAATGTCCGCGAAAGGAACCACACCCTCCTTGATGACAACCAGCACACGCATCACGCATCGCATGAGGAACTCGTTCTCTTGCACCTTCTGGGGGGCCGGGTCGCTCTGGATCAGCTTGAAAATGTGTTCCAGCAGATCCTTAGCCAGAGGAGTGATTTGAGTTGGGGCAATGACGGGTTGTCCTTGAGCATCGGTCAAGACAAGAACCCGCTCAAGAGCAATCGCGGCGTATGTGTAGACAACATAATTGGAAGAAGCAAGGTGGTTCACCAGAATGGGGAGGACACCTTGCCACTGATCTTTCGTGATGATGCTACGGAAGTTGTAGAGATACTTGATAGCATCGACCTTGAGGATGGGGTGAATACCAGCATCGGTAACCAGATCCGAAGCAAGGTTCTCCGAAAAGAAGTCTGTGATGCTGACAAGATTGTTGGTAGCAGTGACACCGTGTGTCGAAGTGGCAACGCCCTTGGCGGCAATCGCAGAGAAGAGATAAGTAGCCGTATCTTTAGACTTCCAGTTAGAGGCCGGGTCCTTGGCAAATTCAGCCAAGTAGTGCTCGGTGTACTTGAGGGTAACCTTAGTCACTGCTTCCTCGAATTTCTCCGCCAGTCGTCGGAGGAAGTCAGTAGCAGCCCGCCGCCTGGTCTCACTATCGGATCCTTCCAGGTCTCGTCGGATGAACTCAATCGGCTCATCCTCGAACAGTTCCTCGTCCGATTCGCGCAGACTAACGTTGGGCAGAATGACCTTCTCAATGAGTTGACCCAAAGTTTCGTCGGCCTGGAAAGAAGCGGCATGCTCGGGCATGCTGGCGACAGAGGTCAAGAAGTGCAGAGCTCGGCTCACCAGTAAGTCGTACTTGGTCTCCTGACCAATGGTGGTCAAGAAACTCCACGAACTCTGGATAAATTGCCCAACAAGGCCACCGAATGCATCCAAGTATTTTTGCACGTACAAAGTCAGCACCTCGAAAATTCCAGCGCGCACATACTCGAGCAAACCAGCCTCAGTATCGTCATCAGTGTAGAGAAGTGGGTTGTCATAAGTGAGGTACTTGAGCAACATCTGGGCGATTCCGGAGATATTGTCCTCGAACATGGGAGGGAGATCGTGGCAGGATAGATCATAGAAGAGTTTAATCATCAGGTTCAATTGAGTGAAGCCCTTGGCCAAATTCTCCTTGTTTCCCTTGTTTTCCTCGAGATAGGCATCCAGGCTCTGGGAAAGAGACAAATTGTTAGAATGCTAACTCAATATGCTGTCCTCGTCAGAAGGGAGAGAGCCGATCTTACCTCCAAGAGACCGAGGAACGGAGTGCCGAACTTCTCCAGCACGTGGTTGATTTCCACGTACAGATCGTTGGATTGGAAGAGCGGGCGCCACCGCTTGAAAATGGAGTGTGCAACCTGGAGCACGCCAATGTTGGTGGTAGGGTCGTTCGACAGCTTCGAGACAAGATCCTGGAGGGGAGACAGAGATGTTAGCGGAGGCAAACGAGCACATCCCGGTGCACTTTCTACTTACATCCACAAGGGTGTCCCAGCGCTCCCAGAAATCACTATCGGCAATCACACTGACGGCATCACCCAGTTGAGATTGGATACCAGGGGGCATAGAGATCATCAAGCTGATCAACTCGCGCTTGATGGTCGTAACCTCCTCCTCCGGGAGCTTGTAATTTCCATCTTCGTTCGTCCAGTTACGCTTGATGAAGTTCTTGAAGCAAAGTGCGCTAGCGAGGCGGATGTGGTTCGGGGAGGACGGGGATGCCGTGATGTGAAGGAGCTGTAGCGAGAAACCAGGCTTTTGTTCTTCTTGACGTAGGGCAATTTCGGCTGGAAGCAGAGGAGAATCAGTCAGTAATTATCACCATTACGGTGGTAAAGGCTGCCCGCTCACCTTCCTTGTTCCGTCTCGGATCCAAGCTTGCCTCTAACAGAGCTCCAAGAGCCTCCGCCATTTTCACCGGACGTGGGGTATCAACAGAGGGAGGGGCTGATCGAAAGAAGAGCAATGCGCAATGATAGGTGCGGATAGAACTTTTCCTGCGATTCTGAAGTCCTCCGAGAACAAAGGATGAACGCAGGCGGTGACACAATGCGCGGGTAAAAGCTGAGCTCAAGGATCATAATAAATAATGAGGGCCGACGACATACGGGCAGCCCACCGCAACAACACGCTAATCCCTACAAGGTTAGTGCGTCACATGTGCACCATTCTGCTTCTGGCGGTTAATTAGCCTCAGGCAAAAACACATACTTCAAATCGCATGGCAGCAAGGAGACATCGCAAGTGAGCCTGAACTGACTATTTTCTCTGGGGTTCCACTTTTCCTCTATGGGCATGTTTTGAAACGCTCATTGATTCTTTATTTCGATACATGGGCCGTTGTAAGAGTCTGTCTGCCTGATATGAGACGAATGTCTAATTCACTACTCGTCTCTGCAAATTATCGGGTGCCACTCAAATTTGACGCGAACATGCACGTGTTTGAAACTTTTGCTTCAAGTGTAGCGATGCAGTTATGGATTGTATGCTCTATGTTAATTATATGTTTTCTTGTATCCATGCCTAATGATGAACTCCGCCAGATCCTGTACGTATGCTTAGATGATGATGTTGTCAATGCCGTTGGCCAACTTGTCCGCCTCATTCGCCTGGGATGCCTTCATGACCTCATCAAAGACGCCAGCGGCAGCAGAAACGAAGCCAAGGAAAGGCTTGCTAGGCGCCAGAACACGAGAGAGATACTCGGGATGGAACTGAACACCGACGAACCAGGGGTGGTCCTTGAGCTCGACAATCTCCATGCGCTCTCCTTTATCGTCCTTTCCAATGAAGTGCAACCCAGCCTTTTGCAGCTGATCGATGTATTCAGGGTTCACTTCATAGCGGTGGCGGTGGCGCTCGTCAACGGATGTGCGGTCAAGGCCGTAAAGTGCACGGAGCTTAGACCACTCCGAGTTCTCCTGGAAGATGGTTGGGCGCGAGCCGAGTCTCATTGTACCTCCAAGATTGACCTTGTCGATCTCAGGCATGAAGATGATCATGGGGTGGGAGGTACGTTCATCCAACTCGACGGAGTTGGCTCCCTCCAGACCACAGACGTGACGAGCATACTCGATCACGGCAATCTGCATACCCAGGCAAATACCCAGGTAGGGCACCTTCTTGGTACGGGCCCACTGAGCGGCGAGCATCATACCTTCGGTACCTCTGGTACCAAAGCCGCCAGGAACTAGGATTCCATTGGCGGTGGTAAGGGCGTGCCACGCGGCATGATAGTCTTGGGGGTTTTCTGCCCTCGCACTGTGCTCGAAATGCGAGGCGTCGACCCAAATGATGTTGAGCTTCTTGCGAGAAGCCATGGCAGCATGCTCGAGTGATTTGATGACGGAAAGATAGGAGTCATGGAGACTGACATACTTTCCGACCAGAGCAATCTCGACGGTGTCGAAAACGTGCTCTTGGGATGTGGTCAAAGCCTTCCACTGTTTCCAAGTGGACTGGCCCTTGATCACCAGAGACTGAGGAAGTTCAACATTCTGGATCTTGAGAAGATCACTGAGCACGTGCAAGAATCCCTGCTTCTCGAGGAGCAGCGGGACATGATAAGTGGAGCTGACGTTGTGCACGCCAATGACCTGCTCGGGCTCCACCTGGCAGAACATAGCGATTTTGTCAGTGGTAGCCCGATCCAGAGGCCTTTCACAACGACAAGCAATTAGATCGGGACTCATACCAGCTGAGCGAGCGTCACGAATAGCTTGTTGTGTGGGCTTAGTCTTGAGCTCATCCCCAATTACGGGGACAAGGCTGACATGGATTTGGACGAAGTTATCCTTGCCAGCTCGGCGACGGAGCTGACGTAAACCCTCGACGAAAGGAGCGCTCTCGATGTCACCCAGAGTGCCACCAAGTTCGATGACACAGACATCGGGCTGCTCGTTAGATTCGTCAACGGGAGTCCGAGCGACACGTTCAATCCAGTCCTGGATTGCGTCGGTCAAGTGTGGCACGATTTGAACGGTACGGCCGAGGTAGTCACCACGTCTCTCTTTGCTAATGCAGTGCGAATAGATCTTGCCGGTGGTGATATTATTATCTCTTCCGAGAGTAACTCCAAGATAACTAAGAAACGGATCATCAGCTCTCTGCAAGGCTTCGAAGAATATTTGCCATGGTGACTCACCGCTCATAGTTTCCGAGGTCAAGGTCTGCCTCTCCGCCGTCGTTCAGCACAAAGACCTCACCATGCTCAGTCGGTGCCATGGTGCCGGCATCGACGTTGAGATAGGGGTCAATTTTGATGGAAGTCACACGAGCTCCGAGAGTCTTGAGCAGCAAACCGGTACTTGAGGCAATTACGCCCTTACCGATGCCAGAGATGACACCTCCGGAGACGACGACGTACTTCATGTCGACGGTGTCGTAAAGAGTGAAGGTTCAAGTGACACCAAGTATCTGAAGAGAATGAATGACGAGAAAAGGCCCTTCGTCGAGTAAATCAAATGTAGGGTGTCCTTCCTGGCTTCTGCCAGGAGGGGAGGAAGGAAAAATCACTGCAGAATTGAAGCTGCACGTACTTTTCACAGCTCACCGCCCCCCCACTTCGACTTTTTCTGCTCCCTTTTCTGCTGCTCCGCCAAGGCGGTGACTATACAATGACGGCCCTATCCCGTGACTTGGGCTGGAATAACCTCATTCCCGTGGTTCCAAGTGACTCCTCTACACCCCTTCCGCCTGTGGTGCCTTCGCTCGTCCACTCATATATCAAACCATTCGGAATACTAGAAGCTGCGAATCGATGAACTTGTAGCTTTTGAGCATCCATTCGGTCTATTTTTTCTGCGCGGGTCCCGCTTTGAGACACCCGGCGCCAGACTGTACTTTTGCCACAGGCCTCCGACAGTGCCTTTGCCCCTGACTGCACATGATATTTATCAAATCCCCTGATGCTGTGAAAAGCCTGTTTTCGTCCTTGGTCAACGGTGAGACCGCATTGCGCAGCACTCGAAGGTATGCCACATTATACTGACCAGATCCCCTGGATTATACAGATAAACCAAGTCCTGACTTGGACCCCACCCTGCCATTGTCAGGCGGATGTCTTCCGACGATGCTCCTCTAGCAGCCCAATTCAAATCGTCTTCTAACAGCTTCGTCGATGTCTTCAAGACTTTAGGAGTCGGCCGTCCGAAATCGCATTCACCGGTGTCTCTGCAAGCGAACAATAGCGACCACCCAACAGATAGTCGAGGAAATAGCCGGCTTGTGCTCGGGTTTGAATCAATGCATCGTGGCAGCGTTGTGTCGAGCTCTTCGGACACCCCTAGTGGTCCCGATTTCGATGCTTCTCTCCGGATCTTGTCCAACAAGCAAAATTTAGCTCAGGCAATAGAAGAAGCAGAGGCGCTGTCAAGAACTATTCCCTGGTTCAGCGCGGAACAGTCAATGGTACTGTGGGAGGCTGCGGAGTATCTCTTACATCATGAACATTCCGGAGAGGCCCAAAGGAGTGGGGGCAAATTACTGGAAGCGATCGCAGCCCGTCAGGATCTATCACCATCTTCGAGGCGTGTGATTTTCGAAGCCATCACCTGCCCCACCGACCCCGAGTTGGTGGCTTCGCGTGTACAGTCATTGGTCGCCTTATCAGATCACGGTAGAAAGTTGGACTTCACGAGTACCTCTATTCTCCACATCATTGCTTCGTGGGTCATGCCTCTCTATGAAACTCTGGCTGCTGCACGCAACAAAGCGAAGAGGGTCAAGGCTGCCAAGCCCAACGAGCTTAGCCACGATGAAGCGGTCTTGGAAGAGCTCTTCCAGTTTGCGGAGGACTTGATTACTCTCCAACGCAAGCCACCATCACAAGAGGAGATTTCACTACTGCTAACAGAAACCATTACTGTTTGCAAGAAAACCAGTGTGGCAAGTGATATCAAGAACTCTTTGGCAGTGTTTGAGGCTATAATTGACTACGCAAATGTGCCAGATGCCAGTTTCGTTCCTCTCCTGGAAGTGCTGTGCAGTATTCATGCATCTGTCAAGTCTCTCTCTGGACCAACCTCTCGGACAGTTCGCAGTCTGGCAAAGTCTCGACGACAAGAAGAAATGGTAAACACCTTACATTCATTCATGAGGGAGTCATGCGCCAAGGACCAGCCAAGGAATTTGAATGTTCTTCGAGGCACCATTTACGTCTTCTCTGATCTTGTTCGTGACTACGGTCAAAATGGAATGCCTCAAATTCCTTTTGATGAATTGGTTGACTCTCTCTTGGCCATTGCTCAAAAAGACGAGGGCAAGGTCGATGCTGATGTGTTGGACCTATGTCTAAACATATTGGAGGGCAACTTCGTTCGAGTCGCCTTGGCTAGTGACTGGTCGAGCTTTGTCAAGCTTTTGCTCCTATGTTCTCGGCGAGTCTTCGATGAATCTGACGACTCAGTCTCATCTCCGACTAGTCCGCTGCAACACCCTGTCAAGAACACTCCTGACGATACCAGATCAAACATAATTGCCAACACAACGCGGATCGCCTCCGCAATTGAAGGACTGTGGGAACAGCTCGACAACGAACAAAAACAACAATCTACTCAATTCTTGATGAAAGGATACGCGCACATCGAGCCATCTCAGGCTGAGCTAATTATCAACCATATGCGACACGACAAGATCTGCTATCCATCGGAAGATTCGGCTTGGGTGCAGCACTGCCAGGAATTGATTGAGCGCTTCATTCAGCCTCGAAAACAAAGCTCTGATATTCGCATAATGGCTTTGGATACGCTGAAAGAAGCTCTTTCCGGCAATGAGAAGCTACTCTTCACCGAGGAACATGGCTTGTTGGATCGACTCCTTCAAGACTTCTCCACGGAACATGACTTGCTCTTTCTGGAATCGTTAGTCTCATTCATCACGGAACCTGCAACGGAACCTGCAACTCAAGTCAACGATTCCACGTTCAAACACTTGGTGGACATCATCAGCGCTCCTCTGACGAATGACTGCCACACCAGCGAGCATCGTGAGACATCTTCTAATTATAACTCCTCTCGTCGCACATCAACTACCAGCCTTTTGGAGCTGACTTTGTCGAATGTGTGTGCTGTGAGCCTTGTGAAGATGATGCTTCGTGCCCTCAATCATTCTGGCACCAAGTCCGTCATTCTTTTCGAGGCTCTATTGCAGATCGCAAAATCCTCGGATCGTCCAACAGACTCCCGTCTTACCGTCTTAAAGCTGCTTTTCCGACTTCGGTGTGACTCAGCAGGATCTGTGACGGTAGTCTCAACATCGGAGGGTGATTTCCTGATGAATGTTCTAGGTCGCAATGTTGATGTCGCCAGTATGGTACAATCCTCTGTCGACAGTCCCACGAAGGACGTGTCCCAGGATGCCTTGCCGCTCTCAGCGAACGCGAAGACCCCCACGAAAGAGCCACCATCTAGCCTTCCGTCCAAGTCGGCCCCGCGCGGCTCCATTTCTGCCCGCTCTTCGAAGTTGACAGCCCCAGCATGGACGCATTTCTTGCCACAGGTTCTTCCTGAGCAGCCACCAGGAGAGTCCAGTCGCCTGGTTTTCGCCTATACGATGGATGGCGCGTCAGACCTCTCCGAGTCTACGCCGGCCCAGATTGGTATTTTGAAAGTGAATATGTGGCTTGAAATTGTGATTGCTCTACTTCAACGAGAGACCGATTGGGATGTCTACAGTTATCTCCTCACACATCTTGGGCCTCAGCTTGCCAACAAGGACTTCTTCAACAACTCGATTCCTCAGGTCAAGCTGCTGCGTAGCATCTTGTGTGACCAGGTCAAGAATGAGACATTCCACGAGCCCCCAGTGACGACTGGCTTGAAAAAGAGCGATGTGGCCGCTTGCATCTTCGATGCTTTGTGCATGCTGGTCAGCTATCATGAACACCTCGCTAAGAGTGAGGAGGATGACCTTGTCCGGGCCTTCATGTCCGGTATCATCGGTTCTTGGGGCGCGACTTCCCGTGGATGCATTCAGGCACTGTCACTCTGCTGTCATGAGATCCCCATGTCGGTTACCAAGTCACTTATGAGCATACTAGACAGGATGGCTAAAATTATAACTATGTCGAACATTGCCGTTCATATCTTGGAGTTCTTGGCTCTGCTTGCACGTCTTCCTGAGGTCTATGTCAACTTGCGAGAAGAAGAGATTCGCACCGTGTTTGGAATATGCATTCGATTCCTACAGACCTCCCGGGAGCAACGGTACAAAAGCTCTGACTCGCCTTTGGTTCGGCCTACTCAGAACCCATCAGCAAGATCTAGTGTTGGTTCACGGGAACATGCCGAAGCCACTGAGCTCCCGACGCAAGATGTCATGTCAAGCTATGTCATGACCTTGACATATAACGTGATGGTCTTCTGGTTCTTGTCTCTGAAGCTGCAGGATCGCGCAAGACATGTCAATTGGATCACCAGCCGTCTCATCTTCCGCGATGACAACGGAAAGGAGGTTGTCGAGGAGCAAAGCCAGGTTTTCATCGACCTGATGCAACGCGTTGCATTTTCCGATCTCGGCGAGACTATCCCATTCGAGACCTTCCCTCCCACTCCAGAAGATGGGCCCGTGTCAAAGAAATCTTGGGCTGTGGGCATGAGTCTCGTCACCGTTGAAACAGCCGGTGTATCTGGACTGACGCAGATCACGAAGCGCCAAGCCTCCGGCACAACATACTCGGTATATCAGCAGCGAACAGCCCCTGTACTCCCACATCAGGTTCCTGCAAATGTAGATGCTCACCTGCACTCTGATTCTATGCGCACGGCAATTCTACCGAGCCACATCATGCTGCAGATGACTGCGACTGCCTTCCCCACTCCGACTGTGATGCAGCCCATTCCGATCCCCGAAGATGACATTACTCGACGAGCAATTAGCAGCTTTGATCGTACCGATATTGTCGACGGGCACAAGATCGGCGTTGTTTATGTTGATAATGGTCAGAGCCAAGAAGCCGAAATTTTGGCCAACACTGGAGGCTCCGCAGACTATGAGCACTTCCTCTCCGGGCTCGGATTCAAGGTGTCGCTTCGAGACGCCCAATTCAACACCCAGGGTCTATACGCTGATACCGACGGAGAGGCCACTTATGCTTGGCGTGACCGAGTGACGGAGATCGTGTACCACGTCGCGACAATGATGCCTACTGATTTCGACCGCGATCCTACCTGCATCAACAAGAAGCGAAATATTGGTAACAACTTTGTCACCATCGTGTTTAATCGTTCCAACCTCCCTTTCAACTTCGACACGATCCCGTCCCAATTCAACTCCATCAACATTGTCATTACACCCTCGAGTAATATCGCATACGATGAGTCCGGCTTTGTCAAGGGAGAAACCGATCCTGATCAGCTTTACTACAGTGTGCAGGTGATGAGCAAACCGGGCTTCCCTGATGTCTCACCTGCTGCAACGCCCAAGGTGATCTCAGGCAGAAACCTGGCGCCATTTGTTAGGATCCTCGCTCTCAACGCGTCGGTGTTCTCTCTCGTTTACAACACCGAGGGTGGCGAGCATGCATCTTCCTGGCGCACCCGTCTGCGCGAGATCAAAAAGGTTCGCGAACGTGCATTGGCTGCCCAAGCCCAAGGCTCGGAGGCTCCAGAGGGAGCCTACCCAGGCCTGCGTCGCAACACGAAAGCCAGTATCTTCTCCGAAGAAACGCCTATCCGCGCTCCTTCCTTCAAGACCGACTCCATCTCGGAATGGACCGCGGCCTCGGATACAAATATTCTTCAGAACCTTGACTTCTCCCGCTGGAGCCGTTAGTGTCTCTTCTACCCAACTCCTTGCCTTTCCAACTGGGGCATTCCTTTAACCTCCACTCACCCTTTTTTGAATATCGGATTCTCCATCTACCAATAAAAATATACACGCCAAAAAGAAACGACAGACCTTGCCACGAGCAATGAACGACCCCCGGCACGAATTCATGTACATCACCTTGCTTTTTGTAATGCAGCACTGCGGCATTTGTGAATACCCCATCCCCAAAAGTTCTGTTTTTTATGTCTTGCTCTTTTGCTCTTTCCCGGCGAAAAGGGAGACTGGGCGCTTGTTTCTACCTTCTGGGCTTCAGATCGACTAGCTTCAGCAATGACGATCCATATTGTTTGTGTCTGATGATCCCTTTCCGTATCTGTATCTGTTTCTGTGCGTGTCTTGGGAAACCATCCCACACTCGTGAGCATTGACGTCGTATCGCTTCTTGTAGCTTTCGCCTAGATGTTTTGACTCGGCATCAATTTTCCAAATGTAGCTCTGCTGCGGTAGAGTCCACGAGGGGTGCTTTTAGACAGGGCGGGGCTGGGATGGCGATCGAATTGATGTTGCTTGGAGATTGGGGGTTTCGACTTGAGGATGTTGATGGTACGGGAGTGACGCTTTGGCAAGAGAGGTTGGATCGTAATGCGCCTGTTGAGTTGGCGGAGGAGGCAGTAGGTCGAATTGGGTGTAGGACATGTTCCAAAGAGGGTGATGGGCATATGAGCATGTCTAATCCTTTTCATACTTGAGATGAAGTTGACTATTCACGAAGACGCCGCGCTCAAGGTCTCGTTGCGCATCCGTACAGGAGACTTTATACTCGCGCATGACGCGCTCATACATGTCGCTTATCAGGCAGAAGTCTGCTCCAGTGAAATTGCGATTCCAGTAGATTTCAAAAAGCATTGGGCAGGACTTAGGGCCTTTGGCTAGGAATTTCTGGATCATGATCAAGTGAGGTAGGTCTTTTTGGAATTACGGTGTTAGGGATTAAATTTTTGCTGGTGAAGCGGGTTTGGGAAAGAACTTACGAGACGAACATGGCTGTGACGGGAAAATAATAGGCACTGACTGTGAAGAGACCTTTAGCAAGTTGTTCGGGTGTAGAGACGCAGTGGTGTTGAATGTGGCCGTCTTTGAGGTCGCTGTCAAAAGATTCAAGGTTGAGAAATGGGATATTCGCATGTGTCGTGGGGCAGTGGTAGTTGAAATTATCTGCCAGGATCTTCCAGTTGTAATGCCCGTCCAGCTCATAAGTATGGTTGAGATCGTAGTCGTCGAAATTGTATGCCTTGTACCGCTCCTACTCATCGACGTCGGCGAAGTGTTCTTCCCACGACATTTCAGGTGTTTCTTTTGCGTCCATGTTGACCCAGATGAAGCCGTTGATGTCCACCTTGACGTGTATTCGGAAGAGTCCGTTCTGCTCTTTATCGAAGCCGTCTACATCTTGATACCCCGGGACTTTAGCCATTTTGCCGTTCAATCCCTACGACCCGCCGTGATACCGACATGCTAGGATCTTGACTTATCCGGATCCTTCTTGTTCTATGACAGGGTATGTGCGGTGCTGGCAAATATGGTGGAAGGCAGTGATTCCTCCTTGTCGGTCACGGGTAATGATGAAGTCGAACCCGGCGATCTCAAACCGCAGCCAGTCATCGGTTTTCTTGACTCGCGCGCGGTGGGTAATAAACAACCATCGTTTAGAGAATATGGCTCGACGCTTCAGCTCGTAAATCTCCGGCGAGGTATACCATTGAGCAGGCAGCGTACGAACCGGTTTTTCTTTCACGACCGGGGCATATTCTTTCGAGCTGCCGAAGCGGAAGCAGTGCATCATCGAGGTCGCCATGATTGTAGTCAAAATCACGTTGCAACTGGAGTTGATCTGTAAAGCGTTTTGAGCAAACGAATGACGAGCCCATACAATGCACTTATACTCATTCAGTCTGTTTGATCACTTCCATGTTCGGGTCAAGTTCCACGATTGTATGGGGGCCTCGATTTCGATGTGGAATCAAAACCCTGCATGAGTCGCGCTCATCAACCCGAATCAGTCACTGAAAACACCCGCCCAGCTGGATGATACTTTGATCTACCTACCTTTGTCATCTCCTAGCCTGTTGCACACCGCAATTTCGGGCGGCATTCCGTCAAGCTCCCCACTTACCCGGGATAGAATTGCCACTGTATACTCCGTTTGGTCTGACTTGGAGATTGAGCCACTTGGAGCCAATGAATTTGGGTATAATGCGCCAGCCGATGGTTATTGATATGTTATATCGCGAGTCCCAGACCCTGAGGTTTTGATGGGTGTCTCAGTAATAGATCCCGATGAGGGTGCATAGTGACGTGCCTTCAGGGATGATTATGTAGTCGGATGGATCTGTGCCATGGATGTTGTTGTAGCTGCATCGAAAGATATCATGGACGAGATTCACACCAGTTTACCAAATGATCCAAGTTGTCACTCTTATATACTGGGAAGAATCGGTACCTCCACGTGGTCATTACGTGTCTCTCTCCACTATATGGCCTCGCCACCGATGTAGCTATAAATCAGATGCTGCGTAAGTTCAGATCAATACGGCTCCATTTCAAATGGTAGTTATCAGCGGAACTAAGAAAGTGGGCTATAGATAGGAAGACATTAGACGATACCTAAAAGCTTTATGAATTCAAATTTTCAATCCCAAGAAAAGAAAAGAGAATTTATCGCAACTGGATACAGTGACATGTGGCTGTCTTGTGCTACACGTTATAGCATGGGTTTTCCTCTGCAGGAATCGACCGAAGAACGAGAAACATCATGTAAATCGCACGATTAAACTGGGCCGTCGGTCACCCTTCCTCGGGTGTCTCTCACCATTGTCGGCTTATATTATCTTTTTGTTATAATGCGCTGAAAGAGCTTCTCCGCTGAAGGAGCTTCTCCCCTGAAGGAGCTTCTCTGTGGAAAATCGCTTCTGGCAATTTAGTACTTGTTCCTTCCAGCAGGAGCTATGCTTCAACCTTCCCAAACTTTTCCCTTGCGAATCATTTATGACTAAATCATGATCCAAATTTCCAAATCCGTATAGCATGTATTTAGAAACACCTCATGTAACTCGTGGCTTTTTTTCAGTGAAAGACTTCAAATCATTAAATCCAGAGTTTCAAGCAGTAGGCTTTTCCGGACCCCATGATCTTTCTCTCTAAGTCCCATTAACTTGGCCACGGCAATCTGGGCACCACGCACGCTGTACTCCATCATCAAAGTTGTTTCATCCGGAATCTCCGCGAATTGACCAACACAGGCGATGTTGCTAGTATTTTGTGGGATCACACGTGGCCGGCTTCCTTTAGGGCGTGACAACAGGGGTGAAGTGCCTAACGGCATCCCACAAGGAACGGTTTTCGAAGTAGAAAGAGTAGGCTCAATAGGAAATTGGAGATAGGAGAGAACTTCGAACAGAATTTCCTCTCCGCAACACTCGTACATGGATTTTTTCATGTAACTACCCTGGGTAGTTGGGGTCAAGGCATATCCACATATGATGTTACTATTCTTCGGTTGACTGGAGAAAAGAGGTTGGTGAGGAATGCTGAGGCTTATCGACCAGTTACTGTCACTCAGCGAGACCAATGCGCCTGTACCTGGCCGGTCATGCGTGAGCTGCTCGTATAACCTCATAAATTCTGGCCCATCAAATGTTGTAGTGAAGGTTTCGACGGTAGGCCGTAGACCTTGGGGAAAGAAAATTACTAGGATCTCCAAATTTTGGAGACCTCCGAGCAAGCTTCTGCCAGAGTTTCCAGTCACGAACCATCTGAGCTTCACAATCCAAGGACAGATTGGGAGGCGGACAATCATTAGTCCCTAAAACTGCGCCTCCGCTAGTTGATCCGAGAGTGACGATTACAATATCAGCCGGGCTCATTTCAATCATTTTCTCCTCTCCGTCCTCAACTAGGTCAATCCCGATGACCGTGCTTGGGTCGCTCTCCCGGATAGAATCGAAGATCTGTCACCTCAGTCTTGAAGTGGAAGTTGACACCTTCATTTTTCAGATAACCCGTGATGGGGAGGACGAGAGACTCATAGAGATTAAACTCTGTTCGATTTGCGGTTTTGAGATTGTTGAGGGACTGAATGTCCTCCAAGTATTTACGAAGATGTCGCTTAAACTCCGCAGCGCTGTGCCATGGTTGAAGTTGAAAGCTAATCAGAAAGCTTTAGAGTAGGAGCTTCATCTTAAAGCGTCAGCAATTTACCTTGTTGCCCATAGCATCCAGAAAGTAGTCCCAAAGAGTGACTTGTCCAACACGTCTTCAATGCTCTTTGACGCCAGGTGATCCTCATTCGTAAGCAACAAATTTATCAGTGCTATTCGATTCTTTATCCCAATGTGAATGCCCTCAGTGTAAACCAATACTGGTCCCAGGTCACCCAGCTTGAGTGCACGTGTGTTGACGATATTTTTAGGGACTGGACGTTGAAAATTTTCATTGTTTCGGACAGCCTCCATAAGCGACCTGCCTGGCTGGGTTTCGCTGGGGACAAGAGACAAAAGTCTTTCCATGCAGCTGCCATGGAAATGCGGATGACATTCGAATGGAAGGAAATACCCTCTCTGTGGATCGCCATACGGGTTCATAGCTCCACCTGAATAAGTATGTAGATCTAGCACGTGAATGTTGGCGCCAGGAATCTTAGCATCGTTAAGCAAGTGGACAGCTGCGGAGAGGGAGGCAATGCCACTGCCAACCAGCCACACCTGAGTACTTTGCGGGTCACGACTGGGTAGGGTTTCTTGAACGGCAGGAAACATGACAGATCTTTGGGCTGGTAAAGCGTTCTCTTTTATCAATGAGTTTGGAGGTTCATGTTCGCTTAATAGATACTGGACCTATTTTTATTACCTCATGATGATGGCTACTATTACAGCTGATTGCCTGTTACTTTTTGCGCATTCTTTCCAGAACTTGAATGTTATCTCCTGACCGGTACCTGTGATTCCTACCTCTCTAATGTCCTTTTTCTACGCTAGCCAATCTGGTAGTGGCTTGCACCACTGATCAATTAGAAGAGCATCTTTCCCACTGGCATCAGGACAGACGTGGTGATGATTATCCCATGATAGTTGCTTAGCCTCCAACCGATGCATGTCAAGACATTGACTATAGCCCCGAGAAATAGAAGCAAATCCCTTTTCCTAGGAAGTTAATGAGAATGAGCTCGCTTCACGGTCACGTGCAGCTTGATCTAGAGCGAGCATTGTCATTCTTACTCCGAGGTATTTCGATGCACTTCTCCCATAAACCTTGGCCCTAGGCTACAACGCGTATCTGACCCGGTCTTTCAACCACAGCAAGGAGTCTGTGACACTCCCCACAATAATGTTCACATTCTTGACATTTTCTTATGAAGCAGGGCAAGATAGCTCCGCATGGCCCCAGGAAGAGGCAGCAAAGACATGACCAAAGCCTACAGGAACCAAAATATTAGTATTAAATAACATCAGTCAAATCTCTCATGAAAAGGAAATAGGCGAACGGTACTTAGCGTAATGCCCAAATCGGAAGTTGATCTCAGTAACCCCCTGCATATGACAATACGGACAATGAACGGATACAGGATAAGTCGGTAAAGATGGCCAAGCCTTCAATCTGGAGCTCTCGGAGTTTCTTTGTCCCCTTATTTTGTCATGATTCATGGTCGATGATTGAACAGGTATGGAAACGTGTGTACAACTTGTAGACAATAACCCACTGTCAATTATGTTTCCCCTTCCACTATTTCGACTTTCGGACTTACTCATTGCGGGCGTCTGTGTTCGTTATATCGCCGGTAGCACCACCTTGATCTACCTGTGACTTTGCAGGGCAACTTTGCCGACCAGAGCTAGAAGTCTCTGTGAAGGGTTGTTCCGACATGGCAAATCTTACTTTATCATTCGAAAATCTCAAAATTCACTGCACCCATTCCGTGGGGAAATCGGACAGAGCATTTAATCCAGAAAGTAGTAGTGTGGTTGGTGAACCGGTGGCGGCAAACGGCAACGCGGTTGGAAGACGACAAAAGACCGAAGAGCAAAGGTCGGATCCGGTGATACTTCGCGTTGCAACCATATTTCGCTAGTAGTCATCCCACCTTGCTGTCAAAGACCAGTCTGGACCTCGTTCAGAAAGCCAATAATGCAGTTTCTCGGCTTCTGACATCATAAAAAAGTCAAGATAGGTTGTCCACTCCTTTTCCTCGACTTTGCCACCTAAGATACTAATGCGCCTTTCGACCTTGCGTGTAAGTGTTTAGATCAAAATATTCGCCCATCGAACTTTTTGAGCGATTCTTTCCGCTATACACCGATACTGCTAAGTGAGGACGCACCCAATTTCTCCGTAAAGAATTCGAGATGAATTCCGGACAACATTTAAATCTGCGCAAGATTCTGGCGAGATTGTTCGCACTGCTCTTTGCTATTTCGGAAGGACGCCAGCCGTCTACTGTATGTGGAATTACAGTTGACACTAAGATGGTGCACTTCGATCCCAACTAGATCAAAATCATCGTTTTTTTCCGGATTAGACTGCCCATTGGCCGTGAGCGAAGAACAACCCCTGTCGGAGATACCGATGAGTTCAGAGGAAGTCAAATTATTGGAGCCACTGAGCCACATATGGCCAGCTGGGGATGGAAGGTTCGGCTCCACGATGCAGTAAATGATCTGACAACTATAGATGCTCAGCGGTATGCTTCAGCATATAGACATATCATGGGATCGAGGAGACTTGATCGGTACATTTGCGCAGGAAAATCCTGGGTTTGAAAAGACTTTGCCGCCCGTTTCACGACGGATTGTTGGAAGACTGTGTCGGAAGGGAGGGCAGACTACTGGGACACAAGTGGATCGCAATTTGTCCAATGACGGATATAATGAATTTTCCTTCAAGATCAGTTTTAATGATCAATCTGGTTGGGAACAGAGGCACCTGCATATATGCAAATGTTACAGCATAGAATATTGGGAATTCAATGCTGGCATAAATTATCAAGACTCCTTCAAAATACCTCGGGCGGCAGCGGAGAATGTCCAGATCATGCCAGCGTCTAAGTCTGGCGGAAATGCTACTACTACAACAATGAAGCAATTAGATTTGCATTGTGAGCATGCAAATTACTTCCAGGAGGGGTAGGCTGAATCAATTGGATACAATATGGAAAGAATAACGGTTCGAAGCCACCTTTCTCAGTCTGGGCCAGTCAACCTCTAACCTGGCAATTCCCCCTCGTCGGGCCGACAAAGTGTGATAAATACTGGCATAGACTTGCAATTTCAGATGGGCAATGATGTTCACCTCGGAGCTTCAGTGGAAGATTTGACGCCTGCATACTTGATGTCTCGGAAACCTCATTGAGAGTCTTCTGAGTACAAATAATTGATTGATACGTTTTGTCGTGTAAGTAGTATCGCCTTGCTCAGCACGCCCGTTTTGGAACCTCCCTGTTAAGTCTGCTGAACTGTTTAACGATTGGACGTCAGTATGAGTTAATACGTTCTGCACGTTGTGAGGCCTTTGTAGGATCAGCACCAGAATCTTTACGATAGCTCCATTGGTATTGCTTCTGCCGTCTCTAGAGCAATGTGTTCGAATTCTTTGCCAACCAGATAGAAGCTCGTGACCAGCCTATATGCGCCCACTGCCACGGCTGAAAGTCTACAATGTGGGTCTCAGCGCGAGTCTACATAGGATTCCCATCTAGCACGACAGAAGTGGTTCGTACACCGGAAATTGATATCAGGCACCGCAGCAGCTCCATCTGGGAATTTCCAATTGGGATTATCGTGAAGCCAAGAGACAAAAATCTATTGGTACTTGAAACACCTATATCCTGGTCACAGAGAACTCAACGCGGCTATGCCTGATCTTTTGCTTCTGGGAATTATGAACCACATGATCCTAAAAACTAAGTATTGATGTTTGCTCGAATTCCAATACGATCATTCCCCCAAAGCGGTGTCAAGCCTGAGTATTATCGTTGGTGCCCTTTGAGGTGTCACTGATCTCACCCATTCTGGACAACCTCCTCCAAGGAGGGCAATGCAGCTATTTCCGGTCAACCATGGATGATTTCCTCTAAAATGAAAGTAGGCAGTCATGAGACAGTGCTAGGAAAACTTGCAAGTTTAGAGAATCTGGTGCCATGGCCTCCGATCGTGAACATAAACCAACTGATCTTGCCACACCAGAGTCATGAAGAGGGGAAAAGCCAGTAATTTTCAAACTCGTGCCTCTACTGATTGGCTTTAAAGTAATGATGAAAGAGTTTGGCTTTGCCACCAATACGTTGACGTTGTAATAAAGCCAAAACAAATCAATGGTACATAAGGTCCTTATAGGTAGACTGTCTTAGACTCGAAGTCCTTCGACTAGTGAGAAGCTGAGTATTCAAGTAGTCATGAAGATATTTTCAAAGATCAACGCCATTGCGCCAGGGTCACAGTGTGTCGTTGATCATGATATCTAGTCAGACTTACCTTGATGATCCCTCACAGCGTCATAACACCAAGAGTCCCCTGAACTCGGTTGATATGTCATGGAGTAAGAGCGAGAATAATCTATGACACTGTGGTGCTGCTAGCTTAGGGAAAATAAATCTTGGCCAGGGACATATGAGTGAAAAGGGAGCCCGGAATCAGAAATGAGGAAACCAGGAAACAAAAGAAGTACTAGAATTTCAGTAGCGATGCACAATTTTAGCTATAAATCATCAAAATCACTTTTGGTGTCTCCTTAGTGCCATTTATAAAGAGACAGACTATTCCGCTCGGAGCTGATCAGCCCTCTGCAAGCAGATCAAAAACATCAAGAAGAAGATTCCGCTTTGTTTTCGGCGGCGACTTTCTTAAGCCCATCAACGTATATACTGCGCTTTGAGCCCCCCGTACACTATACTCCATGTTAAAGGTTGTATCGCGCTCAATCTCTGTAAACTGTCCAACAAGAGCGATATTGGTGGTATCGCGTGGAATGACCTCCGGGCGATTTTTAGGATACCTCGGTAATAGTGCTGAGGTTGCTAGAGGCAACAAGCATGGGATAGTGATGGATTTAGGGAGGATACTTTCCATGGGAAAGTCGAGATGGGAGAGTAACTCCTTCATAATCTCCTCCCCGGCACACTTTGTCATTGGTTTGTCAACGAAATTTCCCATCTTCTCAGGGCGCAAACCGTATCCCCAAATGACATGTGTACCAGGCGGTTGATTTGAGCATACGGGCTGGTGAGGAACACTTATGCTAAGCATCCAGTTGCTATCGGGAAACGAAAGAAGCGCACCGGATCCAGGAACATCATGTGTAAGCACCTGATACAAATGTATGAATTCTGGGCTGTGGAGAGTCACGGTAAACGTGACTAGTGTGGACTCTGGGATGTGCGAAGTGAAGTTCAATGGATCACCGAATTTAGGAGACTTCTGAGCCAGATGTAACCAGAGCGACCAGTCACTTTCTGTGAAATCGTCCGGATCAGAAAGCTGAGGCGGCGGGTTGAAGTTCGTTCCCAGTTGATAGCCTGAGTTTGGTGACCCAATGGTGACAATCGTAAGATCATTAGGGTTCACGTTCACTGTGCGTTCTTCCTCTTGCTCTCTCAGAATAATCTCCTTGACAGTAGTGGGTTCTTCTCTTAAGTCGTCATCCGAGCTCATTCGTATGCCAACAACTTTCGCACTGTAATGGAAATTGACACCTTCTGATTTAAGATACGTTGAAATTGGCTGAATAATTGACTCGTATAAAGTATACCGAGTTCGATCGAGTGTCTTGACATTATTGAGGTTGTGAATGTCAGGGAGATGTTTACGAAGACATCTTTGAAACTCAATGGCACTGTGCCATGGACGGAGAGTAAATCTGCAATTGAACATTAGCTGATAGGGAAGAACACTGGCCGGAAATTGATTCCGCGGACTCACGTGGTGGACCACAATGCCCAAAAATCGGACCCGAAAAATTCATCTCCAAAGAAGTCCTGGATGCGATGTCTTCCTAAAAGACTTTCACTTTCCAATAACACCTTAATAAGCTGTAGTCGATTGTAGGGCCCGACCGAGAGATGGGCAGCATCGGATCGTTCACAATTTCCTCCCTTGTTTCTGATAAACCGTGTCTGGGGAATTTCTGTGGGTGGAGAATTTTCGTTCAATTCGAAATCCCTGATTTCGTCCAACAGAGACTTGTCTAATCCTTGGGTACTCGGAACGAGCGACAGCAGATTCTCCACGGATTCATCATAGAAATATGGCAGAGTGCCGGGGTGGAGGATAAATCCGTTTTCTGTATCTCCCGAGCTAGCTATTCCCCTCCAACTTTTTCATGACGGTCAAGAACATGAATGTTGCACCCTGGTAGTCTCGCATCTCTAATAAGGTGCACGGCAGCAGCAAGCGAGGCAATTCCACTACCAACCAACCATGCTTGGGTACTTTCAGGGTCACGAATGGATGATACTTTGTCGTGCATTGTCAGATACCTTTTCGATAATGAATTATATTCCCCAAGTTAAATGCCGCCGCAGCAGGCTCTTTTATCTCTCGGTGGCTACTATGATTGAGATGTCTAGGACCATAATAAAAGCGACATGAAATGCCACAGTAACACGAGATGAACTTTTATCACACAACAAGAAGCACGAAAAGAATGGGCTGATTTGCCACACTAACATGAAAATAGTCACACAACCGTCGCTTTGTAGACCATAAATGGTGACGTCATAAGATATCCAGCGAAATCGCCGGAGTCCCCTGGGCCAAACCGTCACCCCAAATTCCTATGACCAACGTCTGGGTTAACCTAATCTTGAACATGGTTTTCAATAGACTATACGAGCCGTGGCTGGTGAGTGGCTTGCAAAGGAGATGCTGATCTGCGCCTAACATTGCATGCACATTGTTGTGTGTTTTTAATAATCTTCAAGCCTGCCAGCTTTACAAAATAGAGGGAACTGCCGGCCTCACACAAATATGCCGCCAACTGCGAAGCTTTGGGTCGCAATATGTGCATCGGATCTTCTTTTCACTTCTGGGTGAAATATAAAGCCAAACATGTCCTGTTCATGTTCAGTTATAAGCCTAATTTTGGTCACCACATTTTCAGTATGTCTTGCGTAGCCATCGTCGTTTGACCTGCCGATCCTTAGGTTTAACAGGCCATAACTGAAAGTCCATATTTAGAAATACTTGCGACGTGCAGTATAAACTCGCAATATTTTCTTGTGCATTCACAAGGCCCCATGGGTATGTTGCCGCAACCCCAAGCTTTTTAGCCTCGACCGAACATTTGTGAGACCAATACTTCTCTACCTAACTGCGACTTTTGTTCTTGCCGTACTATTTCTTTGGCATTCACATTTGATTGGGTTCAGTCCACTACCTACTTCTTAAGACACACCAGGCGCGAATTTACGTCTGGTTCAATCTAGGTACCATTAGAAAATATTTGAAGTTTCATATCCAAAGCATTAGTCTGATGCTTCAGCCGCATACCATGAGCAAGCATCGTCAGCAGAGAGTGTTAAAAGGTCCACAGCACGCAAAGCCATTAATTATAGTACTGGATGACATAAATACACTGATGGGGCTCATACCGCAGCGAGATAGACATAAGTTGAAATAGAGTGCATTCAAAATATCAGCATGGCCACACTATTACGGACCAAGACGAGAAGAATTCGTGTGTCATTAATAAATTAACTAAACTAGGGAGAGGAAGAAGAAAGAAAGGGGGAAATGAGAAACTACGAAATAAAACCCCTTCTATCCTAAATTAGGTTAGCCTAACGGCTCCTTCCTAGTCACGTTCCCCCTTAGTCCTTAAGATAGTCATACGTCACATTGGAAGACCGGGAAATATATCACTACTACCTGCTGATTATAATTCTAGAGATGATACTAAACTACCTCCCACAATTTTACACACAAATCAAGAAGAAATAGGACATTTATGGCTTAGCCATATACAGTGGAAGAGGTGTAACAATCAATCCACATTTCTGTTCCATCATTGGGTCTTCATATGATACGGTAAGCAACAGACATGTCTCAGTAATACTCATAATAGAACCGAGCCCGCTTTTCTTGTACGAAATAAAACTCATTTTCTTGATTGGCTAGTTAATAGTCTTTTCATTAATAATTTGGTATAGGGTGCTCACCATCCATCTTAAGAGTAACATCCGTTCCAGCGTCAAAGTCCACATTCTCCGCAATTTCTAGGGTCTGCGTCTGCGTCTCATGACCCAAAGGGCTTCTTTTAATATTGATAGCTTCAACTTCTCCGGTAAAATGTTCCACTTTGTCGTGGGGACCAAAACAACCCTGTCGTTTACCCTTATTGTCCAACAGTTCCACCATCATATGTGGGTACTCCCGGTTCACCGACAGTGTGATGTTGTCGTCGTTGAATTTTGCTCTAGGCATGTTTGGATAAATATTTTGGTTCAATAAAAAGGGTGCTTCGATCAGGGTTGTGATGAAGCAGTGGCTGCGTTTCTGACGACCTTTCGTATCGATTTAATGTCCCTGATTATGTAAGGATATTGCTGTTCAATATGTTACGTCATGATGATCAGTATCGATATCCACGATACGGATCATCGGATTGTTCATAAGTCAAGAAATAACGTAATCTTTGAACGAGCTACTTTAGATAGTCTAGACCTGTCAAAGTTACACTGTCGAGTAATTAAGAGTTTCAAATTAAAGGATCACACAACACCGCGACACACGTCAAAGAGTATGGTTCCCACGTTACAATATGGGGGCTTTCGTCTTGCTTTTGCTTTGTAGTAAGTGACTGATACAGTAGAAAGATGTGTCGCATGCAGATGTTTGCGAGCTTCGGCAGAACTTGGTTTACATTCATCTATGCATGAGAGTAAACGAAGTCAACGTGCGGAGATCTCTGTCAACTTACCAGCTCCCTTCATTTGCCTCCCCGTCACCCACCTTATCTCGGAGCCGAAAAATATGACATCACGCTGCAGAGCACACGCTTCATGCTTCTAAGAATGACCTCGTGTTGTACGTTACACGAAGCTTGACACACTCCTACCACCCATTTTAATTGGCGCCTAAAGCATTGGTTCCCTAGATGCATATCGTCTCTTATATTAAAGCACACCCAAGGGCTTCCCTAACTTATAGGGAATCTCTCCTCCAGAATACATTCCCATAAGCTAGATCCTTTCCTATAGGGGGTAAAAAGAAGTTAAATAACCAGGGAGATGTAGCGTGCAAGACATTTAATTGGGCCGTATAATTTGAGCGGCGATCAAAATGCGAATAGCGGAAAGAGGGCTATTACAGGCGGTGAATTAAAAATTGAATTTCTAAAATCCTAGCGTTAAACACCCCCAGAAGGCGTAAAGCTGCTGGTTAAACCCCGTTCTCTCAGTACTTTGGTAGGGTGGGAATTGTTGTCGATTGGCCAGAGAACAACATATTCTCCACTCAGACCTCAGATCACGTGGAGTTCCTAATAAATTACACCCCTGGGCCTTCTGTCGGAAATTGTTTCAAGCCGCTCAAAGACTAGCTTGTACAAGTATCGACTATTCTTCGTCTGCCTTGCGTTGTGAAAGAAGAATTATTGGTCTAATTGTAGGGAGAAATCCAATAGGTACAGACAAATTGCTATTGCGAGCTCTGCAACCCGATATAGGCAGTTATCCGTCAGGGAATATTTTACCTTCTGATTGGCTTCCTGTCCCTGGGGTTCCGTCCACTGACTATCAATACAATGTAAATTTGGTTACAGCCCATTCGAAGCTCTCCCTGAACTGCCCGACGGGATGACTAAGAAGTTTGAAGAAGAGGAGCGATTCTGTTCACAGTTGGAGGCGGCCAGTTGTATGAGCCGACCAGAGCTTGCATGGTAAGCCTCTAGGTCCTGATCAAGAGATCAATCCGTCCTTGCTCATTGAGCAAAGCATGAGCAAAACCTGAGCGTAAACATTCTCCTCGTCAGTCAATTGATTGAAAATAGATTCTGCTTCAACATGCTCAGGACCTGTATCCTAAATCGGTTTTAATTGCGCTGCAGTGCTTTCGGTTTGCGGGTATCGAGGCTAATTTGGTCCTTGAATCGCCGTGATCGATATGAAGGTTAATTCTCGCGTTTAAACCTCTCTTCACGTGTTTGTTCCCAATAATTCGTAAAGTATCGGGCGGTTTGGGGACCCGCTACCCGATAATACTTTAGGTCTTCGAGCTCAAAATACAGACCTTTTTGGCCTAGGCAAATGCGAGAGAGGAGATGAGTAGGGAAAGGCCTGATTGGTCAAGAAGATCACAGCGATCGAATCTAGCGAGGATAATTAAACACTCCCGGGCCTACTATCCAGGTCATAAAATACTGGCCGGGTGTAGCAGCTATAATTATGAAAACCTTCGGAGGGATTTTTCACGGCGAATAAGTTCGCCAACCAAAATCTTAACAGGTCTGAATTTGTATGTTAGGCTTGATTGCATGTATTGGGTCATGTCCTCACCATGCTGCTCTTTGAAAATTTGTATACAAGGTCATGTGAACTAACGGGCAGGCACGTGCAAACCGCGATTTTATTAATTGGCGTACTCTCCAGGTCGAAATAAGAATCGTCGATTACAATTCACAGATAAAACGGGTATGTTTCCAGTATTTGAAGTGCTATAATATATCTACGCGCTATCGAACAGGGTTCAATTGATACTATAAAAAAAGTCCACTTACCTCTCGAATTATGATATCACGAAGGCCCGAGGAAGCAACACGACAACCTCCCAATCTTTATCTTCTCAGGACAGAGACAGGGGAGACGATGCGTGAATATGGACTGCCCGAAATCCCTCCACAATTAGGGGTGAATTACCCTGAAGTCGGACGCCCTGAAAATCCCATTTTCCCTGAACAATACACGCTCGAAACGCAAACGGGGTTGGTACCCGCAAGAACAATTGAACAGATCCGTTCAAGTACAATAACAGGAAGAAGAATATCTATTTTGGATGTGGAGAAGGGAGGTGAACCGTATCATTTTGTTACCTTCAAGATTGATGACCACGATAATCCAAAGAATTGGGCTCGACTTTATCGCTGGTACATCACGATGGTCGTATCGGCCTTGGTGGTGTGCATCGCTTACGGTTCGTCATTTGTAACTGGTGGGTTAGATTTGATAGAGAAAAAGTACAATGTTTCGCTAGAAGTCGCCATTCTGACAACCTCCATTATGGTATGCGGCTTCGCAGTTGGGCCGCTACTTTGGTCTCCTCTGTCGGAGATCCTTGGTCGACGTCCGGTCTACATTCTATCTCTTGGCCTCTATACTATTTTTCAGATTCCATGCGCTCTTTCACCAAACATTGGCGGCCTACTCGCCTGTCGGTTCCTGTCAGGTGTTTTCTCCAGCTCGGGGCTGACGCTAGCTGGTGGAACCATTGCTGACATTTGGGAAATCAAAAACCGTGGGATGGCTATTGCTTTCTTTGCTGCTGCACCTTACTGTGGCCCAGTCTCGGCCCAATTGTTTGTGGTTGGATCAACGTTGGCTCAGGACGTCTTGACCTATTCTTTTGGGTGAACATGGCCTTTGCTGGCGCAATACTAATTATTGTCGGCTTGATCCCGGAGACTTACGCCCCTGTCATTCTCAAACGGCGTGCCAAGAAGCTGCGCAAGGATACCGGTAACCCGAATATCATCACTGAGCAGGAGAAGGTTAAATTGAGCCTACGCGATATCGTCCGCACTAGCTTGATTCGTCCCATCACAATGATTCTAACTGAATTAGTGCTGGATTTGATGTCTATGTATATCGTTTTGATTTACTCTATGTTGTACGCATTTTCTTCGCTTATCCGGTCATTTTTGGGAAACTATACGGATACAACGACGGCATAATAGGATTAATGTTCATCCCCATACTGATAGGGGCGGGATTCTCCCTGCTCATAACACCTTTGATCGTGTCAGAGAGGGATGACTGAATATGGAGATATATGTAAGAGTGATGAATTAATGCTATGGGAGAAGTAGGCTAAGTAGGCTACAAACACCCCCCACGACCATAGCATGGTGCATGCGTGTGGGAGATATCCGTATGAAGAATGATAATCCCTCGATCCTGTTGAAGCTATTCCCGGGTGTGTGTGTGCCGCCAAAACGTATCTGTGTAGCTTAATTAGGCTATATAGGTAGAGGTCTGTGTAGGCGAGGGCTGCCGTGGATAGGCAAGATACCGTGGATAGGCATAGATGCGTGGATAGCATAAATTGAAAGAATACCGGCGATTGGTATAATACCGTGGATAGGCATAGATAGATAATTAGGCTGACCTAAGGAAGAGACTGGCAGGATCGTTTAGGTCGACGGTATTTATCTTAGGACGCTAATCTTGGTCTTAGTTCTGTGGGTTAAGGAAGTATTCTTCTGTAGAATATGTGGCTTGGCGCTTATAGAACTTATAGTAGAAACGCTTAACCTTTGCCTTTACCTTATTTGAGGTAGGCATAGAGTAAGATATAGGCGCGTCGAAGTTAAAGAGATAACGTAATTTAGAGATAACAAAGTCGGCGTAGGTGTTCTCGATAATATTTTTGGTAGACACCGCGGTCGTACGATTAATCTTAAGAGTGTTTAGCTAGATCTAGGCCTCTAGTTAGCTACTAACTACCTCGAGGAATTAGTAGAAGATATAGATTATTGAGAGATATAGGGAATTCTCCTAAAGCTCTACGAGAGTAAGGCGCTACGTATTAACGAAGCCTTAAGGATCCTGGCCGCTATAAGTAGTGCGGACCTACCGGTAATACTTTGCGAAGCCCGTGTGGTAGCTTATAGTGGCGAAGGCATATTTAAGCGTCTGGTAGGCTATAAAAGCGTCAGTAGATTAACTAATATATAAACAGAGGGTTAGATCGATTATAGCGTAAAGTAATAGCAGAAGGTATCGCGAGATAGTGTCCCACTTATTATAGGAAATAGTTTTAGCTATAGAAGGAGCCTAAGGGTCAGCGAAGGTAGGGCGTACGTATTCACCGGCGAGGAGCTTATTAAACTATATATCGCGAGCGTCGAGAGACTAGCGAAGGCTAGTAGCCCACGAAGTATAGTTATTCTCGCCTACGAGGGTAGAAACGAGGTCGGTGAGCTTAGGCTCGGTGAAGCCGGTGGTTTTGGTCGACATAATAATAGAAAGGGCAAAGCCTTAATAGAAGGGCAAAGCCTTAATAAAAGCCTTGATAAAAGCCTTGATGAAAGCCTTGATGAAACGGGTAGGGATGGCTACCCTGCCCCCCACGAGAGGACGGCGGTGACGATGATCACGGCGATGAGACGATAAGGATGATGATCAGGGGGCGCCAGCGATGGTCAGATCACTGGCGCCAGGCAAAGGGACTCATAACCTGTCAGAGAGGGATGACTGAATATGGAGATATGTGTAAGAGTGATGAATTAATGCTATGGGAGAAGTAGGCTAAGTAGGCTACAAACAGATCGAAAAACATTTCAAGCGAGTCTGCCAGTCACGGACCCCAATTCCCGAGGACAGACTCCTCGGAGCCTTACTGGGGGCTCCATTCATCCCTATTTCTTTGTTTATTCTGGGCGCAACATCATTCAAGCACATCATCTGGGTGGGGCCATCCTCCTCAGGTATTGCGTTTGGTTTTGGCATGGTACTATGTTACTACTCGGTGAATAATTATATCATCGACTCGTACCAGGAATTTGCTGCGTCCGCTTTGGCAGCTAAGGTTTTTTTGCGATCTTGGGGGGGGGTGCTGCGTTCCCGCTTTTTACCACACAGATGTATGATCGTTTGGGATTGCAGTGGGCGTCGTGGCTCTTGGCTTTTCTTGGGGTGGGGATGACTTTCATCCCCTATGTGTTTTATTTCTTTGGGGCAAGGCTTAGGGCAAAGCTCAGCAGAGATTAGTGTTTACCATGAGGGAAAATCCAACTTCGATTAATAGCCACATCAGCAGTTTCGAACTAAACAAAGTCTACAAAATGGCAATGAGCTCAGCTGATTCTAAATCTTCAGATAGATTTTTAATAATTTGTATCGCTGTTGAGTTATAACCTATCGAAGTTGGCTTTTTGGTACTGTGAGGGACTTGGTGTGACGCATGACTGTCTTATGGCCTGAGGAAGGCCTGAGGGGGAACGTGATCTGGAAGGAGCCGTAGGTCTAACCCGATTTGGTATAGACGTGGTTTTGTTTCGTAGTTGCTCGTTTCCCTCTTTCTCTCTTCTTCTTCTTCTCCAGTTTAGTTGCTTCTGTTAATGATACACGAATTCTTCTTCGTCCTGGTCGGTAACAGGTGGAGGGTCCGGAGGGTCACCCGCGGGTGAGTGCCAGGTCTACTACTTAGTAATAAAAATTACTAATAAATACACAGAAAAGCCCCCGGAATCCGTATAACATATATAAATAGATAAGTTATATTTTCTACCTATTTATCCTATTTATGGACTCTAAGGGTGACCCTAAGGGTGACCCTCGGAGGGTCGGACATATAGGTGCCCGACCCTTAGGGTCTAGAAATCGGACCCTCCACCCGCTAAGAGGAGGTGCGGGTGGAGGGTCTGGAGGGTCACCCGCGGGTGAGTGCCAGGTCTACACTTAGTGCACGTTTCCCGCCGTAGCTTGATTAAAGCTAGAGCACTGTGGGTTTCACGGGACTCCCAACCTCGCGCGTCCCATGAAGTGGCTTAGGGGCCCATAGAAACCACCAAAAGGCTTAAACGCCGGCCCGCTAAAGTGGACCCATTTGTCGAACGTCCCCGATCGGTATGATCCAAAAAGCCAGCTATGATCTCTAGCTTGTGTCTCCCCTTTCTATCGCGCTGGATGATTAGCCCAAACCTGCAAGCCGACTTCGACCAGATTACTATTTTATTCCACTACTTCAGTCATCTGAGTTTGAGAAGAACGAAATCTCCGATGAGGATCCGCCTCGGCGTATCCACTACTTCATAAGTTGGCGAGTTACGGCCAACAAGAAGGCTTTGGCGGAGCACACAGACGGGTGATCTGGTTCTGGCGCCAAGCACCTGCTGGCTGTTGCTCTTGGAAGAGAAGCTGCAGTCTTTCCTTCGACACAATGTCCTCGACAGTCGGAGGGATAACGCCTGATGACGTTGCGATTGCTAGATCAGTCAACGATAGTTCCTAGCGTGATTTGGCTACGCGCTTTGACAAGACCAATATCTTATTTTGTATTCCCATTGAGGAATAGCTCCAGCTATGGTCGAGCTTAGAGACTCAGCCCGAGTATCCTTTTTGAAACCCACAGAGTATAAGCTAGCTTGATCCCGGATTCTACGTTACATATAAACAGTTAAGTGATTTTTACATTCTAACCACAAGAAGGTGGTGTTCCTACTCCATAAATGCTAAACCTATTGGCCGAGAAAGGGAGACGAGAAGAAATTGCATCGTATAATTCATGATCAAAATAAGTGTACCCTGTGGGCTGTACCGTACTTAAACAATTATGCTGCTAGCTAATTAACAAATGGGGCCACTAGTTTTCGGAAGAACCGTGCGCAAGACCCTCGGAGAAACGCTAACTGCATTGCCATTCTTATCCAATTTGAAAACAAACTCGTCGAGGCCCACGTTGCCGTATACCAATGAGTCAACAGTGACCCAGGTGATGCAAGATGAGGTGAATGGCCCAATTCCAGTCCCAAGGTCTGGCGGGATTACCGCCCGAAAGGGAAAGCTGTCCTGGACTCTCAAGACCGGTCGGATACAGGCGGATGCTCAACTGAGAGGGATCGGAGATGCCGTTGAGGGTCATGTAGCCTGGGAACATATCAGTTCCGTTGTTGACCCAGCTTGTGACGGCTAGGCCAGGTCCATCATCTGTGGTGATAGTGATCGAGGAGTTGCCGGTGTTCAGAGCATATTTTCCTGCGAAACGCGTGTTCGCGTGGTTCTTGGCGGCCTTTTCAAGTGCGGGGAGCAGACTTGCAGAAACGAGATCCGAGGCGAGGGCAAGAGACACGTGGGTGTTGTCACCGGCCCCGAGGACTACAAAGCCTGCGCCGTGGTCTGGGTCCAGAGCTAGCACACACGAGTATGTGCCGATGTCTCCTGACTTGGTGTAGAGGTCAATCGGCCGCTCGTCGCCGAATGACAGAATCTCCCATGGCGCGCCAACAGCGTAATCCAGGGATGATGTGTGAGTAAGCGGTTTCATCCACCGTCTTGTGGTTGACCGGGGCAGAAGAGAGCTATTGAGAATGGCACGACCAAAGATGGACATATCCTTTTGCGGATGAGTAGATGCCGCCGGCACTAGAAACACGTGAATCTTCTATCCAGGGTCAGTGAGTTGTGTGAAGCTACTTACGGTCCCTCTTCCCCAATATTGAAATCCCACCAGTATTCGCCTTGCGAAATAGGGATGACTCCGAGCTTGGTGCTAGGCGTGTTGTAGAAGGTGTGGGTCAGATTCAGTGGCTTGATAATATCCTTCTCTAAGACATTATCGAAATCTCTACTAGTAAGCGCCTCCACGACATATCCAAGGATCTGGAAGGCAGCATTGGAGTAGATCGGTGTGGAGGATGTGGGGGAAAATAGGGTGGGCCTGGAGTAACCCATTGAAGAATTCTGTTATCACAAACCCTGTCAGCGAGATGGAACGAAAGTAAGACATAGTAATCAACATACGTTCTCTGCTGCAGGGGTTCGGCACACCGCAGGGCGGAATCTGCGCGTGTGGCAGGGCGGGAAATCCCAGTGATTCAAGCAAGGGAGCTTGCTCAGTGAGATCAAGGACACCATCTAGAAATTCTTAGCTTCGACACGTGGGCGCAGGGAGCCCAAGGGACTCTCAACCAGGGCAAAACTCACAGTCTCTTGGTATACCAGCCAAGTGACTCGCCAACTCTCCAACCGTCACTTCGTTCCACGTTGTAAAGTCGATCCCATCTTGTCTTTGTGTGGAATTCCGGAGAAGATCAAAAATAGCCGCCTGAATTTCAGGTACGTACTCAGCAACCGGGTCTTCCAAGGGATTAAAACCGGCTTCAATTAGCAGCAGAAGCATAGTGAACATCTTAGAGGTACTGCCAATGCGGAAAACGGTGTTCTCGTCAACCTCCTTCACGCCAATGGTGGTATTGATAGCATCGGCCGTGTAGGACAGAGTGAGCAATGGACCAGGATCACTTGTGTCAAATATCACCAAAGACAGGGAATCTCCAGAAAAGTTTCCGGCGTTGATAGCATCCTGAATAGTCGTGGTGATGTTCTGCAGCGCCGACTGGACTGTAGGATCGTTGGAGATATCTGTGGCCGCAGGCCAGCTAGGTCCAAGGAGGGGACAGAGGTGGATAGCGCTTGTGAGAGCAGCGCAAAGCACCAGCAGAGGCGGGTACAGCAGCATAGTGAGAGAAGCCATATTGGTCAGGTTAAAATTGGATGTTGTTCAGGGTGGACGTGATATTTATAGGATGTACCGATACGCCAAGCCCATTGGAAATTGAGCTATTAAATTATCGTGAAAGTTCTCGTGAGCAATGCTATATACCCACGTTGACAGTGCACGGACTGAAGATAGAAAGCATACAAACGGGGGCTGCATCCAATTAAGGGTGACAGACTCCCACTATGATTTGACTAGGACTATCCAAATTATGTTCTTGCGATTATCATATTGTACTGTACCTAGACCCTTCCCTTCATTCACACGCCTTAGTGGAAGGGCCCTCCTCCTTCCATGCATCCCTGGAGTCAAGTGAACAAACTTCTCGTATTGAACTCGCGAGGCCAACTTACATTGCTTCATTGGTTTTAAGGGTAGTGATATTGTCACACTGAATTAGCTAGCGTCGGTGCGGCAGTTCGCCTTATACTATGGGGGCGTTCTGTAACCATAGGACGCAGATCTCAGAGTGATGAGCAGGGATCATACCTGTCAGCTCATAGTCATAGGTTCGTCGTAGCTCTTGATCATCGGATCGGAATCAAAGTATTAGCATTGCTCCTGAAACAGAAGAACGGACATTGTTGATCAGCAGGCCTCGAAATCTCTCATAACAAAGAGAACGGAGGTACCCCAGTTTTGGTTATAGATGCATGCGCTAGAACTCTGGCTTGATCCGCCGGCCTATCAGCTTCGATCTGCACGGGTTGGGTTACACCATGATTTAACCTTGCCCCGCTCTATGTTATTCTAGATATTTTTGAATCCCTCTCTGAAAGTTAACCTGTGCTAACGGATTCGCAGGTTGTCTAGACTACAAAAATTAATGTTACAATGGTATATCTGCACAAAGCACTAGACTTTCCAGAGTTACGGTCAAGAGTCGACAGGGGTCGCCGCTACAACGAGGTCCTTAAAACCCCAAGTCTCGAGATCGGGTAGCACGGCACCTTTGTGTTGAGATCCGACCCAGGTACAAATATCGTCATCTTCCCCGCCGGAAACCGCGGCTTTAGCGCATCCGATTTTGGAAGTCCAAGGGATCTCAGGTGGGCTTGCTTAGTTTATGCATGTGATTATTTGCGGGCGTCTGTGCTGCGAACCCCACGTACATAAGAAGGCTTGACTCAAACTATATGTGAAAGGCAATATTCATCGCTGCCTAAGTCATGAGAGTTAGTCCGTGGGTCATGGGTCCAGATCTACCGAACAGGTCTTGTGAGTAGAGGCGCTTCTGAGTTCTGAAAGTGATGGAAATATGGACCCGACAAAGTCGGTAATATCTAAGACTATATGTTGGAGAGGGAGAGGGAGAGAGAGCGAAGCCCAAGACAACCTAGAAAGTTGTATTGGTGAGGAAGACTATCTTAGCAAAGACAACTAATCATGCGTGCTGAATCAGGCGACACATGTCAACACTCCTGCGTTCATCCACACCGCCTAACCACACCGTTTAACCACACCGTTTAAACACCTCTCCTTTAACAAAGTTTGTCCCCAGTCTCTGGAAAGGATAGACGGGTTGCCCGTGGCAAAGCGTTAATGAAGCCCGTCAATAGCCGCCAGCCAGATACCGACACTCTCTAGTTTGCCCGTGCGTCTCCCAAAAGGTTTCTGATGTCTCGGCGGTGCTTGTGTCTCGGATAACGCTCTGCGAGGCTTGCCCGTGGCTGAGTCTGAACGACGTCCTTAGGCCTTGAACGATGTAATGTACAAGAAGCTTTCTTCCAACAGTTGTGGCGTCTCAAAGTCTTTGCTCACGATCATTTGTTGTCAGGCTTAATTAAGCGAATAACTGAAATATTCAATGGTAAGTGAACGTTAGAACAACGGTTCAATGGCTGCATCATCAAGTATCCGGCTTATTGATATATTCTAAGCGCCAATTTGTAAATTTCTAATGAGCCTTCTTCGAAAAAAATCAATAATATACAGCACGGAATCACGGTGCTTGATTGGAACCCCAAACGTATGTTTAAGGGTGGTGAAGAGAGGGTGGTGAAAGCGTGAAAGAAAGACGCCAATACAAAGTCCTAGAAACTGAGCTTTCCACATGCTACATAAAAGACCACTGCGGTCCCTGGATCGTACTTTTGCATTCAGTGTCATTTTTCACTTCTCAAACATTTACATCTTCTTTGCTTGCAAGACTATATTCAGCACCGTTACGATCATAATGGCAATACCTCCGGGCTCCAAGAAAACTATTGATTACAGTCATATTCGAAATCAGTTTGAACTCCACACTGTCACGAATTAGTTCCCGAACCCTAATTTGAAACACGCTAATCTATATTAGGTATAGCCGTCGATCCCTAATTTATCAAGAATAGAAATTGCATTTTACATAACGCGGGTGGGACCTCGCCCCGCGTATTTTGTATGAAAATTGCTATATATATCGTACCTCTGGGCCCCTCCTTTAATCCTGTCTAGACCTGGCACTCACCCGCGGGTGACCCTCCAGACCCTCCACCCACACCTTCTCTTAGCGGGTGGAGGGTCCCATTTCTAGACCCTAAGGGTCGGGCACCTATATATCCGACTCTCTGAGGGTCACCCTTAGGTTTTATAAATAGGATAAATAGATAGAAAACGTGACTTACTTATTCATATATAAGTTATATAGATTCCGGGGGGTTTTCTGTATATTCATTAGTAATTTTTAATACTAAGTAATTCTAATTTTCTGATAGCTATTATTATTTAGGGGTATGTTGCTAGGGCGTTACCTTTTCTAATAGCTTTTAAAAAAGGATATTAAGGACTAAGAGCTATAATATAAGTAGATTCTAATAGCTATTAATAATAGGCTTCTTTAGCTATAATATTAGTGTAAAGGAATACTAACGACTAGCGGTGAAGGTTTACCCCGCAGTGTAATAAGCGAGTCTCGGACCCGATTCGTACTTAATTCGAGAGGGTTTCCAGATAACTTAGACTTAGCAAGAATCAGTCTTGCTTCTTATAATACCACACTCCAGTCCAGACATCCTTCCTTACCTGACCGACAGGCTTCTACCCTGAACACGTAGATTCTTTACAATTAATCTTTATAAAGTCAGAAAAAAAATATTATATAATTAGATTAATATATAGAATAAATTATAAATTATTAAGACTTAAGTATATAGCTATTAAGTAGCTTTAAGTGCTTACGCTTCTTACTAAATATATATTATTAGATATTAAATAACAGAAGGTTAATATTAATATTATTGTCCTTATTATAATCTATAATCTCTATCTCTTTAAGATTAACTATTATTATATAAGACTATAAAAAGGACTCCTTATCCTAAGCCTATATATTATTCTCCTTAGTATTATTAATTAGATTAAAGGATTTATCCTAAGTTTTATTAGCCTTAGTTATCGCTATAATCTCTTAATATAATAAATATAGAAGTAGGTGGGTGGTGTGGGCGGGAAGGTGGTGGAATACGTTATAAATAAGTCACGTTTTTTACCTATTTATCCTATTTATAGACCCTGCGGGTCACTTGCGGGTGACCCTATACGGGTCGGGCACCTCTATATCCCGACCTTAGGGTCCAGAAGTCAGACCTTACCCACCCGCGGGGCGGGTCGGGTGGAGGGTCCTTAGGGTCACCCGCGGGTGAGTGCCAGGTCTAACCCAGATAACTTAGACTTAGCAAGAATCAGTCTTGCTTCTTTTAATACCATTACCTAACCGACAGGCCTTCTACCCTGAACACGTAGATTTTTTACAGAGATATCTAATATCTAGATTATACTTAGAGGCGATAAGAAAGAGAAAAGAAGAGTTTAGTTATATATTATAGACTAAGATAAAAACAAATTCATATATTATTAATAAGAGTAACTAAACTAAAGAAGAAGAAGAAGAGAGAAAGAGGGAAACGAGTATCTACGAAACAAAACCACTTCTATCCCAAATCAGGTTAGACCCACGGCTCCTTCCAGATCACGTTCCCCCTCAGGCCTCCCTCAGGCCTCAAGACGGTCATGCGTCACACTATATAGATATCCTATTAAGGCTGTACGGTCTCTCCTTAAAGCTTTATTATAAAAAGGGAAATATATAAGTAACTGGAATTGAATTAGGTAGTTGCTTAGTCTATCTCTAACTTCTGTCTTAAAGATGCACTATGCACTGCAGACATTAGATCATGCCTAAGGCCACACATACGCTATTATGTCACCGGTCCTCCCACTACCTTATGAATTTACGGGGGACCACACAAGGGACCGCAAAGGACCGCGGGGGACTGTGGTGCGGTCCTGACTACTTAAAAAAAGACCAAAGACCATATGGCCCGGTCCCGGTCCTTACCGAGGTCTAACCGTGACTATCTTGTAGAGTGAACTGTAACATTTTGACTCAAGTGTACTTGAATCGAGATATATCCTATAAAACGTCTTACATGGGTCAAATGAGTTCCGTCAGGCTAAGACCCCTGGGAACTATGGGGCATCTAGAATCGAGGCGACGAATAGGATAACTGTAGACCCATTTTACCCATTAATGAACATACAGCGCGGTTACCTGGCAGTCAGATAATGGGTGCAAGAAATCAATCACGCAAATTTTAGTATTTGGCCTCTGATTTAGAAGACATGAAATTCGTAGGCTCAATAAGATCATCAGGCAACGTGAACTGGCAAGTTTCAAAAGGAATAGTTGCCTCCCTTAAAATTTGTAGCTTTTTCTTACATGAACTCAATTCTTCCTGGAGACTCGAGATAGATTGATGAGCAAGCTCGAGAATTTCCGCTCTTTTCGATCGTTTCGATGTTTTGTGGGGCATCTCCACATTTGAGCGGTATTGATCGCGGCCGATATTCAGCATATCCTTTTCTAATTGTAGATATTTGGAGTTGAGGTTTTCCCGGTACCGCTTTTCAACTAGACAGTGGGCTTTCTTTCGGCGCGTGTCTTCGCTACTCGAATAACTCTCTCTTTCAAATGCGGCATTGGAGTGCTGATCTCGCGACTCGGATAATATATAACCAGGGTTCTGGGGAGGGTTCTTAAGCGACGGGTTAAAGGTTTCTGAATCTCGATTGGTAGTTTTCCTTCGCTCAGTTGTTGGTGACCCCAGCCCATTTTGGCGACAATTCGCTAGGCCTTTATATGTTTCAAGGCTTCCAGAGATATGGCCGCTATACTTTGAAGGCCTGTTTCCATCCGACGGCAATAAGTGTCCATTGTATGCAGGAGCCTTGACTGTGTTTTTAGCTATATGTTGACTTGGAAAAGATGTCAGGCAACACATACACTGCCAATAGTGATTAGAGAGCCTTGGTCAAAGGGACAATCCGTAAGGTCTCCCCAGAAATCTTCGAATGGGTCTTTCAGTGAAGGGCTGTCAGAAAGGTTCTCAGCCATGAAATTTTGACCATACTGCGAATCCCAGGGCGGAAGTTCTGGATAGAACACGTCCACAAGTCCACCGTCTGCAGGGGGCCAGTGCGTTAGATTCTCCACCGTAGTCATTATGGTGCCAAGGTTCACGTTTGTTTTGGACATCTAGCCTTAAGATATTGATGAGATATGAAAAAAAAAGACAGCGTCATTTGAGTGTATCTTAAATAAGTTCACACCTCGAGCTTATGGGCAGATTTATTCGGCGGAGACGGTCGAGACCATCCCCTAAGTTTGGGCTAACCGATAAAATCTCATTTTATGGTCTTTTATCACTTCAGTAGAGAATTCATGATCCCCCCCGGATGATTTTGATTCGCCCAAGACGCCGCCTTTCGGAACGGGCTTTCGAAGCGAGAGAGCTCTGATGGATCGACCTCTAACCGTTTTTCGTCTAAAGCGGGGAAAGTAAGAGTCTCCGCCGGAAACACAAACTCAAAATACCGTGTCGGCCGGGCCCGGTTGATCGTTTCGTTCGAGCCTAAGTGTTTGGTTGCATCACTAGCTAATAAGTGGCGTTGGATAGAAACCCCAGCTTATTGCACTCGGAAAGCTATCTTGACATGCGAGTTCTGCAAACGGAAGTGATGGTCGTAGGCTTCATCAGTCCCTCATCTATCCAGCGACATAGGTCGCCAAGCAAGCAATCACGACTAGAGGGTGAAGATAGTCAAGGACGTCCCTTTGATTATTCGGATTATGGAAAAGAATGTGTAAATAGAAAGAACAATATTACAGGAGATTCGAAACGTTACATACGAGCATCCCCAAAGATTAAATTTGAGAGTCACATCATGAAACCCGCATGACTTATACAGGGAGCCACACGGGTCGAAACAGCTCGAGAATAATGACGCGAGTTCTCATACTAACAATTCAAAAACCTCCAAGAGTTTGTTTCTCCTAATTTTCGACGGGGCGTGTCCCAGATTCATTAGATTGCACACTGCCATTTGCGCTCCTCGGACACTGTACTCAACACCGTAGGTGGTGTCATCAGGGATTTCTGCAAACTGGCCGATTAGCGCGAGGTTAGTGGTCTCATGAGGAACCACACGCGGACGATCATGGTAAGAGCGGGATAGAAGCATAGAAGTCCCAAGCGGCATAAGACAAGGAATTGTGATCGCCGATGGAAGAATTTCGTCGGCGGGGAACCCTAAATGGGAAAGAAGCTCGAAGAGAATTTCTTCACCAGAACAGTTTTCCATCGGCTTTTTGACGTATTTCCCGTTTCTTTCCGGATGTAAGCCGTAACCCCAAATCACATGTACAATCTTGGGCTGAGTTGCGAATACAGGCTGGTGAGGAACGCTGATGTTCAAACCCCAGGGACTTTCTACCACGGTGAGTAGAGCACCAACGCCCGGTTTGTCCCGAGTGAGATCGGCATAACACTTCATAAAGCCCGAATCACGCAAGGTGACAGTGAATGTCTCGATCTTCGACTCATCCGAGCGCGTAGAAAAAAAAGTTTGAAGGATTGCCAAACTTGAGAGATTGCTGCGCAAGCTTTTGCCACAGAGCCCACTCTCCATGTTTCATGATATCTGGAGATCCTGACCATGGCGGAGGGGCTTTTGTGTTAGATCCGGTCTGCATACCGGTAGACAACGATCCCAACGTCACGATTACTATGTCAATAGGGTCCACTGTGATAAGCATTTCCTTTCCATTTTCCAGCATCACAATCTCCGAAATCGTGGTTGGGTCACTGGAAGGGTACATTTTCAGATCCGTAACCATCGTATGGAACCGAAAATCAACTCCTTGGTCCTTCAAAAATGTCGTTATGGGATGGATTACCGATTCGTAAAGACTGAACGGCGTCCTGTCCAACTCTCGCACATCGTTGTGGGTGTTCATTTCTGGGAGGTATTTCAGGAGCAACCTGTGAAACTCAATGGCGCTATGCCATGGTTGAAGCAGAAAACTGCAGAGAATCAGTTATCATGTGTAATCAGCGATATTGAAGATAGCGATCTTCTCACGTTGTTGCCCACAGAGTCCAGAACTCCGACTCAAAGAACGTTTCTTCAAAAACGTCGCGAATCCGCTTTGAGTCAAACCCCCTCTCGCCATCCAAAATGAATCTGATTAGATCCATGCGAAGCTTTGCGCCGATTCTCAGATGGTGCATGTCAACGTTGCGCAACCCATCTTTTGTTTCCCTGATCGCACGCGTGTGTGCTTTGTTAATTGGCTTCGTGTACAACTCGTGCTCTTTGATGTCCTCCCATATAGTCTTGTCCGGGTTTCCTAGACTTGGAACCATCGAAAGGAGGTCTTTCACACAGTCCTCATGAAAGTACGGCTGTGCGCCTGTGTGTAGAACGTATCCCTCTTGCGCGTTACCCGACGTCTTCATGGCTCCGCCAGAACCATGGTGGACGTCGAGAATGTGGACTTGCTGCGCCGGAACTTTCCCCTGTTTAATCAAATGCACCGCAGCCGCAAGCGATGCGACACCGCTTCCGATAAGCCATGCCTGTACGTCCTTGTGGTCTCGAGTGGGCGTCATTGTCAAGTTTTCAGGACTGTTGGTATGTCACCAGGGTAATATTCAAGCAGGGCTTGGGAAATAAATATTCTCACAAATCCCCATCAACCCACGGGTGCCGAAAACATCTGATGAAACTGTTTGCCCCCCCCTTAACATGTCATTTCTCAACCTTGGAATCTTAAAGGGTTGCATCATCAACTCATACTGAATTTGACCATTTATCTTCAGGCTTTTGTTGAATGGGGAAGGTCTTTGCCTGTGGAAGGATCAGTTCACCGCAAAGAGTATTCCCAGTGTGGCCAGACCCGCCGAACTGCGATTTAGACTTTGGAGCATCTGATGTCAACCATGAATTCTTTGTTTTCTGACAGATGATTTACGAACACCGGAAGTCAACTGATGTGGGGCAAATGGACCCCAACAATCGAACAATCCTCCTTTTTCCAAGCCCAAAAGTCTTTGCTCTAGCCCCAGAGGTGAGCCATATCGACGAAGATTCGCTCAGTAATTCATGAACTTTGATTTCCCTGAAGCTCAGCAACGGCACGAGCCTCGAACATGTCTGATGACTCTAGATTCATTTACATGCCTGCCAGCGCCTTGGCTTCCCGCAAAATAATTGAGCAATCTTCGTACACGACTACGCCAGATCAATCATCCGCCGACCCAACACCCCCTTGCGGGGAAGCGGTGTACCAAACTTCACTCGACGATGAGAAGATGCGAACTGTCGATTCTATCCTTGCGATGGAGCGAACCTCTGACGCCGAAGCATATGAGCCACGCAGGGAGAAAGAATCATTGGATGTCCGAGATCAAGAGAGTACAAACAAAACAGCAATCGACAGAGGCAGTTTGAAAAAAAGAAATAAGACAAACAAAAACAAGTCACTTGTTTCCGAGTTAAGTATAAATCACTCCCAATCAAGTCCAAACTAACAAGGTACCAATAGACCACAGCTGTCAGAAACACCAACTAGCTGTGACATGCACTCTGCCTTGCTGTAGGTGCAACTTGAGGACGAAAGTTTCCCATTGGGCTGTGCTTGTCGTCAAGAGGGCTACAGAATGATAGTGTTCCGAAGAAAGGTCAGACAAAGGTTGAGTACATCTCTGAGAGTTACCAGTTACCGGATGTTGCTGCGATCGAGTATGAGACTAAATGTCGGACATTATCGAGAAATGATATCGAGCCATTTCTCAATATTAAACGAAGCCGAGATATGTGGAAATGTGTCCTTGTTTCGAGGATAACTTAATCAGAGTAATATCATACTTTGGTGGTTGACATTCTTGAACCTTGGCTAGAGGGTCACGTTGTTTCGTAGTGGGAAAGCCCAACGTATACCAAACCAAATAACAGACCAAACCCATCGCGAACATGGCTCCCGCATCCATGGGTGTTTCTTGCTTCACTTGTACGTCTTGCACTATTAAACCTCAGAATCCTGACACTTGCTTACCGTGGCAGGTGGCTGTTACCTATGATACTTCATTTTGTGAGTCGGCTTCCATCTGGCGACCAGGCGATTGAGACGACCAAGCTACCATCTTTGCCTGGAATACAAAGATATGCGCTCCAATCCTCCTCTATTATTGCTTCAGTCAAAATCCAATTTGGTCTTTTGTTCTGATAGTATGTCCTCATGGTAAGATGGGTTGGGCCAAAGATAAGACGCGGACTGAATACTTGAAAAGGCTGATTTCAATTTCTGCCTTGTGTATCGAACAAAGAGCTAGGTGTCTCGAGTCCGATGGAAAACGGTTTGTGGCTCGCCCTTTTTCTATTACAGTCATGCCTTCGTCAGACATGGGGAATTTCTGCAGATTAGACCGACTGTCGCCTACCTGAAGTAAAATACCTAGTTTAAGCAAAGCTCCTATTTCTTGCGAGATGCTCCCTAGCGGGCTGACAAGTTCCAGCCAGTGAAGGTATTTCTGCTACACGAAAGCATCCGTGAGTCCGTTCTCGTTAAGGTCATAATCATTATCGCACTATGTCCGCTGTCCTAGGAATAGTCAACCTTATAATCGCGCGTAGGATCATTCAATTGTGCTCCACCTAGCAAGTTTCTGATACTTCTTCAATTTTCAAGCCATGCCGAAAATGACCTATAGCACTCTCTTCTTTTGCACCCGCCCCATCAATATATCCAGGAAAGAAAGCAAAGCCTTGATCAGGATCTACTTCCCAAAGACTTCAGTTGCGTTTGATAAAGGCTTTGAGCTCGGCGAAAATTTCTTCAATTGAATACAAGTTCGGCGAGTAGGGTGGTAGGTAGTTAGAGCAATATTACCCCTGCCTTTCCACTCGTCTGCGTCATCCGCTCTTAATGATGAAACGAGGCATTGTCCATAACCAGAACGGAGTTAGATTAACGGATGAAGATTGAGACCGTCTTCCGCAATGCTGAAGAAGCCGCGCTATGGAGTCCTCGAACATTGTGGCATGTGTGGGCCCGTGGAAGACACGTAAGAATACATTTCCCATCCTAGGTATACGCAGGATGAAATCGTAGACCAGCCTATTTTGGACGTGGATTCGAAGCGGCCGAGTCTCCTTTATATTACTCCTCAGATTCAATGTGTACTTATCTTAATTCCGAGGTTATGGTGAAGTAATCTGGTTGGTATGCGTTTGATAAAAAAATCGTTCTAGTTAACAGGGAATAGTAAAAATGTGCCCTTGAGAACCAGAAGATAATAATAAAAAAAAATTCTTGAGTTGAACAACCTCATGTTGACTATCTCCGTCTTCCCTAAGCTCTTTTTTCAACACAAGGATATATAGACATAATGTTGGGTAATACAATAACGGAATTCTTGATTGTAGATTTCAAACCTAGTCTACACGATTAAATATGCCTTTCAATTGTATCATCCCTGTTCGCATTGAATTGGGATACTGCCCCACTTCACCGCATCCTTGCCTCAGCCTCCATGATATCTAGATCCATAGCTTCATCTCTAGAGTCAATCAATCATCATATCTCTCATCTTCCATCTTCTATCTTCACAATCCCAATAATCAAAGAAATCTAGCTATTTGTTGTGGAGGTATCTAATTGTAAATTATCGCATTTACTAACGTAATCCACAAGCCATCCGCCACCCCTTAACATCATAGTAATTGCGATCAATCACGTATCTATATCTCGACAACTATCATGCCAAGACTTCCTTTGTATCTTTCCGTTTCTCTTCTTTAACTCGAGAGCTTGGGAGTAAGAAATATATGGCGAGTTGGTCACTATTGGCTCGAATGCGAAGTATTCGACACTTCGTCGGCGAAAAAATCCAAATATCGCTAGCTTGCCGCCAATCCCTGCTCCTAATTGTATCATGATTCGACCAGTATTGTGGGGCTAGCCCAAATGAAGTGTGAGGTGGGTCTGGCCAACACCTTTGAAAAATCAAAGTGAGCAAAGCTCGCTTCGCTGATGTCGATCTATGCTGTAGCAGGCTGACGCGCATTTCTACATAGCTAGCTTTGGCGCTCGCCATCATCCCCTCAAAGAAAATCATCAGCCCAGACATAGCCCGGAGAAAGGTCATTGCAGTATCATATGTCCGAAACGTTACGTTATCTTGTCAGGCGGAATTATATTTTGGCAACGGGTTCAACTGATGATCGAGAATCTATGCAGAAACAATGTTTTAGCAGAAGATAATTGTTTCAAATTCAGCCCTAGATATAATCAATACATATTTGAATCGGCTGCTTGTACTTCAATTCACAACTTTGGTTTGGCAACGGCCAGCTCACGGCTGCTCTAGCAAAACTGATATAGTACAACCAGTGGTGATCAGAAATGGATTCCAACTTTCAAGGCGCCCTCTTCTGAAGCGTTTTCGAATACTTGATAAGCCTTCATTATATCTGAGAATGGATAACCTGATAATTGTGTGAGAATAGTATCCGCAAAGGAGCAAATCATCATGTGGAAACTTAAGCTTACGGTGCGTGATTAATGCAGGTCGGAGTCGGCCGACCTGGCAGAGGCGCAGAAGAAGGGGGATTGAGAGAGTGTCAACCAGTCGGGTTTTGATACCTTTAGGCCGGATTAATTCAAAATGCAAAGAAACAAGCGAAGGTATACTTTACTTATGTTGCGATCCCAGAGCTCGTCCAGATCAAGAGATACCTTTTGACCGTGAACACCTATATTTGCCAGAGAGCCACCAGGCGCCAGCAACTTCTGACAGAGGTCGAAAGTTGATGGCTGCCCGACTGCTTCAATCACCGAATCAAACCCTCTTCCCTCGACAATCGTATCGAGCTCCTCCATGGCATTAGGCGATTTCGTATTGATGACTTTATCAGCACCAAGCCTTTGAGCGTGCTCAAGCCTTGAATTATCAATGTCAATCGCAACGACAGGGTAGGGTGCATATAGCTTCGCTGTGAGCATTGCAGCCAGACCGACAGGCCCAGCTCCGACGACCGCCACTGAGTTCCCCGGCTGAACATTGGCATTGAGGGTTCCACACTCCATCCCCGTAGGCAGCGCGTCAGAAAGAGATATCATTTCCCATGGGTCAATATTTCCAGGAAGCTTGTAAAGTGAATTATTTGCGTGAGGGATGCGGACATACTCTGCTTGGGTCCCATCAATGACATTTCCAAGGACCCATCCTCCAGTGACACAGTGTGAATTCATGCCTTTTCTGCACGCGGTGCATGTACCACAGGAGGATATACAAGAGACCAGGACTGTATCACCGATAAAGAATCTGTCAACTGCTGCGCCAAGGGAAACAATTTTTCCAACGCCTTCATGGCCGAGGATTCGGCGCGGCTCTACTGTTGGCACATCGCCTTTAAGTATCATGTAAGTCCGTACCACATATACTTGTATAGCTCATCTGAACAACGGCATCTGTTGGAGATTGAATTTCAGGCATAATACAGTCTCGGAGTTCGTATCTGTTCGGAGCTGTGTAGACTAGGCCCTTCATATCTGTCAGGCGGTGGGGCTAGAACAATCAGCCACTAATAGATTCTTGCAGGCAAGACATTCAAAGACCTCACCTCTATACAACTACGTGGAAATCGAAGATCGTGAGAGGAGAAGTCAGAGTAAAAATGGACCTGATTTATGGAGGATTGACGTAGATGTGAGCAGCCTGCAGTGAAAGCTTTGTAGATTGTTCTCGCCCCTAACGCGTCAGGTTGGGTATAGTGGGGGCGGTATCGAGTTAAGAGCTGTCGTACCATCATGCTCTAATTGAAGTTCATTGTGGGTAAGGGTGTAAGACTGAAAGGACTTTTATACCCTCAGACTGGAAATGATTCGTATTTGATATTCCAATTCAAGACGTAATTAAAGTCTACCAGCCGCCTGGTCTATGCAATACCATGGCACTGTAACGGTCATGCCACCATAATTCTGGACGGGAAATTCTACAGCCTAGCTTATGATGTAATAATAAAGGAGGCTAAAAAAGCAGTCCTGAAAGATCTGCGTTCCGAATTATTCGTAATTAAAGAAGCCCTGAATGGGAATTATCTTTGACAATCGTATGTCAACCAAATTAAAAAGTTGATCCTCGGAACCTCGGCTTTGAAATTCCGGAAATTATCAAGAGCACGGGAGGAACTAGGGAAGATCTGAAAACCTCTTCAAAATTCCTAGATGACCCGACCCAAATTTGAAAAGTAAGATGATCCATGAAATATTCACACATTTATTGGACTTATTCCAGACCAGTAAAGAACCTGAGCAAAGATGATGTATCGATTGTATTTGTTTTGCGTGCATGGCCTAGCCCCAGCGCCTCTTCCGCCCTTTCATGATACATGTCTTATGATCTCATTCGCCACTCGGGGTCACCTTATCGTGGCCTTGGCCTAGGCCTCATTTGGACCCATAAGAGTTCTAAATAATGTATAATGCTGGGATAGACTTTGCGCCATCGTTTCTGTTCAACTGTACGAACATTTCGCTTTCGGCACATTTAACATTCTATAAATGTAGTTGCATGTATTTCCTTCTCTCCGAAATCCCATCGCGCTTTTTCGTCACGACTTCCCTGATCCTTCTTTACAGCCCATCTCTGCATGAGTCTATTTTTCAGGGCAACCTTGACTCTTCGCTTATTAATATTTGATTCCACACCATTCCATCGGCGAGAAAAGTTGTAAACAGTTGAAGCACTCATGGCCGAAGTTGAAAAAACCAATGGTGTCGCTGGCGCTGGGAATATAGTTCTTCCTTTTGAGACTCTCACGCGCGGCGATGTTGCGTTGGTAGGCGGCAAAAACTCCTCCATTGGGGAGATGATCGGTGCCCTTGGGACGAAAGGAATCGCGGTACCACCTGGTTTTGCAACCACCTCACACGCTTATTGGCTCTACGTCGACAGTAATGAGATCCGGGAGAGTATGGCAATGTTGATTGCGGAATGGCAATCAGGTAAGGTGAATCTGGCCGAGACTGGTCATGCAGTTCGCAATTTATTCCTCCGCGGCACTTGGCCCGCCGATATCGCAAGTGCCATCGGTACAGCCTATTGCGAACTTTCGGCCAAAGTGGGAATCGAAAACTTGAGTGTGGCCGTTCGTTCAAGCGCGACAGCAGAGGACTTGCCTGACGCGAGTTTCGCTGGCCAACAGGAGTCCTTTCTAAACATCTCGGGGATCGATGCACTTTTGAATGCTTGCCGGCGCTGCTATGCTTCTCTTTTCACCGACCGTGCCATCAGCTATCGCCAGACTAAAGGATTCGATCACTTGAGAATCGCACTCTCGATTGGGGTACAGCGAATGGTCCGTTCCGATGCTAGCGGTTCTGGTGTCATGTTCTCCATTGACACTGAAAGTGGCTTCGACAAGCTTGTGCTTATCAACGCATCATGGGGACTAGGGGAGAATATTGTACAAGGGACCGTCAATCCCGACGAATACCAAGTTTTCAAGCCGCTACTGGACGATGTCAATCTAGTCCCAATAATAGAGAAAAAGCGCGGTGACAAGTCAATGAAGATGGTCTATGGTGGTGACGATATGCCAACACGCAACATACCTACCTCAAAAGCGGAGCGAGATGCGTTCGTGCTCGACAATCAAGAAATCCTCCAGCTGAGCCGCTGGGCATGCATAATTGAAAAGCACTATCGGTGTCCCATGGATATGGAATGGGCAAAGGACGGTATCACTGGTGAACTTTTCATCGTCCAGGCTCGACCTGAAACCGTTCACTCGCGACGTGATGCTGGTGTTCTCAAGACCTACAAGGTCGGTAAGAAGGGCTCTCTCCTTACGACGGGCCTTTCGGTTGGGGATGCGGCAGTCTCGGGACGCCTCTGCATGATAGAGACGACTAAAGATGTTGAAAAATTCCTCGACGGATCGATATTGGTGGCAAAAGCGACCGACCCAGATTGGGTGCCACTGATGAAGCGCGCTGTGGCTATTATCACTGATCATGGTGGGCGAACTTCGCATGCCGCCATTGTCAGCCGCGAACTTGGCCTCCCTGCCGTTGTGGGGACTGGAAATGCTACATATGTTCTGCACACCGGCCAGGACGTAACTGTCTCTTGTGCCGAGGGTGACAAAGGCTTCGTATACCAGGGTATCTCCAATATTACCACCCAGACATTAGATCTTACCGGATTGCCGTCAATCAATACAAAAATCATGATCAATCTCGCCAATCCAGCAGCGGCATACCGCTGGTGGCGGCTTCCAGTAGATGGCATCGGACTTGCTCGCATGGAGTTTGTCGTTACGAATTCTATCCGGGTTCATCCTATGGCACTTGTCCATTTCGATAAGCTAAAGGACACGAAATCTAGGGAGAAGATCGTGCAATTGACTGCTGGATACAAACATAAGCCCGACTACTTCGTCGACAAGCTGGCGCATGGTTTTGCGGCCCTTTGCGCAACAGTATACCCTAAGCCAGTCATCGTCCGCATGAGTGATTTCAAGACAAACGAGTACTCCGGCCTTATTGGCGGCACTGAGTTCGAGCCAAAGGAGGAGAACCCCATGCTTGGGTTTCGAGGCGCCTCGCGCTACTATTCTCCGCTGTATGAAGAGGGCTTCGCGCTCGAGTGCCGTGCGATCAAGCAGCTACGCGAGAAGATGGGATTCACAAATGCCATCGTAATGATTCCCTTCTGTCGCACCATCAAAGAAGCGGGGAAGGTACTGGACACTATGGCCAGCAACGGGCTCAAGCGTGGTGAGCATGGCCTTCAAGTCTACGTCATGTGCGAGATACCATCAAACGTTATCTTAGCCGCTGAGTTTTCTGAATACTTCGATGGCTTCTCTATCGGTTCCAACGACCTTACCCAGTTGACCCTCGGTGTTGATCGTGACTCTGGTGAGCTCGCAGACTTGTTCAACGAGCAAGATGAGGCTGTCAAGTGGATGATTGCACAGGTAATCTCAGTGGCTCGCAAGACGGGCTGCAAGATTGGCATCTGCGGCCAAGCGCCGAGTGACCATCCCGAATTTACAAAGTTCTTAGTCGAGGCTGGTATTAACTCGATTTCTGTCAGCCCTGATAGCTTTGTCGCCGTGAAGAAACATGCAGTTGCTAGCGAGCGGTCATCATCTTCCTCCACGTGATGTACAAAATGAATAAGATGAAAAGTGGGGTTTTTACGAATATCGTTCTTGGACCGTTTCTGCAGCTCCGTAATCTTTGGTAAGTTTTAGTGCAATAGGAAAAACTTCTTATTTTTTTGATGTCAATTTTCCTGAACTCTTTCCGTAGAGGCACTTGGGCGTTCTTATATAATTCTGTAGACCTAGTCCAATCCAAGGCGCAGTTGGGATATGTGGTGGGGCCATTCTCATATTCGCAGGTAGAACTGCATAGGAGTACCTTTTTTATAGCCAAGCCTTGGAACCCAGCAAGTTGTTGAGCATGTCATGTTCTGCTCAGCGGGATGGACGCCGACATCACATGCCTCGCCTAGAAACAATCTGAGGTCCTCAATCACGTATGGATAAAGGAACTGAAGATATTATAGTGAAACACAATGATTCGAGATAGTAGAAAAGTACATGAAACCACAGGACAACAACGTCATTCAATTTGACCTTCATAATGATTATTTCAATTCATGTGAAATACGATGTGGAACGAAGTAGTCCTTGAAGATGAGTAATCCTTTTGCTAAAGGCTGTACCCAGGTATGTCATGCGAGAATTATGGAAATTTCCGTTCCAGGATACGTACCATGCTTAATGATCCTCGTGGATCTTCTCCATCGTGCCTTTAAGGGCCTTAACCGACTCTTCTAAAGCAGCCCTCTCGCCGCTATTCATCGGCATCTGCATTGTCTTGATGATTCCCGCTCTCCCGAGAACCACAGGCAAGCTGAAACAACATCCCCATTCAGGCTGAAAATGGCTGATGGGACAAATGTTTCGTTTGTCAGACAGGATAGAGGAGGCAATATTGGAAATGACAGATCCAATTCCAAAAGGTGTCGTCCCCTTCGCATGAATAATTTTCTGGGTCCTACTTTTGCACTCACCAATAAGTTTGTCGTAGTCTAAAGTGTTGAGCGGGATCAATTTCTGGATGGGGACACCACCAATTATTGCATCCGACCACGGCACAACCTGCGAATCTCCATGTACTCCCACTACATAGAGATCAATCGAGTTCGCCGCGACCTACTCTGAAATCAGCCTTAACCTTACGCATGATGAAATCTGTGCACGCACCCCAGTTTTTTCGGCTAAAAGTCCGCGAATTCGTACCGAATCGAGGAAGGTTCCTGAGCCCAACACCTGACATCTTGGCAGACCAGACAGTTCCTGAGCAATGGAAGTGAGGAGGTCGACGGGATTTGCAACCAGGAGAAGAATGGCGTCAGATTTGAATGGCTTCATCGTGTTGACAACGCTTCGAATAATCGAGATCTTCTGGTACATGTATTGAACGCTAGTTTCACCTGAGTCGCCATTAGATACCATACCATTAAACAAGCATTGAAAGATTCATCTCCATTTCATTCCTTACCTGTGGAGAATTTTGACCCGACCGTGACAACCACAATATCGCTCTGACTTGCTTCCTGGTGGGTAGCCGCTCGCACGCGTGTTTCGCTGTTGCAGCTATAGCACACATCAGAAAGGTCGCGAGCCTGGCTGTCTCTCAGATCCATTTTGACATCTACCAAGAGTAGTTCACTAGCAACCGATTGAAGGATAAGCGCGTAAGCGGCGGCGGCGCCTACCTGACCAACGCCGATGATCGCGATCTGAGAAATTGGTTTTGCGTTTCTCAATGACATTTCCAGGTATTATGAAGATCTCATATTGGCCATGGACTTGCAATGGGAAAGAGATATCAAGAGCAACTCCCGTTGAACGATGTGGGGTAAGCGCATGTGACCGAATCGTCTGAGGCGTTTCCAAGGTGATTGAATTCTGAATCAACACTACCTCATCATGACGAGATGACTTGCACTTAGCAGATGGTACGATTCACCAAGAAAAAAAAAAAGTAGTTGGGAATATGTTCGTAGTCCTCGGAGTTAGAAGACGAACACAGTAACCACGGTCTTGATCTCCTATGCATGCTAACTTTGGAATCACTTCATCCAGTACAAGTTTGTATCCCTGAAATATGGAACATTGTATCTTATGTCAAATATATTGATATCGAGGTTTCTATTTCACTGATTTTCGGGTAAGTGTAAGAAATTTTCCTCAAGGTAATCGAACACGCAAGTGCCGTTTCTACTGGCCCTCGCTACCCTTGGCCCAAAGTCCCTTGAAGACCCTGATATACCGACACATATAGTCTGAATGGTGGCAGATATTAGTAGCCACCTCCACATATTCAGCTCAGGGGGTTCGTATCTAGCGTTCATAAATCAAATTAAAGACGAGACCAGGTATTTAATCCGAAATCGGGCCGCGAAGTTGCGGCTATGTGTTTAGAGATAGGCCGTTTGTAGGCCCGCGACCGAGATACATTGAAAATGTCAATGCCGTATTAAGCCGCAGTAAAAATATGGGGGAATAAGAATTAGGAAAAAATAAAAAACTGATTCTTTCAATGGGGGTGGCATCGTCATCCGATTTACAGAAATGAAATGCAATGAGCAAGCGATCCAGGCCACGTGGTTGCCTGTGTGGGTTCGGTATACGATTTTTTAGGTTCTTTTTGACCATGGTTTCTAGACAGCAGCTTAACGATGCCCGTAAATAGCCTCGGGAGATGACAATTTTGAGTGGAAAAGACAATATTCACAACCCCGTCGAGATTTCCACAGACGACTTCGATTCCAAGACCGGCCGTGCATCATAAAACACCCTCAAGTCTCTAAGTTCCATTTCATAATCCAGCCGTCGGGATGTTCTAGCAATAGATTCAAGACAATTTTCACCTTGAAGTCCTCACGAAATGTCAGCGCGGATTCCACCCGGTACGCGAAGTACTGATCACTATTGCCCTCCAGCGGAAAGACTTTCAAACACCTCACTGATACTGAGGGATATTATTATCGGCTTTGCAGACGGGTTGACTGTTCCTTTTGCATTAACAGCGGGTCTCTCCAGTCTCGGTTCCGCAAAGCTTGTTGTCATTGGCGGGCTTGCAGAGCTCCTAAGTGGCACCATCTCAATGGGAATGGGTGCGTATCTTGCTGCATTAACGGACCGAGATCGTTATTCAAGCCAGGAGAAATTTGTAAGAGATAAAGTGAATTGCAGGCCTGAGGCCGAAAGATTGGAGATCATCGAAGTGTTTCTCGGCTACGGGATAAGCAGAGAGGCTGCGGAGGGTGTTCTCAACTGCCTCACTCTCGAGGATACTTTGGTCAGAGTAAGAGCATATCCTTATCGCTGTCAAAAATCACAATACCGAGCTAATTGGTTATATTAGTTTGTAATGGAATTCAAGCTCAGGTATATGAAACCAAATCCATCACGAGCATGGCTCTCTGCTCTAACCATGGGAATTTCCTACTTCGTTGGTACGTCCCATACACTTAATCCTTTTTAGGAAGCCTAAAGTTTGCTAACCGCTGGAGGTGGGCTGTTGCCTATGATTCCATATTTTGCGACGAGGGACGTCACTCATGCTCTCTTCATTTCGATCGGTATAACGGTTGCAATTTTGTTGCTTTTTGGGTTTTTCAAAAACTATAGCATGGTCAGGAAAAAGCGATCTGGATTTAAAGGTGCGATACAGACATTGTCTGTAGGAGTAGTAGCTGCAGGTGCCAGCTATGGTATTGTATATGGAATCGATCACACCAATATTAGATAAATTATGGATTCCCACCAACAGAATGCTCTTGATTTCCTTCCTCGCGCGTTTTCAGCTCAAAGGATACTGCTATTGACTATCACCCCAGGCTGGCATGGAAGTGCTCAATGGAATATTTTCGCCATCAAGTTGAGCGCGGAGTAAATGCTAGGTGCTCAAGAATATTGGCAGTTGTGTTTAGCGACTGCGATTCACAGACGCCTTATCAGCCTCAAATTTTCTGAGGGAGTCAATTATAGTACTTTTCTTGGACACATCTGGCTTGTCCTCAGTTGTCCCCTTTCCCTTTTTCAAACAGAGTCTGTCCACTACCCTGTTGTTTGTGTTCTTCACACCAACATACTAAACATTTTTCAGAGATACCTGCCGCCACATCGTGATACATTTCGTGTCCACCTCGGACTTATCGAACCTGGCCACGACAACACTTGTGCAATGACACAATCAAAGATGTACATTTCGAAATACTCACCAATACACTCAAATTGGACTCTAATAATTGCGGCGTCAATTCCTCACTGTATTCCCTCTACCACGAGGAGGGCATTTTACTACAAATCAGTCACTAAGCCGTCCGATAAGAATGTTAGATCACTTATAAATTATTGCAATGTTGATTAATTTTTCTAGCATGAAGGACTATCCATCCCTCTACTGGTTTTTACGTTGCCCAAAGGAAAAGAGTGATAGGAGATTGGCGTTAAGGAGCTGTGGTTGATTCTATGAAAACAATCTATGCTCGCTGAATCATGATCTTTTTGAATATTACCGTCTCTGTTCGCACAGAAACTTTTAATGTGCACATGACGACTAAATAATCGGGTAGCTATGATACATATGTTGAAATGACGGTTTCTACTGCCTCCAGATATGAGCAAAAGCTTAACTTTCACATTTGCTGTGCAATTGTTGCCCACTGCCTATGAATTTGCCTCTTTAAGAAGGGCTATCTAATATACATTATTTAAATAATATCAAAGACGAGGCGTATGCTCCGGCTACGTGTTTGACATTGCATACCTAAAAAATAGAATCGAACGACCGCGTGATCGCTCTGTAGGTTTTATCACTTGCCGAGAATGCGTCAATAGAACAAAATGAAATTTTCCATGTTTACAATTTGTTTCGACGTCTTTGCGGGAAAATATGATTCTGTTGGTACTTCCGTAGCATACTGCTTACAGTTTTCGAATTTAATGGCGGCTTTTGCTCGCGCAGATTCTTGGTCCGTGAATGCATAGTTTAGACGCTCAAAGATCAGTAGGCAATACATTCCAATTGTCTGACGCATACATATTCCGACGATAAGCGGCGCTCTAGGTCAGTCTGCATTCAAGCTATATGTGTGTCAAAACGACGATATTGGAGCAACAGAACCTTGACATTGATAGTACGAAGATGGAAGATGAATGATGAGAGATATGATGATTATTGTGGATTCTAGAGATGAAGCTATGGATCTAGATATCATGGAGGCTGAAGCAAGGATGCAGTGAAGTGGGGCAGTATCCCAATTGAATGCGAACAGATAGTATCTGACCGAGACCACACAAATGGCTTCAGCTCTGCAAGTGTTGGAATAACAGTATTGCTAACAAATCGATGTACCGTGGCAGTCAAGTCAAATATTTCCGAACAGCGTAAATAAATTCAAGAGACAATGAGACCTACTGCCCTTGAATGAATGTGTCAACCCGCAAACCTTGTCCCCAACAAAGCCACGATAGATTCTGCGCCGTATCGCTGTGCAAGTCGTAGTGGTGTATGGCCCTCATTATTGCGGGCGTGAATATTGGCTCCCCTTGATGCTAACTCCTCTACCACATTGTATCCATAGAAGATTGCCCTATGAAGCAGCGTATCCCCCGATTTGGAGATGAAAGACTGCGGCTCAGCCCCGTTATCGAGGAGATGCCGCAACAAACTGACGTTCTTGTGAAATGCCGCCCAGAACAATGCATCGTGATCTTCGTTACATGTCCCAACATCTGCTCCTCGTTCTATTAACTCAATCGCGACTATCTCGTGATTTGCTCTCACCGCAAGTAGCAAAGGAGTGAACCCACTCTTATTTTGCAAGCAGACATTTGCATTGGCATTTAACAGATATCGAACCATGACAAAGGACCCACAGCCAGCCGCGTAATGGAGGGCTGTCGAGCCAGTGTCGTCCTGCTCGTTGATGAACGCCCCATTGGTGATGAATTTTTGCAAGAGAATATCCTCTCGTTTAAATACAACATGCATTAATGGTGTCTGCATACGGTCATCCTTTGTCTGAAGCAGGCAAGGGCACTTAGCAATTAGCCACTCAGCAACTCTGGAGTGGCTTCTGGCTATTGCAAAATGAAGAATTGACTTATTGTCATGACAGACTGATAGATCAAGGTGAGGTACGGCATGCGATGATTCTAGAGTCGGCACAACTTTTTCATTGACAATCAAGGCACCAAGAAGTCTGTATCCTGCCAGGATCGGTTGAGTAAGATGGAGATAATTTTGGGCCGTGAGACTGAAGGCCAATAGATCCTCTCGCTTCAATCTATACAGAATAAGGAAGCAAATTTCGTATGGAAGTCTATCCATTCATGCCACGAACAAATGATGGGCGTAGACATGTGAAGAAAATTTGGCCTGCAGCTGGAAGCATGCCAAAGTAGTGAAGCAGCCAATTAATCGATATGAATTTATGAAGTAGGTAGCAAATTACTTTTGCGATTACATTACGACAACTAAAGGGCTGGCTCGGATAAGTGATGACGTAATCACATTCCGGAACGGACACTAGTGAGATCATACGACTCGCGATTAGCCATTTGCCAAGGAATCTAGAGCTCATAAACTTTGAGATTTCAGTTCCATATCATAAGACCTCGTTAGGTTGAGTTTGTCACAATATATGTCCCTTGGTGGAGGAAGACGGAAAATGGGCACTTTGAAGAAGAGTCAATTGCAGATACCTTCAATACATAGAATTGTCATTGATTTCAAGCTTGCGATGACAGAAAAAATATTGGAAGCACGAGCATCGATACAGAAATACATATCATCATTCGGATATAAGAGAAATTACACTTTTCGTATATAAGTTTGGGTTCATTTGATATATTGTGCTATGTGTTACAGACTAAGACGAAGAAGAATTCGTGTGTTATTAATAAGGTAACTAAACTAGAGAAGAAGAAGAAGTGAGAAAGAGGGAAATAAGTATCTACGAAATAAACTACTTCTATCCTAAATTAGGTTAGACCTATAGCTCCCTCCAGATTATATTCCCCCTTAGGCCTCCCTTAAGCCTTAAGATAGTCATACGTTATAGTAATTATGAATGAGATATCAGGCTAATCTAATTTAGGAGAGAAGGATATTATTCTATAATTACTTATTTCCCTGTTTCTCTCTTCTTCCTCTCTCTAGTTTAGTTGCTTTATTGGGGTCAGCACAAGCTATTCAAGCAAAACCTTGGGGGGGAGGGGAGAAGGGTCCGTTTCACATTGCAGGCTAAGTGAGCCCACCCATGAATCTGCATGGGTCTAGCTTAATCTTCCTTCAGCCATGACGTGGCAAATCAGACCACATGAGGGATGGCGCGACTTTTGACATCATCGATTTTCGGCAAAAAAATGTATGTTCATTCCACTCTGTGACTAATATCGTGATATTCTCCCGAGCAAGATAACACAAATACCTAGGATCAGAAGTTGTCCTAGAGGTTACTCTCAAATCCCTTATAATAATCGAGACTTAACTACAAAGCTCGAGCCAGTGCTCAATCACGCCATTCAAGTTCCATAATGGCTGATGGTTAGTAATCATACCCAACTATATTATGCCCCGGTACATTGTCAAATTTCATCATTATTTCAGGTGCCTCTTCTCAATTTCGGCGCGAAATGTCTCCGTATGAACATAATCCCGGGCCTCGGAATCAACACCATAATAAAGATGGTCACCACCATGATAACGATGGCCACCACCATGATAACGATGGCCACCACCATGATAACGATGGCCACCACCATGATAACGACGGTCACCACCATCACCGCGATGACCATCAACATGGTTGAAATTTCTGTCGTTTGTCACTATCTTTTGTGCGCACAAAAAAAATAGGAGCGCTTAGAAGTATGAATGAATGAAGCTCATGGCAGACATAGCTTAGTGATCGCGGATGTTTCAAATGTTATGGTCTGTCAAATATAGGCGCCCGCGAAATCTACGAACACTAAGAAGATTCATTCCGTGAAAGGTCCAGAATGAGCTTGTATCTGGTTAATCTTATGAGCCTGACTGAAGGAATTTCTATTATAAAAAGCTCCTAGGACGTCGAAGCTACCTTCTGCCAAACGGTTGAGCTTTTCGTTCAGCTTAAGACTAAAACCCGAGGAAGACCTCGTTGTTGCGACACTCAAATGAAAAATGATTCACTCAATGAAACAACTTGTTCTTCAAAGAGCAGTGCTTTCGTGATGCTCAAAGGGACTTTTGTGTCATATCTGAAATAGCCCTAAGTAAATGCTTAGGGGCCATAAGACGTCAATTATTTGTAGTTTTTGAAGAAATGGCAACGTTTCCTAAGTCTAAGCTCCAGACCGAGGATCCTGTCAAAATAATCGAGGACTCAAAGGACGTAAAAAACGAATGTGTTCAATTATCCTTGATTCGAAGTCGATTAACAAAAAGTACGATCTTCAGCAGTACAGCCTTGATTAAAAGGACTAGTAATAGTCAGTAAAAGTGGTATGGCTTTTAGGGATTGCCAGAGGGCTACTGAAGGTGGAGTTGTGTTAGAGTGATAAGTTAATGCTTCAGGAAACAGGCTAAGTAGGCTACAAATAGGGATTAATCGACGGTTAATAGTTCGGTGTAGCCAAGTCCACGGTCGGGTCGTGGTTCGCTGCACTTAGGACGTGGCATCACAATAGGACTAAATGAGGTGAAACTGAAACACAATTACTATTTTTCACGTCCTTGAAATATAGCCTTGGCAGGACTCTATACCAGAAAGTGGCGTATGAGCATGAATTCGAGTTTGATCTCGTTGATTATGTTATTTAATTGATCTCCTAATCGAAGGAGTCCTAGAGTGAACGGACTGAGAAGGTGCAAATATTTATACCTATAATTCTGTAGGCAAAACTATCAAGCTGCTTGTAGTTGTCAATCTCAAAGCGCTTATGAGCATCAATAGATTTTTACCCTCGAAATAGATGCTACAGCACAGGAGGAACTTGTAGCGTCTAAGGGAACGGGATTTCCTCTCTATACCATCGCATGAGAGGTATAGTATCCCCAGATCGCATCATGTCTCCAAATAATCTTCACTGGAGGATAGATAATGAAGACAGCTGATATATGATCCCTCTTTACCTTATGGTACAGACGACTGATCGTTAATGTAGCTCTAGCGGAAATCCGCCTACGACACACATATTCAAGGAACCTTTAGAACTGAAGGAGAAGCTAGAAAGTTCGCAAGCACTATGATTCCATCAGAGGAGAATGAGACGATAACTCTAAGCTACGAAGAATACTGTGAGGATGGTCCAAAGGAGAGAGATTGCGAAAATGGTGAGCACGTCTTCGTGTACGCTATAGGTGTAAATGAGAAAAATTATCTGTCAGTGCCATCGCATGTCGGAAGTTAGAAAGTATCTAGAATGGCCGAGGCAGCAATAGGAATGTTCTAGTGTCAATTCCTAGCAAGCTATACTTGTCTTGTCGAATTAGAGACCGAATGCCATCTTGACCACTCGAAGCTAAGTCTTACCTTTGGTGACCAGAGCAAATACCAAAATACTTGGAAGCTGAAGATAAAGGTCGAGCAAGGCAATCAGAGTAGACAAAAGACAAGAAGGGATATGAAAAAGACTAAAGGTCGATTTGGCGATGAGCGGATTCAAATCTGCAATACTTTTGTCTTTTTGCTTTTGAGACCGTGAACTGAAGTGAAAGTCCACAATGTTCAGATCGATAAATCCAAAAAGTACGAAATGTCTCTCGTCCAAAGTCCATATCAAGGTGGACTAGTAGGAATGTTCAAATTGTGCCACTTTTAAAACACATTTTTGGGAAAGTAGTGTATCGTAAGCTGCTGCAGGCGGAACAAATTGTCATTAAGTAGCTCCTTGAAATATGACTCTTATGTTAGATGTTTTGGGACCGCTTGTCCAAAGAGTTTATCATACCAACTAAGTTGGCGTGGCTCTCCCCGCTTCACGTTAGCGTCTAGTTCTCGGTCGTGGTAGCGAGGAAATGGCCACCACGTTGTAAGAGGTGCACCGATTTGTATAGTAGCAGCTCAAAAACACATTGCCCTGCCTTTGAGACGCGCGTCAAATCGCACGGTCTGATCAAAGTCGACATAAGTATTTTGTACGAGTTTAGGTTCGAGCGGTAGATTTACTGTCGTGCTGCCAATTCAGATGCAGAGCAGCGAGTGGTCTGAGAGTGATGTTCATTCTCGGGCAGCACATCTCGCGCGTTTCATTTGGACGGGTTCTAGGGTCAGGAGATACAAATACAAGATTCACCGGCAGTCTTTAGCCCGCTTAAGAACGATCAGGCGACAGTTACTCTCTGGGGTATAGTAGGTGGGCGGATGGTGAAATTGCATTTCAGAAGGCAGATTGGTTTTTATATTTCAAGTGATGAATTTGGCTATATACACAACGAGAAGATGCAATTTGATTGCAAGTTAACTAAATTATTCGTAAACATGCCGCAAAGCTAATTCCAATGGTGTGGTCTGGTTACTGATCTGCACCAGCTTCATGATACAGCAGAAGAAGATTGGTGCTCAGTATTGAACCACGTTATGTACTGATCCGCTGTGACACAACGATTATCTAGACTCTTTCTCTTTTTTCCAAATCCAGCACATAGAAAAATTGTCCGAACAGCTGTTTGATATCACCTTAAGCATCACCACTGCGACGACGATGAACACCATCACTTCACGAAGAGGATCATCCCACCATTGTGATGACTTAATTGTCTATCATGAGGACTAATCATCAAATGGATCTCAAGGAAGATTAGAACAACAAATGGATACTAAGCGAAAATTTGGGAACAGAGAAAAGTATGCAGCAATGTATGGACTTTTGATCGCAATGAGTTTAATGTAAAGCTGGCGCCTCAACAGAATCTTCCCAAAGTAGGACCGTGTCTTGCACTTAGAGACGTGTAGGCATTAAGCGTATAAAGTTGCTCTTAAAAACTTGCTCGTCTCAATCAAGCTAGCTGTTGGAGACATCCGACATCATCCTCAACAATCAACTCATTGAAATTTCCTTGTGTGAGCGACTTGAACCCTCCATCCAGATTGGAAACAGTAAAACCTGCTTGAGCGAGTATTCTGTATGCGAGGTAACCCCGGTACCCAACCCAACAATAGACCAAAATTGGCTTTTCCTTCTCCAAATGAGTGACATTCTCTCGAAGTGCATTTATGGGAATGTTCTGAGCTGATGGAATGTGGCCTTGGGCGAACTCGTCTGGAGACCGTACGTCGAGGATCTGCCAGTCCCGTAGTATGGAAAGTACATCCTCAGAGTGAGTAATTCTTACTCCACCTCGAAGGAGATTGGTACCGACAAACCCTGCCATATTCACGGGATCTTTGGCCGACCCATATGGTGGCGCATAGCAGAGTTCCACATGCTCCAGATCAAAAATGGACATATTGTTTTGAAGTGCGATCGAGAGAACATCAATACGCTTATCAACTCCTTTGTTCCCCACTGCCTGCGCTCCGAGGAGACGACCTGTTCCGGACTCGAAAGCAACGCGGATAGTTATCGGACTTGCGGAAGGATAGTATCCGGCATGATCAGGTTGGTGGATAGTCACCCAAAGTGGGCTGAATCCTAGGGTTCTCAAGCTGTGAACGGAGAATCCTGTGATAGCGGCTGAGAGGCCAAATACTTGGCAGATGCATGTGCCCACGTTTCCTCGATATGGTGTCGATTCGCCGAGAATATGATCCGCAGCAATACGGCCCTGTCGATTGGCGGGACCTCCTAAAGCCAAACTCATAGCTTGATGGGATATTCGATTCTCTGTCTCAATCATATCCCCAACAGCGTATATATCTGGATCAGAAGTTTGCATGAAAATGTTAACCGAGACGCCACTATTCCCAATCCGAAGTCCAGCATTTTTGGCTATAGCAGATCGTCCACGCACGCCAACGGCTGCAATGATGATATCTGCGAGCACGAATTGGCCGTCAGAAAGTATTATGCCATCTGATAATGAACCTGCTGGATTTATTTCCTTGATAACAGCGCCCGTATATATTTGAACATGGTGGCTCTCCAGCTCTTTGTGCAATATTTGTGCCATATCCTCGTCGAATGGTGGGAAAGCATGTGTTGATTTTTCAATGATGCTCACATTTAGTCCAAGCTTGTGGAGGTTTTCTGCTGCTTCTAGGCCTATAAACCCCCCTCCAATTATGGCTGCGTACTTACAGCTCTTCTCGGAGATATACGTTCGAACACTTTGCAAATCCGGTATAGTTTGTAGTGTGAAGACTTGCGGCTGATTGATGCCAGGGATTGGAGGGCGGAACGACTCGGCTCCTTGGGCGAGAATGAGCTTGTCGTATGGCAATTTGTAGACTGAATTTCTTTGTATGTCACGAACAGCGACTTCGTGTTGTTGTCTGTCAATATTTAGGAGTTCTGATTGGAGTCGAATGTCGATATTAAAGCGTGCTTCTAAGCCAATCTCATTTTGAAGCACTAGTGTGCTATCGGATTCAATTATACCTCCCAAAGCATATGGTACACCACAATTTGCATAGCTCACGAATGGCCCTCGCTCCAACACAATAATGGAAGCATGTTCATCCAATCGACGAGCTCGCGTCGCAGCTGACATTCCACCAGCCACGCCGCCCACGATGACAATTCTCAGTGGAAGTCTCAAGGTCATTGGGAGGTTTGAGGTACGTGATTCGAGGTGTAAAAGCTAAGAGGTAGAAAGAAGGATTTAATTCAAAGACCGTGAGTCAGACTTCCACATTACATATCTTATGCCAAACATTGATGAAGTTAGAATTTTTCTCATAACTGTGTTCTCGCAACTGACGCTTACAACATACACGGGCTGTGTGGAATGACTGGACCCGTAGGTTCCAGATCATGCGGACCAACATGTGATACTGTACGTTCTCGGCAACCCGGATCCGACGAATGACGGTGGCGATTAACGAGTGTGATCTTTCACTTGCTTAATATTGTGAGCCCACGTATTTTCCAGTCCTTGTTTCAAAGGCACGTTATTTCTTTTGGCTGATCACAACGACTACACACACTGTAACATTCCGTAACTCATGGCAGAGGCATCGGCTACACCAGGAGGAGTATTTAACTTTCCTGAAGGCACCCCGGCAGCGAATTCGTTAAAAGAGACGAAAGAATCACATACCGACAATAACGGCCAGGTGCGACTTGTTCATCATGGTTTGGAAACCGGGGTTCGCGTACTACGTGGGTGACTTTTCGACGTTGACTTTACAGATACAGACTGACGCTGCAACTTATAGGTGATGGGCGTATAGACATTCATATTCACGAGCACAAACCCGAGACTACCGAATTGTTAAGCCAGCTCCAAAGCTCTCTACCTTCGCGGGAAACCAAAAGCAGGGAGTCAATCTGGAAAGACAATGGAGAGTTTCCATTGCGTTTGAATATCGTGATCCAAGTCATTGGATCTCGCGGTGATATTCAGCCATTTATCGCTCTGGGCAAGGAGCTGAAAGCTTTCGGACACCGTGTTAGATTTGCTACGCACTCTAATTTTCGGCACTCCGTTCTCTCCAACGGCCTGGAATTCTTCAGCATAGGAGGAGATCCGGCTGAGCTCATGTCTTTCATGGTGAATAATTCTGGTCTATTGCCGAATCTTAAAACCATCCGAAGTGGAACTATTCAGAAGCGTCGTCGTGATATGAGGCAAATCATTGACGGGTGCTGGCACTCATGCTTTGAGACAGGTGATGGTACTCATCTTCACAAGAATAACGATGATCTGTGGAATGGCACCGTGGATTATCGACGACAGCCATTTGTGGCGGATGCGATAATAGCAAACCCTCCCAGTCTAGCCCATATTCATTGCGCCCAAAGACTAGGGATTCCTCTCCATATCATGTTCACGTGAGTTCATTCCTACAATGAGACAATTAGTCCCACGGCCGTAGGAAACACAGCAGATAACTTTATGGACAGTCTGTGATGCTAACTGTGGCTCGCCGCAGAATGCCTTGGTCACCCACTCAGTCTTTCCCACATCCATTGGCTGTAACTCACTCACAAGACTGCAGGCCATCTGTTGCAAACTTTCTATCATATGTTGTAGTAGAAATGATGATATGGGAAGGACTTGGTGATCTTGTCAACAAATTTCGCAAAATCTGTCTATCACTCGATCCTCTAGATACAGTAAGCGCGTCGATCCTATTGCATCGATTGCAAATTCCGTGCACATATTTTTGGTATGATACAAGCCCACTGTGCTTTACACATGGACCGCATCTGACTTCAGTCAATCGGGCTAGGTCGCCCACACTACTACCAAAACCACCAGACTGGTTTGGTAACATCGACGTCTGTGGATTCAACTTTCTTCCGTCCCAGCCAGACTACACGCCCCGCCAGCAATTACCACTTTCCTCAAGGCTGGACCGCCACCTATTTATGTAGGATTCGGCTCGATTGTGGTTGATAATCAAAGTGAATTAAAAAGAATCGTTCTTAGGGCTATTAGCGACACTGGACAGCGAGCTATGATATCAAAAGGATGGGCGAATTTTACAATTGAGAGCACTGAGTGTCCTGAAAATGTCCTTATTATTGGAAATGTGCCTCATGATTGGCTTTTCCAGCATGTTTCATGTGTAATACATCATGGAGGCGCTGGAACAACTGCTGCTGGACTTGCTCTTGGCCGCCCAACAGTGATAATTCCCTTTTTCGGTGACCAGCACTTCTGGGGAAAAGTTGTTGCTAAGGCAGGTGCTGGGCCAGCCCCGATCCCTTATACGCAGTTGACTGCTGAGAAATTAACAGACGCTATTGAGATGGCCTTGAAACCTCATATCCAAGAATCGTGTCAGCAGATTCGAGACAAGATGCAACACGAATCCGGCGTTCGTGACGGCTTACGAAGCTTTCACAGACACCTTGATCTGCGGATAATGCGATGTGCAATATGTCCTACTCGGCCAGCAGTTTGGCGTCTCAGGCATACGAACATCAAACTGAGTGCTTTCGCGGCTGCAGTACTGGTTGAAAACAAGAAAATCAATTCACAGGATATCTTACTGTGAGTTCTTCTCATCCACGATATCGATTATCTATTACTTACCGTTCAATAGACATCGTTCCGTGGAATATGATACTTATCGTGATCCTGCTGGACCTCTGGGGGCTACAGCCCAGGTGCTTTTCGGTGCGGTTCTCGACTTTGTAACTGGTCTGGCTGATCTTCCAGCCGAGATCGTGAGTAATTTTCTTTCCGCGGGCAGTACATTGCGCCATCCTCGTGAACAATTTGACCCTTACGTCCAATGCCAACGGCATAGACATTCCCAGTATGAGGGTACCCGAAAAGGAGAAGAGAGTGCCGGCCAGAATTGCGAGCATGAGAGCGGAACTGAAGACCGGAGAAAGGGTCAAGAAGGTCGGAATCCACAAGACACCTTTATTATCCCTTCAGAAACGACTTCGAGCCTTAAAGAAAAACTCTGGCTCCACAATCAGCAGATGATGCGCGATAAGACGATAAGATCGAAATGGACTGAAATTCGCTCTGAATCGGCTTTCTATATCAGCACAATATTCAAGAAATCTCTGAGGCTCATTCTCTGGTTTCCAACCGACTTGTCACTTAGTGTTAGCAGAGGATTTCACAATGCGCCAATGCTCTACCATGATCCTATGGTCAGGCCCGTTCCAAAGGTGACTCACATTAGCAGCGGCCTCAGGGCTGCTGGAAGGGTATAATAGTGCTCCTGTCTTTTGTCCCGTTTTGGCACATCTAAATCTAGTTACAGGAGCTCAAAAGCGGCTTTTATGACGGCATCACGGGATTAGTCAGCCAACCGCTGTACGGTTTCAAGCACAATAGTGCTAGAGGTATGATCAATGGTCTCGGAAAGGGCATTGGAGGTTTTTTTCTTAAACCATTAGCAGGTATGTCACATGGGATTGTTTTTCTGTTCTGGTTCAATTGTAGCTAAATCGTAATAGGAATTTCGGGACTTGCTGGTTACCCTTTGAGTGGGTTACGAGAGGAGCTCAACGAGTCTCTAGGTAAACCGATGGGTTCGCATCTTGAATTGTCTCGAATTATACAAGGCCACGAAGAAATGCGATCATCGACAATGGAAGCGAAGTTGGAAGTGATTAGAAACTGGAATTCTTTGGAGGGGATGCAGGTCCTAAATCAACAAAATGGGAGCCAAGGACAACCTTAGTGATGAAAGAATGACACACAGGCGCTAATTAAAGCAGAGTGTGCTACGACACTTAGCCAAGAGATAATGCTAAACCGTCTTCCCTATACTTTATTATTAATTTTAGTGAGCACCTCACTATAGTCCTTCGCCCGCTAATTAGTCCCTCGTATATTTCGCGCGTTGCTAACTGGTCACGGTGCGTTGCGTGCGCGAAGGTAATACTTACCGGGGATAAGTTTATTCTTATGGGGGAATTAAACCTTCTTCAAGCAAGTGCTGATCGTCATTATAGACTTCAGGTGCATTTGGCTTGTGGCTAGCCCTTACGCTAGGTGTTCAGATCGACCAACACAACCACTCAAACTGGGTGTTGGTGGCTTCTTCTTCTGGACAGCCTGCTGAAACTATCACTGCCATTCTGATCAGCTGGAAGGCATGTATTCGAGCTAAACTTTGGTAACAGACAGCACAAAGGGGAAAGTAAACACCAGATTCGGTCACGACTGCGATTGAGCCTTGACAATGTGGCTATCCCAGGATTGCCAAGTAAATCAGCTCTTGAGGTCCACCATCGTGATGTTTCCGTCCATGTGGTCAGCCGGGTCCCAGAGACCCATATATCCCTTTTGTCCAGTGACGACCATGTTCTGTTTCTGCTTCTCTAGCTCTTCCCACAGCATACGGTTCTTCATGTTGTGCCAATCAACGCTCTTCCATTTGGTCCCTTCGCGATCGGTGAAGATTGCGTCTGTCTCTGGGCGCATGAGGTAGACGAGGGTGAGCTTGACACGATCTTTCTCATTAGGATGCGGCACCACGCGATGAAGAGATGAACGCAATTTGCCATCCGAAAGGAACTCCACACAGTCACCCAGATTGCATACAGCATGGCCTTTCTTGGGAGTACAGTAGACCCACTCTCGTTCGCGAGGAGTAAGAACTTGAAGACCACCCACGTCAGAGAAGACCATCGACAGACTGCCAGTGTCGGTGTGCGCAATATGTCCGACCTTGTCGGTCTCGGGAGTCCAGGGGACATATTTGAGCATTCCGAGAGCTGTAGTGGAAGACTCAGGTTGGCGATGGCACCCAGGGAGATACCTGTCTCCCTCTAGGTGGATTGACTTGGACAGGCTTTCAAATACAACACGTCCCATGTCACCGAGTTCGCGCATGGTGTCGCGGAAAACTTGGCACTTTTCCTGGATCGCCTTGGGGGCTGGCATCGGCTGATCCAATGGCAACTTGTTCAGGGCATGTTCGAAGACCTTTGATTTTATATGAGAATTCTCACTCAATACAAATACCCAAAATCGGACGATAACTCACCAGGGTACCTTCAAATCCATCTCGCTTGCCCTCTACCGGGCCAGTGTGGACACCAGCCGGCTTGTAACTATGAAAAGGAAAATCAGCCAGGCTCTTACTTCTTTGAAATTGATCCCATAGTGACTTCCAAGAGACATACCCACAAACGATTTCCTCGCCCTTGACGTGGTCATGGTCGGCGGCCCACTTGTCCTTCGCGGACTGCGGCTCATCATACCAGTCCATTGCGGCATCGTGAATTTCTCGAATTCGCTTCAGGAAGTCCGCCGATGGATGGTCTCGACAATCCAAGTAAAAGAAACCCGAGTCAACGCCGGCAGCGAGGAGATCTTCGTGCGCCTTCGGTTCGCCGTCCATGAGAGCCTTGATGCTGATAGTCTTCAAGCCCACATCTTCGGCTTCAAGGATCGGTTTCTTAACAAGCGCTGGCGACATGATTGATTGAGATGATAGAATACTGCAAAGTAGATTGAAGGTTATTAGGCTTTCTGAAAGAAATTTCTTATATTAATGAGGAGTCCTCTTCTCTGTTCTAGATCCTAGCCTGGCTAGGATCCAGAAAGAATGCCTGGAGAGATATGCTGGTCGGCCATTTGCTCCTTTCGATTCCCGAGCTATTTCAGATTCACATTCCCTACACGTACGGTCGCTTTGTGGCTACTGTGTTACGGCTTCCTGTGATGTTCATCTCTCTCTCTCTCTCTCTTGATTGACTGTTCCAGAAGACTCGCGCCGCCAGTAGCCGATGTTGCCCAGTGCGGTTCGGGCCGAACCCAATTCGTCCAGGTCCACACCTTCTCTGTGTCTCTGTTGGAGGCGCCCCCTTCACCTCCCCAGGAATCCCAAACCCCCCGATTTCCATTTCCGTGTTCATGTGTCTCGGCCATCCCAACCTTCATCTGCGCAAGAGAGGGGAGACGCTCGAGTAGGCCGCCCACCTTGCCCTGCGTATCATCGTGGGAACCTGACCATGTCTATGTCAGCGGAGTACTCCAACAGGTCGGGGCAGGCCCTTAATGACAAGTACTCACCAAAGGAGGAATCTTCTACGTCACAGAATGTGATAGCCTTAGTCGCTGATGGCGATGTTGAAAGTCACCACGATTCAAAATATCCATCCGGTGCTCGACGCGTCGCCATCTGCTTGACGTTAGCCATTGCGCTGTTTCTGCCTATGCTTGTAAGAGACACAACTCTTGCCGAAGGTTATTGATTTGTCCTTACCATTGTCAAAAGGATGAGACGATAGTAGCAACAGCCGTTCCAACAATCACCGATCATTTCCACTCCTTATCAGATGTTGGCTGGTACGGATCTGCCTAGTAAGTTCCCAAAATGGAAAGGGGTGTCACCATGTAAGCTTGACGAAAGTGGGTGGCCGTTGCTGAATTTGAGCAGTCTCATCGCAAATGCGACATTACAACTGCCCTGGGGAAAGGTTTTTACGATTTTCTCAGTTCGAGGAAGCTTTCTCGTCTCCATTGCGGTGTTTGAAGTTGGATCTCTCATTTGCGCTCTTTCTCCATCCTCGCTAGCTCTGATCCTGGGAAGGGCCGTGGCTGGCATCGGTTGTGGTGGAATTGTAGTGGGTGTCTACACGTGAGTGGGAGGACTTCTGCTGTTACGAGAACAACGCAATAATGACACCTCATAGAATACTGTCAGATACCCTACCTTTGAGCCTCCGCCCAGCTATGATCGGGGCACTCGGAATTACATCAGGTATCGCGTCAGGATGCGGCCCAGTGATGGGAGGTGTTTTCACAACACGTTTGACGTGGCGTTATTGTTTCTAGATCAATCTTCCGTTTGGATTTGTCGCTGCTGTGTCAACATTGATCTTTATACCTAGGTCAAAGAACCTCGATGCGCGGCCGGCACTTCTCCAGCGGATCAAGTCTTTTGATTGGGTGGGCATGGCGTTGTTGATCTCAGGGCTGACATCTTTCCTGCTCGCACTTGAGCTTGGAGGGACGAGGTTCAACTGGTCCAATGCAAGAATAATTCTTCTTTTGTGCCTCGCAGCTTTACTTCTAGTGGGATTTGTGCTAGTGGAACGACGGCTTCAAGAACGCGGCTTGTTTCCTCTGCGTATTGCCAAACAGCGCAGTATTGCCTTTGGCTGTTTCTATATTTTTGCTCTCTCAGCGGCAGTGGAAACATTAAGCTATTACGTCAGTTCAGTCTCATTCTCCAGAACATTGTTTCTCTATCTTACTGTGATGCGCAGGTCCCTATTTGGTTTCAAGGGGAAAAGGGGGCCAGCGCTCTGGAATCGGGTCTCATGTCTCTCGCTCTGAGTCTATCTTGCGTGATATCTGCCATGCTCACAGGGACCATTGTCTCAATCTACGGACAGTATGTTCCATCCATGATTGGTGGCAGTGTTCTGTTGAGCATCGGATGTGGTCTCCTTACCACCTTGGAAGTCTCCTCGAATCGCAATCATTGGGCTCCCTATCTTTTTCTCTCCGGCATTGGATTCGGGGCTGGTTTGATAGGGCCTCAGACTGCGGTTCCAGTCGTTTTAGAACCTCAGGACGTCGCCATGGGCATATCAGGCGTCACTTGTGCACAAATACTTGGCTCGAGTATCTTCATTTCAGCCGGTAGTAACTTATTGAATGCTCAACTAAGATCTGGCATCTCGACTGGTCTTCCCCGCCTTGATGTGGAAACCATTCTCCAAGCCGGGGCAACTGGTCTTCGAGCAGTAGTTCCTCCGGCGGACCTGAACCAAATTCTTGATATTTACAACGATGCACTCCGTTCGGTATTCTATGTGTGTTTGGCGATGGCTATAACGTCATTTTTTATGGCACTTGGAATGGAGTGGCGATCTTCTCGAATAGGGAAAGACGAGGAAAGATCAGCAGGGAGCATTAAATCGTAAGTCTAATAGAGTGATTGACTGTAGAGTCATTCAACTGCGAGAACTTGGTGCTCTGGAATGCTGGACCTTTGATCTCAATCGAGTCTCGTTGAAACGAAGTCTATGTCAGATATCAAAAATCATTCTTTAAGCGAGGCATTGCAGTTGAAGCGGGGACTTATATAAGAAGTTTCATGATTAAGGCAAGTACCAGGTCACTCGCATTTGTAGGGGTCTACGTATCGATTCCCAGTTTACGTGAAGTAACGAGCATAGTTCTCTGTGACGGCCTTAATGAGATCAGGATTAGGATAGTCAAAATCCGGGCTTTCTTGAGCCTATTCCGGTATTGCCGCAATAAAGCTCGCCCTTTCGGGTTTACTTGCAACTCAGTTCCAGTTGACGCTAAGGCCCTTAGCGAATGAATTTAGCAGCGCGGTCGAAATCAGTTCAAGGCATAGCTCCTTTGACCCGCCCGTTCTCACTTATAATAAAGGATAAGAGGCACCACATGCAGCTTTCATTTTCTTGCATCTACTAAAGTTTCGAGACATTTCTACCTTTACCAGTATGCGCGTGGTTCTGTGGCTGGCATCCTTTACCGCGGCGTGCGCATTCGCGACCGTAGATCTCGGATACACTTTACAAACTTCTACAGTAGTAGTGAGCAACGCGGAGGAATTCATAGTCCTCTTTTATTTTGCTGACTATGATTCCAGAATGCTATTGATGGATTTGCATACTTGAATTTCTCCAACATTCGCTATGCTGCGGCGCCAACAGGCGCGCAACGCTTTCAGCTCCCGCAGCCCCCTCAAGTCGACCGGTCGGTTCAAAATGGGCTACTGGATGTGATATGTCCTCAGGCTCAGCCAGGCTGGATGAACATAGCCATAGATGTGTTGAGTGGCGAGACAATCACTGAGACGGATTGGGGAAACTTTACTGTCTCTGACATTTCCCCGGTTGATCCTCGTACCTCTGAAGACTGCTTGTTTCTCGACCTCTTGGTACCGGAGACCACTTTCAGCAACAAAGACCCAGAAAATAGATCTCCGGTTCTCTTGTTCATTCACGGCGGCGGGTTTGTGCAAGGTTCCAAGGCAGCATATGGGTATGGAGACGGATTGCTGGAAAGCGATTTCTTGAAGAATCACCGCGACATCATCTATATCTCTATCAACTATCGACTTGGATTATTTGTACGTGAGAATATAGTTCCCTGCTTTCGTTGCTTTCGTTGCTTTCGTTGCTTTCGTTGCTTTCGTTGCTTTCGTTGCTTTCGTTGCTTTCATTTCCGAATCATGCTTACATTCAATGGACAGGGTTGGCTTGCAGGCTCGGAAGACGTTACTCCAAATCTCGGGTTGTTCGACCAACGTTTTGCGCTACAGTGGGTACAGCAGTATATCCATCTATTCGGTGGTGACCCTGATAATGTCACCATCATGGGTGAATCCGCCGGAGGTGGCTCTATTATGAATCATATCACTGCCTACGGTGGCGAAGATCCCGAGAAGCTCTTCAGCAAGACCATTGCCCAGAGTCCCTATTCGGTTTATACGCCGAACGTCACTCAAGAGGAACTCTTCCAGTCAGTCATCAGCACTGCAAACGTGAGTTCTGTCAATGCACTTCGCGAACTATCATCTGAATCACTTCAAATGGTGAACGCCTTGGTGGTCGGTAACACTCGACCTTACGGGACCTTTGCCTTCGGTATATACTCTTTCCGCATAGTGCTAATATCCAGCTAACTGTTGACAACAAGGCCCGGTGGTTGACGGCTCATTCGTGATCGACTTACCTTCTAGATTATTGGCAGATGGGAAATTCACCACTGCGGTGAAAATGATGACCGGCCATAACTCCGACGAGGGAGTTCTCTTCGCTTCCCCTTACATCAAGACAAACCACGACTATGAGAGCTACGTCAAAGCTCTCTTTCAACAACTTTCACCCGCGCAGATTTACACAGTGAGCGAGCAGCTTTATCCGGCTCAATTCGATGGCTCACTCGGGTATACGAACCAATTCGATCGAGTTAGCCTGACTCTAGCAGAGGCGACAATTGTCTGTAATGCGCGATACTTAGATGACGCATTCAACGATAGCTACGCATACGAGTTTGCAGTCCCTCCGGCTATCCATTCTGCCGACCTTTCCTACACATTCTACGACTCGATGTCCGGAGGCGGGCTCAACGTGTCGCTGGCAGAGCTGATGCAGGCATATTTCACTGAATTCTCTACTACGGGTTCGCCTGACGGGCCAGGCCTGCCAGCGTTTCCAACGGATGCCGACTGGACCGTGCAAGATTTCAACACAACAGACTTTGGTCCTATGAAAGATCCGGCGTCAGCGAGAAGATGCGCCTGGTGGCAATTGGCGTTGAATGGTTGAGCTCGTCCGCAAGGGAGCATTTTCGTTGGGAACGAGATTGTACAGATTGTAGGGCCTCGATGCACTGAATTCATATAATTTCCCATTCGTATGCATTTCTTTAAAATTATTTCATCTATGAAAAACGCTGTAATTTTTGTTTAAATAATCCGAGGGAATAGATGCTCATCCTTCAATAGCTTCTCCATTGCGCTCGATCGTAGATGCACTGAGATATCAATCCCGTTGTTGTACCAGGACTGAGAATCGGCTGACACAGCATCCACAGCCGGTCTGGGCCCTTGTTTAACCTGTACATTGCCGTCCATGTCGGGAATTATGGCTTCGACAAAGCGAGGCACCGAGCCAGTCCCGAAATCGACGGAGTACACTGGGGTCTGGGCCCATGATGTCACCAAGATATGCCTCTCACCAAGGAATGCCTGCCAGAGACGCTGGGGGGAATCTTCGTATGCAACCGAATGAAGATGGGCTCTGAGTCCCTCAGGAGTGATTTGCGTCAGAGTCGATCGAATCGCTGACGCCAACGGTGCTATGTCCGTCTGCTGAGCACTTGAAGCGTCCATCGACACGTCAAGCATAACAATTGGCGAGCCGAGGAAGTTAGCGCCCAGATGCAGTCGCTCCCGTAGACCATACACCAGGTCGCAGTGCACAAGGCCCTCGTTGATCCCCCGATCCATATTTCGAGCGCGATTGATGCAGGACCAAATGTGCGCTACAAGTGCATCGTGACGGCTGATTTGAGTTGTGCCCTGTGAGGAAGCAGCTTCCCACAAGATTTGGACCTGAGTCGGAGAGAAATGAATCACATAATGCGAGACCGGAGCACCAACATCCCACTCTGACCACGGCATTGGTTTGCCTGCGGGCTTGAGGGGCTGGGATTTGAACGGCTCGGGTGGCTCGATGGGCCAAGGACACCCGTCAGCTGGGGCCCACCAATCGTACCGGTGGAAAGGAAGGTCCATGGCGGTTTTGATGATTTCCGGGTCGAGTTCCGGCTTGTCAAGATCACCTGCGGCCAGACGATCGAGACGTGTTGGATCAAAGAGTGGAGATAGAGTCGGCACTGGCGAGTTCGTGGCGAGGGCTTTGCTGACGCGTGCCCAATCGTTCGCAAAGTATGCCAGAGTATGAGCATCGCCCAGCGGATGGGCCATTTTGACGGCAAGGACTGTTCCTCCGCAGCCGAGCTCCGTCAGTTGGATTGCCATGGCTGGCTTGAACGTGTCGCTTCCATCGTAGAAAGGAGCAGCGAGCTCGGTCGGCGGAGTAAAGTCGTCGAGCGAGACTTGATGCATGTCCTTGTACGGCGCATGACACCGATCGAGGGGAACGAGAGTGTCCAGGGTCTCCGCACTTTCTGCAATGACAAACTCAACTCCTGGGTCCTGAGAGCGATCATAGATTATTTGCAGTCTCCCGAATTGACCTCCCGGGCGATGGGGAACCAGCTCAAGGCGGCCGGCCCATTGCGGGTAAAACCCCAGAGTAATCGCTAAGGCTTCTCGAAGACGCCGATTGAATTCTTGACGATCCACTCGCTCAACTTCTAATTTCTCCAGGAACCACACGGCCCCGGTAACCGAAAAGTTGGCCGTGGTCGCGTCGAGGAGAGAGAGCGGCACGACCGTACCGGCCTCTGAGGCCTGAGGGGTAAAGTTGAGGGGAAATACCCGTTCATTGTGCTGACGAGTGACGGCGACCATGATGATTTTGCAGGACAGCGAGAATCGGGAAGAAGTGACTGGAAAAGAAAGTGAACGGTAGATGAAAGCCTTTGCTGCTGCTCATGAACCGTTTAGACTACTTGGGCAGTTTGAGACTATTTGGCCCCAACCGGGCGCGATGTAATTTCCGTTTAGCAGGGGATGCTGTTAGTGTTGCAACCCAACGATCGATGTTCCCCTCTCCCTATAAAATCCAGATCCATTTTCTGGGTCCATTTCCCATTCCTTTCAGCAACTAATGCGAAGCTTGTCCTGAGCTTACCGAATTCAGCGAAGATGTGGAGTCGGTGCTTTTCCTAGTCCTCGGCATTGTCCTGATTGGGAATCTGACTGGCATCGTCTTCGGAGTTCTCCTCCCACTTGATCAAGTATATTTTATGTTGAGATCTTATTATATGGCAGGTGATCAAATTCTATCACTGTCCACAATTGTTAACTCTAACGCCGGAAATTAAGTGGCTCAGCTGCATTTGGGAACCAAGCAGCGCCATGATGACCGACACATTGAACCTCGCTTTTGCAGAGACCTCGACAGTCTTGTCGTCGATTCCACTCGCGGCATGGATTATCTTCGCTGTAAGTCAACACTTCAGTTCATTGCTGCAGGAATGACATATTAACGGCATAAAGATTACACTCGCTTTCAGTGCCTCAGTATTTATCAAATGGAAGAAACACCCATTGGCACCAATTCCAGGCCCTCTATCAGCAACTTTCAGTAATGTAAGCTCTTCAGCTAATCTATAGATTTGAATGGCAGTACATTCGTTCTGACAAGGGGTAAAGGCTCTGTACTCATGGAACTTCATGGGAGGCAGACGACCATGGAAGGAGCTGGAATTGCATGATAAATACGGTAAGTGCCGGGTCGGTCAGCCAAGATGCGATCAAGTGGGTGAAATAAGTGACCTGGATGATGTTAACTCTGAAAAAAAAAAATCCAACAGGCCCCGTCGTTCGTGTCGCTCCGAATGAAGTCAGTTTTAACACTGCCTCGTCTTGGCGCGATATGTATGAAGCGCGTAAAGACACCAAGACCTTCGTCAAGAGCGAGTTCTACGAAGGGGGCAACTTTGCTGCTGAGGCAACTTCAATCGTCAGCGAGCGCAGCCCGCAAGCTCATGCAGAAATGCGTCGCTATCTCGCCAGTGCCTTTTCGGACCGGTCTTTGAAAGCTCAGGAACCATTGATCGCAGCCGTTGTGGATGAATTCATTGAACAAATTGGTATCAAAGGCAAAGACGGGCTGGATCTCGTACTTTGGTTCAATTTAACCACTTTTGATATTATTGGGAGCCTAGCGTTCGGCCAGGACTTTGGTGGTGTCAAGTCTGGAACACATCATTTCTGGGTTTCAATTGTGGTGAAAAGTCTGGGTCTTGGAGCACTAGCAGACTGTTTCAAGAGATTTCCCTGGGCTGCCAAGTGCTTCCTCGCTCTTTTCCCTGGCCTACTCAAGAAGCTCGCGCACGATACCCGACGGCATGAGGCTTACACAATGGATTTGGTGAAGAAGTGAGTCGAGCCAGCTCTATGTGGACCAGAAGATCCGCTGACACCCACCTAGACGCATCGCTAACCCGACTGGCCGCACGGATTTCCTGACGAAGATACTCGAGAGCAGAAAGGAGGCCAATATTCCAGATATACAACTCGCGGCGCATTCATCTGATTTTGTGTAAGTTATATATGCACAACTCCCCACTTACGTACTACAAATTTGGCATTCAGGACAGTGTGATCCTCAGACTAACTCTGAGCCTTGATCGACTGTCTTAGTATCGCGGGAAGTGAGACCACAGCAACTGCACTTTCAAGTGCAACATACTATCTTCTTCACCATCCAGCGGCTCTTCGTCGGCTCCAGGATGAAGTTCGAGGGGCTTTTCAAAAATATGAGGAGATTAGTGCGGCTTCAACGGCTAGCCTGAGCTATCTAAAGGCTGTCGTTCTCGAAGCGATGCGAATGTACCCTCCCTTGCCGTTCTCTTTGCCCAGAGTGGTACCTGATGGGGGTGCCACGGTAGATGGGTACTTTTTGCCAGAGGGAGTAAGTTTTTCACAATCTATCTCCACCCTTCCTGATCACATCTTTCTTTTGTACTGAGCTTCGTATAGACAATCGTTTCAACGAGCCCCTTTGCAGCTTGTATGAGCTCGCAGAACTTCGAGGATCCACGGGAGTTCCGACCTGAGCGATGGATCGGGAAGAATCTGATCGATAATCTCGACGCTAGTCAGCCTTTCTCCCTAGGTACACGGGGGTGCATGGGTCGCAGGTGAGTTACTCATACTAGAAACTGTTGAAATACCGGCAGGGTATAACTAATCAAATAATCTAGTCTCGGCTGGATTGAATTGCAAACCATCATGGCAAAGCTACATTTTAAGTATGACCTGACCTTGCTGAACGATACAATGGATTGGCAGAAAGACTCTCGAATGTATACACTTTGGGAGAAGCCGTCATTGATGGTCAAAGTGATACCTCGTGAATAGATTTGAGACGAACGTGACCGAGGTGACCATCGACTGACTCCGATTGCTACTTACTGTATGAATGCGGTGTCTTCTACAATTATATAACGGTCTCACAGCCCACCCCCAGAGATAATTGGCCTCGAATTTACGCTGTGCTGTTGTCTAGCCCTGTCGGCTTCTGAATGTGTATGTCTCGACGCGTTGGAGTGAGTAAGATCATCTAGTCAACGCGCTTCAACCAGGCCTGCTTCCAGTAGAGTCTGGGAATGAAGACAACAAATGAACATGAACATGAATTGCTGCTCTGTAGGGCTGTTAGGAGCATATTGTATCGGTGCACCAATGATAGTAAATAGTAAATCTACCCTCATGATACTGTTCCGATATTACGGTTATCTCTTATCTTGCCTAAACTTTGTGATTGATCCACTTCACTTCGAAAAGGGTACCAACACGCGCCGTGGTCGCATTTTCGGTTCATTGAAGCGAGCCAATGTCTGCGGGCCAATTCATAAACAAGGTGTCCAATTGATTTCCAGAATTGGTTTTCTGTCGAAGCTTCCCCTTTTGAATAAAAAGATACAGACTTCGGCGATTCTAGATTGGGGCGTCAATCTTGCACTAGCATGGATACGCCCCGAGTACCACCGGATGTATGCACGTACCAGGCTTTTCTTACTGTGTCTTCTATGCCAGGGCAATGGACGTTCCAGACGTTAAACAAAATAAGCTCCTCAGGTCCGACGCGTATTGTATCAACTCTACCATCCGATGTCTTTTGGGTGCTCTGGATTGCAGTTGCTAACCTTAGCCCACGGCCTCCCCCCTGTGGAGTAAATCTCCGGCATGGACCGAATGGGCACAGCTCGAGATTTGCCTCATATGAGCCAATTTCATGCCTGTTCCGGGAATAATCATAATTAGTATATAATACCACTGTTTTCAGGCTTTTATCCTAGCGAATTCTATTGATAAATAATACACCGTACATACTTGATACAACATGTCCAGTCTACAGATCGCCGATCACGACATCTCTGATTGTACGGGGAAGACCGTGCTTATCTCAGGTGAGATTGATTTTCAGCCCCCCCACTCCTCTTATCGAACAGGATCCAGCCCGTTGTAATTTGGCATGAAACACAAACCGGACTAACAGCACCACACGACACAGGTGGATGTTCTGGCATTGGGTTTTCAGCCGGTAAACTCTTCGCTGCGCATGGCGCAAGAGTGCTTTTATTAGACCGAAACCCCCCTGCAGAGCCCCTCAATTCGAGTCGGTTAGAGTACTTCCCCTGCGATGTGACTAGCTGGTCGGATTTGTTAGCCGCTTTCCAACATGCAGGACGCGTCGATGTTGCAGTCGCCAACGCTGGCGTGTCTGAAGAAGCGGACTACTTTGCCGATACCTTTGACGAGGCGGGTGCTTTGGTTGAGCCTGCTTACGGAGTATTGGACGTGAATTTGCGCGGGGTCTTGAATTTTACCAAGTTGGCGATCAGTTCAATGCGACGACTTCATGTATCTGGAAGCATTGTCATTACTTCTAGTGCCACGGCTTATTCACCAGAGCATTCATTGCCGGTATACAGTGCTGCCAAGCTAGCTGTGAGTCTCGCTCTGTCTCCGAAGCTGTCTTTCTATCTCTTCCTCCTGCGGGTGATTTTAGTGCTCTTTGTTTTTCATTTTTTTTTTTGGCTAACATCACCCAATCGGTATTGGATTTAAGTTGGTTGGTTTGATTCGCGCTCTTCGCTCGTCCCTCCCCAAGGACGATATCACTATCAACGCCGTCGCCCCCGCAGCCACAATCACCAGTCTCCTTCCGCTCCATTTGGCCAATCCCATCATCGCCGCCGGCCTTCCGGTCAGGAGCTCTGATTTCGTGGGGCTTGCCGTTGTTTACTCCGCAGTCGCCAGCGAGCCTCGGAAGGTGGAGCCCTACGGGAAAGATTCGGATGATTGGGTGGGCACCCCTGGCCGGTGGAATGGCCGGGTGATCTTGACACTTGGCGATCGATACACGGAGCTTGAGGGGCCCTTGGCTGCTCTGCGGGAGAAGTGGTTTGGGGAGGAAAATAACCGACTGACTCGCCAACAGCAGATAGCAACCGATTTCCGCTTAGATTGAGGTGGTTCCCGTAAGAGATGGACGAGTGTTCGTTTGTGTACCTACTGTGACTTGCCAATGAATTCTGTGCTGGTCGATCTTACCTATAGAGGGATTCCTGGGACGCCTAAGCCTCCTTGAGAAACTTCAAGTCAATGGCTCCTAAAAGCCACCCGTCCGCAGCGTGGCGTTCGTCGCAAAGCTTCTAAGCTTTGTCGAAACCTGAGGTGCAGCGACTCAAACTATTTTCGACTTGGCCGATCCCCGCAATCGGCGTCAGTGCGGCTCCAGAAAAGGAAATGGAGAGAGTGTGCAACAGTTGCCAGCAGATAGTAGTTTCCCCGTGCAGAACATCGATGTAACCCAATAGTAAGCACTAAAGCTCTAAAGTTCTCAACCGGCCACTCATCTTTTCGAATGCAACAGCCTTAATCTCGAGTCCCTCTCTATAATGTGTGCTTTTGCCTTTTGCATCTCTGGACCCCCCTCTCCATGTAGTTAGGCCACCCCCTCCCCAAGGAAGGCTTAACTTGACACATCCTCTTGAGGCCTCGGTTTACACACGCCGCCAATGCTGAAAATCGTTCAGACCATTTTCCAAAAGGGGGCGACCCAGTGAGAGCTAAAAGAAGCTTGACACAACTCCAATTGGGGTTAACGCTACCTGTGCTCGGTCCGGGCCTTTCTTCTTATCGACCCAGGCTCCCTTTATGGACCTTCCGTCACAGTTCAACATTTGCAAAGCCTGTCCAGCGGACAAAGCACGCACCAGGTTTGCCGCTCAGCTATGTTTACCACATTTCGGTATGAGGGCGTCGTGAAAGACATGATTGTGGTCAAGAAGTCATCGCGTCCACCTCCATCCACGTATGGCACGCAACAACCAGCCTGCCTCAACTGTCACAGGAAAAAGGTAGGTTGAAATCACCCAATTTTACTGCAATTGTGGACAGACCACGCAGCCGCTTCGAGTCCCAGGATCAGCCGAATATTGTGCTGACTAAAGCAGCTCAAATGTACGAGTGAAAAGACAGGATGCGCACGATGCAGAGACGCTGGACTCGAATGTCAGTATAGCGAATCGACCCGACTGAGGAGACAGCAGCAACCCGAGCAGGGTGCTACGGAAGCGACGACGGCGAAGTCGGACCAAATTCATCATCAGGATGTTAGAAAAAGTCGTCAAGGATCAATCGCAATGTCCGAACGGCGGAGCTCTAATGCCACAATCTATGGATCGCAAACGTAGTCGTCCGATGCACACAGGCTAACCATATCGTCGCCTAATTTCGAAATTGGCGACAGTTTATATGAAGACATAGGAGAAGACGCTGTCATGCAATGCAACCCCTCTGGCATGTCTCATATCCACACCATGGCCCCTTCACGTGGGGAGCCGACAGATCTCCAATCCCCTCCCTATGGCCCATTCGATCTGGACTTCGGCTTATCCACCACGTACGATATTGGTCTAGATGATAATGAAATTGATTTGACCGCATTCTTGGCAACCACTCCAGCGACTATTACACCTCCAGAAGAGACCGACACCCGGCCCGCTTTCATCCTAGAGCCTCACTCTAATTCCATGGACTCCTGTACTTCCACGGCGGTCGCTGGCTCGGCGCCTAAGAAAAATAACATTTCGCCCTGTGATTGCATGCAGAAAGTCTTCCCTTTTTTGGAACGGGTCCAGAAGCTCGCCGAGGAGTCAGATTCGGGTAGTCAAGATGCCACGACTCCGCGGCCCAACCTGATGGATGCTCGAGAATTGACAAGAATGATCCGGTCACTTAAAGATTCTGTGTTGCAACTCCGACAATTCTTTCAATGCACACAGTGTTCAAGCTCCGCTAGTTTCATGACCGTGCTCATCCTGCTCGCCGGACACATAGTGACTACATTGTGGGCCGCCGCGAAGTCATCTTCCCCGCAGTCATATTCCACACCGTTAACCCCTGGGACCTCTGCTTCTTCTATGACGGGTATCGCGATTACGAACTGCGTGGAAGATATGAGGACAAAGCGACTTGCAGCGTTCCCTGTGAGACATCTCCCTGACAGCGGCGAATACCATCTCGACACGGAGGAGGAGCATTACGCGATCATTTCTACTCTTGCAAAAGTGCAGTTACGCAGATTGCTCATCACCTTAACTGAAATGAAGGCCAGAGCGAGCAACGCAGATTGGAATCAGCAATTCCGGTCTGTGAGGGCCTTGGAGGAACGAGTGCGAAAGGTCGCCTTGGGTTGGGCAGATGGCGCCAAAATACGAGGCTGGTGATTGTCAGTACATTTTTGAATGTAATTAGACTCAAAGTATAAGCATATAGATAAACCCCAAGGAAAGGCATACACAGGAGGCACCGAGGCAGGAACCTTTGAATACGAGACACTTCTGGCTTTAGTTGCTCTGGTCACCCTTGTCCCTTGTTCTGATAAATACACATTGAGTAGCTTGCAGAGGGCGCTATTCCTACGGTGTCTCCTGACAGACGGACTCAACTAGTTATGTCTCCCATTTCTGGTTTGTACATTGCTTTTCTTACATGTCTACTCCCCTCGACCTATGTTTACCACCGTGACTTTGGAAAGATATAACTCGAGTGCTAAAAGCCTTCTGTCAGTCTCACGGGGCAGATATGAAGATAAATATTACCTAGAAGGTAAAGTATCGCCTACTGACAGTCGTGATATTCGTGTACGCCTAGTATCTATAGAAATACATTCTCTAGGTTCTCCTAGTCCTGATAACTTTTTGTTCATGCTGCTTGGGTATTTGTGGCGGTTGGTCTCGATCAATGTCGGCCGATGGTGGCTATGGAGGTCCGTGATGGTTATTAGACATCGTACCTTTCCATCTATATGAAGGGATCTGAACATCTACTTGAGGGAGTCTATCTCTTGTTGTGGCAGTATTTCAATTGCAGATGCACATTTATAAGCGGATCGGAGCTAGACAACATGAAGGAGATGGGATTTCTGTGATAATCTCCAAGGCCGCAGAAAATCGCTATCGAAGACAAAAGCCTATGCCAATTTGCGTCTGCGGAACATGACTCGTCCAGCTGGATTTGGCAGGTACTGTGTTTCGAAAAGTAGACTCTCTGGGCGCTGGGTTTGACCATCAGGAAATTTGAAGTCATAGTTGAGCAGGATATGCGCCATAATAGCTTTGATCTCGTTGGCGGCAAAGAAACGTCTGGGACATGCGTGTCGTCCATAACCAAAAGCCATGCTGGTAGGATTGGAAGAAACATAAGCGCTGAGAGCCGCTGAGCGTTCGGCCTGGTTGGGGTTATTTGCTCCATTCTGGCAGCTTTCTACTCCTTGGCCCCGCATCTTGTGGAAGCGGAATCCGTTGTATTTTTCAGGAGCTTCGTATAGCGTAGGATCCATGGAAATTGCATGGGTTGGAACCCCGATTGTGGTATTGGCGGGAATAACAAATCCGTCTGAAAGAGGGTAGTCTGTAGTCACGACGCGCTCAAAAGTTACTGCAATAATTATGAGTAAGTTTGATCCCACAATCAACATGCAAAATGAATGTCAGTGGCCGATGTCACTTACTCAGGAGAAGCGGGTTGAAACGCTGGCTTTCCTTCATGATGCTGTCCAACTTTGAAAGCTCATGGAATCCTTGTTTGGATATCATACCCTCTGGGCCAAGAGCGGCCACAACCTCCTCACGTAGGGGTTCGATGTATTCCGGCATTGCGCAGAGGTCGTACAGAAGCTGCGTCGGAGCTGCCGCACTGGTATGAATTGCAGCAAAGCTGACTTTGAGGAGAATTCCGGCCAAGAATTTTAGGTCTTTTTCATCACTCACGGCTTGCTCATCCATCCAGAAAAGCAGGTCCTGTGCTTTATTCCCTTGACATCTTCGTTGCTCAATTAGTGGTATCGCCGCTCGCTCCGCGGCTTCGTAGTGCTTATTGATCGCACGGATGGCTGGAATGAAGGGGGCTACTAGAGGTTTCATGAACTCGGGATAGTTCTTCAACGCTTGTGCACCGATAAACCCGTCGATAGCAAATGCGATCGAGGATTGGACCCATTCGTTGTTTCGACTGAGAGTGGTTCCGCCAAACATGCGACTTGACACTCGCGCGACAATTTGGGTAATGCGGTCAACGACATCTACTTCAGTCCAATCTGTGAACTCATAGTGAGCGCCAATCTTGGTATCAGGCTAGAACTAGCTTACCTTCACAAGGTGGAAATGATGCCTCGAAAGCATCTCGTATCTCTTCCTGGACATCAACCATCACGTCGGCTGAGAGATGTCAGAAAAGCAGCCGCCTCACTGGATGCATAATTCCATATGTCGGAACATGTAACTCACCTAGATATTTGTTCAATTGAGTCCGAACTACTCGGGGATGCAATGTCGAGCGGCTGCCCATGGTTGTGTATTTCCCCTCAAACATCTAAAAAGAAGTTTCAGCACTCTGATGTCTCTGATGAGACTGCGTCGTCGGGCCCTACTTCTATAAAAGTGGCCACAAAATCCACCTCCTTTATGGGGGCTGTCTTCAGATCCTCCAAATACTTGACCGGAATCATCAACCTCTCACCCAGTTTGCTGGGAACGTAGAAGAAATTGCCACCATACTTTGCAAGAGTCAGTAATCCAACATAAATCAATGTGCTTGCGTCTGACCTTCTTGTAGCCCTCGGCAAGCATGTTCTTGCCATCATGAATGAAGCGAATACGATTTTTCTTAACCGAGCTTCTGTCTTCGCCTCCGACAATTGGAATACCAGGTACAATTCGTTGCCGCTTTTGAAATGACAAATGATAGATTAAGATAGCGAAGAGCAAGAATGCGGAGACAATAACCAAATTTTGAGACACAAAGATCCCAAAAGCCTTAAGATCCAACAGCATTCTTGTGAAAGATCCGATAAATCTTGTGCTCGATCAGAATTAAAACACGAGAAATAACTCTCAGGGGCTGGCAACGGTACAATGAAGTATTATTTTAGGTGCCTTTTCAAATTCAGACCTGATTTTCTGTCGAAACATCCAGTCTTCGGCAGGTTCTGATGGGGCTTCGGCGAGTTCCCATTTGGGAAGTCCGGGTTGTTGATGGAGTATGACCCTTTTGGCTGCCCACATCAAGAAACCACCTACGAGATAAATTACAGAGAAAAGCAGTTACTCGAGCCCTAACATACTTCATCACTAAGAATTGATTGCGTAAAACCCAACTGATATCCATCATTCTCTACGCAGCGACAATGGCAGATCCTTTCCAACCATTCAAAGTCGAAGAAGCTGACAAGAAGCCTGGGTACAACACGCGCCAGGTACACGCGGGAGCGAGACCAGACCCGACTACCAAAGCTCGCGCTGTGCCAATCTATGCAACTGCGGTAAGTATGGTACTGACTCGTCGCAATTAGTCGCGCTGAAGTTGTGGCACTAATCTGGGCGGGGGAAACAGTCTTTCGTCTTTACGGACAGCGACCACGCGAGGAGGGTGTGCAGTAATGAAGAAGCAGGTTACGTATACTCTCGGATTGCAAATGTGTGATTCATAATATACAATGATTTGTCGAGTCATGAATCTAACAATCATGTCCAGCCCACAGTGGAGGTTCTTGAGAAGCGCGTTGCAGCTCTCGAAGGAGGCTCGGCCGCCGTAGCATGTGCATCAGGTCAATCAGCAGTCTTCCAGGCTATTCTCTGCTTAGCACATGCTGGTGACAATATCATTTCTTCCATCAACCTCTACGGTGGCTCATATAGTCTATTCAACACTATCCTTCCGCGAATGGGAATCACCGTTCAGTGGGTGTCAGGAGATGATCCCGAGAGTTACCGGGGCCTGATCAACGAGCGCACTAAATTGGTATTTGTTGAAACTATCGGCAACCCCCGGATCAGTATCCCAGATCTGAGGGCTATTGCCGATATCGCACACGATGCCGGTGTGCCCTTTGTCGTACGTGAAATGCCCACATCTCCACAACATCATATTCTGACCTACTTGTCCCTACCCAGGTTGACAACACCTTCGGTGCCTGTGGATACTGGTGCCCCGTCATCGAGCATGGCGTCGATATTGTCGTCCACTCCGCAACCAAGTGGCTGGGCGGGCATGGCACAACCGTTGGTGGTGTGATAGTCGACTCCGGCCGTTTCGACTGGGGCAAGTCGGCCAACAGGTTTCCCCATTTAACTAACCCTAGTGGAGGGCCCATGGCATTCTCCTACTGGTCGAAGTTTGGCTCAGTAGCTTTTGCAATGGCTCTTCGGATCGAAGTTGTAATGGAGGTTGGATCTGTCATGAATCCTTTCGCAGCACAGCAGATATTACTTGGCATTGAGACTTTGACCCTAAGATGTGATCGAATCGCATCCAACGCCCTTACCATTGCGCAATTCATGAGCTCACATTCTTTGGTTGATTGGATTGACTACCCAGGTGAGTTTTGATGCTGTGCAGGTAGCAAATGCTATTCTGGACTTGAATCAGTCGCAGAATGACTCGCTGATCTTGCAGGCCTCCCAAACAACAAATACCACAAGTTGGCTGTGAAGTATTTAAAGCGAGGGTTTGGAGGAGTGTTGTCGTTCGGCGTGAAAGGAGGCAAGGTCGGCAGTCGTGCGTTCGTCGATAATGTGCGGATCGTTTCCAACATGACGAAGTATGTCTCAACAATCATATCAAGTCATTGACTGGATCTTTGCTTACAGACACTGCAGTGTGGGAGATTGCAAAACAATGGCGACTCATCCATGGAGTTCAACTCACTCAATCATGAGCGAGGAGGATCGAATGAAGGCTGGCATCACTGAAGTAAATATCTTAAATATTGGCCACTTTGTGTTGGGATACAGTGAACTGATCAATTTTTTAGGATCTCATTCGCCTTTCAGTTGGTACTGAAGATATTGAAGACCTTCTGCAAGATTTGCGGCAAGCACTCGAAGCTGTCGAAGCTTTTGTGAAAGTTGAGGTTAATGGATATCATGATTCAACGACGAATGGAGTCCATTAGTCACTTGCTCAGGGCTATATACACTAAACAGCTTTTTCACAAATTTTCTTCCCATGGATTCAATCCTTTCCCTGTTGACAGTATTTTTCTACGCCGTTGAGACTTGACCGGCTTCATGTATGGACAACACCTTTCGACGACCCACGATAGAATCCTGTGCACTTCGTACAAATCCGTGCGGTGCACCCATATTAAAAATCACGTGGACGTGGATAATAGCCTGAAGAGTTCATGTGAAAAGGCTTGGAGACATTGAATTCGTATGCGAGGGACTATCTCAAAGAAATGATGGAACTCGCATCGGTTTATACTGATTGCATTTCATTGAAAGTCAAATGTACCTTTTTGGGCTGGTAGCTAGTACTAATCCAGGTCTGCCTCACTTCACAAGAACCCGGATACCCTGCGTCGTGTCTTTGGGGGTCGGTACAAAACGATCATAACAAATTTCAACATCCTCTCTTGTGGTCTCATGGAGTTCAATATTCGATCCCATTCGCCTCATGAGAAGTCCAATTCCCATAAAGAGCTCCGCATACGCGAGACTAGATATGGTATGTCAGCCTTGAGTTTGGTAAGAGACCGGGAAAATGAGCTACTTACTTGATACCTATGCACTGGCGGCTTCCTCGCGAGAAAGATAACAAGTATTTATCCAGTCTCTTGTGGCGTTGACCCTGCTCATCCAGCCAGCGTTCGGGACGGAACTCGTACGGGTCAGGAAAAAGGTCGGGATGAGTATGAATCAACGTTGCTGTCATGCCAACTGGAGTTCTGGGGGGTATACAGTACTCAGCGGTCCTTCCAGTCTTTGTTTGACTGCGGAAGTAGAGGGCTTCATCGGGGTCAATTCGTTGAAGGCGTGTGCTCACGCCGTATGAAAGTCGTAGCCCTTCTGAAACCACCGCACTCAAATAGGGCAGATTCTCAAGTCTTTTCAACTCAATGCGTTCGTCGGCATCAGGAATTGCCTCTTGCAACTCGGAGCGCAGGCGTCCAAGAATCTCGGGATTCTCAAGTAAGTAAAAAGTGGTGACTGAGAGAGTCCAAGCTGTGGTTTCCGTTCCTGCACCTATGACAATTTGCCCTTCCTGCCACAGGCGTGCAATACTCTTCTCTTGCTCTGGCAAATCTCCCGTCAACAACTCGTGGAAGATAGTCGCATGACGGGCAACCTTTGGATCGGACCCGACCAATTCATCCTGAACATCCTTGATCTGCTTCCGCACATCCTCCTGGAACTGGAGATATATGCCCATCTCTGGGTTGATCTTGGTGACAAGCCAAGGCGGCATTGATTTCATGAGCGACAAAAGCCAAGGGAAATGCTTCACGACAAGGCCCATATCGGAACCAGCAACAATTGCGCGGTGGAAATTTGGCTCAAAGGTGGGCGAGTCCAGAAAGTTGTAACTCTTATTGAAGGCATATTGTGTGACAATATCGGTCGTCATGCAGCTGAATGCCATGTTCAGAGTGGCGGGTTTTTCCGTTCCAGCGTACGTCTGCAATTGCTGGCAAAGTTTCTCGATCGCCCTGTGTATCACGGGTTCAATTTTTTTGATTGACGACTTGGAGAAGAAGGGGTTCAATGCCCCTCGTCGCAACCGGTGAAGATGATGCGATGGCGTCCCAAAGACGCTCTCTGGGATTCCAAACTGAGCACTGAAATATGGATACTTGTCGCGAATTTTTCCGCCGCCTGCGTATAGTTCATCGATGAAATTTGGATCATTGACATGGATTTCGTTTGGGCTGATTCGTACGATAGGGCCATATTTTTCATGCATACGCTGAATTTCGAAAGTATACAATCCCTTTTTGATCGCATCATAGTAAAACTCGTACCATAAAGTGAGAGCCGCAATTTTGGGGCCAGGGAATCTGGAAAGAGGGTGGAACCAGAGTCTGTAGATGCTAAGAAGCAACAGATAGACACAAAATGACAGCACGATAGGGGGGATGGTTTGCAAGTTCAGGAAAGCCATCCCGGTCGGTTGGGAGATCATCGCAACGCAAATTCCAGGAGTGAAATTCTCGCAAAGTATCCTTTGGGATCTTTGACGAAGGCGCCCGGACGGCCTATACGACCTTTGATGAGTGGAAGCTAATGTTTTTCCGCAGGCTTAACGACTCCTAGGATAAGACAATTGTGGTGGTCGTGCGTCGCTGAGTATGGCAACAAGCCGACGTTACCGTTCTAGGCCAATGCCGAGCTATGATCGCCGCTCTAAGCAAAAGCCAACAAACATACGCAGATCGCGAGGAAGTCGACATCCCGATAAATTCAATTTGGGCGCGAATGACAAATATCGTTGGTGGGGATAGGTGCTGGTCTTTTATCGGTGCGAGATGAGGGGGTTGCGTCCAGAAGTAGTCTTGGCTCGCGGTACATGTTGCATGCGACGGCTCTAAGTGCGATCGTGGCTTTTCACTTACGCCAACAGACCGTAACTCAAAGAATTTTTAGAAATTGTTCTTTCACAAGATCAGCAGGATTATGTCTTGCGCTCAGTTTGGTGATCAACAATTGGTATTCCAATGGGAATGAATCTGAAGCATACTGTCAACTCCTGTATTGTAACCTTGAATTGTAGGAAAAATCACTTTGTATTTGATGAAACGGTTAGGCCAAACATGCTTCATGAGCAACATTTTCAGTCTACGCGGTTATATGGAGTCTCTCATATCTGAGCTTTAGCATTACACATTAGATGCTGCAAATTTGGGCTGCACAATTGTTAGGATTCTTTAGCGTACGTATGAATTTATTGCAGTAACAGAATCAAATTATGCAAACTGCGAGACTAACCCAACAGAACAATTCCCAAGACCAGAGATCAGTACTCCCGAGTCTCTTTCAATCTATTTCACCGAATGATAACGCGGGGTTGTTCTGCTCCATTCCTCGTTCCCGCTCATTTGGTATTCTACTCCCTTGAGATAGGCCTTCAAATCTCTGCTACATCCTGCTGCCATAGCTGCAGCCACTAGTTCAGCATGGACACGCTCCCATTCGCGGCACATCGAGAAAAGAACACGTTTGGCGGCATCATGGGAAAGGGTGGTCTCTTCAGCCGTAACCTGAACTGATGAGCAAAGTGCGGATCCCTCATGATGGCCGGATTGAGCCTGGCGACACTCTTTCTCCCATGAGTAAATATCATTGATCACCGAAATATGCTTCGAGCAATTCTTCTCTACTAGAGTCACAGCTGTCAACTCAGTATCAGCCATTTGCAAGTTCATCGAGAATCTCATAAGAGCTGAGAGTAGTCTTTTGCGAGAATGTTAGTCAAACTGTGCCAAATGTGAACCGAAGCGTACAGAGTCACATACGCTTTCCCGACATCGCCGTCGCGATACTCTAGATAATTACCAAGTCCCTTGATAGACAGACGGACCTTATCGGTTTGGGCTCGCATGAAGGTGAAGACTGGCTCGAGGATCTCATCAGCCAGAACCTTGTCATGAGCTCGCATGCTCTCCCAGAGATCGTAAGTGATCCATTCAACTTGAATGCTGCGATCGGGAAGAACATTCCCTCGGGAAAGGACTATCAGCCTCTCGTTGTAAGCAGAGCCCTCGTCCATGGACATGTCTTCGAGAAGGTCTATCAATTCAATCAGCCCTGGACTAGAGAAGGCGAGGAGCCTTCATACCGTCAACGAGGAAAAGTAATGTCAGGAGGCGACAAGCGAAATGGATGCGGTCATTTAGTGCCAACGGATAATAAAGACAAGTAACTTTCGAAAACCCGGCGGCAATGAACTTCTTCCGAGCACGTTCATCCTCGAAGGCCCAGTGCTGAAGAAAGTAGTCGTTGACTTCCCGAGAGATCTGATCCACCAGCGGGTGTATCTTAGGCTGGAACAGAGAACCTTCCCCCTCCTGCTTTCCGACTTTAGCCACAAGTGCGGCTTTCTCGCTCAACTCGCTGTCGGGACTGTAGGAAAGGACATTTACGGGCGCAAGCCCTAAGGCCTTTACGACAGCAGGCAAAGGCAACCACTGGAGGATGAAGTTGACCGCCATTGTCAATGAAGATTTAGGAAGGTTGGAAAGGAGCGTTTGCTGTGAGCTCTTGCACGAGATTCTTAACTGTAGTGGTAGATTGGAGGTGCCTGCAGGCCGAGAATTATATACAAGTAGAGTCCGATACATTCAACTCGGTAAATATAATAGCACTAGCCCATTTCATCAAGTAGACGATTCAAACTAAGCCTTAGTAATTGGTGAGATGTTGCCTTCGGCGTTAGCAGTGGCGACATTTCCTTAAGGAGAAGCACCCGATAGCAGATCTACCTACTCAACTTGGGCCTATCTATTCCGCATCAATTTCTCGAACGATAAAAGTGCAAGAAGAAGGTGATGGTCTTCATTGCCTAAAAGGGTTAGTATGAATATCTATGTGCCGCTTATGGATGAGGCCGAGATCTCGACTCAAGAGTTCGCGCTCGGGGGTGACAGCTACCACTGGCCTTTCAAAGATCTGCCCAGGTGGCTGGTGAAAACTCTGGCAATGATCCCACTGTCTTTCATATCTTTGCTGAGAGAAAATAGTTTTTTTTTTCACAAGCATCGCGCCTCATCTACTAGCACAGCTATGACTCTCCACGCTCTTTCCCGAGACCTAGTATCGTCCTTTGGTATAGGCCTTGCGTTATTAGTGCGTCACTTTGATGTCTAATCAAAAAGACTACCAGGTATGCTAACAATACTACCTTGCAGTGTGCAACATACTTTGTGTACTATACGGTTTACAACATCTGGCTTCACCCGTTAGCTAAAGTCCCGGGTCCATTGCTCGGCAGGGCGTCCCTCGTGCGTAATTAATCTTCCCAGTGTTATACCGCACTTTTCGGAGTTGCTTGTGAGCCTCAGCTGACAGAATGAGTAATAGTTATGGAGGATATGGTATTCGATGGGAGGTAGATTCCACATTGCAATCAACAATCTTCATCGGCGTCATGGTAAACCTGATATCCAAGGAATGTCTTCCACGGAAAAACTGAAAGTCTACCCTAGGTCCTGTTGTTCGTGTGTCACCGAATGAGTTATCCTTCGCCTCGCTTGAGTCTTGGAAAGCCATTTATGGCGCCACAAATCCGCCGATGATCAAAAGCGAATTCTACGAGATGTATGGGTCTGGGTTCAACAGCCTGTGCATAGGTAGCGAGCGAGACCCCCAAAAGCACGCACAGATGCGCAAAGCACTCCAGCCAGCTTTTACAATTAAAGCGGTTTTGGAGCAAGAGAGCATTGTACAGGCTTCCGTTGATGATTTTTTGGCCACCCTCAGTCAGATTGGGGATACCGTCAGTGGTTTGAACATGACAAAATGGTTCGAAATGCTCGCTTTTGACATTGTGGGTGAAATGGCCTTTGGTGAATCATTCCACTGCATAGAGAATAGTATGTCGAGTTCCCGTGAGAATTTGCCAAACATTCGCACTAAGTCATCAATGCTCAGGGAAACCCCATTTCTGGTCAGACCTTATCGTGGAGCACCTCTTCTTCATCACAGTGCTGGACAATCTACAGCGATTTCCATTATTGAAAGCAATCGGCACGAAGATTCTACCTCGACTTACAACTAGCGTCAGAGATAAACACTCGGGGTTCAGCCGCGAGAAGATAGCAAGGTAGTCTATGTGCCCAATGTTGCCACACGAACCCTGCTGAGCAATCCTTATTCTAGGCGCTTGGAGAATCGATTTTCCCGCAAGGACTTCATGGACTACCTTGTTCATAAGGTGGATTCCGGAGACATGGAAAAGGAAGAGCTCACGGCTCATGCTTCAACGATCATGTGGGAGATTCTCGGATAGGCCTAGACAGGGGGGGCTGAATAACTGACAGATTCACAGTATTGCAGGAGGTGAGACAGTAGCGACGTTTCTCTCGGCGGCTACCTATTATCTACTACAAAACCCCGAAGTGTATCAAAAGGTCAAGGACGAAATTCGCTCACGATATGCTTCAGTGAACCAAGTTGATGCAACTTCTGCCCAGCAGTTGCCTTACCTACGTGCATATATCGCAGAGTCAATGCGAATCTACCCACCAGCGTCCCAAGGATTTCCTCGTCTTTCCAGTGGGACAACAATCAATGGCGTCTACATTCCTCCAGGTGTAAGCTGTTCAATCACTCTTTTCCTTTAATTTTCCTTAGAAAAGCTTTCAGCGTGATGCAAATGTGTGAGCTTCACAGACAGTATTATAGCTAACATTTGAGTACCACAAAAGGTCGAAGTATATACGAGTGCGTGGACCATCACTCATGACGAAAAATACTTCCACGATCCATTCGCTTTCAAGCCCGAACGTTGGCTCGATCCTAAATGTGAGGACGTGAAGGAGGCGAGTCAACCTTTCTCATTGGGCCCCCGAGGATGCATTGGTAAAAAGTAAGTAACGCAGTGGCATTGATTTCAGTCAACCGAAGCAAATACTGGTACTAACTTCGCTAGCTTTGCCTACATGGAGATTTGTCTAATCCTAGCAAAGATGCACTATAAGTTTGATCTGGAGCTCATGGACAAACATCTGGACTGGGAGGCTCAAAGCCGTATCCATATGATGTGGTGGAAACCCAAACTTCCTGTTCGGTTCACTCCTGCCACCGGGAAGATGTAACAGACAGGTGCAGGAGCTTCCAAGTCATGAGGATCTGTCTCATCTATAGACGAAGTAAAAGGACATTATCAGAAAATACTTTTTTGCCAAATTTTGAGAATATTGTGCCTAAGTCCTGGTTCAACGTAAATTTGGCCACGTTCAAAGCAAATAGCAGAGGGTTGTCGAGAAATCCGTCATTTTAATTTTTACGAGCTTCTATTGACTTTTGAAACCTCTGTTATTTGAGAAGCGTTTGGGGTGTATCTGCGCAAGTACTACTTCACTATGCCAGGTGTGAGAGGAAGCCCCTGTTCTCGTTCACCCTAAAATAAGCACATAGTCTAGAAGATCGATTTGTACTACTTCTGTTTTGGGCGAAATCGGATTTGCCATTTTGGATAGGGCCCGAGCCCGAATAAATGCGGTGCACAGGGGATGTCACCGAATGGGAGACCAAATGCAGTATAGGTTACCAGTCATGTGTTCTATGTCCCTCTTCCCTCGGCTCTTACCCTAGGTAGTATTGTAGTCCAAGATTCAAAAGCCCGTTGAGTCCTTGAATCCAACGCACGATGAACTGGCATATTCGAGATGGCAGTCTTCAGAATTCGTTCATCTTCAAATAGTAAGTGTTTTCTACCTTCTCATTCCAAGCACATGAGGCACTTGCTGACTAGATCAGCCTTCGATCTTCGGGTTGAGCGGCCTGAGCTTGTGCACGCTAGATCAGGATACTGGTGTGCACTGGATCTTGCATTCTCAGTGGTTCTTTGCCCAGAAAATGAGCAGGCTCAGAGAGTGAATGGACACGTCGAAACATCAAATGGGAATTTACAGGAGCAAGTCCTCGCCTGCGAACAACTAGGCCCGGAAGCTGTTTTCGACTTCTTTGAGAAATGCATTGAGCTAGCTTCGACAGACGGCCGCAAGGGGGTACTGAGATTCATTCTGCCTCGAGAAGAAGGTTACCTCGTACGGACCGATCTTCTCAATTTTCGACTGATTGACTGTGACCACGTGGTGGACCACATCAGCGATTTTGGTGCACATGAACGCATTTTCACTCCAGTTGCGGCTACTCCAAACTCCATTGGAGGCCTCGTCGAGCTGGTTGTGGGATCGATCGGAGCTCTCTGTGTGCTAGACGGTACCAGCCTTCTTCGCGAGGAGAAGCTACGTCTCTTGGACGCAGAGCTTGAGAAACGAATTTCATTTCCCTGGACATCGAAAATCCAACCCAGACGAAAGACACTTGTCCTTTTTGAAGGTCGACCAGACAGGGAGTATGGTCGACAGATGTACACCGCAGCAGTGGCACTCAATATTGACATTGTTGTGCTTGATCGCCCTGGTCACTGGATTGAAGGGCCGAAATACGCCCACTGGCGAAAGGTATTCATACCCATTGACATTATGCCCGATACCGGGCTTACCGCTCGGATAGTGGATGCTGTTCGGAGCTATGGACAGCCTGTCGATGGTATAGTCTGCTTCGCGGATCCGATGCTAGTATCCGTTGCTGAAGCTGCGAAACAGCTGGGTCTCTCCATGGCATCACCCGAGGCATTTGGCATCTGCACGGACAAGTACAAATCTCGCACCGCAGCTGGAATGCCCGCGCTTCGGGTGTCCTCCGTCGAGGCCGTCGACCGCATCGATATTAACGACAACTTCCGATTTCCTCTCATTGTGAAACCAATACTGGGCTGGAACTCTGAGGGAACATGCAAAGTGGCTGACTTGCAAGAGCTGAAGGCCGCCATGCAGTCATTCAATGCATCGTTGCGTAGCACTTCTGTGGTGATTGAAAACTACTGCGACGGACCAGAAGTCAACGCCAATTTAATCATCGCTGATGGGGACCTCGTGTTCTACGAGGTCAATGATGACTTCCCCAAATCAGGGGACATGGCTTTGGCAGAAAGTCATGGCGCTTCAAATGCTGAGGTCAATTTCCTGGAGAACGTCACAGCTTTTCCATCGGCACTACCCAAGTCTGAACAGGACATGGTCGTGCGCGACCTGCACAAACTTCTCTTGCGTATTGGCTTCACCACTGGCGTATTCCATATGGAATCCCGGATCCAGAACTCGAGCATGGAATACAAGGTAGGACCAAATGGACTTTTGGATCTCTCAACTCGTCAGATCGAGGACTCAACCAACCCGAAGCCCACGAATTTCCTCATTGAAATCAACGCACGGCCTCCGGGTCCGCATGATTCCCTCCCTTGCACCTTAGCATACGGTATTGATTTACCAGCGGCATCGATTCTCTTTGCTGTTGGCGAAACGGAGAGAGCAAGACAGCTGATGTATCCTTTCTCGGGCGAGCCGCAGGTTTGGTATGAAGAATGGCTGTGTGCGGCACCTCACGGGGGGGATTTTCCAATCGGACGATGTCTGCGTCGAGCTGCTGGAGCGATGTCCTGAGCTGAAGGAGTCAATGGCATTCTCGCGATGCCTGTTCAAGAAGGGCGATCGCGTCCCAGACCCACGGAAGGAAGGTTTCACCTTTGTAGCAGTATTCTATCTCAGGTCCAGAAAATCACGCCAGGAAGCGAGAGAGTTGTCCGAAAAGGTACAGAGGGAGGTTCGCTTTGTCATCCAGTGAATGATACCTGGCCCTAAATCTACTAGCGAATCTACTCTCTTGCGCGACTTTCAATTACTATTTACACTCTTCAAATGTTTACTAGAGAGTAGCACCTTCCCCCAAGATGTAGAAAGAACGGCCTCTATGGCCCGTGTTCAATACGGTCCATCGGCTTTCCGAGGCTGCTTCAAGGTCCTCTATCTCTTTTGACGATTCATGAAACGGAAGCCTAATGTCTCGATCCAGATCAGAAAGAGTGTGCCCGGGCATATTTTCCATAACTTTGATTATCGGAAAACGGGTATGTTTGACGAGCGGAATAAGAACGGAGTATCAGGTGCATGGCTTTCTACATTCCTATACACGCCATATTGCCTTTTGCTGCGCTTGGTGATAAGACTTACGAAAACTTTTAAGACGAAAACGATGGCGTATCCGATGGCCAGCGCAGTCATCGAAGAAACAATACATCTGGATGAAGATTACATGCATTCTATTATGAGATAGAGTTAATACAATTAAGAAAAAAGGTAGGTAGTACACGGGTCTGCATCAGCAGCCCTTTCAAAATTAGAAGGTGAGTGAGTCCAAAGAATGACTAAGATGAACAGCCAGCCTCTCCCTCAAGGACCAGACCAAACCTGCATCGATGCAGTTTCAACACATCACAAGAAATCTACCATCCAAAAATCTCTCCAACACTCACAGTACTCCACCGAACACCGGCAACAGCAAAGACCATCATAACAACATCAACAACACCCAGCACGGTCGCTCCCATCATGAACCTTGGACTGAAGATCCGGTATAACATAAGATGGCGCCGCAGGTGACCCGCCCACATCGTCGTAGCAAGATTGATAGTCGCCAAGTATAGAATATGCGTGGCAACCGCCTGGACGACATCTGAAAGCAACTTTGTCGCCGGGTTGGCGGGCTTAGCACCTTGCGCCTGGCTGTCGTGAGTTTGCAAGGGCCGTTTCCAGAGGACTGTGAGGGGGACGGCGAGGGCGACTAGGATTTGCGCGCCGAAGGTGTTGAGGATGACGAGGAGGGGAGACCAGGGGTATTTGATGGTGGAGAGGGGGATGAAGGCGGTTTCCCATTGGATACTACTCAAGACGGCCTGGTGGCCAGTTTTGAAGAAGTAAAATGAGCCGAGGAGGCCGAGGACGACGGGGCCGATGGGTGAGTTGGAGAGGGTGAGGGCGTTGGTGTCCAGGATTTCGAGAAGGGAGAGGATCTGCCAAAGGAGAAGGGCGATTGCGCCCTGCCCCATCGGTTTTTGCATGAGGATGATGGCGAGGGCAAAGTTGAGGACGAGGAAGAAGAAGCGTGTGCCGTGGAGGTTGCCAAAGCCGAGGATGGTGACTGTTTTACGGGGTTTTTGTTCGGGTTGGCCGAAGATGAGAGGTGCAGGAGGTGCGGATGGGTCTTCTTGGGGTTTGGTGACTTGGGGCGCGCTGACGCTGATACTGACACAGGGCTTCGAGTAGAAGTAGGCCGCTGTGCCGGCGCCGAAGGCGAGGGCGAGGACTAACTGGGCGAGGAAGGTGCGCACAGATTTAAGGAGTTCTTTGCGGATGGGCAGCCATTCGCCGTCATCGGCGCCTTCAAGCATCCAAAAGATGGAGGTGATGAGGAGCCCTAGGCGGAAGGCGAAGCCAATCCACAAGGTTGCGGCACCTTCGTAGGATTTCGAGCCGACATAAAAGGAGCGCACGACGCTGGGGAGGAAAAGAGTGACGAGGAATGGAATCGCCAGTTGCCAGGGGGCGGAGATTGAGGAGGTGGATGAGGCGTAGTATGTGGAGCGGCAGAAAGGCATTTGCTCCTCGCGGCAGAGACGAGAGAACGACGCCACGCGGCCCAGAATGACAAAGAGGACTGAATGGTACACGCCCAGAACCCGGTCTGTGGTTTGTTTCTGACGCATTGAAGAGACACCAGCGCAGACACCAAAAGTGGTAAGGAAGAAAAGCAGGATATTGTCTTCCCAGATGGTGTAGGAATTGGATGCGAAGCCGACGGACTGAGAGACTGTGAAGAAGACCGCAAGCCCACCCCAAATGCCTGTAGGAAAGGGAACGGTCAAATTGGCCGACTTTTTTATCATGGCGAAGAAGCCACCAACCATACTTCCAGCCGCGGCTAGCAGCACAGAGAGGTCGATAGCCGTCATTTCAGTGATACCAGTCAAAGCTAAGGCAGCACCAGCCAGGGCACCAATTCCGGCACCAACGGCAGCGAGAGAGAGAAGGTCGGGCGTAAGCTCCGTGCGGTCTGAGTTCATGCCACGGGCATAAAACACCAGCAACACAATACCGGAGATCAAGAGCGCCACACCCTCAATCATACTCGGCACATCGAAGCGCGCCCAAAGACCACGGCAAATATCCAATGTGTGCCGCTGATACTTGCGATAGAGGTCGTGACTAGCTCTCGCAGCGGCCGACTTCGATGAGAAACCCTTCGAAGCAGCTTTGAACCCTTGCTCCGCAGCCTCCCAAAGCTTGGACGACTCCTCGTCATCGCCAGCACCGCGCACCTGCGCATACTGATGCTGATATCTTTTGATCTGAGCCGAGGTGAGACGGTTCACAGCTACCAAATTAGCCCAGTCATTTCCTTTAGCCCCGGCAAATGCTTCTTCAATGGGAGAACCCAGATTATTGAACGGAATAGGCATTCCCAAAAGGAGTGACAGCGTCGGGACAAGATCGATCTGGGGAACGGGGCGTTCACGCGCATGCTTAGGCGGGAGCACTGTGTCCTTGGTGGTTCGGCCGAAAATACTGCGCTTGGAGTACATCCACAAGGCGGCTTCGACTTCGTCATCTGATTCGCCGCCGTGGTCTCCCTTGACGTCCATCCCGTGGTCACCCATTACGACAAGCAGGGTATCATCATCAAGAGCGGCGATGATGTCGCGGATGACCTGGTCCATTTGCTGCAGCTTGGCAGCCATGGCAGCGTGGTTAGGGCCATATCGGTGTCCAGCGTGGTCCACGCCGAGATAGTGGCCGAAGATGACATCCCACTTGGAGCGGTTCTCGGGCTTCAGAAGAGGGAAAAGATACTCGTTGACGCCGTTATCGACTGTGTGCAAGTCCCAGACGTTGAAGGAGTCGAATGGGTGGGTCAGGTTCTCATGGAAGTATCCTGGAAACAGGGCCTGCCATGTATCGTCACCGAGCTGGACGAGTGTTTTTCCGGCATGGTGAAGCTGCGCAACGAGATTATCCTCGTCGATAGCGGTACCGGCGAAGTTCGATCCTGCATCGATGAATGTGGGCAGAGTTCCAGTAGTCAATCCCTTCAGGCGCTGCAGAGTAGTTGTCGGTGGGTCGGCGATGAAGGGGAGCAGGAAGGCGTTGGCGGGGTTCTTGACGGCGGTTTCGTAGAGGACTGGAATATTATCGTGGAAGAGGGTTGCCTCCTCGCTCTCTGCCCATGGGACAAACGGCACAGTAAAATCGTAGCGAAGAGCGTCGATGATAATGACAACGGCCTTGTCGAAGGATTTCTCATGCCAGCAACCTTTGCCTTTGGACTGTGGAAGAACTGCGTCATCAAATGGGAGAACATCGCAGGATGACTTGTCTTCCAAGACCATGCGCGTGAGAAGGAAACCCTTGGTGAAGAAGTAAATGCCAGCAGCGTGTAGGAACCTGCAAAATTGGGATTCAAGTCAGTTTACGTCCTCCTATCCGGGATCAATTCCCTAGCTACAAGCTATAAGAAGAACCCCTCCCATGCCCTTCAACTCACAGTATCCAAGTCAGCACCCCCAATACACCAAGATGTCTGGTCTTGAACTGCCCCTCGAGCTCCAAAGCCTTTGCATCCTGAAAACCAGGCGCCTTGGTCTTCCCAGCCTGCTCCGAGCTCCGCGCCCGCGAGCCAGCGGGGGGCAGAATACCGCCAGATCCAATCGACGCCATTTCCAAGAGTTGTGCTATATACAGAGTAGTATCGCGTGTGGCGTTCGATAGTTGCGGAGGCCACGAAGGGACGGCTAGTGCGTATGGAGCGGGCCACGAACAGACGCCGAAAGTCTTGCAAGGGCAGGGAAGCCGAGTTCAGGCGTGGATTGAGCCAACTGACCCGCCTAGAGGGCGCGTAGTAAAAAGGAGAGAATGAGAGAGCACGGGGAATCTGGTGCGGATTATATGGTCGCCCCTTTCTGTGCTCCTCTAGCGGCTTCCCTTAGGTGGAGAGTTCAGAAGTGGTACATGGCTTCGAGAGAGGCCGGGTATCAGGAAAGGAGTGAATGGGAGAGCTGAATGTAATGAGAGAGCGTTGGCTAAATTTCGACGTTGCGGAACTCGGCGGGTTGGAGAGAGCTCTGGATGCTCTTCTGATTGGCTCCGGGGGGGGGGCGCCCGGGTGCTGCACACGTCTTCACTTTTACATGAGGATTCAAGTGGTCCTAGAGGCTCTGTTTAGCTACATTGGACACTTACAAAGAGCGTTGTGTGATTAGGGCTTAAAGGAGCTTAAAAATACCTCCATCATTTCAAGAGAGCAAACAATCCAAGCCATATGCATCCCTCTAGGTACCTTATACAACAAGAATTTACACATCGATGCATAAATAAAGTAGGAAACATTCAAAAAAATCAAAAGATAGGAGGACTAAATACATTATCCAGCTGCCGGGTGTACCAAACATGGAAAGGCACATGAGAAGGTAGAAAATAGAAAAGGGCAGCGTTGAAAGTAAACAAAAAGAAAGACGCTGCCCGTCAAGAGGTTTGGAGAATAGAAACAACAGGGGTGAAGAGAAAAGTGTCTCACGTCCTTCGAGCCCTAGGAACGTGGCAGGGTCGAAAGCAACATGATACCGTAAAAGAATAAACGCCATAAGTAACAGTCAAACAGTAAATTGGCAGGCCCTCGCTATACACAGTCCAGCCTCGGCAGAAGTCCAGGGCCAGGTGAGCCCTGAATCTCCTTGCACAGGCGAAGCCAGACGTCGAAAGGCACAATCAGCATATGTGCAAGCCGCGCAGGCAGGGTCGGGAAGTAAGAGGTATGTGGAAAAAGAGGTTCAAGATGTTCGCCAAGGCGCTCGTCATGCTTTTGGGTCGTTGAAGAAGAGGAGAAGAAAATGCGTAGAGTCGGGGCAGACACATGTCAACGGCAGGACATTTGGTCGCAACGTCTCTCGGATTCGCATTAGGAGAAGTGGTTGACTTCTCCCTTCTCCTTCAAGCCACCCATACGCTCGATGTCGAGCGAGTGAAAGCGACCGGTGTCGGTGGTTTGGTAAGGTGGGAGGTCTTCGTGGCAAGGCTCGAGGCCAACACTACCGGTCTCGCTGATGCGCACAACGACCATACGACCGGATCTGCGCTTACCAGATGCATCCTCCTCCTCGGGGAAGGTGATACGAATCTCGGGAACAGGGCTGGAGGGCGGGCTGTCGGAGTTCTCCATCAAGGAGCGTTTTTCATCGTAGACGAGAATGGAGTTGGTCTTTCCGGCGTGGATAGTTAGACGGCGCCCGGAGGTGGGGACTTGACCGTTGTGAACGGGGAGCAGGGTGTCCTTCTGGGCCTGGCGCTTGCGCTTGAGAAGGAGCAGACCGCCGACGAGGCCGAGGGCAAGCAGAATGAGAACCAACAGGGTAATCAACAGGTCGACCATGGGAGTAGAAAGGCCATCTTGGGATTTGGTGTCATCGCGGGCAACGAGCTTCGAGACGTAGTTAATCATTTTGCCGATCGTGAAGGGTTTGGTCGATGTCGGATTTGTCGGATTTGTTCTCGGTCAGGTCTCAGGGGAGACAGCGATCGACGAAGTTAAATTCCAAAGAGTGTCACGGATATCATCCGGGGAAGTCGAGTAAACACGGTCGAAACGTGGAATGACAGGTCGAATTCAAGGTCGCGGACGTCAAGTTCGGAGAGTAGGGTCGAATGAAGGATCAAAGTCGAGAAAGAATGGATCGCAGCGCAGCTGAAAGAGTGAAGCCGACACCTGCTGGGAAAGAGGGGAAAGAATGGACGTGTGGAAGTTTGAAGGAGGAGGGTTAGAGAATGAAGGGAAAACAGGGGAAGAAGGGGAAAAAGAGGGTAGCGTCGACCACGGGGGTCCGGGACAGTCCAGAACGACTGTTCGTTGCCCTCTTTGTTTATTTTTGGCCCCTCTAGTCCCTTCAAGGGTTAGCTTCACGGGCCGTCTACCAACGGGCGGTGTTTGTGCCTATGGATGTAACCCTCAAGCCAATAAGCAGCGCATGGTGCCTGGCATCGGCCCCCGCCCCAGTCACGCTGTTTACGCGCCCTGACTCGCCCGAGGCGTCGGTAGAGACTCCACCGTTCTATACCGGTTTCTTGCTGGCCCCCCTGATCCCGATTGGGGAATCCGTGGCATGCGCTTTTTCGCTAAGGTCCATCATGGTATGCTCACATACCATACCATGCCCAGTCTCCCGACTATACTCCCGCTTGGCCACCGGGTCGCTATAGTACCGAGTCTCATCAGTTGAATAAAGTCAGATCAAGCTCTGTGGGTCACACAATATCTGCGACGTGGATGATGTAATTGGAGTCTGTGTCAAAGGAGTCTAATTTAACCTGCGCCGACACTCGTGATGGAGTAAGATTGGATGTTTCTCATGCATAAACTTGCAGGAAGTATAGCAACCCCTTTGGGGAAGTAAATAAACATTGCACCCGAAATACCTCGGGCGGCCCCAGGTTACTCTTAGACCGAATCTCTGCTCACTGTCCATCACAACTCGGTATTTCGTGAGAAGACAATTGGAATCCCATCCAGCATAGTCTGTAGGTAGCTGAGACGTCCAGTCTCTGGTGTGCTCGAGGACGTTATTACCAGGAGCACATCATTGCTGCCTACAGTCATTCTCATTCATCGCGAATCGCTTCATTCACCCAACCTTATCTGAACCCGATTTCGTAACCCATATGAATTTATGGCATATAAGTGGTATTCACATCGGATATTGATTATACCACAGACACATAGACACGTGGAAAGAACTGCGCGGCTGGAGGGTAAGACAGAAGATGTGCAGTAGACGTCCGCGAGGATATATATCGTGATATCAACGCGGGTAACAGTAGACACTTTGTGCGACACCGAGTATATTTATTTTTAGGACCAACGGCTGTTTCTTTGAAAAGGTTCACCCCGAAAGCATGGCCCTGACCATAATTCTCGAATCAAGTGCAATAAACACGAGTGAGTTGAAGACCGTCTCGGGTACCCACAGCAGGGAGCTTGTCCGAATGAGAGCAAAATTCCCTATTTGGGCATACTCTTTAACTCAGAAGCAATGCTATTCGGTAATAAACGCAGTGTAATGAGAAATGAATGAGCGTCTGAGGTTGCTTTCACGTAACATATTTATTGGGACCTAACAGCGGAGTGGGGAGCTGGAAGGTACTTCCAAGCTATATACACCGTCACCAAGAATTGAGCAGCTACTCTTCACTGCAATACTAGCAAATTGGGAACACCTTTCATCTGGACAACTGAGGCTCCCTGAATGATCCGAAACTGAGTTCCTGTATCAAGTTTGGAAAAACTGCATCGACGCGTGCAACAGAGCACACCATCGCCGCACCTTTATGCTGCTTTAGTTCGAGACCTACGAACATATCGGTCTCACCCACCTGGACGCTCCACGAGTCTACCACACGACAGCTACGATGAAACGAACAACACAGTCTCACCAATGATAGCTCATGATCGTGACATGTTGCGAGAATCCTAGCCGCCAGATCGGCCTCGCCAAGACTCTCCAGCCGAGATAGCAAACATGACCAAGCACGTCCCTACCGAGTTAAAAACACCCAGGAGACCCTAGTCCCGAAGATCGCAATCAACAAGGCCTCCATCTCTCTAACACCTATCCCCACAACTCAGAGTTGGTACATCATCTCCCCAGTGGACGGGAATACCTCCGGGCGTGAAGAAGCCCCCCCGTCATTTCCAGATTCCGGCAAACCGATCAGAACAAAGGTCTAACTCACTGTACAACCAGTTCGCAGCCACACTTCAAAAAGGAGGCCTGGCTCCACCAGGCGGGCTCCAAGGCCGACGGCAATCGGATGCAAGGCGAAGTCCCTCCGATCCGGGGAAAGAAAGGAGATCGAAGATTTTTCTGCAAGTGATGGCTTGACACCTAGCTGTACGACTCTTGTGCAAGGATCCGCACCCACGGATCCTTGCTCGCATCACCCTGTATGAACTTTCGCCTCGATGTCTCGGCCTCTTTTCAATCTCTCCGGGCGAAACTTGGGAGAGGATGTTCCTCGTGTGGGAAGTGGACGGACAACAGTGCCTTAGTTTTTCCATTCTTGATTATGGGGGGGGGTTTTTTTTCCGATTTTCTTTCTTCCATCTCTGGTTCACCTTAGGAAGTGGAATAGACTACAGAGCCAGTCGCGGTCTTCACTCCGAAAGATCCCAGCCCTAGAATCCAAGGAACAGTGTGACGAGAAGCGAAGCAAGGGGTTGAGTTGAACATCTACGAGGTGATCCCCAAAACGCAGTATTGACGGCCGAGCACACTATTGTGAGACTCGCAGCGGACTTGAGGATGAGGCTATTCTTTTTTCATTCAAATCTGGCTCAAGGGGGATAGAGTGGAAGAAACCTGGATCCTGGAGGCTTGATCGCCTGTCTGTACCCATTTAGTTCTCAACCGGAGGACAAGAGGCCTGGAATGGCGAATCCACAGTTGGAAAGGTGGCGGGCCCCGGAGCTTCAAGGTGGGCAAGAATGCCCCGTTCCGTGAGTGTAAGCTGGGCCCTGGTTGTCTGGTGTGGTGTTCTGGTTCTGGTTCTAGCTCTAGCTCTGGCTATGGCTCTTTGTTTACGGGAACAAGCTTTAATTTGTACCTTGCTCGGAGTCGGAACTAGGGTCGGATGTGGGTCTTGGGGCTTCGATGGCTCCGCTGGGGGCCACTTGATAATTTTTCTTTTAGAGCAGTCACTTTTTGCCCTTTCGGTTTGTTTCTGACCCAGAACTGCAGTAATCCTCTGCCAAGTTTTTCCCATTTCCTTTTTCAACTTTTTTTTTCCACCCCCCCCACTCAATTTTGCAGGTTTACCTGCAGATCTGTCAGGCACGGGGAGGGCGAGCCTGAGTCTGAGCCCGAGCCCGAGTTAGCGGTATGCTCTGACCCTAGGGGATAGATGAACGTAGCTCCTGGTATGTTCCCTAGTTTCCTCTCAATTCACTTGATAGGAACTTTTCGCCGAAGCGTACAGATAGATGATTTCAGACTGTCGAGTCCAACGTCTTGAATGAGAAGGGCTGCCCAAGGAAACCGAGACGGTTGGCTTTGATGCAGACCGTGGATAACATGGCGGTGAACGTGTTGGTGCACCGCCGGTGCTTGTTAGGATTGTAGTGTATGAGGGAGTTGATGAATTGGGAACTCTCCCATTGCTGTCTTATAACACTAAAGTTATTAAGTTTCATGAATGGGGAGGAGCTACCCAGATACGGAGCCTAAAAAGAAGACAGATCGATGATCCGTGACAGTACCGTACATTGGGTATGGGCAGGCCAAACACCAGTCTGGGCTCGGCGGTACATCTATTCTAGGATCAATCACCATAGATTCACAAGTACCTACTGGGATCGACCCTGCTCGAGGCGTCATCGTGGTATGCTAAATACAGAAATTTGTAACAAGCGGCTGATCTCCTCAACTCTGGCAATCGTTTTTCTGCGCACCTTATCTATCATTTTCTGGACTTCACCTTTCTTTTGGCTCAATTTTTTTTTTCGGCCCTTTATTACCATTCTATTTTCTCCGTTTCGTGGGAGATCCCTCCCCCACTCCTCTCTTCTAATCCTTCGTTATTCTTCTTCACCTCCACTTCAACCCTACGCCACCCAAAAAAAAAAAGATTCCAGGACTTGGTTGTCATGCTGGCGCCTGTGTGACAGCTGGACTACATTAATGCCGTGCTTTGTCTCTCTTCCACATTCCCCTACGACCCACTGAAACTGCGCAACGAATCCCGCATTCCAACTATTTTTTCCCGCGATCTCATCCCCTCCGTCCTTCAACCACCCTCCACCCCCCCCCTTGCGCGCAATTCCAGGGTCCCAAACGCTCTTCCATTCTCGGGGATCGCCTCTCCACGCACATGAGGACGATCGGCAAGCTGGGAGATTCCTGGAGCATGCACGGAGCACAGTAACGTCGACCATTTACTGCGCTCCCGGCTACACACTGCAACTGTACCGACAAACGAAGGGACATTTTCAGTCCCTCCAATTCTTTGTCGCCTTGCATCGCCTTCCCTGAACTCATAATCCGCATTTCTCAATCTTCAACCTCCCCATCTACTATCCCTCCTCCCCCTTCACTCTCCCTCATATTCTGTACATGTCCTGGGTTCGTGGCTTCTGAGGAGAAACGAATCACTCAATTTCTGTGGGCTCTGTGATCCCTTGTCCCCTCTTTTGGTGAGTGTACTCTTCCTCTCCTTCTGGCCCTTCGATGGGGTGGTACGACCGTGGGCACACGACCCTGACTAGTCTGCTAATTAGGATCTCTTTTCGGACAGTCTTATATTCCTTCGTGTACGCCGTTCCTCGCGCCTGGTGCTCGCTGCAAATACTAGCCGGAAATACGCTCGGCTTTGTGTGATTGAAGTGTCGTTAATTCTCGACCTTACTGCAAATAACCGCCCACCGTTCGAGTACATATCTGAACTTCCTCGCCCCGACCGCTTGTCCTGGAATGACTTCCACCATGGCCGCCAATGCAAACAACGTACACAACGTAAGTGGTCGTTATGATCTGCTCGCAGGTCCGATATTGACACAATTTCAGGTACGATCCAACCGAGCCAATATGGGTTCATCTGGCATGAACGGTGACCGCTCTCGCGGTTCGAACAACGGTGTTGGCAAAGGATTCGGCAAATCGAGCTGGAATAGTAACATCTGGGGTGACTCCAACCTGGGAGGTGGTTTCGATGGTATGTGCTTGCAAGGGCGGATCGTGGACTCGAGCTTACATGGTCCAGAACAACACATGAACGATACTGCGTTTGAAGGAAAGTCGGGTTCAGGGTCGCTGCTTTCTTCCTCTGAATCCGATGGCTGGGCTGGACGTCCCAACCTTCCCTGGAGTACTGTCAACACAACCGCTTTGCCCATGGGCCAGAACCGCAGCATGGCGACCTCTCCAAATCAGACCCGTGCCAATGATCGAAGTGCTCCGGCTATGAACGATGCGGCTGATTCCTCCTACTTCGCTCTGCCTCGCACGACTGGAATCGGCACCTCTGCTGGCACCGCTAGCCACCGTCCTTACTTCAACGGATCCGAGGGTGCTTCTCCGTCCGGAGAAGGTATGTCCTTCGGTGGTTTTCCTGCCCTCCGCAACGGTGACGGTCGACGACAGGTGAGCTCTGCTGGTTTGGGAACCAGCCCTGTGGGGAAAGCCTTTCCTGTCCAGTCTGGGTTCAACGGATCTCTCGATAGTTCGCGACAGGAAGATATGGCCGCGATGGGCATCTCATCCCTGGCCTCTGGCATTCCTGACGGCATGTCTCCTCCGCAGACTCGCAACACCCTTTCTCACATGTCTCACAACTCGGCTTCCTATGCTCAACGACCCGTCCACTCTGCCCATCCCTCTTATTACTCGGACAACCATAGCATGGACGGCCGTTATGGCAATAACTCAATTGATCTCAGTGCGGGCCTCAACAAGATGCAACTCGACAACGGATTCTCAGCTCAAGTTGCTCAGCGCCCGCCATATGTCCCTCACGCATCATTTGATAGTTCTCTCCCGCGCGGCAAGTTCCAGAACAATGAAGATACCAGCTACCAGGCCCTTGCTGGATATGGAGCTGAAGGTGCGCAAGATATGCACCTGGCCTACCAGCCTCGTTCGCGTGGCGGTGATACTGGTTCTATCTCTCCTTCCGAGTACGCTCGCATGGAAAGCCCTCTCTATGCCGGAGCTGATGCTCAGTACCGCAACTCCGGTGGCCGCATGTCTGAGAACCAGGCTGCGGCTTTCGAGCGCAGACTGCGAAACTTCCAGGAACAAGACTTCGTCCAGCCCCAGCGCATGCAGATGCCCCAATCATACGACTACCAGGGTTACCAGCAAGCCCGTATGAGTGCGCTCCAAGGTTTCTACCCCATGGCACTCTCGGGCGGACTAGGCGCGGCTGCTCTCGTCGGTCGACCTCACCGCGAGCATGACCCCACGCAGGTTGTCCGCAGCCCCCTACTGGAAGAGTTCCGTGCCAACAGCAAAGGCAACAAGCGCTACGAGCTCAAGGACATCTACAACCATGTCGTTGAGTTCTCTGGTGATCAGCATGGATCCCGCTTTATCCAGCAAAAGCTCGAGACTGCTAACAGTGATGAGAAGGAGCAAGTTTTCCGAGAGATTCAGCCCAACTGCTTGCAGCTTATGACCGACGTCTTCGGCAACTACGTTGTGCAAAAGCTCTTTGAACACGGCAACCAGACCCAGAAAAAGATACTCGCAAACCAGATGCGCGGCCACGTCCTCGCTCTTTCCACCCAGATGTATGGATGCCGTGTGGTTCAAAAGGCCCTCGAGCATATCCTCACGGATCAGCAGGCCGCCATGGTTAAGGAACTGGAGAATCATGTGCTTAAGTGTGTGCGTGATCAGAATGGCAATCACGTCATTCAGAAGGCCATCGAGCGTGTCCCCTCACAATATGTCCAATTTATCATCAACGCTTTCCGAGGCCAAGTCAACCGCCTCGCTGCTCACCCCTACGGCTGCCGCGTCATTCAGCGCATGCTTGAGCACTGCGAGGAAGTCGACCGTGAATCCATCCTGGGCGAACTCCATGCTTGCACCGCCAACCTAATCCCCGATCAGTTTGGTAACTACGTGATCCAGCACGTCATCGAGAATGGCGATGCGAAGGACCGTGACCGCATGATCGTGATCGTCAACTCGCAGCTCCTTGCTTACTCTAAGCACAAGTTTGCCAGCAACGTGGTCGAAAAGAGCATTGAGTTTGGCGATGAGGGCCAGCGCAATCACATCATTTCTACTCTCACTTCCTCCAACGAGCGAGGCGAGAGTCCTCTGCTCGGCCTCATGCGTGACCAGTATGGAAACTATGTCATCCGTAAGTGCCTTCGCATTCTTTCGGTGTCAACTCATACTAATACCCATGCAGAAAAGGTTCTTGGTCAATTGAAGGGCGCCGAGCGCGAGGCCCTCATCGAGCAGATCAAGCCTCTCCTGAGTCAGCTGAAGAAGTTCAGCTATGGAAAGCAGATTGTGGCAATTGAGAAACTCATTTTCGACCCCAACTCTCCCACCACTGGTCCTCTGCAGCATGTCACCTCCACCACTCCCCCGACCTCCCACAAATCCTCCCCTCAACCCTCGAAGCGCACCATCCCCACCATGGAGCCGCCTCGGGCCTTTGTCGGCACGGCACCGCCCACTCCTCCCCCAACAGACAACCAGAGTACTGTTGACGGATCTTTGGAGCCTAAGGGCCTTGCCAAGAGCATTGTGACCTCGGTTTCCAGTCCCGAGACCGCCAACACCGTCCCGGTCGATGTCACCAGTGCTCACTAATTCGTTGCACACTACTTACTTGCTTGCCCACATAATCCGTTCTAATGCTGATTTCCACCGGACAATTCCGTTTTATCTAATACGGGCGTATACATACAGGGGGACACGGGGGCTCCGGTGGGATATATGAAGTTACTACGTCGTCTCTCTCCCAATTTTTCATCCATGGCTCGGCGCAAGAAATGAGGGGGTGAACTTGAAATCATTTTTTTTTTTCTTTTATTTCTCCTGCTCATGTGTTTGATCTCGGACCTGTTCTTTTTCTTTTCTGATTGTTCATTTTATTCTACGATGGTGTGTTCTTATCTATGTCGTCACCCTACACACCTCACCATTGTCAATCCTGTTGCTACTGGTCCGAGGAATATCTACTTATGGATACGGCGTCTTGCGTGTGCTTTTCTTCCTTTTTCTTATTCTACTGGAGCTGGTACTGGTGCTGCCAACGGGAAGGGTATATCGATATCGGCATACTTGCTCACGATCTGAGGCATACGACATGGGAGGTTCGGATATGGAAATACGGGAGAGAATACTTTATCTTGCATCGCACGGCCCGTTGGTTGTTGATCTTAATTTGTCTTTATTTCTGTCCATTTCTAAAGAGAAAAGATGCGCATATCAGTGCTATGTTTTTCTTCACTTGCTCAGAGCTATACGATTTGCAATGCAATGTGTTGCTTGTGTCTGGCCAGATCCGGGTCGATCTTTCACCCAAGACTGTATTCATGATTTGATAACTTGAAAGCCAAATGATTGATACTCGTATTATTGCTCTGGATGGTACTGTAGGCCAGCACTGGAATTGATAAATGACTTTCTGGCTTTGGGCTTTTCATAAACATCACGTGATTTATAAGACTGATGCAATGCGGCCCCCAACTTCGTCCAACTCCGATCTCTAAAAACACATTGTCGGCTCCCCAAAAATACTCCAAAGGGTCTTGCGCTTCCAAAGCTCTCGTGCTCCGGCATCCGCTCTAACCACCACCTGCTCCCTTTTCCAGACAAAGAGAACACGAATCTCAAGATTCCGACCACGATCACAACCACATCATGTCCTCGAACGTAGGCCTCACCACCCCGCGCGGCAGCGGCACATCAGGCTACGTGCAACGCAACAGCGCATTCATCAAACCCCGAGCCGCAGGCTACGGTGCACCCTACCCGTCACCCTCATCCGGCGGCTTCAAGCAGCGTCTTCCAGACAAACAAATCCTCGAACATGACCGTCTGCGCGCGATCGAAGTCCAAGTAATGGAAGAGCGGGAGCGACTGGAAGAAGAGAATGAGCGCATCGAGGAGGAAATGTCCAAGAAGAAGAAGAAGACTGATAAAGAGGAGGGGGAGCAGGACGAGGAGAGGGTTTTGACAGAGGAGGAGATTGATGCGCGGTGTGAGGTTTTACGGCAGAGGTTGTTGAAGGAAGGCGAGAGTGGGAATGGAAATGGGCAAGTGAAGGGGAAGGCGTTGAAGAGGTATCAGGTTCATGAGCTTGCGGAGGCGAAGATTGAAGAGAGTGAGAGGTTGAGGAGGGCTTTGGGGCTTAAGGAGGATAGGGATACCGGGGAGATCAGTAGTAAGAAGTGGGAGAGGAGACGGGATTAGGTATTTTCTTGTCCTTTTTTCAAATTCTCTTTGGTTTTTCTTGTCTCCTTGAGTTGAGATGGGTTTCTTTCAGGAGAGATAGGGTGTTGGATGGCGTTTTCGAATGGGGTTTCTCCTTTGGCTCTGGGTGTCTGGTTACTACATTCCGAAGGATTCAAGAGATGATCATAATCATTACATCATGGAAAAATGGTCAGATATTTTCTACCTGTCGGTCTCTCAAGGTATACCTTGCCCCAAAAAAAAGAACTTGGACTTGAACTTGAAATGAAGGATATCATAATCTGATCTATATTCAAAGAACTCACGCAATGAACTTCTCAATGACCCATCCTTCTCTGGGATCCTTCTTTTGCACTACCTTCTTCGCAGGCAAAGGCCATCCAGTTCCACCAGCATCTCCTACAAGACTGGGGATAACCCAACAAGACCTCCGCTGCGGGATACCTTCCAGCACCTCCGTCTTGCCAATCGGCTTGCCATACTCGATAAGCGGCGTGCCATGCGCAATTGCAGCAAGTTGCAACCCACTAGGCGTGACAAGCGGGAACATTCTGATCTTGGGCGTTTGGCTCGCGACTACTGATGCAGATTGTTGGAGGTGCGAATAGATGATATACTGCGGCATCTCCTTCGGTGAGAGCTTGGAAAGGATGGAGGTCGGGTGCACATAGACTGCGCGCTCGGAGAGTTCTTGGGTGTTACCCTCACGCGAGCGGAAGAGCGTGAAGTAGGGGACGTCAATTGCGCGACGAGGAGCACGTTCTTGTTCCGGTGGGATTGGGGCCAGGTCAGCGCGGATAGCGACGTTGTCGATGAAGCCGGCCGTGACAATTTGTTTGAGAGCTTTGACTTGTTTGGGAGTTGGTTCCGGCAATTTGGCTTCGTAAGGAGCAAGAAGACCTGGATTATTGGAGCGGACGATGTCGGTAAGTTGACGGCGGAGCTGGGATGCTTCTTTGAAGGCCTTGGCGCGGAGGAACATTTGTTCGCTGAAGGCATCGCCATCTGGGGCATAGGCATAGGCGCAGATTGCGGATAGGTATTTGAGGGCGTCAGAGTTGTCGTCATGCTTGCTGAGAAGGCGGTGCACGCGAGCGTAGTCTTTGGCGCGTTGCTCGCGCTCTGTATCCTCTAGTCTATCCGCGTTGGTGTAGACTGCCCTTTCGTCGTCGCTAGAGTCAGAGTCGTCGTTCTTATTTTCCGAAGCCTTAGGCCGCGGCGGGTTAAATTCCAGCTGGTTGACGAAGAGATCACCCACAGCTAAGGCTGCTACAAGGGCAATGACATAAGGCATACAGCCGTGCTGGTGGCCGATGTAGAGCATCTTGCCGAAACGGGGCGAGAGAGGGTAGGTGGAGAGACGGCGACCGATCTGGGTGACTTGACCTTCGCTGGAGAGAGCTCCCAGGTTCTTCAGGAGCTTCTCAGCTTTGGCAAGACCATGACGGCTGGGAGGTGTTGGGAAGGGGAAGTTGATGACGTTGTGCAGACCCATGCTCTTCATCTGGAGCACAACTCCTTCAATGGGAGTGCGCAGAATCTCCGGATCTGTGTACTCGGCGAAGTCACCTTCGTAAACCGCAGAAGAATAGAGACGATAGCAGTGACCAGGGCCCGTACGACCAGCACGACCAGCTCGCTGATTCGCACTGGCCTTGCTAATCCAGCCAATCTGAAAGCTTTGTACACCTGTGAATAAATCGAATTGCTTCTCTTTCGCTCGTCCGCAATCAAAGACATACTTGATACCGGGAATGGTGAGCGAGGTTTCGGCCACGTTGGTAGCCAAAATGATCAAGCGTGAATTCTCAGGCGGCGGCTCGAAGACCTTCATCTGCTCTTTTGTGGGCAGTTGTGAGTATAATGGCAACACATGCACACGAGTGGAGGCATCCACGGCATCTTCGCCAAGGTCGAAACCATCATCTTCATCATCCTGATCGTCCAGGCCAGTAATCTCAAACTCGTCGTCATAGTCGTCGGCATTATCGTTCATTTCGGTGCCTCCAAGCTCTATATCCTCCGCTTCAAGGGGCGCATCATTAGCGGATATCTCTACCTTTGCGCTGGCAGTGTCTCCCCGCACAGTGGGTTTGAACGCCCCCTTCAATTTCTTAGCAAGTTGACGGATTTCGTTTTGTCCAGTCAAGAATACAAGCATTCCACCCGGTGGCAACTTGCGGTGGCCACGAGAAACTTTGCGGAAAGCTTCTTCAACGTAATCGCGCTGTGTCTTGCGGGCGAAGTGGATCGTCACAGGATACTGACGGCCCTCTGCTTGCACTAGCGGTGGTGGTCCTTGACGGAACAAGCTTGCGTTCTCAGTAAAGTCTGAGATACGGAGAGTAGCTGACATGATGACAACCTTCAAAGGCTGGACATTGGGGTCTTCTTTGCTCATTGACTTGCGCAGGCCCACAATCCGACTGACCATGCCAATAAGGATGTCGGTGTTCACACTGCGTTCATGGGCTTCATCAATAATGATGATGGAATACTTCAGGAGGGAAAAGTCGTCCGCAATCTCACGTAAAAGAATACCATCTGTCATGAACTTAATGGCGGTCTTCTTGGACGCGGTCGATTCAAACCGAATTTGGTACGACACCTTATCAGAGAACTGACCCAGTTCCTGAGATACACGGTTGGCCATACTGACCGCTGCGACTCGGCGAGGCTGAGTGACACCGATCAGACCAGGGTTCGGGCTGTCAGGGTTACCAAAGCCGGCTTCAAACAGGAATTGTGGGAGCTGGGTTGTCTTTCCGCTACCAGTTGCACCCCAGATGACGACGGTATCGTTGTTGTAGATCGCTTCCATGATTTTCTGCTCCTCGCCGACGACGGGGAGCCCCATTCGGGCAGTCTGAATTTCCTCTGAACGGTCGACATTCACGCTGAATGCTTTGCGGAAGGGGTTCCCTGTAGTAACTTCAAGCTCTCGAGGGAGAGGCTCCTCTTCATAGACTTCATTCTTGGGTTCTTTGTGGGGAGCCGCAAAGGCGTCTGGCTGATGTTCCATGGACATCGGTCCATTTGTCGGATTGAAGTCCGCAGCTTCATTGATCTGCTGTCTAGCCCAGGACTTGAATGCAGACTCTCTGGGCTTGATCTTAGTTGGACCTTCTTCCTCGGCCGATTCTTCTTCCTCCTCATCATCATCCTCTTCGGAAGAACCCTCAGAGGAAGTGTCTTCGGAACTTTCATCTTCATCTTCATTTTCAGAATCCTCTTTAGTCTCATTTTCTGACTTATCCGAGTCCATTTCCTCGTCTTCATCGTTCGTATCCTCCTCATCAGAGCCAAAGCCCTCCCAAGCAACCTCTTTTACTGGCGCAGGCGCCGGGGCCGGCTTATTGGCGCGCTTCCGCTTTTTGATTATAGGAAATCCATCCGGGCCCAGTTCGAGCGGGCGCTTCAGACCACTTCCAACGGCAGCCTGGGGCTTCGGTTCAGGGATAGGGTCTGTTGCAGGGTCGGAGGCCTTGAGGTCGGCATCGGAGTCATCACTGTCGTCTTCGAGGTCTCTTTTCGAGGTAGTCTTCGCCTGTGTTCGGTCGACGATCGGGACGGGAATGCCTTCGTTCTCCTTCCTACGTTTACCCAAATCCCTTGAGCTGTGTAAAAAGGAGGTATCGACTTTGGCTTCGGCGAGCTTCTTGAGCAGCTCGACATTTTCTTCTTTCCGCAATTTGTTCTCCTACAGAAAAAGTTAGATACTGGTCTAAGGTCAATATGAGCTTTCTCACGCACAATGTATTTGTCGAGACGTTTCTGCTTCTTTCCTGAGACATTGGAATGCTGATCTCTAAGCTCCGCACGGAGCTTCTGTCTTTTGGCTTCTTTCTCGTCTTTGGAGACGGGCGCTAGCTCCGCGACATTGGTGTCCACAGAGGCAGCAGTCTCTTGCTGCCGGTGTTTTTGCTTTCGCTGGCGGGGGACAAACTTCTTCATCTCGACCGGTCCCAGCTCAGGACAAGATACACAAATCAAAAAACTGTACTTGTGCTGTCGTAGTTCGTTCACGCGGGAAAAAAATCGAGGAAATTACAGGAGCGGTGAGATATTGCCGGTATCAGCAGTGGGGAACATCCGACCGCCTTTCGGGGAGGCATCAACAGTCGCCCGACTCAAACCAGACCGCAAAAACCCTCAGGCATCATGGAGAATCTCGATAATATTTTGGATGGCACGCTGGACCTTCCGTACCCAGCTGCCACCAAGCAGGTGGCTGGAATAGTCAATGGAGTCAAAACAGATGTCATGGTCATCAAATTCTCCGACAAGATAATGGTGACCATCTCGCAAGAAGGACGACTTGCTCACTGGGTTTGTCAAGAGTTTCGGCTACATGGCTACGACTGCTAACAGCGTAACAGTTGCATGTACCAATGGCGAATCAAAACCCAGGCACCGAAGGTGCGCACACTTTCTCCGAAGGTGGAGAGGACAGTCTTCTACCCCTCAGCGGCCTGACAGCGACCTCTCTTTTGGGTGGTTACGCTTCTGGTCAAGATACAGTTGGCCAATTACTTGCTAGACAAATTGCCAATTCCATTGCTATCAAATCTCCCAATGAGAAAAGACTGCTTGTGGTGGGTCTAGGACTTCGACCCAGTGATGCCGATCGAGATGCTTTCTTTGCTATCAATGATCTTGTCTTGCAATGCATATGATTCGGACACCAGGAAATGTGTCTTGACCAAGATACTCGATGAAGCCCTTTGCATTCGTCGGAGGTTCCTGCAATCAGCCAATGATGAATCATGAACGCCGGCTTTTAAGGGCGCGACCTCGAAGACGTACCGAGTCATCAGCATTACAGCAAGGCAGTCGACAATATTTCCATCCCTTTCTGGCACTTTCCAATGCAGAGAAATTATTGTGCCCATTGGCTTGAAGCCGGAACGCGCACAAGCAGATCCAGTGCGTAGCCATCTACGCAGGGAAGTGATATCTGCCATACCAAGCCAATGATCTGATTGAACACTGCTAGATCTGGCATTTAACATTGCATAGGCTGATCGTGCTGAAAGCATTTGCTTCTTATATCCAGTGATACCTATCTATTCAAACGAATCCAATGCTTTTGATGACTTATGATTATGGATATTCTTATTCACGGTGGTTTGACTTTCAAAGAAACAAAGACCTGAGATCACCGATTTAAAACCTCGAATTCAATCATATCAGGCGCTGAACAGATCCTTGTTCCCAGCTACCCATTTCTCAAACCCTGTAGCAGGTACCCCAGTGTAAAGCTGTACATTCTGAACTCCCTCCTCATAACGAACATGCGGAAAATTGGCACCCTTATCACTTCCGAATCTCTGTACCATATGTTCCGCCAGCGGCTTAGGCATACCATGACTGAGGTGCTGCTCTATAGCCTCCTCTGCACTGATAGTAGTGATCTTGACAGTCTTGCCCAAAACTTTAGCAATAGTGTGAACAGCATCTGACATTGAGATGATCTTAGGACCATAGACATAGACCTTTCGGTGTCCATTCTTTGGTCCCTTGGCAAAAATAATTCCACAGATCCGACCCATATCAATAGGCGTGACACAATCGAGCCCATAGTTTGGTGCATAAAGCTTTACCTCTCCGGCCGCGATCCCGCTCTTGTGGTGCAACATATTCGTGGCGAAACCTCCGGGGCGCACGGCGACGTAGTTCTCTGGACCGAAGACTTCATCGAGGTTGATTTCCACCTGCGCGTGCATGTAAGGGATGAGATCACTGGGAACGAAGTCCTTGAGCTCGCCGGAGACAGTGTAGCTGCTAAGAAGGACGACGAACTCGATACCAGAGGATTTCAAGGCCTCAAGAGTGGATTTCATATGATCTGAAGAACCGAAGGCGACGTAGATGAAGGCGCGCTTGGCTGCAGATTTCTTGACGGCCGCAGCGACGGAATCGGCGTCCATCAGGTCAGCTTGGACTCTCTCGAAACCGCCGGCCTGCTCTTGCCCCGGACTCAGACCAGGAATGGTCTTCTTCGGGTCGCGCATGGCGAGGACCACCTTCGCTCCATGCTCTTGGGCGGTGCGCGCTGCAACGGAACCGATGTTGCCCGTTGGCCCAAACACAATGACGGTCGACATGATGTTGATTATGGAATAAAACTTTATTTTATGAAATTGTTTGATCAAGATAAATTATGTAGATTTAGTAAACAGAGGATTGCTTTTATAAGTACGAGATGCAGTGATCAATCTTGTATCTCCCGCCTCGGGCTTTAGCTAACTCCGTGCGCGACCCCAACCGCAGTCCACGTATCTCCGCTGGGAACAGACAAGAGAACCTCTACTAGGGTCTTGGACAGCTGCTCATCGTCTTTTCATGCGAAGAGGGGCCAAGGCGATACAACAATGTGCCAAAGCCAAGGCCATCAAATCCGCCTGAATTAGGACCATAATTGCCACCACCCCCCTCAACACCGTCAGTCGAGTTACCATTCACCCAGTCACGGTACGTGTCGGTCCAAAATGAGTTAAGGCCCTTCAATTGACCAAAATGAGCTGACAGTAACTCGGCGCCGGGGCGGACACCACCACGCGAGTCGTTGGAGATGACTGTCTGGTTGCCCTCGAAGCTGTCGTAGGTAGTATAGGGAACGTCATAGCCAACGTTGTACTTTGAAGTATACTCCGCACTGATAATTCGAATTAGTATACCTTTGGAATATACGTGGAAACTTGGCACTTACGCGTTCAGGATCTGGTTCTGGTAGGTGGCGAACATGTCATCGCCTTGGTTATACACTTGTTGTGCGATGACACCCAAAAGCATAATATCAAGCGTGGAGTGGCCCTGATCTCGGCCAGCTTCTTGGCCCTGTGTGAAGACCTTTCCGCTTTCAGGGTCGGTATAGTTGGCAACAGCGAAGAGCGGCAGTGCACCATTTGAAGGCCCAGTACGAAAGTAGTTGACAGCATTGTCAAACATAGTCTGATTGTCGGTGAAGATGCCGATAGCAATGAGTGAAGCAATATTACACAGGTCCCAGTTGGCCCAATAGTGGTAATCACCTGCCCCATTGTGGTCTTTCAGAAACATGTTGTTCATGGAGGCGAATACAATGGTCAACATGGTCCCGGTCGCCATCTTGTTGGTGTTGTCCCAGCCAGCATAGTCTCTCATGAGCTCAGCGGCATTGGCCAGCTGATACCAATAGAGTCCAGAAGCGAGAAATTTGTCGCTGGTGCCGTCGATGGTCGTCAGGGTCGTGGCCCAGGAACTGAGGACGTTGACTGCGGCGTCGGCATAGCTCGTGTCGTTGGAGACTCTCCAGCGAACAGCGAGTTGGTATGCAGCCGCGGCATCTTTGTAGAGATTTGAGTAATTCTCACTGTTCACCCCGTTGTAGCCTCGGTATACGGTTTCTCAGGGAGTTGGTGGGTAAGAAGACTGGGCATTAGGGCTTTCAGGCAAGACGGTCCAGGTAGTATTCCATGGCTCGGCGCCATTGGCCACATGGGTAGTTATGCGCTCGAAATCTTGGATCGTATGAAGCGCGCCAGGATGAACGAAGGCAGCGGTAGCAACCGAGAAGGCGAGAAGGTAAGCGAGCAAAGGCATAAATGAGATACAAAAAGAGCGACTTGAAGTATGTTCATGAGCGCTTGATGGGCATCCTTAAGAGCTTTATGATCTGGACGGGATCGTATACGAGATCATGAAACCATAGTTCGCTTTAGCGATAAACTAGCAGTGGAGAAGTAACTGTCAAAGTGCGCAAATGATCGTCACATATCAGTGAGTGGGGATAAAATTGTTTCATGTTGATAGGGGAAGGGGTGGAAAGTTCAGAACTGCCGGGCCGTGGCCTCCCAAGAGTCAAGTTATCGAAGATTGAGCTGTTGAGCGAAGAACTATCTGGATAGATTTCGGGAAAGGCATTGCAGAGGATCTCTTCCTAATTAATATTGCCGATTGTCGCTTCAAAGCGCCTACCAGCCAATACAAACACCACGGCTACTGTCTGGCAGAGAGATTGCCTCGTCGGGGTTAGCGTTGGGGCACGGGAATGACGCGCGCTCCATCTACTTTCCAATGGAATTGGATCCCAGTTTTGGCAGCTGTCGGGCTGAAAGCTTAAGATATACTTTCATAGGGGGTATCCAGATGAGACACAAAAATATCAACCCATTGCACGTTTTGCTTTGTTTGCATTCTTGTCCGCCAGAAGTGCTTTCATTGCCACAAGTTTATCCGCCGCATGTATCAAACTCCCGAGAGCTTCAAATAGGCATGAAAGTCTGGTTGTGGTCAAACAGTACTTTAGACAATTTCCTCTAGATCAAGCGGCTAAGCAGGAAATTTAAAAAAAAAAAAAATTACCGAAGAAACTTGAAATACACGAGCTCGCGCCCGCTGGGCTGTTTGTCAGGCGGGCTTCCTTGATCAATCCTTGGGTGCAAAAGCAAGGCTATTTGCTGCTTGAACAATGAATAGGGTCCCTCCTTCAAAATTTTGTCATTTTGTCAACATACAAATCAAGCTTTTCTAGCATATCGCGTACAGCTTCTAGCATAATTGATGTGAAACGCAGGATAGCTGAGCTTTGGCCCACGGTGCTTTTATGCAGCCCTCTGAGCAAACTTTGCCTGTTTTCATAATAACGCTTCGGGCAGCGTGCACCATTAGATGTGTTGAATTTACAGACGGGAATAGTCTTGGAAGTATTGTGAAATCTGGACAAGAAATTGATACATGTCCAGCAAACAGGGGAAAAAACCCAAAAGGTGCCTAGAGGCCCGCCGAAAGCCAGCCTTCCAATCTTATCCAGATTCAAAAAAATTTACTAAGTGATATGATTGAGAGTCCGACAGATTCCCGCGGTATTCTACTTGATGTCTTACCAACCTATTTGGATTGTTGGATTCTATTTTCGAAAAAAACCAGAGAGACGAAAATTGAGAAGAAAAGAGAGGCAAGCTATGAATGTAAAAGCAAGGAATTGAAATGTGTCCGGCGGGTTCAATCTGCATTCGCGAATTTGTCCTTTCTTTTCATGCTCTCGCAGGCTCTCCAAATCAAATTTATCCAGGCTTGGCCCTGGAATCTGATCAAAGCTGATGTCAATGAAGCCCTTATGACAGAAGTCTAGCATACTCAATCCAGTTCTGCTGAATGGGCCGATTCTGAAGCCGTCATCTCTCCCCCTTGTCAGAGTGACGAGAGCGACTGGGCATGGTGACAGTTCTCTCATCCACTTCATAATACCTATCGTCTGGGAACATAGCTGCATTCGAGTTGCTCAATCTATGTGACAATGAAAAGTCGTCTTAGAACCGGTCCACTGCTTGGCGGAATCAAACCATAGCTCAAGGCAAGTGAACTTCGGACTTTAGAGCATGTCTTTATTTCCGAGAATCGCGACTCAGCCAAGTTGGGATGGTGGATCTGTGAGCTCTGGTCCACAAATCATATGTGTTTTGTCATCAACCCCCATACGGTGTATTGGAACACTTGGAACGCCGCTTCCTTCATTCTTCAAAGCTGCCGAGGATGAAGAGGTCATGAAAAGTATAAGTAGGGGTCTGCAATTTACTTTGAGAGCTGAACTGCGAAATCTCAAACTCAACAGTTTTCCTTCTCCGCTTCCTTATCCGAAGATACTTCGAGCAAAATGAAATACGTGCAACGCGGAAGTAGCAGTCTTCGCATTGCCCCAATCGGTGTGGGATGTATGAGCTTTGGAAATCCTGAGGGTCGTTTCAAGTGGTCAATTTCGGAAGAGGAAGCACTGCCGGTCTTGAATCATTGCTACGAGGCCGGGCTGAACTTCTTCGACACCGCAAACGCTTATTCCAATGGCTTATCGGAAGTAATTCTCGGCAAGGCAATCAAGAAATACAGCTGGCGCCGCGAAAAAATTGTCATCGCAACCAAGCTATGGGCCCCTGTCGGCCGTGGTGCTGAACAGCCCATAGCCATGACCGATGACGAAGAAGACAACAGCGGCTATGTGAACCAATACGGATTGAGCCGGAAGCATATCTTTGCGAGCGTCGAGGCCAGCCTGCAGAGACTCGATCTGCCCTACGTCGATCTGCTGCAGATCCACCGATTTGACCCCAGAACTCCCGTGAAGGAGACAATGGAGGCGCTCCACGATATTGTCAAGTCCGGCAAAGTGCGCTACATCGGCGCTTCGTCGATGTGGGCTCACCAGCTCCTCGAATACCAATACACGGCTCGCATTCATGGCTGGACGGAGTTTACCTCGATGCAGAGTCTTCACAATGCTATCTACCGTGAAGAGGAGAGGGAGATGTACCCTGCATGTGCCAAAATTTGGAATGGGCGGAATTCCCTGGAGCCCTGTTGCAATGGGCTTCTTGGCTCGACCCTGGCGTGATTTCTCCAAGACAACCCGCGGAGAGGGCCAGGGCCCTGGTTTCCTAGGCCAGCCAGCGACAGAGACAGACAAGAAAATCAACGAGCAAATTGAGAAGATTGCCGAGCAGCATGGTGTGTCGATGGCGACTGTAGCAATTGCTTGGTCTCTCTCAAGGGCTTTCATTACGGCGCCGATTCTTGGAATGAGCAAGAAAGAAAGAGTTGATGAGGCAGTGAAAGCTATTTCATTCGAGCTTACTTCCGCTGAGTTGAAGAGCATTGACGACCTATACGAGCCCAAGAAGGTGCTTGGCCATCAATAAGTTTCTATACAACGAATCCGTCGCTAGAACACCTCGATGTTGAAGGTACCAATCAATGAATTGCAGATAAATTCGGGGGCCTTCTCCAGTCTGATAGGCACCGTAATATGTAACAAGTAGCAGCATAGTTGACTGATTTTCTGTCAGAAAGAAATACTTGCCTTAAGAAACCATGTACAAGGTCCATACTGAGGAGATCGAATAGTGATGATGTGGCTGGCCAAGACCCACTATGTTGAAACCTTACCACAATAGATTAGCGTCATGCAGGTTGATGACAATGGTGGGTCAAATGAACCCTTGAAAACGATGCCGCTTGGCTCTTAAAAATTAATAATCACGATTGGAATTATGTGGGACGTCGGTTCGCCTACCTTCTTACCATCCTACTCCCCTGTGAGTGCTAGTTAAATCCACAAACCACTGGCGCCCACACCTTCCTTTCATCAAGTTGCAGACAGTGCTGGATTAGGAGATTGAATGGAGTACCCTGACCAGACGGCAAGCATGGATCCATTAGTAGAAGGTCTCTCTAAGAGGCGGATCGCTTTAAGATTGTCCTCGCAGCGTCGCAGTGCGTGGCCAGACGAGGATTGGTCGGGTATCACGGATCAAAAAACTCGCCGGAGACTTCAGAATCGTCTGAACCAAAGAGCTCGACGTGAGTTCGCTATTTGTGGACACTAACCAGTGAATGTCATGTTGACCGTCTCTATAAATAGGTCTACAGAGGAAAAACCAGCCACTCCGTTCTGAAGAAGAAAATTCCAGAGAATGCCACCGTTCTTCTCTCATTTAAAAACATGAAACAGCCCCACTTATTGTTGCTCCTCAATACAATGACCAAATACTGGCAAGGCATAGTGCCATTGATGTCACACCTCTCTCTGAAGTCGAGAGCGTGCACATATTGGCATCCGATTCCCTAACGACTGAATCAACTATGGCCCGCTTAGAACGAATGGCCCTTCAATACTATACTATGGGTTCCCCGCGAACCGATCTATTACTCAACCTAGTGCAACTCAATTTCACCCGAGCCCTACTTAAAAACAAAAGAGTCCTTGGCCTCCGATCCGATCAGCTCCACGACGATGCAATCTCACCTTTCAATACCAATGGTCCGTGGCTAGATGACTCTCTTCATACCCTCCCCATACATCTTCAACCTACAATGATCCAGCGCTCTATCCCGCATCACCCTTGGTTAGACTTGCTCCCTGTTCCCAAGATGAGAGAGAATTTGATCCTCGCGGGAGAAATTGAGGAGGAGACCCAACTCTGTCTTGATATGAAGGGTAGTGGGAGTATGCGATCAGGAAGAGGTGGTATTATTGTTTGGAGTGATCCTTGGGATCCGGCGGGTGGGAAGTCACTGAGCCTTTTGCTCGTTCCTGGGGCTGGGTCATTATGAATTGTTATGATTTGGCCCATTCTACGAATCGGTGGCGAGCGAAGCGGAATGAAAAACCGCTGTTTCGAATGACTTGATTTTTGGATTAGAATAATATGCGTTGTCCGGATAGGATGTTACCACACACAAGCAGGGTCCATCTTTGAGGCCGAGAGATCATCAAACATATTGTTGTGAACACATGCACATTATCCATTCTTCTCTTGGGATACAGTAAAAGTTCTATAGCTTTTTTCTGACCCAAAGTAGTCAAAATTTCTCATGAACGACTTTGATCCCTAGATTTGCGATTAAATCACTAGTTCATGATGCACGATGAGAGCGTTCCCCGCCGCTGTATCACTGTGCACCCTAAAATTGCTTATTAGACGAGACACCTCTGTGGAGAGAGACCTAAGCGATCCGCTAAAAGCTCTATGGCCTATATTATATTCCATAGGACGAAGAACACGCCGGGGCGCGTATAGATCGAAGTCACGTGAACACATATCAACTCGATAGGGGTGGATCATTAACGTCAACATCGTACCTTTGTCGTCGACGGTGTACATCAACCCGGAAAATCGTCACGATTTGTGATATTGGGCTCAACCTAGTTGTCAGCTGGTTATACGCCCCGCTTTCCCGATTTAGCCGCGTCGCGCAAACGTGAGATGCGGGTGCACTTTCCCGCGATCATTGTTAACCTCTTCATCGTTACGATCATCCCCAACTTGTTCCCAAACCTTACTTGACTGCTCAGACTCTTTCTCTAAAGACATTCTTCACTATGGATCAGTCTGACGACGACGATGCCTTGCTGAAGGCGGCTATCACAGCCTCACTGCGTGACACTCAAGCCAACGCGAACCGAGATCGCGGCAGCCAAGATCGATCTGTAAAGGCGTCGTCTCGTGCTGCGGATGAAAAGTTTATCGATTTGACCCAGGACTCTGACGAGGAGCCTGATATCCAGGAGGTCTTTCCCAAATCCAAGTCTCTTGTGGGTTCTGACACTGATGACGGGGATTCTTCGGATGAAGAGCTTAAACTTGCAATCGCCTTATCCCTGGAAGAAGCTAATTCTAAACGTGCCACTGATACTACAGTTCCTACTGATTCTCAGAAGTCCATTGAGAAGCCCGATAAACCCTCAGAGCAACCACTGGGTATTCTTGGCATGGACCGGAAACATATGGAGAAGGAGCGTCTCGCCCGTCAACTGAAGCGCAAGGCTGACGACTTCATCCCCGCGTCTGACTACGAGAGTCGTGGACTTTCGACAAAGGCACGTAAGGCCAATCCGGTTGCTGGGCCTGAGAGTGGTGACTTGTCGCCCTTCGCAAGCTCCGCTTCGCGGGCTCTCCCAAAGCCTGAAATCTGCAATCGACCAGATTCAAATCACCCTGAATGCAGAGTGAAGCCACTTGCAAGATCCATCCCCCAGTTTCCTTTCGGAGCTGTGAAGCGAACGGCGATTGGGCACAAAGCGCGTTCCACTGACGAAATCACCATCGAAGAGGTGCTCCAGCGCGGCGAGCTCGAGTTGGCGGTCCTCAGCTCATTCTTGTGGGATATGGAATGGCTCTTCACGAAGATGGATACTTTCAACACACGGTTTATCCTGATCATGCATGCCAAGGAGGAAAGCACTGTAAGAACCATTGGAAACTCCGATAACAATCTGTTCTAGCCTGAGGATTCTGACAACGCATGCATTATTCAGAGAATTCAGTATCAGGAGGAGACTGCCTCCATGTCGAACTTGCGCCTGTGCTTTCCTCCCATGGAGGGACAAATCAACTGCATGCACTCGAAGCTCATGATGCTGTTCCACCCCACTTACATGCGGATCGCGATACCGACTGCCAACCTCACCTCAACTGACTGGGGAGAGAACAACCTGCTGGAGAACGTGAGTAAAGATTGTGGACGCTGGACTATATTTCGGAGTCTCGAATGTAACTTTTCAATGTTTCACTTGCTGACATCAAAATAGACCGTTTTCATGATTGATCTGCCGAAGAAAGGCGCCGAGTCCGGCCCTGGCAAAGACTTGAAGCCCCCGTTCTACGAGGAGCTGGTCTGTTTCCTGAAAGCAAGTACACTGCATGATAACATTATCCAGAAGTTAGAAAACTTTGACTTCAGTAAGACTGCTCGCTATGCATTCGTTCACACGATGTAAGTGTCTGTTCCCTTCAAGCTAAAATCAGTGGTCTCACAATCCACAGCGGCGGAGCCCACAACAGTGAGCAGGCATGGCGACGCACTGGCTACCCCGGTCTTGGACGTGCTGTGACAAACCTCGGTCTCCAGACAAGTGATCCCGTGGATGTGGATTATGTGGTACGTACATTTATCAAGTAACACGCCACTGGCCCTTCTGATGCAGACAGACATCCTCTGTTGGCTCACTTAACGACAACTTTGTACGCGCCATGCACTATGCCTGCAAGGGTAAGCTCTTTTTTCTTAGCCTGACACACTTACGCACCAAACTCAAAGCTATTTACAGGCGACGACGGTCTCAGCGAGTACATACTTCGGAACCAAAAGAGCCCCTTCATGGCCCAGACGGATGACAACAACCGACGGACCATGCTAGAGGCCAGCGCCCGTGATGAGTGGAAAGAGCGTGTTCGCGTCTACTTTCCGTCCGACTTGACGGTGCGAACTGCTCATGCTCATCCCCAGAACACTGCAGGGACAATTTGCTTCCAGAGAAAGTGGTGGAACGGCGCCTCCTTCCCTCGGGGTGTCCTCCGAGACTGCGAGGGTGCCAGGGATAAGAGAATACTGATGCACAACAAGGTACGATCAAGTACCTCTAGATATCCCACACAACCTCTTTTGACAAATGACTTACTCCCTAAAGCTCATCTTCGTTTGGCCTCAGAAAGACATCATCCGTGATAAAACCAAGTGTACTGCCTGGGTCTACGTCGGCAGTGCGAATTTCTCAGAGAGTGCATGGTAAGCCGGCACCTACTCGTATCACTCCAAACCAAACATAACTAAAACATGAAAGGGGCCGTCTCGTCAAGGATCGAACTACCAAAGAAGTCCGCCTGAATTGCCGCAACTGGGAATGCGGCGTCATCGTGCCCGTCATTCACCCCCATGAAGGCATTTCCCAGCCGCAAAGCACATCCGAAATGCCCGCTCAGGAACACTTAGCCGCGACCAACCATGGCAAGCAGGAGAAGAAGTTTCCCATTTCCGATATCAACGCCTTTGTCCCTGTTCCTATGAAGATTCCTGCCAAGACTTACCAGGAGAAGCCGGTGACAGTTGACACTCCGTTCGACAGGATCATGGGTTCCTCTGGAGCATCTGTTGCTGGCCCCAGTAGCAACAGCGCAAACAACAAACCGCTTGAGCCGTGGTTCTTTATGGGTTAGTGGCTCATGAAACAGATGCAGCATGTTGAGCTTGATAATCTCTCTGATGAATGATGCGGCGTGGTATGGGGGGCGGATATGTGGTACTTCTATGTGCTCGACGCTTTGTGTATTCACCTAGGCTTGGACGATACTTTATTTTCAACTGACAGTGGGAGATTTATAGTGAAAAACAAGAAACGTCTACAAAGATGAATATTTTGAAAAGTCAAGATTCAAATATCGAGGTCTAGGTAATATCTAGCTATGAACTTTTAGGCGCACTCTGATCCGCAAATCCAGAGTATCTATTTCAATGTTCTGGGCGCCTTTCTATAGGGATAATAGACCAAGCGCATTGCGCGCCACACAAATGCTCCATGTAAATGCACATTAGATAGGCCATGTCACCGAGATGACCGGAAAAGATGGCCAGACAGATGAAGAGGGGAAAAGAAAGAAGAGAAAGGAAAGAGGGCGAGACCGGGAGAAATTACTCAGATGCCTCCTTCTTCTGGAACGGCTTCTTGATAGCCTCAACGAGAAGACCACCAAGACCAAACACATATCCAATACCGAAGCTCCAGCCACGGACACGAACAGTGTAAATGAAGAAGTAAACGAGCGCCCAGTTGATAATGACGAAAGCCAAGAAAATCCCAAAGCAGCGCCACTTATCACCAGTGTGCACGTTGAGGTTGGCCATGTACTCCGCGCCAGTCGAATAAGGACAGTACTCGCAGTTGCTCGTAGCATTAGGATCACTCAGGTATCCGGCGCGAGCGATATTCTGGACAAAGTTCCCAGCGTATTGCTGACAGGTCTGACCCGGAGGCGGGTTGAAGCGTGTGTATTCTTCAGAAGCGCATTCGATCCGCACTTCCGGAAGAACGGAGGAGAGCACACCGCGCAACCACCAGGTCACGGGGTTGACGTAGTACATCCAGTATTTCCAGAAGACGGGGTAATCGGCGTAAGGGCGGACGATACCGTTGAAGAGGTTAACCATGACGAAGAAGAAGGGGAGGACGTTGGAGATGACGGTGAAGGAGGGGGCGAAGGCGCAGATCCATTGGCCCCAGGAGGCTTGGAAGAGGAAGAAAAGCATCGACATCAGGAAGACGTAGCCTGCGGATGAGGAGTCGGTGGGAAGGCCTACGGGGTAGTACCATAGAAGCCAGTAGACGAGACCGGTAATGATAGCGGCGGGAATTTCACAGACGACGTTGGCGGTACAGAAGGCGACCCAGCCGTAGATGCGGGATGGGTATTCGCGGGCTTCCCAGAGAGCGCGGTTGATGTAGAACTTGGGTACGACGGAGTTGAGGACGATCGGGGGGGATCAGGATGATCACGAAGCATGAGAACATGCGGTCTTGCATGCTGGCGACTGTGTTCGGGAGCATCCAGAAGGTGAATCCGTTGAAGATACCGATGATCACACTGACGAAGAGCTTGCCGTAGTAGTCAGGACGGGTCACGCCAGTACTGGGTGAACAGACGTCTGGTGAGAAGCTCGATCTGGACACCTGTGGGCGCCGCGAACTCGTATGTTGTGCTGCCGCTGTCCTCGATGGGAATCTTGCTGCGCTCGGTCCTGATACGTTCGATCTCTGCGAGCATGAGGCGGTTCTGTTCGGAAGAACGCCACTCTTCATTCCAATCGACCTTCTTGCCGTCGCGCTCGGTGGATTTAGCGGCAGTCTCAAGAATGAACTCGGCGACGTTCTTGTTCGGGGACAGACGAAGCCGCGGTCGGCGAAGTACTTGATTACGGCGGCACCCTCCTTGCCGACGGGGCCGAAGTAGAAGGTGTTGCCGCCGGGGTTAAGGGCCAAGATCATGTCGAATTGCTGAATGAGCATGGAAGACGGTTGATGAATGGTGCAGACGATAGCTTGGCCGGCCTGAGATAGCTTCTTCAGGAATCGAACAATGGAGAAAGCGGCTTGACTGTCGAGACCACTGGTGGGCTCGTCGAGGAAGAGAAGAAGTGATGGCTTGGCAGCCAGTTCGACACCAATTGTAACACGCTTCTTCTGCTCAACATTGAGAGAGCCGATGATGGCGTCTTGAATCTCTTCGAGTTCCAAAAGATCGATAATTCGGTTGACGTAGTCAATCTTCTCCTGGCGGGGAACGTGGCGGTCCTGACGAAGAATAGCTGAGAACTCCAAAGCCTCGCGAATTGTAGAGGTGTTGTCGTGTAGATCCATTTGCTCGCAGAAGCCAGTGCCACGTTGGAAATCAGCTCCCAGAGGGTGGCCATCGACAAGCATGTCGCCCTTGACGACGCCCATCTTCTGGCGCTGCGCCAGGGTGTTGAGCAGAGTAGTCTTACCAGCACCAGAGGCACCCATAAGAGCAATCATAACACCAGGCTTAGCGTAACCGTTGACACTGTTTAGCAGTTTGCGAGTCCCATTGCCATAGGGGACAGTGTACTCGACGTTAGACCAGGTGAAGCAGCGCTCGCTCGAAGACAATCGGTTGAAAGCGGTATCCCCCCCCTGAAGAGGGTGATTGACCGCGAGCGTTAGCGGCATTCGCGTTCAAGTCGGCGACTTTTTCCTCATCATTCTCCTTGCCAGTCTGACTAGTGATCTTCTTAGCACGCTTGGACTTCTTGAAGACCAAGGCGCCGCCGCCGCCGCCAACAAAGGAAAGGAACTCGGCAGCCCACACGGTGACTAGGATGTACAAGACAGTGAAAGCAATGACGACACCAAAGTTGCGCCAGAGGTGGTGACGAGTGAACTGGAAGTTTGCCGACAGATATTGAGTACCAGGAACCTCAGTCGCACCCAACGAGGAACCAGTCAAGGCACAACCCTGGTACTTCGGATCAACGCCGGGGCCCTGGGGAACAAGCTGCGAGGCAGCACACTGCATAGTACGGCCAGCGAATTCATTAGTCAAGACAGCCTCATAACTGTATGAGATCGGATTGACATAGAACAGCCATCCAAACCAGATAGAGTTGCCAATCAAAGTCTGCTTGGGAATCACATAGCCAACGAAGAGAATCAACAGGTTCAGCGCAATACCAGCAAATCGCACCGCATCATCGATCGACGGCGAGAGGGCAGCGAACATGCGGTACATCGAGGTGATACAAAATGTCGTCGTATACACGAAGAGGAAGTAGATGAAGAACTTGGAAGCAGTCACATCCAGACCAGTCATGAAGTAGACGATAATTGTAAAGGGAACAACCATGCAGAAGATAGCCGGGAAATCAACGACCACGCGCGCGATCGAAACAGCGGAGGGACGATAGAAAGCATAATCCCTGTGGCGAGCAACGATGCCTCTGCCAGAGACAGCAGGCATCAACTCGGTCAATTGCAACCAGCCAAGGAACAGGATAGAGAAGAACAGAGCACCACCACGCGAGAATGCACCGCTGGTGTCCAGAGCCTCTCCGTAGAACAGAGACGAGACGATGAGACCGTTGGAGACGATAATGAAGTATTTTGTGTAGAGAGAGGTCTTGTCACCCCACAGCAGCCAGAACTCGCGCTGAACGCAAGCCGCAACCTGGCGCACCAGGGAAACGGTGTAAGGAGACTTCTTGGAGACAGTCTTACTCTTGGACTGGGCGACGGTTTTCTGGAACTGGCGGGTATCTTCCAATTCGGTTTCCTGGAGACGCTTCTCATAGCTGCTGACGTCATTGGTAATGAACTTGTAGGTCTCGCTTTCCCGGAAGACGCGCTCGAGCTCTGCGGCGGTCTTGGGAGTTGAGGCCTCGCGACCAGGCTGGAATTGACGAGCGTTGGGGTCACAGAGCGAAGTCAGGAAATCGGCGGTGGTCGACTGCTCGGAGCAGTAGAATCCGAGATTGATGAAGTACTGACGCGCTTCGTTGGCGGGGCCCTGGTAAAGCATACGACCTTCGTCGATGACCAGGACCTTGTCCATGAGTTCGTAGATACTCTCACCCGCCTGGTACAGGGTGACCAGAGTGGTGCGCTTGCTGACGTCGGTCATAATTCGGAGGGACTTGGCGTAATCGAGAGCCGTGCTTGCATCTGAGACCACGTGTAGAGTTGTCCCAGCACACCACGGAGGACTTGGTGGCCAGCGTCTCGGCGATACTGACACGCTTCCGCTCACCACCGGAAACTCCGCGAACGTACTCGTTACCAACCAGAGTGTTCTTGGTGTGGCTGATACCGAACATCTTCAGCAGCGCATCAATAATGACGGGTATGCTGTCTCGATCGTGCTTGCGGGTTTTGTTGATCAGTGAGAACTTGAGAGTCTGCCAGACCGTGAGCGTCGGGAAATGCTGGTCATCCTCAGGGTTGTAGTTGACTTCGCCACGGAAGTGCTTATTTTGATCCTCTGCAGAGAGACCACCATAGCTCACCTCCCCATGGACGGCCGCAAAAGCACCACGATCATTGGCGATTGCTTTCAGGAAGGTAGTACATCCGGCACCGGGACGACCCAGCACCAGCATCATCTCACCCTCCCGGACTGTACCGCTGAAGTCGTTGATGAGGTTGCGAATCGGAGGCTTTTTGCCCACACGCGCCTGGGGCACGAATCGACAGATGAGGTTGTAAAGATCCGGGCCGAACGTGCCCACCACAGCATGCGGCAGAGTGCGCACGAACGAAGCGCCCGTCTCAATACCCTGAACGGTGAGATTCTTGAAGACGACGCCAACCTTCTTTGCAGGCTCGCCGGCGGTGGTACGGCGCTCCAGGTGGCCGCTGAGAAGGAAGTCGCCTAAGTCGAAGCCATTATCCTCATTGTCAGTAGATTCTTCATCCAGGGCCTTCTCTTCATCCTTGCGACTGGCGCGGGACTTCATGCGCTTGGCGGTGGTCGATCGAGTGCGGTGCAAGCTGAGACGGGTCAATTCCCGGCGCATCTCCTCCAAATCCTCCATCGCACGATGGCGGGAGACGGGCTCACCCGCCTCCTTCTCACCCCATCGGCCCTCGACGGTGTCATGAGAGCTATCGGTGGAGGAGCCGGTCAAGGTCGAGTCTAGGGCCTCGGTCTGGGCATTGATCTCTTCGGTCGCGACGTCATTGTGATTATCGATGACATTCTCGGGATGGGGAATTCGGTTGGTTTTTGAGCCAGAGGCCCCCGATTGAACATTTTGAACATTGGCGCTGTCGGTGCGAGATTCGTTGTGACTAGTGGTGGTATAGGTCGAGAATTCTTGGCGGGAATTCATGTTCTCGGCCTGCGCCTCCAATGCGCGATGGTCGGCGTCCATCTCGCGGGAGAGAGAGGAAGATCTACTCAGCAAAAGGCAGAGCGATTAGTGTATTATAGGAGGGGTATGTACAGGAAGACAAAAGGAAAAATTTAAAAAAAAAAAAGACAGTGCTGAACGATCATTGCAAAGGGGCAACCTTTAACCATTTAAACCGTGAGCAAAGTCCATGCCCCTTAAGTCCGAGACCCAGAACTGGATTTGTCAGTCGTGTCATGTTCCAATGATTGAGCGTAATCGTGCATCAAAAAAAAAAGGGACAGCTGTGGTGGATCGCATGAGTCAGGTTGATTCAGAGAGCGGGCCAACCCGCAGAGATTTCAACCACGGAGATATCCGGGGTTTAGCCGGTCCCTCGTCAGCGGAATATTGGATTCCTATCGACTCGCATCTCATTTGGCGAATGCGCCATGCTGATTCACCATTCGGCACGCTGCCGTCAGAGTGGATGTCGGTTCTGGAGGTGAACCCCCACTTGGTCTCGAGGAATCTATATTCCGCGTGCAGAAAATGAAGACCTTGAATAAGCCTCCTATATCCGAGCCCCACTAGGACCTGATTCATGTTCCCCTCTCGGCGACATTTTCCAGGCTGACACTGCCGATAAGCCCTGTTCATCATCTCTCGCCACACCGCTCGGCACTTGAAACGTCTCCGCCAAGACTGCTGGCTTGATGGGGACCCACTTCTCGAACATTCTTGATTCATAATGAAGTCAATCCGAGTCTCAATCATTGGCAAAGCATTCAGTGGCTTGCTTTCAAATTTGATCCCCAATCATGTTGAGGTTAATCCAACCAAATTTAGCCATTTAGACTACAGTACTCTCACAAGTCCGTTCCAGTGAATCATGTAGGCATTCAAGTCTATATCCGAAGTTGAGATCCGCAAGTCACCCATCTCTTAATTGAGTCAATTGAGCCCATCTCCAGAAGAGAAATCAAAAGTCTAAGCCCGCTCCATGCTATCTGCCGAACCGTTTGGGACGTTCGACCCCGATGGGTCCCATCCACCATCGTGGTCCAGGATCATCCCGGTAGATCGCGTCTGCGCACGTCTTTGGACCCTTGTCAATCTTCCGTATCACATGGCTCCCTTGCAGAGAGCAGTTTGCACTTTGCAGATTATCACGGACATTTGTCCGAAGCAGCTCGGGATTGACTACACGTGTTCGTGCACACGCCTCAAATACCCAATGTAGATAGAGGCACATATGCCAAAACACTAGACTCATGAAAAGGCCTCAGGTTGTAGTCCGACCGCGGTTCGAAGGTCTCATTTCGTCGTCCACGATGCGCTTCTGCAAATCTTTCTCGGGGGGGGGAGGTCTTCGAGGCAACGTTTGATACGTAGCTCCAACCAGACTGATCGAGAAGGTTCCCGACACGAAGTACTGATGTGATTCAGTTCAGTCGCAGAAAAAAACAATTACGTGAAAGAAGAGATCAAACCAATAAACGAAATTTAGATATTCCCATTCCATCGTCGAGCGTGGTCGACGAGAATTTGAAGTTATTGCAAGACGTCGAGTCAAGCCTAGCGCCTAGACCTACGTGGCGGTCGCAGGAAACGCCTCTTCCTAACTTAAGGCGGCTTTAAGCACTAGATCGCCCACATAAGACTCACTCGGGGTGGACTTTCCCCACATGGGAAATGTTTCGAGAATTGGTTCAAGTAGAGCTTATTCCTCGTTGAAAGTCTCGTGCGTCATATATTACAATATTTCCGGCATGGTCAAAAGGACAGCCTCGTAGTCAAGAATGAAACTCCATGGGCTCTTTGTTGATTGTCGCGCAATATTTTCGAATAAGCTGGATGAGACTGTACAGCCTGAGTTGTTAAACCAGCACAATTGATTCAGTACAGGTTGAATGGACATCACAAATTCGATTCTTTAGGAACGGTTCTTTAGAACTAGAAATGAAAAGTTGACAATGTATCTAAAAGTTTGTACACTAAAGTAGAGTTGTTCGATGATTGAACTCTGACTTCAATTATTTACTCTCACGGCTCTGCGATTTGCAGTTCAAGGACTGCTCTAGAGCTTTCTCTTCGCTGCGGCCTGTGCGATTCGCTTCTGGACTTCTTCTTTCGAGAGAATCTTCACTGCGTTGTTGGAGAAGACATAGCTCAGACCAGACCAAATGGTTGTGCCCGCCACAAGGTACCTAGAGGAGTCAGCCAGTGCAGGGCAAACATAAAGGCACTAGAAGAATCGAAATAAAACGAAAAGGAAAAAAAGAAAAAAAAACCAAAAACATACAACAGCAGGGATTCGCTGGTGGTCACCCACCCAACTACTAACCTGCCGGCGTGTGGCTTAAGTACGGCTGAGCGGACGGGAAGCCCTGTTCTCCACACCCTATGGTCGTATGTACTGGATACGCCACTGGAAAAACTCAAGGCGGCCCAGTCGACATAGTACATGCCATGCAAAATGCAAAGAAAAATGGGGATTGCAAAATGATGAAGGGAATCACTTACTGGAATGCAGTCATGGCCTCGCTCAAATGCCAGGCACTAATGACCGCCTCGGGGACCACGGGAAGGGCGATCGCACTGCCAACTAACACTAGCTGGAGCGCTGTATTGATTTTGGAGATCTCGGTGGGCCTGACTTCAGCCGAAGGGAGAGAGAAGTCCCAGTACCGAGCCATGGTCTTAGGCGGCGGAAGCGAGATCCAGCGGTAATAGATAGCCGAGATGGCTAGACCAACGTCTCGACCGAGAATGATAACGGCGAGCCATACTAAGTTCGCGTCAGACATTTAAACAAAATACATGTGTCCCATCTACGCATCAAATGAGCACTTACCGGGCAGAGACCCGTTGACTGCCAGGCAGGCCACTCCGACCGTCATCAACAGCTTGTCGGCCATTGGGTCGATGATCGTGCCTACGACCGTCTGTAGATGATACTTTCGGGCGATCCAGCCATCAATCAAGTCGGTGATGCCTGCATATGCGAACAGTGATAGCGCGGCAGCATGGTAGTTGTGCACGAGTAGGTACCCCACAACGGGCGCGGCGACCAGTCGGGAGAATGTGAGGATATTAGGGACTGTGTAGATATTCTCATGGCTTGATTGCAGGGGAATTTTCGAAAGAATGCGTTTTGTGGCCGAGCTCAACCTATTGCCTTTAGTCCCGGTTCTCTCGTGAACAATAATCCAATACTCACGTTTTGGAGCCCGATTCGTGGGACTCCTTTGGGTCTTCCGGCCCTTTAGATGTTGACCATCTCTTGATGAGCAGGGACGTCCTGTAGGAGGGAGCCTGACATCCCCGAATTCGTAATTGACTGAAGCACGAAAGTCAGGCCGGAACCATACAGCTAACACTCGACAACGTACCTGGTAGGTAACCGGGCTAAACCCGATGATCTAGTTAGGTTGGAGATGCACCGAGGGCGAAACGTGCCTCGAATGCACAGGGCTCCCTGCTGTTGGAGCGAAAATCGGGCATTGCCCTGGAGGACTCGGGATCCCTGGGCTGCCCGAGTTGGCAACAGTCGAATTGCAAGCATGGCGACCAAATAAAAGTAGCGTAAAGAGCAGATATGGTCAGCTGTAATATGACACGAAGTCGGTTTGGAAACGAGTGGCTCGGGTCAAAATCAATGACGGCACATCAACACATGCCCGATTGGAAAGTTGTGACACCCAACTCAGCAGACAATGATGCGTGCGACTCCCTTTCAGACTTGGCAGTTAGGGAGAAAGCAAGTAATACAATCAGTCAATTCCGATAGCTTGAAACAAAGTCCGCAATCAACAAGCAAGATCTTATATAGTACAGACAGGTACTGCGACCGGGCATTAGCGGGACATGCTTGGTACAGCAGAGCAAGTGTGATCAAACCTTCCGACAAAGACCAAAGCCGGAGACCGTGCGTAATGGGAAAACCGAGCCCGAGATGGTCTCGTGAGAGGTTGAGGCGCGGATGATTTTAAGGCCCGCGGATCATTAGTTAATCCATTCCCCGGACGTGCCACATCGCCGATCAAATATCGTCCCAACTTCTTCGACAACTCGGGTTGTGAAGAAAAGAAAATATAAGAAATGACGTGTTCTACCTTGAGACTAATACTTGACTCTGCTAACCACAGATACAGCATAGCATCTGAAAAATGAGTCACCTTGGTAGTCCGTCATCCCCCATTCACCTGACAGCCGCATACACATGACGATCCGCCTGATAGATGGCTTCATCAGCTTGGTTATAGTCATGGAATTCCCACCAATTTGTAAAACCTCTTGGCTCATTATTACTTCTACGAAAATGCGGCTGCAGGTCTAAGGGCCGCGACTATCACAAAATCTCCAGATGGAGAGCAAACAGCGGAGTATAGCAGGGGACAAGCGGCGTTGTTCAAGTGTGGTCTGTACATTATGGGTAGACCACCTCCAGCCAACAATGGCGCCAACTCATCAACGGCTCGCTCAGGCGTATCCTCCAAACCACCCATCAGTGACGAAACGCACAAACATAAGAAATCCCACGATCCAAATATGGACAACCCTCGATTGTTGGTCAATCGCGCATGTATTTACGAACGGCAGCTGCCCGGGGTACATATATTACAGCGCATGTATCCCGTCTCCAGCATGGCTTCTGGGATAGTCCAGCAGTGTCCGACGCATACGCGGAACATGTTGATTTCCTAGCCTTGAGCTTTGTCTTCCACTCGGCGCATACGTTGTCACATCGCTTCAAATCTGCCACTGTCCGCGTTTCCGTCCAGCCCAGCTTTGAGAAACAAAAGCCCACATTAATAAGCAGGTCTTCCTCCGATAATCCGCACTTTCTGATGCACGCACCACATCTCATCTACGGTGCTGTCTCTCCAGAGACTATGGAGTGGTCCTTCAGCTTGGCTGGTTCACTCGGTGTCTCCGAAACCCCTGTCAGCGCCAGTATTATCCCGTCCGGCAGCATGATTGGACAGTACCGTCGGTACGAGATGATGCGCATTCAAGGCTCGTCTCGTACCTTGAAGAGCCCCAGGGGCCCTGAATATGATGTGGAGGCCGGTGAGGTGATGTGGTCTCTCGAGGAAAACAGCCTGCAGCGATCTGGTCTTCCCCGCGAGTTTACCTTTGTCATGCTCATTCAAAAACCGGCCGCCAATAGCAAGATCAAGCTGTCTCTCGAGATTGACCCTGTCATCCAAGCCTTCTGGGGTAGCTACCCCGGGTGGATGCTCCGATTGGCTCCATACCAGCCCTTGAAGCGCCGAGGCGTCGATTTCCGTCGAGAGGTGGGTCAGCACTTTCAACCCGCAGACCCGCAGCGCGGTTTCAACTTTGCTATCTTGGAGAGCGCATTTGATCACTACATAGCAATGCCTGGACGAAAATTCACACGCCGAGTAAGCACATTGAATCGGTTTGGGGCGGAGACAATATCGCACGAGAAGAAATGGACACTGATACACTCACAGTTAGAACTTCCAGCAGAAACCCAACTCCCACATTTCAGTAGCGGTCAGCAGGGATATCCAGGTCAATATGGAAACTTGGGTTCTTCGCAACAACAAGGAACTAGTTTGACCAATACCCTCCTACAAAACCAACTGCGCCAGCTCAGCACCCACCTCGGAACCCAAGAACCAGCTGCCTCTGCACCCGTGTCTGCGCCAGTAAATACTGCCTTTGTGGAGGGCATGTCGGTACCCATTTCGATTCCGAGCGCACTTGGCTCCACAAACACATATAATGTACGCCTTGGGCTTGACCCAACCTTGATCCAGCCATTTGCCGCCCTCCACGCAAGCTCCTCCACTCACCAGAAGCAACTTCTTGAATCGGACGCACCATACCACGTAACCAGCGTGCGGGAAACTAGGGCTGAGCATCGCAGCTCAAGACAAGGGCGCGTCAACAGCTCGTCAACAGAAGCGGATCGGTGGCTCTATGACGAGGGCGCCGATTGGAATACCGAATGGTCATCACCCTTACTCAACGCGGATGTCGGCCTCAAAAGCTACGAGAACGTGCGAGAGGGGATGCTACGTACCGTGCATCCGAGAGGGCGGTTTGATGGGTCTGGCTCGACCAGAGAACAGAAACGTGTCATGAACCTCAAGAACCAGCCTTTGACTTCGGGTCTGCTCTCTTCTCTCTCAGAGGATGAAAGTGAAGACTGAGGGTGTAAGCAGGAACAATATGTGACCGGAAGTGAATGCTAGCATGGGCGGGTATGTGATGCGTATGTCTTTTATTCTTCAATGCTACTATGTGCATGGTATCGCCCAACTTTACTCTTGTTCTTAGATTTCCTGGATTTTTGCCCCATTCCTCGTGCAGATTTGATACCCCTCGGTGGCAATTGCTTCAATTTGCTGGTGTTTTGCTTTACTCGAGTTCTTGATGTTTATACTGACGCTAGGGTATTTACACGCTTCAATGTTTTAACTCTCCAGGCTCGAGAGAGTCTTCAATTCTACTTTCAGGCCAATAAATTACCCCCCAGAGGACTTCGTGTTCAGCCTGGACTTGTGGTATCCACAGTATCTAGCTGGGGCGCAAACCATGGCGCGTACAACATGACCATCAAAGCAATTCAAATAGGCTTACACACTTCTTTCTTCAGTCATTTGTCGACATTTTCCCCTGGTAACTTTTAATCATCCCGGTTGAAACCTTCAAATGGTTTGTTATGGGCCAAGTTACTTTGATTAATGTAAAACAAGTCGTCAGATAGCAATTCTGTAATATCACCATCCTATGTACCGTACTAGACTAGCCACCAGCAGCAATGACGATCGTGTGCCGTGGTGGGTCCAACCAAGCCTCGAAGCTCCCCGCGAAATCAAGAATCCAATTTCACATATATCCAACATCCAAACCCAAAGATGCCAGCTCTCGGCGCGCTCGGCGTAAACTTCAACGAGAATCTAAATTGGCTCAAACAATCTGAACTTGAATGCATCAAAACAAAATGGGTTCGCGGCTTCATCGACATGCACCAAATAAACATCCAACAAGCTCGCCAAAACGCAAACATAAAACCCCTCTTCAATGCCATTGACACAGGCTACAACACCATCCTAAGCTTAAAATGGAACTACAGCAACCTCGACTTCCCCAAACCCGGAAGTCCAGAACACCAAAGCGAACTCCAGACCCTCTCACGCCTTTTAGACATGGTCATGAACCACGTCGATATCCTCGTCATCGGAAACGAACCATTCATCGAAGCAAAACCAGACACAGACTCCAGAATCAACGTATTCTACGAGTCTCTCGCGGAAGTAGTGATGACCTCCCGCAAAGTCTCACCAGGTCCCAAAACCACAAGACTCTTCATGGGCGCTCTCAACAGACTCGATCTACCCGCAAACCGCACACCTGCGATCGAGCGCTTCCTGGAATACATAGCTTCGAAGCCTGATCTCGACGGTGTGGATCTCCATCTTCACATGGCGGGATTAGCGGGCCATCAATCCATGCTCGATTATGCGCTTTTGAGACTCCGTGCTGATCAAAAGTTCCTGGTAACTGAATTTTCGCTCGTCTGGCATTTTAGACAGCATATGGCGGATGAAGTGTCGCGAGAGTTCTGTACAAAGTATGGATTCCCGGTGAGGACGAAAGTGTGCGAGATTCTTAGTGCGGGGATTCGTAGTCCGATGCCGTTGGGGCAGTGGGTGGACTTTTTGAGAGGCGAGAAGTGGTATAACGGGGTGCGGGGCTTTATCCTGCAGGCTATGGAGATGTATAAGGCTACGGGGAGGCTGGAAGTTGCTACGTATGGACTTTCGCCGATGCGTCATCGGAAGAAGGGTTTTGATGTTGGGGATACGCCTTGGTTGCTGAATGGAGTGTTTGCACCGCCTACAGTTAGAATTGGGGAGGATGGAGAGAGGTGTGAGAATTGGCCTTGGGCGGAAGAGTTTCGCGTTATACAGGGTGGATGAGGGATTTTTATGGGGCGAAATGTCTGAATAATCCTCGTGTTCATTCGATCAAGTGAAAGAAGTATCAAAGTACATGGTATAAGTGACCGTGCTGAAAGCGACCTGCGGGACAGTGACAGTATGAGAGGACCAGGTAATGGAAATATGTGAAAAGAATTAAACAGGTTCAAAGGAACCCAAGGGCCAACATGGCCATACCCGCCCACATGCCGGAGACGAAAGTCTTAGATCCAGCGTTGGAAAAATAAGTGGTAGATGTAGTAGGGGTGGTAGGAACAGTGGTAGAAGAAGGCATGGATTTGCTGAAAGTAGTCATCGTCGAGATGTCGGTAGCGGGAGGAGGGTGGTGGTGCCAAGAACCAGGCACACGGTGGTGGTGGAGCTCAGAGTGACCGTGCTGAAAGCGACCTGCGGGACAGTGACGGTGTGAGAGGACCAGGTAATGGTGGTGCAAGGAGTAGTCAGGGGAACCGCAGTCAGAGTACCCTTGGTAAGAGGGGAAGTGTGAGTAGGCATGGGAGTGGTCATGGGAATAGAGACCGCTTCTGAAGTGGTTGGGGGCAATTCAACAATAGCAGGATTCTTGGGAACATAGGGAGCGCAAATGCCAGCGAAGTAAGCAAGCGAAGACTTCAATTCCTCGTCGGAGGAGCTCCAGGAGTGGATGCAGGACTTGACCTTGTCCGCAAACTCGGTGGATGGGCAGAAGCATGCAGTGTCGCTGTTGGAGTCACACTTGGGGACGTTGAGCCATGTGTTCAGGCACTTAGGGACGACCTCGGGACAGGGAGCAGGCACGACAGATGTAGTGGCCTCGGCAGGGGTGGATGTGTCAGGGCTTGTAGACACAGTCTCAACCTTAGTGACAGACGGGTGAACAGAAGTCGACAGGCTCCAGGTGGAGGTCATCACCTGGGTAGAGTGACTAGGGCAGTCAGTCACAGTGGCAGGGCATTGAGTCACTGTGAATACATGGGTCGTCCAAATAGTGGAAGTCATTGGCGTCTCGGTAGTCACTGGTGTCTCAGTAGTCATTGGCTTCTCAGTGGTCGAGGGGGTCTCGGTAGTGGCCAGGGTCATGATGCTGGTCCATTGAGTGTGCGCGGTGGGCATAGTCATAGTTGTGCTAGAATCGGTGGTCTTGGATGATGAAGCCGTGGGGGGAGGCTTGGGTCCAGAAGAACAGTCAAAGTCCATGGAATGGATATTCAGATCACATTCGCCGAACTTGCTGTCCTCGGGAAGCGAGAACTGAACGGAAACCGCGCCACCACACTGCTCGTTGGTGACATCGACGCCCTGGGGAGAGCTGAAAGCCAGCTGGTGACAGTGGGAACCATCAGCCAGCTCATAGTTGAGAAGGACATTGGTGTCCCGGGAAGTCGACAGTTGGAAAGTGCTGACGGAGAACGGAGCGTCCTCGGAGTCCACACTGATGGAATAACCATCATCTCGGGACAGCTTTCCTTGGATACAGTTGCCCTATTTCAGGGTTAGAATGTTGCGGCCCATTGCGCGTCATGTATGGACTTACTCCGGATCCACCGCAGTTATCCTGGGGCGCGACTCCATTGAAGCTGAAGCCTTCGAAACTCCAGTCATCACCGTCGACGAGGTCAGACCAGTCGAAACCAGTGTTCTGAGTATCAGAGCATTGGTTGTCGGTGTTTTCGGGACTGGGATAGCAGAAATCGGTACCCCACCACTGCAAGTTTGTTAATGTTCCGATCTTCGCAAAGCACCAGACTCAGGTAAGTACTTACCAGGCCACTGGGATGGGCCAGCGCAACGGCGCCGAAAAGAATCGAGATAGTAACAGCCTTCATCGTGGGTGATAAAAGGCAATTGCGATGATAAATGAGAGACAGCAATTGATGCTTTTCGAAATTAAAAATGTATAAGGGGTTGAAGATGGTTTCAAAGAATGACGAGAAGGCGAGAGTTTTAAAGAAAGACGAGAAGGCGAGAGTTGGCGATGTTGTCGACTGAATGAATGTAGGCGTAGGATCACTACATGGCCGGGGAAACTGGGGCTTTTTAAGCTCAAATGCCATGAAGCCCAAAAGCAACGGCAATATCTGCAGCAGGTTGCATATACTGATGTTTACTATCACCAAACCCGTGCGGAATGCGCCCAATCAAACCCAGTCCCTCCTAGTTGTGAAGGCAGGGATTAGTCCAATTGCGAGTGCTCTAGCAGTTGTTTCCCTGAGGGTGGATTGAGATAGATCCAGCAGGACAGGACTTACAAGGCGAGAGCTAGGGGATCAGGAATGCGCCACAGTCCTGGTGAACACAGAAACTCGGCGAACCGCACTCAGCGGGAGCTCCATATGGAACCCCATGCTTTTCAACAACATGAAACTGAATTTAAGAAACCGTTGGCACTAGACAGTTAACCTTAATTAACCTATGATTGATAGACCTACATCGAAGTGACCGCTTTTCTCGAGGCCTCACGACTCATTTAATTTACGCTTAACAAGGCCTAGCCATGTCAATTTGATCCAATGCTACTTATTTTCCCATCTACAATTGAAAATACAACATGAAATTACTTACGCAAGTTCCTCGCTCGAAAACTCCCAGAAACCCGTTTCACTACATTCCGCACTCCGACGCCGGAACCCTTGCCGGACCTCATTCCAGAACAGGAAAGACTCGTGAGGGTCACGCCAATCATAGTCCTCAGTTCTAGCATCCCAAGGAACCATACATTCCGATCCCTTGGTGGATAACATTAGGTGCTTCGGTACCTGGATGCAATGTGACATCCATTGATGAGATAGGGTCTTGACTGCGAAAACGACAGAAGAGGCAAATACCCGAAGAGAGATGTTTTGAAAAGGACTGAGTACATTGATTACTTGTGAGCACTTTATACATAGAGAAGAAGCTCATGACATTCTTGTTAAAAATGGATCGTTTGGCTGTTATGCTCTGCATCTACGCGGAATCGTTAACAGATCAGAGTTGGACAAAACACTTCTTGAATAGTCAAAACTTAGTTGGCCTCTGAAATGAACAAGCATAGCAGTTCTATATATTGATTGATTGAAATTGACTACGTTAGAAGGGAGAAGGAAAAATTAATCATTAATTTATCTTCGAAGAACAATGATATATATGCTCATATGGAGCATGACTGGATTAATTCCACTTCTGGTCCGGTTGTCAACAAGACCCAAATTCACCAGGTACCCCTGTCAGCCCCAATAGACGAGACGAAGCCCTCCGGCGTGCGCTAAATTCCAGTACGAGGCAAGCTTCCTCAGTAACATTAACATCGAGTCACAAGTATCAATTTCACTTTGCGACCCTTTGGGTGGGTTGAGAAAGATATCATATCCGCAACATTCCGGGGCTCATTGGGACTTATGTCAAGCATTTGAGCACCTGAGACCCCCTCAAAGTAACCATCATCAGATCCAACCCATAGATAAATCTGGGTATGATTAGTACAATACGACTATGCACATTCGCGCAGAAGTCGAGCTTCAGTAGTACCATCTGAATGCGACTTCTACAGTCATCATGAAGAGTTTTTCAAAGCAGAACTGCATTCAAGAAAACCCCTTCAACATTGAATGCCTGGTGATATATCTACAGGACCCGGTGGATGCAACACCACTAACCATCAACCACAATCAACTACGACGCCATACCAAAAAAGAGCACTGAATTTCAGAATCGGCCACCCAGTCAAGATGGAAACATTCATATATAGTAACCGACTTGGTATCTTCTCCACGATCGCGTCCTTTCACCCGAATCAGCTCGGAACTATCAAATCATTATCCGAATGGCGGAAAAAGCCACGATCCGATTTCGCCCATTCATATACCAGAGAAATAGATCGTATAGACTAGTCAATCACTTATGTTAATCAATGCACACCCGGACAACTTCACAAACTGAAAGAACAGGGCAAACAACGAAAATAAAGAGGCTTACCGTAACCATATCCTAAAAGATATCGATATTTTAATCAAGCCAAACCCCATACGAGAAGCATTCAGACAAGTTCAAGTTGCAGTTTACCTGACCTCAAGCAAAAACCCACTCCTAAAGCTAAATTTCATAACAAGTAACATTTTCTGATAAAAAGGCTTTGAATTGGTAATAGAGAACTGGCAATAGGGGAAAACGAAACGTTTTGGGTACTTGAGGGATTTGTTGCATCACATCGTCAGGAAAATTCACAAGAAAACGCCACCGAGCGAAAAAAGCAGAGAGCCGACACAGAGACAGTGGTAATAATGTTCGAAGCCTTGGACCACACACGCACACACACAAGCACACAAGCACACACATAAGGGTCAGTAAACGGAGACCGTATGGACAGAAAGACATGAGTACATCGGGAGGGGGTCACTCGAAGGCTCGATATCGAGATTCAGTTCGACTAGAATTCAGGGCGTAGAGCAGCATATGCGAACGCGAAAATTGAATCCAGACCTGGATTCAAGCTCGAACTCGAATTTTGGACTCCCCAGATCCATGTCCCCTCCCATAATTATGGAAAAAGAGATGACACACAAAAGAAAAAAAAAGGCCATATCTCAACATGGGTGGTCTATATCGCCGAGCAAAAGAGAAAAAAAAGAAGAGGCAAACAAGGAAAAAAAAGACAATAGCCGCCCCGACTCCCCGCTTCGAACCAGTCGAGAGTTAAACATTCCTGAACAATCCATATTCGTAAAACCGGTAGAGGGCATTTCAGCATTTGAAAAACCAGATAACCATCCCATAGAGAAAGCAACGCAAACGCAAAACACGCAAATACGAGTCATAACTCACGAACGAATGAATTAGAACCAGAAACCAGAACCAGAATCAGAATCAAAGGGCCGACCCAACACCTAGCGAAAACAGGGGGAGATGAACATTGACATGGACATGAGCGTGAACTTGACATAATTAGATCTGCGGCTGCGCGGGGGCAGTGGTCGTCCAAGACGATAGAGGCTGCGCGGCTGCGTAATGGGGGTGGTTCACGGGCGCTGCGGGATTGACGTAGTACTGAGATCGGTCGCCGTAGTAGGATGGGTGAATGGGGTTTGATTCGCGGCGGGGTACTGAGGGGTCCAAGGGGCCGATACCGCGATCGAGAGAGCTGTGGTCCATTTGGCCGGACAGGCTGAAGCTGCCACGAGAGTAGGTGGCTGGTGTCGATGAATCCATGGGGGAAGTAGCATCTGTGGCGACGCTCCGGGAGGAAATGGAGCTATTCCGATAAGCGGACGGGCTGTGGTCGGAGGTTGAGCGGTTGCGTTCGCTGAGACTGCTGGGGATGGCGGTGTTGATGGCGCCGGGAATGGAGGAAGAGAGCGCGCTGTGACTGAGGGAGTCCATGCTACCACCGTAAGGTCCTGCGCGGAAGGCATGATAGTCATCATGTTTCACCATCGGTGCAGCCGGCGAAGGCAGGTATGGATTCGGTGCTGGCTGACCGGGCATGGAGTTGCCCAAGGAATATCCTGTGATCGGGCCCGTTTGTGGAGGATGTGTGGCGGCGTAGGGACTGGCGTGCATGTAGAAGTCAGGGGATGGGTTGGGCATGCCGTATCCAGGCGGAGCCATCATTTGCGGGCGGTAGCCGTAGAGGGCGGCGTGCGAGGGGTCGTGAGCGCTCTCCATGGCGCTTGTCTCTAGATCATCGATGGGTGCACGGAAGCTCTGTTTCTGGGTGAGATCGACGCGCGGGCGAATGTAGCGGAGCGACTCGACCATCGAGGGAGGATTGAGCACGCCGCGCATGACGTCCTCGACGCTGTAATAAGAGACCAAATGGTGAGTGATGCCCATGACGGTGACGCTCATCGTCTTCTTGACCAAACCCGAATCCTTGAAGCCGTACGAGTCAACCAGCGACCCCACCAACGCGCGCTCGACCTCGGACTGGTGTGGTCGTTCCCCAAACGGTGGGGAAGGCTGTGTCGGGGAGTAGCCCTGTCCGCCATTGCTGTCATGTCGAGTGGGATATGGCTCGCCCGGTCGAGTTGGGGGCACGGGTCGTCGATTGGCCTTTTTCATCGCGCGCTTCTTCTCTCCGGGCGGGAACGGCTTGTCCAGTTCTCGGTAAACGAGAAAGTTGCCCAGGATGCGACTCGGACTCCAGGTGACGCCATCGGTCCATCGCTTGATGCCGGAGGAGTTCTCTTCGTAGATAAAGACGCTACCGCTGCGCACCAGATGACTGCGTTCCCGGTCGTGGGGTCGTCGGGGGACATGATGCAAGACCCCAGTCAAGCATGCCTCGAAGAGAATCAACGCATCTTGTGTGGTGGCCACATAGCCGGTGAAAGTGGGCTCCAACACGGCCGCAGTGCCGTTCACCATGATGGGGTTGTGGAAGAAAGAGTCCAGGTACCCCAGATGTGAATCACAAAAAGGAAAAAAAAAATAAGCTAAGGAGATCGACCAGGGTATGGAGAAAGGCGAGATGCGATGGTTTTGACTCGACCCCTCAGCAGTTGGAATTCCAGGGATCGAAGGCAAAGCACGGACCGTCAAGTCAGCGAGTCAACAGGTTGCACCGATCGTGGAGAGATGGGATCTACTCGCGCGGTTCCACGGATCCCTGGGGCGCGGCAAGAAGCTTTTAGGGGGAGAGGGATCCACCGAAGTGTCGACGTAGACGTAGACGGGGACGTAGCCGTAGCCGTAGCCGTGGCCGTAGACTTTTAAAAGCACTAGTATACCTGATAAGAAAGGGGGGGGGAGGAGAAAGGATTGAGGAGGTACTGGTACGGTCAGAGGCACCGGGAGGCTAATCGTAAATGTTAATGTTAATGTTTAAAAGCCTCGGAGCGGAGGGTTCACTGCGGGGCGAACCTGTGTAAATAAACGGGAATTATAATTTCTAGTCTAGCGCAAGTCCGTAGTCACCAACTCTTCAGGTATCTAGGGGAAGAGTACGGGTAGGGGGGTAAGGGTAGGCTTGGGGACTCGAGGATGACCTGATCGGCGCGCGCTCTCCTTTTACAGCGGAGAAGAAGGGGGGGTGTTCAAAACACGTTTTTTTTTTTCTTCTCTAAACCCTCCGATGAGTGTCTTACAGTATCATTTACGTAGCCACGATAGAAGTGAGAGTGCAGTCATCATCGAGTGAACCCCGTGCCATGGACGATCCCCGGTGGAGCCCGTGGATTATTGGAATCGGAGGGTCACTTCTCTCCGGGATATCTGACTCAGCTGCTCGTTTCCCTACCAAGCTAGAAACGGTTAGACGTTGCTCCACCACCACGTACCAGAACACACCCAAAATCCTCATCCTAGCCAGGTTTTGGGTGGGCGCCAAGCTAGAGAACAACCACGGTCAGAGAGGAGGGGGGCGGGGGGGAGATATCCACGGTTCCCTCCAATCATCTGTAATACGAGAGAACACGAGAAAAAGAGGAGGGTAAAAACAAAAAAAGGAGGGAGGCGGGGAGCGACCAAGACTAGTGCAGCAGGCCGACACTATTGAAAAAAACTGGACTGGGGCGCAGTGGGACGGTGATCACGGCACGTCAGAGATCTTGGGAGCTTGGCCCCCCCCCCAAATTTCGGGTCCCAAATAGCCCCCTCGAGTGGCACTTGCCAGGCCCTAGGAATGGGGGGGGGGGCCTAGCGATGACCAACGGTAACCCCGACAGTGGAGGACTGAGCGTTGACCCCATTTCACGGGTGCCTGGACCATCGAAATGAGTATAGCGCCTATACACCACGCGTCGCAAGGTTGGCAAGAGGGTCCCGTACCTGGGATGAAAGTTTCGCGGGAGATCCTCAGCAGATCCAGTTGTCCTCTTTGCACCTCCCCCGGTCTTTCTTCACGGGCGACAGTCTTCCGTGTTTCAGCACGTCGATTGGTTCCCGGGGATGTGGGTGAACAGGAGATGATCAGAGTAATGGCGTACCGGTCGAACTCAATTGACGCGGGACAGATGTCATGCTACAGAAAGGATAGCTTTGAAAAATTATAGATCCCGAGAGCACGGAAGAGCACAGAGAGAACCGAGAGAACCCGATCGGACAGATAGTAGTATGCACTCGACTCCTCGATATGATCTCATGTGGAGATGCCTGGCACGGATCCCCTCGATCGCCGTGTTCTGGACTTCTTAAGCGCGGAGACCGGAGTGCAGCACAGCTCCGTCAACTCCGTCAACCGGCCGAGCAAATCAGCACCTGGTCCGCCTGTCCGCGTCCACCCTGCAGATCTCATCTTTTATTCGCGACGGCCACATCCCATCCACCCCGGACCACTCGCTCGGGCCAGCCATCCGCACAGACGCGAAGAAAAGACTCCCAAGTGGGGCTGTTCCTTCTGGCTTGGTCCGGCCACTCAGCGCCCACGGACCCGTCTTATCATGGACGAAAGGTCGATCCCTCTGCCAATGTCCCGAAAGCCCAGAAAACCGCAGAAACGCACTCACGCTAAGAGCAAGCCCCCCCTCGCTAGTCCGGGGTTGGCTCGGTGGCGTGGACCCAAGACATCCGGTTCTAGCGCGCAACTGAGAAATCCCGCACTTGACTCGCTCTATTAATCTACAACACGAGCTCGACCCAGTTTCAACTGGGGAGGGGGCGGGCTGGATCTACGGGACTGAATGGAGTCTTCTGTACTGCCACAAAACACGATCATGACCACGATAACGACCACGACCACGACCACAACCACGACCGTTCATCACTCCGTCACCGAATCGTGCATCTGCACGATTCGCCAGATGTGGCCTGGCGACCTCCGAACTGACCGACCAATGATAGCCACTGGTGAGCGGATTCAAAACAGTTGGCACCATGTGAAGCTCGTTGTCTACTTGCTCTTTAGAGGACTTGGGGACCGGACCCCCCTAAATCAGTCGGTGGCTCCGAGACCATTGATCCTGGTTTTTAGCCTTCTTGCCCAGTACACTTCCAGTTCAGTCGTCTTTCATTCTTGATCTTGGTCTTTTCGTAGATTCGGCACTGACCTCTGGCCTTGGAAATTCTTTCCCAATATTCAAGATCGTAGGGGGGGTCCTGAGGTCACAGATCATCACGATCGTCTATTTCTTCCCTTCTCGGTACTAGGGCCCCTTTGGTCAGATCATGTCCACTTTCTTTTTTTTTTTTGGTTTTCTGGGTATTGCCTGATAGATCCAGTCTGTGCTTGCTGCCCCGGTTCTTTTGCTTTGGTCCCAGTACCTAATTGTACAGGAGCCGTGGATTCGGTTTTGGGTTTCACGGGAAGTCAGTCGTAAAGGCTTAGTGGGTCTTCGTTATTGTGATGATCCAACTGCACGGGAATTGATGTACCTGCTACTTAGGTTAATGGAGCAGAGGTTATCCTTAATCTTTAATTCTTAATTTTCTGAATGCTTAATTTTTAAAATGCTAAATCTAAAAAATTGAAACATCCTGGTATTTTCATATAGATTAATTCTTGAGTGACTTACCGCCCTAGGCAACAGACAGTTTATCGCCCGAGACACTCGGAGGGGCTCAACACGAGCTTGATCCGGCCGCCCGGGTCATCACTACATACGCGCCTAATCTGGTAGGTCGTTAGGCCTCCAAACGGTGGACTTCTGGGGGGAGGGGGGGCGGGGCGCTAGAACTCGACTCCACTAGCTATATTCGACGGACTTGACCTTGACTGCCCAATGTCTGCATGATCCAGACTCGCTGGCGCTCTACAGTATGCACACTGCACACTGCCTTGGTGTACTTTTTTTTTTTTGTTTCCAGCTCTCCAGCTACTACCCTTGCTCAAACCAAATAGAATCTTTGAATTATTTTGAATCTCGACGATTATTCATGCAGAGATAAAAACCCCACAAGGCTCCGGCTCTGGGCTGTAGCTGTTGCCCTCATTGCAGGGATTCTCGGCATTTGGGTCCTCGGATTCCAAACAAATTTCAGGATTCAGGGGCTCTGTGTTACCCCGTTTCGCGTCGTACGAAAACCGCTGATTCCATGTTCAACATGTTCCCACTTACACTCATCTGTGTGCAGTGTGCAGGCTTTGCGGTCAAAACACGCGAGCATGAGGTGATCACGAGATAGAGTCAAGCGCGCCACTTCCTATGTGGCGTGTATCTTCGGTGCATATGATCCTAGTCACATGGTGACGATGATTCGTACGGAACAAGATCCACAATGTCATGGAGGTGACAGGAGATGAGGAAAGTCAATCTGCAGGCACTGTGCTTCCTATTCTGCCATTATACTACTGAGAGAAACAGCTAGTGGCGGTCTAATGGGTAATTGCTAGAACTTCCCTTTTCACACCCCCCTCCTCTCGCACCGACCCTGTAGCACTAGCACTAGCACTAGCACTATGAATAATCCCAAAATTGGGATCATACCACTAAAACTCGCAAACCTTGGGAACACCGCAGCCACATACACCGATTGGCGCGATCGCCACCCCAAATCCATTCCACGATCGAGACAACGCGCCGCGCTCTACGTGTGAGCATCATAGAATCAGAAGAAACTAGGGCGGGTGTTCACTCGAAATAATTCTCATGCAGACGATCTCATCCCCCAAATTACTCTCCCCTTGCGTTCCACGTTTCCACGCGTGAACGCGTGGAAGCTGACTCGAAGATGCCTCATGGCCATGCATGAACTTTCCCTTTCACTTTTTCGTCGATGCGTTCATTTTTAAACCTTGCGCTATGCATGTCAGAAGCCACAAGCTCTGATCTTCGATTGTATCCACTTGTTCGTATCGTACCGAGGAGATCAATGAGGGGGAAAAGAGGGGGGGAAACTTGCAGTGTATCCCTGTGGTTTCGGATCGCCCCTTGCGTGGTGTCCGAATTGGCGGTATGAGGGGGGTTGAGTTTGCGGGTTGAGCTGGTTCGTGTGTTGACGTGTGTCTGGGGTGCGTCTGGGGTTTGGATTTAGATTTGGGTTTGGGATTTGCTTTTTTTACGGGGTATTTTTGTTTGAGTTTGTGCTTGAAGTGCTTGTTCTGACTGTAGATGTGGTGGATTCGGTGATGGCTTGAATTGCTTGGATACGAATGTTTCAGGTGAAGAATTGAGTAGACTGGGTAAATGATGTGTGCGTGGCATGTATATCTGGAGAAGGTGCTCAGTAGAATTGATCTTGTGGTTCAAGCCAGACTCATCAATGATGAAATTATCCCGCTCAATGGCTAGTGTTCATGATAGATATGAAATTGATAGGGGACCAACACAAAATAAAGATACAAAATACAAGCGCAAAAATGCATACTGTCCCATCCATGTCGTATTGTACAAATCCAGCGCCGTGGGTTGCTCCGTGAATGCCAGTTTCAAATCAGCTTCAAATCGTACAGAGGTAGATGTTGGTGTTCACGGCGACGAGCGCAACACTTCATCGACATCTCCATCCTCAGACACCTCCTTGGCGAACCCGGTCCCCTTCCGCACATGCATGAGAAGTCGGAGCGCACCTGTAGGCGTAACGCCTTCGATTCGCCTGGCCATGCCAACACTGGCGGGCCGGACACGCTCGAGAGCCTGCTTCTCTTCATTGCTGATGCCAAAGATCTGGCTATAGTCCAGGTCAGCGGGTAAAAGCAGGTTTTCATCCTGCTGGAACCGCTGAGCCATCTTCTCCTGTCGCTTAAGGTATGGAGCGTACCGGCCTTCGATGGCGACCCGGGCTCGAATCTCCGGTGCAAAGGATGAGGGCGTATAGGCAGTGCCAGAGGTCGATTCAATGTGTGGAATCAAAGTGTCAATGTCGGCGCCGTCAAGACACAAGATGTCGAGAGCGGAGCGGACAGAGGTGTCGACGCGGACCTTGAATCCTTTGCGGGACCATGCACTCGAGGAGAGCTTCGTGTTAGCGAGTAGAGTTTGCAGCTCTTGGATCTGAGTCTCTGTATCTGAGAAGTGCCTCCAGCGCTTGTCATTGACGACACCGGCGTCGCGAGCCATCCGCGTCAAGCGAAGATCAGCGTTGTCGGAGCGGGTGGAGATACGGTACTCGCTTCGAGTGGTGAACATTCGGTATGGTTCGGAGACGCCCTTGGTGATGAGATCGTCAATCATGATACCAATGAATCCATCAGATCGACTGAGAGTCATTGGGGCCCGGTTTTGTGACTCCAGACCCGCGTTCATGCCTGCGATAATACCCTGTCCGGCCGCTTCTTCATAGCCAGTGGTACCGTTGATCTGGCCAGCCAGATAGAGACCGCTGATCAGCTTCGTTTCCAGTGTAGCGCGGAGGTTACGCGGGTCGATGTAGTCGTACTCCACACCGTAGCCTGGTTGGAGCATGGTCACATTCTCGAGACCACGAACAGTGCGCAGCATGGCATACTGCGCGTCCGCGGGCACTGTCATCGAGATACCGTTGGGGTAGATCACTTCGTTAGGCGCAAAGCCTTCTGGCTCAAGCCATATCTGGTGTCTCTCCTTGTCTTTGAATCGCATAATCTTCGATTCCAAAGACGGACAGTACCGCGGTCCTCGGACAGTTTCCCGGATATGCACCGATTTGTCCAAGTTTGCGCGAATGATTTCGTGCGAGGCTTCGTTGGTATGGGTCATCCAGCAATTGAGCTGGCCCTCGTCGCCGACATCAACGCCCTTGTTCAGATAGGAGAACGGCATGGGAGGTGAATCACCCTTCTGAACTTCCAGAGGCTTGAAATCGATCGTCTTCATATCCAACCGAGGCGGCGTGCCCGTCTTCAACCGTCCAAGTTGGAATCCCGCATCGCGGAGAGACTTGCTCAACCCATACGTAGGAGCCTCCCCCATGCGCCCAGACGGGTAACTCTCCAGTCCGATATGAATCTCACCACCCAGGAAAGTTCCAGTAGTGATGACTACACGACCAGTAGGAATCACCTCGCCTGACTCCAGACGAACACCAACGATCTTTCCCTGAGCACCCGGCGTATTCTCAACACCTTCCTTCGAAACCACAATATCCGCAACCTTGCCCTCCACAATACTCAATCCCTCCGTATTGACCAGTTCTTCGGTCATATGCTTCCTATACAGATCGCGATCGATCTGCGCGCGGGGCCCCCACACCGCCGGGCCTTTAGAGCGATTCAAGACTCGGAACATAATCCCCGCTTTGTCGATAATACGTCCCGCGACTCCATCCATCGCATCCACCTCGCGGATCATTGTGCCCTTTCCGATTCCGCCGAAACTGGGGTTGCACGAGCAGACACCGATATTCGATAACGAGGGCGTCACCAGCGCAGTACGCGCCCCTGACCGCGCAGAAGCCGCACATGCTTCCGATCCAGCATGTCCGCCTCCGATCACAACGACATCGTAGGGTCTAAAGAGCCTTCGTTAGTTATTGCCAAAAAAGTATCAGGGGTACAAGATTTACGTACTGCGTCCCTTCAGAGACCGTCGCTAGACCTCGCGTCCGACCTAAAACCCAGGCCGACCCGACCCGCCTCCGAAATAGAGACACTGGTCTCGCGCGAAACGCCATGGTGCAGTGCATTGAATCTCCAAAACCGAAGCCGCGATAAGACAAAAATAATGTCGACGTCACGTGGTCGATAAGAGAATGACATAAGCGTTCTTGCGCAATCGGCCAATTGCGGGGCTGCAGATATTCAGCGACGGATTTCTCAAGATTCTCACAATCATACTCCTCACTCTTCTCATCGAATACAATCGCTAACTACTGCATTATGAGGGCATACTGGTATGATAACAAGCCGGTAAGTTTCCCTCCACTGGTGCATCTGCTTCGCATGGAAACTATACCTATTTACGAAATACCCCGATGACGCAAATGGTTCCTAAGCTGCATACTAATTGCGTATCTCACAGGGCGACCAGCGCGAGCCTCATGACTCCGGCAAGGCCGTCTCTGAAGACAAGCTCGCTTCTCTAGGCGTCTTGTATCACCACTGCCCATCCATCGAAGCCGTCGACAAGCTCGCCGCGGAGCGGGGCTACAAGAATCGCGACGAAGTGTGCGTTTCACCTGCGACGATGGGCGAGGTGTACGAGGAGAAAGTCAAGTCGTTCTTTGCCGAGCATCTGCATGAAGATGAGGAGATCCGATACATCCTCGACGGTGAGGGATACTTTGATGTCCGCGGCGTGGATGATGAGTGGATTCGAATCTGTCTGGTCAAGGATGATATGATCATTCTGCCCGCGGGTATTTATCATCGTTTCACGACGAATGAGCAAAATGTTAGTATTATCGCCGTCCTGGATTCTGCTTTTTCGCGGCTTTAATGGGTGGTTTTCGCTGACTATTTAACCGTTATAGTATGTTAAGGCGATGCGTCTTTTCCAGGATGAGCCTAAGTGGACACCGCTGAACCGCGGTGCCGAAGTTGATGTCAACCCTCACCGAAAGTCGTATGTTGATGCGGTGCTCAAGCCTGCTGCGATGGCTTAGTTTGGTTTGGCCGGTTGACTGGTTGATGCTTCATGACTTGAGATGATGGTGGGTGGGGTGATACCTCTGATTTTCGTTAAGATATATACTCCAATAGAGAATATAGTACATGTGTCTGTAAAATCATCATTGCTTAGACAGTTTCGTATCAATAATATCGCATTGGTATCATTTTTCTTGCATTGGATGCTATAGTGTATACTGAAGAAGGATTAAGGGTAATTTCATACAAGGCATCTCATTCCGTAGGCGTCGCGACTCGGTCCGGCAAGGCACCAGGGATATGCAATTGGTCACTAAACCCACTGGCACTGTCTTGTCGTGTCAGACTGGGACTGCGCAGACCACCCACATCCAAGTTAAAACTGCTGCTGCGCGACCCAGCTCTGAGCCCTCCTAGACCTAGCCGAGCATCTAATCCACCGCGGAAACGTAAGCCCTCCTGCTCACGGTCATCAGTGAATCGAATCGGTCCGCCAGCTTCGGTAGAGCCGGCACTTCGCGGTGGTGCTGTGGACCCGGCATCTGAGTCCTCACCAGGACGCACGCCGGTTCGACCCATGCGTGGCCATAGGTCCGGGAGTCCTACCACTTGGACCCTGGGTTCGACAACACGCTCTTCAAACCATGCGTGTACGCGCGCTTCAACTAGCTGGGCGACCTTCGGTACATCCTGGAGTCTGCTGCGGGATCCAATGAGAGAACGGACTGAAAGGTCTAACCTGTAATCTGGAAGGAATGAGAATGCGACATTGCTTTTAGGGCTGCTTTTAGGCGGCTTGTCTTGTGACTCAGCGCCTGGGGAGCCAAGGGCCGGGTCTTGGCTATTGGGACCAGTCTCGGCCGGTGGTGTCGGCGATGTAGCTGGAGTGTGTAGCGGGTCGGTTTGCGCCGGAATCAGGGAAATGCACAGTGTGCCCGAGAATCTGACAACCGAGACCGATAGCGCCACTGGAAGGATGGCGGAGCGCGGCTTGGGGTAGTTGAGAACCATGGAAGTTTCGACCGCGATGGAGAGGTTGTCATCGCTAAGATCAACATCTAATAGGGCCTGCAATCTGCCACCGTCGGAATTGGGGTCATCGACGGCAATGATACGGCAATTGCTGAAAATTGGGAACTCTTCTCCTAGTGAGATATCCGTCACAGTGATCTTGTCTATGAAAGAGGGTTTCTTTTCAGGGTTGTTCATCGCCGCTGTCAAGGAGCTCAGAATCGAGGATGTTGGCGAATCCTTGAGTGTGTATGCCGTCTGCCTGTATTGAGCAATTGTCTGAGCAATCAAGACATTGAACCAGTCCAGCGACTCCGGCTGGTGGGATGAGTGGTGCAGCCGATGCCTGCCATGTTTGGAGGAGGGGTTGGTTGGGATGGCGCTGTAATAGGTCTTACGAAGGATAGAGCGGGTATTGGTGGCCGAGGCAGGGACCGGGCGTAGAACATTGGAGGTGGATGGTTTTTCTCGTAGGGTCTTCTGGCCATCTTGAGGGGGATTATACACGGAGCTGTTGCGGCGGTGGGTTGTGCGATTCGAGAGTCCGCGCGAGGGAGGTGGCGGGGCTTCGCCAAAGATGAAGAACTTGATGAAGGCACCAATGAGTAGGACGACGGAGAGCTGACCGAGCAGAAAACCCTGGGTAAAAGATAGACTAGATGAGTTAGCGATCTAGATTACACTCCACAAGTTTGTGAGGCATACGAGGACTGAGGCGCGATTGGCGCAGTCTCGTCTGTAGGAGAGTCAGTATACGACATCAAGCAAGATCAGATTATCTCAAACTGACGTGGCTGGAGTGTCATTGTCAGTGGCGGTCGACAATGCCTGGTCGTAAAGCACCCATCGCCAGATGGGAGAGGTCGGGTCGGTGGAGCTGTGATTTTGCCGAGCTTATCGATTATCGCGGGATCGGAGCTTCTTTTTAGGACACGCTTCGTCCTCTCACTGGGACGCCACCCCACTGATGACTCTGCAAGTGATCTTTACAACTAATTTCCCAGCTTAATCCCTTCAATCCTGAGCTAGACTGCAGGAAAACACAACCATGCATCTCGTGACAGCTCTGACGGCACTTCTCGCCTCGCCTGGTGTATGCGCGAGACAGTCTCAGAGCCCACCAGGCAAAAACGCAATCCTCCTATCCAACGTTGATGCTCTAACACTACGAGCAAACCGTATGACTACCTCCCGCCGCGTCTCTCCCATCCCACAACTTACCTGCACTGGACCATCGAAGCAAATATGCAACCTCTATCAGATCGAGACAATGCGCTGCAAGAACGAGGGCTATGATTACGACGCCGAAGATGTACAATGGACATGCACGGCCCCTCTACCGGCTGAGTTCAAGCTCGGCTCTACAGACGTCGTGTGTGAAGGATACCGCGACGCGGATGACAAGTGGGTGCTCAAGGGAAGCTGCGGCGTCGAGTATCGCATGCTTCTGACCGAACTGGGAGAAGAGAAGTTCGGCAAACAGACCTCCAGATCTGGGATATCGGGCTGGTTTGAGACCGTTTTCGTCGTCGCATTCACCGTTGTTGTCTTCGCGATTATCTTCGCGGCTTTCACTGGGATCGGTGGGGCTGGAGGGAACCGAAGACCCCAACAGCGACGACCAAGATGGGGAAGATTCTGGGGTGGAGGTGGTGGTGGCGGTGGTGGATACCCTCCTGGACCTCCTCCCCGTATAGCAGATTTGACGATAGCTACTCAGATAGCCAGTACCGCAAGTCTCAGCCAGGGCTGGCAGCCAGGCTTCTGGACTGGTGCCCTGGGCGGTGCGGCGGCTGGATATGGTATGGGACGTGCTGGCAACTGGGGCAGATCGAACAACTACGATAATGGCGAAGGCAGCTCACGATCTTCTCGATCTTCTCGTTCGCCGGGACTCTCAACTCCAACATCTAGCTCTGGCTTCGGATCTACCAGGCGCCGTTAGCCCGGTGATCTATGTACAAGCTAGAAAGTATATATGCACTGAGCGAGAGAATCCAAATTTTATGTGGCAGTTCTATCGAGAAAAAATTGGACGCAAAAACGTTCATCCCAAACTCCTTGGCTATGACTTTTTGTAACCTTGGAGACACCTCATCCCAAACGCCGCCCTGATGAAAGTAAAACAAAATGGTGTATCCGGCCCATTTCCACAAATACATAGCGCCCGCTAAAGTACAGTTGACAGCAAAGAACTATAGACTAGGCCATCGGGATATCGTCGATGGAGCCCAGTACTTCTTCGGTACCTCCACTCTGAGCCTTGGCTTTCTTGCCACGTCCTTTAACCTTGGTGGGTGGTTTGTCGCCTTCAGCATTCTCGTCCTTGCCAGTGCCAGTAGGATTGCGCATCAGTTCCTCCTGAAGTTGCTTCTCCTTTTCGTGCTCATCTTCGATGCGTTTCTTCTCATCATCAAGTTCTCGTTGGATGACCTTCGGGTCATCGAATGTCTGTTGGGTCATCTCCGAATAGGTTTTAATATCGATCGTTTCACGAGGGCCCAGCAAAGTATCCTTGATACGTTGAGGGTCGCGTCGTTCTTCATTATTGAACTTCAGTTTGATCTGTCGACGGGATCTTCCAGGGAACAGTTTGCTGATAACCATGAAATCGGTACCAAACATGCGCAGTCCACGGTAGAAAAGATCGGTCAATTCCTCATCCCAGGTCTCCGTTTTAGAACGCTTGCCGTATGTCGCCTGATTGATCTTGCGCGTGAGTTGGTTCTCAACGACATCCTCAAGATCTCCAGCGCTTCGTGCAGCATCCGCGTGACGGTCCACCTCGAGCGATGCTGTATCAAGGACGATCTCACCGTTGACAATGCGCATAACTGGACCAGCTTGAGGCTTGGGAGGAGGGAGGCGGTCTTCCTGATTGTTCTCGGGTTCGGCAGTCTTCTTGACGGGCGTACCATTTGTGCCTTCTTCCTGAGCCTTCCACTTCCGCTCCTGTTCCTCGATTTCAAGTTTGCGCAATTCGGTCTCACGCTTTGACTTCCTTCCAGTCTTCAGATCCTTGCACAACTCCGACATTTTGACGACGTTGGGCAAGATCTCCACGCGCTCTGCACCTTCAGGAGTGGGTTCACGCTTCCGGCGCCGAACCTTTTTCGCTTTCTCGGATCCATCAGCCTCGGTGCTGGCCTTGGATGCCTTTCGCTTCCCCTTAGCAGCCGCTTGGCTAGGATCTGGAGTGGATGGGTCCAATGAAGGTGCAGGTGTTTCACTTGCGCCTTCAGTTGTAGGTACAACTCCCTGAGAGGAAGAAGAAGTGGCGAGTACAGACGTCCTCCTACGACCCTTGGTGATCTCCGATGTCTTCTTCGCATAACTGACCTGTCGAATTCGAAGGGACGCAGCAGAAGCGTTTGGAGGTGCAGCTCTTTGTGCGCGAGATGATGGCTCTTCGGTCCCGGCATCTTCACCCGGTTGCGCAGCTTCCTGCAGTACCGGTGCAAGTTGCTCAATTTCAAGTTCAATTGACGGCACAATCGGCGGCTCGGCGATCACGGTACGGGGGAGGTGGGGACATCGTGAGTAAGAGAAGGTGCGCGTCCACGTTTGGGTGCAGGCGCGAATGCGGGTGTAGGTGCGGGTACAGTTGCTTGCTGGAGGGTAGGTGTGGAGATAGAGGGTTTGCGCTTAGGGTGAGGAATGGAAATTGCCGTGGCGGTAGCTTTGGGAGCAGCCGCGGCGGGTTCCTGAGGAGCCACCGCGATAGGCGCATTGTCGTCCAACTCCGGCTCCACCGAAATCGCAGGAGTTGCAGAGGGTCGTCGAGTTTGCTCGGTGGCATCTCGCTCCAGCGAGGCCTTGGTAGACTGAGTCTGCGACTGTGAGACTGCACTGGGTCTACGCGCAGGAGCCGGTCCCGGTGCGGCTCGGCGTGTCGGCGCCTTAGGGGGCAAACTTCTTGCCCGATTTGTCTATACATGCACAATTAGTGGGGTTTCTTTTGCAAGTCCGAGGATTGTAGATTGACACTTACTAATCGCAGAACTCGAAAACGACTTCATGGCTGCCCATTTCTGAAGATGGCGGGGTTGGCTTGAAGATCAGAAAAGTTGCGCGGAGGGAGTGGGCTGGGTGATCACGTGGGAGGCGCTAAGCAGAACGCTAAACCTCGTTGAAAATCCTCCTGTCTTCAACTCCTTCAATCTCAGTCATCCCGCCCCTTCAACATACACTCTCGCTTCTCTCGCCTATTTCCTCTTACATTGCATCCCTAAAAGTCTTTAAACGTTGGGATCGCTGTTACCAAGACTGGTCACGGTTCCAGCGTCTCCCAAGGGCTGACAGAGTGACGGTTCCGTGGTGATCAGTTGCTCTCTCCTATGCCAGTCTAGCCACTGATGCCGGCCGCCGAATCCCCCGTTGTGTCTTCAGAGTCCGGTCTTGTCAAAATGGAAGACCGGAAGAGGCCTGCCGCAGATAACAATGATTCGGCCCCGCCTTTAAAGAAGCAGGCGACCACCGCGAATGGGGCCGCCAAGCCCCATCCGGATGCTGATATGCCCTGGAAAGACGACCTGGAGGTATGTTTTGCCCTTGAATGAATTGGGCGAAAGAACTTGAGCCTTTCTCCTCTGCTTCGAACCCCCAGGCTAATCTTCGTGATAGCGCGTCCAAAAAGATGCGATAATGCGCCAGATGCACGAATACAAGCGAGAGAAGCAAACTTTAGAGTCGCGATTGAGTCAGATGTCAAAGAAAGCGGCGCATTATAATGATCATCTTCGTGTCATCGATTCCTGGTTCAACCAGTTGATCGATGAAGTGAAGATCCTCCTGGGCTCGGAGGATGTCAAAGAGTCGGGGTTCAAAAGCTCACTCCAGTTTGAAGACGCCGAAGGCTTCGAGTCGCATCTGAACTCCAGGTCGGAAGATATCCGCCAAATCATCAACCACTTTCAATCTAAATTGGCTGATGTTTCTCCTGATATTACAACACTTCAGAGCAAATTGGCTCGGAAACTTGCTGAAGAGAAGGTCACAGTCGCCGAATTGGACAAGGCCCTGGCCGAAAAGCAACAGCTGGAGGAGAGCCTAGAGGCAGCGTCTCTGCGGTACATGGTCGCTGAGAAGAAACTTGATCGCGCGAGGAGCTTGACAGCTACGAAGTTGGACAAACAATATATTATGGGCGGAAACCGACCGAATATTGAAGCCGTGCCAACGAAACGCGAGGAATCCTCACCTGCGAACGGTGGCACCCCCGTCGGAGATCGCAGCGGAGAGTTAGAAGAAGCCAATAATAAGCTGAGAGTTGTTTCGGATAAGCAGAAGGAACAATTGCAGAAGTTGGAGGCAGAAAATACTAGCTTGCTCCGTCAATCTACTGAGCTTAAGGTCAAGGTATGTTCACAAGGCCTCATGAGGTTAATAACGTATACTGACATGAAATGCAGTTTTCTAAACTTACCGACGATGATTATGCGCACACGGATCTCTTCAAACAATTGCGATCACAGTATGAGGATGTCGTGAAGCGCATTAACCATCTCGAAGCCACGAACGTCCAACTTCGCGAGGAGGCCGAGAAATACCGCTCGGAAAGAACTGCATACAAGACGCAGGTGGACGAGGAAGCGCAAAGCACTGTTGCCGAAAAAGAGGCTCAACTTGAAAGAGCGGAAACCGACCTGGCGCGGATACGAAATGCACGTGACGAGCTCCTGGCCGATCAGCAGATGCGTAAGGCCGCACAAGATCAAGAAAAGACGGCCAGTATCAAATTTCAAGAACTGGCAGATGCTCGAGAGGCTCGGATTACAGCTTTGGAGTCAGAGATCGAGAGGCTGCGCCTGCAGATTGATGGACCAAAGGCCTCTGAAGATGTGACTCAGATGCCGCTTGAGGAACTCCAGACTAAGTATTCCAGTTTGGAGCGTCAATATTCTATGCTGAATACTGAGTTGACCTCCATGCAAACTGCTTACAAGAAGTTCTCTACCTTAGCGTCCCAAAAGGTGACGGACTTTGGTGCTTTAGAAGAGAAGGTTGCGCGGTTGACAGCTGAGAAGTCAAAGGCTGACCAGAAGTATTTTGCTGCTATGAAGAGCAAGGAAGCCCGTGATGTTGAAGTGCGCACCCTTCGTGTGCAGAATTCAAAGACCTCTGATATCGTCTCACAGTTGAAGGAGGCAGAATCTGCGGCCCGCTCATTACTATCCAACATGGACAAGCAATTGAGTGAAACCAAAGAGGCCCTCAATTCAGCGCTCAACAAGCACCGGGCTACTCAGCAACAACTGAACGAGAGTAACATTCTGGTGGAGGGCTTGAGGAACCAAGTGTCCGAGTTGAAAGCCCTTTCCAATTCCAAGGACGCGACTCTCGGGAGCACCTCATCTGCCCTGCGCCAGGCAGAAACCGAGATCGCTGGCCTCAAACAGACTCTCGCCGACACCAACAAAAATCTGGAGAGTTGGAAAGGAAAGAGTCTCGGCAACTCCTCTTCGGAATACGAAATGCTGAGGGTAAGTTTGTGTGGCGCTCTAATGAACTATATGAATCCGCTAACTTTGAAACCTCCTTAGTCACTGGTCCTGTGCACCGTGTGTCGCCGCAATTTCAAGGATACGGTGATCAAGACGTGCGGTCATACTCTTTGCAAGGACTGTGTTGAAGAACGTCTCACTTCACGATCACGCAAATGTCCCAACTGCAACAAATCATTTGGAAGCAATGACCACATGCACATCACCCTCTGATCCTTCTCGTCCCCCTTCATGTTTTCAATCATTCTGTTCGTGTATTATAACCCTTTCCTCTTCTTCCTTTTTTTTTTTCTTTCTTCTTCTTTGTCTTCTCCTTCCTTCTTCACCTTATCCTCCTTTTTAGTGGTCACTTTTGGACTGGTCATGGTGCGGTGTTTGGTGGCTGCTTTCGGGAACGGCTGGGGCCGGCGTTTGATGAGTCTACGCTCTGTTACCACAGGGCTTGTTTTTTACAATGTGACGGCTTTACGACCGATGCATCGGTGGATTCTTTTTCTCGATTATCTCTGGTTCAGGGGGCGCTGAGTGAACGAGCGTGACCTATTTGGATACCCACGATTTTCCAAGAGGTGCACTTTGATTATCTTCAGCTTTCGCTCTAGATTATGTAGGAGTACTATGTTCGAAACGGAAAAGGAGATACGAATGCAAATGCCAAGTCTCATACAGTCATGGCTCCAATTCTATGAATTAAAGATTCTACTATACAGTAATTCGTGTCTGCCAACCCACAAGTCCAGAGCAGGAACAACCTGGCCTGCCTGCTCGACTTCCGTCTCCCACTCGCGCTCAATGCGCGATATGATTGTATCCTGCAATGTCTGACTCGCCAAAATATTCTGCGCCTGATATGGACCCATCACAGAAGCTCGCACTGCAGCACTAAGAACAGCCTTGGCATGGTTCAAAACGAAGATATAAGCCGTTTGGTGTAGATCCAAGCCCATGGCTCGACAGACAGCACCCCACAATGGAGCAAAGTGGCCCATAGGACCCAAATCATCTTGACTATCAAATTTTGTCTTCAATGCATCGGAAAATCCATCAATCGCTGAAACTGCAGCGTCGGCGCCAGCATCGGTGCCTGTGGGCACAGCGAAGCTGACTCGAAATGCGCGCTCTCCACACTCCAATTAATGCTCGGCCTTGAGCCACGCTTGCGCGCTGTGCGACAATGCATGGTGTTGACGCGTCGAGATCGTTGTCGAGGGTATCTAATGTTTCGGGCGCACGGTAGCCAGCTAACACGTACGGGAGTGATGTGCTTGCGAGCGAGGCAATGGAGAGTTTGAGGAAGCGGTGAAATGATGTTACGGGATTGGCGCGCTGAGACTTATGATGGGCGAGGTAGGACTCCAGCCCGCTGGAGTATGCGAATGAGCCTAATGGGAGCGCGGAGTCGGAGAGAAGTAGGAGGGCATGTAGAGATGAGGAGCGGGTGGCATCCGCACGGAATTTATTATTATAAAAGGCTAAAGTATTATTAGTTGTATCCTGGTAAAAAGGCTTCTTCGACTAGACTTACCAGTACTTGAAGGCATTGTCCAAGGAATTTTATTATCGGGGTAGGAGGAAGGTGGGCTGGAGAATGTAGAGGCGTCGAGTTGAGCTCGCATTTCTTGAAGGCGGCACTCAAGTTGAGCGATCTCGCTTTGGAGATCTGAAGGTTCAAGCAACATTGGATATGTCAAATCTGGGGTATGTGAAAGCCGGAAAAAAAAAGGGAAAGTGGTCGCAAGAGCGATGAGCGGAGTATAAAGGGCATCGGCAGCGATCGGCAGAATAAAGTGGGTTATCGGAGTCGGCCGTGTGCTCCCGGCAGATTCTCTATCTCGAGCGTGACTGTTCACTATTATTCACTTTTTCCCCGGCATTAGGTCATCTTCTTATTCAATCTTATTACTCGATCGCCTAATTCTGGCCCACCGGCTTTCGACCGCCTGCGATTCTGCCCCGATATGCGATAGCTTTCTCCGTCAACAATGTCGGGCAGGCGTCTGCTGGATGCTATCCAGTTCCTTAACGTCTCCAAAACTATCGCTGTCAGGCATCTGGCCATTCGTCAGCACCAACTCGATGTCTACACGCGTACTTCCTCCTTGACCAAGGGCATCAAGGGCCAGGTCGATGGCTTGGTCCTGACCGCACAAGCCGCCGCCGCTTTGGCGCGTCGATTCAGTGACTCGCCACCAAGCCCTTCGCCGACCACCGCTCCCGAGCCATCGGCCGACAAGCCCATCACCCCCCAAGCTAATGCAACTACGCCCCCTCCGGATGTCGCCCGGAAGCTACAACGTCAAGCTGAATTCCAGGTGCCGGCTTCCGCCGCTCAGTATGACGGCAATGAGAAACCTGACGCATTGAACGTTAGCCAGCAGCAGGATGTATTCTACGAGCCGTCGAAGCACATTAAGCCGGATCTATCTGCACTGCCTAGAGTAAAGCTTCCTAAAGCTGCGGGCAATGTGCAAGCTGGTGTAGGCGATGGCTTGAACGCCGATGTCTTCCATGAGGCAGCAAACCCTGAGAAACAAGCTGCGGAGGAGCTCCCAGAAGAGATGATGCAGGGTCTTTTCCACAGTCGAAGGGTTGGTCGCATGCTCTCGGGCAAGCCGACGTCTAAGCCAACGCCCAAACAACAATGGCCGCCAGCGGAGCCTCCTCGGCCAAGTCAGCCGACCGAAGTATCACAGCCTCAATCTGAAGTTTTTGCGAAGGCTCAGGAAGAGGAGATGGAAAAGCTGGGCGCCAGTGTCGCCGAGGATGTGGTGGTACCGCAGGTGACAGAAGAAAAAGTGCCTTATCAGATGTTGGAATCTCGAGTCCCGTCTTCTCGACTTGGTAGACTCTGGGAGTATGCTGGACTGGGAACCTCGATGGCATTTGGTGCCGTCAGTGAGACGATTCGGCGAGCTAGTGGCAGCCAAGATACCGGCTCTGTCATGTTCAGTGCCGGTAACATGGAACGAATGGTCGCCAAGCTGTCGAAGATGCGAGGTGCAGCTCTCAAGTTAGGCCAGATGCTCAGCATTCAAGATTCCAATATGCTTCCTGAGCCGATCCAACAAGTGCTCCAGCGCGTCCAGGATCGTGCTGACTACATGCCTGCATGGCAGCGCGACAAAGTTCTTTCCGACAACCTGGGACCCAACTGGCGAGACTTGTTCTCTTCCTTCGACGAAATCCCCATGGCAGCCGCCTCAATTGGCCAAGTCCACTCCGCCGTCCTCAAAAGCTCCGGCAAGCCCGTCGCCGTCAAAGTCCAATACCCCGGTGTCGCCGACTCGATCGACTCTGACCTGAACAATCTCTCAATTCTCCTAACAGCCACCCGCCTCCTCCCTCGAGGCCTCTACCTTGACAAGACAATCGCCAATGCCCGTACCGAACTCGCCTGGGAATGCGACTATCTACGCGAAGCGGAATGCGGCGCTCGCTTCCGCAGCCTCCTAGCCGATGACCCGGTCTTTGTCGTCCCCAAAGTCATGCCCGAAGCCTCCGGGAAACAAGTCCTCACCATGGAAATGCTCGAGGGCGTAGCCGTCACCAAAATCCAAGACTTTTTCCCAAGAACAGCGCGACTGGATCGGAACCCAGATCATGCGTCTCTGCTTGCGCGAAATCACAGAATTCCACTACATGCAGACGGACCCCAACTGGACAAACTTCCTCTACAACGCACAAACTAACCGTCTGGAACTCCTTGATTTCGGTGCTTCGCGCGAGTATCCCGAATCCTTCATTTCGAATTACGTCCGCACTCTCGTCGCTGCATCTCGTAATGACCGTGCCCTTTGCCAGGATCTCTCAATGAAATTGGGATACCTTACCGGCATGGAGAGCCAGACTATGGCGGATGCTCACGTTACATCGGTCGTAACAATCGCGGAGCCATTCATGCGCTCTTCGCCTGATCTATACGATTTCCGCAATCAGACTATCACGGATCGTGTGCGGGCGCTCATTCCGATAATGATCAGAGAGCGTTTGGCGCCGCCGCCGGAGGAAACGTATAGCTTGCACCGGAAATTGAGTGGCGCTTTCTTGCTCTGCGCGAGATTGGGGAGTCGGGTCCCTTGTAAGGAGTTGTTTGCTGAGGCTATCCGGAAAGCGGAAGCGAAAGGATTGCAGATTAATGCGCGGCAATGAATCTACCTTGTAGAATGTGGACGAGATATAGATGGCTAGATTTGATGGTTATGTATTATAAGATTATTGTACAATAGATCAAAAAATTTTGGGATTCACCTCTCTCACGTTGATGACTGTGTGGCTGGAGTAAACGGACGTGAACAAGCGTGGTCAATGAGGCCAGGCTTCCGAGTAGTCAGACAATTTACTTTTGAAGGTCTTGCTGAGAGTTGTACAGTACATGATCAAGAGAGAACGCAAGTGGAGGGCAAATGCAACACGGATTCAACTGCGATTATCAAGACCACATTACAGCATTTATACTACAAATGTCGAGGAAAAGATACCCGATGAAAAGGACCCCCTAAGAAGGCAAAGGCTTGTGTTCAAAGACACTCTGCCAATACCTCCTAGTCTTATCACAAATCATATCCACCCCCTTCCAACTCTCAAACTTACCCTCGAGCTCACAAGCCGTCCAAAGAATCTCCTTCCAAAAAGCCTTCTCGATATCAACCTTCGCACTAAACCTCCCAATCACATCCCCGGAATCGTCCACGCACGTGTATATGATCCATCGTCATTAAAGGCCGGATTAACCTCATGCTGATCGAACACAGTAGCCGGATTGAACTTGGGAAAGTTGGCGTGAATGAAGAATACGCCTGGCGCGGGTGCCTCATCGCCTCGAATGCGCCATAGTCCTTTGCGGGTGTTTGCGAAATCTTCGATGGGGTTAAACTGCGCCATCGCGGAACCGGCGAGTCCTCCTTCTTTGCGGTGGCCAAGTGCGCAGATTGATTCGCTGACTTGATAGAATCGTTCATTCATGGCAATTGCGGCGGCGATGAATGTTTCTTTATCGCCTTCGCCGGCGGCACCTTGGGAGAGGAGAGGGTAGTAATGGGTTGGACCCCAGTAATTGTAGTATGTAGCGAGAAGCAGGGTGCGGAGATGGGACTTTTTCGAGACGAAGAGTTCACCGGACTCGGTGGATTGGCGGAGATTCATAGGTGGTGCCGGTGCGCCGACGATTTCGTAGAAGATGGGGGAGACCGATGATGCCCAGAAATCGGGCCAAGTTACTAGACCATTTGAGCGGAACACTTCGCTCTTCAAGATAGAATCGGGATCTTCGAGTGGGAAGGCGTCCGCGTCGAGGAAAAGAATCTCTTCAAAAGATGAGAAGAGCATTGCAAATGGCTTGAATTGGTACTTTTCGATCTTGGCAGGGGCCGCGGCGAGAATGCGCGAAAGCACAATGCATTTCGCATTTAGTGATGGTAGCACCACATCACAGATATACTCTTCGTACTCGTGTTCATCCGCAAGGAACACCTCCATGGGCAACACTGATCCCGTCCGACGCAGCATACGAAGCGATATCACCAACACTGGTAGATAAGAGCCGCCAGCGGTAGAGACCACACCCTTGGTACCCGGAACATATTGCAATTGCGGCGGCGAGGCCAAAACAGCACCCACAAACCCCGTATGCGCCTCTTTCATTGCCTCAACATCATCCTCTGCGACAAACAAGTATTCCGGCCTTGGCTGAGGATCCTTCGCATTAAACCCCTCTGTCGGAGCCTTCGAATACTCAATAATGGGATTCGTATTGGGCGCATATTTCACCAGTAGCTCCTGAAGGGCTGTCCAGAAATCTTGATGTCCAGCGGTGAGATCGAGATCGGGATCAGACGCAGGCCGGCCCGCGTCATCGGGGTTCCCGGAGGTAGAATGGATACCGTCACGCCAGCGCAAAAAAGACCATGTTAGCAATGAGGCGACGACCAACGCGGTCAACAACGTGCGTGCGCGCAGCAGGGATCGGGGTATGAGCATCTCGGCTTGGCAGGGTCCTTAGAGCTCCGCACTGCCATCAGCCGGACCCGCTAATTCGGACAAGGTGACTGCGATGGGGCGCGGGATGTTTCACGCGCGACTCGATGGTGCGGACATCCGAGAGACGGAGGGGGCTTGTGTTAGAGAGAAAGGGCCTCTCTCTCGAGAGAATGCGCCCTAGGATTCCTAGGGTCTTCATAACAAATGAAACACTGGGACTAAGGGGCCGTGGTGGAGCACGGCCCCACCAAAGGCACGTCAAGATAAGCTTTCGAGACTACACCTACTATCTACAGGCGTAGGGCTCAAGCACTAGAAGACTATAAGAATCTGAATCAAGACTGGACCAGATCCTACCTTACATGTCGATGGTAAATATACCTTGCACGTGAATCCCCAGATTATGATTTGATATCTCTGATCGCTTGCTTATTAGGGGCATATCAATCAATGTGGACAATACAAGCACAGTCATACCAAAACATCTCCAATCAAAAATATGCAAATTTGGTCCTTGAATTAAAAAGAAAAGCCATGCGCAGTCAAGCTCGAGCGACGTCTGTACATTAGGGGTTAGAGAGCGCATTACGAAGATTCTGGTGTTAGGACTTGCTATTGAGACTCTCGTTCGGGTCTAATCTAGTCACCAATCATAGTCTGATGGGATAGTCGTATTTCAATAGGTAGAGCTCCGAGGGAAAGGAACAGCATTAATTATCCATCGGGATGGATTTGGACGTTACAGACTCGTAATATTAGGACAAACCGGCCTGCCAAGACTTTGGTGAGTGCGTTTTCAAAAAAGCCACAACTTGGAGATGAGCATTATTTACTGCTTAAGGTATTATAGATTTTCCATTGGTAAATGTCGCAAACGGATTTTCAGCGGAATAATTTGGAAGATTTTTCGCGCCTTATGCGCGTAATCAAGGTAGACTACGTTAGATCAATCATTAGTAACGAATAAAATCTTTCTCTCTGAGCCACGTCAACTTCTATATATATCCAAACATAAATCCTACTAGAACGGACCTCTTAACTTTACCTAAAGGCCACTCAGAAAACCCGAAGACGTTGGAATTCGTCAGTGAGAATCGGGAACTTCACACGACCAGAAACTTGACAGGGCATTCAATATGTGCCAACGAGTCGCCAGAGGTTCGTCTTTTGAGGTGGATGGTGGTGTGAAGACATTTTGCCGCGATTGCTCGGCCTCGGCATGGCACTGTGTTCCGAGACGCCATCGCGGAGCGCCGAGACTCTACTTCGGTCGCTTTCGGCTTCCGCTATTAGCTACTCCGAAGCCCGATTTGACTTGCGTCTCCAGGAAAAGTTACTTTTCCGTCACAAGGTTTTGTGGCTCACAGGTAATCGCTGGACCAATGGAAGCACATCGGTAGAGTGTACTCCGTATAGAAGTCACAGAGCATAACGTTCCTCTGTAGGATTGACCACCAAACATGACCCATGGAATGAACTGGATCATCAAAATGATTAAAATAAAAAGATAGCTATTCACAACTGAGACCTTACATATATCTTACGCTAATTGCAGGATATCAACTTCTCGGCCCTACGGACCCCTCCCATGTGCCCGCCCCATCCAGGCAAAGGCAAAGAATCCCTTCAAGAGCATGACATATCGTGCTCACACTACTTGGACTTAGAGACAGGACTTAAGCAATCCTTGATGGCTCGGAGTACGCGACCTGAACTTTTGACACTTCCGCCTGAATTACACCTTCACATTATTGGCAGGCTGAACTACCCTTCTCGTCTAGCTCTATCGCAGATGAGCCGATATTTCAGATTCACTACCCGCCTTGAATGGCCCGTGTCTGTAGAGCAGAAGTTGTCACTCCTACGCGCAGCAGAAAATTGGACAAGGTGAGCACCGTTCTCTCCTAAATTATTATTGCCGCGAACCGCGTTGCCTAACCTTCAATTTCAGGTTCACTCACTATTTCGGGTGCAAATTCTGCCTAATGTTAAGATTCTCAACGGCTTTTGCAGATAATCAGATGAAAGGAAGTCGTGGGAAAGGATGCGCTGACTCTGGGCGTCGATTCTGCTTGTAGTGTGGAGTTAAAAGGGGATGCTATACTTCCGGGCAAATTCTTACGCTGAAGAAGCAGAATTACTTTGTGTGTGGTCTGTGCAGAGAGACTCAGCAATTTAGACTCTTCTGTTCACGTTGTGGCAATTGCCAGCATTGCATTCAAACGCGAAGCAAAGTGCTCTCACCTCGTCTTGAATCCACTCTAGTCTCAAGCCAAATAGAATGTGAATGTGCATTCTGTCTGATCCCTTATACACGCGTCGATAGCTTGAAATGTTCTGGAATTGTATCATAGGAGAAACATGGAGTACTTGGTTGTGTCAATTTAATTATTTCAATGGCTTGCATTCCTCGGTGATCCCTGATATTATAAATAAATGGTCTTCATACGCGATTTAGCTCAATCATCATCGAAGACAATCTGGAGTGCAGGTATTATGGCAAGTCTTCCACTTTATGGTGATAAGAACAATTCGAAGGTCTTGACCTTCAAGGATAGACTAGAGCAAGCCATCTCCTTCGTTTGCAACTGCTTTTTTCATTGACAAATGTGCGGTCTATAAGCATACTGTTTAAGCTTAGGTTCAATTCAAGCAAAGCTTGAGTAAGAATTATTTATGCTTATCAAATTACTGATCAGATGCTGGATAGACTATTCCTGCTACGCATATGTATGCAGAATTGAGCCATGTGAAGGAAATGCCTCTTCTGGGACGTACGAACGAAGATCGTCATATCATTCATTGCGATCACAAATTTGTTTCGAGAGTCAATAGGAAAAAAATGCACCGTGGGTAGAGACAATGTCCCATTGAGTTTGTTGCCCTGGATGTATGCTGCAATCAAATCTTGATAGTGTTGGTCATCTCAAGGGAGCGGCTTAGTCCTGCCCCGTTCGAATAGGATCCGGAACATTTGTAATAACACTCTTTCCTTTAAAGCTCTGATACGTAATCATCGGACTTTTCGGCGGTCAAATGTCACCCGGTCGACAGTGTTCCGTCCGATCCACATTCGTTCGAAGCCTTCAGATGCAGGTGTCAATATCGCTCATACAAACTCCCTGCGCATATATTCTGAGCTTCATCCAGTCGAGTAGTCAGGGAACCGGTTTTGCGATATGAGCATTTCAACTTCAATTCAACTTCAAATTATTACTTTCCTTGATCGGCTTTTTTTTCTCGATTGACTGATACTCAACGACCATTCCAAAAAAAATGAAACCAATTGTTCTTTACGGTCACCATGCAGGCCCCAATCCAAGAAAAGTTGCCATGGTCCTTGAAGAACTCGGAGTGCCCTACATCCACAAATTAATGGATTTCACGGAGCTCAAGAAGCCCGCCTACGAAGCGATCAACCCAAACGGACGAGTGCCAGCGATTCAAGACCCGAATACAGAGATCACGTTGTGGGAATCCGGAGCAATCATTGAGTACCTGGTCGGGACCTACGACAAAGAACGAATCATCAGCTTTACACCAGGCAGTTCGGATTATTATCACGCCAAACAGTGGCTTTATTTCCAAGTTTCTGGCCAGGGACCGTACTTTGGACAGGCGGTCTGGTTCAAAGTCCATCACCAGGAGCGAGTTATAAGTGCGCTCGATCGTTATATGCGCGAAATTCGGCGCGTCTTGGCCGTACTGAACCGGTCACTGGACGGTCGAGAATATCTGGTCAATGGGACATTTAGCTACGTTGATATTTCCTTTGTCACATGGCTTGAGATTATTCCTTGGGTGTCGGACGGTTCAATCAGCCTTGAAATCGATTATCCTGCTGTGTTTGCCTGGTTAAACAGAGTATCGGGTCACGATGGCGTGAAAAAGGTTCTGAATATGGAAGTCAAGCTCCCCCAAAGGAAGTGAATGGATTTGCGAATTAAAAACTGTCAACCAAAGATACCTATTTCAGTTCCGATATCATTCTATATTTGACTGCACGGCTTCATTTTTAATTCTCTTTGTAAGCAACATTAGGCGCTCAATGTTCTCATCCAGGAATGGTGGTGCCTCTCGGGAGAAAGATCGGTCTTGTTCGAGGCTCCGCTGACACATACTAACGTACCATCTTCCCCAATGGATTCAATATTGAGCTCCATCAAAGATGGTTTTCAATTGGGATCCCTGTGCCGTAAGGGAGTATGCTCTACTTTGGCCAGTCCCCAATATTAGCGGCAACTCGAGTGACAACCAATTTATGGTTCCAGAGACTGTTGCAATTTACTTTGATTTTGTTTGTAGCCTTCTAGCCTACTTCTCCCATAGCATTACTTCAACACACTTACACATATCTCCATATTCAGTCATCCTCTCTGACAGATTTAATGATGAGACTCGAGTCATGATTGATATTTGATATAATTGCGATTCAGCAGATTCATGTCGCAAGCCCGACGTCTAAATATTCGAAATCTTCAACTCATGTTGGAAGTCCTCGCAATCATCTCAAAAGAGCATCACCTACATGTTTAAACCCGTCACCGCAATTGTTATTGAAATTTCCTAGAATAGCTGGCTTCCTTTTAATGAAGCATGGTTTTTTCTCCACATTGTCCCAAGCAGTCTAGACGATTTGCCGATTTGCGGACCAGCGTATTGGTCTAACGAGAGAGACCTGTGGAATCCAATACTGTGCATTCAATTCCGCAGTAAAAGGATCAGGACGGAGAACGGAATGCCGGGGGTATTTCGGGTGTCCCATTGTGCGGCACCGGTCTGATGTATATTCGCATTTGTTCTTCAATTAGAAGATAAAATTACAATTTATATTCAAAAAGGATACTTTCAGAACGAAAGACTCAGTATCCATGGGTATGTCATTGATTCGACTACTTCAGAATATCACACTGATTTTCACCCCCTGAGACATTTCATCTTTACAGAACCCAGTGCACTTGATGGAGTCGTATCGTCTGAGATGGTTTTTTTTTTCACTGACACTATATCGGTCCAGGTTTCCATCATTTGAGATGTATTTTCAGACCCAAGTATCACATATTTTGTATGTCGAGAATGGAGGCGAAGCAGGAGCAACAACACGACATTATTCCTCGAAGCTTCACCGATTATTCACGATCAATGAGACAATAAGAGCTCTCACGCATTTGAGCCTGCATTCTGGTACGTGGCACTTAACTCCCCCATTTGGTGGGTCTGAAGGAACTTTTTGAAAGTGACCGGTACAACCTCGGGATATTTGGAGTTGTCCAAATCCTTCTTCAGGTATGTTTGACCATTTGTACAGTAGAACTGGTAGAACCTATAAGGAGAACTCATTAGCAAAGCACACAAAGACAATGATGAAGATGACCCTACATGGCAAGGTATGCATAGATATTCGAGGGATCTTTTTGGAAGGTTGCCTGCATCTTGTTATAGAGGTCGTGGAGAGATCCTAGGCGCTCAAGCTCAGGCTTCTTGCCATATACCTCGGCAAAATCATCAGCGATTTCGCGCAGCGTTTTCCGGTCACCGAGGACTGAATTTTTTAAGGTCGCTGGTCAGTAAACGTTATCTTTCCTTTCTGGAATAATATTTGACTCACAATGCTGCATGCCCACGGCACTGCGGTCCATCGCCACGGCCGCTACATATTGGGCTGCAGTTTCATAGGTGGTCGACTCCCAAAGCTCGTCTCCATTTCCGTAAAAGGTCAACTTGCACTCAGTCGGGTTCCAGATACCAAAGTATTCACTCCAAAAAGTCTCCATGAATGCTCCAATGAGGACGTGCACTCCTTGAACATTGTCCTTGGTTTCCAAATAGGCCTTTACGTGCTTCATCGGATCCTTCGCAGGGTGCTGGCCAAGTTCTAACTTTGTAAAGTCAAGACAGTAGTCGCTAGCGACATAGCGCCTAACACCTTCGTGATCACATGCATCAACAAGCAATTTCTGTCCTTCAGTCATGAGATTGTTGTCTCCAAGGTAGCAGCAGACCACGACATCACATCCACGAACAAAAGTGCGCAATGTTTCTAGATCGCCAGAGTCGCCTTGGATGGTTGTCACGCGAGGCGAGTCCCGGAAATGCTGGGGGAGCTTTGATGCGTTACGGCATAGTCCGCGGATTTGAACGTCGGGGGATTTGCATAGGTTCTTCACAACCAGACGAGCGAATTTGCCAGTGATCCCGGCAATACCGACTGTAATACCCATGTTTGTTGCGGAGCGCGGAGGAGACAAGAGAATCGGCGAAGATCGGTTGAATTCGGGCGGATAGAGAGTCTTTCGGATGAAGCTTAAACGAAGTTGACTTTTATATGTCGAGCTTGCGGGTTAAATAGGTATGACCCGAGGCTTTAGATGATACCAAAAGCCGTCATCGACCGCAGTAGGACTGGATCGCGGCAAGCCAGCGGCCGGATATCTTATCAAGGACCCACATCCCAGCCTGCTCAGCCATACAGAGTCTCGGTACACTCTAGTCCGGACCCATGCGGTGGGGGTTTGACTCCACACGGCGTTCGGGGTTTACAAAGGGCGAGAGGTCCAATTACCAGGCAGAGCTTAACAAAGCATGGCATGTTTCTTAGGTAATCTAAATTGTCATGATTCAGGTACACGGGTATCGTATAGTCGTTATTCAGGGCCGGAGTAGCGTCTCCCGCTTGTGACAGTCCCCTAGTTTATTATGGACGCCTATAAATGACAAATCCGGCCCAGTCCGGCATTACCCAGGTCCCGGCAGGGGATTATAGGGGCCCTATCGGTATAAAAGGAAAGGTATCGCGAGAGTTGGAAAAAACATTATCCCTTAACTAGATTAAAGCTCTCCCCATCTCCGCCTCAGTTCATCTTCGTCGTCAAATTGAACCTAGCTTTCGTCTTTGACCGACCGCAGCCATGTCATAGCTATTCGCGCCCCTGAAGGTCGGAAGACAGACCCTCAATCAGCGGGTTGCTATGGCCCCGATGACCCGGCTTCGTGCAGATCAGTCTCATCTTCCACTTCCATTCGTGACAGAATACTATCGACAGCGCGCGAGTGTGCCAGGTTCACTTATTGTTACCGAAGCCACTGTCATCAGTCCTCGACACGGCGGATATCCCAAGGTGCCAGGGATCTATAATGACTCCCAAATTGCCGGCTGGAAGAAAGTTACTGATGCTGTCCACGACAAGGGGTCGCACATCTATCTTCAGCTGTGGGCGTTAGGGCGTGCAGCTAATCCTGAGCTTTTGGAGAAAGGAAACCACCCATTGCTTTCTGCCAGCGACGTTCCAATGAAGAGCGCTTTCAGTGACGAGATGCACCGGCCTCGTCCGATGACGGAAGAGGCAATTCATGCCAGTATTTCTGACTTCACTGTCGCGGCTGAGAACGCCATCCGTGCCGGATTTAATGGAGTGGAAATTCACGGTGCGAATGGATATCTTGTTGACCAGTTCCTGCAAGATGTTTCAAACACACGTACGGATAACTGGGGTGGAAGCATCCAGAACCGATCCAGGTTTGCTATAGAAGTAACGCGCGCAGTTGCGGCCTCCATTGGCAATGACCGTACTGCAATTCGCCTCAGCCCTTGGAGCAAATACCAGGGCATGCGAATGGAAGACCCCGTGCCACAATTCTCGGATGTGGTACAGCAGCTGGCCCAGTTAAAGCTAGCATATATTCACGCTTGCGAATCGGACGCTAAAGACAACGGGGAAGGTCTCGACTGGCTGCTCAAGGCATATGGTGATGCAAGCCCCGTTCTGGTTGCCGGAAATTACGACGGTGCTTCTGCTCAAAAGGCCGTGGACTCTACATACGCTGCTCATGATGTGGTAGTAGCCTTTGGCCGCCTCTATATCTCGAACCCAGATCTTGTATTCAAGGTCAAAAAAGGAATCCCCTTTGCACCGTTCGACCCGGCCACTATGTATGGACAAGGGCCGGAGGGCTATATTGACTACGCCTTCAGCAAGGAGTTCAGCTCTAGTTAAGGTCTTTGTCTTGAATCGGTGTGATATAACATGTACTAATAGATGCCGCCATGGCTTGTATTTACTTCGAATCAAAGTTCACTAGTGGTAATCCTGTCCAGATACAACTAAGGCGGCTTTTTTGTATCATTTAACAGCGAATGACTGAAAAATGTAGTCAAACTGACAAGGAGCGTTTTTGGCAGTCATGGCGGACTTGGGCAGTAGAAAGTAAAAGACTAAAACGTTCCATTCAGGGCAGGTGGCAAAATCCATGGCCCCCTTACGGAAAATGGATGATTGCGAGTGTTTAGCTAATGAGCGCCCCACTTCGGCGCCTTAAAAGGCGAAATCACCCCTTGTCAAGCGTCTAGCCTCTATTCTGTAGCCACCGAGCTTGCAGACAATCAAAATCATCCTCGTCTCTCATTTTCTTTTAATCTCAGACTCTAGGATTCGTCATTACTCAGACTGGTCATTCCGATGAAATGCCGAGATTTAAATCCGGCGATTTTGGACGTAACTCGCACATCCCAGCGGTATGTCAGAGAAGGGCTCTCACAAGTTGTCCTCGACTGACAGCTAATACCTCGAGATAAATAGTGTCTTGAATGCCGAACACGGAAAGCGAAGGTCGTGGGAACTTTGTTATCTTCGAGAAATCAGACTTGATTGACTCTTTGGCGCAGTGTTCAAAAACGCAACCATGTTCGTCATGTGTTCGCAACGATCGGAAATGTGTATACACTTCCAAAGTAACTAGAAGCCCTTTGACCCGGGAGTGAGTTTGGTCCCAGCTTTCGGAATTCCCAGTTGCATAAGACGAGAAGTTCCAATTTAACCACTTCCACAGACATCTGACGGCAGTGGAAAACCGGCTGCAATTTCTCGAATCCGTACTTGGGAGGCTTTTTCCAAGCGGAGAGATGGAAACAATCACGCGTGCCTTACTCATGAACGATGACTCTATCGATCGAGCTTCCATCGATTCAAATAGACAGTTCGCAGTCGATGATCCATTCCCATCTGACCCTACGATCTTGGACGATATACTCAATACAGTGGAGACTGCGCCACCGGAGTTCGGGACTGATAATCATATGGACACTGAACCGCAAGCTCAAATATCTTTCCACTCCCCTGAGCCTTCAGAAACGACCGGAGCCGAAAGAGCGTTTCTCAATCGGTACTTCCTTCATTATCACACGCTTTACCCCATCTTGCATGAGCGAAAGTTTCGATCAGAGTACGAAAGCCACACAGCCTCACGCCATATGCCGGTATTGGCAAATATGGTCCTGGCTTTCGGGGCATGGCTGTCTACTGATGCTCGTCAAGACGTGGATAAGATTTATTTTGCTAAGGCGCAAGATCATGTGCGGAAGCTTTCTATGGAAGACAAAGGTGACATGACTCTAGTGCAAGGTTTAGTATTGTTGAGTGAATTTGCCCAGAAACAAGCGAGTCCCGACTCGAGTATACACTATATTGGGACCGCTGTTCGAATAGCACTCGCTCTCAATCTTCACATCGAGCCCTCGGACACGAATATCAGTGAACTTGACAAGGAAATTCAACGGCGAGTATGGTGGAGCGTTTATTGTGCCGAGAGCTGTTCAGCAAAAATCTACGGTCGTCCACTCTTACTGCCCGAGGACGCGTTGATAACTATCAAGCCGGTTTCTAATATTCATGAGAATGTGAGTAACCGGAATTTATTTCGAGAATCAACTAAACAGGCTATTGCAGGCTCTCACATCCTCTTGCGAACTTTTTCCTACACAGTCAGATGACTCGACAGTGTACACTGGCTTGATACTGCAATCCAGTTACCATCGCATGGCGAATCAGATTTATCGCCGTCTGTTAGCCACCCCCACTATCACACCTCAAGATGTTCATGAAGTTGAACAAATCATAAACGCTTGGCATAGTGGTTCGTCCTTCTGTGTGCAATTGACCGACCGTTCCTCCACGCCTGATTGGCACGTCGCAGCCCGTCGCCGCCAAATCCTGTGTGACCAAAGCCTTCGACTGCTAATCCACCGGCCATTGCTTCTAAGGTGGCTGAAATCGAAGTCTATGAACAGTGGACCATTAGCAGAGACACACCCGGATGAACTTCATTGTCGCGCGCAGGGACTTAAGATCGCTCGGGCTACAATCGGACGTATATCGCAATATATCATCAACGGCCACTATTCGAAGTTGACACTTTCATTTACCCTGTGAGATCCTTTGAAAAGTCTGGCCCGTACAGACCTTTAGCTAATTATGGATCGCCAGGTATGCTTTTTTCCATGCTCTAGTTGTTCCTCTCATCCATTTAAAAGCAGACCCTGCCTCCCCGGGATCAATAACTTGCATCCAAGACATCAAAAAGGCAGAGGTGGCTTTAGATCATCTTTATATTGACCGAGATGCGCTGTCAGGTTACTTTGTGTTTGTCATGCGTCGTCTGTTCCAGGTGGCCTCTCGGATAAGTAGTGAACATTACGGTCAAACGCTATCACATAGCAACCAAAACACAGTGAAACCGCAAGATGTACAGCCATCCCCGAATAGTATTTTCGGAAATGTGGAGATGGCTTTACTTGAGGATGATGCTCCCAGGTCCTCATCTGGATTCGATTTCTCGGACTGGGTGCACTCATGACCTCTCAATACACTCATGACCTCCCAATACATATTCAAGCACCCAGTGATTATATCAAATGCAGCAACTGGGCTTACATTGAGGCAATAGCGAGGAGTTTGGTCGTGCCACGGATATCTTTTTCTCATATATGATCCATCTTGATACGCCGAGGAGGTATACGATTGGGGACTATAGGCCTTGGACGTAGGACAGTACTTGAAGTAGGTATATGTCCCGACTATGCGTTTGAATGCAATACGTACTCCCTCTCATTCTATAGGCGAAGTGCGATAAACAAGGCCGTGAATACATAGTTCTGTAGGGTATTTGGAACAGCCGCGTAGGATCATACATGGGTCACTAGGCTTGATATTGAGATTTGATAAATCTCTTTTGGATGAGACGGCCTGAGGAACTTCAAGCAATTTCACTCGCAAGCTTTGACGTATCTCCAGTTATCCAATCACTATAACGGTTCACAGTAGTCCGTCGGCAGAGCCCCACATGGTGTTGCATTGATCACAGACTCTGCAAGGAACTACAGGCGAGCCTGCTTTAGCAACAGAGTCACGTCATGGAACTTTGTTTCGTAGCAATTTTCATTTCTTCTAGAATCTTCTGGGCCACTAACTGGGGTTGTTTATGTTGACAGAGAGTGGGCCTGAATACCGAAGATCTGGAATCCCTTCGGTCGGGGGTGAATGGGATAGATCTCCGACACTATAGCACTGGGACACTGCCAGCACCATGAAGATTCCCAAGTTAGACACCCCGGATTATCTACTTCAGGTTCTCAATCGAGGGATTCGTGGGGATACGAAATGCGACCCTACACTCGAGATGACTAAAATTACCTTGAGTATCCATGGTCGATTTTGCGGAATAGAGTATCCCGAGAACCGTTCTCCCTCGAGATCGACCAAGCCCGCGGCAACGAATGTCCATTTGCAGAAAATTATCAGATATTTGGGACTTGACGAGCAATCAGAATTGTTCTAGTTTTCCTGAATCTCGGTCAGCCGGGCTAACTCGTTCCGAATTAACCTTGTTCAATACCACATGGCTTCACCCGATGAACTGTTACGTACGGACGGACCAGTGGCGGCGCCACACACAGCGAGTGCCGACCAACTTGGTCAGCAACGTATAGCAAAGCGATCGTCTTCTCTATAAAGAATACCCCACATTTGACCCTACATTTGACCCTGGCGGTCAATTTCTCAGAACAAAGCACTTCTGTTCGACTCCTTTATCAGCAACGTTTCAAATTACCTTCTCTTCATACTCAAGCATCATGGAAGTGGCAGAGATAACTACAAAAGGGGTTCCAGAGAAAATAATCGATGTCGATCATAGTCTTTCTTCACCCAAGCAGCAAACGAGTTTTTCCGGGCGTCCTTCTTCAGCTCATGAGACTGTGCCCAAGGCTTCGAACCCGTTGACGGCAATGGATCAATTCAAGGATCTGTGTGCCAGAAACGGCTTCAAGAACTCCACAAGAGCACAGAACGCCGATGATACAACGATTCTGTATGTTTTTATGTTTTAATAAACTTAGAGCATCCGACTGTATGGTGGTCGCTAATCATGCTTCTTTAGTCGCTTTCTTCGAGCCCAGAGATATGATGTTGGGGCCGCATTCCGGCAATTCAACCATTTTCAAACATGGCGCCGCGAGCACAATATTCGTGGGTTCTATAAGAACCTGGATGTCGAGGTGTATGATGAGTCCCGGAAAATGGTACGTCGTCTACCTTTTTGTGGAGTCTCGCTAACAGCGATAGTATCCGCAATGGATTGGCCGCCGTGACAATGAAGGGCGTCCTATCTATGTCTTCCAAGTCAGACAGCTAACTAAGAAGAGATTGGATGGGTATCTGAAGATGTTAGACAAATCTCCAAGGCCAGAGAGCCACGCTCAGTCTGAAGTGCCCATTCACTTGCTCCATCTCCATGCCTTATACCTCTTACAATTCGTCTTCCCATTGGTGTCTGAGCTTCCCCGACCTGACATGCGACGTCCGATTTTATCGTCGACACACATCGTCGACATAAGCAATGTCAGCGTGTTCCAATTCTGGAATATTCGCAAATACCTCCAGGAAGCCAGCAAAGTCGCTACAGCCCATTATCCAGAGACCCTGGGTCGGGTATTTGTGAGTTGATCATCGTGCATACCAGTAATTACAACATGTACTGTTTGTCAGTTCTCTAATCAGCTAGTCTATAGGTTGTGGGTGCACCTGCCTTCTTCACATCTGTCTGGGAGGCCATTAATCAATGGTTCGACCCCGAAACGCGCTCAAAGATTTTCATTCTTTCCGCGTCGGAGTCAAAGTCATTCCTGCTTTCCCATATCAACCCTTCAGATCTACCGAAGGAATACGGCGGCGAGCTCGAATGGCAGTGGCGAGATCAACCAGATCTGGACGAGTCAGCCAGAGAGCTGGTCGATGAAGTGTACCACAAGACCAATCGGGGCGGAGTCTTTTCCAAAGGGCCGCTCATTTTCCAGGGAGGTTGTATTGAACTCTTGGGCTCTGCTAATGGTCTACCCCGACGCAACGCCTTCTGTCGCATTGAGAAATCCAATGAGTAAGGCAAATTGCTTCTATTAATTGTTAATTGGCACCGCAGCATCCCTGGAGCAATCCAGGGGCAACGTATGTGCTAACTTGTACATAGTGGTGAGTTTTGATTTTTGCACACAGCATACTATGTTTGAAGGTCCAAAAAAATCATATGAGATGAAGTTTCGTGGTCGCTTGTTACTCTGTTCCACAAATGTTTATTTGACGATCAAGCTAAACTGAAGACTTAGAAGACATGCCAATGAATAGATTTTAACAAGAAATACCTGCATGAAAGACTGGGTCAATTTTAAAGGGTTACAATTAATGGTATCAAGTGAGGAGTTTCGTCAAATCATCGATCGATCGTAAATGGAAAGGCTATTTGGGTAGGCGCACAACTTTTGCAATGTGTTGGGATACGACTACAATTCTCTTTTTAGATATGAATGATTAAGTTAATGCGCAATAATTAAGCAAGGAGTAATTTGAAGAGTTTGAAATGTGACATAAGTATGCTAAAAGCTAGACATAACCTGGCACATTATATTCATGAGAGACATCTCCGAACCATCAAGTCATAAGTAGACGCTGGATAATTCCGCTCTGAATTCGAAAGCTCTGAACAGATGACATTTTATGAGCACACCGCCTGCATGATTAGCAAGCATGACTCAAATGGTTCACAAATTGGAGGCCTTTGTAAACCACAACCGAACACAAAGCTTAACACCGAGGGAAGGACTCAAAGTAGTGGCCTTCAACGAGGGACTGGGGTGACGCAGAACTTCACGACGACATGCGCCTACCGGTAAGAAAAGTATCACGTATGTTGGACAATGGTAATTCCAAGATGTTCAAATTGATTCTCTACCCTCTACGAGTGAATTTGAGACACGACTTGACTTGGCTCAATCTGACACTCAGCCCGATCCAATTATTATGTGACTTCACCATTTCTCAACGTATGGTCGAAGCTCGGATTCAAATGAAAATGCGGTCCTTGGCTGTTGATGCAAGTTCCAATATGTCTCAGCAATCTGCAGAAAAAAAAATGTTAGAGCCTTTCGCCTGTTCCAAGCCCGGGACGTATCTTACTGCTTCAGGGTTAATTTTTGCATCTTGATCCATTTGGAACTCCTTTGTCCGCGGCGTGTCAATCATTCCGTCGATAATGACATGGGAGACATGTACTCCCTTGGGTCCAAATTCTCTCGCCAAAGACTGAGCTAGCGCCCGTAGAGCGAACTTGCCCGCTGCAAATGTTGCGAGAGTAGCACCACCTTTCAAACTGGCCGTAGCCCCGGTAAAAATCAAAGTGGGCGGGTAAGTTAGACCGCTAGACTGCAGCATCAAGGGCAGAACATTTTTGGCAAAGTTGAATCCACCCTTACTAGATAAATTCCATCGTATCAGCATCTATCTTCATATATGCAATGACACCCCATTTTCGTGGAACCCATACCCGTGGACATCAAATCCTGCCGAGAACTCCGCTTCGGTCAATTCCAGAAATGGCCGCTTAACAAAACCACCACCTAGGTTGAAGATGGCAGCCGCAAGAGGTCGGTCACCGAATTCTTTGGATATTTGGTCGAATGCGGTTTTGACACTGTGGGCGTCTGAAAGGTCCGTGCTAATACCGATTGCATGTCCGCCGTCATTGTTGATCTCTTTGGCGACGTCTTCATAATTGATCGGATTTCGCGCAAGGAGGACTACGTGGTACGCTTTGGCAAACCGTCGAGCGACCGATGCTCCCTAGACGCTGTGTCATTCACTGATGCCCGATATTGACGTCTGGCAGATGAAAGCCGGGGAAATGAGGTGTAGATACCGTTCCCGCGCCGACGCCGGCAATGATAGCATATGCCTTGCTACTCATTGTGATGATTTGGACTGAGAATAAATGATGAGATGAACTGGTTGATTAGGCGGTCTGTGATCGAGAATCAAGTGCCTTCACTGGACAATAGGTGCTGATCAGCTTATAACCCCAAAATTGAAAGGGTTTCGTGAACGGATTGAGACATTCGTCGCGTCATCGTTTTTCGCATTGAACGGTAGACTCTACTCCGGCTCCCATACTCTCGTTGGGTGGAGCGGAAACAGAACTTGTAGTATTTCATGAACTCATTTATAAAATATCGCATCACGTATGCTCCGGTCACAAAAACGGCGCTGGTTTCATGCATCCTAAATGTCGAATATTTTCCTGTCTGACTTGGTGATCGTTCAATATGCTCCATAGCTTCCTCGGTACGGACCTGATCCGGAAACGTGGAGGCAGCCATGAACATTATACCTTATAATTTTTAGCTGACCTCAGCGATAGTACGATCAGCTTCAGCAGTATTCGGAGTTGTACGAAAGACCACGGGCCCTTATGTATACGTGAGTAGGGGCGTAGCTGCGTGTTCGTTTAGTGGAAATCTGTTGATGTGAATTATCAGAGCTGAGAGATTGTTTAAGGGACAATCTTCTGTATTCTCTCCGAGCTTTAAGTTAATCAGCGAATTATCAGGGTTTTGAAAGATGACTCCACAAAGGGACCTGCGGGTGTGATGGTGGAAATGAATCAGGAGCTCCCGCCCTGCGACCCAAAAAATACAATTCACATATGCTTCAAGCCTGCCGAAATGCCTGCCAACATTTCACGATCTAATTTTATTGACAATTTGCACGGCGAGCCATCCGTCTGATGTGCATGGCCTGCCTCACGGATTCTTTGAATATCCATTTCGCATCAGAGGCCCATTCATGACCGACTCCCGGTAGTGATAGGCAAACATCTGATCATTAGACACAGCGATGTCGGCCTTACCCCGCCTGAAAGCCGATTCATCATAAGCACTAATGCTCGCTCTAAAGTCTTTGTTCTTATGGCAGACACCTCTGATAGCGTCGACATAGAGCCTAGCATCTTCGACTGCATTGTTCAGACCCTGAGCGCGGACTACGATGAAATCAAGATTTAGCCAATGACTTGATGCAGGAATCCGGCAGACTTACAGGGAACCATGGGGTGCGCCGCGTCTCCAGCGAGAGTTACTCGGTCGTCATGGTTATTCCAAGGAGTAATGTTCCCCCAGTAATGGAACTTGTGATAGTCGAGAATCACCAAGCTATCTTTGGGAACGACTCTCACCGATTCTCCACCGACCTCAATGTCATCCGCCAGCCACGCCGCGACCGATCTGTATGGCTCACAATAGGTTGACAAGTAGGACTTGAAAAGGTGTCTGCGCTCTTCTGGAGAGGCAGGAGGATATTCATCAGTCCAGATGGAGAGACTAAACTGAAACACCCACGTCTCCGGTTCTTCCGGGTCAACAAAGTTGGCGACTGAATTACGTTAGTATGCAGCCGCTACGATGTCAGAATTTCAAGGACAAACCGGTCGAGAAGATATTAGTGTTTTGGTAAGGATGTGGGCTCAGCTGCATTTGGGAAATTAGAAGCTTTTCTCGTACTATGCCAAAAGAAGTACACAAAGCTTACTTGGGCGATTGGATGGCTCTTGCTTTGGATAAATAGTGCCTGGTCCCTTGTGAATGTTGGGAAGCATTCTGTTTCGTTTGTCAGTGAGCGACAATTGCTTTCTCTTCAACACTCGGATATTAAATTGCTTTTCATGTGTATGAGTTAAACACGTACCAAGATCATAGTGTTCGCTTTGTCAAGCTTGGCTGTCATCTCGTCCACCAGATGACCACGAACAGCACTCCGAGCTAAGAAGTCTTGTAAGTGCATTCACGTTAGGATGGCCAGGAATTTAGACTCGCTTACCACCATCGGCACCAACGAGAACCGTACCATTGACGACCGTTTCACCATTATTGAAAGTGGCCGTAACCCCATCAGAATTGACATGGACATCTGTCAAGGACTGACCATAACGGACATCGACGTCCACATTGAACAGGTCTCTGAGCTTACCCCTCACTATCCGCCTTGGACTTGGCATAGGGACGTTTGCCAGCAGCTCACCAGAGCGCCCGTTGATAAGTGGAATGTTTCCTACTACTTTGGGGTCTTGTTTTCCCCATGGGTTGGTCTCAACGGATTTCAGTTGCTCAAACAGCTCTGGTGGAAGGCATGCTTGGATATGAGGAATAGACCAATGGAGGGCCATGGTCCATTTTCCCGATCGTTCTTGGTATTTGTCATCCGAGTATTTCTCGTACACTGTGGCAGAAATTCCGGCCTAATGAAGCCGATGGGTTAGACACATCCAGATTACGGGAGTTGGAAATGGCTTACTTTCTTCAAGCCCTGTGCGATGAGAAGACCCGTCGTCCCTGAGAGTATCTGGTCAAGTTTGTACTGGTTGATTTATAGCGTTGACGTACCAGCCCCGACGATAATAACATGAAAACCTGGCTCGGCCATTGGATGTTTATTGACTCAGTAGAAATCGACTGAAACAATATTTTGAACGATGCAAATTGCATACAGAATAACGAGACGAGCCTTCAGCACTATATATCTTCGAATTAAAATACAAATATGCATCTTTCAACAGCATAATTTACCGTGTGATGCATATCATGGAGAGGCCTAATTCCACAAGAAGCTTTTCGTATGTCGATCTATCGATCAATCTCGGCATTCGGACAGTTCGGCGACCGAAAATCGGACCGAACACAAATGCCTTTTAAGCTAAGACAGCAATTTTAAGTAAACAAATGTACCTATATAGGGAATAATATCACTTACGAGCTTGATTGTTCGTTAATAAACCGGTCACGAACTTTTGAGCAAGCATATCACATGACTCGATATAAGTTGTTCACTTTAGCATTGATCCAGGTTTGACTGGAGTAGTCAACTGCTGATTCTTAACACAAAACACTCGCCACACACTGAATCTCCAAATCATTTTGACAAACTTGAAGAACTCTCATCATGGACTCAACAACTTCTACAACTCGTTCCATCCTTCCGCTGGAACCCGGCATTTTCTACCCCGGAGGACATGTTCCAGACCTAAGCTGCCTGAAGACGATCCCACAATCGGCTACAAGCTCAATCATTTCATGCTTCGGATCAGGGATCCGGCTCGTTCACTCCATTTCTACACCACGTTGATGGGCATGCGGACTGTGTTCACGTTCAATGGAGGGCCTTTTACTATCTACTATCTGGGGTATCCTACCAAAGAAAATGATCGTTCAGATTTGACCGCTTGGTCTGCACATCTTTGTGCTGGAAATATCTCTCGAACCCCGGGGTTACTCGAGCTGAAACACGTCCACGGCTCTGAAAAATCGCTGGAGGGGGGGGTACGAGATCTCTAATGGAAATCAGCCACCCAACATGGGATTCGGACATTTAGGATTCTCGGTGCCTGATGTCTCACAAGCGGTAGAGCGGATGCGGGCAGCGGGCGTCAAGATATTCAAAGAGCTTGACACTGCTGAGCGCGAGCACATCCCTCTCACAAAGTGGGAAGAGGAGCGTGGTGTTGGTGTTGGCGAGTTGCACCCGAACTATAAACAAGGGTTTTCTGAAGTTGCTTTTGTGCAAGATCCGGTACGTATTTAGAAATCTCCTTTTTTATTCGACGCCTGGCCCTTATCGTTCTCAATTCATTAATTCGCCCCAATGGTCTTTGCCATGCTCACTCACAATTATTTGGCGTAACAGATTCTCAGGATGAATACATTGTTGAGCTGCTATCCCAGACGGTTTAATGTAGCGCATTCTTTGAATGTCTTGTTTGAAATTTTCACTCGATTACAACCTCACTATATCGCGGTCTCCGCCGTTTTTTTCTTATTCTAGACCATCAATGTGCCTAATAGTGTTCCACGTAAGGTTGTCTAGCAATAAATCTATTGGTGCCCGGGACGTTGACATGCAATCCCTACAAAAACTCCCAGCCAGAACCTGTAGCCCAGCACCTAATTACGCAGATCTGATCATTGTTCCGGGCTCCGAAGCAAGGGAAAATCAGATACTGAAGATAAATCAAATGGGAGCAAGGCGTTAAGGCTGTAGAGAACGAATAGTACACGATCGTAATGAATTTATCCATCACGCTCAAGGCTTCCTCGGTGTTAAAACTGAATCCTTTATTACGGACTATTGCTGTCAGATTGTACCAGGCCGTTTGTATGCAGACTCTGGTTTTTTCTGATGCTTGCATTGTCTGATTGTCAAGGGACCGACTCGACATCGATCTGCAGACAGTCAGAAATATGAGCCGCCTCTTCCGAGGTGAGACTCAATTTTATCCAGGTGTATAGATGCATAAAGAAAAGAATAAAGCCAGGTATGATGGCATTCCGAGGTCGGCCTTCGGCTTTATTGTACCGATAAAAGAGCGAAGACAACCTCGAGTGGGCCCGGAGTAGAGCCAACCGGTAATATGATTGGTCAGAAGTGGTGCAAATCCATACATCTGGGGATTCAGGTTTACTGATTTCTGTGGCATGATTACTCAAAATTGCTTAGAAGGCGGGTTGAGGGATTTAGTCTCGGAGATAGCCTCAATTCCGGTCAAACATGTTTAGATACTTGCTAGGTGCTTAGGGCAAACGGGCCACCATGATATCGTGTTTACGACGACTACATACTTCACATGCATGGGCCATTAGTTTCGGCTTGGGCGCTTTCAGCAACGGCGTCAGGTTTGGGAACTCTTAGTGACCAGAGGATATGGTTTCCTGGGTGAAGCAGTGGAAGGGCATGCGTATCGCTCTCGGCCACAATAGGCAAAATTTATCACCTACCTTCGGTCCAAGTCGTAGCGCTTCACCGAATAAATCCCTCAGGACGCGTCTCATTGCATTCAAAAATCGATTTCAATACGTCAACGCTAGGCATATCAAAGTATTTCTCGAGACAAGAGTCTCAAATGAGACTTTGGAAAGCCGCCGGGGAAAACAGGCGCCATGCTATTTGCAAAGGTCTGGCGTTGGACCAGTCTCTAGATATCTTCAAGTGATGCTTCGCCATCTAAGAGATAGAGATTGAGAGCTCTCCCAAATAAAGGTAGTTTTGTCAGATATTAACCTGTTGGTAAATACGACTTGCGTAATTAAGCAAAGGCTGACTGCAGCGGCTAACAAGAACTAGGGACATCGTGTTGATAAAGAATATTCTTAGTGGTCGTGACGCATTGTCACTATATGGTATGATACATGGCAACTAGTGTGAAGGGAGTCACCCTTGCGAATACTGTGTTCGAACGGGGAAGCTATGCCGAGCACAAAAGGTAGAGCGTACGGAGTTGAAATTTATCAACTTGACGGAATCTACCAAATCCTGTCAGATGGCACACATTCCAAAGCAAATGCACAGTCCCATCCATATGTTGTATCTGGAGTATTTTGCAGACTTCCTCCATCAAAGTCACTTCACGAGAGAGTTCGTTTCAGTTCATACGGATCTCATGCCTCTAATGAGCGCGTCGCCTCCACTCCAGCATGTAGCCGTCGCAATTGGCTCTCTAAGAGCTAGCAGAAGATGTTCCGTCAGGTCAATTAGTAGACGTCAATCAACTCACTATGTCGCTTTCAAGTCTTATGGTGACTCAATACAAGCTCTTCAGTCTCAAATATCAGAAGGTCTTTCAGCTCATGCAGATGACGTGCTCTGGTGCACATTCCTGCTTGGTTTGTTTGAAGTAGGTTTAGACCGATTCTTGTAAGATTTCTCAGCTAACCTTTCCCTATAGCTAATGACCCAAACTTCGGGAGATGGATGGGCCAGGCACATGGTATTTGGTACATCCAAATTGTTGCAGTCAATGCGGGATACAATTAGATCTTCTTTATTGCGGCAGAAATTGTTCCACGCTTTTCGAATCCTCGAGATTAACAGAGCTATTCTATACGGGGAGACGACAATGCTTTCACAGGGTACTTGGCCGGTGTCCGGAGACATTTTGGCCTCCGAGGCAAGTGACAGTGGGGACTCAATGGACACGGTTCTCACGCTTATGATGAATACTTCATCTTTCAGCCAAAGGTGAGATTTTGGTTGGTCGATAGTCCCTATATTCCTAACATAAATATTACAGCCTTTTTGATAACGGGGCACCCGGGATGTATAGATCTCACTTTAGATGCGCTCGCCACTCAAGGAATCGAGATCAGGGGAAATTATGAAGTGGCAAAGGACCATCGCAACGCCTGAAGGCGTTTCAGACCCATTCTCTGCGCTTGCGATGGCCAATTGCCATGGTCTTCTCCTATTTCATTGCAGAAACTTTACATTCCACTCGTTCTGGAAGGGAAAGCCGATTCCTTCGCTGGATCAATATCGTATCGATGAACACGTTGGTGTGATCCTAAAACAGAGTGACCGGGTTCTCCAGTCTTCGGGGATTCCTGGGGTGCTCTTGCTATTTCCTCTGAGAATGGCTGGAGCCAACGTCCTTGAGACTTCCAAGAAGCGCAAGATAGTAAGACTACTCGACCAGATTTATCAGACAGGCTTCGTCGTTGCAGATGTAATCAAGAATGACTTAGAAGATATTTGGCGAGATCAGAGTCTCAATTAATTGGGCTTACTGGTCTATATGATTATCGAATTCAAGTCAAAATCTCCTTTAAGAGGACACATTTTGTTCTAACTGAGGAGTAAAGCAGTATCGAACGGTTCGTAAGCAGGTTTCATCGCTTGTTAACCTTTTTTTTAATTTTTTCCACCCGGTCGCAGTAGGTATTTCCTGAGACTGCATCTAGTGCTTTGAACCTTACTAGATTTTACCATACTGTGGCAGAGAATCAGTTTCGTATGTCACCTGGCGCGCATATTAGCGACTGATCTGAGGCAGAGACAAAACTCATTGACCTCCTTGAGTTCTTTCGCCGCGGTTGGATTTGATCTGCGTTTTCAGTGAGGGCAAACCGAAGAAGTGGTGAAGGGAATGGTGGAAAACAGTTGTTGAAGTCGAGCGCCAACATCAGGACCAGAGGATGACAAGCAGCGCTGGGCAGGTGCCAGAAAGAGGTAGTACATGACAATCTACAGCCAAACAAGGGCTCGACGTCCAGGTTCATGGGCTGAAAGGCGGCCTTTTCTAGCCTAGGAAGCGATCATGTTCAGCGCTGGTTTCACAAGTCTCTCAAATTCTACTTGCAATTTGAGTTCAGCTGTATATGGTTCGCCGAAACTACCCCATAAGTTCTGTCAGGATATTTCAGGAGGTAGAAAAAATGCCAATTTTTTGTAGAAGAGAGCCAAGGGTTTTTCGAATGGACCCTCTGTCCGAGTCTCATGTTCGCTGGCTGTGAGGCACAGGATATATGTATTGTGACGTCATTTTGGCCCCATACTATGCATCCTTTCCGTTTTAGGTTGCACGTTGCGCTGAGCTCTAAGGGTCCAAAATGAATGCACTGCCATGAATACGAGCTACCAGCATAATCAGATGTGCGGAAACTCTATTTGCCCCATGAAATGTCCTTCACATGGGCACGTCTATGTCTGGTTGGCTTATTGTAGAACTTATGCGCCCATTTGATGGAGGGAAGGTCGCCCCAACGCACCATGAATGGCTAGGGCGATTACTTGGCCTATGTCTGTGGACTTGGTATGCCGCGATGTCAAAATTGTGCCTTGGAGACCTAGGAATAATGGATTATAAAATCAAGTAGAGACCCTCAGTTCCCCAACAAACAGTTCATATGCTCCGAGACGCAATCCTTTCCTAGACGACTGGGAAAAAGATTACCAAGGCTATTAACTATGCTGGTCCATCAAGTCTTTGCTGGGCTTGTGCTAGGAATTGCGATTGGCTCAGCAGAGCGTATCGTCGCAACATCCGAAGTTCCCCTCATCGGTCCCTCCTTCATCTCCAATTTCGATCCTTCCAATTCAAGCGCAATTCAGAATGCCAGAAGAAAGTTTCCTGACCTGATCAACAACCTTTTCTCGGAAGGCTCTCTCAACCGTACGGACCTGGCTTTTTCAATCGACGTGTTCTCAGCGGCAACCAATGGGTCAATTTATAGCTATTCGCATGTTGGAGACAACTCTAAGAAGGCGTTGACGTCCGGAGTCCTCAATGATAAGACGATATCGCGCATTGGAAGCGTGACAAAACTCTTCACCATCTACGCGATTCTTGCCAAGGCGGGTATCGAAATATTCAGTCACCCTGTGACACGGTATCTGCCTGAGCTCGCCGGTAACTCATCGAGTGATCCGTTGGAGAGAATCAGTTGGGACGATATCACTGTTGGTGCGCTAGCCTCTCAACAAGCTGGCTCAGGTGGTATTGCAGGTATGTGATACCTTGAAGAGCTCGTTGGTAGATGCTAATTTCTAACTTAGATTTCTTGAACAAATACGCGAAGCCGAACGACCCGTTGAACTACACACCGGAAGGTAACCATCAGATTGCTTTTACCATCTACAGAAACGCTAATTTGCAATAAAGAGCTCTTTCACTTCATGCGGGATGAGAAAATGCCTGTCATCTCTCCTTTTAGGAACGCCATGTATTCCGATGGTGGGTTTGCTATTCTAGGCCAGGTTCTTGCGCGCCTGTCAGGACAAAACTACACAGACGCGGTCCAAGACATTCTTTTTGAACCACTAGGGCTGAAAGGCACGTCGACAAAAGCCCCAACTGGCAAGGGAATCAATGCCATTGATCGTTCTATTATTGACAAGACATCGGCATGGGGACTGGACTCTGAGATCGTCGCATCGTACGTTTTCTCTTTTACTTACCTCATACCTGAAGGGTCACCGACTGATGCCCTACAGAACTGGCAGCCTTTACTCAAATGGCGCAGACCTTCGCACAGCAGGTCTTTCCATATTAAACTCGGAGCTACTATCTTCGGCAACAACATCAGAATGGTTGAAGCCTCGAAGCGGCACAGGTAGCTTAGTCGAGCTTGTCGGGGCACCATGGGAAATCTCTCGCCTAGAGATTCCAGTCACCCTAAGGTCGAACCGCACACGGATTTCGGATCTCTATACAAAAGCGGGTGGCAACGGCGATTACACAGCCATTTTTGCGCTTTCACCGGACCACGGTATTGGCTACTCTATCTTGGTTGCCGGTGCGACTGCCACGCCTGCTCGCTGGCCCCTGCGTGATACGGTCGGTGAGACTTTCATTCCTGCTGCAGAGCATGCGGCTGCGGAAAATGCTAAGCTCAACTTGGCGGGAAAGTTTGTTGATGAGAATTCGCCTGATACCAACCTCACATTGACCGTTGATGAAGGTCGTCCGGGGCTTGGGTTGGCGTCATTCTGGGTCAAGGGCGTCAATGGTTGCGATAGCCCGCATTGGCGCCTATATCCCACTGGACTTTATTCATGCTCGAGATCTTTGTCTTCTTTGTATCGAAGCAAAGGCACAATGCGTGTGGCGCATCGGCTGGCAGAGCCAGAACCTCCAATGAAGCCCCGTGCTGCTGTAGAGGGCGGTAATGGAGGAGTGTTTGACAATTCGTTTACCTGGATGAGTGTTGATTTCGACGGCCCTGTTGATGAATTTGTTTTCAACTTGATTGATGGTAAACTTGCGAGTGTTGAGCTCCCAATTGCAGGCTTTGTGTTAAAGCGGATCAACTAAATCTTTGTTACTCAACAGTCTTGATTTCAAGTTCTCTTTTCCATACACTAATAGCGTCTTTCTTCAGTTGGTAGCTCTGCGATTTGTATTGCTTCTTTTGAAACAGCTCAAGACTCGATCCAACGAAGCCGGTGTAGTGAGACTGATTTGCGGAATCGGGTTGGAATTTCAAACCCATGGTAAATCGCAACTTCTACTCCTTCGTGCTTGGGTAATTTGTTTGAATTATTTCGGAATATAACACATCTAAGCATACAACTTGGTCAGGGTTGGATTCACCGCGTCCAGCGCAGTAAAGCTACAGTGACCTCTATCACCATCGATCATATCATCTGCATGATCTATAACCCAATTCGGCGGTTCTATCGTTTGGCCCCACCTGATTGGACCCAGGACTGCATTGCCCAGGTTTTCACCCTTGGGTGGATGACATGCAGCACTAATTGCAGCGCTACAGGCCCCAGCCAGCGGCATGACAGATTTGAGCCTTTTGCAGCTCAGCAAAATCAATAGAAACACCAGCAAAGACGAAACGAGAATTGCCAAGAAAATGGGTAAGGGCGAGTAACCAAGAGAACTGACTTCAGAGCCATAGTCTGCCTCTCCTTGGACATTGTATGGAACCACCAAGACGTAGTATAAACTCTGCGAGATCAACCAGTGAAGAATCATGTGCAGAAGCAACAGAGGCACACCATATTGGTAAGGTATACTGAGCCAATAGGTTGACTTCTGCTGGCTGCCTTTCACGGGACGGGTGACTCGGAGTGGTTTGCGAGTGACACCATAAGAGTTATACTCTGCCGCTGCCAGCATATCGGTGATGATGTTATTCAAGCAATAGTAGCTCATTGTAAGCAATAACTGTGGAATATTGGCTACCATCACTGAGCCAACCATAGATCCCAGGGTTATGTCCAGGGTGTTGTAATTGCTTGAACCGACCCCTTCCCTCCACCACTCACTAAGGAGGTCTGTCGAAAGTGAAGTGAACCCGTCAGTTTGAATTGCGAGGCCCAGAAGATACCCTGCTACGGATATGCCGGATAAACATCTAAGTCAGTCGATTTAGCATTTTCCAGCATTGAACAGGGAAGCTGGTCTCACAAGAAAAGCGTACTTGCCCATCGCGTTTTGCTTGGCACTTGCAAATACCACTTGCGTTGCACAAGCTTCTTGTATGTCATCATCTCGCACGTTTCATTTTGCTCCAAAGTACCAATTGGCGTGCTCAAGCCTTTTAGATTACCACAGGTTCCCCAGAGTCCGCGGGAGACATCACTCTTGGATATCCAGCACATGCCCTCCGTGGTAGGGTCTGGCCTGGTCACGAAAGATGCCACCGCGTCGCCTATAGTGAGCAGAGGCATCGACCTAGAGTGACTGATCCGAGCCGCGAAAAACATCGCGATCACTTTTGCTAGCGCGCAAAGAGATATGACAATGCAAATCGTCGGGCTGTAGAGCAGTTGGCATTTTTCCTCTGCGGAAATCTGTATGCAATCATGTGCGGTGTACGTGTTCAGAGTATCATCGGCGGTGTCATCAGCAAGAGCGCATGTGACGTTTTGAGTGGTGTTGTAATGAAATGTGTTGCCCAGGAGTTTCGTTTCGGCCGAGCTGGTTGAATTCGTCATCCAAAAGGTCTCATCGTCCACATCGGGTCTGCCGCTAGATGAACTGTATTGGATTGCCAAATTGCCTCCATCTTTCACCGACAGCTCTTCGGCAAGAAACATGAGAGCTTTTATTCCTGCGGCGTTCTTATTGTCGAGAATATCCCTGCATGTGTCCAAGCTGAGATGGGTGAAATTACCTGCCGCAATCTCCGAGGAAAATTCATACCAGGTATACCTTCCAACATCAAAATAAGTAGCACTCATCTGGAAGCATTCTTCAAGTGCAGGAGTGGTCAAATTCATCACGTTGTCAGCTGCAAGATCGTGTGGTCCGACATATACCACAAATTCGTTTGTAGCAATAGACTCAAAAATCATGGAGTTGTATCTTGACCTGTATTAGCCATATTGCCAGCCTCAAACCACTGATACATACAGTATGTGAAACGGTGTAGCTGTTATCAACAAGATAATCCACAGCATAACCCGACGTCGACTGATTTTGAACAAGTTCCCGAGGCTCGCAGTTCCAATATCGAGCCATTCACCCTTCGCATGACACGCATCGACCTCCTCTCTAGTCGGCGCAACAAGAGATTGCATGCAGTAGTTGCTAGCGCCCAGAATACTCGTGCTCAAAGCGTTGATGATCAAATGAAGAGCAACATCCCAGTTTTTGACAGCGGTACAACTGCCCCGGTAGACGATCTTGGAGCCTGCTAATTCGGATTCGGCGCCATACCTCGAGGACAGCCCAGCTGCCACAGATATGGAGACCACGTTGACCAAAATTACACAGGCACCTACTCGGGCGCAGTAGTAGACACCTCTGATCCAGCGAGGGACCTGGGAAACTGCACTCTCGGCCTGGCCTGCGGGTGGGGGCCGAAATTGTCGTTGCCAGGCATCCAAGGAGAACGCGAAGGCAGGTTTTGAGGGTTCAACTGTAACCAGTTCAACTTCGCTCGCACCCAGGGTTGGGTAGGAAACTCCGTGGGAACGCGGGCCAAACAAGAAAGACAGGGCGCGTCCCCATGTTCGCCTTGTCTCCTTTTCCATCATTCAGGCTCTCATTGCGTTGACTCTGGGCTCAGTTGGTTTTGCGAGACTCCGGTAGTCGAGAACTTAAGTGCAGGTTGACAGTCCTGTCGTTGCCGGTGGCTTCATTCTTCAGGGGAGGAATTCCGCGACGTGATGAGACCGGCACGCGATAATTTTGGCCGGGGTGGACAACTTCGCGCGGTGTGGCTTGACTGAAGTGGCTTGATTAGCATTTTTAAATCGGGCCTAGAAAAGCATAGCTCGGCATTAGCGAAGCTAGTAACGCCAATGCAGATGATCCCCCAAAATCGACGCGCTAAGCAAGATTGACGTGGAGCGTCACCCTTTCCGTAGCTGCGCCCAGGCCAATTTGGAAGCAGCCCGGTCTACTTATTGGATCCATTCAAGAATAAACACCATGTCAGAACTAGATAAACTTCCTCAAGAGACTGAGTGTCTCGTAAGATTGGATGTCTTTTGTATCGATGAAATTCAAGATTCATTTTTCCATCGAATTGGCGCCATCGAATTGGCGATGGGAACGGCACACACAATTGCAAGGCTGTATCAACCTAGATTTAACGTAGGTTTGTATCGACTGTCCTCATTATCCGATCTGTTTAAGGTGTATGCTTTATAGAGCTCAAAGAGGAAGTGCCAAGCTGTGCATATCGTGCTTCAGTCCCCTCGGCTTGGGCTTCGGGTATGCATGCTGCGGGGCAGCCTATCTGGCTCAAAGTCAGAGGTGCCAATTTCACGTCTGCGGTAGAAAGATGAAACTCAATTCACATGAATGCTTAGTTGCTTTGGTCATCGGCGAAGAGGCAGAGAAGCGCAGCGGCAGCGCATGGTTGATTGGAACGCGTCTTAATGGCTTAAAGACAGATTGATGTCGTGGCAATGCTCTGAGAGACTCCTGCTGATCAGACGTGTTTGAGTATCTACAAAGTAATGCTTTTTGATGATCTTTAGCCACTGATGTGACGTCGAAGCCGGCTAGGGAGATTTTGAACGGGTGCTGCAGGGGAACCGCGTCGCAGGCCTGCATCTCGGAGACTTGCATGACGCTTGCTTGCATAGTGAGCAGAGATCGTGATCATGATCATGCTCATGATCAAAATAGAAGCAGAAATGGGAAAACAGAAGGAACTTGAGTGAACGAAGCAGTTTACTTGTGGCATCTTGCTTCCTTTCGATGCCGCCACAACTGAGGTACAGACGCAGCGTTTTCCATCAGCCACATCTTCCATATTTCTAAATGAACAGCACTACCTTGACAGCAACGTTCAAGTCAAACAGCAATAAATCAGATTGACATGTAGAATCACCTTTCACCTCGTATTACCCATTTCAGTCAATCTACGAACTATCAGTTCAAGAAGCCGGTTGAGCCGGTCACGATTCCCATCGATCGGCGCCTCTTTTCTAGGCCCCAACATCCCTTTCTTGCTATTTCAATATTCGCTGGCTTCAATCGAGGATCAATACAATCAAGTGATCCGCCTTTCTAAGAGTGCTTTTTCCTATAAAATACCGTAAATATCCCACTATCCTGTGGGCATGACATACAAATCGATGGCCAGGCACATAAGTCGTCCGAGTGGCAAATGTGTGGTTCCAGAGTCTGTGATTTGAAGTTCGCGCGACGCGCGAAATGACGAGGGGAGTCATGAAAAACACTTGGCGGTACAGGAAGCTGCACCATATGCCTGACTCAGATGACTTTACAGGATAAGTTGAGGCGGCGCGTAAATCATCAAAAGCTTGACCAGTAAGCGATAACAGTGTACAGAGCATAAAATCGGCTGACACGCTCATAGACATCCTGAACTGGGAGTCTTATGGTGGTCGGCAATTTTTTCTGAGATCTCCCACGTCAATCTCCAATATGAGACCCAAATGTGTGGGTGTCGAGTTTGAGTTTTTCGTCTTGGTTGTCAATTCATGATTGCTGCAGAATCGGCTAACCTTCCTTCGTGGACGACCATCAGTGTTTTGCACAGTCAACCTGCTACTTCACTATCTCTTGACCTCCGAAGTAATTGTGCAAAAATTTTGACCCCTGGAGCGCATTAGTAGCCCGCCGTGACCACTGAGGTGCGGGCCCTGGAATACGCAGTGTGAGCTCGACTGAGCTCCTCAAGGCTTGAGCTGAAGCAGCAGTGATATATGGCCTGGTACTGTTCTAGATGAGAGAATCGACAGAGAAAGGAATGAGACCATCTGTGTAATATGCTATTTGTACATGCATGTATTAATCCTTGGAGCTCTGGCTGTACTCGTCTTCTTCCAAGATGGTCGAGGACTGGTAATTGTCACGCCACTTGGTCTCCCAATCAAATGGTGAGTCATCTTGCTCTATTAAGTCGCGAGCGGGCTCGGAGGACGTGGACGGCAGTCGCAGAACCTGCGATAAGGTATCACCCATATAATAGAGGGTCAGACCTGCAATGACTCCTGTGAGCACCGCTCCGGCCGTGAAATAAAGAATTGCCTGTGATAGAATGAGCTCTTGAAACTGGCTCGTCGGACAGCATTACGTGAATAAATACCTCGAACTTGGCTAGGAGGCGAAGCGGAAGCAACGCTATCGAGAGAAGCCCATGCCCCAGATAAAGCAACGGGGAGGCTAGGAAGTGGAGGATATACAACAGATAAAATACCAGTCGCTTCAAGAGAAAGAAAAGCGCACCAAGTACCAGGAGGAGGCCATCGACGACCGAACCCACATCCATGGTCCAAGCTATGGGGAAGAGGTCCAGAGCTCCAGCTCCAGGGAAGAAATCCGGGGAAGCCGAGTTATTGCCGCTAGCCCTAAGCCCTAATATTCCTAATTCGATCTCCGGCGTCATCGGACCTACAACGTTGAAGCAAGTGCAGCGACCATCTTCTCTTACTCGCTTCTTCGGCTTCATGCTACTAGCACAGTGGCTACTGTCCTCAATTGTCTTCTCACAGACCCCCCTTGTACCCCGGCAATCGACTACATTCTTAACCCGCGCCTCCTACCCCGCCTTCAATGGGCAACAACCCTTCTAAGGCCGGCGAAGCGCCGGGCCATATCCCTCAAGCTCATGCCCCCGGCGACCGAAGAGTGGTCCGTCGCCCCTCTCTCAATGCGATTCCGACACAGAAAGCCGTCGCGGCTGACCCCTCTGCTACCAGAGAGACAGCCGCCGGTCACCCTGCAGCGTACCACAGCATCGCCCACCAGCGGCTCCAATCCCGAAATGCCGGTGATTCTCCGGCGGAGAAACCGATTAGACCCGAAAGACCAGATGAGAGGAGATCCGAACATTCGCAAGGCAAGGACATCCCCTCGCGGGACACCTCCAACCCGGTACAGGTCCCCGTCTCGCGACAGTCTGCAGAGCGCGACACAATGGCACCTTCCGCGCCGCCCTTGAACTCGTACTATAGCGCCTCGCAGCACCTGCAGCGTCCCCCGCGCTTGCCATTGCCCATTGGCGATGCTAATACCATACCGGGCTCTCCCATTATGGGTCCGGAAGATTCTCATATTCAATCAATGCCTACGGACCGCGTGATGGATGACCACTTGGGTTCTGAGACTACCGACCGCAGCAGTACTACAATGGAAGGAGATGAGGGCGGTGACGAGCTCCAGCCGTATGCGGCCAGTGGAGTCGGCAAAGCAGTGCCCACCGTCATTGAGTGGAATGCACCCGGACAAAAGGTCTATGTGACAGGAACATTCGTTAACTGGGAAAAGAAGTTCAAGTTGCACAGAAGGTATGCGATCCAACTTTCGAGCGTTTTCCGTTTGTTATTTGGAGGCGTATGGCTAACATGAACCAGCGAGAATGGCTCCGTGATGACGACAACATTGAACCTGCGTCCAGGTACGCATCACCTCAAGTTCATAGTCGATGGAGAAATGCGGGCTTCAGATACTCTTCCCACCGCCGTCGACTTTACGAATCACCTAGTCAACTACGTCGAAATCAGCGCCGATGATGCCACCCGGGAGAGCGACAGATCTTCTGCTCCCCTGGGGACCGCACTGCTCAGTCCGAGCAGGACAGTTCCAAGGTTGGCCCAGAGGACGAGGAACCTCCAAAAAAAGAACTCGAAGAAGAGGTTTCTCCGGGCGACTTTGGTAATGCCATTCCCCAGTTCCTCGCTGACCTGGACCTGGAGGAAGACCACCCAGCCTATACCCAGGCTGCCAATGTCATTGGGGACACTGCTACCCCTCCCAGTCTGCCTCTCTTCTTGGGTAAATCGATTCTCAATAGTACCACCCCGACCAAGGATGATAGCAGTGTTCTGAACTATCCTAACCACACTGTTTTGAACCACCTTGCCACGAGCAGCATCAAGAATGGTGTTCTTGCTACAAGTGTCACAACCAGATATAAGCGAAAGGTAAGGCAACCACTTGTTCTTCTTCTATCCGGCTTTCTGACGTTCTGCAGTATGTCACAACCATCTTGTACAAACCAACCAGCCATATCACCGGGGAGTGAGTATTGCCTAGCAAATGAACCGTCCGCTTTTCGCATGCGTACAGTCTGCAAATAGTATCTCAGAAGAGCCCACATTGCACCACGCATGTTGGATCCCGACATATGATACCCTCCGAGATCAGCTTAGCATGCCCTGCTCCATTCATATGCAGAATTAGCAGCGACTCACACCAAACCACTTCATCAAGAAATAAGGAGATGCCGAAAAGAAACAGACCATTTCTCACATATTGCATGATATTTCAAGGCGTTGCTTCAATGGGAGGCTTTTGTAGGAGTTCGGACTTCGGTCATGCATATCAGAATCATTCCAACCCTGCACGAGAACATGTCATCTTGCAGGGCTTTACAGTCTTACTTTGACGTGATTAATTTGAACTCAGCTAGCAGATCATTAATCCCCAACTTTTGAATACCATATGGCCGAACTCCACATCGGATGCTGGACCTGGACATGCTCGTTTCGTAACACATAATAGATCTCATAAAACTCTGTTTTAATCATCCCGCCACTTCACCCACACCTCGTCCGTTCGGAAGCGCTGGGTACAAACAGTGTCTTTCAGCGGAGTATTCAAGCCCATCTTATGTGCCAGCATTCCAGCCTGGGCAATCATAATACCGTTATCAATGCAGAAGCGCTCATCGGTGGCAAAGACACTACCACCGCGATCCCGAGCCATGATACCCATCATCTCTTGCAATCGCTCATTGCAGCCCACACCACCAACAATAAGCACCTCCTTGGAGCCAACATGCGCCATTGCACGTTCTGTAATCTCCACGAGCATTGAAAACACAGTCTCTTGTAGTGAGAAGCAAAGATCCGCACGAGTAGGCTTGGCATCTGGGTCTGGACTTGCTTCCACATTCGAGGCACTGTTCGACGCGTCTAGCTTGGCCTGCTCCGAGCCACCTAATCCATATGTCGCAGCTAGTCCATCGCTTGCCGCAAGAATTCCAGAGAATGAGCAATCCATGCCTTTCACCACATATGGCAGGTCCACTAGCCGCTTGCCCTGCTTCGCAAGCTGCTCGATATTATACCCGGGAAAGGGATCATTAGGGATGTGAAGCGTGCGCGCGAATCGGTCTAGACAATTGCCCACCGCAATATCGAGAGTCTCGCCAAAAATGCGGTATCGCTGTGAGCTATACGCGATCACTTGTGTATTTCCGCCGGAGACGTATAGGACGACGGGGTTTGACGCGCCGGTAATCAGACGGCCCATTTCGATATCTAGCCCAGTCAGCCTGTTTTCTCTGGGAAAAAAAAAAGATATTTGCGTGAAACATACGTCCAACACAATGGTTCACTCCGACCAATTTCTTTCCCCAGAGCAGACTCATCATCCGCGCCGCGATAGCCACGCTCTGCAGCGGGGCACCCATGCCCGGACCTTGTGTAAAACAGATACAGTCCACATCGTCCACTGTCACCTTCGCCTCTTTCAACGCATCCTTCACTAGCTTCACTACCCATGCACGATGGTGCCGCGCTGTGTCCTTCGGCAGGAAACCTTCGCCTGGTGGGGCGTTGTATGTGTGCCGGACATTGGCGAGGACCCTTGATTCGCTGCCGTCTTCTGGATGCAGCATGATGCCAATGCCGACCTTGTTGGCCGAGCCTTCCATTCCAATACCGATCATGATGTTTCTTGAGTCTAGTGTCTGGGATTGAAAGAAAGAAGAGTCGCAAAGTAGAGTGAGGGACTCGGTTTTCGTTATCAAACTTATCGGGGCTAAAAGCGGCACTCCCGTTTCTCCGAACCAGCTCCAATCTACTTCCCTTTTCCCTTTTGCTTTTGCCTCTTTTTTTGTTTTCTACCCACTCTTTCTTGTCCCCTTTTTCCTTTATCCTTTTTCTTTCACGGCACTCGATATATTGCATGTTTTTCTCGCATATACGCTTGTCACATCTTTCTCCCTCCCCTTTCACAAAGACATAATCACAATGTCCTCTTCAGCCCACTTCCCCGATTCCCAAAGCTTCCAACAACAGTCCAATGAATTCGTCTTTTGGCTGGAAGCAAATCCAGGTGTCAAGGTCAACCCGAAGATTTTCCTCGCAGACCTAAGATCAAGCGGCGAAGGCCGAGGTGTCGGTAAGATGACCCCTCTACCCACCACGCACATTCCAGCCTAGCGGAGCGTGCAACGGAAATACCTTAAAAAAAGGCATATCTAACTGTCATCTTTGGAAATATAGTGGCTCGGTCTAATATCTCCGAGGGTGAAGAACTTTTCTCGATCCCGCGCACCCTAATCCTCGCCGTCCAAAATTCCCAGCTGAAGACCCTGCTCCCTCAGGATCTTGAGGCCCTCGGTTCTTGGCTTTCACTTATGCTAGTTATGATCTATGAATATCTGCAAGGCGATCAGTCAAGATGGGCACCTTATTTTCGTGTGCTACCCACACGGTTTGACACGCTTATGTTTTGGTCTCAGGCGGAATTGGCGGAATTGCAGGCTAGTGCCATTGTTGACAAGATCGGCAAGCAGGGTGCTGATGATTCTATTCTCGGCTCTATTGCGCCTATCATGAGGGCGAACCCTAATCTTTTCCCGCCTATTAATGGACTTTCCTCGTATGAGGGCGAGGCTGGTACTGCGACGCTGCTTGAGCTGGCCCACGTTATGGGGTCGCTCATCATGGCTTATGCTTTCGATATTGAGAAGTCCGAGGATGATGATGATGAGCCCGAGGATGAGAATGATGGTTATATGACCGATGATGAGGATGAGCAGCTTTCTAAGGGCATGGTTCCGCTGGCTGATCTTCTGAACGCGGATGCGGACCGGAACAACGTGAGTTTTGACACACTTCCTTTAGCAAAGATAATTCCTCACAATTGTATCAGGCTCGTCTCTATCAGGAGGAGGAGGCTCTGGTCATGAAGGCCATTAAGCCTATTCAGGAAGGAGAAGAAATCTTCAATGACTACGGAGACATTCCTCGCGCTGATCTGCTTCGCCGGTACGGCTACGTGACCGACAACTACGCCTCATTCGATGTGATTGAGTTCTCTCTTGCGGACATTTGCCAAGCAGCCGGTCTTCCTAATAGCGATGTTGAATCTCAGCCTAGACTTCAACTCCTCGAGGAGCACGACCTTCTTGATGACGGCTACGTAATCCCTCGCCCATCCCCAAATGACACCTTAGAGGACATCCTCCCAATGGAGCTTGTCGCCCTGCTCACCACGCTCTGTCAGTCTCCAGAGGAATTTGAGCAGCGCCGCTTAAAGAACAAGCCTCCCAAGCCTTCCATGGACGCTCCGCAGGCCGGTCTCCTCCACAGGCTCCTCCAGACTAAGCAGTCGCATTATGCCACTTCTCTCGCCCACGATATGCAGCTCCTGTCGAGCTTGACTTCCCCACAGGCCCACGGCGCACTGGAAGTTTCTTCTCGGCGCCTTATGATGGCTCTTCAGGTCCGCATCGGAGAGAAGGAAATTCTTCAAACTCTCCAGGGCATGCTTAGCACTTCTGCCAGCAACGGGTCCTTGAAACGATCTGCCAACGGTGATCATGACTCGAGACAGTCCAAGTCTGCGCGAGTCTAATTCAACATTTCTTTTCAGCGAGTGTTTTAACAGCGACACTGTCAACCCAACCGACTCAAGACGAGCGAGGAAAAAGTTTGCATAATTGCATGAGTGATTATATTTCTGTTAGATTTGGAAGCTTTTTTCTGCCTTTCTCCTGTTCTTGATCATCACAGGCATCATAACTTCGGTTTATCCATCATACAAATGGCCTCCAGCGGCCATGCCCGACCCCCGTGAAAGATAATATGTACACTAACAAGCGCAGAAACGTCGTCAGACTGGGCGGTAAAGCCCAGCCAGGCGAGTGCGATCTGCGTCGGAGAAGATGAAGGGGAGGAGCAAGAAGGAAGGTGGGGTGCGGAAAGAGGAAACAGGAATAGGGCCGGGCTGTGTGAAATCCCTTCGTCGCCGAGATCATCAGAACATGAAGGGTGGTACTAAAACTACAAGGGTGAAGAAATGGGGTGAAGGCGACGAAGGGATGTCGAAAGCAACACACGAAACGCCCGCCAAATGCTGAAAAACGAACACAAAAAACAAATAAGGGTCTTTCAGGCCTCGGACGCGGCAACGGCACTGGGACCGAGATTTTGCGACCCGGGTTGATCAACCTGCAATCGTCGAGCCTGGGCTGCTTGAGCTTGCGCCTGCGCATGAGCTTGGGCAGCCACAGCGGCTTGTTCGCGCACCTTGGCCACAGTGATGGCCCGGTGCTGCATGATCTGGATGCTGAATGGATCCGTTTCATAGACAGGCTCGTCGTCGGAATCTTCCTGGTCGAACTTGAATCGGTCCGCTCTGAGCGGATCCAGCTCGGTTTTACAGCGCGATACCAGATTGCGGCGATCGATAAGCAGCCTGCCTCCACGGCCCACACGCCGCCGGAATGAGGGCATGCGGTGAGGCTCGCCGTGTAACTCTAGGGCTCGCGAGGCGAGTTTGTCACGCGAGTGGAGTGGGCTTGTCACGTCTAAGGCGGTGTCCCTCATATCGCCAGACGACTCTGACGATGGAGGAGTGGGGAGTTGCGCTGTGAACGCGGGTCGGAACGCTCCTGTATCGAATGTTCGCTCTGGGGATGGAGAGAGAGGTGCTCGTGTGAGATCCACATAGCCCTCGTTCCACTTGATATGCTTGGTGATGTTCGCCTTGATGTCGCGCAAAATTTCGTTCTCCTTTTCGGTCTGGACATCCTCCAGCAACTGCAGATCCTCTGCGCCCTGGAGACCAGGCTTGAGAGGCAGACGAAGTTGAGGAGCGTTGGGACGACCCGGTTGGAATTCGGGCTTCTTTTTGGGCTGTGGGAAACGAGTCAGTTCATACTCAATGGATAAGTTCGGGCTGGCATCGATTACCTTCTGGTTGATGAGGTCTTCGTCGTCGTCCTTGATGTTCAGCTTGCGCTTCATATCCCGGACCTCTGCGCGTTCGATGAAGAGCTTCCGCTCCATCGCTATCATCTCCTTGCGAGCAACTTCGCGCTGGCGCACCAGCGCAACAATTTGCCGTGCATCTTCAAGTTCTTTACGAAGGCGCCGAAGCTTCTCGGCACTCTGGGCATCTCGGCCACGAGTCTTGCGAATCTGGCGAACCTCACGCCGACGGAAACAGACATACGGGTCACTGTCATCGGTATCTTGACCGGTCTCAAACTGCGAAAAGGTCAGCATGTGATGGCTTATTGGCGTGCATTTTCCGATCTCGCATTGTTCGACATACCTTGAGGCTTGGTGCTATCGTGTGATTGTCCGTCTCAATTCGGCGCAACTTCCAGTGCTCATAGATGTCTTTGGCGAATCGCTTTACGCTTTCCTCTACGGCGGCGTCCATAGCCTCTTCCATGTCTGCGAACGACAGCACCGGTGGGTTATCCACGGCCGCATATGGCTGCTTGGTTTGCGCAGTCTCCTCGAAAAAGTTCATGGTGGCCTCAAAGTCATCTTCGGAGCATTGCTGCGACGGGTCACGCTTGGAGTTGAAGATCTTCAGAAAGACATCATCCTCCTCCGTCATATTATACGGGCATCCACAACAGTCCTCGACAGTTGAGGAGAACCTGATATATGTCGCGGGCTGCGAGAAATGGGGCGGATATAGTTCGTCATATCGCAGATTACTCAGGATGGTTTCCGGGGTAGGGATGTGCGCGTCATTAACCTTGCCCTGGGCAGTGAGGTTGATGGCAACTTGCAAATGGAATTCCTACACAGCGTGACGCCCAAAGTCAGCATCGTGAAATTTTCGTGTCGCTTTCGTGATGTCATCACGTGACCTCATGCAGGATGAGACTAAAATTAGCGTAGGAGCAGATGACTTACGGACTCCTCGGCCTTTTCCACGCCGGTTTCAATCTGTTGTAGGCTTGCCTGAAGCTCATCATCTAGCACATCGATCTCATCCTCGCGGACAATGGGGATTGAGGCCTTTGAGGTGAGCTTTTTGGGGCGCGTCCGGCCCAGGCCCCCGTACCGAGTCATAGCGTCGGGCCACGCGATAGAGCAGCGACCATGGGCGGAAGGGGGGATAAAATGGAGGTCGATCGAAAGGTCAGATCATGCGCTTCCTCGTAAACGTATTTTGGTGATGGAAAATGATGGGGAGGGGAGATAATGACGGGACCAAAGTGAGGGGATCGCGGCAGGCGGTTGGGTTGACGTTGTGATGTCGCCCGGCGACCGCCTGTTTTGGAGCAGCGCAGCGCAGTGCACGGCCTCAGGGGCTCGCTTGTAACGCCCAATCCGGTTAGTGCGGGGCTGGGCATTATCAGATTGCTTCTTTGGGTTCAGTTATGATAGTCTCTCCGCATTTTTCCCTCGACCCTTCTTTACTCTTTTTGGTCTTTCACTCTTCTATCTTTCGTAGCTGAGACTTGCATACTCTTTCTTTCTTCCGACTTTGACTTTTCCGGTCCCCTCACGGCATCCGTCACCGCCCTCTCACCACCACTTCCATCACCACCATGGACCAAACCTCCGAGCCTAATGCCGCCGCGATGCACAACGTTCAGCGTCGCCGCGGCTCTGTGGGCACCTCCCAGCTCTTTGATAACATTGTGTCCACTTCCAACTGTATGTTTGACCGGCTCTAGGACACGTGAATATGCAATGGACCGGATTCGAGACAAGGCTGACACAGAGGCACAGTTGACCGAGATGAAGTGGATCGTTTGCGGAAACGTTTCATGAAGCTTGATAAGGTGCGCCGGGATCTACAGCGGTATACACATCACATTGTATTTTGACATGACACTTACAGGACGCCTCCGGCACCATCGACCGAGACGAGTTCCTCTCCTGCCGCAGATCTCTTCCAACCCGCTTGCCACTAGGTTCGTTTATTCGCCGTTCGCAGGGCGCCTATCGCGGGACAAAAATTAATGTGGGGTTTCTTTTCAGAATGATCGCCATCTTCGACGAGGACGGTGGGGGGGACGTTGATTTCCAGGAGTTCGTCACTGGTTTGTCGGCCTTCAGCTCGAAGGGTAACAAGCAGGAGAAGTTGCGCTTCGCCTTCCGCGTCTACGATATCGACCGCGACGGATATATCTCCAACGGCGAGCTCTTCATTGTGCTCAAGATGATGGTTGGTAACAACCTGAAGGACATTCAGCTGCAGCAGATCGTCGACAAGACCATCATGGAAGCCGACCAGGACGGCGACGGCAAGATCAGCTTTGAAGAGTTTACGCACATGGTGGAGAGCACAGATGTGAACTTGAGCATGACTTTGAGTAGGTACCTTTCCAGTGACAACCTCCGTTGGGATGCTGACATATAAATCCAGACCAAATCTAAGCGCGGCAGCAATATTCCCCGAGTTCGACCATTTACCTTTTCCCTTTGCCGTTTTTCCATTAGTGATGATACGGTATCACGCGTACCATGCCATCACGGAGCCGACATGACATGACTCTATGACCAGCGTGTGTTTATGTAGTTTAGTTCTTCTCGAGGGCGACCTCCAATGGATAACCTCACTTCTCGAGTTCATGCGAGGCCGTGTCTCAGCCTCATCCATTCCTTCGGCCCAACCTCCGTCCGGACTGTAAGTCTCGTGGTCCTGTCAATCGCAACCGGGATGCTTGTCGCAGTCACAATCTCAATCTCTTCAGTGGCGTGACCTCCCTCGGAAGGACAATGACCCCGATCAAGGTCCTTTTCTACGCGGTATATTTGGTGTTCACTTGTACTTGTGTTTCAAATTCTGTCCACTTCTTCATGTCGTTCTTGTAAACTCCGTATGTCTTGGAAGTACATGGTCACCTGACAACACTCGGAGCCCAAGTGTGTCTCGAGACTTCCAGACCCAGCTACCTACGAGAAAGTATCAGGTATCCAATTCAGCCCTCACGATGCAACTACTTCCCCAGGCCGGTCTCCGGACCCGGGCTCCTGGTCGGGGCCTATACACCGAGGCGCACAAGGCACCAAGAGATCAGGCCGAGAAGCTCCAGATTACACAATTACATCATCCGCAACCCGACTCAAAAACTGGTCTTGAAGAGCAGAATCATTAATTGTGAGACACCGGTCCCTTCAACCCAATCCACTTGGGCGTCTATCGGCGGCCCCCCCCCCCCTCTCTTTCTTCTGCCGTGCTTATGCCTATCTCGGATTTAGGGTAGTTGGGCATCTGATGCATCATTTTCAGGGCATTGCAAGTGAAACGCCGGGCGATGTAGATGTCGACCTCGGCATGTCCCCATCCCAACCAAAGCGTCGGATCAGGTTGGGGGCGGAATGACAGAACGAATCTGGGATTTGACGTCCCTGGCCCTGGATTGTGCATATTGGCGTCCAATCGGGCAGACGACGCCCGATGGTGTCTGAGTCGGGGTGACGATCATTGTGTTTCTTTTTGTTTCCTATTATTGTTTCTTATGCTTCTTTTCTTATTTCTGGTATTTCGATCATCTCGGGCTATGCTTTCTTATTTTTCCTCTTTTCCTCTTTGCCTCTTCGGTATTTTTCCCTCCCTTGACCCTTCTCTACTGTGCAGGTATCCGCGAAAAAAAGGGGGCCAAGTAGCTGTCCGCGCAATTGGGCAATCTTCCGGAATGTCAACAAAAGAAATTAGGGAATTCGGACCCGCCCCCCCCCTTTATTTGTCTCGGCTCTAATTATGAACTGCATCTGCCTAACCAGCCGGCTGGGTCGTGGACTTGACACTCGAGGATTTGCTTTTTTGTCTTAGTGCTGATGCCAGGCTAGAGTAAGGGGAAAAGCACAGCACAGGTTAGGACACCGCCACTCATGGATGGTCAGCCCCTCTCCCAGTGAGAGTTACACATGCAGCAGAGGACAATGGTCATAACCTGGTTGCCAAAAGAAAAAAATATATTAATAATGAAATGAAATAGAAAACAAAATAATCATGAAGAGAAACAGAATAAAAAGACATACACAAAAAAGAAAAAGTAATGAAAACACGAAGCACCTGACCCCCCTCAAAGCTGAGGCGCGGCCCCTTCTCTCACATTTGATGTTGATTTTTTTCCCATCCTAGTGTGCTTCACACATCCTCCCTAGCTTTCGGGAACCCACTAGGAACCAGCGCGCCGGGTTCCCGGGCGATCGCAGACGTACAGGCCCGAACGAGTTTAGGCGTAGATCACATCGATCGGCTAGCGCCATCCCCAAGTAGATAGTCTCAAATACTAATCCGTTCCCAGATCCCCGGTTGAGATCGTGCCCCAGGCCCTAAAAAAAGGTTCTAGCTCCTGGGATGTGTCACTGGTATGTTCAGCTCCCTCCCTTTTTCTAGCGTCATCTTTCTCACACATCAGATCCGTCATATTCTCTGTCTTTCCTTGGCCCTTTTTTTTGGCTCTTGCAAATCACTAGGGTTTTCCACGCTGCTGGGACTTCCATTACGCTTCTATCTTTCTATATATGGAGCCGTGCCTGCACTCTCGGTCTTGATGCTAACCCTAACACCCTTAGCATCCTTGCATAATCCCAAGCTGCCAGATCTGATATTGGGCAACACTTTGACAACCACTCGGGCAAATTCTGGGCATACTTGATGTCCATCTTCTCTTTCCGACAGTCCCCAACGATCTCAACTTAGTTCTTGCGTGTCAATCACAGAAAGAATACATCAAACCTGGTGAGGGCTCTCAAGCTGGCCTCCTACGCAAGTCCACCGCTGTCCCCCACTCATTGGGCCCTCGATCCACGCAGGTCCGTGTGGGACAGCCTCATGGATGGCAACCAACGCATGAAGCAGCAAGAGCGATGGATGGCACGATCTGGCCATGGCAGCCGTGCAACCGATCGGTTTGAGGCGCCACGTGGAGACCCAACGGGGATGTCGCAGGCTGAGCGATCAATGTCCTACGACTATGGACACACAGCCTTTCAAGACGTCTCGAATGTTTACGGGTTTCGACAGGCCCAGGCCCAGGCCCAGGGCCCGAACCAGAGCCAGAGCCAGAGCCGGCGACGAGAACAGTTCGTGCCGTACGAGTCGGCCATGCTGTACGGCTTCGGTCAGCAGGGTCCAGCACCAGGACCCTTTGAGGCTGTTCCACAGTATCCGACACGGCAGTCTGCAGCGATTGAGGCCCTGTCGAACACTTTTTCCGTTCCACAGTATTTCGCCCCCGAGGATGCGCCTGCCGGGGTTCATGGCCTCTCACCTTACCTAAATGCAGGTGTGCCATATAATCAACCTGGTCCCATGCCACGTTCATCAATTTCGCAGCCTTTCCCTACTATGTCTGATTTCTCACCAATCGGTCACGGCCGGTTAAATCCACCTTTGGGCCAGGACGATGGCCCGAGACAGGACCTGCCGGAGCACTCGGTCGATGAGGCTTTCTCGCAGTACCAGCTGGCTCTACGCGGCACTTTTGACCATACCCGCGGGGGGCGATTGGTTGACGCCAGTCGATCATTGTTGGAAATTTCTGAATGGCTTGTGACTAATGCCCGGGATCTTGGTAAGTTTTGAAACTCTTCTGATCTACTTGGTTTGATTTCATCTGTTGGTTTTGGTGTATTTGATATATTTTGATGATTTGGGTGCTTTTGCTCCGATCTTGATGCCGACAACGTGATATGCAATATCAACATGTACTCTCTATGCAGTTAAAATACTTTAGCTTGAGAAAAGCTGGATATTCTACTGCCTCTGGAAAGACACATGGTCGTACCAGCATCACACTTCGGACTGGACCCACTCGTTTGTTTTCCTCGTGTTGGTTTTTAATTTTCAATTTCGTTTCTTTTACTATTGCTCTGCCTGCAGGCACGCGTCATGCAAGCATCATCTGATTACTGTGACGGGTTGGTGGGGGACAGAAGACTAATCGTCTTTGTGATACATAGGAATTCTGCGCGACGACCATCTCCAGCATGATGATCGCCTTCAGCTCTGGAACCATTTTAATCTATGTTGGCTGGCACTATGTCAGAAACAGAAAGATATGACGCAAGACCTGGTTTCGACGGGTCATCAACCTATCCCAACAAGTCTATTGAGTCGAGAGCGCATGGAAGAAATGGGCAAAGTCCTGATCCAGCTCTGTGACCAACTAGAACAACACGGCCTGGTCGATTATCAGATGGGCATCTGGGAAGAGGAAATCCTATGTGGTAAGGGTAATTTCAAATCTTGTCAAACCTCCGAAATCTAACACTACCCCTCTTCAATAGTCTTAGGTCAATGCCTTGATCTCATGGAGAGCAGACCGGATCTTGTCCGCGCTCAGACGGTGCCTGAACCAGCTACAACAACCCAAAGACCATGAAAACTCTTCTCCCACTCCACCAATATTCTTCTCCCGCCGAAATGGACTCGCACAGCTTCGATTCATAGCCCGCTATATTTATCGGGCTGGAACCATATTGCGATTGACGGGCCAAACATCATTGGCCGCGGAAGTACGCAAAGAATACCCGCCTCGGCGAGGCTATTGTCCACTAGCGCCCCGCCAATCGGGGCCCAATGTGACCTTTGACCCAGGAACCAACCTACTGGTCACCATGTGATGATCGTAATCGTGATCGTGATCGGGATCGCCCTGATCGAGTCTCATTTTTGACTTTCCATCCCGTCTCTGTGGCTGAAGTTTCGCCTCGACGGCTTCAGCCGCTTTTCTTCTCCCTCCTGACGTGGCCTAGCCTTGCGCCATTGTTCTCTGATGATTGATGACCTGTGAATAAGCTTTCTGTTTTTTTTATTTATTTTTGAGTTTGGGGATACGTCTCTTTTATGTGAAAATTTATTCTGTATTAGGGCGGCTCTAAGGAAAAACATGTGAAGGCTTTCTATGATGGTCGCCGATGGGTCTAGCCGTGTGACTTATACTGTTGGATTTCTCTGTGAACGGAATCTAGGGCTCGTGCCTGCAACGGCAAGGTAGTCTATGCAATCAATATCTACGCTATATATCCATAGAGTCGGTTCAGGTCGAGTGCTAGTCACAGACCTGCGAGCCTTTCCCCTTTGAATTTAAATGATATCTACCTCGAGGGTATACCTATGCTTCCACATATTGTCTCCAAGAGTTCTTTGAACGACGACCATTGATCTTATGGTGGCCGACAGGGTCTCCTTAATTGCAATAACATTATTGATACACAATTCATTGAATGATAGCCCCATATGCATTGAGTACAGGATATAGAACAGGCATGACGGCCCGCCATGGATGATAAAATAATACATGATTGATAAAGAAAAGCGCGCTCGACAAAATTTCCGGTTTTCAACGCTTGACCCAGGTGGGCATCTTGCGGGCCTTGACGTGACCCGGCTTCTTCCTCTCCACGCGACGAGCATCGACAGTAATGACACCAGCTTAAAAAGATCGTCAGTAAATGGATTGAAATTTGAAATTGGGAGAAGCTCCTCACCTTTCCGCAAAGCAGGTTTCAAAGCCGGCTCGTGTATCAGCAACGCCCGCGCAATCGCCAAAGTGATAGCCTCCGCCTGACCAGTCACACCACCACCCTTGACCGTAATCCAGGCATTATACTTGTCCATCCGCTGGGTACTTCGCAGAGCCCAAAGGGCACTCTCACGGTCATGCACCCGCTGGAACATCTCGACAAGTGATTTGCCATTGACCATGATCTCGCCCTCACCCTCAACCAACTGCACAACGGCGGTCGACTCCTTACGCTTGCCTTTCGCACGAGCGCGACCGTTCTCGTCCACGGTGCGAGGCACGTTCTGCTGAGCGTACGGGTTACCAGGACGCAGGAATTTGCTCAGATGAGAGCGCACCTCCTGGGGCACCATCTCAGGCTGGATGCGGTTCAACCGCTGCAGAATCTTGAGCAGTGATTTGTATTTCTTCATCGGCACGGGCTCGCCCACAAAGTCTCGGAATTGGGCCAGCTTGAACCAGGCCATGCGCGGCGCCTCGCCGGCACCTACTACGGGGAGCGAGGCATACTTGGCTTGCAGTGACTCCAGCATCAGCACGTTGTCGATGAACCGGGGGCTGCCGGAGAAGTAGGATGGTGAGGCTGGGATGATACGGGCGGGCTGAGATGTGAATTTGGCAAAGTCGATCTGCGGTGCGGCTTTCACGACACGCGGGATGTCGGATGGGGGAGCCTCTGCCGGAGGAGCTGCTGAAGGGGGCTGGGTCGAAGAGGCTTCGGTCGCAAAGGACTTCGTGGGAAGAGGTTCGGTGGAAGGCAATTCCGTCGGGGGCACTTCAGTCGATGATTGCATCTCCCCGGTGGTGTTTTCGGGCTCTGTCGCGTAGCCACGGGTCTGTCTCCGCAGTACAGGAGCTGCCAATCGGTAAGAGGAGGGCGAATACAATCTCAGGGACTGCATTGCCTGGACAATGCCATACGTGGGCCGAGCCATGATGATCAATTGTCGTCTGCACAGACGAACGAAGTTCGACTTTCGGCACGCTGTTTTTCCCGGCACGTGATCAGGCATTATCAGTTACTCCGAAGACCGAATTCCCCCCATTCCACAAAATTTCTACCTGCCCCTCTCCTCCTTTCTCTTCTCTTCATCCTTACATTTTAGCCCCCCCCTGCTTTCAAAATGGCCTTCGGAAAGCTCTACGGTCTCCCTGTATGTTCTTGGTCATTGAACATCTACGATACCTTCTGACTCTTCTCAGGACAACGGTCGTACCATCGCCACCCTGGTCGCTGCCAAGCACAACGGCCTTGAGTTGGACTTGGTCAAGACCGAGGCGAACGGTGCTAAGGCTGGCGCTGAGTACCGCAAGATCCAGCCCCTCGGCAAGATCCCCGGCTTCGAGGGTGCCAACGGCTTCAACCTCTCCGAGGCTATCGCCATCGCCATCTATGGTAAGTTCATGACATGTTTTGTTTGGATTCTGTTTTTTTTTTTTCGTTTTGCATTTCGACAATTCCTTGCCGACCGCCTCTCTTTACATGATGAGATATTAGTTATCCCTGTCATAACAACAGTGTTGAGAATGACAAACTTCTGACCCAAGAGCAAAAAAAAAATGAAGTACCCCGCTTCGGGTGAAAAATTTTGGGCATGGACTGTTTTCCCCCTTTTTTTGGATTACATTCTTCCTTTGGCTTCCATGATTGCATGATTTGTTTTGGATCCACCTGTCAAGACCATCACTAACCTGTTTTGGTTCAATAGTCACCTCCCAGAACGAGAAGACTACTCTGCTCGGCAAGACCAAGCAGGACTATGCCTCCATCGTGAGCTGGATGTCCTTCGCCAACAGCGAGGTCCTCCCCAGCTTCGGTGCCTGGTACCGCCCCCTCCTCGGCCTCGAGCCCTACAACAAGAAGACCGTCGATGAGGTCGCCAAGGTCGCTGTCTCCAAGATGGCTGTCCTTGAGTCTCACTTGACCGCCAACACCTACCTCGTTGGCGAGCGTATCACTCTCGCTGATATCTTCACTGCTTCCCTCCTGACCCGTGCCTTCGCCACCGTCCTGGACAAGAAGTTCCGTGATGCCAACCCCGCTGTCACCCGCTGGTACAACACCATTGTTAACCAGGCTGACTTCAAGGCCGTCTACGAGGCCAAGTTCACCGACGAGGTCATCAAGTACACCGCCCCCAAGAAGGAGGAGAAGCCCAAGGCTGCTGCCCCCGCTGCTGCTGCCGCCGCTGAGGAGCCCGAGGCTGCCCCCGCCCCCAAGCCCAAGCACCCCCTTGAGGCCCTTGGCAAGCCCACCCTCATCCTCGATGAGTGGAAGCGCCAGTACTCCAACGAGGACACCCGCACCGTCGCCATGCCCTGGTTCTGGGAGCACTACAAGCCCGAGGAGTACTCCCTCTGGAAGGTCGCCTACAAGTACAACGACGAGCTTAAGCTCACCTTCATGGCCAACAACCTGATCGGTGGCTTCCACGCCCGTCTTGAGGCTTCCCGCAAGTACCTCTTCGGTTGCCAGCACGTCTTCGGTGCCAACTACGCCTGCGTCATCGAGGGTGTCTTCCTCGTCCGCGGCCAGGAGGCTGCCCCCGCCTTCGACGTCGCCCCCGACCATGAGTCCTACAACTTCACCAAGCTCGACCCCACCTCCGAGGCTGACCGCAAGTACATTGAGGACATCTGGGCCTGGGACACCCCCCCTCACCGTCGACGGCAAGGTTCTCCCCTCCGCTGACGGTCACGTCTTCAAATAAGCGTGTGCGGCCGGTTCCTCACCCCCTTTCCGACCCCCATCTTCAAATACCCCGGGCTGCCGGACTGGGACTGGTCTTTTGATCGCTGGTCTCGGCTCCCCCTTTTTTTCTCCTCCTGCGGGGGATAAAATATTCTTGTTACGCGCCGATGTGGTTCACGTTCACGGTTATGAAATGTGATGCGAGATGATCGACTTGCAGTCTGGTTACACTGGATGTTTGTCGCTGCTAGCTTTAGATCTGGCAATGAATAAAGCTCTCGGGTCTTGTCCCGAGTGGCTATGAATGAACTTGTTCTCTTCAATCGTAATCGTAAAACCAAGAATGGACTGTGATTTCCCCTGACCATGGATGGGCGTCCACATTCTGTTCATGCCTGACCCACGTGCAGAGCTTGCACTTGATATGTGGCCCGTGCGTTGGTTTAGCTCCATCTCCTTCCTTGTATAGCGACCTTGGAACCTTGGAACGTTGGAAGCCAATTGATGGACGACTTGTGAAACCGTAAGGCAAGACATACCTTGAATCTTCATGATACCCAGTCTTTAGCCATTTGATTCTCACACATTACGAGGTGGGTTTGGTGTAGGTCAGCATGAAAAAACTATATATCTCTGACCAAGGCCACGGGAAACCTATTTTTGACATAATGTATCTCCCAGCTAGATGAAAACCGTATCTATGTCCCATTCAGTGGTGCTTTCGTCCTCGGCAAAATGTGTTTATTAGAAATAAGCAATCGATAGTGGCTGTTAGAGTGAAAGGGCTAGTGATAACATTGAACTGCCAAATACCACCAGGAACTCCATCTATAGGTATCTCATGCATTTTCCCGCCCATCTAAATAAGCAGAGGGACTTGGATTCAACTCTGTTTGACGAGAAGTTTGGCTTAGGACATCGAGGTGCGGGCAACTCGATGATCATAGCATTGACACAAAATGCAGTACCAAACCAATCACATTTGAATATCCTATGGGATTGCCAACAACAACAAGCGCTTTCTGGTAGTTAGATATCTAGTCGCGCTGTGGTGAATGAAATTCGTCGAGTCATGAACCTATCCTGCCTCATGAGCGCTTTTGATGCCGTGTAAGGAAGAGAAGGGCGGAGCGCAACGAACTATGTGGGATTCGATAGAAAGCTTGAGTCAATGGAGAGAGGCTGAAGGGGTTGGGCACCAGATACGTACTGTCTTGCGTTCGAGTCTAGGTACGAACGCCTGAGCAATGGAGAAATGCTATTTTAATGTGTATGACTCACTTCTTATCTTTGATCCAAATAATGACCATCAAAATGGTCTTCAACAAGGGATACGACTATAGTGTGCGCATTCAGGCCAAGCTTTGGGCTAATGGATGTATACTGATTCCGAATGGACCCCTTACATCCCCACAAACATTGGAACTTTCAGAAGAGCGTAATCTCATGGATAAAAGTATATTGGTATCGATTAAAGACTGGACCTCAGTAGTATCCGTAAGAATAAACAGGTAAGAATAACTGAGATAAAAGATAATAAGATAAACCATTCGTAAGATGAATACGTCCATGACGCCGAGACAAGCCCATCAAACTCCAGAGAAAACTCATATAAGAAGAATTTGGGTATCACTTCAAGACCAATCCTTATGGCTTCGGAAACCCGAGTCCTTCCTCCAATCGATCTAACAACGAGTTATTGGATCCGATATCGGATGCAGAAGATGGTGAGCGCGGGCGTGGAGGAAGGGACGTCTCGTTTGAAATATCTTCGGAATGTTCAGAGATAAATTTTCCCTCGACAGAGCTGATAACCGTGTTAACGGAATCAACGGAATCAATAGGCGTAGACTCCTGTACCACGACTGTGGTAGTCTCCAAACTCTCTGTCGGTTCTATTTCCTTCACATGGCCATGTTGGCGGAAGTCATGCAATGGACCGTTTGGCTCCAGACTCGGATCTGATTCTGGGAGTTTGCCTTTCTTTGCTTTCTTTTTCTTTTTCTTCTTTTTCTTGTCTGGGTTGGCCATTGGATCTGTCGAGACCGCAGGCTCGATGCCGGCTGGGACCGCTTCGGCTCTGGCTTCGACTTTCACATCGACTTTGGTATCAACACCGGCATCGGCATCGGCATTGGCATTGGCAGCCGCCAGCGCTGCCTCCCTCTCTTTTGCAAGCCTCTTGCGCTCCTTCTGGGAGGCTCGAATTGCCTTTTTCTTCCCTCCTGGCTTGAAACCATCTTGGCCAGTATCCTGTGATAGTGCCAATGCCTCCCTCGCGCGAGCCTGCTCGCCGGGAGAGATTTGACGTAGACTGACTCCACCGTCTTCTTCATCATATATTTCGACATGACAATCCTCTTTCAATTGAGGCAGGTGGGTTTCGAGAATAGAGCATTTCTCGTTCGTGGCCTGCTCGTTCCATTCCCGGAAGACCTTGCTCACGTCATCGTAGTAGGAGAGGTATTCGAGTCTAGCGAGGACTTTTTTGAAGAGGGTTGATTCGTCAATGGAGGGATTATTTGTGAATTCGGGGATTTCGAGAATGTTGTATGGTTCGCTGAGAGCTTTAAGTTTGCTGTCATCGATGAGAATCGTATTACTTTGGTCCCAGCGGTGACTTGAGGGGAATTCGCTGTCTGTCGGGTTGTTGTCCGGGTATGTGGATTGGACTTGGCGATCTCTCCAGACTTTGTGCAATTCTTTGTAGACTTGGAGTTTGGAGTTGTATTGCACGCTTGTGAGGCCGAATTTGTCTCGTCCCCATTGCGCCACGAGGGTCTTTGCTTTGTCGCCTGGGAAGAGTCTTTCGCAGATGGCGTTGACAGTCTGAGGTTTTGAGCTGGACCAAACCATTACGGAATGTTTCCTTGTTAACTCTTCGAGGAACTGGCCGAGACCATGGCGTCGGGCGAAGCTGGGTGGTAATCGCTTGTGTTTTCGGAGAATGAGCGTGCCGTTTAAGTCAAGGATGACCAGGAGAGGTCGAGGCGAATTGCGTCTTCGCGGGACTTTTGATGCCGTCTCCATGTATGCCTTGTCAGGGACAGGCACCATCACAGGTGGTGTCCCAGACCTTGCTCTTCGAGGCGAGGCTACTGTGCTCATGGATTGTGCACCCTGGAACGGAAGCATGGCGTTGAAGGGCATCATAGGAAACGGAGGGGGCATGCCCATCGCAGGATTGAAGAATCCAGGGTTGAGGAAAGGCAAAGGCGGTGCGGGGGTCATAGAACCATTCTCGGGGTTGTGATTCGGGTATGCCCAAGGGACATTGTATGCGCCAAATGTAGACGGTGGCATGGGCGGTAACTGAGACACTGGTAGGCCTGAGTTGGGAACAGGCGCTAGGTACCCATTAGCCGGCGCGTTGGGCTGCGCATTATGCTCCTCCGTGCCCTGACCATTATATGCACCAGCATAAGGAGGCGGCACCGACCACCCCGGCATATCATGTCCGCTCATGCTCTTCGGGACATTCGCAGGATTTTGCGCAGCAGCATGGTGGGGACCTTGAAAGCCTCGATCCGGCGGCACAGGAAGCCCCGCGGCGGAAGCCGCGCGCTTGAGCCTTTTTGTTCGAGGCAGCTTGAATGTTGTGCAATCAGACCGATGAGCAGAATTCGAGACCGAGGGGCTAGCCTATCAATCAGCGGTTAGTAGCCATAGACTGGATGGAGATCACAGCGCAAAACGAGGAATTTGCCCACCTGGCCTACAGTAACATCACAGTAAGTCGCGCAGGTCGGACGAGAGAGTGAAATGCACAATGGAGAAGAACGAGTCCAGCGCGACATTGAAGCCCGATATTGATGCGCAATCGGGGAAAAAATACCTAATCAGCCCGTTATCGCCTCACCGCCTGAGCTGGCAATATTTTACTTTTTCGCGGCTCCGCTGATTTGCAGAGTTCAACATCGACTCAATATGGCTATCTCCGATATTCTGAACCGCCGGGTGCGGGCACGACCTGCCGATGATGATGATGACTACTTGGAGCAGTCCGATGCTGCCAAGGAGGTCTCTCAAGATGACGGTGAAGGAGAGGAAGACTCCGATGCCGAGTCCAAATCCGAAGAAGTATGATTGCTACCGATGACTCTATATTGTTTCTTTTCACTAACAAATTTGATAGAGCTCGGAGAAATCCAATCTTTCAGAAGATGACGACTCTGATGGCTCAAATAGTGTCGCCGAAGATGAGGAAGAATCCTCAGAAGACGAAGACGACGACATTAAAGCCTCTCTAAGCAACATTTCCTTTGGCGCCCTCGCCAAAGCCCAAGCCTCAATGGGCCCCAAAAAACGCAAAGAAAAAGCCTCCAAAGAAGACGCTGCGCCAGTTGATGATATCCGCGCCCGCATCCTCGAAGCCCGCGAACAAAAGCGCCTCGCTGCCGAGAAAAGCGAATCCAAAGATAAAAAGGACAAGAAAGCCGCGCGCGCCAATAAGCATGCGCCCATGGAACAATCATCTAAGCGCGCCGTCTCCCGTCGACTAGTTGTCGTCGAGCCTCCATCGCACGCTAAAGCACGGGATCCACGCTTTGACGCAGCTGTCATGGGACATTCGGGCAAAGGCAAGAATCCAGAACTCGCGGACAAGGCCTATGCTTTCCTGGATGACTATAGGCTTTCTGAATTGAAGGAAATGAAGGCTGAGATGGCGCGGACGAAGAATCCAGAGCAGAAGGAGGCGTTGAAGAGGCAGATTCTGTCCGCGAGTGATCGGATGAAGAGCATGGAAAATCGGAAGAGGGAGAGGAAGGTACAGCTGGAGCATAAGCAGAAGGAGAAGCAGATGTTGAGGGAGGGCAAGAAGAGTACGCCTTATTTCTTGAAGAAGTCGGATTTGAAGAAGCAGGTGATGCAGAAGAAGTACGAGGAGATGGGATCGAGAGATCGGGCTAGGGCTTTGGAGCGGAGGAGGAAGAAGATTGCGTCTAAGGAGAGGAAGGAGATGCCCTGGGAGAGAAGGGGAGCTGAGGATTCTGGGTCCGGTTTTGGTGGTGGTGGTGGTGGTGGTGGACCTCCTAAGCGCAGACGGCTTGATTAGATACCCAATTTGCTTTTCAGATGTGACTTCATGCGAGAATTGAACGGGCCCAATGCATTATATGACTACATTAGGGTATATGGGGTCGAGGTCAAAGAAAAATCGAAGTAGAAGAGAAACATTGGGTTCACAAATGCGAAGTCCCACAAAGCAATGCCCAGAAAGGTATATTGGTCAAAAAGCAAGAGATAACCGCCAGACGCCAAAATCAATCAATGCAAGCTTTCGAGGATAGTTTTTCTTGAGCCCGATAGGCGCCACACTGTCGTGTCGATGAGATATAAACATCAATGTCATAGAAAGAGACTCAAATCATCAAGATGAGTGCAGGGTAGTAGAGGTAAGATAGCGAGGTATTATGCTCGAGAGCCTATTGCAAAAGGCCTCGGGCTGAGGACAGCGGGCGGATATATGCCAGCCGCTCCGGTGTCCTTGTCATATACGGGCAAAATGCTTCGTATTTTACAGGGTCCCTGTACAGAGCTAGACAGATATCGATTGGATCTGCCAGGACTGCATGGATAGTGTAAGCTTCCAATGCGATACGGGTCTTCATGAGTGGAATAGATCCCAAGCACGAGCGCAGAGGCCCAGGAATTCTTCCTTCTTTCGTCTTTGGGTCTCTGGAGAGTCTCGCCCAGCACCAAAGGGACCATAAGGCACAGCGTTGGGACCTGCGCTGGCAGCGGGATTCGGGCGATAGGAAGTAGGGCCGTGACCCAGCGGCGGGCTTCCATTGTCGTGCTCGTATTCATTTCGCGAGCGACGACGCGCCGTGGATTCCGTAGAACCGAAACCGAATGTGGAAGCAACGGGTGCACTGGGTGGCATTGCCTCACTGGCTAGAGGAGCCGTCTTGGGAGCAGCGTGAATGATTTGTGGTGAGGGCGGCGTGGGCGGTTGATGGCCTCCGTAATGCACAATCCGAGGAAGCAGTTCTTCCCGTCCACCGGACATTTCCTGCACCGCCTCTTCGGCCGAGTGATACTCGCGAGGTCGGCTGGGCGTGTGAGACATGCTGCCGGGGAGTCCAGGAGAAGGCATAGGAGCCAAGTTGGACTGCGAAGAATTGTTGCTCGAGGTATTCGGGTACAGACCGGAACGGTTGGGATCGCGATCCCGGGTACCCAATGCGTCCTGTCCAAAGACGTCGGAGAGAGGGGGAAGACGGTTGGTCGTTTGCGTGGCGGGGACCTGGTGCATGTGCGAGGTCGAGCCTAGAGTCGGGCTCTGGTTGACAATGTGCCGTGTCAACGGCTGAGGTTGATATCGGCCTGTGAATGTCTGGTTCAGCGGCGCGGACTGGATCACGCGCTCGTTGGCGAACTGCGACGCAGAGGAGGGACGATCGATAGACCTGGCGGAGCTCGCCGCTTGCCAGCTTTGGGCATGCCCATGAAGCCCGACTCTGATGGCTTGGTACCGCCGGGACCCTCATCCTTGGCAGACTTTTGTAGTCGTGCCTCAATTATTGATCGCTGCTGGTCGCGTACTGACAAACTGCGCTGAAGTTGCTCTCGCATCATCGGATCGTGGGTTTGGAAGCCGGGCGACAAACATGCCAGACCGACGTCCTGCATTCGGACTCCATCACGGGCGGTCATCGGCCCATTTGGAGGGCGCACCTGCAGACCGCTCGAGGAAGGCAGACTGGTCGAAAGGTCTAGCTTGCGCGGCCGGGGTCGACTAGCCCCCATGCGCGGCGACGAAGGCGGCTCCTTCTTGACCGTGATTCTGGGCCCTGTGCTGCCAGAGGGAGATGGCTGATCGCGGTTCTCGGGGGTACCCTTCGAGGCCCCATCTGGCGACATACGAGAGGGAGATGAATTCACCGGGGCCGGTGGACGGGCCAAGGTTGGGTAGTTCTTCGGGCTTGGATCGCGGGTCGTATGTGATGAAGACAATGGAGCCATTGCTGGTGCCACTGCGGTCGACATGATATACTGGGGGTGGAACTCCCGGGGAAGAGAAGCCCGAGACCTAGTAGTGGAGCATGAACGAATGTGTATGAGCGAGGCTCAAGTTGGCGGCTGACGGTTGGCGAGGGAGGGAGAGGAAGAGAGAGAGGGAGAGAGAGAGATAGATCGTCAAGGGAACAAAGGAAAAAGGAAAAAAAAAAGACCAAGAGCGGGCTAGAGAGTGTGACAAGATCGAAGGAAAAATAAACCGAACCAAATGTACAGGGGGTTCAAGTTCTGAACCCAGGAGGAGGGGGGGAGTGCAATTAAAGAGGTAGACAGTACTTGGAGCAGGAAGTCAGTAACGAGGACACTGTAAGTACTAGGTACGTGGAGTCGAGAGTTTAGTGGATCACGACTCCAAACACAAAGACGCAAACCAGGAGGCGCCGAGCGTATCAGAATGAGAAACGATCCCAACTGAGACACAGCGTGTTTCTTTTTCTCACACCAGTGTTTCTGATTTTCCCCCCCAATCCTTCCCTCCCTTTGGGCACGAGCCAGGTTCGTGAATGTCACTACTCCGATGATTGATCCATCCGCCAGGAGATATCAGGGGCTGCAATCCACTTCGACCCGGACTTTTACTACCAAGTTCAGCCTTTCTCTACGCACTCGCCCCTCACACAACCGTGCTAACCACACTAACCACGCTAATTAACAACCGCAGTCCACCTCGACCCTGGGTGGCTGGACGCCCTCTGGGGTTCTGATCGACTGAACTCGAAAGCCTTGACCTTGATCTGCGCCTATCCCCAACGGATCCTGTCACATAGCGTGACAGCGACTCACGGTGCGGCCTGCTGTCGAAGACGGCACTGTCTCGGCGCTTAGATTAGGAGACATCCACTGTACAGATCACAGACCACAGACCACAGACCACAGACCACGCACCACGCACACCCCGGACCCAGGGACACGCACCGCATGTCCCCGTGTGGATCGTGTCCAGTTCCAGTTCACTAACACACGGAACCCTCTGCCGACCGCACACTAACCCTGTGCCCTGGATCCGATTCAGAACCCGGCAACGCGTTGGCCCTCATCATTGGCTCTGAGTCTCAGGTTACTGGATGTTGATGTTCGTGTTCAAGAGATCTGTGCATTTGGGACAAGACCTAGGAAATTGCAGATGCGTAGGACTTGTAGCTCGGCACGTATCCATTATCCAAGTATGGAGAAACAACTTGCCATTTTGGGCCAAATCAATAATAGGATTTTGAGGAGATAAGATTTTGACCCGGCCATCCGAAAATTAATTTATTTCGGGGCGGAGTTTGGGGCGGATTTTGGGCCCAGGTGGACAGACTATTGTTTGAGTCTTTTAGCGTACCCTACACACATCAACCTTCTCAGGAACCGGAGGTCTCGTATCCGCGGAATACCTGCTTTTTCTATTCATTCCCAGAGACAACCCCTGCTAGGCCAGTACATGATCCCCGAGTCTCCGGTCCAAATGATCTCCTTTTGCGAGTTGAGAGCCTATGTCCCCTTTAAGACAACCCGCAACGGAGTTCTTAAGCGGCCCGCCATCCCAAGCGGCCCGCCGCCTCCCAAATGACCTCCCAAACTACCTGCAATGCGCTCGTCAGCCATTGAAATTTTTCTTTTTCCTTTTTCCTTTTTCCTTTTTTTGCTTTTTTGGATAGAGATTGCGTGTAGAATTCGAATTTTATGTTCGGGGACAATGGAGTAATCTCATGGCTAGTAAAAGGTATTACGAACATCACACTGGCCTTGGCGCTCAATTGTTAAATCTAGCGAGTAGCACACTCTGAATCAACAAAATACGTGTTATAAAATGAGTAGGTGTACAACAAACATATCATTATATGACCTACTCATAGACTTTATTTTTGGTGAAATATGAACTTGTGAAGTATCGCTTCTACCATGGACGATTTTCTATTGAAAGACCGATTGGGAACGAACGCTCTTCTTGGAGCCAGTCACAAGCGTCACTGGGGAATGATTTTCTTTTTCCGCCTCGAAACTCCGATATTTAGCGTCTAATAGCGTCAGACTCGTCGAAGACTAGCAAGTGTGGCAGGTGTCAAAGGCGCCACCGGCAATCAATAGAGAACGGAGTCGCTTGCCATACCTGATCAAGGCATATGTTCTGTCAAATAGTCATACCATTCCCGTGTTTGGATTCCAGGGGGTTTGCATCTCTTTATCAACCTGTAATTCCTGCAGCACATGTGTAGTCAGTCACTCCCCGCCCTGCACAACATCTCCCTTGCTCAAACAAGTTTACGAGATCCCACAAAGAATTCAAGAACAACACTTCTATTATTATTTTTTAATGCAGCACAGTAGACCGGAGTTCAAGAAAGTAAAAAGGAAAAAAAGTCAAAAATATGACGTCCCCGGGAAGGCTCGAACTTCCAACCTCCTGATTAACAGTCAGACGCGCTAACCAATTGCGCCACGGAGACGATCTGTTTTTCTTGAAATATCGGTGCCCAGAATCGACATATGTAGCTTATCCACAACACACTCTGTAATTGGTAAGCGGTGAGCCCCCTATCGATAACACACTTTTTTTTCGAGATCGTCGAAAGTCTTTGCGGGCATTGCATTGCGTTCAATTCTTGCGTCTAGTCACTTCACACTCTGACACTCGACAACACATCACCTCCCAGCCTTCAACTGCCCTGTTACCAAGCCGTCCTATTACGCTTTATAATAGTCCATCCAAACCAGGCCTGTAACGACTCACGCGACACCGACACTATGCCAGGCTCAGTCCACTCCCAAGAACCCCAAGAAAACGACCAGTCCATGATGGACGCCGAGCCTGAAGTTACCGATCCCATCCTTCTAGACGAGAAGCGCATCGTCGTGGTACGTCACCTACCCCATATCTCTCATTCAACACCCAGGTCTGATGTATCTTCCTAGCTCCCCGGCTCCTCCGAAACAGCCGCCTCCTTCCAATTCGAAGGCGAAGGCCACACAATGGGCAATGCCCTCCGTTACGCCATCATGAAAAACCCCGCTGTGGAATTCTGTGGTTATACCATCCCCCATCCGTCCGACGCGAAGATGCATCTCCGTATCCAGACTACGGACTCTACGACTGCGCTGGAGGCGCTGGAGAAGGGATTTAATGATTTGATCGATTTGTGTGATGTTGTGACTGAGAAGTTTACGGAGGGGAGGGATTCTTTTAATGCTGAGCGTGGCAATCGCATGGAGGCTTAGTGCTTACTCGAGTATGAGTGCCTCCGGCTGAAGGCTTATTTGCATGTGGGTTCTTTTTTACTATTTTCCGGCGTTGGCTAAGCTAGAATATTTCCTTTCTTTTCTTTTTGACATATTCTGTATTGAGTACCGATCTATTGAGGGCATGGTACTATGGTGTTATCATGAGAATGCATGTACTGTCGATGATATCGTGAATCTTGAGATTAGGGTCGAAAGTAGCCCTGGACTGCGATGTCTAGTTGTTTCAATGGAGTCTTGAATGATGGCAACCTTTTGAAAAAAAGGTAGTTCCGATGCAATCATATCCTGTCGGCTTGTGATCGGGTAATGTTAGATTCAGAAGTTCTTGTATATTTTAGTTTGCACCTCGCATTCCTTGCAGATCTTGCTCCAATTTCAGAAACTGCGAGTTTGTGCTTGAGACCTCATTCCAAAGCGTCATGATGGCTTTGGAACTGATCTCATACCATGAAACATACATTTAGAAGTGTACCAATAGGCACACCGGATAATTATGTGATTGTGATGTACTCATGCAGGCCCCCGGAATAGCTCGTACCGCCAAGAAGTCAAAGCAGTTCAACCCCTTCTCTCAGAATTACTTCGCAATTTCTTCAGCCTTTGTCTTGTGGCTTTCCACAGGCTCACCTTAGTTGACTAGCCTTTAAATATAGCCAAGCTAAATACGATCGCCCCTACCATGGGCAACTCAACAGAGCTCAAAGAAGGCTAAATATCCTTCAGATTGGGCAATAGCTTGACATCTTCGACCGAGTCGATTACAGCAGAGTCATCGGCTTTTGGTGACGAAGGACATGCTCTTTGCTGCTTCCACGCCTAATAATCCAGCATACTCTTCTCATCTATGACGTGTTTGCCGGCGGGCTGTATAACCGTATGGGAAAATTCTGAAGATGCGCCCTCTTCAACAGTTCAGATCGTGATTTCTCGACTTGTAGAAAACGATGAACTGATAGATGACTAGCGAGCGTGCCTTTCTGAATACGGGACGGGCACAGTCACATGATAATTAGCAGGGAATTACTTCCCTGCTGCATTAAGTGGGCGCAATATTGGACTTGCTGAGACCGTAGCTTGCCTAAGTAGGTTGAGACAAGTTATCGCCAATGAGATGTGACTTTAATAGGTCTACTTTCGGTACCATGTTGCGCGCAGATTCTAGCAATCCTTGGATGCTGGTCCTGAGAAGCATGAACGTGGAGATTTTATCTATAGTCGTATCAGGTTTCTGCGTTACACATGGTTGTTCTTGTAAAGCAGAATAGTCTGCTGTTCAAGAATTTTCATTTTTAGGAAAGAATTATTCAGGCCGTATCTTGAAACGGATTGGGGCCGGCTTCGGTACGTGCCGAGAAACAAGGAATGTCTGTCCAAGGGATGATTTGTTTCCAACTTATACGTCCTCTTTCCCGCGATGAGAATCACCCCTATTGCAGACATTCTTCCAATTTTCAGTCTGCGGTCCAAGCTCAAATTCTCAAAGCCTTATCTCAATCTCGTCTCCTTGCTGTGTAGAGAAACCCGTCACTCAGTCCCCTCCTTCACTTGATCCACATGGCGGAAAATCACCCACAACAAGATCGTAGCCACACCCAAAAGTCCCGCCAAGATACCATACATGGTGACCAAATGAGGGTCTTTGGTCAATGGCGTAAACGCCAAAGCCAAACAAATTCCAATTCCCGCCATCGCGAGCCAAATCGCCTGCACCAAGGTCTTCATACTATCAGGCGCGTTGTTATAGGCATACTCGGTTCCCGTAGTCATGCAAAAGACCTCGGCCAATGCACTGCTGAAGTAAATTGGCATTTGAAGGAAGACCGATATCTGATTGGGGACAGTGCTATTGTTTGCAGCGGGACACTCGAGAGGTCTGTCGTAGCATGGTCCGCTCATGTAGATGAGTTTTTGAACCACGGTGACGTAGACCATGGAAAGAATCAGGATGAAGAACCCAACTGCCATTCTAGTGATTGGGCGGAATGGAATGTTCTTTCTGGTGAGATAAGGGTATAGCCCTTTTTGGATGATGGGTGCAACGATGATCCCGGAGATGGGACCGGCGATTTTGATCATGTCGTTTGGGATACCGTAGGTTACCATCTGTCCGGCTTGGGAGATCAGGTTATTAAATGTCTGGTTGTAACATAGCCAGTGAATCGGGAAAAGAAGTCTGTGACCCATATTAGCGCCTAAAGGAACGAAATTTGGGGTTGTTGCACGTACAGCACGCGACATGTCAAAAGACTCCGCTTGATGTCTTCAATGAAAGAGTCCGACCATGGAACTTGTCGATCATGCTGAAGCTGAGCATCTGGCTTGGCAGCGTCCATGCAGAAACCACCAGAGATCCCACAGCGCAAAGCTGCAAAGACTTTGGGCATCATGTTGCTCGTTGGCGGTGCTCGCACTAATAAACCATCAGCTATTTGCCGGCCGACTGGTTTGAAGGCGACTGACCAAAGTAGTTCCGGCCGATAAGAATTGGAATCAGGACCAGACACATACAACAGCATGGAATCAGATAGGCGAGCCAAAAGCCAATGTATCTCTCCAGTAGAGGGGTACAATCGGCAAGGAAGCATATCACATTCACGGCCCTACATCGTTTTCAGTTTCTTGTATAGTCGAGGGAGTCAATTTTCACAAACCAGTAGAACACATTATAGATGTATGTGATGGTGAGGTCTCTGTCGGCGACGACCTTCTTGCCGTTTCGATACCGGATCCGAAACTCGTTTTGGTCATATTGATCGGCTAGGGATGATTAGCTTGGCAGGCCAAGCTAGAGGCGGTTAACTTACCAATGAAAGGGACCACAGTCGTCTTGAAAGCCCCCGAGCCAACAGCTAGGAGCACGGATGCACTGATCACGCCCCCCCAGAGCCGCACCGTCATGCATTGCGACTGGTAAGGAAGTTGCAAATAGAACGGCCGCGCCAATGGATTCAATGCTAGAAGACGTTAGCATGTAAGATTCATCTGATACAGCGAGAGAAATCAAGCCTGATCAGTTGCAACAGTACATAGCGGCGTATAACATGGTCTTGTACCGACCGAGCCAACTGTCAGCGATGACAGCAGCGGGGATAGGAGTAATATAAGCCCCAATAGTCAGCGCATTCACAATATTCGAAGCAGTAGCCTGCCCAAGACCCAGAGCTCCTGGGACTGCTCCTCCAGGTACATTCTGCAGATAGTTTTCTGTAGATCATTTAGCTATGGAGTTCTGTCATGTGGGGAGGCGGTACAATAATACGCACGCAAAGGAGCAGTCGCTCCGTACCATACGAATCGCTCCAGAATACCTGCCAGACAGGCGACCCATAGCCGAATGGGAATCTTGTCGACGACATGGAGAAGAGCGCGCACTTCGTCGTCGGATGCCACGCGACCGTCATCGCAGTCGGACACGGAGTTGACTTCCAGAGTTGCCTGGTCATTGGGCTCAGGAAATTCCTTGGATCCTGTATTAAAGGAAGAAAAAGAGACCTCGTTATCAGCAAAATAGCTCGCACTACCAACAGGAGCTAACACCAACCGTGGCTGTGATTCGTTCTCTGCGGCTACTTCTGCAGAGCCGCGCGCATCGGATATAAGGCCCGACATGTTGATCAAGTATACTGATCAGAAGCTTGGAAGTTGGAAAGAGAAGCCAAGGGAGAACAGAAAACCCAAGTCTGACAGTCTTCGGGTGTGAGGAGAAGATGAGAGTCAGACCCGGATGCGGGACACCGGGCCTTTTTAAATCCAGACTCGACAGGGATCTATTCTGGACACGATAATACCAATCCTACTTTACGGGATTTGATTCTGCCACTTCTTGGCGCTCCCTTTCCATTCTAGTGCTCTTATCATCCTGTCATCTTGAACACACTGAAAAATGGCTTCGGGCTTAGACAATGTGATCGACGTTCACAAGAATGTTACAAATGAAGAAGAAAACTCAAATGATTCGGCGACCTAATCAGGTTATATGTACACATCATGTCTCTGTCTATGGCACAGCTTCGCCAATTACCATGCCATGGACTTGCAAAAGAAAAAGGATAAAAGGTTGTCGGGGTACAGAAAACAGTATTTTCAGTTGCGGCCTTCGAGGAAGCCCGACACGAAGTTGCGGGGCAAACGGGCACCGGGGTCTTCCTCGGGGCGGAAGTACTTCATGACGTGGGACAGCTGCTTCCAGTAGTTGAGGGTTTCCTGCATTAAAAGTTAGGTTCCAGATCCAAAAAAGTGATGTAAAAGCCGCGGTCCCATCCCATGGAATGGCAATGAAGAGTAGTATGAAGCAGGTGAGCTCTATTTCAAGCCCAATGGTCTTGCGCATCTCTTCTTCAATGCCACGGCGAGGGTCCACATCTGGAAGTCTAGACTGACCTGGAACTCAGCGTGGCTCTGGAAAAGAAGAACATCCACCACGCTCATCTGGTTGACGTAACGGTGCTTCTCAAACTCCTGGCGGATCTTGGTGCGGATGGCGGAAACGGGCATGTTCAGAGAATACATGGTCTGGATCTCGGGAGACTAAGGTTTGCAATATCACACGTTAGTCTGGGTCGACGATTGCTTGCACAGTACTTTATATAGCCATCAATGGCGGCCGAAGAGCATTGAGCATCCCCCGCATAGAGACAAGACAGACAAGGAACAGGCCCCGGGCGAGGACGGTTGGGTATTTGGGGATCTCTGGGGATGGAGGTAGACTGACAGCACGGAGCCACTCGCGATATGACTTGAGGACTCGGAACTTCGCATCCTGCCAGTTGACGGCTGTACAAAAGGAACAAGCATGTCAGCCATACACCAATCAAACCGGCTCAATTACGAGGCCGAAGGGCGGAAGACCTCGGGAGATCGACAAGGGAGCAGACGTACAGGAGCGTGTCCGTTGCGCAAGGTAGGTCGGATTGATAGTCATGGTGAGATTGCGTCCACTCAGGAGCGATTGAGCGATTGAGCGAGAGGAAGGGCGCGGAGAGAAGGCGTCGCGGGCGAGCTCTGGTGGTGGAGGTTTCGCTGAGGTTGCGTGGGTTGAATGGGCCGCTCTCACCGCCTTCCTGTTCCAAAATTTCTTTCCAATAATTTCGGGGATACTTTTTGTCGCATGTCGCTTCTGATACTCACCTTTTCGTCAAAAGAGATCAAATTTTGTTTTTTAGAGTGACTGAGATCTCTCAAACATCACAGTCCAACTCTGCACGCGTGCCACGGCGAATCACAGCCCCGCTACACTCCAACCTTCACCTAGCCACTCGCTCAACTTTTTCCGCAATACAAAATGGCGCCCACCAAAGGGTCGTCTTCCAAAGGCTCCTCGTCCGGAGGTGGCTCGAGGGGATCCGTCAAGGGCAAGTCCTCGAATTTCTCTTCTGACTCGCGCGTGAGCAAGTCCAGCAAGAAGAATGCGCCCAAACGCCCTCCGCCGAAGGAAGTCAAGTCGAAGGCTCGCACCGCCCCGGAGAACCTGCAAAAGAAGAAGAAAAGAGTCTACACAGAGGCTGAGCTGGATTTGCCTAAGCTGAACTCAATTACTCCTGTTGGAGTGATCAAGCCCAAGGGCAAGAAGAAGGGCAAGACTTTTGTCGATGATTCAGTATGTGATCATGGCGCTTGATGTTTGGTCTGGAACTTGTTGCTAATCACCTTTGTCTTTTTACAGGAGGGTATGATGACGATCCTTGCTATGGTCAATGCGGAGAAGGAGGGCCAGATCGAGTCCAAGATGATGAAGGCACGCCAACTTGAGGAGATTCGCGAAGCCCGGAAGAAGGAGATGGAGTCAAGAATTGCCGAGAAGAAGGGCAAGCTCGAGGCAGTCAAGGACTCCATCCGGAATAAGAAGAAGGGCGGCAAGGCTGGTGCTAAAGATGAGAGCTCCCCTGCTGCCTCCAAATCGGGCAGCTCCAAGGTCTCAAAGCCTAAGCGCAAGAGTGTTTCCTTTGCTTAATTGACCACAAAAGCAAAAAATGAGTATTGTCTATACCATGTTCATGTACCTAGACGGGGTCTGGCGTTTGTACCGGTTTATCTCTATTTCTCAGTTTACAAAACATCAATAGCGCTATTGATCATGATGCTATATTTTTACTCAAACAATGCTATTCATACTCAAATGTTGATTGGTCTCTTCGGCCAACGTATGATATTTCGACAAAATTGGTCCCTTTCAACCATTTTTTTTCGAAATACGCATCTGTTTCATACTTCGAGACTTGCTCCTGAGATGTGAATCCCCGCTGGCAGCTTTGCGTAGAAGTATATATTTTTTCAATCTCCAATTTCGCCTAATTTGGAGAGAACTGAGTAGTCCATTCTCCAGGATGAAGCTCTTGAACGTGAGCATACAAGATATGGTCATATATTTAACTTGCTTTCATGACCTTGCAAAATAAATAATAATACAGACGAGGAGGTCACCATTATAAAGAATAACGAAAGAATGAAAGATTAGTACCGAGATTATCAACGCTATGAAGTCCCCCTCTATATCTAGGTCGTCTATGTATCAAGCAGCAAAGTCGGATCTGCTGCATGCTTTGTGCGATGTTGAATGTCCAACCATCTATTACCAAAAATGCAACTGGCCTCACTGGGGCAGCTTCATATCCAGCTTGCGACGCACGGGATTGAACTCAGGCTTAGGAGCCAAATCAAGGTCCTTGCCTAAGCCATCGTGGTGAGCAATATGTCCGGGCAGTTTCTCAGGATGCTCCACAATGCCAGGAATGCTGATGTCAATTTCCCGGGCCATCTTGTTGAGGAAATTGGCCACTGGCTTAACGAACCATCTGTCACCTCCGAATTCGAACCAGCCGAGGTGACCGCCCCAGGATGTAGTGAGCATTACGCCGTACGGCGTTTGAGTCATTTCTTGGAACGGCAGGGCGTCACGGCATGCAATCTTGACGGTCAGTATCTAGTTTCCAATGGAAGGGGTGGTGGGTTACTTACCGGGTCATCCTCGGCTTGAACGCTGAGGAAGGGGATGCGGATGGCTAGCATGGCGTCGGTGGATGCAGCATCGCGATAGTATGCGCCTTCGGCGGGGGATCCCCATGCTGGGCATTGCAGCGCGCTACGGATAATATTAGAGACTTAGACATCAGTACAAAGAACCCAATGTGCGTACCGGTCAAACTCGTGCAAATAGCTGACACTCCGCACGGCGTCAACATCGATGCGTGGATTTTTGGACACTTGGTCGACATGTCTAAATTTTTGTTAATAATCTTGAAAACATGTCAAAGAGAAAAAGGACTTACGCTTCGAAAAGCTTCTTCATGCTGGAGCCCATGGTCTTGCTATACACTTCCTTGCCCAACCAAGTGCGTTGCAAATTAGAGTTGCTAACGTCCAGGTTCCAAGGACTGGCGCAGAGTACCGCAGCCTTCAGCTGGCAGTGGTCGCCTTCTTCACCGAGATACTAGTTCACTGTGAGTCAAGAATTACTAAGGAGTTGACATGCAGACATACGTTGGCAAGAATATTGGCGCCAAGGGAGAATCCAATACCAAACAGAGGTCGGTTGGGGAAGGTCTGCCTAATCCATTTCACAGCCTCACGAACATCCCAAGTCGCACGGGCGTTGTACAAAACTCCAGTGCTGATCTTTGTCTGTGCACATCCTCTCGAGTTGACGACGCATGCTTCCCAAAGACTATCCTTAATGAGAGGAGCAAGGACATGGCGCAAGTAGACTTCGTGAGAACCACCGCTCAGACCGTGCAGAACGACAAGCATAGGCTTGGTATCATCTGAAGGAAGAGCAGACAGCTCCCCCGGGGAATAGAACGAAGTGCGAGGTGGCAGACCGTCAGGCTGAGTGTGTTTCCGAGCCTGGTCAGTAAGTTCTCCCTCCGGAGGCATGTCATAAGGCTTGACCACGAAATCTATGGCAAAATGTCCTGCAAACATGGGAGATTCCGACTCAAAAATCTTGCGTTTATAGTAGACAGGGACATTATCATGCTTCATTACCGTCCAGGCGGTCTGCAGATGACCATTGAAAAGGAAAGGGTTGAGGTGGCATGTCTCTGGGGTCGCATCCCGGCAGACATCCACCAAGGTAGTCTGCTCCTTCGCCCCGTTCTTTCCAGCTACTTTGGTCAGAAGAAGCTTATTGTCCTTAGCGTGGAAGAACGAGATCCGCCCGCTCGGGCGTAGCCACGAGAGCAGACCCATTGCAAACAACCCCGATAAGAGCAGCGATACGGGGAACGAACGAAGAAGTTCCGTCGCGATGACAGACATGAGAATTCTATGAAACGAATGCAAAAACGATGATCAAGAATCGCACGAAGGATGTTTTTTCTAATGGGACAAAAATGTATGGCAACTGCGAAAAAAAGCCTGGTTAAGACAAGGGACCTCGGCATTGCCCGATCGAGTCTGTCTGACTAAGCGATTAGTGGGGATCTTATCGTGACTGACACGTGCTTGTGATCGTCGTCATGTTTCTGCCTGAGCCATGCATTGGTGCCTTGCTCATGCATTGATGCCTTAGGCCAAAAGACCTTCCTTGAACGCCGTCATGGGACCTCGACATAGTTTTGTCAGTTGACAGAGTCATGGTAAAGTCCGTGCAGGAACTCTGATAACGGAAGACGCTCTAAGGCTGAAGATGGATACTGGAAAATTCCTCGACTCGAAAAAGGTGATGATGCGATGATGCTCGATGCGGCAATCTAGTTTCCGCATGCGGTAAACGCCCTTTGATAGTTCAACGGCTTCCGGCCAACTCGTGGCAGCAAACCTCTAACAATAGATATTGTCGGCAGTAAAATTCCACAGGGGTAGATCGGGATAGGAAGTAAGATATGATAGAGTGCTGCATCTGGATCATCGGACAGTGAATGGGCGCCATCCCGGCGGTGATCTGTTCAGTCTTCCCCATATGTAATGTTGATAACATTGCCGACAACCTTCTGTGACCCAATCCCATGGTCCGTTTTCGTGCGACTTTATCGGTCTCAAGATCCTACTTCAAGGTCAAGAGATCCACCCTTCACTTTGTATCTTTCTTCATCTCTTTTGAAGCCACTACGTCTTGGTCACGCGATGTCGTTTGTCCCTACGCCATGATACTTCAGCTCACCTCGTCGCACGCCCGACATCAATTTTAAACGCCACGCTATCAATTTAACTCATGCGGTCTGGTCATAGAGCTGAACAAGCGCCACATCTCAGACACAAATAGCCCGATACTCACATGCTCTCCATGGCTATTATAGAGCCCCCCTTCTGGCATGCCAGAACGTTTCCACAGAGCTACTCAACGACTACGAATCGCCATGAGAATGAATTCCTGGCCTATATCTCGTTCTCGTTCGCGCAAAGGACAGAGAGGGGATGCTCCAGCTCGATGCCACCTCATGGAACTGCCCACCGAACTACTACTGGAAATTAATTCACACCTCCCGCTTATTCCCGAAGCTGCCTTTGCGCTGACTTGCAAGCGCATGTTTGCTATATCCGGAGAGATTCTCGCGTCCAAATCACTGCGCTTTACTCGGGATTTTGCGCCACTTTTCCATCACTATCGAAATGGACATAACTTTGTCACGCCGCGTTGGCAATTTATCACCCTATTGGAAAATACTCGTTGGCGTGCATGCTCCAAATGCCTGAAATTACACCCTCGGACTGCATTTTCTCCTCGCGAGCTGAGACGCAAGGCTGATCTTCGAGCTTGCAACCTTGGCGAGCTTGCTGGTATCGTCGATCTATGTCCGTGCAAGAAGTTGACCTATCGAGATAAGATGGATCTCGTAGATCAGCTGAAAATACGGAACATCACCTTGAATGCTCTTAAAACCGAATTTGGAGACAAGGTTGGAGACAGATACTGCTGGCACTCATGTGTCGAGAAGTACGGATCGACCGAATTGAAAATATCATTACTCCCTGAGCTCGACAACGACGACCAACTAGTCATCCGCACAGAATACGCACTCACCACTGAATCAGGTCAGGTGGGCAAGGAAGAGTTCATGACGCCACGATTCGGATGCGCGCATCGATCTGTCGACTTGTGGTTCTCGAGCGTCTACCAAACCACCATATGTCGACTGTTCGATTCGTTTTGCTCGTCGTGTAAGCGCATCTCCGTCTGCGCTACGTGTAATACAACATTGAAGTGCCCTCGCAAACAACCATACACTTCCGAAGAGTCGGGCAGAGCGACTTATCTTTTTTTACACCCAGCGATGTCTTGGAGGTTCGGACCTGATTCCAGATGCGACTTGGGGAAATCAAAGAATCCACCCGGCTGAGCCGTCAATTGGAGTGGAGAACTGCAATGAGCTCTGTCCTTGGACAGTGCGGGAGCACCCTCCACTTACTTTTGCGCCCCGTCTCGGCGAGGAGATCATCCAGCCTGCCATGAATGAACAGCCCATCAGTTCGTTGTACTCGTCTATTCGCATGATGTAAAGTGGCTTTGGTCGGGCGCTTGGGTGAGGTAGGTTTGGTTCATACGGACAGGAATCATTTACAAGGCTGATGTGCACTACTTGCAGATAATATTTAGGATGCATATTGGGTGTATTTTTGATATACTTGGATACAAGCATGGCTAGGCGTGAAAGGTGGACATTATTATATTGAGCATGAATACATTTGGTATCTCATTGAAACTCCGTCTCCATAAGCGCGGGAAGTTGTAAGTGGCAGTGTGCCATTGGATAAAGACGAACATGAAATTATGGCCTCTTTCAATAAGATGCCGTCCCAATCAAAACCTGTGTTTACCTGGCCAGACACCACATGTTGATCTTGACAGATCGCTTCACTCGGAAGCGCACACTTTCTCGAAGAGGCGGATCCATCCACGGCAAAGTGTAATCCTCTTTCGTACTCTCCTCCAGTGAAAAGCCACATTTGGTCAGAACACTAATCGAGGCTGTATTTTGTGAATCGCACACAGCATCCAGGGTGTTGTACTGCAATTTGAGATCCCAAAAAATGGTCACAAACCCTTGCAGCGCTTCGGTGGCAAAGCCATGACCCCATGCATCGGGATGGAAAATATAACCGACTTCAGCTGTTGGTGAGGTCGACCAGGTGCCGACATAGCCGATGAACGTACCTGGTCGGAGAATCTCGGACTCGAATTCGTCATCTTTCTTAGGAAGTTTGTCTGGGTCAATATCGCTACGAATGATGACGGCGAAATTGTCACCATCGGGGTTATTGGACAGAAGAAGACCAGACATCCATTCCTTACTGTCTTCGAGGGACTTGCAGTAGCCGTGTGGACTCCATCGTGTAGCGTGCTTGTTGGACCAGATAGCATGGTACCCGGGGAGGTGGTCCTCAGTTAGACGGACGAGCTGGAGTCGAGGCGTCTTCATTCGGAATGTGGAAGATGGAGTTGGCAGGATGATAATGGAAGAGTAAGACGGAGCATAAAAGTGAAAAGTGAAGGCCAAGAATATGTGTGGCCACATGCCTACGGGTTATTGACAAGCCCTACGTCGGGGTCTCGATACGGAAAGGCCGCAGCATTCAGGCGATCTCGAATTTACGATGAGCCCCCACTCTTCAGCCCAGGTGAACGACCAAGATGGCTCAATAGTCTATCACTGAATTGAGACCAGCTGAGACAATTTTCTAGTTCCACCACTGCATAATCGTCAGCCTTTAGGGGAATATTTGAAGTGGACTCATCGTCCCATTTGAGCCTTTCTTAGACGAAGTAACCGCTAGAGTCCGGAGTATTGAGATCACTCGACAATAAATGCTCGAAAGAGACTAAGTAATGACAAATAAAGATCTATAAAAACTCACAAGCGATGAAACTCCAAAGAACTATACTTCCGATCTAAGCTTATCGCTTATCAGCTGACCGCCACGAGTTTCTCCGCCCCGACGCGCAGGGCGGATTTCGGCGCTTCACTCGCGTCTGAACAATCAGCGTCATTGTCAAGCGCATGTCGGGGCGATGAGTTTTCCGCCACCTAACTCGGGACAGTATCCGCCGTATATCCCTCCCCAGTACCAGCCCAGCAACGTGCCTGCGCAGTTGCTGTACAATAATGGCCCTCCTCAGGCGCCGGTACAGTCGCCGTATAATGGCTACGCCAAACCGCCAGGCTATCCCCAAGGGATGATGCCATACCCATATCCTCAATATCAGCAGCAGCAGCCGCCTCAGATGTCTCGGCAAATAAATCCGCAGCAAGCGCTCATGCATTCACACCAGCAGTTGGTTCAACAACAGCCTCCGATTCAACAGCAACATCCTCAATTTCAAACGCAACAATCTCCTCGTCAACAGTACCAACAATCCCCCCACCAGCAAGTGCAGCAGTCTCCGCGTCCGCAATTCCACCAGCAATCCCCCCGAACTCAGCTGCAACAGCAATCTCCGCGTGCCCAATTCCAACAACCCGCTCTACCTCAGCTGCAACAATCACCTCGTCCTAATGTACAACCGTCTCCTCGACCTCAGTTTCAACAACACTCTCCCCGTGTCAACTTTCAACAACAATCACCTCGCCAACAGTTGCAACATTCTCCGCGGCCGCAGTTTCCTCAACAAGCGCCCCTTCCCCAATCGCAGCCACCTCCGAAACAGCAAGTGCAACCGCCGCCGCCGCCGCCGCGAGCACCCAAGCAGATTCAGCCCCAGCCGGCACCGGCTCCAACACTTCCCCTGTGCAGCCCCAACATCAGTTCATTAACCCGGCGGAGTTATTTGTTCAACAACCTCTCCCCGAAGCTCCGCGATCTCGATACATCCCGCCTCCAGACTTTGTCGAACTAAGTGCGCTGTCGACTACGATGACTGATGACTTACCTCCGCTCCCTGCAAACATCTCTGCTGTTCCGTCAGAAGTACCGCTTGCGCCTCCAGCCCAAAGTGTCCCACCTGCTACTCCTCAAAACCACATTGGAGTCCCGCAAAGACACACGGACTTCCAAGCCCAGCCGACTCGACCGGTCTTCAAATCAGACTCCACGCCGATTGCAAAAGCCCCGAACGTTGAGATGAAGCGCCCACCGTATACTCCAAGCACTGACGTCAAGAAGCCTCGTCCATCCACCCCAAAGACAACACCGGCAATTGCGCACCCTCGACCTGTTCCTCCGTCTGCTGTGAGTCTTATTCCGCAGGTGATGGTCCCGTCCTGTTCTTCTGAGGTCCAGAAGCAGCTTCGGCAGGAGCCGGAACAGCAGCCGGAGCAGCAGCAGTCGAAGAAACCACAGCAGAAACGCCCTAGCCTCCAGGGAATTGAGAAGGCTGCAGCAAAGACGACCAAACCTCCAGTAGATTATCAGGTCTTGCTGCTTTCATTGGCCGATGAGTATCTGAACGCTGCGCATAGCCATGGAACAACGATGGCTCTGGCAATTCGCTATGACGATATCGATGAGTACTACAAGTTGGTTGCTACGGGGCTTGGATGCTTGGAGGCTGTTCTCAAAAACTGGCGATTGCAACCTCGCAAAGAGGCTCTTGTGCGACTTCGGTACGCGCGGACGTTATTTGAAGAGACAGAGAATGATCTTGAAGCCGAGACGGCTTTGAGTAAGGGGATTGACCTTTGTGAGCGAAATCGAATGCTAGACTTGAAATATAGCATGCAGCATCTTTTGGCGCGGATGCTCTACAAGACCAATCCGAAAGCATCTCTGAAGGCCGTTGATGGCATGATTCAAGACGTCGAAGCATATCGTCATGCCGCTTGGGAATACGCATTCCGATTCCTTCGAGTCTCCTTATCCTTGTCGTCTTCGTCGCATCAGGACTCTGTGCAGGCATTACAACACCTTCACAGAATCTCCACCATGGCCAGTCGAAATGGTGATAAAGCCGTCTCGGCAATGGCAGCAATCATGGAAGCCCTTGCACATCTACAACATGGGACAGGATCCGATGCTATTGAGCAAGCGCAGCGTGCTGTAGCGGCTGCACGAAGTCATCAGTTGAATGAAGAGCTTCGCGACATTCCACAGCTTGTTACGCTTATCTACATGGTTGACATCTTCTGCAGCCTCTTGGAATATGACATCAATCAAGCTACCCAAAAACTGAGCGTGATGCAGGCCAAGGTAGATGAGACACTGAGCGACCCCAACTGGCGCCCTGACGGCTCATTCTCGGTTCCACTCAACGGCAAGTCGGCCGGGCCGTCGTCCATCGACACAGGCGACATTCTCCAGGTCCATAACGGTACACTCCTTCTGAGCTTCAACTGGCTTCCCCAACACGACCTTTATGCCCTGTCCTACTTCTTGAGCTCGGTGACTTTGAGCTCCAGGAATTCTCATGATGGTCGCAAGGCAGAGAAGTACCTGGATGAAGGACTTCGAATGATTCAAGGTTAGTTAGTCTGGATGATTTTCACTGAATCTTGTCTGACCGATATCGCAGGAGAGTTCAAGGCCCCTCAAGAGATCGCCGAGTCCATGGTGAATGCGACCCGACGAGTTGAATGGCGACGATCTCTTTATTGCAGCTTTCTTCTGCAACGCGTATTTCTGGCCTGCTCCCGAACCGACTGGGATTTGGCTAGCCAGAGCTTGAAAGAGCTGCGAGATGTCGCACAAGACATCGAACATCAGCTCCCCACATCCATTCAATGCTTGATGGAATATGCCGCTGGTACCATTTCTCAGGCCTCTGGTGATCTCTCAGCCGCCTTGGCAACTTTCCAATCACCCTTGTTATCGCTTTCCCCTTCTATCAGCAAAACTGCTCGCAATGACCCCTGCCGTGACACGTGCATTCTGGCAGCCCTCAACACTGTGCTCATCATCCGTGACCCAGCTCACCCATCTCATTCTCATCTCCCCAATGTCTTGGCCACTCTGGAATCTTTCTGCCAAGCAAGCCCGAGCAAGTACATCCAAGCCGCGTACTATCTGGTTTGCGCCACGGTGAATGACTCCACAGTCCAAACCAAACAATATCTTCAGCAGGCCTTGCAGTCTGCAACTGCCATTAGCAACAACCAGATCACCTGCATGACACTCACATTCATGAGCTGGAAATATTTCCGCGGTGTCGTCGGCGAGCAAGCCGAGAAGAGTGCCCGAGCTGGACGTGCAATGGCTCGACGAGCCAACGACCGTCTCTGGGCGAGTGTAACCGACGAGATGCTCGCGGATACTCTCGAGCGACAAGGCAAGAGCGATGAAGCCCGCGATGTCCGCGCAGAGGGCCAGCGACTTGTCATGGGCCTGCCTCCGGGCTTAAAACGGTCCTGATCTTACTTTGACGTCAATGCTTGTTCTATTACGATGTCACTTATTTATGATACCAATTCATGGCTACACTGGGAGGCGTTTTGCGATTTCGTTATGATCTTGAAGCGTGGTGAAATGGAGCCCGAATCTCACGTCTTGCATTGAATCAAATCAATCCAACATAACCTGATACTTACAAGGGTCGACTTTTTGATACATTTTCGGAAATATAATACAATCAACTACGAGTTAGACTTCGAGCACTATATGGAAATCACTTCGGTACACGGGCAAGTAAATGTCCGATAGACACTCTCGCCTCGGAACACTCATCATTCAACTCAATGCTATTAAAGATCAACAAGAACACCCATATCCATGCGTAATGTAAATACAACCCTGGTATAGATAATAACAAATCCAGCTGCGGAAAGCGCAACAATTCAAATCAAAACACCACAACCCCATTGACACCATGCCTAATGCCCTCAGCACCCCACGGCGATACTCAAGCAGCAGAATCAAGATAAAAAAAAAAACACCCAGATCTTCATCCCCACACAAACCAAACCCTCAATCTCAAAGACTTGAGTTTCTGTCTCAAAAAATCCGAGTCTGTCGAAAGAAATCTAACCAAGCCCCCCCCACATTCCGCGAATCCTCCGCGCGAGCTGGATATCTTTCTGCATAATAGTGACTCGCTTCGCATGGATCGCGCACAAATTCGTATCCTCAAACAAATGCACCATGAAGGCCTCCGCGGCCTCTTGCAGAGCCTGAATCGCATGGCTCTGCCAGCGTAGTTCTGCGCCGACATCTGCGGGCAAAAGATCGAGCGCGACTTCGCGGACTAATCGCGCAAAGGGCAACTTGGCGATCAAGAGGTCGTAGGAGCGTTGATAGCGGCGGATCTCTTTCAGGGCTACAGTACCCGGTTTATAGCGGCGGCGACGGCCTGTGGGCGTTGGGTCGCCGGCTTAAAAGGCGATTTTGGATTAGTTCATTTGTGTTTCTTGGGAGTGGGATTTGAGAATTGGATCGGGGAAGGAGGACGTACGTTGTACATTTGAGGGACGACTTTTCTTTACTTTGGGGGATGCGCCGGGTTTGGTTTTTCCAGCGGTGGATTTGCGCGCTGGCGAGTCTGTTGATGGTTTTGATGGGCGGCCTCGTGTGCCTGAGGGTCCGGCGCGGACGGCGGATTTCGTTGCCATTGTGATTGGGGACGAATGCGCGAGATACGCGTTCGTATAGCGGGGGCCTGTGTGAGCGATAGCTTGAGCTAAGCTAAGCTAAGCTTGATGCTCGAAGATGCGATTGTTTTGGTCCTGCAGATAGCACGCGCGTCGGTAGCCGGGGGAGGCCCTTGCAGCTGGATATGGGGTCAAGTCAATATCCGGACAGGAATTGAGATTGAGATTGAAGTCCAGTCCGAGCCTTAAAAAAAAAAAATAAAAAAAAAAGTCGAGAAACACTTGCGCGCGCGAAGGGGGAGGCTGGGGAAATCAATATGAGCACATTCGTCCTTAGCGCCCAGCCCCCCGTGATTTTTGGACGCGTCGGGGTCACGTGGCAGATAAGAGATACGGTCTACTTGGCTTCTTGCCCACTGCATCGCTTGTCATCTCGCGATTATCTAGAATGGCTGCGCTGTGGGAGAATAATGGCCAAATGGGCCAGTTCCCTCTGGAACAATGGTTTTACGAAATGCCTCCTGTTACTCGGTGGTGGACTGTGGCCACCGTGGCGACCTCGGTGCTGGTGCAGTGTCACGTCGTCACTGAATTCCAGCTATTCTACAGTTTCCGCGCTGTCTACGCCAAATCGCAGTACTGGCGACTTCTCACCACCTTCATTTACTTCGGTCCGCTGAATCTCGACCTCATTTTCCATGTCTTCTTTCTTCAGCGATACTCTCGCCTCCTCGAGGAATCTTCCGGTCGTTCTTCGGCGCAATTCGCCTGGCTGGTTACATATGCCATGACGGCACTCTTAGTCATCTCGCCCTTCCTTTCCCTGCTCTTCCTCGGCACGGCACTCTCTTCCAGCCTCGTCTATATTTGGGCTCGTAGGAATCCGGAGACTCGGCTGAGTTTCCTCGGCTTGCTCGTCTTCACGGCGCCTTACCTCCCGTGGGTGCTGATGGGCTTCAGTACTGTCATGCGCAGGGAGCTTCCTAAGGACGAGATGTGTGGTATCGTGGTGGGCCATATTTGGTACTTCTTCAATGACGTTTACCCGCCGCTGCATGGTGGCCACCGTCCGCTTGATCCGCCTTTGTGGTGGCGTCGGTTATTTGAATCCGTGGAGGCAACATCCCGAACTGAGAATAATATTGCTAGGGAATTTGTGGCCGCTGCGGCGCCAGAGGTTCGTTGAGAGAGATCTGGACTTGTGTTTGAGTGAAAGGCTACCAAAGACAATTGAAGAGCGGGTGGATTTCGCTTTTTGTTGTTCCCCTGGTCCAGCCATGGATACTCATGCTTGGGGCAGGGGTCTGAGAAGTACCAACCATTGATTGTGTATCCGCAGAGAGGCCACTATCGTCGCATGGCCTTTTTCTCATCGGAGACCTGGACGAGCTGGAGGACCTGGAGGATCTTGAAAGAGCAAAGGTCGGGTCGCCGACCGGCCCACGAGTCTGCAGAAGGAGCTTCCTCCGTAAGATGGAAGATGGAAGTACAAGTCTGAGAAAAAGAACAGCAAGGAACTGGGACGCTCGGCGGAAGCATGTTTTAATCCAGCGTTAATAGCGATAGATACCCTTCTCATTTTCCAATCTGAATGCAGGTGACTTGTAGTCTGTACCTAGGCCCAGCTCGAGGTCCTTACGTTCACTTGACGGCAATTATCACCGACTGTCAGGACAAGTGTACGCTTGTACATTCCTTGTCAAGGCCCCCAAGACCAATGTCAAGAGTCCCAGCGTCAGACTACACAGCCTCGCAAGATGATATGAGGTTGGCCAAGGTGGGGGCGGAATAGGCAGAACGCCAAACCCGCCGAAACCCAAACTACGCCATGCCATGTACCTCGGACCAATTTGCCGCGATGGGGTGGGCAATCTGGCAGCACCAAGCATGTACCCAGACAGGGCCGATATTGGCGATCGCAGGGGGTTTCAAGCCACGACCGACTTCCACTCACGTCATGAAACGCAACACTCGGTCCAAGATCAAGTCAGGGACCAAGGAACCGAGTGACTGTGGTCCGAGCAGTTTGCCGATCTGAATGGGGAAGACTTCTTATCGCCCATTCCTCAATGAGTCCCCAGTGGAGCGAGCCATGGATAAAGCAGGGGCGGGATTGGCATGCATTAACACCGACAGGCGGCCAAGTTTCTCGCGAGCGTACCAGGAAGCTGCGATTCACGATAATTTGAAGCTGCGGGGGCGTAGAGGTAGTGGAGATCGTGGAGACCATGGAGACCGTGGAGGCATCATCCTCCAGTCGTATTATAGTCTCCTTTGGACCTAAGGCCCTTTTGAGGATGATACGAGTACGAATGGGGCGGTCTTGCCCGTGCACGCTCCGCAACGGTATTTCTGTTGGGAGGTGCTCCGAACACCCTATCTTGACGCAATAGTAGTCCCGCCACATTTTGGGACTGAGATACGTGTCCCTTGTGGGAGTGGCCTTGATACGAGTGCGTACATCGAATGGGAGTAAATCGTAAATCGGCACCCAGCTCAAAATTCCTGTCTCACGGTATCGAACACGCGACGAATACCCCGTCATCTTTTTTTAGTCCGACTCCACTTTTGAGGGGACTCGTACTGCAGGAGGCATTTGACCCTCTCGCCTCGACTATAGCAAACACTCCTCGAGACCGACTCGGCCTCCGATTGCCGATTGAGTTCAGGCAACACCGTATGTACTAGTCTCATGACAGAAACCCGAACAATACAAACCGTGGATAAACCGTGGCACAAGGCAACAAGGTAAAAAAAAGGAAAAAGGAAAAATGAAAAAAGAAAAAAAAACTAAAACTGCCCTACTCCACCGGCTGGGGACCTCCACCAATCGCAACACGTTACTGGTTCCGGCAACACGTACGTATCTCAGTCACGGAACAACGGGTACAGCCACCCTAGCTCAGCCTCCTTGAACTCTACTGTTAACACCCCGTGGCTGCTCTTTGCCCCCTTTCTGTTGTTGCCTTCGCTCTTTTTCTCTTTTTAACTCTCTCCCTCCACGCTCCTTTCTACTTTCGATTTAGTTGTTTTAGCTCCCACTAGTCACTCCTTATTATTCTTCTCCCCTTATTTTTTTTTCCTAGCTTGGGTCTTTAACCAAACGCTTCCCCTCAACAACTCTATGTCCCGGCGCTAAAATACGTTCACTCTCTACTACACGACTCTCGAGATCCTTTTAGGCCTCCCAAGGTCTGTGATTCTCAACTCGCCAGACGATTTGACGACCTCCAACCTTCGATTAAATTGCGCAGTCGCATTTGTCTACAAGAGTCAACTCCAGAACATCTACTGTCACCAATCCCCAAACCTCCAACCTCCACCATGCGGCGCGGTCTCTTGATCTTCCTCTTGGTCAACCTCCTCATTCTCTCTCTACTGGTTCGAAGTGTCTCGACGCTGCTATCGCTGCTCGTGGAAGATGCCGCCGCCGATGCGATTCACCGCGCGGAGTTGCCCTCGCCCAACTCCAGTCTGATCGAACAGCGACCCCAGATCATTCCTAAGATCATCCACCAGACCTACAAGAACGAGACTATTCCTGAGGTCTGGGTCGAGGCTCAGCAGAGCTGCATTGACTTGCACCCAGACTATGAATATATTGTATGCCCCTCTGTGCGATCCGACCCGATATGAATCTGTGCTAATAATTATTCCAGCTATGGACGGATGAAAAGTCGCGCGACTTCATCGCTGCTGAATATCCTTGGTTCCTCGATACCTTTGACGGCTATAAATATCCTATCCAACGCGCAGACTCGATCCGGTATTTCATCCTAGCCCACTATGGCGGAACCTATATCGATTTAGACGACGTACGTATCTTATCTAGCTTATTGGTCTTGACACCTTTGTGATGCAGACCCTCTAACACTCAATAGGGCTGCAACCGTCGCCTGGATCCTCTCCTCGCTTACCCCGCATGGGTGCGCCGCACTGTTCCCACGGGTATCTCGAACGATGCAATGGGTTCGGTGCCCCAGCACCCCTTTTTCCTACGCGTGATTGAATTGCTCCAGCAGTATGACCGTCACTGGCTCCTGCCCTACATTACCGTTATGTACTCGACCGGTCCACTCTTTCTATCGGTTATCTGGAAGGAGTATATGCAAGACCACCCGTCGGAGATGAGCCGCGTGCGTATCCTTATGCTAGACGAGTATAACAAGTACTCCTGGAGTTTCTTCACCCACCACACTGGAAACAGCTGGCACGGCAAGGACGCGCACTTTATTTTCTGGGTAAGCCTTAATTCTTAGCCCGCCGAAGCCTTAGGTCATCCGATCCACGCTAACACTATTTACTCCACAGATGGGTCAACACTGGATGTTCCTCACTTTCTGCGGCTTCCTCCTCGCCGCCGTCGTTGGCTTCTGCCTCTTCTGGACCTACGGTCGCATCGTACTCCTAGGAGCCCAGTACCGCTACCGATACTCAAAGGTCCCTTCCATCATCAGCCCGTCCCGCTTGTCATCCTCGCCTTCGCGGCGCGCACGGCGCATGATGCCCACGCTGCTGCGGAGGGTCAGCTTCAAAGAAGACGAGGAATGTGGCGGACCCACCGAGACCTCGTACGAAATCGGTCGCCGCGATGATTGAGATGTTTGCGTTTTTTTCTTTCTTGCGTATCGATACGGCCTTGGACACGATCTCTGCATACCTAACAGCATTTAGTGTACACTTTCCTTCTTTTTTTTCTTATGAGCGCTACATGCATGGTGTCGCAATCCTGCCGGATCCAGGATTGGTTGCTTTCACCTGGAGCAATTTGGGGTCTTTTTGCTGTCTTCTGTCTTCACCTCTTTGTCTTTTGTCTGGCGGTCTTGAACCTACCCATTCTGGACCCCCTTTTCTCTTCTTTCAGTTCTCCCACCTATATTCATGTTAACAATTTGTAAACGCGCTTGACTTCGATTCTTGAGCAGGGTGATTTGAACAGATCTTTGAGACAATGATGAATTATGGCTCCGCCATTCAAGCTTTTCCAACCTGATTTGAGAAATTGATCAACATAAACAAAAGTAACAGACGGAGTGATAGCCGTAATAGCGTTTCCTCATCGCATTTCCTTCACATTGAATAAACAAAATTCTCGGAAGCGGACCGTGGCTTTTCTTCCAGTCCTGCTCAGCTATGGCCGAACCGATTCCAGCAAGTATGCAAATTATCCCATTCCCGTTCCTAAACTTGCTGGAAACACAACTTTGTCAATGACAAGAGAGCCAATGGATACCGTTAGGAAGTATTTTTGGTATTTTTTTTTTCTATCCAAGCAAGCCACAATCAGCGCCGATGATGAGAAATTCACGCAGAAATGGAATTGGAACGCCTATTGCGATGTTAATTGTCTGTTCGAAGGAAGAAAACCCTTCCTCTTTCCCCAGATGCCGATCTCTAACATGATACGTCAACCCCCGCCAGGATAGTCAACGTTTCAAAAATCCGAAATATCCACCACAACCAATAAACTTGCACCCTTGTGCCTTGCATCGTCGATATATGATTTGAAGAATAATCCAGTCACTAAGCCTTCTTACTGGTCCCTCACAGACGCGCCGCGTTTCACTTCTGACAATCCTGGAAGAGTCTGGTGGATCGCATACTTCGCCTGCATTCTTCGCGGGCCTTTGGGGATACTTGGGCTTCAAATGCCCTCCCCAGCCGTGGTCCTGAAAATGTGATACCTGAAGGACATTGTCCGACAATGGCGGGTATGTGGGTTTGGGTTGGTCTGAGCCCGTATAAAGAAGTGATTGAGATCCTAGGTTTTTGTTCAATGCAAGCTTCACCCTCCACACGGCTTTGATACAATACAGTTGCTGGGTTTTACTTTTTCTCTATCGCAACTAGTCTGATCCCCTTATATCTTGATATCATCATTCTAGTACTTTTTGTTCTCTCACGTTCGAAGTCTTCAAACCAAAATGCTCCCAACCATCCCCATCCTCGCCCTCTTGGGCCTCACGGCCGCATCGCCACTCTCATTCTCATTCCTCATGTTCCGAGATGAATCGCTCACGGAAGCCCAAATAATCGCCATCGCTCCGACATCTGCAAACTGCGATAACCCTCCCGCTGAAGGCGAATGCGCAACCGCGAAAACAGCAGCCAAGTTCACCGCTCAGTCCTTCGATACTTACAATGTCACTTCCAAGGCTGAACAAGCTGCTGTTATCAGTTTGATGGCGTTTGAGAGTGGTGATTTCAAGTATAATAAGAATCATTTCCCCGGTGTTGCAGGGCAGGGAAGTAAGTATTTCCAACATCTTCTGTTTCATATATTTTGATTTATCTGGGAGGCTTCATGCTAATTTTCTGATGGGTTAGCACGGAACATGCAATCCCCCGCCTACAACAAGGAATACGCATCCTCTATCTCGGCGTTGAAGGACCAGGTCGCAAAGGTCAGCGATCCGGCTGAGTTGTTGGATCTGTTGCGCGCTGATGAGGTGTATGATTTCGGATCTGGGGCTTGGTTCCTGACTACCCAGTGCTCGAAGGATGTGAGGTCGAAGCTGCAGGCTGGTACTGAGGAGGGGTGGCAGTTGTATATTAGTGATTGTGTGGGGACTAGTGTCACGGATGAGAGGAAGGAGTACTGGGAGAGAGCTGTTACGGCTCTTGATGTTTAGGGTCTTCAAATTTTGGAGTGGAGGATATCTATGTCTATGGAGTTCGGAAGAAGGCGATTCTGGTTTTCTAGTAGTCGGAGCTAGTTTCTTCGATTAGTTTATGGTGTTGGGTTTGTTCCTTGGTTCGATACATGTTTATGAATTATGTTTCTTACGGGCTTCAATTCAGTGTTTCATGCCGATAATAGTGCTTTCAATGGTTTTTTTTTTAGAAGGCAAGTATACATTCGGGCACTTGATTTCCATGGATACATTGGCAGTCCTGAATATTTGATCTCATATCGGAATATCTCATCTATCAATCGATGACTTTTTCAGCGCCTTTATAAAACACCCTTAGTACTAACGATGTCTCCCGCTCCGACTTCTCCGGCAACTCTGCGCGTACAAGCCGTCCGAATTGCAACAGCCAGCGCCTTGAAGGCACTCTCCGCCCGGTGGTGGTCGTTATCACCATAAGTGCAGCCAATGTGCAGCGTGACGTCCGCCGCCTGTGCAAAGCTCTGCAAGCCGTGCGTGATCATCTCCGTGCTCAATGCGCCAATCTTCTCGCGCTTGAAGCCCAGATCAATGACAGCCCACGGACGGCTGGAGAGATCGATCACTGCCCACGAGAGGGCCTCGTCGAGGGTGCGTCGCCGCGGCCGAAGCGGGCGAGGGATTGCCGGGCGCCGAGGGCTTTTGTGAAGGCTGTGCCGAGGGCGAGGAAGGTGTCTTCTGTTGTGTGGTGGTCGTCGACTTTTTTACATGATTAGTGCGTGTCAGAATTGTTGCTGGTGGGTGTGTTGACTCACTGTAGAGATCACCCTTGGCGCGCACTGCGAGACTCCAGCCGGAGTGCTTGGCCAGCGCATGCAGCATGTGGTCTAGGAAGCCAATTCCGGTGCTAATGGTGATTTGCTGCGTGGGCGTGAACTGGGTAGCGTGGGCCGCATCTTTGCAGGGGACAATGCCTTTCTTCGCGGCTTCGGCTTCTTGGGGGTCGCTCGGTGGGGGGAAGTGGGTGCTTGGTTCGTACGCTGGGAGGACACCACCGTCGAGAGAGAGGGAAATCTGGATCTTTGTCTCGTTGGTTGACCGTGAGATGGTCGCGGTGCGTGCGGTGAGAGCCATTGTAATTTTGACAGTGTTTTGGAGAGGAGGGAGTGTTGAAGTATGAATCCGATGCTGGCTTGATAATCGGCTTTCTTTTTTATCTGAGCCGCTATCGTGGATTATTGTTGATCCGCTTTGCGTCACTCGGTGTCTTCGGGCTTTGCTTTGAGCTTGAGCTTTTATTTCATGGACTGACTAGTCTGAAGATTTGTCTGTCTAAAGCTGCAACTAGCTACAGTCTGTGAATCGTTCAATTTGGTCTTTTGCTCCTCTGACTTCCATTTTTCGACCTTGGTCATCCTATTCTCAAGCTCCCTGCGTACATAGCTCCACGATAAGAGCATTGATCGGGGTATGATCTGAAGGGTCCGGACCCAATTGCAAAGTCTCAACTGTTCTATCCTCAATATGCCGCCACCGCCGAGTCAGAGGGCCGATATCGAGCCTCCAGAAGAACTTACCTCGGAAGCCGTCAAGGGCTTTGTGACGGGTGTAGCCCGCGTAGGTTCATGATACAAGCACAAGTCAAACTTGTCACTTATAGAATTTTACAGTTCGGATCTGTCTCGATTCTCGCACATATGATCATGAATCTGCCTCACCCCTTCACCTTCTCTAAACCCCAACCGCCCGCTCCCGCCGAGTCTCAGTCGCGTCGTCAGTCACCCTTTTCCCGTGACTATATTCGTTCTCGCCTTTTATACCGACCGATGGAGGGCTTCTCCGAGTGGATTTCACCCACTGCTCGCGTCTACCGCGGACTGACTCCACAATTCAAAGTCTTCATCCAGATCGCCATCATGACCTTGGGAGGCTGCATCTGGGCTGAGAAACGGGTGACCGAGTACATTGATCTAATTCGACAGATCAAACGGGCTGAGCGATATCAGGCTGAGCGTGAGCAAGGTAACCGTCGTTAATTGATATCAAAAATCACAAGAAACATCCCGGGTTACACATACTCCGACGCGTGGGTCGGCCGGTACGTTCCGGAGCACTTTCCGCGTCTTAGGCAAGAGAGCAATTATTTCGATCGCCATTGTGGAAGTCATTAATCAGAGGGAAATGGGATGGGATTGAACCGCCCGAGGAATTGACTGGGCTTCCCTAGGGCGGCGATCTTTGTATATTGTGATCCCCATTTCCATGGCGGGCCCTGCTTCTTCTCCCCCCTGAGCTACCAGCATCGCGTGGCCGATCGGCCCCAGTGTGGATCCTAGCTGTCCATTCCTGAAAGCAATCCGCGCGCGAGCGAATGCAAGCTATGAAAGAAAGTGTAGATAGTCTCAGTGATTGCCGGTTCTATAGTTCCACGGCTCTATGGTTCGTTGCCCAGGCACGATCCCTGCAGTGACCTGCGTAGTCTTGGTATTCTTAGCCGACGCATATCCAGGGCAGTGGAGAACGCCTCTTACGTGGCTGTCTCCCAATCATCTGAATGCGTTGAATGCGGATATGCTTCTCCATATGTTGTTCGACCTGTCGCGAACGCACGTCTCGTACCTGTAGATGACGAGGCACAAGCTGAATGTAAACATGAATTACCATAGAAACTCAGAACAAAGCATTCCCAGATAGGATTCAGTCAAAAGTACACTAGGATCATGACTCGGATGCGATAGCACCAAAAAAAGAAGAGAAAAGCACAATCTGAAACATGGAGATGGTGAAAGTATCAGGGTTGATGGGGCGAACATTTGCTGCATCCGTCCATTCCTCTCTCACCTCCTTTTTGTTTTCCACCCACCTTCTAATCTCCCGTTCGGTTCTGTTTCGACCGTTGTGACTGTTTTCATCTGAAGGTCCTGGACGATCTTTATCTTCTCTTTGACATCATTCTCTCTCCACCCTCGTTTGCTTCCAGAGACTCCCCCGATCGGCACTTTCTGACCTCATTCTCGGTCGGATTTCACTTCGGCAAGCAGGGCATTCCGTATTGGAGCGATCACAATTGATCACCGCTCTTTGATCCCGCCGGTTTTGGTGTTTGGTGTTTAGGCGCATTTCGCATCTTCGGAATCCTCCCCCTTCCGGTGACCTCCCGGTGCAACCAAAAACCCCTCTTCTTCGCCACCTTGTTGACAGCTGCCAAACGCGTCTGGGGCTCTTTTCAATATATTCCCCGGTTCCGCTAGAGGTGGAGCTTCTTGCTATCCTTAGCTTTCGCTTGTCAATTGCTTCTCATGGCGTCGCGAAGCTCGACCGTACGAGACCCTCTCCTCCATCCCCGCTTTTCCATCTCTCTCCCCAGACTCCTCTCGAGCTTTTCAATTCACTTTTGCATCTCAGCATGAGTAATCCCTCACTAACAACCTCTCAGTGAGAAACGACGTTTGGGTCGTAGATCAGATACGCTAATCGCTCACCATTCTTGCGCCAATTCATTCCACTCTCTTACCTTGTGTCCCTCCTTTCGACCCGTGTGTTGAATTCGCCATGGCCGACCACAATGGCAAGAAGGAGCGAAGAAAAAGTCTTAGCCTATTCAGCCCGTCATCCACAAGCTCCGTCCCGCCTCCCAGACCTATCTTGCACGCTCGCACTCCCTCAGATGATATCCTGTCCCGAGATAAGAAAGCCCGCCGCAACTCAGGCTTCTTTGGCCGGTCCCAAAGTCCTAGACCAAATGTCTTACGGCGCCCCGGATCTGCAAATGCAGAAGTTGCTGCTTGGTCTGCAGCGATGGCTGCATCAACGCCCACCGTGGAAGCCCCCCCACCCGCGAAGGAAGTCATTGCAGAAGAAACGTGCGTCAGTTTTCGGTTCCTTGAAGTCGCTTCATTCTGTGGACGACGACGAGTCGCTCAGTGCTTCCCTTGGCTCTCTCGGGGATGAAAGTTCGATCAATCCCCGAAATGGGATCTGGTCCTCGGCAATCCTCCACCATGGGGAAATCCAGACTACGGGCGGCATGTGGAGGAAAAAGAGCCACTATCTTGTCCTTACCGATACGCATTTAGTTCGCTTCAAGAATCAGAGCAAAGCTGCTGATGTCTTTCCTTCAATCCCGGCGAACTACAATAGGCCAGCCCCGGCCTCGCACCGCCATTCCATCGCCTCGATTAGCTCTTTACAAGACATGCAAGTAATGGTCTCGAATGAAGTGTCAGCAGGTATTCCTCTGAACAGCATCATCGCGGTGTATATGCTGGATGACGGACGATTATCCTCCACAGTCGAGGTGGCCTACTTGGATGAACGGACGCACAAAGCCGCATTAATCCAGATGCAAACCCCCGATCTTCAAGAGTTGAACCTTTGGATGGTGGGTATTCGCCAAGCTGCACAGATGGCACGATCAAACGACCCTCAACCATTCGATCGGGGCTCGGTTGAGTATGTAACAAGGATGTTGGGACACGAACGAGATTACGACCCGGCCACGTTCCGAATGTTCCGTGTCATACAAATCGCCTCCAGCAAGTCCCCAACTCGCTCATCTTCGGACGATCTCACCAAATTGTCGCCAACCGGATGCTACCTTGCAATTGGGCTGCACAAAGTTCATTTGATACCCATGCAAAAAGCCACTAATCGGTCTTCCGTGGTATCCTTGCCCGATGTTGAGAACGCCAGTTCCTTTGGTCTCATGAACCTGACTGGTTTATCAATGGAGTACGGCGATGATAGTCTCCATTTCACTTTCCGGTAAGTTCTTCTTGGAATTTTTCAGCCCCGTTGATTCGCTAAAAAAATATACAAGTGTCCCGCTGCGGAAATCCTTCAACGTATTCCTAGCTTCAGTTCACTCGGTCGAAGTTGCTTGTTGGATTCGACAACACACCGAGTTTCTGCGCCCGCTATGGACAAGACAGCCATATGACTTTGTTGTGCCACGTGAGCTGCGAAATGATGAGAACTTCCCCCCGGTGGCATTGGATGAGGATTATGGCTGCTTCGATCGGACCCTGGTTGCCTATTCTGCCAGTTATGACATCGATACTTCCAATATTCGGTATACGATTGACCTGGACTGCGAGGATGCTCCATGCTTCCGACTTCTTCGGCCTGCGTCCCCGAAGAACCCGCGATACAGTGCTCTGGAATTAGTTGCAGTCATGCGCGCCCTTCGATACAATGAGTCGTTTCAGTCAATTTCATTCCGTGGTATCAATCTTGACGCCTTGCAAGGTCTCCGCGATTTTTACGGTGTGGATGCAGATGTGCACCTCGACAGAACAGGATCGCTTGTGCGTATCCCGGGACAATCCAATTTGAGTGTCTTGTCTCAAGAGGTACGCGCATTAACATTGAAGAGCTCAAGTTTACGCCGGCTCGACTTTTCCTATTGCCTGACTCGAACCCCTACTTTGGACAAGGCAGCAGGGATCCAGGGTGCGGAATCCCAGAGGCAATCTTCCCAGTCTGCCGTCGGGAGTTGACGAGTGCAGACTGGGTGGTGCTGAACGGAATCAGACTAGGCGATTCGGATCTTGACTACCTGGTGGATGCTGCGTCTCAACCACGTAGTCATCTGCGAGCATTGGAGGTCGGCGATTGCGGTCTGTCTGTGCATGACCTTGATCTCATATTGTCCACCCTTGTTGCTCAAGAGTCGTCTCTGGAAGCTATCAACATATCTGGTGTACAGGGTCGTTTGAACCCCGACGTGCTCCAGCAGTACATCGGGTACTTTGGCCGAATTCGGAAGATCAATCTCTCACGTATCTCGCGCACATCGGGCACCGAGCCGCTTATTACAGCAGAAATGTTGTTCAACTGGAGACTCGAAGAGCTTATTCTTAGCCGCACGGCCGTTAATCGCGAAACCGTCGACTCTATTGCTACATATCTCGCCAGTGATCGTTCGCAGAATTTGCGCATGATTCGACTTGATCAATGCGGATTAAGCGGCGAAGACGTTGCCATGTTCATGCATTCAATGTCCGCTGGTCCAGGTTCTCCGCGCAGCCTTCATTTGCATGTCAATGAAAACAGGCTTGATAATGGATGTTCTTTCCTGTTCGATGCCATTGCCAAGAACATGACACCCTCTCATCTTTCTATGCAGATGATCGACTTCAAGAAGGAAGAGCATTTTCGGCAATTGGTGGATGCGCTTCGCAAGAACCGGACTCTCCGGTATCTTGACATTTCCAAGGCTTCTCTTCCTTATGATGCTGGGCCTGAGACTTGTCGGATGCTACAGCTAATGTTCGAGGAGAATGAGACCCTGGAAGCTCTCGACATCAGTGGCGAGAATGCGCATCTCGATGTTGCCAGGTTTGGAATTGGTCTCAACCTTGCCTTAACTGGCTTGAAGAAGAACACGTCTCTAAAAGTGCTCAGGATTGAGCACCAGAAACTTGGTCTTCAGGGTGCGAATACCCTGGCTTCTGTGTTGGAGGAGAACAAATCATTGCGTGAAGTGCATTGCGAAAACAATGATATCAACCTTCAGTCGTTCACCGTGCTTGTCAATGGTCTTCAAGGCAATCGCACTCTTCTCAGTCTCTCTTGTATGGATCGAGATCGGATAATGTCTCTTGACAAGGTGCGCCGGGAAGTTGACAACGTCCGCTGGGACGCTAGCACCGTTCAAAGCTCTACAGCAAACTCGATCCGCCGTTCTCTACATGTCGCGATTGGTGTTCGCCCTAGCAACACAAACCACCGACTGAGCAAGCCACCACCAGCCAATCTCCGTGAATCACCACAGGAACCCTCTCCATTATCCACACAAAACGTGGAGTTGGTCCTGCAGTCGTTACAACGCAGATGGGATTCGGAAGTTGCTCGTCTCCGCCGGTACCTCCTACGGAATTACAACATCGCACACGGCATCGAAGACAGCGACACCGACGATGCAGCCAGTGACGGCCGACCTGCAACAGCAGCAAGCCTGGGAACGATGCTTGAGAACCTGAAATTGGAAGTTGCCGTATCAGCGGATGAGATCCACGCATCTCCGCCCGACCACGCATCTTCAATCCACCTCCGCACAGAATCTCAAGACAGCCAACCAGAGCTCAAAATCCCACCTAGGAATCTCCGGAAGAAAAGCGCTCCAAATCTACGCTCTCCACCCACTCGCGCCTCCCAAATCCTCCCCCTAGAGTTTGGCTCATTCAGCCCATCAGCCACCCGTGTGGCTCTCCCCGTCCCTGCTGTTCCCACCGCAGTGACCAAGGCGAGTAGTGTCCGCAGCGTACGCAGCTCAAGCACGAACTCAACTGGCACCGGCAGCGCGCGCAGCACCTACGGTAACGCTTCGTCTGCTCTGCGAGGATTCCTTCGAGGCAACGCTTTGAAAGAACGTCCACGAGTCGAGGCCGTACGTCCCGTTTGCGTCTCAAACGATGAGGCACCACAGCTGGACTGGGCACCGCCTAAGCTCGACTTGGAGGAGCTTGAATAGCATCTGACGTGTACATAGCTGTACATATTCCCCTCCCCTTTCACCCGCCATATGAATATCCCGATTCTATATAGGTCTACCCTCGAGTGCACACACCTCGTCCCCCACGAATCCTACCATTTCTGCATCACAGACCCGTCTTTAGGCATTGACCAAGACACTGATACCCATTTCCTATTACTTTCATCCTCTGGGGCGTTTGCTATTCTATTCTTCTTTTTGATTTTGGCTTTGGCGCTCCGCCTAGATTATTTTTGGCGTTGGCATCCAGCAGCGTGGCGTTTTTTGCTTTTCATTTTCATTCAAACTGTCTATCTCCTTGAATCGGAGACCGGAGTGGCTGATGAACCTTTCAATGTGATCCTGAATACCTTATGGACTGATGTGGATGTGGTTCTCTCTTGTGTGCATTGCCCTGACACTGGGTTTGGGTTTGAAGGGGTAATTTATAATTCTTGACTAGATCGGGTCGGTGCTCAGTGCTTACGCAACATTTGATCTTGGACTCTTTGTGCTTCGCTCTAAACTTGTAGGTCTAAATGTAGAAGAATGTTCTAATCCCATTCCAAGGGATCAGTATCTAGAATTCCACTTCTTGACACTGTCCACTGGGCGCATTCTAAGAGAAATGACTCTAGAATACGTTAGCTTTTCTGAAGTGGCTATATCAGTCCAGGAATGAGACAGCTTCTCGAGCCTAAGCCCATACTATTAGACATGGAGAATGCTTCTGGAAAATGGAGCTTGAGCTTGAGCCAACCACCCCAAATCAGACCAACAACTTGGTCTTAGTCTCTTTCTATCGAGGCACCTTGATCAGACTTCACCTCACTCCCCGTTCAACTCTGCGACTACTTCAATCACTTACTCATCTCCTGCATCGGCCAGGTTTTCGAATGTAGAATTTTTTAGCGACAAGCCACTCTTCCTCCTCTCTAGTCTGCAGATCGAACATGAATATCAGTCCTACGTACTAAGCAGACTATATCCTAGAACCGAAGTTATACAATTTCATAAAAAGAACCAATCTTCGGCCTCGCGATCCCAGCCTTCAAAGCCGTCGTCAAAGCCCCCATCACCCAAACAATCCTTAAACCTCGTTCGCCATCTTGACCAACAGTCTGCTCCCAGATCGAGACCACTGCTTTACAGTGCCAACGTAGATCTCGTTAGTCCAACTCGACCCTGCTCGTGTTCGAGTGATGATTCGTGTATAGCGGCGCTGTTTCCCGCCTCGGAGACGATCTGATGTCTGTAAATCAGACGTTTACGAAACGTCGGGGTGTGTTGAATCGTGTGACGTGTAGGTTTATTATGGCGATTGCTAGATGTTCTTGTATGGTGAAGGGGAGGAGGCATATATGTTTAATGTCATAGAGAGGCATTATGGATATGATATGAGAGTATTCTGTTGAAAATGGATATGGGGTTTTGCAGAGTGTCCAGTGTGTCGAAGTTTGTGACCCCGCAATTCTGCTTCGTAAGCTCTTGGAGGGAAAGGTCACTTGTTGGCCGAATGGAAATAGTATGAATTAGCAACACTATCACTGTCAATCTTACAGGTTCTCTGGTCTAAGATAATGAGTAGTCTCTATGTTGCAACTTGGATGGGGAGCCAGGGCTGGTGATATCACGTGGTGGTTGAAACTATAAAAATATTTACATCCATCGAGTGAGATGGAAACCCTTATGCGAAGAATTGGTACAATCAGGTGTGGAATCGGTGTTAGGAACAAAAGGCCTTATCATGTGCGATGCAAGAGACGAGTTGATATCAGTTCCCCACAACTCCCTAGAAAATTCATTATACACGGCCCCCATGGGCCAACAGTCAAACCCCGTAAATACAATGCAAGGGAATCGCGTCTAATGTACATGTACAGAGAATGGAATGAAAGACAGCCATCTCAAATCAATATGCCAGAATCATGAATATAAACATCCCACCAGGGCATGTTCACGTTGATTCTTCTCCCAAAACAACAATACCACGCTCCTTGTCCAGCTTGTTCTCTTCCTTGCGGAACCGTCGGCCCTGTTTCGCAATTGCGCGGAGCTTGCGAATGTACTGACTGTTCGAAGAGTCTTGTGATTCGTCCTCGCCCCGGCCGGCCAGTTCCCTTTGTCGCCGCGCTTGACACATCCTGTAGAGCGTACGGCCTTGTGTCGGGGAGAGTTCGCTCATCTCGTACTCGAGAGACCAGGTGTCGCCGGCTGTGAAGTTCACGGGTCGCTCAACGTAGGCGTCATTTACCTTGTTGCGGACAGTAAGGGCAAAAGCGAGGAGATTGTCGTCGGCATCTGGTGATCCCTTATCCTCCTCGGCAATTTCCTCGACAGGCTCAGGGGTAGGCACGTCAAGGTCGGAGTCGTCCTCGCTCACTTCAAGGTTCAAGAGGCGTTGCTGATATTCGTCGATGGCGGCCTTATTCTTTTCTTGAATGGCTCTGATCTCGTCGTGCGTGACGGGCTCGGCGAACACGTACATGAATGGTGTCACTGCGTCCCGGGTCTCGAAATGGAAGCGGAGGGACTTCTCGGGGAATCGCTCAGTTGCTTTATCAAGGATTTTTTGCCACAAGCCGAGACTCAGTTGGAACTCGGCATCTCCGAGGGCTGTGTCGTATTGGCCGTGTAGAGCTTGGTCCATCTCAGGAAGACTGATGTACTGGAAGCCGAAAATGCGCTCGACATTGTGAAAGGCGACGAAGATACCGTCCATGCGGCCGATACGTACTTGCAGGGAGTACTTGAGGAATGCGGCGCGAATCATGTCAAAGAATTCGCGCTCGTAAGACTCAAAGGCACCGAATCGGTCCTTGATCTCATAGCCGAGGCCGTGCTCGAAGTTCTTTGCATCCTGACGGATCGAGACCACAGCTCGGGTCTTCAGATCAAACATGCCTGTTCCTGGGAGGCGGTGATCATATGCGTCCAGCTGGGACCGCATGATGAAGTTGCCGTAGCTGGAGAAGTGGTAGGATTCAGGAATGGCCTCTTCCTCTGCCGCGGAGATTTTGTTCTCATGACTTCGTCGATAACGCTCGAAATCTTCCTTCGGCAGAGTGAGCAGCTTCTCTAAAGACTTTCCGAGATTCATGAGAATATTGGCGTGATCGAACTCTTTGTCTGCGTCAATCGCGTACACTCCATCCTGATAGTGAAGGAACATAGCGGCGGGTGCACGTAGCAGACGAGTAAAGGTCGTCAATGTTTCTGGGAAGCCGCGAGACACTGTCTTCGTGTCCACGGGCCGCCACGAGGACAGAAGGTAATGGAAGTGGGAAAGCACCGAAGTCATACTGGAAGAAGACCCAACGTACTTCTTCTTCTCTTTGACCGCGATATTGCGGAGGGTTTCATCCTTGGATGAGGTGATATAATCCTTGAGGGTATTGAAGTCGAATTCTGTCACAGGCATGATTTTACCCAGGTAGGGATCAAAATTATAGACGCGCGATCGAGGATCTCTTAGTTGGTAGACACCGGGACTTTCTTGGTTAGAGGATTGAAAGATGAGAGGTAATGACGGACTTACTTAAAAAGCACTCGATCAAGTCCAAATGACAAACGAGGGACGGGGGCTGTTCCGTAATCCAGTGCTTCGAGTTGTTAGCTGTTACTCAGTGTAGTCACAGGGAAAAACCTACCCATCACATCGCCATCCTTATGCTCTATCGAACCGGTAGTCTTTTCGAGCACGAAATTTTTAACATGCGTAAGCTTGCGCTTGGGTTCGTCTGGATTCTTCTCTTTTTGAGTCTTCTTGATCCGCTCCTCAAGCATTTTGGTCACTGGCTTGGACGGTGTTTCTTTCTTGTGCGCATCATTCTTATTTTCAGATTTTTTGGAGGTCGCTTCCGATTGCTTCTTGTCGAGTTCGCTTTTGGCTTTCAATTGTTCCAGCTTCCTCTGCATCTTGGTCTTTTGGGATGACCGGCGATCTCTGAGTCTCTTCGTATGCTCGACATTTGAAGATTCTGGCGGCGAAGTCGCATCGTCTTTCGAGGCGAGATTGGAGTGCGCATCGCTCTGATTCTCAGTCAGTACTATCATCCACGCTACCACAAAGGCGATTCTTGATAAGCGGCACTGTACCTCTGTGGCCAAGCCCCCATCCTGATTTGAGGTGGAAGAAAGCGGCGCGTTGTCCGATTTGCTCTCAGATGTTCCATTGCTGGCTTCAATGCGCAGGAAAGGTCGGGCGTGGAATTGACGTAACCTGGACGGCGCGACAAAGCGGTGGCTCAAGCAGGAGAGGCACACATGGTCCCGGAGAGGGTCTGAAGCAGACCGAAGAGAGGTCCGAAACATACCACCTGACTAGAAAGCAAAAAAGAAACAAGGAATGAAAGAAATCTTTCCAACTTCCCGAGACGTGACAGGAGTCCGAGTCGGCGGAGCGTCGCGCGGCGCTGTTTTTTCTGCCATATCCCACCGCTCCGATAAGGCTGTAAGGCATTCAGGATCTACATACAGCACAACGATTGTAGTTGAAGCATGAAAATTGACACATGTTTCATGAGATTGAGCGAATTTGTTAAACTCTCAGCGATCTTTTTCATCTCTGGTCTCGAGTTCGGGGTATCCCTCTGACTTTGAGCTACCAATCTGCTCCTGTAAAGCCCTTAGCTAGAGCCTTTCCCAGTAAAAATCCGCACAATTGGTAAGGCTCCATAGTCTGCAATTGACGATATCATGTTGCCTCTTCAATTCTGATACAGAAATTGATCTACAGCCTTCATAACACGTCCGGAGGTGTAGCATGAGTCTATTCCAATTTACCTCCACGGCCTCCGATCCCCGGAGAAACACCGCCGCCGGCAGAAAAAAAAAGTTATCAGCGCTGCATCAAACTCCACGATTCCTCACCCACTCTTTACGCAGTTGCTTCTCAATTTTCTCGGCGAGGTGAGTCGATTCATGCCCTAAGCTTTCCCATTGGGTGTGAAAAATACCGCTCTCCATCCACCCATCCCACCTCCACCCTCAAATTCTGTCGGAGGGGCATACCCCGCGGAAGACTCACACAGTCACTAACTTCACCAGTCGCTCGAGACACTGCTCCCCACCATGGCCCAAGATCAGTTGCGCGTCCTCATTGTTGGCAATGGCGGCCGTGAGCATGCTCTTGCTTGGAAGTTGAGCCAGTCGCCCCTCGTCGACATTGTCTACGTCGCTCCCGGAAATGGTGGTACTGGTATGGGTGCTGACAAGAAGATCGCCAATGCCAACGTCAAGGGTGATGACTACCCTGGATTGGTGGCATTCGCTCAGCAGAATCAGGTCAACCTTGTTGTTCCTGGTCCTGAAGCCCCTCTTGTCGATGGTATCCAGGGTTACTTCCAGGCTGGTAATTCAATCTATTCGTTCCGATCTCCGCGCAAATTGCTAAGCCAATTCTTTCAATCACAGTTGGCATCCGATGCTTCGGTCCTTCCAAGGCTGCTGCTCGCATGGAGGGCTCCAAGACTTTCTCCAAGGACTTCATGCACCGCCACCAGATTCCCACCGCTGCCTTCGGAAATTTCAAGGACTACGAGTCCGCCCGCCAGTACCTCGACTGCGTTTCCCACAACGTCGTGATCAAGGCCGATGGTCTTGCCGGTGGTAAGGGTGTTGTCATCCCCACTACTAAGGAGGAGGCGCACCAGGCGCTGAAGGAGATGATGGTGGACCATCAGTTCGGCAGCGCGGGTGACGAGGTCGTCATCGAGGAGTACCTGGAGGGTGATGAGTTGAGCATTCTCACTTTCAGTGATGGCTACACCATTCGCTCCCTCCCTCCTGCACAGGACCACAAGCGTATCTTTGACGGGGACAAGGGTCCTAACACTGGTGGCATGGGCTGCTATGCTCCTACTCGTATTGCTCCCAAGGAGGTGCGCGATGAGATCGACCGCACCATCATCCAACCCTCAATTGATGGTATGCGTCGGGATGGTATGCCCTTCGTTGGCATCCTGTTCACTGGTCTTATGATGACCAAGAACGGCCCCAAGGTTCTCGAGTACAATGTCCGTGGTGGTGACCCCGAGACACAGACCCTGCTGCCTCTGTTGAGCGAGGATACCGATCTGGCTCAGATCATGGTTGCTTGTACCGAGCACTGGCTCGACGGTGTCACCGTTAAGGTCGAGGAGAAGTACTCGACCACCGTCGTCGCCGTCGCCGGTGGTTACCCTGGCTCCTACGCTAAGGGCAAGGTCATCACTTTGGACCCTACCCCCGCGGGCTCTCTCATCTTCCATGCCGGTACCACTATCTCCGGAGGCGAGCTTCAGACAAATGGCGGCCGTGTCATCGCTGCCACTGCGACTGCCTCGACTCTCGAGGAGGCCGTCTCCAAGAGCTACGAGGGCATCGCCACCATCCACTTCGATGATATGTTCTTCCGCAAGGACATTGCCCACCGTGCGTTCCGCCAAACTGCCGACACCTCGCTCACGTACGCCGCCGCTGGTGTCTCTATCGACGCTGGAAATGAGCTGGTCAACCGCATTAAGAGCTCCGTCGCCCGCACCAAGCGCCCTGGTACTGACGCCGTCATCGGTGGCTTCGGTGGTCTCTTCTCTCTGCCCGCCGCCAACTCCGTTTACCACCCTCACTCTCCCACCCTCATCGGAGCCATCGATGGTGTAGGTACCAAGCTCAAGATTGCTCACACTGTGGGCATCCACGACACCGTTGGTGTTGACCTCGTCGCCATGAACGTCAACGACCTCGTCGTCCAGGGTGCTGAGCCTCTCTTCTTCCTCGACTGCTACTCCTGCGGCCACCTCGACGTCCCCACAGCCACAGCCTTCGTCACCGGTGTCGCAGACGGCTGTGTCCAAGCAGGCTGTGCCCTGATCGGTGGTGAAACCGCTGAGATGCCCGGTCTATTCATCGATGACACCTACGACGCCGTCGGTGCCGCCGTCGGCGCCATCAACACTACCGGCCCCAACGCCCGCCCTATCCTGCCCTACACCGACGCCATGCTCCCCGGTGACGTCTTGCTGGCCCTCGGCTCCTCAGGCCCTCACTCAAACGGCTACTCGCTCGTTCGCAAGATTGTCGACCGCGCCGGCCTGTCCTACACCGACAAGGCCCCCTTCACCGTCCCCGGCCTACCCGAGGACGTTTCCCTCGGCCGTGCTCTCCTCACCCCGACCCGCATCTACGTCAAGTCCATCTTGGCCGCTCTCGCCGCTCACCCCGCCGCTATCAAGGGTCTCGCCCATATCACCGGTGGTGGTCTGGTCGAGAACGTCCCCCGTATGCTGCCGAAGACTCTGTCCGCGCATATTGACGTCCGCACCTGGGCTCAGCCCTCCGTCTTCCAATGGCTTCAGCGCGCTGGTAACGTCTCGGCTGCCGAGATGGCTCGTGCCTTCAACTGCGGTGTTGGTATGATCATCGCTGTCGACCCTGCTTCGGAGGCTGCTGTTCGTCAGAGCTTCGAGGCTGCGGGTGAGGCTGTTTACCGCATTGGTGAGCTGCAGGCTCGTGCTGAGGATGAGGGCTGTGTCCTCTCTGGTCTTGAGTCTTGGGCTTAGATGTGACATTTGGTCTGTGACTCGCTACTTGTTCTCGTTCTTGTTCCATCTTTCTTTCTTATTTTTAACTTTGGTTTACGTTTTATACAAAAGGGGGCTTGTGAGTCCTGGAATGACTGATGCTGATCCTGTATGATGGATAAATGATATATACTCCCGCACTCTGAGCAATGAAGATTACACTTGAGTCTTTTTCTTGATTTAGCCTTGTATTTTGGATAGGACAGTAGTTTCCTTGAGTTAGCATGGCCCGAGGGACTTAAAACGCTCGGCGTCGGCCGAAGATGTATATCTGTAACATATTTCTGCCCCACTGGGTTTCCTCTGGATGTTTCAGACAAACCTCTGCGAATAATTGGAAGCGCCTAATTGGTTAAGCGACAAGAGTGGTCTTTCGATCACGAGGGGACACTTCTATTTCGACGTCAGTTCTATGATTTCATCTGCAGCTACTGACTCCATGGGAATAGGGCTACTCTACGAGCTTCAAGTGGGGTCTACAACTTGAACAGAATGACACGACTCAACAATTTCGAAGATAGTAAGGCTAGAACAGAAAAAGGAACGCGAACCGGTGCCAACTCCATGTACACATCCTCACCTACACCGTGTCGCCTCGGCGTGTGCGCCCTGGAGGTCGGCGGGGGTTTGGAGATTTAAAGAGTGGCTCGAGGTGGACTCGCAAAGAAACAAAAGACGAGAAAAGAAAACAAGGACCGACTCTATTCCACTAAAATCGAGGATTTCCATTTTCAGGCTATTCGCTGGATAATGCGAGTCCCACAACGCTTGCGATCCACCAGTGCCTCCATCCTGCCTTTTAATACACCAGGAAAGTAAGAGCGAAGACGATCAACAAAGCGTAGAAGCTTAGAAGCACTTGCGGTGGACGATGGAAGGACCACTCTCGTCGTACTCCTGCTTGGAGATCCACATCTGCTGGAAGGTAGACAGGGAGGCGAGAATGGATCCACCGATCCAGACGGAGTACTTGCGCTCCGGGGGAGCGATGATCTTAACCTTCATGGAAGAAGGAGCAAGAGCAGTGATCTCCTTCTGCATACGGTCGGAGATACCGGGGTACATGGTGGTACCACCAGACTGGGGGGAGGTCAGTATTTGATGCGTGAATGCTAAGGATAGAGAAGGGGGGGAAGACGTACCATGACAATGTTGCCGTACAGATCCTTACGAACATCAACATCACACTTCATGATGGAGTTGAAGGTAGTGACGTGAATACCACCAGACTCAAGACCCAGAACGTTGGGCTGGAACAGAGCCTCAGGAGCACGGAAGCGCTCGTTACCAATGGTGATGACCTGTCCATCGGGAAGCTCGTAAGACTTCTCGAGGCTGGAGGACTGAGAAGCGGTCTGGATCTCCTGCTCGAAGTCGAGGGCGACGTAGCAGAGCTTCTCCTTGATGTCACGGACGATTTCACGCTCGGCAGTGGTAGAGAAAGTGTAACCACGCTCAGCCAGAATCTTCATCAGGTAGTCGGTAAGATCACGGCCAGCCATGTCAATACGCGAGATAGCGTGGGGAAGGGAGAAACCCTCGTAGATAGGGACAACGTGGGTAACACCGTCACCGGAGTCAAGGACGATACCGGTGGTACGACCGGAAGCGTACAGGGAGAGAACGGCCTGGATGGAGACGTAGAAGGCGGGGGCGTTGAAGGTCTCGAAGACAATCTGGGTCATCTTCTCACGGTTGGACTTGGGGTTAATGGGAGCCTCAGTCAAGAGGATGGGGTGCTCCTCGGGAGCCACGCGGAGCTCGTTGTAGAAGGTGTGGTGCCAAATCTTCTCCATGTCGTCCCAGTTGGTGACAACACCGTGCTCGATGGGGTAGCGCAGAGTCAGAATACCACGCTTGGACTGAGCCTCATCACCGACGTAGGAGTCCTTCTGGCCCATACCAATCATGATACTGTGCGCATGTTAGTTTCTGGGAGGGCTTCTATCAAAGTTGCCATCCATTCGTTGATGGAGAGTCAAGATGGGGGGGGGGGGGTGGAATTTACCCATGGTGACGGGGACGACCGACAATGGAGGCTAATCAAGTGGAGTCAGTAAAATTTAACATTTCCAGCAAAAGAGTGAACAGCAGAGCCGCATAAAGGGCCAAAAAAGCACGAGGTGGTTGACTACCCACGCAAGGGCGGGAGTCCGTGCCAGGAGGAGGGGTGTCGGGTTCTGTGGGGTTGCACTTACGGAAGACAGCTCGAGGTGCGTCGTCACCGGCGAAACCGGCCTTACACATACCCGAACTGAGACAATTCATCAGTAAATGGATTCCTCGATCATTGGCATTCTGGTCTGCCCAGCGCCCACGCTGGGAGTGGTCTGGGAGGCGATTGGGGACTCAATTTGCGGTAGCGGCGGATAGGGGGGAGGGAGGGAGATGACAGATGGACCGCGACCGAAATGACCAGGTCGAGCTCCCAGGCGAATCGCAATGCATCACGTACCCATTGTCGATAACGAGAGCAGCAACTTCCTCTGTAGGAGAAGCAATGAATTAGCCACGAATCCGGGATGTCGGGGTGAGCGGCTCCCGGTCAGCTTGGTTAGGCTTCCCCCAGCTCTGGAAGAGGGGGTGGGAGAAGCCACATCCAAGTAATTAAGGGAGCCACAACGGTAGAGATCACGTACCTTCCATGGTGAATGAAAGTAAGACTAAAGGGAGATGGAAAAGTTATAGAGATGGGGAGAGAGAGTTAGGGGAGAGAAGAGAAGGAAGGGAGAAGTGGAGAGGAGGGGAGGGTTTGTGATGGTTGGGACGTGGACCTGGTGTGTGCGCCTGGGTCTCGACTAACCAACTCCTTCCCCCCTCCCCGATCGACCGCCTCTACTTTATAAACTTCATTCCGAGGCAGGAATGTCCGATCATCTTTATTTTACAATGCAATTGCGCATCCTCGTGGGGCACAGGGTCCTGCCGCCTCAATTCCTACTGGGCAGGGTGCATCCCATAGCGCTGACGCAACTACGCGGCCTCGACATCATGACCTTGGCGCCTATCACGAAGAAGATGGAGCTTAGATGCCTAAATCGACGTCTAGAATGTCCAATGTCCAACTAGATACGTTCCCAAGTGTGTTCACATGTGGCGGGGGGACGTTAAAACCGGGAAAGCAGGTCACTTCTAAGTATAGAACCCCTCCTTTCGCAGCCGCTATAGGCCACGTAAGGTCAAGAGAGGTACTTTAAGGGTACCAGCACGCTGCATACATCAGACCAGACATGTGGTCTTTTGAGACATAGAATATCATGACGGTTGGCACAGTGTATGTGCTGAATGCATTTACTGCCCTAACCTAGGGTGTCCATAAGGCTACCTTGGTACCTTGCACGGTACACGCAATCTGTCTACCGCCATTTCGAAAAAGGTGGCAGTGTCGGAAGACGGTGTGGAAAGTCACGTGCTGGAACCCGCTGGGTGCCGCACGAAGCATCTCGATTCTGTGATTATGTCATACGGTGTAATTTCAGTGTCCCTCATATATCTACGGAGCCGCACTCTTGCATTCGGTTCCTCGACTGCCGCTATACCTTCCCAATTTACTCAATATGGACCCTTCAATGAACAAGCTCCTTAAGTGGAGTGTTACCAACTCCCAGCAGCAAACCGAAGATGGCACCGTCACTGCTCCTAACCCCACCGACCAGCCCCGCGGCAATCTGACTCCGGACATGATCAATGCCCTATTTGGCGGTCCTACCGAGGCTGACCTCATGAAGGCTGCCATGGAGGTCTTACACTCCGACGAGTCCGACCTCGAGAACAAGCTCATCGCCTTTGACAACTTCGAACAGCTGATTGAGGGCATCGACAACGCCAACAACCTCGAGCCCTTGGGTCTCTGGACCCCATTGGTTCAGCTCCTCAAGCACGAGGAGCCTGACTTGCGCCGATACGCAGCCTGGTGTATCGGCACTGCCGTACAGAACAATGAGAAGGCGCAAGATAAGGTATGTACCCCTGGAACCCCAGCATCTGGCGTAAATGGTTGGGATTGAAACTAACATCTCTGCGCAGCTTGTCGTCTTGAATGCTATTCCTACTCTTGCCAACATGGCCATTGCCGACCCCAACGCTCTCGCGCGCAAGAAGTCGATCTATGCGCTCTCCTCTGCCGTGCGCAACTACCAGCCTGCTTTGAATGAATTGGTTAAGGCTCTTCCCCAGGGTTACTCCGCCGAGAAGGTCGACTCGGGCGATATGGAGGCAGTGGATGCTATTATGGACAAGCTGCGAGAGACTCCCGTCAGCTCTGAGTGAATTGCTGTTGGGCAGTAAAATGATGTTCTATGACATACCTCTCCGATGCTGCATTACAGCATGTGAGGAGAACGATGCGCTGGAATAACCTCAACGCGGTATCTTGGCGCCGGGGATACTGCGCCGGTGCAAAGAGCACCAGTGGCTCGAGCCACTTGGCCGTTGACCAACGGACTGGCTTCGACAAGTCGACCCGATTCACGCACCACGATTCGAGTGACGTTCTTGCATCGCGGCACTGAACAAGGCGGATCTATCTCGCCCACATGGTCCCGCGTAACAATTCGTCACGCAAGCCTAATTCTAGGCAGGAAAAGTTTGAATTCTGAATTGAAATATACCCCAGGACTCAGGTCCCACCAATACATGAACATTATAATTTGTCATGGAAGTTGCCTTGAATAATTGTGTATACCTAGAATCATCTGCATAAGTAGCTCAAGTCTGTTGAAACCTAGAAAGTAAATCTCGCTGCCTGAACCGCACAGTTACGGACAACGTAACATGGATGATGACGACGACAAACCTTGACACCAACAGAAAGCAAAGGCAGAAGCATTCCCCCGGACATCCGCAACTCTGGAAATTCCCCCTAAGATCCGAAATTTGAACCGATTCGTATTCGTAAGTGTGGTGGACACCCCCATGCACAACAGACTTGCCCCAAAACATTCGCTACAATCTCTCCGCCGGCCCGACATTTCCCCGAGAAGCCATCGTCATCCTCGCGCCCAACGACCATCACATCGAACAAACCACATAAAACCATGGACGTCTCAAGCAACCGTCTCTTCCGCTTCTCCAAGCCAGAATGGCTCAACAACGCCGCCGTCCGTAACGCAGGCGTCTACACCTCCGGCGCCCTGGTAAGTCCAGTCCAGTCTCCAACCCTCCAACCTCCCAAGTCGCATGCAGCTCCCTAATCACAGCCCCCACCTCGTCCACTTCCTTTTCGGCGGAAGCTAATCATTCGTGTGTGATATACAGTTCGCCGCGGGCTTCTTCTTCCTCGTGGACGTCGCCGCCTTCTCGCATAGCCCCCTCAATGGCTCAGACGTGCATATCAAGTTCGTGGACTGGATCCCCGGCATCTGTTCCGCACTGGGCATGCTGGTGATCAACTCGATTGAGAAATCGAGGTTGCAGGCCGATAGTTTCAGCTATTCGGGGACGGGCGTTGCGTGGAAGGCGCGATTTGTGTTATTCCTTGGCTTTGCGCTTTTGGCGGGTGGTCTTGCTGGGAGTGTCGTACGTATATACCTTTCCTTTACCCTGCATTGAATCTTCCAATCTGGGTCTGGAGCATTGTTGAGAATTGAGTGGCTAATGCGAAGCGAACTAGACTGTCATGGTTCTCAAATACCTTATCAAGGATTATCCGATTCAGACGCTCTACTTCGGTATCGCGAATGTGGTTGCGAATGGACTGGTCATGATGAGTTCGGTTGTTCTCTGGGTGTCGCAGAATATTGAGGATGACTACACTTACAACCTGGCTCTATGATTATTCTTCCCGGTGCCAAACCGATACCCTAAATTAGAAATGTTTATGGCGGAAGGATTGGCTTTGTATTTTATGCGCTGATGATTTTGGCTTGGGCATTCGCATCTGGCTCAAGGGCTAGGACTTAGCGTCTTCAAATTGCTTTCGACTTGTTCTTTGAACTAGAGATCTGTAGATTGAGTTTTATTGTAAGTTGCAATGTCAAGATGCAATGTGGAGACTCAAAATGATGTGATTGCGCTTCGTGACGGTATGTTGTGTCGAAAATGTGAAATCCATCCCATGTAGTCCCTGAGCGCCCTGAAAACAGAAGTACCATTAATCCGTAAAGTCGTAACATGGCGTTATAAGGATCCATGCATATTGCCTTAGTGATCCTCGCAAAAAAGTCTTAATAGCTCGTCGATGCAAGTCATGGTTTTGTTCTTCTCCAGTAAGAGAGGCGGTGATCCCGCTGACTCTTTAAGATACTTGCGCAGTGCAAAGGCTGCTGCTTTGTAGGTTGCATGGTACATAGATTTGAACTCATCGTCGTCTGCTGAAGCGCCTGGTGCTGGCGTCTCAGCGCGCAATGTCTCTGGCCCCGGCGTTGCATTTGAAGTTTCAGGATCGTCGCCAGAAGCGGGTTTAGTTGAAGCCCGAGTATTGGAGCGATGGAAACCATAAAGACGCATGGCTGTGAGGATGGTCCTCGTAATAAGATTCTTATTCTCTGCAATTACGGCTTCCATGCTTTTGGGTGGGGACTTCGGCATCGCTGTATCTTCGAGGGAGACGGAAAGTCCCGATGGAATTTGGGTCTGCTGCAGCCCGCGACGTGAGGTGGAGTCGAGGAATGGGTTTGGTGTTGGTGCTCGCTTTTGCGGGTCGGCGGTTACACCTGGAGTTCCACGTACGCCGAGTCTGCTACCTGGACGGTGCACGTTGGCACCGAGGGATACAGAGCGTGACCTGTGTGCAGCAACTCGGTCCAGTGATGGAAGACTCGGTGTGTCGTCTTCGGGCTCGCGCTTCACGCGAAGAGATTGGAGGTTCTGTGAAGATGATGATGGTCGTGATGTTGCCATTAGTTGGGAGACGGCCTCGCCGCCTCGTTGCCGAACACGCCGGTGATGCTGTGCTGCGACCTCGAAGAGAGTCGCGACTCGTTTCCTCTTAGGGCTGGGCGAGCTGATGTCTGGAAGGAACTCGGCCTGTGTAGAAATTCCTTCGCCGTCGCAGCTTTGTGGTGGTGACGGGAAGGCTTGTGCTTGAGCGAGAAGAGAGGTGGAGAGTGGTGCTGCGTAAATTCTGAGTTCATACGGTTTTCTGGGTGGTGGATTCACTTGGCCATTGATCTCAGATGGTGACGAATGTGGTGGAGTGGGTGGGCGTGCACAAGATGTTGCGCTGGATAACACGCCATAAATCAAGAGATCCGACGTGACTACGCCAGCATTTTTGACAGAAGTACCGCCTACGCTAAGCAGCAGGCCGGTTGGACACTGTAATGGCTGGTGGAGGTCTAACTCGTCCCCGTCTGGCCATATAGCGCCGGTGAGCTTGGTCTGAAGCCATTGTGATGTGCCCGCGTGAGATGTATGTAACTCGAGATTGGGACCCGCTCGCGCGTGTAAAGGGACCAAAGACGGATTCACAAAACTGCGTAAAGAGAGATTTGAGCTTTTGGGGATATCGCATGGCCAGTGGGAGGTCGGATCGACCAAACGGATCCCTACAATGGTCAGCAAGAAGCGCAAGCTATCGAGAGGCGTTGGTGGTAATACCATTCAGTTGTCGGTCGGAACCTAAAGAAACAGACCCTGTCCAGACATTCATAATTGACAGTTCGACAGCAGAAGCGTCTCACATGGTCATTGCATTTTTGGTGTTGTCGAAGTGGGTGATCCGCAATTACGTCTATGGACACCCGCGGGACGCGCACTAGATTCGCGCGCGAGATCACGTGAGCCATATCTAATTTCAAGAATGCCACAAATTTTGTTTAACGTTGATGGTTTGCGAGTCGAAATAATCGAAAAATATCTATATATACACTGTGTTCAACGTACACCCAGAGTATCATAGCCAATGAGATGCGAAAGCCATTGAGCGTAATGGACGCCGTGATGCTTTCCCAACCATTTGTCTGAAACATGTCGTGCAAAGGAGAAACCAAGCTTGTCGAAAATTAGATGTCATCATGAAAGCAATTTTGACGTCTGGAGGAATCCTAAGAACAGCTGAGCAAGTCAAGGGACTACCACCAGCGATTCACTTGCAATCAGAACTCCTCCTGCTCTTGGAAGAACATGGAGAAGCTGATGATCGTTCCGTAGATCAAGAGACCACCGCAGATCGACATGATCATGGCCGGGAGGCCGATTTCTCCGCTGTGGGCCAAGATGGCGGGAAGTGCTAGAGAAGAGGGGCTGTCAGCGAATCCAGGCTTGTGACAGAGTGTAACAGTGTAACCAGCGACCAAAGACCCAAGGCAAATTTGATTATCCGGAAAGAAACATGTTCCATCGTGTAGGCCCAGAATTAGATGTGGGAAGTGTATATGCGGGGAAAGGCATCGCAACGGGTCGCAACGGGACGAAACTCACCAATTCCAGTGAGGACCAGGAAACCAGTCATAAAACGCCCAAAATCCATCGCGGAGTTGCTCGAGCTGTCCATGAAGTCATCTGGGTTCGCAACTCGTCCGCAGATCCAATTGGGAAGCGGCGCAATGATATAGACGGCGACGACCAGGAGCGGCCAGTACTTGTGCCAAAGGGCGGAGGAGAGAATAACGAGCAGGAATCCAATTGCGAGCACCTAAAAGACAGTAAGTCTATATCCCCAGCCCAGCGTGTGGGCTTGACATGAGCACGTACAAACGAAAGCGCGATGATGGTCTTGAGTCCAGCCGCCATGATTGCGGAGTCGCCAAAGCTGCGGGACAAGAAGGAGACGTGAATGGTACGACACAGTATTCCGACGAGAGAATAATTTGTAGCGCAGGGATGGTAGTCCCAGAGGGATCGAGAAGAGGGAGCTTGGAGGTATTGCGAGGAATGGGTGACGTTGGCGCCTGACGGTCACTGGGTGTGGTTGCCTCAGGCTGTCGGAGCTCATGCTTTACACCGCGTCACCTTCACCTGCCTGCTCCAGCTTCCCCATCTCTGCTCCGGGCTCCCATCTTGATTGTCTGCTTTTTCATTTCTTTGCCTGACCGAGTCGATATCCAACATCATATTTTCGGGTCTGATTCGTCTCGACCTTCGCCATGTTCAGAAACAACTACGACAACGATGCCGTCACCTTGTAAGATCTCCCCCGATCCCGCCAAGGACACATCCTAATTCAAGTCCCATTAGCTCCCCACAAGGCCGGATATTTCAAGTTGAATATGCCCAAGAAGCCGTGAAGCAAGGTTCCGTCGTCGTGGGATTGGTGAATAAGACACATGCCGTCCTGGTCGGCTTGAAGGTTCGCTCTACCCCAAACACAAGAAACATATCAGAATTGAGCTAAAAGCGCCACTATCCTTCCAGCGCAACGCAGAAGAACTCTCATCCTACCAGAAGAAGATCATTGAGATCGACTCGCACATGGCCATTGCCATTGCAGGCCTAGCCTCCGACGCCCGCGTCCTCTCCAACTTCATGAAGCAGCAATCTCTCGGCTCCAAGATGACCTACGGCCGACCAATCCCCCTCGACCGCATCGTCTCGCAGATCGGTGACCGCGCTCAGACCAACACCCAGCACTACGGGAAACGGCCCTATGGTGTCGGCTTGCTGGTAGCCGGTGTCGATGAGGCTGGCCCGCACCTGTTCGAGTTCCAGCCTTCCGGCCTCACTCACGAGATGGTTGCTTGTGCTATCGGTGCCCGTTCGCAGATGGCCCGTACGTACCTCGAGCGTAATTTGGATAAGTTCCACGATTGCAGTCGCGATGAGTTGATCAATCACGGCCTGCGCGCGCTCAAGGAAAGTCTGAGCCAGGATAAGGAGCTTACGGTGGAAAATACCTCGATTGGTGTTGTTGGACTGGCTGGTGAGGGCGCCAAGGGTCGCTTTGAGAGCTTCAAGCTGTATGAGGGTCAGGAGACGGTACCTCTGTTGGAGGCGCTCGAGCGCTCTGAGCAGTCTGGCACAGCTGAGGATGAGACCATGGAGGATTCATAAATTTCGAAGTTTTAATGAGAGCATAGACATGAATAATTGATGCTGTGCACTGCCGTTCTATACCAGCTACCGTGGGCCTGATTCATTTGAACAATGCCTATGTTTCTTCGTCTCTATACCTCGTTAAGCCTGGTGAAGCCTCGTGAACTCCAATCTAAGGAAACCCTCACTCCTCCCCCCCAATTCAGCTGCATCCGATCACTACTACACTGATACGCCAACAGCTTAGGCCAAACCTCCGTAGGATCCTTGGCTTCACACAGGATCGACCCATTCTCCCCACTAATGAACCCCTCCGATACAGCATTCTTCACCCAACCCAACAACCCATCCCAGTACCCATCAATGTTCAATAATACCACCCCCACGCGATGAATCCCCAATTGGTTCCACGTTGTCATCTCCATCACCTCCTCAATTGTACCAAAGCCCCCAGCAAGCGAAACAAAGCCCGACCCAGGTCCTCCCTCCAGCACCTTTGTCGCCATCAGTCGCTTACGCGTGTGCATGTCCGGTACGATCGTCGTCATCCCGTATTCTGATTCCGGGATTCCTTCCTCCTCGTTTTCAGAGATTACTCGTTCCGCGGCTTTGCCTTCCCCGGTGCTGGTGTTGCCATTGGCGACACTGTGCTCGGCGGTCACGGTGGAGATCTTGACTAAGGCGCGGGGGATTATGCCGTGGACTGCCTGGGGTCCGGAGAGGGAGACGAGATTTTTGGCAATCTCACCCATAAGGCCTGTTGTGCCACCGCCGTAGACTAGTTGGACATTGTTCTTGTGAAATTCGTAGGCTAGAGTTCGTGCTGCTTCGAGGTGGACTGGGTTTTTGCCGGCTGTTGAGCCGCAGCTGGTATGCTTGTTAGCAATGGTACATTATGTCAAGGGGGGGTTCCCGGGGTTTAAAATGAACGGTCATGGTTTGGAGGGGTAGGTGTCCAGGTGTTGGAGATGTAGATTGCGGTGAGGGGAAGGGGGGCGCTTACAAGACGCAGACGATCGGGGGCTTGTCTTGAGTCATGGTGATATATAAATGACAGGGACCGTGGTCTGAATGTACTTTGACTCTGTACAGAAGGTCTTTTCAGGGGAAAGAAGATTAACAGTGGCGAGAAGTGGGTGACTCTGGACCGTGGGGTTCCGATAAGAGATAAAGAGGCACTCTTTGAGTCACGCTGGTCCATGCGACTATGTGGTTGGCTACGGTTACACCAGTCTGAAGGTGGTTGCGATTTTGATTCTCTTCTCGCTTTCAACTTGAGAATGAGCAGCCGGCGTTGCTCTGGTCATATTCCTCAAGATTCCAATTCCTAGTATGTTCATGCTAAACTCCAGAAACACCAGCATGAAACCAGCAAAATGCTCGCCCACATGTGTCATAGACTTGGTAGAAAAATGGGTATCATAGATGCGGGTCTTATTAGCTCGCAATCCGGTTCTTCTTGCGCTGCCCCTTATTCTCTCCCGAGCTCGGCGGCGAATTGCCCCTGTCCGACGCTTTCCCAGGCGTGTCCACCCTAACCTGCGGCGTAGAGGAACGTCCAGCCGGGCCAGGTGTATTGGCCGTGACACCTGGTCCAGTCCTGAGCGCGGCCTGAGATGCACCGATTGCACGGTCGTTTTCACCAGCGCGTGACATGATGAATGAGCCGGGCTCACCGACCAGTGGATTCTCGTCCATGAATTCGTCTCCATACTGTGTAAATAAATTGAACGCCTCGCCCAGGCTTCGAGTGTCCTGAAAGCTGGTGTTCGTGCTCGTAGTGACTATGCCGAGGCCTGCTTTGGCGGATGCTTGGGTGTCGGCGGTGGAGGAGGGTGGGACGTCGGGCATGGGGGTGTTTTCTTTGCTTTGTTGCGAGGCTTGAGGGCCGGGCTCTATGGCGCGGGCCATCGGTGGCATGTATGTGTGTCCGTAAGACGGTGTAAAGGAGGGCAGCGTTGACGCAGTCTTCATCAGTCGTGATAGGGATGTAACGGCTGATAGCTGTAGGAGAAATTGTGAGTGCTTTGTGAAACAATTGCGATATGGTGGGGGAAGGGGGGAGGGGCTTACAATTCGGTTTCCCACGACACTGGCAACTGATGGAGCCATGTAGATGCAATCACCAACAACGAAGTAAGTGGAGATCACTGACACCTCGTCGTCCATGCCATTGCGCTTCCGCCGGTTCTGCTTCCGGATCACCCAGACGTTGGACGGCTCATGCGCAAAGCGAGTGTCAGACTGCGCAGCGGCTTGTAGAGGATCATATGCGACAATAAATTCCAGGCCTTGCATAGTCTTCAAGCGAGCTTCGAAAGCTTCGCGCGTCTCAACGAAATGGCGGAAGGCTTCATTGTAGTTGGCTTGAATGGCTAGCGAGGCATTGTTCGAGGTAGGGTCAAAGAAAGGGGATTCGGCGAAGTAAAACAAAACTGTAACGGAGTTCAGCCTGGTTTCACGGGTCAATGGCAGCGGACTGACTGTTGTTGGAATGTAGGAAACCCCCCATCATCTGGACGTGCGGGGGAGACCGCCAGAGGATTTCCTCCATCGCTTCATGGCTGGCCATTCTGAGATCTCCGAAAATATAATTCCCAAATTCAGACCAGCTGTAACAGGGTCACTTTCGAAATGAGGGAGACTTAGAGAAAGAAAATAGTTGGAGACAGTAGAAGGGTAGATGTGAAGGCGGAGAAAAGTGATGTTTTGGTTGTTTGCATCGATCTATCTTTTATCTTTAGCTTCATTGTCTAATGTACATAAAACCCCCCAACTCCAATGCTAATGTTGAATGAAACTCTTCACTCCAGCTCATTGTTCTATTGTTGAAGATACAACGAGCTGTGCCTGTAGTGAGGATTTGCGATATATAAGAAGAAATGCGAATCATGGTGACCGGCTAGCCTCTTCACTTTCAGACGGAGCGAAGACATTGCAGACCGTGCGCAGCTTTGTCAACATCTCCTGCCATTCACCCTCAGCCGTACTGAGGGTGGTGACTGCGCCACCAGCACCGATCCTCCAAGTTTGTTGTTGACCTTGCGGCTCGGTAGTACAAGTAAATGCTGTGCGAATCAGAACCGAGAAGCTGCCACCACCGCCCAGATCTAGGTAGCCCATGACGCCGGAGTAGATGCTACGCTTCCTGTCCTCGATGTTTTGGAGATGCATACACGAGCGCTCCTTTGGTGCGCCAGTCATAGACCCCGGGGGCAGGCACCGCTGAAGAGCCGTGAGACCATGAACAGCCATGTTGGAAGACTTCAACTGAGGCATGTGTCGAACAGCGAAGCCAGTGTGATCGGGGTTAACAACACCCTTGACATGGGTAATCATCTGGTAGACTCGACCGTGGTCCTCAACTTCCAACAATTTCTCGACGTGGACACCGCCAGATCCACAGATACCATACAGATCGTGGCGAATGAGATCAGCGATCATCAGGTTCTCGGCCATTTCTTTTGTCGAGCCCAGAATCTCGCGAGCCTTCTCCATGGTCATCTCGGGTGTCTTCCGGACAGTGCCCTTCATCGGTTTCATCTCCAAAGTAGACTCTCGATCCCAATTGAGGAAGCATTCTGGACTACTGCTGACAATCTTTGTGTGTCCCAAGTCTGCAAATGCACTGAACGCGGCCGGGTTATATTTCCTCAGTTTCTTGTATAGTTTCCAAGGGAATGCAATAAGATCTTCCTCCGATGCCGGGGTCGGCAAGGTGATGGATGTCTCGGAGGTGAGACACAGCTCATATGATTCTCCGGCTGCCAGTTCTGCTTTGCAAGACTCAATCTGTCGTTTGTAAGTGGCTTCCTCTGGGAATACAATCTTCGCATCGCGGAGGATGGAGTTCAAAAAATGGGCATCCGCTTCTTGGTCGGCTTGAGAGTTGCGTGAATGCGCCTCTAAAGACTTCAATGTCTCATCAAGCCAACCAGACGGCAGGTCATCGGGCTCGCGAATAGACTGAATGATGGTGTTGCCAGTAATATTGTCGATAACGATGCTCCTGTCACACCATAGCAAGCTGACATCTGCAGGATTCTCCGAAGAATGAGTCGATGTACTCCTAGATGAATGTTCACATGAAGCGGAGACGTGATCTGATCCCTTGGGGTGAGGGAGACACGCAAGACCCAATTCGTAGGAAAAGTACCCGAGAAACCCGCCCCAGAACGGAGATTCCGGGCTACCAGAATTGACCTTTTTCATATCCATCAAATACCGCAGCGCATCCCAGAGCTGGGTCACAGTGAGCCTCTTCTCGATAGCTTTGTGCTCACCATGCAACTGACAAAGACTCAGCTGCTGGCTCTCGACACTGTATTCGAGTCTCCATGACCCCGGACTCGGGATCGATATAATGCTGTACCGCCCATTAGACTGGAACAGCACAGTTGGGGCTCCGGGCTTGTTAAAAATCTCACTGACAGCCTCCGGAGTCAGACCTCGCCCCAGAGACCGGTGTGCAGAAATAGCCCCAGTCGCCTCACTCCATTTCAGCATCTCGTAGGCGACATCTGGGAAAGCGCTCATATCATAATGAGGACTGATGACGGTTTCAGAAAGAGTCCGATAGCCCCCGCGCCCGACAACCTTGTTGAAGGTAAGAGCCATCCGCCACCAATTCTGTAGTAAAGACTTGCAAGCATCTTTCTCCGACTTGCACGATTCAGGGTGAAATTGAACACCCCAGAATGGTTTTTGACGATGGCGCACCGCCATTGGGATCTCACTAGCCGAGCCAGAAATTGGTTCAAGCGATAACCACGCTAGAAATTCGAGCTGGTCCGACGATAGGCGCTGCGAATGACTCAAAGTGTCCAAATTGGCATAGAGAGAGTGGTAGAGCGTCACTTCAATAGATGGAAGGCCCTCAAAAATATCCTTCGAATTCGTTGAGATATGCCTCACCTGGCCATGGAGAGGATACGGAAGACGGTCGATAGGCACACCATGATGCAGACATAAGCTTTGAAAGCCAAGACAGATGCCGAACACTGGGAGCAGTTCGGAGCCCTGGAGATTCCATATATCACGCATGATGCCAACATCTTTGGGCAAGTTGGGGTTTCCCGGTCCAGGGCCCAGCACAATGGCTTCATAGTGGGGTAGAAATTCGTGCATGTTTCCATCTGGCCAGCTGGAGTCGATGGTCATCACTGTGACTTTAACGCCAAGAGTCTCTTCCAGCATCGCAACGACGTTGTACGAGAATGAGTCGTATGCATCAACGTAGAGAATACTCTTCAAGGTCTTGCTTGACTGGGCGCTCTCCGACCCGTCCTCCTCCCAGCCGCCCAATAATGGCGCCATAGTGAGCTGAAATCAGCAGGACGGTATTTTGACAGTGCAAATTGATAATGAGCAATGCTACCAAGCACACTGCGTGAGATTCGGGGAATTATTTGTTCTCTTTTCGATTTTCGAGATTCCCGAGCTCATTGATCGTTCAGGTGTCGAGTGTCGAGTGTCGAGTGTCGAGAGGCGAGTGGCGATATACCCACGTCTTTGTTCCCGTTGCCGCGGATGAAGACAGATAGGGAATGTTAGTGCCGCATAGTATGTCAGATCTAGTATCTAAAGGGACAAATGCATTGTGATGGAGGTGAAAGAAAAAAAAAATTAAGGTTGAAAGGCAAGGAAAAAAGCGGGTACAGCCGGAAATCGGACGGAGCCACTTCGGGTGGCGACGCTTTTCTTTCAATGGTTCTGGACGTTCTAGATGTTCTATATGTTCTGGTAATCTATCTGCTGAGAGACTGGGTATTCGATATGGTCGTTATGGGCCAAATTGGTATGAGATAGAAGATGTGCCACAATGAGAAGATCACACAGCGGGAGTTGCGGGGCCGGGCAAAGTCGCCAGTTTAGCGGCAACCTTGGGGAAATATTGGGCCACGAAGCTTTCCGTATAATAGCTGTGCGCTGAGCTATGGTCGCCAACAAGGTTATGTGCTAATTCGTGGCAGAGAATCACCCACCAATATACAATGGCATCTTTGCGATCGGGGATGGTACTCCGGAGCAGTGGCTGCTCATGCAGCTGCTGGAAGTAGAAATAGTTGCAGAAGATACTACCCGCCCGGTTGAAGGCAATGGTCTTGCCACCTGGGTCGTAGAAGATGCTCAGGCTGTCTGCACGCATTGAGAAGATCGAGCCACACTCCAAAATGATCGAGGCAAAGAGATTGAACCCTGCTCGGTTATTGGCCAGGAAGGAGGATCGTTCAGTGACGGATCTGACGAACAATACATTGACACCACTCGGAAGTGTTGCAGCAAATTCCAGATCATGGCTTGGTCGCTCGTCACAGTACGACTTGCTCTCTTGAATTTGGTTCGTCTCAGGCCGGCTGTAAACATCCGATGATCCGTGAGCGCGACAAGCTTGGACAGCAGAGAGAAGCTCCTGATGCAATCGATGCGGGGAGTTAGAATTGACAGTCTGCTCCGGGCGAAGATTTTGTGGATCGTTTGAGGAATACGGGGCGGAGGAGGCGGCGTTGAAGTACCCGGTAGCAGAGAGCGAGACTGTTCGCCCGTGTTCGAGTGTTTTTGATCCAATCCAAACCGTTTACTCAAGTTGGCAAATAAACCCCGAGGAGCCCTTTCTGGCATAACTGATTCGGGCGGTACGGTATGAGTTTCATCCGCGGAGCCTTTGCCATTAGGCGATTCGGGGAAGACGCCTGGCATGGATGACTGTGATCTCGGCTCAGGTTTTGACTCGGTCCTTTCCTCTTTGGCTCGTTGGGCTTGGGTCTCTGCCCATGCAGCCTCTCTTTCTTGGAGTTCACGTCTCTCCTCCTCCATCTGCTTCTGTCGCTTGTCCTCGGCAATCCGAGCCTCTTGGGCCTTCTGCCTGAGGATTCGCTCCACATTGTAACCTCGAGCACGGAGCTCCAATAGGTCCGTTTTCAATAGCATCTCCAGGGTAAGCGTCGAATGGAGTTTAGGTCGCTTCAAAATAAGATGGACTAGGGATTGACTGATCTCGTAGAGATCGTATCTGCCTGGACCGATACACAAGCCATAGTTGCTAGACAGGCGGGCCACGATAGCGTTGCGCTTTTGTGTGTGAGACACCCGTCGGCCCTTGAGAGAACGCGTTAGGCTTATGGAATTAACCACTTGCACGCTAAAGCTGTGCTCCAGCCACCGAGTTCCATGCTGAATGGAATCCGCGGGTTGATCATGCAAGAATAGTCGCGCACGTTCGAGGATCATTTTGTGTAATTTGACGCCCATTATCTGATCGTTTGCCACACCCCCAAATCGTGCTTGTTCCTCAACTAAACTGCTCAAGGGCACCGCACCAAGGGCGGCGTAAAAATTTTCCAGAATTTCTTCCTGCGGTGCAGCAAGAATATGTTCCTTGAAAAGGTTGAAGCTCTGAAAGTCATCCACAACGACAGTATCTTTCGCGGACGAAAGACTCCACTCTCGAATGTCGAGGTCTTCATCTAGGTCTGCAATGTCCTTTTCCGAGGATTTCTCTTTGCCATTGTGACCTGTCACTCGAGGTGGAATATCTCGACTCGCCAAAAGGAATTTCGCCCTCTTCATATCGCTGAAAAGGTCTTTATCCTTTTTCAGGACCGGGAGGTGCTCCGCCAAAGTTCTTAAAAGCATGAGATATTTGTCGGAACTTTGGAAGGCGGCGGAGATGCGAGCAGGCTCCCTCACCAGCATTCGAGCAATTTCTGTTTTAGTAGGCTCTCTTCTCGACCCAACGGCCAAAAGGAAGAAGTTGGCCTCCTGTCCAAAATCTACAAAGTCGAATATATCCTTGTAGTCTTCTCCGTCGCCTAGATAGCATAGCTTCGGTGAAACAAATCGAGTTTTCGACCCTTTCTCTGAGTGGCTTCTCTCGGTAATGGGAATGATTGGGGAACTGCTAACCCGCTCAATATCCTGTGGACTTAGATCCGAGGCCCTGCTCGCCAGGTATTTGAAGGTCGTTCTAGCATCTCCTTGTGTCTTTGGAGGCTGGCGAATGAGAATCTGAATGCAATCCTTCATAGGAGGATGAGGCTTGACACCCAGCTTCGAAGCATGGCGATGTAGATCTCTCTTGAGAATGTTAAACCCAAACAAAGACGCACCATCGTCTGTGAAACAGTCCTTTGGCGCACTGACAGCTTCCAAGCCCTCGATTGGGAGGAAGGCTACCCCAACGGCACCAATATCATATGTGCTGTAATTATTGGCATGATACTCGGCAATAAAGTATGACAATGCTTTGTTCTTGAGAGCGAAGTCTTTCTGAGCATCACTTTGTACCATAAGCCGGACAAGATCCGATCCGGATGGATAGCTCTTCAAGCCCATCATTGAGAGAAACTTGCCCTCGTTACTAGCACTGTTGTATATCCCAGGCCATTCAATGACGGGAAGGTCCAATGCTCGGAACACATCTTTTGGCTCGTACAGCTGAGCAATCTTAAAGCGACCACTCGGTGGAAGCCGGTCACCTTTCCTGTTTTCGGCGGTACATATCTCTGTTTCCTTGAGTCTATGAATGTCGTTTGCGGGAATGTCTTCGCGAACTGAAGTGAGATATCGGATGAGATCCACATGATTCCATTTTCTCGCAGGCGGGCCCTTTGCATCTCCAGACTGCGGGGCATTGATGAGTCGATCAAAGATCACACCTAGCTCAACAGTTTTGCGAACTCCGAGTGCCAGTAGTAGTTTCTCTTTGACACCATTCAGGCCATGGACCACGGGAAGGTCATCAAATAGCCGGACCGTGGCGAAGTATGTCTGAGGAGGCTGTTTCATGCCAATTTTTGTTGGAATGACAGTTTGTGGTTGCAGTATACTGACAATAGTTTGCTTTGACGTTGAGCTTAGGGTCTCCCATTGCTTTGACAAAACAGGTAGAACCTGCCCAGCAAAAGCGGCGCTCTTTGTGATGTCCTGATCTGCGGTCAGAAGGCTCCGATCCCCGGCATTATCAACAAGCCAGCGCAGCCAGGGAACAACCTGTAGCTCGCCCCATCCCAATGCCTCGAGCTCCTGCTTGCTCAGGGCTTTAGTAAAATGGAAGGGCATCACCGCTGCCGGCACTGGCAAGTCAGCTGGAACGCGTTGAGGATTTAGGAAACTGGTGATATCAGCAAAAATAATGAGCCGAGAAGGTTGACCATCCTTTTCTTCATCATTCGCGACTGCAACCCGAAGAAGGCTTTGAATTGAAAGTCGGTCAAGTTGTCCCATGACGGTCTTTCGGCCCAGCCATGTGAGAAATTCAACAATCTGGTTTGGACGTAATGTGCTCGCCTCTAATTCGCGCTTAATGTCCGAAACAGTAATTTCCGTGACCAGCCCGAACTCTGTCAGCCTTTGGACAAACGCCTTAGCGTTTAGTACAAATTCTTCTGGCAAGGCAGGAATCGAGTCCATGAAGCTGAGATCTTTGGGCGCAATGCGAGTCTGGTGACTGGGGATCACGCCACAAGTGGACAAGATCTCGATAGATGCGTTTTTGTTGCACATCCAGAAGGCATCTTCGATCGTTTGACCTAGGACAGACGATGGCGTGGATTCACGGAATACGAACTGGTTGGCAGTATGTATAGCTTCCGGAAGAACATCGACGATATCTTCTTTTCGAATTTTCGTGCGGGAAGGTCCAACAGTGGCGGCTAATTTGGATTTAATAGTGGCCATTTCTGCGGACCAAGCAATCCGGCAGACCACACCAACTGCTCGCAACATCTCAAGATTCCATTTGCTGATGTAGCGGGTATTCAAATCGATGCTTTCACGCTCGACCGTGGGGATGACAGATGGCGCAGACACATGGGCGTTGAGACCTGTAGTCTGCGCAGTCGGGAATCCAATGAAGACTCTTCCAGATTTCGTGGGGAGGATGGAAGCAAGAACCTCAGATTGAGACGCAGCAACCCCTGTCGTAACATTGGCATCGTAAGATGGAGTCAAAATCGCAATCGTGGCTTTTTTGGGTGGTGGCTTTCGTGTCGCGCGCTCAAGTTCCTTGCTGAGAGAAGAGCCGATCGAAGGCACTATAGACGCAGTATTGATATGCAAGAAAACGGTCGCCGTTTGCATGGTGGTCATGTTGCTCGGCTCATCGAAACGCTCTGTTTTCTGGATCTGTGATTGTTTCTCGGGTTGGGCTGTGAACTTGGAGAAGAAGCTGCGCAGAGAACTTGTCGTGTCCCGAAGATTGTCGAGGCGGAATAAGCTTGCATTAGGATTCCACTCCACAATCCGCATCCAAGCTGCATCAACCTGTGCAATCTCTTGGGTAACCCCGGCAACTTTCATCAGGCCTTCTGCGGTTTTGGTTTCGATGTCTCTCGGAATTGGAACATTGACACCTGGAGCTCTCTTTTTGCGAAGGCGCAAGAGACTCCAGTCATCCAACAACAGCTCTATTTCTTCCAAGGCAACGAATGTCAAGCTACTTGACAGAAATTGGCATAGCGACATAAGAGATGGAACGGGCGAGGAATCGTTTCGGTAATCCAGCACAAATGTTGTGTCTTTGTTCGAGGTTTCACCTAGGTCTAGTCTTCGAGTGAAAAGCCCATTGCCTTTCCAGTAGAAGGCCATGGCCTGATTACCCGATGACACGAATGGCTCCTCACAGTCATCAAAGACACTGTAGAAACCAACACCAAATGCACCAATCTTTGTCTCGTCTGGGTTTCCATCTGCGATGCGCTTTAAACGAGCCCAGTCTTTCTCACTGAATGGAAGGCCGTTGTTTGAGATTAAGAGGCGACTCAGGGTATGGTTGGAAATGGTATGCTTGAGCAGTGCCGTTTGGTCTGTCGAGGACGGAGACGGTACTGTCGTGGAGGGCAAAGTCTCGAATTTGATGGTTACTTTGGTCGCAGCGGCATCAGCAGCGTTTTGAATCATCTCTCGCAAGACAGTCCTGTGTGGTTGTCAGCGTCTGCCCGCCATCTTTATCACCGAACCAACCCACCATTTTCCTGAATACCGAGCGAGAACCTTAGAGATCAGTCCCCTAGTGTCCACTGTGACAGCTTCCTCGTCAGCACCTGATCCCATAGTCCGCGCTTTGAGCGCGCTAAAGTCAATATTCATAGCCATGGCACCGTCTATATCATATAGGTCTAGTGTGTGGTTGTGTTCGAATCAGAAGATGTATCGGAGTGTGTAGAAACGCAGTTGCCTATAGCATAACGTGAGGTGGGCCTTCCACGCGCCAAGTGATGCAGACACGGGGTATCAAGCGAAAGACAGTATTAGACCTCAATTAAAGGCCGCAATCATGGATGGAAAACAAGATCGGCAGAGTAAACAGAAGAGATGGGCTCCGAGCCATCGGTGATGCGCAGGCCAACCTTATCGATTAGAGTCCTTATCGGCGGCTTAGATCAGCGATCTTAGTCAGCATGTTTCCCATCGCTTCAGGAGCTTCGTGAATTGCAATCCCTAGAGCTCTTTTTCACTCCTTTTTGCGGCTGGTCCTGTCGTTACCGTTCCTCTGAATCGATTCCCCGCCGTGTTGCCCGCTTTCCGGGCGAACTTGGAAACCGTTAGGTTGTCGTGGTTGCGGATATCGTCAAGTTGGGCTCCAGTCGCATGACAGGATGGGGGTCGACTCATTGTCTCCCATTGCGCCCGTACGCCTCAGAGCGCTCTTGCTGCCAATTGGAAAGATCAGGCGCTCGCGATTTTTGAGCTTTGCCGCCAGACTTCAGGCCGAGAACGTTGTGCGGCTAGGGGACATCAGTCCCGATGCCCGGCCAAACCGAAGTACGTATATTCCTACTCGCGATAGTGACAAGTAGCTGTTTTGAAGTAGATTGCGTTAATTTAACCTATACTGCTCCACAGATATGTTCTCTCCGCTTGCGTTTCCCACCGGAATGATTCTCTACGATCTGTCCTTCTCTGTTCCCCCAACTTCGCATCTTGAGCTGTTCCCGTTTGAGATATACAGAGAGCCACTGGTCATAATTGCCATCGCCGATGGGACGGAACTTCCCAAAGGCTCCGACGAGAAGCAGAGGCACCCTACACCGGAGGGTCTTGATCAATTACTGGAGGAGCTGGATGGGGTGAAGGAGAGAAATCCACGAGCACTCGTGAACCAACTCCTAGTCTTTGACTATGATAATCTCGAGAGGCTCACAAATGGACCAGACAATGTGCTTTGGGTTCCTAGCCCGCAAGCCTCGAAAGCCACCACGATGAAGACGGTTCTATGTGATATTACCTCGATTTTGCTTTCGGAATTAGACGAGTTCGCGAGAACCATCCAGAGTATACCCTCGATTGACTCGCCTAAAGTCTCATCCTGGGGTCCTCATCGCAATCCCGAACTACGACCCAGGCCGGTAGACCGGTTACTGAACCGTATGACATTACCAGCACAAATGCCATCTAATCCCAATGGCGGTGCACCGGACACCCCGTTGAGCTCCAACGCTAGCTCTCCAGCTCCGAGTGAAGAGACACCGACCACATTTGACGAAATCACCCGATCAATCCATCTGTCGCGTACCAATTCTGGCACCAAAAGCCCTTCAGTTACCTCGCCGAAGGAGCATAGTCGAGATCGACTGTCTGTCAGTGGGCTGAGTGCTACTGATAGGACTAAGAATCGTATCAAGGGCCGGGCTGGGGTGGTTATCGGTACTCTTTTCCTGCTGGCAGGAAGATGGCCAGATGCCCTGAAAGAATTGATAGAGGCAACGAACAATGCTCGAGCAGGTAGTGATTATGTTTGGCATGGCAAAGCGTTGGAGTCCATTCTTCTTTGTCTTCTCATGATGGGGTGGGCGGGGATGGATTTCACAATCCCATCTGTCCTTTATCCAGTGGCCGACAAGTCTTCCAAATCGCACCGGGACTCAATTGCTTCTCCGGCTACCCCTGGAAACCGGATTATATCACTCCAAAACTTGGCCAATTTGTTACCGGATCTGTCCAATACCATCTTGAACCTCTACAACCGGGCTGCCAATATCACTGATGAGCCTCTTCCTCAGCTCATCTTCTCTGAAACCGTCATTCGACTATCCAGGTTGTTGGTTTCAGCTCGTATTCGAGACGGCGCTCTTGATGATAACGCTCTTCAACACATTGTGATGAATGAGCCCTTGATTCCTCTCCACCAACCTGAGCTTCCGCGCGGAACTGTCTTGCTTCGGAAGTCTGAAATCGCAAACTTCTTGTTCCGCGCTCTACCACTTGCTCCCGGCGCAGATCTGCCTGCTACTGATGCTGTTCCTATAATTGTGGGTGCCGTTTCCGTTCTCAATACCTTAGATCTTCCGCGGAAAAAAGCTTTCCTTATGCGTGAGCTTCTTTCTGTTATGGTGCCTAGTTTGGTACAAGCAAGAAAGATCGGCGCCGCAGAAGTGGGAATTCACCCAGCTGCCGGTCTAGCTTCTCTCAGTGATACCGCATTTGATGTCAATGCTCTTGATGTCGGTCCCGGGAACATGGAAGCAAGCGTCCGTCTTCTTCTTGCTACAGTGGGTGAGATTTACGGAGTTCAACCATCAGCTTTCTACGAGTGGGAGAAGCGTCAGAGCTATTCGTCCGCATCTGGGGAATGCCCAGTCTATGACTCGGTTGCTGGTATCGCAGAACGGTCTTTCCGTCATGTTGTTCTGGACAGATACGGCGACCTTAACTTGAAGATTGATGTTTTGAAAGCATGTATCAATTGCTGTGAAGCTCTGCCAGATTTTGATGGTGTACTTCGCTTCACTGTCGAGCTCTTGCAGACCATCCGGGGTGATTTGATGCTGTCTGATGTCAAACAAGTGCCGCCATATCTGCCACCAGACGAACAAATTCGTCTGTTGAACAACATCAAGCGGACTGTTGGAGCCGCTAATCGACTAGGAGCATCAAATATGGCCGCAGAGTATTGGGATGATTTTCTTGTGCGCGATATTCAATTGCTTGCGTTGCCGGATCCACGACGGCCCGTTCGCCGATCCAAGATCGAACTTGACGCTGTTACAACGAGCTCGGAAAAGTCAAAGAAAGACCCCTTCCTTTACAACCCATTTGCCAAACCCAGCAGTAAAGCTATGGAGATGCTCACTGTGGCTGATGAGGCTGCTTCATTCAAGGTCACTCTCCAGAATCCCTACGAGTTTGAAATTGAAATCGAACATCTGCGACTGGAAAATGAGGGTGTCTCGTTTGATGCCGTCGCAGAAAATATCACTCTCCCTCCCCTTTCTTTGCAGGATGTCATTGTCCTCGGCACGGCGCACGAGCAAGGAGACCTCAACATTACCGGATGCATTGTTCAAGTACGGAATTGCAGGATTCGTAAATTCCCTATCTTTAAATCTCTTTGGAAACCCGAACCCGAGGTCAAGTTCAAACGGACAGGGCTGGAATCAAAGAAACCTCTCAACGAACGTCCGGTATCCTGGAGCTCGACTACTTCGAAAGATGGGAAGGTTCAGGCTAAGAAGGGACCTGAGGCGGAAACATGCCAGGTCAAGGTCATCGGCAAACAGCCGTCTCTTGTGATCGAGTCAATGTCACTTTCGCAGTCAGCCTTGATGGTTCTCGAGGGAGAGATCAAGTCCTTTGAGATCACGCTTCAAAACACGTCCTCGTGTCCTGTGGACTTCGTCTTATTCACCTTCCAAGATTCTACCACCAGACAACTTCAAGCGGCTTTGAGGAACAGAGACTTACTACCAGTCGAGATCTATGAACTGGAGCTGAAGCTTGCCACTCAACCGGCCCTTAGGTGGCGCCGCGAAGGACCCGAATCGAGCGATTGCTTCATTCCACCCAAAGAAAGGGCTACATTCACCGTCGATGTACTTGGCAAGCCTGGTCTGCAAGATACGACGGTGCAGATCGACTACTCGTACTTGGGAGCCAAGCAGGCTGACCTCCCTGACGTATTCTACACTCGGCAGTTGTTCGTTCCGTTAACTGTCACGGTCAATGCGAGCGTGGAAGTTGCTCGCTGTGATATTCTTCCATTTGGTGGCGATTTCGCTTGGAAGAATAACATCGATAGGCCGTCGGATGCGCCACAGAATTCGGACTCCCCTCTATCCACTACAGAAAATGATCCGTTCTCTCAGGTTCTTGCTCGCCTCGGCAAGGGCGCCTATGGACCTGACCACTGTGTGGTTCTACTCGATCTTCGCAATGCCTGGCCAAACCCACTCTCCGTTTGGCTACAAGTTAGCGAAAATTCCATTATCGACGTCTCGTCTCCCCAGTCTCCTACATCGACTACCGAAAATGAAGGCCGTTATTCTGTTGGTGGGAGTCTTCAGCCCGGCCAGATCTCTCGCTTCGTCCTAGTACTTCCCCCGCGTCTATGTGGACAACCCGCATGCCTCAATCCCGGTCGTCAACACCGGTACTCGACGACAATTCGTCGTCAGCGCCAACAAGCTATCCTTCGAAGCTGAGGCTGCGTCTAGAGAAGCCTTTTGGTTCCGCGAAGAACTCCTTAAAAGAGTCGTAGGAGGCTGGAGGGAACCCACCTCAGGTCGCGAGGGATCCATCGACCTCCGAAACATCCGTCTGAACACCCGCATGGTGGAAGCCATGCGTCTCGAAGATGTCGAGATGAATTTCTCTCTCACCTCACATTCTACCACTACGCAAAACTCCCCCATCGTCCAGACCGGCCGCCATCGCTTCCGCGCTAAGACAGACGACCTCCTAACTGTATCCGTCAACGTCCGCAACCGCTCCTCTCGTCCCATCCACCCTCTCCTCCGCCTTCAACCCAGCTTACGACACCAACCTAGTAACATTGCGCTGGACCTCACTCGTCGACTAGCGTGGACGGGCATGTTGCAGCAGTCTCTACCGATCCTCCCAAGCGGCGGATCTACCCAAGCTACCATCGGTGTAACAGTGCTATGCCGCGGAGAATATGAGATTGGTGCAAGTATTGAGGAAGCGCGTCTTTTGCGCTCTTTCGACGATCACAAGAGAGGAGAAGATGACACCAGTCGTCACGACGATAGTATAATGGATACCTTTGGCGCGGATGTAGTGCGACGACGGCGCGTCTGGCATGCGAAGGAGACTTGTGTTATTGATGCTCATGATTGAATCGCTTGGGCCTAAGGCTGTTATGTTCATGTCTCTCTTCTGTTTCATAGATTCCCGTGGCTTTTTGTCATGGTCTGCTTAATTTCCGAGTCTAGTCTCATGGGTAATGGGCATACCCTAGCGGTGGTTTGTACATTTTTGTTTATCTTTGGTACATAGTTCTAGCGTGATACATACTGAATTATTTTCCAAGTCTAGGATGACGGATCTGCTTCATTTTTAATTAGATGCTACATTGTATATCTGGTTTGTGGAATCTAAGTGGCAAGAGTCTTTCCGCAAATGTTATCTGAACGTTCCAGGTCCTTTTCTACGCGGTCTTATAGAGGAACTGCTTTGGACTGTGGATGGATCCTGCTTGAGCCGACTGGTAAGAACTTCGCAGGAGCCCGCCGTCTCTGTGAAAAGTGGTTCGTTTGACTTGAAGTTCTGATTCGCGCGACTTGAGTTTCCGACGATAGAGTGCGAGCCAACTTGCGAATCGCTTGCCGAAAAGCAACAGGGTAGACAGCTTCTAGAGATAAAAATGGTCAAAACTAGCAAAGAATTGGGCCATGCCAATACTGATGTTCTCAAAGACAAATCATTCAGCAACATCGTTCCCTTCCGGCTGTGTAGATTCTCGACCCTGTGTAGATTCTCGACCACGACTAGACGCAGGTTGCGTCTCTCCCAGCGGGAAACTGAGATATTTCCAATCCTCAATCTCCTCAATAATGCACTTCAATCGGTCTCGAATACTCTCAACAGCATACGTTCCCAGGATGAGCCTCAATGGTGGATACGAGCAGTGCCCAAGCTCCCAGACCAGATGGGCTGCCTTCACCGCGGACGCAGGCTGCTTATCTCCAAGCCACATCAGCATACGCCGGGCGTGTGCGGCTGGAGATGTGGATGAACTATATGGTTCGCTAGGCGGTTTCACCAGAAAGTGGCCGTACAAAGGCAGCGGTGACGACAGATTATGTTCGGTGGGGTCAGCAGCCATCACAGAGGGCGAGACTAAGTCCCCGGTATCATCCCGGCGCATATGTCCTGGCTCAACAAGCGTGCCCTTGATATTGAAACTGTCGACTTCGTAGAGCATACTCTCCATCAACCCCTCAACAGCATACTTCGACGCACAATAAGGTCCTGGCCCCGGCACGCCCAGTGCACCAGACGTGGAGCTGAAGATAAGATACCGCCCAGCTCTTCGCTCGCGGAAATGCGGCAATGACAGTTGAATCATGTTCAATGTGCCGGTGAAGTTGGTCTCAAACTGATTCCGAATGTCAAACTCGTCTTGGTCCTCGCAAGCCCCGATCACGCCGTATCCGGAGCAATTGGCGATCACATCGATGCGCCCAAACCGCGCGATTGTCTGATCGATTACGTTTTTCACGGTCTCGCGGGCTCGCACGTCGCATAGGAGGCCGAGACAATTCTTGTGCTCATCTTCGAGATCTTTCATGGCCTCAGGGCTGTTTTCGTAGGTGCGACCTACAGCGGCGACGAGGTCATTGTGGGATAAGGCATTTTTGACGAGTGAGCGGCCCATGTGCCCTGTTGCGCCGAAGATCTAGTAAGAGTCGTTGTCAGTGAAATTCCAGCTATAGGGTGATTTGCGCAAGCACGCAAGGGAAGTGGGGGAAGTGCGTACGAGCCAAACGAGTGGCTTGGGGGGATTCTGCGGGCCAGGAGGGTCGGTAGTTGAAGGGAGATGTAATCGCGGTTCGCGAGAGGCCGCTGGGGAGGATGGCCCTCCCCTGGAGGGAGAGGTCTGATCCATGGTGGTTGAAGAGGGGAGATTCAAATCCCCTCCGCATTTTGTCCGGGGTGACCCACTATGACATCCGAACTAAACGATCTTATCACGTCCGCCCTGTTACTTCGTACATTCTACACGGGACTGAAGCTGGTCATGTTTCAAAGTTTTCTGATAATGACATTTTCCGATATGAATGCCTAAGCCAATTACCGCCCAACCTCCCGTCGCAGCCGTCCTGCAGCTGTCGAGGGACTCGGCTCTGGCCAGCTGCCGACAGCGTCGTCAACTTCTTCCAGGAACGTCGTGCTATTATGAACAGAGGTGCCGCCCAGGACGACTCGTACGCCCGGGGAGCTGGCATTCACCTGGGCCACCATCTTGGCCTCCTCGTAGGTCACGCCACCGACCATGAAGATAATTATATCCTGCGGCTTGTCCCGCGTGTTTCCACTGCCTTCCAAGAAAGGATATTGCAGTTCCTTCAGACGACCCTTGATGAGGTTCTGGAGGGTCACCTCTAGACGGGGTGAGTGTTGGGTGTAGACATTTTCAACACCCTTGAGACCCTTAAAACGATCTCGAGCGCCGGAGAAGAAAGAGGTCGATTCGAAGAGATCAGTGAATCCACCGGCAACAGGCGGGGCCTGGAGAGAGTGGTGATACGCGAGCAGCTTGGGGATAATGTTGACTTTATTGGAAGGCACGTTTCCTGCCGTCACCAGCAAGTCCAGCAAAATGGGCAGGGCGTTGTTTGATTGTTGCTCGTAGCGAAGAGCGTACAAAGCTACCAAGCGCAGCTTGTTATCCGTAGGCACGTTGGGAACTGCAATGAGTCGTTGCAGTGACTGAAATTTAGATCATTAACCGGGAAACATTTACCAGGAAAGGGTCCGACATACCTTCAAATCATTGGCGTGATTATCGTTGCAGGCTAAGCTTTGCTCCAACTCGCTCACATCGAGGAGGTTGTCCTCACCGACTCGCCGACTTAATTCACCAACAAGGGTAACGTGCTTGCTGACGTTGCCCGAAAGCTTGCGGAACTCTGGATAATCCTCCACGAATCGTTTCATGTCGGCAATTGACTCAATATTCATACTGCTTTGTGTCTTGGTTTGGTACTGTTCCACGTATTCCTTAATATTCTGGCCCAGATCACCAAAGTTCTGGTACATGTTCTTCTTGAAGAATGGATCTTGATCCTGGGCCAGCACGATCTCTTTAAGCTCCGGCCTGATCTCTGGGACGTCCTGTAAGTCCACTCTTCCATTATTGATTCCGAGCAACTCGTGCACCATGGCTTGATATGTCCATTGCGTCAGCAGCGGGGTGATGGGATCGTCGCGGCGATCTAGGATGAGGAGGATTGGCGGCGTATCCGTCCGGCGGAAATTAAACAGCTGCTCCTCCTGTGTGATATGGTAACGAACCTCAGTCGCAAGTTTCCGAGCCAGAAGACTGTTCTTCTCGTACCGAATCAGAGGGTTTTTCTTCAGCGACAGCAATAGTGCTAGAACACCCTCAGTAGCTCTTTGTAAGGAGTCGGGGTTCCAGAGATCTGGCGAATGGCTCCACAGTCGGGACAGTGGGAATCCCATGCCCATAGAACAGAGATCGGGGTTGATCACGAGGAAATCGGCGAATTGTTCCTGCACAGTGTGCACGACCTCGTGGCTGTCGGCCTCGGCAAGCCGCTCGAGGGACGACTTGCGAATCATGTTACTCAGGTAGATGTGGTATTCGCCATATTTGGGTTCTCGGAGCTCGTCGACAAGCAGCTGGATTGAGCTTGGAGATGGGCGCACGAAACATAGGCATCGCAGATGTCGCATCTTCTCGCGCGCGGTGTTATCGAGGCGGTCAATAAGGTAGACTTCATGATTGAGGAGGGCAGATTGAGTGATGGCGGTCGAGACAATCGGGACCTGCAAGGAAGGGATTAGCTATCATGGCCAATATCGTGTCAGGGTCGCGCAGCTCGTACTGTCTCACTGTCAAGCAACAGGATCTTCATCTTGGTTGACCCTGATGCGGACTCGCCGGCCGTCACCATCTTGGAGACATAGCCCGAGACGGCCGCGACAACGTCCATTGTGATAAAGCCCGCGGCGAGCTATGTAATGCTTGAGTGTTGGAGATAGAGTGTTCTGTCCCGTGGGGAGCAGGTGGAGAAGTGAAGTTGTTGAATGTTGAGAGTCCGCTTTCCACATGACTCTACTTCTGCCGTCTCGTTGACCCCATCTTCCTTCTTCCCTTCCTTTCCTTCAGCGTGAATGTGGTGATTCTTCGGAATTCAAGTTATCTGCTAGTTCGGCAGTATGTTGCCCTATATAGATCACTGTGAGTGTTCTCTTTCCCTCATGAAGCTCGACCCAAAAATTGATGCCCGCAGTGTTCAACTACCCGGCGCAGCTGACCGGCGCGTCCGTGGATGAGCGTACGTTCGCCCCTCGATAATATAGCTTCGCAAGCTCCTAACACTTATTTCAGTCAAGCTGATCGCATCCTTCCTGCTCTCCTACCCGCTGGCCGCCCTGCTGAAGCGCATTCCCGACGCGCAACCTTGGAAAAAGAATGCGTTCATCATCGGTGTCTCGCTCTTCTACATCGTGGGGCTGTTCGACCTGTGGGATGGACTGCGAACACTTCTCTACAGTGCTGTCGGCACTTACGCGATTGCCTACTACGTGGACGGCTCGTTGATGCCTTGGATCGGCTTCCTGTTCCTCATGGGTCACATGTCAATCAGCCATATCCATCGCCAGATCCTCGACGATGCTCAGGTGGTCGACATCACGGGAGCTCAGATGGTTCTCGTGATGAAGCTGAGCTCTTTCTGCTGGAATATTCATGATGGCCGCAAGCCCCAGGATCAGCTCTCTGATTCGCAGAAATACTCGGCTATCACCGAGTTTCCCAGTATCGCCAACTATGCGGGCTACGTCTTGTTCTTCCCGTCGCTGTTCGCCGGTCCTTCCTTCGAGTATGTTGACTATCGTCGCTGGCTCGACACCAGTCTATTTGAAGTTCCGCCGGACACGGATCCGTCCAAGGTCCCGCCCACCAAGAAGAAGCGCAAGATCCCCCGTAGCGGAACCCCTGCTCTCAAGAAGGCTATCGTTGGTCTGGGCTGGATCTTTCTATTTCTACAGCTCGGCTCCCGGTACACCACAGACTTTGTCCTGTCGGACTCGTTCATGGACTATGCTTTCCCCCGTCGCATCTGGATTGTCTACATGGTTGGATTCTCCACCCGTCTGAAGTATTACGGTGTCTGGTCTCTCACCGAGGGCGCATGTATTCTGTCTGGCATGGGGTACAATGGCTTTGATGGCAAGTCCGGTAAGGTCTTCTGGAACCGCCTGGAGAATGTTGATCCCTGGCGTCTGGAGACTGCCCAAAACTCGCACGCCTACCTCGGAAGCTGGAATAAGAACACTAACCACTGGCTGCGCAACTACATCTACTTGCGTGTTACCCCCAAGGGCAAGAAGCCTGGTTTCCGTGCCAGTATGGCCACTTTTGCCACGAGCGCGCTCTGGCACGGTTTCTATCCGGGTTATTACATGACCTTCGTCCTGGGTTCGTTCATTCAGACTGCCGCAAAGAGTATGTTTCACTTTCTTAAGTTCTCCATTGCTTTTCTTAATTAACAAAAATTAGACTTCCGTCGCCATGTTCGTCCCTTCTTCCTCACTCCGGACGGCAGCAAGCCGACGCCCTACAAACGATACTACGATATCCTCAGCTGGGTTGCCACGCAGTTTATCTTGGCCTTCACTGTTCTGCCGTTCGTTCTGCTTAGCTTTAGTGACTCCGTGACCGTCTGGTCCCGAGTGTACTACTACGGTATTGTTGGCACGTTCTCCTCCATCGTCTTCTTCGCCTCCCCTGCAAAGGCCTACCTGATTAGCCAGATGAAGCGCCGCAGTCGTCCCCACATGACTCGATCCGCCAGCACAGATACTATCCCACCGACAACTCTGGGTCTGCCCAACGACCCCGAGCGCGACTTTGACGAGGCCGTCCAAGAGGTCAAGTCCGAGATTGAGTCTCGTCGTCGCCGCGGTAGTGTCGTCACCATGCCCACTGGGGAGGAACTGAATATTGCCGTCGAGCATAAGATCGGTCGCAAGTTGTAGGTTTGATAGATGCGAAGGCTTGTATAGACGGCTATGGCGGTTCGTGACGTTTCACTCAAGACTGCGTCTTTTATTTTTTTTTCTCGGTTTAATTTTCCCAGTACCACGAAGGGAACGAATTTTTTTTGATTTTTTTAACATCGATAGTTAGTATCCTGTTATCCTCTGTGAAGCTACCTACTTCTACGAGTATATCAATGGTTGTCCGCAGCAGCCTATGCTCAATGCATACATTCTTCTTCCCATGAAGGATCACTCTGAACTCTCATCCTCCACCTCCGGCCCCCAAGCCCCATTCGCATAGACAGCACCATCCCGATTTCCCGGCCTTTCAGCATCAAAATCCAGCCTATCCAGAATATTCAACCCAGGTAAATGGTACCGAACAAACTAGACCGAAACACCATCGCGATACAACCACGGATCCTCTCTGTCCTTCGCCGCCAAAGCTCAAGCTTCGTTCTCAGTCTATCCAGAACCTCGGCATAATCCGAATCTTGAACCAGATTATGTACCTTATTTGGATCTTGCACTAGATCGTATAGCTCTTCCGGGGCTCGGAAAAAGTAATCTTTCAATTTCCTTCCCCCAATCGTGTTATCACTCTCGTTCGAGTTTCGAATATCTTCCCACGACAATGAGCCGTATAGATCAGCCGCAAAGGGGAAATCTAGTCGCCATGCGAGATTGCGGTGATACTTGTACCGCTGTGAATTATCACTAAAGTCCTTGATAGCCAGACGTCAAACAATCACCATTCAATTGACGCAGACTCGGACCACATATAGTATAGTGAAGAGGGTGTCATTTACACATGGCCTAAGCCGCTCTCGGAAACTACTATATCCATCAAGCATGGGCTTCGAACGTGATCTTTATCTTTCTCGGATGATGCGATTTCATCGGTAAATAGGAAATTAATATGCGGAGAGAAAAAGCTTCTCCAATTAGAAGCTTCGCCTTGGGAGGCTATTGTGTCAGCCTGGAATTGTCTGATGCGAGACTTTGCTCATGTACATCACCTCATAGCGCCAGGGTCTCATTGTAGAAGAATGGAGAGACATTACTGTACTGTTTTACCCGTTGGCGTTAAAACATTACCTCGAAGGTTCTGCCAGACCGGTGTGATTTATATATATCAAATATGGAAACCAAAAGTCCCTTAAAGTCCATTTCCCCCAAACACCGACGAGGTTCAAGTCTTCAAAGACGAAGACAGCGCGACTCTCGCCGAAGCTGAAGCTCCAGAACCTCGATTCATATTGAATCGGGCGGGTTTCTTTGCATGTCGATTTCTGTTGGGGCTTTCTTATGGGTGAATTCATTCCCGATTCGATTCTTGATTTGTCTTATTTCTATAAGAAGACGGAGATGCTACTGACACTGGCACTATTCTGGTTTACGGATTCTATGTCTGGTGTCGTTGCTTCATTTATTGCTTATGGAGTGCTACATATGCGAGGTATTGATGGAAAGGAGGGATGGAGGTGGTTGTTCCTCATCAAGGCTTTAATTAGTCTTGATGATTGGAATTCTCGGTTTTCTGTTCCTCGTCCTGGGGCCGACGCAGACGAAGACTTGGTGGAAACCGAAGGGCTCCTTTCTCAGAGCGGGAGGAGATCATCATTGTGAACCGAGTTCTGCGCAATGATCCCTCAAAGGGAGACATGCATAATCGTCAAGCTCTTTCCTTTGTCTATGTTTGTGGAAAAGTCCGAAAGACTATGATCTGTGGCCTGTTTATGTCATCGGCATGCTATATGAGATTCCTACGTCTTCCCCGAAGACATACCTCACTCTGTCCTTGAAGGCCATTGGATTCAGCACTTTTCAAACAACCCTACTTATTATCCAGGTGACTGTCTTTGCATCTATCAACCTTCTTCTCGTCACCGAACTGACAGAGCGAATTCACCAAATCTCCCTGATTGGTCTGTTGACACAGGTGTGGTCCTTACCACTTCTAATCGTCCTCTATACATCAGCTGGAAACTTAACCGAATGGGGTCTCTACGATGTGACAATTGTCTTGCTCGGCTGGCCATCCTCCACATGCTGCCTAGGTTGGATGGTGTTCTCGAATGAGCAATTCGGTTCGGACCCGAGCTATCAGTGCTGCACTGTACAATCTTACCATCTAGTTGTCGGGATCGCTTCTTCCAACATCTATCGCAGTGACGACAACCCACTCTATCATCGTGGGAATGGACAGCTTGTTGCCATCGATGTTGCTACCATCTTGGTCTATGCCTTGGCGAAATGTGACGATGTGGCGAGGAATAACTGGAAAAGGCGTCAATGGGAAGGCCACATATCTGGAGACGACCTTGGATGAGGGAAACAAGAGGCTTGACTTTTTCTTCGACAGCTAGTACAGTCTGCAATCATGTTATCCGTTGAGAGTGTAATTCTTTTAAACATAAGAAGGTTTCTGTTCTTGAGTGACGAGAGAGTCCTCTGGCCTCTAAGCGTCTGCTTCTTCAGGGAATATGATGGGGTACAGTAGGACACAAAAGAATGTAGGTTTTATCTTGGGATAAGGTTGATATTGCTGCATAGAATGGTACACTGAGAAGATATGCAAGTGAGATGGACATATTCAAGCTCAAATTTATCAGACAAAGATCAAGGCAGATGCGTAGAGATACATCGTTCAGTGCCAGGAAAATCAAAGGTTCCAACAATCAAGATGAAAAGCGTGGATGGGGTGCAAATGTGAACCGGGAAGAAATACCGTCAAGTGACGGTGAATGAGAAACAGATGGGGATATTATGTGGTGCGTACAGTCATATCGTGCAGTCGTGTCAAAATATGCAAAGAAAGTGAAGAAAGTGACAAATCGCTCTGGAGATAAAGATGGTCTCGAGCGTGGGAATAATATGGAACCAAGACGGATTGTGTCATGGGAATCTGAATTGAAAATGAAGTGAGATGGAACTGTAGTCATGGTGAGGAAACAAGTCCCAATGATCCATTGAAGGAGAGTTGATTTGTCCAAGTCGTGGGTGTAGGCAAGGCAGTGAGAGGTTTTTTTGTAAGAGTTGGTCAGAGCAGAGTGGGGGTATTAGAAGCCTGTAGTTGTGCTAATGGCAGCCAATGTGATCTATGTTTTGTTAGATGTGTAGTTTAGCGACAGGCGGGGTTGATGTGACTCACAATAATTACGATGATCACGACTCCAAGCGGGATCATCCAGCGATTAATGTTTCTCCACCATCGGGCGTTGTCGTAGCGTCGCTGCTGCAAATCTACAAGCTGCGACTCAAGTACCATCTCCACGTCGTCATCGGATTCCAGCATTTCCGGGCCCATCTTGGGCTTGGGCGGAAGAGGGAGGAAAGAGGCAACCATCCAAGCCAGAGGGAAGATGAACCCTAACACGAAAGAGTAAACTTGGATGTTCCTCCGTCCGAAGACAGGCTCTGTTGTGGAGTCCATAGAAGGGCATGTCCATACACTAGTAGAATGCTGCATGCTGCGTTTGTCATGGTACAGGTGTGGGGACCAGCTGTGTCGCAGGCGATGACGGGGACCACCAGAGACTTCATACTCGTCGGGCACGGGGGTCGGGACCCAGTGGGCGCGAGGATCGCGAGGGTCGCTATCGATCCGCTTCTGGAGGAAATGAACACGGTCGGGTGCGCGAGGGCGAGGCGGTGCGTCCATTTCTGGCGATCCAGGTTGTTCCTCAGGTGTTAATTGTTGTGGTGACACGGGTCGTTGCGGTGATCGAGGTCTCTCTGGTGAACACGGTCGCGGAATGTTGAGCGGCGTGGGCATCAGATTGAAAACACTGGAATTCCCTGTACCGGGACGCGCTGAAGACGGCCGGCTTTGATCAAAAATGGACAAAGCAGAGTTCAGACCGAGAGCATCTGCACAGTAGTAGACCTTGGCCCAGGTTGGGATGATTTGGAATAAGTTGCTTGAGCTGGTTCGCGGGCGTTTCATGCTTCGCGTGCTATTACTGCGCTTGGACCCCGAGGACAAGCTATGTGGGAATGAAGGGTGAGATGGAAGGTTGGTCAGGCTGTCCAAGTGCTCATCTTCGTCCGCGTCTTGGACGAGCCAGATGGATGAAGTTGTCTTGTTCTGGCTCAGAGCGGCACGGGCTGGAGCAGACGGTTCCGAGATCTCTGCGCTAGACGTCTCGCGAGGAATTGGCTCGTTGGAAAGCTCTTCATCATCCCAAACAGATGATACTCTTGGCAAATGCGGGTTCCAGCGACCCGACGCAGGGCCAGGTGTAAAATCACGCTCACTAGACATGGACGATTCTGCTCGCGAACTTGAAGATGGAGCACGGATACGCGGGTATTGTATAGGAATCCCGCTGTCAATGGCCGCTTGAATATCAGATACAGAGCGCAGGCTGCGCGAGGAAGATGTCGCAGAGCGCGACCGGCTTCCGGAAGGTCCATTGGATACAGAGCGAAACGATGTCATAGACCGCAGGGGTGGGCTTGAATGGAAAGAAGGTGTACTCCCATTGAAACGCTCAGTTGATGAAGCCATGTGGATCCATGGCACACCACCAGGGTGCCTCACCACCGTTCCGTACGAGGAGAGGGAATTGGAGCGAGGGTCTGACTCATGAGAATGAGAGGTCCCTGAGGAAAGGAAGTTCACACTGGAATTATCCAGTGTGACAAAGTTCGGGCTGGAAGGCGCTCCAATCCGCTGGACATTAGGGCTCGAATTGATCCAAGACTCATCCTCCTCTGAGCTCGCCGATTTGGGTGATGTGGGTGGTTCAGACAGCACGGCCTTGATGGTGGGCGTGGCGGTGGGTAATACAAGCATCTCGTCGTCTGAGAACTCGGCCTCGGAAGGCTCTGAGCCGTAGTCGGGTGCTTTGCCCGAGGAGATCTCTGGCAGTGATGATTTGCTGGACAGTGGATCATCATCCCACATCCCCGGCGGCGAATTACCGGGGTCAATGGTCGAGGAAATGTCCCAGCTGTCGACCACCGAATGGGCGCGCGCGCTACTCTCCGCACCAGCACTGAAGGTTGGCGAGGACCATGTCGATGTGGACGGTCCGGGAGTATCGGCATAGCTGAACCCGGTATCTGAGATGTACTCTTGCGGATATTGCTGCTGTCCTTTGCCGGGAATTGGCAGCAGAATCTGTTCTACCTTGGTTGGAAACGGGGTGGCAGTGTAGAAGTCAACGTCCTCCTGCTCGCTGACCATGCGCAAAGACCGAGTTGGTGATCTCTCATTGTTGTGTGCTGAAGTGCGCTCTTGCAAAGCTCTCCGCCTCCGCGGGGGAGGCGAGTGTGACTGAACGTGTGAAGGCATGTTGACGATGTCAAATTAGATCATGGTCGAAGAAGGCAGTAAGGACTAAAAGAATGAAAAGTGCACTCGAGGCCGAGCGCCGCCCACAATCTAACAATATAAGTGATGTCAATCGTAATGAAAAGAGTTGTTTTTGTTTTTCCTGGATTGGATAGATCGATGTAAGGAATGTTCGCCCTGGGGTTCGAGTCGAGCCCTCAAGACTTGGGAAGACAGAAGTTCTAGATGGCCGAAAATGCGTTCCAAAAGAATGTCAGACGATTAAAGAATCATCGAGAGGGGTCAATTAAAGATCGTGTCAAACGTAGCAGGCCATGAAAAGAGCGTGAAGGAGCGTTAAAGGGACATTAAGCAGTTTCAAAAGAGCGACAAAAAGCAGACAATGACTGGGGAAGGAGAAGCTACGCACGAAACATGAGACATTCTAAGGCCAGGGGGGAACAGGGAATTTTGTTGCCCTGGGCGGCGGTGAACGGTGATGCAGGCGCCTATCACTAAATGAGTTCTGGGCCCAGGGGCATGCACTGTCATGCACGGCCCGAACACTCGAACATCCTCTTTCTTTTTTTATCTTTTTTTATCTTTTTGGGGGGGAAAGTTGTGCCCGGAATTGTGGGTTGTGATACGTAAACCTTCACACCTTGATTACCGACCTCGTGCTCTCTTTACTTTCGACCCTATTACCCTACATGGCACCTATAGAGAAGTTGTCCCCCAAGAGTCCTCAGGACTATGGACACTATGGAATCCCCTCATGTACTTGTGCGCCTGGTGGAGCCGATGCGTTGTCACTCCAGAATCGAATTATCGAATTAGCGCCCTGTTGAACGACTTGAGGGGGCCTGTCAACCCTCACGCCGTTATTGCAATTCTGCCCACCTGTTATTGACATAGACACTCGTGAAAGTCGGAGAATTTCTAAACCACCATCCTCCCTGGGAGTCCCTGATGGAAATGGATTTGAATGGTTCGCCTGCATATGATTCCTCATCCTAGGGCGTTTCAAAATTGTGAGAGCGTCACTCGTGGACGCTCGGTCCACCCGTTCGGATGAAGCGCGAGAACGATCCTAATTGGGAATCTCTGGTTAGCTAGTGAATTCTAGAAATGCAATTAATGAGTCTGCATCTCTATGACCTGACTTCGAAAGTGAGGCTGGGACAGACCTGAAGACAATCGCTCGGTTCCATTCACCTCCAGCATTTGACGGTACTTTTACCGTGTATTACCCACTGCGCCACAACCTCCCATATAGAACGGGGCCCGGGTACCTGTATGTATGGTCACATGCAGTCACGCCCCCAACGGATTTACCTGAATAAAACTGGCCTGGTTCGAATCCACCCAGTACAAAGTATCAACTCTCCCCGTCGTGGTTTGTGGTGCACTATGGCTCCAGTTGACGGCATTCTGGCTCGTCTGAAGAGTCTTTATACCAAGCACCAAGGTCTGCCTTCCCCCCACACCTTGAATCCAAGTCCTCCCGGCTCTTGTGAAATCCTCGACAGGTCACTAACTCAATCTCCAGACGAACCGTCTCTCTCGGTGCAGAGCGTCGCTTTGCTCTCTGTAAATTAAAGCCTCGTAGAAAAACACAGACTTTGCCACTAACGCGATCTATTTAGGTCGCCCTTACTTGCGTCTATGTGGTGCCTCTCTATCTTTCCCATGCCACGCGCCCTTCGCCCAGTCTGAGCCGCGACGCCCATCGGTCATTCGCGCGCGCATCCGCGCTGTCACGGGCTCATGTATCATTTGCTCACTCGCCGTCCTGTGGATCATCGTCGAAAAGGGTAATTCTTCCCTCGGCGCAGCTCTGTCTCTGCTCGGCTGGTGGCCCATCGATCTGGGCGATATTGCTCGGTCTTTCCTACTCACATTGATCCTCTTCCTCGGTCCGCTGTTCGAGCGCGGCATTGTTGAGAATGAATGGCGCGATTGGTTTCGTTACAGCAGGTATTACGAATGCCTGAGTGGCTGGATCGGATGGAGGAATTATGTCGCCGTAAGTGATCATCGTGACTTTCCTGTTCTATCTAGATATTGACGTGGTTGCGCAGGGTCCCGTCACTGAGGAAGTCATGTTCCGCTCGGCCATCATTCCTTTGCACTTGTTGGCGCATGTCTCACCGGGCCATTTGGTCTTCGTCTCTCCGCTGTATTTTGGCATCGCTCATGTTCACCACTTCTATGAGTTCCGCCTCACTCACCCGGATACTCCGGCTCTGGCGGCGCTGCTACGCTCACTCTTCCAGTTTGGCTATACTACCATCTTCGGCTGGTATGCTACCTTCATCTACCTACGAACGGGTTCCTTGCTGGCCGTCATTCTGGTTCACAGCTTCTGTAACTGGTGCGGTCTGCCCCGACTCTGGGGCTGTGTCGAGGCTGCCGAGCCGCAGGGTCCACCTATTACTCGTGGAAAGGAAGACTCTGACGGGACTGGTGCGTCTCGCAACGGAGGCAAATTGAGTATTGGCTGGACCATCGCGTATTATGTGCTCTTAGTGGTCGGAGCGGTCGCGTTCTTCCAGTGTCTTTGGCCCTTGACCCATTCATACAATGCTCTGGTCACGTTTTCGTCGGCAGCTAAACCTGCCACGGCAAATACCAGCCAGCGAATGATCTCATGACTTTCTGATTTTCATGAGTATGTTTCACCTGTTTTCGTTGTATCTATACATGGTCGTACATTATTGATTGAAGCGGGCCTTGTCGGCAATGATTCATTTTATTTCCATGAAGCGGAAGAACTTATTGAGTCGGTCACTGCGTCGATTCTACTGCTTTGATGATTACCTCAGGTGGCTGGGGCCTTTGCATGTTTATGTTTACTCAGGCAGAGAGCATTTCACCGGCAATACGAAATCCAGGCAATACAAAGGCCTTGAAAATCAGACATGTTCTTGGAACATGTGGAGTACAGGTGTTTGCGATTTAGTGTTGTTTCCACCCTGGGAGAATTATGGTCGAAGACAATTTTGTGCCGTTCCTGACCTAAAATATACATCCGCTCCACACAGAACACATACACCACCCTTAACTTCATCTGAAGAAACCAAAAATCTCAGATCCAAACGAACTCGATTTTTCAAAAACGTATCAAGGATGTAAATGACTCCACTGACTGTCATTGATCACATCATCCGAATCCATCATTCAGTACTTTCCAGTACTTTCACCAAAAGGTCAAGACCCAATACCAAGGTCCAACTCTGCTCAGCCCACCACTTCAATCCCCAATTAGGCTAAAACCAAACAGAACCCTCCTACCAAGCATCCAAGACATCTAGCAAATAAACTAAACCTTCCATATTCTCTTCGCTTGGCTCGGAAAGTCAATTTGAACACATTGTGTAGGTACACGGGCAACTCCGTACGCACCTCAACCCTTGCAGCCGGGTTCCCACCAAGCCAAACCCTCCAAAAACCTTCCCAAGTTCCGGATAGACTGAGACACTCATTACCTACGAGATCAATAGTCGGGCTCAGGATATTGGGATCGATATGTTCAGTCAGGAGGTCATTGTTTGTTTTTTTGCAGATGAAAGGGTAGTAGTCCAAGGACTTGAAAGACGTAGGAAGGGATACACAGCCTCGCGACCCACGATTCTACTTATTGCTCATTATTTGGTCGCTGCAGGATGCTCTGCTGTGTGGGTTGATGCAGTCTCGACTTGCAGATGTGAGTGGGAAATGTACTACGAGAGGTTTTTGGTCATTATTAGTTTGGCTTGCTTCTTCATAGCTACTAGCTTCTCATCGTCGAAGGGGGGGCTTATTATCATCAAAAAGCCCTTTCATCCCTTCTTCCCCCCCCGGTAACCTATTTCTGCGATAGCTATATGCTCTCAGCTGGTCTCATGGGCAACACTATGTTTCCAGCAAGGGAAGGACTTCCATGTCCACGCCCATTACCTTCCAGCTACGATAACCAAGATGGATCTACATCTGCATTTTCGTAGGCGTCTTATGAATCGAGACCTCTTGAATGACAATGAGTCTTCGATATTATACCATGTAATGTACAAGAGTCTATCTCATTTATATAAATACAGGCTTAAGAATGGAGATGGGTCGGCATTTTCTGGGATCAGAACACGACGTTGACCAATTTACCCCCCTTGACAACAATCACTCGTCGTCTTTTCTCCCAATCATTCTTCTCCCGAAGCCACAGCTTGCCCTCGGCAGTCTCCAAGACCCGGGTAATGATCCAGTCTTGCTCCTCCTGGGATGGACCCTTGCTCTGAGGCAAGCTGGTGGGAGACATCATGCGAGGAATTGTGACAGCGCAGCGCAGCTTTCCGTTGATTTGAATGGCCACTGTTTGACCGCCGCGTGCGGCGAGGGCCTCGGCTTGCTCGGCCGTGAGAAGGTCTGTTGGCCATGGGGAAGATAAGATCGAGTGAATCGAGGTTGAATCCTTGATCAAGGGTTGGTGCAACATTTCCCAGGTCTCAGAGGCCAAGGCGGGGGCAATGGGTGCGAGAAGGCGGAGGAGTGTGGACAGGGAGAGGTAATATACAAGAGGAGATGAAGGTGGAGTGGATGACAGAGTATTGGTCAGTTTTGTCAAATCGGAAATGACGGTATTTAGCCCATAGGGGTTGCTCTCGATGCAGGATGTAACGGATGAGATAGTGTTGTGAGTGGCCAAGACGGCGTCTGCATCAGAGTCACTCAGATCTTGCAAGAAAGAGGGGAGTGATACTGCATGGCCTGCAGTGTTCAAGTATGATGCGGAAAATACCAATGAGGACTTAGTCAATTGGTGCTGGGCGTCCAAGACGAGCTTCCACAGTCGTCCAAACCACCGCTCAACCCCGACAATCTTGGTCTCGTCCCACTCCAGCACTTCACTGACTGGCGCAGAGAACAAAATGTGCGCGCGAGTGGCGTCAGCGCCGTATTTGGTTGCGCACGCTGTCGGGTCCACGCCGTTGTACTTGCTCTTCGACATCTTTTCATACGATACATTGGGGGGGGATCTGGGTTCCAGTCATCAACGGTTTATCGGGATTGGTGAGGTCCACTTCCGCTGGCAGCAAGAAGCGGCCAGTGTTTGGCTCTGTAAACGTCTTGCCGTGCACCATCCCCGGAAAGAAGAGTCTTGAAAGGCTCTGCCGGTGCGCCAGAGCTATCAGCATGCGCAATGGCTGGGAACAACTCCGACTGAGACAAGAACTTATAGATGAAGCGAGCGTACAGCAGGTGCAGAATGGCATGCTCCACACCGCCAATGTACACATTCACGGGCCGTACGACAGATGGCGAGAATGGAGCATCCTTATTCTTAGAATCTAAGAAACGCAGATAATACCAGGATGAATCGACAAAGGTATCCATGGTATCTGTGTCGGCGCGCTGGGCCTCCGCAGCTTGGACAATTGGTGTGAAGCCACTCTTCGGATGATTCAAGAGGGTTTCCTTTCTTGCCCTTCAGCCACTCTCCCTCGATCTTTGGCAGTTTGACCGGGAGGTCTTTCGCAGGCACAGGAACAGCGCCACAATCCCCGCAGTGGATGATGGGAATAGGTGTACCCCAATATCGCTGTCGACTGATCAACCAGTCGCGCAGTCTCCATGTCTCTTTAAAGTCAGCTTGTCCCACCTGCTGAAGATCGTTGACAATCTGCTTTGCCGCCTCCCTGGAGTGCAATCCTTGGTACTTCCAACAATGCGAAGTTAGGACTCCGTCCTGGGTGAAAGCTTTTGCATCTTGAGCGGGGATAAGAGTTTCAGATGCTTCATTTTCGCCAATGACGATGGCGATGGACTCGGGATTCACGTTTTCCTTGAAGAACGAGATATCTCTAGCGTCGTGTCCTGGAACACCCATGACAGCTCCCTCACCGTAGTCACTCAAGACGTAAGGCGCGACAAAGATGGGAAGCTCTCTCTGAACATGGGCACTTTCATTGTCGATTTTCCGCAACGGGTGAGACGCCGTGACGCCATTAAGGCGGTAGCCCGCTTTCGAGTCGGCCGGGAGTGATGAAGCCCCGTCTAGGAATGTACGAAGAGCGCTGTCCTTCTCTGCAGCCTTCCGCACGATGGGGTGATCCAGGCAAAGTGCAAGGTATTCGACGCCATACAATGTGTCGGGCCGTGTCGTGAAGACATCCACATTGACTTCCCCGTCCTGTCCCTCAATACTCACGGGGAAAGTAATCTTCGCACCAACTGATTTTCCAATCCAATTCCGCTGCATAGACAACACACGGTCGGGCCAGCCGCCGGCAAGCGAGTCCAGATCTTTCAGTAGCGCTTCCTTAAAATCCGTGATGCGGAAGAACCACTGTTTCAGATTCAATTTTTCCACCTTGGCTCCTGACCGCCATGAGAAGCCATTGGCATCGACCTGCTCATTTGCCAATACAGTCTTATCAACCGGATCGTAGTTGACAAGCGCCTTTGCCTGATACGCCAAACCCTTCTCAAACAACATCAAGAAGATGCGCTGCGTGTGCTCGTAGAACTCGGGCGCACAAGTAGCAACTTCCCTGTCCCAGTCGAATGAAGCAGAGATACTTCGAAGCTGCTCCTTCATTTTCGCAATATTCTGCTCCGTCCACTCCGCCGGATCCACGCCTCGCTCTATCGCTGCATTTTCCGCTGGCAGGCCGAAGGCATCCCACCCCATTGGGTGCAGCACGTCATGGCCGCGCATCTTGTAAAAACGTGACAGTACATCGGATATCGTATATACTCGAAGATGTCCCATGTGCAGTGTGCCGGAGGGGTATGGAAACATCGATAAGACGTAGGACTTTGGGCTTCGACTCGGTGCTTTGCTCTACCGGTCGCGGGGACTCCGCGTCTCTTTTCCATCTTTCCTGCCATTTCTTGTCTAAAGCGGGCAGATCAAGTCTCCGAGAGTACGCGGCGGTCGTTGAGAGTCGGGTGCAGGCGTTGAAGAGAGGAAGTGGTCGAAGAATAGGACGCGCACACTGCTGGGCTTGCGTGACGAAGGGCGTCAATCGAATACGTGAAAGGTTTCGCATGATGATGTATTTGTCATCATGCTATGACCAGTATATTGCGACCAGCAGGGGCAGCGACAGCCTTGTCGAGAGTGATGTGTTGTCTGATCTTCACCTTTAAAACTTTCCCCGGAACCCGGGCAGCTTTAAGCCAAATTCAGACTAGCGCCGGTCGCGACCTGTGTAGAACCAGAAAGTGTTCGCGACGAGCCCTAGACAATATTATCAATTCGCCACGATGGATTCAGATACACCAGAGAATAGAAGTTCTCTCGTCGATTCAACCTACAATTATAAATTCGCCGATCGTTGCGAGCAATCGGTCTAGAAACTACGCCCGTCCTCGTCTATAAAGCCAGCTCGAGCCAGGCGGATAATTGACGAAGCAAGGTTCCCACATCTCAAAGAGTCATTCATCGAGCATATCGACTCCGGTCCGACAGAAGCTAGCGATGACGCTGTTGACTTGGATTATCGTGATCGCGAAATCGACGAGAAAGAAGATGCACCCAGTGAGGAAATTGTCAAGGATGATATTCCCTTCCCAGCCAACTCCATCGATTTCTGGGTATTGCCAGCACCGAAATCACCATTAGAAGGCGTCTTGGCTGCATTTTGCCCGGCACCATCGTCAGAAAGCACCAAATATGCGAAAGATTGTCTTATGAAGCGGAGAGAAGCTAGTCTTGAACAAGAGGATCCGACGATAATCGATCAGTTGTCTTCGTCTCTTCAGGAGAAACAAGAAAGATCCAAGAGACAGAGAAGATATTGAAAAATGTCTAGACGAAATTGAAATCAATGTGCAAGTGCTCAATATGTACTCTAAGCCTGCAGTCCCGTCAATAATCCACCCTATTGACTTGATCTATGATATGTTTGGAATGCAATAGTCTATACAAATGCAGAACATCCGTTCTACAATCTAAGAATCTCTCCATCCCGATCAATTCCACCCCGGAAATGATCCTTTACGACTTTCCCCCCAAGAATCGTCTCCTCCACAATACCATGCACATGCTTAGGTTCCACCCTTCCATACCAAATCCCCTTACCCGCCAGCGGGTGAGGCTCTGCCTGATCTCCCACCGTCATCTCTGGCGGGATATAGACAATGATATTACCAGCATATTTGTGTCCGCCAATATGACTGATCAACCCAATATTAGCATGATCAGGTCCATCAACAGTGCCAGCGTGACCCGCCGAGATGAATCCGCGCGACTGTAAGATCCGCTGGAACTCTGCTTCAAGCACAGGGGCCATGACGCCGCAGCGCTTGTCACGGCCTCCATGTCCGCAGATGAGGACAGTTGGCGAGTGTTTGATGTCGAGGACTTCGAACTTTGATGCCAGGTTCGAAGCACGTGTCATTTCTGTGCGCTTGGTTTCCGGGAGAGAAGAGTGCATTTTGTGGAGGCGTTCTGGAAGGAGGAAACCTCGTACGAAGGTGGTGAGATCTGTGGTGTCCGGTGATGAGAGTATTTCTACTGGTATCGAAGGAATATATTTGAAGCCGGGGAAGAGGAATGCGGAGGCGGTGGAGGAGCTGTTGGCAGCTGGGGCGAGGGACGTGTTTGTAAGTAGAATATTGTTGAAGGGCTGTTTGACGAAAACAAGGTTAGCGACAGTGCTGTGGTGATTTTCGGTGTAAGCAGATACCACATACGTCGAGATATGGACCTCCTCGACCTAGCAAGCCTTTCAGGCCTCGAACGAGGCTTCCCCAGCTCGTGTTCTCTCCGTCATCCTCGATACGACTCGTCCAGTCTCTTTGGCCAGTACAAATCACCAGCTGCTGCGCATAGGCAGCCATCGTCCCGTTCAACGCTTGTTCATGATCGATCGGTAACCCCTCTGGCATGGGCGGCGTCGGACAGTGGCATGAAGATTCGGGGCATGCTTGAGTCACGGGAAATGGGGGCGGGATATCTAGAGGCGCGCGCAGTCGGCTGAATTGTAGTGGGCTTGTGGACAGCAGTCGAATGAATCGTGGGCTCTGATGTTTTTGGCCGCTCCAATCGTGGGCAAGCGACTGCACGACGAATGTTGGGCGTACTCTCATTTGAGAAAATGTCAATGTCTCGGACGGGGAACGATTGCAAAGGAAGAATTATGATAGAAGAAGCGAACGAAGAATGCGCAAAGGTAGAAATGAGGAATCGTTCAGTAGGTATCTCCGAGGTGCTCGGATCGGAGATAGCATATTATCAATCGCCGCTTTGATTTTGCCAACCAATTCCGCTGTTTGTTGCCACAGAAAACAGGCGTTCCACATCGGCCGATGAACACTTTCTTTACTCTCAGGGTCCCTGGGTCCTAACAGTCATTACAACCCTCTTTGTCTAAGCTTTAGAAGCCGGATAAGGCCCTTTATGCCATATCTAGACCAATGAAGTGGCAGTATAGCCTCTTTCCAGATTCAACTACTGTCGGGCCTTTGATGTCTGTGACCGTTTGTGGTCGTACTGCGATCATCGCATGCAGGTTTGCTGGCGGATCAAGGCCGAGCTTTGATCTCCGCGAATTGTCATGTGAACCTAATCGCTCGTATTGCCTTCGTCATTCGTGGTGCCATCGGCAGGCCTTTCAGAATTTCCTTGAGTGTAGGCTCGGCGGATCTAAAATATGTAAAGCAAACCACGACACATTTTTTTCTTCCGAAGCAATGCTTTCGGGAATGCCGCCGACTGTTAAGACTGAAGCAATCTATGGACATCCAATCAGTGAGTAATTTGATCATGACTGATTGTTGCAGTGTAACTCCTGCTCGCTTTTGAGCGATGTGCATTCCTGGAGCGATGTCTGTTTAGGGCTCGCAGAGACCTGGCGTCTGTCTAGAGACGATTCAGTGGCGTTCTGTCGTGTTGTGTGACCCTGCAGAAACGTTTCAGCCTCATGGGACAATCTGAGAGTCCGCGGCTGCAACTAGCAATGGAGAAGACCACGATCCTACTCGCGTTCTCTGTTGCTTAAGCCATCGGCCTGGATTCGTGGTATCTGATCAGTGTTCTCGATCCGGGTCTGTTGTTACAATCAAATGCGTGCTTGATCCAACTCCTCGTGGAAACAAAGTGTGCTGTCCATGACTTCCTCTCAGCCGTGGGCAATCGATGAAGTCAAGTTGGGAGCAACCGCGACAAAGGCAACGGCATCGCGAATTTCTCTTTCAAATCAGATCACGGCCTCTTCTTCCTCCGGTTACCCATCCCGGCGAAACAGGGAACACCCCGATGTTTCCGATGGTGGATCCGTGAGGGCAGATCTCCAACGTCCTCCTCACCGGAAAGATAGCAATGGCGGGTCCCCTTAGTTGGAGAAGGAGGGTAAGGCCGAAATCCGGCAGAAGCCGGACGTCACTCGAAGTGCCTGATCATGATCTTCCGGGTGTTGTGGTAGCTTTAGTACACCAGATTAATATGACGTTTCCTCCAATTGAGATCCTTAGCTCCACAAGCGTCGTACGTTGATGCTTGTCCTGTAACTTTCTCGCTGTTGGGAGGATGTTACCCCTCATTACATCAGCGACCCCGCTGCGGGGAGCTATCCCAATGTGGCAAGCGCCCTCAAACCGAGTCTCGGAGGCTATTGGGCTGATGGGATTTGTGGGCGCAATGGTACTACGTCCAGGGATTGTATGTGCACATTTTGGGGAAAAAGAGGTAGCTTTCTATGCTTGAGTGTTTTGTATGTAGATGTGTCACCAGCCTTAGGGCTAACGAGATTGACGTGTGGTTGTCTCTTAGAATGAGGTTCCCCGCACTCTGACCGGCAGAAGCCTTGAATAGAGTAGACGGAGCCGCGAGATAACCGGATGGTAGTTTTCGAGCCCCTCGTTAGCGCCTAGACTATGTGCTGCACTATGCCTTGACTACGTGAATCACCCCCCAGCTTGAAGTCGGACTTGTGAGCCGTGAACACGAACTCAAGTGTCTCCTTCCCCTCCCAAGTTCCTCGTGCGGAGAACATCCTGCTATCATGACTGGTGCGTTTCCCCATCCTGCTACCGAACCGCGCGATCCGCTGGGCCGCCCATGCCGTGTATGCAAGTTTTGGCTTTCTGAGGGGAATCCATCATGTTTTGGGTTCTGGTGACTCCAATCCACATTTGCTTCTACTAACGGAGGGGCCATCGGAGAGGGGGACTGGCCTTTCGTCCATATATAGTGCCCCTGTATCCAGTTGAACCTCTCTTCTTTATTTTTTTCTCTCTATCATCATTCCAACCATCTTCCATCCCCCTTCACAAAATTCATACAAATAAGGTAAGCATCTGGAAGTGGCCCCTTACATCAGACCAGGAATGGCGCGCGTTTCCCCACTTTCCCCCCTTCCCGCTTGAGCTCTCTCCAACGCCGGTTTTGAGCCGGTTTTGGGTGAATTGACTTCATCGACCGGCCATCCGGTTTTGAAGACCTCTTACAATTTATAAGAAGCTTGATTGCTAATCTTCCACATAGCTCTTCACACATATTTCTTACTATCTCTTGATCATCATACAAAATGGTATTTATCTCTTCCCTTTCTCGTCAATTGCGACGGCCCGCGACCCAACTCTTTACTTCCGGCATTAAGCCTGCTGTTGCCACCGGGTCCTTCGCGCCGGCCTTTGCCAATGCTCGTACGCTGACCGCATCTGCCAAACTTCAGGGCAAGGTTCTTTTGGTTCTCTACGACGGTGGTGAGCACTCTAAGCAGCAGCCTAAGCTGCTCGGTACCACCGAGAATGAGCTTGGTATTCGCAAGTGGCTCGAGGATCAGGGCCACACTCTGGTCACCACCTCTGACAAGGAGGGTGAGGACTCTACCTTCGACAAGGAGCTTGTCGATGCCGAGGTCATCATCACCACTCCCTTCCACCCCGGTTACCTTACTGCTGAGCGCCTCGCCAAGGCCAAGAAGCTCAAGCTCGCTGTCACTGCCGGTATTGGTTCTGACCACGTTGACCTGAACGCTGCCAACAAGACCAACGGCGGTATCACTGTTGCCGAGGTTACTGGCTCCAACGTCGTCTCTGTTGCTGAGCACGTTATCATGACCATCCTCACTCTGGTCCGCAACTTCGTCCCCGCCCACGACCAGATCCGCAACGGTGAGTGGAACGTCGCCGCTGTCGCCAAGAACGAGTACGACCTCGAGGGCAAGGTTGTCGGTACCGTTGCCGTCGGCCGTATCGGTGAGCGTGTCCTCCGCCGCCTGAAGCCCTTTGACTGCAAGGAGCTTCTTTACTACGACTACCAGCCCCTGTCCCCCGAGGTTGAGAAGGAGATCGGCTGTCGCCGTGTTGAGAGCCTCGAGGAGATGCTCGCTCAGTGTGATGTTGTCACCATCAACTGCCCTCTCCACGAGCAGACCCGCGGTCTGTTCAACAAAGAGCTCATCTCCAAGATGAAGCCCGGTGCTTGGCTCGTCAACACCGCCCGTGGCGCTATCGTCGTCAAGGAGGATGTCGCTGAGGCCCTCAAGTCTGGCCACCTCCGCGGCTACGGTGGTGATGTCTGGTTCCCCCAGCCCGCCCCCAAGGACCACCCTCTCCGCTATGCTGAGCACCCCTGGGGCGGCGGTAACGCCATGGTTCCCCACATGTCTGGTACCTCCATCGATGCTCAGGTCCGCTACGCCGAGGGCACCAAGAACATCCTGGAAAGCTACTTCTCCGGCCGTGAGGATTACCGCCCTCAGGACCTGATCGTCCACAAGGGTGACTACGCCACCAAGGCCTACGGTCAGCGCAAGTAAATTTGGCGTGAGACTTAAACGCTCTGTGACTGGGCTCTTATGATTTTTCCCTTTGGTTCCTTTTTCTGATTGTTCATATTATCTTTCCCACTTGCCCGGAAGGCATGGGTTTGGCCGAAAATGTCGCATCTACGATACCAATGAAATAACCTTTTATCGACGGAGTTCTTGTTCTTGTAGGTTTGTGTAGGCGCAAAGATCATCGGAGTGGGGCCGCTGTCGATCTTGGCGGAGATTTCTAGATCCCAAACTGAGTCCGGACAGGTCTGGTGGATCCCAACCCTCAGGTCTGGTACCTAAATGTCAGATGCCTACTAGCTCTGTTTCTTTCTCCGAAACACGGAAAAACGCAAGCGGTCGTAGTTAGAACAAGCTTTCTCAATCGATGTTTTCATATGCTGGTCTATTTACTATGCTCTCGCAGCAGAATCATATCTCGACTTCTAAGTTTGCAGACAATGTTGCAGACACGCTCAAAGCCATTTGAAAACCTACCGGTTGAGTATGTGTACTAAGATGCCAGTTATGAATCAATGAATCACAACAACGCCGCTCATGAACGCAAACCATGACAAGACACTGCGCAGGATCTCAGGGACGATTCCCCGCGCCTTCTCGCCCTTCATTTTGCTCATCATCGCTATCATCCATGAAGCCTTCCTCCAAGTCTCGACTAAGACGGCTTATGGGCTCGGGCGCCGTACTCCGATGACGTTCAAGTGCCTCCCTTCGTGTAGCGTTCATGTTCATGCCGACCATTAGCTCGCCTTCGTCATCGTCAATGCTGATATTATCATGATCCGCCAAGTGCGCGCCTCGTCGCCACGACGATGGAAGGAAAAGCGCATTACTGCATCGGCTATGCGATCACGGAGCGAGAGCGTGTGAGCCGATATCGTGTGGAGGGGAGGTATTGGGAGTAGCGTTGTTGATATCGCCGAAAGAATGGAATTATCAAGAATGAGAATAGGACATAGACAGACAGCGCAATTGAGGCTGGAATCAGGATTGTCTGGATGGAGTCTAAGTCAGTTATCGGTCTTTATCAAGGTTCGTCTGAGGATGGCGACGCCGTCCCACAGGAGGTGGAAAGGGGCCTGCGCAAACCTTTGCAAGTCTACCGGAGGATCCCATGGTGTATATCAAGCCCCAGAAGGTATGTATAGCCGTGAAGGTCTGGTGGGAGACGTCCGGTAGTCCCGAAGAAAGTGGACTGTGATCTGTTTACTGCCGGAGTATCGACAATCGACACAACGGAGCAGATGTCGGGTTCGAATATAGGTACTCGATTAAGAGAACTTCATCCAAAAATAAGCCCAAGATCCCAAAATTGTCACTTGCACATCATTTCCCACCTATTCAGACCATCACCATCGTTAGTGACAATGAACAGACTCCCACGCGTCCGCCTTGCCCCAAGTCACCTGATATCACGTGCCGCGGTCGGGGAGTTTCTCCGGCGCCCCCTAATCAGGTACTTAGTGACGCCCGTGCTTTCAGTTGATCGACCCTGGGGAGGCGGACTTGCATGCTGCAACTATTTTCGGATCACCCTTTCACTCCTTTCTTCGTGTGGTATCCGCTCTCACTCGTGTGATCCCTAAACGCGGTGCCGTTGTAGCAACCAAAGCGGGTATACTAACTAGGGAGGGACAAAACAGATCTTCGGACTATTGTGAATGTCATCTTTTTCGACCATAAGATCCATAGCGATCACCCCCACCTTGACCTGCGATTCTCTTTAATCTCCCTCGACCGTTTTTGTGTGTCTGCGAGGGAGTGCCCTTAATGCTGCTCCCTGCCGCGTCTCAGTGATCCTCCGCCAACATGCCCGCCAATGCCGACAAATCCAGGCAAACATCGGCTGGAAAATCATTCTTTGGGAGGAAACTGTACAAGGAGAGGCCGAACGATGAGCGCCACGATGCATACCCCGGTTCTTACGAAAGTTTGGCCCCGCCAGGAAGTGCCGCTGGTTCTCGCTCCTCCCGCTATTCGAAACGGTCCTCGATCCAATCCGTTGACATGACCCATGATCTCGACCCGGGAAGTCTTGCTCCGACCGCAGGTGTGATTACGTCCATTCCCTTCGAAAGTATGCCCTCAGACACGAGAAACCCGATCCCCGTCGATGGTATGCGCCCTGACTCCCGTCACGAGCCCTCGCCTAACCACATTGGAAAAACCGGCGGTGATTATCATCAATATCCTACCTGGACATCGACCTCTGCGCCAAATGGTTCTGGCTCACATCCCTCAGGGCCGCGCCCTCCCCCGCATGGCTCGAATATGACCATGACAAGCAGCGCATCAGGAGATCGTGGCACGAGATATCAACAATGGGGACGCCCTGGAAGTTCAAACGCAAATCCTGGCATGAGCCATAACTCCATTGACTCTTCTTCGAACTCTCGCACCTCGCTAGACCAAAGTAGTCTTTATTCTTCTCACTCCTCCAATACGCGCTCGAGCTATTTCTCTTCTTCAGATGGCTCATCTCGTACCCTCACGACCTCACACTCTGGTGATCGCAATACCTCTCTCACTCCCAGCGGCAGCTCTGGGCGCTTGTCAAATGCTCAAGCTGCCTGGCAAGCTTCGCAGAACAATATACCAGCTGCCGTACCCCGCCCTCCTGACAACTACCTGACCAGACCCAGAGATGACCGTATCGTCGACCAATTATTCCTGGAGCTTATGCAGAAGCGTGGATGGCAAAACCTTCCTGAACAAGCCAAACGGCAAATGCTGTCTTATCCTGCATCGAAGAAGTGGACTCTGGTGCACCAGGATCGACTGACAGAGCTGCAAGGCGAACAGAAGAGACGAGCCAATGCTCGTCAAACGCATGGCCATGATGGCCTTTCGGGTTTGCTCGAGCGCGCCGATGAGGAGGGAAGCCCGGAGTGGTATGTGAAGAAGGTTATGGATGACACGATCACTTCCAAGCAACTTGCTAGTTTGAGCGTCAGTTTGCGGACACAACCTATCAGGTAGGTCTCACATCTGCTCTCAATTCATTTTCTATTCTAACGTGAAGACAGCTGGGTCAAAGCTTTCGTTGAAGCTCAGGGTCAAATTGCCCTGACCAATGTTCTCAACAAAATCAATCGACAAAAAGCCTCCGGCCCCGTTCCTGCGCCTCCGACTGGTGACAAGGACCTGGATCGAGAATATGACATTGCTAAATGTTTGAAGGGTCTCATGAACAACAAGTATGGTGCGGACGATGCCCTCGAACATCAAGGAGTTCTCGTTGCCCTTGTCAACTCGCTGTCGTCGCCCCGTCTCAACACTCGGAAACTTGTCAGCGAAGTCCTTACCTTCCTATGTCACTGGGCCGAAGGCCAAGGTCACCAAAAGGTCTTGCAGTCCATGGACAAAGTCAAGAACGACCACAGTGAGACTGGCCGCTTCGATGCCTGGATGCGTATTGTCGAGGTTACCATTGATGGCCGTGGCAAGATGGGAAGTTTGGTCGGCGCCAGCGAAGAGTACCGCAGTGGAGGCATTGGCATGGAAAACCTTCTCATGGAATATGCTGTCTCGACAATGATCCTCATCAACATGTTGGTGGATGGAGCAGAGAACGACCTGCAGCTGCGATGCCATATTCGTGCTCAATTCATCTCGTGTGGTGTCAAACGTCTTTTGACGAAGATGGAGGGCTTCCAGTATGAGGTGATCGACAAGCAGATTGAGCGCTTCCGTGAAAACGAGGCTATCGATTATGAGGATCTTCTCCAGCGGGAGAACAGCAGTATGAAGGACAGCGTTGAGGGTGAAGTCAAGGATATGAGCGACCCTCTCCAGATTGCAGATGCCATTGCAACCAGAATTAATGGAACCAGGGCTCATGACTACTTCCTCTCGGCTATGCAGCATATGCTGTTGATCCGTGAGAATGGCGGCGAAGAGAATCTACGGATGTTCCAGCTCGTGGATGCCATGATGAGCTATGTTGCTATGGACCGGAGGCTTCCCGATCTAGATCTTCGACAGGGCTTAGGTTTCACCGTGCAGAGTCTTTTGGATCGACTTCACACAGATGCTGAGGCAAGACGCGTGTATGATGAGGCTTTGGAGGCTCGCCAAATAGCTGAGGCTGCCATTGCCGAGCGTGATGAAATGAAATCTCAGGTTGAGCTTGGCGCTGATGGCCTTGTCAAGAAACTCCAGAAGCAAATCGAGGAACAAGCCGGTATAATTGAACTTCAAACTCGGACCAATGAGTCTTTCAAGGCCGAGATCGCGGAGGTTCAAAGACTTCGCGCCCAGGAGTTGCAGCGCAATGAATTGGAGACTCGTGAGCTCTATCTCATGCTGCGGGATGCCCAAGATATTGCTGCATCCAATGCTCGCAAGAATGCCGCTCCCGACTCTGATCCGTCCCAACTGCCTGGTATCATGGACCGCGAACGTCTCATGGAGCGCCTGGAGCGTCAACTCGAGAGAACCAAGACCCAATTCAAGCTCGAGGGCAAGGTATGGGGTCAGCACGGCCCATCAGATCGTCTGCGTGAGTTGCGCGAGAAGATGGAAGGTGAAGGCGATGATGACTCTAGCGAAGAGTTCGCTGTGGAAACCCGTCGTACCATCGGAACCACCAACCTGGGATCCGTCTACAGGAAACGCAGCCATGTGCCTGAGATGGACCAGGGTCTTGATGACCAAGTATTAGAGACTATGGATGAGGACGGGGAGGTATTCTATGAAAAGCCTCGTATGGTGGACTTGCGGCCTCGCATGAACCCTGCTCAAGCCACTGGACTGCTGGGCGAATTGACTTTGAAGGTTCCGAAGTATGATGAAGGTCCCGAGGGCTCTGGCACCGGACCAGAGACGGCTGAAGCTGCTGCTGCCGCCGAAGACCAAGCGGCCGGTGAGGCTTTGGCTAAGGAAGCGGCAGCCAAAATTGCTATGCCTCCGCCTCCACCTCCACCCCCGGCGGTGCTAAAATCATACCACCACCTCCTCCTCCTCCGGGTGGCACTGTTGTACCCCCTCCTCCGCCTCCTCCAGGTGGTGCCAAGATTCTCCCGCCGCCTCCTCCTCCTTCAGGCGGTGCCAAAATCCCAGCGCCGCCGCCCCCGCCAGGCGGCACCAAGATCCCCGGTCTCCCGCCTCCTCCACCTCCTCCTGGAGGCAAAGCCGGTCTTCCTCCTCCTCCACCTCCGCCAGGTGGAAGTGTTGGTGCTCCACCACCGCCTCCTGCCCCCGGAGGCAAGGGTGGCTTTGCGCCTCCCCCTCCCCCCTCCGCCCAGCGCTCCATTGGGCGCTGGCTGGAGGCCCAACTATATGGTCGACGATGCTATTTCCTCTACAACTCATATGCCGTCCATTCGACCCAAAAAGAAGCTCAAGGCTTTGCATTGGGATAAAGTTGACACTCCCCAAGTGACTGTTTGGGCCGCCCACGCACCAACACAGCAGGAGAAAGAACAGAAATACACTGATCTGGCCAAGAAGGGTGTTTTGGACGAGGTCGAGCGCCTCTTCATGGCTAAAGAGCACAAGATATTCGGAACTAGCACAGCCGCCAAGAAACGCAAGGAAAAGAAGCAAATCATCTCCAACGATTTGTCGAAGAACTTCCAAATTGCCCTCTCCAAATTTTCTCAATTCCCGGCCGAGGATGTTGTGCGAATGATCATTCACTGTGATCGCGAGATCCTGGATAACATGGTCGTTATGGACTTCTTGCAAAGAGACGAGATGTGTACCATTCCTGAAAACGTTGGCAAGTTGATGGCTCCGTACAGTCGAGACTGGACGGTCCCCGGTGCTGCCAGCTCTGAGCGTGAGCAAGATCCCAGTGAGCTCACCCGCGAGGATCAAATCTATTTGTCCACTGCCTTCGAGTTGAACCATTACTGGAAGGCGCGAATGAGAGCGCTTGCGCTCACTCGCTCCTTCGAGCATGAGTATGAGTACATCTCTTCCAGGTTGCAAGAAGTCGTCAAAGTCAGCGAGTCTTTGCGGGACTCTGTCGCTTTGATGAACGTTCTCGGGTTGATTCTGGATATTGGTAACTTCATGAACGACGCTAACAAGCAGGCTCAAGGCTTCAAGCTCAGCTCTCTCGCCCGGCTGGGTATGGTCAAGGATGACAAGAATGAGACTACCTTCGCCGATTTGGTTGAGCGTATCGTTCGCAACCAATACCCCGAGTGGGAAGGCTTCTCCGAAGAAATTGGAGGTGTTATTGGCCTTCAGAAGATCAACGTCGATCAACTGCGCAGCGATTCCATCAAGTATATCAGCAACATCAAGAACGTCCAGGCCAGTTTGGATGCTGGCAACTTGAGTGACCCGAAGAAATTCCATCCTCAAGATCGCGTCAGTCAGGTTGTTCAGCGGAGTATGAAGGATGCTCGTCGCAAGGCCGAGCAATTGCAGCTGTATCTGGATGAAATGGTTAAGTCTTATGACGATATCATGATGTTCTACGGTGAAGATAATACAGATGAAAACGCTCGCCGAGACTTCTTCGCGAAGTTGTCTTCCTTCTTGGTCGAGTGGAAGGTTAGTTTAATTATGTCCGCTTGAAGTGAAATTGCTAACAATGCTATTAACAGAAATCGCGCGAGAAGAACATTGGCCTCGAAGAGTCTAGGAGGCGCACTGAGGCGTCCTTGGCTCGTAAGCGGGTCAACGTGAATCTTGCCAATGGTGCTGCCGCCGAGACAGTCCCCTCGCCCGCTTCAAGTGGTGCAATGGACTCACTGCTCGAGAAACTTCGCGCAGCTGCTCCTCAGGCCAAGGATCAGCGAGATCGCCGCCGTCGTGCACGTCTGAAGGAACGTCACCAGGTCCGCGTTGCCTCTGGCCAGAAGCCACCTGAGGCTGATGGCGAAGAGGGCGAAGAGGTCGCTGAAAAACCAGCTGATGGCGACACCAGGACTGTCGAGAATGGCCTCCTGAGCCCTCCAATTCCTGAAGACGGGGCTGAGGCCAAGGAAGTTTCCGAAGGCGAGGATGTTGCTGACCGAGCGGCTAGTATGCTCCTCGGCCTACGGAGTAACTCCGATGCCACTGGAGGCGACCGCGCCAGACGTAGGAGAGAAAGCGCCGACGAGGAGCGACGTAATCGCCGCATGAGACGCCGCAATGGTGCAAGTGGAAGCAAAGATAGTGCAGATGGCGGTCTGCCGGCCGTCCAAGAACCACAATCTCCCTCGCGTATCGATTCCATCAGCACAGAAAATGCCTTGCCAAGTCCACCCCACGAAGAGGCACCACCTTCAGAACCGCCGTCTATCGTGGTATCAGAGCAAACTGATGCCTCTGAATCAGAGGCCGGTTCATCCCCCAGTCAGCCCATTGAAGTTTCAGATTGAGCCCGGGTCCCCATAATCTAATGTTTAGATTGAGTGATGCCGTCTCGGAATATTTTCTTGCTTTTGTCTGCATCACACACCTACCTCCCTCGACTGTATAATATCCTTTCTTTCCTTCTTCTGTTTCCCGCTCTTTGAACGCCATTTCCTTTCACTTGTCTGTGATGAGCATGGTGTGATGATACCATCGTCTTCTATTTTCTTGCCTTTCTTGTGCAACTCTTTGGTTTGTCTGTCGAGGGCATACTTCGCATACTCACCTGGCTGTGACGACAGGTGCGGTCTCTCTCATTGTACATAATTCTCCTTTACTCTATCATACGCTTTTGGTCATGATTGATGTCCATGATCAAAAGCTTTGTCAATTACATCTCCAGGATGTTGGTTTCATATTCTGGGTTTGCCGCTCTACTTTCATGTATAGATGCATAATTCGCATATATTCAGCTCTGTCTAGCGATGATCTTCTCGTGAGACATCAGAATTGAATTTGGCTGGAACATTTCATCGTGCATCTTCAGCTTGTAACCACCTACACAATCTTAGAGTCAGTCACGTGCGCCTTATCGACTTCATTATCGCCTATCGTGACAACTCGTTCAACATTACCGACTCGTTTCAAGGAAGACATTAATTGCGCATGCGAGCCTTCAAGTCTCGAGTCCTGCGTTGGACCCCGCCGCGCGCATCACGGCATTTATTCAGAGCGGCTGGACTGCCGAATTTGCCCTTCCCACGCCATGTCCGAAATTCCGCATCGGCGATTTTGCGGAGGACTCCAAGACATGTTAGAAGCTTCTCCTCGACGCTAACCTCGCGTTTCATGCTAGACGCAGACTCTACAATATATGCTTTATCAACAGCGCCCGGTAGAGCAGCCATTGCCGTCGTACGAGTATCTGGTCCGGCATGTGTTTCGGTACGTTCTCGCAGAGCTGCATCTGTCACGCGAAATTAAACTAACAACATAACTATACCAGATCTACAAAGCACTCTGTCCTAACTCTTCCCTCCCAAAGCCTCGCTTTGCCGCCCTGCGCACCCTCTATGATCCAGCACAAGCAGCCTCCGCAAATAGCGTCCTGAGACGCCGGCGCCCTCGTCCTCTATTTCCCCGGCCCGAAGACCGTCACAGGCGAAGATGTCCTAGAGCTTCATATTCACGGTGGGCCGGCAATCGTCAAGGCCGTTCTTGCAGGCATCGCAAGCACAAACCACCCAGATACGGTTGTTCGATACGCCGAACCGGGCGAGTTCACGCGCCGTGCATTTATGAATGATCGACTCGGTCTTCCCCAGATCGAAGCTCTCGGGGATACATTATCCGCTGACACCGAGCAGCAGCGTCGATTGGCGGTACGTGGTGCAAGCGATGCTTTGCTGAATCGCTACGAGCTCTGGAGGCAGCAGCTACTGTATGCGAGGGGTGAGCTAGAAGCGTTGATCGATTTCTCGGAGGATCAGCACTTTGACGAGTCAACTGAGGAGCTGGTCTCTTCTGTTGCGGGGCAGGTGCGCGACCTGCAGGTGCAGATTGGAATTCATATTCAAAATGCTTCTAGGGGCGAATTACTGAGGAATGGCATCAAGGTTGCGCTTTTGGGGCGCCTAATGCTGGGAAAAGTTCTCTTCTTAATCGCATTGTTGGGAAGGAAGCGGCTATTGTGAGTACTGAGGAGGGCACGACGAGGGATATTGTTGATGTTGGGATTGATTTGGGCGGATGGTACTGTAAGCTTGGTGATATGGCTGGAATCCGTGCGGAAGCTGGGACAAAGTCTGGGTCGATCGTGGGGGCTGTTGAGAAGGAGGGCATTCGGAGGGCGAGAGCGAGAGCTTTGGAGTCGGATGTCGTCGTTGTGGTTCTCTCATTAGAAGAGACGACACAGGGTGTTCGGCTTTTCGTGGAACCCGAGGTTCTAGATGCGGTCAACGACTGTGTTAAGGCAGACAAATGTCTGGTGATTGCTATCAACAAGTGCGACAAGCTCTCCTCCGAGAAACACGAACTTCCGGCTCTCACTCATTCTATCCGCGACGTCTTCCCTGCTGTTCCAACAGAACGAATCTTCGCCATCTCCTGCGATGAAGCGGAACGCGGACCGTTGTCCTCTGAGACTGACCCAGGCCATTTTACAAGCATTCCTACGCGGGCTCATCTCAACATTCGAGTATATCGCATCGCCACTAGGCATGGATGGAGGAGGCTCATATGATACATCGTATTGGGAAGATTCATTGGGTGTCACACATCGGCAAAGCTCGAATTTACAAAAATGCCTCCATCATCTCGACGACTTCCTCGCCCAGTCTAACCCCTCCGAGAGCGAGAGCGAGAGCAAGTTCGCCTCCATTGACGGTGAGATCGATATCGTCACGGCCGCTGAGCACCTGCGCTTTGCAGCAGATATGCTAGCCAAAATTACTGGCAAGGGCGAGAGTGGAGATGTCGAAGATGTGTTGGGTGTTGTCTTTGAGAAGTAAGTGGTCTTTTCCTTCTGCTGCGGCTGCATGGATAGCAAGTTGACGTATATTTGTATAGATTCTGTGTGGGAAAGTGAACCACAAATGGTTCCATCGATTTTGACGTTATCCACGTACTGTGGTTAGGATGATCGACTTGAAACAGGCGCCTATGTTGGTCATTCCCGAGAAGTTCCTTGGAGTGGAGAGTGTTGCGGTCCATTACTTTCCGTCCCGGCCTGCATGCATGAGGCAGCGAACTTAGAGGGATTCAGTTGGAGGGTTTGGTTGTTTCTTCTGGCTTGCTGGCAGGGGAATTATAACCTCCACGACCCATTGTGAGAGATTTGTATGATTAGCGAGAGCGAGAGATGCTTCCAATATTTCGGTGGAGCAAGAGGTGTATATCAGATATCCAACAATGTATTATACTGTGAGACGTGAGGCTTGACGAGCTGTTATTCATGAACGCGGACCAAACCTTGGATATTTATATCAGCCCCCCCCCCACCCCGAAACGGGTGTATGCCATGATGCGCAGGTCGCCGTGGTCGCTAATCATCCAGACACCCCAGAAACTTCCTCAACTTTCTCTGTTCGAGTCAACTTCTAGACGAAATTCCCCGACCAACGATTCGGGCGCCCACCTGTCTGACTCAGGGCCGACTCATATCGCGGCATCTACGTCTTAGCACCGTTATAGCATGCCAAGGATAGCCAACTACGCGACTCCGCCTGAACCCGGCACGCCTCGCTAGCTTGGTAGGTGATAGCGTGATGGCATGATAGTATAGAAATACTACCGTGCCTTTGGTGACACTATACATCCTAGTCAAATTGGGGGCCATTCTCAGCTGATGAAGCACGCCTCTTTGCGGGTTTGAAGTTGAAACATGCTTCTAACGGTTTCTGCTGGGCCGTGGCGTACTCTCTGAGTAATCAGATGTTCGTTAGTTGACCAAGGCACTGGGACAACTAATTTACAGGAACGGTAGCTTATTGGTAGTCGTAAATAGGGTGAGTCTTAAGGCTGAAAATCGGTGTCAGATTCTAAGAATAGCAGTGAGTGGCTAGGTATTCTGCCCTACGGTGGTCGGCTAATGGTAGGTGGATGACTTATCAACGTGGCCTGAACATGAGGCTTTCACGAACCTAGAAAGGTCTTCAATGGGCTATTAATGGAAGAGAGAATAAGAAATCCACGTTGTGCCCCTGCTGTATCGTCAGGGAAAGAGCTTGTCTCCAGGTGTTTCGGTCTCTTCGGGTTGCTGATGGTGTTTATTTGCCTATTTAGTGAAATGTACAATCCAACAATCTAACGCGCTGACATGAGTTAATTACAGATAAGTGCACTCAAGACTTCCAACCTACTTAAGGTAGTCTAGCTCAGACGTCATGATGAAGGTGGGGGGCCGCGTGGGTTCTATGAATAGACCCCTAGCTCGAACATGTGGCTTTCATGTCCTGCAACTCTCTCTCTCTCTCTCTGTCTGAGCTGCTGCAGGTATACTTTGCATTAGAAGTTGCTTATCTGTACTCGTCAGTACTTCGATTGGAGAGGAGCTACTTGAACTCGGCGCATTCGGCTAAATCAGCGAGACCCCTCATTTGATTTCCCCGCCCACATGATTTGCCAGTCCCGACTGGAATCTAGATCTTGATCGAAGCTCCATAGTTTGCTATTTTTGTCGCCGTTGTACAGCACAGAGACTGAGTCGGGTTAGAAATATTTGCACCATCGGGGCGTCTGTAGAGCCATCGAGGGTAGACTGAATCTAACGCACCACCACAACCCCCTACAGGCCTATCGAGAAGATGATCCTAGATATCCCCCATATATTGTTGATTCATTCCATCCAGAGCCCTTCCTAGACGTTTCGCCGAAATTTTCACAAAATATTCCTGTGGTCCTTTCTAGTATCGCATTCCATATACCTCGTTGGATACACCAGGGATGCAGGAAATGACAGCTTGTTCCGATATGTCGAGAATTTCTCGTGTGTCAGGGTTGTTAAAGTCTACAGACATGATGATTTCGAGGCTCAAAGGATTCCAGGGCTACTAGTTCATTATGGTAGGAATATAGATCGTATTTGGTCGATACAAGTACCAAGTAAATTCGAGACATTGATTTCTCGAGTCTTTACGCCGCTTATGGCCGTGTCGCGAGTCGGACAAGTCAATTTCCCAAGACGATGAAGCATCCAGGGCAACGGGGGCTTCCTGCCATATTTCAATCATTCCCCATTCTTTGTATTTCTCTTCCCCGTCTTGTCCTTGTCCTTGTCTTCACTCTGGCCTTTCCCACCAGTTTGCCGCGATATCAAAATTCCATCGAGTGTCAAGTCTTGGTCTACAAGGCACTTGTTCATCATGTCGCGCATTTTCGGCCGCTACGTGCGGCTTGGACATGATGGCATCTACATCTGTGAGATTTGCGATAGACAATTCAACTCCGCACCAGCCATCTATGCCCACTGCCGCAACACGGGGAATCACGAGTGGTGTGAGAGATGCGAACGCGTCTTTGTGACTGAGGCTTCCGGGCTGGCCCACCTCCAATTCTCATCCGTCCATAACTTCTGCACCATTTGTGACCAAGACTTCACCAATTACCCGAGCCTGAGGCAGCACCAGCTTCTTGCCCACTGTATGTGCGACAGATGCGATACTGTTTGCTCTACACTGAGTTGTCTCCACCATCCCGTCTTCTACGAACACGTTGGCTGCGAGATCAGTACCCGATCTTTTGAAATTGAACACAGCCTTGTTTATGTAAGAACTACAATCCTATTTGATTCTCTGGGGCGAGCAAGCGACTAACACTTACCACACCACTACAGCACATGAAGGTTCACGAGGACAAAGATATCAAATGCCCAGCCTGTGAAAAGCTCTTCACCCGCTTCTCATACCTCCTGCTGCATATTGAACGGAGCGGCTTTTCAGTCAATCGAATCGAGGATCTCATAGACGGGATCGGAAGGGACCGATTTGGCCGTCATGTCAATGACTTGCCTGAGCATTCGTTCCCCTGTGAGAATTGTGAAAGCAATTTCCGCCGGGTGTCTAGTCTCTTTCAACATGTCGAAGATGCCAATGATTGTTTCTATCTGCTACGGCCCACCGGCGAGGACGATGATCTCACGTCTCTGACGCAGTACATCCTTGAAGACCTTGAATATGAGATCGAGTGGCGTTGAGCCCCAATGGCAAATTTACAGTGCGTGGAACATCCATATGACATTCAGCAGCTGGAGAAGATACGGAGGGTGTCTTGACCGGTTCAAATGTGCGGATCGGTGCTCTGGACACATCAAAGTGTCGTTGAGCGAAGCGTGATGTACGATTTTCAGTCTCAGCCCAACAGTTACGGTTCCTTAATCTCACAATGCCCGTTGACGCCAAGGAAAGACTGTCAACAGCTTTACCGTCCTGTTTAGAAGGGTTGAAAGTGGTCTATAAATAAGTTATATTATAAGGCTTGAAACTGGTAAAGATGATTATCAGACTAAGTGCTATTAGGCATATTTCTCCGGACTCTTCACCGCCCGAGTGGGCAGTATCTAAAGTGGGCCGTAACACACGTAATAACCATGTAAAACACCCATGGTATCTTCTGTCCCGACACCGTGTGCCTGAACAGTCCATGTTCCATGTTCCTTGATTCCACGGTTCCACGGTTCCACGGTTCCACGGTTCCATGTTCCATCTACCTTTGGCTCGTCACATACGGTCACCGCCCGTTTTCTGCCGATAACCTCTGTTATCCACAGGGCATCGACCACCATGAGGGCCGTGTTTGGGCGCTACGTCGGGGTTTGCGACCATGACAACTATCTCTGCCGAGTATGTTCCCGATGGTTCAAGTCCAAGTCGGCCATCCTAGCCCATTGTCGCTCGACCCGCGCCCATGCATGGTGTGAAAGGTGCGAGCGTGTCTTCCTGACCGAGGAAGCGAAGCAGAAGCATATACAACAATCTGGATCCCATGTGATCTGTTCTCTCTGTGACCACCGCCCGGAATTTGCTTCTCGTGCACAGCTAGATCAGCACTCCCAAGATGTCCACTTCCCCTGTCGAACGGGAACGTGCAATCTTATCTTCAGTACCAGTTTTGACCTCCAGGATCACCTTGTATCTCGGCATTTTGCTTGCGAAGAATGCCTGCGTACCTTTGATAATCAGAATAATCTCAGTCAAGTCAGTTGGGCCCCACCGCCTCAGAGTACCCCTGACTAATCCGCCTGGATCATATAGCACATGAAAGCTCATGAAGACAAATATCTGCATTGTCCAGTCTGCGATAGACGCTTTGCTAGGTGGTCATTTGTTCTTTTGCATCTTGAGCGAAGTCGATGCAGTTCTATCCGGAAAGTCAATGCACTGGCTTTTTCGTTTCACGAACAGAACTACTTGTACGACTTCATAAAGGACGACCGGAGGTTCTACTGTGAGGACTGTGACTCTGGCTTTGATCAGCTGTCGAGTCTCTTCCAGCATGCTGAAGACAGCGTAAGCTGTTCGTACCCTTTTTCCTCGGATCTTCATCTCGTCGCGCAACATATTTTCAACAATATTCATTGATTGGTATTTGGACGGAGATTTGAAAATACACTGGAAGACATCCAGACAGACCTGGATATTCATATACCTGGGTTCTCTCCTTAGGCCCTCTCCCTGAGCCCTCATGTTTATTGTACAGCCTTGATTTCATAAATACCGCCCCCTTGAGAATATATATTTTTTTTCTTCAGTGCTTCTCTCCTTTCTCGGCATCTATACTTGGCTTTTTTGAGGCCTCCTGTTGTTCTGCATGTCCTTGAAATGTCCCTTGAAATGACTGTAGATGCCTTCGAAGCGTCAAGTCATGACTGCCGTATTAATGTTCTGAACTGTCTTCCGTGCCCAGCTCTACAGCCTCACGTCATTGTATCAATCCTATCCATCATTCATGAATGGTCTTACCATGATCGTCTGCCTTTCAGCAGGCTTAATTGATACTTACACTTGTGTGAGATCCCAAGCCCAAGTACTCTGTCAATTAATTGAAGACTTTACGGCGTCTCACCCGCTTCTACGGCCATCCGATTCAACGCTTAAGGCGCTAGCAATCTTTTGATCGACTGGAATTTGTCAGGCTGGTACCCCGAATATCCAACCTTGTATTGTCAAATGAAACCGGATTGGCTTGAGCTTATCCCGGATATTTTTGATCAGTACCCGATTGAATACCTAATGATGCAAGTTGTCTACTCGTCGGCCTTTTACTGATATAAAAACAATGATCTTAATCGTTCAAAAAGGGAAAGTCATTGGCTCTGCATTTTACATTTTTATGATATTACAAAGTTTATGCATTATTGAGCTCAGTTTTATATCGGCATTGGAAATTCGCGACGTTTTGCATCGGGAGTCCACTTAGACTTGATTTCTTGGTGGCTGTTAGAGCTCTCCACTCCACAGGGTCCTGTCTGTGGGTCTTTCCCAAGCTTAATGGGCCTATCCCCGAAGTTCTTACAGAATTGGATCCTATCATGATGCAAATGATTTATTATTTAGCTATGACCTGGCCTGAAATATTAATGACTCGTGAGACGGAAGTTTGCTCATGGACGACTCCTCAGTCGCATGGGGGTAGTTCGTCAAATGCTCGGCCTATCACTGCAGGCGACAGTCTCCGGGCTTGACAATTTCAGAGCCACGGCATGCGCAGCACATACGGGGACTGCTTGCCTCGAGACGGTGCGGCCTTACGCAGGGGCCGCATCTGGCCACTCTTGGTCTAAAATATCATGATACCCCGATATCTCATCTGGCTTATCTGTATATGTATTCGAGAACAAAAAATTATGATTTCTTTTTAGAATTTCCATTCTTGACTTCTCATTCTGCTCTCTGTAGCTCGAAGCTGGCGAATTCCTGAAACTCTTAAGCCTATGACTTTGAACCAACCAAGGTCCACCTAGGGCATGTGACATTGGCCGAAACCAATCTAATGGGATGAAGTCTTTCATTTCTGACGCTGGTATCTGACCATAATGAAAGTCTAAAGTAGAAAAGAAAAGCCCGCAAATGCTCCAACGCTCAAGACATGCCGATATATACCCATCGCGGGCAAAAGGGGGAAAAAAAAGGGGGGAGAAAAAAAGAGGGGCTAGAAGGAAGAAGCCATGGAAGACGATCAGGCTGAAAAAGCAAGGAAACTACAGTGACGGTGAAGCCAAATGACAGGGCAAACAGGGCTGGCGAAAAGGAAAAATATCGATGGACACCAGGACAAGTCCGTCCTCCATCACTCCGAAACATCTTCATCCTTGCCCGGATACATAATATCCTGACGATTGACAGCCCGAACATGGTTGACGAATACGAACAACCACATCGCAATAACACAAATCGACAACCCCGACCCAACACCATTGATAGCCTTGCTCTCAAACGACTTTCCCAATGTGATAGTCGCAAGTGTAAAGCCCGTGTTGGGAAACACCATGGCCCACCAACTAAGATGGAAAGCAGTAGGCGGCGATCGGATAACCGCAAGCAGTGCAATACAAAAGAACCAAAAGCTCAGTGCCCACAAGAAAGCCCCGGCGACAAGTGCCAAGATCTCGATCATGCGGCCGTCGGCTTCGGTATCTTCACTCCCCATTACGCTGAATGTAGCGGGCAGGCCCTGTGCCATGCCGATGAGGGCTAGGGCTGTGAAAGCAGGTGGGCCAACGCAGATGAACATTCCGGGACGGTGTTCGCGGTTGGGTAGGCCGGATTCCATGAGCCGGCCGATATAGTGAGAGTACATCATGAAGCTGATGCAGAAGCCTAGGCCTTGGAAGGTCATTCCAGCTGTGACGATGGGAATGGCAGAACGGTCGGGTTGGCGCTCAGCGATGACAGAGGCGATAGTACCGCTGAGCATGATTGGAAAGGCGGGGAGGATCCAAGAGGGCATCATTGTTTGCAGGCGGTAGTGGACTGAGGAGAAGACGTAGGAGTATTGGAACACGGCAACGGCAAACGTGCACGCGCAATAGATCCAGAAGAGCACTTCGAGGGTTTTCGAAAAGGCGGGAGCTGGGTTATCGCCGAAGTACCGCTCTAGGCCGGTGATCATTGTAGCTATTGAGAGCCAGAATGTCGGGAAGAACAGACCTTCGCGATCGTGGGTAAGTGATTGCATGAGTAGTCCGCCGTGAATGATGAAGCGGGCTGCCATCATAGAACAGACCAGAGCGAACATGAGGAGATTGATGATGTAGACGGCAAGGCCTATTTGATCCAGACCGTTGAATCGATTGGGTTGGCTGGCTATCAACAGGGCGAGACCACCGGTGCTCATCGTCAATGTATACCAGGCCCAGGTGAAATGGCGAAGCCGTTGGCCAAAGCCCAAGTGAACGTTCGCCTGTTTCTCGGGCATTTTCGCATCGAAGATTGGTGTATCGGATGTTGAGGAGCGGGAGGAGTGCGGAGGAAGCTCATAGCTTTCGGGATATAGCAAAGTCGGGTTGGACATGATGAAGTATGGAACAGTTGTATGGAAATACCGATTCAAAAAGGGACTAATAGAATATCAAGCAGGACTGAGGGGACTTTCAGACGTCCTTTAGCTTCCAAATGCAGACAGAAAGGTAATCAATTCGGAACAATGTCAATTGAAGTATGACTTATTATGATATGAATGGATTAAAGTCCATACCACCTCCGGGGAGAGGAGGGTCTATATGAAGGTCATTTCGCCTGCGAGAGGCAAACCACATGGGACAGCATTTGCCATTGATTGAACCTGATCGTCGTCAAACTCTGTGACGGGGGTTCGTCGAGCCAAGAGAATACCAAGACGTCCGCGTAACCTTCTCATCACAGCGCGGGGCCTCCTGAAGTTCTCATCCGTCAGTTTGAACCTACCAGCGTCACCACAGTTATCAGGACCCATCGAGGGCCGCGAACCAAGAAATCAAGGATAGATCGGTTCGACCCGTCGGGCTCGGCGTTTTCGTGTCCAGGGGGGCAACCCAGATGGCAGTCCATCAAGTGGCGCAGGGGTGCGATCCACCGAGGTCTGGGCAGGAAATCGGTATAAAGACAACGACGATGCCTGGGCGGAAAAGCGTTCACCAGCGCCAAGAAGTACATTGCTTCCTCTGCAGTCGATATCCTGCATCTTCGGAACTCTGTGCACGGCACATCTGCGCCGTCGAGTGTAAGATGTGACCAAGCCATTCCAAGGAACCGGTTGTTACCCAGATGACGAGATTCATGTAAAATCCCGTTGCTCGGGCCGAGTAACATGCACTGTCCTGCCCGAAGCTGTCCGATAGGAGGTGTGAAAGGCCCCGAGATGGCGCAGTGCAACGTGTGCGCCAAGAACGATGATCGACCTCGCGTCGAAACAGCGGGCCGCTGCCAAGCTTTCCAGTGGCAGTGAAGGAGATAAAAGCAGAAGAGATGAAAGATAAGCCGGGGGGAGAAAGGGGGAGGAGAAAGCTAACAGAGAAGATCTAGAGGTCATGGCGAAGATCTGCGGTGCCAAGTCGCTGGATCTGGATCTATCAAATCTCGAACGTTAGCATGTCCTAGTCTCATTTATCGGAACACAGCCCCCAAATCCAACGCTATTGAAGTGATGAGACGCCGCCAAGATCGGAACCGAATACTGACTGTCGAACCGGACCCTAGGATGTGTTGCTGGATTTTCATGCTTATTTTTCGCGCCCTCGACATCATCCTGCCGAGATGCCCAGCCATCATTGTACCACGCCGCTGTGTTGTCCCAAAGTCCCACTATGCAGTAGAATTTGCAAGACATACTGCAGTGCATTTACTTCCCAAATTAGTCTAAAAACGTCATGATTCAAGGTTCATTCCTGTCGATGTTGATTACTTGACTCTCTTTCTGCTGGGGTACAACTGGGACTAACAAAAAGTGCAAAGACGCAGCCAAGACTCCTTATTCCGTAAGAGTGAAACTGATTATGCATCGCAAAAAGGAAATAGAATCTAATGTCACAGGGGAGGGGGGCAATTCAACCAAGAAGCTCGGTTCGGCAAGAGATCTGTGCAGCATCTAAAGGCGAAACAGAGGTGTGCAAGACCTCTTCTCGGCATTCAACTTCGATACCCCAATCACACATTCCGCCTCGATCACATCATGCGATAGACAAGATCAGAAGCCAGCTCCGGCGTCACGTCCAGCAGGGCCCGGAGACTAGTCGGTGCAGAGTGCTTGGCTCGCTCCACCCTTATCCACGGGCCGGAGCGTGGGCGTTGCCGCTTCACTATCTCCGGGCGAGTGGTATTGCGCCAGATCTTTCACTTTGCAGGCCGCATAGTGCACCACCAGTCGTCGCAACTCGTTCTCTCGAAGCTGGGTTGCTGAAGTGGGGTTGATCGGTTCAAGTCGGGTGGTTTTGGTGTAGACGTAACGCAGCAGATCAAGGATTATCGGCGCTTGAGACGCGGCCAAGCCGCCTAGATTCTGGCCTGAAAATGGATCCAGGCTTTCTGTGTCTGCAACAGAGAGCTGCAGAAGATTCCGATGTAACTTTCCAAGGCACAGTTGGGCTCAGGGTCGGGATAAGGTAGCGAGTGGCGAAGACGTACACTTTGGCGTGAAATGTTAGGTATGGAAGGTCGGTGGCTTTGGAGTCAACCGGTGGCTGTGGATTCTGCTTCTCGTTGTTATATTGCAGAGCAGAGAATGCGTCCCACAGGCTGAGGCCTGGTGTGCGAGGTGACGACTCGTGCTGTTTGGCGAAGGACATATCGATGATCGGCTTGGAGAATTGGATTTCACTCTGTTTCTCCACTTCATCATCGTTTGCCCAGGACTCTTCCGGGTCCTGTCCATCATCCTCTGCATATGCAGGCTGTTCCCAATCGTCTGGGGCGGGCTCTGTCTCTACCTTTTCAGGTAGGTCATCTGCAGATGCTTCCGGCCCGACCTCCTTCTCCTCTGGCTCGGTAATTGTTTCGGCTTCCGCGGCTTCTTCTTCTCCTTCTGAATTTGGCTCCGGCAGGACCTCCTCGGGAATATCATGTACCTCGACCGGATTGGCTGGTGGGGGTGTAGATGGCGGCGTCAAGTTGGCAGCGGGCTCCTCCGTCCACGGCTCTTGTTCCACAGGCATTTTATTTTTGGCAATTTTCTTGCCCTTCTTGCCTTTCTTCTTCTTGGTTGATACCTCCGGGGGTGATTCTTCTAAAGTTCCCCATTCTCCGGCATCGGCTGTTGGCTCTGGAATTACCTCGACCGCGTCCTCTCCAGGAGCAGTCGCATCGGTATCCTGGCCTTGGTCAAGTGGAATCTCTTCACTCTCGACTGGTACGGCAGACTCATCGTTCGTTTTATCTTCTTCGGCAGCAACTTTCTGTTCCACCGCCTCTGCCTCCGCCGCTATTTCTCCAGCCCTGGCCTCCTCAAAAGCAGGTGTCGGCTCTGGTTCGGGTTTGACAGACGCAGGCGCCGGTGCTGGTGCTGGTACTAGTGCTAGAGCTGTCGTCTCAGATGATTTGACAGACTCGGGTGGCGAGGGAGCCGGGGGTGGGATAGTCGACGAGACTGATGCTGAGCGATATGTTCCTCTCCAAGAGTTCACCGGGCTCAGTGCAGTCTCGACTACACCTTGTCGAACGTCTTCGCGTGGCGGCAGACGAGGCACTTTATAGTCTCCTGTATATGCGTATTCACAGAATGCAACGAACGTTTCAACATCCTCATCCTCCAAAACGGCAATGCGATGCTTCGACTCCCGGGTATGCCCGTTGTTCATCAAGTTATGAAGCGGCTTGGAGACATGTTGAGCGAGTCCCGACTGGATTGTTAACTTGGTATGCTTGGGACCGACGAGGAAGGTAAAGGAAGGTGAGTGGATGATGCTGTTCGGCAATTCGTCAACGTTCAGTCGAGCTTGGGTGGGGCATGTCAGCACGCACCTACTATAATCGGGGAGATCCATGGGAGCTGATGCTCGATGATGGAAAAGAAAAAAAGAATCTATGAATGCAATGATCCAAGACTATACTTAAATACGACTTCAGGCCAGCCCATCGGGGGCACTAAGGTGCTGGGTATGACCCTCGGGCACAGTCGAACCCGATGATCTCCAATAGTCTGCTACGTGTGCAGCTGTGATGGGTGAGAAGTGTTTAGATGCCAGCGTTGACTAGACCGACCGGGACTCCGACTATATGGACGATATTGGGGGGGATGGCAGGGGAAAAACAATATCAAAGGTGCGAGGAGATGAGCTTGAAGAGGACAGAGAACCCGTTCAAGTTCATCCTTGTGCATGCAGTTGAATTCCTTTCCGGTACTCCGTGGACAGGAGCTATTGGGGGGTTTGGGGGGGAAGAGGGGTTGTTCATGCCCAATGTACATCCAACCCAACTGCGGGTAATGGCCATTGGACCTTTGTTCCACTTCGCAAGTTGCTCATCATGATGGCGGAGCTGTAGCCTTTGATCTCCGAGTTGTCGTGATGATATCTATGCAGATGATCGGCAGTAGGAAGCAACCTTGGCTTATCGCATGTACCGAGCATGTTATGGACAAGGGTATTTATGCACCCTCGCCTCCTTCTCCACAGCAACATTTACCAGTCCAGATCAAGATCACCGACTCGGATAAATGAATAGACCTCACAGCAGAGGATGATATCTTAAATCTATGGAAACAGTGGACCTTCTGTCCAATATACAAACCCTGCAAGAAATGCCTTATGCCACGTCATAGTACCAAATACAAGTGCTTTCTCAACAGAATCAACTACCGTGCACCAGCCGAATCTCCGTGTTGCCGGGCTCCCACTCACGCAATCCCTCGCCTACGCTATACCAGAAGCGCAACCGGATGCATTCCTTTCGCGCCGCCTCGATATCGCCTTTGTCAAATGACCCGGCTAGTGCCCCGACACACACTCCGATACGCCCGTCGTTCTCAACTTTCAGCGCGTTAATCTCGGCTGCGCCCTCCGGCGTCGCGCCCACCTCCTCAATAGTCTCCTGCACCTCCATCACCTCCATCAGTGTCTCGGGATCGAGGGCGTGCTTTGTCGCGGCATCTTCGGCTGTAACATCAATGCCGTGCCATTCTCGGAGGAGGTACTGAGCCCGTTGGAGTGGATCGGCGAGCGTGCGGTAGGCCTCATTGATGCGGGCCGATAACGCCTCGGCGTGTTGTTTCATTTCGCCAGGAGGGTATTTGTCAGGGTGAATCTTGTTCTGCAGCTGTAGAAACTCGCGACGGAGATCCGAAACGGAGATGGAAAAGGGTGATGCTGGGGGAGGGCCCGCGGGAATAGTCTGGGGGAAAATGGTGTAGTAATTGGTGATGTCCGGTACTCCCACTATTCCAGAATCTCTCGTAGGGTCTGCAGAGGTCTTGATCGACGCATACCGTCGGCCTGAGACTGGTGAAACCGTGAAGATACCGCGAGATAGTGAGGCGAGTGTCTGGGTCGAAGCTTGGGCGCGAATTTGACAGCACTTGCAGGCATCCCGTTGGGTTTTTATTGTGGAAATGGGCGGTGTGAGTGTGATTCGTGAATGAGAGGTCGTCTGGCGGCATAGGTTGCGGGCCAGTCTCGGTGAACGGGATGCCATCGTGTAATGTCTAGAGTTGAGCTCGCAGTATCGAAGAATCCATGGCGGGAAAAACAAATCCCGTTACGTCATCCCGGCATTACACACGTGACTATTTACATGGAAGCTATGGACATGATTATCCCAGTGATTTCACTATTTTGAGATAGGTTGAGTGGGTCACCTTGAAGTGTGTTTCTTTTCAAGCAAGCTGCTCCCCAGTGTTGTGTGGGAGTACATTATGTTTTAGCTCCTCGCTAGAGGGCAATGCAAACCATAGACCTGCGGAAGAAAGTTGATGGCATTATAGGCAAGCTGCCAATTATTCAATGCCCCAGAGCTTGACAGTCCGATCATGACCACAGCTTGCAATCCATTGCGCATCATTGCTCACATCTGTACTCAGCACGTTGCCCGCGTGCCCGCTCAACGTCTTGACCAATGACCAGTCATCGGCACTGAAGATATTCACGTTCTTGTCAAAGCCACTAGACACAAAGAATGTGCCTGATTTTTTTGGCTGAACCGGTGAGCCAGAGGCTTCAGCAGGCGTCGGTGTGGCACCGTCAATGTCCATCTGGCTATCGGCGGAAGGCAAATAGGAATCCGCTTCGGCGCCCTTATACCAACGGAGATCAGACACGACGCTCTTGTGGGCACCGATGCCGCCCATATTCCGGACTTGTCGCAGATCCCAGCATTTGACCCATCCGTCGCCAGAGCCTGAAAGCACACGGTATCCATCCGCGCCCCAGTCCATACCGTAGATCTCTCGGATGTGACCCTCGAGGATCATCACAGTACGTCCTGTCCGAAGATCCCAAATACGTCCAATACTGTCCAATCCGCCACTAGCAAGCAGTGAACCATCGTTGTTGAATGACACTGCGTAGACCTCTCGTGAATGGCCCTCCTGTAATTGGAGTTCGGACGTTGTTTCCACATCCCACAGCCGCCAAGTGGTATCGAAAGATGCAGATGCCGCATACCGTCCAGATGGGTGGAATTCTGTACGGCACACACGCCCTGAGTGGCCGGATAGGGTCGCGAGCGGCTTATCAGAATCGAGCGCCCACAGGTTGATGTTTCCTTCACCTCCTCCAGACATCAGGTTTACAGTCGATGGTGAAACATTAGACGAGGGAAGTGTAGCTCCCGGAAGCCATGACAAACCACCGATTCGATCCGTGTGTGCCTTGAGGTTGGCTTTTTCCTCCAGATTTGGTACAGAGAGAAGCTTGATACCACCAGACCAGTTTCCAGCAGCGATGGTCTTTCCATCCGGAGAAAAACGACAGATACTGACGGGACGGTCACCAGCAATCTGAGAACCGTACAGATCGAAGTGCTGGAGCTTCTCTTTGATGGCTTTGCGGTGCTTGACATGGGTGCGGAGCGGGATTGTTGACTCCTCCTTAAGCCGCGCGACACGAGCTTTCGCCCGCGGCAAAGAAAAGCGTGCAATGGCCTTCCGAGCTTCCAATAGCTCATCCGTACCCTCGGTGTAAAACTCCTCTTGCTGTTCTCTTCCCTCTTCTTCCTCCGCTTCCTCCATCTCCACATCGCCCTCTCCCTGCTCTTTCCGCCAAGTCTGTCAAGAGCTCTCGCAGACGGTCTCGTCGATCTGCCGGACCTTCGCCGAATAGTGTAATGGGTTCTCCAAGCTCTCGTAACCGCATGCGCACTCGAGTGTCATCTGTGGGTACTACCGTTGCCGCGGCGCGTCGTTTTCGGTCGAATTGAGCCTGTAGCGCAGAAACGCGCTCACTGGGGGCCCCTACACCACCAGGCAGCTCGTAGTCCTGGTCAGTGGGGAGGTCGGCGAGACTGATCCCCATGTCGGCGTCCTCGGCCTCTTCGACGTAGGCCTGTCGCGCAGGGTGCATCATCTTGGGAGCTTAGAAGCAAATGCTTCCTTGTTCTGCGAGCGTTCAAGTAGTGACAGAGGCAAGGCACGCAGTGCCAATAGAGTCCTGACCGAGGTCGAAGCGCGGGTTTTGAGATGGAGGTGGTGAGGTTGCGCGGGCGGCAGAAATGAGATACCAACAGAATATTTTTTACTGCATGGCTGATGACAAGCCATCGCAACTATATAGATCGTTTCCCTGCCTATTCAAGAGCTATACGTGTGTTCTAGATAAATAAGCCATGTTCTGCCTAGTTCCAATCATAATTAAAATATAGACATGCATGCCTTACACTCCACTAAGTATGACGCCAGGCGGTCAATCGCGATAAGATCACAGCCGGTTCATTCTTATCCGCCGCTGCTTCGTTGATTTTTAATCATTTCATAAATCTCTTATATATCGACTCCTCTTCTTGACTCCGATGCTCTACTAAGCGCGCAGCTTCAGGGAGAGTCGCCATACTCCCGATGCTCCCGCCAAGTCTTTCCTGTAGAGCCTGCAGTACCACCTGCAGCCTACAAGCCACCTTCTTTCCCCGACTCCGGCCCTCCGTCGCGCCTTCCCACGCCTTGCACGCCAGGGCTTTCCACGCAGCCCCTGCGCGCCTTTCGAGATCTTCACCAGCCTCCCGTATTTCCTATCGCGTTGCCGTCTCGTCCTCAGGCAAAGGTCGCCGCTTCCACCCCCTCAAGAATGCATATAACTTCGACCCCAGCACGTCTAACGTGATTGGCGTTACGAGGGACAAGAACCCAAATGCTCGCCGCCTTGGACGGCCGGATAGTGGCGAGGACGCTTTCTTTGTGAGTCAGATCGGCTCGGAGTCGAACGCAGTCGCCTTCGCGGTAGCAGACGGCGTCGGAGGATGGACTGAGTCCCGCGTTGATCCGGCGGACTTCTCGCACGGTTTATGTGGTTACATGGCAGAGACCGCGTTAGCCTGGGACAAGTCCGCCAAGAAGCTGAGGCCTAAGCAGCTGTTACAGACAGGCTACGACAAGATCGTTGCGGACCCGACTGTCAAGGCCGGAGGCAGCACAGCCTCTGTTGGTGTGGCATTGCCAGATGGACACGTTGAGCTGGCTAATTTGGGCGATTCGGGCTCTGTCTTGCTTCGTCGTGCGGCTGTTCACCACTATTCGATCCCGCAGACACATGACTTCAACACGCCATACCAGCTCAGCATTATTCCTCCCCGAATGCGTGCTCAGGCCTCTACATTTGGTGGAGCGTATCTTGAGGACTTTCCCCGCGACGCGTCCGTCACCAATGTTCAAATGCAGCACGGTGATGTGCTGATGCTTGCTACGGATGGCGTCTTCGATAACCTCAATAATCAGGACATCCTCAAATTGGTAACCAGCAGGATGATTCTTACGGGTGCTTGGACTGCTGCTCCCGATGTCGCGGTAAATGTGTCCGATAATTTGGCTGCATTGACTGTGCCCGGTGGTCTTGCTGAGGTTTTCCACCCTCCCTCATCCTCTGAATCTATAAGAGACGATCACGACGACTTGTCAAAACGCTTAGAATCCACCTTGACACTCCAATCCCTTCTCGCAGCCTCGATAGCCGGCGAAGCCAAAATCGCCAGTGTCGATTTCCGTCGTGATGGGCCCTTTGCTAAGGAAGCTCAGCGCTACTACCCAGGCGACTATTATCGCGGGGGCAAGGTTGATGACATCTGCGCCTTGATAATTGTCGCAGTAGACGAAAGCCTCGTTCCTGGTTCTGAATAGATTTTGGATCGGGCTTGATTTATATGCTATCATTTCTCTGCATTATGGGGCGCCGGTTGTTTGATATTGGGTTGTTGGAGGGGGGGGGGGTTGGCTGCTGGTTGGTATGCATACTCACCCGAGGCCTCGGTTTTGCCGGGCTTGATACCGTAATTTGTTAGACTTTCAACCATTGCAAAATGAGTCTTGGAAAAATAGAGATCCTGCATCTTTCCTTCGCGCACCAAACAACCCCCCTATACCATGGTGCTAGTCTCTTTTATCCGGTCACTAAGGGGTAGCTTTCTGCCACGTTCTACAGCCCCTGGGTCTTTCCAGGTTCCATTTTTCTAAAACCTAGTTTTGATCAGTGACATTTTCGATTTCGTCAATTTCATACTCGAACATTCAACGCAACGCAATTTTCCTCCACTCTCGAGAAAACAAGACGCTCTCCCATGTGCCGTTAAACGACCCCCACATACAGAACCAGGAGACAGACAAGAGGGGAAAGTAGTAATTAGCGCATTTTTCATTCGAACAAAACAATTTGCTAGATAGATCCAGCCCCAATTGCGAATACAAGGTGAAAGACGAGTGGTTATCACAGAAACCTCAGATCAGGTGGGACAGAGACAGAAAAGAAAGGCGACAAAGTAGAGCATCCAAACCTGTTCATGAAAGAGGAAACAGTCACATAGAAATAGCAGATGCTAGACAAGATTTAGGCGCTAGCCTCCAGGATCTTCTCTTCGGCCTTCTCCTCGGGTTTCTCAAGCTCGGTGGTCTCCTTCTCGGCCTCGGTCTCTTCGGGCTTGTCCGCGTCAACATCGGGCATGGGGGTATCTTCGCTGGCAGCCTTGGTCTCAGGCTCTTTCTCCTCTTTGGTCTCAAGCTTGGGAGTGTCTGCGCCCTCGTCTTCCTTGGAGCTTCCGTTTGTAGTGGGCTTGGCATCCTTGTCACCCGCAGGGGTACCGGAGTCCAGAACGGGCTTCCAGCTCGACAGGATGTTCATGGCACGTTGACGGAAGTTGAACTCCTCATCACGAGGAATGGTGTTGAGCTTCACAATCATCTTCAGAACCTTGTTGATCTTGGTCGAGCGAATAATCGAGACTTCCAAATCAGTGTGTTTCTCCAGCTTGGCGAAATAGGTAGCCATCTCGTCTTCATTGGGTGGCGCATCACGGGAAATGAATCCTTTCTGAAGCTTGTGACGAAGGAAAAGAACTGCTGAAACTTAGCCTGATACATCCTCCGATTAGTGGTAAAGAAAGTCTGCAGCACTTACCCTCCTTCTCTCTTCTTCTTCTTCAACTCCTCGGGGTCGATCTGCTTCTCCGGCTCCTTGGCCTCAACAATCTCTTCTTCTTCATCCTTGGCAGCAGCCTTGCCCTTCTTAGCTGGCGCCTTCTTGGTTTTGCTGGCAGGTGTTTTCTTTTCCTCGGCGGGCGCTTTCGGAGTAGTCAACTTCAGCTTGGTAGAGGTCTTGGGGGTCTTCGCGGGCTATAGATATGGATGCGTTAGTCGCTGTGCACATGTCACATTAACCCGAGTTCAAGATACACACCTTTTCAGCCTCAATTTCAGCCTCGTTCTTTCGTTTCTTCGAGCTCTTGGGCTTCTTCTCGTCCGCACCCTCCATGTCGACGTCGGTTTCAGCACCCTTGCTCTTGCGCTTGTTCTTCTTTGCCTTCTCGGCCTTGGCTGTGGCCTTTGCGTTCTCCTCGGCCTCGGCTTCCTCAATCTCCTGCTGCAAAGCAGCTTGGTGGTCTGCCAATAGATTCTTGAAATATTGCAGGTCGTGACCCTCTGCGGCAACCTTGTAGGCGGCGATTAGCCCCTTGGCCTTGTTCTTCTCGGGGGACATCCTTGCAGTCAGCAGGGTCGAGAGGAGTCAATTGAGTGTTTGGAACCCAAGCACTGTAGAGAAAATTAGTCAGACTCGGGCGAGAATAGGCATAGTGCCTCCATAGAGAATCCAGAAGAGTCCGCTTACAATTCGTTAGTCCCAAAGAACATCACGGGGAAAGTTCGCTCGTGTGCCCTCTTGCCGTCATCAGCGTAATCGGCGCGATAAGTTCCATCCGCTTGCATCGCGGTCACAGGGCGGTTGTCAAGCAGTGTTTTGGGCATGATTTCCTCATCGCAGATGATGGAGGGCCAAGGCGCATAGCTGCGCAAACGCGCCAGATAGTATTCACCCGGCTTCGCGTTCAGCTGGGTCAGGCGAGCTTGTGATTTCTTGCGGCTCAGTGACTTGGACTTATCGCCGACACCGCTGGAGCGGCGATGGTCCTTTGAAGACTTCTTGGCTGAAGCAGGAGTCCCGTTCGTCTCCGAGGTCGCATCTTCAACGTCGGCAGGCGCCGCGGTGCTGTCATCGTCGGCCTTGGGCTCCGTCGCGTCGCCGGATGCAGCGGGCTCCTCGCCATCAGCTTCGGGCTCTTTCTTGTCATCGGTGGTGTCTGCCGGTTCTGCAGATGAGCCAGTCAGCGCACGTTGGTCGCACAAAGGCACCATGGCCTGATATGAGGCAAAGGCTCCAAGCGGAAGCTCTATGGGTGAGTGAAGTAGGCAGATTGGGTCTTCCTTACCAGTAGTGATCTCGTCAGAGGCAGCGACAGTCTCGGAGACCTCCTGCTTGTCGGCCGAGGTGGGCTCGGGCTTCTCAGCCTCGGCAGGCACAGTGACGGGGTTGTCATCAGCCATGATGGCAAGTATTAGAGGTGTTGTACGGAATCTAGTAAAAGCGAGGGGAGGGGGAGGAAATGAAAGGAAGGGGAGGTGGAGGATGTGGAGAAGGCAGAGTCGCGCAGCTCGCGGGAAGGACGCGTTGGGGTCTGAGAACGGCAACCCAATGACGCCACAACCTTTCTGCCGAACCAAACGTTCTAGAACTCTTCAACTGTCTGGTTTTCCAGACCTCGACGAGAGTCGCAGATACAAAAGGACAGCTCAAACTGCGATGATCAGCGATGAATTGACCGTATGAAATGAATTACACCGTTGAGAAGGTCCCTGCTTTCGTAGGGGATTCACCTCAAGAGAAGATTTCGTAGCTTTCTACCTATGACGGACAGGTCCCAGATCCCTGAGTGTTCTAATGGGCATATATCTAGGTGCTCCCTTGTAGGCGTCGAGATCAGCTTCACGGGGGTTGGGCTTTGTGGAAAAAAGGTAACGTGTTGCAACAAATCACTAGAACGAGGCTTCTAGGACATTTTCGATCAATACTTTAATGTCGTAAGGAGTGTTTGTTCCCTCTTCTGGACCCTCTTTGCTCGGGGAGGTGAGGCTCTACCTCTATAGCTCCAAGGGAAGACTGACTGGACGTGGAAACACCCGGCAGGCAAATTGCACCAGGGTTTGCAGATCCGGGTTCCAGACAAGTGCATAGACGAGAGAAGGCCGTTGACCATGGAAAGGTGGTTACTTTTACAAGTCAAGCTCGCTCCATTTCCATGGGGTTGAGGTAACCGAGTATTCCACACTCGCATGCTCGCTCAGCCCAGATACCCCCAAAAGATTGAAGTCTTCACATCAGCATCCTTCACAATTCGTTGTACCCCATCGGCTTCACCGTCTGAAATTACATGATACCGGCCACGGATCTGATACCAAGAAGATATTAATTCTATTTGGACTAACGCAGACTGTATGAACGTTTGTACAGGTCTGTCAAGAGAAGCTTCAGAGAGCCCCGACACACGGACCAAGTGTGAGGTAAAGATAGCACCCGGTCAATATACATATGAATTTCCATCGACTCCAACCACATTCCATTAGCGTCATTGTTTCATGGCGTGACGACCTCCTAGCAACAGGGTCCCCGCTTCTTCCATCCCGGTGCGATGTATCTTTAGGCTAAAACAGCTTGACTGGGGATCACATCGTCTGACTCCCACCCGTCGGATGTATTGATGATCCTGAATGATGAGGGTTCCGGCTTGTAAATCCGCACAATCCAAAGGAAGCAGTCCTCAACAGGTAGCAGGTTCAGAAGCACGTCATTAAATCGCCAACCTAGACCGCAAACCAAGGCGCCCACAATGGCATCCAGTATGAAATGATTTGCCGTGGCCACGATGGCTACCAGGATCGTGAATGGATAGAGGAAACCCAGCACGAGACAAAGGGCACGGCGCCAAGAGGGCAGCCGGAGCCCAATAGGACCTAATCGAGTCCGGACGAGGCGACGATGATGCGGCGGGAGAGGAATTGTCAATATGGTGAGGCCGATCAGGAGTGAGTATCCGAAATGCAAGGAAGGCATTGCGGCTGTCAGAGTCAGACCGGGAGTTTTCCCAATGCACAGGGGATGAAATTCACTTACCATACTGATTGCAAAAGCGGTTCTCAGTCCACACGCTTCCCGCTCCGTTGACTCCATGGACAGTGTCAATGAAGCCATAGCTGCGTGCCAGCTCTCCCTCGGGGCCTTCGACAGTCGGATCACTGAGTAGTCGAGGTGGCATACATGGCCAGACGGTGAATACGACAAATGCGAGGAGATTGCACACGGCGAGAGACCTTCTCCGAGCTTGATATAACCGTGGTCCTGCCGGTGACCCGCTCACTGAGCCACGAGGTTTCCCCGGCTGTGGTTCATCGACACGATTCCGGGTGATGGTATAGTAATACAGCCAAACAAGGAACGCGATGGTGCCAGGAATATGGATGAATGAGTATATCCAGTTGATACATGTCATGGCCAAAGGATGCCGGAGAAACCAGCGCTGGATCCGAAGCTCCCAAAAGATTCCTAGTGCCTCCTCCGCACGAATCAACTGTAGAGCATGTCGCCGGGCGACATCAACGGTACCTTCCTGAAGGGTCACGGCGGTAAAGGCACGTCCGAGCTGATATGTCTGCATGGAGCGTGAGTGGATGTCCTTGAGGATAAATATGACGAGGTATCAGATGATGGAAAAGAATCAACGAACGTACCCAATACACGAGAGCCCAGTACCAGCATTCCACCAAGAAAGGCAATTTTCGAAGCAGGCGGCTGAGCAAACGATCCTGGAAAACAACGGTGTCTGGAGTTGACACGGCAAATGATAGTCCAAAGAATCCGACCTGTCGCTTGAGCCAGCCATCGTCGGAGATCTCAGCCGGTGGTGAACGACACCTCGGGCTCAACAGCCCATCTTTCGGGGTCGGGCTCGTGTAACCAGACTCTAGATGATCTGGGGAGTCGGCTCGTGGGTCATTAAATGACCGTCGACGGCTATGACTGTGAGCAACGGCAGATGTAGTCACGCGATTGATCCATGTTCCTCCAAAGAGAAGGACAATCACGACCAATGGTTCTAAGATGGCACCAACCCCCATGATCAAGATGGGCTAGCAGTCATATGGCAGGAAAAGAGGGCTGAGGGGTGGCCGCCACACATATAAGACCATACCGGAAGAATGAAAATAAGGTCCAACATCATTGTCAGTCGGGACCCAAAAACCAGGGTAATTTCCAGTTGTGACTATCTGGCATACAAACAGGGCAGGGACGGATGTTCGGAGCCACCGGATGCCGAATTGGATCTGAATCAACGAGGTTCCGACAGGTTTGAGCTAGTCAAGGTGCCCATATCCAGGGACTTGCACCATTGGCGCCCGAATTCTCCCCGTGGCATGGAGTCGCGTGCCCCCATTTGTTCTCGTACTTCGTAGTCGTATGCGGCGGAAAACACACAGCCCAAGCACCTTTCGCCATCTTGAGCTGGACAAGGACTCGGACCAGGCCGGTCATATTCTACGCTTGTCGGATCATTCAATTCCAGATCCACACCAGTCAGCCCAGTTCAGCCTTGACTCCAGATCGGTGGAGTGTCAGCGCGTTTCTAGCCAAGAGTGGAGCCAAGACCAGCGCCAAGACTTTATGAGGGTATGAGTTGGACAAAACCAGGATTCACCGACCGGGATCGATTGCGAATTTCCGGATTGGTTACCCTATCCCAAGCCAACGCGGACGTTACTCAGCGGACCGGGCTTCTAAGAGGCCGATGGCTCGGATCGGAGACGTGCAACAACCGGAATTCCTGTCAAGGTCTTTTCTGATTCCGAAATAGGGAATTTCCTTCGGTGCACTTCCGATACATCTTGTGTGCCTCGGTCGATCATTGACTAATTTTATGCTTGTGGGTCTCTCTATGCATCTCGTAGCTGTGGGCCGCGTTTTTCCTTGATTATGCATCGTCACTGCTCCCCTACTGGAACTCATATTTTTCGTGCGTGAGACCAACATCCTTACATTCCAGGAACATTCCCAGGTCCATCGGTCTTCTCTCTTTAATTACTTATAATTTATACCGCGGTGATAATCAATTATCTGATGTCATCTGGCGCAAGCCCCGGGGGGGGGGGCAAATTCAGAGGGTAACTGAGAATTTAGTTACCTCAGACTGAAGTGTATTTGACGTCAAAGCCGACAACTCAGTAGGAGATACGTGTTAAAAGGGGGTTCACAACGCCTCATTTCTTCGCTACTCCAATGGTCATTCATAGATAAGCATATCTTGAGAAACCAGCAAACGATTTTGAACATCATCCACTTAGCCGACTCCATTGTCTATCATATTGGCCACAATGTTCGGTCGGGCACCTCTCGCAGCGACCGTGCCCAAACAGATAGCAAGTTTTGGCTCTCTGAACCTAGCCAAAGCTGCCGCTTCCTTACAGCTCAGAGGCTTGTCCACATCGACCCCCGCCCGATCGGCACAGGGCGTTACGCTTTTACAAGACAAGGAGAATGGCTTTGGCTTCGCAAGATCCAACCCCAGGCCAGCAAAGCCGAGGGGCAAAGGAGTCACTGAAATAAGAGGGCCGTATTACTCGGTATGAACCATCAAGGAATTGTCACAGGGTGCTTGATCCAGCTCATGCCGGCCTAGGTCATGGGGAAGCGGTACCTAGCAGATGTACTTGAGACGTATAGATCATCCCTTCATATGGATCATTGGTTCAAGCCGTGACTGACCCTGGTCAATAGGATGGGCAACCACGTTGACGGATTGAAGTTTGCGGGCGGTTAGCCATATCATCCTGCGGGCCCAAGCAGAATCGCGAAATTAATACAGCATCTAGGCTCATTCTCTCTATTTGAGGAGAAACCACTGCGTGAGATCACAGAACTTGCTCATGAGTATAGCGTTTATGTCTCCACGGTAAGAATGAGAGAGCAGTGACTACGAATACCATGTGCTTATTGTGTAAAGGGCGGATGGGCTGAGCACCTCCTCACCCACCCTGACCCCAACGCCATGTTTGACCGCTACCTCACCAAGTGCAAGGATCTGGGGTATGTCCGTCCCATTTCCAGAAGATCACAATCTAGAACTTCTGGATGACGTTTACTATCAAGCTTTGATGTCGTCGAATTATCCTCTGGCTTTTTGTCGTTCCCAGAAGACGACTGGCTTCGACTCGTCGACAAAGTCCACTCATACAAGATGAAAGCCAAGCCTGAACTTGGTATTCAGTTTGGAGCAGGTGGAGATACTCCTGCATCTGGCCTGGAAGCCATCGGCACTTCAGATCCAGCCAAATTAGTTAACCTAGGTCGTAAATTCCTCGATGTTGGCGTTGAGCGCCTGATGATCGAGTCCGAAGGTATCACAGAGAACGTGAACTCCTGGCGGACCGATGTCGTGTCGAAGATCATGAAAGACCTTCCTTCCGAGGGAGTGATGTTTGAGGCTGCTGATCCTAAGGTTTTCAATTGGTACGTTCGAGAGTTTGGTATTGATGTCAACCTATTTGTGGATCATAGTCAGATCGTGCAGCTGGAATGTCTGCGCTCGGGTATATGGGGAACTGCCGATACTTGGGGAAAGATTGTCTCTTTCCGACCATAGGCTTAGGGTTTTGTTTGTATCAGAGGTCGGGCTGGTTGCAAGTGGGAGAAAGTCATTCATGTACTTTCCTTGGCGGGCCTGCTTGAAGGCGCGCCCCGGTATGGATGGTTCACCCTGGGAAAACCATGATCTAGGCACCTTTTTGCAATAATAATTTAAAACAGCAATGTTGGAGATACGTTCATCAAGGCAGATCGAACCCAGTTCTAAAGATGGAGAAGAGACGTTAGGAAATACCCATCGCGAGGCGAATGCGCTTAGTCAGTCCGTAGAGTCCGGGGAAAGCAAAGCATTCCCCGTTTCTTCTGATTTAGCATTGTGCCACCATGCGATAGATCCCCCTCAAGCTTCCTCATTTACGCAGGTCGATCCTCGAGAGAACGATCTCCGCGCTTCGATGCCCCTCTTGCGCCCGAGTTCGCCAAGCGTCCTACTGACCGGAAGAGCGGCGCACGCGCACGATGCCTCGTGCAAGTACGGCGCCTGGGGCGCGGCTCCGATGTCGCCGAGCTTGTGATAGTTGTAAGCGTCGGAAGCAAAAATGCAACGGAGAACAACCCTGCACAATCTGTGTCCAGAGACACAAGGAATCCGAATGTCATTTCTCGGACCGCCCCGCGCGTTTGCTCAAGCCCGATCCTAAAGACTCGACGATGCTGCTTAGTGAGCGGATAATGCCTTCTCCGCAGCGGGAAACGGCGATGGATCGCCTGTTAAACTCCCTTGAGGACCGTGGAACAGATCTGGAACAACAGGCCAGAGATGAAAAGGAGGGTGCGGCGCCGGTGCCGAAAGTGGCGCGACTTCTCCGAGATGGGCAGGGCAAGTTCATGTATATTGGGGATTCTGCGAGTCTCTCATTCTTGCAAAGTGTTCGTCGTGTAGTGTCTTCCGCTATCGGTCGTTGCGAATTCACTGAAGACAATTCGAGACACTCTATGCTCGAGGCATTCCAAAGTAACCCGACCACTCAGCCCGGATCTCTCGTCCCACCGCCCAGCAATGAAGAGGCACAGCGACTGGCACAACAATATGTTCTTGCGACTAACCCTTTGCTGGACCTGTTTGATCTAGAAGAATTTCACCCAAGATTGGCCAGCTGGGTCGGCAATCCTACTGGAGACGAAGACACCGTCAGCTCCATCTTCTACCTCGTTCTTGCCATTGGTGCCCAAGTCTCCGACATCAACCAAATCCAGGCTGAGCAGTACTTTAGCAGTGGACGTCAATTGGCATTTGCCGCATTCCAAGAGACGCCGAGTATTCACACTATCCAGTCTTACATCTTGGTATCGATGTACATGCTCGGCGCATGCAGGCGAAATGGCGCTTTTATGAACCTGGGAATTGCTCTCCGCGCTGCCTACGCTGTCGGTATCCATCGGAAGGACGCAAATGCACTCTTCTGCGGTCGAGAACGGCGTGCAAGAGAGCGAGTATGGAAGAGTCTCCGCATGATGGACCTGTTCCTCAGTGCCTCTCTAGGCCGTCCACCAGCAACGTCAGACTACGACCATGATTTGCGCGAAGATCTAGCCGCAACTGGTGACGAGCAGAGAAATTTCACTCCCGATCAACAGCTTTCGGCCGCGGTCATCTCCTTATGCAGGATTTTCGAACGCATTCTCACCGACGTCTATATGAAGCAAGTCATCTCGATCAATGTTGCTGAAGCCATCTCAAACCAACACCGCGCTTGGGTGCGCACTCTACCATCAGTACTCAAATTACAAACTGGACCACTTGATAATATGACCATGGGAGACAGTCTCGCCGCGGCCCATGTTTTTGGATCTTATTATTGGTCCATCATTCTCCTCACACGGCCATTCCTCGTTTACAGTGTGGCACAATATGTCAAGAGCAAAGCTGACCTAAATGTCTCATCTGATCAAAGGAACGGCAGCTCCCGTATTTCTCTTTTCGCCGATGCATGTGTCTACTCTGCCCTCCGAGGCCTCGACAAAGTGGATGACCTCAGCCGCTTCGAATCTCTCCCACGACGTCTACCCTTTTTGCTCAACTCAGTCTTCAATTCTGCCGTCGTTCTCGGCGCTGCCTTCTTTGCCGATTATGATTATCTGCTCCCTCTCGAAGAGGGCATGAACAAAGCCGAGCGGTTCCTTGGACTATTCGTTCCGCACGACCCTCACGCCTGCCGATTCTTCCAAATCGTCAAGTATCTTCGTGGCGCTGTGACCGAATACATCCACCGCCGTAACCGTCAATGGATGGAACGCCGAAGCATGCAGGTGGATCAACTATTCGGCCAGGTTGGCGGTGGCAGTGAGCCCGGATCTCTCCCCTCAAGCTCAGTTCAAGACATTGTCCAGTCCAGTCCGCAGAGCCAAGTGCATCACCATTCCCCAGCAGTCCCATCTCCTACATCGCCCGGTAAACTCGGCGGGATGACTTCGTCATCTTTTCTTGCCGCACGATCACAGCCTTCCTCCGGGCCTCAACCACCAGGCAATGATGTCTGGGATGCACTCTGTGGCGGGTTAGATGGAGGGGCCATGTCCTATGATGCTGCTATCTCGGCGTTGACCACCTCTGGTATTCCAGTCGGCTGCTCCCCTGGCGGTACTGTTCCTTCCGGGCAGCCACCGCTCTCCGGCGGTCCTTCTCCGCTTTCTGATGTGATGTTTCCCGAGAACGGACTGCTGTATATGGCCGAAGATCTCCCAGTATTCGGCATCTGGGATGATGCTGGGCCTTCCATCTGAGCTCAAAGCATTCCTCGGGGGGCCAGCTCTGTGGGAGCTTTCTTATTTCTCTTATTTAGACTTGTGATTGACAGCAGGGTGTCTCGGCGCAAACATCATCGGCAATTTGGTGCCTGTTTTTGACATTTTCAAGCGGCCGATACATGATTTTATGATACTCCTATGACATCTGATATAATTTACCATACTCTATCTCTATGTGCCTCTTGTCTATAATATTGCTACAAAGCTTTTATGGATCTTGAATTTGTAAAGCAATTCAGCCCCTCTCACATATAGCGTGACTCGACTAATACCTCTGGCTCGACGTGGCCTTGAAGTCCATGTGTGAAAGGTCTTATCACAATTGATCGCTATCTAAGTGGCAGCGTTCCTCCGAAAGAAAGCACGCTACGCATCACAATGCAGCTGGCAAAACAACCTAAGTTACATGAGTTATCCAGGGCATCACGTCTTGACCACAAGGAGAAGACATCAGATATGCTGCTCACAGGTTATTCGACAGATAGCAACAGGGGAGGAGGAACAAGGAAATCAACAAAATAGCGTAACCGTCCAGTGACATAGGGAAGGATTCAAGAAAACGAGCGCGTTCAACGGTAGCGTTGCCTTGAGCATGAAAATATGAGGGAACAGGATGCAGGGCGTAAGCGAATGGTTCAAGGCGCGTGGGGGAGAAACGATGACAACGGCTCGCTAAGTGGAGTTGTGCAAGGAAGCCAGACTCATGGCATTGGTACGCGCTGCGTTAGGATGCGGGCCATGATATGTACTCATTTCAATTCAAAGCTCGAGATTGAAACACAAGGTGGAATATGTAGAACTGCCATTCACTGCGGGGAGAAAATTACAGGGCAAACAAGGGGAAATGGAAGGGGCAATTGGCTTTGCCCGAAAGTCAGAATTATATATGCGCCAGCCGAGAGAACGAAATGGTTCCCAGAGTTGCCACCGCAATTAAAAACCGAAGGGGTTTGTGGGCGCTATTTGTGTTTTGCTGGTTAGCTCCTAGACTATCAATTTAAATGCATCAAAACACTTACTAGCTTGGGACAGATTGGCCCTCATTCCCGTTGGCTGTGGAGCAAGCTTTTTCGGAGCATCTGACTTGACACCAAATCTGACAGACGGAGGAGGACCTGTCTTCTGAGGCGACAGAGGCGTGGCCGTGGGTTGCTGGGGGATTGGTGGAACCGGGGGTGGCGATGATGCATTGTAGTGTCCAGCTCCGAACCCGTTGGCGCCAGTCGGCTGAGGCTGCAAAGCGGGGGGGAAGCATAGAGTTGATACCGATCTGCATCGGCCGCTGGGGATGAGAGTACCCGCCAAAGCCAGTTTGCTGCGGAGCAATTCCTTGGAACCCTGCGTACAGTCCTGGCTGGCCAGTAGCATAGGGAAGCGGCTGCTGCTGCTGCTGCTGGATCCCGAATTGCGATTGGGGAATAAAGCCAGTCGGCTGGGGCATCAACCCGTTCTGTAGCTGAGGTTGACCGATGAAGCCTGTCATTTGGGGCTGCATACGCTGCTGAACCAATTCGGTCAAGCTCTGCCCCGGAGCAGCGATTGGCGGCCCTGCCTGAGGAAGTCCTGTCAATTGTGGCTGCAATGGAGGAGGTCCAAACGAATTCTGTTGCTGTGAAAAATTCTGTGGCGCCGACAGTGGGCGCTGCGGAGGTGGGGGAAGAAGCGAATTCTGGTTAATATTCTGTGGCGCCTGAGGGCGCTGTCTAACCTGTGACTGTTGGAATCCAGTCTGCTGAGGACTAAAGCCCTGAGGCTGTTGCTGTGCTATTTGATTGAAGAAGCCAGGGGTAGCACCAGTCTGCTGGGGCTGCACCGGCGGAGTCTGCGCAGCAGTTTGCTGTGGTTGAAGGGCGGGAATGGTGGAGACTGGCTGTGTGGCAGTCTGCTGCGCAGGTATAGGCTGGAGCGGAGCTTGAAGCAAGGACAAGTCAGCCATTGCACCCGTGACCTGCTTCTGGATGACAGGCGGCGAGGAGGCAGTCCCAGAGGGAGTGGAATTGATCGGCGCAGCAGCCGTGGTCTTAGGTTGCTTCACTTCCCATGCATCATCGTCAAATCCACGCGCGACAGGCTTCTCAGGTGCAACTGCTGCTGCAGGACTAGCGGCTCGCTCTTCCTTTGTCTGAGACTCATCGGCCTGTTCAAAGGCTTTGGGATCAACAACGTCACCCGCCTGGACGGCTGGAGCCGGTCTACCCTTTCGAGTATTGTTGCGCAGTGTACCACCAGGTCCAGCGAAAAGTCCACCTTGGCCGTCCTCAATAACCTCCTCTCCACCAAAGCTTACATTCCGAAGTTTATTTTTGGCACCGGTGCGGCCAAAAATGGTGTCCAGGTGTCGCATGACTCGGAGAATATCGCCCTCCTTCAAGCCCAAAGTGCGAAGGGTCTCGGGGGAAATGTCAGGCAAGACGGATTCATCCATGGAATCCTTCAGGAAGTTCTGGGCGTAGCGCTCACATTGGTGCGGTCCGACGCCAGCTTTGAGGAAGAAATCGAACCAGTCGTACTCGGGGCGCTGCACAGACGCGCCTGCAGAGCCGCGTTTGCCGTCGGAGGTAGCCCGGGCACGAATGCTCGACAGAGGCTTGTCCTCGTCCAGAGACACACCGGCAACCTTCTCCACATACTCCAGATCGTCAACAGACATCTTCGCCACTGGGACCGCAATCTTGATTCCGTTGACCTTATGCAGATGGATCTTGCCGTCTTGAAGGCCGATGAACTGTGCCTCAACCGTGAAAGCCTTTGACCGATCGGTCCATTTCCTCACCTTGCTCGGGTCAGGTTTGGACTTTGACTTGCTCTCGCGCTTTGAGTGGCGGTCGGTAGAATCCATAGAGTCCGTCCTAGGCTTCCCAAGGGCTGCTTTAGCCAGTCGCTTTTCCTCCAAACGGTTCTTTTCCACTGTTGATAGACCAGATTCCACCCCAGACGGCTCCAGACTTACAAACCCAGTCACTTCAACGTAGCTGCTGGGGACCACTCCTTCTTTGCCGTTCTTCATCCGCCGCACCATCCACCACTCTTCGGACTTGGTATCATCGACAACAACAACTTCATCACCCACGTCCACCGTCACCTCATCATCGCCCTGTGCCGTGAAGTCATACAAAATGGTGCCTTTCTTCTGGCCACCGCCTCCTTTTCCAGCGGCAAGAACCTCTCGTAACCCTTCGGCCCGATAGGCTCCGGCGATGTCGCCAAGTGCGGCCACAATCTCCTGGGCAGTATCCTTGGCTCCAGCATGGAAATCCACGCTCTTGCTAGGTCGAACAAGGTCGACGAAGACATGCTTACCTTCAATTGAGTAATGAGTGAGCTTGTCCGCAGTCCATTCTTGCTGGCGATCATCGCCCTCGGGAGAGATGAAGATGATTCCGGTGACCATATTGATACCCAACGTTGTTGGCATCTTCTTCCGCTTGCCCATCACCTCGACCATTTCATTGATGTTGTACATGTGGTAGCCCGAGGGAGACCGCGGTGTCATTTCGCCAGCCCTGTTGTAGGGAGGGGACGCTTTCACATGAGTTCCATCGCGACCCATCGAAAGAGCTGCCGCCTGGGTACGCCGGGGCGGGGAGGCACCAGCCGAGCGCGATTGCAGAGGAGGGGTAGCCCAATTCTCTAACTGTTCGGACGGGGGTCGGCGCGGCAGAGCAGGCGCAGGGGGGTTCTTCTTCGTCTTCATCGTACGAAGGTCGCGTTGGGAGCCGAGGAGGCGGAGGTTCATCTCTGGTGGGCTTTACTTGCGCGCTCGCGGGTGCATGCTGCTTGTGAATAATATCCGCAATGGCGGCTGCGGCGGGGTTCTGCACCGTATTGATAGGGGACGCCGAGGGTGACGCGTCATACTCTTCCGAGGAAGCCTGCGTCGGCCGCTGCGGGAGAGACGGAGCTTCGGGTTCGTATTCGGGCTCTGCGACTGGGGCAGGAGAGGGAGCCACGGCCTGAGCAGTGGGCGCAATATCCTCGAGGATTTCAATGTAATTTGAAGGTGCAAATCCACAGTCCCCGTCAGTCCCAACCAGGGTCCAGTCCGGATCCGAAGTGTCATAAACGAGCACGTCAGCATCTTCTGAGAAAGAAACCTCCTCGTCTGTTTGCCGAGTATAGTCGAAAAGAGCCTTGGCGTTGTGGATCGGTTGCGCCTATACAATGGGTCATCGTAAGCATCACTCAATTGCTCGGATATAGACACGACCATGTACTCAATGCGCGAAATCCGCTTTCAGGTCCGCGCAATTCCGGACATAGAAGACTGGAAAAGTTGTGCCCTGTAGCGCATGAGTGGTCCGGAGTGCTTACCTTTTCGACGTAGTTGTTCGGAACTAGACCTTCAGGCTCGTCTTCGTCGTCTGGCTCTGCCTTTTTCTTGGCCTTCCACCAATCATCCTCGGCATTCTTCTCTATGATGTAAAGCAGATCGCCCTCGTGAATTTCCAGTTCGCCTTCACCCTGAGGCTGGTAATCATACACAGCCGTGTAGACGCCCAGGAAACCCATCGTTCAACGGCGACCCAGACTAATCGACCTCAATGCCAAATGACCAGAATCCCCTAGCGCTACTGTTGGCGGCGTCTGCAGGGGGAGGGGCCGGGGGAGGGGATGAGAGGGGAAGTCCAACTCGAATTGTCGACCGGAGGGGGTTGGTCTTTGGGGAGAATGGCGGCGTTGCCTCAACCCTAGCGGGGAGTTTTCAGGCGGGCAAGGAGAGGTCAATGAAAGAGAAGCCACGCGCAGAAAGGACCGAGCCAAGCGCGGGCAAAGGAGAGTTGGGAGAGAAGTGAGGGTTGGGATCAGGGAGGTGGGAAGGTGGGCCGGACGATCGCTAGGAGGTTCACGGTCACGTTCCTTACGTAGTTGCGTTGCCTCCCCCGACTTTCTGATTTGCTTCACTTGAGCTTGCACCTCCCGTTTAATCACTCTTCGAATTTCTTCTTATCTCATTCAATTGCTGCGAGATCAACCCGAAGCATGTCCGTACCTGGTCTCCTACCTGTCTCCACTCGGCTACCGGCAACTGGGGCATCTGACGTCTTTGGGCATGAAGCTAGCCGGCCGTTCCTGGCGCTTGGCCTTCTACTCTACATCTAAGTTACATCATGGAAATTGTGATATAATTTGCAGATCCGAAAATATATGAATTTTTGAGAATGGAAACGTCAAAGTCCGATATCTACTGTACAAAGTTCCATTCTTCATAGTTCATCTTTGAAGGTTTCTTCACTTCCTTCTTGGTCGTCAGCCTCCGTACCTAGGGTTACCGGCTGTGATTTCGAATCACCGCTGGCCCTGTGTTCAGGTGCCACGGCTTCTGTTGCTTTGGTGTCTTTAGCTTGGGGTGCAGCCTTCTCTTCGTTCTGCTGCGCCGGTGCTTCATCATCGTCGGGGACAACGCCCTGGAACTTGATCACTCCATCGCTCTCGACCACTTCCAGACTCCAGTCTTTGCCCTTGGCTAACTCCTCTAGTCTTTTCCCCATTTCTTCGACTCTTTCGGGGCTGAGGTCGTATTTCTTCAGCATCTGCGAGGATACAGGTTTCATCTTCCCGTTCTCACGTTTTGCAACCACGTCCACGACTCGCTCCTCCCCTACAGATGCCACTCGGCCCTTCTCGATCTGCTTACCCTCCATGCCCACCAGCTTTTGCCCACCTACCACGATCCCTCCGACGAGTTTTATCTCGGGTTGGGGCTGAGCGGTGGCTGAATCCTCTAATTGATGAGACGTAAACCACTCTTTCACGGCCTCCCACTCGGGGACGTCCTCGGGCGTCAGGATCTCGCGACATTCGATATCATGAACTTCATCCTGCTGAGGCGGCATAAAGGCAACATCGTCACAGAGTCGAGGGGTGTAGATAACCATGAGGTATGAACAGGTAGTCAATTCTTTGATCCATCCAATCTGGTCCGTGGACTGCGGATGGCAGTGAAATTGCACTTCGACTCTGCGGTCGCGTCCAGTCAGGTCACATTTGGTGCCACCCCGTAGATGTTGCACAAGATAGCGCGAGCCTCCCTTGGTGTGTAGTTCTGCCACATCGGTCGGGTATGTCTGTCTGTGCTCCTGCTTACCCTCTTCCTTGTCACTTGCATCGGCCGGGAATTGTCCCAAGACAAAGGAATGAGTGTTCGGGTCTTCCATAGGTGGATAATTCGGAACGCCACGACCTGCGGCGAGTGCGTGGAATTGCTTGATCTGCTTTCGGTAGCAAAACGAGTAAGACCACCAGCCGGAGAAGTAGTACATGCACTTGTCCTCCATTTCGCGTAAAAGTTCAAGACCGCGATCTGTCGCGCGAGCCAGCTCCTTCTGTTCGTCTACTTCCTCCGCTTGGCTATTCGTCTTGTTCGAATCATCCGTCACGCGCGGGATCTGACAAAGGAGTCTCCGGTCATCCAAAATCATCTCTTCAAAGGTATAGTCTGGTCGGGTGGCCTCCTGCCCGCTCCGCGTCGAGCCATCGGTGGAATCCTTGGGTGTGTACACTTGAGGGTTGCTCGATGGGCTCTCGGAGCTGGCCTGTGTGCGAAGCAACTCTTCGGCTTGAGAATCAAGGATGTATTCTTCTGGGAAGGTTACTTGGTACTTCGTGTGATCATAACAGTCAGAGCGAGAGGTTACTCTAGAAGCTTCGCGCCGGGTCTCACGACATACCTGTGGATAGGCCAGAAGATCATCGTGGATATTGAAAGGCCGCTTATCTGGTGACGCGGTGGCTGCGGCACAGGCTAGCATGAGCCATGGCGCAAATGTCCACCTAGTCTGGCCCATATTCACGACTATTTTGAAGTGATCGCAAGAGACGGATGACGTTTGGGTATGGGGTATAAGCTTTGTGCAGTCCCCCGCCAGGGCACTGACGGCAATGAGCAGAGAGTTCCGCGTGAAGTCTGGAACAAGGAGGGGTATCTCAGTTGAAACAGTAAAGACCAAGAAGAGCAGTGGACGCTGATGCGATCCTGGTTGGAATTGGGCGGAGAGCGGGAGCTGCTCCGTGGCCTTTATCTGGTCTGATAGCGATCCGAGCTATGACAACCATCGGACGTGTGGTGACCCCTGGAGTTACCACTCTAAGGGCTCATACATATGTAGGCTAGATCGATCAATTGGACACCAGCGGTGGTTACTTTTGTACAGAATTGCCCAGTTTCTTTGAGTTCCAACCGTTTCTTGATAATACAACGACCGCGGTGGCTTAATGTACGTCTACTGTGAAGTACAAATGCCCATTTGATTGAACCACAAAGAAAATCAAAATATCCCCACAGAGTTTCTGAAAGCCCGGTGTTAGTCACACACACACTTCAACATTTACAATCACCAAAAGAGGATCGGACATCATTGACACCTGATTCCGAAGGCACCAAGAATGCTGACGTGAGTCTTGGTCAGAGCGGCCTTCTAGAACTTACCACATGATTGGCTACCGTTGCCCCAGACTTCGTGAACGGTCGCTGACTGATGTCTTGCAAAGCAGTTGCTAAGGAAGCCTTTGTGGGGGTTGACTAACGCTGATCTTCTTATATTTCTTTTGCATTCAACCCGAATCTTCCATATCTCATCACTGGGGTATAAATAAACGTTGACCTACCCATGCGGCTACTTCTGCCTGTTACAATCTGCATTACTGCAATCTTGTGGGCCTATCGTACCTCGATTCCCGACTTTTTCGTCACTTTAATACAACAGCGAGCTCCAGAAAGCCTGTCGCGCGTTTTGACACGTTCGACCATTAATACAGCTGCTTCTTTAGCTCTTCAATTCGACTTGGATCACTCGATTCCCGACGTACTTCCCGTGTCTAAGATGTCTACAGCTCGAGCAATTCGTCAAGTCTTCCTTGCCGTTGAGCAGGCCGAGGGTGCAGGTGCCCGCGTCCGACGCTCAATCGGCACTGCCAAGCTGCGCAACTTCAGTCCTTTCCTTATGCTTGACCATTTCACCATTGGCAAGGGTGCTGGTTTCCCTGATCACCCTCACCGTGGCCAGGAGACCATCACCTATCTGCTCTCCGGCGGCGTGGACCATGAAGATTTCGCAGGCAATAAGGGCACCATTGGCCCTGGTGACTTACAGTTCATGACAGCTGGTCGTGGTATCATGCATGCCGAGATGCCCCACGAAAACGAAGACGGCAGCCCCAACGTGGGCATGCAGCTGTGGGTGGATCTGCCCCAGAAGTTGAAGATGTGCGAGCCGCGCTACCGTGACTTGCGCGCGACCGAAATTCCTATTGCAAAGGCTGATGAGGGCCGTGTGACCATCAAAGTTATCTCCGGACAGTCGCACGGTGTCGACTCTGTCCGTGACTTGGCCTACACTCCCGTCTGGATCTTGGATGTCACCATCCAGCCTGGTGGTCGTCTATCTCAGGCCTTGCCGCAGGGCTGGAATGCATTCGCCTACACCCTCGCTGGTGACACTATCTTTGGCTCGAACGATTCCACTCGCATTGTGAAAGAATTCCATAACGTTGTCTTCGAGCAAAATGGTGATTTTGTTGAGGCATCAGTTCCCGACAATGCAGAATCCGAGACCCGTTTCATGATCATTGCTGGTCAGCCCCTGGACCAGAAGGTCGTCCAGTACGGCCCCTTTGTATTGAACAGCCAAGAAGAGGTCTACCAGGCCATGCTCGACTACCAGACCGCGTCCAATGGGTTCGAGAGAACTCGTGGTTGGGAGAGTGAAATTGGCAAACGCATGGGTAATTAGAGAAGGATTTTCTTCAACGTGGTTTTACAAGATTGTATAGCATGGGAAACTGGAGTTGAGCTATTTTGTGTTTTAACCGAATGATGGAATTCTACGAATATTTCGAAATGAAAAGTGGGCATTTGAGCCGCTAGATATCATTCCCTAAAACCCCAGCACTTTGTAGAGAATGCATATAAAGATCAGTCCTCTTTATCGAAAAGTACGCAATAGTCAGCCCCCGAATATCTCGCAAATCTTCAAACAATCTCTTTCTGAGCAATTCCGTCAACGTTCAGTTTGGCGCCCATAGTGCCAATCACGTTTACACCTCGAGGAACTCGCAAGTCGCGGATCTTGAAGCAACCAAAGACAACGAGTCTGGCTAAATTTGGGCAGCATCGGAAGATGCTCTGTGCCAGAAAGTCATCCACGACTCCCTGGAATGCGATATCGAGATACTTGAGTTCGGGATATCGTTTGTGCTCAGAGAAGACCTCCTCGTATGCCGCGTATGAAATGTGACGACAAGAGGCAATGTTCAAAGTCTCGAGTCTGGAGCCTGAGTGTTCCATCAGAGCAATAAAACCATCCGATGCCAGACCCACAGGCTCAACAGGTCCAGCAGGGTTGGACATGTCTACATCACGAAGGCCGTGGAAATCCACAAATCGCAAGGGTGGATTAGACCAACCCCGGAAGAGCGCTGCCAACTCTTTGTCAGTACACAGCTCGTTTTTGGTGAATCGAAGCTTGCTAAGATTATGGCAATGCTCGTGGATGTGTTGCAAAAGCCTGTCATCTGCGAGTGGGAATTCATCCAGAGATAGAGAGCGTAGCTTGAAACCGATCTCAGTGATAACCTGTAGCAGGGGCTCCGGGCTAGTCTCCTGGCTGAAATGAAGTGACAAGTGCTCTAGGTTCTTCAGCGTTGCTATCGATTCAAGCGCTTTATCGCCAATTTTCCAGAGATATTTCAGTTTCAGACGTTGGAGACCGGAACAACTCTTGCACATGATCTCCATAGTTTCGTCGTCAAATGCAGAGTCAAGATTCCACAACTTCAGACTTTGCAACCGGGGGCCCAGCTTGGTGAAGAATTGGCGCCAGCATTCGTCGGTCACAAGATTCGGCGAATCCAGATGGAGGTCTTGGATATTCATGTCGCGATCCACCATATACTGGAAAATACGATCCTTCATCGGCGTGACGAACCGTAGGTTCAGGCGAGTCAAAGCCGGCATGGACGCAAGGATCTTGTGGTAATCATCGGTGTCGAGCCCTAAACATCTGATCAATATACCATCGTGTTGTAGTGGAATTGAAGGAGGTACATACTTGCACAGTCGTAAATGTTGATCTCCCTGTGGTTGGGTCGTAAGAAAAGATCTAGGGTCTTTGAGGTCACTGCGCGTTTTCTGGATAAGATTTGGCTAAGACGATGCATCACTGGAGGAGGAAGGTCGCCGAACTCTTCCACGTCGTCGATATGTTCGGCCACTTTCTAGACAATGATTAGTCACATCAGCCACGACGCAGAAGATAGAGAACAAACCTTAATACATGTCTCTAGCAAGCTCTGGGTGCCATGAGGGGACATGCCATCTAGCAATTTGCTCTGATTTTGACGACGCCCGATACCCGAGCTGCGCTTCTTGGCCGGTGCCTTTTTACCGCCATCGGCATGCTTCTTAGAGCAGTCTGCGCAGAGAAGCCCCCCCAGCAGGGCCAGTCTTGCTGTACGCAGTGACCGTGAAGCGCTTGCCACAGAGTTCACAATTGTCCAGCTGACCTGGAACAGGCCGCTGCTTCTCATTCATTATAGTATTCGCCAAATCATCGTCATCGTCGTCCGGCTCCGCAGTTCGGCGGGCCTTGCGGCGGGCGAACTCCTTGCTCTTCTTGATCTTTTCGATGGCTTGCTGGCGCTTGCGCTTCTTAGTTTTCGCTTCGGGGGACTCTGCTTCTGATGTAGGCTCGTATTCGGGTTCTTCTTCTTCCATTGCAGCGGCTCCCTCCTCCTCTGCAGCCTGGCGCGTCGCATTCGCCAGCCGGCGGTCGTAATCATCGCGAATTTGTGCCGCAGAGATATTATTGGACTATTGATGCATTGTCAGTTTGGTCCAACTAATGGTTCAATAGATCACATACAGCAAGGAAATCCGTCAAAGCGGAGTGTCTGTTAAGCATTGTTAGTACCGGCGAAATCAGTATTCAGATGAAGTCATACGGGCCCCGGATGTTCCTTCCCTGCCTTCGCTCAGCCCTGGAGAATGTTAACAATGATTCGAAGCCTCGTCAATCGAGAACGTACATTGTGACCAGAGACAATCCGAAATAGTGGTGAGAGGAGAGATGTGATGTTCCCGGGCTTCCCAAGTCTCGTGGCAGTTTCGCGTTTCACTTAACGCGAGGCTCTTATCAGGTGAGATAAGTGACGATTCACTCGATTCGCGATCTCGATCTCGATCTCGATGACGATGACGATCACGCACCCAGTAGAGACAAGGGGAGGAATGATATAATGCCCTTGGGGATGGCAAATATCGGGTCCGAATGAAGAATTTTCTTGGTTCAGGCACCTGGATCAATCACTTTTTCCGACCTCCAGACTGCTCCTACGATTTCCCCCCTTTCACCTCCGGTCTTTCCCTGATCTCTCTCACTATCGTTCAGTCTCAAATCGTTGACCTCTTATTGCTCATATTGTCGGGCATCACATTCGTTGCTTCGATCATTCTCACTCCAACCTCGGTACCCTTCATATTCGTGTGTCGCCACTCCGAGGACTCATCCCAAGCGAACTTTCCAGTATTGGACAGCCCTCACTCCGTTCAAATAACCGATTGATTGATTTTGCTTTGAAACATCTTATCTAACTTGAGTAGATTGTCTTTGGCAGTTCTCTGATTTTTCCTCGCGTCTCCCAAAATCCCGCGAAGTTTCTGTGACTTTATACAAGCGTCAAAGATCTCCAGCATGAGGAGGCCTAGCGCCATCATAACTCCCGTCTCCGAGGATGACGTGCAGTCAAGTTCAGCGTCATTAAAGCATTCTTCACCCCTCCGTCAAGCGGTATCCCTGCGACGGGGTGGGTCATCCCTTTCCCGATCTCGAACAACTCGCGTCATCCCTGATTCCGAAGATGAAGCCGACGGTGGCTTCGATGGACCGAGCCCAGTGTCGAGAAGGACAAGAACTCGTGCCTCAGGAAACTTCGAAGTCGTGATACCTGCGAAGCAAGATGACACTCCCACCGATTCGCCTCGGAGCTCTCTGGGGAGCACGTCTGTCGACGGAGCCACCGGGCTGAGCACGCCAGCAACCAGTGTTGGTGGTGCCGCAGAATCAGACATCAAAAAGTCCCGGAAGCGCGTTAATGCATCGGAACGAGTTGCACGTCTCCAATCAAACACTATCACCAGAAGAACTTCTCTCAGAGGCACTAAAAGATCTGCGGCAGCTATGGAAACAGACCAAGAAGCCATCGATGAGGCACTAGCGCGTGCACTCCAAATGGATGAGTATGGAGAGCCACGTATCAAAAAGCAGCGAACTGGCTTCGACGATTTCGAGGACTCAGCTCGAAGTCTTGCAGAGAGGCTGGACGCGATGCCTCCCGACACAGAATTTTCAGAGAGTGAACTATCGGATCGGATTACACCTGTGGATACCGAAGAGGAAGTCGTCTATCAACCCTCGGGCTCAGATTCAGAAAATGAATTCTTTTCCGCAAGCGAAGAACGAGAGAATCGACGACTTCGAGTTCCCGTCCCACCTGAAATCAATGCCGGCGAGGACGAATTGCCAACCTGGGAAGAACAGCGCAAAACTCGCCGAGTAAGTTTTGAATTTTGGATATTATCTATACACTCACTGAAATCCTCCTCAGATGCAAGCAGATCGGAAAAAATTGGAGAAAAAGCATCCGATTATTCTCACCATGTGGGATGATCTCAAGGCCAGACCTCTCATCCCCGCCAAGCAAGCTAAACAGCCCGAATCCATTACACGCAAGTTGAAGCCTTTCCAATTGGAAGGTCTGAATTGGATGATGGAACAAGAGAAAACGGACTACCGCGGCGGTTTGCTAGGTGATGAAATGGGCATGGGAAAAACGATTCAGGCCGTTTCTCTCATCATGTCTGATTTCCCTCAGCCCAACCCAACTTTAGTCCTCGTACCTCCAGTCGCTCTGATGCAGTGGGTGTCTGAGATTCAGGTTGGATACCCCCGGCATCTTCATATTTTCCTAACTAACTATGAAATCAGGAATACACGGATGGCAAGCTGAAAGTTCTTGTTTATCATAATTCAGACTCCAAAGTCAAAAAGCTTGCGCAGGCTGATATTCGAAAATACGATGTTATCCTGATATCATGTATGTTGGATCCATTTGCAATTATCCTGAATCATGGTACTAAACGGGTATGTAGATTCGAGCTTGGAGTCAATACATCGCAAACAAGAAAAAGGATGGACTCGCGGTAATGGAACGGTGAAGGAAGACAGTAAGTCTCGAGACAATTCAGCTCCTACGGCATTTTTTGACTTGTAAAGGTATCATCCATTCCATCTATTATCACCGACTTATCCTAGACGAAGCGCACAGCATCAAGGTAAGTTACCGTTCCGAATAATCATTGTTACCACGGCGCTGATTTTTATTAGCAACGTACCACCGGAGTTGCCAAGGCATGTTTCGCTTTGAAGGCTTCTTTCAAATGGTGTCTCTCTGGCACTCCTGTACAGAACCGCATTGGCGAATTCTTTTCGCTACTGCGCTTCTTGCAGGTTCGCCCTTTTGCCAGCTATTTTTGCAAACAGTGCCCATGTTCACAGCTACAGTGGACCGCAAACAAGCAGGGTCGTTGCACTGAGTGCTCTCACACGTAAGCTGCTTCTTCAACCGAAATCTTTTTCTTGCACTAAGAATCACTCCAGGGGCTTTAACCATATCTCGATATTCAACAAGGAAATTCTCAATCCAAGTGAGTGCAGTCTGACGAGATTGAACTCCATGCGGTAGCTAATACTTATTTCAAGTCACGGAGGGAAGAACCCAAGAGGAGCGAAAGTTGGGATTGTCAAAGCTTCGTCTCATCACGGACCACATCATGCTTCGACGATTGAAGCAAGAGCATACCTCGTCCATGGAGCTTCCACCCAAACGGTGAGTGCGGTCACTTTCATATACCATTCACAATTGAAGCTGACTCCAGTCCTAGAATTACTATCCACAACGAATTCTTTGGCGAGATCGAACATGACTTCTCTCGGAGTATCATGACTAACTCTAGTCGGCAATTTGATACTTACGTCAGTCGCGGTGTCATGTTGAACAACTATGCCAATATTTTCGGTCTTATCATGCAAATGCGACAAGTAGCGAACCACCCAGATCTTATCCTGAAAAAGCACGTGCAGCCGGGCTTCAATGTTCTCGTCTGTCGCGTCTGTGACGAACCGGCGGAAGATGCAATTCGGTCTCGCTGCCATCACGAGTTCTGCCGCAAATGTGCCAAGGACTACATTCAGTCTTTCCAAGATGGCTCCACTGTGGATTGTCCGCAGTGCCACATCCCTCTGTCCATTGATCTGGAGCAGCCTACGATCGAACAGTCCGGAGAATCCGTCAAGAAGAACTCGATTATCAACCGAATCTTCATGGAGGATTGGACGTCGTCGACCAAGATTGAAACGCTTCTCTACGAGCTCTATCTCCAGAGAAGCAAGAGCCATACACCGAAGTCGATTATTTTCTCGCAATTCACCTCGATGCTGCAGCTTGTGGAGTGGCGCCTGCGCCATGCCGGGTTCAATACAGTCATGCTGGACGGGACGATGACGCCTGCTCAGCGGCAAAAGTCCATCGAGCACTTCATGACCAACGCGGACGTTGAGGTATTCCTGGTGTCATTGAAGGCAGGCGGTGTGGCTCTAAACTTGACAGAGGCATCACGAGTGTTCATCGTGGACCCGTAAGTGTATTCCTATCGAGTAGGGAAAAGATATCGGCTAACACTCTCATGCAGGTGGTGGAACCCGGCAGCAGAATGGCAAAGTGCGGATCGCAGTCACCGTATTGGCCAGCAGCGGCCCTGTGTGATCACCCGCTTGACCATCGAAGACTCGGTTGAATCCCGAATCGTTCAACTCCAGGAAAAGAAGGCCAATCTGATCCGAGGCACGATCAACAAGGATCAGGGCGAGGCTCTTGAGAAACTGACCCCTGAAGACATGCAGTTCCTTTTCCGTGGGTCCTAGGGGTCTTTTCGAAAGTTCTTAGATATGGTACGCCACAGTCGTCAAGCCTCTGACCCGAGATTTTGCCCCACCATTCGACGTCACCGAGCACGCGAAATAGTTGCGCACGCCTTGTGTCTCCACCCCGCGACATGACCTCACGAATATCTTTAATGTACTGCAGTGTCCTTATCTCACATAGCTACAATGCGAAATTCTCACCTCGTGCATGAACGGCTCGCGAGAGTCTCCCTATGCCAATGTCGATCTTATCAAATTTAGCGTAGAACCATAGGACCGAGCGTTTCAAGTCAATAGCAAACCAAGGATGCGGAAATGAGATCATGCCCTACCCAACGATCGTTCTATATTTAAACTGTGTCGCCTGGCGGGGTCGATGGTAAGGCTGAAGCTTGGCTTAGTCGCGGCCACTTTCACTTTTCCCCACCAATTCCCCTCTCCTGACCCGTCAACATCGCTTCTGATTATTATTATTTTTCTACACTGGTCTATACTCTTCCCAGATAATGATCTCGCGCTCCTTCGATCCTTAACTTCCAGTGTCTCATTTAGCCATGGCATCCCATCCGGTGGACCGATATGGCCCCAAGCTTGTCGAAAAGACCGGCAAGTTGCAAAACCGAATGAGCCTGGGACCTGACCCCTCGAAACCCGCCGGAGGTTACGATGCAACTCCGCTTCCGCAGGCTCCGTCAGGATACACTGTCAAGTTCACCTTTCACCGCGGCGATGGCCTGCCTATGGCGGACTTTGCAAGCTTCTCTTCAGACCCGTACGTCTATGCGCAGCTCCTAGTTGACTTGCCTCCTCGCCACAAGCAGGACCCTCTTGTAAGCTTTCGCACTCCTACTGTGCGCAAGGATTTGAATCCGGTGTGGAACAGCGACTGGGTCGTTGCAAACGTGCCGGCCTCGGGCTTTACGCTCAAAGCATACGTGTACGACGAGGACCCTGCCGACCATGACGATAAGCTGGGAATCGCATTCATCGAGGTTCCACATCTGTCGGAGGATTGGCCGGGATTTAAGGAGAAGTCGTTCAATATCAAGAAGCGTTTTGGTAGTAAGCGCGTCTATGTCTTCACCAACGTCTCCGCGTTTGCCACGGGTCATCATCAGGAGTCTTTCTTGATCATGAGCATTGAGGTCCTCGGCAAGACAGCTGGAGACAACGGGGGCCAGATGTATACTGTTGGTCCGCTTCACTGGTTCAAGCATTTCTCGCCTCTTATCGGGCGACTCACGGGTACGAAAGATCAAGTTCAAAGTGAGGGAGGGAGCGGCAAGGCTCTTAGCCGATACAAGTATGTTGCGCCGCGTCAAAACATGTAAGCAGACCCATGCTAATACTCGTTGATCAGCTTCCAAGCCATTCGAATCCAGCTCATGGGGCCCGTCCCTTGTGAGCTCTATCATCGATATGTCGAGTTCAAGCCATTTGTGGCAGGCATGTTTCAAGCGCAGAGCCTCAGGGGTCGAATCCTGCACAAGGCGCTACACCACCAACACCAACGGATCTATAATTTCGATCGCAGTACTCTCAATGGGTCTTTCCCACATCCTTGCCGGGAATTTTCGAAGAAGTTCCTCGAGTTTGCCCACTATGGGCAGGGCGGTCGAATTTTCACCTACGTGCTGACGCTGGATGGCCAGCTTCGTTTTACTGAAACGGGCAAGGAATTTGGCATTGACATGCTGAGCAAACACACGATGCATAGTGATGTATCAATCTATATTGCCTATTCGGGTGAATTCTTCTTGCGGCAGCGCAAGCATCGTCGCTCGCGCCGTTCTCTCACATCGCGTCCACCGTCCAATACTGAACACGCAGAGAATAATTTCCCCGTGGAAGAAGGTGACGAGGCCGAAGAAGAAATCCAGGAGGTTTCACCAGAACCGTCTGATTATGAGCTGTTCATCGACAACGACAGCGGGACCTACCGCCCCAACGCTGAGAAATTGCCGCTTTTGAGGGAGTTCCTCGCTTTGAACTTTCCAGGTCTTCATATCACCACTTTGGACTGCCAGGCGGATGCTGAGCGAATGGGCCAGATGAAGGAGGAGCAGCGAAACATCAAGAAAGAGCAGGGACACCTCGTCACGTACCTCCAGCAGAGCAGTGCTTCCTCTCTCTCAATCTCCAGCTCGGACGAGGAAGAACTCAATGAGCGTAGCGGCGAGACTAAGGAACGAGGAGACATGACCCAAAAAAATCCACGAGATGCGTGATCTGAAAGGACAAATGATGAGGTGGGTTGAAGCTGATGGGCATCCTGATCGCTCAAAGCACCGCTACGTCTCTGGACGTGAACGGGCGATCTCGACGGGCCAAATTCGTGATGCTCCCACTAACCCAGCTGCTGGCTCAACGGCTTAGCTTGCGCAGTTCTACTCTCACAATATCTTCGTCCTTCACGTTGCAACCTTGACTTTCTCGGACTGGAACCGAGCATCACGACGTTCACGATTGGGCTTAATGCGATACGATGCGAGTTGAGGAGAGGTGACTTTCGTGTACATAATATCTTTCTTACAGCTCTACCTTGGTAGTAATGAGATGCGCCCTATTGATAATTTATTTCAATTCAGCTCAACTCCTATCAGTATCTGGCCAAGACGTCTAATACTTTGCTCGCTTATTGTGATTTCTTCAAAAATAATCTCCTGCACCTCTACTTAAGGCGTCTTTCTTTTCTTTCTGTTTTTTAATATCTAGCGAAGGGAGGAGGAGGGGGAGGGAGGGCGGCAACTCACACTACGATCGAAGACAATTCGTCGCCTCTTATTCAGGCTCGGTCAAATCGTGGCCTTGGTAGACGATTACTATTGACACTTGAGCGTCGGTCCTCTTCTTCCTTCAGAAATTTCGGAAGTAAAAATTTTCTTCTAAGAAAAAGACGTTATAAACGCTATATAGTAATAGCAAACATATTGAGCTATACCTCAGTACCATGGCCAAGGCCGCCTATCTACTAGACCCACAGACAATCAATATCCGTCTAGTCAAGTACCCGAGCAAAGCGCTGAGGCTGAAACAAAGACGGCTGCACCAGCCGCTTGTTAGGCGCTGGCAAAGGATTCAGATGTAATGAGCATTAGGGAAATGAAAGCTACTTTAGCTCCTTAAAATACTTTGAAACAGAGTCTGGCGCCGCCTAGTGAGAGTCTCATGAGCAAAGGGAGGCAGCAGACCCCGGGAATCCGCCCCCCCCCCCTTCTTCAAATCAAACGCGATCGATCCCAAGCTTCGACTCCACCCCCTCCCCCTCCACAACAACAGCCTCATTTTTACTGAATGACGGATCGTTCTCCTTCTGCTTCCTCTCCCTGGCCATCTGACTGCTGCGCACCTTGTCGATGGCCGATTGGCTCGGTGCTTTATCAACCTCCTTGTCGCGCCGTGACCTGATCTGTCTGCCGGTGCCATCATGGGCAATGTCGCCAGCCGCCTGGATGATGCAGGGAGCTTGTTCTCCAAAGACCAAAATCGCTGTATGTCAAAGCTGATTCCCTCGAGGAGCCCCCGGGTTGACGAACTCTTTCTTGCAGTCTCGATCGCATCGGTCACAATAAGCAACTCCCGCCGCCGCCTGCTGACCGTGTCCCCGAACGCGTTCCCTGCGGTGCGATATATAGCAAAGCGAGACGCGGGCGACGAATGTCCGATTGAATATATCCAGGTACAGATACTCCAAGCGGGGCTGTGGTGGTACCAGACTAATCTTTTGATCAACAACGTAGGACCCAGACGTCGCCTCGTCAACCTCAGCCCCTACGTTCTTGCTACGACTTTCCAACGAAGACGAACTCATCTTCAACTTCACCTTCATCCTCCGTCAGACAAAAACCGGCAATGTCGCAGGATCAACTGTCAATGGCGTATCGACCTCGCTCCCAGAAGTCGCCGACACAAATCTCACGGGACTCACGTTCGCCCACGCATCCAACTCGAAGGAACTCGATAATTTGATCACGCGAGAGTTCCACGCGAACCCTAACTTGCAAAATAACTCCAATGTCCAGCTCATTGGAGACTTTTTGACCGATGGTAGCCCGTCGGTGTCATTTGAATGGTCCTGGAGGTGGAAGCCTCCCAAGATAATGGAGGACAAAGGTGGCGGCTGGCGAAACAGCTGCAGCTTCTTGGACTATGATCAAAGGACTAACCGCCTGAACACTCTGGCGCACTTCTCTTTTTGGGTACATAACTCCATTCGCCTGTTACCCAGCCCCCAGCTATCCTCTCCGAACCTAGAATTGCCTGTTCCTCAACCGCGCAGCCGCGTTCCTTCCACTCAGTCCACCATTTCCCATCTCAGCGACACCGAAATCGTTTCGAATCAACATGTGCCATCGATTACCCCGCCTGAAAGCGCAGATGGCATATTCCCCCTCCCCCAACCGCACCTCCGCCCCCACCTCCTGTCAAAGTCGACCTACCACATTCACGCCCTGTGGATGACATGGGTGGAGTGGAAGATGGACCACTATTCCGCGCAACGATGAAAGCACTGGAGCAAAAGACTGGAAACATGCGCGCAAAAATAAAAAAGGTCCTCAAGAAAGCTGAAGCTGCCCAGCAAGCGCAGGCGACCTGCAACGATGCCATGGAGGCCTTTTTGGGCTCCTTGAACGATGCTTCTACATCCAACGCCAATGCCATTCAGCCAGCGTTGGATCATTATTTCGAGAAGATTGCTCGACAAATCCAAAACTATGAGCAGCTCAACACAGTCCAGCTGCAGAAGCTCGTGATCGAGCCTCTTATCAAGCTATACAACAACGATATCAAACAAGCTGAATCGAAGAAGAAAGAATTTGATGAGGAAAGTCGCGACTACTATGCGTACGTCAGTCGCTATTTGGGTCAAAGACAGGACTCACTCAAAGAAAAGAAGCGCGCCGAGAGTGATTCGAAGTATCAGGTTAAGCGACGGAACTTTGAGCTGAAGCGCTTCGATTACTCTTCCTTTATGCAGGACCTTCATGGAGGCCGTAAAGAGCAAGAGGTCCTCTCTCATCTGACTAAGTATGCCGATTTCCAGGCCAAGAATTTCCTGGCGGCTGCTAAGAAGGTTGATGAGATGGTTCCCCAGCTTGACGCTCTCATTCATGAGGTGACTCAGGCAGATAAGGAGTTCCAGTTCAAACGCACCGAGCGTGAGGAAAAACGCCGGGCTTTAGAGAAAAACAGTAATCCGTACCTGGAGCCCGATGTCGTGGCCGGTCCGATGCCCTTGACTGCAACATCTACCATCACTGCTAGTGGAGGTGCCTCCACTGATACAGAACTGGGTCGAGCAGATAGCACCGGATCCCAGCTGCGCGGCGTCATCAGCAACAGCTCGTCTATTTCATCTCAAGCCAACGCTGGATCCGTTGGCTCTTCCACCGGTGTTTCTGCCCCCACAACCAGCGCAGGCTCTGCAGGCGCCTCAAGCCAAAATCGCTTCAAAGGCTTTCGAGATCTTGAAGAAAGAGACACTCTTGAATCCCATCAAGCTGCGGGACAGCAACGGAAAGAGGGTCTTCTGTGGGCTCTGTCCCGCCCGGGTTCGCACATGGATCCTAAAGGAATCAACAAGCAGGCATGGCACAAGTAAGTCATTACACCCGTGCTCTAATTTAGTGCAGGCTAACGATCTTCAAACCGCAGATTTTGGATTGTGCTAGATCAAGGAAAACTCTCGGAATATAGCAATTGGAAACAAAAGCTAGATCTTCACATGGAACCTATCGATCTCCGCATGGCATCCGTTCGCGAAGCTCGGAATGCAGAGCGACGATTCTGCTTTGAAGTGATTACGCCTCAATTCAAGCGTATCTACCAAGCAACTTCGGAGGAGGATATGGCCAACTGGATCCGGTCTATCAACAACGCGCTACAGAGTGCCGTAGAAGGACGCGGCCCGCCCCCTCCTCCTCTGCCGTCTAAAGACGAATCTAGTGGTCGTGATATCGGGTCCGTTCTCACAGGAAAAAGCTCATCGGTGTCGGGTCACCACGGATATTCAAACAGCTCCAGCAACAGTGTGGGTGTCAATCGCCGGACTACAGTCGGTGCGCGACCCACTTATGTACACCACGACATTAACAGCTATGAAGAAAACCCGTCACGCCTCCTTCAGCTTGTACGTGATGCCGACGAGGGGAACAAATGGTGTGCCGATTGTGGCTCTTCCTCGAAAGTCGAATGGGTCTCCATCAACCTTGGAGTTATCCTGTGCATCGAGTGCAGCGGCATCCACAGGTCCTTGGGAACCCACATTTCCAAGATTCGGTCACTCACTCTAGACGTACATTCCTTCTCAAATGACATTGTTGAAATTCTCGTGCAAATTGGCAACCGAGTCAGCAATATGATCTGGGAGGCGACGTTGGACCTGGCGGTCAAACCGAGCGCAAGCTCCACGCGGGAGCAACGATTGAAGTTCATCTCTGCTAAGTATGTCGACCGGTCCTACGTTGAACACTTGCCTTCCCCGCGGTCCCGCTTTGCGACCCCTGATGAGACTCTTCTTGCCTCGATCAAGCGGAATGATATCCAGGGCGTGCTCTATGGTATTGCTCTGCGCGCCAACACGAACGTGGCTGATCGCTCCCGCAACACTCATGCCGTGTTCCTGGCCCTCGCTGCTGCTGACCCAGCCTCTCCCGGATCCACCCCTACTACGCCTATTTCCTCTCGCCCAGCTCCCAAGGCGATCCCTTTCCCCATCGCCGAGCTGCTGGTTCAGAACGGCGCGGACATTCCCCCGCAGCCGCCCTCCATTCCCTCTCCTCGGCAGCCCAGCTCTATCTCAGTCAGCGTACTTCGCGAGCATCTGCCTTTACGCCTCCTACACCGGGTCCTCTCAGTGGAAGGGTCAGCGCTGCCGACAGCTTAGGTTCTTTACCTACCATCCGCGCCTCCGGCAAAGACAGTAATTCTTCGCCTTCGTCACAGCAATCGAGCTCTTTGGACAGCAAGGAGAGAGAAAAGGAGAAGCTTTCCAAACGAGGGAGCGCCGGTGCTCGATTCGCAGGAAAGGTGGCGTCCCTTGGAATTGACCGATAACTTTCACCTCGTCGGAACGTCCACCACCCTAATTATATCTGTCTTAATGAGACTTGCATGAACATTACCCTTTGATGATTACTTTGCGTACGGCTTGAGCTTTGACTTCGATTAAAGGCAGTCGGGCTTTCTTTCTTTTTGCTTTGTCTCTTTGTTTCTTCATAGAGGGAGGAACAACCCCCTTGACTGTCCTTTCTCTTGTGCCTTTTGACGACAGCTTTGGCTTCTTTTTTGTATGGCTTTGTGATGCCGAACAGGGAAGCGTCGGCCTTGGGTCTTTTTTCATTCTACCACTTCACTTGCTCTAAAGAATTCTAAACATGGGCGGGACCGCATCTTATATCGCGATACCCACCTCTTTTCTTTCTCCATTGTCTTTGTTCTTGAACGGGTTTTGGGACCACGAAATCTACAGTCTGCCGGCTAGCTCGACTTCAATTCAATGGTTTCGAGTTTCTCCTTCATATTCTTTACTAACCATACAAGATAACAGAGTGTTCTTTGCCATCTTTCTATGCGCTCTGTTCATGCCGTTCACCACTGTCCACCAACGTTCGAGTGTGGAACAGCGCATTACTCTACGCAAGCAAGGCGTTGGCTAGGGATCTAGTATGACCCCTACGAGGGCCTGCTATCTCGTTGCCTGGTAGTGGCAATTTCTTCAATCCAATGCCTCACCCATCACCGGCAGCTGACAGGTAAGTCAATACCCACTTACCAAAGAAGGAGAGGAGCATGGGTCCGTGGCGTTTATCTGCCGTGGCTTGCAGTCTACAAGAATAGCGGCATCTCCGCGGGCGACTGTGGCATAGTCAGGCGACAATCGGTGGTTTTGCGGTGGAACATGGGATATGGGCCGACACTGGGGCGAGGGGGGTCTTTTCCCATTCCTGTCCGTAGCCTTGCTGATCTATGCAGTCACTCTTGCCCGATTGAGCTTCCAGCCAGTCCCTCCGAGGCTTGCTGCGACCACGCCATGGCGAGAGATCGACCAGTGAGCCGTCTGACTCCGCATGATCTCCGATGATCTTCATGGATTCATTACTACTGTCTGCGATACACTGGTAATATGTGGTGGCTGTGCATGTTTCGTCCCTGGGCAAATATGGTATCGTATCGTTCCACGTCGCGTCGTCCCCGATCGGATCGGATCAGATCATGGATATCGATTGGAGACCCTTTCGTCTCGGTATTGGGACTGAGCGGGGGCTGCAGGAGCGTGTGAAGGAATGCGCGTATGAGTCACTCGATGCGTCTTGATTCCGTTGCCCTGAATGCGGAGGTAGGAGCTCCGAATGGATCAGACTCCTCTCAATCCTGCTCAGGCAGGGAGGGGGGGCGGGGAAGGGGAAGGGCGAGTTTCAGGAACGTGCATCAGCGGCGTCGGCATAAGCCACAGGACGCTGAAGAGGCAGTGTCATTTGAGTATCATAAATTTGGAGTCCACCGGATCAACGAAGGTCGACGGAGAATGACGGCGTGTGGTTAGTGGCTTCTGTTGATTTTTCTCTCAGGAACGGATGTGGTAAGCCATGACGTCATTTGATCCACGTTGTGACGCGCCTCAGGTGTTGATGGTGTCGGTGGCGTCGATCTTTCCTCCTGTCAAAAGGATCATCCCAAGTAGCCCTCAAGTATTCGCCGTTACGGGGGCCTTTGAGAAAATACCTTTCAGTCCATTTACCAGGACCGGCTCGTCCGACCTGGGTGCAGGGCCCTCATTGTGGGCCTTATTGACCCCTTGCTTTGAGGTGTCCACGCCCGTGGGTACCTACTGTACAGTGTATAGTACGAAAGTATGGAAATATCATGCCGGCGCTCCCTCGACCGAGCCCGACATGCTCCAGGGGATCAGGGGCCGAAGAATGGTTCACGGCAGTCCATTTCACGTTGGAATTTGTGGTTGAGCGGTCAGAACCGTCTGTGAAGTTGTCTCTTGCTGCACGCGGGTCTGGCACCACTTCCCATACTATACGGATGACACGGTTAGCCAAGATAAAGCAATGCGTATAGCAGTGCTGCAGACCGAGTGAATGGAACATTTCATGGGAAGATGACCTCGGACAGTCCCTAGGTAAGGGTATCTACTACGGGGCCTCGGTAGTAAGTAGCAATAGGCAACGTTCACGGAATCGCCGGGGAGGCCATCAGTAAATAAAGTCTGTAAGCCCAATTGCGCTGGGTAGCGGGGGCCTGGAGGGGAACTGTACAGTATGACACGAGCTTCCCGCGTGTCCCTGCATCCGAGCCCTATGTGACCGAAACGGCTCATGGTGTGGGTTGACACGCCCTTCAGACCCCGACGGGTATTGATTGGAATGGTAGCTCCTTCCTTTTGGAATCATAAGGCGAAATTGGAAAAAAAAAAAATTAAAAAAATTTGGAAAATTGAAATTGGAAAAAATTTAAATCCAAAGATCAAAAACGAGTTAGGGCAAGCGACGTGTACTGTATAGTCTCAAGGGGGGCAGCAATAATTGGTCGGTAAGACCTGCCGGGGCTGGAAGGTCCCAAAGTGGAACCTGGCAACTGCCAACTTTACCTGCCACGGTGTGCAGTGGCTCACAAAAGTCCTAGAATCTGGCATCTGACATCGTCCCCAACTAGACTTGTGTGCCCCGGAGACGGAACACGGGCCACGACTGTCCTGGCGAGGTCAAGATACAGTGACTCTCCTGCAGCGGGTTCCCGTATCCCGTACCCGACAGTCTGGTCTGATCGACCTGGTGCTTTGGGTCTTCCCCGAAAAGCCCTATCTCATCACGTTGATCCCTCGGAAATCCCCGATCCCGGGAGGCGGTCAGATTGGCTGAGCAGCCTCTACCACGATGGAGCTGGCCGCGTCGACGGCCAATGTATTCGCATGGGTCTCCGCAGAGACCTCCACAGGACGTGAATCGAGGTTGGCCCAGACCCACCAGGCCCTCAATGATCCATGATCGAGCCTAGTGGGAGTGTAGTCCTGCGTTCCCGCCGTCCCCTTGCCTTTGTCCATGCAAAGTCAAATCCCTGCTGTCCAAGGTATGGAGACACTGGGTCCTCGGGGCTGCTGTATTCGGGGTCCTGGGTAATATTTCGGGTGAAACTATTGCCCTGGTCTACACCTCAACGCCAACAATGGCCTCTTCCGAGTAACGCCTTCGTATTTTTGGTCACTCTTTCTCCCTCTCTCTCTCTCTCTCTCTCTCTCTCACTCACGTTCTCTATCTTCTCGAGCTCCAACGTGGACCCACATCCCGGACTGTGGCGAACCAGCTATGCATTGGCCATTTCTGACAGGCAATTTTCTCATTCCAATTACCCTCCGCCTCTTACCCTGACACCCTGGTTCCCGGGTGATTGGAGAGTGGAGAGTGGAGCTTCGAGACTGAATATTTCCCACTTCCAATGTTCCAATGTTTCAATGTTTCAATGTTCCACCTCCCCGTTGCGATTATAATACATCTTGCCACAAAGTCAAGCTCGGTCTCCGTGATTGGCCTGGGAGCTTAAAGCCTCAACCGCCTCTCTATGCACTAGAACAAGCTTCCCGAGGCATGTCGCAACGGCTCCACGTTGGGATTTGTCAGGAGGACCCCGATCGTCCGGTGGCGCCCGGCAGGGCAGAGTAGATTCCAGCCCCAAGGCCATCATCCTCCTTCGGGGCTGGTATGTTCAACCGGGGCCCGTCCGCAGAATATTCCTCACGCACAACAAAGCGTGCGACCCACCGAGCCATAGGTTATACAATCGTACTGTACGGTTCATTGTCCCTGGCTCCGATCATCCGCAATCGGTTCCATCCGCACTGGAGAAATTCTCCTGCAGCTTACGTTTTCCTCTTCGTTCTCGCTCTTTAGCCACAGTTTGCCAAGCGTTGTTGTGAAATCGCCACTCTGCAGCTCCCCTCTTAAGTCCGTGGCCAACAGTCGGCAGCCAAAAGAGGCATATCTGGAATTGTTCGAGGCCCCGCCTAGTCCGAGTTGGCGCTCTCTCGGTTTCTTGTTTTCCATTCCCTGTTCTGGCGCAAGGTACGTGCATTTGGCTCTAGTCGAGACCGTATCGGCTAATCTGCCACGGAATCTAGACAGTTTCACTCTCTAGGTGAAGCCGTGCTGGTTCCCCAAAGCTCAGAGTGCCTTCTCGACTTGCCCTGTCTGGGACTCTTTCTAACCCAGGTTTCCAAGCCATAGCTCCCCGTCTGATTTCAGAAAGAGATTTCCTAGGTAAGCCTTGCTCGTTTACGTTCGGCATGACTTTCCATTTCTTCAATCCTTCCCAATTCTGTGCAAAAAGCAAAGCCCTACACACCAAATTCCTCCATTGGCGGCGAGGAATTTCCTTTTTTCTCCGTTGACCATCATTTGTCCTTTTCTCCCCGTGCCTTCTTTCCCTTCACTTCTTGGGAGGCTGGAGACTGGGGGAGGGGGCCCTGGACTTATAAGTAGCTTGGTGTGAAAGGGGGTTTAAAACCCAATTGCCCCAAACTGATTGACACCCGAGCTGTCTCCACTCCCTCCAATCCTCTCTATATTATTCATGATGCCTCTCTGCCCTGTTCACTCGCCTTCCTGACGACTCTCCATTGTTCCACAATGGATGAGCCACTTTGGCTTTTGCCGATGTCATTGCCCTGCCTAAGCGCGTGAAACGCGCACTATCGGCAATTTCACTTCTGTCCTTTTCCCCTCCACCCTCTCCATACCTTTCCCCGTCTTAGGTCTCTGGTTTGCATCGTGGGTGTTGGTGCCATTGACTCGTCTCTCGTTCTTGGGTTTGTTTTTCGTTCTTTGATGAGCAGCTCTCATTAACGGCTGTATAATTTCCAGTATACAGTATTCGTCTAGTACTCCTCTTGTCCAAAGTGTGAGGCGTTGTGTCTGGCAATTCCTGTGGAGGAGGTCGACCCAGAGGATTTTTCCAACACATCAGAAAACTTGGGTAATATCACGAGGTAGGTTCAATTCAAGCCAGGCCCTCGATGCTCGACCCCGGCAAGATCACTCAATCAATCCTGTAGGGCCTGATATCCGTTCCAGTTTTCCCGTTCTCGCCAACTCACATCGGACCCCATGGGCGATGTTCCTCCAGAAACGATCAACTCAACCTGGGCAGGAAGAGAGAGTAACCCCCCGGCGCCAGTGCCCAATGCCTCGTCAACCTCCGGTCAGTCCCTCCATGGATGATTTCGCCAGTCACTGAACGAACGGAATCACTGACTCGACGGTTCGATGCTACAGGCACCGTCCAGCCCGCCCGACCAGTCCATGGGCATGGACAACCGAGCTCGACGGGCTATCCTGGCCCCGGGCTTTATGGGCCCCCATCTTCCTTAGACATGGGCAACATGGCCTACTCGCTGCCAGCTCTGCAGTCACCGTCGCCCTATGATCAGCAGCATCTCGTCCAATATCCATCGCCATCTCATGCTCAGGGCCTCATCTATCCTATGCAGTCCATGGGTCCTTATCCCGGCCAGAATCCTGGTGGCATGCCGTACGGAGTCCGTTTCACTACACCTTATTCACCCTATGCCATGCCTCAACACTCGGGGGCGGGCGGACATGTTGGGGCCCATTACCCGCCCTTTGTCACAAGTCCGCCTATGCAGACCATGGGATCGGGGCAGGCGCCTGTATACTACCACGCACCATATACAGCTCCTTATGGACCTGGGTCACATCCTTTGACCGGTCATCCACGACCGTCGGGTCCTCATTCTCGTCCAACCTCTCGTGCTCGTGCACCACCGAAAAGCGCGGATTCTACACAGAGCGACACCGACAAGCAGGCTGCTGAAGAATACGATGTTTCCAAGACCATCGTTGATGGTTCAAATCCTATGAGGCTGGGACATGGTAAGTGAATTCTTCCTTGAAACTGAAAAAAAAAAATGCAGTGAGCGATTGCTTATCCATTTTGTCCGCCACAGAGTCATCTATCTTAGCCCAATCGACGCCGGCCAGTTCTAGCACCCCCCGCGGACCACCACGGAAGCCCAAACAATCAGGCCACGCACTCTGGGTTGGAAATCTCCCACCAGGGGCGAATGTGCTGGATTTGAAGGATCATTTCTCGCAGGATGCTACTGAGGACATCGAGAGCGTGTTTTTGATTTCAAAAAGTAATTGTGCATTTGTGAATTATCAGTCCGCAGTGGCTTGCGCTGCGGCGCTGGTCAGATTTCACGATTCGAGATTCCAGGGTGTGCGTCTCGTATGTCGACTACGCAAGGGTTTCACAGCGCCGGGGTCTGGGACTGGGGCTGTTACTTCTCGCTCACAGTCACGGGATGAGAGGGCGAATGGGTTGGACGAGAGACCTGGGGTGCAAGAGGCTATCACCCGCCCTCATCATGACGGATCCCGGTCTCTGGATCGGTACTTTGTTGTCAAGAGTTTGACAGTTGATGATCTGGAATTAAGCAAGCAGAGTGGGATTTGGGCGACTCAAACACACAATGAGACTAATCTGAATCAAGCCTTCGAGGTGAGTGGCCATTTGATTCTTTTTTGTTCCTTCTCCTCTGACCGGTGATGCCTTTTATTCTAGACCACCGAGCACGTTTACCTGATTTTTTCCGCGAACAAATCTGGCGAGTACTTTGGATATGCCCGTATGCTGTCACCGATCAACGACGACGAGGAACTCGCGCTAGAGATGCCGCCTAGACCCGAGCCATTGACAGGGGCACCGGATGAATTGGATGTGACTACAACAGAGGCGACGTCGACCGCCCCGAGAGGTCGGATCATCGACGACTCGGCCCGTGGTACGATCTTTTGGGAAGTCGAATCGTCCGAGGAGGATGACGCACGCAGCGAAAAAAAGTGTGGAGGAAGAGGCGGAAGTGGAAGCGCAGTCATTTGGCAAACCGTTCCGGATCCAATGGCTGTCCACCGAACGAGTGCCCTTCCACCGTACCCGCGGCCTACGCAATCCATGGAATGCCAACCGGGAGGTGAAGATCGCCCGTGACGGAACCGAAATCGAGCCGACGGTCGGTCGAAAACTCGTCCAGCTGTTTCACCTGACGTGATTCCTCAAGCCTTTGTGTTTCCCAATGGGGAGGGAAGGGAGGGGAACGGATTCCTCCCGGCCAGATTCCCATGGCTAGACTAAAGAGGATCGGAGAGTCAACGGACTTGAAAAATAATACTAACGGGAAACGAGCAATACATGATGTACGTCCAATTTTCAGCCTTCTTTTTCTATTCTTTTTTTTTCTTTACTGTAGGCGCTAGATTCCCGTTTTTCCCACACAATCAACATTTTCTTCATTCAATTTCCATGCATACCTATCTGACTTTGACCCGCGGGTTTTCACCCTTTTTTTTTTTTGGTCCCTTTTGCGGATCGATAAAATTGTCTATCCGGATGCAGTAGATGAAATATTAATCTTGATACTTGACACGGTCAAGAGTGGAGAGACGAGAGTCGATAGGTGACTGATCAGTGACCGCAGGAGCCTATCGCCAGCCTGAGATCCAGGATGACCCCCACTAATTACCCGATGCGGATCCACGGTCAACCCTCACCCAATCCTCAGGCCTCAATCAGGCCGACTTCATCATCACTCCACTTGCCTCCACTTTCCTCCACCGGATACGACAATCGCGCCACTTTGGCTTACCCCAGATATTCCAGCTTGGCCTAGCTACGCTTTCTCTCATACTCTCTTCCCCCCTCGGTGGCACCATACTATCCCATCCTCTTTTATCCCCCTTGATTGACTTCTCTCTTCTTCCACACCTTCACTATACCATCATCATCACCATTACTATCACGGTCCTCCTTTCGACTGTCACCCGGGTTTCTATTCCCTCCCTGGTGTTACTTTTCCTTTCATTCGAAATTCACATGAGAAGGGCGGCCAGTCCGTCCGACATCTCTGGCACTTTTCCCTCCATTCTCTGCTAGTCACCACCCATCATGGCAAACGGCCGTCCCTCCGATCCCATCTCCGTGCCCGAGTCGGGTGCCCGTCCCCGACGCAGTTCCATCGCCGATCTCTTCTCCAAGAGAGATTCGTCTGCCAACCAAGCCGCCGCCAACCAAGCCAACCAGCAGCGGCGCCTATCTATAACTACTCTTGGTTTGTCTGGCTCACCCACCCAGGCTTCCACCTTTGGAACCCGAGGAATCCGCCGCGGGAGTTTCTCCAGTTCGTGGGGAAGTGCCCCGAATGAAGATGCCGTGGCCGAAGATCTTGAAGGCTCTCCTCCCGGTGCAACGCCCAATTCGCCATTTGCCCGACGGGTCTCCTTCGGAGCTCAGGCGTTGCGTGAGGCTCGCACTGGTAGTAGTGGAAACGGTAGATATCCCCCCGCTTCCTCTCCTGGAGCGCGTCCCATCCCGACCCCGACCACCTCCAGTTCCAAATCCCGATCTCCCGCAAGTATTTCCACGTCTATCCAAGATGAGAGATCTAACTCGCGGCGACTAGGCGAAGGCTTCAACTGGTCTGAGGCCCTCCGTTCTCGAGCCGAGCGCGCCCCTTCCGTTGGGGCCCCCGTCTCCCCTCAGAATTCCACTGTTCGCCCGAACGGCCACCAGCGTGCCGCATCGATCGCGTCCATGGAGCAGCCCCTGCGGGAAATTCCTAGGCAGCCTAAGCAGAACAAGCCCGATTTCTTCCAGGAGAAGATCTTGCGAGGTGATTTCATGGACTAAGCGGGCCCTGCGGTCTACTTTTTAAGCGGAAGACATGCCCAGCATGCCACTGTGTGTTTTTGCCTTCTTATGCTCATCTGGAGTGTTTTAACGCGACCGACATTTTAACTTCACGAGGAGGATCAAAATTGATACTGGGTATCCTGGTCCTGCAACTCATCTGGTGTTCGTACTTTTCTCCTAAATGGAGTTCCTCCGGCATTAACGTGTTTTACACTGCGCCTCTTCCCTTTCTTCTTTTTTTCTTTTTTTATCATCTTTGTGTTCTCATTCTGGAATGTTTAAGAGAGGATCATTTGACGCACGATAACAAATTGACATGAAATTTTGAATCGACTGATGATATGTGTATTCCGTCCGTATATACCCCTGGTAGGCTGCTTGTAGTACCCTGCTGCCTCATCTTCCCCTCCCTTTTCCCCGTTCATCTTGCATTCCCCTCCGTCTCAAGTTCTTCTCGGTTTGTCCTTCCCCACCCCCAACTTTCCCCCTCTTCTCACACCATCACATGTGAATTGTGACAACCCCATCAGGCTGTGGACGGACCTGCTGCGGCTGGAACCTCTTCCAGATTCTCTGTATGCATGTGTCCCGGACCTTCTGCTTGCTTGTTACTCCCTGATGTCTCTTCGTCCCGGTTGACACCCTCCGCCACCTGGCGATCCATGAGCTGCGCCGTCGTGAGCCGATGCTCCGGCGTCGGTGCCTCCCACTTGCTGCTCTTCCACGGCTTGACTCGCATCACGTACATCATGTCCATCTCCTCCAGGGTTCGGTCTTTGCCCTCAATGACAAACAAGTACACCACTACCACGGCCACAGCAAGGCATCCCGCAAAGACATATCCGTACGCAAAGTCAATGTCATGCGTGATGAAAGGTGTGAAGAATCCCAGCAGGAAATTCCACAGCCAGTTCGAGGCCGTCGCCATCGCCATTGCCCTGGCTCGGTAGCGCGATGGGTAAAGCTCGGCCACAATGGCCCATACCATCGGACCCCAGGTCATCGCGAATCCGGTGATGAATAGACAGGCAAAGACGACCATGGCTGTCCCGGCTCCGGGGGTGTTGGCCGGGGTCTGGATGTCCAGAGAGAAATGGCCCACCGAGGCAAAGATCATGAAGCAGACGAACATCCAGATCCCGCCTGCAATCAGAGACTTGCGTCGACCGTAGTGCTCGATCACATATAGGCCTCCGAACGTCGTGCCGAAGTTGACGCCCCCCAGGATCATCTGGGTGACAAACACGTTGCTGATTCCGGCCCCGTTGAAGACAGTGGTACCCTGTTGGACACGGTTAGTTCGATAGTATGCACTGTGGACGGGGGCACGATGATACGAACATAGTAGAAGAAGTAGTTGGCACCGGTGAGCTGCTGGAACATCTGGAGAACCATGCCCAACAGAATGCGATAGGGCATGCGAGGCGCCTGGAACATCTCAACCCAACCATGCCATCCACCCCTGGCTCCCTTCTCTGCGTCAAGTTGGTCCTGGATCTCAAGAACCTCGTGGACAATTACTTGATGGTTCTCGGGGATTCCGTAGAGCCTGGACATGGTTCTCTTAGCCTGGTCTATGCGTCCATGTCGATAGTCATATCGCGGACTTTCGGGGAACAGGAGGATGCCGAAACCGAGCAACAAACCCCAGAGGAAGGTGATGCCCAGTGGAATTCTCCACGAAGCCGTGTTATCCATACTTTCAGTGCCGAAGTTGATGCAGTATGCAACAAATATGCCGAGCGTCACGAACAATTGGTATGAGCTGAATGATATCCCCTGTGAGCAAATTTCCCCCCTTTGTCTCGCATAGATTTCCTGTCGACTGGACTTACCAAACCATGGCGCCGCGAATGTGTCGCGGCGCAATCTCACCCTGATACATGGGCACTAGCAGCGAACAGGCTCCCACGCCAAATCCAGTCACAAAGCGGCCCATCATCATCTGATACCATTTCCCCGACGGGGACGTGATCTGAATGATCAGACCAACGTGCAAAATAATACACCAGGCGAAGATCGACCACTTGCGGCCAATGCAATCGGCCAATGGACCAGCCAATAGAGCACCGATCAAGGTTCCAATGGACAGCTAGACGCAATTAGCACCGGATCGGTTCAATTGAATTGAATGTCAGTCACTTACCAATGACACGATCAAACCCGAACGCACGTTACTGAACGTGTATTGACCATTCTCAAGCTGGCCATATCGCCGCTTATAGTTGTTCATTTCCAAGAACCCGGAGATTTGACCAGTATCATAGCCAAAGATAATACCACCAATCGAGACAAATGCACCTAGCACCAGCGAGCGCCATGTCACCCAGGGCACAGGCCTTTCGTCGAAAGAACTGCTGCGTCTCTTCTCTTGGTCAGATCCTCCCGACATCTCCATCGATGGAGGCGACCCAGCCTGGTCTTCACCTTTCGGCTGACGAGTGAATGGAGACCTCATGGCAGTGGAAATCGGAGAATATTATGGAAAAATGCCAATTGCATGCGCCTGAGACGAACTTGGATGACATGCAAGAAAGTTTTGGAGGGGAGGGGAATACTAAGACGAGATTCTTAGGCAATGGGGCATTCTTAAAGCTCTATGCGGGGCGAATGACATTGATCATATGCTTGCCACTGACGGCCTTTTCTTGGTTGAAAGGATCCAGGCCTAGGCCACACATGTGCCACCATGCAGACGATGGCTAGACGCTATTTGGTGTTGTATATGGCTTGGGGTGATATATCTCAGGGCTACATTCTATCCACGCTTCGAGAGGTTGGAGAGAACTCCAATATGGATGGTCTCCCAGCTATAGATCAAATGTGGTCTACTTTTCGTTAAGTTAGGGTTCTTTGAACGCCAATTTCGTCATCCCGCAGAGAAAACTGTGGTATATTGGTAGATGTGGCGGAGACGAAGTCGTGACGTCAAGAACCGCAACTGTCAATAAACGGATACCCCAGCGGCGGCGGAAGTACACCAGGTTCTTAGTATCGGGCATTATGATTGAGCTTGCCATACTGATGCATCTTGGGAGAAAGATTAGGTATTAGCTCACAACAGACCGCAGCTCGCAGCTCGCATCGAAATATTGCCGAGATCTACGCATCCGTAATTATATAACGCACAAAATTTTGATTGATTATGAAAGACTCAAACAATAGGAGACCATATAACATAAACGAGAAGATGATTCAGAATGAGATAGTAGAGCCATCAGTAGGGAATACCGTTGGTCATCAGCTGGAACTGGTCGTATCCCTTGGTGGAAACGCTCATATACGACTTGCGGGTGAGGTCTCGCATGAAATCGGCGGCCTCTCGCTCGGTCTTGTCCAGGACAAATCGGTCGCGGAAGTTCTTAAGTGTCTCGGGCTTGAAGCACGGGAGACCGCTATCAAGCATCAATGATACGATATGGGACAGCTTGGCGCAATACGGACGCGAAGCCAGGAATGACTTGACGACCAAGGACTCGAACCAGCGATAGGGCTGGGTGTTAGTGGGGCTGTGCGAATTGGTTCCCGGGAGGCTGTGGTGAGCCGGGTTGTGAGTGCCGCTCATCACGGCCACCATCTCAGAGGTGAGCTTGAATGGTGCACGTTCGAAGCGGACGCCGCCGGGTGCGATATCGAAGCAGAATCCAAAATCAATATGGATGATATGTCCAGCGTCATCAATCATGATATTTCCATTGTGCCGATCCTTGAACTGCAAGAGGTAGGAAATAACGGAATAGGCCGCCATACTCTTGACAAAGTTGGTACGTGCTTCCTGGAATCGAATCGAATCCTCGCCTCCGTACTTGGAGACAAAGTAATCATATAATCCATTCACTGCTTCACGGCCAAGCATATCACGGGAAATAGAATTGGGCAGCACATCAATAACACCACAGCCCGGTGCAGTAGAAGTGACCCGATATGGAAAGACCCAGACATCTAATCCCACGCTGGAGAAGATGCTTCGGAAAGCCGCAATCATCTGCAAGGCAAGCATGTCCTGCCTGCAGTCATCGCCGACTTTGAAGATCGCTGACTGCCAGACTTCATACTTTTCCAGACCGGCCTCAGATGTGGGACAGACAAGATGGCGCTGCTCAGGCCCGTGAGCCCCAGAGTTGTTGCACTCGGCCTTTGCATCTGCATCAACACGTGGTCTGGTTTTCTGAATCCGGAAAGTCGCCATGTATGGGGCCTTTGCGTGGCTTTGCAGGGGCTTTCCGGACTTGCGATCAATTCCAACGACCACGCCGTCGGGGTTACTGGGAAGGTACACCCCAACTTCGACTTTGATCTTGCGAAGCTCTTCCTCGATCTTCTCCTTCTTCTCAGGTTTGCTCCTTTTGATGTAGGGACGCAGTTTGCCAGAGATGCCGGTGACCTCATTGAAGAACGAGAACTCTCGTTCATAGAAGTTGCACTCCTCGTGAGAGAAACTTGCAATCAACTTGTCGACGAAGCGATCGATCGTCGGCTTAAGAGGGTCGGGCTGAATGAGGTATGACGTTAGTAGTTGAGAGAGTATCGCGTCATGGGGCCTAACTTACCACCTGGGATTCCTCATCCTTGTAAGAATTTGCTTTCATATTCCAAATCACTTGATGAGCAAACAACTGAGACTGCTTCGCTGTTTCAAGAATGTAACGTTCCACGTAGCCCAGAGCATCGTATCGCAGAGCCTGAACCAACTGCGGCACAAAGTAAAAGCGAACATCAATGGGGTGACTTTCCAAAGCGCGCATGGCATACTGCAAAATGAAAGGATGATTTCCATAAGCGGGCAAGAAGAATGTAAGAGCTTCAGTTGGGTTCACGGGTGCCCAGAACAAGAGGTACTTTAACTGATAATTGACATCAGCTGGCAGAGACGCTTCAAACATGATTTCTAGTGCGCTTGCTTCCGTAACGACCTTTTCGGGGAAGTTGAGGATTAGCCACCGAAGATCACTTTGCATCTTGGTCGACGGAAATCGAGAGGCAAGCTGAATTGCCAGGCCGGGACTCTCCGTCCAAGCAAGCCTGAGGAAGGACACAACACCCTCCGTCGAACTCTTGTTTCCCAGTGAGGGCAGGTGGTGTTTTCGCTCCGGTTCCAATGGATACAACCAAACCCTGAGGCGCAATCTTTCGTTCTCAACGAGAATTTGAACCAGTTCTTGCTTGGTTTGTAAAGATTTGCGTGATCCCTGATTCTGAGACGCGATATGAGCGGTGCTTCGTAATAGAGAAAGCACGTCACCGAGAATCTTATCTTCTGCTTTAATTTGAAGGCGGTTGCCTCCAAATGACCATCTAAGGGAGCATGTGTTAGTGTTGATTTCAGGTTAAATTTTTGATTAGACATACCTTGAAGGATGCTTGAACCAGCTGAGGGCGGCCGAAAGAATTTGATCTTTGAGTTTCCAAGACACAGAGATATTCTGCGGGCTCAGATGTTTGAGAACCCTCAAGCCGAAGAGAACGATACGGAAATGAACTTCTCGAGCCAGAGGATGAGCTTGGGTCTGACAAAGCGCCACAACTGTGCTACTAATCAAACGGCAGAATAATTGCTGGTCCTGCAGGTTGCCCAGGCGAATGGCGTTGAAATGACTCTCAAAGAACTGGAGGACGCGAGAGTGCGGCGAAAGCGTATCTTGAGCCTGTTGCTGCTTCTTGAGCATCAATGCCTTATCTGTCGGAAGTAATTCGATCTTGGTGTGTAGCGGATCAAGGTATCCGAATGTGGGATCGAACAGACCCTGACGGCGCTGGATGCTTCTCTCCCATGCCTCGATCACTTCAGCCAAAATACGCGGCTCGACGCTTGGGTTTTCATGAATAACACCAAGCCATAGAGAGACTCCCAGCTTGATGGTCTCCTTAGTGAAGATCTGGAAAGGTAAGGCAACCAGGTAATGAACAACAGAAAGCCGTGGCTTGCTGCTGCTGCATATCAGACTCGCGGCCCGCCGCAGAATGTCTCTCACCTCAACAAGAGGAATTCGTCCTCCTTGCATACTTCGTTCGTACAGACGGGCCAGAGAATATTCCAAGTCCACGGCAGACTCAGGTGGAATGTCCGCCAAAGGCTTTCGGCCAATGGTACCACAAATGTCCTCACCTGATCCGTCAAGCAGAGTAGCCTCGGGACGGCGGTACATCTGTCGAGTTGTGTATAGAGCCATGAAGTCTGAAGCAACATTGATGTCACTGGCATTATAGCCGTCAATAGATCCTAGCCGTGGATCACTCTGCGGAATGAGCGAGCCCATCTCTAAAGCGAAGGAACGACCCAATTCAATATGACCATAGGCGCCATCATCGTCGAACTCAGAGAGATATGTCTGAAGAAGGCCTTTGATGTCCAGCGGGGCAACGTTCAGCACTGCTGTGACCCATGCCCTGGCTCGCTCAAGAAATCGATTCAGGGTCATCTTTCTCAGTGCATAGTTATCCGGGAGATCCACTTTGACGATGCCCATTGGAGACACCAGGGATGGTTTCCACTCAAACTCATCAAGTTCTCCTTGAAGGCAGGATGACCACATCACAGTTAAAATTTCCAGCAGAGCGAAGAGAGAATGCTTCTCACACAAGGCAGAGGGGCATTCCCTGATGATCTTGTCTGCACAAAGTATCGCTATAGTTTGCACCCTTTCGATGCGATGGCAGCAAGCCACCAGGAATACGGCCAACTGTTTCGATAAGTACGGGGCTGAGAAGTCGTCATGTTCTCCAGCGAGAGTGTTCGAAAGATAGCAGGTGACTGTCTTTTCAGCGACGGCGGTCATGCAGGCGACCATTTCTGGTGTGGTAAGCGCAGGGTCACGGAAATACCCAAGAATCTTGGTGCAATCCCCAGCCGAAGCACGGAGATGTTCGACCAGCAGCACGGCGTTAAGGAAGACTGCCCGCGGGTAATCGAGCTTCTTGATGTCCGATTCTCTGCCAGAAAGCTCTGAAATGAGAATGCGCTTTTGCTCCAACATTCGCTGCGGTCCAGAACCCCTGCGGAGAACCGTGTTTAGCTCCACGTCGCTCTCCAAAGACTCCATGCGTTCTTCAGACACGAGAGGTGGGGAGTGGCTTGCAAGCAAACAGAGCTCCGTTAGGTGCTTTTGGGCAATGCTTGAATTGAGCGAAATTCCATGGATTGCGATATTGAACCAAGCATCACGGAAGAGAGACATGATAGCGTCGTCATAGTGTAGCATTGAGTGGGAGCCTTTGATCGTCTTCTTGGAAGACACAAGCAGCGCCAACGGCTTCAAAAGAGGGGTGATGTCTCGGGGCGCGAAGACCACCTCCTTGTGGCGTTCACCGTCAAGATCGGGTACATCACCTTTGTTGACGAGACTCTCGAGCAGATGTTTTAGATAGACTCGGTGTAGCGGAGAGTCTTCCTGCAGCGTCACAGAAAGATAAGCCATGGCGCACTGAACCGCGTCAGAGATCGTATCCAAGCCCTTGTGGTATCCGTCGAGGTAGATGCGAGCGTAGAATTTCAACAGGAGCTGAAACTCAGCTTGCCCACCACTCAAAGCAAGAACCGCCGTTTCTTGAATGATGTAGGCGTCTACTGCAACATTGATCTTCCCAACTTTCTGGAGAAGCATGGACTGAGCCAGGGCACTGATTTTGTCGTCGTTACAACCGGTCGCGACAATTACAATAGCGTGAACGACGTTCCTGTATGTCAGACTCTCCTCCTCTCCAATGGCAGGGAAGGAAGCTTGACTTCCATCTCCGCTCCTGGGATAAGCTGGTAGATTGTTTTCGGGGGCAGCTGGGTCCCCGATGGCTTGGTTTTGAGAGGACTGGTCAGCATTGGGACTCGGGCTCAGAGCGTTCCCGAGGGAGTACAAAGTTGTGATAATCGAATCCTCGGAGAGAATGCTCAGGATTTGAACGAGGCAACGAGCAGCCACAGCGACAATGGAACCAGATGCTGCACCCCCCTGAGTCAGGAATTTCAAGAGGCTTCGCCGTCCGAGAGATGCACCATTCGCAGACATCCTTGCGAGAATTGCTGTACATTTCAAAGTTGTCAAGGCCAAGGCTGTGCATGACATTTGTTGGGGGTTGGTCAAGGTATCCTCCAGCCAAGAAAGAAGAACTTCATTGTTGGTTGCGTCCTCGCCAAGAACGACGCAGTTTAAGAAACCAATCAAAGCGTTGCCTTTCACAGAAAAAGCGAGCTGCTGTTGAGAAGGCGAGCCCACCTGTAAATAGTCAGAGCCATCTTCAAGCTGGTGTATTTCTTCGCTAATCAGATCGGTGATTCGCTCGATGAGAGCAATATCTGCGTCCTCGTAGCTCTTGGCAATCCCAACCCCTGCCATATATTCGTCCAAAAGCTGATCGTCGGACAAATTTTGCGATCCTATCAGAGAGGCCGCAGAGGATTTGGCAAAGCGCATGAAGCCCTCCTGCACCAGCATTGCCCCTAGTGGGCGGCCGTTGTATGCATAGCGCCTGGCGTATTTTCTCCAATCCTGAAAGAAATTCTCAGCACCGGCAGCGTTACGAATGGTGGATGATGCTGTCTCCACCGCAATCATGAATGGCTCAGACAGCATGGAACGCAGATGCTCAATGATCTGCAGCTTCTCACTAGCAGACCAAATCACCGTGTACTTGGCTGATGCTTCCAGAAAGCCGGCCAGAGACACAGCAATTGATAGGATTGCTACGGATTCATGCGCGACTCCTCGGCCCCCAGCTTCGGACTTGGAATACTGAAACGGCGTCACAGCCTTGATTGCCTCGGTGCAATTTTTCAGAAAACCATTAAGCGCACCAAGAGCGGTCTTACGCAGGGGCGGATACTGGGTACCCAAAGCCAGGAGAGCAGCGGTCAGATTATGCGTGAGAGCCTCCCAAGGCGACGGTTTGACGGTTTGCAGGAAGGGCGATGGCCGAAATAATTGACTGGGGGACTCGGGCAGGTATCGAGCCAGCTGTGGAGCCAACCTTGAGGCATGTTCGAGGTTGTCCACAGACGAGGCCGCTTTACACAGGGCTAAAAGAACATCGAGTTCGCGGACACCCTTTGCGAGCTTCCATTAGCATGACGTAGGATGACAAAACACATGCACTAGCAACGCACCATTGGGACTCGAGAGGTCGGGGCCTGGTCTTTGAACATTCCATTTAAAGCTACATCAGATTGGCGTGAGCGAGACTGCTGGGCGAGACGAGCTAATTCGGAGCCATCGTCATGAGCGGGCGACTTGACAGCCAACGCCGCAAGTTTCTCGAACGCAGAGCGTCTTATCCCACCTGAGAGACTGCGAAGGATGTTAGCGCCTGGTAGATCAGAGCAATCGACCAACATACCCATCCATTCTGTGTGATACTGGAGGAGTGCACACTTGGAAGATGGGGAAGGGGGAAAGTGGAAAGATGCACGTGTCGGTGCGCGAACCTAGGTCCTGCCGAACCAAAGCATCGCGTCCTCTGGAATGATAGTGATAAACAAGAGCGTCTTCTGATTATGTCATGTTCTTCTGTAGCTGTAGACTCTTCCTATGTAGACAGCATTCCACGTAGAATGGAAGATGAACTCTCCTGTGTTTGTTCCTGTGGAGGCGGTTGGCGGCGTGGTCGCGAAACCGCACGAGTAGCTTTCTCTTGGGCCTCACAAGTTTCCCTTCACCTGACCTTACCCGCTCAACCTCAACTCTTACAAAGCTTGATTTGATCCCAGGCGGTGAATTGATTGTCTAGATCGGAATTGCAATTCAGACGCTGAGGTTTTATTTGTGTCCAAGGGCTGTCAATGCCGCAGGAAGCCCCAGCAATCATCGCTGATTGGCCTGTGGATATCGCCAGGCAATTCGACGATTTGTGTGATACGAACGAGAGCCATGGCGTCTCGTGAGAAGAGCTCTTTAAAGCGAGGCAGGGTCGGTGCTAACTCAACTTGCGTGTGAAGTGACATGTCGGCTTACTGTTCATCATCTTCCAGGCCAGTATCGACGCCGACTCCTCGGATCTCAAGAAACCGCGACGCTCCCAGAGAATCTCCAGCCAGCAAGAAACCTTGGAAACGCCAGTCGACCGAGACTATCTACCAACCCCGTTGACTGATGCTCGTTCGACCGCCACAGACATCCCCAACGAGGTCACGGCCACTCCTCCGGACAGCCCGAGTCATCATCGCCAACAGTCTCCGACTCATGTCAACTTCTCACAGGGCCTTTCCTCTCCGCCAGGTGACACCCAAGCACTCTCCCAGTTTGTCTATCCTCCCAGGGCATTTGCAGACGAAGTGGAAGATGAAAGTGGGGAAGGCGTCTGGGGATATTTAATCCCCTTGGACGACAAAGTGAGCGCGGCATTTGTCTTGAAGAAGCGCGATGGCTGTTCTGGCCGTGACGAACTCTCGAAAGATAAAGCCAACAAGAGAAATCTGGCTCGCAAACAAGGGACAATCGAACACCCGGAGGCTACCTGTTCGGTCGTCACCCAGAATGTGGTCAGTAAACTTCCCATCAAATCCCTTCAAATACAGGCACTAACCCTATGGCAGATTTGATGATTGATATCCCTACAATCTCTAATCGACATTTTCTTCTGTTTTCAGAGAAGAAAAAGGGCGATATAGTGGCTGTGTTGGAGGATCTTTCCAGCAATGGAACATTCGTAAATGATGCGATTGTGGGTCGCAACAAGCACCGAGAGCTCGAGGATGGAGACGAAGTGTCCATCTTGAATGAAGCGCGTTTTGTCTTTCGCTATCCTCGGACACGAGACACCAATGGTTTCAGTCAACAATACCGGATTCTCCAGCAGCTAGGGAAAGGTCATTTTGCTACTGTTTACCTCTGTGTTGAGCGAGCCACTGGGAAGCAATTTGCTGTCAAAGTCTTTGAAAAACGATCAGGCGATTCGCAGAAAACACAGACCGACACCTTGCAGCAGGAGATTGCCCTTTTGATGGGAGTCAATCACCCCAATCTCCTCTGTCTGAGGGATATTTTCGATGAGAACGATGGAGCTTATTTAGTTCTTGAACTAGCCCCCGAAGGTGAGCTGTTCAATTTGATTGTAAGCAAGCAAAAGCTCAGTGAAGCCGAAACCCGTCATGTGTTCCGACAACTTTTCGAGGGATTGAAGTATTTGGTAAGAACTTTCCAAGTCATCAAACAATGGATCAACTTCGAGGCTGACGCCCCTTCTCAGCACGACCGAGGGATTGTGCATCGCGATATCAAACCCGAGAACATTCTCGTTGCAGACAAAAAACTGACGGTCAAATTGGGAGACTTCGGACTTGCTAAGATTATTGGAGAAGATTCTTTTACGACGACCTTGTGAGTTAAACCTCTTCTTGTTTTTCAAATATGTGCCAGTCGCTCACATCTCCAAACAGATGCGGAACGCCAAGTTGTAAGTAAATGAGAGTCATGGTAGCCCCGGATTCGAGACTAATATAGACAGACGTGGCTCCTGAGATCTTACAAGAGACTCGGCGGCGACGATATACCAAGGCTGTAGATGTATGGTCCTTGGGGGTTGTTCTCTACATCTGCCTCTGTGGTTTCCCACCCTTCTCCGACGAACTATGCACCCCTCATAATCCCTATACGCTGGCTCAGCAGATCAAAATGGGTCGTTTTGATTATCCATCGCCTTACTGGGACTCCGTGGGCGATCCAGTCCTGAGCCTGATTGACCGGATGCTCACGGTCGATGTGGAAAAGAGGATCAGCGTGGAGGAATGTCTTGAACACCCATGGATGACCGAGAAATACCCTAGCGTCAATGACAGCACTGATGGGCTGACTGGTGCCCTGGGTAACTTGGACTTTGCCCGGCGCAAGGTTGGACGCGAGCGGACCATGCTCAGCAGCGTCAACGACGTTCATTTCAGTGAGCATGCCGAGGGCAGTGAGGCCCCGGTCAAGGTCTTCCACAAGAACGAAGCGGGCAAGCGGGTTCACAATCGACCGGCCAAAACGTCTCACCGTGAGCGATCGCCCGGCAACAAGGACCCAAAGGAGTTCATGAACCTTGGTGCGGGCGGCAATGCTGCGTTGTACGATGAACCTACGAGTCGATACAAATAGGGTGAACTGTGGTAATATCTACATTGCTTTTGGGGGCTCTTTGGAATTCTGGGACGCAGGATTAAGGAAAAGCCAATAAGGGAAGGAGACTCATGTATAGTGTTCGGGTTCGTGTTATCGTGCCAGTATTCACATCGTGCGATCGCCAGGCACCGGCGGAAGTCGCCTCCACTGGGGTGGCGTGACGAGACTTTTTTAACATGCCATTGCATTACTTGACATGGACAATTGTAATTACCTGTAGCAGTCTCAGGGAAATGCCCACGAGAATATGGCCATCAAAGAATAGTATCTACTCCACTCGGAAAAAAGAAAGAGAGAAGGCAAAAGAAGGAAAAGAAGGAAAAGAAAAAAAAGGGTGGCATGGTCAAGGAAACAGGGGGCGGGACCTTCGATCTTGCCTTGCGATTCTGGCGCGAATGACAGTGGAGATTATTATTCTACAACCCGCCCTTTCCTTTCATCCTCATCCTTTCTTGTCTCCTTGAAGGGCGCCTTTCTTTTCGTCATGGGTCTCTTTTCTAGTTTCATTGACTTGTTCTGCGAGCGCTGCTCGACCGAGTCCATCTGGACTCTCGCACTGGTCGGCGCGTTGTCCTTCATCTCCCTGTCTGTCGTCGTCAACGTTCTACGCCAATTACTGTTCAAGAGCCCCCACGAACCTCCTATAGTCTTCCACTGGTTCCCTTTCGTTGGCAGCACTATAAGCTATGGCATTGACCCCTACAAATTCTTCTTCAACGCTCGGGCAAAGGTGTGCGGCTCCATCCCCCTCTATCCCCCTGGAAAATCTCTCGGGACCATCTCTGACAACAACGCTCGCAGTATGGCGACATTTTTACCTTCGTTCTTCTTGGCAAGAAGACTACGGTCTATCTTGGCACCAAGGGTAATGATTTTATCCTTAATGGCAAGCTTCGCGACGTTTGCGCCGAGGAAGTCTACTCGCCACTCACCACCCCGGTGTTTGGTCGCAACGTCGTTTACGATTGCCCCAACTCGAAGCTCATGGAGCAGAAAAAGGTGAATCCACCGATTCGGGCTAGGAGCAACACTCTTGGAATATTCCGCTGATTAATTGGATATAGTTCGTCAAATTTGGCCTCACCTCTGAAGCGCTACGATCGTACGTTACCTTGATCACGAACGAGGTAGATGACTTCGTCAGAACAGCTCCTGCATTCAAGGAGCCCAAAGGAACTTTTGATGTCACCAAGAATATTTCTGAAATCACTATCTACACTGCTTCGCGCTCGCTCCAGGGCAAGGAAGTTCGGGATCGATTTGACTCCACCTTTGCGGAAATGTACCACGATCTCGACAAGGGCTTTGCTCCCATTAATTTCATGTTGCCCTGGGCACCGCTTCCCCACAACCGCAAGCGCGATGCGGCGCAACAGAAGCTGACTGAGACCTATATGGACATTATCCGCCAGCGTCGCGAGTCTGGTGGCAAGAAGGATTCCGAGGACATGGTCTGGAACCTGATGTCGTGCGTCTACAAGAATGGCACCCCGATTCCCGATGAAGAAATTGCGCATATGATGATTGCTTTGCTGATGGCGGGCCAACACTCCTCGTCTTCTACCGCCGCCTGGATCATTCTGCGCTTGGCTACCTGCCCCGAGATCGTGGAGGAGCTCTACGAAGAGCAGATCCGAGTACTTGGCTCTGATCTCCCTGCTCTTACCTATGAGAGTCTCCAGAAATTGGATTTGCACGCCAAAGTTATTAAGGAGACCCTTCGCATCCACGCCCCGATCCACTCTATCATCCGCGCCGTCAAGAACCCCATGCCTGTGGAAGGTACTCCCTACGTTATTCCCACCACCCACAATGTTCTCTCTTCCCCAGGTGTGACTGCCCGTTCCGAGGAGTTCTTCCCGAACCCTCTGAAGTGGAATCCCCACCGCTGGGACGAGGATACAACGGCCAAGGAGGACGCCAAGGATGAAGACGGCGAGCAGATCGATTACGGCTACGGTCTGGTCAGCAAGGGCACCAACAGTCCTTATCTTCCCTTCGGTGCCGGTCGTCATCGTTGTATCGGTGAGCAATTTGCCTACGTGCAACTGGGTACTATCCTAGCCGCTCTAGTGAGGCAATTCAAGTTCTCCAACCCTCCTGGTGCCAACAACATTCCTGAGACAGATTACTCGGTAAGTCACTCTTCATACAGTGCCTCCAATGGTCATTCAGGTACTAACAAAGGTCGCAGTCTCTGTTCTCCAAGCCTATGGGCAAGTCTTTCGTGTGCTACGAGAAGCGAGGAGCCAAGTCATAGACTGCAATGAATCGGTAACTCCACACAAGACTCAAGAAGACTCTATTACATTGCGCAAGTGGCCTTGATTTTACTTAATGACCTTCCTCGCTCCTAGTCTCGACGCTTAGAACGATTGTACGCGTTTGTACATTAAATATTTTTTCTTTACTCCTCTCGAATCCTGTGATCGAGTTCATTCCCGCCATTTGTGTTGATACATTTACCCTATCTATCTCTAATTAAATGCGATTCAAGACGATCAATCCGAGTTTGAACATGCTTGAGTTCAATGTAAACGTTCGATGGAAGCTCTTTCGTGTGAGAATAGTATATATAGTGCATTGTGGATCAAAACAGAACACAAGTCCAGTCCTAAGGGGCTCAAGTGATATGCAAGAAACTTTACTCCTCAATAACCTTACGCTTGTTTTCTCCGCTCCTCCAGTCTCTTCTTCGCCCTCACTTCCACCCGTCGTCGTTCACCGCCGTCAACTTTCTGTCCTCGCTTGTCTTCCCACATGCCCTCCTGCACGGCGATTGTTGCAGCGGAGCCATGACTACCCTTGACCGGCTGAAGGAATGGGCCCATAATTTTCGAGCCGCGGTGAATCTTCATATGCGCAAACTTCTTCAGCTGTGCAGACGCCGAGTGCTTGTATTCTGTGGCACCGGGGGCAAGGTTGACGATGGCTTTTTTCATGCCCGGCGTCGATGTGGCCGAGGAGGTGATGGTGGATCTAGCAGCCTGGTCCTTATCCTGCGTTGTGAATTCGCTGGGGACTTCCACCACTCGCAATTGGGCGACGCCGTCCACAACTCGTTCCAGGTCTCCTCCAGGGCCGTACAGTCCGTTCCTGAACTTCTCCCGCTTCCGAATGAGATATCGTCGCTGGCGAGTATTTTCAATGCCGGCTTCTCGGAGCTGGGTCGAGTTAAGAGTGAAAAGTTGGTCCCACGAGGAGATTTTGCTCGCGTGCTTGGACATTTCTCGGCCGATCAACGTGAGAAAGGTCTGGACATCGGGGACGAAGGGGGTCGGAGAAGGCACCGAGGGTGTCACATTTCGATGGAAGGGGCGAATTATTTGCCGCGAAAGGCCGACAGAATGGATGATTCGAAACGGCAGGCCCTGTACCCGCGAGTTGCGCATAGCCATGACGGTCCTGGTGCTTGTTGTGAGCACGATCTAGCAAGCACAAAGTGTCTATTTAGATCAAGTAGACGAAATTAGTGAGATAAAGCTCGTGTCGGTCACTTGATAGGCGCGAGTAGGTTTCAATTGAACGATTGAGAGGTTCAGAGCCAGTGAGAGTGGAATTGCCGGTGCTTGCGGGTGCTCGCGCTGGAAATTTCGGAGACACTCGACTCGGGATCAACGATACTCCGAGCTCAGGTATTCAACTGCTTAGGAAACATCATCCTCAGTTCCCTCATTAGCACCATGACTACTCGTTAGCTCTTTATATGGCCTGTCTCGGTATCTAGATCTTCCTTCCTTTCATCAAGCTCCTCATTTGAGGCAAAAGGGTCCCTGCTCAATCTACTTGTCGCCGATATGGCGGTCTCTCCATTTGCCTCGCGCTCCCCTTCGGTGACAGTATCATCGCCCAATGCTGCTCTCAGGCTGAGAGCGGCCGCTGCTCAAAATACTTCTGGACCTTTGGCTGCGGCAAAATCCGTGCACAACCAAGATCGTGAACTTACCGAACAGCTGAACGATGATGTTCGACGGAAATATGTCAAAGGTGAGCTCAAATTTCCATGTCGACAATGACCCGAGCGTGAAGCTCACGAGAAAATCAGATAAAAGACTTGGTGAAGGTACATACGCCATAGTCTACCTCGGCTACCTTCGCGACCAGCCCTCGTCCTACGTCGCAATTAAGAAGATCAAGGTTAATGCAGAATACAAAGATGGACTCACGATGGACGCGATTCGAGAAGTCAAATATCTTCAAGAGCTGTCGCATCCGAATGTCATTGCCCTACACGACGTGTTTTCTTCCAAAGATCAAAACCTCAATTTGGTTTTGGAGTTTCTTCCCCGAGGAGATCTGGAAATGCTCATCAAAGAGGCGGACATCCACTACGGCGTGGCCGAGGTCAAGGCCTGGATGGCCATGCTGGCTCGAGGCGTATGGTTCTGTCATGAGAATTTCGTACTCCACCGGGATATCAAGCCCAACAACTTGCTGATCGCGTCGAACGGTGAGGTCAAGCTGGCAGATTTTGGTCTTGCCCGGTCCTTTGCGGATCCGTATCTCAACATGACCCACCAGGTTATCACTCGCTGGTACCGTCCTCCCGAATTGCTCTACGGAGCGCGGCAGTACTCGGGGGCGGTGGATGTCTGGTCGATGGGGATGGTCTTTGCGGAGTTACTCCTCCGCGTCCCCTTCCTGGCCGGCAACACCGATGTAGATCAAGTGACCAAGATTTGTGAAGCCCTTGGGACCCCAACGGAGGAAAATTGGCCGGGTGTGTCCGAGCTACCCAACTATCTTCCACCAGATACCCACCACCCATTGCAGGGTCGAGACTTCTTCCTTCGCATGTTCCCTACGGCAGGTCCGGTGGGATGCGACTTACTGATGTCCATGTGTACACTGGACCCTCGCAAGCGCACCACTGCGGTGCAAGCCCTACGACACTCCTGGTGGACGGTCGACCCCCGGCCAACCAGGAATGAAGATCTCCCGCAGAAGCCCGGAACTACAAAGATGGGCGAGGACCTCGGCGACGAGGCGGCGAGATCGACGACGGCATGTTTAAAAATGCGGCGCGACAATTGGACTTTGGCGCTATGAAGTAATGACCATGTGTTTGTTTCGTTGCTCTCCGAAGTAGCCGCTTCTCGTGGATCTCTCGTACGTGCAATATCGGACTTCTGTACGCAGGCGCGGTAACTTCTCCGTACAGGTTTGCGAACCAGGGTTGATTTGGGACACTAACCGACACGGTCCGCTGTCATGGACCAAACAGGATCTCCTTACATTCGATCTATTTGAAGGCCCTCACGTCGGAGTCACCCTGGAAATAAGGATCAACGCCGTGGCCATTGCACATGCACGTGTTTGAACCAGGGTTATTTGAGATAAACCAAGCAGAGGACGGAAGGAGATTGTAGATCTTCAAGGCACCCCAAGACCCAGAGACCTCAAAAGACCTCCAGGGATCCCCCAAACACTACAATACAGTAAAGTGTAGGTGGCGGGATTCACCACGCTAGAAGGGCAATGATTCGACCCCCTTTTTCTCACAGTTAGAGGCCGAACATCCACTTTGCCACTCGTTACGGCCTTGGGTCAGGAACGCGCCTTGTCTCCTTCGAGTCGTAGGCCGTCGGTCTTGGCCTTCCCCTTTTCGCTGTACCATTCGATAGCACTTCGGCGGCACTTTGGAGGTACGAAGGACCCTTCAGGAACCTCTCCTTCATGTACTCTCAGGGGGAATGTATGCAAGTGCCGTGTCAATACAAGGGGCAAAGGCACAGAGGGGGACTCGATCGGACTTGTACTTGTACTTATAGAAAAGACCGAAACACATGGTTTGATTTCCCGCTGCGGGCGGCCAACTCTTCTAATCTCTTCCTCATTTTCTTCCTCAATTCTACGCTCTTCCGTTCTTGCACGGCTACCAACAGCGGCAGTGGCGCTACGTGGTCTTCGCTGTGATCGCAATCTTTGAATCTGTGAGCTACCGAAACCTGAATCTTGGTGTTCAAAAACCACTCCCCTCCAATGCACGGCCCTTTTGTTCTCACATCGAGGTCCACTCTCTGTCAGGATCTTTGAGCTTGTTCGGTATTGAGCTAATCGCATGAAATGCAGTCTGGAAAGCGATAAAAACAAAGTCCGACGCGCAAACCGGACCATCGTCAAACATCCCCGCATGGCCGTTGTTTTGCCTAGCCTGCCAATTCGATTGACGTCCTGGGGAGAAGACGCCCCTGTCCTGATTGTTTACGAACATGGCCTCAATGTCAGCATTACCTCAACCGTCACGGTCATCTGCAACTCCATCTACCAGCTCGTTACCACCCATCCCCATCTCTAAAGCACGAAAGAGCACCCCGGCTCCCGATACCCCTCGGGCCGCCTCCCCGTACCAACTATCTAAGCTGCGAACACCCTCAAGCCCGAAACCATCACTCGCACGCTCTCCTCTCTCCAGCTCCAACTCAACCTCCAATCTCAGCGCGATCCGATCAGCATCCAGTGGACGTACCCCCGGTAGCCCCGATAAATCCTTACGTCGCACCATCAGCATCGCATCCTTCCCGCAACCTCCAAAGACCGCAAGTCGGTCTTCGACCGCATCATCTGTCTCTGGTATTCCGGGCACCGTCATCTCGGCGAGTGTAAAACCCAAAAGGAGTTCGCGACTCAGTACCGGCACCACCAGCAGCTACCGAAGCTCCAAGACACCCTCATTACTCAACGGAAGCGCCGATGGCAATTCCATTTTAGCTGATCCGCGAGATCTCGCGAACCTCGAAGGCTCTCCGTCACATAGCAGAAGCTCGTCCGCTCAAGGATCAGTTTCAACCAGCGCAACGACTTTCGAGGATACAGATGACACAACAGGCATGAGCAAAAGCAATACTAAGCACAAGGAGGCCAAGGGCAACGTCCTCGTCAGTGTCCGTGTCCGGCCTGATGCTAGTGGAGGAGACACGTCAAGAAGTCAAGGCGAATGGTCGGTCGATGGGCGCCAGGGTCTAATTTCCTACCGAGGCAAAGAGGGAGGGGATTATTATTTCGGTGAGTGCCGCCGCTCCGGGGGCTGTCGTGGGAGTTTCGGAGGACTGACCTCATAAGATAATGTCTTCACAACACACGAAAACAATGCCAAAGTTTATGACTCGGCCGCAAAGCGACTGGTCCGGCGGGTCATGGAAGGTTATCATGGCACCGTGTTTGCATACGGTATGACGGGAACTGGCAAGACCTTCTCGATGCAGGGAACCGCAACCTCCCCTGGTGTCATCCCGCTAGCCATCACCGACATCTTCTCGTTTATTCGCGAAACGCCCCATCGGGAGTTCCTCCTTCGAGTCAGCTACCTGGAAATTTACAATGAGAAGATTCACGACCTGCTCTCGGCCTCCGCCAATGGAGCCAGTGCCGTAGTGCCGCAGCAAGAAGAAATCAAACTCCGCGAGGACAGCAAACGGGGCGTTTATGCGACGCCGCTCAAAGAGGAGATCGTACAGAGTCCGACCCAGCTCCTCCGGGTAATCGCGAGAGGAGATCACGCCCGGCGAACGAGCAGTACTCAATTCAACTCCCGTAGTTCTCGAAGTCACGCAGTCGTCCAAATCGTCGTCGAGAGCCGAGAGCGAGTGCCCGCCGGCCTTTCGCAGGACAAGCGATCCGGAATCGCTCCTGGTGGTGTCCGCGTATCCACATTAAGCTTGATCGATCTTGCTGGCTCAGAGCGGGCAGCCGACGACAAAGAGCGCCGAACCGAAGGTGCCCATATCAACAAGAGTCTGCTCACCTTGGGCAACATCATCTCTAAGCTATCGGAGAGCAAGGATAGACAAGGCAACCCGGCGGACAAAGATGGTCGGCACCTGCCTTATCGTGACAGCAAGTTGACGAGACTTTTGCAGTCCGCTTTGTCTGGTGGCTCCCTTGTGAGCATTCTTTGTACGGTCCAAATGGTTTCTAGCGTCAATACAAACTCCGGCGAAACACTCAACACGTTGAAGTTTGCTGCCCGAGCAAAGAACAGTATCGTCAGTCACGCGAAGAAGGCTGAAGAAACCTATGGCAGTGGTGGTGGAGACTCTGGAAGTCGCGTTTTGCTCGAACGTTATCGTATGGAGATTCAAGCCCTTCGGGGCCAGCTCGACACGCAAGCCAAGGCCCAGGCCGAAAAAGAAATGAAGTGGGATGAGCAGCAATTCGAAAAAGAAGCCCAGGCTCGACACGAGGAGCAGGTACTGGAGATGCAGCTGGCTCGAACAGCCCTGAAAGAACGCATTGAGCATCTGAATCGGTTGATTCTCAGTTCCAAGTCCACTGGTGTGAACAGTCATGGCAGTTTGTCCGCTGCGTTTGGTCGGCTTTCAAGAATGTCAGCCACCGAATCAGGAACCCGCTCGCTGCGTTCTTCGGCAAGTCAATCTACTCTGGGGGTCGCCCCTATGTCTATACGGCCTATCTCGTTCATGTCAGTGAACAGTAACGAACCCTCGGGGCCGTTGCCCTTCCCCAGCGGATCTTTCGGCAACGACGAGGACGATGATCTTGGAGAATTTGGTGATGGCAAAGCTAGCCTGCAGCGGCAAGTCGCTGCATTGCAGGCGGATTTGGGCGATAAGAATCGATACATCTCCACTCTCGAGCGTCGCTTGCTCCAAGCCAGACGTTCTAGCCACTCTCGCATGTCGATTGGGGTCAAATCCGGTAATACGACAATTTCTGAGCACCCGGACGTGATGGCCCTAGTTCGCGAGAAGGATATGGAGATCAATGAACTCCGAATTCAGCTTGACGACAAGGACCGTATGCTGGCTGCTCTTCGGTCCGCTGCACGCCACCGAGACTTGGCCGCCGTGACCAATGAATCACAATCACCGGAACTGAACTCCCAAGCAGAGGCAACAAATTCCGGTCGGAACAGTCCCCCGCAAACTAATGGCCTAGCTGAGAGAGCTGCAAGCCCAGAGCTTGTACCGCCAATGAGACTAGGCGAGAAAGAAGAAGACCGAAGAAAGAACATGGACGAGGTGTCCAGAATGCTGGATGAAATGATTCAAGGTCGGGTTGGAAGTGGCCACTTCGACAAGAGTGCTATTGGCAATGTCCGAATTGCATCCAACGACAGTCGGCGCGTATCGTCGTCGGCGGAAGTGGCGGGACTGAATCCTACGCCTGTTCCTGTGGCCGTCGCTGCCTCTCCGTCAACGTGATACACGATGCGCCTTTTTTTTCTCCCTTGTGTTTGTGCTTACGTTCACGCCTACCACTTCCTGTTGATTTGATACCCTAGCCATATGTTTTTGCTCAGCCCGATGTGATTCTAGATTTTGGAGTTTTAATTTTGTTGGTGCTTGGTGCAATGACACTTTATTGCAAGTCCATTCATTCTCAATGGCGAATATATTGTTTATTTTACCCATATACCTAATCAACATCTTCAAGAAATGCACAAATATGACTTATTGAGTAAACTATCAGTGAAGACGATAGGATACCTCCGCGAGGTCAGTCGCGCCTAGGAGAATATACTGGACTCAGGTGTTTGTCTCTGGTAGGTCATGAAATGATTTCAAGGTCACCCGCCCTGTCTTTGGCATAAACGTCCTTCCATTGATCCCATAGTCGCTGCAGCTCCTGAACATACTTAGAATGAAGCTCGTCGATGTAGCTGTCGTCGATTTTGTCACGGTTTTGCTGTTGCATCACTGGGATAGGCCGCCCTACCACGATGTTCAAGGGACGCCGGTAAGGCATTAGTCCAACATCATAGTTAAATACTCCACGGGCGTGGAATAGAGGAACGGTGAACCCCATCGTTTGCTTGACTAGCATTTGGACCTTGTGGATGATCGGGTGCTCGTCTGACTGCACTTGTTCGTACAGATCATTTTCTCCGAAAGCTAGAACAGGCACCAGGTCGGCACCGGTTCGAATGGCAAGTTTGACGAATCCTTTGCGCCGCTTCAGTACAAGTCGCAGAGAGTGCGGCTGGGCGTTGAGAGATTCGCGAGCCCCACCAATGACGATTGTAATAGCTCGTCCCATTCCTTCGCCATTCATGCCACCCTTGGTCAGAATATTCTCGCATGACTCCCGAGACACGCTCGCAAGTCCCATGGCAAGAGCATACTCTCGATAGAACGGAATTCGAAAGTTTGAATCAAGTGTCAGGAGGGTATTCGTGATGCCCGGAAAGAGCTTTGAGAAACCCAAGGCTTCAGTCCCGAATGCGGCGAATGCGCCATGTGAAATAATACCATGGGGGTGATAGCCGAATATATACTTCTTGGTTGGAGGAAGCGACTCTTCACGATGTAGATGGGCAGGAAAATATGATGCATAGACAGACCACACGGGAAGCGAACGTAAGAGGTGGCTTCGGCCCTTGAGCTCCCCGGACGTGGGTACCGACGAGAACAGAGTGATATAGACCAAGTATGGCAAGAGAAGAGGCCAAAACAGGGGAATGGCACACGTGAAGAAGAAACCAGTCAAGAAAATAGCGATAGTCAGAGTATGGCACAGAACGACGAATGTCTGCAGACGCCGCTCAAGACCGATGCTCAGCGGAGCCCAATGAATGCTACAAGAGTCGTCAGTTTCCAGTGGAGGAATGAGACACGCCAGGAGCATACCGTTTCTTGTCAGCATTCTCAACACGCGAGGAAGGGCGCGCCGAAGTGCCAGGACCCTTGGACTGAATATGCCCATTCATCATGAGGTCCTATCGAATACTTAGGTGAAGAGTCAAAGACAAATCCCGGTCAAGAGGAAGTCAATAGAATGACGTCGGTCCGAATCCACATTGGGTATTTGCGGATTAGGTAATACGCTGATTTGAATGCGAACAGTCTTAGGTCCAGGCCCAACTCGAGTACTCATAAGAGATGGAAGAGAATTAAAAAAAAAAACATGCTGGAATAGCTAGTAAAATTCGTGTTATGTGACTGATGTCGAAAATAAATGGTAGAGCCCTTTGCGCCCAACACCTTGACCCATGTGAATGTGAAATGTCTCTATACAATGCAATGCAGATCAAAGTCTCTATTCTACGCCTTTGCTCTGATCATGAAGATCTATTTCCCGTTAGCATGGTTCGCCGCATTGCTCCGAGACTGATAGCTCACCTCGTTGAGAGACTTGTCATCCAATAGAGCTTTCTTCTTCTGCGCAATATGCCGTCCTCGGAATACCTGCCTTCCGATAGGAAGGCGTTCTCGCACGTCGAGACCTTAGCCACCATGGCTTTGGGGCTTGAAGACCCGATCGGAGCCTGCAACTGTTGTTCACCCATGGTTTCGTCGTCGGCTTCCGCCTTCCTCTTTCTGGATTTCTTTTTCTTCTTGGACTCGGATGAGTCGTCTGCTTCCTCTTCAGAGTGGTATTTCTTCGAGGATTTGGACTTGGACTTGGACTTGGATGTGGTTTTGGAGTTGGATGTGGATTTGGAGTTGGAGGACTTGCGTATCAAGGCGCTCGAATCGCTTGACGAGGAATCGGCTTCCTCACTGGTCGCATTCTCAACAGACTTGGCTTCAGCCTTCTTGGGCAAGGCTTCAAGTTTTTCTTGGACCAACAGACCACCGCGGACGAATCGCACCTCTGGGAATTTCATAGCGACGTATCGGGCAAGCTTCACGTCCTCCCGCTTCCGCTCATCCTGCTTTAATTCTCCCTCGCTTTTCCCATTCAGCCGACCCAGCAAACCCTTGAAGGCATCAAGCCCGGTCGGCTCACCCTCCCGTCCGGCGCGGGCACCAAGACCCAGATTATCATCTTTGAGGGTCACCTTAATATGAGATGTGCTGGCTGAGGTCAAAAAATCGGCATGGGCGGCATTCTCAGCACCAAGACGATTGCCTGGTGTCCACCCCTGGGCACTCATGATGCGGTGCCCAAAGCCGGACGTGGCGCGGGCCCATTTCGTATTGTTGGGATCATTGGATATCTTGAATTTTCTAAAGACAGTTAGTCGGTCAACGAATTCAGCGCAGGGAACTACTATACTTCTTAGGCGCAGCGAGACCCATGGCGAAAGAGTTGATGGTTGGGGGGAGAAAAACTGCAGTCTCAAGATCACAAAGACAAAAAAATCAATGCTGAGTCAGCATCCGATAAGGAGCCCCAGCGAGGATCTCCGGTGCGGGTTATCGCGTATACAGAAAACCGCAACCACATATGAACCATACCCCTTTCCATTCAAGCCGGTGGGCAATTGCATGTCGACGTTTCCCCCAGTATTCGCGGGCTCTGTGTCTTCTCCTGTATCTTGGACCAGCGGGAACGTAGCTGCGGCTGTGTATTCCTTGTGTCGGGACGGGAAACCGGAGCTTTGCCTCCAGTAGTGAGGAAGATACCCTTGATAGGTAGTCGAGCCGAAGAGGTGCTCAACTTGCTCCTCAGATCATGTTTAATCTCCGGGTCCTCTGCCAAGATCATCCCCAACGAACCATTGCGTTAGTGACTACCGACCATGTCCTTATCTTCCACTACAACGCAACCGACACCGGGGCAAAGACCACCCCCCGCTGCCAGGTCGAATTTTCGGACATATCATCCGTGGATCTTGGCAGCTACCGACCTCTGGGCGCTGGGTATGGCACCCTGGGTCTGATCACATTGAACGAAGATGTCTTCGTGTGTGTGGTTACCGGTGCTTCTCAGGCTGCGACTGTGAGACCCGGAGAAACCGTGTCTAGAATCGATAATGTTGGTTTCTGTGCGTCTCATCTCTCTTGAACGACAGTATCCCTTTTCTGACGACATGACTGCGACAGATTGCCTCAATCGCCCCGAGTATGAATACGGTCTGGATTATGAGACTGGTTCTCAATTCGCTGCCGAGGAGCGCGCCGTTGGGGAAGGGAAGGAAGTAGTAACCGACCATCCTTTTCTCGCCCTGAAAAAGTTACTCGGTGATGGGAGCTTCTACTACAGTCTGGACTTCAACCTCACAGATCGCTTGCAAAACCGGTAAGTCGACCTCTCCATTTGGATCCTTCAGCTGACAGTCTATTAGAGCAGACAAATCAGCGGCGTTCGATATCGACACTTTGGACGAGGACATGCTATGGAACTCATACATGATCAACCCTCTTCTACTGTTCCGAAGTCATCTACCACCTTCGGACAAGGCCAAGTTAGATGCGTCACAACTGCTCACATGTGTCATTCGGGGATATTCCGGTACACTTAAGGTTCCCGCAACCATTTCCATTCTTCCTCAGGTGCGGACTAGTTTCCCCTCGCTGTTAACCATCATCTCGCGACAATCTTCTCGGCGTGCTGGCACAAGATTCAACTCCCGTGGTATCGATGACGATGGCAACGTGGCCAACTTTGTAGAAACTGAAATGATCCTTTGGATTGCACCGGGAATTGCCTTCTCATATGCCCAAGTTCGAGGCTCTGTACCGATCTTCTGGGAGCAAGCCCCTGGTCTCATACCGGGACAGCAGAAGATCGAGGTAACGCGGTCAGGCGAGGCTACCCAGCACGCGTTCAATCAACACTTTGAGACTCTTGAACTGCGATACGGGGCGGTACATGTGGTCAACCTTCTCAGTCAGCTCAGAAGCGGGGAAGCTGATCTTACGGCCAAGTTCCGTGAGCATATTTCTCGAAGCTCACTGAGGCAGAAAGAAGGTTCCCCAATTCCCGGACGCCGTAGCCTGCTGCGTGTGACTGAGTATGATTTTCTTGCTGAGACTCGAGGACCGGCTGGATATGAAGCGAGTAACCAGATAAAGCATGAGCTAGCCGACTCTCTGGATGGCTTTGCATACTTCCTGTCGGAAGACGTGACTCGCTCCGCTACATCTACCCCAGACAAAGAGGATGTAGTAAACAATCCTTCGGTCATCATGCAGCAGGAAGGAGTCTTTCGTACCAACTGCCTGGATTGCCTGGACCGAACAAACCTCGTGCAGACCATCATCAGTTCAATGGCATTGGAATCATTTCTATCGCAGCAGGGCGGAAGGTTGAGCTCGGACATACAGATGCGCCATTCAACCCTCTGGGCCGATAATGGCGATGCACTTTCCAAAATCTATGCAGGAACAGGCGCTCTTAAATCTTCATTTACGCGACATGGGAAGATGTCCCTTGCGGGTGCACTTGCAGATGCCCGTAAAAGTGCAACTCGACTTTATGTCAACAACTTCACCGACAATGCACGTCAGAAAACAATTGATCTTCTCCTGGGGAGATTGGCAAATCAAATTCCAGTCTATCTCTTTGATCCAATGAATGACCTGGTCACTGAGGAACTGAGTCGACGTGCTTCGGAATATTCATCGACCAGACATGTGCGGCTCTGGGTTGGTACCTTCAACGTCAACGGCCGTAATGAAGGACCCGGTACTGATCTTTCACCATGGCTATTCCCCGAGTCCGGTGAAGCTGACGAGGATCCCACAATTTATGCCGTCGGTTTCCAGGAGATTGTCGATTTAAGTCCACAGCAAATCATGTCAACGGATCCAAGCACGCGAAAGGTTTGGGAGAAAGCCGTTCAGCAATGCTTAAATCAGCGTGCCAGAATGAAGGGAACAAGTAAATACGTGATGCTCAGAAGCGGGCAGCTCGTGGGTGCTGCTCTCATCATCTTCGTGAAGTTAGATTCATTGAAGGAGATAAAGAATGTGGAGGGCACGGTGAAAAAGGCAAGCTGATATCTGATCGCTAGCTCAAGTGGATTCCAATTATTTTCAATGGTACTGACAGTCATATAGACAGGTCTTTCCGGAATAGCTGGCAACAAGGGTGGCTGTGCCATTCGATTCGATTTCTCCAACACGAGCATTTGCTTTGTCACCGCCCATCTGGCTGCCGGGTTTGCAAACTACGACGAACGAAACAGAGATTACGAGACTATTGACCGAGGCTTACGCTTCCAGAAGAATCGGTCTATCGCAGATCACGACACTGTGATCTGGCTCGGGGATTTTAATTACCGGATTGGACTAGGAAATCAAATCGTGAGAGATCTTGTCATGCAACGTGACTATCAAAAACTTTATGATAATGACCAGGTCTGTTCGGAACTCGTATGTTCCATCTTTTTCCTTGCTAATGTGAACGTGAATAGTTAAATCTACAAATGATTGCTGGAAGGGCTTTCCAGTTCTATTCAGAGGGCCCTATAAGATTCGCCCCGACCTACAAATACGACGTCGGCACAGATAATTATGACACTTCGTACGAGGACCTCGCTATTCATACGTTAAGTACACTAACCTTGCTTCAGTGACAAGAGCCGTATTCCTGCGTGGTGTGATCGGATTCTATGGAGAGGAGCGAATGTTCGCCAAACCCAATATCAGACCGCCCAATTGCGAGTTTCGGACCACCGCCCCGTCTGGTCAATATTTGACTGCGTGATTGATGTCGTCGATGTTGGACTCAGAGATAGACTGAGACGTCTGCTTTACAGAGAGAAACAGCATGATGCTCTCTCTAATTCAGTCCACCTTCTGGACTTGGACGAGGATGATAGCGTGGCGCAACTTTCCATTGCACCAGGATTGCCGCCAGCTAGTTCGGATCGAACGAGATGGTGGTTGGATCAAGGTATGTGGTCCAACAATGCTAAATGTGACCAACGGGCCTAATCCATGTATCAGGTGCCCCCTCGAAGGCTATAGTGCGGCCGCCCTCAGAGGAGTTTGTCCCGAATCCCAAGCGGAAGTCCAATCCATTCTCCTTGGACGCCCAACCTGACTGGATACCAAAGTCGAGTTTGATGGGACATGGAACAGATCCTCGCAAGGACAGGAAGCCCGTGCCTCTTCCAAGGCAAAAAACGGTTGACGGATCAGAGTCCACTAGGCCTCCGAGTGCAAGCTCGACCATGAGCAAATCGCCCCCTATCGTACCTCGGAAGCCACTTGCACTAACTTCCCGAGGATGCCTCCAAATCCGGTCTCAGGCCCATCCCAGGGTACTTGGGCAGCATCTCAGAGCCACACCTGGGCTACGGATCTTCTGGGTGATGGTGCAGAAGAACAGATTGAGTGGAAGCCACTTCTACCTGAGCGATGATCTGGCACCGGCACATCAAGGGTCGACCTCTCATCAAAGGATACCAGGTATCTTGAGGCAGATTCCTACGCGATTTATGTCCCCTCGGACACTCATCTTGCCCTATAATTGATTTTATTCTCTTCGCAGTAGACTACATGAACAATCGGGTGGGTATCTGCAACACAGTGTAAACTCTCTTGGGCGATATGAAACATGATATATACGTCAAGGTCTATGGATTGTCCTAATCAGACCCATAGCACAGGCAAGATGCGGCTAGAAAGACTCTGTGGCACCGACGTGCACGCATCATGTTGTACAACACAAGAGTAACTGGCTATGTGTCCTTTCGTATGTCACCCAATATCAAAAGAAAGAATTCCAAAATTCTGGCGACTCCACCCCCACGCCGCGTGCGATATCTGACAGAACCGTCGTCGATGAAATCGCCAACACTTTGGTCTAGGAGATCAAGAACAGTGCATATAAGAACATTGAAACTCGTCACATGCAGTCAATGGTGAGTTGAAACATGGGGGCAGATATCTGTTTCTAATCGTGATCCGTAGTTTGGCAACAACGTGGCCTTTTTCCCCGGACGGCGATAAAAGCTCCCCGATAAAGTGACCTCGAGATAGACCTTCCCCCTTCAACGCGCATCGCACCCAGTATCAACCACCATGGTAACATCCCAGCCTTGACTGCGGTGAAAACATACTTACTCATCTACAGGCACAGACACCCCAACAAAGACGCGCAAATGAGCGCTTTGCCAAAACGAGGCAGCAAAGAGAGGGAAGGGGCCATCTTCAACCAAGCCCAAGCAGGCTTCCAAGTCACCTATTTCTGCGAGCTGGGTTGGTAAGTGCTAAAGGCCCTCACTCTCAATGTGTCAATCTAACAGACCACCATAGTCGTGCTGGCCTTCGTTGTTTGCGGCGGTCTACTCTTGGAGCTCCTGAAGATTGTCCCTGAAGTCTGGTCTACCGTGGCTTCAATGCTTTCCCGACTCACCGGATAAACCACTCACCTCCCTTTGATGATACCCCACATTGTTACCGGCGGAAAGAAGATGGAGCAGTGTCGGAAGTGCCAAATACAACCTCCCTCCTCTCTTGCTACACCTATACCCGAAAGTTACCCCTGAGAGACGCGGACGCGGACCGAAAAAGAACAGAGCACAGATACTGCTACAAGGGCACTAGGCCGGACGGGTGGCACAGGACGCAAATACGCTCTGGGAAGGAGAACAGTTATGTATAAATTTATTTCACCAAGTTGTCTAAGCTACCTCAAGAGGTCTGGCAATCACGCAGCCTGCTTTTTCTTCTTCTTTCCCCGAACCCGAGAGCGCTCTGTTTGGTCAGCATCACCATCTTCGGGCTTCTTCTTGCTCTTTTTCTTCTTCTTCACGAGAGTGCCCTCGGCCGGAGTACCCTCTAATTGGATACGCTCGGATGCTCGCTGCATGTGCAATCGCATCTGTTCCACGGTCTGCATCGCCTTCTTCATTTCGGCGTCACCTTCTTCTCCGGCCAGAACAGTGTCTCTGTCCCCATCTCTTGCCAGTGAAAGCTGCCCCAGACCGCTAGAGTCCACCTGAAGTAAAGAACGCTTTGAACTCGTAGACCTGCCGGTGATAGCTGCCAAACTATCTTGTAAAGGTGTGTCATCAGACCCGAATGTTTCATCGGTGGCAACCTTCATTTTCCTTGGAGAGATCCGACGGTTCGTAGGAGGGCCCCGATCAAATCGGCCCTGCTGTCCTTCATCCAGTTTCAAATCGACAATCGGAATGGAATCAATGTCCAGAACATCGCCATTGATAGACTTGAATACGTCATGAACCGGCGTGGACGTGCCTGATGAACTATGGGGGGCAATGTAGAATGGGTCATCTCTGAAACGTTCCCTGCGCTCAGACTTTTTCTTTTCCAAGGCGGAATGTTCCATCGAGCCGCCGATAGTGGTTTGATATGATGGGCCAAGGTGTGTTTCAATCGAAGCCGGTTCGTGCAACGGCTTATTGACAGGCGGAGAAAGATCCGGGACATGGTAAAAGTTCTGCAAGGTACTCCGGGTGTCCACATCCAGCATCGACCGGTCCACGTCGCGGAAAAGTCCCGGTAAATCATCATTGAATGCCTCATTCAGGCGCAGACTTGGAGGCAAGATGACCTTTTTCTGAGCACTTAATGCCACAGGATTCAGTTCTAGGCCCTCAAACAAGCTGGGAATAATGGAGGCGAGAAGAAATGGCACTTCCTGCGCATCTGAGTGCATCGCCTCGGCACCCAAGCGAAGAACTTCCAGAAATTCTATGGCCCGCTCCTGAACATCCAGGTCCGGATGGGCGGCTAGCAGCTCGAGGAAATCCAAAACTCGAGCCAGCAAAAGAGACAATTCACTCTTCCATGTATCTCTGGCGCCCCAATTGCGATTTAATCGAACAAACACTTTCGGTATCGCCTGCAAGAACAGTTGTAACGTTTCCGGTGCCAAATGTGTATTAGATGGGTCAATCAGTGACTGCAGTGTTCGGTCAGGCGACACAAGACATTCTGCATACTCACCAACCACCCACGCCACGGGGCCTAGCACGTCGATCCCCACATTGGAGCCTGTTGGGAACAGAAGAGACCGATTGTCTACAAGTAGTAGTGACTCGGCTGCCCGGGTGGCCTCCGGACGTACTCCTCTCACGCGTACAGCAACGTTGCGGATCTCCGATCCAATCCGATAAGCAACAGTCGATTTCGAACCGTGGCTGGACCATTGACCTGTTTGAGGCTGTTGCCAATACTCTTCTAGCCCCGAGGGTGGGAGTAGACTGACAAGTTTAACCAGAATGCCCACGTACCACTCAAAGTCGGACATCTCCGCGTAGTTGCCTTGCGAGCAGATGTCTAAAACGCGATTCACGACCTCAATTCGGTATTCACTGGGCAGATTAATTATGGGATCAAGCCCCACATCGGATGCCTTTTGCCCCTTGGGGCTTTCAGTTCCGTCTCTCGCATAAGGGTCGGCTTCAGAATCTGGAGCGTCCCTTGGTGTTGACAGCGAGGCCAACTGGAGTTGGTTCACTAACCGATTCACCACTGCTTGCAAGGTGTCACTAGTGACGATACCAGCAGCAAGTTCTAAAGCCTGCAAGCGAATAGAGACATCTGGATCGTCCAGGCAGTCCATGATCACATCTTGCTGCACAGACACGAGCATTGGGTGTGTTGTGACGATGCGATTCAATGCAAGAAGAGCAACGTACTTGACTGTTCGTTTCGCAAATTAGAAAGTGTCATCGGCGTTGAGCATATGTCAAAGGCTCTTACGGTTGGGGTCCGAGTCTATCACTATCATCCCCCGTAGTTTACCCACGCACAACGTGGCAACCTCGTCTCTTTCCTGGAGATTCTCCTCGCCATCGAGAATTCCACCCTGAATGATACCATTGATACACTCGTATAAGAGTGACATGGCCGTGGTCGTCTGGATGATATTTGTCAATGGTCGCAGAAGCTTGCGTGTTAGTCGAGGCTCTAGCGGAGTCAACGTTGCAAACTGTATTAATTAGAAAGGGAATGACATGTAAGAAGTATGGGACGAACCAGCTTGATGATCTTGATGGCCATCCAATTATTACCGCTGTCCACGAGCAGCTCAAAAAGCCGTGGCGCTAAGGGTAGAAAATCGTGGGGTCGGCGCCAACCAAGCTCACAGACAACATTGATGGCCGCTGTGGTCACGCTAATATCCTCCTGGTCATCCATCAGGTGGTCCTTTATTTTTGGCCATGACAGCTTGAGGGCTTCCGGGTATACCAATGCAAGCCGGTAAAGACACACGATCGTCTTCTTGCGTACGACGGGGCTTGAGTGTGAAAGACGAGATATTATATCTGGGAGCAGAGACATAGCCAGCGAAGGAGTGATAATATGTGGGAGCGTGATGAGCGGCAGGGACAAGGAGGGAATATTGGCAGACACAATATCCTGCTTGCCGGTCAGCTCGGAGACACATTGTACGCGGTGAGTGAACGGGACCGACCTTTTTCAGCATATTCGTTGCCAACATCAGGACCTCGGTGTCAGGCCGGAAGCTTTGCACCGCTCCGAGATATCCCACTCGTTTCTGGAGATATTTGGAAGATGACATGACTTCCAGGACGTTAAAGGCCGCCCATGACATATCGTACCCAAACATTTCCAAATATATGAGCTTCAGGAGCGCGGTAGCCTTTTTATCTGCTCGATCTTAGCATGCGAAGATGGCGGTTGGGAAGCAACCTGTTTACCCATATCTTGCGATTTGATCTCGGCCTTGCATTCCCGCAGACAGTCCTGGACATATTCATCTTCTCCGCCCTTGTGGTTTCGAAGACCCTTGATCAGGTCGTAAAGAGACTTCTCAAACCTAGATGATGCGGTCAGTTAGGGAACTCGCACATCCCACCACGGGTGACACACATCCTGTATGGAGTCGCGCGGCGAGGGGATTCAGAGGGTGGATATCAGCCACTGGCAATAAGAATCATGCTCTCTTCAGATCCGAGATCACCGGGAGCTCAGCCGACCGTTGTTAGCTGTTAGCTGTTACCTTTTAGCCTTCGCAAAGAAACTCGGAGTTGACGTGGGGAATTCGATAAGGATCACGGGACCGTGTGTCTGGTGCAATCTACGGGGAGGTCTCCACTCTATGCATTCCAACACTTCGCTTTCCCTCTCCAGACATTTGAACCGCTTTGGAAAGCCACAATGGCCATTGTTGAAGCCCGTGATGCTAACGGGTCCGACCTGATCTCTGCCCTTCATCTTTCCCGACAGGCGCCGGCGATCCTCGGCCACAATCCTGCGCATGCAGGAGTGGCTTCATCTACTTCATCTGCAGACACAGCGGAGGAGTATGGGCGAATCGAACAGCTCTTCCTTGCCTGTCTCCGTACCGGCGATGATCAATCCGCGCACGCGTGTCTCGATCGGTTGAGCCATCGATTTGGCCCCTCTAATGAGCGAGTGATGGGCCTCCGTGGCCTGTACGAAGAAGCGACCGCAAAGAACAATTCAGCGCTGGAAAAGTGCCTGGAAGAATACGAGAAGATTCTTTCTGAGCATCCCGTCAGTGTAGTACGTCCGAATAAAATTAACCCACGGCTCAGCATGGAAATATCTAACGGCTAATATGCTATAGCCCATTATGAAGCGTCGGGTAGCTTTGCTGCGCTCACTAGCCCGGACCCCCGATGCCATAGCTGCCCTTCTCCAGCTCCTCGACGCGGTACCCACTGACGCTGAAGCTTGGTGCGAATTGGCAGACCTATATCAGGCCCAGGGCCTCGGTGCCCAAGCAATTTTCAGCCTCGAGGAAGCTCTGCTGATAGCCCCGAATGCTTGGAACGTATGACTTGGGCCTTTGTTCTGACCAAAAGTCAAATTCCGGATGCGGACTAATATCGATCAGGTCCACGCCCGCCTTGGGGAGCTTCTTTATGTCTGCGCTTCGTCTGCCGATAGCGATGCACCCCGGCTTGCAGGTAAGTCGGTCCAACACTTCTGTCGCAGTATTGAGCTCTGTGACGATTACTTGCGGGGGTACTATGGATTGACTCTGGTACGTCCGACACAAGAAAACAATGCACGCTACTCGGATACTTATTTGAACTTCTGACCTGACAGGCCTCGTCGCTCATGTTGGAAAAGGCATATGCGCATGAGAAATCCCCCGAGGCAGTCACAGCCTCTGAGAACACATTGACACAATTGCAAAAGCTTGGACTTCAGAAATTGGGAGATATTGTGCGATCACGCTCTGTTGATGATCAACACTGGGCATCCAGTCGCAGTGAACTCATTGCGGCGAAAGAATTGTTGAATCGCTTTGAAAAGTCGGGACGATAGGCGTCCCAGGTGTCTAGAACCGGTACACTGAAGGATACCCCTGTCATTTCCTCTCAAAGTGTTAGAGATCTAATGCATGATGATCCGATCTTTGGAGGTCTAGATTTATGACTCGCCTCACGACCTGACATTCTTGGTGATGATTGGGCATTGGGCAGCAGATGGATGTGATGGCCAGAAAATAGTTACACGAATGCCGAAGTATGCCCAATCCAGCCCAATAGAAAGTCGAAAAGTAGAATTAGGCAGGCAAGATCCGCACCTCAAAAAAAGGCGCTTGCCATCTTCTTCTTTTCCATATACCGCAACGCAGACTTGGCTTGACTTCCAGACTCCCAGGCTCCCAGGCTCACAGACTCACAGACTCGCGACATTCCATACTCCTAACGGCAAGAAAGTCCAATCTAGAAGTCGAATCTAGAGTCCAATCTAGCGGGGCAAAGGAGTCAATGCGCTTTCTCTTTGGCCCCCCCCCCCGCGTCCGCTTTGTTTTTTTTTCTCCCCTTTCCCCCACCAACTCCCGTCTCCTCGCTTTTCGTATATGCGAGTGAGAGTGAGTGACTTTGTGTCTATTCTTCACTCGGGACGTGAAATAAGAGGCTCTGGATTGACTCTATGACGTATGTTTGGGCCATATTCCCCTTGCCCTCCCCTTTGTTCCCTCGGTTCGCTCTATTCCCTCTGTTTTCCTCTGCTTTCTCTCTGTGATGTTCCAACTCCTTCACTCCCTTTGCTCGACACTTTGGCTTTGCCCCCTTCCCGTCTTTTCATCCTTTGCACTAACCCTTCCCCGCCCCTTCCAGGCTCAGTATTTCGATTGATCCCACAGACCCGTACGGCTCGGACAGCTCTCTCACGGACGAAGAGGATTCCTCGGTCGTCCAAGTATCCCTGCCTTCAGACGGGAGCCATGAAAACCAGGACTATGATGAGTGGGCGCATCTGTCATATCCAGATGAATTGAAACCGTCTGATTCAGCCTCTCGACCAAGGACCTCGCACCATACCCGCTCGCTCCACGGTTCGCGCTCGGCTTCGGGCCGCCGCCAACCATCGCGCCGCCAGATGATCGAACGTGAGTCCATGGGCTCTCGAGCCCGACAACGACACCGTTCCCCCGAATCGCCCGGCAGTGCCGAGTCAGAAGAATATCCAGAACCTTATGCGCGAAACACTCACGACCGACGGTGGCCTCCTCCTCCTCCCGCCCCGCCTGCCGGCTACGCCCAGAGCGCTTCTTCGGGTCCATCCTTCAACGCCTATCCACCGGCACCTGGACATGCTCCCTACCCACATGCTAACGGCCCTTTGCCGGGCGATCAACTTATCCGCTTCGGTCATGCCAACCCAGCCGGTCAGCCATATGGCCCGGGTCATGGTCCCTTTCCCTACGGCGCTCAGCTAACAGCATCCGGCGCTCCTATGTACCCTCCATATTTTGCGCAAGACCAAGCACACCGACATCCTCGCCCACCGCCCCAGCCACGAATTGATCCGCACAACCCCCCTCAACCTCCTATGCATCCCATGGGCGGTCATGGCCCTTCGCCCTACGCGGCTTCCCCTTTCCACCACGAGATGATGTCCTATGCCCCCAATGGCTTTTATAATTATCGCGATCCCTATTCCCTCGTTCAAGGCATGATACCGCCGTCTTATTTCCCTTCATATCCTCAAGTACCGTCTCCATCTCAACCAGAGGCCGCCTCCCCACCAGCACCGACCCCAGCTCCTGCTCCCACTCCTGCTCCTGCTCCTGCACCTCCGCCCGCGGATGCTGCGAAGGATGAAGCGATCGCGCGTCTGGAGAAATTGATCTTGGACGACCGCACGGAACGCGAAAATAAGGAAGCAGCCCGTCTAGCTGCGATCGAGCGTGAGGCCGCCGAGGCCGCGGCTAAAGCGCAGCAGCTTGCACACGACCGCAAGATTGCCGAGGAGGCTGCTATGCTTGCTCGCGCGGATGCGGAGAAAAAGGCTGCCGAGGACGCAGCCAAGGCTAAAGAAGAAGCAGAGAAAGCTGCTGCCGCCGCCGCCGCAGAAGCCGCTGCTGCGGCCACGGCTGCGGCAGCGGAAGCGGCGGCAACAGCGTCGGCAACAGCCGCTGCAGCTGCAGCAGATGCTTCGAGCAAGCCTGCCCCAGAGAAGAAAAAGCCAATCAAATTCAAAGATGCGGTCGGCCGAAAGTTCAGCTTTCCCTTTGAGCTGTGCAGCACTTGGCAGGTGAGAAGCGCGTGGTTTCTCCTCTCAGGTTTTCTTGTACGAGTAAGGTATCTAACGTCTGACTCTGTTTAGGGGATGGAAGACCTAATCAAACAAGCCTTCCTTCATATTGAGGTCATTGGACCTCATGTCGCGGAGGGGCACTATGATCTTGTCGGGCCCAATGGCGATATCATTCTACCCCAGGTTTGGGAGACGGTAGTCGAGCCCGATTGGACAATCACCATGCACATGTGGCCGATTCCAGAGAAGCCTAAGGAGCCCGATCCCCCTCCTGCGGCTGATCCGCCTCCTACAAAGCCGGATGCTCCTCCAGCTGCACCGGAGAAGAAGAAAGAAGGTACGTTTCGATCCTTCCCTTGGAGCAGTGACACCTGCTGACTGATATTCAGGCAGCAAAAAACCTAAAGCGAAAGGTCCCACTCCCATAACTGGAGGGTTTGCTAATTGGATGATGGGTGGCCGCAACCCACAGAGGGTCAGCAAGCCCCCCAAGGCTGAGAAGAAGGCCGAACCTGCCGCCTGAAGCGATACATGCATGGCCAAGCACGTATGCTCCGCCTGTGGCATGACCATTTCTTTATTTAACGTGCTACCTTCGCAGGTGTCGGAATCAGGAGAGCGACCACCAGACCCCGTTCTGTCAACAGTCCATAACTTCGGAAACTTTGTTTTCGGTCGTCCATGCATTTTTCCATATGAAGCTCATCTGCGGACCTGCTTTGGACGCCGTGGGATGCCTGTCGTGTTTGGTCAAGTCTGACTTCTGTTCGCCTTGACGGCACCGTCTTCTCCTCGAGACCACACATAGTTCAGTCTCGTATAAGCTATAAGTCCAATAAAATACCCGTGACTATTTTGTAACATCTCGCTGTAATTGCAGTAGGATGTCAGCCGCCCTTGCCCTCCTGCGACCACTGGCTTTTGTAGACATGGTCGGAATCGCTACATAAATCCATACCCGATCGCGCTCGCCGGTCCACGTATATCATACGGTGGGGAGGATAGAACGGGAGAGTGAGTCCCTTTGCGATAATTCTTTCTAGTCGAGCTAGCTATCAAGTTAATTCTTTCTTATATCTAACTCTACGTCTTATTAACTCTCTAGGACCTTTGTAAGGCTACCTAGTAGATATGTCATGATAGAGTATAGTCGTCTCTCTCTTATCAGAGTCGTATACCTATCTTAGACCGGCTTACTCACTAGACTGCGCCAAAGCCCAAGTAGCTTAGGCCATGACCCATGGACCGGACCCCCCGGCCCAAACGTGGGCTTTGAGCCTAACCCTCTAGGCCCGAGCCCAACCCTCTGCCCACTGTCGGCCCCTATTTAGGGGCCACAAAAGCCTGACTTCATATGAAATTAAGGTCTCGGTAGTTATAAAGCTACTGACTTACCTAAATCAAATGCCGTAATGTAACCCTAGTTAAACTTTTTTCTTTTTTTTTTGGTAATATCTATCTAAACTAAGATTAAGAATATATTAGATATCAAAAAAAGAAGAGAAATGTAAATGAAACATAATGTGAGACCACGCAGGAGTCTCTAGGTAGGTAGGTAAGCGAGGTAGAAGCCTTTACATGTGCACAATATGGTGGTATTGTGGGATAAAGACTGAACGCTGGTCTAGGAGAGACCAGCGCGGATAGATTAAATATATGGACTGCCTTTGCCGAAGGCGGTGAAGGTCCCCTTTCTGCCATTATCCCTGAGGCGTTCTGATGCCTCAGGCAACGACCATTGTCCGTCCTGGTATGGGTCCTGACACATAAGGTGAATACTTAAAATACTGTGAAGGGCTGATGTAAAGAATCTACGTGTTCAGGGTAGAAGGCCTATCGGTCAGGTTAGGAAGAATGTCTGGACTCAAGTCTGGTATTAAATGAAGCAAGACTGATTCTTGCTAAGTCTAAGTTATTTAGAAACCCTCACATTTTAAGTACGAATCGGGTCCGAGACTTGCTTATTACACTGCGGGGTAAACCTTCACCGCTAGTTCTTGGTATTCCTTTACAATTTGATACTATATTAACTTAATAATATATTATATAATATCTTTAATACTCTTCATTATATGGTGGAATCTCACACGCTAATGCCCGCGCTTAACCCATAGACTCAAAGGTCATAGCCAGATCTCTCGGTACGAGAGATCGACTGCATTAGTATATATACTAGGTGATGAGCCTAGTTATAATAATGGATACCCTTTATTTATTATATATCTATATAAATATTATTTATAGCAATAAAATTATAGTCTATATGTAAAGGAATACTAAGGATTAGCGGTGAAGGTTTACCCCGTAGTGTAATAAGTGAGTCTCGGACCTAATTCGTACTTAAAATAAGAGGTTTCTAGATAACTTAGACTTAGTAAGAATTAGTCTTATTTCTTTTAATATTAGACTTAAACCTAAATATCCTTTTTTATTTAACTAATAGGCTTTTTACCCTAAATATATAGATTCTTTATAATTCTAATTTTTTTTATTAGTTACCTAAGGAATTATATTTATTAATAATTATATTTTTTACTTTTATATTATTATTAAAAGTAATAATATACTTATATTATATAAGGCTATTATTATATTTTAATATAGAGATATTATTAATTTAATCTTAGAACTAAACTAACCTAAATTAATCTCTCTTAATTCGCTATAATATAAATTACTTTTAGAAGACTTATATAAATATTAAGTAACTTATAAGAAACTCTAAAATAATAACTAAATTATTAAAGACTAAATTAAATATCTAAATATAAAAAACCGCCTCTTTAAATATATTTAGGAGCTTAAAAGGGACTAAACTATATCTATTTTAATAAGGACTTAGCCATATAATAAAAATAAATTAACTATAAATAATAATAAAAAGAGTATTAAAATTAAAGATATCCCTTTTTTTTTAAGGATTTTAATTTATAAAAATACCAAAATAAATTCTTTATCTTAAATATTAAGTTAAAGTTAATATAAAATAATATCTTATTAACTAAAAAAGATATTTATAAATATTATAATAATAATAAAATATAACTATTACTAAAGATATTATAATATATAATTATAAAATTTATTAAAAAATAATAAGATCTTAAAGAATTATAAATAACTTTTAAGAATTAAATAATTATTCTTTTATTTAATTTAATTACTTTGTAAGTTAATATAAATATTAGCCTTAGCTAAGTATATTAAAGATTATAAGATAATTTAGATTAATTTTATATTTATTGAGATAATCTAAAATGATTTTAAATAAAAAAGCGAAAAAAATTATATAATATTTTATTACTCTAAATTTAATTTAGCCTTTTATTTTTATATAAGTAAATATCTCCTTAGAGAATGATTACTAAAAATATATAATATAATAACTAATAAAGTAAGATATTTTTAAAATTTATTTTAAATAACTAAGAAACATCGCTAATTTATTAATAAAATCTAAGAGTATTAATACTCTTTAAGTTATCTTATATAATTTAAATATATATTTTATTAGAGAAGGGATAATATCTTCTAAAGATATAAAGATTAATAATTCTTAAGAACTTAGCTAAGCCCTTTATATTTTAGGGAAGTTATAACTATTATAATCTAAATAATATATATAAATTAATTCTAAATTAAGACTAAAACTCCTTATACTTAGGATTAAGACCTTAATATTATAGATATTATAAATTGAGCTATATTATCTTAAATTATATTAAAGATAGTATATATATTTAATTCTTAAGAAACTTAGGAAAAGAGAATGAATTAAAATAAACCCTATATTTATGATTTTAGACTCTAAGATAAGGATTATCTTATATTTTTATATTCTAATTTAAATATAAAATACCCTTATTACATATATAGACTTAGATAATTATATTGAAGTTAATTTACTTAATTACTAATTTATAAAAGAATTTAATCTAAAATATACCTTAATTATTACTTTAATTATTTAAGTAATCTTAAACTAAAAGATTATCTTTTATAAGATATAAAAAGTCCTCATTATTATTACTAATTTAAGAGAGATATCTTATAGCTTTATAAAATAATATATAGTTATAAATAAAGACCTATATTTATAAGATAGTCTGATTCTTTTATTAATAACTATAATTTAAGATCTTTAAATCTATTTATTACTAAATTAATAATAATAATTTAAGGTAAAAAAATTCTTTTTATTTAGCCTATAATAATTCGCTAAAGCCTATTAAAACTAAGCTTATATATATAATAATTTAGATATTAAACAATATATAGCTTTTAAAGAATAATAAGGAAATAGAGACTACATTTAATCTAATATTACTAAATAAATTAAAGATATTTTATAATATATTTATAGCTAACTAGTCTAAGATCTTACTTATATAAAAGTTAATTAATTATATTATTAAATTAAAGAAAATGGTATTATTCTCTTATAATTGAATTTATTTACTCCTATAAACTAAGCTCGTAGAATTAAAGAGATATCTTAAAAAGATTTTTATAAATAAATATATTTAACCTTCTAAGAGCCTTATAAAGGCACTAATCCTTTTTATATCTAAAAAGAATAATAGCTTATATCTTTATATAGATTATTAAGAATTAAAATAAAGTCTTAATTAAGAATTATTACTCTTTACCCTTTATTTTAGAGATCCTTAATTATCTTTTAGATGTAAAATACTTTAGTAAAATTAATATATAAGATATATATTACTAAATTCGGATAAAAGAGAGTAAAAAGTAAAAGATAGCCTTCCGGATATAATATAGCTATTATAAATATATGATAATATTATTTGGACTTATTAATATATTAGTTACATTCTAAAACTATATTTATATTATATTATATAGCTTACTTAATATAATTTATATTATATATCTAAATAATATCCTTATCTTCTTATTTAACCGCGAATTATATATAAAATACTTTTAGTAAGTCCTTAAAAGACTAAGAAATATAACTTTATATAGAAATATCTAAATATATATTTTATTAAGATTAAATAAAATTCTTAAGCTTTATAATTAATAATTAGGATATTATAATAGACTAATAATATATTATTATTATTATATCTTAAAAAATATCTAAAATATTCTATAATATCTAAGTATTGCTAGGATTTTACAACTTTTATTAATATTTATTAAAGGATACTCTCTTCTTATAGTTTCCCCTTATGAATTTTTTTAAGGGAAGCTAAAACAATAAGAAATAAGGGAATATAGACCTAAATAATACTAAAACGATAATATTTTAATAATTAAAAAATACTTTTTTGTAAGCCTTACTTCTTAGATTCTTCAACTTAATAAAATATATCTAAGTTAAAATTAATATATTTAACCTTAGGATAACT